ATTTTTTTTTCAAAAAAAAGTTTTCCTGATCAATTTTTCGCGCTGAAAATCATGGCATTGCTCATTTTAAGCTTCTCAGCCATTTTCAGCATGAAATTGTGATCTAGAAGGTCGGGGGATCGAGCCCCCATACCTCCTACCTTCTTTTTTCTTAAAAAACCCTTTCCGATCAATTTTTCGCGCTGAAAACGATGCCATTGCTCATTTTAAGCCAAATTTTTTCGATTTTCAGGTCAGACTTGCGACATTTTTCGAAAATCTTGGATGGAAAGTGTTCACGGTTCCCGAAACTGCCACAATTCTCCTAGGAGGACGTGTCAAGTTCTCCGAACTCGACAAAGATCAATGCTATACATTCCAAAAGGATTTGTTGGCAACAATGCATCAAATTGAGAATGTGAGTCGATTTTTGGGCGGGAAATTTGAAATTTTCAAAAAATTTTGAGCTAGAAACTCTTTGATCACAAGGTCAGGGGATCGAAACTCACCCGAGGCAAACATTTTTTTTTTCAATATCGATTTTTTGTGCTGAAAATGATGGAAATGCTTAAAATGAGCAATCCCTTGATTTTCAGCGCTAAAAATTGATCTAGAAAAAATATTTCGCCTCGGGTGGGATTCGATCCCTTTACCTTGTGATCAGTAATTTTTTTACATTTCTAGATCAAAATTTTGTGCTGAAAATGATTAAAATGCTTAAAATGAGCAATTTCATCATTTTCAGCGCGAAAAATTGATCTAGAAGATTGTAAAAGCCCTTTTGGGTCATTTAATCTGATTTTTAACGTCCTAAGCTTAAAAACTCAAAAATTCCACATTTTTAATTCTCTAGATCAAAATTTTGCCCTGAAAACGCTGGAAATGCTTGAAATGAGCAATCCCATCATTTTCAGCGTGAAAAATTGACTTTAAAAAAATATTTCGCCTCCGGTGGGATTCGATCCCCTGACCTTGTGATCAGTAATTTTTTGACATTTCTAGATCAAAATTTCACGCGAAATTCGAATTTTTCGCTTAAAATGAGCAATTTTCAGACATTTATGAATCAAGCGACCTCAATCAAAGATAAAAATGTTCTTGTAATTTGTGATCGTGGTTGTATGGACCCTTCCGCTTATTCCACAATCGAAGATTGGCAAAAAATGTTGGTGGAATTGAAATTGGAAGAATTTGATATTTTATGTTCGAGATACGATCAAGTTTGTCATTTGGTAACAGCTGCTGATGGAGCTGAACAATTCTATACTTTGGCAAATAATGCGACAAGAAGTGAAGGATTAGAACAGGCTATTGAATTGGATAAAAAGACACGAAGTGTTTGGGTTGGACATCCGCTGGTTGATATTATTGATAATTCTAATACTGCTGGTAAGATTTGGGGTGTTTTGAGCCGAAATTTGGGAAAATTGATGAATTTTGAGCCCAGAACCGTTAAATTTGGGATTTTTAAGGGTTTGAAGCTAAAATTTGAAAAATTTTGAGCCCAGAACTGTTAATTTCAAGATTTTTAAGCCCGGGAATGTTAAATTTGGGATTTTTCAAAATTTTTGAGCCCAGAACCGTTAATTTCAAGATTTTTGAGCCCAGAACCGTTAAATTTGGCATTTTCTAAGGGTTTGAAGCCAAAATTCGAGAAAATTGAGCCCGGGATTGTTAAATTTGGGATTTTTTGAGGAATTTTGAGCCCAGGACGTTGAAATTTAAGATTTTTCAAATTTTTTAAGCCCAGAACCGTTAAATTTGGGATTTTTTACCCCGAGACGTTAAAATTTGGCCTCAAAAGCTTTTAAACTTTTATAAATCAATTTTTCGCACTGCAAATGATGGGATTGTTTATTTTAAGCAGATCCGTCATTTTCAGCATGAAATTTGGGTTTTTTGGGGAATTTTGAGCCCAGAACCGTTAAATTTGGGATTTTCTAAGGGTTTGAAGCCAGAATTCGAAAAAATTGAAAAATTTGAGCCCGGGAATGTTAAATTTGGGATTTTTGAGGAATTTTGAGCCCAGGACGTTAAAATTTAAGATTTTTCAAATTTTTTAAGCGCGGGAACGTTAAATTTGGGATTTTTGACCCAAATATGTTAAAAATTGGCATCCAAACACACACACTTCGCCAGGATATACTTTAAGTGTATTTAAAATAAAATCAGCGATTTTCGCACTGATATACTATAAGTACATTTGAAATATGCTATGGCATAAATAAAAGTATACTTTTTTGAATAAAAAAGTAAATTTTTGGGAAAATCGAGAAACATCTTTAGGAGTTTTTGTAAATTTAGTAAATTGCTCAAACAGCTTTCATCAGACTGTAAGTTGTTCAAAATTTGCGAAAAACCAAGTTTGGTGCACAAAAATGGCGTTTCAATCATAAAATATGATTTGCCCTCCTCCTCGTGGCGCCCACTACTTATATAAATTGAGTGACGGACACCTCGCGGGTTGTGCGAGGTGCTATGTTTAACGTGTAAAATGGGCGTGGCTTATCGCTTTTTCGAGATTTTTGTTATTTTCGCGTTTCATGCGATTTCCAGCGGTCTGTGATAAAAAAAATTTTCTAGGCCAATTTACCTTTTTTGAAAATATACTGAAAAATACACTTAAAGTATACTTTTGCAAAAGCTTTCGAATCTCCACTTTATAGCGTGAAAACCTTAGGCGAAAATTAATCAAATGTCTCCTTTTGATATCATCAAACCGTCTGGAATCAAAAAACTGAATTTATTGATGATAAAATTTTACACGTATTTTATACTTTTTGAAAAAGTATACTCAACGTGTAAAAAATAGACTTTATGTATAAAATATACAAAAATATACTTTCAAGTATAGGAGGGCGAAGTGTGTGTGAAGGCTTTGAAACCTTGATAAATCAATTTTTCGCGCTGAAAATGATGGGATTGCTCATTTTAAGCAGTTCCAGCATTATCAGCATGAAATTTTGATCTAGAAACGTTGAAAAATTACTGATCACAAGGTCAGGGGATCAAACCCCACCCGAAGCAACTTTTTTTTGTAAAGTCGGTTTTTTGCGCTGAAAACGATGGCATTGCTCATATTAACCATTACCATCATTTTCAGCACGAAGATTTGATCTAGAAACGTTAAAAATTACTGATCACAAGGTCAGGGGATCGAACCCCCATACCTCCTAACATTTTTTTTTTGCAAATTTGATTTTTCTGATCAATTTTTCGCGCTGAAAATGATGGCATTGCTCATACTAAACACAAAATTTTGCAGGCTTCGAGGACAAAGTCAATAAATTGATCGAAAAAGTTTGCACACGAATTGGTCTAAGTATGGGCGATCGCCTGGCTCCCGGATCAATTAAACGGAAATGGCTGATTTCGGCCGTCGAATGGGAGAAATTTGTGAAAAACGAGACATTTGAGATGGAAAACTTTTATTTGAATTCGGACGATCCGAATTTTCAACACAGATTTCGAAAACGGACTCAAAACGGAAAAAGTACTTATACACTAACAACTCGCGAATTTTTTGAAAGATTTGGGAAAAAGTGTGGAAACCAGAATGCAGGTGCCATCCAGAGAATATTCTCACTATGCATCGATGCGTGATAAGCAAAGATCTACGATTCATAAGATACGCCGATGTTTTATGTGGGGAAATCAGTATTTTAGGTGAGATTTTGAGCCGAAAATCGGTAATTTTCGGGTTTTTTAACCCAGGGAGACAGTTTTTAACTGAAAATTTAGAAAATTCGCGATTTTTTGACCCCGGAACCGTTAAAAACCCCAATTTTGACCCCCGGACGTTAAAAATGGTCCCATTGCTCATGTTAAGGGTTTTGGACGAAATTTCATGAAAAATTCGAATTTTTCAAAAAAAAATGTCGATTTTTGCAGTCTGGACATCTACAAACCACCACTTCCACCACCAGCTGCCCACGGAAAAACCCTAATGTTCCTGGAGACCTTCACCACAATTCCATTGGACACTGAATTTCCGAAAAATCTCTTGCCAGATTGGATGACTGTTGAAAAAGTGGGTATTGCTCATTTTAAGTGAAAAATTCGAATTTGGCGCGAAATTTTGATCTAGAAACATTTGAATTTTATTGATCAAAAGGTCAGGGGATCAATCCCCGCCCGAGGCAAACTTTTTTGTTTTTTTTTTCAGTCTAGGTCTATTTTTCGCGCTGAAAATCGTGGCATTGCTTATTTTAAGTGCGAAATTTAGATCTAAAAAACTATCAATCACAAGGTCAGGGGATCAATCCCCGCCCGAGGCGAAATTTTTTTGTTTTTCTCATTTTAGATCAATTTTTCGCGCTGAAAATCATGACATTGCTCATTTTAAGCGAAAATTTCGAATTTTTACAGGAAATCACCGGAGACAGTCAATATTCAATGTATTCTTTGGCGAAAAAAAATCAGCCAAGCGATTCTCAACGACTTCCATTTGTCGATGCTCCAAAATATGATGACTAGATTTTTTTCGCGAAAAAAATGTTTTTTTTATCTGTTCCACTCTTTTTGCTTTAAAGTTTCCGTATAATTTTTTAATTTTTGAGCTGTTTTCGGCAAATTTCACTTCTCGAGGTTTTCTATTGTATAATAAATTTTTTTTATTTTTGCGAAATTTTGAGTTTTTTTTGGAAAAAGTAGAGCTCTTGAGAATATTTTTACAACATTTTTTGAATTTCTGCAATTCTGGCGCCAAAACTGCCACGTGTCACATCAATTTTAGCGCGAAAAGCAAAAAAAAAACCCTGAAAAAATGCGAAAAACAGCAAACGCGCTCTATCGCACAACGCAAACTCATTCAAATCCCGAAATTGCTAATTTGCATGCGTGTCTGTCGCACTCTCCCCTCTCTCACACACTCTCTCGCCTCCCCGCTGCCGCGTCCCCTCTCTCGCCACCCTCCTCGATTCGCACGCTCTCTCCGCGCACACGCCGTTCCCTGGTGCTTGTTTTTTCTGGCTTGTTTTTCAGCGTTTTGACCGGGGATTTTTGAATTTTTGAATTTCAGGATGACGTCAGCACCCGGTGCTAACACATATCGAGTTGGTGGTGAGTTTTTAAGCGGGAAAATTCGGGTGAAATTGAAGAAAAAATCGGATTTTTTACTGAAATTTCAAGATTTTAATAAAAAATCCAGTTTTTCGCGTATAAATTTGCCACGTGGCAGGTGTTTTAGCTGAAAATTGCCACGTGTAAGCTGTTGTAGCCTAAAATCTGGATATTTTTGCTGAAAATCCAGGAAATTTGGCTGAAAATTGAGTTTTTGACTGAAATTTTAAGATTTTCATGAAAAATCCAGTTTTTCGCGTGTAAATTTGCCACGTGGCAGGTGTTTTAGCTGAAAATCTTGAATTTCAGCTGAAAATTGCCACGTGGCAGCTGAAAATTTGTGATTTTTGCTGAAAATTGGGTTTTTGACTGAAATTTCAAGGTTTTCATGAAAAATTCAGTTTTTCGGGTGCAAATTTGCCACGTGGCAGCTGATAATCATAGTTTTAGCTGGAAATCCTCTGTTTTGAGCTGAAAATCTGGAATTCACATTATAATCTGGTTTTTGAGCTGAAAATCTGGAATTTTCAGCCAAAAATCCAGTTTTTCAGCCAAAAATTCTGAAAAAATCGATTTTTTTTTGCAGATTTCGTCTATTTCGATGATCCAACAATGCCGGATGCTCCGTATCAAATTCGAAAAATCGACGAGATCAATAAGGTGGGATTTTGGCTGAAAATCTCGATTTTTTCATGGAAAATCGCGTTTTTCGTCAATTTTCAGCCAAAAATCACTGAAAATCCCCAAAATTTCAGACAAAAGACAAAGTCGAAGCTCGTGTCGTGTCATTTATGCGTCGGCGTGATGTTCCGGAAAATTTGCTGAAAATCGCCGATCAAGCACAACGCAGATTTGATAATTGTGAGGTTTTGGGCTGAAAATTCGAGAAATTCGTGAAAAACTACGACGCTCCGCGTTTACGCGGTCATTTTTCATGCAAAATGACCCCGGAAACACGGAGTATCGTTTACACGGTGAAAAATGGTGGAAAACGTGGGATTTTTGCAATTCAAACGATACTCCGCGTTTACACCGTGAAAAATGGTGGAAAGCATGGATTTTTCGAAAATTTCAAACGATACTTCGCGTTTACGCGGTTGTTTTCAGTGATTTTTCATGCAAAATGACCCTGTAACCTCTGGAGTATCGTTTGAAATGCGAAAAAAACTACGATACTCCGCGTTTACACCGTGTAAAATGGTGGGAAACGCGGGTTTTTCGAAAATTTCAAACGATACTCCGCGTTTACAGACTACGAGGTGGACAAGAAGAAGCCGGAAAACTACAACGCACGCGGATTCATCGTAGCTGCTGCCGGCGCGGAAAACGGTGCGGAAAACGATGCGGAAGTGAAGAAAGAGGAGGCGGAAGACGACGCGGAAAAGCCGGAATCACCGAGCGGAACAACAACACAAATCGATTGGGGAAACGGCGGTTTGCCGTTGGGCGCGGAAACGTTGAGCGATGCGGAACGTCTCAAGTTGCGGCAACACGAGGTGTTCTTGTCGCGGCAATCCACAATTATGCCAGCGCATCAGATACGCGGAAAATGCCACGTGGCATTGTTGGGAGAGGTCGAGGATTGCTCAGGTTATTTGGCCGCGGACGACACGTTTTTCTACTCGTTGGTCTATGATCCGGTGAATCAGACGTTGTTGGCGGATAAGGGAGCGATCCGCGTGGGGGAGAAATATCAGGCGGTGATGGATGCGGAAGACGATGCGGAAGCGGAAGCGGATGCGGAAGGAGTGAAGAAGGAGGAGAAAATGGAGATGGATGAGGAGGAGGAAGAGGAGAATGGGTAAGGGGTTTGGGGGCCGAATGGGCCTGGTTTTAGGCTCGAAATAGGCCTGAAAAAAGCCTGGGAAATTTGGAGCATTTTAAGTCCAAACAAGCCTATTTTCAGCTAGACTTTGCAGCCTGGAAAAGCCTGTAAAAAATCCACGTATTTTGAGCCCCCACAAGTCTAGTTTCAGGCCTAAAATTGGGCCTTTATTAGGTCCAGGAAAGCCTAGAAAATCCAGGTTTTTTGAGACCAAATGGGCCTGGTTTAAGGCTTCAACTAGGCCTGAAATAAGCCAGGAAAATTTGGAGCATTTTGAGCCCAAACAAGCCTAGTTTCAGGCCTGAAATAGCTTCTTGTTTTTGGGTCTAGAAAAGCCCAGAAAAATCCACGTTTTTTGACACCGAATAGGCCTGGTTTTGGGCTTGACATGGGTCTAGTTTCAGGCTCAAAATAGGCCTTGCTTCGGTCCTAAAAAGAGCCTGAAAAGGTTGTTTTTTGCCTTGAAGTAGGCCTATTCTCAGCCTGTAAAAAGCCTGGAAAATTCGTAGTATTTTGAGTCTAAATGGGCCTAGTTTTAGGCTCGAAAGAGCCTAAAAAGCCTAGAAAATCCAGGTTTTTTGACACTGAATAGGCCTAGTTTTAGGCTTGTAGTAGGCCTAACCTTAGGCCCGAACAGGCCTAGATTAAGGCCCGAAACCCTACCGTATTTGGTCTCAAAAATCTCAAATCATACATCAGTTTCTTCCGGCCAGGGCCTCAAAATTAGCCACCCCCGAAATGTGAAAATTCAAAAATTAGCCACATCCCCTCAAAAAATAGAGAGAAAAACTTGGTTTTTGGGGTATTAATTGTTATTTTTCAAAAAGTTAGCCGGTCCCCACCCCTTTTTACCAAAGTTAGCCAGACCCCCTCCGGACGAAAATCCGGGGATACTGATGTATGTCTCAAATTTTCAGCCTAAAAATCGATGAAGAATCCGCCGAACCGGCTGCCACAAAATTGACAACAAAAATCACTGAGGAAATCGATCGAGATGTTCAAGTCTATCATCCATATCATGAGCTCAGCGAACGCGAAATTGATCAATTTTTGATTATTGCCAGGTGAGTTGAAAATTTTGCGATTTTTCATTGGAAAAATGAGAAAATTTGGGGCATTTTGATCCTGGAAACTTGGAAAATCAAGAAAATTGAAAATATAGGCTTTTTAGGCCGATTTTAGGCTCATTTTTAGCCTGGAATTTGCCTAGGATTTGGCCTAATTCTGGCCTATGTTAAGCCTAATTCCAGCCTGAATATAAGCCTAGAACTTAGCCCAAAACATGGCCTATTTCAAGCCTAGAATTAGGTCCTTGACCAAGCCTAGAAATAGCCTAAGACATAGTCTTTTTCAGGCTGATGTTAGGCTTTTTTACAAGCCTAGAATCAGCCTAGAATTTGGCCTAACTCCAGGCCAAAAATAAGCCTAGAACTTAGCCCAAAACATGGCCTATTTCAAGCCTAGAAATAGGCCTGGATGAAAGTCTGAAGCAAGCCTAGAAATAGCCTAAAACATAGTCTTTTTCAGGCTGATGTTAGGCTTATTTACAAGCCTAGAATCAGCCTAGAATTTAGCCTAACTCCAGGCCAAAAATAAGCCTAAAACTTAGCTTAACTCAAGTCTTAAAATAAGCCTATTTTAGGCCTAGAATCTGGCCTAACCCCAGGCTAAAAATAAGCCTAACTCCAGCCTAACTCCAGCCTGACTCAAGCCTAGATTTAGCCTAACTTATGGCCTCAACCAAGCCTAGAATTAGCCTAGAACTTGGCCTTACTCAAGCCCTAAAAGTGGGCCTAACTCAGGCTCATCTCAAGCCTAGAACGGCCTGAAAAGCCACTCCCAACCTCATTTTCTTTTAGAGCCGTCGGCACTTTTGCTCGCGCCATCGATTCCTCCGCCGCCACCAAAATCCCCACTCTCCACATGGCCGCCGCTTGTGCCTCTCGTGACGTCACCATTCTACACGCCATGTCACTTTTACACCACGCAAATTATGACGTGGGAAAAGCTGTCAAATTCCTCGTTCCCACTGCCAACAAACAACATTATCCACTTGAAACTGATAAAGCAACGGGAAATCATACGCAGACGCTGGGTGGACCACTTTTGTGTAGAGATCAAATGGAGGAATGGTCGGTTCCTGAAGCGAATTTGTTTGATGAGGCGTTGGAGAAGTGTGGAAAGGATTTTAATGACATTCGCGCGGATTTTGTGAGTTTTTTGAGGGGAAATTTGAGAAATTTGGGGAAAAATGAGCCCCAGGAGCATTTTTAACGTTAAAAATCCTCTCTGGGGTCATTTTTGAGCACAGTAACGTTAAATTGGCAAAAATGAGCCCTAGGAGCATTTTTAACGTTAAGAATCCTCTCTGGGGTCATTTTCTGAGCCCAGAAGCGTTAAAATTTGAAAGAAATTGATCCAAAAATCTTCCTGAACCTAAAAATTGAGCTCTAGGAGCATTTTTACCGTAAAAAATGCTCTCTGGGGTCATTTTTGAGCCCAGGAACGTTAGATTTGGGAAAAATGAGCCCCAGGAGCCCCAGGAGCATTTTTAACGTTAAAAATCCTCTCTGGGCTCATTTTTGAGCCCAGGAACGTTGAAATGGGCAAAAATGAGCCCTAGGAGCATTTTTCTTATCAAAAATGCTCCCGGTGCTGATTTTTCGGCGCTGAAAATCATGATATTGCTCATTTTAAGCAATTCCACCATTTTCAGCACGAAATTTCGATCTAGAAGTGTTGATTTTCCGAGTCAGAAGGTCGCTGGATCGATTCCTCATACTCCCTAATTAAAAAAAAATTTTTTTTTAAATTTTTTGGTTTCTGATCAATTTTTCATGAGGAAAATGATGGGATTGCTCATGTTAACCAAAAATTTACGAAAAGCTTGAAATTTCAAGCTTCATAGTCAAAAATTTATGAAAATTTCGAATTTCACACTAAAAAATCGCCTAGACTCGATTTCAGCGTATTTTTTGTGCTGAAATTGATGGAATTGCTCATGTTAAGCAAAAATTCACAAAAAATCATGAAAATCTTGAAATTTCAAGCTTCCTAGTCAAAAATTTATGAAATTTTCAATTTTCCCACTCAAAAAATCGCCCAGACTTACCCTAACTCCATAAATTTTGTTACAGCTTCCCTGGAAATCAATGCGTGACATTGTCGAATACTATTATCAATTCAAAGCCTCAAATCGATATACAGAGAGAAAAAAGGCGAAACAAGCGGAAGCTGATACAAAATTGAAGCAAGTTTATATTCCGAGTTATAATAAGACAACTTCAGCAGTTATCGGAACTTTTAACATGACACAAACCCAGCAAAAATCACCAATTCCTTGTGAAAATTGTCAAATTGATGAAAGTCAAAATTGGTATAGCTGGGGTGGAAAATCGGATATCAGATTGTGTCAAAATTGTTGGTTCAAGTGGAAAAAATCGGGAGGTTTATCCAAAAAACACGAATTGGAGCGGTTTGATAAGGATAAACCGCCGGTTTTGGCCCCCGCAGCCCCGCAGGTCCAGAATGGGGCCGCCGCTAAGCTCCCGCAAGCCCAACAGGCTTCCCGGGCCCCGGTCATTAACAATCAGGCCCTTTTGGTGGCTGCCAAGCAGGCTTATGCGAAGGGGACGATTACGAAGGCGCAATTGTGTCAACTGCAGGCTAGTCTTGGTGGAGCTGGGAGTTTGAGTGGAATTGGTGGAGCTGTGGGTGGGCAGGGAATTTCGACGCCGGTTGTTGTGGCCAAGGTGAGTAATTTGGTAGATTTTGACCCGGGAAATGTGAATTTTGATGGAAAATGAGCCATGGGAGCTTTTTTAGCGTTAAAAATGGCTTCTAGGGTCATTTTTGACCCCAGAAACGTTAAAATTGAGAAAATTTGAGCTAAAAATCTTCCTGAACCTAGAAATTGAGCTCTTGAGGTGAAATTTGAGCCCCAGGAGCATTTTTTACCGTCTAAAATGCTCCCGGGAGTCAATTTTGACCCCAGAAGCGTTAAAATTGAGAAAATTTGAGCTAAAAATCTTCCTGAACCTAGAAATTGAGCTCTTGAGCATTTTATGGTGAAATTTGAGCCCCAGGAGCATTACTAACGTTAAAAATTGTCCAGGGAGTCATTTTTGAGCCCAGGAACGTTAAAATCATAAAAAATGACCCTTAGGAGCATTTCTAACGTTAAAAATTGTCCAGGGAGTCATTTTTGAGCCCAGGAACGTTAAAATCATAAAAAATAACCTCCTGGACGATTTTTAGCGTTAAAAATTGTCCCCGGGGTAATTTTCAGTGATTTTTACGTTTAAATCGTGAAAAATGAGCCCAGGGAACATTTTTAACGTGAAAAATGGCTTCAGGGGTCATTTTTCACCCCAGGAACGTTAAAATTGTGAAAAATGAGCTCTGGGAGCATTTTTAGCGTGAAAAATGGTTCAGGGGTCATTTTTCACCCCAGGAACGTTAAAATCATGAAAAATGAGCCCCAGGAGCTTTTTTAGCGTTAAAAATGGCTCATAGGGGTCATTTTCTGTGATTTTCACGTTAAAACTATGAAAAATGAGCCCTGGGAGCATTTTCAGCGTGAAAAATGGTTCCTAGGGTCATTTTTGAGCTCTGGTACCGTTCTTGGGCTCAAAATGAGCCCGGAAAGCTCTGGGAGCATTTTTAGCGTGAAAAATGAGCCCGGAGCCCTAAAAAGGCCCCTAAAGCCCAATTTTTTTCAGCCAGCCAGCAAACCGAATATTGTATATTACACAACAATTTGTCGACGTGTCATTCGTCGAATTTTGCCAAAAACCGCTTTGAATTCCAGAAAATTGGCGCGAAAACCATTTTCGACCGTAGATCATGAAGCAATTATGAAAAATAGTGAGTTTTTTTTCGGGTTACTGTAGATTTTGGCGCGAAAATTCACGTTTTTTGACACTAAACATGACTATGGTTACTGTAGGTACCAAAAAAAAATTCAAATTTTGTTTCCAGTGACTCTAACCGATCGCTCGACACTTATCCAAACTGCAAAACAATTGGCTGGCGAAAAATATTTCCACAAAATTCAGGAATCCGAATTCAACAAGGGAATTGTGTATTTACAACACGTGAGTTCATTTTTTCATCTTCTGGAATTACTGTAGCTTTTTTGGCGCGAAAATTTGACGCATTTTGACACCAAACATGCCTAGAGAGTTGCAGTCAGAAGGTCGGGGGATCGAGCCCCGGTACCTCCTAACATTTTTTTTTCCCAAATTTCTCATTTCTGATCAATTTTTCGCACTGAAAATCGTGGAATTGCTCACTTTGAGCAATTTCTTCATTTTCAGCATGAAATTTTGATTTTTCGAGTCAGAAGGTCGGGGGATCGAGCCCCGGTACCTCCTAACATTTTTTTTCCAAATTTCTCATTTCTGATCAATTTTTCACGCTGAAAATTGTGGTATTGCTCATTTTAAGCAATTTCTTCATTTTCAGCACGAAATTTTGACCCGGAAACCTGGATTTTTCTAGTCAGAAGGTCCTGGATCGAGCCCCGGTACCTCCTAACATTTTTTTCCAAATTTCTCATTTCTGATCAATTCTTTACGCTGAAAATTGTGGGATTGCTCATTTTAAGCGATTTCTACGATTTTCTGCACGAAATTTTGACCCGGAAACCTGGATTTTTCTAGTCAGAAGGTCCTGGATCGAGCCCCGGTACCTCCTAACATTTTTTTTCCAAATTTCTCATTTCTGATCAATTCTTTACGCTGAAAATTGTGGGATTGCTCATTTTAAGCGATTTCTACGATTTTCTGCACGAAATTTTGACCCGGAAACCTGGATTTTTCTAGTCAGAAGGTCACAGGTTCGAGCCCCGGTACCTCCTAACATTTTTTTCTAAATTTCTCGTTTCTGATCAATTTTTCACGCTGAAAATCATGGGATTGCTCATTTTAAGCAATTCCATCATTTTCAGCACGAAATTTTGACCCGGAATCCTGGATTTTTCTAGTCAGAAGGTCCTGGATCGTGCCCCGGTACCTCCTAACATTTTTTTTTCAAATTTCTCATTTCTGATCAGTTTTTCACGCTGAAAATCATGGTATTGCTCATTTTAAGCAATTTTTCCAATTTTTCAGACAATCAGCGCGGCTGCCGCATCCGGAAAGCGTCCGGCAAGTCAAATTTCATCGGCCGGAGAACCGGCTCCAAAATTGCAAAAAGTGAGTTTTTTTGCAGTTTTTTTGCAGTTCTACAGTAACCCAGAGTGTTTTTTTTTGCTGAGAAACAAAATCCAAAAATTTTTGACGTGATCTACAGTAACCCGCCCAGTGAGTGCTCTGTTTTCTCTAATCTCTCGCTGTTTTCTCTGCCGTGTCTCTCTCTGCGTCTCTCACCTTCTCTATACTCTCTATCTATCTCTCTAGACGTCTGGCTCTTCCTCCCAAAAAGGTCTCGAAGCGATCGGAAATCGCCTAATATCGATTCGACCCGACACAAAATGGGTGGATGTGAAACAACACGGTGTGCGATTTGTGACAGGCAGGAGGTTGAAGTAAGATGAGCAATGCTGGGTTACTGTAGTTTTTGGCGCCAGAAAATTTGCGTCATTTTGAGACCGAATATGACTGGGTTACTGTAGAAAATTTTGTAGATCAAAAATGTTCGTTTTTTCGAGGCAGAAAATCACTGGGTTACTGTAGATCTCCGGATTACTGTAGAAAATTTTGTAGATCAAAAATGTTTGTTTTCATTGAGCCAGAAAATCACCGGGTTACTGTAGATCACCGGGTTACTGTAGAACATTTTGTAGATCAAAAATGTTCGTTTTTATTAACTCAGAAAATCACCGGGTTACTGTAGGTCTATGGGTTACTGTAGAAGATCAAAAATGTGCATTTTTCGAGGCAGAAAGTCACTGGGTTACTGTAGATCTCTGGATTACTGTAGAGAAATTTTGTAGATCAGAAATGTTTCTTTTTTCGAACCAGAAAATCACTGGGTTACTGTAGTAGATCAAAAATGTTCGTTTTTTCGAGCCAGAAAACTCACTGGGTTACTGTAGATCTCTAAATTTCACTAAAAATCTGAAATAATTCAAAATTTCAAGTTTTTTATACTGTAGATTACTGTAGATTAAAATTAAGCGCGAAATTTGAAAAATTTTCAAATTTTTACAAAAAACGTTCAAATTTTCGCGCCGAGACCCAAAAATTCAAATTTTTTTTGCAGAATTGAGCGACGTCGAATTTGCCCACCGAATTTAACACGCCGTGTTAGTCGTCAACCCTTCAAAACCCATCAATTTCTCGACGCGATTCTCTCGAATTTGGCGCCATTTTTTCGGCGCGAAATTTGAATTTTTTGAATTTCGCGCGTGTATTTATCATATTTTTTCATTTATTTATTTTACCACATCACCTTTTTTTTTACCCCATTCAAAAATACCGTATTTTTACCCGAATTTCAAAATTTCTGTCTAAAATTAAAGATTTTTAACACGAAAAATTTTTATTTTCTCAAAAATCGATTTTTTTTTGGCTCTCTCTCACTCTTTTTTATGGATATTATTATAATGTGTGTGTGCAGTTTTGAAAATTCGAAGAAGGATTACTGTAGGTGTACTGTAGATAGACAGATTACTGTAGACGATTATTGTTGATCCAGAAGATTTTCGGTCAACGAACTCGGCGATGCCTTTTCGCTTGGCTGAACTTTTGCAATCTCCTCCATCACCGGAACTGGGCCACTGAAAGAAAAAATGCAGGGTTACTGTAGTGCCCCCGGGGGGTACTGTAGATTTTCGCGCCATGAAATTCTGCTCAGAATGATACCCCGCATGGCATGGGCGTGGCCAGCGATAAGCCACGCCCACAAAACCGCGCGGAAGATGACCGTACCTTTGCACATTTCCGGAATGCGGAAACACGCGGACTGGCGGCTCATTCGGCGAGTTGTCGGCGGAAGCGAATGCGGCAAAGCGACGCGTGCCGACGCATGCCGCTAGCGTTGGAATGATCAGCGAGACGGCGAGCAAAACGGCTCCCGAAGCGAAGAGACAGAATCCTGTAAAAAATTGGGTTACTGTAGGTTTTCGGGCTGGAATTACGGTAGATCAAATTTTCGCGCGTTTTTTGATACCAAACAAGCCTATGTTTGGGTACTGTAGCTGTTTGCTCCGCAAAATTTGATCTACATTGAATTTCACACAAAAATTACGGTAGATCAAACTTTGCCACGTGGATTTTCTATTTTTTTCTCGAAAATTCAAATTTTGGAACGCTAGAGTACTGTAGATCAAAATTCGGCGCGAAAAAATTAATTTTGAAAACCGCAATTTTTTTTTGAATTTTTCAAATTTCGCTCTCAAAAATCCGTGTAGTTCTCGAGGAGAATCCGAATTTTTTAAAGAAAATCTCAAAATTTTAGCTTAAAATGAGAAAATTTGAATTTTTCAAATTTCGCGCTCAAAAAAAACTGTGCCTGGCTTGCAAAAAAAGTGGGCGTGGCCTATTTTGTGGGGAATTTTCGGGGCTTCAAAATGACACCAAACAAGCTGCGGCACGGTTTTGTGGGCGTGGCTTATTTGGTATCAAAATGAAGCCCGGAAAATTCCCCAAAAAAACCGTGCCGCAAAATTGCAGAAAAGGGGCGTGGCCTAACCAACCTGCAGTTTTCCAGTATTTCATTGGATCCTGAAGAAGATAGGTGATTTTGTCACTTGGGAAATAATAGTAGCCAGCTTCGTCCTGCAACAAAAAAAGTGTGCGAGGGTTGCAGAAAAGGGGCGGAGCCTATTTTTTGTTGGAAAATTGGTTTTTTTGCTCAAAAATGAGGTATCTTGGCTCAAAATTCATCATTTTTCACGATTTTTCGTTCAAAAAAGCGTGCCAGACTTGCAGAAAAGGGGCGGAGCTTGAAAATCACCTGATACAACATGATTTGTTGAATATTTTCGGTCGGATGCCTTTCCGGATGCCACGTGTATCCGACGACAATCGAAACAGCTCCGGCAATCAGCAAAATGAGCCCGATGAGTGTGCAGAAGCGGCAAATCATCAGTCCGCGACGTTGAGCTGGCGGAGGCGGAAGCAGGTACCTGAAAATTTGAATTTCAGCACGGAAATCTGAAAATTTGGCTGAAAATGAGCCATTTCACGTGGAAAATGAGCAAATTTGAGGCGGGAAAGTTGAAAATTTGAATTTTCAAATTTCCCGCTCAAAAATCTGTGTAGTTCTTTTGGAAAATCGGAAAAATTTAAATTTTTCGATTTTCCCGCTTTAAACATCTGAAATCTGTGTAGTTCTCGAGGAAAACCGGAAAAATTTGAATTTTTCAAATTTCCCGCCTCAAAAATCCAAAATCTGTGTAGTTCTCGAGGAGAATCCGGAAAAATTTGAATTTTTCAAATTTCCCGCTCAAAAATCTGAAATCTGTGTAGTTCTTTTGGAAAACCAAGAAAATTTGAATTTTCGAAATTTCCCGCTCAAAAATTCAAAATGTGTGTAGTTCTCTTGGAAAATCAAAAAAAAATTTGAATTTTTCAAATTTCCCGCTTTCAAAAATTGAAAATCTGTGTAGTTCTCGAGGAAATCCGAAAAAATTTGAATTTTCAAATTTCCCGCTCAAAAATCCAAAATCCGTGTAGTTCTCGAGGAAAAGCGCAAAAATTTGAATTTTCAAATTTCCCGCTTCGAAAATCCAAAATCTGTGTAGTTCTCTTGGAAAATCGAAAAAATTTGAATTTTTCAAATTTCCCGCCTCAAAAATCCAAAATGTGTGTAGTTCTCGAGGAAAATCAAAAAATTTTGAATTTTCCAAATTTCCCGCTTTAAAAATCCAAAAATCTGTGTAGTTCTTTTGGAAAATCGGAAAAATTTGAATTTTTTCAAATTTCCCGCTCAAAAATCCAATAATCTGTGTAGTTCTCGAGGAAAATCGGAAAAATTTGAATTTTTCAAATTTCCCGCTCAAAAATCTGTGTAGTTCTCGAGGAAAACCGGAAAAATTTAAATTTTTCTCAAAAATTCTCGAATTTCGGCTCAAAAATCCATCATTTTTCACGGCGTTTTCGAATTTTCGCGCCAAAATCACTGCCACGTGGCATTTTTGGCGCCAAAACTACTCACCAAGCCGCACTGGATTCCAAATCATCGCCTGTCGGTGTCACATAGAATTGGTGCAAATAGTTTTTGATTCCGAAATTTCGCGATTCACTAACCTGCAAATTTGAATTTTCAAATTTTCGCGCCAAAATTTGCAGCATTTTGATACCAAATATGCCTAAGAAAAGGGGCGTGGCCTATTTTTCTGCAATTTTGCCGCACACTTTTTTTTGTTTTGCAAAAAAACCCATCAAAAATTGATGAAAAACAAAAAGTACAAATTTTTGTTTGGGAAAAGTGCAAGTGCGGCACGGTTTTGTGGGCGTGGCTTATTTTTTAAACAAAAAAAAACAAAATGAAGCTCGGAAAAGTGTGCCAGACTTGCAAAAAGTGGGCGTGGCTTATTCGGTATCATTTTGAAGCTTGAAACACGGCGAAAAAAGTGTGCGGCATGGTTTTGTGGGCGTGGCCTGACTCACCTCATCAACTAGCGCTGAAGGCTTAGCTGCTCCTGGCGGAGACAGCTTATCCTTTTTGTTGCTTGTACCCAATCGAAATCCGGTCATTTCTCAAAATGACATTCGAATCTGCAAAAAATTCTGGATTTTCTTGGATTTTCAGCCAAAAAATCTGAAAATTTCTGGAAATTCTGAATTTCAGCTTGAAAATGAGGTAAATTTTAAGAAAATCCGAAAATTTCAGAAAATTCTGAATTTCAGCTCAAAAAACTGCATTTTTTTCAGAAAATTTCGAATTTTTCAAGCAAAATTGATATTTTCAGCCAAAAAATCTGAAAATTTCAAAAAAATTCTAAATTTCAGCTTGAAAAGAGGTAAATTTTGAGAAAATCTGAAAATTTCAGAAAATTCTGAATTTCAGCTCGAAAATTAGCAGAAATTTCAGAAAATTCTGATTTTCAGCTTGAAAAACTGCATTTTTTCTGAAAATTTCAAATTTTCCGAGAAAAATCCATATTTTCAGCTTGAAAAATCTGAAATTTTCAGAAAATTCTGAATTTCAGGTCAAAAATCTGGAATTCTTGGTCAAAAATCTGAAAATTTCAGAAAATTCGAGATTTCAGCTTGAAAACTAGCTGAAATTTTTTAGAAAAATCTGAAAATTTCAGAAAATTCTGAATTTCAGGTTTAAAATGAGGTGAATTTTGAGAATTTCAGAAAATTTCAGAAAATTCGAGATTTCAGCTCAAAAAACTTCATTTTTTCAGAAAATTTCGAATTTTCCGAGCAAAATCAATATTTTCAGCTTGAAATTCTGAAAATTTCAGAAAATTTCGAATTTCAGCTTGAAAAACTGCAATTTTTCAGAAAATTTCGAATTTTTCAAGCAAAATTGATATTTTCAGCTTGAAATTAGCTGAAATTCTAAAATTTTCAGCCAAAAAAATCATGTGAGAAAAAAAATTTCAGAAAAAAAACAGCTGATTTTTTTGTAGCTGGGGCTCGCTACAAAAAAAATTGTGAGTCACAAATTTTTCAGAAAAATTTGAATTTTCAAATTTCGCGCGCGCCACGTCACCCAATTTTTTTGGCGCCAAAAACACGGACTACTAGAAAAAACGTCGATTTTGTTGTTGACGACGACGACGACAAAAAAATATGCGCGAAATGAGAGCTCGGCGAGAGAGTACAGAGAAATGAGAGAGTGCAGAGAGTGCAGAGAAAAAAGGGAGGCGAGAGAGTGTGCGAAATGAAGAGAGAGTGCAGAGAAAACGCAGATGACGTTGAAAATTGACCAAAAACGGCGGGGTGAAGCTGAAAAGGGGGGGGTGAGAGAGTGCAGAGAGTGCAGACAACGAGAGGAGGGAGGTCTAAATTGGATTTTCTAGAGATGCCAGGGGGTTTTGGCGCCCAAAAAATGATGACGTGGCAATTTTTGGCGGGAAAATTGGGGGATTTTTGAGCAGAGCATGGGATTTGGAGCATTTTGAGACCGCATTTGATATTTCGGGGATTTTTGACGTCAAAATTTCAGAATTTCAGGCTGAAAATCCTGAATTTTCAGCAGCGCGCAGCTGAAAATGGCTATTTTTCAGCTGAAAACTTGGCTGAAAGGAAAATAGGGGAAAAATAGTAGTAGTACTAGTTTTATTAGTTTTTTTCGCCTGCCGCGCGGCGAAAAACAACAACAACAAAAAATTGTCTGAAAATTTCAGAAAATTCTGAATTTCAGCTTGAAAATGAGGTAAATTTTGATAAAATCTGAAAATTTCAGAAAATTTCGAATTTTCAGGTCAAAAAACTGCATTTTTTCTGAAAATTTCGACTTTTTCAAACAAATGCGATATTTTCAGCTTGAAATTCTGAAAATTTCAGAAAATTTGGGATTTCAGCTTGAAAATTCTTATTTTCAGGTCAAAAAACTGCATTTTTTCTGAAAATTTCGACTTTTTCAAACAAATGCGATATTTTCAGCTTGAAATTCTGAAAATTTCAGAAAATTTGGGATTTCAGCTTGAAAATTCTTATTTTCAGGTCAAAAAACTCCATTTTTTCTGAAAATTTCGAATTTTTCAAGCAAAATGTCTGAAATTTTGTCTGAAAATCTTGATTGAAGCCAAAAATTTCGAAAAATAACTTATTAGAAGAAGAAGACCCGCAAAAATCATAAAAATTCTAAGCTCCGCCCACAAAACTGTGCCGCAAGGGCTTCATTTTGACACCAAATAAGCCACGCCCTTTTTTGCAATTGTGCCGCACAGTTTTCAGCTTCATTTTAAGTCTAAAAATGGCAGCGGCACGGTTTTGTGGGCGTGGCTTATTTGGGCTCAAAATGTAGCTGAAAACTGTGCCAGGCTTGCAAAAAAAAAAAAAAAGTGGGCGTGGCTTATTGGGTATCAAAATGATCAGAAAAACGTGCCGCACACTTTTGTGGGCGTGGCCTATTCACAATCTGATCCTCTCCAACTTCCCATAACTCCAGCAAATTGCGATATTTTGTGGCGAGTGGTGGAAAATGTAGAAATTCGAAATTTGAAACGATAACATCAGGCAAATTGTGAGGTATTCGAAGATGGTGAAAATTTCGTAGGCTGAAAAAATCTGAAATTTTGAGGCACACAAAAGTGGGCGGAGCCTATTTTTGGGGAATTTTCTCGGCTTCAAAATGACACCAAATGTTGCAGAGCGGGGTTAGTTTTTCCAGCCGAATCCCTGTTTTCCCATGTTTCTAACACAATTATGTTAATAGGTTTATTGAAATAACAGTACGAGGAAATACGATGAATACTCTCGACAGCATACCGTAGAATTGTCTGTTTGTCTGTTACTGTAGTATGTTAAATGTGTTATGGTGGGTTCCTGTGGATGGAACTGTGTATGCTGAATCTGGGAAGAGGTTTAGCACTGTGCTTAGTATGTGGTTGGATGTATCATATTTATAGCATTTCTGGACAGATCTTATCATCACGTGAATACGTGGATAAATCTGTCCAGGTCACTTTGTGACATTGCCCCCGGCCACACAAGTTGTTTTGGTTAGGTGGTTTTTGTTGTTTATGCCGGAAAAATAAAGAAAATGTCGTGGTATGGACTTGAATATGCGCAATCAATAGCTCACTACCAATCGCCCTCTACGCTTGTTCCATTGTCAAAGACGATGCAGTTTTAGTGCACAGGATTATACGTAGGAACAGAATATTGCATTATTTCAACTCGAATCATACCAGAGGACGGAAATTGGTGGAATTTGTGAGGTACTGTGTATTGGGCTTTCTGTAGTTGATTTTTCAGTTGACTTTTGATTTGTTGTCTATTTTTTTTTGTGTATCTTCGAACTCTGTAGTTGGTTTCTTTGTCACTTGTTTCGTATATGTATCTTATGTTTTTGTCGTTGGTTTTTTTCCTTTTGTTACAATGGTCTTCTGATTTTTGTTTATGACTGGGCTCTTTTTTTTCGATATGGAATCTGTGGTTAGGTTTTGACTTCTGTGCTTTTTCTTGATCTCATCTCCATTGGTTGTTTGCTCTGGTTCCATAATTTTTTTTTTTTTTTTTTTTTTTTTTGTTTTGTTTTGTTTTTTGTTTTTGTTTTTTTTTTTTGTGATTTGTAATTTGTTTGGAAAAATGTTTGTGTATGTAATTTTGTGTATGACTATTGATTTTGTCCTTGAAAAAATGTATTCTGATTTTGTGGGGTTTGTTGCTGGTATCTGTTGTTCTCACATAGTGTTGTGTGATGATTTCTACCGCATTCTCTGCATTTTCTTGCGTTTACGCATTCGGATGCTCTATGTCCTTGTTTTAGACAATTGTAGCACAGGTTCAATTGTTTGATTATGTTCAATTTGTCTTCTTTTGTGATTGTCGCTCTGCACATTCCATTGCTGTGTTCTTTTGATTGGCAGAAATCGCAGTGAAATGTTTTGTTTCCATTATTTGTTTGCTGTACATTTGTTCTTGCTACAAAATTTGATATGTGTTTCCTCTGTTCATACGGAGCTGTTTCCAACTCAGGTTTCTGTCTCATCTGTGTCGCTTTTTCTTCTTTTATGATATTTTCTAGTTCCTTTAATAATGTTGTTGTGCTCCATGGTTCTGTATTCCGTGTTTCTCGTTTGTCAATTTCTTGTTGTATGTTAGTTGGGAACTTTGTGATTATTAGTTCATGTGTGGTTATGTTGTTCGTCGTTTGGCTATTATTCGTCAACTGAGTTGTTATAGTTTTTATTTTATCTAAAGTCTCCGTTAATGAATTCACTTTGGTTGTTGACTCTGGAATTTCTTGTAGCATTTTGTGTAAAATTTTCCATGTTGTTTTTGGATCATTGTATCGATTTTCTAACACTGCCCATGCTTCTTTGTATCCTTCTTTTGATTGTTCGACTCCAGCAATGATATTGGACACTTCGCCTTGTAATAACGATTGTAAATATATGAGTTTTGTTTCATATGTTATGTCTTTGCTGTTTCCAATTGTAATATTAAATATGTTTTTGAATTTTTGGTACTCCAATTGATTTCCATCGAATTTTATTAGATCAATTTTCGGTATGTGTGTGAGAATCTTTCTTTGTTTTCTATGGTGTTTTGTAACTTTCTTTGTTGATTTGTTTTTCTTCTCAATCTTTTTGGTTGATTTGTAACGATGACATGACTTGCTGCTTTCTGGTTCTGTTGTTGATACATACGGTATGTCCGATTTCTGTGTCTCTTCGGAGTCGTCATACTCTGTGGTTGTTGTGGATTTTGCTGAATAAAAATCATCAGATTCTGTCTTGCTTTGTGTTTCTGCTGTTTTGTTTATCGACTCTTTTATTGTTTTCGTTTTGCTCGATAGTTTTGATTTATGTGGTGTATGACTTGATAACTTTTCAGTATTTTTTCTTCCTTTTTTATTTGTGCTTCCTGTGTTTTTTGAGTATGATTCTGTTATTTGTGTTGATTGTATCGACTTTGATTGTGTTATCGACCGATCAGGCGGGGGACTTGTTAATATTTTTGTACATTCTTCGTGGATCTTGTAGAGCGTCTGTTGTCTGTCTATCAAAGCCTTTTTTCTTTCTTCGAATTGTCTTTCTTCTATGTGTTTTTTGAATTGGTTTTTGTAACTTTCGGTACTTGATTTGTCTAGGTTCAGGTTTACGAGAATATCTTCCAAATCTGGTTTTGCATTTTGTAGTATTTGTAATATGTTGGCCATTGATTCTTTTAGTTCTGAAGTTGTATCTAAAAGTTCTATGGATGGTGGTTCATTCGTTATGTTATCTATGTTCACGATCAATTTTGGAATTTTGTTGAGGGTTTTTGTAATTTTCCTTTTCAGGGTTGTAATTTGCTCCAAGGTTGGCAGTTGACTCGGGTTTTGGTTCGACATAATAAGTATTGACTTATTCTTCACTTGTTTTCTGTTTTGTCAAGTCTCTTTATATACTATAAAATTTTTGATCGATATCTGCTTACGTATTTGTGTTACTGGGTCACGTGTGTGTTGGCTATTTCTTTCATTTCGTATTTTGTCTCATTTGTGTTTTTTCAGTACTGAATGTCTTTCCGATGATTGATTTCTCTATGTGTTTGCTGATCTGCGTATTGATTTTTACTTCCAAGTTGATTTGAACTAGTTTCCAAATAAAGTTTCCAAGATATTTGACTCGACTACCGCAGTAGGGTCTCCAGAATTTTTGAACTCGACTACCGCAATAGGGTTCTCCACAAAAAAAATATACGAACTCGACTATCGCAATAGGGTTCTCAAGAATATACGAACTCGACTACCGCAGTAGGGTTCTCCAAATATGTGCATCCGCATCCGTAGACGGGATATATGTGATTCAGGGGATTTCTGTCGGCTCTATATTCAGCATTTCTTCGATTTGGTCCATTCTCTCGAACTGTCCGATTTTTGCGATTCGACCCCAAATTTCATATGACAATTCTCCTCGTTAAATCTGGCAGTTCTTGAATACATAAAGGGCTGCAGTATATGTCTTCTGATCGAACTTTCCAATTTTCTCCGATTTACAGGTCGCCGAATATGTTATGTTGTTTCTGTATTGTTTTCTCTCAAAAAATTGTTGTATGGCTCTTTCTGGGTTACTGTGTTCTTCTATTGGGCGTTTTACTGTATTGAACGTATGTTTTTGGATATGTGTGGGATGTTTGGGATCCGGCTTGGTTGTGGTAGAATGCTTATTTATTTGTTGACCATTAGGTCGATGCACCATGTTGCAGAGCGGGGTTAGTTTTTCCAGCCGAATCCCTGTTTTCCCATGTTTCTAACACAATTATGTTAATAGGTTTATTGAAATAACAGTACGAGGAAATACGATGAATACTCTCGACAGCATACCGTAGAATTGTCTGTTTGTCTGTTACTGTAGTATGTTAAATGTGTTATGGTGGGTTCCTGTGGATGGAACTGTGTATGCTGAATCTGGGAAGAGGTTTAGCACTGTGCTTAGTATGTGGTTGGATGTATCATATTTATAGCATTTCTGGACAGATCTTATCATCACGTGAATACGTGGATAAATCTGTCCAGGTCACTTTGTGACACCAAACACGCTGCGGCACGGTTTTGTGGGCGTGGCTTATTTGGACTCAAAATGAAGCTCTCGAAAAGTGTGCCAGACTTGCAGAAAAGGGGCGTGGCTTACCTCCGGGTATACAGTAGTTATTATGAGCAATGAATGAGACGAAAATCACGGGGATGATGAGCATTGTTGAAATTAGGATCAATAATCGGCGGGTACTGTATTTCGGGTCCTGAAACGAAAAAAACGCGAAATTTCGCACTGCGGCGCGGTTTTGTGGGCGGGGCTTCAAGATATACCATGTTTATACTCAAAAAATGCAGAATTTCAAGCTGCGGCACGGTTTTGTGGGCGTGGCTTCAAGATATATCATGTTTATACTCGAAAAATGCAGAATTTCGAGTGCGGCACGGTTTTGTGGGCGTGGCTTGGAAATATACCATGTTTATACTCGAAAAACGCAGAATTTTGAGTGCGGCACGGTTTTGTGGGCGTGGCTTGTCGAAAAACACAGAATTACCTCGCGTGCACCATAAATCCAACGCCACAAAATCGAAAACACCGTGGAGTTCAGCAGCGTCGCCGCAGCAAATCCGCAAAAAAATGCCACGTGGCATGCACCATTTTCACGTTCTCCTACAGTAGCCAGCAAAGTTAGAAATATCGATTGGAAAATTGCGGAGCACACGAGCACTTTGCGCAAAAATTTCTGGATTTTGGGGATTTTGGGATGTTGGCAGGCGGTTAGAGTGTCTGAAAATTTGGTTTTTGGCTGAAAATTCGAGATTTTCGGCCTGGAATTCACTTACATTGTCTTAAAATCACGAAAAAATGCAGTGGACAACTTGCCAACGCGAAAATATTCCACAAAATTCGCTCCAGCGGCAAATTCAGGACACGGGAAACTGAGGGAAGTGCGACTTTCTGAAAAAATAATAAAATTTTTTATCTGAAATTAATTTCAGAATTTTTTTGAGACAAAATAAGCCTAGAAGTCAATTGTTTCCCTATTTTCGGTCGGTTTACAAAAAAAAATTTTTTTCAAAAAAAAATGTGTGCATTTGTGCGTCGCCGTGTTTGCACACAACAGCCCGCGAACATTTTTTTGAAAATGTTTTTTTTTCATTTTTTTTGCTTTTCACTCATTTTTTATCGCTGAAAGGCTAGAAAGTTGTGAGTTTTTATTTTCTATTGGGGAGAAACTATAGTCTAGTCTTTGAACTATAGTCTAGTTTCAGAAAAAGTGCAAAATTCTTCCATGAAAAGGCAAAAAAGCCCTCAAGCCTAAATTTTCAATTTAAACGAGCCTAAGTCTAGCCTAAGCCTATTTACTATCAAAATTCGTCAAATTTCAAGCCTGGAAAGGTTAAGAAACCTAAAATACTGGAGGAAGCCTAAACCAAGCCTAAATTTTCAATCTAAACGGGCCTAAGCCTATTTAATATCAAAATTCGTCAAATTTCAAGCCAAACTCACTCTACACATCCAAAAATAGCCAAAAACTTCATCGCGATGAAAAATGGTGCTCAAAAGAAACGCGAAAAAAATCGAGGAAAACGGCAAAATCAGCCAGGCCCGGGCCAAGTGCTCGAGGCCCAATTGGCCTAAAATAAGTGGGCCGCGAGTCGGAAAATAGCGAATTTTTGCGGTCATTTTTGGAGGAAATATATAGTCAGACAGAAAATAGTTAGGCTAACTGCCAAAAACAACGATGACCTTTCTCGTTTTTTTTTGTTGTTGGCGAGACAGAGTGAAAAAAAAACGATTTTATTGTGTAAAGTGGTATTTTTGGTCAACACAAATGGCATTGTTTGGGAAATTGTTGGTTTTTCAGTTTTTCAAGACAAAAAATGACGAATTTTGATAGTAAATAGGCTTGGGCTGGACTTAGGCCTGTTTAAATTGAGAATTTAGGCTTTTTAACCTTTCCAGGCTTGAAATTTGGTGAATTTTGATAGTAAATAGGCTTGGGCTGGACTTAGGCCTGTTTAAATTGAGAATTTAGGCTTTTTAACCTTTCCAGGCTTGAAATTTGGTGAATTTTGATAGTAAATAGGCTTGGGCTGGACTTAGGCCTGTTTAAATTGAGAATTTAGGCTTTTTAACCTTTCCAGGCTTGAAATTTGGTGAATTTTGATAGTAAATAGGGTTAGGCTGGACTTAGGCCCGTTTAAATTGAAAATTCAGGCCTGTTTTAGGCTTAACCAAGTATTTTAGGCTTCTTAACCTTTGCAGGCTTGAAATTCCGATAGTAAATAGGCTGAAGCACGTTTAAATTGAAAAATTAGGCTTGTTTTAGGCTTATCCAAGTATTTTAGGCTTTCTAACCTTTCCAGGCTTGAAATTTGGGGAATTTTGATAGCAAGTAGGGTTAGGCTGGGCTTAGGCACGTTTAAATTGAAAAATTGGGCCTGTTTCAGGCTTATCCAAGTATTTTAGGCTTTTTGACCTTTCCAGGCTTGAAATTTGTGAAATTTTGGTAGTAAATAGGCTTAGGCCCGTTTAAATTAAAAATTCAGGCTTGTTTTAGGCTTACCCAAGTATTTTAGGCTTTTTAACCTTTCCAGGCTTGTGAATAGGCTTAGCCTGGACTAACACACGTTTATACTCAAAATGAAGCCCGCAAAAATCCTAATTAATTAATTACAAAACACAATTTTCTGATATTTCGCATTCGTCTTCATCTCATCATCCTCATTTCCAAAATCTGTCAAATTAATCGAAAAATTGATACGAGTATCCTGATGCAAAGCTAATCTCTTCCACTTTTCATCAAAAACTTCAAATTTTCGAATTTCTTGCTGAATATTACAATTATGTTCAATAAAACCTTTCCACTGATATCCTTTCGATCTTTTTTCATCGCCATCTTGATGTCCGATCAATATGAAATTGGTTTGTTTTGATTGCAGGATTTTGAAATTTTTTGCGATTATTGCATCATTCTTCGTTCTGAAAATGAAAAAACTTGGAATTCTTAGGGATTTTTTACTCACATATAATCATATTCCTTGATTTCCATACTGAAATTCGAATTCGAATATTCGCAAAACACATCGATGGCAAAGATCAAGGTATCATCGGATCTCACAAAATTTTGGAGAAAAAATAAAAACACAGTTGTTAAACACAACATTTTGCGATTGAAAATGTGTCTGTCTGTAAAAAAAATAAAAATAAAAATATTTTTTTGCCAAGCAAAACCATTCTCACAGACACATTTTCAATTGCAAAATGTTGTGTTTCACAATTTTTTTCCAAAATCCGAGGATATGATTATATGTGAGTAAACAATCCCTAAGAATTCCAAGTTTGTTTTTTGAAAAATTCATTTTCAGAACGAATATTCGCAAAAAATTTCAAAATCCTCCAAACCAATTTCATATTGATCGGACATCAAGATGGCGATGAAAAAAGATCGAAAGGATATCAGTGGAAAGGGTTTATTGAACATAATTGTAATGTTCAGCGAGAAATTCGAGAATTTGAAGTTTTTGATGAAAAATGGAAGAGATTAGCTTTGCATCAGGATACTCGAATCAATTTTTCGAATTAATTTGACAGATTTTGGAAATGAGGATAATGAGATGAAGACGAATGCGAAATATCAGAAAATTGTGTTTTGTAATTAATTAATTAAGATTTTTGCGGGCTTCATTTTTGAGTATAAACGGGCCTAAGTCCAGCCTAAGCCTATTTACGATCAAAATTCCACAAATTTCAAGGCTGGAAAGGTTAAGAAGCCTTATATACTTAGCATCAGGATACTCACAGAAACTATAGTCTAGTCTAGACTTTTCCAACTTTTCAGCGATGAAAAAGAAAAAAAAAATGAAAAAAACAATTTTCAAAAAAACATTTCGCGGGCTATTGTGTGCAAACACGGCGACGCACAACTGCACACTTTTATTTTTTTTTTTTGAAAATTTTTTTTTTTTGTTTTTTTCGCACAGAAAATTCGCGAATAACCTTTATTGGCAGTGTTTTTTAATCAAAAATAAAGCTCTCTATACGCAAAAACTACAAAATTATACATGGGGAAAATCGGGGGCGTAAAATGTGGATTTTTTGTTAGAAAATTTGGAGAAAAAAAATTACATAAAATCGATAATGTTAGAAAATGTTAGAAAAACCGGGTAGGAGATCGGGGGGAATTTTAAATTTTATATTTTCTTGGAGCCAAAAAATCAGTTATCCGTGGATTTTGTGCTCGCCACGCCTCGATAATTTGTGCCATTCGGAAAAGCCGACGGCTCCCGGATAGTAGTACACTTCCATCACCCATTTTTTGTACGAATCGCGGGAGATTATCTGCAAAAATTCGGGATTTTGTAGGGTTCGAGTCCTTGAGAACACTTCTGTCAAGCAGCCAACCCTTGAAACACTATCTGTCAAGGGTTCGCTGCGAGAAGATGCAATTTCCAAGAAGCGGACTCTTGAGAATAGTGATGTCAAGGGTTGGAGCCTAGAGAACACCCTTGTCAAGCAGTCACCCCTAGAGAACATCTCTGACAAGCGTTGGAGCCTAGAGAACATCTCTGACAAGCCTTGGAGCCTAGAGAACACCCTTTTCAAGGCTCGACGCCTAGAGAACACACTTGTCAAGCAGTCAACCCTAGAAAACATCGCTGACAAGCGTTGTCGCCTAGAGAACACCCTTGTCAAGCAGCCAAGCCTTGAAAAATTCAGTGGCAAGGTCTGACGCCTAGAAAATGCGATTTTCAAGCACTCAACCCTAGAGAGTATCTCTGACAAGCGTTAGAGCCTAGAGAACGCCCTCCTGAAGCAGTCAACCCTTTAAAAACTATATTTGAAGCCTCGCAGCTTCTCCTAGACTAATTTTTCACGAAAAATCCAAAAAACTCACTTTCCTAGGCGATTTCGCATATCGATCACCGGGAAATTCGACAAACAGCGTCCAATATCCTTTTCGTTTCACCTCAAAAGTGTGTTCGAAGGTGTTTCCAGCGGACACGTTGAAATCGGCCGTGTTATCCACTCCTACCAGCCGGAAAAATGTGGCGTCCGAAACGTTGTGATTCCTGACAGAATTTGGAGCATTTTGATATCAAATATGGCCTAGAAACCCGAAAAATTGGATTTCTAGGCCATATTGGATCATTTTAGACCATTTTTCGAGGTTTCTAGGTCATCTTGGACCATTTTAGGCCATTTTTTGATGTTTCTAGGTCATCTTAGACCATTTTAGGCCATTTTTCATGCTTCCAGGCCATTTCGGGCCCATTTAGGCCCCCTAAAAGCCCCCTAAAAACTTACCTAATAAAAAGTGTCAAATCATATTTCCTTCCTTTATAATGCTTCCGCGAAATGACGATATTTGTAAATAGCACAAATATCAAAAGACGAAATTTCATGTTATCCTGCAAAAAAAATGGCTCAGGTGGTTAGAGGTTTGATTGGGGAGTTGGGGGTCACTGGATCGAGCCACGGTGGGAACTATGATTTTTGTTTTTGGATTTTTTTTTTTTTGAATCTAGAGGTCAGGGGATCGATTCTCAGTGCCTGCAGAAAAGTTTGTTTTTCGAATCTAAAGGTCATGGGTTCGAGCCACAGTGGGAACAATTTTTTTTTTGAATTTTTTGTTTACGAATCTAGAGGTCAGGGGATCGAGCCCCAGTGCCTGCAGATTTTTTTTCTAATCTAGAGGTCAGGGGATCGAGCCACGGTGGGAACTATGTTTTGTTTCAATTTTTTTTCGAATCTAGAGGTCAGGGGATCGAGCCCCAGTGCCTGCAGAAAAGTTTTTTTCAAATCTAAAGGCCAAGGGATCGAGCCCCGGTGGGAACTAAATTTTTTTTTTGAATTTTTCTAAATTCGAATTCAAAGGTCCCGGGATCGAGCCTCAGTGCCTGCAGAATACTTTTTTTTTAATTTAAAGGTAATGGGATCGAGCCACGGTGCGAACTATTGTTTTTTTTTCGAAATTTTTGTTTTTTGAGTCTAAAGGTCCCGGGATCGAGCCCCAGTGGGAACTATATGAAAAAAAAACGTAAAAAACGAGCAAAAAAGGAACTTTTTCCAATTTTCCACTGAAAAAGACAACAAAAAAGCCGATCTGATTATATGTATTTGAGTTCCTTTTTTGTTGTTTTCTTTTGTTTTTTTTTTTGAGAAAAACGAGAAAAATGCGAAAAAACAACAAAAAATGGGTGATATTTGTCTTCTTTTTCAGAGCGAGAAAGAGGCTTTTGGTGCGCGAGAATTTTTTTTTTTTTTTTTTTTTGAGAAAAGACGTGTTGATTTTTGAGTGATGGAATGGAGAAGAGGTTTTTTTTATGTGTTGGAACAAAATTTTTTTTTTGGAAAAAAATGTTCCAAAAAAAAATGGCAAAAATCGAAAATGTGTGAAAATTTCGAGAAGAATAGGTGGGAAAATGGGCAAATTTATTCTTTTTTCCATTTTTTTTTTCGAAAAAAACGCAAAAATTGATTTTTTCGCGCCAAAAACTACCGTACTCCTCACCTAAAATATTTCTTATCAGCATGTTCCTTTAAAAATCACAATTTCCAAATTCCAATATTTTTTCGAGACGATTTTTTCGGATCTGAAAAATTTTAAATTTCAAAAAAAATTTGAAATAATTTGGGTTTTCAAAATGAATTAGTCGAAATTTTTGGAGAGAGATAAAAATCTGTGACGAGAGAGTGTGGGGAAGTGAGAGAGTGCAGAGAGAATTTGACGAAAATTGAGTTGAAGGGAATTATTGTGACAATTTTTGAGACGGGAGGAAAAACCGAAATTCAAAAATCTATATTTTGCCGCGCAGATTTTTTTCTGAATCTAAAGGTCGGGGGATCGAGCCCCAGTGGGAACTAAAATTTTTTTTTTAAATTTTTCAAAATTTTTTTGAACCTAAAGGTCAGGGGATCGAGGCCCAATGCGTGTAGAACATTTTTTCGAATGTAAAGGTCACGGGATCGAGCCCCGGTGGGAACTAACATTTTTTTTTCAAAATTTTTGATTTTCGAGTCAAAAGGTCAAGGGATCAACCCCCAATGCGTGTAGAACATTTTTTTCCGAATCTAAAGGTCGGGGGATCGAGCCCCAGTGGGAACTATACATTTTTTTCATTTTTTTTTAAATTTCCACCTGAACCTAATCTAAAAAAAACAAAACAAACCCAAAAAACAACAAAAATCTCTCGATTTTCTCTTTTTTCTCGACGAAACAAACAAGGTCTATGATATTATCAACACAAAAAAAAGAAGAAAACAAATGAATCACAAAAAATGGAAGAAGAAGACAAAAAAGGCGTAACCGATCAACAAAAATGCGTTTTTTTTTTAGAAATTCTGGTGAAAATTGGAGAACTTTTGGGTCTTGAAGCGAAAAATTGAGATTCTAAAGGTTCTAGAGTGAAAAATTCGGTTTTAGGGCGATTTTTAAGGTCCTGTGACGAAAAAACACAATTTTCAAACCAAAAATCTAGTTTTTTTTGTCCAATAAAAAAGTTTCGCTAAAAATTGCATTTTTGGCGCGAAAATCCATAAAAATCTCATAAAAATTTGAATTTCCAATGATTTTTTCAGCCCCGCGAACAAAACTGGATTTATTTGAAGAAAAATTCATGAAATTTCGTGTCAGGACCATAAAAATATCAAAATTTCTGTCCAGGACTCAAAAAAATCGTATTTTTTCGTGTCAGGATCTAGAAAATCACATTTTTTCGTGTTAGGACCTTCAAATTCACAATTTTTCGCGTCGGGACCCAGAAAAATCGTATTTTTTCACCTCAAGACCTCAAAAACACAATTTCTCACCAAAAATTGAAACTTTTCAAGGGCCCTAATCAAATAAGTCAAGTTGTTCTTCCCAAAAATTTTTTTAAAAAGTAAGTTAGCGTAACTTTCGGTAATTAGAAGAAGAAGAAAAGACAAAGGCGAATCCTGAAAAATGTTAACCAGTTTTCGTCCCAAAAAAAATTAAATAACTTTTTTTTGTGGACGAAGGAAGAAACCAGGAAGGGAAAAAGGTAATTTATATTTATTTTGAAAATTATTTGTTAGAGAGGCGAGAGACGCAGAGAACAATACAGTTTTTGGGGTCAAAAAATTTGTTTCAAAAAAAAATTTCCCAACCAAACCTCTCAAATCGAATTAAACCCGAGAAAAATGTTCATTTTTCTAAAAAAAAACGAAAATTTTTTTTATTTTTTTTTTCAAATCAAAACTAAGGCTATAATTTACTAATTATAGAGTACTTTTTCATTTTTTTTTTGGAAAAAATCGAAAAATCGGGGAGAAAAAGTACATCTGGTTTTAGTTAGAGGAATTTTCGCCAGAAAAAATCTAAATGTGTTTTTCTCCACGAGAAGTACACGGAAAATTGGAATTTTTTGGGTTCTTAGACGAAAAATCGTGATTTTAAAAGGTCCTGACACGAAAAATTGGGATTTTTTGGTCCTGGAACGAAAAAATGTGATTTTTTGGGTTCTGAGACGAAAAATAACGAAATTTCTGATTTTGGGACGAAAAAATGTGAAAATTTAGGTCCTGACACGAAAAATCGTGAATTTAAAGGTCCTGACACGAAAAATCGTGATTTTAAAGGTCCTGACACGAAAAATCGTGATTTTAAAGGTCCTGACACGAAAAATCGTGAATTTAAAAGTCCGGACACGAAAAATAGCTATTTTAAAGCTAATTTTCGGTCCTAACACTACAAAAAAGCCTTCTCCACGAGAAGTACACGCTCAAAAATTATTCATTTATTTGTGCAATTTCGCCTCTGTGAGCATCTCATGTAAAACACGGCGTGTAAAACAAATAATCACGAAAAAATCTTTTTTTTTTTTGATTTTTCCGCGCGCGAGTCACAAATTCTTCTTGTCGTCAAGTTTTTCAAGCGGTGATTTTTGAGGGGGGGAGGGGGTGAACAAAATTTTTGTACCGGTTTTTCGGGATGAAAAAATAAAAAAATAAATGAAAATGAAAATTGGTTTGGGTTTGATTCGATTTGACAGCGAAATTGAGACCAAATTTTTTTTTGTTGAAAAAAATTCGAAATTTCAAATTTTCGCGCGAAAAATGGATGATTTTTGACGTCAGTGAAAAATGGGTAGATCAAATTTCGGGCGCTCAAAATTTTCAGAAAAAAAAAAGATCTGCTATATAGTTCCGGCGCCCTAAGATTCACTGACGCATTTCAGGTAGCTTCTAAATTTGCTGACGCATTTCTAGAAGCTTCTAAATTTGCTGACGCATTTCTGGTAGCTTCTAAATTTGCTGACGCATTTCTAGAAGCTTCTAAATTTGCTGACGCATTTCTGGTAGCTTCTAAATTTGCTATGCGCCTTTAAAATTTTCCCACACATTTTTTTTTCAAAAAAAAAAATGAAAAAGTCATATATTTATGAAATCGAAACCCGATATCATACATTTTTCTCTTTTTTTTTGTTTGGAAAAAAAAAGAAGATGAAAATGAGAAAAAAAGTGAAAATATTATGAGTGATTATTATGAAAACACTGAAGAAAAAAAATATGTGATGAGAGGGAAAAAAATCGAGAGAAAATTGTGATTTTTGAGGTTTTCTGGGTCAAAATTCTTCAATTTTGGGTGAAAAATGGCCAAAATTTCTGTTTTTAACCCAAAAATTATGAAAATTTCATAAATTTTTGATCAAATGTCATCAAAAACCCGAAATTTCATGTAATTTCCCTTCAAAAACAATTAAATTCAATATTTGGGGTACTGTAGTTGGCGTTGTGTGCATTGGAAACACCGCGACGCACAAATGCACACAATGATGCAATTTTCGAGTTTTTCGCAAGAAAATTGGGTTTTTGGGGTATTTTTGGCTGAAAATCTCGAATTTGAAGCTAAAAATCCTGAAAATAGCTGAATTTGAAGCTGAAAATCCAGAAATTCATGAATTTTAGGTGAAAAATCACGAAAATTCCTCAATTTCAGGTCAAAAATCAGTGAAATTCAAGATTTTTAACCCAAAATCCAAAAAAATCCAAGAAAAAAGCAAAAGTACAAACATTTATTTATTGTTGTTGTTATATTATAAACAAATCTTCTCTTCTTTTTCTGTTTTTTCTCTGACACTCTCTCATTTTCACACACTCTCTCGCATTTCTTAATGAATACCAGGGGAATATTTGGGTATTGGTTTATTTTTGGGTTCGAAGCTTCTTAGGGCCTTTAGCAGACTTTAAGGGCTTCTTAAGGTTTCTTAAGGGCTTCCTTAGGCTATTTAAGGGCTTTAGAAGGCTTCCAGAGGCCTTGAAAGGGCTTTAAAGCCTTTCGAGGGCTTCTTGGGGCCATTAGAGGGCTTTAAGGGCTTTAAGAGCTTCTGGGGACCTTAAGAGGGTTTATTAAGGCCCTTAGAAGGCTTTAAGGGCTTCTTAAGGCCTTTAGAGGGCTTTAAGGGCTTTCTTAAGGCCTTTAATAGCTTTTTAAGGTGAAAATTTCAGATTTTCAGCCAAAAAACCAATTTTCTCTAGAAAAAAAAAGACATAAATTCAAATTGACACGATTATTATTACTACCAGTCGAAAAATGGCAAAAAAACAAAGAAAATATGATTTTCTCATTTTTTTTGTGTAAAAAAATCTGCGGTTTCAAACCGTTTTCTTCTTCTTTTTTTTTTTTTGAAAAAAATTTTCTCATTGTTCTGGTAGATCAAAAAAAGGAAGTTTTTTGATCTACGAAAAAATTCTCACGAAATTTTTTTCAAAAAAAGAAAATCCGATTAGGGCTGATTCACGAACGAAAAAAATGTTAAAAAATGTTTTTTTAACATCGAAAGATCAATTCACGAAAAGTCAAAAAATGTCGAAAAAACATTGTAGGTCAAAATTAGTTTTTCCAGTTTTTCAGCCAAAAATGATGACAAATCAATATTTTTTAAACTTCTGGAGTAATTCCTGATGAAAACAAGCTTTGAGAACCCTCTCGGGAAAAAAGTAGCAAGTCTGGCGACAAAACATAGACTTTTAGCCAGCTTGCGATATAGCCCTCCAGCTACTCAAAAGTAGCTGCTCGAGTAGCTCGAGCAGATTATCTGCTTATCTACTCGAGTAGCTAAGCACGCTCATCTGCTCGAGTAGATAATCTGCTCATCTGCTGAGTAGCTAAGCGTACTCATCTGCTCGAGCAGATTATCTGCTTGCCTGCTCGAGCAGTCTACTCGAAATCAGCTCACTTGTTTTTTGAACATGAATTTGAAATTTTTTTAATGACTGAAAAGTTGTAAGTGAAGTAGGAGAAGCTTGAATTTCAGCTTCTGGTGTCATTTTGGGCAGAAGCTGACTTTTAAAGGAAGTATGCATGAAAAATCGATTTTTATGAAATTTGATATTTAAGGGTATTTCGATATGGGGAACATCGTGGCGAGACCCATTCGGCCCAAAAATCACTTTTAAAGGACCCCATCACTCAAAAAATTTTTTTGAAAATGAGGTATTTGGGCACGGGGAACATTTTGGTGAGGTATACGGTCGGGAACAGACTTTTAAAGGCGCATGCCAGGTTATTACACATTTTCCGAGATTTTTTTTTCAAACTATCATAACTTTTTTATTTTTTAAGCTTTTTTGAAATTTCGACAACCATTTTGACGGTCTTGAGACGGGCTACATGTTTTGTGTTGACACCAACTACCGTACTTCGCTCCTAAGAGGTGAAAAACACGGTTTTGTTCGAATTTACATCAAAAAATGACATTTTTGAGAGATCTGAGAGATAAAACCGTGTTTTTCACCTCTTAGGAGCGAAGTACGGTAGTTGGTGTCAACACAAAAAATGTAGCCCGTCTCAAGACCGTCAAAATGGTTGTCGAAATTTCAAAAAAGCTTAAAAAATAAAAAAGTTATGATAGTTTGAAAAAAAAATCTCGGAAAATGTGTAATAACCTGGCATGCGCCTTTAAAAGTCTGTTCCCGACCGTATACCTCACCAAAATGTTCCCCGTGCCCAAATACCTCATTTTCAAAAAAAATTTTTTGAGTGATGCTGTCCTTTAAAAGTGATTTTTGGGCCGAATGGGTCTCGCCACGATGTTCCCCATATCGAAATACCCTTAAATATCAAATTTCATAAAAATCGATTTTTCATGCATACTTCCTTTAAAAGTCAGCTTCTGCCCAAAATGACACCAGAAGCTGAAATTCAAGCTTCTCCTACTTCACTTACAACTTTTCAGTCATTAAAAAAATTTCAAATTCATGTTCAAAAAACAAGTGAGCTGATTTCGAGTAGACTGCTCGAGCAGGCAAGCAGATAATCTGCTCGAGCAGATGAGTACGCTTAGCTACTCAGCAGATGAGCAGATTATCTACTCGAGCAGATGAGCGTGCTTAGCTACTCGAGTAGATAAACAGATAATCTGCTCGAGCTACTCGAGCAGCTACTTTTGAGTAGCTGGAGGGCTATAGCTTGCGACCATTTTTAGCAAGCTTGCTACATTTTTTCCCATTATAAAAATTGTAGCAAGCTTGCTAAAAATGGTCGCAAGCTGGCTAAAAGTCTATTTTTTGTCGCCAGACTTGCTACTTTTTTCCCGAGCTATTTTGCTTTATTTTATGATTTTTTTCGAAATTCATCAAAATTTAATTTTTTTTTTATTTTTCGAAAAATCAGCAAAAACTTCTGGAATGTGAATTCTAAGGTCAATTTTAATCAGAAATTACTCCAGAAGCTTAAAAAATCTCGATTTGTCATCATTTTTGGCTGAAAAACTCGAAAAACTAATTTTGACCTACAATGTTTTTTCGACATTTTTTGACTTTTCGTGAATTGATCTTTCAATGTTAAAAAAACATTTTTAAACATTTTTTTCGTTCGTGAATCAGCCCTATTAAAATTTTCGAAATGTTCTCAAGGTTACTGTATCAAAAATTTTTGGCGCGCGAAAAAAATCATCAAATTCAAAATTTTTGCGAGCAAACAATTTTTTTTTGAAAAAAAATGTTCAATTGAAAATTCGTTACATTTTTGTACTTTTTTCATGTTTGTCAACAAAAAATTCCGAAAAAGGAAGCAAAATCAAATATTTGTTTAATTTTTCAGAACTTTTCCTAAAAAAACTGCAGAAATATTGTTCTAGACTGAAATTTTGTGCTGAAAATCATGGAAACACTGATTTTCAGCAATTCCAGCGTTTTCAGCACAAAATTTGAGCCAGGGAACTCTTCAAAAAGTACTGTAGAAAATTGTGCCAAAAATTCCAAAAAAAAAATGGATCAACCGGATTACTGTAGAAAACAAACTTCTAGGCTGAAATTTTGTGCTGAAAATCATGAAATCACTGAAAATCCAGGAAAAAAATTTATTTTCAAAAAAAAATCAAAATAAATTAGGTCCAAATTTAAAGTAGTTTGTATCACTTCTGATTCGGCTCTGAAAAAAATTCAAATTTCATTTTTTCGCGCGCAAAAATCCAAAAAATCTCACTTTTCATCAATTTTCCCGCCAAAAAGCCGCTCGGACTTGAACTTCTCGAATTCGGCCGCGAATTTAGGCTAACTTTGGCGTTCGCGCAATTTTTGCACACGAATATGAAACGTGGATTTTCGACGTCTTCTGGAGTCAAATCCGGGTCGGAGCATTGAATGTGATAGAATTCCTGTGGCAAATTTGGGTTTTTGAGCAAATTTGGAGCATTTTGAGCCCAAAAATTGGATTTCTAGTGAAATTTTGAGCAAAAACAAAAAAAAATGATAGTTCCCACTGGGGCTCGATCCCCTGACCTTTAGATTTGAGAAAAAAATTTCTACAGGCACCGGGGATCGATCCCTTGACCTTTAGATTCGAAAAACAAAAAAATTTAAAAAAAGTTTATAGTTCCCACCGGGGCTCGATCCCCTGACCTTCTGGGTCAAAATGCTCCAAATTTCACGTTTTCGAGCTCAAAATGCTCCAAATTTCACGTTTTCGGGCTCAAAATGCTCCAAATTTCGCTCACCTGACAATCTGTGCACTGTAAAATGGCCTTCTGATCGCCGGTTCCTCCACAACTTTTACACGGTCTTCCCGAATTCGAATCATCGATGATTGGCACGATTTTTTTGGGTTTTTTCGGCAAAATTCCAAGATTTCCTTTTGAATTTGAGGCAGAAGCTGAAAATTTACGATTTTTGGAGCATTTTTGGGCTCAAAAATCGGTTTTGAGCAAAAATGAGCATTTTCGGGGTCTTTTTGAGCTCCAAAACCAGTTTTTGAGCAAAATTGAGCATTTTTGGGCTCAAAATGCTCCAAATTACCTGAAATTGGCGGTGGTGCAATCGAAATTCGCTGTAATCCACCAATTGTTCGTTTTTGTTGCATTCCGATTTGCGGCTGACCGGTTTTCGAACCATTATCTTGTGGCCAGGTTTCGGTTTGAAAATTTGAAGCCGAATTTTGAGTCCAGACCTGGAAAATTTGAATTTTGAAATTTTCCCGGTGAAAAATGATGAATTTTAAGCCAAAAAATCGATTTTTTCTGGAAAAATTCATTTTTCATCATTTTCCCGATGAAAAATGATGAATTTTAAGCCAAAAATCGATTTTTTTTTCTGAAAATAGGGTTTCCCGGGCTGAAAATCACAAACTTTCAGTTGAAATTCACTATTTTCACCTTAAAACCCAAAATTCCCTTCAAAAACAATAAAAGTCAATATTTGGGGTACTGTAGTTGGCGTTGTGTGCATTGGAAACACCGCGACGCACAAATGCACACAATGATGCAATTTTCAAGTTTTTCACTGGAAAAAGGGTTTTTAGGGTAGTTTTGGCTGAAAATCTCGAATTTTCAGCTGAAATTGATGAATTTCCAATGAAAATAGTTGAATTCACATGAAAAATCTTGAAATTCCCCTTGGAAATTGAAAAAAAATCGAGTTTTTAGGGGAAAAATCGATTTTTCCCTGAAAAATCGTGTTTCCGGGGTATTTTTTGGCTGAAAATCTCGAATTTTCAGCTCACATTTGTCACAAATTCGCTCAACTCCTCTTTTGCCACGTCATCATCGCGTCTCATAAATTCCATCAATTTTTCAATGTAGTTTTTCTCATCAAACATTTTTTCGGGCTCCACATTTTCAGCGATTTCCATCTGAAATTTGGCTAAAATTCGGCTGAAATTCTTGTTTTTGCACTAAAATATAGAGAAATTTGGCTGAAAACCTCTAGAAATCAAGTTTTTCGTGAAAAAAGCCAAAAATTCAAATTTTTATATAAAAAAAACAACGAAAAACGAAAATAACAATGAATCTAAAAAAACTAGGAGGCGAAAAAATCGATAATTTTTTGAAAATTACACAATTGGCGGCATATTCGGGTTTTCTTCGGCGCGAGATTCGTTGAGAATTTTTTCCTTGTAGTCTTGATATCTGAAAATATCGATTTTTGGCTGAAAATTGGGAAATTTCATGAAATTTCGAGTTTTTTGAGTGAAAAATCGAAAATTTTCGTTGAAAATGGGCGGAGCTTGAATTTTGCAAGCCTGGCTCACTTTTTGTTCAAAATTTTTTTGGCTAAAAAATGACCCCTAGCCCAAAATTTCGTGAATTTTTCGAATTTCGTGTCAAAATTCAATTTTCTCGTCCAAAAGTGGGCGGGGCTTGAATTTTGCAAGCCTGGCACACTTTTCGGGTTGAAATTTTGTGCATTTTTCGAATTTTTGATCAAAATTCACTTTCTGACTGGAATTTTCGTAATATTTTCGAATTTTTGATTTAAAAAATGATTTCTGGGTCGAAATTTCGCAGATTTTTACGGTTTTTTGGCTTAAAAATCAGCCCCTAGCCTAAAATTTCGTTAATTTTTCAAATTTCGGGTCAAAATTCACTTTTCTCGTCCAAAAGTGGGCGGAGCTTGAATTTTGCAAGCCTGGCACGCTTTCTTGGTCGAAATTTCGTAAATTTTTCGAATTTTTGATTTAAAAAATGATTTCTGGGTCGAAATTTCGCGATTTTTACGGTTTTTTGGCTTAAAAATCAGCCCCTAGCCTAAAATTTCGTTAATTTTTCAAATTTCGGGTCAAAATTCACTTTTCTCGTCCAAAAGTGGGCGGAGCTTAATTTCTGCAAGCCTGGCACACTTTACGGATCAAAATTTTGCGATTCTTTCGAATTTTTGATCAAAATTCACTTTCTGACTGGAATTTTCGCAATTTTTTCGAATTTTTGATTTAAAAAATGATTTCTGGGTCGTAATTTCACGATTTTCACGGTTTTTTGGCTAAAAAATGACCCCTAGCCCAAAATTTCGTGAATTTTTCAAATTTTTGGCTAAAAAATGACCCACTAGCCCAAAATTTCACGATTTTCACGGATTTCGGCTCAAAATCCTCACCTATACTTCAAATTCAACGGTTTTGCTCGATGCAAATGTTGCAATAATCGTTGCTCGATTTTTTCCAACGCATTTTTCGACAAAACCACCGTATCATATTTGATGATTGAATAGCAATTGAGCCCGTAAACCGGCATACAATTGAGCCATGCTAATTGTTCTTGAGCTTCTGCTAAACCGCCCGAAATCACGTCCGAATCATCGATCATTAGAACTGAGTAGCCCCAGTTGCGAGATTCGCAAAGCTGCAAAAATCAGGGAATTTTTGTGAATTTTCGAATTTTGGAGCATATTTAGGGTCAGAAAATCGAAAATTTCATGAAAAATCTGATTTTCTGGGTGCGATACTGGATTTTTATGATTTTCTAAGAGTTTTGGTCAAAATTTTGGTTCTAGAGCATTTTCGGGCTCAAAAAATCGAAAATTTCATGAAAAATCCGATTTTCTGGGTTCCATACCAGATTTTTATGATTTTCTAGAGGTTTTGGTCAAAATTTCCGTTTTGGAGCAACTTTTCGACTTCTAGAGCACGTTTGTACTCAAAAAATCGATTTTTTCGTTCTGGGACCATGAAAAACGTTCCGGGACCCAGTTTTTCATGATTTTCTGGGTCAGGTACCTAGTTTTTCACTTCTAAACCACATTTGGACTCAAAAAATCGGATTTTCCAGCTCTTGGAGCAACTTTTTGAGCTCTAGAGCATGTTTGGGCTCAAAAAATCAGATTTCTCGGCTTTTGAGCAAATTTTTGACTTCTAGAGCTTGTTGGGACTCAAAAAATCAGAAATTTTCGATTGTTTGACTTCAAGAGCATGCTCAGGCTCAGAAAATCAGATTTTTGAGTTCTGGAGCAAGTTTTTGAGCTTTCGAGCATGTTCAGACTCAGAAAATCGAATTTTTGAGTTCTGGAGCAACTTTTTGACTTCTAGAGCATGTTTAGGCTCAAAAAATCGATTTTTCGTTCTGGGACCATGAAAAACGTTCCGAGACCCAGTTTCTCATGATTTTCTGGGTCCGGAACCTAGTTTTTCACTTCTGAACCATTTTTGGATTGAAAAATCGGATTTTTCAGCTCTTGGAGCAACTTTTTGAGCTCTAGAGCTTGTTTGGGCTCAAAAATCTTCAAAATTTATGAAATTTTGAGTTTTCTGGCTCAAAATGCTCCGGATTTGCTTAAAAATCGAAAATTTCATGAAAAATCCAATTTTCCAGCTCGTGGAGCAACTTTTTTAGCTCCTGGAGCATGTTTGGGCTCAAAAATCTTCGAAATTGATGAAATTTCGAGTTTTTTGGCTCAAAATGCTCCAAATTTCTCAAATTTTGAACTCACATCTTGCCAAAACTTGGGATCACCATTCTGTAAATCCTGCATATTCTCCACAATATGCAAATCATCTTGAGCATGTTTCAAAGTTAGCGCAACACACAATCCTTGCAGTCTGATAGCATCAGGTAACATATAGAACCAAGTTCTGGGACCTCTTACACCATTCGCAAATCCACCATGTATAAATTCGGGTTGTCGAATTGAGCCGACGTGGGCTCGGCCCGTCTTTTTTTGGGGCCACGGTTTTCGGCCGCCGCCCGGCATTTCGGCTTTTGTTAGCATTTTTGTCATTTGCACGTTGCGGTACACTTTTTGCCATGTTAGATTTCTGCAAAATTGTTGATTTTGGGGAATTTTCAGGCTTTCTAGGCAAATTTTGAGCTCAAAATGCTCCAAAAATCAAATCTAGGCTATTTTTGAGCATTTTCAGGTTTTCTAGGCTGATTTCCGGATCCCTGGGCCATTTTTCGGGTTTCTAGACCATTCTCAGGCTTTCTAGGCCATTTTTGAGCTCAAAATGCTTTAAAAATCAAATATAGGCTATTTTTGAGCATTTTCAGGCTTTCTAGACCGATTTCCGGGTTTCTGGACCATTTCCAGGCTTTTTGGACCATTTTCAGGCTTTCTAGGCCATATTTGAGCTCGAAATGCTCCAATAATCAAAAAGGCTAATTTTGGAGCATTTTGAGCTCAAACATGACTAAAATTGGATTTTGAGCCAAAAAATTGTCTAGAAATCAGAAAAGTGACCTAAAACTCAAAATCTGACAGATTAATATGAGCAATGCCAATTCTTAGGCTTTATAGGCCGTTTTTGGGTTTCTAGGCCAAATTTCAAGTTTCTAGACCATTTTCAGGCTTTTTAGGCCAAATTTCAAGTTTCTAGACCATTTTCAGGCTTTCTAGACCTTTATTTGGGTTTCTAGGCCATTTTTTGAGTTTCTGAGTCATTTTCAGGCTTTCTAGACCATTTTTGAGCTGAAATTGCTCCAAAAATCAAATCTAGGCTAACTTTGAGCATTTACAGGCTTTCTAGGCCATTTTTGGGCTCAAAATGCTTCAAAAATCAAGTCTAGGCCATTTTTGGGCTCAAAAAGCCCCAAATTTGCTCAGAAACCCCAAATTTATCACATTTGAGCTCAAAATGCTCCAAATTTCATGAAAACCCCAATTTTCGGGCTCAAAATGCTCCAAACCTATGCAAAATATCCAATCTCGGTGCAACTCGAAAAACATCCGGATGCAAATCAATAATTCCCCGTTTTTTCTCCTCAACTTGTTCCAAATCGGTCAACCAGGCTTGTGGGGTGGAAATAAAGGGATTCTCGGATTTTCGCCAGAGATTTCGAGCTGCGGAAGCGGATGCTCCGCTTTGACGCATCAGTTGACTTAGGAACATTCTGGAAGAAATTCGTGTGATTTTTTGGCGGGAAAAATTTTGAATTTGATTTTTTCGCGCGAAATTTTGAAATTCAAAAAATATATTTTTCAAATTTCTAAAATTTCGCGCTAAAAATTGCCACGTGGATTTTTCGGCGCGAAACCAAAAAAATTCAAATTTTTCAACAAAAAAATCAAAAATTTCATGAAAAAATTCAAACTTTGCACTCAAAAAATCAGATTTTTTTTCGAATTTTTGAGTTTTGGAGCATGTTTGGGCTCAAAATGCTCCAAATTTCATGAAAAATTTGAATTTTTCGATAAATTTTTCACCAAAATTCATTTTTTCAACAAAAAATAGATAAAATTATCCGATTCAAAACGGATTTTGATTTTAAAAAAAAATTCACAAAAAATTTTTTAAATTCAAATTTTTTTCAAAAAACAACAAAAATAAAAAATAACGAAGAATCCTAAAACTAAAAAAAATTAAATTCAGATCAAAAAAAAAATAAAAATTACAAAAAAAAGTTGGGAAAAGCCTAAAAACAATGGATTTTTGGGGGTGGAAAATAGGCCTTTTCGGGCTTGAAAATAGGCTTTTAGGGCTTGAAAATACAGTATTTAGGGTCCAAAATATAGGCCTTTTCGGGCCTAAGAATAGGCCTTTTCTAGGCTCGAAAGACACCGTATTTGAGGCCTAAACAAGCCCTAAAACTAGGCCTTTCTTAGGCCCAAAACACTAGATTTAAAATACGGTATTTTAGGCCCGAAAATAGGCCTTCTTTAGGCTCGAAAGACACCATATTTTAGGCCTAACAAAGCCCTAAAACTAGGCCCTTTTCAGGCCCAAAAAACTAGGTTTAAAATACGGTATTTTAGGCCCAAAACTAGGCCCTTTTCAGGCCCAAAAATAGGCCTTTTCAGGCCCAAAAATAGGCCTTTTCAGGCCTGAAAATGGGCCTTTCTGAGGCTCTCTTAGGACTAAAAAAGCCTATTTTCAGGCTTAAAAACACCGTATTTTAGGCCTATTTTCAAGCTAAAAACACCGTATTTTCAGGCCCAAAACTAGGCCCTTTCCGGGCTTTTTCAAGCCCAAAACGGCCCCTTTCAGGCCTATTTTCCAGGTTCTTGTTGTTGTTGTCTTTTCCTCTCTTCTTGTCCCTTTTTCACAGCCATTTTGAACAATCTCAATAAATATTCGGTGGAATTCGGAGTGTCGTCGTTGGCCGGAATCAGGTAGGTCAAATAGGCCGGGTCCGAATTCGAGTCCACAATTCCGATTGTGGGAATGGCCATTTTTGTGGCTTCTGAAAGTGTTTTCAGGCTTTTTCGGGCTGGAAAATGGGCTTTTCGGGCCTGATTAGGCCCTGGGCTTCTTTTAGGCCTCAAAAAATCAGATTTTCAGGATTTTTTGATTTTTGGAGCATGTTTGGGCTCAAAATTCTTCAAATTTCATTACAAATTTAAATTTTTCGATTTTGAAGCTGAAAAATCGCTTCAAGACCCAATTTTTCACCAAAATTCAATTTTTTAGGCTCAAAATGCTCCAAATAGGCTCAAAAATCAAATTTTTTGAGTTTTAGAGCATGTTTGGGCTCAAAAATCTTCAAAATTCATGAAATTTCGAGTTTTCGGGCTCAAAATGCTCCAACTTTGCTCAAAAATCAAAAATTTCATGAAAAATCCATGTTTGAACTCAAAAAATCAGATTTTTTTCGAATTTTCGGGTTTTGGAGCATGCTTGGGCTCAAAATGCTCCAAATTTCATGAAAAATCCCATGTTTGCACTTTTAAACCATGTTTGAGCTCAAAAAATCAGATTTTTTCGAATTTTTTGAGTTTTGGAGCATGCTTGGGCTCAAAATGCTCCAAATTTCATGAAATTTCGAGTTTCCGGGCTCAAAATGCTCCAAATTTGCTCAAAAATCAAATTTTCGAGTTTTGGAGCATGCTTGGGCTCAAAATGCTCCAAATTTGCTCAAAAATCCAAAAATCACATACCAACAATTGCCGGATGCGATTCTCCCAACGAAGTCAACGTCGACATAAAAACAATAGTGTCTGGAAGTCGGACAGATGCTCCCAAGAGTTGTCGGGTATTTGTCAGGGTTCCGGATTGCCATTTTCTCACATGCGAATATTGATTGACCTGAAATTAATTTCAGGTTGAAATTTGGCTGAAAATGATGGATTTTAAGCCAAAATTCATGAAAAATGATGCATTTTGACCCAAAATTCATGAAAAATCCAAATTTTCGGCCCGAAAAGCCTGAAAAAAGCCCGAAAAGCCAAAAAAAGGCCTGAAAAAGGCCCACAAACCTCTTCGGCCGCTTTTTCGACATCAAACATTGAATCGCGATTCGAGGTAACAAATAAAATCATTCCGCCGCGCATCGAAACATGAGCAATGAAGTTGAGAGCTCTGAAAATTCAAAATTTCCTGAAAATGCTCGAATTTTGGCTGAAAATTCATCATTTTCAGCCAAATTTTCAGATTTTCAGCAAAAAATCTGAAATTTTCAGCCAAAACTCACCGAACCAAATATTTTTTCGTCGTTTCCAGGTCAAAAATACAAACACCCAATCTTTCGCCATACAATGCCCATTTCATATTTTCGTGAACTGTTCCGATCTGCAAAAAAATTTGAATTTTCAATTTTTCGCGCCAAAATTGTCAGTAGAGCGCGTTTGCTCATTTCTGGGTTAAAAATCATGCTTTTTCGCTGATTTTTCATGTAGAAAATTTGAATTTTTAATTTTTCCCGCTAAAATTGTCCATAGAGCGAATTTGCTCATTTCTGGGTTGAAAATCGTGATTTTTGGCTAATTTTTCATGTAGAAAATTTGAATTTCGAATTTTTCGCGCTAAAATTCTCAATAGAGCAAATTTGCTTATTTCTGGGTTGAAAATCATGATTTTCGGCTAATTCTTCATGTAGAAAATTTGAAATTCACATTTTTCGCGGGTAAATTGTCCATAGAGCGCATTTGCTCATTTCTGGGTTAAAAATCATGATTTTTGGCTCATTTTTTATGTTGAAAATTTGAATTTCGAATTTTTCGCGGCAAAATTCTCAATAGAGCGAATTTGCTCATTTCTGGGTTGAAAATCATGGTTTTCGGCTAATTTTTCATGTAAAAAATTTGAATTTTCAATTTTTCGCGCCAAAATTGTCAGTAGAGCTAATTTGCTCATTTTCAGCTCAAAAACCAAGTTTTTTGCTCCATTTTCACATAGAAAATTTGAATTTTGAAAATTTCGCGCGTAAATTGTCCATAGAGCGAATTTGCTCTTTCCTAGGTTGAAAATCATGATTTTTGCTATTTTTTCTATTGAAAAAATTTGAATTTCGAATTTTTCGCGGCTAATTTGTCCGTAGAGCGCGTTTGCTCTTTTCCGGGCTGAAAATCATGATTTTTGGCTAATTTTTCATGTAGAAAATTTGAATTTCGAAATTTTCGCGCTAAAATTGTCCATAGAGCGAATTTGCTCATTTCTGGGTTAAAAATCATAATTTTTGGCTAATTTTTCCTATAGAAAATTTGAATTTCACAGTTTTCGCGCCAAAATTGTCAATAGAGCGAATTTGCTCAAAATTATCGATTTTTGAGCTAAAAACATGCTCCTGGGCTCATTTTTCACTTAAAAACTTGATTTTTGGCTAATTTCAGGTCAAAATTATCGATTTTCCCCTCAAAACCCCAAAAAATCCCTTACTTTATGTCCAAAATGCAATCTCGCCTTAAACATCTCATCAATATGCACCGCTTTTTCGAATCCAAACAAATCCTGCTCATTTTGCAGCGATTTCGAGACGTAGGGTTTGAGTACTGTAGGTTGTACAGTAGCCTTTTGCAACGTGGTACTGTCGGGTTGGGTTACTGTAGTTGTGGCAGTTCGGGGTACTGTAGCGGAGGCGGAGGAGAAGTTTCGAATGAAGTTTCGCAAAATTACACGGCTCATCTGGAAAAAAATTTGAAAATTTCGAATTTTGGCGCGAAAATTGCCACGTGGCATGATTTTTGAGCGCGAAAATCAAAAATTTGAATTTTTGAGCTCAAAATGCTCCAAATTTCATCCTAAATCCAATTTTCGGGCTCAAAATGCTCCAAATTTCATCCTAAATTCAATTTTAAGATAATTCTGGGCTAAAAAACCCTGAAAAACTCGAAAAAACTCAAAAAAATGCACAAAAACCGGTTTTTCCATCAAAAAACACTCGGGGGGAACTAGACAAAAAACTAGAAAAAAAATTGGGAAAATGGCGGGAAAAATCAATAAATATGATGAGAAAATGGTCCTAACAAGAGATCTTGGAAAGACAAACAAAAACGGGCTTTTCTAGGCCAAAAAACGCAGATTTTGGGCCGAAATCGGCCCAAAACAGGCCCGAAAAGCCCTAGGTGATCCGTAAAATTGGATAAATTGGACAATCTTCGCCGAAAATCCAGTCTACACGGCGATTCGTCATATCATTTTGTAATCTGAGCAATAGCCGGGCTCCGATCAGATTGGCTCGAGCAACTTTTATGTAGATTCTGCAAAAAAAATTTGAATTTTGATTTTTTGGCGGGAAAATTGTCAATAGAGCGAACTTGCTCATTTCTAGCTCGAAAATCATGATTTTTGGATAATTTTTTATGTAGAAATTTTGAATTTCAAACATTTCGCGGGAAAATTCTCAATAGAGCGAATATGCTCATTTCTAGCTTAAAAACGTGGATTTGTAGCTAATTTTTCATGGAGAAAATTTGAATTTCGAATTTTTTGCGCTGAAATTGTCAATGGAGCGAATTTGCTCATCTCTGGGTCAAAAAACCTGAATTTTAGCTAATTTTTCATATATAAAATTTGAATTTCAAATATTTTGCGCTTAAATTGTCCATAGAGCGAATTTGCTCATTTCTAACTCAAAAATCATGATTTTCGGCTAATTTTTCATATAAAAAATTTGAATTTCAAGTTTTTCCCGCTTAATTTCTCAATAGAGCGGATTTGCTCTTTCCGGGGTTAAAAATCATGTTTTTAGCTAATTTTTCATGTAGAAAATTTGAATTTCACATTTTTCCCGCCAAAATTCTCAATAGAGCGAATTTGCTCATTTCGGGGTCAAAATTATCGATTTTTGAGCGAAAAACATGCTCCTGGGCTCATTTTTCACGTAAAAACTTGATTTTTGGCTCAAAATGCTCCCCAAAAAACCCACGTTTCATCATCGTGAAAATCGGGATATTCGCGAAGTCGAACGAGTTGTTGAATGGCGTGATCGAATTTTTCGATGGCTTCTTCGATGAGTTGCGGAATCGGAGTCTCGTACAGCTCATTTGTCCTGCAAAATTTTGGAATTTTAGGTTAAAAATGATAATTTTCATAAAAATTTCAGTATAATATGAGCAATACCTCAAATTTCATTGAAAATTTCAAGTTTTTGCTCAAAATTTCGACTATAACATGAGCAATGGTCCAAAAATCACGATTTTCAGGTAATTTTGAAGCTCTAGACCTCAAAAATTCAATTTTTCGAGTATAACATGAGCAATTGTCCAAAAATTCCGATTTTTAGCTCATTTTGGAGCTCAAAACATCAGAAAATCGAATTTTCGAGTATAATATGAGCAATGGCTCAAATTTCATGAAAAATCACGATTTTTAGGTCATTTTGAGCCCAAAATGTGCACTAACTTGCTCAAAATCAAATATTGCTCATAGCTAATATATAGTGGATGTCCCAAACATTTCATCGGCGCCATTCGATTATCGTATCGTTGTTTTTCGGAATCCTCAGCCCATTTTGGAACCTGAAATTCAATTTTAGGTTAAAAATATCGATTTTTGGCTGAAAAAATCGATTTTTTGGCTGAAAATCCACGTTTCCACGTGTAATTTTCACGTTTTTCACGTGTAATTTTAAAAATTACCTTAATTTTTCTCATTTTTATAAGGGCAATTGTGGTTTTCACAATTCCATCGGCAATTTGAGCCATTCCGAATTGGTGTACTGTATGGCTCTGATTTATCTGGAAAAATTTCAGATTTTTTGGGCTGAAAATGGCCTAGAAACTCGAAAAATGGCCTAGAAACCCGAAAAATGGCCTAGAAATCCAAATTTCAAGGTTTTTAGGTCAAAATTCATCAAATTTCATGTTTCAGGGCTGAAAATGCTCCAAATTCAACAATTTTTGGATCAAAAATAACATTCCTCCAAAATTATTTTCTAAAGAAATAAAAAGCCGGATCATTTTGAAAAATAATTTTTGAAATTATCAACAAATTTTGAAACGTACATTTTCAGGGTGTCAAAATCAAGGGGAATTCAAAAAAAAAATAACAAATAATCGATAATTATTGATTTTTCGGTGCAGAAGGTCAGGGGTTCGATTCCCATCCGAGGCAAAAACATTTTTTTTCTCGAAAATTTTCGAAACTCAAGTTTTCTAGCTCAAAATTTATCAAATTTCACGTTTCTGAGCTCAGAATGCTCCAAATATGCTTAGAAACTCGAAATTTTCAGCATTTTAAGACAAAAAATCGTCCAGAATCCAAATTTCAAGGTTTCCAGCGCGAAATTCATCAATTTTCATAAATTTCAGCTTCAAAATTGGAATTTTTGTGATTTTCAGATCAAATTTCCTCATTTTCAGCATTTTTGTCAAAAAAATGGTCTAAAATCCGAATTTCAAGGTTCCTAGCTCAAAATTCATCAATTTTCATGAATTTCAGCACGAAAATTGGAATTTTCAGTATTTTAAGCCTAAAAACACTCTAGAATCCAAATTTCAAGGTTTCTAGAGGTTTCTAGCTCAAAATTGCTCAATTTTCATGAATTTCAGCTTAAAAACTAGAATTTCCAGCATTTTAAGCCAAAAAACGTCCAGAATCCAAAATTCAAGCTTCCTAGGTCAAAATTCCTCAAATTTCATGAATTTCAGCTTCAAAACGTTTCAAGGTAAAAAAGAGCATTTTCCATGGTTTCTAGGCTCAAAATGCTCCAATTTTCAAGTTTTATGGCTCAAAATGCTCCAAAAATGCTCCCCACCTGAAATCTCTTCTTCAAATTCTCCTCACACTTCTGCTTCTCTTTGCTCGTCCTTCGATTCACACTCGTGCTCAGCGGATTCGATTTCCATGCCAACAGATTCATTTCTTGACTTCGTTCAAGTGTCGAAATTTGCCAACGCGCCAAAATATCACTCAAATACCAATAGATGTATGGAAATTCATAGGGCACAAAAAGGTCCATTCTAAGGCTCAGCTCAAAATAGTGCGAGACTAGGCTGAGCAAATTGAAGAGCACAAATGTGTGGACAGCTTGATGGGGAGCTTCGTGACTGTTTTCGCGGATGATTTCCGAGGTACGGTATTCGACGCGGTTCGCGTCGCGTTGAATTAGACCGAGATCTTCGATGGAGACTATTATGCGATCGCGTTGGCGGGCGAGATTTGTGCCTGGAACGGGGAAAAATTTGGATTTTAGGAGGATAATATGAGCAATGGGCCAAATTTCATGAGAATTTGGGGAATTTTTTGAGTCTAAATAAGCCTAGGCCTGAAATTCGCGTCTAGAACAGTCTAGGCCTGAAAATTGGGGGTTTCTTAGAGTCCAAATAAGCCTAGACCTGAAATTTAGGCTTTTCAGGCCTTGAGACCATTAAAACCGGACTTTTAGAGGCTAATATGAGCAATGATCCAAATTTCATGAGAATTTGGGATTTTTTAGAGTCCAAACAAGCCTAGGCCTGAAATTTGGGCTTTTCAGGCCTTAGGACCATCAAAATTGCATTTTTAGAGTATAACATGAGCAATGCTTCAAATTTCATGAAAATTCCGATTTTTAGGTCATTTTTGAGCCCAAAAAGGCTCAAAACATGAAATTTGGAGCATTTCAACCTAAAATTCATGAAAATTCAGTTTCTAGACCAATTTTCCCAGAATTTCAGGTCAAAATTTCACAAATTTTCCGATTTTTCAGCTTTCCAGGTCCAAAAATCCAAAAAACTCACCAAAAGTCTGATAGACACTCAAACAATGTTTGCTGATCTGAACCATGAAGGCGTTGTACAATTGTTGACAAAGTGGATCGTGGTGGGCTGGAGAATTTTTCTGGAATGAAAAAAATTCGAAATTTTTGATTAAAATGAGCAATGCCATCATTTTCAGCGCAAAAAATTGATTTAGAAAAAAATTTGGGAGAAAAATAGGTTAGGAGGTATGGGGGCTCGATCCAGGACCTTGAGATTCCAAAAATCCATGTTTCCCGGTCAAAATTTTGTGCTGAAAACGGTGAAATTGCTTAAAATGAGCAATCCCATCATTTTCAGCGCAAAAAATTGATCTAGAAAAAAAAATTGGAAAAAATAGGTTAGGAGGTACCGGGGCTCGATCCATGACCTTCAGATTCAAAAAATCCATGTTTCCGGGGCTAAATTTCGTGCTGAAAATGATGGAGACGCTTAAAATGAGCAATCCCATCATTTTCAGCGCGAAAAATTGAAAAATCGAGGTTTTTTTTGATATAAAATAAGAAAATTCGCTCTACTGATAATTTTAGCGGGAAATATTTGAAATTCAAATTTTCTACATGAAAAATGGCGGAAAATCGACGGTTTTGGGCTCAAAATGCGTCAAATTTTCCCGCGAAAATTTGAAAATTTAAATTTTTTCAAAAATCCCAGGTTTTCAGGCCGAAACTAGGCTTATTCGGGCTCAAAATGCTCCAAATTTTGGCGCGAAAAGGCCCAAAACTCACATCCAAAACCGCAGGCGGAAACATCTCGCGTAACGTCACCTCAATCGGTTCCGCAATCGATTTGTCCGGATGTCCGGAAATGTGCTCATCGAGCGGAAAAAGAGCCAATTGGAGCACACTTCGCGTGAGCACACAACTTTTATCGAAATTGAAGCTGCGCGCGAAAAAGAAGAGCGAAATTAGATCTTGAGTGGTGTCCAGCGAATTTGTGGCAATGATTTTGAGGCGGCGAGTTAGGCCAACTAGATAATCGAGGGCCGTTTTTCGATCCGGAATATCGACTTTTCGCGGGAATGTTGAGGGAAGGAATCGTTTGTTGAGATCTGGTTCGATTGCGGAGAGCCAAGAGAAGTTTCCTGCAAAAATTTGCGATTTTTTGAGCCTAGATAAGCTTAGGGTTGACAATTTGGAGCATTTTGAGCCCAAACATGCCTAAGGTTACTCTAATGAGTTAGGATAACTTGCCGCTAACGCGGAAGACAGTGCCGCTTACGCGGAAGCTCGCGGTTTACACTCGCTCCGCTCGAAAAAAAAAATTGGTGCCTCGGGTGGGGATCGATCCCCCGACCTTCTGACTGGAAAAATCAATATTTCCGGGTCAAAATTTCTTGCTGAAAATGACGGGATTGCTCATTTTAAGCAATTTCAGCGTTTTCAGCATGAAATTTCGACCCGGAAACATGGATTTTTCCAATCGAAAGGTCAGGGGTTCGACCCCCACCCGAGGCAAAACATTTTTTATCTCAAATGTATTTTTCTAGATCAATTTTTCGCGCTGAAAATGATGGCATAGCTCATTTTAAGCATTTTCAGCGTTTTCAGCATGAAATTTTGAGTTTTTCATATTTTTTTGTTGGAGTGAGAAAAATCATTTTGAAAAATAATTTTTGAAAATATCAAAAAATTTTGAAACGTACATTTTCGAGGTGCCAAAATCAAGGAGAATTTTCAAATTTTGAACTAGAATTATTGATTTTTCGGTGCAAAAGGTCAGGCGATCGATCCCCAGCCGAGGCAACATTTTTTTAAAATTTATTTTTCTAGATCAGTTTTTCGCGCTGAAAATGAAGAGAATGCTTAAAATGAGCAATCCCATCATTTTCAGCGCGAAAATTGATCCAGAAAGAAGAAATTCGAAAAAAAATTGTGTCTCGGGTGGGGGTCGATCCCCTGACCTTCTGACTGCAAAAATCAATATTTCCGGGTCAAAATTTCATGCTGAAAACGCTGAAATTGCTTAAAATGAGCAATGCCATCATTTTCAGCGCGAAAAATTGATCCAAAAAAAATTTGAAAAAAAAATTGGTGCCTCGGGTGGGGGTCGAACCCTTGACCTTCTGACTGGAACTTTTCCAGCTCAAAATGCTCCAAATTTCAAGTTTTCGGGCTCAAAATGCTCCAAATTTTGCTGAAAATCCAAAAAATCCCACCATCTTCCCCGTTATTCGGTGCACTTCTTCCCATTTTACTGGATTCCGCTATAGCCTGAGCAACGGTTTCGAGACGGCGAGCCATTGATTGACATTGTTGTTTGTTGGATTCACTTCGACTGAAAAAATTGGGAGAATTTTTATTGGTCAGAAGGTCGGGGGATCGATTCCTAGTGGGAACTTTTCTGTCAAAAATCGATTTTTGAAGCTGAAAATTATGGGATTGCTCATTTTAAGCAAAATTTCGGGACATTTAGCTCGAAAACTGGAATTTTCAGCATTTTCAGCCAAAAAATGGTCTAGAATCCAAATTTCAAGGTTTTTAGGTCAAAATTCATCAATTTTCATGAATTTCAGCTTCAAAATTGGATTTTTCAGCATTTTAAGCCTGAAAATGGTCCAGAATCCAAATTTTAAGGTTTCTAGCTCAAAATTCATCAATTTTCATGAATTTCAGCTTGAAAACTGGAATTTTCAGCATTTTAAGCCTAAAAATGGTCTAGAATCTGAATTTTGAGGTTTCCAGGTCAAAATTCATCAATTTTGATGAATTTCAGCTCGAAAACTGGAATTTTCAGCATTTTGAGCCTAAAAATCGTCCAGAATCCAAATTTCAAGGTTTTTAGGTCAAAATTCATCAATTTTCATGAATTTCAGCTTCAAAACTGAAATTTTCAGCATTTTCAGGCTGAATTTAGCCTAGATACCGAATTTCAAGGTTTCCAGCTCAAAATTCATCAAATTTCAGCTTCAAAACTGGAATTTTTGTGATTTTCAGATCAAAATTCATAATTTTCAGCATTTTCAGCCAAAAAATGGTCCAGAATCCAAATTTTGAAATTTTTAAGTCAAAAAATACCATTTTTCATGAATTTTAGCTTAAAAACTGGAATTTTTGTGATTTTCAGATCAAAATTCATGAATTTCAGCTCAAAATGCTCCAAAATTCATATTTTTTGGCTCAAAATGCCTAAAAAAACTCACGTAAACGGTGGTTGTGCTTCTTCTTCAGTTAGTCCAACTTCATTCTCACCAGCCGCAGTTATCCGAACTTCTTCCTTCTCCGATTTCTCCTCCGGTTCATCGGGCTTAAAATTGCTCAGCACTTTGAGCACCGCTGGAGTTTGCGGCGGGACGAGCCACGTGATGACTTCGATGAGCAGACAGCACATTTCCATGCGTGCTCCGATTGCGAGCACTTTTCGCGATTCTGGTGAGTTTGGCGGTTTGTGCGAGACGCTTTGGGCGAGAGTTGCGGTAACTTCGCGGAGGTGACGGACGACTTCGTCGCGTGGAACTTGTGAGCAGACGGGGAATGGGCAGTGAGCCTGGAAAATTCGGAGCATTTTGATACCAAATAGGCCACGCCCACAAAACCATGCCGCAGGTTTTAGTGGTCATTTTGATACTAAATAAGCCACGCCCTTTTTTCTGTGCCTTGGGGAATTGTCTCAGCTTCAAAATGAGTCTAAACAAGCCACGCCCACAAAACTGTGCGGTGATTTTGATACCAAATAAGCCACGCCCATTTTCTGCAAGCGTGGCACAGTTTTCGGTGCGAAATTTGACATAAATAAGCTCCGCCCACAAAACTGTGCGGCAAAAATCGATTTTCAGATCAAAATTCATCATTTTTCATGAAAATTTCGAATTTTGGCTCAAAATTCATGAAAAATCTCGATTTTCAACTCAAAATCCCACATTTTTCATGAAATTCAGCTTCACAACTGGATTTTTCGTGATTTTCAGCATTTTGAGCCTAAATTCAGCCTAGAATCCAAAATTCAAGGTTTCCAGATCAAAATTCATCATTTTCAGCATTTTCAGCCTAAACTTAGCCTAGAATCCAAATTTTCAGGTTTCTAGGTCAACATCCCACATTTTTCATACAAATTCCAAATTTCCCGCCAAAAATCTCACCTGAAAATCCTCCTCCTCATATGTATACGAATTGGTTATCACATAGGTGACGATTTGAACGATATGAGTAAGGGCGTGACAAAATGGCGTGTAGATCTCGTGATGGACTTCCTCTAACTCACGCATCATTACATTTGTGAAGAGCTGCAAGAAATGAGCATTTTTGAGCCAAAAATCAGTATTTTTGGCCAATTTTGAGCCAAAATTCATCATTTTTCATGTTTTTTGGCTCAAAATTCATCATTTTCAGCCAAATTTGTCTTAAAATCCACCAAACTCACAGTTTGCGCCAAACTCCCGCCTTCCAACCATGAAACCATCAAAGCAAAAGTCGCATCAATTGTGGCCAGAATATCCGTTGGATTTCCATCGAAAAGTCCCTGAAAATGTGATTTTGTGGGTTTCGGAGCGAAAAAATCGAAATTTTCATCGAAAATTGGGTCTTGAAGCGATTTTTGAGGTCCCAGAGCGAAAAAATCGGATTTCTCATAAAAAATTGGGTTTTGAAGCGATTTTTGAGGTCCTAGAGCGAAAAAATTGGATTTCTCATGAAAATTTGGGTTTTGAAGCAATTTTTTAGGTCTCGGAGCGAAAAAAATCGGAATTTTCATTGAACATTGGGTCCTGGAGTGATTTTTGAGGTTCCGAAGCGAAAAAAATCGGATTTTTCACTGTAAATTGACTCTGAACACATAATTTTGAGTCCTGTATGGAAAATATCGGATTTCCCGGGTCCTACAGCGAAAAATTCGGATTTCTCATCAAAAATTAGGTCTTGAAGCGATTTTTGAGGTCTAAAACCATTAAAATCACGTCAAGACCCAATTTTTGATGAAAAATCTGATTTTTTCGCTCTGGGACCTCAAAAATCACTTCAAGACCCAAATTTTGATGAAAAATCCGAATTTTTCGTTGCAGGACCTTGGAAATTCGATTTTTTCGCTCTGGGACCTCAAAAATCACTTCAAGACCGAAATTTTGATGAAAAATCTGATTTTTTCGCTCTGGGACCTCAAAAATCGCTTCAAGACCCAAAAAACCCCCACATTTTTCACGGCATTCGCCAATCCCAGATTTTTGACAGGTTTTTTGACACCCGTATCCATTTTGGGGTCCATCAATTCGACACTCGACATTGCTTCGATTAATTTGAATTTTTTCACGCCGACCAGTTGACCGAGCTCGAGTTCTGCAAGAAAATCGGGGTTTTTCGTTGATTTTAGCGGGAAAATCGTGTTTTTCATGGTTTTTTGAGCTAAAATGATGCAAATTTCGAATTTTTCATGGATTTTCCACTCAAATTTTCGTTTGCCACGTCATAACTACCCTGTGCTGTGACGTGGCAACCTCTAAACCCCAACAAACCTTGACAAGCCGCAAAAAACTCATCCTTCATATCAATCTTCTCCGTATCGTTTGAATTCTTCATTTTCACGCCTCTTTTCGCTCGTTTTGTTGCGGGAAAACCCGTAAACCGTCTGAAACTAGAGTCTAGTTTGGTTGGAATTATTTTCTTAGGCTAAAAAGTAGCGGAACACCTGCAAGAACGAAGAAAAAACAAGAAATGAGGCGAAAAAAAGAGGAAAAGGCAACGTCATTCAGCGGAGTCTCGTTGTTTTCTTTTTATTTCGCAGGGTTTTTTGTGGTTTTTTTTGGTTTTTCACATTTCTACCAAAGAAAATGCGATTTTTCTGGAAATTTGAATAACAAAGAAAAAAAAAATATGTGTGAGAACCCGTTTATTCAAAAAATTGCCATTTTTTAACAGAAAAATCGATAAAAATTAAATTCCTCCAAGAATTTGAGCTTCTAGGTCTTCCAGCGACATTTGATTGAGATCTGGAAGAAAAATTTGAAATTGGCCACGCCCACAAAACCGTGCGGCACTCACCATTTCCCTTCTGTTTTTCCGCATCTTTCCGCACAGGCGGTGCGGAAATCCATTCTGCCGCGATTTCCGGTTTTCCAGTTTTGCCTTGCTCAATTTCAGCTCCCCATAGATTTTTTTCAGTGGGCTCAAATTCAATTATGCATTTTTTCCTGGATTTTTTGGCGATGATTGAGGAGATTTGCGCGATTTTTCCGTACTGAAATTGAATTTTGGCTAGAATTTAGGTCTAGGCCTTTTTAGGCTTGAAAAAAGCTAACTTTTGAGCCTAAATAAGGCCTATATTTAGTAGGCTTTTCAGGCCTAAAACTAGGCTTGTTTAGGCTCAAAAATAGCAAATTTTCAGGCATAAAAACTAGGCTTTCGAGGCCCAAAACTAGGCTTGTTTAGTCTCAAAAAATCCCAAATTTTCAGGCCTAAACACCAGGCTTTTTAGGCCCAAAATAGGGTTGTCTAGACTCGAAAAATCCCAAATTTTCAGGCCTAAAATAGGCTTGTCTAGGCCCAACCTGCTCAAAAATCCTCCTCAACTCCACTTCATCATATCCATCACCATCTTTCTCCACCCATTTCACAATCAATTTCGGCGCGGATTTTTCCGCGGCGGCGCTTTCCGCAGCGGCTTCGCGGACTCTCCGCATCTGCCGCTGCACTTCTTCGTTCGCCTCGCGTTCCAGTTGTTTCCGCACCTGTTCCATTTCGTCGCGGATTCGATTTTCCTGGAACAAATTTTTGAATTCGGAGGGTTTTGGCGCCAAAAATTTCGCGGTGGGACCCAAATTTCGATGAAAAATTCATTTTTTTCGGTCTGGGTACTGTATTTTCGCTGCGAGACCCAGAAAACCCGATTTTTTCGCTTTAGGACCAAAAAAATCCAATTTTCAAGCTCCAGGACCAGAAAAATCCGAAATTTTCGGTCCAGGACTCAAAAAATCTGATTTTTTCGGTCCAGGACCAGAAAAATCCCAAATTTTCGGTCCAGGACCAGAAAAATCCAAAATTTTCGCTGCGAGACCCAGAAAAATCCAAAATTTTCGATACAGGACCAGAAAAATCCGAATTTTAAGCTCCAGGGCTCGAAAAATCTGAAATTTTCGGTCCGGGACCAGAAAAATCCGAAATTTTCGGTCCGGGACCATAAAAATCCGAAATTTTCGGTCCGGGACCAGAAAAATCCGAAATTTTCGGTCCGGGACCAGAAAAATCCGAAATTTTCGGCTCAGGACCCAAAAAATCCGAAATTTTCGCTCCCGGACCAGAAAAATCCGAAATTTTCGATCCAGGACCAGAAAAATCCGAAATTTTCGGTCCAGGACCAGAAAAATCCAAAATTTTCGGTCCAGGACCAGAAAAATCCAAAATTTTCGGTCCAGGACCAGAAAAATCCCAAATTTTCGGTACAGGACTAGAAAAATCCCAAATTTTCGGTCTAGGACCATAAAAATCCGAAATTTTCGGTCTAGGACCATAAAAATCCAAAATTTTCGGTCCAGGACCAGAAAAATCCAAAATTTTCGGTCCAGGACCAGAAAAATCCCAAATTTTCGGTACAGGACTAGAAAAATCCCAAATTTTCGGTCTAGGACCATAAAAATCCGAAATTTTCGGTCTAGGACCATAAAAATCTAAAATTTTCGGTCCAGGACCAGAAAAATACGAAATTTTAGGTCCAGGACCAGAAAAATCCCAAATTTTTTGTCCTGGAACAGAAAAATCCCAAATTTTCGGTCCAGGACCAGAAAAATCCGAAATTTTCGGTCCAGGACCAGAAAAATCCAAAATTTTCGGTACAGGACTAGAAAAATCCCAAATTTTCGGTCTAGGACCATAAAAATCCGAAATTTTCGGTCTAGGACCATAAAAATCCAAAATTTTCGGTCCAGGACCATAAAAATCTAAAATTTTCGGTCCAGGACCATAAAAATCCCAAATTTTTTGTCCTGGAACAGAAAAATCCCAAATTTTTTGTCCTGGAACAGAAAAATCCCAAATTTTCGGTCCAGGACCAGAAAAATCCGAAATTTTCGGTCCAGGACCAGAAAAATCCAAAATTTTCGGTACAGGACTAGAAAAATCCCAAATTTTCGGTCTAGGACCATAAAAATCCGAAATTTTCGGTCTAGGACCATAAAAATCCAAAATTTTCGGTCCAGGACCAGAAAAATCCAAAATTTTCGGTCCAGGACCAGAAAAATCCCAAATTTTCGGTACAGGACTAGAAAAATCCAAAATTTTCGGTCTAGGACCATAAAAATCCGAAATTTTCGGTCTAGGACCATAAAAATCCCAAATTTTCGGTCTAGGACCATAAAAATCCGAAATTTTCGGTCTAGGACCATAAAAATCCAAAATTTTCGGTCCAGGACCAGAAAAATCCAAAATTTTCGGTACAGGACTAGAAAAATCCCAAATTTTCGGTCTAGGACCATAAAAATCCGAAATTTTCGGTCTAGGACCATAAAAATCCAAAATTTTCGGTCCAGGACCATAAAAATCCCAAATTTTTTGTCCTGGAACAGAAAAATCCCAAATTTTTTGTCCTGGAACAGAAAAATCCCAAATTTTCGGTCCAGGACCAGAAAAATCCGAAATTTTCGGTCCAGGACCAGAAAAATCCAAAATTTTCGGTACAGGACTAGAAAAATCCCAAATTTTCGATCTAGGACCATAAAAATCCGAAATTTTCGGTCTAGGACCATAAAAATCCAAAATTTTCGGTCCAGGACCAGAAAAATCCAAAATTTTCGGTCCAGGACCAGAAAAATCCCAAATTTTCGGTACAGGACTAGAAAAATCCCAAATTTTCGGTCTAGGACCATAAAAATCCGAAATTTTCGGTCTAGGACCATAAAAATCTAAAATTTTCGATCCCGGACCAGAAAAATCTGAAATTTTCGGTCCAGAACCAGAAAAATCCGAAATTTTCGATCCCGGACCAGAAAAATCTGAAATTTTCGGTCCAGGACCAGAAAAATCCGAAATTTTCGGTCCAGAACCAGAAAAATCCGAAATTTTCGATCCCGGACCAGAAAAATCTGAAATTTTCGGTCCAGGACCAGAAAAATCCAAAATTTTCGGTCCTGGACCTGAAAAATCCGAAATTTTCGGCCCAGGACCAGAAAAATCCGAAATTTTCGGTCCAGGACCAGAAAAATCAGAAATTTTCGGTCCAGGACTCAAAAAATCGGATTTTTTCGCTCTATGACCTTAAAAATTCAATTTTTTCACTCCAAGACCCAAAATTTCATGAAAAATCCGAATTTTCAGCTCCGGAACCCCCAAAACCTCTCACTAACATCCAATTTCCTCTTTTTCGCCGCCTGTGTCGGTGTCATTTTTGCCACGTCATCATCTACCGTATTTCCACGTCGTTTCTGGCTTTCGCTAAACTCTGTTTCTCTGCGATTCAATTCCTCAATCAATTTCTTCCGCGTACCGTCCGCTTTCTCCATCCGCTCACGATTCCGCTCCTCGACAATCCGCACGCGTTCTTCCGCTTTATCGTATTCATTCTGCGAAAATTCGAGATTTTTTGCGGTTTTTGAGCCAAAAATCGTGAAAATTGGAGCATTTTGAGCTAGAAAACTTGAATTTTCAAAAAAAAAAAAAGTTTCCTCGGGTGGGGATCGATCCCCTGACCTTCTGACTGGAATAATCAATATTTCTAGATCAATTTTTCGTGCTGAAAATGAAGAGAATGCTTAAAATGAGCAATTCCATCATTTTCAGCGCGAAAAACTGATCTAAAAACATTTTTTTTGAAAAATTTTGGTGCCTCGGGTAGGGATCGATCCCCTGACCTTCTGACTGGAAAAATCAATATTTCTAGATCAAAATTTCGTGCTAAACATGAAGAGAATGCTTAAAATGAGCAATGCCGTCATTTTCAGCGCGAAAAACTGATTTTAAAAAAATTTAAAAAAAAAAATTTGGTGCCTCGGGTAGGGATCGATCCCCTGACCTTCTGACTAGAAAAATCAATATTTCTAGTTCAAAATTTCGTGCTGAACATGGAGAGAATGCTTAAAATGAGCAATTCCATCATTTTCAGCCGAATTTCACGATTTTTGGCCCATTTTTCATCAAAAACCATGAATTTTAGCTCATTTTCAGCCAAATTTTTCGAATTCTGGCTCATTTTCAGCCAAATTTCAGCATTTTCAGAACTCACCCTTTTCTGCTCATCAAACAGAAATTCAAAAGCCTCTTTCGCCTCAATAAATCGCGCTTCCGCTTCCGCTTTATTGTCCAAATTCTTGTCCGGATGCCACTTCAAACACTGTGCACGATAGGCTTTTGTGATTTCTTTTTCGGTGCATTTTGTCGTTTCGAGACCCAGAATTTTGTAGGGATTTGCACCGGGTTTCAGCGGCATTTTTCAGGCTGAAAATGCTGAAAATTCGAATTTTTGGCTGAAAATTTGGTTAAAAATGGGATATTTTAGGTCTAGAAATCACAAATTTTTGAAACTTGATTTTTCGCGCCAAAAATGCTGAAAAATTTGGCGCGAAAACCAAATTTTCAAAAAAATTTTTTGAAATTTCAAATTTTTGGCGCCAAAATCAAATTTTCCAATTTTTTTTTAAATTTATTTTTTGGCGCGAAAACTAAATTTTCAAATTTTTGGCCCCAAAACCCGAATTTTTCTCAAAAAATATCAAAAAAGGCTCAAAACCTCTTGAAAAATCACAAAAATCGCAAAAATCTGAAAATTTATCACTATTTACAAATTTCAAAATTCCAAAAAAATAAAGCAAAATCAACCGGTTTCAATATAGTACAAGCTGAAAATCTGGCTGAAAATAGGCTCCGCCCCTTTTGCAAACCTGGCACAGTTTTTGGGAGATTTTCCGGGCTTCATTTTGAATATAAATAAGCCACGCCCCTTTTTTTGCAAGTCTGGCACAGTTTTTAGGCTCAAAATCATCCAAATTTCACGAATTTTGGCTTAAAAAATGCGGATTTTCAGATTTTCAGCCAGAATTTCAGATTTTCAGCAAAAATTTTCACTTATTCAAATTAGTCGCCGATAAATGTGGTGTTGAACAGGGTGTTGGAAGCACCGAAGAGCTTAGGCAACAAATATCACAGTCTTTGATTTGGTCGAGAAATTCTTGAGGAGTTGGTCCGCTGAGCGTCTGAAAATTGGGATTTTGGCTGAAAATTTCAGATTTTTGGGGAAAAATGAGCCAAAAAAGGTGATTTTTGGTTAATTTTGAGCTGAAATTCAGATTTTTCATGAAAAATCTGATTTTTAAGCTCCAGGAGTCAGAAAATCTGATTTTTAAGCTCCAGGAGCCAAAAAATTCAAATTTTATCACTCTAGGACCAAAAAAACCCAAATTTTCAGCTCCAGAATTCAAATTTTCATGAAAAATTCAATATTTACGGTCCAGCAACTTGAAAATCGCTCCAGAATCCAATTTTCGACGAAAATTCCTGATTTTTCAGATCAGGACCCAATTTTTGTTGAAAAATTCAATTTTTCTTGATCCCAAAGCTTGAAAATCGCTTCAGAACTCAAATTTTCATGAAAAATTCAATTTTTTAGCTCTAGAACCCAAAAAATTCAATTTTCTTGGTCTAGGACTCAAAAAACCGCTCCAAAGCCCATTTTTCATGAATTTTAGCTCATTTTTCCCCGAATTTTTGGCCAAAAATCGCCCTACCTGAAGTCCAGTCTGCAAAAATCGATTAGCAGGTTGTAGTGCGGGTTTCATCACATCGGATCCACTTGCCGAATTCGGCTGTCCTCCTGGTTGCAGTGCTTGTTTATTCGAGTGAAATTGATCCAAAGCCGTCGTCAAATCCCACATTTGGACACTTCCGTTGACAGTTCCACAGAATAGATATCTTCTGGGCCGATTTCCGATTCGGCTTGCTCCATCGCATTCGTGCACAAAAAATGAGGTGAAGGGCGAAAAATCGACCGAATCTATGACGCAAATTCTGCAAAAAATGGAATTTTTTTAGCCAAAAATGGAAATTTTTGACTGAAAATAGGCTCCGCCCCTTTTGCAAGTCTGGCACAGTATTTTAGGAATTTTCCAGGCTTCATTTTGAATCTAAATAAGCCACGCCCCTTTTGCAAACCTGGCACAAATTTCCAGAAACTTTCCTGGACTCAAAATGGCACATAACAAGAAATTTCAGAAAAAAGTTGTACCCCGAGTGGGGATCGATCCCCTGACCTTCTGACTGGAAAAATCAATATTTCTAGTTCAAAATTTCGTGCTGAATATGAAGAGAATGCTTAAAATGAGCAATTCCATCGTTTTCAGCGCGAAAAATTGATAAAAAACATGTTTTTTGAAAAAAAATTGGTGCCTCGGGTGTGGATCGATCCCCTGACCTTCTGACTGGAAAAATCCAATTTTCTAGATCAAAATTTCGTGCTGAACATGAAGAGAATGCTTAAAATGAGCAATCCCATCATTTTCAGCGCAAAAAACACATATTTTCGTGGGCATGGCTTATTTAGATTCATTTTGAAGTCCAAAAACCGTGCCAGGCTTGCAAAAAAGGGGCGTGGCTTATTTCTGATCAGAAAATCACGAATTTTGAGTTATTTTTCATCAGAAATCTTGAATTTCGGCTCATTTTCAGCCAAATTTTTAGAAAAAAAAGCCCAACCTTTCTCCAGTCGACGCCAATCTCACATAAATCCTCGTCGCATTCGGTATAACCCTCTGAATGAAAACCTGTTCAGAATCCTGATCTCCATAGGGTCCAGGCTCATTATATTGTCGATCAACAGTTTCATCAGTCGAATCCAGGGTGAGCACTTTAAAGGAGGCCAGATTCATTGTGCCTGGTTGGGTGCTGATCATTCCACGGAATCGGGTGACTAGCCAGGAGCGCACGTGATTGTATTCAGCGCAGACTGGAAAAAATTTGGGGGCATTGCTCATGTTAGGTGAATTTTCTTTGTTTTGGTCATATTTTTGAGATCGAGGATTGCTCATGTTAGCCTTGAAAATTCGATTTTTTGTAACATTACTCATGTTAAGTAGATTTCTTGGATTTTCAGTCAAAAACTTCGAAAAATTTGAAAATTCAATTTTTTGAGCATTGCTCATGTTAAGAAAATTTTTTAAAAATTTAAACTTTGTGCAGAATTTTCAGAGCTCAAAGGATTGCTCATATTAGACTAGAAAATTTTGAAAATTTCAATTTTTTGAAAAAATCTACTATTGCTCATGTTAAACATCAAAAATTCCAGGTTAATTAATTTTAAAGAAAAATTTGACATTGCTCATGTTAGACCTGAAATTTTCAAGGTTTCTAGGCCATTTTTCGGATTTCTAGGCCAATTTTGAGCTTCTAGGCTACTTTTTGGGTTTCTAGGCCATTTTTCGGGTTTCCAGGCCATTTTTCGGGCTTCTAGGCCATTTTTGCCCCAAAAATCCAACTCACCACTAATCAAATGTGCTGTAGTTAGCGAAATTCGCGTCACGGCCGAATTGTGAACTTTATAGGTCTGAAAGAGTTGCGGACCGTGTCCGACAGTTTCCGGATGCTGAACAATGACGCGGACTGTTCCGCTTGACGTGCCGTAGGCGATTTCGATCCAATTTCCGCAAACGGCTGAAAAAACCGGATTTTTGGACCTAAAATAGGCCTTTTTGGGCCAAAAATAGGCCTTTTCAGGGCTTACAAGTCTTTGGTGTCAAAAAAACGGAAATCGCTGTGATACAATCACCGTCCGGATCTCTATACAATTCCGTCACCAACAAATCATTGTCCTTCATTCGAAGCGGAAATTTTTGCATATCAATGTAGCAGAGTGCACCGTCTGTACAGCCGAGGAGAAGGCTTGAGCCGGCTGTGTCGTAGCATGAGATTGGAGACATGTCTTGAGCCTGGAAAGGGCAATCTAGCTGTTTAGCTTCAGCTAGAGACGCAGAGGGAGATACACTCGCTTCGCTCGTGCCGCTTACGCGGAAGATTCCGGGGCGCTTCGCGCAATATTGCTCAGGTTATCGTTTTAGGCTTAACATGAGCAATCTTGCGCAAAGCGCCCCGGAATCTTCCGCGTAAGCGGCTCGAGCGGAGCGAGTGTATGTTTCTCTGCGTCTCTAACTCGCCTGATGACTAGACAGCTGGAGACGCAGAGGGAGATACACTCGCTCCGCTCGAGCCGCTTACGCGGAAGATTCCGGGGCGCTTCGCGCAAGATTGCTCAGGTTAAGAGCTTCAAAATGAGCCTTTAGGATTAACATGAGCAATCTTGCGCGAAGCGCCCCTGAATCTTCCGCGCAAGCGGCACGAGCGGAGCGAGTGTATTTCCCTCTACGTCTCTAGCTGTCTAGCCTTCAAGCCCATGTGAGCTAGAGACGCAGGGGACATACACTTGCTCCGCTCGTACCGCGTACCGCTTCTCTGCGTCTCTAACCATCTAGCTTCTCTAATTCTCCAATAAAATCTATCTTTTCCAATAGTTTTCAACCCTCTGATCACTATTCCGTTGTCTAAAATTGCATCTAACATGAGTTATGACGTGGCAAAATTCAGGTAGCTGATTTTCAAGCAAATCTGGGGCCTCCTGAACTCAGATTTGCATGAAAATCAGCTACTCGAATTTTGCCACGTCATAACTCATGTTAGATGCGATTTCAGACAACGGAATAGTGATCAGAGGGTTGAAAACTATTGGAAAAGATAGATTTTATTGGAGAATTAGAAAAGCTAGATGGTTAGAGACGCAGAGGGACTAGACAACTAGAGAGACGCAGAGGGACATACAGCTCAGATTATCGCAATCTCGCGCGAAGCGCCCCGGAATCTTCCGCGCAAGCGGCACGAGCGAAGCGAGTGTATGTTGCTTTGCGTCTCTAACCGTCTAGCAACCAAGCCCCCTCCTTGAGCTAGAGACGCAGAGGGAAATACACTCGCTCCGCTCATGCCGCTTACGCGGAAGTTTTCGGAGCGCTCCGCGCAAGATTGCTCATAAGTACCTGCCAATTCTGCGTGGCACTATGCCAAATTCCACATTTCCCCATCCGCGACAATGCAACCATCTGAGTTCCGACAAAAAACAAATTATCCACTTGTACTCCCATCGTAAAACATCCCTTCCTGTACGACGTGCCATTTTCATCAATATTCCAAAGTGTAATAACTTCGTCAAAAGTTGAGATGGCTAAAAGTCGCTCTGGTGAACTTTGAGCGCCTTTCGAGTTGATTGAAATGTGCTTTATTGAGGATTTGAGCTTGGGTGAGGTCCAGATTAACGACCAGCCATTGTAATCGCTGGAAAATTCGAGAAATTTGGATTAGAATTCGAATTTCTTGGAAAAAATCCTCAAAAATCAGTTAAAAATTCGAAAAAAATCACCCAGAATCATTAGTTTTTGATTAAAAATTCGCTATTTTTGGTCAAAAATCAATAAAGATAGACGAATTCCACAAGTCTTGTATAACCTGAGCAATCTTGCGCGAGGGGAGCGAGTGTATCTTCCTCTGCGTCTCTAACTCACGAGGAGCTTGTGGCTAGACGGCTAGAGACGCAGAGGGACATACACTCGCTCCGCTCGAGCCGCTTACGCGGAAGATTCCGGGGCGCTTCGCGCGAGATTGCTCAGGCTTGTGGAATTCGGCTATCTCTAACGATTTTTGACCAAAAATCGTAAATTTTCAATCAAAAACTAACGATTCTGGGTGATTTTTCGAGTTTTGAATGAAAATTTCAAGATTTCTAGGCATTTTTCAGCCTATTCTCGGCTTTTCCCATATTTCTAGTCAAAAATCTCACCGATAAACCGATACAAAATTCGCATAAGCCACAACCAGCGAATAATTGTGTGATCTGATCATTCGAACTTTCATCGGCTCTGTGATCGAGTCGATTTTGGCTAACTCGCTTTTCAGCTGCAAAAACTCGCGATTTTCAGCTTAGAAATCAATTTCTGGACCAAAAAACAGCGTTTTCTAGCGAGAAAATCGTGTTTTCCTCAAAAAACCCACAGATTTCAGATTTTCGCCCAAAAAACTCTTCTTCGCCACTTTTCCCTTATCCCAAACGGTGGGTTTCACGGCACTTTCGAATTCCACCGGTATTTCGGGTCGTTCTAAAATGCCGTGAAATAGTACACTTCCACACGAGGAGGCGTCCAATTCTTCGCAAAGTGTCAGGCGGCGGACCAAAGGGGACAGGCCGAAGAATTGGGCTTCGTGTTTTAGGGCTGGAGATGCTGACGTTTCTGGAAGACGAGAAGAAAACTGTGCGAGGGTTGCAGAAATGGGCGGGGCTTGGGAAAAGCTTCAAAATGAGTATAAACAAGGATACCCTTGGGTGAAAAAACTGTGCGAGGGTTGCAAAAATGGGCAAACAGTGCCGCACTGCATTTTGCAAGCCTCGCACAGTTTTTAGACTCATTTTGTAGCGTTTTCCACCAAAAAAATGTATAACCTGAGCAATCTTGCGCGAAGCGCCCCGGAATCTTCCGCGTAAGCGGCACGAGCGGAGCGAGTGTATCTCCCTCTGCGTCTCTAACTCACGGGAGCTTGATGGTTAGACGGCTAGAGATGCAGAGGGACATACACTCGCTCCGCTCGAGCCGCTTACGCGGAAAATTCCGGGGCGCTTCGCGCAAGATTGCTCAGGTTATACAAGGCTTGTGGAATTCGTCTATCTCTAATGATTTTTAGATACCCTTGGGTGAGAAAACTGTGCGAGGGTTGCAAAAATGGACAAACAGTGCCGCACTGCATTTTGCAAGCCCCGCACAGTTTTTCGACTCATTTTGTAGCGTTTTCCCCCCAAAAATTCTCAGATTCTACCTCAAATCCACCTCTTTCGTCCGCAAATAATTCAGCACAACGCGAAAAATCTCGGGATCTCGATCAATAAAAATCGCATCCGTCTCATCGCGCACACTGTGCATCCGCCCACTAATCAGACTCGTGAAAAACGTGTCGGGAATCCAGCTCAACGTGGCGGAACTTGTCGCAAATCGCTGACCGCCCACATTTAGATTGATGATTTTTATCGGCGAATCATCGGACATTTATAGATTTGCACTGTCTGCAAAAATTAGATTTATAGATTTGCACTGTCTGCAAAAATTAGAAGCTTTTTGCGCAAAAATTTGAGGAAAATCGACCACCAACCACGAAAAAAGGAAAAAAAATATTTCGAAAATCTGCCGGCTAAACAACAGGCAAGCGGAGCGTCGTTGTTTTTTTCTCCTTGGAACACATGATGGAGAGAAATGCGATAATGAATAATCATGTGAAACTTATCATAGACATTCTAGCTGGAAGGAAAATGGCTTAATTAATTAATTAGTAATTAATTAATCAATACAATTCTTCCCAGTTTCATCGCTAGTCACAAAATTGTTCAACGCCATTATTTTCGGATTTAGTGCTCCATAATCCAAAGCATAAGATTTTTAGCTTTTGGAATTTCGCAAGATAATTTTTTGAGAGTGTAGCGTTTTGACTGAAATAATTAATTAATTAAATACAATTCGTTTAAGTAACTTACAGCTGTAGGTTCATTTTTGATAAAATCAAGACCAAATACAAAATGCGCATCCTGGTATTCTGATTTGGCTTTTTTGGTCTAGGGTTTGAATCTTGAGCACAAATCATGGTTCCAATTAATAAAGACAATACTATTTGAAACCATAAGCTTCCGGTCACCTAAAAACTCGAAAATGAAATGTAATCCGGAAAAATCCCCAAAAAAAATTAATTTTTCACAAAACCGTGAACGTGTCCTACATTAATTCCACTATAAAAAGGCAAATTCACCGAGGAAAATCAGTTTTCCTCGATTTCTAAACTAAAATGTGGTTTCAAATAGTATTGTCTTTATTAATTGGAACCATGATTTGTGCTCAAGATAATAACCCTCAATGTAGACCAGATAAAGCCAAATCACCATACCACGATGCGCATTTTGTATTTGGTCTTGATTTTATCAAAAATGAACCTACAGCTGTAAGTTACTTGAACTAATTGTATTTAATTAACTAATTAATTAATTAATTATTTCAGTGGAAACGCTACACTCTCAAAACATTAGCTTGCGAAATTCCAAAAGCTAAAAATCTTTTAACATATGCTTTGGATTATGGAGCAAAAAATCCGAAAATGATGTCGTCGAACAATTTTGTGACTAGCGATAAAACTGGGAAGAAGCTCGATAAATTGAACGAAAACCGTAATTTGGGGGGAACTAAATGACATTTTTTTGGGTTTTTAAGCAGAAATATTGGATTTTAATGTTATTCATATGATAGAATGGTCTAAGACGAATAAAATCGTATAAATTTTGATGAGTTTACGTTATCCATAAGTGATTTAGCGACGTTTAGTCGATATTTGGATGCTAAATCACTTATGGATAACGTAAAGTCATCAAAATTTATATGATTCTGTTCGTCTTAGACCATTCTATCATATGAATAACATTAGAACCTAAAATTTCAACTCACTTGCTTAAAAAAACATGAAAATGTCATTTAGTCAATGTCCAATTATAGTTCACACACCACAAGCTTCAGCTGCAAATTATACTTTTTTTAGCCAACAACGACATAGAAGTATGCGATGAGCTCAAAAAGCGAATTAAGGAATTCCGAGGAAGTCCGTTTCTCAATAAACAAGCCAACACAACTTACATCTTGTTGTTAAAACCCGACAAAATTTGTTCAGATTTGAATACATATTTGGATCCAAAAATTGTTCGTATCATTTTCTATAAAGCCCCATCAAATTCATCATTAACTGTGATGAATAGAATCGGAATTGAAGAAATCAATAAAGATGGTAACGCTTTTGTTTTTGAAAACATATTGATTTGTTGGTTTTGTAGATCAAATAGCATCGGAAGGACTTGTGCAAATTGCAAAGAGAATGTGAGTTTGAGCTAACATAAGCTTTCTGGAAAAGTTATGCTAACTTTCTGATGTTTTCAGCACTGCCAAAAGCCTGATTCCACCAATTGATTCCACAAAATCAAAATCGAAATCGAAAAAAAATGGCGATGACCATGCCATGCTATTTTTTATTTCGATTGCCGTTTGCGTTATTTTCCTTCTTGTCTTGATTATTTCGATTACTATTTCCATTTTGAAAAGACGCAAATTGAAAAAATCAAAGAAAGGAGCGAAAAATGTGGAAAATGGTACGGGTAAAACGAAGAAAATGAGCAAAAACAAGGAAAAAGGTAGTCAACAGAGTAAACCAGAAGTTGAAACTGAAGATGCGCCAAAAACCATGTAATTTGTATTCTCTCACCATTTTTCTATCATTTTTGTGAATGAAGTGCTTCTGGAATTTGTTATTTTTGATTTTTGACTGGAAATTTGAAATTTTCAGCCAAAAATACCCTAGAAGCACGATTTTTCTACCCAAAACTCGAATTTCTCCAATTTCCAAATGTAATTTCATTATTTTATATGTAAAAACCTCAATTTTCATTACGAATCGATAAATTTCAGCTGGAAATTCGAGATTTTCAGCCAAAAGTAGCCCTAAAACATTTTTTCCTGCGAAAAAAAACGAAAATTGCATCATTGTGTGCATTTTTCCGTGGCGGTGTTTCGAATGCACACAACGCGAACTACAGTACCCCGAAAAACATTTCAAATTTTTTGTAAAGAATTTCCACAACATCAGCGAATATCAGGGTTCTCTCTAAAAACCCCCTTGGGAGAGCTGTGGAATTTTCACAACACACACAAAAAAAGGGAGGGAATTTGAATCGTTTGTGTGTTGTGGCGCGACGCGGTCTGCGTTGCGTGTTTATTTCGGTGGAGCGCGTGGTACCGATGAGATTTTCGATAATAAAACGTCGACAAATAGATAAAACATTTGCGGGAATTTACGGTCCAATAAAACAAAATTGTGCCAAATCGTTTTTCTCCCGTGAAAACATGATTTTATGAGAAAATTGAGGAGGTGGGGCTGCTTTTCACTGAAATATTTTTGCATAAAAGCCAGTTTGCCATAATGAAAAATATCAAATAAAATCAAAAATGATTGTGAAGATGTTGATTTTGTTTGTGTGCATTCAATTGATGGATTCTTGTCGTTTGAGATGTCGAGAAAGACAATGTGACAATGGTTGGACGTACTACAAAAGAAATACAACTGGGTGGTGCATGAAAATTGTTTCGGTACCAGAAAAATATATGACAAAAAGCGATGGTGTAGCGGCTTGTGCTGATTTGGGAGCTGTTTTAACATCAATCGATGATTCCACAATGAACGATGTGATTAACACTTTGATGATCGCGGCAAATATTCAAAAAGCATCTTGGATTGGTGGAACATTGAAAACTGAGTGCACCTTAACTGAGTGTGGACAAAAAACTGCATATGATGAATGTAAACTAACTGAGACCTGTGGATATAATCGATATATTTGGACTGATAATTTCACAACTTCAAGTTCCGACGAATATATTTTTGATAGGATAAAGAACGTTAATTGGATCGACACAGTGGGTTATTATTATCCATTTTCCGAAATGTGCACATTCACTGTTGGAAAGATTGATGCGTGTGATGCAACCATGTCCCCAAACTCGGCAGTTTGTGGAAAGAAATCTAACAGTTGAACATTTGGATTGTAATTAATAAATCTAATGGGGTGATTCAGGTCGAAAAAAAAAACTAAAAAAAAACATTTTTTTACAAAAAAATTCGATTCAGCAAATGTCAAAAAAACTATATTTTTTTTCTATTTCTCGACATTTTTTGACATTTTTTTTCATTGAAACATTTTCGCTGCGAGATATCTCTCATTTTTGTGTGGAAAAAATATAGTTTTTTGACATTTGCTGAATCAAATTTTTTGTAAAAAAATGTTTTTTTTTAGTTTTTTTTTCGACCTGAATCACCCCATAACATTCAATAAAATCCCCCTGTGTAAACACATTTCGTTCAGAAATATTTTTTTCCCCGATTAGTATACTCCGCCTGAAAAGGGAACAAAATAGCGGGTAGTGGGAAAAAAGTAATTTCATGTTTCCCCATGTAAAATCCTCAATTTTCAGTAGAATTCCATAAATTTCAGCTAGAAATTTATGATTTTCAGCCAAAAACACACCAAAACCTCAATTTTCCCCCAAAAAACATAAAAATTGCATCATTGTGTGCATTGGTGCGTCACGGTGTTTCGAATGCACACAACGCAAACTACAGTACCCCGAAAAATAATTAAAATTTTTTCACTTTAAAATGATGAATTTCAGATGATTTTCAGTTCTAAATATCAGAGATTCACGATTTTTAAGATTTCCCGGTCAATATTCTACCGAAAATCCAAATCCAATTAATAATTGTCAATAAAAATAAATCGGCTGTCTCTGCTTCTCTGCTGCACTCTCTCGCTCTCCGCACACTCTCTCGCCATGGATTTTGAACGAAAACAAGGTCAATTTCCCTTTTTCCGACGACCCCCGAAACAGTTTTCACATTTGAAGGAAAATCTTCATTTTTTTCGTGTTTTTTTTGTGGTTTTGTGGTTTTTTATCGAAAAGCGGATCTTAATTAATTAGTTAATTAAATTTTTGCAGAAAACATGGGAATTTTGAAGAATCCGTTTGGGATTTTTCAAGATTTCCTAGCCAACTGTTTCTATCAATATGGATTATTGATTTGTGCGCGGCCCAGGCTTTTCGCGTTGGGACCCTTGATTTTGACAGTCATTTTTTCTTTCGGAATTTTGAATATGCGAGTTGAGGTAAGTAAAATTTCAGGTTTCAAAATTATCGATTTTTTCCTCCAGGACGATCTTCGCTTCTTATATTCTCCCGAAAATTCATTGTCCAGAGTCGAATATCAAGTTCATAAGGAATTCAGCGGGGATTCTTTGAATAAGTGAGTTTTTTGGAAATATTACATATTGCTCAGGTTAGTTTAACATGAGCAATCCTATTTTCTAGCTTAAAATGAGCAACAATCTTCCAGCTCGTTCGTCTCAATCACAGTTCAATCAAAATCCTCCGACAAAAACCTGCTAACACCTCAAATGGCCAAAAAACTGACAGCTCTGAACAAACATGTGCTCGAAAAAATGGACGTCGAAATTGGCGGGGACCGCGTGAATTTTGGCTCGAAAATCTGCTCGGCAATGAAGAATTGCGAGCTCTCCAACACGATTTTGACAATATTTTTGGACACTTTTTGGAGCGAAAAGTTGAGGAAAGATCCGCGGGTTTCTATCGAATATCCCACCATGAAGTTTTTCGACAATAAATTCTTCCTGCCCACACATTTGTACGGCGTGAAATTGGGTGGTCCGCTAGGAATTGAGAAGGTCGAGCTGGTGCATTTGATCTATCAGATGCCTGATTATGGAATCTATACATCAGAGCAGGTTTCGAAGAGTTTTGAGGTGGCTTTGCGCGGAGTTTTGGAGCAGGATCAGGATTTTGACACGTCGATGTTTAGTTTATCGATTTTGAAGGATGAGATGCAGAAAAACGCGACCTATACGATGCCTTTCATTTCGCTGACAGTCCTGTTGCTTTTGTGCTTCACAGTGGGGTCTTGGTGAGTTTTAGGGGCTCCAAATTGCTCCGAGAGCATCAAAATGAGCCCAAACACTATGCTGCTAGAGAGCATAGGGTTTGAGAGAGCGCAGAGAAGCTAAATGGTTAGAGACGCAGAGGGAGTTACACTCGCTCCGCTCGGGCCGCTTACGCGGAAGATTCCGGGGCGCTTCGCGCGAGACAGCTAGAGAGCATAGGGCCCCTATGATAGGGGTTGAGAGAGTGCAGAGAAGCTAGATGGTTAGAGACACAGAGGAACTAGACGGATAGAGAGTACAAGGTAATCAGAGACACTATGAAGAAAGTTAGAGACGCAGAGGGATCTACATGGCAGAGAGGTTAGACAGCTAGAGAACACGAGGAAGTTAGAGACACAGAGAGGCTAGACAGCTAGAGTGTGAGAGACGCAGAGGGAGTTACACTCGCTCCGCTCGTGCCGCTTGCGCGGAAGATTCCGGGGCGCTCCGCGCAAGATTGCTCAGGTTTAACAAAATTCTGCCACGTGGATTCGGAAGTACAGTAACCCGGATTCAAAAAACGTGGATTTTTTGACGCCAATATCTACAGTACTCTTTCGAAATCGGATTTTTTGCCAAGCATAGAAAATACATATTGAAATTCTAGTTTCTCGAGAAAAATATGTGAAAATTTTGAAACGTAAAAAATTCGGGGGGTGCCGAAAAAGAGGCGGAGCAATCTTGCGCGAAGCGCTCCGGAATCTTCCGCGTGAGCGGCTCGAGCGCGGAAGCGCGAGTGTATGTCCTTTTAAATCCACATGTCAAGAGTACTGTAGGTAGATCAAACCCTATAGTGTTTAGGCTCATTTTGAAGCTCTGAAAAAACCAATTTTCAGCATGACCGATAACTGGGTGACATCAAAACCAATCGAAGCAATGATCGGAATTCTCGTCTCCTCAATGGCTATTGTTTCGGCAGCCGGCCTACTTTTTGCTCTCGGAGTTCCTTTCATCAATCAAGTCACCGTAATGCCATTTATTGCCCTAGCTATTGGTGTTGATGATGTTTATGTAGGTTTTTTTCAGAGAAAACTGCTGGAAATCAGATTTTCAGCACGAAAAATTGCAGGTAATGCTTGGCGCGTGGCAAGACACAAAGAAGACCTACTCACCGGAAAAACGGATGGCTCTAGCGCTCGCGGAAGCGGGTTCCGCAATCACTGTCACCAGCTTAACTTCAGTGTTGAGTTTCGGAATCGGAACCTTCTCCTCAACTCCAGCCATCACCATTTTCTGCAAGTTCATTTGTGTTGCAATCGGTTTCGATTGGTTCTATCAACTCACATTTTTTGCGGCTGTTATGGCGATGGGAGCAAAAAGAGAAGCCGCCGGATATCATTGTGTTTTTGTTTGGAGAAGATGTGAGAAGAGTGAGATTGAGAAGGGCAAAAGTGAAAAGGCCATTTCACCTACACGATATTTTTTTGAGAATATTTTTGCGCCTTTTATATGCAAACCGGTGGTGAGGATTGGAATGGTGAGTTGCGGAAGGCGGAAGCGGAAGGGGGCCGCAAGATTCCTCAGGCGAACCCAGATTCCAGAGGGACATACACTCGCTTCGCTCGAGCCGCTCGCGCGGAAGATTCCGGGCGCTTCGCGCAAGATTGCGAGAAATCATAGGGGAATGAGAGTGTAGAGAAGCTAGAGGGTTAGAGACACAGAGATATTAGACAGTTAGAGATGCTAGAGGGTTAGAGACGCAGAGGGACTTACCCTCGCTTTGCTCGAGCCGCTTGCGCGGAAGATTCCGGGGCGCTTCGCGCAAGATAGCTAGAGAGCATAGAGAAGGAAGAGATCACAGAGAAACTAGATAGCTAGACGGTCAGACACTTCTAAATAGCTAGAGACGCAGAGGGACCTACACTCGCTCCGCTCGTGCCGCTTACGCGGAAGATTCCGGGGCGCTTCGCGCAAGACAGCTAGAGCATAGGGGATTCAGAAAAGCTAGAGGGCTAGAGATCACTAGAGACGCACAGGGAATTCGGATTGCTAGAGAGCATAGAGAAGCTAGACGGCTAGAGTCGCTATACAACATAGAGAAGGAAGAGAGGGCAGAGAATATAGGCGACCGGAGAAGACGTGGAAGCTTGATGGATAGACAGCTAGAGACGCACAGGGAATTAGAAGTGCTAGAGAGCGTAGAGAAGGTAAGACAGCTAGAAACAGTTAGAGACACCTACATATACGGCTAGAGACAATGAAAAAATTAGAGATACAGAGATACTAGATAGCTAGAGACAATTAGACGGCTAGAGACAGCTAGAGACGTAGAGGGAAATACACTCGCTCCGCTCCGCTTCGAGATTCCGGGGCGCTTCGCGCAAGATTGCTCATATTACAAGCCTAGCCATGCTTGGTGTCAAAAAATACCGATTTTTTCACAGCTCGCCCTCTACATTATCTACATAGCTGTGTCATTCTACGGATGTGCTCAACTCGAGCCAAATTTGACGCCATCAACACTAGTCGTCGATGATTCACCCCTAATTCCATATTTACATTTGGCCGAGAAGAAAATCTGGGCCGAAGGTCTAATTGGACGGATTTATGTGAATCGAGCACCGGATTTCAGGTAAAATTCGAGATTTTCAGCCAAAAATACCCTAGAAACAGTGTTTGTCAAGGAAAACTCGAAAAAATGGTTTTCCAGGGCAAAATTCATAATTTTTCATGTAAAATTACCTATTTTCATTTGAAACTCATTAATTTCAGCTAAAAAGTCGAGATTTTCAGCCGAAAATACTCCAAGAACACTATTTTCATGGAAAACTCGACTTTTCGCTGAAAATTCGGTTTTTACTGTTTTCCAACTGAAAATTTATGATTTTCCATGTAAAACTAACAATTTTTAGTAGAAAATCACTTATTTCAGCTGAAAATTCGTGATTTTCAGCCAAAAACACCCCAAAAACCCAATTTTCCCCCAAAAAACAAAAATTGCATCATTGTGTGCATTTGTGCGTCGCGGTGTTTCGAATGCACACAATGCAAACTACAGTACCCCCAAATATTGAAAAATAATTTTTTTTGAAGGGAATGCAGGGTTTTTGGTTGAAAATTCAAGGATTTTCAGCAAAAAATATATTGTTTAGTAGCAAATTTCCAGCCGCCAACCGGAACTCGTCGAAAAAATGCTGAAAATGGTCGAGGAATTGGAATCAACCCCGTTTTCCATGGGTCCGAATTCGACGAATTTTTGGCTGAGGGATTTCAATAATTATAGGCAGTTTTTTGCGCAAGATGATGCAAAATTCTATGAGACACTGAAGAGCTTTTTGCAGGTAAAAAAACAAAAAAGTTCGCCGCGGGCAAAACTCGAACCCTTCACCTTGCGCGTGCTGCCAGCGCCTTAGACCACTCGCACGTTTGCGCATTTGGTGTGCGCTGGGTGAATTGTCAATAAATGATCGCCATCTTTTTTGCAGGTCTCATTCAACAATCACTGGGAAACCGATCTCGTCTGGGGACCATCGGAAACCGCCTCAAAAACCCCCCGAGTCCAAAAATTCGTGCTAACCACCGCCTTCAAAATCCCAAATTGGAATGTTCGAACCTCGCTGCTGCTGAATTGGCGAAATATCACCGGAAGATATCCCGAATTCGAGGCGTTGGTTTTCGACGAAAACAACTTCTATAGTGATCAAATGTTGGAGCTGCAGAGCACCATTTTATCGTCGCTGGGAACCGCGATATTGACGCTGATTACTGGTGAGTTTAATGAGATTGCTCAGGTTAAGAAGAGCTTCAAAATGAGCCCAAACACTATGGGGTTTGATCTACCTACAGTACTCCTATTGCCACGTGGATTTAAAGGGACATACACGGAAGGTTCCGGGGCGCTTCGCGCAAGATTGCTCAGGTTAAGAGCTTCAAAATGAGCCCAAACACTATAGGGTTTGATCTACCTACAGTACTCCTATTGCCACGTGGAAAATCCGAATTTTTTAAATCCAAATAGGCCTGGATTACTGTATGTTCCTTTAAAATTAAAAAAAAATTTAAAAAAGTTAAAATTAAAAAAAAATTTGAATAAAAAAAATAAAAAAAATAAATTTAAAAAAAAATAAATTTAAAAAAAAATTTAAATTTAAAAAAATTGAAAATTAAATAAAAAAAATTTAAAGGGACATACAGTACTCCAGGCTTATTTGGATTCAAAAAATGCGGATTTTCCACGTGGCAAGAGGAGTACTGTAGGTAGATCAAACCCTAGTGTTTGGGCTCATTTTGAAGCTCTTAACCTGAGCAATCTTGCGCGAAGCGCTCCGGAATCTTCCGCGGAAGCGGCACGAGCGCGGAAGCGCGAGTGTATGTCCCTTTAAATCCACGAGGCAAGAGGAGTACTGTAGAAAATCCACGATTTTTTGAATCCAAATAAGCCTAGGAGTACTGTAGGTAGATCAAACCCCATAGTGTTTAGACTCATTTTGAAGCTCTCGAAAAATGCCACGTGGCAAACTACCGTACCACTTACAGTATGCATTCTGTTCATCGCCGAATCCTCAATCGTCTTCTGGGTTGTGTGTACTTTGATCTCAATGGACATCGGAACCGCCGGTTTTCTGTCACTTTGGGGCGCCGATTTGGACCCGACTACCGTAGTCAACATTCTGATGTCAATCGGACAATGCATCGATTTCGCCACACACGTCGGATATCGCATTTATAGATCGGAGAAGGCGGATCCGGATGAGAGGTTTGGCTGAAAATTTGGCTGAAAATGGCGGATTTTGAGCTGAAAATCATGAAAATTGATGAATTTTAAGCCAAAATTCGAGATTTTTGGCTGAAAATTCCGGATTTTCACCCCGAAATTTGCAATTTTCAGAATCAAAGATGCGATGGGGGCCATCGGATGGCCTGTGGTTCAGGCCGGATGTTCTACACTTTTAGGTGAGTTAGGCCTGGGCTTAGGCCCGGTTTTGACAGGCCTAACCATATTTAGGTTCAAAATGCTCCAAATTTCATGATTTTTTCACCTACAGTACCCCCCGGATTACTGTACCTACAGTACCCCCACAAATTTTCCAGCAATAATCGTGATGATGTTGGTCCCCTCGTCAGCAGTCCGACAATTCGCTCGAACCAGTATTCTAGTGGTCGCCACCGGCTTCTTTCACGGTCTCCTAATTTTGCCGATCATCATTCGAAGTTTCGCCACCAATGCCAAAGCACACGTTCCAACTCATCCACATTGAATGTTTTTTTTGGCTGAAAATTCTGAAATTTTGGCTGAAAATGGTCAATTTTTGGCTGAAATTCGTGATTTTTTGAACATTTTCCAGGTTTTCCGGGTTGAAATGAAGCATTTTGAGCTGAAATTCGATGATTTTCAGAAAAATCTTAATCTGAGCAATGTATACTGTAGAAAATCCACGATTTTTGACACCAAACAAGCCTGGATTACTGTATGTCCCTTTAAAACCCCCTACAGTATTTAGGCTCATTTTAAAGCTCTCATTTTCAGATTTTGAGCTGAAATTCAAAAAATTTCAGAGAAATCTTAATCTGAGCAATGTATACTGTAGAAAATCCACGATTTTTGAGACCAAACACGCCTGGGTTACTGTATGTCCCTTTGAATCCACGTGGCAGGGGATTACTGTAGGTAGATCAAACCCCATAGTGTTTGGGCTCATTTTGAAGCTCTCATTTTCAGATTTTCAGATTTTAGGCTGAAATTCGAAAAATTTCCAGAAAAATCTTAACCTGAGCAATGTATACTGTAGAAAATCCACGCTTTTTGACACCAAACAAGCCTGAGGATTACTGTATGTCCCTTTGAATCCACGTGGCAGAAGGAGTACTGTAGGTAGATCAAACCTCATAGTGTTTGGGCTCATTTTGAAGCTCTTCTAACCTGAGCAATCTTGCGCAAAGCGTCGCGGAAGCTTCCGCGTAAGCGGAACGAGCGCGGAAGCGCGAGTGTATGCGCCTTTGAATCCACGCGGCCCCACCGTGTTTGGGCTCATTTTGAAGCTCTCATTTTCAGATTTCGAGATTTTGAGCTGAGATTTTCAGATTTTGAGAAAAAAAGTTATCATAACTCCCTTTTTTCCCAGGTTTTTTGTGTTGAAAAAACATTATTGCGCCTGATTTTTCCCTCCGAAATTCTCCATGACAACCGAAAAATAAGAAAAAAAATAGGGTTTCGCGTGTGAGAAAATGTGATTTTCCTGACACTTTTTTTTCCGGAAAAAAATTGGATTTTCAGATTTTCAGCTTTTTTTCTTGAGGCTGAAAATTCTGAAAAAGCTGAAAATCAGTAGCATTGCTCATATTAATCATCAAAAAAAGTTTTTTGCGATTTCTCAAGGGAAATGTGTCATGTCTAGTCATAGTCATTTTCAGCATCTCGAAAATTTGGCTGAAAAATCTGAAAATTTTGAGCTCTGGAATTAGATTTTCAGAATTTTCAGCCGAAATCTAAAAATATTTTTTTTTTTGCACGAAAAAAATTCATTTTTAATTTTAAGCTTCACTGATTTGAAAATTTCAGAAAAAAAATTTTTTTTTCTGAAAAAAAATAAATTTTCAGCGGAAATTACTTTACTCATGACAAATAGACCTATAATTTCCGGTCAGACATTTTTTTTTCAAAAAAAAAAAAAAAAAAAAATTTTTTGTTTTTTTTCGGCTGAAAATCAAATTGCCTCTCAAAGTACACATTTTCTGCACTTTTCTCTAATTCCAGACATTTTCAGACAAGTTATGGTAAATTATTTCGAAGTTACGGCAAGTTTGGTGCGCTCCAGAAGCAGTAAACGTAAAGAGCGGTGAGTAAAAAGCGCAGCAAAAAAACCAAAAAAAAATCTGCCCCATGCCAGGCTCGAACTGGCGACCTTGGCATACCCTATAGACTATAAGTACCATGCGCTAACCGACTGCGCCAATGGGGCTCGCTGGTCGCCCGGCCTTAAATGGCATATTTAAACTCGCTGTGTTTTCTTGCAGCGGATTCGAGAATAAGCTGGCTCAACAGGAGAACTCGGTGCTGAATCAGACGTTCACATTGGACACCAACAAAGCTGAGAGACTTCGCGAATTCCGCATTGAAGGTGATATATTTTCTCTGTGTCTCTCTCAATTTCCCACACTCTCTCGCCTAATTAATTAGGCCAAAAATCATTAGAGACTCTTGATTTTCAGCCAAAAAAAAAATAAAAAAATTTTCAGACGCTATCAACGGATTTTTGCCACGTGCCAGAAGTAGTGGACCACGTCACAATATGTTGCATCAGACGAATTCGCAAGGCGAGGAGAATGTTAGAAGGTGGGTAAGGGGGACTAGGAATCCGGGTTTGGGATTCTAGGCCACGCGAGGTCTAGATAATGTTAAAGGGATGGCCTAGGATTCTGGGTTTCGGATTCTAGGCCATGATTTTCTAGCTGTCTGCGCTCTATGAGATTTCTACAGTCTCTAAGGTCTTGGTTTCTCTAGGCTCTCTCAAACCCTCGTGATCTCTAACTTGAATATTTTCTCTGGTTTCTCTAGGCTCTCCTTGAAACGAGATTTTCCTGTCTAGCTTCTCTGCGCTCTCTCAAAACCCTGTGATCTTTCTCTAGCTTCTCTGGTCTCTCTTGAATTCCTACACTCTCCAACTGTATGCGCTCTCTTAGATTCCTATACTCTCTAAAGTCCTGGTTTCTCTGCACTCTCTCAAAACCCTGTACTCTCTAACCCTATGATCTTTTCTCTAGCTTCTCTGCACTCTCTTGTATTCCTATACTATCTAACTCTCTAACTGTCTGGACTATCTTCAAAACCCTGTACTCTCTAACCCTATGATCTTTCTCTAGCTTCTCTAGACACTCACAAAACACTGTGATCTCTAACCCGGATATTTTTCTCTGGTTTCTCTGCGCTCTCTTCTAAACCTCATGCTCTCTAACCCGATGATTTTTCTCTAGCTTCTCTGCACTCTCTCACTCTCTCTCTCTAACCTTTTTCAAAACCTCCCCCTATAATTACCATTTCCGAAATGCCGTGTGCTCCATTTTTGTTGGCTCCGCCCCCAATTTTTGCTCAAAAATTTTTTTCCCACAAACAAATTTTTTGTTTTTTTGACTTATTCTAACTCAAAAAAAAAATGACGACGACGACGAAAACAAAGAATTTCGACAAAAGGCTGTGAGTTTTTTGCTGAAAATTTGACTGAAAATCTGAAATTTTGGCTGAAAATGAGCCACGTCATAGCTCAATTTTTGGGGGGTGAAAATTGAATTATCACACGGCATTTTGAGCAGGTGCTCTCTCTCTAGAAAATTTATTTTATCGACTTTTTTTTCATTTTTTTCAAAAAAAAAATGAACAAATCCTCTAGTCACGGTCATTTGGAGACACTAAATCTGCCCGAAATTCTACCCAGGTAGGTCAAAAATTCGGGCGCCAAAAACTACAGTACTCCCCAAGTTCTGGCGGTCATTTTGATGCCGAATTCAAGCTATTTTTGATCTACAGTAATCCTGGAGGAAAATTTTTGAATTCAAATTTTTTCCCAGGAAATTCTTCAATTTTTGGACCCTACAGTTTTCCGGGATGTTTTTTGAACCCAAAAAAAAAGCAGCAGGTGAAAATTTCTGTTATTTTGGTGTTGAACTTTGAGGGCAACAAGTTTGGAGTACTGTAGATTACTGTAGATGTAGATCAAATTTAGGTTCAAAATGATCTACAAAATTTCCGGATTACTGTAGCTTTTGACCCAGAAATTCTAGGTTACTGTAGATCAAAATTGGGCTTAAAATGATCATGAGAAGCTCAGGAGTACTGTAGATTTTGGCCCAGAAATTCTAGGTTACTGTAGATCAAATATAGGTTCAAAATGATCTGCAGAACTTCAGGAGTACTGTAGATTTTCTACCAGAAATTCTAGGTTACTGTAGATCAAATTTAGGTTCAAAATGATCTACAGAATTTCAGGAGTACTGTAGATTTTGGCCCAGAAATTCTGGGTTACTGTAGATCAAAAATAGGTCAAATTTAGGTTCAAAATGATCTACAGAACTTCAGGAGTACTGTAGATTTTAGGCCAGAAAATCTAGGTTACTGTAGATCAAAAATAATGCAAAAATAGGTTCAAAATGATCTACAGAACTTCAGGAGTACTGTAGATCAAAAATATGTCGAATTTGGGCTTAAAATGATCATGAGAAGCTCAGGAGTACTGTAGGTTTTGGTCCGGAAATTCTAGGTTACTGTAGATCAAATTTAGGTTCAAAATGATCTACAAAATTTCCGGATTACTGTAGATTTTGGCGCAGAAATTCTGGGTTACTGTAGATCAAAAATAGGTCAATTTTGGGCTTAAAATGACCGGAAAAAGCTCAGGAGTACTGTAGATCTAAAATTTTTCGAAAATAGGTCAAAATTGGGCTTAAAATGACCGTAAACCCCTCAGGAGTACTGTAGAACCCCAAATTTTTTGCAGAGTTCGCTCCGAGACCACCTCGCTCTTCTCCACCACCTGTAAACTGCCCTCATTGGACCAAAAAGCGTGTCTGGAGAAGAAGACGTGCACAATTCGACCGTGGAGTCGAACCCAGGATGAACTTCGTAAATTCAAGGAGACTTTGAGTAACTCGGCTGCGAGTTCAGCTAAAATTGAACAGAATCCGGTCAAAAATAATTGAGAATTTTCAGGTTTCCCGGTGATTTTTTTGAATAAAAATTCGAATTTTTTGGCGCTAAAATGAGCAATGGTGTCAGAAAAACTTCATAATTTAAAAAAACATTCGAAAAAAAGGATCAAAACGGGCTTCTGGTATCGGAGCAGTCCTCTTTGGTGGCACACCAAACTCTTCCGCCCTGACACACACATTCGGTACAGTACTCGTTTTCCGGAAGCCATTTTGCGCCTTCCGGACGCCACAAACCGTTGGAATTGCAGCCGTGAAGGCGAGAACCGCGGTGACGGCTGGAAATTTAAATTTGGGATTTTTTGAGACTAGATAAGCCTGGGTTTTGGGCCTGAGCCTAAATGAGCCTGGATTTAGGAAAAGAGCCCAGATAAGCCTAGTTTTGGTCCTGAAAATTGGGGATTTTTTGAGACTAGATAAGCCTGGGTTTTGGGCCTGAGCCTAAATGAGCCTGGATTTAGGAAAAGAGCCCAGATAAGCCTAGTTTTGGTCCGGAAAATTGGGGATTTTTTGAGACTAGATGAGCCCAGATTTCAGGCCTGAAAACCCTTGATTTAGGCCTAGAAATTTTAGATTTTTAGAGCCTAAATAAGCCTAGTTGTGGTCCAGAAAATCCCAAATTTTTGAGTCTAAGTAAGCCTGGATTTGAGGCCTGACAAGCCTGGATTTTAGGCCTAAACATTCCGGATGTTTTGTGTCTAAATAAGCCCATGTAAGCCTAGATCTAAGGCCTAAATTAGGCACAGTTTCAGCCTAAACATTCCGGATTTTCAGGGCCTAGATAAGCCTGAATTTGAGGCCTGAAAAGCCTAGATTTCAGGCTTCAATGAACATAGCTAAAAACCTCAAATTCCAGAATACCCAGAGCCTAATTTTGACCCTAAATCCAGATTTTTCGAGCCCAGACCAGGCCTAAACAAGCCCAGGCCCTTTCCAGGCCTACCCCCACAGTATTCGGTATCATTCGACTCCAAATCTCCCCCAGAATCTAACTAACCTCCTCAAAATCCGATCCAACATCGTCGGACACACATCATCACAACACTTGTTCCATTTTCCCAAATCCATCGCCTCCAACATTTCACACTTCTCATACAATTTCTTATCCGTCCCTCCTGGATACACAAAAACATCGCGTTGTACTCGATCAATCTCATCACCATTATCACAAATGATTCTAGCCAGGGTGACTTTTTTGATCTCGCGAAGTTGATTCGGGGTGAACACGCCCTCTTTCTCGTACCAAAACCTGTCGCCATCTCGCAATTTTTTGAATTGTTCTCCAATTATACACGCAAAAGTCTCGCCAAAAAGCGCATTTTCCAGCTTTTCCTCAACAATTCCACCAACCCATAAATCGATATTCTCTGAAAATTTCAGCAAAATTATTCCAGAAAAAATAAAAGTCGCTCAGCATAGTTAAAAGTTGGCATCAGCATAGTTCAGCCGAAAGATGGTAAACATTCATCGCGCTCTCTCATTTCTCCCCTTTTCCATCTCTCCCCCTTTTCTCATTTCCCTTTTATATATGCCTATTTCATGCAGCCGACGTCTCACGGGCAGCGCGCTCTCCCATCTTCTCTGTGCGCTAGGCTCCGCCCCTTTTTCAATTTCGCCGCGTTTTCAAAGATTTCAACGGGGTTTCCGGGGTTTTCGGGGGCGCTGATCACTTACCTGGTACTCCGTAGAGTCCCTGAAGCTTCTGAAGCACCGAATCATCTTTGATATACGGTTTCATGTCGGAAAATGAGCTTGGAATTGATAGATTGCAGAATTTGCGGTATTCGGTGTAGCTTGGTAGACCGTGATCGCGAGATCTTTGAATATTCATGACAGCCAGATCCAGGGCGACCTGAGATTGACGTGTTTTTTGTAGCTTGGCGCATTTTTAGAAGCTTCTGGACTTACCTCATGTCCCTTCATGAAAAGTTTCTCGATAAGTTCCATATTTAAAAGTTGGCTGGGCATTGGATGTTTCAAAGGGCTGGCAAATAATCCACGTATCAGGGGGTCGACGCCGCCTTGAGTTAGCACAAGTTCGGGGGTGAAGAAGGCCTGGAAATTGCGGAGGGAGGTTGACTGACGCATATTTTGTGGCTTCTAGATTCACATTTTTTGGAATTCGCGAATTCTGAACCTCAAAAATCCAAAATTCCAAAATTTTGGCACAAAAAAGCCTACAGTACTTCTCGAAAATTCCACGTGGCAAAAGTCAAATTTTAGCTCAATATTTCCATTTTTAAAGGATCTAGGTTAACATGAGCAATCCTGTATTTTTCCATTTTTAAAGTGTGCTCAAAGCCACGTGGATTTGCTTGCGCATTTTTGGTAGATTCTAAATTTGCTGACGCATTTCTGGTAGCTTCTAAATTTGCTGACGCATTTCTGGTAGCTTCTAAATTTGCTGACGCATTTCTGGTAGCTTCTAAATTTGCTGACGCATTTTGGATAGCTTCTCTAGGCGCTGACCCTTAACAAAATGCTTCTCAAGGGTTGGCTGCTTGTCAAGAGTGTTCTCTAGGAGTCAACCCTTGACAAGATCATTTTCTCGCAGCTAACCCTTAACAAGAGGTTTCTCAAGGGTTGATTGCTTGTCAAGAGGCTTCTCAAGGCGCTAGTCCTTGACACAAGCTTTCCATAGGTGCGAGCCCTTAACAAGAGGCTTCTCAAGGGTTGGCTGCTTGTCAAGAGTGTTCTCAAGGCGCAAGCCCTTGACAAGATCATTTTCTTGCAGCTAACCCTTAACAAGAGGTTTCTCGAGGGTTGGTTGCTTGTAAAGAGTGTTCTCAAGGCGCTAGTCCTTGACAAGACGATTTTCTCGCAGCTAACCTTAACAAGAGGCTTCTCAAGGGTTGGCTGCTTGTCAATAGTGTTGTCAAGGCGCGATCCCTTGACAAGATCATTTTCTTGCAGCGAACCCTTAAAGACACATCAGCCACTGGAAAAAACAGATTTCGCGCAATATTTTTCAAATGACAAAACAGCATGTGCGCTCTGTTGCACACACGTCTGTGTATTTCTCTCGGAGAATATTTATTGTTTTTTTTTCGAGGATTTCGTTTGTTTGTAGTTTATGAATCAGAACGCCAATTTCATCAGGATGTCTTGTGCTGATCTGAAAGCCCGTCTAAAACTGCCCATTTCGCTGTGAATAGATAGTCATGAAAATGAGAAACCGAAGAGGCATAGGCGGTGAAAGGGAAAATGCACACAAACTTGCAAACACACATTTTCAATTTGAGACTTGGCGTTTTTGAGATTGATCGTTTTCGTCTCATTCTGAACCAATTTCATTGATCAATATATTAATCGAAGCAGAATTTTACAGAGAAGAATTTTATTTTTATGGATTTCTACATTTCGAGTTATTTCAACAAATTTCTGGCTGAAATCAGATTTTTCTGAATTTTTTTTGACATTTTCGATGAATTCTGTTCCTCGACAATCCAAGTTAATGGAATTCGACCATGCAATCTGATTTTCAACTCTGGAGCACACGATTTTTGGCTGAAATTTAAGCTTTTCGTTATTTTGAGGGTTTTGGGAGATTTATTTCGAATTTTTTCGAGGTTTTTGATTAATTTGGTGCTGGAAGTTTCTTGCACAGGCAATAACGGAAGGATCCATAATGTGCACCTTATGGATCCATCACCTCGAGGGGGCTTGATGGATCCATAATGGATCCATTATGGATCCAGTATGGATCTATTATGGACACAGGCAATAACGGAAGGATCCATAATGGATCCATTATGGATCCATCAAGCCCCCTTGAGGTGATGGATCCATAAGGTGCACATTATGGATCCTTCCGTTATTGCCTGTGTTGACAATCCAAGTTCACGGAATTCGACCATCCAATCTGATTTTCAATTCTGGAGCACACAATTCTTGCTGAAATTTAATTTTTCTGAGATTTTTTAGGGGTTTCTGAGATTTTTCGAAGTTTTACATCAATTCAGTGTTGAAATTGGACTTTTCACGATTTTTGAGAGGTTTTGGTGATTTTTTTCAAAATTGTCTGTCAATTAATTGCTGGAAGTAGGTCGACAACATAATTTCCTAGAATTCAACCATCCAATTCGATCTTCAACTCCGGATCACTGCATTTTGGGCTGAAATTCAACGTTTTTGGTTTTTAGAGGGAATTAGAAGATATCATCAAAATCTTGATTCGGTTCAGATTACATAATCGCTTGATATCCGGCGTATACAACTTTCCGGCGGTAATTCCTGCAGCGAATATGGCATAAAACTCTTTGGAGTATGTAAATTTTTTATTGCTTGTTGTCGGTTTTAAACAAAAATCGCATTTCTCCATCTTTTGTGAAATGAAAACAGTTCAAAACATGAAAAATCGGGAAAAGACGAAGTAAAAATTGGAAAATTGAACAAAAATAAAAAAAATAAATAAAAGGAATACGGTACACAAAAGTGTCACGGAGTGTGTGCAAACACCGTCAAAAAAATTCCCGTCGGCTGAGCGTTTTCAAAAACAATTATTTTTTTTTTTTTACTTTTGCCAGGCTCAAAATTTTTTCTTTATTTTTATGTATTTCGATTCCTTAGAACATGTTATGAAAGAACAACAACACCATTTCTGACTCATTTCCAGTGGCTGATGTGTCTTTAAGAGCGTCAAAATGAGTCTACCTACAGTACTTCTCATGCCACGTGGATTTAAAGGCACATACAGTAATCCAGGCTTATTTGGTTTCAAAAAACGTGGATTTTCTACAGTACTTCAGAAATTTAAAGGAACATTGAATCCAAATAAGCCTGAATTACTACTGTATGTGCCTTTAAATCCACGTGGCAAAAGGAGTACTGTAGAAAATCGACGTTTTTTGAGACTAAATAAGCCTGGATTACTGTATGTGCCTTTAAATTTTAAATTTAAAATTGATTTGTTTTTTAACTTTAATTTTTAAATTTAATTTTTTTTAAATTTTCAATTTTAAAGGGACATACAGTAATCCAGGCTTATTTGGATTCAAAAAATGCGGATTTTTCAAAAAAAAAAAGGGCAAAAGGAGTACTGTAGGTAGATCAAACCCCATAGTGTTTGGGCTCATTTTGAAGCTCTTCTTAACCTGAGCAATCTCATTAAACTCACCAGTAATCAGTGTCAAGATCGCGGTTCCCAGCGACGATAAAATGGTGCTCTGCAGCTCGAGCATCTGATCACTATAGAAATTATTCTCGTCGAATACGAGCGCCTCAAATTCGGGATATCTTCCGGTTATATTTCGCCAATTCAACAACAGCGAGGTTCGAACATTCCAATTCGGGATTTTGAAGGCGGTTGTGAGCACGAATTTTTGGACTCGGGGGGTTTTTGAGGCGGTCTCCGATGGTCCCCAGACGAGATCGGTTTCCCAGTGATTGTTGAATGAGACCTGCAAAAAATTGCGCATTTTTTGACACCAAATAAGCCACGTGGCGCCAAAAGCCACGTGGATTGAGAAAAAAAACGCGAGCGCATCATTTATCGACAATTTACCCAGCGCCCACCAAATGCACACATGTGCGAGTGGTCTAAGGCGCTCGCGCCGCGCGCAATGTCAAGGGTTCGAGTTTTGCCCGCGGCGAACTTTTTTTTTTCTCACCTGCAAAAAGCTTTTGAGTGTCTCATAGAATTTTGCATCATCTTGCGCAAAAAATTGTCTATAATTATTGAAATCCCTTAGCCAAAAATTCGTCGAATTCGGTCCCATGGAAAACGGGGTTGATTCCAATTCCTCGACCATTTTCAGCATTTTTTCGACGAGTTCCGGTTGGCGGCTGGAAATTTGCCAAATTTTGATACTAAACAAGCCCGGGGGCCCAGTTTCAGGCCCGGAAAAGCCCCCCACCTACCTGAAATCCGGTGCTCGATTCACATAAATCCGTCCAATCAGACCTTCGGCCCAGATTTTCTTCTCGGCCAAAAGCAAATATGGAATTAGGGGTGAATCATCGACGACTAGTGTTGATGGCGTCAAATTTGGCTCGAGTTGAGCACATCCGTAGAATGACACAGCTATGTAGAGAATGTAGAGAGCGAGCTGTGAAAAAATCGGGATTTTTTGACACCAAACATGGCTAGGGTACTGTAGGGCGTCCCTAGCTGTCTAATCACTCTGCGTCTCTAGCTTCCCCATAACCTCTAGCCGTCTAGGTGTCTCTAACTGTCTCTAGCTATCTAGTTTCTCTGCGTCTCTAGCTCTCTGATGCCTTCTCTGCGTCTTTGATTTTCCCCCATTGTCTCTAGCTATCCCTAACCTATCCCTAACCGTCTGTGCTCTCTCAAATCATTATACTATCTAGCTCTCTGATCCTCTGCCGTCTCTCAAAACTCTGTACTCTCTAGCAGTCTAGTTTCTCTGCGTCTCTAAATTTCTCACTGTCTCTAGCTCTCTAGCTGTCTAACCTCTCTAGCCGTCTAGCTTCTCTGCGTCTCTAATTTTCCCATTGTCTCTAACTGTCTAACCTTCTCTGCGCTCTAGCACTCCTAATTCCCTCTGCGTCTCTAACTGTCTAGTCTTCTCTGGTCGTCTCTAGCTTCTCTGCGTCTCTAACATCTACTATTCTCTCTAGCAATCTCGAGCGAAGCGAGTGTATGTCCCTTTAAATCCACGTGGCAAAAGGAGTACTGTAGGTAGATCAAACCCTATAGTGTTTAGGCTCATTCTGAAGCTCTTAACCTGAGCAATCTCGCGCAAAGCGCCCCGGAATCTTCCGCGTAAGCGGCACGAGCGGAGCGAGTGTGTTTCCCTCTGCGTCTCTAGCTATCTAGCCGTGTCTAGCCGTCCAACGGTCTCTAGCCGTCTAGTCTTCTTTGGTCGCCTATATTCTCTGCGTCTCTAACCGTCTAGCCTCTCTGCACTCTCTCCAAAACCTATGCTCTCTAGCAATCTCACGCGAAGCGCCCTGGAATCTTCCGCGTAGCGGCTCGAGCGCGGAAGCGCGAGTGTATGTCCCTTTGAATCCACGTGGCAAAAGGAGTACAGTAGAAAATCCACGTTTTTTGAGACCAAAAATGCATGGGGTACTACTGTATGTCCCTTTAAATCGGTAGATCAAACCCTATAGTGTTTGGTCTCATTTTGAAGCCCTCAAAATCCACTCACCATTCCAATCCTCACCACCGGTTTGCATATAAAAGGCGCAAAAATATTCTCAAAAAAATATCTGGTCGGTGAAATGGCTTTTTCACTTTTTCCCTTCTCAATCTCACTCTTCTCACATCGTTTCCAAACAAAAACACAATGATATCCGGCCGCTTCTCTTTTTGCTCCCATCGCCATAACAGCCGCAAAAAATGTGAGTTGATAGAACCAATCGAAACCGATTGCAACACAAATAAACTTGCAGAATATGGTGATGGCTGGAGTTGAGGAAAAGGTTCCGATTCCGAAGCTTAACACTGAAGTTAAGCTGGTGACAGTGATTGCGGAACCGGCTTCCGCGAGCGCTAGAGCCATCCGTTTTTCCGGAGAATAGGTCTTCTTTGTGTCTTGCCATGCGCCAAGCATTACCTGCAATTTTTCATGGCTGAAAATCAGTGATTTCTTGATTTTCAGCTCAAAATTTAGGCCTTAAAACATATTTTTCTACAGTAATCCGGTTGATCCATTTTTTTGGAATTTGTGGCACAATTTTCTACAGTACTCTTTGAAGAGTTTCTAGACTGAAAATTTGTGCTGAAAATCATGAAAACACTAATTTTCAGTTATTTTCAGCAATTTTACGAGATTCAGCACAAAATTTGAGCGTAGAAACTTTTTAAAAGGTACTGTAGAAAATTGTGCCGAAATTTCCAAAAAAAAAATGGATCAACTGGAAAAAGGCTTTCTAGACTAAAATTTTGTGCTGAAAATCATGAAAGCACTAATTTTCAGCGATTTTCAGATATTCCATGATTTTCAGTACGAAATTTGAGCCTAGAGACTCTTCAAAAGGTACTGTAGAAAATTGTGCCGAAAATTCCAAAAACATGGATCAACCATAATTTTGTGCTGAAATATTGTTCTAGACTCAAATTTCGTGCTGAAAATCGTGAAAAGCATGATTTTCAGCGATTCTACGATTTTCAGCTCAAAATTTGAGCCCAGAAACATTTTTTTTCGACAATAAACTAGTTGATCCATTTTTTCGGAATTTTTGGCACAATTTTCTACAGTACCTTTTGAAGAGTTTCTAGGCTCAAATTTTGTGCTGAAAATCGTGAAAACACTAATTTTCAGTGATTTTCAGCAGCTTCTTCTAAAAAATCCAAATAAAAAACCCACATAAACATCATCAACTCCAATAGCCAGGGCAATAAATGGCATCACGGTGACTTGATTGATGAAAGGAACTCCGAGAGCAAAAAGTAGGCCGGCTGCCGAAACAATAGCCATTGAGGAGACGAGAATTCCGATCATTGCTTCGATTGGTTTCGATGTCACCCAGTTATCGGTCATGCTGCAAAATCGGGTTTCAGATTTTTTCAGAGCTTCAAAATGAGCCTAAACACTATGGGGTTTGATCTACCTACAGTACTCCTTCTGCCACGTGGATTTAAAGGGACATACACTCGCTTCGCGCGAGACAGCGAGAGAGCATGGGGGTTTAGAGAGTGCAGAGAAGCTGGACAGCTAGAGACGCAGAGGGACATACACTCGCTTCACTCGTGCCGCTTACGCGGAAGATTCCGGGGCGCTTCGCGCAAGATTGCTCAGGTTAGAAAAAAAAAATCCAAAGAGTACTGTAGATTTTGGCGCCAAAAAATCCACGTTTTTTTTTTCGAGAAATTCGAATAAGTCTGGATTACTGTACTTCAGAATCCACGTGGCAGAATTTTTTTTAACCTGAGCAATCTTGCGCGAAGCGCTCCGGAATCTTCCGCGTAAGCGGCACGAGCGGAGCGAGTGTATTTCCCTCTGCGTCTCTAGCAGTCTGGCTTCTCTGCGTCTCTAACCATCTAGCCTCTCTGTGCTCTCTCAAAACCCTATGCTCTCTAGCAATTTTGCGCGAGTGCAAATCCCTCCGTCTCTCTCGATGTCTAGCTTCTCTGCGTCTCTGACTTTTCAATGTTCTCTAGCTATTTGACCTTACATGTCTGCCGCAAGCTTTCCTCTGCGTCTCTAACCCTCTAGCTTCTCTGCGCTCTTTCAATTCCCTATGCTCTCTAGCAATCTTGCGCGAAGCGCCCCGGAATCTTCCGCGTAAGCGGCTCGAGCGCGGAAGCGCGAGTGTAACTCCCTCTGCGTCTCTAGCCGCCTCTAGTTTCTCTACCCTCTCTCAAAACCCTATACTCTCTAGCAACCTCGCGCAAAGCGCCCCGGAATCTTCCGCGTCAGCGGCTCGAGCGGAGCGAGTGTAAGCCCCTCTGCGCTCTCTGCAAACCCCATAGTGTTCGGGCTCATTCTGGAGCACCCAAAACTCACCAAGATCCCACTGTAAAACACAAAAGCAACAGGACTGTCAACGAAATGAAAGGCATTGTATAGGTCGCGTTTTTCTGCATCTCATCCTTCAAAATCGATAAACTAAACATGGACGTGTCAAAATCCTGATCCTGCTCCAAAACTCCGCGCAAAGCCACCTCAAAACTCTTCGAAACCTCTTCTGATGTATAGATTCCATAGTCAGGCATCTGATAGATCAAATGCACCAGCTCGACTTTCTCAATTCCTAGCGGACCACCCAATTTCACGCCATACAAATGTGTGGGCAGGAAAAATTTGTTGTCGAAAAACTTCATGGTGGGGTATTCGATAGAAACCCGCGGATCTTTCCTCAATTTTTCACTCCAAAAAGTGTCCAAAAATATTGTCAAAATCGTGTTGGAGAGCTCGCAATTCTTCATTGCCGAGCAGATTTTCGAGCCAAAATTCACGCGCTCCCCGCCAATCTCAACGTCCATTTTTTCGAGCACATGTTTATTTAGAGCTGTCAGTTTTTTGGCCATTTGAGGTGTCAGCAGGTTTTTGTCCGAGGATTTTGATTGAACTGTGATTGAGACGAACGAGCTGAAAGATTGTTGCTCATTTTAAGATGCGAAATAGGATTGCTCAGGTTAAGCTTGTTAAAATAATTATTGCTCATATTAAACTAGAAAGTAGGATTTCTCATGTTAAGCTTGTTTAAATGAAAATTGCTCATATTAGCGTTGAAAATTAAGATTGCTCATATTAGAGCAGTAATTAGGATTACTCATATTGGAGCTGAAAATAGGATTGCTCATGTTAACCATGAAATTCAAGGGAATCCCACGTGGATTCTGAATTTGAAAATTAAAAAGATTGCTCATTTTAAGATGGGAAATAGGATTGCTCAGGTAAAACTAGAAATATTTGAGTATTGCTCATATTAGACCTGGAAATAAGGATTGCTCATTTTAAATCTATAATTTTCAGATTCCACGTGGATTCTGGATTCAAAAGATTGCTCATGTTAAGCTAGAAAATAGGATTGCTCATGTTAAGCTAGAAAATAGGATTGCTCATGTCAAATCTGAATTTTTAGATTTTCCATTAATTTTTGAAAATTTAGAGCATTGCTCATGTTAGGCTCATTTTTTTAAATTTTCGAATTCTCGGAGAAGAACTTAGAAGAATTTAGGATTGCTCATATTAAGCTAGAAATGATTTAGGATTGCTCATATTAGGATAGAAAAAAGGATTGCTCATGTTAAACTTGTTAAAATGAAGATTGCTCATATTAAGCTAGAAAATAGGATTTCTTGATATCATTCAGCTCGAAATTTCACGAAAAATTCAAATTTCACCTAACCTGAGCAATCCAAACTCACTTATTCAAAGAATCCCCGCTGAATTCCTTATGAACTTGATATTCGACTCTGGACAATGAATTTTCGGGAGAATACAAGAAGCGAAGATCGTCCTGGAAAATTTTTTTGAATTTTTTTAAATTTCAGGCCTGAAATAACACAATTTTCAACAAAAAAAGAGTTACCTCAACTCGCATATTCAAAATACCAAACGAAAAAATGACTGTCAAAATCAGGGGTCCCAACGCGAAAAGTCTGGGCCGCGCACAAATCAATAATCCGTATTGATAGAAACAGTTGGCTAGGAAATCCTGGAAAATCCCAAAGGGATTCTTCAAAATTCCCATGTTTTCTGCAAAAAAAATTTGATTAATCAATTAATTAAGATCCGCTAACTTCGATAAAAAACCACAAAACCACAAAAAAAACACGAAAAAAATGAAGATTTTCCTTCAAATGTGAAAACTGTTTCGGGGGTCGTCGGAAAAAGGGAAATTGACCTTGTTTTCGTTCAAAATCCATAGCGAGAGAGTATGGCGAAATGAGAGAGTGCAGCAGAGAAGCAGAGACACATCGCCGATTTATTTTTATTGACAAATTATTAATTGGATTCGGGTAGAGAATTGGGATTTTTGAGCGGGGAATTTGAAAAATTCGAATTTTCGATGAAAAAATTTGAATTTCTTGATACTAGAAATGCGTCAGCAAATCTAGAAGCTACTACAAATGCGTCAGCAAATCTAGAAGCTACTAGAAATGCGTCAGCAAGCTTTCAGGCTACCAGAAATGCGTCAGCAATTCTAGAAGCTACCTGAAATGCGTCAGCAAATCTAGAAGCTACTAGAAATGCGTCAGCAATTCTAGAAGCTACCTGAAATGCGTCAGCAAATCTAGAAGCTACTAGAAATGCGTCAGCAAATTTAGAAGCTTCTAGAAATGCGTCAGTGAATCTAGAAGCTACTAGAAATGCGTCAGCAAATCTAGAAGCTACTAGAAATGCGTCAGCAAATCTAGAAGCTACCTGAAATGCGTCAGCAAATCTAGAAGCTACTTGAAATGCGCCAGCAAATATAGAAGCTACCTGAAATGCGTCAGCTAATCTAGAAGCTACTAGAAATGCGTCAGCAAATTTAGAAGCTTCTAGAAATGCGTCAGCAAATTTAGAAGCTTCTAGAAATGCGTCAGCAAATTTAGAAGCTTCTAGAAATGCGTCAGCAAATTTAGAAGCTTCTAGAAATGCGTCAGCCTTGAATTCCCTTTTTTCCCACCAAAATTCAGGTGTTTAGCCTTAAAAAATCCCAAAATTTTCATTAAAAACAACCGCTAAGCTTAAAATTCACAAAATTCACCCTAAAAACGCCTTAAAACCCCAAAAATTAACCCAAAAACCGCGAAAAAAAAAAGAAAAATGAAAAAAGCCAACAAAGCGCTAAACAATGGGCAAGCCGTCATTTAGCGGAGTGTCGTTGCATGCGCGTCCTTTTTTTTTTTTTTTGAAAAAAAATCGATTTTTTTTTGTTTTTTTGGTGGAAAAGTGAGTTTTTTATTGGTAAATTTTAATTAATTAATTAAAATTAATTAAGGCATCCTAATTAATTGGCAAAATCGAGCATATTTTGATTTTTGGATGGAAATCCGATGGAGCCGGGCTGGAATTGAATTCAGGTGAGAAATTTGGAGCATTTTGAGCCCGAACAAGCCTAGGCTTTGCTGACGCATTTCTGGTAGCTTCTAGATTTGCTGACGCATATTTTGTAGCTTCTAAATTTGCTGACGCATTTCTAGTAGCTTCTAAATTTGCTGACGCATATTTTGTAGCTTCTAAATTTGCTGACGCATTTCTAGTAGCTTCTAAATTTGCTGACGCATTTCTAGAAGCTTCTAGATTTGCTGACGCATTTCTAGTAGCTTCTAGATTTGCTGACGCATTTCTAGTAGCTTCTAAATTCATTGACGCATTTCTAGTAGCTTCTAGATTTGCTGACGCATTTCAGGTAGCTTCTAAATTTGCTGACGCATTTCTGGTAGCTTCTAGATTTGCTGACGCATTTCTGGTAGCTTCTGAATTTGCTGACGCATTTCTAGTAGCTTCTAAATTTGCTGACGCATTTCTGGTAGCTTCTAGATTTGCTGACGCATTTCTGGTAGCTTCTGAATTTGCTGACGCATTTCTAGTAGCTTCTAAATTTGCTGACGCATTTTTTGTAGCCTGACGCATTTCTAGTAGCTTCTAAATTTGCTGACGCATTTCTGGTAGCTTCTAAATTCACTGACGCATTTCAGGTAGCTTCTAAATTTGCTGACGCGTTTCTAGTAGCTTCTAGATTTGCTGACGCATTTCAGGTAGCTTCTAAATTTGCTGACGCATTTCTGGTAGCTTCTAGATTTGCTGACGCATTTCTGGTAGCTTCTGAATTTGCTGACACATTTCTAGTAGCTTCTAAATTTGCTGACGCATTTCTTGTAGCCTGACGCATTTCTAGTAGCTTCTAAATTTGCTGACGCATTTCTGGTAGCTTCTAAATTCACTGACGCATTTCAGGTAGCTTCTAAATTTGCTGACGCGTTTCTAGTAGCTTCTAAATTTGCTGACGTATTTCTGGTAGCTTCTAGATTCACTGACGCATTTCTAGTAGCTTCTAGATTCACTGACACATTTCTGGTAGATCAAAAAAAAATCTTCATTTTCAAAAAAATCAATAAAATCGACTGGGAATCTCTCGACACTCGCATTTTTCGCCATGCGGAATGCGGACATTCCGGATGCCGTGTTCCGCAAGCCAATCACAATCGGTGAATTGCACAGTCTTCTGCGAGGTCTCCACCAAAAAACACGCGGTGCTCATTTGCACATTGTAGGGGAAGACGTGAGAGCCGAGCTGCAAAATGACACGTGGCATTTTTTTTTGGCGCCAAAAAACCTACAGTACCTCACTGGATTCACAACATCCATCACAAATGGCTAGATCAATCGAACCGCGACATTTCCGGCCATTTTTGTCGACTAGAGTGTAGTTGCGGGTCTCGAAGCGCACGGGGCCGCAGTCTTGGCGGCATTTTTGATGGGACCATTTGAGCTGCAAAAATTTTGGGTACTGTAGAGTACTGTAGAAAAAACTCACGACGAGAATCCCGAAAATCAATAGAACCGCCCAGAAATTTGACATTTTTCGGAAAAATTTCGCAGCGAAATTTTGTTTTTGGGGGGCGAGAGAGCATGTGAGACTGAGAGAGTGCAGAGAAAATTTGCGCCAGATGTTAAGTGAATTACAAAAAAAAATCGGGCTCTGGGAGCCGCTTTATTTCTGGTGTAAAAACATTTTTTCCCCAGATTACTGTAGATCAAAATGATCTAGAGAATTTCAAGATTACTGTAGATTTTGGCGCCAAAAAAATCTTTCCCAATAAATCACTATTTTCTCTCAGTTCTTCTGTCAACTGGTATTGATAAAATTTTTTTTTTTTTTTTTTTTTTTTGAAAAAAAAGAACGTTGTGTTGTGATATAGTAACGAGAGATAATAGAGTGTAGAAGAGACGCAGAGAAAAAAAAATGAAACATTTTTTTTGGTTGGACAAAGGAAGGACATTTGATACCCAATTTTTCGATATTTTTTGGAAACTTTTTCCCGCCAAAAATCCACAGTAATCCCTATTATCTCCCTTTAAAATCTTTCTTGATTAATTATTCCCTTCTGTCTTTTTAGGGGGACCCTTGAAAACTGCAAACTCATAAATAATTTTATTCCATTCCATTTTCTTTCCCCTTTTTTCTTGAGTTAGGCTAAGTTTTCATGAATTTTTAGTAAGCTACTAGAAATGCGTCAGCAAATTTAGAAGCTACAAAAAAAGCGCCAGCAAATCTAGAAGCTACTAGAAATGCGTCAGCAAATTTTTCCTATGAAAAAAAATAATAAATCATTATTTTTTTTGGCCAGATGTTAAGAAAAGGCGGTTTCTCTTTTCGTTTCATCTTTTTTTTGATTGAATGATTTTTTTTGGATTTTTTTGGATTTTTGATCTACAATATCCGAAAAAAAATTATTTTCTATTTTTTTTTTCAAATTTTTTGATCTACAGTACTCTTAGGAAGCCACGTGGCATGTTTTTTTTGAAAATCTGAATTTTCTGAATTTTGATCTACCAATTTTTCCTCTGAAGTTACAGTAACCTAACCTACAGTACCCCCTCAAAATCCACGTCACCTACCGTAACCCTCTAATTTTCCAGATGCACATCATCATCTCAAAACCACGTGTAATTCCTCTGCTTCTCTGCACCCTCCTCCATCTCTGCACTCTCTCATCAGCCACCAATTTTTGCCCGCCAAAATGCCATTGCACCCAGATTACTGTAGACTGCACCAATGCGGGGCTCTTTGAAATTCCTCAAAATCTCGGGACCTCTACGAAATCGCTGATTTTGCGCAACAATCGAATCTATCATCTGAAACGTGGCGATTTCAAGGAGCTGCGCGCACTTCAGAATCTGGTCCTGACTGGAAATCGGATCACTCATGTGGATGAGAGTTTTTTGGACGAGTTACCCGAACTTCGGAGATTGTCCCTGGCCAAAAATCGCCTGAATTTTCTTGAAAATCTCTCGACTTTTGAGCACAGATTCTTGAGTTCCCTCAACTTGCGTCACAATTTTTTGGAGAAAATTTCTGGTTTGGAAATGCTGCCAAATTTGTTGCAATTGGATATATCGCATAATAGACTTCAAAGCTTTACGGGGAATCTTCCGAAGTTACAGCATCTTCACGTTCAGCACAATCCATGGAATTGTGATTGCCGGTAAGTTACAAAAAAAAAAAAAAATTCCGGTGCCTCATGCTGGAATCGAACCAGCGACCTTCTGTTTACTAGACAGACGCTCTGCCACTGAGCCAATGAGGCGCACGCTGCAGCTGCGCTCAAATTCCCTTTTTATATCTCTCACTCTTTTCTCTAGCATCTCTCACCTCACCACACTATTTCGTCACATCAGCTATGAGGAGTTGGGTTACTGTAGACATCCAAGGCGCATGGCATTGCTCGAGAGTACTGTAGATGTGGAGAAATGTGAAGTTCCAAGGGTTGAGGAGGAAAATAATGAGATTCGGTTGATTTGTGACGTGGAAAATGATGGGAAGCGGAAAAATGTGGTTTGGTTGTATAAGTGAGTTACCAGAAATGCGTCAAGGCTACTAGAAATGCGTCAGCAAATTTAGAAGCTACCAAAAATGCGTCAGTGAATTTAGAAGCTACTAGAAATGCGTCAGTGAATCTAGAAGCTACCAGAAATGCGTCAGTGAATCTAGAAGCTACCAGAAATGCGTCAGTGAATCTAGAAGCTACTAGAAATGCGTCAGCAAATTTAGAAGCTACTAGAAATGCGTCAGCAAATTTAGAAGCTACTAGAAATGCGTCAGTGAATCTAGAAGCTACCAGAAATGCGTCAACAAATTTAGAAGCTACCTGAAATGCGTCAGCAAATTTAGAAGCTACCAGAAATGCGTCAGTGAATCTAGAAACTACCAGAAATGCGTCAGCAAATTTAGAAGCTACCAGAAATGCGTCAGTGAATCTAGAAACTACCAGAAATGCGTCAGCAAATTTAGAAGCTACCAGAAATGCGTCAGTGAATCTAGAAGCTACCAGAAATGCGTCAGTGAATCTAGAAGCTACTAGAAATGCGTCAGCAAATTTAGAAGCTACTAGAAATGCGTCAGCAAATTTAGAAGCTACTAGAAATGCGTCAGTGAATCTAGAAGCTACCAGAAATGCGTCAGTGAATTTAGAAGCTACCAGAAATGCGTCAGTGAATTTAGAAGCTACTAGAAATGCGTCAGTGAATCTAGAAGCTACCAGAAATGCGTCAGTGAATTTAGAAGCTACCAGAAATGCGTCAAGGCTACAAAAAACGCGCCAACAAAATTTCTTAAAGGAACATCGAGCTCGCTGAATCCGCTCTGGACGTTTTCCGAATAAATTCGACGATTTTGATGGTCCCACGTGGAACTGACGTGGCATTGATCAATTGTGCCGCAGACTACAGTATACCTACAGTAGGCCATCGAAAAAGGCGGCAAATTCTGGCACCGCAATTCACCTATAAGCCACGTGATAATTCGTATAAGTGAGTTTTGGCGGCGGCGGGAAATTTGAAATTTAAAAATTTGAATTTTTTTTTGCAGCGAGGGAAGTGAGGTCAAAGTGAATTGTGAGGTGATGGGACATCCGAAACCGGTTATTACTTGGTCGCATAATGGAAAGGTAGGCTGACGCATTTTTTGTAGCTTGACGCATTTCTGGTAGCCTAGAAACTTGCTGACGCATTTCAGGTAGCTTCTAGACTTGCTGACGCATTTCAGGTAGCTTCTAAATTTGCTGACGCATTTTTGGTAGCTTCTGGGTTTGCTGACGCATTTTTGGTAGCTTCTAGATTAGCTGACGCATTTCTGGTAGCTTCTAGATTAGCTGACGCATTTCTGGTAGCTTCTGAGTTACAGTAACTCAAACCATAACATGTTTGGTCTCAAAATGCTCCAAATTTTGGCGCGAAAAAGCCACGTGTCAAAATTTTTGAAAAAAAATTTTTTTCAGCCCTTCACCTCCACCCGAAAACGTCAACTTTCACTATCCAACAATATCCTCCGAATCTATCCATTTTTGGAAGAAGATTCTGGAACCTACACGTGCGCGGCTCAAAATCAACACGGCTCTGTGAGCCACGATTTTCGACTTGAGCTCATTTCCAGTGTACCACCGAATATTTTCGAGGGACCACAAAGTGTGAGCGCAAAAGTGGGAGGAGAAGTTGTGTTCTATTGTAAGGCACGCGGAATTCCGCTTCCGGATTACACGTGGAGTTTTGATGGAAGTACTATTGGACATATTAAGGGGAGGTTTAGGGTGAGTTTTGGGGCGGGAAATCTGAAATTTTGTGCTGAAAAAGCTGGAAATGCTGAAAATCACTGAAAATGAAGATTTCCACAAGTTTCAGCACAAAATTTCACTCTAGAGAACTATTTTTCACAAAATTCTGGTTGATCCATTTTTTTGGAACTTTCGGCACAATTTTCTACAGTACCTTTTGAAGAGTTTCTAGGCTCAAATTTTGTGCTGAAAAAGCTGGAAATGCTGAAAATCACTGAAAATGAGGATATCCACAATTTTCAGCACAAAATTTGGGCCCAGAAACTTTGTTTGACTTCAAAATCTACTGTTTTAAAAAATTGTGCCAAAAATTCCGAAAAAAAGGGGTTACTGTAGAAAAACATGTTTCTAGACCCAAATTTTGTGCTGAAAATCGTGGAAATACTAAATATTACTGAAAATGAGGATTTCGACGATTTTCAGCACAAAATTTCAGTCTAGAAACATATTTTTCACAAAAATCTGGTTGATCCATTTTTTTGGAATTTGTGGCACAATTTTCTACAGTACCTTTTGAAGAGTTTCTAGACCCAAATTTTGTGATGAAAATCATGAAAAACCTCATTTTCAGCGATTTTGAGCATTTCCAGCTTTTTCAGCACATAATTTGGGTCTAGAAACTCTTCAAAATGTACTGTAGAAAATTGTGCCAAAAATTCCAAAAATGTAGATCAACCATATTTCTGTAGAAAATATTTTTCTAGACCCAAATTTTGTGCTGAAAATCATGAAAAATCTTATTTTCAGCGATTTTCAGCATTTCCAGCTTTTTCAGCACAAAATTTCACTCTAGAAAACTATTTTTCACAAAATTCTGGTTGATCCATTTTTTTGGAACTTTCGACACAATTTTCTACAGTACCCTTTGAAGAGTTTCTAGGCTAAAATTTTGCGCTGAAAAAGCTGCGAATGCTGAAAATCGCTGAAAATTAAGTTTTTCACGATTTTCAGCACAAAATTTGGGTCTAGAAACATATTTTCTACAGTAACCCCAGTTGATCCATTTTTTTGGAATTTGTGGCACAATTTTCTACAGTATCTTTTGAAGGGTTTCTAGACTGAAATTTTGTGCTGAAAATCGTGAAAATCTTCATTTTCAGCAATTTTCAGCATTTCCAGCTTTTCCAGCTCAAAAATTTCAGCATAGAAACTCTTCAAAAGCTACTGTAGAAAAAAATGTAGATCAACCAGATTACTGTAGGAAAATATGTTCTAGACTCAAATTTTGTGCTGAAAATCATGAAATCCTCATTTTCAGGTCTCCGACGACGGCACCGAACTTCGCATCTCAAACATCGAGAAAAAAGACGAGGGTGTGTTCTCCTGCATGGCTGGAAATCCAGTGGGTGCCATGTCAGCCGACGCCCGTCTTACTGTAGAAGGTGCGGCCCAGGCCCCCCAGGGGGCCGTGCCTGAACTCACCGAAGAAACTCTCCGAAGAATCTCCCAACAGGCTCGGTATAACGTGGAACAGGCTCTAGAGAAGACGCGGAAGCAAGCGAAAATCCAAGAGGTCACCAAAAGTCAGGACCTAAAAAGGCTGTTCCGATTCTCGGTCCCCTCACAGGCCGTCGAATTATCCAAGGCCCGTGAGATCTACGAGGAATCTGTGAGATTGGTTAGAGAGCATGTGGAACACGGTCTGAAATTGGACATAAATGAGTTGCACGGCGAGGCGCAGAGCAGAAATTTGAGCTATGAAAGTGTTTTGCATGTGACACATGTTCAGAGTTTGATGGGTTTGAGTGGATGTCATCGGGGACAGTTTAAGAATCCGTGCTCGGATGTTTGTTTTCATAATAAATACAGGTAAGCTCCGCCCCTTTTCTGCAAGTCTGGCACACTTTTCCGCCTGAAAAATGCTAGATTTATAGGGTAGAATCATAGATTTTAAGCGATTTTAGGCTCCGCCCCTTTTTCTGCAAGCCTGGCACAGTTTTCCGCTCTAAAAATGCTAGATTTATAGGGTAGAATCATTGATTCAAGTGGATTTTAAGCCACACCCCTTTTCTGCAAGTCTGGCACATTTTTTGTACCAGTTTTGAGGTTCTTGGCTCGATTTGAATCAGCATTGCTCATATTATTATAAAAATTCAGGGTTTTCTGTTAAATTTGACAGGCATTGCTCATCTTAACCTGGAAATCTCGAATTTGAATCGAAATTTGATAGGCATTGCTCATATTAGTCTTAAACTACTGAATTTATTCCGAAATTTGGCGAAATTTATAGGCATTGCTCATATTAATCTCAAAATTTTGAATTTTGTATCAAATTTTAAAAGAATTGCTCATATTAACCCAAAATTCAGAAAATTCAATTAGCATTGCTCAGATTAATCTAGAAAATATGAAAATAAATGAAAATTTAACGAATTTTTTTACCATTGCTCATATTAACCTGAAAATTCAGAGAATTCGATAGACATTGCTCATATTAGCCTAAAAATCTTGAATTTTATATCAAAATGTAGCTAATTCCTTAAGCATTGCTCAGATTAACCTGAAATTCTATGAATTTGTTAGGAATTGCTCATATTAACCTAAAACTTAGCAAAATCGACAAGAATTGCTCATATTAACCTAAAAATCCTGGAAAACAAGCAAAATTCAGCGAATTTGTTCTACATTGCTCAGATTAACCAAAAATTCAGAAAATTCGTTAGGCATTGCTCAGATTAACCAGAAATCTTGCATTTTATATCAAAATTTCCGCATTTTTCTCTACATTGCTCATATTAAACTATTCTTTTTCAGATCTTTCGATGGTCAATGCAATAATTGGAAAAAGCCAATGTTCGGTGTGTCACAAATGCCATTGAGAAGACTTCTGAAACCGGCCTATGAAAATGGTTTCAATACTCCAGTTGGCTGGCAAAAAGGCAAATTATACAATGGCTATCCGATGCCAAATGTTCGTGAAATTTCAAGACAACTTGTGGCCACCGAAAAAATCACACCGCATTTCAAATTGTCCTCGTGGATCATGCAATGGGGACAATTTTTGGATCATGATTTGACGCATACTGTACAGGCTTTGAGTAGACATAGCTATGCAACTGGAGCATTTTGTAATCGGACTTGTGATAACTTGGATCCTTGTTTCAATATTCCGTTGACGAAAAGTGATCCGAGATTGAAGGATGGGAAGTTAGTGGGGGGTTTTGGGGTGAAAATTTTGATTTTTTAGTGATTTTCTTGATTTTCAGCGCGAAATTTGAGCCTAGAAACTATTCAAAAGCTACTGTAGAAAATTTTGCCACAAATTCCAAAAAAATGGATCAAACAGATTACTGTAGAAAACATTTTCTAGACTGAAATTTTGTGCTGAAAATCATGAAAACTTTCATTTTCAAGGGTTTTAAGCATTCCTATGCTTTTCAGCACAAAATTTGAGCCAAGAAAATTCTTCAAAGGGTACTGTAGAAAATTGTGCCACAAATTCCAAAAAAATGGATCAAACGGATTACTGTAGAAAACATTTTCTAGACTGAAATTTTATGCTGAAAGTGCTGGAAATGCTGAAAATTGCTGAAAACTAGAACTTCCACGATTTTCAGCGCAAAATTTGAGTCTAGAACATCGTTTTCTACAGTAACCCAGTTGATCTATTTTTTCGGAATTTGTGGCACAATTTTCTACAGTAGCCTTTGAAGAGTTTCTAGACCAAAATTTCGTGCTGAAAAAGCTGGAAATGCTGAAAATTGCTGAAAATGAAGGTTTTCATGATTTTCAGCACAAAATTTCAGTCTGTAACAGGTTTTTTTAAAGTTTCTGTAACTGTTTTGCAGCTGATCATTTTTTTCGGAACTCTTGGCACAATTTTCTACAGTACCTTTTGAAGTGTTTCTAAGCTCAAATTTTGTGCTGAAAAAGCTGAAAATGCTGAAAATTGCTGAAAATGAGGGTTTTCATGATTTTCAGCGCAAAATTTCAGCCCAGAACATCGTTTTCTACAGTAACCCAGTTGATCCATTTTTTTGGAATTTTTGACACAATTTTCTACAGTACCTTTTGAAGAGTTTCTAGGCTCAAATTTCGTGCTGAAAAAGCTGCGAATGCTGAAAATCGCTGAAAATAAAGTTCTCCATGATTTTCAGCATAAAATTTGAGTCCAGAACCAGGCATGTTCATTTTGCCGGCATTGCCTGCTTTTTGCCGTCCCCCGAAAAAGCAAAGCCGCTTTTGCTTTTACACGGTGAGACTGTGAAAAAGCAACAGCAAAGCAGCCTGCCGAATTGCCGGCAGTGCTTTTTTCACTGCTTCCAAAATCATCTGAAAGCAGTGAAAATGCATTGACAAAACAACCTCTTTTTGCTTCTCTAACGCGCGCGCGAGACTACTTGAATAAATGCATACGCGGACGGTTCACTGGTTTTGTGTGTTGCCATGTTTTGTGTGTGGAGGGGCGGAGCTTCGCTTGTTGCCTTTTGTATTTTGAAAAAGCAGCCCGGCAGGCAGCCGCGGCTGCTTTTTTTTTTGCTTTTTCCTCACTTGCTTTTTGCCAGCAAAAAGCAAAGCCACGCCCAGCAAAGCTGCTTTGCTTTTTGCCGGCAAAGCAAAATGAACATGCCTGTCCAGAACATCTTTTTCTACAGTAACCCGGTTGATCCATGTTTTTCAGAACTTTTTTCCTTTTGAAGAATTTCTAGACCAAAATTTTGCGCTGAAAAAGCTGGAAATGCTGAAAATTACTGAAAATGAGGATTTTCATGATTTTCAGCACAAAATTTCAGCCAAGGAACATATTTTTCTACAGTAACCCGGTTGATCCATTTTTTCGGAATTTGTGGCATAATTTTCTACAGTACCTTTTGAAGTGTTTCTAAGCTCAAATTTTGCGCTGAAAATCATGAAAACCTTCATTTTTCAGCGCTTCGCAGCATTCCCATGGTTTTCAGCACAAAATTTCAGTCTAGAAACTCTTCAAAGGTACTGTAGAAAATTATGCCAAAGATTCCGAAAAAATGGATCAACCGGGTAACTGTAGAACATATCTTGTTCTAGGCTGAAATTTTAAGCTGAAAATGTTGGAAATGAGCAATCCCATCGTTTTCAGCGCGGAAAATTGATCCAGAAAAAAGTAGGGCTCATGGAGCATCGATCGCCGGACCATTTGGCTGGAAAAAAATCATTCTAGATCAAAATTTCGTCCTTAAAATGATAGGAATACTCAAAATGAGCAATTTCCAGCGTCAAATACCCATGCATCGAATTCGAGCGAAGTGCAGCAGTGTGCGGATCCGGCGAAACGTCTCTGCTCTTCAATCGTGTCACCTATCGCGAACAAATGAATGCTCTGACGTCATACATCGATGCCTCAAATGTATACGGTAGCACTGAAGTTCAAGCTCAAGAACTTCGAGACACTTTCAACAATAATGGACAATTACGATTTGATTTGACATCGGCCAGCGGAAAAGAGTATTTACCGTTTGAAAAAGATTCGAATATGGATTGTAGACGAAATTTCAGCGAGGAAAATCCGATTAGATGCTTTTTGGCTGGGGATTTGAGGTAAGTTTTGGGGCATTTCTCATGTTAATTTTTGGGTTAAGGAGGAAATTTGGAGTCTTTAGACACCCCATAAGGCATAGTTTTGAGAAAATTTGAAAAATTGGGGGATTGCTCATGTTAATTTTTGGGTTGAGCAAGAAATTCGGAGATTTTTGACACCCCACAAGGCATAGTTTTGAGAAAATTTGGGGATTGCTCATGTTAACATATATAGCTAGGTGGGGTCCTTTAACAGTAAAACTTGGGATTGCTCATATTAGTCATGAGCTGGCTGAGACACATAGGATTGCTCATGATAACAAATATAGCTAGGTGGGGTCCTTCAATTTCAAGAAATTTTGGGATTGCTCATGTTAACATATATAGCTAGGTGGGGTCCTTTAAAAATGGAAAAAATGGGATTGCTCATATTAGTCATGAGCTGGCTGAGACACATAGGATTGCTCATGTTAACAAATATAGCTAGGTGGGGTCCTTTAAGAACGGAAAACTTGGGATTGCTCATGTTAACCTAGCTAGTTGGGGTCCTTTAAAAATGGAAAAAATGGGATTGCTCAGGTTAACCTAGCCTAGTACCTTCCTTTAACAGAATCAAAAATAAAGCATTGCTCATGTTAACATATATTTCTAGGTGGGGTCCTTTAAATATGAAAAATATAGCATTGCTCATGTTAAGTATCTCACTAAATTTTGCAGAGCCAACGAGCAACTCGCACTCACCGCCACCCACACAATCTTCATCCGCGAGCACAACCGCATCGCAGCCGCGTTGCGCCGCATGAATCCCGCGTGGGACGGCGAAGTGATCTACCATGAGACACGGAAAATTGTTGGAGCTGTTATGCAACACATAACCTATACACAATGGTTGCCCCATGTTTTTGGAGGCATTGCTCAGCTTAGAAAATATGTGGGAGGAGAATATTTGGGATATCGGGATGATGTGGATGCGAGTATTTCGAACGCGTTTGCCACGTCGGCTTTCAGATTTGGACACACGCTCATAAATCCAACACTTTTGAGACTGGATAAGGAATTTGAGGTTATCAAGGAGGGAAATATTGCATTACATAAGGTAAGTTGTCAAGGGTTGGCTCCTTGAGAACACGCTTGGCAAGCAGCCAACCCTTGAGAAACCATATGGCAAGGGTTAGCTGCGAGAAAATGATCTTGTCAAGGGCTCGCGCCTTGAGAACACACTTGACAAGCAGCCAACCCTTGAGAAGCCTCTTGTCAAGGGTTGGCTGCGAGAAAATGATCTTGACAAGGGCTCGCGCCTTGAGAACACTCTTGACAAGCAGCCAACCCTTGAGAAGCATCTTGTCAAGGGTTGGCTGCGAGAAAATCATCTTGTCAAGGGTTGGCTCCTAGAGAACATTCTTGACAAGCAACCAACCCTTGAGAAGCTTCTTGTTAAGGGTTAGCTGCGAGAAAATGATCTTGACAAGGGCTCGCGCCTTGAGAACACTCTTGACAAGCAGGCAACCCTTGAGAAGCGTCTATTTAAGGGTGAGCTGCGAGAAAATCATCTTGTCAAGGTCTCGCGTCTAGAGAACACTCTTGGCAAGCAGCCGAACCTTGAGAAGCCTCTTGTTAAGGGTTAGCTCCGAGAAAATCTACTTGACAAGGGTTCGCGCCTTGAGAACACTCTTGACAAGCAGCCAACACTTGAGAAGCCTCTTGTTAAGGGTTAGCTGCGAGAAAACCATCTTGTCAAGGGCTCGCGCCTTGAGAACACTCTTGACAAGCAACCAACCCTTGAGAAGCCAAGGGTTAACTGCGAGAAAATGATCTTGTCAAGAGCTAGCGCCTTGAGAACACTCTTGACAAGCAGCCAACACTTGAGAAGCCTCTTGTTAAGGGTTAGCTGCGAGAAAACCATCTTGTCAAGGGCTCGCGCCTTGAGAACACTCTTGACAAGCAACCAACACTTGAGAAGCCTCTTGTTAAGGGTTAGCTGCGAGAAAATGATCTTGACAAGGGCTCGCGCCTTGAGAACACTCTTGACAAGCAGCCAACCCTTGAGAAGCTTCTTGTCAAGGGTTGGCTGCGAGAAAATCATCTTGACAAGACCTAGCGCCTTGAGAACACTCTTGACAAGCAACCAACCCTTGAGAAACCTCTTGCTAAGGGTTAGCACCTAGAGAAGCTACCCAAAATGCGCTAGCAAATTTAGAAGCTACCCAAAATGCGTCAGCAAATCTAGAAGCTACAAAATATGCGTCAGTCAACCTCCCTCCGCAATTTCCAGGCCTTCTTCACCCCCGAACTTGTGCTAACTCAAGGCGGCGTCGATCCTCTGATACGTGGATTATTCGCCAGCCCCCTCAAACATCCAATGCCCAGCCAACTTTTGAATATGGAACTTATCGAGAAACTTTTCATGAAGGGACATGAGGTAAGTCCAGAAGCTACTAGAAATGCGTCAAGCTACAAAAAACACGTCAATCTCAGGTCGCTCTGGATCTGGCCGTCATGAATATTCAAAGATCTCGCGATCACGGTCTACCAAGCTACACCGAATACCGCAAATTCTGCAATCTATCAATTCCAAGCTCATTTTCTGACATGAAACCGTATATCAAAGATGATTCGGTGCTTCAGAAGCTTCAGGGACTCTACGGAGTACCAGGTTAGTGATCAGCGACCCCGAAAACCCCGGAAACCCCGTTGAAATCTTTGAAAACGCGGCGAAATTGAAAAAGGGGCGGAGCCTAGCGCACAGAGAAGATAGGAGAGCGCGCTTTCCCGTGAGGCGTCGGCTGCATGAAATAGGCATATATAAAAGGGAAATGAGAAGAGGGGAGAGATAGAAAAGGGGGAGAAATGAGAGAGCGCGATGAATGTTTACCATCTTTCGGCTGAACTATGCTGATGCCAACTTTTAACTATGCTGAGCGACTTTTATTTTGCTGGAATTATTTTTGCTGAAATTTTCAGAGAATATCGATTTATGGGTTGGTGGAATAGTTGAGGAAAAGCTGCAAAATGCGCTTTTTGGCGAGACTTTTGCGTGTATAATTGGAGAACAATTCAAAAAATTGCGAGATGGCGACAGGTTTTGGTACGAAAAAGAGGGCGTGTTCACCGCAAATCAACTCCGCGAGATAAAAAAAGTCACCCTGGCTAGAATCATTTGTGATAATGGTGATGAGATTGATCGAGTACAACGCGATGTTTTTGTGTATCCAGGAGGGAAGGATAAGAAATTGTATGAGAAGTGTGAGATGTTGGAGGAGATGGATTTGGGAAAATGGAACAAGTGTTGTGATGATGTGTGTCCGACGATGTTGGATCGGATTTTGAGGAGGTGAGAGGGTTTGGAGAGGGTTCGGGGGGAGATTTGGAGTCGAATGATACCGAATACTGTGGGGGTAGGCCTGGAAAGGGCCTAGGCTTGTTTAGGCCTGAAATCTGGGCTCAATTAGGTTCAAAAAATCTGGATTTTCTGGATTTTCAGGCCTAAAATCCAGTCTTTTCAGTCCAAAAATCCAGCCTTTTTTTGGGCCCGGAAAATCGCAGGTTTTCAGGCTGAAAATCTAGGCTTTTTTGGGCTCAAAAAATACGGAGTGTTTGGGCCTAAATCCAGGCTTTTCAGTCTTAAATCTAGGCTTTTTTGGGCTCTAAAAATCCGGAATGTTTAGGCCCAAAATCTAGGCTTATCTAGGCTCTAAAAATCCGGAATGTTTAGGCTTAAATCCAGGCTTTTCAGTCCTAAGTCTAGGCGTTTTTGGGCCCGGAAAATCGGCTCATTTAGGCTCAGGCCTAAACCCAGACTTATCCCGTCTCAAAAAATCGCCAAATTTTTTTTTCCAGCCGTCACCGCGGCTCTCGCCTTCACGGCTGCAATTCCAACGGTTTGTGGCGTCCGGAAGGCGCGAAATGGCTTCCGGAAAACGAGTACTGTACCGAATGTGTGTGTCAGGGCGGACGAGTTTGGTGTGCCACCAAAGAGGACTGCTCCGATACCAGAAGCCCGTTTTAATTGGACATTTTTTAAATTATGAAGGTTTTTTCTGCTCATTTTAGCTACAAAATATGCGTCAGCAAATCTAGAAACTACTAGAAATGCGTCAGTGAATCTAGAAGCTACAAGAAATGCGTCAGTGAATTTAGAAGCTACTAGAAATGCGTCAGTGAATCTAGAAGCTACCAGAAATGCGTCAGTGAATCTAGAAGCTACAAGAAATGCGTCAGCAAATTTAGAAGCTACTAGAAATGCGTCAGCAAATTTAAATGCTACTAGAAATGCGTCAGTGAATTTAGAAGCTTCTAGAAATGCGTCAGTGAATTTAGAAGCTACTAGAAATGCGTCAGTGAATTTAGAAGCTTCTAGAAATGCGTCAGTGAATTTAGAAGCTTCTAGAAATGCGTCAGTGAATTTAGAAGCTACTAGAAATGCGTCAGTGAATCTAGAAGCTACAAGAAATGTGTCAAGCTACCAGAAATGCGTCAGCAAATGTAGAAGCTACAAGAAATACGTCAGTGAATCTAGAAGCTACAAAAAATACGTCAGCAAATTTAAATGCTACTAGAAATGCGTCAGTGAATCTAGAAGCTACTAGAAATGCGCCAATCAAAAAACCTTCATTCACATTTTTCTCGAAATCCCTTTTGCCGAATACTCATAAACTTGATCGCCATCCTTCGGTGTCACTTTTTTCACAGGACCATAAGTATCATCAAAATTGCCGCCACTCAATTCACCCAAATCATCATGATGAAAACGTCGATTCCTAACAAAATTCACTTGTTTCGGATGTTTTTTCGCTTTTTTCTTGCAACAACAATCAAACATTATGAGATATATTGTAGTTTCGAGAGCAAATCCCAAAATAAAACCGATTGCAATTCCCAATTTGATATAATAATCATCTTGTTGATCAATACATTTGAAAACTGGCTCAAGTTTCGTTATCTTTTTGATCTTCTCAATTCCAAGAATATTATTGATACTGTAATTTTAGACCAAAAAAAAAATGATGTATCGCAAAAAAAACTCACAACAGAATTGTCATATTTGCGAGTTGTTCAGTAGCCTTCTCACGATTTGTATCGATTTTCGAAATGTTCGGAAAATTCAACGAATTGAAGCCAACTTCAACATAATCATCATCGAAGCTGATGAAATTCAGACGGAAAAGTCGTCGACCTTTTCGATAGTATTCGAGAAAATCGCAATCATCCAATTCGGGATGACGATAAAATAGTTCGACACGATCAAATGTATTATAGTCACTCGGCAATATTTCGTTGTAAATTCTTTCGAATGTTTCATTACACGATTTGCCTTCTATTATAAATGGAGTAAAAAATGGAAACGAGAAAAATAATTTGTTTTTTTTTTTAATTTTTTTTTTCAAAAAATTTTTTTTTTTTTTTTTTTTTTTTTTTTCAAAAATTTTTTTTTTTTTTTTTTTTCCAAAAAACATTTTTTTTTTTTTTTTTTGAAAAAAATCTTTCTTACAATTAGAAACCGTTTTTGAAAGGCGCAACAAAATTTTTTGTTTTTTTTTTGAAAAAAAAAATCTTTCTTAGAAACCGTTTTTGAAGGGCGCAACAAAAAGTTTAATTTTTTTTTTTTAGAAAAAAAAATCTTTCTTAAAAACCGTTTTTGAAAGGCGCAACAGGTGAAACACACACATGGTCTCGTCGCGACATTTTTTTCAAAAAAAAATTTTTTTTTTTTAAATCTTTCTAAAAAACCATTTTTGAAAGGCGCAACAGGTGAAACACATACATGGTCTCGCCGCGACATTTTTTTCGAAAAAAATTTTTTTTTTTTTGAAAAAAATCTTTCTTAGAAACCGTTTTTGAAGGGCGCAACAAAATTTTTTGTTTTTTTTTGAAAAAAAAATCTTTCTTAAAAACCGTTTTTTGAAAGGCGCAAGAGGTGAAACACACACATGGTCTCGTCGCGACATTTTTTTCGAAAAAAAAAATTTTTTTTTTGAAAAAAAATTTTTTTTTTTGAAAAAATCTTTCTTAAAAACCATTTTTTGAAAGGCGCAACAGGTGAAACACACACATGGTCTCGTCGCGACATTTTTTTCGAAAAAAAATTTTTTTTTTTTGAAAAAAAATTTTTTTTTTTTTTTGAAAAAATCTTTCTTAAAAACCATTTTTGAAAGGCGCAACAGGTGAAACACACACATGGTCTCGTCGCGACATTTTTTTCGAAAAAAAATTTTTTTTTTTTTTTTGAAAAAAAATTTTTTTTTTTTTTTTTTTGAAAAAATCTTTCTTAAAAACCATTTTTGAAAGGCGCAACAGGTGAAACACACACATGGTCTCGCCGCGACATTTTTTTTCAAAAATGTTTTTTTTTTGTTTTTTTTTTGAAATAAATCTTTCTTAGAACCCGTTTTTTGAAGGGAGCAACAAATTTTTTTTTTTTTTAGAAAAAAAAATCTTTCTTAAAAACCGTTTTTGAAAGGCGCAACAGGTGAAACACACACATGGTCTCGTCGCGACATTTTTTTCAAAAAAAAATTTTTTTTTTTTTTTAAATCTTTCTAAAAAACCATTTTTGAAAGGCGCAACAGGTGAAACACATACATGGTCTCGCCGCGACATTTTTTTCGAAAAAAATTTTTTTTTTTTTTTGAAAAAAATCTTTCTTAGAAACCGTTTTTGAAGGGCGCAACAAAATTTTTTGTTTTTTTTAGAAAAAAAAAATCTTTCTTAAAAACCGTTTTTGAAAGGCGCAAGAGGTGAAACACACACATGGTCTCGCCGCGAAATTTTTTTTCGAAAAAAAAATTTTTTTTTTGTTGAAAAAAAATTTTTTTTTTTTTTTGAAATAAATCTTTCTTAGAACCCGTTTTTGAAGGGAGCAACAAATTTTTTTTTTTTTTTGAAAAAAAAATCTTTCTTAAAAACCGTTTTTGAAAGGCGCAAGAGGTGAAACACACACATGGTCTCGTCGCGACATTTTTTTCGAAAAAAAAATTTTTTTTTGAAAAAAATTTTTTTTTTTTTTTTGAAAAAATCTTTCTTAAAAACCATTTTTGAAAGGCGCAACAGGTGAAACACACACATGGTCTCGCCGCGACATTTTTTTTCAAAAATGTTTTTTTTTTGTTTTTTTTTTGAAATAAATCTTTCTTAGAACCCGTTTTTGAAGGGAGCAACAAATTTTTTTTTTTTTGAAAAAAAAATCTTTCTTAAAAACCGTTTTTGAAAGGCGCAAGAGGTGAAACACACACATGGTCTCGTCGCGACATTTTTTTCGAAAAAAAAATTTTTTTTTTTGAAAAAAAATTTTTTTTTTTTTTTTTGAAAAAATCTTTCTTAAAAACCATTTTTGAAAGGCGCAACAGGTGAAACACACACATGGTCTCGCCGCGACATTTTTTTTCAAAAATGTTTTTTTTTTGTTTTTTTTTTGAAATAAATCTTTCTTAGAACCCGTTTTTGAAGGGAGCAACAAATTTTTTTTTTTTTGAAAAAAAAATCTTTCTTAAAAACCATTTTTGAAGGGCGCAACAGGTAAAACACACACATGGTCTCGTCGCGACATTTTTTTCAAAAATTTTTTTTTTTTTTTTAATTTTTTTTTTCCAAAAAAAAATCTTTCTTAAAAACCATTTTTGAAAGGCGCAACAGGTGGAACACACACATGGTCTCGTCGCGACATTTAAAAAAAAAAAAAATTTTTTTTTTTTTTAAATTTTTTTTTTCCAAAAAAAAATCTTTCTTAAAAACCAATTTTGAAAGGCGCAACAGGTGAAACACACACATGGTCTCGTCGCGACATTTTTTTGAAAAAAAAAATTTTTTTTTTTTCAAAAAAAAATTTTTTTTTTTTAAATCTTTCTTAGAAACCGTTTTTGAAGGGCGCAACAAAATTTTTTTTTTTTTTTTTGAAAAAAAAAATCTTTCTTAAAAACCGTTTTTGAAAGGCGCAACATGTGAAACACACACATGGTCTCGTCGCGAAATTTTTTTTTCAAAAAAAAATTTTTTTTTTTTTTTGAAATGTTTTTTTTCAAAAAAATTTTTTTTTTTCAAAAAAAGTTTTTTTTTTTTAAATTTTGAACAAAAAAGAATTATTTTTCTCGTTTCCCATTTTTTTAGGTTATGAAACATTTCGATTATTCACAATTTCAGCATGAAACCGAAACGAAAAACTGACCAGTTAGGGTTTTGAAGTGATTTTGAACGTCACTTAATTGATTGTACTGTTTGATACCATCTGGGCTATATACTCCATAATGGAACATGCGGTTATTGGGAATCGAACATGATATTTGTTTGAGAATATACAAAAAATGATTTTTCTGAATTCAAAAAAAATCATGAATCTTTCCTCAAATAACCTCACCTTTTTATCCTCGGCAACATTGTAAAAAGTTGTTGGAAATAGGAATAAAGTCTTTCCAAACTTTTTATCAGTATAATCTGGGCGTTGTTTACAATTCGGATATGCTGAATCAATTGATTTAGCCATAACAATGACAAGAATTGAAAAAACTATCGTCGCTTTCATTATTTTTCGAAAATACAAAGTGTTTCTTAAAAGTGTGCGCTGGATTTTTGATCATTGGGTCACGGGTTTTTTTGATTTTTGCGCATTTTTTTCCGCAAATCATACCCAGCAAAAATTGTTTTTCAAAAATCTTTTATTTCATGCTCAAATACAATCTTCATCAAAATCTGATCGCTTCTTGATATTTTTCGTGTCTGTTCCAGTTGTTGCTCCAGTTGTTGCTCCAGTTGTCACTATTTCGTCAAACTCAATCACGGTATCCTGCTTTTTTCTCTTCAATTTCTTACTCAGCTTTCCAAACTTTTCCTTAATTTTCTCAATTAATTTCTCGCAAAATATGAATAGTTTTCCATCGGTTTTGTCACCGACAAAAATAAAAACAGAAACGACCGAAAAAACAAGAACAACACCGATAGCAACTCCAATCAGAAGATACATTGAGAGAGTTCTGATGGGACCTTGGAAAATATCGCATTGATTTTTGATTTGTGGATTTTCAGCGGCAGGTGGAATATCGAGAATATTGTCAATGCTGGCAAAAAAACAAACAATTTCAATTAGCATACCTCAAACTCACAAATGTTCCGCCATTTTTCTGATGTCATCTCTATCTTTTCCACTAATATCATATAATGATATATTTGAAATAGTCAAAGTTTCATACCCATTGAATTCCTTATTGTCAAAATGAACAATATTGAGATTTGCCATGAATTTGGATTCTCGAAATATTGACAAATAATCGCATGGATCAGGGTTTTTCCGTAAAAAATATACAATTTCAATACGATCGTAGATTTCTATGTCACACGAATCGAAATCGCGACAAGTGTGCTGCTCATTCAATTTACGCATGATTGTTTTGAACCACTTGCATTCGTTATTTTCTAAAAATCGAAAAAATCACTGAAACATGTTAAAAAACGTTTTTTTTTACAAAAAATTTCGATTTGGCAAATGTCAAAAAATGAAAATTACTATTTCTATGATTTTCAGCACAAAATTTCAGTCTAGAAACTTATTTTCAGCATTTTTCCGGTTGATCCATTTTTTTTGAAACTTTTCGGCACAATTTTCTTTGAAGAGTTTCTAAGCTGAAATTTTGTGCTGAAAATTATTAGAAATTAGTATTTTCATGATTTTCAGCACAAAATTTCAGTCTAGAAACTTATTTTCAACTTTTTTCCGGTTGATCCATTTTTTTTGAAACTTTTCGGCACAATTTTCTTTGAAGAGATTCTAAGCTGAAATTTTGTGCTGAAAATCGTGAAAATGCTGAAAATTATTAGAAATTAGTATTTTCATGATTTCCAGCACAAAATTTCAGTCTAGAAACTTATTTTCAGCTTTTTTTTCCGGTTGATCCATTTTTTTTTGAAACTTTTCGGCACAATTTTCTTTGAAGAGTTTCTAGACTAAAATTTTGTGCTGAAAATCGTGAAAATGCTGAAAATTATTAGAAATTAGTATTTTCATGATTTTCAGCACAAAATTTCAGTCTAGAAACTTATTTTCAACTTTTTTCCGGTTGATCCATTTTTTTTTTGAAACTTTTCGGCACAATTTTCTTTGAAGAGATTCTAAGCTGAAATTTTGTGCTGAAAATCGTGAAAATGCTGAAAATTATTAGAAATTAGTATTTTCATGATTTCCAGCACAAAATTTCAGTCTAGAAACTTATTTTCAGCTTTTTTTCCGGTTGATCCATTTTTTTTTTGAAACTTTTCGGCACAATTTTCTTTGAAGAGTTTCTAGACTAAAATTTTGTGCTGAAAATCGTGAAAATGCTGAAAATTATTAGAAATTAGTATTTTCATGATTTTCAGCACAAAATTTCAGTCTAGAAACTTATTTTCAGCTTTTTTACGGTTCATCCATTTTTTTTTTGAAACTTTTCGGCACAATTTTCTTTAAAGAGTTTCTAAGCTGAAATTTTGTGCTGAAAATCGTGAAAATGCTGAAAATCGCTAGAAATCAAGATTTTCATAATTTTCAGCACAAAATTTCAGTCTAGCAACTTATTTTCAGCTTTTTTTCCGGTTGATCCATTTTTTCGGAAATTTTGGCACAATTTTCTTTAAAGAGTTTCTAAGCTGAAATTTTGTGCTGAAAATCGTGAAAATGCTGAAAATTATTAGAAATTAGTATTTCTATGATTTTCAGCACAAAATTTCAGTCTAGAAAATTATTTTCAGCTTTTTTCCGGTTGATCCATTTTTTTTTGAAACTTTTCGGCACAATTTTCTTTAAAGAGTTTCTAAACTGAAATTTTGCGCTGAAAATCGTAGAAATGCTGAAAATTATCAGAAATTGGTATTTTCATGATTTTCAGCACAAAATTTCAGTCTAGAAACTTATTTTCAGCTTTTTTCCGGTTGATTCATTTTTTCGGAAATTTCGGCACAATTTTCTTTAAAGAGTTTCAATACTGAAATTTTGCGCTCAAAATCACTGAGCTGCTGAAAATCGCTGAAAATTAGTGTAACCAACCGTTTGCTTCATTCCAAACAGTAGATCTGACCACATCCCACTCACGTGAAGGCTCATTTCTGATATTTTTAAATTAATGATGCAGAATCTGATGAAAACGTACCCAAATTTATAGTGAAATTCGACTTGATTGGGAATCGCACAAAGCACTTCATCATACACATACACACTCTTTTTGTCCTATAAAAATGCAGCGTGTCTAGACAGATATGCTAAGGTCCAAACTCACATCATCCTCATATCTTGAATCTTTGTTCAAATTTGATCGCATAAAGACAAACATGGTTTGTGGATATTCGAGGTTTTCAACAGTTTTCCGTTGTTCACAAGATAAGGAGAGTTTAATATTGAGAATGAGAAAAAATGATGATGATGATAATAATAATACACTGAGAGTTTTCATGATTTGATATAAATGGAGAAATGATTTGGATTTGATTGATTTTTTTTTTCGCGGTTTTTTCACACACAAAAAATTGGGTCACGTTGGAAATTGGGTCAAAATAATTTTTGGACAAGTAACAAATCTTTATTCATTGTTCTCCTCACTCAATTCTTAGCCGCCACTTTTTTCACAGGACCATAAGAATCATCGAAATTTTGCATTTTCCTCGTTTCTCCCAAACCATTCTTGTGTTTCATCGCAATCTCCTTTTTCTTCGCTTTTTTTTCCAATAAATAAAAAGAAAAGCTGTGCCAATAACAATGTAATGGCTAAGACAACAACTCCAAAACAGAATCCCATTCCAAGGCCCAATTTCATATAGTAATCTTCTTGTTTATCAATACATTTTAAAATTGGTTGAAGTTTTCGCTTTTCTTTTATTCCAAGAATATTATTGATGCTATAATTTGAAAAGTTTAAAAATCCTTTGTGTTTTTCTCGAAACTCACAAAGAATTGGTCATATTTACAAGTTCTTCAGAAGCTTTTTCTTGATTTGTATCAATTGCAGATATATTTGAATAATTTAGCGATTTGAAGGCATAATAAACATCGCTATCAAAATGTATCAGATTCAAACGAAATCTTCGATGACTTCTTTTATAATAATTCGAAAACGCACAATCTTCCAATTCCGGAATTCGATAAAACACTTCAATCCGGCCGAACTCGTCAAAATCGTTGGGCTTCATATTGCCATACATTTCCTCGAATGTTTCATTGCACGATTTGCCTTCTATAAGTTGTTTGGTTTCAAATGTTTATTATGGAAACCCCAAAAACTAACCGGTCAATGTTTTGAAACTATTTTGAGCATCAGTGACATCATTAAATCTGTAGTAAGTGTTGAGATCATACGTGGCATAGTGGAAGTTGACATTGTTTGGAATTGAGCAGGATATTTGTTTGAGAAGGTATAAATATTTATCTTTCTGAATCAATCATTATGAATCATCTCCATACATCAACTACTACAGTCACTCCGGAGACTCTCTTGAGTTTACCCCCCACGCCCTAACCCATTTTTTGCTGATTTTTCGAATTCGGAGTCCCAGTTCATGTATGATTCATTTCGGAAAAAAACGCGCAAATTTTATGGATAAAATATACCATGAGGACTCAGAGAAGGTCTGGCTTGAACGGCGCGGTTCGCGAAACCCAGAAATCTGCCAATCCGCGGCTGACACAAGAACTTTAGCGAAACGTCCGCGAAATTATGCTCCGCTGTTAGCGAAACATCCGCGCAATGCACTCTCGAAATATAAAAATGCTTCACAACCCCTGATAATTATCAGAAGTTAGTATAGACTTGTAGTTCCAACCCGGCCTCGATCCGAATCCTGTCGTTTTGTACACAGCGTTTTCGCACACAATAGGAAAACGGGTGGTTTACGGGTCGACCACCCGTTTAGGGGTACTAACGCACTACTATTCGACCACTATCGCACTACTACTGCGAAAGTGGGTTGAGTGGTGTTGATAGTGGTGGAATAGTGTTGTGATAAAATCAGCTTTTATAGATTGGTATATGTTCAGAAATACTAATATTGATATTAGATCACTTTTTGCTGGCGAAAAGTTGATAGGAAACCAAAAAATCAGGCTCCTCGTTTTTTGGTAGTAGTGGTACGGTAGTGGTCCAAAACGGGTGTGAAAGTTTTAAACCACAGAAGGCAGAATACTATCAAAAAACACCACAGATTGGTTAATAATTACATTTTGCCAACCGATTTCCGCTTTGCAGCCAATAAATTCATAAAAACTTCTATTTTTGCCTTAGTGGTGGTTTAGTGGTCAAAAACGGGTGGTTCTTCCCACAGAGAAATTCAATAAGAAAAAAAGTATGAAACTAGAATAATGATACTCGAGGTTCATGCAAATACAAACTTTGATGATAGAAAGCACTTCAGGTACCAATTTTAAACCCTTTTAGATATATTTTTCATCATACCACTTTGAGTATCTCGCTGAATTTGCCAAAGTCGGATGAATGTAAATTAAATTTTTTGTACAGATGTTGTATATCATTTTGTTCGCCTTTCAATTTACAACTCAACTGCGTTTTCAGTTTTTAATTTGGAGTCCATTGAAAAAAGTGTTCCGTGTAGATTTACGCGGAGACGCTAGTGTGTGGTCTCGCGGCGAAATCCACAGTTTGTGTGTTTTCATTTTTTCATTTTTTTTCTTTTTTTTTTCTTTTTTTTCCGTTGTGCTGTGGTTTTGTGTTGTTTTTAGAGTTATGAGTATAGGTTTTTATGCTAAAAGTATTGGAAAATACTTTCCTAATAGAACAACTGAGAATTTCTACCGAAAACAATTGAAAATCGTGATTTTTCGATGATTTTAGGCCTTTCAAAAAATATTGACTTTCATTTTGTGATTTTTTTACTTTTCGTTCAGAAATAGGTTTGGGAATAGTTTTTCATATGGAATTTGAGAAGTTTCAACACATTGAAATATAAAATGTAGGGAACTTGATGATAATGGATGTAGTTCCTCTGGGTAGGGTTCATAAAATTGTTTTCCTCGTTTCATTTCGTTATCTTTTCTTTATATGTATCCATGTATCATAAATTATTCTAATGTTACGTTTACAGCACGCGCTGCTCATCTAGAGGTAGCTTCAAAGAGAAGATCGTCACAAAACGACCGGTTAGTTCCTTATATAACCAAACTTGAAAAACAAAGTAATTTGCTTTTAGGCCGATTCTTCATGCGCCATGGGAACAATCAACAACATCACACACAGTGCCGCGAGGAGGAGTGAGGAGTCAATATGAAAAACGGTAAGCGTTTGTATATCAAAATAATTCTAACCTAAAATGAGTTCACACAGTGTGAATTCCACACACTGTTGTGAACAAGCATAAAAAAGTTATGCTCATTTGAAAAAGCATGTTCTAATTAGCACAATCCTAGAAGGATTTTTTCTGTAAGCTTTTCAAATATTGGTTCAAAAATTTCAAAGTTCGAAAAAACAGTGAACAACCATGTAAAATAGATTGAAAATCCAGATGTCCAGCCTCAAGAAATCGAAAGCGTGCTACGCCGCGTTTTGGGGCTTTTGGCGTTCCCGCGGCGCTCAGATATCGCTTATTTCGCGAGTTCTGTGCGCCGCGTGAACGTTCACTGTTTTTTCGAACTTTGAAATTTTTAAATCTATATTTGAAAAGCTTACAGAAAAAACCTTCGAGGATTGTTTTAATTTTGCTCAGACTCCATCTTCAAATTGACAACAAATTCAAAATTTTTAAAGTCATAATTTGAAAAAATCCGATTTCAAATTCATCTAGAAATGTTTCAGATTCACCTACGGACCAATCACCAACAACAACACCAAATTCAGCAACCCGGAACTCCAATCCACCGACAACAACGACAACAAGTCTCCCTTCATCAACACCAACCATCGGTCAACCACAGTCACCCATCACCGACACCAACTATCGGTCAACCACCGACATCAGGACAACGACTAATTATAATTACTGTTCGCTATATTTTTGAGATAAAATTTTTTTATACATAACAAGTGTAAAATATATGAAAACCTAGGAAAACAAGAATCGACCACTAAAGCAGCTGTTTCCCAGTACTATTTTTTTGCGCGTAGTAGCTGTAAACGTGTACCCGTCGGTGTACTCGCGCACGAGGGGTTGAGTACCCGTAAACGGGTGGAAAACGGCCCGTAATGCACCTGTATGCGAAAACGCTGTGGTAGTCATCCATCTTCCTTGCTGCGCTATCCTCGTTGTCGCGTACGCGATACAATTTATCCTTTTTATACCCTCCCTCTCGAGTCCATCCGCGAATCCGCGAAAAACGCAAAAATCAAATTTCCGAGTCAAAAAATTTCGCGGAATGCGCGAAATTAGACTCTCATTGGCTGAAGTTTCGCTGTCCGCGAAATTTTTTTCGCGGAATCCGCGTAATGATTTTCACCCAAAAATCGGTGAAAAATCGTCCGCGGACCGCGCCGTTCAAGCCATACTTTCTCTGAGGAGGTTTTGTTTAGTATGTTTCCATTTTTTTTTGTGAAAAAATTGATCGGCAACACACCTCCTCTTTCAGATAGCCAAAATCGTGGTTTCCAGAAGTCAAAATTGTACGCCAACATTTTTTTTTCAATGAAAAAACCGTACATTTTCAGTTTTTGGACGCTCGAATTTTTTGAAAAACTGTACTCATTGTCAGGCCCACAACTGATTGGCCAAGACTTTAACGTGCAAAAAAAATGTATAAAAAATTGGGGAACATACTAAACGAAACTTCCTCATTCAGAAAGTAAAATTTTCACACCTCTGAAAAATGATTGCTCCCCAAGACTTAACTCACTTGTGTATCTTGATCAACATGCAAATATGTTGTTGGAAACACGAATAGTGTTTTCGCAAATTTTTTGCCAGTATAATCTGGGCGTTGTTTACAGTTGGGATAGACGGCGTGAACGCAAATGACTAGAAATATGATTTTCATCAATTTCATTATTATTATTTCTAGAAATAATGTTATTTGGGGCAAACGATTCAATTTGATCATAAATGTGGGTCACGTCAGAAATATCTTTTTTTTTTTTTAAATATTGATCGAATCCAGTTCATTTCTCAATTTATGTTCATCATGAAGATGCACACAATTTTTCTACTTTTTCTAACTTTCAATGTCAAATTCACAAAATCGTGTGAACAACGCGCGAAAATTGAATATCTCAGATATCCATCAACACTGTTCATTTTTATGCGAACAAATCTGAACAAAGATTCAAGATTTGAGGATGATGTGAGTGCCTTTTTTTTCGTAGCATTTTGGACATACTGGGACTCCGAATTCGAATTCGCAGAGAGGGTCCTTAACTTTTTATATATTTATTTTTTTCCTGGTAGGGAGGTTAACTCAAGGGTCCGACTAGTTCATGTATGATTTTGGAATTCCAGCAGGCCGTGGCCCCCAGGCTTTGCAGGAGTGACTGCATCAACAGAGTACCAAACAGATCTGGGAATTTTTACGTTTCCGTTTTTTTCGTTTTACGGTTTTACCGCTCAAAAAATCGTAAAATAATTCGTAGAAAAAAATCACTAAATATAGTTTAATTATTTTGAATTTTTACAGAATCAAATAGAAAGTTAAAAAACAAAACATTTTTCAAAGAAAATTTTGATTGAATCCTAATTTATCAACTTTTTGATGAATATCAAGAATAATATTGTTAAAATTATGTTGGAGTTACGATAAGTTACCAAATCCCTATTTCTGAAGACATTTTTGCTGATTTTACGGGATTTTACGGTTTTTGAAAGCGTTAAATTCCGATTTTACGTTTTACGGTGCCACGTAAAAATTTCCCAAGTCTGGTACCAAAGCTTAACCCATTGTTAATGAAGCGTGGATTAACCAATTTTCGAAAATTACCCAAATCCCGTGGAAAACAGTAGAAATATTTTTTTGTTCGCTGTGAAAATCGTTGCATTTTTTGCAGGACAAGAAAAGCGTGTATGTGTATGATCAAGTGCTTTGTGCAATCCCGAATCAATATGGCTTTCACTATAGTTTTGCGTACGTTTTTGGCAATATACTTGACACACATTCAACACTGTAATTCATATATAGCATGTGATGAATGAGTGTGCACATACACGTTAAAGGGGGTACGGGCTCATCAAAATTGTTTGGAAAAAAAATATATCATCTGACAAAAGAGGAGGTTTCGTTTAGTATGTTCCCAATTTTTTAAACATTTTGTTTCATGCGCTCGATCTCAAAAAAATAGCATACGGAAACAAGATTTTTTTTTCGTGTTTGCGAGTGAAAAAAATGATACTTAAACCACACCTCTGCCAAAATCGTGGTTTCCAGAAGTCAAAATTGTACGCTAACATTTTTTTCGATGTAAAAAATGTACATTTTCAGTTTTTGAACGTCTGAAATGTCCAAATGCTCGAATTTTTTGAAGGCCCACAACTTGATTGGCCGAGGTGTGACTGAAACGTGAAAAAAATGTACGAAAAATTGGGCAACAAACTACTTAAACGAAACCTCTTCTTTTAGATAGCATAACTTTTTTCCATAAAATTTTGATGAGCCCGTACCACCTTTTAATATGAATTATCACAGAAATAATCCATCAACCACATGGTCTTTGGCAAAAAAAAGTGTTTGGAATCACTCAAATGGTTGGTATTTTCTCTGGCTCTCTTAAACTATCATATCTTACTTATTTTCAGAGAACAAAGAATGCGAATGGTACACGAATTGGCTTGCTAAATTAATTGATCAACAAAATTGTGGTGACGAATGTCAACTATACACAATTTTTGATCGAATCGAAATTGTCTATTTTTCGCGAAAAAACGCTGATCGCTGTGATTATTTGGCGATCTATCAAAAATACAAATTCATCGCAAATTTCAATATAATTCATTTTGATGATCGCAAATATGACGGATATCATACTTTGAACATTCGAAATATTTCAGCATATGATATTAGTGGAAAAGATAGAGATGACATCAGAAAAATGGCGGAAAATTTGTGAGCTTTTGTTGTTGTTGTTGGGTGGCATCAGACTTGGGAATTTTTACGTTTCCGTTTTTTCGTTTAACGGTTTTACCGCGCAAAAAATCGTAAAATAATGCGTTTAAAAAAATCACTAACAAGGGAACCTTTTTTACTCAACACTTCAAATCATGATGAAATTTGATCCATGGACAGCTTTTGGGACCATAAGAACACCCTAAAATTTTTAGTCTCCCAATGGACCTCTGAGCCAAGTTCTGGGCTCTCAAAAACTCAAAAAAGGCCTAATAATGGTCATAAAAGTCATCATAGCTCCATTTCAAAATTTTTTTCGGTGGAAATGAAGTTTCAGATCTTGATCAGCATAGTCGATTTACTAAAAGTACATCAATAAAAAACTTTATTTCGAAAAATTTTGAAGTTTTTTATTTTTGGGCTGAAAATTCATATGTGCCCCTGCTCATTCTTTTTTTCAAAATCAGAAATTTTTCTGAAAATTCGATTTATTTATGCTTTTTGGGTAAATCGACCACGCTGATCATCATCTGCTACTCAGTTTTTCATAAAATTGATCGAGAATTGAGCTATGATGACTTTTATGAGCAAATATGAGCACTTTTTGAACTTTTGAGAGCCCAGAACTTGGCTCAGAGGTCCATTGGGAGACTAAAATTTTTAGGGTGTTCTTATGACCCCAAAAGCTGTCCATGGACCAAATTTCATCATGATTTTAAGTGTTGAGTAAAAAAGGTTCCCTTGTAAATATAGTTTAATTATTTTGAATTTTTACAGAATCAAATAGAAACTTTAAAAAAAAAACAAAACATTTTTCAAAGAAAATTTCGATTGAATCCTAATTTATCAACTTTTTGATGAATATCAAGAATAATATTGTTAAAATTATGTTGGAGTTACGATAAGTTACCAAATCCCTATTTCTGAAGACATTTTCGCTGATTTTACGGGATTTTACGGTTTTTGAAAACGTTAAATTCCGATTTTACGTTTTACGGTGCCACGTAAAAATTTCCCAAGTCTGGGTGGCATGGATTTCTTCGAAGCTGCAAAAAACATTTTTTTTTTTTGCAGCATCGATGATGTTTTGGATATTCCTGCCGTCGAGGTTCCTCCAATTCAAAATTCGTGTGACTTCTACAAAGATCAGGCAAAAATGTTTTTAATTTATGGCGGTGTTGGAGCTGTTGTTGGTATGATTGTTTTGGGAATTTGCGTGGAATCTTTCAGATGTATTATTGATCATACTAAACTTCTATCATTTCTCAAGAATCAGTTTGAAAAACTCAAAAAAAAGTTTGCAAAACTGAAAAGGAAGGCGAAAAAATCGAAAGAAGATACACCAAAAACAATGGTTGATATTGGAGATGAAGAGACAACTGAAGGAGCTACCGGACAACAACAAAAAAAATGGGATTTTGAAGATTTAGCCTAACTCAACTCATCCATTTTTTCTGTATTTTATGAATAAACTCTTGGGCACTAAATTATGGCTCAGGGCATTTTGCGAATTTTTGAAATTTCAAAATAATCATATGATAACGTGACAGAATAATCCCTGGGGCTGAAAATTTCGAAAACTTTGCATCTTTAGCTTCAAAATGATTTTTTGGTCGATGTTTTTCGATCCATTCATTGCTCATGTTATTTTTTTTTCAAAAGCCACGTGATTTTTTTCGCTCCTGGGAGAGAACATGTGTCATTTTTCTTGCTCTCTCGAAAAATTATCGATTTTTTTTCGGAGTCATGAAAATCCTTTTTTTCCTCTTTATTCTCTACCTAAACTCAAAAACTACGGTAATTCTAAAATTTTTGGCGCGAAATTCAAAAAATTTCAGGTGCTAGCCGTGGAGAATTGCGAATTTTCGCTGCGCAAAATTCCCGGATTCGATCCGCTGATTTTGACGGACAAAAATGGGCGACAGTGTCGCGGAAGTGTTGAGCTACCCTTTTGCAAGGGTTACTGTAGATCCAGCGAGGTACTGTGGATTTTTCGCGCGAAAATTTGTGATTTTTTGAGCCCGAATAAGCCTAGGCCTGGGCTAGGACTAGGCCCGGCCCGGGCCTAGGCTTATTCGGGCTCAAAAAATTGCAAATTTCTCACCTTCAGGCCGGCTCCATCGGATTCCCATCCAAAACTCAAAATAGCTCCGCGTGCATTTTGATCAAAACCTCAGAACGCCGTGTACCTTTAAGCGATTGTGATGAGGGAGCGAGTGATGAGATTCGATTCATCAAATTGCCACATGGAACATCGTGTAAATGCTCGATTTTGCCAATTAATTAGGATTCCTTAATTAATTAATTAATTAATTTTAATTAATTAATTAAAATTTTCAATAAAAAACTCACATTTTCATCAAAAAAACAAAAAAAAATCGATTTTTTTCAAAAAAAAAAAAAAAAAAAGAACGCGCGCGCAACGACACTCCGCAAATTACGGCTTGCCCGTTGTTTAACGCTTAGTTGGTTTTTTTTCATTTTTCCCTTTTTTTCGTGTTTTTTGGGGTTTTAAGCCGTTTTTAGGGTGAATTTTGTGAATTTTAAGCTTAGTGGTTGTTTTTAATGAAAATTTGGTGGTTTTTAAGGTTAAACACCTTGATTTCGGTGGGAAAAAAGGGAATTCAAGGCTGACGCATTTCAGGTAGCTTCTAGAAGTGCTGGCGTGTTTTCTGTAGCCCTGACGCATTTCAAAAAGCTTCTAGATTTGCTGACGCATTTCATGTAGCTAAAATATTTGAACATCTGTTCAAAATTAATTTGTTTATAGTTTGATCAACCAAGTTTAGCACCTTTTCCTCTAATTTCAGCTGAACAAATAGATTTTTGATCTTACAAACTAGAAAAATCCTATAAAAGCACACAGTACCCCGCAAAATATCATAATCCGATTTCAAAAAATGAGATCCCTGATCTTCCTCAGTCTATTCTTCATCGCCACCATCTATGCTGTTGACATTGATCAATGTTCTGGACGTGAGTTACAAGAAACGCGCCAGCAAACACTCAATACTGACGCATTTCATTTACAGCATGTACGTACGGCCCCTGTATCGCAGGTCATTCTTGTATCGCCGGTGCCTGTTGTCCAGGTGAGCTACAAAAAATGCGTCAGTGAAGGTATATAAGGTATATTTTTGTTAGATTACGAAGTTCCAACTTCTGCACCTCCAAAATGCCGTGATATTCATCGTCATCCGGCGACTGGAAAGAAAGATTGTGCGAAATTGGCATATCTTTGTACAGATGTCTATTTTTATGACGTCATGACTAATTATTGCTCGGCTACTTGTAATCGATGTAATCTTGTTGGACCAACTACAGCTTCATGAGAATTATAATTGATTTTTGATGTTAGTTGCGAATAAAAATCGATATTTTCTGGAATTTGGGAAGCTACAAAATATTTTACAAAAATTGTCTAGACCTCAAAATATGATATTTAAAAAGAATCTGGGATCAGAATTTGCAAGAAAATCATAAAAACATGAGAATTTTCGTGTTTTTTTTCTCAAATGTCATAAATATGTCACATTTCATGATGAAATTGACCGAAAAAAAGTGAAAAAAAAGACGCGCATGCAACGACACTCCGCAAAATGACGGCTTGCCCGTTGTTTAGCGCTTTGTTGGCTTTTTTTCATTTTTCCCTTTTTTTTCGTGTTTTTTGGGGTTTTAAGCCGGTTTTTAGGTGAATTTTGTAAATTTTAAGCTTAGCGGTTATTTTTGATGAAAATTATGTGGTTTTTAAGGCTAAACACCTTAATTTTGGTGGGAAATAAGGGAATTCAAGGCTGACGCATTTTTTTACAAAGTTCACCTAAAAAACGGCTTAAAACCCCAAAATTTCACCCAAAAACAGGGAAAATTTGAAAAATCGAACAAAGCGGTAAACAACAGGCAAGCCGTCATTTTGCGGAGTGTCGTTGCACGCGCGTTCTTTTTTTTGTTTTTTTTTGATTTCTAGAAGCTATTTTTAGTGTGTCAGCAAATTTTAAAGCTAAAAAAAATCAAAGAATCAATGTCTAGACCATATAAAATTTCTAAAAACATATAAACACACTCTCAAACCAGAAATTCAGAAAAAAAAATGAGATTTTCATTTTCATTTCTATTTTTCGTCCTCCTGGCTCAAATTTTGGCCAAAACAAGCGCAAAAGAACTTCCTCCACTAAAATGTAAATTTCGGAATGAACATTGCGAGAGACTTCCAACAGCATATGCCACATGGTGTGCGGAACAGGAAAAAATCAATGCGTATAAGTATAGAAATTGTTTGGTGACTGAGTTATCCGAACTTGAATGAAAATGAAATTTTCTATTCTGCATTTTTTCTTGAAATTTCAATTTTTTGAAAATTCTCACGTTTTTCACGTGTTCCTCATTTCTAGATTCTCTATTTTCAGCTTTCGAAGCCAAAAAGCAGCAATTTTTCCACATGGATTACTGTAGCACACGGCAAATGTGTGCAAACACTTTGCCCCGCGGCATTTTATGTGACGCGCATGTTTTTTTTCTTTTTTTTTGCGGGAGGTTTGTGTTTTTAGCCCTGAAAAAGGTGGAAATGATGTGAATTTGTTGAATTTTTCAGATGACACGTGGAATTTGGCTGGAAATTGCGAATTTTGACTGGAAAAAGTGATTTTGGAGTGGAAATATCGAATTTTGACTGGAAAATATCGATTTTCTGCTGGAAATTGCGAATTTTGACTGGAAAATGCAATTTTTGATGGAAAAATATCGATTTTTGGCTGAAAATATCGATTTCTGGCTGGAAAGTGCGAATTTTGGCTGGAAAATGAGGATTTCTATAAAAATTATCGAGTTTTGACTGGAAAATATCAATTTTTGGCTCGAAAACGCGATTTTTTGCTGGAAAACACGAATTTGGGCTGGAAATATCGATTTTCTGCTGGAAATTGCGAATTTTGACTGGAAAATGCAATTTTTGATGGAAAATATCGATTTTTGGCAGGAAATTGGTGATTTGTGAGTATTTTTGGGCTCAGGGATCTTTAAAAGGCTCCAGAAGCTTCCGGAAGCCCCCAGAAGCTCGCTGAAGCCTCCAGAAGCTCGCGGAAGCTTCCGAAGTCTTCCGGAGGCGCTAGGAAGCTTACGGAAGCCTCCAGAAGCTCGCGGAAGCTTCCGGAAGGCTTCCAGAGGTTTCCGCAAGTTTCCGGAAGCTTTAAGTGGCTTCCGGAGCCTTCCGCAACCTTCCGCAACCTCTACGCGCCTCAAAAATCCCAAAATCCCCCCAAAATCGCGCCTCATCCAATATTTAGTACTACTTATATGTCTATCTATGTAGATACAACCAGTTTCCCCCCAAAACATTGCTCATTTTATATTCCCATCAAATCTCGACGAGAGACAATTGGCAGATGAGAGAGTGCAGAGAAATATGCATTGACAATGGGATGAGTCGAAAAAAAAGGGGCGGAGCTTTTTGGGGGGCGAAAAATTCCAGTTTACTAGTTACCCTAACTCGAGAATGTGGTTGTTTTGGGCGCTATGCGCCTTTAAATTTCTATCTGAGTACTGTAGTGTGGTGGCTGCTGACGTGGCTGGCAAGCCGATGGCCTGGTATTCAACGGGAAAAATCCACGTGGCACCGCCGCAAAAGCTTGTGGCACCAGCGAAAACCGCTATTGATATTTGTCAGGTATTAAAATTTTTTGCCACGTGGCACATAATTTTTGGCGGGAAATTTGAAAATTTGAAAAAGCGAAAACAAGAAAAATCCCCGGGGATTTTTTGAGAAATTCATCAAAAATGTTTTTCGACACATTTTTCTTAGTACTTTTTTTTTGCAAAAAAAAAAGAAATGGGGGAGGATTTGAAAATGAAAAAAAAAATTGGGTTGGAAAAAATTTTCCAAACGAAAATTTGTAGTTCTCGAGGAGAAACGCTAATTTTCCATACGAAAATTTGTGGTTCTCGAGGAGAAGAATTTTTTTGGTATGGAAAATTAAATAGCGCTTCTCCTCGAGAACTACACATTTTGGTATGGAAAATTTCCAAAATTTGTAGTTCTCGAGGAGAAACGCTAATTTTCCATACCAAAATTGGTTTTGCAGTTCTCGAGGAGAAGAATTTTTTTGGTATGGAAAATTAGCGCGGCACATTAATTTTCACGTGGGAAATTCAAATTTCCCCTCAAAAAACCTCCATTTTTCACCGGGAAACCTGGAAAATGTCCCGAATTTTTTCCCGCACCCAGCTTCCCAATTCCCCACAAATTTCCAGCTTCCCGTCGACACTGGCAAATGCGATCAACAACTGTTTCGCTATTATTATGACGCGAAAATCGACGATTGCCAACGATTCACTTTTACGTACGGTCGTTTTTTTTGGGCGGGAAAATGAAAAAAAAAAAACAAAATTTGAATCATTCATCATTTTTTACTGTCTCTTTCCTATATAATTATATTTATTGGAGAAAGTTTTGGCAAAAAAATTGTCCGAGAGAAGTACACGGGAATTTTCAGGGGGTCGGGGGCTTCTGGAGAATTCCCAAGGCTTCCCAAGGCTTTCCCGGGCTTCCCAAGGCTTCCCCGGGCTTCCCAAGGCTTCCCCGGGCTTCCCAAGGCTTCCCAAGGCTCCTGGAGGCTTCAGGAGGCTTCAGGAGGCTTCCCAAGGCTTCCCGCGGCTTCCCGCGGCTTCCCAAGGCTTCTGGAGGCTTCCCGAGGCTTCTCAAGGCTTCCCAAGGCTTCCCAAGGCTTCTAAAGGCTTCTAAAGGCTTCTCAAGGCTTCTAAAGGCTTCTGAAGGCTTCCCCGGGCTTTCCAAGGCTTCTGGAAGCTTCCGCATGCTTCCGCAACCTCTAAAAACCATTTTTTCAGTGGATGTGGTGGAAATTCGAACAGATTCATGAGAAGAGCACACTGTCGAAATCGATGTGTCAAAAATCCGCACAAAAATTCGACGTCGACTTCGCCGAACTCGAATTTTTTGGAACTCAAACAACATCGACGAACTTTGACAACAACTAGTACAACTGAAGTTAGCTCAACTCGCTCTGAAATCACTTCGACAACAATGGAACCTTGGACTCAAGCGTTTCCGGTGAAGAAAATTGAGTTTTTGAAGGTAAACTTGCTCTGGGAGCTCAAAAAAACACGTTTTTGACCAATTTTTGACCAAAAATATCGATTTTTCACCGTAGAATTAGCCTAAATTCAAAATTTCCAGTCAAATTTGTGCACCGATTGCGATCCGCTTTTCGGAACTTGCAATGATGGAGTTTGTGGATGTATGAAAGGATTCCGATCGCTCGGAAAAGTTTGTATTGGTAAGATTTTCGAAATTTGGAGCATTTTGAGCCCGAATAAGCCCAGGGTTTCCTAATTTTCCACACCAAAATTTTTGTGTGGAAAATTGACTTCTCCTCGAGAACTACAAATTTTGGTATGGAAAAAAATGTCCATGCATTTTTAATTCCGGATCTTCCCGAAATCTTCGAAAAAAAAAATGAATTTTTTCGCATCCAACAGAACAAATTTAGAATGCATGGTGTACTTTTAACAAAAAAAAAATGTTGCGAGAACTTTTTTCGGGATCAAAAAAAATTGGTAAAAAAAAGTTGCCTCGGGTGTGGCTCGAACCCCTGACCTTCTGACCCATAGAAAATCAATATTTCTATATCAAAATTTCGTGCTGAACATGAAGAGAATGCTTAAAATGAGCAATGCCATCATTTTCAGCGCAAAAAAAGATGAATTTGAAAAAATTGGTGCCTCGGGTGTGGCTCGAACCCCTGACCTTCTGACTCGAATATTTCCAGATCTCAACGAATGTGACAATGGTGCAATCTGTGGTGACAATGCACGGTGTGTAAATACCGTAGGATCTTACACGTGTGAATGTGATTCGGGATTCCAAGTTGATGGGCGATGCAAAATCGGACCCGAAGCCTGTCAGGATGAATTTGACGTGAATTTGACTGAAGAGGATTGTAATCATGGGAAACAGGAGTTACGGTAAGTTCGGAGCCGAAATTTGCAGCATTTTGATATCAAATACGTCGCGAAAAAATTTTCCATACCAAAAATTTGGTATGGAAAATCATCTTGTCCTCGAGAAATACAAATTTTCGTATGGAAAAATGAATTTTTTGCAGCTACTACTACGATTCCGTCACGGCCTCCTGTAAACGTTTCTTCTACGGTGGCTGCAAAACCACATCCCGCAACTTCTTCGCCGATCTTCAAACCTGCGATGTTCTCTGCGTCTCTCTTCAACGAGACTATCTCGCATCGGCTCATCACTTCAAAATCGATCTTTTGACCTCACCAGCTTCTCTAGCCGAACCCGATAAGCCTTTATCTGTTGAGGATTGGCCCTTGAGGCCTGTCACAGTCCGCGCGCCTTTGAATTTGGATTTTGGGCCGAGTTATCGATTGGGCGGCCTGGAAAAGATGAAGGAGGCCCAGAAGGCTGAAAAGATTGTGAAGGAAATTACACCGGGTTTGGGTGAGTTTTTTGTTTGTGCTTAAAATGAGCAATGCCATGATTTTCAGCACGAAAAATTGATCTAGACAAAAAAAGTAGTAGTTCCTATGGGGAATCGATCCCCGGACCTTCTGACTCAGAAAATCAATAAATCTGGATGAATTTTTCGTGCTGAAAATGATGAAATTGCTTAAAATGAGCAATCCCACGATTTTCAGCACGAAAAATTGATCTAGAAAAAAAAGTAGTAGTTCCCATGGGGAATCGAACCCCCGACCTTCTGACTCAGAAAATCGATATTGTTAGATCAATTTTTCGTGCTGAAAATGAAGAAATCACTTAAAATGAGCAATCCCACGATTTTCAGCATGAAAAATTGATTTAAAAAATAATTTAGAAAATAGTTCCCATGAGGAATTGAACCCCCGACCTTCTAGATCAAAATTTCGTGCTAAAAATGAAGAAATCACTTAAAATGAGCCATTTTTGCAGACATTTGCTCAACTCCACTCGATCCAACACTCCGTGAAGAATGCCTTTCAGCCGATTGGGTTGAGCGATTTTTCTGGAATTCGGAATTCTCGGAATGTGAACCTTTTTGGTACGGTTTTGTCCGCGAGAACTACACATTTTGGTGTGGAAAAATCTGAAATTTTTCAATTTCAGGTACGATAATTCGTGTGATCCACGCGACAAAGCTGCCAAAAACTTCTTTGAGAATTTTGACGCCTGCAAATCCACGTGTTCTGGAAATCTGAAAACTTCTGAAACTTCTGAAACTTATATTTTGCCTACTGATGAAGCTACAACTTCAACTCCAGCTACAACTTCAGTAGATGTTTCGAAAGATCAGAATCCAGTTATAACTTCCACACATCCAGCTCAAACTTCAAGTTCAGTAGAAGTTGTGGAAACTTCGAAAGATCAGGATCCGGAATTCGTTCAAGTCGAAAATTGGGAAGGTTTGGTGGACGAGAGAATTTCGCAGAAATCGGAGAAAATCGAAAAAGTTGAGATTGTTCACAGAGGATCGGAAGGTAGGGCTTCTGGAGGCTTTTCAAGGCTTCTGGGGGCTTCTGAAGGCTTCCCAAGGCTTCTGAAGGCTTCTGGAGGCTTCTGGAGGCTTCTGAGGACTTATGGAGGCTTCTGAAGGCTTCCCAAGGCTCCAGGGGGCTTCTGAGGGCTCCAAGGGGCTTCTGAGGGCTCCAGGGGGCTTCCGGAAATTTCAGAAGGCTTCCCAAAGCTTCCCCGGGCTTCCCCAGGCTTCTGGAGGCTTCTGAAGGCTTCGGAAGGCTTCTGAAGGCTTCTGAAGGCTTCCCAAGACTTCTTTCCAAAAAAAATCTGAAAATTTGCAGTCTGCCACGTGGAATTCAATCAAAACTTGCGAAACGAGTGTAAAACTGGAGATTGGACCGAATACTTCTACTGGAATCTGGAAATTCAGGATTGCGAAGCGTTTTGGTACGATAAATCGTGTCTTCTCCCCAAATTTGCGCCAAATCAAAATTTATTTGAAAATTTTGAGAAATGTCAAGAATCCTGCAAAAAACCCGCGAAAAAAGATGATGAAAAAGGTCCCGAAACGACGGCTACAGTACCCCTACCGTATAAACAGGATGATCCTTTAAATATCATTTTTGCGAATGCTATCAAACCCGAGGAATCGTCTTTGTTGCCTGATAAATTGCCCGGAAATCATGAGACGAATTTTGGCGCCAAAAATATTGAAGATCAAAATTCTGAAGATCAAACATCCACCACAAAATTCGACAGACTGAAATATATGGCTGAATTCAGAAAGAGACTTCTAGCACTGCCTGAGGATTTCAAGACAACTTCAGCAACACCTTCAGAAGCTCCGAAGGTGTCAGTGACGACTTCGGAAGCTCCAGCAACTTCAGAGACTCCAGCAACATCTTCAGAAGCTCCAGTAAGACCTTCAGAAGCTCCAGCTTCAACTCGATTCCTGGGAGATCTGTGCGATGAGCCACTTCACCCGAAACTTGAGGAGGATTGTAAGAATGATAATTGGGTGAGTAACTACGACACTCCGGGATTACGTTAGAGTGTTCAAACGATGCTCCGCCTTTACGCTGAGCGATTTAAGGGGTTAAACGATGCTACGGGGTTACGCCGAGAAAATAGAGGGTTTAAACGACACTCCGGGATTACGCTGAGGAAATTTAGAAAGGGGTAAACGATGCTCCGGTAGTACGCTAGAGGGTTTAAACGATACTCCGGGATTACGCTGAGGAAATTAGAGGGTTTAAACGACATTTCGGGATTACGGTGGGGGAATGGGGTGTCTAACTATACTACAGGACTACGTTAGAGAGTTCAAACGACGCTCCGCGATTCCGCTAGTAAGTTTAGAGGGGTTAAACGATGCTCCGGGATTCCGCTAATGACTTTAGAAACTTTAAACGATGCTCCGGGAGTACGCTGAGGAAATAAAGGGTTTAAACGATGCTCCGGGATTCCGCTGGGAAATTAGAGGGGTTAAACGACACTCCGCGATTCCGCTGAGTAAATAGAGGGTTTAAACGATGCTCCGGGATTACGCTGGGTGATTAGAGGGGTTAAACGATGCTCCGGGATTCCGCCTATGAATATTACCATTTTCAAACGAGACTCCGTATTTACGCTTTTAAAAATCAGAATTTCCCAACGACACTCCGCCGTTTACGGTCCCAATAAATACGTTTCTAAAGTGTTTTTTCAAGAGTGTAAACCCGGAGTGTCGTTTGAAATTCCCACATTTTTTCCAGGAAATTCGCTGGTTCTTCAACACGGATCGTGGAGCATGCAAAAGCTTCTGGTACGGTGGATGCGAAGTCGAGTCGCGCAACTTTTTCACAGATCATGCGGTAGGCCATCATTTTTTTTTTGGCGGGAAATTCAAATTTCAAATTTTTTTTTCAGAATTGCCGACATGCTTGTGCTCACAAATACCAAGCTTCGGAGTTCCAAACCAAGATCTCAATTCCACCCGGAGATCTCACAACTTCTCCACCATTCCACAAAGATCGCCTAACCACCTCGATCAAATTGACCTATCCACATTCCGAAGATCTTTTCCCGACGCACACGAATTCCTATCAGATCTCAGAAGATCCAGATCGCAGATTCCCTGCTCCTGAACCTCCGAAACATCTTGCGCTCGTCTCCGAAGGCACCAAATCCTCATCGGAACCCAGTTTCTATAGTCATATCGATAAAGTGATTCTGGATTTGAAGACTGGCGAGCACACGGCATTTCAGAAGCCCGAGGAATTTGTGCGAAGAGTTGAGAGCTCGAGCAATGCATTTGTGAAATATTCGATTGATGCGTCGGAAATTACACAGATTTTGGGCGGGGAACATCGGAGTATTAATGATGCTTGTGATGATGAATATGATCCAAAATGGGATGAGGTGAGCCTGGGCCTGAAAATTCGGGATTTTTTGAGCCTAAACAAGCCTATAGTCTGAAAATTCGGGATTTTTTGAGCCTAAATAAGCCTAGGCCTGAAAATTGGGGATTTTTTGAGCCTAAACAAGCCTAGGCCTGAAAATTCGGGATTTTTTGAGTCTAAACAAGCCTAGGCCTAAAAATTCGGGATTTTTTGAGCCTAAACAAGCTCGGGTACCAGATTTTGAAAAAGCTAAAATTTTTGCTGACGCGTTTGATGTAGCTGCAAAATTCTATTTTCCACACCAAAATTTTGGTGTGGAAAATCAACTTGTCCTCGAGAAATACAAATTTTGGTATGGAAAATTTCCAAATTTCATACAAAAATAACCTTGTTTGGTGTCAAAATGAAGCCGCTCGAAATACCGTGTAATTTCAGGATTGCCTGGGAGATGAATGGGTGATTCGAAGTTACTGGAACTCGACAACAAACTCCTGTAAAAGCTTTTGGTACGGTGGATGTCAGACAAGCAGTCGGAATATTTGGTTTGACCGTGAAGCGTGTCAAATGGCGTGTAGACATAAATTGGGAAAAATTGATGGTCAGTGGGCACTACAGTACCCCCTGGAGACTTACAGTAACTCTGGTTTTTCAGAATCTCCATTGACACCTTCTGACATTGCTGCAACTCTGTCCAGCACCACGAAGAAGCGAGAAATTTCAGATTCGGAAATTTTCAAGCAAGATCTTGATCAGCAACTCGCAAACATCAAGAAATCACATGAAAATCGAGAAGATCTGAAATTCTCAAAAATTGTAGATCATCCGGTTACTGTAGCCGCGGAATGTTTGGAACCTTTCAACTACAGTCTAGCCGAGCCATGTAAAAATGGCGGGAAATTTGAAAATCGATTTTATTTCGACAAAGATTCGCGGAGTTGTCGAATGTTCTGGAAATCTGAGGGATGTCTGGGTGGAGATGCTAAGATGAGCAATAATTTTGCGGATTTGGAGACTTGTCAATGGAAGTGTGAGGGAAGACATCCACAACCGGCTGGAAGTTAGTGCAAATTCGGATTTGGCGCGAAATTTGGGGCAGAATGATACCAAATTTGCCTGGGGGCATGGAAAAATGGGCGGGGCCTAAGATTTTTGCTTGCGGCACGGTTTTGTGGGCGTGGCTTAGGTTTTCTAGGATTTTCAAAGCTAAAATTCATGATTTTTACTTGCGGCACGGTTTTGTGGGCGGGGCTTATTTGATGTCGTTTTGAAGCCCTGGAAATTCCCCAAAAACTGTGCCAGGTTTGCAAAAATGGGCGGAGCTTGTTTGGTGTCATTTTGAAGCTCTTGACCTCCAGAATTTAAAAATTTACTCTAAAATTTGTTTTTCCCAGAATCCTGCCTCGAAAAATTCGACTTAGGCTATCTCGAAGATTGTCGCCATGGCGAATTCACAAATCGTTTCTACTTTGATCACGATCGCAAAAAATGTGTGGCTTTCCATTGGGGCGGATGCCAATCGAAATCGCAGAACTTCTTCACCGATATGGGATTGTGTCAGGATTTGTGCGAAAATCCGCCCAGAGAGTTGACACGTGGGTTTTTGAGCCGGTTTTTCGGATTCAGCGCGAAATTTTGATCTAGAGTGATTTTTATTATGAGTCAGAAGGTCGGGGGATCGATTCCTCATGGGAACTACTATTTTCTAAAAAAATTTTCTAGATCAATTTTTCGAGCTGAAAATGATGGGATTGCTCATTTTAAGCAAATTCTTCATTTTCAGCACGAAATTTTGATCTAGAAATATTGAGCAGAAGGTCACGAGTTCGATCCCCACCCGACGCAACACTTTTTTTTTCAAAACCCTATCATGCTTGGTGTCAAAATGTCGCAAATTTTTGCCACGTGGCAATTTTCAGCCAAAAATCATCTGAAATTCTGAAATTTCCAGAATCTTGCCTCGAACCTTTCGACACAAAATACGAGCAAACTTGCGGCAACGATCTTCATCAACAATATTATTATTTCGATCAAATTTCGGGAATCTGCAAAATGTTCTGGTTCGGAAATTGTAAGGGCGAAAATCAGAACATCTACAGTACTCTGGAGGCGTGTCAATGGATTTGTGAGAGGAAAAGGGAGGAGCGGAAGCCTGGTAGGGTTTTGGGGGCTTCAGGGGGCCTAGAGGGCCTTAGGAGGCTTTTTAGGCTCTCTGGGCTTTTCTAGGCCGAAAAATCGTGATTTTCAGCAATGTGTGCCGATAAATTCGACCCGAAATACACGGAATCTTGTGGCGAAGGAAAATGGACCGAAAAATGGTATTTTGAGGTGAGTTTTCGGCCCGAAAAAGCCCAAAAAACGGCCTAAAAGCCCGATTTTTCCAGCAATCCACTGGAGAATGTCACGAATTCTGGTGGGACGGTTGCACGTCCCCCTCCCAAAATATTTTCCCCGATCAAAAATCGTGTACCTCAAATTGTCAACATCCGGGATTCGAGATCTCGTCGAAGTTGGCCACCCAAGAAGAATCGAAATTCCGATGTTTGGAGCCGGTTGAAATCGGAAGCTGTCAGGAGACGTGAGTCGCTTTTTAGGGGAAAATTTGGAGCATTTTGAGCCCGAATTTGGGTAGGGAAATTATGGTGGGATTTTTGACAGCCTAGGCGAAATATAGTGTGATTTTCTACCTAATTTCTAAGGTAGGTGAAAAATGTTGGGATTTTTGACAGCCTCAAAATACTCATAGGTAGTTTCCAGGCTGTCAAAAATCGCACTGTATTTTTCCTACCCTACAAAAATGTCAGGGCTGTCAAAAATCCTAGCATTTTTTTCCTATTCACTATAAATGTTGTTATAGATCAAAATTTTGCGCTGAAAATCGTGAAAATGCTAGAAATAGCTGAAAATGAGGTTTTCACAATTTTCAGCACAAAATGTCAGCCTAGAAAAGTATTTTTCCACAGTAACCCGGTTGATCCATTTTTTTTTTTGGAATTTGTGGCAAAATTTTCTACAGTACCCTTTGAAAAGTTTCTAGACCCAAATTTTGTGCTGAAAATTGTGGAATCACTCAAAATTCATGAATTTTTCAAGTTTCAGCGTTTTCAGCACGAAATTTCAGTCTGAAAATCTTGAATTTTCCACGTCATAACTCAATTTTACTGAAAATCATTGAAAATAGCTTCTAAACCCAAATTTTGTGCTGAAAATCATGAAATCACCCAAAATTCATGAATTTTCGGATTTTCAGCCAATATTTTCAGATATCCCGCCTTCTACTATGATAAAATTGGAAAAACCTGTCGACCTTTTGCATATTCGGGATGTGGAGGGAACTATAATCGATTTTTGACACTTTCACAATGTGAAGGACTTTGTTATGGTTTTAATTCAATGAATGGTGGGTTCTGGCTGAAATTCTGAAATTTTCAGCATTTTCCTGAAAAAAATCTGAAAATTTTGATGATTTTTGATCAAAAATTGATGAAAATCTCGAATTTTCAGTCAAAAAATTCGATTTTTTCAAGATTTTCAGCCAAAATTTCAATTTTCAGAAGCCGAATTCGATTGTCATCTACAGCTTCATATTGGATATGGGAAAAATGATGAAAATTGCATTGCTCAGGCTGGATTCCGATTTTATTATGATAGGAGTTATGGTAAGTGGTTTTTGGGGAGATTTCGAGCATTGCTCATGTTAAGTTGAAAATTTGAGAATTTTTGAGATCAAATTTGAAATTTTTGGGTAATTTTGAGCATTGCTCATGTTTGACATTTTCCAAATGTTCAGTTTAACATGAGCAATGCTTAAAATTTCTAAAAAAATTCAATTTTGATATCAAAATATTCAGAATTTTCTGTTTAACATGAGCAATGCTTAAAAATTTCCAAAAAATCAGAATTTGGAATCAAAATGTTGAAAATTTTCAGTTTAATATGAGCAATCCACCAAAAATGTCCAAATTTCCCAAATTTGATATCAAAATGTTCAGAATTTCAAGTTTAACATGAGCAATGCTCAAAATTTCCAAAAAATTCAATTTTGGTATCAAAATGTTCAGAATTTTCAGCTTAACATGAGCAATGCTTAAAAATTTCCAAATTTGATATCAAAATGTGCAGAATTTTGAGTTTGACATGAGCAAGGCTTAAAATTTCTCAAAAAATTCGATTTCGGCATCAAAATGTTCAGAATTTCAAGTTTAACATGAGCAATGCTTAAAAATTTCCAAATTTGATATCAAAATGTGCAGAATTTTGAGTTTAACATGAGCAATCCCCTAAAAATGTCCTAATTTGGTATCAAAATGTTCAGAATTTTCTGTTTAACATGAGAAATACTCAAAAATGTCCAAAGTTTCAGTTTAACATGAGCAATGCTCAAAAATATTCCAAATTTTGAGTCTAACATGAGCAATGCTTAAAATTTCTCAAAAAATTCAATTTTGGCATCAAAAAGTTCCAAATTTCAAGGCTAACATGAGCGATCCCCCGAAAAATCCAATTTTTCCAGGAAAATGCAGTCAAATGTGGTATTTGGGTTGCGGTGGAAATGCGAACAATTTCTATACCTACGAATCTTGTCAACGAACTTGTAGCCTTTCGAATTATCCACAATTGGAACTGGAAAGAAAACCACGTGCCAGTTCGGAGGGTAGGAATCTTGTTGGATTCGGAATTCGAAAAATTCGAGCAAAATTGCAGAATTTGAAATAATTTTTGAGCCATTCTCGTTTTTTTCCGCTAAAAATTGGCTGAAAATTAGCATTTTTAGCTGAAAATTTGGAATTTTTATGAAATTTTAAGCCCAAGCTAAATTTTCAGCCAATTTCAGCCCATTTTTGTCACCCACCCCCTATTTTTTGTGAAAAAATAAAGATTTTTTCTGTGAAATTGAATTTTTTTTGCATGAATTTTTTGGGGGTGGGTGGCATGAGGTACTGTAGGGTACTGTAGCGCGCGAAATTTGGAGCATTTTGATATCAAACAAGCCTAGACTAGCCTAGGCTTATTTGGTATCAATTTGCTCCAAATTCCGCGCGCTACAGTACCCTACAGTAACCCAAATGCTCTTACAGTATGCTTCGAGTCGCCAGGAGATAAGGGAAATTGTGCCAGGAACGCGAGCGAAATTGCGCTAAGTCGATGGACGTATCAATCCGCAAAATGCGTCAAATTCAGCTACACGGGATGTGGCGGGAATAGGAATCGATTTGCCACGGAGGATTTGTGCACAAAGACTTGTGGTGGACTTTTGAAGAGCAATGATCCGAGTGAGTTTTTTGAGCACGCGAAATTTGGAGCATTTTGAGACTAAATGAGCCTAGGGGTACTGTAGATGCCAAAATTTGGAGCGTTTTGAGACTAAATAAGGCTAGGTTAGGGTTACTGTAGATTTTTAGCGCGAAATTTGCAGTATTTTGAGACCAAATGAGCCTAGGGGTACTGTAGATACTGTAGATGCCACGTGGCAAAAAATTTGGAGCATTTTGAGACCAAATATGACTAGGTTAGGGTTACTGTAGGTTTTTCAGAGAGAAAAACTACAGTACTCCTAGCATACCCTTATTTGGACTCAAAATTTTCCAAATTTTGCCACGTGGCATCTACAGTACCCCCTGAGCATGTTTGGTATCAAAATGCTCCAAATTTCGCACACAGGAATTTGCTCATTTCATCCCGACACGGGGCCCTGCAATCAACTTCACTATCAATGGTTCTACAATCAGACACGTGGCACTTGCGACCAGTTTTTGTACGGTGGATGTGATGGAAACCCAAATCGCTTCGATAGTTTTGAAATTTGTCAGAAAGCGTGTGAACTGACTGGAAAAGGTACTGTTTTTGAATAATATGAGCAATGTTTTTGAAAAATTTCGGTTTTAGCCCAAAAAATCCGGGGAAATTTGAGCAATTTTGAGGCTGATATGAGCAATGCTTCAAAATTGTCCAAATTTCATAAATTTTACCTCAAAAAAAACCGGATTTTCACCAAAAATTCGGATTTTCTGCTAATATGAGCAATGTTTTTGAAAATTTGAAAAATTTCGGGTTTGGACCAAAAAATCCGGGGAAATTTGAGCAATTTTGAGGCTAATATGAGCAATGCTTCAAAATTGTCCAAATTTCATGATTTTTACCTATTTCTCTAACATGAGCAATGTTTTTGAAAATTTGAAAAATTTCGGGTTTGGACCAAAAAATCCGGGGAAAATTGAGCAATTTCGAGGCTAATATGAGCAATCCTTCAAAATTGTCCAAATTTCATGATTTTTACCTCAAAAAAACCGGATTTTCACCAAAAATTCAGAATTTTTCCTAACATGAGCAATATTTTTCTCGCAGATCCTTGTATGGACAAATTGGATCGCGGAAAATGGTGTAGCTCAATGTCGAACATGTATTATTACAACAAAAATTCCAAGAAATGCAAAGGGTTCCATTACACGGGATGCGGAAAATCCGGCAACATTTTCACGTCATTGGAGGATTGCCAGAGAAAGTGGGTTACTGTAGGATACTGTTGATGCCGAAAATTTGGAGCATTTTGAGACCGAATAAGCCTGGGGTTACTGTAGATCACATTTTGGCGCCAAAAATGCCACGTGGCATAATATTTTTTTGCAGATGTGAAGGTCGATACATCAGAGCAGCGCTTCCGGAGCCAGCCGCATCATCCAAGAAAAAATCATCGAAATCCAAGACGCCAGAAGGCTGTGAGTCCATTTTTTCAGCTTAAAATTCGATTTTTAGCCATAAAATTACATGTTTTTGACTGAAATTAGCTGAAAATTTCGAATTTGAGATGAAAATTGAAGTTTTATGCTGAAAATCTTGATTTTTGAGCAAAAATCACGAATTTCGACCCCAAAACCATAAAAAATCATGTTTTTCACCATAGAAAATTTGAATTTCAACAAATTCCGCCATGATTTGCATTAGAGCGCATTTGCACATTTTCAGCTTAAAATTCGATTTTTAGCCATAAAACCACATGTTTTTGACTGAAATTAGCTGGAAAATTTGAATTTGAGATAAAAATTGAAGTTTTATGCTGAAAATCTTGATTTTTGAGCAAAAATCACGAATTTTGGCCTAAAAATCATGAAAAACGCTCCAGAACCATGCTTTTTTTTTTGAATTTTCCACCGTTCTGCCACGATTTGCATTAGAGCGCATTTGCACATTTTCAGCTCAAAATTTTGATTTTTAGCCATAAAACTACATGTTTTTGACTGAAATTAGCTGAAAAATTCGAATTTGAGATAAAAATTGAAGTTTTATGCTGAAAATCTTGATTTTTGAGCAAAAATCACGAATTTCGACTCCAAAACTATAAAAAATCATGTTTTTACCATAGAAAATTTGAATTTTAACAATTTCCGCCATGTTTTGCATTAGAGCGCATTTGCACTTTTTCAGCTTAAAATCACGATTTTTGGCCATAAAACTACATGTTTTTGATTGAAATTGGCTGAAAATTTCGAATTTGAGATGAAAATCTTGATTTTTGGCTCAAAAATCATCATTATCCACCAATTTTCACCAAAAAACCATCATTTTGCCCCAAAATCTCTGAAATTTTCAGATTCCGGCATCAAACCTGTCCCCAAGAGCCCGATGATCCGCCACATCAACTTGAATGCTCAAAATCAGACCTATTTCAAATCCGAGGCTCAATGGATGGATTATAATATATGCTATGGTTATCGATATAACGTTTCGGGTCCCGACACGAAATTAATGGTGCATTTGTGTGTGATTGGTGGAAGGAATGAGTGTATTAGTGAGGTTGGTGAAATTTGGAGCATTTTGAGCCCGAATTCGAAATAAACGGGGTTTTTTGAGTTAAAAAAAGTTCTGCAGGCAGCGGGGATCGAACCTGAGACCTTCAACTTGATAATTAACCCTCTAACCAGCTGAGTTATGTTTCAGTTTGCGAAAAAAAGTTCCGCAAGTAGCGGGGATCGAACCTGAGACCTTTAACTTGAAATCTTGAGCTCTAACCACCTGAGCTATGTTTCAGTTTGCAAAAAAAAGCTCTGCAGGCACTAGGAATCGAACCTGAGACCTCTAGATTGATAATTTAGGCTCTAACCACCTGAGCTATGTTTCAGTTTGCGAAAAAAAGTTCCGCAAGTAGCGGGGATCGAACCCAGCACCTTTAACTTGAAAAATAGATCTCTAACCACCTGAGCTACCTAGAAAAAAAAATCCGCAAGTAGCGGGGATCGAACCCAGCACCTCTAACTCAATATTCAGATCCCTAACCACCTGAGCTACCTAAAAATCTCGCGTTTTTTGCAGTCATTCGGCTCAACAGACGGTGAAGAGTTCTGTCAAGTCCTCCGGCCATTTTTGCGCGGTCCACACTTGTACTCCTGGTATTTTGGTCTCGACACTCAGCGGCCTAGATTTATCCTAAATCGGCCCGAAACCGGACTGTGGCAACCGAAAAATGAGACGATGGCCGCGATTTTGCTGCTCAAAGCTAATAATTGTCATGATATTTGTTAGAGGGATGAATTTGGCGATTTTTGGCGCCAAAAATCGAGTACTGTAGTTTTTGGCGCCGAAAATCGATAATTTTTTTGTATCTCTCCCCAGAAATTTTCTTATCAAATCTACCAGTTTTTGCGCGACCAAAAAAATCCATACCAAGTTTTTTTCCACTTTTTTTTTTTGGAAAAAAAACTACGCCCTGATTTTATCTGCGGGTGAAAATGGGAAACAATGACCTTATCGCGCGTTTTTTCCTCAATTTGAAACTTTTTCAAAAAAAAAAATTGAAAAAAAAATTTGCGGGCACTGGGGATCGAACCTGGGACCTTCAACTCGCTATTTTGAACTCTAACCACCTGAGCTATCGATTTTGAGCGCTAAAAATTCAATTTTCAAAAAAAATGTTCCGCAGGCAGTGGGGATCGAACCTGCGACCCTAAGCTTGATAATGTGGCTTCTAACCAGCTGAGCCATCTTGTTAGCGATTTTGAGCGCTAAAAATTTGATTTTCAAAAAAAAACTTCTGCAGGCACTGGGGGTCGAACCTGGGACCTTCAACTCGCTATTTTGAACTCTAACCAGCTGAGCCATCTTGTTAGCGATTTTGCGCGCTAAAAATTCAATTTTCAAAAAAAATGTTTCGCAGGCACTGGGGATCGAACCTGAGACCTCTAAATTGATATTTAGATCTCTAACCACCTGAGCTACCTTTTACGCGCGCAAAAAGTTTCGCAGGCAGCATGGATCGAACCTGAGACCTCTAACTCGATAGTTTGATCTCTAACCGCCTGAGCTACCTTTCTAGCGCGCGAAAAAACTTCTGTAGGCACTGGGGATCGAACCTGACACCTCTAAATTGATATTTAGATCTCTAACCACCTGAGCTACCTTTTACGCGCGCAAAAAAAGTTTCGCAGGCAGCATGGATCGAACCTGAGACCTCTAACTCGATAGTTTGATCTCTAACCGCCTGAGCTACCTTTCTAGCGCGCGAAAAAACTTCTGTAGGCACTGGGGATCGAACCTGACACCTCTAAATTGATATTTCGATCTCTAACCACCTGAGCTACCCATTTTCCCCATATTTTCGCGGGTGCGCCAAAAATTTCCCTTTTTTCTCCCGTCCTGACCTCTCTTATCACCCGAATTTTCTCTTTTTCGAGAGAAAATTGAGATATTTAGGTTATTACATATATTTTCTGTGTTATTGTATCATCTTTATACATTTTTGTGATATCTTTTATTATATTTATTTAATTTTAGGTCAATTTTCACTAATTTCAGGTCATTTTACCGCGAAAATTTCCAATTTTCAGCAATTTTCAGCCAAAAATGGCCGAAAAATCCTATTTTCAACACGTGGAAACGTATGACGAGGAAGATTTGGCTACTGCACCCCAAAATCCACCAAACATGGGAACACTCTCCAAACAATTTCAGCCGAAAAAATTGAAAGACGGAAATAAATTGTGGAAAAAGGGTGCGGAAGCGGAAGCGGAACAAGAATCCTATGTTTACACGCCGTTTCGAGCGGCGACGTTGGGAAAATCGAGCAGTTTGACGCCGAAACCGACACGTGGGTTTTTTGGTGTTCTAGGCTGAAATTTTGCGCTGAAAATTGTGAAAAGCTTGATTTTCAGTGGTTTCCAGCAATTCCAGCGTTTTCAGCGCAAAATTTGAGCCTAGAAAGTCTTATAAAGGTACTGTAGATAATTGTGCCAAAAGTTCCAAAAAAATGGATCAACCGGGTTAATGTGAAAAAAACCTTGTTCTAGACTGAAATTTTGCGCTGAAAATTGTGAAAACCTTGATTTCCAGTGATTTTGAGCAATTCCAGCTTTTTCAGCGCAAAATTTGGGTCTAGAAAATTTTTTTTTCAAAAAATTGTTTCTTTCTCTCAGAAAACCCCAAATCCAATTAATTTCCTAATTAATTACAGGTAATTAATCAATTTTCTCCCAATTTTCTTCTTTTTTTTGCAGGTGACACAGTTCACAGCGGTACACTTCGACCACCAAAATCGGCCAATCCATTTGTTTACGGTGGGTTTTTTGAAGCTACAGTAATTTACAGCTGAAAATCTTGATTTTCTGATGATTTTAAGCCAAAATTCGTGAAAATCTGAAAATTTTGAGCTAAAAATCATGGCATTGCTCATATTAAACCCGCCAATTCCAGACCCACCATCCGCACCCACAACTCCTCGAATTCCGCGCGTCGCCCGTCCGGAATCCGCAGCCGGAACGATGAGTCGCGAGCAAAAGTTGACGTGGGGCCGCGCGGCCCAAAATCAGGCCGGCCCACAACATTTCCGCTCGAATTCGGCGATGAGTCGAGCCAGGCCCAATGAATTTTCGGCTATGGCCATGAATCGTAGGTTTTCTGGGGGAATTCTGGGCTTTCAGGCCAATTCTAGGCTTCTAGACCATTTTTCAGGCTTCTAGGCTTTTTCCGGGCTTCTAGACCATTTTTTAGGCTTCTAGACCATCTTCTAGGCTTCTAGACCATAATTTAGGCTTCTAGACAACAATTTAGGCTTCCAGGCCATTTTCTAGGCTTCCAGACCATTTTCCAGGCTTCTAGGCCATTTTCTAGGCTTCCAGACCATTTTCCAGGCTTCTAGACCATTTTTTAGGCTTCTAGACCATTTTCTAGGCATCTAGACTATTTTTGGACCATTTTTTAGGCTACTAGATCATTTTTAGGTTTTTTCCAGGCTTCCAGACCATTTTTGGGCCTTTTCTAGACTTCAGGCTTTCCAGTAGAATCTAGGGATTGCTCATGTTAAAGAATTCTGAATTACTATAACTCTTTAGCTGAAAAGATTGCTCATATTAAATTTCTAGCTGTTTTTTCATCGAAAAACTAGGGATTACTCATGTTATAGAAAAATCTCGAGCTCAAATTTCACAAAATCCACGTGTCAAAAATAGGGATTGCTCATATTAGAGCTCTTTTTTTGAAAAATTGCTCATATTAAACGAAACCCCAGCTTATTTGGTGTCTTTCGAACCCAAATTCCAAATTGCTTTTCAAAATCTCAAAATCCACGTGTCAAAATCAATATTGCTCATATTATAGCCTATTTTTCAGAACCTCCAATCCTCGCCCACCCATCAACACCACAACGCTATCCCTCATTCCAAACGCTGCCACGTGGCGAGCCGATCGACTCAATGATGATGTGTCCATCACCATTCTACGGACCACCGCCACCACCTACAGTACTCCTCAGCTCATCTCGTCCGCCGTCAGCTGTCCCATCGCTGGGACACCCGGGCGCCTCGAATCTACAAGGCTACGGTGTCCCAATTGTTGTCCCGGCGGTGCCGGTGACGTCACCAACTACAGTACTACTCAATCAAAAAGCTATCAACACCCAGTTGGCTCAGCAAACGCAACATTTGAATTGGAATCGGATTAGTATCGTTTGTTGTTTACAGGTACGGTAGGGCTGGGGTACTGTAGAGTTTAGGATGAGCAATGCTACCAAATTCATATGAAAATTGGGTTAATATGAGCAATGCTTAGGGGTACTGTAGAAAATTAGAGAGTTTAAGATGAGCAATGCTCTGAAAAAAATTGGAGAATTTTAGAAGGTTAATATGAGCAATGTTTTCAAAAAAATTCTTTAACATGAGCAATCTCCAAAATTTTGTCTAGAATGTTAATATGAGCAATATCCTTGAAAACTCCAAGTGAATTTTTTAACCTGAGCAATCCCTCATTTAAGAATAACATGAGCAATATCATTCCTGATGAATTTTTTAACCTGAGCAATCTTCTGAAAAATATTCATTTTAGGAACTAGATTAACATGAGCAATGCTAAAAATTCTTCAAAAACACTTGAATTCAAAGAAGCTTCTAAGAAGTTTAACATGAGCAATCCCAAAAAATCCTCTAACATGAGCAATCTTCAGGTGCTCTTCTGTCTCTCGATCTTCGGCATCGGAGTTGCTCGTATCATGTTCGGAGCCCTTTGGGCCATCGGAATCGAGATCATCTTCGCCACGTGTTCGCTGTTCCCCGCATTGATCGGCATCTTTGCGGTGCGACGCGGAAGCTATTCCGCGGCGCTCTTCTGCTTTGCGGCTAACGCTTTCGAGATGGTTTTTGCCGTCTTTCCGTTTGTTATTGGTGGGTTTTTGGGGGGCTCCGCCCATTTTTCTGTGCGGGGAAATTGCAAAATTTTTGAATTTTGGAGGGAATTTGGTTTCGAAAGACACCCCAGAAGCCTAGGGTTTCGAGAAAAATTTGAATTTCGCGCCAAAAATCCACGTGGCAAAGTTTTAGCGGGAAATTCAAAATTTTAGCAAAACCCTAAGCTTGTGGGGTGTCTTTCGAACCCAAATTTCGTGAAAAATTTGAATTTCGCGCGAAAACTTTGCCACGTGGATTTTTTAGCGCGAAATTCAAATTTTTCATGAAATTAGGGTTCGAAAGACACCGCACAAGCTTAGGGTTTCGAGAAAAATTTGAATTTCGCGCGGAAAATTCGCCACGTGGAATTTAAATTTTCAAAAAATATAATTTCCAAATTCCAGGCATCTTCCCAATTTTCCCAATAATCTTTCCACGCGTCGAAAAATCGTGGTTCTTGGCGGAAAATGAGCCGATCCATTTCGACCTCATTTTGAGCTTCCTGGTTGCCGTACAGGTTTTTCTGGCGCTCTTTTTGTCGATTATGGGATGCCGTGCTGGTGGAAGTGTTATGACAAATTTGGACGAGTTGAAGTTGGCGGCGAATATGAGAAAGGCTTTTGAAGAAGATCGAGATGAACTGCCTTTTAAGCATTAATTAATTAATTAGCTACTTAATTAATTAATTGCTTAATTAGGTAATTAATTAACTAATTATTCAATTTTCAATTGCATTTATCACGAGTACAAAATAAATTATTATCATATTAATTTTTAAAAGAAAAAACTACAACACTCCGCTTTTACACCCAAAAGCCACGTGGATTTACTATGATGCTCCGCTTTGACACCTGATCTAATTGCGAAGTGTTCCAGAATTTTGAGAATTTTTCAGATTGAAACGTGGATTTGGAACTCAGAAGCTCAAAAAATATGCAAATTGGTGGTGTAAAAGCGGAGCATCGTACTGACTTTCAGAAAATTCGGTTTTTCACAGCGTAAACGCGGAGCATCGTAAAATACTTTGAAAAATCATGTGTTTTTGAAAGCTTCTTAAAATTGGTGGTGTAAACGCGGAGTATCGTACTGAATTTGGAAAATTTGAGTTTTCATTCAGAAATGTTCGAAATTAGTGGTGTAAACGCGGAACATCGTACTGAATTCACAAAATTTGAGTTGTCATTCAGAAATGCTCAAAATTCTTGGTGTAAACGCGGAGCATCGTACTGACTTTTAGAAAATTTGAGTTTTCATTCAGAAATGTTCGAAATTAGTGGTGTAAACGCGGAAAATCGTACTGAATTCACAAAATTTGAGTTGTCATTCAGAAATGCTCAAAATTCTTGGTGTAAACGCGGAGCATCGTTCTTAATTCCGAAAATTTGAGTTTTCATTCAAAAATGTTCAAAATTGGTGGTGTAAAAGCGGAGCATCGTACAGAATTTAGAAAATTTGAGTTTTCATTCAAAATTTTTCAAAATTACTGGTGTAAAAGCGGAGCATCGTACTGACTTTTAGAAAATCCGGTTTTTCACAGCGTAAACGCGGAGCATCGTAAAAAATTGCGATTTTCTAGGCGCAAAAAATTGTATAGTTCTACACGGTCAAAAGTGTGTATCTTTTTCCTTCTCCCACAAACAAAATCTGAGAGGAACTTTCGCTTTTTCGCCGTTGTTCTCAGGTTTTGCGGACAAAAAGGACAATAATACAACAAATAAATTGAAGGAAAACGTTTCTCATAATAGGACAAAATCTTCCTTTTTTTTTGGGATTTCCATTAGTTTTTGCTGGGAATTAACCTTTTTCACTTTTTTTTGTGACCTAGAAATCTGAAAATTTTGGAATTTCTTAGGGCTACTGTGGATTTTAGCAGAATTTTCTGAATTTCTGGATTTCCTGGAGCTTCTGACGCATTTCTAGTAGCTTCTAGATTCACTGACGCATTTCAGGTAGCTTCTAAATTCACTGACGCATTTCTAGTAGCTTCTAGATTTGCTGACGCATTTCAGGTAGCTTCTAGATTCACTGACGCATTTCTAGTAGCTTCTAGATTTGCTAGCGCATTTTTTGTAGCTTCAAACGTTCTCTAGTCATACTGTAGATCTCATCTGATCTCATGTTTCCAGCAAAAATATCCAGTTTTCTTCCAGATCAAGGTAATCTCAAATCTTTGTTCCACTTCAAGTTCCAGCCCCCGAAATAGATCAAAATCTGAAACCAAAACCTATTTTTTTCGGAGAACAACATTCATTCCAATTTGTACCCAGAACAGGATTTTTCCACCCTTTCTCATTTTATTACGACATTTTTAGGGTTTATTATCATATCCAATTTCATTGGGTAGATCAAACTACAAAATATGCGTCAAGCTACTAGAAAAGCGTCAGCAAATTTAGAAGCTACTAGAAATGCGTCAGCAAATTTAGAAGCTACCAGAAATACGTCAGCAAATTAAGAAGCTACTAGAAATGCGTCAGCAAATCTAGAAGCTACTAGAAATGCGTCAGCAAATCTAGAAGCTACTAGAAATGCGTCAGTGAATCTAGAAGCTACTACAAATGCGTCAAGGCTACTAGAAATGCGCCAGCAACTTTCAAAACTACAAAATATGCGTCAGGTAGCTTAGACCAAACTAGAAAATTCCAGTTTTTCCAACAAAAAAAAATTCTAGTTTTGTGATAAGATCACACTATAAAATATCCGATTTTCTTGTGGATTTTTTGGCGCCAAAATCTACAGTACCCCTACAGTACCCCTAGATTCCAGATGATTCAAGCGGTGCTTCTGATGGCTACCGTACTTGGCGCCTCCGTGTATTATTGGAATCATAATCGAGAATTGGCGCTGGAGAACTACACAAATGGAAATGATATTCTATTGAAGACTGTCGGTGGGTTACTGTAGTACTACTGTAGGTTCTAGACTAGACTATAGTTTCAGATTTTCATCCGATTTTGTGGAATAAATGCCAATGGCCGAATTTGGACAAAAATGAGGAGGATATTCGGAAATTTTTGAGAAAAAAGATACGGTGGGTTACTGTAGAGGTTGGGGTACTGTAGAGTGTACTATAGGTCTATGGGTACCTCAAGATAAATCTTCTTACTGTAGAATTCCCTCAGATTACTGTAGAAGCTCCCAGACTACTGTAGAAGCCCTCAGATTACTGTAGAAGCCCTCAGATTTCTGTAGAAGCTCTCAGATTACTGTAAAAGCTCTCAGATTACTGTAGCAACATTTTCTAGCCCCGAATGCGTCTCAAAAATCCGCACAAAATTCGAAGGGACCACCCTGCTCGTCATGGGACCTGCCCAAAATTCTGAAAAAATTCGCTGCCGAATTTTGGACCTAAAAAGCCTGGCCCAAGATGACGTGGCATTTGATGAGCCCAAAAATGTGACCGGAGCATTTGGCGAGTTCATTTTGGAGTGTCTGGAGGCGGAAACGGGTGCGGTTGTGGAGCGGAAAACGTTTTGGAATGCGGAACGAGCGGAACATGCGGTTGACGCGACGGCGGTGAGGTTTTTGAGGGGGATTGCTCATATTATACCTAAATTTGAAAAAAATATGGCATTGCTCATATTAAACTTCATTTTTTTTTCTCAGATGAATCCGTCAATCTCGGTGCTCTATCTCAAATCAATGTCTCGCTCACATTTCCTCCGAAATTTTCCGGAATTCCAGAAAATTCTGAAAAACTACGGTATGCACGATTTTCAGATGTTCAATAAAATGTCTGAAAATGTCAGCGAAAATGTGTGGAACACTTTTAATTCGGAAAATAATGGAAGGAATATTGCGGATTTTATGAAAAGTGAGTTACAGGAAATGCGTCAGCAAATTTAGAAGCTACTAGAAATGCGTCAGTGAATCTAGAAGCTACTAGAAATGCGTCAGCAAATTTAGAAGCTTCTAGAAATGCGTCAGCAAATCTAGAAGCTACTAGAAATGCGTCAGCAAATCTAGAAGCTACTAGAAATGCGTCAGCAAATCTAGAAGCTACTAGAAATGCGTCAGCAAATCTAGAAGCTACTAGAAATGCGTCAGCAAATCTAGAAGCTGCCTGAAATGCGTCAGTGAATCTAGAAGCTACTAGAAATGCGTCAGTGAATCTAGAAGCTACTAGAAATGCGCCAGCAAATTTAGAAGCTACTAGAAATGCGCCAGTGAATTTAGAAGCTACTAGAAATGCGTCAGCAAATTTAGAAGCTTCTAGAAATGCGTCAGCAAATCTAGAAGCTACTAGAAATGCGTCAGCAAATCTAGAAGCTACTAGAAATGCGTCAGCAAATCTAGAAGCTGCCTGAAATGCGTCAGTGAATCTAGAAGCTACTAGAAATGCGTCAGTGAATCTAGAAGCTACTAGAAATGCGTCAGCAAATTTAGAAGCTACTAGAAATGCGTCAGTGAATTTAGAAGCTACTAGAAATGCGTCAGCAAATTTAGAAGCTACTAGAAATGCGTCAGCAAATTTAGAAGCTACCCGAAATGCGTCAGCAAATTTATAAGCTACCAGAAATACGTCAGCAAATCTAGAAGCTACTAGAAATGCGTCAGCAAATCTAGAAGCTACTAGAAATGCGTCAGTGAATCTAGAAGCTACTAGAAATGCGTCAGCAAAACTTTCTCACAATAAAAAATTTTCAGATCGCTTCTGCTCGATTTTCAGCAACGACGAGAGATCTGGAATTTGGGCCAAGTCGGATTTTCAGATTCCGAGATTTCAGACAAGTCTAGACAAAGATACTTGCGTCAACTCGGATCCACATCAAAAATCGCTGGCCTGGCTAAAATTGTGGGCCGATTTTGAGCTAGCAAATTCGGGAAAATGTCATTTTTCCCAGATTTTTGTGGACAATTTTATAGATCATGGCGATTTCAGAATGGATCAATTATTGAGGTAAGGCTGGAAATGGCTGAAAATATGTCACGTTGCATGGGATTTTTGGAAATCTTGGGAAAATTTGTGATTTTTTGACACCAAATATGATTGGCGCATTTTTCAGAGCTTCTGAATTTGCTGACGCATTTCTGGTAGCTTCTAAATTTGCTGACGCATTTCTAGTAGCTCCCCGACCCAAAAATCCCCAAAAATTTCAAAATTTCCAGTGAAACATTCCGAAAATTTGCCGAAAATCGCGTTTTGAACAATACAATCATCCTGATTTTGTCGGCCGAAGGAATTCCGATCGGAGAATTCGGAAATTCGTACACCGGAAAAGTGGAGGAACGAAATGCCGTGCTGTTTTTGAGTGTTCCTTGGAAATTGCAAAAACATCGCAAGGATCATAGCTTCCATTTGGATAAGAATCAGAATTCGTGAGTTTTGTGTGGGAGGGGCGAGAGTGCAGAGAAGCTAGACAGTTAGAGACGCAGAGGGATTAAGTGGCTAGAGAAAGCAGACAGCTAGACAGCTAGAGACGCAGAGGGATTAAGTGGCTAGAGAAGCAGACAGCCAGACAGCTAGAAACGCAGAGGGAAATACACTCCGCTCGTGCCGCTAACGCGGAAGATTCCGGGGCGCTTCGCGCTAGACAGCCAGATAGCATAGGGGTTGAGAGAGTGCAGAGAAGCGAGAGGGTTAGAGACGCAGAAAAGCCAGACTCAGAGAAAGTATGGCTTGAACGGCGCGGCCCGCGGACGATTTTTCACCGATTTTTGGGTGAAAATCATTACGCGGATTCCGCGAAAAAAATTTCGCGGACAGCGAAACTTCAGCCAATGAGAGTCTAATTTCGCGCATTCCGCGAAATTTTTTGACTCGGAAATTTGATTTTGCGTTTTTCGCGGATTCGCGAATGGACTCGAGAGGGAGGGTATAAAAAGGATAAATTGTATCGCGTACGCGACAACGAGGATAGCGCAGCAAGGAAGATGGATGACTACAAAACGACAGGATTGGGATCGAGGCCGGGTTGGAACTACAAGTCAATACTAACTTCTGATAATTATCAGGGGTAGTGAAGCATTTTTATATTTCGAGAGTGCATTGCGCGGACGTTTCGCTAACAGCGGAGTATAATTTCGCGGACGTTTCGCTAAAGTTCTTGTGTCAGCCGCGGATTGGCAGATTTTTGGGTTTCGCGAACCGCGCCGTTCCAGCCAGACCTTCTCTGAGGACAGCTAGAAACGCAAAGGGAAATACACTCGCTCCGCTCGTGCCGCTTACGCGGAAGAATCCGGGGCGCTTCGCGCAAAATTGCATCATGACGTGGCAAAAAAATCGATTTACACTAAACAACAGGCACGCGGAGTATCGTTGTTTTACTTTTAATTTTTTTTTTTGAAAAAATCAATAATTCTGCCACGTGGCAATTTGAAACTTTCATTTTCATTTTTTAAAAAAACTCCGCTTCTGTGATTTTTGATCGAAAATCGATATTTCAAATTGCTACGTGGCAGAATTATTGATTTTTTCAAAAAAAAAAATAATAAAAGTAAAACAACGATACTCCGCGTGCCTGCTGTTTAGCGTAAATCCATTTTTAGCCACGTCATGATGCAATTTTGCGCAAAGCGCACCGGAATCTTCCGCGTGAGCGGCACGAGTGGAGTGAGTGTATTTCACTCTGCGTCTCTAACCCTTTAGCTTCTCTGCGTCACTAGATGTCTAGCTTCTCTGCGTCTCTAACCCTCTAGCTTCTCTGCACTCTCTCCATACCCTATGCTATCTCGCGCAAAGCGCCCCGGAATCTTCCGCGTAAGCGGCTCGAGCGCAGCGAGTGTATGTCCCTCTGCGTCTCTAACCTGATTCCTCTAGTTGTCTCTGCACTCTCTGCAACCTATTTGGGCTCAAAAAATCGCAAATTTTCTGAAAATTCCGAAATTTCCAGCCTAATAACACACCGTGACGTGTTCGAGACCTTGGAAAGTTTCTCCAAAACTTCGGATGATCAACAAATAATTGAGCTAACTCCAGAAGAATGGAAACAAAGAAATCGCGAAAATCGTGGAATTTCCCTATGGCAAACCTTGCATTCAACCAAAAATAATTGCACAATCTCAAAAATTCCGGCTCAAAATTGTCTTTGTATGGAACCCCAATTGGAAATCGAAGCCGCCTACAACAAGACAAATGAGATGTTAGATAGGCTAACTTATAAAATGAGCAATGATGCGATTTCTGGCTCGGATTGTCTTTCGAACATTGAAATTGATCCAAAGTGGAATTACACGGCGGTTTGGAATTTGAACGGGGAAATTTTACAGGGAGCGCAGGAATATGTGCAATTTTTGACGGTTAGGAATATGGCCTATGACGTGGCAAATAGTAATCGAAATGTGAGTTTTGGGAGCATTTTGAGCCCAAATTCGGGTTTCTGAGCATTTTTCTATAGATTTTGAGCCCAAATTCGGGTTTCTAGGCCATTTCTAAGCCCTGGAGTTCAGAAATATGGTTTCTAGGCCAATTTTTAGGTTTCTAGGCCATTTTTTGGGTTTCTAGGCCACTTTTCGGCTTTCTAGGCCATTTCTAAGCCCTGGAGCTCGAAAATACGAATTTCAGCTCATTTTTCACCCTTGGAGCTCAAAAATATTGTTTCTAGGCAAATTTTTGGGTTTCTAGGCCATTTCTAAACCCTGGAACCTATTTTTGCTCAAAACATGCAACGGAATCGCGGAGTTTCGTTGTTTTCACATTTAAAAATTTAAATGTCCCATTTTACCGCTCCAGAAATGCAACGGAATCGCGGAGCGTCGTTGTTTTCGAAATAAGTTGGTTTTCTAGCCAAAAAGCTCCACAGGAGCCCTAAAAACCACCAAAATGCTCCAAATTTTCTGGAGATTTTGAATTTTGCCCATTTTTCAGCGTCACTTCAGCACATTGGGTCAATTCAAGCAATACATCTATTCGGATCCTTATAGAATCGAAGCCGCTTATCCATATTGCCTAGCAAATCACGCATTTCATTGTAATGCAGGATTTTTGCATCGATTTTGTGAAATGTGTCATAATCATCTACTTTTATCCTAGTTTTTGTTGAGATTTTTCAAGTTTTCAAGTGATTTTTGCTTTAATTAACTAATTAATTGTATATTTTAAGGTTTTCAAATAAAATTTGCGAATTTTTGAGCCTGTGGAAGCTTCCGGAACATCGCGGAAACCTTTAAAACGTCTCGAGCCCAAAACCACTCACGAATCATCAATTTTCACTCACAAATCATCGATTTTCACTCAAAAATCGCAGATTTCCAGTCAAAAATCGATATTTCCCATCGATATTTCCAGATTTTCCACGTGTCATCTGAAAAATTCAAAAAATTTGCATCATTTTTGCCTTTTTCAAGCCAAAAAACACAAACCTTCAGCAGAAAAAAAGAAAAAAAACATGCGCGTCACATAAAATGCCGTGGGGTGCGCGTTGGCAAAGTGTTTGCACACATTCATCGCGTGCCACAGTAATCCTCAAAAAAATCGGTTTTTTGAAGCGAAATTCGAATAGAGACGCAGAGATACTAGACAGTGAGACACCCAAAGAAGCTAAAGGGCTAGAGACGCAGAGGGAAATACACTCGCTCCGCTCGATCCGCTTCGCGGAAGATTCCGGGGCGCTTCGCGCAAGATTGCTAGAGAGCATAGGGTTTGGAGAGAGTGTAGAGAAGCTAGAGAACTTTTTTAGAGTTACCGCAACTCAGAGAAAAAAAACATTTTTTTTTAATTGGAAACTAGTTCACGCGTCAAATGTGATTCAAATTGTTCAGAAATCCAGTCATTTTCTAAATATCAATGCAAAAACAATTCATCGAACATTCAAAAAATGCAATCTCCGAAATAACAACAAAATGTGCTCGATTTATTGGCCCACTTCGAATTCCGAAACGAAAAACACCAAGAAACTATGAATATATGTTGAAAATTCTACAATCCTATTCAAGTTTTGATTTGAAAACCAATTGGATTCGATTGATTACCGAGCAATTTAATGGGAAATTTGATGAAATTCAATTTGAAAATGATCAATTGATGAATACTTATATTTCAAGTGTAAGAGTTACAGAGAGGCTAGAGGGCTAGAGACACAGAGGACATACACTCGCTCCGCTCGTGCCGCTTACGCGGAAGATTCCGGGGCGCTTCGCGCAAGCTTGGTAGAGAGTATAGGGTTTTGAGAGAGTGCAGAGAGGCTAGAGGGCTAGAGACACAGAGGACATACACTCGCTCCGCTCGTGCCGCTTACGCGGAAGATTCCGGGGCGCTTCGCGCAAGCTTGCTAGAAAGCAGAGAGGCTAGAGAGTGCAGAGAAGCTAGAGGGGCTAGAGACACAGAGGACATACACTCGCTCCGCTCGTGCCGCTTACGCGGAAGATTCCGGGGCGCTTCGCGCAAGATTGCTAGCTTCTCTACCCTCTCTCAAAACCCTATGCTCTCTAGCAATCTTGCGCGAAGCGCCCCGGAATCTTCCGCGAAGCGGCTCGAGCGAAGCGAGTGTATGTCCCTCTGCGTCTCTAACCTTCTCTTCCCAGATAGCCACGTGTCAAAATTATTGATTTTTTTTAAATAAAAGCGAAACAACGATACTCCGCGTGCCCGTTGTTTAGTGTAATGATGCAATTCTGCGCGTCAGCGCCCCGGAATCTTCCGCGTAAGCGGCACGAGCGGAGCGAGTGTATGTCCCTCCGCGTCTCTAGCCGTCTAGCTCTCTCAAAACCCTATGCTCTCTAGCAATCTTGCGCAAAGCGCCCCGGAATCTTCCGGCTCGAGCAGAGCGAGTGTATGTCCGCCGTGTCTCTAGCCGTCTAGCTCTCTCAAAACCCTATGCTCTCTAGCAATCTTCCGCGTAAGCGGCTCGAGCGAAGCGAGTGTGTGTCCCCTGCGTCTCTAACACTCTTTTTTTTCAGCCAAAAATACGCTGGATGTTCTTCTCAATGCTCTTCACAATTTTGACAATGATATTCATTTATTTTATGCTTTCAATGTCCAAAAATCGAACATGGCAAATGTCGAAAATTCTAAAATTCCGAAAATATTATCTCGTTTACACATTCATCCCAGTTTATTGCTGTTTTATGACAATTTCGCTGAATATCACATTTGGAAAAGAAGCTACAAATGCTGGATTTGCTATTAGAAATGCTGAAAAATGGATGGATATTGCACTGAAAAGTGAGAGGAGATAACAAGTAGAAAAAACCTTTTTAATTAATTTTTTTCAGGAAATAATTATTCAAGGAATGTGATTTCGATGGAAGTTGATTGCTCGATAATTCTACCAAAAATGAATCAAAATCAAAGCGCTGGAATTGAAAAGCGTGTATTTCGCATAACTTCTGTGGAGATCACCAAAGTATTATTAGAAAATGGCGAAAAGCCAATGTTAACGCCGAAATTGATTTCGTTTTTGACACCGGCGATGCGATTTTATATCAAAAAACTCAATGATGATATGTTTGATGAGGTTGATCGAGTTGTTCGAAGAACTTTGGATTTGCTGCGAATTCCCAGTGAATATTTGATTGATTCGGCGAAATTTATGATTTTTGCCGTTTCGACGGTTTCGATTTGTTTTACTTCGTTTATTTGTTTGATGGTGTTTTTGGATTTGCAAAATAAGTGTGAGTCGAGAGTGCAGAGAGGCTAGAGAGTTAGAGACACAGAGGGAAATACACTCGCTCTGCTCGTGCCGCTTACGCGGAAGATTCCGGGGCGCTTCGCGCAGAATTGCATCATGAAAAAGCCAACAAATCGATTTACACTAAACAACGGGCACGCGGAGTATCGTTGTTTTACTTTTATTTTTTCGCATTTTTTATTTTTTTCCGATTCCGAAAAAAATCAATACTTCTGCCACGTGGCTATCTATGATGAGAGAGTGCAGAGAAGGTTAGAGACGCAGAGAGGCATACACTCGCTTCGCTCGTGCCGCTTACGCGGAAGATTCCGGGGCGCTTTGCGCAAGATTGCTAGAGAGCATAGGGGAATGAGAGAGGGTAGAGAAGCTAGAGAACTTTTTTAGAGTTCCTCTGTGTCTCTAACCCTCTAGCTTCTCTGCACTCTCTCAAAACCCTATGCTCTCTAGCAATCTCGCGCGAAGCGCCCCGGAATCTTCTGCGCAAGCGGCACGAGCGGAGCGAGTGTATGTCCCCCTGTGTCTCTAGCCTTCTCTGCACTCTCTCATCCTAGAGAGCCACATGTCAAAATTATTGATTTTTTTTCAAAAAAAAAATTAAAGCGAAACAACGATACTGTGCCCGTTGTTTAGTGTAAACCCATTTTGTACCTTGTCGGCACGAGCGGAGCGAGTGTATGTCTCTCTGCGTCTCTAGCCCCCTCTAGCTTCTCTGTGTCTGTAAAGTGTATTTTCCTCTGCGTCTCTAGCTTTCTAGCTTCTCTGCACTCTCTCAACCCCCCATACTCTCTAGCAATCTTGCGCGCAGCGCCCCGGAATATCTCGCGTTAGCGACTCGAGCGAAGCGAGTGTATGCCCTCTGTGTCTCTAGCCCTCTCGCTTCTCTACCCTCTCTCAAAACCCTATGCTCTCTAGCAATCTCGCGCGAAGCGAGTGTGTGTCCCTCTGCGTCTCTAGCCTTCTCTGCACTCTCTCATGCTAGAGAGCCACATGTTCCAGATCCAAAAATCGTAACATTCATCCAACTTTTCTCGCCACTTCTTCTACTCTTCATAATCATTGGCTACTTCTTCATCTGGTATATTTTCACCTCAATTGTGGGAAGTTATACAATTTATTCACAATTAGTACATCCACAAATTCACGAACACATCAAATTCGATCGAGATGTGACCAAAAAAGTTTTTCCAAGGTTTGACAAATCAACGAAAATTCAAATCAAATAAGGTTGACGTTGAATATTTCAAAAAAGTTGTAGCATTTGATATGATGCAATTTGTATCAAAAGAAGTTATGGGAAAAATTGTGAAAAAATATGGAAATTCCTGCTCAAATCATACTGTTTGTAAATATTTTGAAAAATGTGTAAGTTCAACGAGACTCCGCTTTGACGATAGGTTTGATTTCAGCTCAATAAAACATGTAAGAAAAGCGTATACGAATTGACCCGAAAAATGGGAGATTGTGTAGATGTTTGGCCGATTGCAGATCGAGATTTTCAAATTCAATCCAAAAATTATTTGAGATATTTGTCATTTTTCAAACAGAATACTTTTGTGCCAATTGCTAGTTTGGTTTGGAAAATTCGTGAGTGAACATAGAGTATTTCGAAATATGAAATGAATTTCAATTAATTTTTTGCAGTTCCCCTGCCATTCTTGATTTTCTTCAATCTGATTTTTATCCATTTTGCAACTCCGTTGATTCGCGCAAAAAATGAGGATGCAAGTAGTGATGGTCTCATGTGAAATAATGAATTTTTTGAATTTTCGCCGAGCGCAGAGAAGCTAGACAGCTAGAGACGCAGAGGGACATACACTCGCTTCGCTCGAGCCGCTTTTTTGGGGGATTTTTGAGGCTCCTGGGGTTGCGGAAAGCTTCCGGAAGCTTTTGAAGAACCCTTGAGCCCAAAAACACTCACAAATCATCGATTTTCAGCCAAAATTTGCAATTTCCCATGATTTCTCTGAAAAATTCAACAAATTTGCATCATTTCAACCTTTTTCAAGCCAAAAAACACAAACCTCCCACAAAAAAAAAGAAAAAAACATGCGCGTCACATAAAATGCCGTGGGGTGCGCGTTGGCAAAGTGTTTGCACACATTCGTCGCGTGCCACAGTAATCCTCGAATTTTTTCTAACAATAAAGCCGGTGCAAAAGCTGGAATTGGATGAAGAATCAAAAAATGAGAGACGCAGAAAGAGAGAGAGAGTGCAGAGAAACTAGACAATTTAGAGAGTCAGAGAAGCTGAAGGGCTAGAGACGCAGAATGAAATACACTCGCTCCGCTCGAGCCGCTTACGCGGAAGATTCCGGGGCGCTTCGCGCAGAATTGCATCATGACGTGGCAAAAAATCGATTTACACTAAACAACGGGCACGCGGAGTATCGTTGTTTTACTTTTATTTTTTCGCATTTTTTCAATTTTTTTTTTGAAAAAAAACCAATAATTCTGCCACGTGGCTTTCTAGGATGAGAGAGTGCAGAGAAGGTTAGAGACGCAGAGGGACATACACTCGCTCCGCTCGATGTCTGAATCGCATAAAACCTTCAGATTTTCGCATTTCCAGACATTTTCCCCCATGAAAATCGCCATATTTTTGTTATTTTTCCTGAATTTCAATAAAATTTTCACAGTTTTCTTGTCAAAAAGCTGCGCGAATTCGAAAAACTGCAAATATCGTCCGGAAAATTGCAATGACAAGCCGGTTCCCTACAAAGCCACGTGTCAGGGACGGAATAACCAAGTCTGGAAGGATTTTCACAAATGTCTAGAGGCCGAGGGATTTTTTAAAAGTTGAAAATGAAAATTTCTAATTGCCACGTGGCAGAATTATTGATTTTTTTCGAAAAAATGCGAAACACACGCATTTGCGAACATATTGGTTTCCAGCTCAATACAAAAAACCAGTTGGTTCCGTACTGGAATCATGTTTGTTTGCAAAAAAATGAAAAATTAATCTTGCAAACCCGCTGGATTCTGTCACACTTCTACAGACAGGAAAATAAACACAAAACCAACTGGTTTCCTGCGTGGCCGAGAATTGTGGGGGACTAGCTTCCCAAATTTTCGAATTTGTTTATTTTTTCAAAGAAAAAACTTTTTTTTCCCTAAAAGCTTGTAGTTTATCATCATTTTTGCGCTTAATCAAGGTTTTGTTGTTTAATTACGTCGTATATATGTTGTAGTCCGTGTGAATTCTGTTTTCCGTGAAGGATATTGTATAAAGAGGTTGTAAAATGTTCAATAGTTTGGAAAATTCTTGCATGTGATCGTGACATAATATGTGTTCATCATCTGTGATGTAAATTTATGTAAATAGAAAATTGTGTAGCATGTCTTGAAAAGTAGAAATAGAAAATGACGTGGATGTTGAAAACGACACGACATACGTGGTTCATACAACACATCACGCGGCGTCGACACGTAGATCTACGTGTACATAGGTAGGTTTTTGTTTTGAAGACAGGTTTGTTGAATCATTTGTGGATTTCAAAATGGGTCGAGACAGAACCAAGTATATGCGCGGTTAGTTTAACATTAAATATAACAATTTTCAATAAAACATTTTACATTCCAGGACGTATCAATTTGATGCATCCATCAAATATGGAACGTGAAACAGATGCCGTGGAATCTATGGATGAAAGTGATATTGAGGATTATGGTGATCAAGATTGTTCGATGAACGAACACTTTGAAGAAGATGAAACAAATTTTGAGGCTGAGGATTTGGAGAATGGTTCGGATGAAGAGGAAAATGGCGTAGAATTGTTGGAAATCGATGAAATTCAATTAGGACAAGACGCTGAAATTGAGAATGAATATGAATATGACGATTTGTCTGATGATGATGAGGAGGACAGTGAAGATGTTGAGGAGGACAGTGAAAGAAGTTCTTCTCCAACGCGCCACGACGATTGTCCAGGTATTTTTGTTAATGATTTCAAAAACAAAAATGTTTGCAAACAATAAGAACATAAATTATGATGAGTTCATAATTCTCTAACATAGAATAACACTTTCTTTCCTAGACCCAGATCGTTTGTCATCAAAATTAGAGAAATTGAATGACAAACAACTTGTTGCCTTGTTAACTGCATTGCAATCAAAAGAATCGACTGAAGGTAGTTCATCAACATAGTAGTAAATTTTGTACGTAAATGATTTAGCTTTCAAAAAACGGCTTCTCATGTTCGACAGTGTTACGGAAAGAAAGGAATTGTTGGATGTTTGGAATTTGTCCAAGAGTAGATATACGAATTTCGAAATATGTAATAATTGTGGTAGTTCAACCAATGATAGTGATAGATGGTAATTTCTCTCCAGTTTGTTCGCTTCCTAAATCAGTTATTTAGTTCGAAGCCGGAATGCATTGCGGTCAACGCAAAAAAATTAGTCGTGACTAAGTTAGATGTCATTCAACAAATAACGCATATTGTTGAAAAGTATTTGCCAGATATTTTGGATCTGAGAGCTGCTTTGAAATCAGGAATGAAAATTGCTCATAATCTGAGTAGTGGATATTTTTCCCAACTTTGGAAACATGAGAAAGATTCAATCGATTTATCCTTGCATTGTACAACTGATGGTGTTCGTCCTAAAGGGAATACGAAGTAAGAAGAAACAGTTAATATTTCGCATTACTAAAAGGGCATAATTGACAGAAAAAAAATGTGGCCGTTCGTTTTATCAATTGTTGATTTGCCAGTCCATATTCGCCAAAAAGCATCTTCTATGATTCTACCTTGCCTTATAAGCGGCGATGAAAATCCATCGACTAAAGCTTTTAATGCAGTTTTGAGTATATTGGAAGATGATCTGAGCAATATGAGCAATGGTTTGATAATTGGAGGTCATAAATTCACGTTCAATCTGACATCATGCACATCCGATCAACCAGTCAGTTTTACTCATTTTTTCGCTGAACAATCTGTTTTTAGGCGAAGAGAAATCTTTTTGGCTTTTATGCTCCTAACGCGGCATGCTCTTGTTTCTATTGCTTGGGAGTTGGTACTACCTACAAGAAAAATGGAGACGGTGAGAATACATGAGCAGATTGTTAAATAGACATAGCTTTAGAGCGCTATGTACATCGGATGAACAAATACAAGAAAGATTCAGAAAAGGGCCGCTATGGAATGAAAAAACTTCTGGCCAGAATTCTTGATTATTTAACCCCATGGGATTGTATCATAGATGTTTTGCACAATTTCAGTGAAGGAGTTATCACTCTAGTTTTGCTTGGTAAATGAAACAAAACTTTTCCTCATTTTTCTAATTTTCATTCAGAGATGTTCCGTAAAGCAAAGTTGAGATCAAATTTGTTTGAAATCAATGAAAATATGATCCGACTGATTTTGAAACAAGTATTCGCTCCTAAAATATATCAAAGATGTGGAGGTTTTCGCAATGGAACGGATAAATCAACAGTAGGCTTTCAATTATGAATTCTTCAGAATCATGTTTTTTCTAGTTTTTTCGCATCTATTTGCTTCTTGCCATTCTCAAATCTGAGGAAAAACCTGAATGCCAGCTAGCTGTGATCTCTTTGGGTTTATTACTCAATCAAATGTACACTGATTGCGAGACAATCGATGGATTTTATTCAGATGTTTGCTCATGTTTGGCAGCAGTTCTTCAGCATTTTAGTGAAACGTATATCCCAACAAAAACCCATGTAAGTGACTGTTGTCAACCTGTTTCGGTAGCATATTTTTTATTAGGAAATCGTTTTTCACTTGCCCTATGTAGCTACAAAATTTGGCAACATCGCTACATTGTCAACGGAAATGTATGAAAGCTTTTACCACTACATCATTTCTGAATACAATTCACAAATCACAACCAATTTTGTTGAAATGGTTGGAACAAGGTTAAAACAAAAAAAAAAGTCCAAACAAGAAAAATCTTTTTTTTTTCAGATTTATTCTGCTCAATGTCGCTGAAAGAGAGCTGGTGGATCGACGAAAACATGGAGCTTCTCTCATTGTGACTGAGATGATTAAAGAATGTGGTTTGGAAGTTCAGCAAGTTTCGAAGTGTGGCAAAATCAAAGAACTAAAACAAGAAGATGCTAATTTTGTCGGAAGTTTAAGATGTTATGGGACATTGAAATTGCCTCTCGGAACGTTGCGATCTTCAAGCTACACCAACAAATCCGAAGATATAATTTTTTTCGAGTTCAATAGAATCAATCAATGCGGAAAATTTATACTTTATACAACAGAAAAAGGAGTTTTGGTCGAGCTTTTCAAAGAAAATGATTATGGCGATAGATTCGTGGATTTGGAGAATAATTTTGCAAGATTGAATCCGATGTTCTCACTTCATGGCGCTAAATTATTGCATCATCTGAAAAACTTCGGAGGTATCAAGTTTGGTCAAGAAGGTGGTGATAGAGTATGGATTGACAGAACTCAAATTCATGGAATTGGCGCTAAACTTTCCTTTGGAAATGATCTTTGTTATTTACAATGTAATGGAGCGATCACCCACAAATGATCGTTACATTTTTATTGTAACATTGTTTATATGTTTACTTGTGTGCACTTTACAACGATTCATTGCATGTTTGTCCTTTATGTTTTCTTCTAATTAATCTTCATGTTGTTCAATGTGAAAGTAAAAATAATATTTGTTTGTGTTCAAAGTGTTTCGTTTGTCCGTCATAAATGTTTTTTTTTTTCGAAAAACTAGCGCTTTTTTCCCGTTTTTTCTCCATCTTTCAGTTTCATTTTTCCACACTTCTCTTTTTTTATTGTTTCTAATTTTTTCATCTTCAATTTTTCGTTACATCTCGTCGTTTTTTCACTTTTCAAAACAATATTCAAAATTAGAAAAATTAACTACAACACTCCGCATGCCTGTAATTTAATTTTCCCCCTATTTTTCTTTTCCCCCTCTCTCGTTTCCACACACTGTTTTCCAAACCAGCGTCACATTAAATTTCTTCTATTCTTATTATTTTTCAATTTCCTTTTTATATTATTTATTCCCTTCTTGTCTACTAATTATCAGTTATTTTATCCCATCCCTCCGCGCCTAAGTTAGTATTAGCTTCTTTATACGTCTGATGAAAAAGGTTTCCTTGCGTTATTATCATTTTCTTTTTAAATTTAATTTCATTCCTTCTTCTACTTTATCTCTTTTTTTCCTTTTTACTCTCTTTCTTTATTAATCATCATTTTTTTTCCAGTGACGGTGACGACAGCAACAAGGATGTCGACACGAGCCGAACGCATGAAAGCTTTTTTGAAGGCAAGTTTAAAAATTATTAGAAAAAATAATAGCAAATTTAACGACATTGTTCAGAATCGAATAAATGTGCGTCCTCCTCATCGAGATGCCGAACAACACGCCCAAAAATTGAAGGAATATTTTTTGGAAAGAGAGGAAATGGATACAAGAAAAAGAAGAAGGGACGGTGACGATGAGGACGATGATGATTATGAGGTATTTCTTCTTATTTCCTAAGTTTTCATTTAAAGGGTTGGCGTTCTCCTGGTGAAAAAACAAGCAAGATTTCTTGGCGGAGCCCCAACTCTTTAAAGCCATAAATTCTATCCACATTTTTGAAAAAATTTGAAAGAAAGCTAAGAAAAAGCATACATCTGTTTGCATATATTTTTTGAAGACACGTAGAAAACTAGAATTGTGTGTTCGTAATTGTAGAAATTTGAACGATTTTTTTCCAAAATCTCAGCGTTAACACTATTGAAATTTAAAAATACTGATATGACACTGGAGATAGTAGCTCATCTTTCTTACAGCCATATTCGGATAAAGAAGATCAAGAGTTATTCCCGTCGATTGCTGGAAAGGTAGTATTTGATTTCAAACAAGAACATATTTCATACATCATTTTTAGAAGCTGCAGGATCAGAGAAAGCAGAAGCGAGTTGAAGAAAAACAATCGCGAAAACGAGGAGGGAGGGAAAAGAAGAAAGTTGATGACGGAGAATCGATTGTTTCGGCGACTGCATTAGCTGGAGGAGGATCGGCGACACCGAGTGTTTCGGCGGCTGAATTAGCTGGAAGAGGATCGGCGGCTGAATTAGCTGGAGGAGGATCGACGACTGAATTAGCTGGAGGAGGATCGACGACTGAATTAGCTGGAGGAGGATCGACGACTGAATTAGCTGGAGGAGGATCGGCGACGTCGAGTATTTCGGCGACTGAATTAGCTGGAGGAGGATCGGCGACATCGAGTATTTCGGCTAGTGGACCTGCTGTACATCCCATCGTTATTGTTCCAACAAGAAATATCGATTCCACACAAAGTTTGACCGGAGAACATCCAAAACAAGACAAATTATCTACCAAAGGCAGATACAAAATCATTGCTGTCGCCAAAGCCTGCTTCTTCAACTTCAAGGAAAACAGAGCCTACGATGATATTGCCATAAAGGTTAGTCAATTAAAAAAGCGGAAAATTATGAAACAATAATGTTTTTTAGAGCAAAAAAACAGCAAAAATTCGAGGATCAGCAATTTTCGACTTACAAGATGGATTGAAATTGGCTGAGAATTGTACGGGACCTATGAAAGAAGTTGCATTGGCAAATGTGGTTCTGACCATACATGTTTTTCTATCCGGAAGGCCCTTCGGGTTAAAGACCCCTTTTTGTCAAAAATGAAAAAGTTAAAGACCCTCCACCGGAAAAATGAAGAACAAAAATACTGCCAAAAATCAAAGTAAAAGCTCTAGCCAAGAACCGAACCTTTGTAGCTGGATTAGAAAGCGCGAGGCTAACCGACTGCTCTATGCTCTCGTTGTTTTCCCCTCCTTTGTTTTCCCTTGTTATGCAACACACGCACTCATCTTTTTTCTTTTTTTTTTCGTTTTTTTTCACAGACAATTCAAATCAAAAGCAAAACTTAACAGCTTAAAGGCAACCAAATGAGCTAAAAATTTTCACAGCTCTACTTCAAGATATTTCGCAGGGTTCGAAAACCTAAAATCCTCCAATAAAGACCGTTTTAAGGGAAATAAAGACCTATCCGGAAAAGTATAGGATGACACTATACTTTTCCGGATAGGTCTTTATTTCCCTTAAAACGGTCTTTATTTGAAAGTTTTAGGTTTTCGAACCCTGCGAAATATCTTGAAGTAGAGCTGTGAAAATTTTTAGCTCATTTGGTTGCCTTTAAGTTGTTAAGTTTTGCTTTTGATTTGGATTGTCTGCGAAAAACGAAAAAAGAAAAAATGATGTGGGCGGAGCCAGGTGCAATGAGAGATATGGTGTGTGGCGCTACCAGCGAACTGTCGGCGATGAGAGATATTGAAATATTTCGCGTGATGCAGAATGAAACAAGGCGTAATTTTTGTGGAAACCTTGCTTCTCTTTGAAAGAAGAAGCTGATGCAGAGGTAATTTTGATGACTTGAGAAATTAATAGTAATTTTTTCATAAAAGTTAAGGACCTATTTTTCATGAAAAATAAAAAAGTTAACGACCCTATTTTATACTTTTCCGGACCAAAAACATGTATGGTTCTGACCGACAAGGTATTCTTTAGTTTTCAAAAATTAAACGTATTTTGACTGATTGTAAAAATTAATTTTGAACATGACAAGGTCAACTTTCACTCGAGATTTGTAAAAAAAAAATATATTTTATAGTGGTTTTCGACCCGTTGATCACGATTCGAAAATTTCGAAAAATAAGTTCAAAAATTTCGAAAAATTGCCACTTTAGGAGGTCAGAAATCGCTTCCAATGAAAAAAAAATAGTTTCATGAAAACCATTTTGGATCTGACAGCATAGGGTTGTTCAGAATGGTCGATTACATAAGTTTAGAAGGTTCATTCAATAATCTGGAAGATTTCTCAGAAAAGTTTGAAATCTGCAACAAAAAATTTTTCAAAGTTGATCACAAATTGAAAAAATAAAGTTTACTTAAGTAATCGAGCCTCCTGAACAACGCTATGCCATCAGATTTTTATGAAAATAATTTTAAAGTTGAATTCTGACCCTCTAAAGTCCGGATTTTTCGAAATTTTCGAACTTTGACACATCATAACTCATGTTAGAAGCTGGGTTGTGCAATTGCAAAAAACCACTATGAAATATATATGTGAAAGAGTGAAAGTTGAAACAGTTCCCTTGTGAATCAGCTCAAAAAGAACTTGTTTTTTGAGGTCAATGAGCTGTCAGAACAATTGGAGCGACTTTTGATGACTCAATCAAACACAGATTGTTGTTATCTCGATTTTTCGAATCCATCCTCGTCGGTTTTCCTATTGAAAAATGGGAGGATTTACGATATGATGACTTATATCGACGATGATTTAATTGAACGTTGTTCAGGAAAGAACATAAAACAAATTTCATCGGAAGTTGCCCGCAGCACTTTCAAAGATGTGAGTTTTTTTTAAAAATATTTCTCCATCAAGACCTGTTCCTTCACACTGCAACTGCCTAATATAATTTAATTTTATCAGTCTGTCTACAACGCAGAAGAAATGTTGGTTGGTATGAGTGCAACAATCAATGGCTCCCGAAAGTATGTGGATATTGGTAAAAATCCACTTAAAATCATGGCCGGTTAGTTGGGGGATTAAAAAATTCATGATTAAAAAAACATTCGGTTGATTTCAGAATTTGTTGTTAGCATAACTCGGGAATGCACTTGTCTTGATCCATTCGGATTATCGCGTACAACGATTCGACAAGTTATTTCGGATATGTTGTAGGTTTTCTACTATGCCAATCCTACAATCAAAACATAACCAAATTTCAGATCAACTGCTCGAAAAGAACTTCGAAAACTCGAGGGAGGAGAAAAGAAAATCAAAGAATCTTGCGATGCCCTCAAAGATTTTTTGGCACAGAACCCGGGTTTAGAAGAAAAAGTTGAACAATACTCTGCGGAAGACTTTGCCGATGTTGAATAATTTTTTTTTTTTGATTTGCAAGTGTTTCAACTTGTCATATTTAATTTGTTAATTGTTTGTTTTTGTTATTGTTGTTAGTTTGTTAGTTTGTCATCTCCTCAATTTTTTGTCGTTTCCCCTCCAATTTTGAGATCTGAAAATGTTTAATTTTGTCTAAGAATTAATGAATGTGAGTTGAGGGAGTATCCTATGAAATTGAATTATTAAACAACGGTTTGAACTCGTGTTGAATACCTCGAATTACTCATGTGCATCCAATAATTCATTTAGGCTTGTAATAAACGGATACTGGAAAGATGGCCGAGGCGGTCGCTTTATTGCAAAAAGCGAGAAGAATACGGTGAGTGTTTTTGGGATTTTCTGGGTGATTTATTTGGTTATAAATGAAGTTAGATTAAAAGGGAGCAGAACAATGACAAGGTGAACATTTTATGAAATTTCAAAGTGTTTCCAAATCAATGTTTTGTTTCGAAATCACTGTTCGAAAAAACTTATAAAATCCTAATTCGATTTTCAAACCAAACTAGTTTTTTATTCAGAAAAACCCGCTCAATCGGGAAAGGCGAGCAAATGGGAACAACAACTTCAGAAATGCTCATTTTATGAGAAGGAAAAAGATGCTGAAACTCCGAATGGAAGTCAAATCGCAGCGATTTGGGAAAGGCGGCGGAAAGTCGAATCGCAGCGACATTGATGAATTCTAAAAGAAATCTAAATCTATTATGTATTCAAGGACCACCGGGAACTGGAAAACTCGAGTTATCGCTGAAAGTATTTTGAAATTAATTCAACAAAAAAAGAATCGAGTTGTGATTTGTGCGGCCACGTTGAAGTTAAAAACACAGCACGTTGAACAACTTTGAGAAGAAGAGTGGAATGATGGAAGAATTGTGAAACAGTTATTGCCGATTTCAGAAGTTTATGAATATGGAATGGAGGGCCATCCGATTATTGTGGAACAGCAGAATTGCGAAAACGCATGTGAGTTTTTATTGAACTTCTGGGAACGACCCAAATGTTATCTAACCAAATACCATAGAAAAAAACGATGAAATCTCTCTCTAAATTTTTTTTGAAAAGTGGAACATCGAAGAAGCACCTCACTCCTATCGATTTCACAAGTTCCCCTGACCAAAACTCACTTAAAACATCCATTTTCTGCATTATTGCTATGATTGGATTTTCTTTTTTAATAAAGCAAAAAATGGCGACGGGGGAAAATAAAAACAATTCTCATGTCTAAAAAACTCGGTCACGCGACGACAAAAACTCCGGATTTTTTTATTCTTGAGCACTTCTTTTAATGCGAAAGATTTTATAATGGAATTCAACGATTCAAAAATATCTGTCAACCGTTTTAAAATCCATGACCTTTAAAAAATCCAGAAGTTTGGAACTTTGCCACGTCATAATTTGAAAACTGTTATTTTTTCTTACGAAAAATTTATTCCCATTTTCTCACCTCTATTTGAAAAAAAAATCACGTTCAACATTACAAATTGAACGTGAAACACGTGGAGGTCAACAAAATGACGTGGAATCATTATAATGACGTAGCGCTATTTATAATTTCACATTGATGGTCATTCAGTTCAATATTATTCTAAATTTTCGTGATCAAATTTGTATTTTTTTCAAGGTAATCATGGATGGCGAAGATATATGTTATATCGATCTGTCACATCACGCTCCTCCATTTTTTCTGTTGAAAAATGGCAACATTTACAACTGTATGAGAAATATGACTAACCGTATGTTGGATAAATGCAATGGAAGAAGTCTCAAATTCATCGCTTCCGAAATAACTCGATCCATTTTTGAAGAAGTGAGTTTAATTTTAATATTTTCTTCGTGGGCTTTTCTACTAATGGGGCGTCCAAAAATCGGAAAAATGAAAATTGTGTTAAATGGTGTGCAATTTTCATTTTTCCATTTTTCGACACCCCATAAACAAAAATAGTAAAAATTGAAAAAACTAGAAAATTTCACCTAAGGTTAAGTGCGATTTTCAGAAATGAAAGAAATAATGATTTTTGATATCCAAATATGAGTAAAATTTTCTAATAAATATGATATTCACTTTCAATAAACATCAGAAAAAAAAATTCACAAAACCTGGTAAGGTTTACTTACGAACATGAAATTAGAACCTGAAACTGCAGGAGAACATTTTTCCGCAAGCCAACTTCCATATCGAAAATTTTCAAAATCAAAATATCCCTTTTTTGCGTATCTTTAGACTAATCAAGGGGGAAGTGCCAGAATTCCGAACGAACTGAGAAAAAACGAAATTCCATCTTTCAAAACAATTCCAATATAAATCAAAATATTCAATTTTCGAATAATCAACGTGAAATACTGTTCCAGACTTAAAAATTCTCAAACACACGAATACCGTGAAAAAAAGATGGTGACACATAATTTTTCAGAAATTGGTGGCCGATCTCATTTTCGTGATGACGGTGAATTTCGACCGCTCATCATTATGGGTCACACTTGGAAATAAACCAATTAATGTGATTGCTGGTATGTTTCAGTATTTTTTTAAACAATAAATATTTTAATTTCAGATTTCATTGTAAGTGTCTTGCGCCATCGAGTTCAGCCAACCTACAACTCAGCTGCTTTAGTTCGTCAAATTGTGAGACAAGTTTTGGGATTAATGATGTGAGTTACAAAACATTCTTTTCTCTCGAATCACAATAAACCTATTTACAGAACTTCTGCTCGAAAAGAAATGCGTGTTTTGGAAGGAGGTGAAAAAATGATAAATGAATCCATAGATTCTCTCAACGAATTCATGGCAAAAAATATGGATATTGGGGAAAGAGTCGAGGAATTTGATGGTTATGTTCCTCAATAAATAATTTGTCCATTCTAATGCAAAACTTTCTATAAATTTCATTTTTATTATGTGAATTTTTTTTTTTGAAAACCAGTGGGAAACCACCAAAAAAATACCAACTGGTTTCCAATACGTGGAATACCAGTTGGAATCCCAATGGTTTCCTCTCTGTTTTGCGTACGGATTGCTCTGGTTCCAACTCAACAAAACCAATTGGTTTCCAGCATGTAACCTATTTGTTCGCAAATGCGTGTGAAACAACGATACTCCGCGTGCCTGCTGTTTAGCGTAATTCTGTTTTTTACCACGTCATGATGCAATTTTGCGCGAAGCGCCCCGGAATCTTCCGCGTAAGCGGAACGAGCGGAGCGAGTGTATGTCCCTCGGAGCGAGTGTAAATCCCTCTGCGTCTCTAGCAATCTAGTTTCTCTACACTATCCAAGAAGGCTGTCTAACATTTTATCAACAAAAAAGCACAGGAAGTTCGCCTAACTCCTCAACTTCGTCCTAAAAACCGCCTTCACAGTCATATTCTCAAATCCCACTCGAATCTCCTCAATCCTTTGCTCTCTCTCCAAACACATCTTATACTCCTCCCATCGCTGATCATTCATTTCAAAACACATTTTCTGCTCGCCACCTTCTTCATCCCTTGAAATACAATCTGGAATTGGGTGAAGCTCGCAATCGGCCTGAATTTTTGTAGAAAATTGGAGAAAAATGGCTGAGATGAGGAAAATCGACAAGATTTTCATGTTGAAATGAAATTTTGTCTAGGCATCTGGGAATTTATAGACAAATTTTGCATTGAAACGTGGAGAAAAATTCAAATTCCCATCTTTCCCGCTTTAGAAATGCAACGGAAACGCGGAGCCCTGTTGTTTTCCCAAAAATTTCACGTGAATTTTTTCACTGCCACGTCATCTGTTCTGATTTTTGCTTTAATCTTGATTTTCTCACAATCATCTTTTTCAATAAATTTCCCATTTCCCGCTGAAAAAAAGAGAACAAATCGATATGCAGCAAGCGCGCTCCAACGCCAACATTTCTCTGCGTCTCTTCAGCCACACACACTGTCTCGCGCATTGATTTTGTTTTTTTCGGTCGAGTTTTGCACACACACACACACACAATAATTATTAGTATGAGCCGCTAGTTATGCAAATTTTGGGCGAAATTGGTTTTGCTGTGATTTTGGCGGCGATTTTGCCGTTTTTCGTCAGGTAACTGCGGTTTTTTCGCGGGGAAAATGATGAAAATCTAAAAAATTATCATTTTGCAGGTATTTCTTGTTGCCCTCATCGATTTATCATGAATATCCGTTGAATGTCATCTTCAACACGTGTGATCATGATTTGCACAGTGTTTGTAGTTTTCCGGCCGCGAGTTTGGAGTATGAGAAGGTTTGTGGGGGGCAAAGCTTGAGAGTTTTGCTCGGGGAGCTGGAAAACATGGTTTTGAAGGTTTCGAAGCGGATTTTCATGTTTTTCCCGCTTCGGGAGCTGAAAATTCATGAAATTTGGCTCTGGGAGCTTGAAAACATCGAGATTGTGCTCTGTGAGCTAGAAATGCCTGTTTTTTCGCTTCGGGAGCTGAAAAATGCTAAAATTGGGCTCTGGGAGCTAAATAGTCCTGAAAATCTGCTCTAAGAGCTAGAAAACTTGATTTTTCATGCCTGGAAGCGGATTTTCATGTTTTTTCCGCTTCGGGAGCTGAAAAATGTTGAAGTTTGGCTCTGTGAGCTAGAAAATCCTGTTTTTTCGTTTTTGGACCTGAAAAATCATGAAATTCTGCTCTGAGAGCTAGAAAGTTCTGAAAATATGCTCTGTGAGCTAGAAAACGTGATTTTTAATGCCTGGAAGCAAATTTTCATGCTTTTTTCGCTTCTGAAGCTGAAAAATAATGAAATCCTGCTCTGAGAGCTAAAAAGTTCTGAAAATATGCTCTGTTAGCTGGAAAACATGATTTTTCATGGCTGGAAGCGAATTTTCATGCTTTTTTCGCTCCGGGAGCTGAAAAATGCTCAAATTTGGTTCTGGGAGCCGGAAAATCCTGTTTTTCTGCTTCTAGACCTGAAAAATCATGAAATCCTGCTCTGGGAGCTAGAAAATCATGAAATTTCGCTCCTAGAGCTAAAAATGCTCAAATATTTGCTCCAGGGCCTGGAAAATCATGAAATCTTGCTCTGGGAGCTAAAAAATTATAGAAATTTGCTCTGTGAGCTAGAAAATCATGTTTTCCTGCTCCTAAACCTGAAAAATGCTTAAATTTGGCTCTGTTAGCTGGAAAACATGATTTTTCATGGCTGGAAGCGAATTTTCATGCTTTTTTCGCTTTTGAACCTGAAAAATCATAAAATCCTGCTCTGGGAGCTAGAAAATCATGTGTTTCAGCTTCAAGAGCCGAAAAATCATAGAAATAAGCTCCAGGGCTTGAAAAATCATGGAATTCTGCTCTGTGAGCTAAAAAATCATGAAATCCTGCTCTGTGAGCTAGAAAATCATGTTTTCCTGCTCCTAAACCTGAAAAATGCTTAAATTTGGCTCTGTTAGCTAGAAAACATGATTTTTCATGCCTGGAAGTGAATTTTCATGCTTTTTTTGCTCCATGAGCTAAAAAAATGATGAAATTTGGCTCTGTGAGCTGGAAAATCATGAAATTCTGCTCCTAGACCTAAAAATGCTCGAAAATGTGCTCCAGAACCTGGAAAATCATGGGAATATGCTCTGGGAGCTAGAAATACTCAAAAATCTGCTATATGAGTCAGAAAATCATGAAATTTTGCTCCTAGACCCAAAAAATGCTGAAATCCTGCTCTGTGAGCCAGAAAATCTTGTTTTTTTGCTCCAGGACCCGGAAAATCATAGAAAAATGCTCTGGGAGCTAGAAAATGATGAAATTTGGCTCTGTGAGCCAGAAAATTATGTTTTTTTGCTCCTAGACCTAAAAATGCACAAAAATTTGCTCCAGGACCCGGAAAATCATGAAAATCTGCTCCAGGACCCGAAAAATCATAGAAATATGCTCTAGGAGTTAGAAAATCATAGAAATATGCTCTGTGATCCAGAAAATCATACTATTTTGCTCTGGGAGTTGAAAAATCTGTTCTGGGAGCTAGAAAATCATGTTTTCCTGCTCTCAAACCTAAAAAATGCTAAAATTTGGCTCTGTGAGCTAGAAAATCCTGAAAATCTGCTCTGGAAGCTAGAAAACGTGATTTTTCATGCTTTTTTCGCTCCAGGACACGAAAAATCATAAAAATCTGCTCTGGGAGCTAGAAAATCATGAAATTCTGCTCCTAGACCAAAAAGTGCTCAAAAATATGCTACAGGACCAGGAAAATGAGCTTTTTTCGGCTCCAGAGCTCAAAAACCACCGAAATTCCCCCAATTTCAGAACCACCTGTTCTCTGCCAACATCTACTACGCTCTAATCATCCGTCTCAAATTCGCCGACATCGAAACCACCAAACATCTCGGCCTATTTCAAAATTCCATCGAAATTCGCGACGAACACGAGAAGCTGCTCAAAAAATTCACCAAATCCGCAGTGCTCAAAGAGCCCACGTGGCTCACCAGAGCCACGTGGATCACCTTCTTCCCACTGTATTTTTTGGGTGCTTTTCACGATTATTCGACACTGGAAGTTGCGCTAACTCAGGAATATTTGGAGATTTTGGAAAAACCGTCGACTAAGCTGATTTATACACTTCATGACAAATTTGCCAATGTGAGTAGCTTCAAAATGACACCAAATAAGCCCCGCCCCTTTTTGCAAACCTGGCACAGTTTTTTGCGGGCTTCAAAATGATACCAAACCGTGCCAGACTTGCAGAAAAGGGGCGGAGCTTAGGTTTCTGAGTATTTTGACACCATATTCGACATATTACCTAAGCCACGCCCACAAAACCGTGCCGCAACCTAGAATCTTGCATTTGTTATCAAAAAATTTCCGGAAAACCTAAGCCACGCCCACAAAACCGTGCCGCATCCAAAAATCTTGCATTTTGTCTCAGAAAATCCCTAGAAACCTAAGCCACGCCCACAAAACCATACCGCATCCAAAAAATCTTGCATTTTGTCTCGAAACCCCACTAGAAACCTAAGCCACGCCCACAAAACCGTGCCGCAACCAAAAATATTGCATTTTGTTTCGAAAAATCCCTGGAAACCTAAGCCACGCCCACAAAACCGTGCCGCAACCAAAAATCTTGCATTTTGACCCAAAAAATCCCGATTTTTTGCAGATCGAAGAAGCCCAGCTACGAATTATCGCCAAATTCGGCCTTATCCGAAATTTCCTGTATTATTGGCCAATTTCCTCCACACTCTTCATGTTTTTCACGATTTTGATCTCAATTTTGTGCGCAATCGGTGTCAAATATGCTTATCTACATTATTTTGCCCAAAAACCGCAGGAAAATGGGGAAATTTTGGATGGTCCCGTGAAAAACCATGAAAAACCCGTGAAAATTGAGAAATCCGTGAAGAAGGAGCCGAAAATCGAGGTTGAGGTGGATGATTTTTGAGTGCGGCACGGTTTTGGGGGCGTGGCCTAGGTTTCCAGGGAGTTTTAGAGCCGAAATGCAAGATTTTTAACTGCGGCATGGTTTTGTGGGCGTGGCTTAGGTTTCTAGGGGTTTTTTGAGCCAAAATGCAAGATTTTTGGTTGCGGCACGGTTTTGTGGGCGGGGCTTAGGTTTTCCGGGATTTTTTGAGCCAAAATGCAAGATTTTTGAGTGCGGCATGGTTTTGTGGGCGTGGCCTAGGTTTTTATGACAAAATGCAAGATTTTTGACTGCGGCACGGTTTTGGGGGCGTGGCTTAGGTTTTCCGGGGATTTTCGAGCCAAAATGCACGATTTCTAGTTGCGGCATGGTTTTGGGGGCGTGGCTTAGGTTTCTAGGGATTTTTCAAGACAAAAATGCAAAATTTTTGGATGCGGCATGGTTTTGGGGGCGTGGCTTAGGTTTCCAGGGATTTTTCGAGCCAAAAATGCAAGATTTTTGAGTGCGGCATGGTTTTGTGGGCGTGGCCTAGGTTTTTATGACAAAATGCAAGATTTTTGAGTGCGGCACGGTTTTGGGGGCGTGGCTTAGGTTTCCCGGGGTTTTTTGAGCCAAAATGCAAGGTTTTTGAATGCGGCATGGTTTTGTGGGCGTGGCTTATGTTATTTGAGCTCAAAATGATCAGAAACCTAAGCTCCGCCCCTTTCTGCAAGTCTGGCACGGTTTGGTATCATTTTGAAGCCCGGAAAATTCCTCAAAAAGTGTGCCAGGTTTGCAAAATGGGCGTGGCTTATTTGGACTCAAAATGAAGCTGCCGCACGCTTTTGTGGGCGTGGCCTAATATTTTCAAATTTCAGGGTTTCTCCGCCGACGAATTCCAGCCGGAAACATTTGGCGAATCGCCAAAAAACGAAATTCTACACGACACCCTGCGAAAACGCAAATAATTGCTCATATTTTTGTATTTTTTGATCTATTTTGAAGCCGGTAACCTACCTACAGTACCTCCTGTGATGTTCCTTTAAAGAATTATTGATTTTTTTGCGGTTTTTTCGTGATTTTTCATTGGTTTTCAAGCCAAAATTGATATATTTTAACCTAAAAACCGTGTTTTCAGCATTTTCAGCCAAAAAATCGATAATTTCCAGCCAAGAAATGTGGTGATGGTAGTTGATGAAAATGGTCAAATTCTACCACACTGTCTAGGGTACTGTGGACGATATTTCGAGGCGAATTCGAGCGATTTCAGCTGTAGGGTGAGCATTTTTGGGGTTTTGATGGGAAAATTTGAAAAATTCGCCGAATTTTGAGCCTGGGAGTGAGTTTTTGGCCCGAAAATGGTCTAGAAACGTGATTTTTGGCCTGGAAATGTGATTGGTGGCCTAGAAAACCAAATCGTGGCCTAGAAAACCAAATTTGAGCTTTAGAAAGTAACTGGTGGCCTAGAAATCCAAAAAAAAACCTGAAAATGGCCTAGAAAACCAAATTTGAGCTCTGGAGAATATCTGGTGGCCTAGAACACCAAATTTTTGCTCTAGAAAGTAACTGGTGGCCTAGAAATCCAAAAATAGATTGCAAATGGCCTAGAAAACCAACTCGTGACCTAGAAAACCAATTTTGAGCTCTAGAGAATAACTGGTGGCCTAGAAAACCAAATTTTGCTCGAAAATGGCCTAGAAAACCAAATTTTTGCTCTAGAAAGTAACTGGTGGCCTAAAAACCGAAATCATGGCCAAGAAAACCAAATCGTGGCCTAGAAAACCAAATTTTGCTCGAAAATGGCCTAGAAAACCAAATTTGAGCTTTAGAAAATAGCGGTGGCCTAGAAATCCAAATAGTGGCCTAGAAATTCATTTTGTGGCCTAGAAAACCGAATTTTTGCTCTAGAAAGTAACTGGTGGCCTAGAAAACCAAATCGTGGTCTAGAATTGTGTTTGGTGGCCTAGAAAACCAAATTTGAGCTCTAGAAAACAACTGATGGCCTAGAAAACCAATTCGTAGTCTAGAAAATCAAATGTGTCATGGAAATGACCTAGAAATCCAAATCGTGGCCTAGAAAACCAAATTGTGGCCTAGAATACCAAATTTGAGCTCTAATAAATAACCGATGGCCTAGAAATCCAAATTGAGATCTTGAAAACAACTGGTGGCCTAGAAAACCAAATTCAGCCAGAAAATGGCCTAGAAAACCAGATTGTGGTCTAGAAACCCTAATTTCAGCTCTAGAAATTACCTGGTGGCCTAGAAATCCCGAATTTGCCTTGAAAATGACCTAGAAAACCAAATCGTGGCCTAGAAACCCTAATTTCAGCTCTAGAAAATAACTGGTGGCCTAGGAAACCAAATTTAGTCTGAAAATGGCCTAGAAATGTATTTGGTGGCCTAGAAACCCTAATTTCAACTCTATAATTAACCTGGTGGCCTAGAAATCCAAATCATGGCCTAGAAATCCAAATTCAGCCAGAAAATGACCTAAAAACCCCAAATTTTACGATTTTTCACAAATTTTAGGTAAAAAATCCCGAATTTTCCCGCATTTCAGGCCTGTCCATGGGGATTTCGTGCAACTTCGGGCGAAAGTTCGCCATGCGAACCCTGTCAAACACAGCTACCCGCCTACGATTGGATGTATCTACTGTTCGTCGCACTTTTGCCACTCCTGCTGCATTTTCAGTTTGTACGACACGGCAGACGATTGTAAGTGTGCCAGGGTTGCCAAAAAGGGGCGTGGCTTAGGTTTCTGATTATTTTGAGACCGAATTTGATATATTTTGAGGGAAAAGTGTGCCAGACTTGCAGAAAGGGGCGTGGCTTAGGTTTCTGATTATTTTGACACCAAATTTGATTTAGTTTGAGGGAAAAAGTGTGCCAGACTTGCAGAAAGGGGCGGGGCTTAGGTTTCTGATCATTTTGACACCAAATTTGATACAATACCTAAGCCACGCCCCTAAAACCGTGCCGCAATGCATTTTGGCTCAAAAAACGTGGAAAAATTCAAATTTTTGCAGTTCCCGCCACCGCTACTTCGACATTGCCGAATATGTGTGTGTTCTACTCGAAAACATCTCAGCCGCTCTAATTTCCGTCCTGATCTACCCACCCCGATTCACATTTCTGCTAACTTCGTGCGAAAAATCGACGATGCGAGAATGGTATCCCGTGTTGCATAATCCCCGTATCGGATACTCGAAAACCATGAAATGCTCGTCGGAAATCGTTTTTCCACTGTGAGTTTTGGGCTTTTTCGGGCCGAAATTGGGCTTTTTCGGGCCGAAATTGAGCTTCTGAGGTCAAAATTGAGCTTCTGAGGTCAAAATTGAGCTTCCCGGGCCAAAAACAGCTCAAAATGACCTACTTTGACCCCAGAAACTGTGCGGCACGGTTTTGTGGGCGTGGCTAAGGTTTCCAGAGCTAAAATGCAAGATTTTTGGCTGCGGCACGGTTTTGTGGGCGTGGCTTATTCATACTCAAAATAAAGCCCGGAAAATTTCCCAAAAAGCGTGCCAGACTTGCAAAATGGGGCGGAGCTTGTTTGGTATCATTTTGAAGCTCTCTAAATTCTCTGCGGCACAGTTTTGTGGGCGTGGCTTATTTGGTATCAAAATGACCTGTTTTTTGCAGATATTCCCTTCCATTCGCCCATCATCTAGTTCTAATTTCGGCCATTTTGATTTTTCGCTCAATTCTGTATTGTGCACTCTTGTACAAGTCCTCCAATGGCAAACCCTTCTATTATTCGCTCATCTCATTGCCGATTTTGGCCGGTGTTCATTCGTTGTTTGTGAGTTTTTTGGGGCTGAAAATGCTGAAAATTTGGATTTTTGACTGAAAATTTGAAAAATTCCGGATTTTTTGGTATATTTTGAGCTAAAAATCGATAATTTTAGCCTAAATTTAGGCCCTAACGTTCAGGCCTTAATTCAGGCCTAAAAGTCTGATTTTTAGGCATTATTTAGGACTAAACAAGGCCGAGTTCCAGGCCGAGTTTAGGCTTCAAAAATTCTCCAATCAGAAGGTCACAAGTTCGATTCCCCATGCGAACTACTATTTTTTTTAAAATTTTTTCTAGATCAATTTTTGACGCTGAAAATGATGAGATTGCTCATTTTAAGCATTTCCAGCGTTTCCAGCACGAAATTTTGATTTAGAAACATAAATAAATTATTGCTCAGAAGGTCAGGGGATCGATTCCCCATGGGAACTACACTTTTTTCCAAAAAAATTGTTTTAGATCAATTTTTCGCGCTGAAAATCATGGGATTGCTCATTTTAAGCATTTCCAGCGTTTTCAGGCTTAAAAAATCAATAATCTCTAATTTTGCAGGCCGGTATTCTCTTCTATTCATTTCCATGGATTCTTCTAACCTCATCCATCATGATTTTGGTGTATCATTTGGCGGAACAGGGAAAATTGGCGATTTGCGATTTGTTGGGTGAGATTTTCGGGCTTTTCTAGGCTTTCCGGGCCGTTTTGGGCTTTTTCCCGGGTTTCTGGGACAATTTTGAGCCTGGGAGCGGTTTTTTGGGTTTTTCAGGCCTTTTCTAGGCTTTCTGGCCCCCTAAAGCCCCCATTTTTTTTCAGCCCGATTGGTCAGCTCTCCAATGCATTTGACAATTTTGCTGATAACAACTTTGCTCTTATCTTTCTCGCTGACCGCAATTATCATTCCATTGTGAGTTGTTTTTATTGATTTTTTCGAATTCAGCGCGAAATTTTGATCTAGAAACATTTTTGTTACGAATCACAAGGTCACTGGATCGATCCCTCATGGGAACTACTAATTTTTTTTTGAAAAATCAATTTTTCACGCTGAAAATGATGGGATTGCTCATTTTAAGCGCTCTTAGCGTTTTCAGCGCGAAATTTTAACCTGAAACTCAAAAATTTTCCAATCTGAAGGTCCCGGGATCGATTCCCGGTGGGAACTACACTTTTTTTTTCAAAAAAAAATGTTTTAGATTATAGCCCTCCAGCTACTCAAAAGTAGCTGCTCGAGTAGCTCGAGCAGATTATCTGCTTATCTACTCGAGTAGCTAAGCACGCTCATCTGCTCGAGTAGATAATCTGCTCATCTGCTGAGTAGCTAAGCGTACTCATCTGCTCGAGCAGATTATCTGCTTGCCTGCTCGAGCAGTCTACTCGAAATCAGCTCACTTGTTTTTTGAACATGAATTTGAAATTTTTTTAATGACTGAAAAGTTGTAAGTGAAGTAGGAGAAGCTTGAATTTCAGCTTCTGGTGTCATTTTGGGCAGAAGCTGACTTTTAAAGGAAGTATGCATGAAAAATCGATTTTTATGAAATTTGATATTTAAGGGTATTTCGATATGGGGAACATCGTGGCGAGACCCATTCGGCCCAAAAATCACTTTTAAAGGACCCCATCACTCAAAAAATTTTTTTTTTGAAAATGAGGTATTTGGGCACGGGGAACATTTTGGTGAGGTATACGGTCGGGAACAGACTTTTAAAGGCGCATGCCAGGTTATTACACATTTTCCGAGATTTTTTTTTCAAACTATCATAACTTTTTTATTTTTTAAGCTTTTTTGAAATTTCGACAACCATTTTGACGGTCTTGAGACGGGCTACATGTTTTGTGTTGACACCAACTACCGTACTTCGCTCCTAAGAGGTGAAAAACACGGTTTTGTTCGAATTTACATCAAAAAATGACATTTTTGAGAGATCTGAGAGATAAAACCGTGTTTTTCACCTCTTAGGAGCGAAGTACGGTAGTTGGTGTCAACACAAAAAATGTAGCCCGTCTCAAGACCGTCAAAATGGTTGTCGAAATTTCAAAAAAGCTTAAAAAATAAAAAAGTTATGATAGTTTGAAAAAAAAATCTCGGAAAATGTGTAATAACCTGGCATGCGCCTTTAAAAGTCTGTTCCCGACCGTATACCTCACCAAAATGTTCCCCGTGCCCAAATACCTCATTTTCAAAAAAAAAAATTTTTTGAGTGATGGGGTCCTTTAAAAGTGATTTTTGGGCCGAATGGGTCTCGCCACGATGTTCCCCATATCGAAATACCCTTAAATATCAAATTTCATAAAAATCGATTTTTCATGCATACTTCCTTTAAAAGTCAGCTTCTGCCCAAAATGACACCAGAAGCTGAAATTCAAGCTTCTCCTACTTCACTTACAACTTTTCAGTCATTAAAAAAAAAATTTCAAATTCATGTTCAAAAAACAAGTGAGCTGATTTCGAGTAGACTGCTCGAGCAGGCAAGCAGATAATCTGCTCGAGCAGATGAGTACGCTTAGCTACTCAGCAGATGAGCAGATTATCTACTCGAGCAGATGAGCGTGCTTAGCTACTCGAGTAGATAAACAGATAATCTGCTCGAGCTACTCGAGCAGCTACTTTTGAGTAGCTGGAGGGCTATATTTTAGATCAATTTTTGCGCTGAAAATGGTGGGATTGCTCATTTTGAGCATTTCCAGCGTTTTCAGCGCAAAATTTTGAAATTGAACTCGCAAATTTTCCAATCTGAAGGTCACGGGATCGATCCCCCGTGGGAACTACTATTTTTTTCAAAAAAAAATTCCTTTAAATCAATTTTTCGCGCTGAAAATGATGGGGTTGCTCATTTTAAGCGCGCTAAGCGTTTTCACCGCGAAATTTTGATCTAGAACCTAAAAAAATTCCAATCAGAAGGTCACAAGTTCGATCCCCCATGGGAACTACTATTTTTTTTTTTGAAAAATCAATTTTTCGCGCTGAAAATCGTGGGATTGCTCATTTTAAGCGCCCTTAGCGTTTTCATCGCGAAATTTTGATCTAGAACCTAAAAAAATTCCAATCTGAAGGTCACTGGATCGATCCCCGGTGGGAACTACACTTTTTTTTTCAAAAAAAATTGTTGTAGATCAATTTTTTGCGCTGAAAATCATGGGATTGCTCATATTAACCGAATTTTTGCAGAAACTTCTCATATCGCTGGTTTTGTGTTGGCTTGGTGCCAATTCCCCTAATTGTCTACATAATTACACTGCCTTTCACACATCCGGCAAAAATCACCAAAGCCTAAATCTACAGTAGTCTTTGCCACGTGACAAATGAGTACTGTAGATTTTTGAGAATACCGGTTTCTTTCCCAATTTTTCCTGAAATTTTTTTTTTCAAAAATCTCTTTCAAAAACTACAGTAGTCCCAAAGATTTTGTGATGTTCCTTTAAAAATTTTTTCGATTTTTTTTTGAAATTTTTCCGGTTTACGGGTTTTATATGAATATTGTTTTGAAAAAAAATTTTTTAATTTTTTTTTGGGAAATTTTGTGATTGTGCAAAAAGTTAGCTTATCTTCTCTCTGCTTTTTTTTGGCTGAAATTTTTTTTCAGATTTTCTAGGCCCAAAAAATGAAGGAGGCCCTGGTTTTGGCCGCGTTTTTGTGGATTTTTGGAAGATTGGAAGCGTCGAATGGTGATAGGTGAGGTTTTTTGCCAAAATTTGAAAAAATCACGTTTTTTGGAGCATTTTGAGCCCGAATAAGCCGAAAATTGAGAAAAATCGATAATTTTTGACTAATATGAGCAATGCTTTGATTTCGGCTGTATTTCGCTCAAAATTTTGAAAATTCAAATTTTCCTACAGTACCTTAAAATTTGGCGGGTAATTTGAAAAATTCAAAATTTTCCATCTAATATGAGCAATTTTTGACACGTGGCAAATTTTTCGAAATTTATTAACCTGAGCAATGTTTTTAAGATTAACATGAGCAATTCTTTGATTTCGGCTAAATTTCGCTCCAAATTTTAAAAATTCAAATTTTTCGCGCCGAAATCTACAGTACCTCAAAAATTGGCGAAAAATTTGAAAAATTCAAAATTTTCTGACTAATATGAGCAATGCTCGTCGAAATTTTGAAAATTCAAATTTTAGCGCGAAAATCTACAGTACCTTAAAATTTGGCGGGTAATTTGAAAAATTCAAAATTTTCTATCTAAATTCGAATTTTTCGCGCCAAAAACTAATATGAGCAATGTTTGCAGAAGTCAAATCTTCAACGAATGTCTAGCCTACTGTATCCAAGGCCTGGCCCAAGCCCGGGCCCAAAAAAACCAGGCCGAAATGTGTCCGGCCTCAAATTCGGCCTTCGGCTGGACCCAATTTCCCTGCTTCCCGTGTCGCTACAATTGTATGTGGGAAACTGTGGAACTATTCGAATCGCAGGCCGGATTTTGTCCACAATTCTTCGGAAAATGGCCCTTTGCGGCCTTTTTCGGCCCATTTGGCCTAGTTATTCAGGAACCGGCCTCTGTCATTTTTTCATTGGCAAATTTGCTGGAAGTTTGGCGGATGTTGAGGAAATTGAAAAGTCGACAGGGGATTTTGGTGGAAAATCGAGAAATGTGGATTGGTTATACGTGGATTGGCATTTTGACGTGGTAGGGAAGGTTTTTAGGGGATTTGGGCCGAAAATTTGATGGAAAAGCCTGGTTTTAGGCCCGGAAAGGCCCGGGATAGATTTTCGGGCCAAAATTCGTCCAAAAACATGATTTTTAACCCTAGAAAGGTCTAGAATCGATTTGTTAGGCCCTGAAAAGCCTGGAAGCTTTTCTTGAGCTCGAAATTTGGAAAAATCGCAAAAATTTGACTAAAAACATGATTTTTGGACAGAAAATCGAGTTTTGGTTCGAAATTTCACATTTTTCGCTCTGAAAATGTTTTTAGACTGAAATTTTGTGCTGAAAATCATGGAAAATCTGAAAATTGCTGAAAATGGTAATTTCCATGATTTTCAGCACAAAATTTCACACAAGAAACTTTTTTTGAGGAAAATTTTTGAAAAAATCAATTTTTCGACAAATTTTTTCGAAATAATGTTCTAGATCAGAATTTTGTGCTGAAAATCGTGGAAAATCTGAAAATTGCTGAAAATGAGGTTTTCCATGATTTTCAGCACAAAATTTCAGCCTGGAAATTTTTTTTGTTGAAAATTTTTGAAAAAAAATCAACTTTAGGTGAAATTTTCCCTAAATAATGTTGTAGATCTAAATTTCGCGCTGAAAATCATGAAATAGCTGAAAATCGCTGAAAATGGTGATTTCCACGATTTTCAGCACAAAATTTGGGTCTAGAACATTATTTCATCTCAAAAATCTGGTTTATCCATTTTTTCGGAATTTGTGGCACAATTTTCTACAGTACCTTTTGAAGAGTTTCTAGACCCAAATTTTGTGCTGAAAATTGCTGAAAACCCCGATTTCTATGATTCAAAAACTCCCAAATTTAATTTCAGGTCATCTTCCACCATTTTTCATACCTGGGATTGTTCGCTGACCGAAAAAATGGACTATTTTTCGGCTTTCGCTTTCGTTTTATCACTTTTTCACATTTCTTTGATCTACATGCTCAAAATCCAGAATCCACGTGTCAAAACATTGCTCAGCTTTGGATTTGTGGCTTTTTATTTTCGACACATCTACAGTATGAATGTGAGTTAAAGGGACATGCGGAATTTTTGAATTTCAAATTTTCGCGCAAAAAAACTTCAAAGGCACATACAGTACCCCGCAATGTATATTTTTGTAGATCAAAATGGATTACAACTACAATATGACCCTGTGCCTCACCATATCGGGTCTCACCACTCTCGTCTACCTACTGTACCTCGTAAATCGACACAGGGTCTCGCAACGACTCTCCCACTCGGATTTTCGACTTATTTATGTATTACTGTGGGCCGCCGGGGCCGCAAGCCTAGAAATTCTGGATTTCGCGCCGATTTTCTGGATCTTCGACTCACACTCACTGTTTCATCTGGCTACCGTACCAATTCCGAGCTTGTGGTGGCAGTTTTTGGTGGGAAGGGTGGATTTTGCGGAGAAAGTCAATTTGGCCTAGAAATGGGCCTGAAAAGCCTGGTTTTTGGGCTTCATTTTGAGCCTAAACTTGCTTAGGCTTAGGCTTTTCTTAAGGCCCTATTTTAAGGCTATAAAAGCCTTAGGAAAAGCCTGAAATTAGGCCTTTTTGAGCCTAAAATAGGCCTAGATTATAGGCTTTTTCAGGCTTCTGTCAAGCCTAAAAGCCTACTTTTAGGCCCGATTTTCAGGCTTTCAATGTATATATATTTATTTTTCTATGTATTTATTGATTTTTGTTATTTTTGTTAATTTTTTTAGTTATCCTAACTCTCAGGTATTTTTTTTCAAAAAAAAAATATGGCCAATAAAATTTTTGTGATAATTTTTTGTTGAAATTTTTGATCTACCGCGCGAAATTTTTCACATTTTTCAAAAAAAAAAAATTTTTTTTCGTGAAAAAATCGATTTTCACGTGGCATCATTTCGAATTTGTGGAAAAATGTGAGTTTTTTTTTGGGGGGGGAGAAACTATAGTCTAGTCTAGTTATAAACTATAATCTAGTCTAACTTGATTAAATGTTCTACAGTACCTTTTGAAGAGCTTCTAGGCTGAAATTTTGCGCTGAAAACCGTGGAAAATCTAAAAATTGCTGAAAACCAAGATTTCCATGATTTTCAGCACAAAATTTCAGCCGGGAAACAATTTTATTTGAAAATTGTTGAAAAAAATCAATTTCAGGTCAAATTTTCCCTGAATAATGATCTAGATCCAAATTTTGTGCTGAAAATCATGGAAAATCTGAAAATTGCTGAAAATCACGATTTCCATGATTTTCAGCACAAAATTTCAGGCGGGAAACAATTTTATTTGAAAATTGTTGAAAAAAATTAATTTCAGGTCAAATTTTCTCTGAATAATGTTCTAGACCCAAATTTTGCGCTGAAAATCATGGAAATCCTAGATTTCAGCAATTTTCAGATTTTCCACAATTTTTCAGCATAAAATTCTGATCTAGAAACCATTTTTAGAGCCCGTAAACGCGGAGCATCGTAGTTTTCTTCAGAAATCTTGTTTTAGCTTAAAATTCATCAAATTTTCTGGCGTAAAAGAGGAGCATCGTTGGAAATTTTGAAAAAAACACGATTTTAAAGGTGTAAACGCGGAGCATCGTTTGAAAAATGTGTTTTATTCCTACAAAATTCAAAAAATAGAAAAAATTTAAGAGCAACATCCACCAACACTATCCGCTTGCTCCAAACTCATCATTGGTCCCACCACGAAATATCCTACAGTATGCCCGGCAAAAAGTGACAAAACAATTGGAATATTATAAGTCATTGCGACTAACATCAACGAATAATCGATAAAATGTTGAAGAAAAAGAAGAATTGAGGAAAAAATGTGGGATTTGGCGAGAAGAGAGGAGCGAGTGAAGCTGAAAGTGAGCTTTTCAGGGTTTGAGAGTGAAAAATTTGGATTTGGGAGGGTTTTTTGGGTCTGGAGCCCTTAAAAATCGAAATTTTCGTCGATTTTGAGCCCTAAAAGGTACTGTAGAAAATTGTGCCACAAATTCCAAAAAAATGGATCAACTGGGATTCTATGGGATAAAAATATGTTTCTAGACCCAAATTTTGTGCTGAAAATCATGGAATACTTGAAAATTGCTGAAAATGCGGATTTTCATGATTTTCAGCACAAAATTTGGGTCTAGAACATTATTTTGGGAAAATTTGACCTGAAATTGATTTTTTTTTCAAAAAAATTCAGCAAAAAACGTTTCTGGGCTCAAATTTCGTGCTGAAAATTGTGGAATATCTGAAAATTGCTGAAAATGCGGTTTTCCATGATTTTCAGCGCAAAATTTGGGTCTAGAACATTATTTGGGAAAAATTTGACCTGAAATTGATTTTTTTCAAAAAAATTCAGCAAAAAACGTTTCTGGGCTCAAATTTCGTGCTGAAAATCATGGAATACTTGAAAATTGCTGAAAATGATGATTTCCATGATTTTCAGCGCAAAATTTGGATCTAGAACATTATTTGGGGAAAATTTGACCTGAAATTGATTTTTTTCAAAAAAATTCAGCAAAAAACGTTTCTGGGCTCAAATTTCGTGCTGAAAATTGTGGAATATCTGAAAATTGCTGAAAATGCGGTTTTCCATGATTTTCAGCGCAAAATTTGGGTCTAGAACATTATTTGGGAAAAATTTGACCTGAAATTGATTTTTTTTCAAAAAATTCAGCAAAAAACGTTTCTGGGCTCAAATTTCGTGCTAAAAATTGTGGAATATTTGAAATTTGCTGAAAATGCGGATTTCCATGATTTTCAGCGCAAAATTTGGATCTAGAACATTATTTGGGAAAAATTTGACCTGAAATTGATTTTTTCAAAAAAATTCAGCAAAAAAACGTTTCTGGGCTCAAATTTCGTGCTGAAAATTGTGGAATATTTGAAATTTGCTGAAAATGCGGATTTCCATGATTTTCAGCGCAAAATTTGGATCTAGAACATTATTTGGGAAAAATTTGACCTGAAATTGATTTTTTTCAAAAAATTCAGCAAAAAACGTTTCTGGGCTCAAATTTCGTGCTGAAAATTGTGGAATATTTGAAATTTGCTGAAAATGCGGATTTCCATGATTTTCAGCGCAAAATTTGGATCTAGAACATTATTTGGGAAAAATTTGACCTGAAATTGATTTTTTCAAAAAAATTCAGCAAAAAACGTTTCTGGGCTCAAATTTCGTGCTAAAAATTGTGGAATATTTGAAATTTGCTGAAAATGCGGTTTTCCATGATTTTCAGCGCAAAATTTGGATCTAGAACATTATTTGGGAAAAATTTGACCTGAAATTGATTTTTTTCAAAAAATTCAGCAAAAAACGTTTCTGGGCTCAAATTTCGTGCTGAAAATTGTGGAATATCTGAAAATTGCTGAAAATGCGGTTTTCCATGATTTTCAGCGCAAAATTTGGATCTAGAACATTATTTGGGAAAAATTTGACCTGAAATTGATTTTTTTTTCAAAAAAATTCAGCAAAAAACGTTTCTGGGCTCAAATTTCGTGCTAAAAATTGTGGAATATTTGAAATTTGCTGAAAATGCGGATTTCCATGATTTTCAGCGCAAAATTTGGATCTAGAACATTATTTGGGAAAAATTTGACCTGAAATTGATTTTTTTCAAAAAAATTCAGCAAAAAACGTTTCTGGGCTCAAATTTCGTGCTGAAAATTGTGGAATATCTGAAAATTGCTGAAAATGCGGTTTTCCATGATTTTCAGCGCAAAATTTGGATCTAGAACATTATTTGGGGAAAATTTGACCTGAAATTGATTTTTTTCAAAAATTTTCAACCAAAATCATTTCCCGGCTGAAATTTTGTGCTGAAAATCGTGAAAATCCTCATTTTCAGCAATTTTCAGGTTTTCCACGATTTTCAGCGCAAAATTTCAGGCGGGAAACTTTTTTTATTGAAATTTAAAAAAAAATTAATTTCAGGTCAAATCTTCCCTTCTAAAAATGTTCTAGACCCAAATTTTGTGCTGAAAATCGTGGAATATCTGAAAATCGCTGAAAATTAGGTTTTTCATGATTTTCAGCGCAAAAATTGGATCTAGAACATTATTTGGGGAAAATTTGACCTGAAATTGATTTTTTTCAAAAATTTTCAACCAAAATCATTTCCCGGCTGAAATTTTGTGCTGAAAATCGTGAAAATCCTCATTTTCAGCAATTTTCAGGTTTTCCACGATTTTCAGCGCAAAATTTCAGGCGGGAAACTTTTTTTGTTGAAATTTTTGAAAAAAATTAATTTCAGGTCAAATCTTCCATTATAAAAACGTTCTAGACCAGAATTTTGTGCTGAAAATCGTGGAAATCTTGATTTTCGGCGATTTTCAGATTTTCCATGATTTTCAGCACAAAATTTGGGTCTAGAACATTATTTTGGGAAAATTTGACCTGAAATTGATTTTTTTCAACAATTTTCAGCTAAAAAAGTTTGCTGGCTGAAATTTTGTGCTGAAAATCTTGAAATTTCTGAAAATTGCTGAAAATTAGGTCATCCATGATTTTCAGCACAAAATTTCGGTCTAGAACATTATTTGGGGAAAATTTGACCTGAAATTGACTTTTTTTCAAAAATTTTCAAACAAAAGTGTTTCCCGGCTGAAATTTTGTGCTGAAAATTGTGGAATATCTGAAAATTGCTGAAAATTAGGATTTCCATGATTTTCAGCGCAAAATTTGGATCTAGAACAATATTTCAGCCTGAAAATCTGAAATTTTCCCCCTAAAACCACCATCTACAGTACCCCATAGTCATATTTGATCTCAAAATGCTCCAAATTTTCACGCGAAAAATCTACAGTACCCCTACAGTAACTCACGGCACAATAGAATCCTCCTGATTGTCAAATTTCAAAGGTCGTGTCTCGGGAATCTCCCAAATCCCCTCATTATTCGAACAACAACACTCCGCCGTCGCCGATTTTTGCGCGATTTTTGGCGCCAAAAATCGAGATCTCACAAATTTCAGCACTTCCAGCCCGAAAGCGATCAAAAATATGCCGAAACATGAAAAAATGTAGGCGAGAAGATTTTGTGGCAACCATTCGCGGAATAGAATCGGCTCACCGATTCTGTAGTGAAAATACATCATCATCATCATTTTGGGCCTGAAATTTGGAGCTTTTTGAGCCTAAATAAGCCTAGGCCTGAAAATTCCGGACTTTCAAGGCCCTTTTAGGCTTGAAATTAGGCCTAACCTTCTCAGGCTTTAAAAGCCTATTTTTAGGCCCTTTCAGGCCTTCTTAGGCTCATTTTGAAGCCCTTTCAAGGCCCATTTTTAGGCCGTTTCAGGCCCTAGATTTCAGATATTTTCAGAGTTACAGTAACTCTTTTTCAAGCACACAAAAAATTTAAAAATTCAAAAAAATCATTTTTTTTATTCTCTTGAGCCAAAAGCCAAATATCCGATGGTGAGTCCAATGAGAACTGCGAGACCCAGCCAAACCTGAAATTAAAATTCTTTCTCCGGGTTACTGTAGAAGGAGTACTGTAGCCGAAATTTGCGTCATTTTGATACCCAACATGCCTAGGCTAGAGTACTGTAGAGAAGTTTTGGGCGCGAAAATCTACAGTACCCAAAATCTACAGTAACCCGGCCTTGTTGGGTATCAAAATGTGCCAAATTTTTTCTACAGTACTCCTACAGTACCCCAAAAACTCACCGAAAATGTCATGAAAATGAGCATCAGACAATAGGAGAGCACAATTTGGAGCAAAAATAGCACGGTCTGCAGAAAATGTGGGCCGGAAAATAATCGATCGATATATCTGTAAGAGAGTACTGTAGATGGGGGTACTGTAGGAGTACTGTAGAATTTTTAGCTTACCTGGAATTTGGCTTGGCCGGTTTTGAGACTTCGATTTTCCAACGTAGAAATTTGATGCCTTCCACAATGATTCCGGTGAGGATAATTAGGCCCGAGGCCCAGAGAAGAGCTGCAAAAAATTTGAATTGCTCATTTTAAGTAAAATTTTCGAATTCAGCGTGAAATTTTGACCCCGGAACATGAAAAATTACTGCTCAGAAGGTCAGGGGATCGATCCCCCATGGGAACTACTTTTTTTTTTGAAAAAAATTTTTTGTAGATCAATTTTTCGCGCTGAAAATGTTGGGATTGCTCATTTTAAGCATTTCCAGCGTTTTCAGCGCGAAATTTTGATGTAGAAAAAATTTTTTAGAAAAAAATATTAGTTCCCATGGGGAATCGATCCAGTGACCTTGTGACTCGTAAAAAATGCTTTCTAGATCAGTTTTTCGCGCTGAAAATCATGGTATTGCTCATTTTAAGCGTTTCCGGCGTTTTCAGCGCAAAATGTTGACCTAGAAACATGAATTAATTATTGCTCAGAAGGTCAGGGGATCGATTCCTCATGGGAACTACTTTTTTTTGAGAAAATTTTTTCTATATCAATTTTTTGCGCTGAAAATGATGGGATTGCTCATATTAGCTCTACAGTAACCCAAAAAACTCACTAGCCACATCCGTCACATTCCACGTGTCAAAAAGTACGGTATCCTGAATTTTTGTGTGGAACCACATCCACATAAACGGCGGACCATCATCCATTTTCATTTTGAAAAAATCTGCGAAAAAAATTATTTTTTTCTTTTTTTTCTGGGTCAAAAATAATAATATGATAAAAATAAAGTGATAAGAGAACAAATATGGGGAAAAATCGATAATTTTGAGACCAAAAATTGGGATTTTCGTGCTGAAAATGCTGAAAACGCTTAAAATGAGCAATCCCATCATTTTCAGCGCGAAAAATTGATCTAGAAAATTTTTTTAGAAAAAAAAGTTGCCTCGGGTGTGGGTCGAACCCTTGACCTTCTGATCAGTAATTTATTTATGTTTTTAGATCAAATTTTTGCGCTGAAAACGATGGAGAAGCTTAAAATGAGCAATCCTACGATTTTCAGCGCGAAAAATTGATCTAGAAAGATGTTTTACGAGTCACAAGGTCACTGGATCGATTCCCCATGGGAACTACTATTTTTTTTCTTAAAATTTTTTCTAGATCAAAATTTCGCGCTGAAAACGCTGGAAATGCTTAAAATGAGTGATGACATCATTTTCAGCGCGAAAAATTGAATTTTTGAGAGAAATAGGTAAGTTTATAGGGTTTTAACCCATTTTTTCATGAAAATTTCAAAAAAATCGATATTTTTATCTGAAAATCACTAAAAATCTGAAAATGTTTATAGTCTGATCCTTGATGCGAATAAAAAGTGTCCAAAAGCGAGTCCAAAACACAGTGACAAACAAATCCAAACCGAATAAACCATATAAACATTCATCAATAAATAGGCCAATAAAAGTTGGCAAAAATGGAATACGGTTTGACTCAGATGCTTTGCGTAGCGATTACTGTAGCGAAAAATGATTACTGTAGGCTTTTTGGCCCGAAAATTTGGAGCATTTTGATACCAAACATGCCTAGGGGTACTGTAGGTTTTCCAGATTTTCAGAAAACGCTCCTGGGTTACTGTAATTTTTTGGTACTGTAGGGTTACTGTAGCCTAGCTCTAAAGGTTTACTGTATTCGAATATTTTTGATCTACCAGGTTACTGTAGGTTTTGGGATACTGTAGCATTTCCGGGTTCAAAAATCGCGAAATTTTCAAATACTACGGTACCCTACAGTACTCACCCCGATTTTCGTCTCAAGACCCATCTCAAATACTTGATGAATTCCAACAATAACCCGGCCAAAATCACCAATCCACACGCCAAAAACAACATTCCCAAATTGTAGACAGTCCACGTTTCGAAGAGTACGGTCTCCTCGATTACTGTATGATACCACATCCACATTCTGTGGCGTTTCGCCACGGGACCCGCTACAGTAGTCATCGACATGTTCATCATCATTTCATTCATTTTCTGCAAAAAAATCCACGTTTTTTGACACCAAACACGCCTACTGTAGGTTACTGTAGGCGCCTAGAGAAAAATTTTCCAGTCAGAAGGTCAGGGGATCAATCCCCACTCGAGGCTAACTTTTTTTTCGCAAAAATTTTTGTAGATCAATTTTTCGCGCCGAAAATCGTGGGATTGCTCATTTTAATTGGAAATTGACCCCACAAACTCTACAGTAACACCAGAAAACACTACAGTAACCTGGTTTTTGAGCAAAAATCAAAACGTTTTTCGAAAAAAATGATTTTTTAATCAATTACTAGATAAAACGACGTGACTTTTTTCAAAAAAAAAACAAAAAAATTTTTTTCGTAGAAAATTTTGCTCCGAAACATCACAGTACTACAACTAAACAAAAAAAATGATGCAAATTTTTGTGTTTCCCAAAATTTATTCCTGATAAGATAACACCACCAAAAGAGCACTTTGTTATTTATTACAACAAATCTACAGTACTACAAGCGGGGGTACTGTAGATAAATAATTTGCAGTTCGGGATACTGTAGATCTACTTCATTTTTAGAAGCATGAGTGTTTGCAGTTCGGATTACTGTAGTTTTTTCGAGTAGATCAAAAATTTGCAGTTCAAATAAATACGCTTGCAGTTCGGGATACTGTAGATGTTTGTCTTGCAGTTTGAAAAAAAAAATTCCAATAATTTTTCTTGTAAATTGTCAGAAACACGAGTTTTTGCAGTCCGGAGGTTACTGTAGGTCAAATTTGCAGTTCGGATAGGTTACTGTATAGATCTCCAAGTTTCTATATTTGCAGTTCGGAGTACTGTAGGGTTTGACATTTTCAATAGTTCCGCAGGAAGTTTTTTTTTGATAAATTTTTGCAGTCTTGCAAATTTTTTGCTGATTCATATTTTTTTGCAGTCCGGATTACTGTAGATCTTGTGATTTTTGCAGTCCGGATACTGTAATTTTTCTGGAATTTTTGCAGTTCAGATTACTGTAAATTCCTGGAATTTTTTGCAGTTCGGGTTACTGTAACTCATTTATTTCGCAAAAAAAAAAGAAAATGTACATTTTATTATAAGTCATAGGAGGAAAAATCAGGGGTTTTTGCCAAAAAAATACCAGTAAATCCAGAAAAAAAGGGGGCGAATTGGAACAAAAAAAAATATCACGTGTGGAAAAAAAATGACTACAAAAATTGGAAATACATTAAAATAATAATAATAGGGTGAGTTAGGCTAAATTCAAAAGGGTCCCAAAAAACTGTGCCAGGTTTGCAAAAAAATGGGGGCGTGGCTTATTTAGGCTCATTTTGAAGCCCTGAAAATTCGCCAAAAAACCATGCGGCACACTTTTGTGGGCGTGGCTTATTCGGGGACCCTTTGATCAAAAATACACGTGGCAAGATGGTTCACATTCGGAATCCATAGGCTTCAATGAATTGAATGATGAAATCCTCATTTTCACCGCAAAGCGGCTCGTTGTCAAAAGTTTCGCATTTTTGTGATCTTCCGTGATTGAGGTCGGCTGAAAAATGGGGAATTTGGGCTTTTTTCAGGCTTCAGGCCTAGTTTCGGCCTGAAATTTGCATTTTTTTGAGTCTAAATAGGCCTAGGCTTGTTTGGGCTCAAAAAATCGCAAATTTCGGGCTCCTGGGCCTATTCGGGCTCAAAAAATCGCAAATTTCGCACTCACCATCTAACCACAATCCATATCTTCCGGCTCCGGCTCCAATCGATAGCGAATCTTTTTGAGGCATTTACAAAATATTGATTATCACCTGTCCATGTGTAGTGACGAAGTTCTCTGCAACAAAATTTTGGTTTTGGCTGAAAATTTGGCTGAAAATCAGGAATTTCAGTCAAAATTGGGGCTTGGGGCTGAAAATTTGACTGAAAATCGTCATTTTCAGCACTAGAACTCATTATTGACTGAAAATCACGTGATCTAGCTGAAATTTCAGCCAAAATTTGGCTGAAAATGGTGAATATCAGCTTTCGAACTTATTTTTGACTGAAATTCACAAGTTTTCATCAAAACTTCAAAAATTTCACAAATTTTGATTGATTGACACATTTTTTGAGGGTTTTCACTCAAAAATGTCAGTTTTTTGTGAGTGGCTGGGAAAAACATCAAAAATTCAATTTTTCGCGCCGAAAATGCTGGGATTGCTCATTTTAAGCATTTCCAGCGTTTTCAGCGCAAAATTTTGATCTAGAAAAAATATGTTCAAAAAAATAGTAGTTCCCATGAGGAATCGATCCAGTGACCTTGTGACTCGTAACAAAAATCATTCTAGATCAATTTTTCGCGCTTAAAATGCTGAGATTGCTCATTTTAAGCATTTCCATCGTTTTCAGCGTAAAATTTTGATTTAGGAACCATTTTATTACGAGCCACAAGGTTAAGGGATCGATTCCCCATGGGAACTACAATTTTTTTTTAGAAAACTTTTCTAGATCAATTTTTCGCGCTGAAAATGCTGGGATTGCTCATTTTAAGCATTTCCAGCGTTTTCAGCATGAAAAATTGATCTAGAAAAAATATCTAGAAAAAAATAGTAGTTCCCATGGGGAATCGATCCAGTGACCTTGTGACTCGTAACAAAAATAATTCTAGATCAATTTTTCGCGCTAAAAATGCTGGGATTGCTCATTTTAACTCACCTAGTATGCGGTGCTTCTCCAGTAAATCTCCACAATAGGCAACTATCACCAGTTCCAGTAAAATGATCGGATGGTTTGATTGCCGAGCTAACAACAGCTCCAAATACATGCTCTTTGGTGTCTCGAATAATTAATAGAACTGGAGAGAGATCTTCGTCGAATTCCGCCATTTTTCGATACATTGTTGATAATGAGAAGCCGTGTTTTTCGGAATTGTAAATTTGAACCCATGGATAACCTTCGGCACGTGGTGGAAGTATATCCATTACCTGGAATTAAAAAACTTTTTTAGGCTTAAGCAGGGCCTTAGGCTCAAGCCTAGGCGTGGCCGCTTCGCGGAAGATAGTGCCGCTACGCGGAAGCTTGCGGTCTACACTCGCACCAAGGGCGCTCGGGCCTTAGGTCTAGGCAAAGCCTTAGGCTTAGACAGGGCCTTTTAGGCTTAGTCAGGGCCGTAGGCATAGGCGTGGCCGCTGAAGCGGAAGACAGTGCCGCTGCGCGGAAGCTTGCGGTCTACACTCGCGGCAGAGCCGCTCGAGCCTTAGGGGAGCCTTAGGCTTAGGTTAGGCCTTAGTTAGGTCTAGGCAAGGCCTTAGGCTTAGACAGTGCCTTAGGCTTAGACAGGGCCTTAGGCTTGGGTAGGGCCTTAGACTTGGCCGCTACGCGGAAGCTCGCAGTCTACACTCGCGGCAGAGCCGCTCGTGGTAGGGCCTTAGGCTTAAAACAGGGCCTTAGGCCTAAACAAGGCCTTAGGCTTAGACAGGGGGGCCTAAGACTTGAGCCTAGGCGTGGCCGCTACGCGGAAGCTTGCGGTCTACACTCGCGGCAGGGCCGCTCGTGGAAAAAATAGTAGGTCCCATCGGGGTTCGATCCCCAGACCTTCTGACTGGAAATTTTTTGATTTTTAGATCGTTCTAGATCAATTTTTCTAGCTGAAAACGCTGGAATTGCTCATTTTAAGCATTTTCTGCATTTTCAGCACAAAATTGTTATCTAAAAAAATAGATTTTCCAGTCAAAAGGTCAGGGGATCAAGTCCTCATGGGCCCCACTTTTTTTCGCAAAACATTTTCTAGCTCAATTTTTTGGGCTGAAAACGCTGGAATTGCTCATTTTAAGAATTTTTGTCAATTTTTCCTCTCAAAAAAGGTCAGACAGCAAAAAATCTTTCTTTTTTCCCCTTCCAAAACACCTTTTGTCCATCTAAAACACCAAAGAAAATCAAATTTCCTGCGCAATTTTTTTTTTTCATATTTTTCTGAAGCGCGAGAAAAACTTGTTATTTTTTCGAGAAGAGGAAATTAGAGCTGATGAGCAAAAAAAATTGATGTAGATCACTTTGGGCTCAAATTTGGAGCTCGTGGAGCACAAAAAAAAGAGAAAATGGTGTCGGGTTTCATAAGAAAACATCAGAATCCTTTTTGAACAGAAAAAACTTGTGACCAAGGAAAATAATTAAAAATTCTAAAGTTTCAAAATTTGCCACGTGGCATCTCGAAATTCAGAAAATATTTGTTAAAATTCCACGTGGCAAATTTCGTGTCAAAAAAGCCCAAATGTTCACTAGAAAATGCCACGTGGCATAATTTCTTGAATTTTCAGCTAAAAATCCATTTCCAGGGGTGTTTAGGTTCAAAAAATCGCAAATTTTCATTAGAATTTTGCCACGTGGCATATTTAGGTTCAAAAATTCACAAATGTTCATCAGTATTTTGCCACGTGGCTTATCTAGGCTCAAAAAATCGCAAATTTTCCCCCTGCAAGACCAACCAACCTGTCGAATCATCAACTCATCCAAAATCTGCGATGTCTCTGCTCCATCTGGAATCGGCATCTCAAGTTCCTGATCCAACGAGAGTCGTCGACACATTTCCGACACGGTGACCAGTTCCCATTCTCGATTCAAAAGTGATGAGCCAAACAGGGGAGCCGACGTTTTTTCGCCTGCAAATTTTCAGGTCAGAAGGTCAGGGGATCGATTCCCCATGGGAACTACTAGTTTTTTTTTGAAAAAAAAAATTTTCTAGATCAATTTTTTGTGCTGAAAATCATGGAATCTCTGAAATTCGCTGAAAATAAGGATTTCCACGATTTTCAGCACAAAATTTCAGACGGGAAACAATTTTGTTTAAAAATTTTTGAAAAAAATCAATTTTAGGTTAAATTTTCCCTAAATAATGGTCTAGATCCAAATTTTATGCTGAAAATCGCGGAAAATCTGAAAATTGCTGAAAATAGGGATTTCCACGATTTTCAGCACAAAATTCTGATATAGAAATATTGATTTTTCGAGTCAAAAGGTCAGGGGTTCGACTCCCCATGGGAACTACTAGTTTTTTTTTTTGGAAAAAAATTTTCTAGATCATTTTTTCGCGCTGAAAATCGAGAAATTCCCCAAAAAATCTTGTTTTTGGAACTCTGCTCATCAAAAATTCGCAAAAATATTACTTCCTCAAGGATTCATCATATTTATTTATATTTTTTCTGCTCTTGGAGCAAGATATCATGAAGCTCACAACACACACAAGAAAATCCAGTGAGCCGTGAAAAAATCGGATTTTTGAGTTTGGAGAGTTTTTGGTTCCGGTATTTTTCAAGGAACTTTTAGTTTTGGGTGGAAAACTTGCTCAGGTTTAACATGAGCAATGCTTCAAAAACCTTTAAATCTTAAAACTACCTAAGCCTAACCTTAAAGACCTTAAAGACCTTCACAAAATAAGGAACTTTGTTTGAAATGATTTCATAGGACCTCACAATTTTAAGCCAAATCTGGATGAGTTCGGATAAGTCGGGAGCTCGAAGGGATTTGTGGAAAAGCTAGCTATTTTGGTATTTTTGAATTTTTGATCAACAATCTCTCAGGCTCTAAAGAAGCCTCAAACATTGCTCAGGTTAGAAAAACTTCAGGCTTAACATGAGCAATCCTTCTAATCTGAGCAATGGACCTAAGATTTTCAGGATTTAGAAAAGCCTAAGCCTCGCCTTAAGGACCTTGAGAATTTCTCAAAAAATCAGCTGAACATTGCTCAGGTTACAAAAATTCAGGCTTAACATGAGCAATCCTTTTAATCTGAGCAATGACCTTAAGGTTTCCAGGATTTAGAAAAGCCTAAGACCTTAAGGTTCCAAGATCACATTAACCATTGCTCAGATTAGACTTCAAGCTTTCTAAGAGAATTCTAATCTGAGCAATGCCCAGAAAACCAGGGTTTCGAGCAAGCTTTACCTTAAGGTCCCTTGGGAGCTCTCAAAGGATACCAAGGTCCTCAAAAGCCCTTAAGCCTAACCTTAAGGTCCTCTGGGAGCGTCCAAAGGCTTCCAGGCCTTTCAGAAAGCGCTTAAGGTCCCTTTGAAGCTCTCAAGGCCTCTCAGAAAGCCCTAAGGCCCCCTGGGAGCTTCCAGGCCTCTCAGAAAGCCCCTAAACCTAACCCTAAGATCCTTTGTGAGCTCCTAAAGGCTTCTGGAGCTCTTAAAAGCCCTTAAGCCCAACCCTAAGGTCCTCTGGAAGCTCCCAAGGCTCTCAGAAAGCCCTAAGGTCCTTTGAGAGCTCCCAACTCCTCTCAAAAGCCCTTAAGGTCCTCTGGAAGCTCCCAAGGCCTCTCAAAAGCTCTTAAGCCTAACCTTAAGGTCCCTAACCCTAACACACTACCGTACCCTGTTCACTAATCATACTAATCTCCTGATCAATCGCCTCTCCGATCGCCGTCACCATTTGCGACAATCTGCGATGCGATGTCCGGCCCACTTTTCCCAACGGCATCGACAATCTTCTCACAGATGATCCGAAATTCTTCAAGTTCAAATAGGGTCCAGCAGAACCTTCTTCGGAAGAAGAAGCATGCGATACTGTAGAAGCCAGCGAGTTGGTCGAAGTTTGAACCTTATCAACAAATGAGGCCAACATTCTAGAAGGAAGCAAGTATAATATGAGTAATCTCGGACAAAAAACGGAGAAGCGGAGAAGAAAAAATTGGCCAAATTTGCAATATGATACTAATGAACCGGAAGTGACTCCTCTCTTTTTTCGAGCAAGAAGAAATCAAGCCACTTACTATAGTAGCTCTCAAGTTCCGGCCAAAAAAAAAGAAGAAAAATTCGAAAATCAGAGCATCGGAAATCAGATTGGGAAGGGAAAGGGGGCAAAGATTTGAGGGAACTTTGATCTAGCAAAAACTTCAGGGAAACTTGAAGTTCGGGACTGAAAATCCACGTGGCAAGATCTAGATTCCAGATTCTAGTTTCTAGAAGTTCCACGTGGCAAGATCTCAAGTTCTAGATGGATCTACAGAATGTTCAGGAGCTGATGTTTAGACTTCAGAACTTCAGAAGATCTAGAAGACATTCCAGAAGAATCCACGTGGAAATTCGAATTTCAGGTCGAAAATCCACGTGGCGTCAATTTTGAGCAAAATTTCTGAATCCACGTGGCAAAATCCCAGAATCTTGAGCTTCAGAATCCAAAATTATGCTCTTCTGAATTTTTTCAAGCTCCAGAATCCACGTGGATTTTCAGATTTTTTTCAAAATTCCCCAAACTACAAGCCAAAAAAACCCCAGAAAAAACGCGAAGAAAAATCTCATAAAAAACTTGTCAGCACAACAAAAAAAAACTAAAAAAAAAAAAACTCATGTGCCTCGGTGGGGCTCCGCCCCTTTTCATATTTCGGCTAAATATAGTAGAGGAAGTGGGCGTGGCCTATTTTCGGGCCCAATTTCAATTCTCGGAAAAAAAAGTTCATTAAATTTGTGCGAAAAATGGAATAATCCATGGTCTCGCAAAATGAGATGAGTTTTTTCTCAAAAAAAAAAAAAAAAAAAAAAAAAATTCCGAAAAAAATCGCATCCTACGGTAGTTTAACGATGTTCTTCAAGTGCATAAAAAAATTCGAAATTTTCTCAAAAAAAAAGGGAAAAAACGTCGTGGCAAAACAAAAAGTTCACTTTTTCAGGAAGAAAAGTTTTTTGGTCAAAAATTTTTGACTCAAAAATCCCACGTCAAAAAAATCACTCAAAATCTCTCAAGGGACCTCTAAAGTTCAAAAACTTTTTGGGGAAAATGTTTAAAAAAAAACAATTTTTGGTCCAGTGTGGTCTCTAGGCTTGACTGCTTGTCAGAAGTGCTCTGAAGGCTTGACTGCTTGCCAGAGAGGTTCTAAAAGCTCCACTGCTTGCCAGAGAGGCTTCCAAGGCTCAGTTGCTTGCCAGATAAGTTCACTAGGCTCGGCTACTTAGAGTATGTGCTCTCTAGGCGCAGCCACTTGCAACATAGGTTCTAAAGGCTTGACAGCTTGTCATATCGTCTCTCAAGGCTTGACAGCTTGGCATATGGGTTCTCTAGGCTTGACTGCTTGCCAGAGTAGTTCTCTAGGCGCTTCTGCTTGTCAGAGTTGCTCTCAAGGCTCCACTGCTTGCCAGAAAGGTTCTCTAGGCTTGACTGCTTGGCAAATAGGCTCTAAAGGCTTTACTGCTTGTCACGTGGACTCTCAAGGCTTGACTGCTTGTCATAAGTGCTCTCAAGGCTCCACTGCTTGCCAGAAAGGTTCTCTAAACGCGACTCCTTGTCATACAAGCTCTCAAGCCTCATCTCCTTCTCAGAGGTCAAAAAAGTCCCCCAGGGCGTCTAAAGTTCAAAATTTTTTTTTAAAAACCGCCAGACAAATTTGAAATTCCCAATTCTATTGTCAAAAATTGGTCAACTTTGAAAGCAAATTTTCTGAGAAGCGAGAAAAAAATTCGGAAAAAAAATCTTCTTCTCAAGCCGGAAACGTAATTCGATTTTTGAACTCGAGAAGAAGTTAGGAGAAGATTCTCGAAGAGCATAATTTGTGCCAAAATCGACCAAAAATTGTCAGCGAGGGGAAATCTCGCGTGTTTTGGTCGCTTGACACAAAAAATGCCCAAAAATTTCAGAGTAGATCAAAAATTCGCGCTCAAAATCCTGTTTTCCAGATTATCCGAGGAGATTTTCAGAGAAAAAAAAACAATTCTGACGTGAATTTCAGATTTTAGAGGGTTTTTTGAGCAAAAGATCATTGCCACGTGGATTTCGAGCGGCGTAAACGCGGAGCAACGTTTGAAAATGAATTTTCAGGCGAAGACAATTGCCACGTGGATTTATAGCCAAATTTGCATCGCGTAAACGCGCAGCATCGTTCGGAAACCGTAATCTGCTCAAAATAATGCCACGTGGACTCAGTTTGATCAAAATTCACTAGGAAAATCATTGCCACGTGGATTTCGGGACACGTAAACGCGGAGCATCGTTTAAAAATGGATTTTCAGGCGAAGACCATTGCCACGTGGATTTCTACCCAAAATTCATCGCGTCAGCGCGGAGCATCGTTTAAAACACTTTTTCGACGTATCTCTACCCAAAATCATCCAAATTTCGCCGCGTAAACGCGGAGCATCGTTGAAAAATCCATTTTTCTTGCAAAAAAGCCCAAAATTTATAGCATCCAAACAACAACAACAATATTTTCTATGTGTGGTGCTCGATTATTATTAATATAGCAAAAAACATTCCTTCCTTCATTTTTTTTGGTCACAAAAAACAACAAAAATATGGCATTCATTGTTATTTTTTGTGGGATATTTTCGTCAAAAACATCAAATATTCTTTTGACTGAAAATCCTGGGAATTTTGGCTGAAAAACAAGTTTTCAGGCTTGAAAACCAGGCTTTTTAGGCCAAATTCGGGCCTAAGAACATCTGATTCGCTTGTTTTTCTGCACTTTTTCGGAAAAAAAGTGAACGAAATGGGAAATTGGACAAAATTGAACAGAAAAAAGAAGAAAAACATTTTCTTGTTAAGAAAATTGGAAGGAAAAACAACAAAACACATCGAAGAGAAGAAAAACAAGAAAAAGTTCGTTTTTTAAGAAGATTGGAGAGTTCTAAAGCTAAAAATTCGGATTCCACGTGGAAAAATGAATTCTGGAGCGATTTTCATGGTCCTGGACCTCAAAAATCGATTTTCTAGTGAAAAACAAGGCCTAGGAGCTCTAAACCTGCTCCCGGACCTTAAAAATCGGATTCCTGGCGAAAATTTTGGTCTCGAAGCGATTAACATAGTCCTAAACTAGAAAAATCGATTTTCTAGTGAAAAACAAGGCCTAGGAGCTCTAAACCTGCTCCCGGACCTAAAAAATTCGATTTTCTAGTGAAAATTTGGGTCTCGAAGCGATTAACAAGGTCCCGGACTAGAAAATTCGAATTTCTAGCAAAAAACTGAGTCATGAAGCTCTGAAAATGCTCCTGGACTAAAAAATTCGATTTTCTAGTTGAAAACAGGTTCTAGAAGCACTAAACCTGCCCCTGGAGCTCGAAAATCGATTTTCTAGCGAAAAAATGAGCCTACAAGCGATTTTTCGAGTCCTGAACCGAAAAATTCGATTTCCTAGCCGAAACTTAGGTCTAGAAGCGATTTTCCAAGTTCCGAACCGAAAAAATCCTGAAAAATCGGGTTAAGAAGGTCTAAACCTGCTCCTGGAGCTCAAAAATTCGATTTTCTAGCCAAAAACTGAGTCATGAAGCTCTGAAAATGTTCCTGGACTGAAAAAATCGATATCCTACCCAAAAACTGGGTCTCGAAGCGATTTTTTGAGTTCTAAACCTCAAAAATCGAATTTCTAGCTAATTCCAGATTCCACGTGGATTCTCGACCCCCTGATTCTCAAATATTTCATATCACCTGTTTCAAATCACAAAAATACCATGATTCACCGAAAAATTTGCTGATAACCGTTTGAATTTCAAAAAAATTGATAAAAACGTGTGTGTGCCTAATGACCTCATCAAAGAGCATTTTCTGGCTGGCGAGCCATAGAGGTGCCACGAGTAAACAACAAAATTAGTCAGCCAACTAATTAGTCAGGAGGGAAAAGCTCAAAAACCAGAGATTTTTGATGAGAAAATCGTGATTTTCGGGTGCGAAAATCGAAAAAAAATCGCAATTTTTTTTTGACCGGTTACAAATTTTTCCGATTTTTTGTGTGGAAAAAGTTAATTGAGCCGAACGATTTGTGAACTTTCCAATTTTTTCCGATTCAGGGGTTAAACTTTGATTTTCCTGGCGAGTTTCAGATATCCGAGAATAGCCTAGAGCTCTAATTAGTCATGTAATTAGTCAAGGCGAAATCTGAGACCATTTTGTGGGCAAAATCGTCTCAAAACACAATATTTGTCAAGGAAGGCGGAAGGAAATCGGCTCGAGTTAGCTTAACTCGCAAAATGAGTCATGAAGTGCTAAATTTCCACGTGGATTTCTGACCTACACATACAAGTTCATCGCGTAAACGCGGAGCATCGTTGGAAACAGAATTTCTAGATGAAAAATCATTGGCACGTGGATTTGGGACCCCGAAATTCAGTAAATCCATCAATTTTCACCGCGTAAACGCGGAGCATCGTTGGGAAAAACCAATTCTGGTCAAAATAATGCCACGTGGATTTAGTTTCATTAAAATTCTCTAGGAAAACCATTGCCACGTGGATTTTGGGACGCGTAAACGCGGAGTATCGTTGGAAAATGGATTTTCAGGCGAAAATGATCCTACGTGGACTTTTTCGGTTGGAAAAACCATTTCCACGTGGATTTCTATCCAAATTTTCATGGCGTAAACGCGGAGCATCGTTTAAGAACCGGTTTCTGAGGTATCTCTACCCAAAACCGTTCAGAATCCATCAATTTTCATCGCGTAAACGCGGAGCATCGTTCCAAAATTGAGAAAAAACTCCAAAATTCATATAGAACTACTTTTCCACGTCATAACTCATTAAATCTATTCTGAGCAATGGATTTCTGACCCAGAAACTCAGTAAATCCATCAATTTTCATGGTGTAAACGCGGAGTATCGTTTGAAAAAGGGGTTTTTGAGGTATCTCTACCTAAAATGCCCCAAATTTTCCCGCGTAAACGCGGAGCATCGTTTAAAAACACAGTTTTCAAGGTATCTCTACCCGAAACCATCCAAAATGCACCAAATTTCCCCGTGTAAACGCGGAGCATCGTTCATTTTCCACCTCATAACTCACCCAACGATTTCGATCTCATGCGGCTTTCCGCAAAGCTCGCCGTCTTCTTTCTTCTCATCAAAATCTTCTTGAGAATCGTCCGCCGCTTCGTTTTCCGCTGCTGCTGCTCAAACTGTTCCGCTCCCAAGCCCGAATCCTCCGACGCCGCATCGCTATTCTTCTTGCGGATCGACACAGGCGGTGATGCGGAAGCCTGCGACGCGGAATCTTCCGCACCCTTCTGCCATTGCTCCCACATCTTCTTCACATCATACTCCGTCATCAGGGGAAGATTGTGGGCAACTGTTGCGGAACGATTCCGCGTATAGGTCGCGGAAGGATGCGTTGTAAAAGCGCGCCGGCGGAGACGCGGATTCGACGCGTTCGCTCCCATTATATTTCGTATCAACTGAAGAAAAATTGGGAAAAATATTGATAAGAGAACGAGAAAAGGACATCAAAAATTAGCATAAAAATGAAAAATATCAAAAAAAAAAAGGGGGGGCTACTGTTTCTCAGGGGGGACAAAGAAGAAATGATAACACCGTGTTTATATAGAATTATATAGAATAGTGTGTAGTCAAAGTTTACACTGTGAAAATTGAAAAGAAACGTGTGAAGTGAGGTAATTCATATAGAAATTATGACCTTCGAGAAAAATTGACCTAGATTTTTTTATTGTATAAAACTTAAACTTCAGGGTTATTAGGTTCTTTAGACAATGTCAAGGGGACAAGCCTTGAGAGCTAAAATTCCAAGTAGCCGCGCCTTGCAAAGCCTATTGTCTAGGGTCAGTTCCTTGAAATTCACTCTGGCAAGCAGAAAAGACTTCAGAGCCACCCTGACAAGCAACGAAGTCTTGAGATCTTAAATTCCAAGCAGCCGCGCCTAGAGATCCCCTCTGTCAAGCAGCCGTGCCTATAAAACCTTACTGTCTAGGGTCAGCGACTAGAGAGCCTAGCTAGCAAGCAGCCGTGCCTACAGAATCTTATTGTCTAGGGTCAGCGCCTTGAGAGCCTTGTTGTCAAGCAGCCGTGCCTACAGAATCTTATTGTCTAGGGTCAGCGCCTACAGAACCTAGTTTTCAAGCAGCCGAGCCGTGAGAGCTCGTATGCCAAGCAGTTGAGCCCAGGAATCCTAGTTTCTACGTAGCCGAGTCTAGAGAGCCTAGATCCCACGTAGCAAGGCCTATGGAACCCTATCGTCTAGTGTCCGCGGCTAGAGATTCACCCCGACAAACAACCAAGCCTATAGAATCTAGTTGTCAAGCAGCCGTGCCTATAGAACCTTATTGTCTAGGACCAACACCTTGAGACCCCCTCTAACAAGCAGCAAATCCTTGAGATCCACCCCAACAAGCAACCAAGCCTACAGAATCTAGTTGTCAAGCAGCCGCGCCTATAGAACCCTATCGTCTAGTATCAGCGGCTAGAGATTCACCCCGACAAGCAGCCGCGCCTTGAGATCGTCCAAACCAAGTAACCGATCCTAGAGCCTACTTCTGACCGAGTTTGGTTTTCTAGGCCACAAAGAAAAAAGTGTTTATTGCAAACTTGCGAACCGCTTAAATACCCATGTGAAAACTATACATTTAACCCGCTTAAAAGAAACCTTTTCATTATCATGAAAAAAACGCACAAAAAAGTGACGAGTTCAAAAATATCGGAAATATACATGTGTGTGGGTGGGTAGAAAATCCTAGGAAGCCTAATAAATAGGCCGGGGCCGGGCCAAAATACCAGGGGGCCGTCAAAAAAAAGTACAGCAGAAAAGTGCAAATGTCAATTAACCCCGGGTAATTATATCGTCAAAAAAAACTGATCGAAACTGGGAAAAAACAACAACCAGAAATAGACAATTTCCTAGACATTAGGGCACTTAGGGTAATGACCTTAGGGCACTTAACCTAAATTAAATCTATAAGCGCCCTAAGGTATCTAAAAGGCATTGTTTCTGATAGATTCTGATAGTTCTTTGTGTGTTATCAATCATAAAGATATCGGAAAATCACGTGAGTTAGGCTAAGTTCGTAGGAGGTTTGGAGCAATTATATTCCAACAAAACACAGAAAAGGAACAATGAGGCTTCCGGGTGGAAAAATCACGGAAAAAATATTGAGAAAAATAAATTTTTCTCAAATTTTTGGGTGAAAATGACTAGGTCAAGCCTATTTACAGGCCGGGCCTAAAACTAGGCCAGGCCTGATTTAAGGCCCCGATAAACTAGGCCTAACTATACAATTATTAGTAAACATAATAATTATGAACGGAACGGAGAGAGAGAGAAAAGAGAGAAAAAAAACAATAATTTATAAAGGTCAGCGAGAGCGAGAGAGTGTGCGAAACGAGGAGAGTGTGCAGAGAAGCAGAGGAGAAAAGAGAAAAATGGCAACAATATTAAATATAGTATCCCGTGCATTGGATTATCCTCTAGTAGGATGTTTGGACTGTTGAAACCACTAAACATCAGTTCAAAAATGGACTGGGCTTGGGCTTAGGGGGCCTAAAACTGGGCCTATTTAAGCTCGGAAAAATCCTAGAGTTTCAGGCCCAAAACTAGGCTTATCTGGGCTCAAAATGATCCAAAAATCCCCAATTTCCTGGCCAAAAACCATGTTTTTGCCCTAAAAATGATAATGTCCAATAAAAGTCGCATTAAAAAAAGTGTCACATGAAGCAATCATTCAAAATTGGCAAAAATATCACAAGACTGCGAGGAAAAAACAAAGAAATCTCCATTTTTTTGTACAAAAATGTAACGACCGTGGGAAAAAAACCGAGAAAAATGGACAGAAACAATAGAAGGAGAGGAAAATATATGGTGTTTGATCTACTACTGTACGACAAAAATATTTCCGGTAACTTGCGAGAATTTCTAGTCAGAAAAAACCACGTGGAAGAGTAGAAGGTCACGATTTCGGAGGAAAAACAAGCGAAAAACAAGTGCCACGTGGCAAAACCAAGAGATCGTGTAGAACTAGAAAATTTCATGGTCGAAATGCGGGAAAACCTCATTGCCACGTGGCAAAAATCACGTGACGTTTGGAAAAAATAAAAATAAAATTTTTTTGGGATTTTTTTGCTGGAGAGGATTGAAAATACCAAAAAATTGTCCAAAACAACCAAAATTAGACTTGAAATGTTCCCAAAAGTCTAGACTTCATAACAACTGTCAAAAAATGGGCTGAAAATGTTCCCAGTCCTTAAAAATGCCCAAAATAAGCCTAAATATGTTCCCAGGCCTAAAAATGCCCAAAATTAGGCTTAAACTGTTCCCAGGCCTGAAAAATACTCAAAATTGGGCTTAAAATGTTCTCAGAAGCCTAGACTTCATAAAAAATGCCCAAAATTAGGCTTAAAATGTTCCCAGGCCTTAAAAATGCCCAGAAAATGTCCAAAAACATTCTCAGACGTCTAGAATCCATAAAAACTGTCAAAAAATGGGCTGAAATTGTTCCCAGACGTTCAAAACTCATTAAAATTGTCCAAAACAAATTTTGTACCCAACAAAAATCAATAAAACCTTTCAAAGACATCAAAAAGAAAGAAAAACCATATCTTTTTCATCTTTTGATAAAAATGGGCGAAAAATGAACTTTTCTCATGTGATTTTTAATATATATCTGGAATTTTTAGACAAAAGAACAATTGTTCTTGTTCGTTTTGAAAAAAAATGAAATAAAACAAAAAGAAAACATGTTTTTCATTACTTTTTGTACCAAATATGAACCTCGGCGCGAGATGAAAAAAAAATAAACAAATAAAATTTTTTAGAGCGATTTTATGAGGTCCTGGAGCGAAAAATACGGTTTCACAGTGAAAATTTGAGTTTTGGAGGGATTTTTTGGGTTCAGAACCTCAAAAATCGCTCCAGAACCCAAATTTTCATGAAAAATCCATTTTTTTCAGCCCGGGACCTCAAAAATCGCTCCAGGACCCAAATTTCCATCAAAAATTCAATTTTTTCGGTCCCGAACCTCAAAAATCGCTCCAGGACCCAAATTTTCATAAAAATCCAATTTTTTCGGTCCGGAACCTCAAAAATCGGTCGAGGACCCAAATTTTCATGAAAAATCCAATTTTTTGGGTCCGGGACTTCAAAAATCGCTCCAGGACCCAAAATTCCATGAAAAATCCAATTTTTTCGGTCCGGGACCTCAAAAATCGCTCCAGGACCCAAATTTTCATGAAAAATCCGAATTTTCCCACTCCCAAACCCCCAAAACCCCAACTAACCTGACAAACTCTCATCAGCACTCGCATCCAACACAATAAATCCCTTCTCGTGACCATTTTCCGATATCATTATGGGATCTGTGGATGTTTGCGTGGGATTTTCCGAATTATTCGTAGCGTCCTGCAAAAATATGGGTTTTTGGAGCATTTTCAGCCAAAAATGACCAAATTTGGAGCATTTTCAGCTCAAAAATGCTCATTTTTGCACAAAATTTGCCCAAAAAACTAATTATAAACCAAATAAAATAAACACAATATCAAATTTCTTAAATAAGCCTATTTTTATATGAAAAATGTGTTTTGACTATTGCAAAAATGATAAAAAGTTTAAAATTTGGGTAAGGTTCTTAGGGTTCTTAGGTTAGACATCAGCGTTAAAATTTAACCTTAAAATTGCTCCAAAATGCTCCAGAAAGCTCTAAAAACCTTAAAAATGCTCTCAAGAGGCTCCTTAAGGCTCTTAAGAGCTTAAGAACACCCTAAATTGCTCTAAAAAGCTCCCAAAGCACTAAAAGAGCCCAAAAATGCTCCAAAACCCCAAAAATCCTTACCAATCCGTATTTATCCGGTGACCACTGCAGTAAAAAATGATAAATATTATCGGCTCGAGTTCTAGGGATGGCAAACCTGTAAAAAATGAGATTTTCAAGGTCCAGGACCATATTTACACTCAAAATTCACGAAAAATCATGAAAAATCCGATTTTTCAGGTCCCGGACCATATTTATACTCAAAATTATCTAAAATTCATGAAAAATCCAATTTTTCAGTTTTAGGATCATATTTATACTTAAAATGTTCAAAAATCCATGAAAAATCCAATTTTCCAGGTTCAGGACCATATTTACACTCAGAAAGTCCGAAAATTCATGAAAACCCCGATATTTTCGCTCCAAAACCCCAAAAAACCCACCAAAACTCTCTTTTCAGCTTATTTCCAAACGCACAATCCTCGTCTGACGTGGAATAATAGGAAGTTGGTGAAGATTCTGCAAAAATCAATATTCATCCCATTAAATTGCGAAAATATGGAATTTTCTCGAAAAAAAAACGTTGTGTGGCAAAAAATTGGAGAAAAAGAGGGAAAAGCCTCGTGTCTGCGTCTCTTCAAAATCTCCAATCTCTCGTCATTTTGTCTCGGGATGAGGAGGAGAAAACAACGACAAATTGAGAGGATATTTTTTTGTTTTATTTTTTTTTTGGGATTTTTCAAAGTTTAGGGGCTTTAAGGGCTTCTTAAGGGCCTTAGGGCCTTCGAAAAGGGCTCAAGAGCTTCTTAAAGAGCTTAGGGACTTTTTAAGGGCCTTAAGAGATTCTTGGGGGCCTTAAGGCCTTCTTAGGAACGTAAGGGCCTCCCCAAAGCCCAAAAGGCTTCTTAAAGGGCTTAAGGCCTTATTGAAGAGATTTCAGGCCTTCCCAAAGCCCATAAGGCTTCTTAAAGGGCTTAAGGCCTTCTTAAAGGGCTTGAGGCCTTCTTAAGAGCCTTAAAGCATTCTTAAAGGGCTTAAAGCCTTCTCAAAGGGCTTGAGGCCTTATTAAGAGCCTTAAGGCCTTCTTGAGAGCCTTAAGACCTTTAAAGCCTTCTTAAAGGCTTTAAGGCCCTTTTAATGGGCTTTAGAACTTCTTAAAGGCTTTAAGGGCCTTTTAATTGGCTTGAGGCCTTCTTAAAAGGCTTAAGTCATTTTTAAAGGCTTCTTAAGGGCCTTAAGGCCTTCCAAAAGCCCCCTAGGTTTATTCGGGCTCAAAATGCTCCAAATTTTCGGGCCAAAAAACTAGACTCACTTCGACTTTTCCTCCTCTTGGTTCTTGTTAGTCTAACAGCCATGTAGAATGGTAGAACAGGTGGTGGCGAGTCTCCGGAACTTTGATTTCTCTCCAAAAGTTGATCGGCTGATGAGAAAAGATCGGGCATTTCATCAGTGGAGGTGGCACATGAAAATCTTAAAATTTGGGAATTTTTGGGGCTAAAAATGTGATTTTTAAGGTCCCGGACTGAAAATTTTGGATTTTTCATGAAATTCCGGTCAATTTGAGTATAAACTAGATCCTGGAGCGAAAAATTCCAATTTTCCAGCCTTAGGACTTCAAACATCGCTCCAGGACCCAAATTTTCATAAAAAATCCAATTTTCCCGCTCTGGGAGCTCAAAAATGGCCCCAAAATCAACTCACAAGCTCGTCTTATTCTCCTTGACCGAAATTTCACGAAATTCGGCGGTCTGCCTTCGCAAATCCTGCAATTTGGCCAGCGATTGTTCACGTTTCATGACCATTGACGATTTTTGCGGTTGATTTGAGTTCTGTAATGAAAATTTTGAGATTTTGTGAGTTTGGAGGCTGAAAAATCCGACTTTTTCCGGCTCAGAACCCGGAAAATCCGATTTTTCAGGTCTAGAACCTAGAAAATCCGGTTTTTCCGGCTCCGAGCCTAGAAAATCCGATATTTTTGGCTCTGAGCCTAGAAAATCCAAGTTTTCCGGTCTGGGAGCTGGAAAATCCAATTTTTCCGGCCCCGAGCCTAGAAAACCCGATTTTTTCGGCCCTGAGCCTAGAGAATCCGATTTTTCCGGTCTAGGGCCTAGAAAATCCAATTTTTCTGGCCATGAGCCTAGAAAACCCAATTTTTCCGGCCCTGAGCCCAGAAAATCCGATTTTTTCCGGTCCTGAGCCTAGAAAATCCGATTTTTTCGGTCCAGAGGCTAAAAAATCCGATTTTTTCGGCCCTGGCCCCGAAAAATCCAAAATTACCCCAGCTTCAAGTAGATCATAGCTATCCGACCGTTTGCGGAACGGTTTCCGCAGCATTTTTGTGCACAAAAAGTAGAGTTAGGCTAAGTTGTGTAGAGATCGGGGTAAACAAAAAATGTATTATTATGAAAAGTTCTTTCATAATAGATACAACAAAATAATCTTGTTAATCTCTCTGCGTCTCTAACTCTCTCTCTCTCTCTCTCTCTCTCTCTCAACCGGTTTCGCCACTTAAAAAGAACGTATGATAATTTACTTGGAATTGAATAACTAGATGAAATTGGATAGAGAGAGAGTGAGAGAGTGAGAGAGATGAAGAGACGCAGAGAAAAAGTAAAAGTTGAACGGTGAATTTGTAAATCATGAATCATAAATGGGAACGATTTTTGATGTCAAGCAGCGGCGCCTAGAGATCCTGGGGGCTCTAAAGCACCGGCGCCTTGGGGCTTAGATTAGGCGTCAAGCAGCCACGCCTATGGGGTATAGTTCTCGTGTCAAGCAGCGGCGCCTAGAGGTACAGAGCTTTGTCAAGCAGCAAGGCCTTGGGGCTTAGATTAGGTGTCAAGCAGCCACGCCTTCATGTCATTTTTGTGATGTCCAGCCCTTGTCTCCAGAGCTCTGTCAAGCAGTGGCGCCTTGGGGCTCAGATTAGGTGTCAAGCATCCAAGTCTTCACGTCATTTTTGAGGTGTCTAGCGTCCACCCCTTGTCTCCAGCGCTCTCTCAAGCACCCTCCGCTTATCTCACCTCAAATTCCGGCACACTAAAAATCTCCTGAACCCCATTGATACTATCATTCATCAGCGATTGTCCACGATCCACAACTCGTCCAGCAACATCAGCGGCAGCCTGGAAATCGCAGGAATTTGCCACGTCATAGCTCTGGGATCCGGAAAATTCCAATTTTACTCACCTTTTAGGTTCTCAAAAATCAGAAATACCGATTTTATTTGAAAATTTCAAATTTCACGTGAAAAAAAAACTGGAACATCACGTAACTTCTGATTTTTTTTTAATTTTCAATTTTTTAAGAGTCAGGAATCTGGAAAATTCGAATTTTTCACGGTTCAGGAGCGAAAGAATCGATTTTTTAATGAAAAATTGGGTCTTGAAGCAATATTTCAGCTCCAAGAGCCAGAAAATCCGATTTTTCGTCAAAAATTGGGTCTTGGAGCAATTTTATCCGATTTTTTCATCAAAAACTGCATTTTAAAGCAATTTTTTTCATTCTAGACTGAAAAAATCGAATTTTTCATGAATTTTTTGAAATTTCGAGTGTAAACATGGTCCGGGACCACAAAAATCGAATTTTTCATTAGAAAACGAGTTTCGGAGCAATTTTCAAGGTTCTAAAGCAAAAAAATCGAATTTTTCATCAAAAATCATTGTCTGAGGCGATTTTTCAGCTCCTAAACCCCGGAAAATCGATATTTCCGGGTCTCGAGGCGATTCCCAACATTTTGCCACGTCATAACTCACCTTCGCCTGCTCTCCCACCACTTTTACACCATTCTCAATGCCCGTAGTCAAAGTGTCAGCAGCGCTTTTTGTATGCGTCACCACAGTTTTAGTGCCTGACGTCACAGTTCCCTGAATCGATTTGGCACGGGCGCTCAACGTCCGTCCCAATTTCCCGAAGCTTCTCCGCGCGGCATTCGGCGAGAAGCGGCCAATCTTTCCGTCCGGCGGCGGCGCGTCAAGCTCCGAGTAGCTACGCGGACGTTCCTCGTTGCTATTCTGCGACGAGGTTCGCGAGCGCGTCTTGACACGTAGATCTTCCTCAGTTCCCGCGCGGATGGCGTGCAGAGCTCCGGAGAGGTGCACGAGCGGTTGGGCTCCGGATTCTTCGGTGATCGAGGGAAGTGTTGATTCGCTTCCGACCTTGGGTGAGTGGGAATCCTCTCCGGTTTGAAATATAACATTTCCCGCCGGGATTTCGATGGGGCGCGTTTGCTGCTGCTCTTGAGTTGTGCGCACGTGATCCGGATCGAAAATATCGCGTTTTTTCTCGGCGCGATCACCGGTCAGACCGCCAATCTCTTTGTAGACGGAAACAGCCATGATTTCGTCCATGCTGCAAAAAATTGGATGAAAATTGGGTCTTGCAGTGATTTTCGTTGTCCCAGAGCAAAAAAATCGAATTTTTCTTGAAAAATTAGGTCTCGAGGCGATTTTTGAGGTCCCGGAGCGAAAAAATCGAATTTCTGATGTCCCGGGTCGAAAATTACCGATTTTTCATGAAATTCTAGTCATTTTGAGTGTAAATATGGCCCTGGAGCGAAAAATTACGATTTTTGAGCTCCCAGACCGAAAAAATAGGATTTCTGATGAAATTCTGATCAATTTGAGTATAAACATGGTCCTGGAGCGAAAAAATCGGATTTCTGATGTAAAATTGGGTCTCGCAGCGATTTTTGAGCTCCCAGAGCGAAAAAATCAAATTTTTCATTAAATTCTAGTCATTTTGAGTATAAACAAGGTCTTGAAACGACAAAATACGATTTTTTCGGTGCAGGACCCAAAAATAATGTCTTGTGACTAGACTAGACTCTAGTCTAATAGAAAAACATTGTCTAGTCTGCACGAGAGATCAAACTAGACAATATTTGTTGAATACAGGTTCAAACTATAAAATTTTAATTGATCAACGATCAATTCGTCAGACTAGAGTCTAGTCTAGTGACTTGACAATAGTTTAGCGAAAAAATTGAATTTTTCAGGAAAAAATGTCGATTTTTTCGCTCCAGGACCCAAGAATTGCTTCAAATTGATTTTTCACCCCTTTTCACGTGAAACTGAGCAATTTCTTGCGATTTTCCAGGTCCCAGAGCGAAAAAATCGAATTTTTCGTGAAAAACCAGGTCTTGAAGTGATTTTTCCAAGTTCTAGACCAAAAAAATCGGATTTTTCACGAAAAAATGGGTTTTTTAGGCAAAAAATACTCACTTGGCAACCATCCCATACAAATCGGGTCCATTCTCCTTGACAAGTGGATGCGAAACATCCGGATCAAACATCAGACAATTCGGTGTGACCAGCAAAGTTCCAGACACAGTTCCATCCGATTCAGTGACCTGTTTCACCTTAATCTTCAAAAACCTCTGCAAACAATCGGTATCCACTTCATCCGAACTATCACGCGGCACCGGTGCGGACATTGTTTTATTGTTGAAGCTTCCGCGTCGGATGTGCGCGGGAACTGCGCCGCCTGGTCCTTTTTTGACGGCGGCGGAAGACGCGGAAGGTGGTTCAAAAACATCGTCAGAGTTCGAGATGGGGACGAGGATCTTTTGACCGGGGAAAACCATTCGCGATGCCATTTTGTTGAGCTTCATTAATTCGCCTACTGTACAATCATGCGAGGCGGCGACCCTTTCCAACGTGTCGTGCTCTGATATTGTATATTCCATCTGGAAAAAGGAATTTTTGAATTTTGAAAAAAAAATGGCGAAATTTACTACGGTATGCAAAATTGTGCAAACACCACTTTTTTTCATTTTTCGGGCGGTTTGCGGGTTTTTAGGGTTTTCGGGGTGATTTTGATACAGAAAATGTGTTTTAAAATACTGTGCAAAACTGAAAATCCATGAAAACCTGGGAAATCCTCCCCTTATAAAAAACGAAATCACTGAAAATTTGGCGTCACATTAAATGTTTCCATCAATAATGTGCAAACACCGCTTCGTTTTTTGAAAAACAACGCGCGTTGCGAGACACGGGAGAAAAATTGTGTGCACCTTTGATGAGGGGTACGGTAAAAGTATTCGTGAATTTTTATTTATTTTTTTCTTTTTTTGAGGGTTTGAGCGCTGCATATTTTAGAACATCTAACACGCTTATTGTAACTTCAGGGGATTTTTTCTTCAAAACGGGAACCCCCCCCCCCCTCTAACTCTGACTTTGAGAATAGATCACATCAAAAGTATACCAGTTGGGAACCCTGAGATTCTCTCCAACTACACTTCACGAAGAGTATACTAGTTCCCGAAAAATCCCGAATTTTCGAAAAAAAAATTGACGAAATTTACTACGGTATGCAAAATTGTGCAAACACCGCGTTGACACAATGCACACAAAAATTCATTTTTTTGTTTTTTTCGGGCGGTTTGCGGGTTTTTGGGGGTTTCGGGGTGATTTTGATACAGAAAATTTGTTTTAAAATAATGTGCGGTGCCTAAAATCTATGAAAAATACAAAAAAGAACCGTCTAGAAGCGAAAACCACATTTTTTATCAAAAACATAACAATTTTCCCATAGATGATAACGAAATTAGCAATTTTAATTGAAAAACGATACCATATTCAGTAAACATAACAAAAATCATGTGATTCCCGCACAAATTTCAATCAATTTTATTCAGTTATTTGTTAAAAACCAAAAAAAACTGAAAAGTAGCAAAAATTCTTGAAACCCTCAATAAAAATTGTAATTTTTGGCCATATAAAAAAGTGGCCACCACCACACACACACAATGGGTAAAATAGTGTGCCTAAATTGGAGAGGGCGAGAGATTGTGGGGCAAAAAAAAGGAAAAAAGTTGTGTGTTAGTGTGTCTAGAAGAGAAAAGATAGAAATATATAGAGAGTGTTTGCTGAACTGCAAGCGTTTACTCGCCATTTTTTCCTTGAGAAAAAAACGAGACTAACTAATCATTGAAAAAAATATTTATACTTATTTATATCAAAAATATATGGATGATGATGAGAAAAACAAATCAATTTATCAAAAGAAAATTTGTACTTTTTGTTGTTTTCCACTGGCCTAGAAATACGTTTTTTTTTCTTGTGAGAAGTAAAACCAAGAAAATGACCTAGAAAATTGGTATTTCATTGATTTTGGGGGAATCTTTGGTCTTGAGGTGGTCCTAGGGAGAAAAAATTGGATTTTTTTGGGTCTTGGGACGATTTTCGTCGTCCTAAACCAAAAAAATCAGATTTTTTAGGTCTTGGTACGATTTTCGTCGTCCCAAATCGTGAAAATTAGATTTTTTTTTTTTGAAAATAGTGAGTCTTGGGACGATTTTCCTCATTCTAAACCGAAAATATCGGAATTTTTGGGTCTTGGGACGATTTTCCTCATTCTAAACCAAAAAAATCAGATTTTTTAGGTCTTGGTACGATTTTCGTCATCCCAAACCGTAAAAAATTAGATTTTTCGGAAATAGTGAGGTTCGGGACGATTTTCTTTGTCTCAAACCGTAAAAATCGGATTTTTTGGGTCTTGGTACGATTTTCGTCGTCCCAAACCGTAAAAATTAATTTTTTTTTGAAAATAGTGAGGTTTGGTACGATTTTCTTCGACCCAAACCAAAAAATCGAATTTTTGGGTCTTGGTACGATTTTCGTCGTCTCAAACCCCAAAAAATCGATTTTTTCATGAAAAATCAGCCACGTGGCATTAAAAAATTCCAACAAAACGACAATTTTTTGTTTATTTCTTCTTGCCCCCGGAAAATGAAGAAGCCGACAAAAAAACTATAAATATATAAAATTTCATCGATTTTTGTGTTCGAAGAACAAAAAATTCATGATTCATGAAAAAAAAATGAAAATTTAAAACCAAAAATGATTGAAACCAGTTCGGTTAAAAATTTTTTCCAATTTTTTTCGAAAAAAAATAGGTTTGTAATATTCAAAAATACGGTTCAACCCGAATTTTTCACGAAAAATTCGAGAATTTTCGCTCTAGAACCTAAAAACCCGAAATTTTTTGTCAAACAAAAAAATTTGGGTGGAAAAAAAATAAAAATATCGGAAATTGGCAATTTTCGTTCTTCTAGTTGTGCTCCGCACAGAAAAAAAAGTGAGCTAAACTAAACAAAAAAAATGTGAGGAGACAGGACACAAAGGGGAGGAACCCAGAAGAAAAACCCACAAATTGAATCATTTTTGCGGTTTTTTTTTGTTGAAAATGTGGGAAATTGCGTGTTTTCACGCAGGATTTTCGAAATTCTCGCTAAAAATTTGGTCACACGTGGATTTAAAGGGACATACACTTGCGCAAGCTTGCTCAGGTTATACAAATTTGCCACGTGGAATTTGGGGGGCTCTTTTGAAAATCCACGTGGCAAATTTGTATAACCTGAGCAACTTTGCGCGAATGTATGTCCCTTTAAATACACGTGACGATTTTTTTCGTACTGTAGATTTTGGGCCCCCAAATTTGTCTATCCTGATCTCTGATTTTTCAAAAAAAAAATTAAAAATTCATCAAAAATCTGTCAGACTTGAATATTTCGGCAAAAAAAGAGGATTTTCGAACAAAAAACCGGGTGAACAAAAGAAAAGAAGAGCAAAAAAAGGCTTTTCGCGTGGATTAAGCAAAGCAAAAAAAAAACTGAAAAACGCGAAAACGAAAACCTTTTTTTGCGCGCGCGCGAAAAAAAAACATTTTGACCAGAAAAAAATCTTCGTGAATTCATCTGGGAATTTATATTGAGACAAAGGGAAATTCATTTTTTTTTCTTGGTTTGGCTAAGAAAAATAAATATAAAATGTCTTTTTTTTCGCGAGATGAGATAGAAGATTTTTGGCGGGAATTTTTGATCTACCAATAGTTTTTGTCGAAAATTTGGGGGTTTCGAGCCCGGAGACCATTAAAATCAGATTTTCCGTGAATTTCGGGCTTTGGGATCATGAAAACTGCATTTTCGAGGCTTGGGGAAGGTTTTGAGACCATTAGAATCAGATTTTTGATGAATTAGCAAATTTTTAGGCTTTGGGACCATGAAAACTGGATTCTAGGACTTATTTCGAGCCTAAGCTAAATTTTAGGGGATTTTTAGCACTCGGGACCAGGAAACTCGGATTTTTGGGGGTTTTCTAGCATAGAAACCACTTCTAGGCTAGAAAATCCCCAAAAAATCGATTTTCATGGTCCCAAAGCCCAAAAAATGGCTAATTCGCCAAAAAATTGATTCTAATGGTCTCAAAACCTTCCCCAAGCCTCGAAAATGCAGTTTTCATGGTCCCAAGACCTAAAAATCACCTAAAATCGGATTTAAAGGGTCTCAAAACCTCCCCCGGGCTCAAAAATCCCCAGAAATCCCCGATTTTCGCTCCAAACCCACCTGAAACTCTGGCAGCTTTGCAGATCCGGGCGGTGCGGACGAAACGGAGCCGAAAGATTTGAAACGCATCGGGCTCAGGCTGCGCAACGATCCGATTCGTGTGATAATTCGATCAGACAGCATTTTTATTCCTTTTTTAGCTCCTCGCTGACAGCTGAAAATGCTAGAAAACTGGGGGTAGGAAGGAAAAAAACAACAAATTTAAGGCGAAAAAAAAGAAATAAATTGTGTATGTTTTTTTGCTGGCTTTGATCTTTGGGGCGTGTGAAAAAATACTAGCAAACAATTTTTGGTTTGTGGTTGACACTAAAAAAAATACGGGCGGCCTATAGGCTGGAAAAGTGGGAAAAAATGTTGCGGGCAGGGGGATTCGATCCCGTGACCTTCAGATCGCTAGACACAAGTGCTAACCACTAGACTGTACGAAAATCCACGTGGTTTTTATCGCGAAAATTTCGAAAAATGTTTTTAAAAAGTTTGTTGGCAGGGGGATTCGATCTGTGACCTTTTGATCGCTAGACACCCGTGCTAACCACTAGACCGTACCATAGTGTACGAAAAAATATCGCGTGTACTTCTCTCGTAGAAAAAATGCACTGATTTGCGTCACGAAAATTCGCTCTCTGAAACAAATGAGCGAAAAAAGTGAAAAGATTTTTCTTTTTTTTTCCAAAAGCGCGCGCGAGAAATTTCTCTGCCTATGAATTATGCATAGATTCATTATTATAATGATTATTTTTTTTTATTTTTGGCCTGAGAGAGAGAGGATTAGCAAAACTTTTTTTTCGCGCCCTAGAAAAAACGCTGGAGAATAAAATAGATAAAATAAAAAAAATTTTTAAGGCCCCCTGGTAACCCGAGACTTTATTTGCCCTCACTGGGGGTTTTTGGTGTTCTCGTAGATAGGTCGCCGTGTCTTGTCCGAGAGAAATACACGAGATTTTTTTCGGTTTGGTTGAGAAAAAGGCAAAAAAATATAGGAAAATAAGACAAAAAAGTGCATAACCAAATTTTTCGCGCTTCGATAATTTTGTGTTGACAAAAATCACGCGCTTCTGAAGCTTCTGGTAGTCGTAGGGTCGCGGGTTCGAACCCCACTGCGAGCTTTTCATTTTTTCGTTTGGCAACAAACAAGAAACCAAAGAATTTTTATTGTTTTTTTTCTCATCTAGAAGAAAAAAACGAGAAGAAGCTCTTGAAAATGTCGTTTTTTTGTCTTTTAAGACCCCGAGTAGCGAAAAAATGTGACAAAATAAGAAAATGTGATTTCTGGTCTCATAGCGAAAAAAAATTGTTCGCGGGCATTGGGGCTCGAACCTGCGACCTTTAGATTGCTAGGCGCAAATGCTAACCACTAGACTGTACCATAGCGTACGAAAAAATGCATAGTTTATTAGTATTTTCTCACGAAAAAAAAATAAATACACGTTTTGCACACAAAATTGTTGGGTAAATATATAATTGATCATTAATTAAAGCTCCTGATATTTGTTGAATTTTGGGAAAAAATTGAAAAATTTGGGGGGAAATTCACATCACATGATTAAATTCGAGGTTCTGACGTCATAATAGCCTCGAGACGGGTCTCTTTTATAGCCAGGTGTGTGGATCTGTAAAATTTAAGAATTAAGGGCTGAAAATTTGGGATTTTTTCCGTTTGGGACCATGAAAATCGGTTCAGGACTTATTTTTTCATAAAAAATCTGAATTTTTTTTCGGTTTGGGACCATGAAAATCGGTATGAAACTCATTTTTTCATGAAAAATCCGATTTTCTTGGTCTAGGGCCATGAAAAAATGGTCTAGGACCATGAAAAATCGGTTTAGGACTCAATTTTTCATGAAAAATCCGAATTTTTTCGGTTTGAGACTCAATTTTACATGAAAAATCCGAATTTTTCGGTTTGGGACCATGAAAATCGGTTTAGGCTTCAATTTTTCATGGAAAATTCGATTTTTTCGGTTTGGGACCATGAAAAACGGTTTAGGCCTCAAGTTTTTATGAAAAAATTGATTTTCTTGGTCTAGGACCATAAAAATCCGTTCAGGACTCAATTTTTCATGAAAAATCCAAAATTTTCAGTCTAGGACCATGAAACTCGGTTTAGGCCTCAGTTTTCCATAAAAAATCCGATTTTCTTGGTCTAGAACTAGAAAAATCGCTTTAGGCCTCAATTTTTCATGAAAATTCCGATTTTTTCGGTCTAGGACCATGAAAATCAGTTTAGGACTCAATTTTTCATGAAAAATCCGAATTTTTCGGTTTGGGACCATGAAAATCGGTTAAGGACTCAATTTTTCATGAAAAATCCAAATTTTTCGGTTTGGGGCCATAAAAATCGGTTCAGGACTCAATTTTCCAATGAAAAATTCGATTTTCCTGGTCCCAGACCCCAAACTCACACTTGGATCAATATAAAACGGTCTAAAATAATGCGTCCGCTTCCTCTCATACAAACTTTTAATCCTCGTACAATTCAAATACACCAAAATGAACATAGCCAACGCGAGAATCACCAAAATCGCAATTTTCGCTACTGTAACTACCGTACTCCAATAGGTATCCGAAGTGGGAGTACTGTAGAGTTTTTGGGAATTGGAGAAATTGATTGGGGAGATGGAGATTTGGAGAATATCGATTTTTTCGTCTTCGAATTTTGAGATGTCTTCGAAATTGTAGTTTTGAGGGTCCTGAAAGGAATTAGAGGGGTTACTGTAGGTTTTTCACGATGAGTTATGACGTTTTTCGCTCTAGGACTTGAAAAATCGCTCCAGGACCCAAATTTTCATGAAAAACCCGGATTTTTCGGTCTACCACTTCAAAAATCGTCACAAGACCAATTTTTCATGAAAAATCCGAATATTTTGGTCCCGGAACCTCTAGAAATCGATTCTGGGCCAAAAAAAACCGAATTTTCGCTCTAGGACCTCAAAAATCGCTCCAGGACCCAGATTTTCATGAAAAATTCGAAATTTTCGCTCCAGGACCCACATTTTCATGAAAAATTCGAAATTTTCGCTCTAGGACCTCAAAAATCGCTCCAGGGCCCAAATTTTCATGAAAAATCCAATTTTTTCGCTCTGGGACCTCAAAAATCGCTCCAGGACCCAAATTTTGATGAAAAATTCGAAATTTTTGGTCCCGGAACCTCTAGAAATAGATTCTGGGCCGAAAAACCCCGAATTTTTGCTCTAGGACCTCAAAAATCGCTCCAGGACCCAAATTTTCATGAAAAATTCGAAATTTTCGCTCCGGGACCTCAAAAAACGCTCCAGGACCCAAATTTTCATGAAAAATCCAATTTTTTCGCTACGAGACCTCAAAAATCGCTCCAGGATCCAAATTTTCATGGAAAATCCAATTTTTTCGCTCCGGGACCTCAAAAATCGCTCCAAGACCCAAATTTTTCATGAAAAATCCAATTTTTTTCGCTCCGGAACATCAAAAATCGCTCCAGGACACAAATTTTCATGAAAAATTCGAAATTTTCGCTCTAGGACCTGAAACATTACTTCAGGACCCAAATTTTCAAGAAAAAATCGAAATTTTTAGTCTAGGACCTAAAAAATCGCTTTAGGACCAAATTTTTCATGAAAAATTCGAAATTTTCGCTCTAGGACTTGGAATATCACTCCAGGACCCAAATTTTCATGAAAAATCCAATTTTTTCGGTCCGGGACTTCAAAAATCGCTCCAGGACCCAAATTTTCATTAAAAATCCAATTTTTTAGCCCGGGACCTCAAAAATCGCTCCAGGACCCAAATTTTCATGAAAAATTCAAAATTTTCCCCTCGGGACCTCAAAAATCACTCCAGGACCCAAATTTTCATGAAAAATCCGATTTTCTTGGTCTAGAACTAGAAAAATCACTTTAGGACCCAAATTTTCATGAAAAATCTCATTTTTCGAGTCTAGGACCATGGAAATCGCTTCAAGACCCAATTTTTCATGAAAATTCCTACTTTTTGGGTCCGGGACCTCCAAAATCGCTCCAGGACCCAAATTTTCATGAAAAATTCGAAATTTTGGGTCTAGGACTTGAAAAATCGCTCCAGGACCCAAATTTTCATGAAAAATTCGAAATTTTCGCTCTAGCACTTGAAAAATCACTTCAGGATCAAATTTTTCATGAAAAATCCAATTTTTTCGCTCCAGGACCCAAATTTTCAAGAAAAAAATCGAAATTTTGGGTCTAGGACTTGAAAAATCACGTCAGGATCAAATTTTCATGAAAAATTCGAAATTTTCGCTCTAGGACCTAAAAAAATCGCTTCAGGACCTTATTTCTCATGAAAAATCCGATTTTTTCGCTCCGAAACCCCCCAAAACCTCACCTTAATCTGACTGGAATTAAAAACACAAATCCTCATTCCATAAACTGTTTTTCCAACTTCAATGGTCCGATTCACGTGAAAAATGAAAGGTTCTTTGGAAAAAACAGCGGAATTTAGAAGAGTTTGAATTTGAACAACGATTTTGGCGCGTGTAATGTTGTCGAATTCGAAATCCGAAAAATTCGACGATTTTTCGACACTTCCGAAATCCACAAAAAGTTTGTCGACCAAGTCGGAATTTTTGAGATTTTGTAGAATATCGTGGCGGTGGATCTGAAAAAAATCAACAATTTCAGCGTTTTCAGCGCAAAATTTCAGTCTAGAAAAATAATTTTCCACAAAAATCTGGTTGATCCATTTTTTTGGAATTTGTGGCACAATTTCCTACAGTACCTTTTGAAGAGTTTCTAGGCTCAAATTTTGTGCTGAAACTCGTGGAAACTCTCATTTTCAGCGAATTTAAAGTTTTCCATGATTTTCAGCACAAAATTTCAGCCAAGATTTTTTTTAACGGAATTCTGGAACTTTTTGAAAACTTTGAAGAGGTTTTAGAAACTTCTCTAGACTCAAATTTTGTGCTGAAAAAGCTGGAAATGCTGTAAATCGCTGAAAATCATCAATTTCAGCGTTTTCAGCGCAAAATTTCAGTCTAGAAGTATATTTTCTAAAGAAATCTGGTTGATCCATTTTTTTGGAATTTGTGGCACAATTTTCTACAGAAGAGTTTCTAGGCTAAAATTTTGTGTTGAAAAAGCTGGAAATGCTGAAAATCGCTGAAAATCAACAATTTCAGCCCAAAAAAACACATACCATAACATTTCCAGTTTCCTCATCCCACGTGGCATTAATCTCGCGCTTCGGAAAACATTTCGTGTGCATAATTGCGTCACGTGTCGCACAAATACCATTCCGCAATCTGGCATGCGTCAGTTGCGGACAAACGCAACGCTTCCGCGTCTCACAACCAAATTCACACACAATTCCGTCGCTTAGCAGACATTTTTTGGATTTTTCGTGATGTCGAAGTTCAGTGGAGTTTGCAGCCAGGTTCGAGAGCTGGAAATCTGGGTTTTAGGGGGATTTCAGAGGCTGGGGACCCAAAAATTCGATTTTTTCACCAAAAATCAGCCCTGGGGACCTTTTTCTTGGTACTGTACCAAAAAATTCCAAATTTTTGGTCCCGGGTTACTGTAGCCTACCGTCTCTTTCAGCTGTTGTTCCATCTCTTCCATTTTCGCCTCAATAATTGGGTCCAAATCGTCTACCGTAGTCAAATTTCCCGCAACGGGTACTGTAGAATTGGGGTACTGTACTTCGATGCTTTCAAGGATCACCTTTTCGAGCAGCTCAACCTCTTTGCTGAGCATTTTTTTGGTTGTAGATGTGGTTGGGGGTACTGTAGATGAAGGTACTGTAGATAAAGGTACTGTAGTTGTAGTCTGGGTTACTGTAGTCGAGGGTACTGTAGATGTTGTTGTTGGGGGTACTGTAGCAATGATCTTCTGCGCTTTTTCCAAATCGATCGGCGAGATTTTCTCCAAATTTTTTCCGGTCGATTTTGCGTGCGGCTTCACCGCGAGATCCGTTTCCATACGGTAGATTGTGGTTTTTTCGGGTGCGGAAGCGGAAGCGAAAGACGACTCGGAAACGGGATTTTTGGTTCGCCAATCGGACTCCAGTACGGGACTTCCCAAAATTGCCGAGCAATCGCCGCAGCGCACAGAGTTTTCTGGAAAAAAACGGAGTTTTTTATAACCTGAGCAATGCCTATAACCTGAGCAATGTATTTTTGCATAATCTGAGCAATGCCTATAGCCTGAGCAATGGTTTTTCTATAACCTGAGCAATGCCTATAAGATGAGCAATGTCTTGTTCCATAATCTGAGCAATTCCTTTAACCTGAGCAATGGATTATAACCTGAGCAAGGATTTTAGCCTGAGCAATACGCCTATAACCTGAGCAACGCCTTTAACATGAGCAATGCCCCAAAAACTATGAAAAAGTCTATAATATGAGCAATGGTAACTGAAAATTCAAGATTTTTTCTCTAAAAAAACCCACGTGGCAAAAACACTGCGTCTCTAACGCTCTAGCTTCTCTGCACTCTCTCAAAACCCTATGCTCTCTAGCAATCTTGCGCGAAGCGCCCCGGAATCTTCCGCGTAAGCGGCACGAGCGCGGAAGCGCGAGTGTATCTCCCTCTGCGTCTCTAACTCTCTAGCCTCTCTGCGTCTCTAACCCTGCTTCTCTGATAGACTAGTGCCCCTGCATCTCTAACCCCCTAGCTCCTCTGCGTCTCTAACTCACGTGTAGCTTTACAACTGGTACACTGGAATGGCATCACTTTGACAACTCCAAACTTCGGCCGCTTCCGTTTTTTCGACATAATCGCACAAACCTGGAAAATATGACTGGTTTTTGGGCCAAAAACATGGCCTAGGATCCGAATTTGCGGCCTGAAAGCCTAAAAAAAAGCCCAGAGCCCAGAGACATACCTGAACTCCAAAATCCTCATCTTCAGGAATATCCAAGCTAAAGCTATTCAAACTTCCATCAACTCGAACTTCGCGCTTCGCCGCCAATTGCCACGACACAAATGGTGCTGTGCCTTTAATCTGCGCGGGACCATATCTCACATGATAATAAACCGGTCTGGGAAGATTCTTCGGACCATCGAAAGTGATCTTAACCTTTCCATGCTCGCCTGATATCTCAACATCTCCGTCATCAAAACAGATCGGATTCGAATCCTTGTTGCAAATCTCAAGATCAGGACTCTTGGTGCAATCGATCTCGATGTTCTTCTGAATGTTGAATGGTTCGAGACGGACACATCGGGGCAACATCTTAACTTCCACCCAAATTCGACAACGGGTTTCGAGGATGGAGAGGGGAAGAGTTAGGGCAAGTCGGCCGCCGGTGTTTTGGTGAGCTTCGATTTTTGGTTGAGCTAACTCGTCTTCTGAAAATTGATTGTTATGGGCTTCTAGGCTTCTAGGGGGCCCCTAGGCCTCAGGGCCCCAAGGGGCCCCCTAGAAGCCCCCTAACCTACCCGGAGTCGCGCACTGAATTGGGTAAAGTGCGGGAGATTCATAGCCATAGATGTCCGAATCGGTGTAACCATGGGGAAGTGACCATTTGACCAGCATTTTGATTTCTTGGCTCGAATTTGAGAGGCGCGGGAGTTCGAGGTGGATCTGGAATTAGAGGGTTAGAGACGCAGAGGGACTAGACAGTGAAAAAGGGTAGAGGGTTAGAGACGCAGAGGGGCATACACTCGCTCCGCTCGAGCCGCTTACGCGGAAGATTCCGGGGCGCTTCGCGCGGGATTGCTAGAGAACATAGGGGGTTGAGAGAGTGCAGAGAAGCTAGAGGGTTAGAGACGCAGAGTGACATACACTCGCTTCGCTCGTGCCGCTTACGCGGAAGATTGCTAGAGCATAGGGGATTGAGAGAGTGCAGAGAAACCAGTTAGCTAGAGACGCAGAGGGGCTAGACAGTGAGAGAGGGTAGAGAAGCTAGACGACTAGACAATATTTAAAAACTGAGAGATGCAGAGAAACTAGACGGCTAGAGACGCAGAGGGAATTAGGAGGAACATTTGCGGCTCATTTTTTTTGAAATTCGAAAATTTTCAGATTTTTTTTTGCCACGTGGATATATTTTAGTCAAAATCGGCAAAAATTAAAAAAAAAACATCGAATTTCCTGATTCCAAAAAAGAATAGAGAGCACAGAGAAGCCAGACAGCGAGAGTAAATTGGAAAAGTTAGAGACACAGAAAAGCTAAACAGCTAGAGGCGCAGAGAAACATAGCTATAGGGAAGTGAGAGAGTGCAGAGAAGCCAGACGGTTAGAGATGCAGAAGCTTGACAGCTAGACGGGTAGAGAGCATGCTGATTTGAGAGAGTGCAGAGAAACTATAGCGCTAGAGACGCAGAGGAAACTTTTTTTTTGAAATTTTCTGCCACGTGGATTTTTTTCCCTAGAAAAAAAAACAGTTTCAGCTCGAAATTCAGGATTGCTCAGGTTAGAGACGTAGAGAAGCCATACCTGTTCCTGTGTCAAAATAAACGGTGGCAATTGCACAGTAATCGGCTGCGGTCGAATAATCTCAAAAATGTGGGCCGGGTCCGAACTTCGGACCACAATTATCACTCGAAATTGATAATCTCGACAAGGATCGGAAATTGAGAAGGTCGCTTCGGGTTTTTCGGCGGCTCCCTGTAAAAAAATGGGCTGTTTTGGGCCGGATTCGGGCCCCAGAAGGCCCCCAAAAAGCCTACCGCAAACGTCCACTGATTCTGATCGCTGGAAATTGTGGAGAATTCAAAAATGTAGGCAAAAGCTGAGGCTTGCGGATCAATCGCAACTCGGATCATATGAGCATCGATATACTGTGTATGGGTTTTGGGGAGTGTTTGGGAAATTGTGGCCGATTTCAGGTTGTCGGCGAATTTTTGGCATGGTTCCAGGGAAGATGTTGTGGAGGCTGGGCAATTGCAGGTTGAGGCGGAGGGCTGGAAAAAATAATGGTAGGTGGTTAGAGACGCAGAGAAGGTAGAGGGCTAGGGTGATAGAAGAACATACACTCGCTTCGCTCGAGCCGAAGATTCCGGGGCGCTTCGCGCGAGATTGCTAGAGAGCATGGGGGTTGAGAGAGAGTGCAGAGAAGCTAGACAGGTTAGAGACGCAGAGGGGCATACATTCGCTCCGCTCGAGCCGCTTACGCGGAAGATTGCTAGAGAGTATAGGGTTCGGAGAGAGTGCAGAGAAGCTAGAGAGTTAGAGACGCAGAGTTTAGAGACGCAGAGGGAAATACACTCGCTCTGCTCGTGCCGCTCACGCGGAAGATTCCGGGGCGCTTCGCGCGAGACAGCTAGAGCAGAGAAGCTAGAGGGCTAGAGACGCAGAGGGAAATACACTCGCTCCGCTCGAGCCGAAGATTCCGGGGCGCTTCGCGCGAGATTGCTAGAGAGTATAGCAGATTGAGAGAGTGCAGAGAAACTAGAGGGTTAGAGACGCAGAGAAGCTAGACAGTTAGAGAGGCTAGACTGCTAGAGACACGGAGGGGCATACACTCGCTCCGCTCAAGCCGCTTACGCGGAAGATTCCGAGGCGCTTCGCGCGAGACAGCTAGAGATCTAGAGAGCATATGGTTTTGAGAGAGCGCAGAGAAGCTTGAGGGTTAGAGACGCAGAGACGCTAGACAGCTAGAGATGCAGAGAAACTAGTGATTTGGAAGCTTTACAATCATTTTTCCACACTTCAAAATCAAAATTTCTCGCTAAAAATCACATTTTTAGAATTTGCAGCTCACGGCGAATCTGAAAATGCCACGTGTCAAAAACCCGGATAAAAAAGTTCACAGTGATCTATTGATTGAATGTGGTTGGCCAAAATTTAGAATTAGAATTCGACACAAAAATTATTTTTTCTAGCTTAGCTTAGCTCTTTCTAATCTGCCGAAAATGTTGAGGAGGATTATTTTTTTCTCTAAATTTAGCCAAACTCTGAAAATGTGATTTTTATGTGTAGAAAAACAATTTTAAACCTTCCCGTTTATTTCCCTCTGCGTCTCTAACGCTCTAGCTTCTCTGCACTCTCTCAAAACCCTATGCTCTCTAACAATCTTGCGCGAAGCGCCCCGGAATCTTCCGCGTAAGCGGCACGAGCGGAGCGAGTGTAGTTCCCTCTGCGTCTCTAGCTCTCAAGCTTCTCTGTGTCTCTCAACCTTCTAGCCTCTCTGCCTGTCTAACGGTCTGGTTTCTCTGCGTCTCTAAAACCCCCCGAGAAGTTCACTTCTTGACTGTGTTTTTTTTTCAGTCAAAAATAAGTATGTCAGTATGCCAAGTGGCCAATAGAGTAATTTCAAGTGCGATTTTTTCCTTTTGATTTTTTCTTTTTGCATGTCAGAAATTATTATTTTTGATTTGTGTGTGTGTTTTTTTTTTGGTTATATTTCTCAATTGCAAGAACTTATTGAGAAAAAAAAGGTATGAGAGAGAGGATTAGAAAAATATAGAATAATTATACTGGTATTTTTATTTGAAGAGAGAGAAAAAGGTAGTTAGTTAGCTAAACTTGTTTTTACCCGGCTTATTAGGAGTGGAAGCTAGACGGGTTAGAGAATGCAGAGGAATCTGGGATACCTTTGGAACCTTCAGGGAAATTTTTCTAGACCATTTTTTCACCCAAAATTCGAATTCCAGGATCGAAATTACTGATTTTCACCTGATGAAGCTGAAATTTTCAGACCTGAATTTAGTTTTGAAATTTAAAAAAAAACGTGACTTTTTTCATTTTCGGGTAATTTTGAAATTCTAAACAGTCAATAGAAGAAAAGTGAGTTGGGCTAACTTATAAGGCCTGGAATCTAGGCTTCTTTGAGCCTAAACTAGGCCTGAACTCCGGGCCTTTTCGAGCCTAAACTCAGCCTGAAATCCGAGCTTTTTTGGGCTAAAATCCTCAAAAATCTTCATCCTCCAAAATACTTTCACTCAGCCGCCTGTCCTAATTTCTAGTGTTGTATAATAGGATTTTTTTTTCGTTTTGTTTTGTTTTTTTTTGGCTGACCGCCTAGTAATCCAATCTGTCATTGAGAATTAAGAGAATTATCTAGATGAACCAGAAAAAAATGCGGGGAATTTTGGAAGATTTTTGGCCGATTTTGAAGGTTCTAGATAAAAAACAGGGTTTTTGGCCAATTTTACAAGATTTCTGGACAATTTTAAAGGTTCTAGAAAAAAAACAAAATTTTTGGACATTTTTACAAGATTTTGGACATTTTTACAAGATTTCTGGACAATTTTGAAGGTTCTAGATAAAACAAGATTTTCTGCCAACTTTACAAGATTTCTGGACAATTTTACAAGATTCTAGAAAAAAAACAAGATTTTTGGCCAATTTCACAAGATTTTTGGCCAATTTTACAAAATTTTTGGCCAATTTTACAGGATTTTTGGCCAATTTTACAGGATTTTTGGCCATTTTTAAAGACCCCCTTCTTTTTTTTGGGTAAAAATTAAGAAATTTCACCTACTTTCCTCAACTAATTGATCCGAAAAGCAACCGGTTGACAAAAAAAAATGGGGAAAATTATTTCATTTTAAAGTTCTTCTTACCCCCTTCCTAATTGGTCACTATTTGTACTTTTTACCGCAAAAATATAGGCGGTCACCGCGTTTTGTGTCAAATTAAAAATTACGGGGGGAAATTAGGTAATTGGGTTCACTTACGGTTCCGGATTTACATAAGAAAGAGAGACGCAGAGAAGCCAGACAGTTAGGGACGCAGAGATACTAGACAGTGAAAGAGGCAAAGATGCAAGAGTGTTAGAGACATAGAGATATTAGACAGTGAGAGAGGCTGGAGGGTTAGAGACGCAGAGGGACATACACTCGCTCCGCTCGTGCCGCTTACGCGGAAGATTCCGGGGCGCTTCGCGCAAGATTGCTAGAGAGCATAGGGGGTTGGGAGAGTGCAGAGAAGCCAGACAGCTAGAGACAATGTTCAAGTAGAGAAGCTAGATGGTTAGAGACGCAGAGTAAGTTTTTTTGATTTTTGAATTGGCGCCAAAGCCACGTGGAATCAAAATTTTCGCCCAAAATTGAAGAATTCAAAATTTTGAATTTAAAAAAATAAGATTTTTCCCGCCAAAATTTGCCACGTGTCATCTACAGTACCCCCCCCCAATTCACTCACCGTTCCAGACTGCATACATTTCGCATAACACTCCAGTGAACACTTGGTTTTGGGGTTCGTCTGGCAATTTGCCAGCAGCACAAAAAAGGCGGTGCTCATTATTAATATGAGCAATGCCTTCATTTTTACGTGGCGCGGCGGGAACCTGGAAAATTCAAATTTTCAATGAGAAATCTCAGAAATCACGCTTTCTTCCCGAAAACAATTATAAAATGAAAACTATTTACAAAATACGGTCAAGCGCGCGCGCGAAAAGTCATTTTTATGAATAGAGGAATTTCGGGGGCGGGGCCCTAGGCGCGTACTTATCCTAAATCCAAAAAACCATGCGGCAAGGGCGGGGCTTAGAAGCTTCGCAAAACCATAAATGTTCCATTCTATTTATTTTGTCAACAAAATCTGGCGGAAATCTTCAAAAAAAAAGTGAAAATATGCAAATTTCAGGGTCAAAATCCCCCAAAGAATAGTAAATCTCTCATTTATTATCTCTATGTTTGACTAAAAACAATCCGGAGTTAGCCTAACTCAAAAGAATGACCCCCTTGCGAGGGAAAAGGGGAAAAATAAAAATTTCTATTCAAATTGCCGGGCGCGGTGTTTGCACACATTTCAGCGCGCGCACACCGTATACCAAATCGATAATTTTATTTATTTTTTTTTGTTTTTTTGTTTTCCCCGGAATTCCGAAAAGTAAACTGTTTCAGGAGCAAATGGACCTGTCAGAATTAATTGAGGTAACTCGGATACGCGATGTATTCATGAGAAAAGGCCCGCGGCCCTCGCAAGTCGGAGATATTTGCATTTTTGGGCACCACATGATTTTTGCGCCAAATGCTCAACAAGCTGGGCTTGAAAACAGCTCACAGCCTGAGGAATTTTGGCTTTTGCACAAAGCGGTTGATCGGGTTTTGTGTGAACCGATTTTCAAAGAACAACCTGCTAAGGGTGGATTGCTGGCGCTGAAATGCAAGAATTTTTTGATTATTATCTTTGAGATTGGTGATTTTGAGGCTTGTAAAGCGGCTGCTAGAACTATTGAAGCACTTTCGAATATTAGTGAGTTTTTGGTGATTGTTTTGATGAAAATTGTGGATGGGATCTGAAAAATCGAATTTTCGAAGTCTGGGAGGTGAAAAATCAGATATTCCGAGTATGAGAGCTAAAAAATCGTATTTTCTTGGTCTGAGAGCTGAAAAATTGGATTTTCCGAGTCTGGGAGGTGAAATTTCCGATTTTTCTTGCTATAGACTTGAAAAATCCCATTTTTCCGGTTGTAGACCTGGAAAATGATGTTTTTCAAGTCCCGGAGCTGAAAAATCGTGTTTTTCTTGTCTGAGAGCTAAAAAATAAGATTTTCCGAGTCTGAGAGCTGGAAAATCGTGTTTTTCTGGTCTAAGAGCTGAAAAATAAGATTTTCCGAGTCTGAGAGCTGGAAAATCGTGTTTTTCTGGTCTAAGAGCTGAAAAATAAGATTTTCCGAGTCTGAGAGCTGGAAAATCGTGTTTTTCTGGTCTAAGAGCTGAAAAATAAGATTTTCCGAGTCTGAGAGCTGGAAAATCGTGTTTTTCTTGTCTGAGAGCTAAAAAATCTAGTTTTTATGGTCTGAGAGCTGAAAAATCCCATTTTTCCTGTTGTAGACCTGAAAAATTCAAATTTTTCTGCTCTAAGACCCGGAAAATCGGATTTTTCACGTCTGGGAGCTGAAAAATCCTATTTTTTTGCTCTGGGACCTGGAAAATCGAATTTTTCGCTCCGAGACCCGAAAGTTCGAATTTTCTGGGTTACGAACCTTGAAAATGTGATTTTTTCAAGCCCGGAAGCTGAAAAATCCCATTTTTCCGGTTGTAGACCTGAAAAATGATGTTTTTCAAGTCCCAGAGCTGAAAAATCGAGTTTTTCTGGTCTGGAAGCTGAAAAATCCGATTTTTTTGGTCCTGAACCTTGAAAATTTGATTTTTCAGCTCTAAGACCCGGAAAATCGGATTTTTCACGTCTGGGAGCTGAAAAATCATTTTTTTTGCTCTTGGATATAGAAAACCGGATATTTTCGCTCTGAGACCAGCAAATTTGAATTTTCTGGTTTACGAACCTTGAAAATGTGATTTTTTTCAGCCCAGAAGCTGAAAAAGTGGATTTTTTTGCTCTACGACCTCAAAAATCGCTCCAAGATCCAGTTTTCCATGAAAAATCAGATTTTTTTGCTCCGGGAGCTCAAAAATTTAAAATTTTTCGTCTTGAACCTCAAAAATTACTCCAAGACCCAATTTTTAATGAAAAATCCGGTTTTTTCGCTTCAGGACCTCAAAAATCCAAAATTTTCGCTCCAGGACCTGAAAAATCACTTCCAAATCCAATTTTTCATGAAAAATCCGATTTTTTCGCTCCAAGACTCACAAATTCTCTCAAAAACCTAAATTTTCATGAAATTTCAGAATTTTTAGCTCCAGGACCTCAAAAATCACTTGCAAATCCAATTTTCCATGAAAAAATCCGTTTTTTGAGCTTGGGACTTCAAAAAACACTTCAAGACCCAAATTTTCATGAAAACTCCGATTTTTTTGGTCTTGGACCTCAAAAATTTAAAATTTTCGCTTCGAAAACTCAAAAAAACACTTCAAGACTCAAATTCACATGAAAAATCGATCTTTTCGCTCCAGGACCCAATTTTTCATCAAAAATCCAATTTTCCTCTCTCAACCCCCAAAAACCCCGCAAATTTTGCAGACGGAATAATCCACGACTACGCGTTCTTCTACAATTCGCCCTTCAAAACCTTAGATGACGGTTGGACAAGTTTCGATCCAGAACAAGAATTCGGACGCCTTCTAACATCTACAGATGCCTTCCGAATTTCTTCAGTCAACGAGAATTTTGCAGTTTGTCAAAGTTATCCGGAAAAAGTGATAGTTCCAAAAGGAATCGGAGATGATTATTTGAAAATCTCGGCAACTTTTCGAGATTCTGCAAGATTTCCTGTCTTGGCTTATTTCCATAAACAAACTCGAAGTCCACTTTTTCGATGTTCACAGCCTTTAATTGGACCAACAAATCGAAGATGTAAAGAAGATGAAACGATTTTGAATTCATTGATTACAATTAATCGAGGATTTATTATTGATACACGTGCTAAAAATGTGGCCAATTCTTCGAAAGCAAAAGGAGGTGGTGTTGAACCACAGGTAGGGGAATTTTCGAGGGGAAATTCATGAGTTATGACGTGGCAAATGTTAATTAGCTTGGAAAAATCGGATTTTTCATTGAAAATTCGATTAGAAATGCGATTTTTCAGCTCAGGTACCTTAGAAATCCGATTTTTTCCGTCCTGATGTTGGAAAACCAAATTTTTATGCTCCGAAACCTGAGAATTGTCATTTTTTAGCTCCAGAGCAATAAAAATCCAATTTTTCTCATCCTGAACCTAGAAAATCCAATTTTTCAAGCCCTAAGCCCAGAAAATTGCTCTAGAGCTCAATTTCTCATGAAAAATCCGATTTTCTTGGTCCTGAACTTGAAAAATCGTTTCAAGACCTAGAAAATCTGAATTTTTCGTTCATGAACCTAGAAAATCTGATTTTCCCGCTCCGAAACCTAGAAGATCTGATTTTTTAGGTCCTGAGCCCAGAAAATTGCTCCAAGATCCAGAAAATCTGAATTTTTCGGTTCGGAACTTGGAAAATGTGATTTTTTATTTTTCGAAACTAAAAAATCATGTCTAGACCTCAATTTGCATGAAAAATCTCATTTTTTGGTTCAGGAACCTTAGAAATGCAATTTTTTCGGTCCTGACAGTGAAAAATCTTATTTTTCTGTTCCTGAACTTGAAAAATCACTTCAAGACCCAGAAAATCTAAATTTTCCGGTTCGGGACTTGGAAAATCTGAATTTTTCATGAAAAATCCAATTTTTCAAGCTCTGAGCCTAGAAATTTGCTCTAGAGCTCAATTTTTCTTGAAAAATCCGATTTTCTTGGTCCTGAACGTGAAAATTCGGTCCAAGATCCAGAAAATCTGAAGTTTTCGGTCCTGAACTTGGGAAATCTGATTTTTTAGCTCCGGAACCTAGAAGATCTGATTTTTAGCTCCGGAACCTAGAAGATCTGATTTTTTAGGTCCTGAGCCCAGAAAATTGCTCCAAGAGCCTAAAAATCGATATTTTTCGGTTCGGGACTTGAAAAATGTGATTTTTTATTTTTCGAAACTAAAAAATCATGTCTAGACCTTAATTTGCATGAAAAATCTCATTTTTTTGGTTCAGGAACCTTAGAAATGCAATTTTTTCGGTCCTGACAGTGGAAAATCTTATTTTTCTGTTCCTGAACTTGGGAAATCTGATTTTTTAGCTCCGGAACCTAGAAGATCTGATTTTTTAGCTCCGGAACCTAGAAGATCTGATTTTTTAGGTCCTGAGCCCAGAAAATTGCTCCAAGAGCCTAAAAATCGATATTTTTCGGTTCGGGACTTGAAAAAATGTGATTTTTTATTTTTCGAAACTAAAAAATCATGTCTAGACCCTAATTTGCATGAAAAATATCATTTTTTTTTTGGTTCAGGAATCTTAGAAATGCAATTTTTTCGGTCCTGACAGTGGAAAATCTTATTTTTCTATTCCTGAACTTGAAAAATCACTTCAAGACCCAGAAAATCTAAATTTTCCGGTTCGGGACTTGGAAAATCTGAATTTTTCATGAAAAATCCAATTTTAAAGCTCGGACTCTAGAAAATCGCCCCAGAGCTCAATTTTTCATGAAAAATCCAATATTTTCGGTCCTAAACCCATAAAATTGCTCCGAGAACCCAAAAACCGATATTTTTCGTCTCAAGACTTTCCAAGGTCTAATTTTTCATAAATAATTAAATTTTCAGGCTCTGAGCCGTGAAAATTGCTCCAAGAGCCTAAAAATCGATATTTTTCGTTTCATTAGCTCTCAAAACTCAATTTTTCATGAAAATGCCAAATTTGAAGCTTAGCAACCTGAAAAATAGCATTTTGTAATGAAAAATCGAATTTTTTCGGTCCTGAGCCCAAAAAATTGCTCCGAGACCCAAAAAATCGAAATTTTTCATGAAAAATTAAATTTTTCCACTCCAGGCCTCTGAAAATCCCCCCAAACCCCATTATTTTTTTCAGGGTAACTACCGTCAATGGCGCTACATCCACTGCCCAATTCCCCGCCAACGTGAAATCCACGACTCACTAACCAAAATGGTCGACGTGTGTTCCGAACGCAAAATCGCATCCGATCGCTACGTCAGCCGCTTGGCGTCTTCCGGTTGGCTTGCGGTAGTTGCCGCGTCAATCGAATGCGCGGCAAATGTTGCGCAATGTATTGCGGCGGACGCGGATGAAAAAGAGGTTCCGGTTGTGTTGCATGGCGGTGAGGGAACGGATACGACGTTGATTGCGTCGAGTTTGGCACAGATTATTTTGGATTCCGATGCCAGGACTATTAGGGGGTGAGAATTGGGGATTTTGGAGCGAAAAAATCGGATTTTTCATATTTTTTTGGTCCAGGAGCCTGAAAATCGCAATTTTGAGGTCTGAGAGCTGAAAATCCGGAATTTTCATATTTTTTTGGTCCAGGAGCCTGAAAATCGCAATTTTGAGGTCCGGGAGCTGAAAATTCTGAATTTTCATTAAAAATTGGATCTTGGGCTGATTTCTGGGCTCCAGGACTGAAAATTTCGAATTTTTCGTGAAAAATTTGGTCTTGAAGCGATTTTTCAGCTCCAGAAGCTTGAAAATCACATTTTCAAGGTTCTGGAGTTGAAAATTCGGATTTCTCATGAAAAATTTGGTCTTGGAGCGGTTTTTGAGTTCCAGGAGCTGGAAAATCGCATTTTCGAGGTCCTGATGCTGAAAATTTGAAATTTTCATGAAAAATTTGGTCTTGCAGCGATTTTTGAGCTCCAGGAGCTCCAGGAGCCTGAAAATCGCAATTTTGAGGTCCGGGACTTGAAAATTCGGATTTTTCATCAAAATTTGGGTCTTGGGCTGATTTTTGAGCTCCAGGACTGAAAATTTCGGATTTTCCGGGTCCCTGGCTTTTTTTTGAAGCATTGCTCAGGTTAAGAAAATTTGGAATTTTGAGGATTTTGAAGTATTGCTCAGGTTAAGAAACTTCGAAATTTTGAGGATTTTGAAGCATTGCTCAGGTTAAGAAAATTCTAGGATATAATGTTTTTGAGGATAAGGTTTTGTTAACCTGAGCAATGCTCTTAATTCCTGAGAAATTCGAATTTTTCTAACCTGAGCAATGCTTTGCAATTTAAAAAAATGAAAATTTTCATTTTCTTAACATGAGCAATGCTCTAAAATCCTGATATTTCCGAATTTTTCTAAATTTTGTTTAACATCAGCAATGCTCCAAAAATTAGAAATCTTTGGCTCAAAATTCTTTAACCTGAGCAATGCTCTAAAATCTTTAAAAATCGGAGTTTTTGGCTTAAAATTGTTTATTAACCTGAGCAATGCTCTGAAAATGTTCAAATTTAACCCAACATGCACCATTGCTCATCTTAAGCCCCCCAAATCAATGAATTTTGCAGTTTCGAAGCGGTCATCGAACGCGAATGGATATGCGGCGGTCATCCGTTCTCACTCCGCAACAATCATTCCGCGTACGCGGAAGGAACAATCACCGGACCATTCGAATCCCCGGTTTTCCTGGTTTTTTTGGATTGTGTCCATCAACTTCTTCAACAATATCCACTTTCCTTCGAATTCGACGAGCATTTTTTGATTTTCTTGTTCGAGCACACTTATGCCTCAGAATTCGGCTCATTTTTGGGCAATTCCGAAAAAGAGAAACGCGATTTTTCGGTGAAATCGAAAACGGTTTCACTTTGGTCACATGTTCATCATCCGGAAAATTTGAAGCAATTTGTCAATTTGTGCTATGATCCACGGCCTGGAGTCATTTGGCCAAGTATTGCACCGCAGAGCATTGTGAGTTTGATTTTTTTTTGGGGTTTGGGATCTTTAAACCCCGATTTTTCCGGTCCTGAGCTTTGAAAATCTGATTTTTCTGGTCCGGAACCTTGAAAATCTGATTTTCCCGGACCTGAACTTTGAAAATCCAAATTTTTTGCTTTGGGACCTTGAAAATCCGATTTTTCCGGGCTTGATCCTTGAAAATCTGATTTTTCCGGGCTTGAGCCTTTAAAATCCAAAATTTTCACATGTTTTCGCTTTGGGACCTAGAAAATCCGATTTTTCGGGCTTGAGCCGTGAAAATCCAAAATTTTCCCTCCAGAACTTGAAAAATCTGATTTTTCCGGGCTTGGGCCTTGAAAATCTGATTTTTCCGGCCCTGAACCTTGAAAATCCAAAATTTTCCCTCCAGAACTTGAAAATCCCATTTTTTTCATCCCGGGACCTTGAAAATCCAGATTTTCCGGGCTTGAGCCTTGAAAATCCAATTTTTCTGGGCTTCAGCCTTGAAAATCCAATTTTTCTGGGCTTGAGCCTTGAAAATCTGATTTTTAGCCTAAAATTTCACGAAATTACAAATTTTCAGCTCAGAAATTGTTTAACCTGAGCAATGCTCCAAAAATATTTTGAAAAAAAGCACATTTTTATAGCTAACATTTTTTCTTAACATGAGCAATGCTCCAAAATCCTCAAAAATTGCAATTTTCGGCTCAAATTTGATTAACCTGAGCAATTCTACAAAATATTCAAAAGTTGCAATTTTTCTAATATGAGCAATGCTCCAAAATCCTCAAAAATTACAATTTTTCTAAAATGAGCAATGCAAAATCTCTAATTTTTTAAAATTCTTAATTTTCACCTCAAAATTTGTTTAACCTGAGCAATGCTTCAAAATTTCAAAAAAAAATCTGCCAAACAATTTTCAGCACGAAAATTTGAAAAATCAAATTTTTCAAAGCCCTAGACCAATTTTCTATGAAAAAATCGATTTTTTCACCTTGGAACCTCCAAAAAACCAAATTTTACCCCGATTTTCAGCGTGTCTGGGAGCGTCTATTTTTCCGCTGGCAACGTCTCGAAAAATCGTGGTCCACACCGGAATCCGAAACAATTCAAAGTTTGGCCGACAACTGGAAATTACGCGAAAAAGAGCTGACAATGAAGGCAAATGCGCTCCGTCGAAATATTGTCGAACTAACTAGAGAACTTCGAGCATTATCCTAGAATTATTGATTTTTTCGATCTCATTTTGTATATAGCTTGCTTTTATTTATTTATTTATTGCATAAATATTGCTTTTTCAGCTGTTTTTCCCTAAAAAAACGCGAAATTTTGATGTTTTCAACAAAAAAAAAAGAAAAAATTGGGTGGCCGTGGCCTAGAAAACCAAACGCGGCGAGGTGTGTATTTCTCTCGGAGGATTGTTTTTCTCGATCGATTTTTTTTGTTTTTCAGGGCTATTAAAGGGTTAGGCTAATTGCCACGTGGCAATTCAGATGGAAACGTGAAGATTTTGAGAGGGGGCGCGTTGCGGTCACGCGCTGCGTGTCAAATTTCAGTTAAAGTGTTTCTAGGCCAAAAAATCGCGAAAAATTCAATTTTCATGGTCCCAAAAATTATTTTTAGCACAATTTCCACTTGCACGTGGTAGTTCTTTTACCAGTTGATAGTTTTTCGATAGTTTCCAAAGTTTTTTTGAGATATTTCCTACACTCTTCTGTTATAGTTACAAAATCATTGTATAGAATTTCCCGTTCACAATTGAATTTGTCTACCGGACCTTGAACATCGCAATTTTCCAGCCTTTTGTAGGACTGAAAAAAAATGGAGATTCACTGACGCAATTTTTGTAGCTTCTAGATTTGCTGACGCATTTCTAGTAGCTTTGAGATTTACCTCATAATAGTGTCCGCATTTTTTCGTGAGGTCAACTCCAGTTGTTGAAATTGGAACCAGAAAAATCAGAAATACAAAAAATCTCATCATTTTTGATGATTTTTTTTGCAGTTTTCAAGCTCTTCTTAAATATTCTTTGGGAATTTTATGTGGTCTAGACGATTTTTTTGCAAAATTTGTTTTGTTGATGTTTTGACACGTGGAAGAGCTACAAAAAATGCGTCAGCAACTTTAGAAGCTACCAGAAATGCGTCAGCAAATCTAGAAGCTACCTGAAATGCGTCAGTGAATCTAGAAGCTAGATCGAGCGGCTCTGCCGCGAGTGTAGACCGCAAGCTTCCGCGAAGCGGCACTGTCTTCCGCGTAGCGGCTATGCCTAGGCCCGAGCCTAAGGATCTGCCCAAGCCTAAGGCTCTGCCTAAGCATAAGGCCCTGCCTAAGCCTAAGACCCTGCCTAAGCCTCGAGCGGCTCAGCCGCGAGTGTAAACCGCAAGCTTCCGCGAAGCGGCACTGTCTTCCGCGTAGTGGCTACGCCTAGTCCCGAGCCTAAGGCCCTGCCTAAGCCTAAGGATCTGCCTAAGCCTAAGGCTCTGCTTAAGCCTAAGGATCTGCCTAAGCCTAAGACCCTGCCTAAGCCTAAGGCAGGAAATCTAGAAGCTCCACATTTTCAGATCTGAAATTAATTTCTGAAATTCTTCATACACGAAAAAATTCGTATTCAGGAACATTGAAAAAATTGAACATCAACATAACATCCATCGAATTTTCGCGTTGAACTTGAATATTCTGAAAAAAAAATGATTTTTACAAAATTTTGAAAAAAATTTTTAACATGAGCAATCCTGAATTCTTACCAGCATTTCATTCACAATTTTCATCATTTTTCCGATTCGCCACGCATAATTTCGGATGTTTTTCGATTTGTAGAATTCGTGTAGATCATCGCCGATTTTGGCGAGGAAGATTTCGGAAGCCGCCAAAGTTTGACCTCCCAATCTTCTGCAAAATATATATTTAGGCTTAGACAGGGCCTTAGGCTTAGGCAGAGCCTTAGGCTTGGGTAGGGCCTTAGGCTTAGACAGGGCCTTAGGCTTAGGCAGGGCCTTAGGCTCGGGGCTAGGCGTAGCCGCTACGCGGAAGACAGTGCCGCTTCGCGGAAGCTTGCGGTCTACACTCGCGCGAGGCGCTCGATCTAGCTTCTAGAGTTGCTGCCTTAGCCTTAGGCTTAGGAAGGGCCTTAGGCTTAGGCAGGGCCTTAGGCTTAGACAGGGCGGAAGCTTGTGGTCTACACATTTTTTGCATTTTATGTAATTTATTGTCACATTTAATTACAAAAAATGCATTTTTTTGCATTTCATGTATTTTCTTGTTACATTTAAATACCATAAATTCAAAAAAATTTACGCCAAGTAGGAGAAATACGTCAGGATTTTTGACAGCCTGAACAACATTTTCAAGAGTAGGCAAATTTAGGTGAGATTTTTGGTTGCCCCGAAAATTCTTGAAGTAGTGAAATTATGTCAGGATTTTTGACAGCCTAGAAAATCTCTAAAGTAGGAAAATTATGGTGTGATTTTTGACAACCCCAACAATTTTGTAATGTAGCCAGGAGAATTCTGTCAGGATTTTTGACAACCCCTAGATTTGCTGACGCGTTTCTGGTAGATTCTAGATTTGCTGACGCGTTTCTGGTAGATTCTAGATTTGCTGACGCGTTTCTGGTAGCTTCTAGATTTGCTGACGCGTTTCGAGTAGCTTTCCCACCTGGCCGCATAGATCCAGCAAATCTGCGTCAAAATCCACGTGGTTTCCTCAATTTCAAACCCGCACTCCACATATCTCCTCACAATAACCTCAAAATATTCGAGCATTTTCGAGCCGAAAAATCGGCGAATTTCCGATTTGCTCAAACTCGACACGGCCTTATAATCCACGTGATATTCACCGATTCGGGCCGCTTTTTCGTGCGATTGAACGAGGATTTTTTGATCGATCGATGTTTGGCCGAAAATTTCGGCCGTCATTGAGAAGCGCTCGAAACGACGCCAAACTGCCCACACGATTTTGAAAAATGCGACCTGAAATTCAATTTTTTGCTTTTCTTGTATTTTCATGTTACATTTAATTACAAAAAAATTCAATTTTTTGCTTTTCTTGTATTTTCTTGTTACATTTAATTACAAAAAATTCAATTTTTTGCATTTCTTGTATTTTCTTGTTATACAATAAGTTCAAAAAATTCCACTAAAAATTTTTTGGGGTTGTCAAAAATCACACCATATTTTTCCTACTCCTGAAAATGTTAAGGGTGTCAAAAATCCTGACATTATTTTCCTACTTTGGACATTTTTGAGGCTGTCAAAATTCCTGACATTATTCTCCTACTTGGGGTAAATTTTGGAATTTTTTGAATTTATTGTATTTAAATGTTACATTTTATTACGAAAAATGCAAAAAATTGCATTTTTCGTAATAAAACGTGACAAGAAAAGCAAAAATTGCATTTTTTGTATTTAAATGTGACAAGAAAATACAAGAAATGCAAAAAATTGAATTTTTGTAATTAAATGTTACATTTTATTACGAGAAATGCAAAAAATTCCAAATTTTCAAAATCCTCACCCTCTCATGAAACGGCAAATCCCTAAACTCTTTCATATACATCAAAAACTCTGCAGTCTGTGTCATTTGAAATTCCCAAAACACAAAAATCTCGGAAAAATCGATATGCTCAAAAAATTGCAGCTCTTGCGCACCTTTCTGCTGGCCTCTTTGATTTTTCAGAATTTTTGTCAGCTTCTGAAGCGCATTCAGCGGCTCCAGAATCTCATCTTGACACATGTAATACATTCCGAGGATACGTGTGGATCTTTGAAGAATCACTGATAAATCGACGGGTTTTGGAGCATTTGTGGGCTCTTCGAGGCGAATTTCTGAAAAAATCATTGAAAAATTCGAAAATTTTGGAATTTTTTTGAATTTATGGTATTTAAATGTAACAAGAAAATACAAGAAATGCAAAAAAATGCGATTTTTGTAATTTAATGTCACATTTTATTACGAGAAATGCAAAAAATTGAATTTTTGTAATTAAATGTTACATTTTATTACGAGAAAAGCAAAAAATGCATTTTTTGTAATTAAATGTTACATTTTATTACGAGAAATGCAGAAAATTAAAAAAAATGAACCCCGGAAAATTCCCCAAAAACTGTGCCAGGTTTGCAAAAAAGGGGCGTGGCTTACTTTCGGTGCTCATTCCAAGCTCCACACATTTTTTCAGCCTACAAAATCGACACACCAAAAATTTCCGGCAATTTCCCGATTTTTCGACACATTTCGATGAATTTCGTCCCAACACGGTGGTTCGTCTGAAAAAAAAATTTGAATTTTTTTTTTGAAATTTTTTGCGCGGCAAAAGCTCACCTGAAAAATGCGGCGCATGCGCGACACGCTTCCACGCCAAAATGCCGGCCGTGTGCCGCATTTTCGCCGCAAATTTGACACGCGGGATTCGGGTGACACGTGGCGAGAAGTGCGGCGGGAGAGTTCATTTTTGAAAATCGATAAAAAAAATGTGTGAGAGAGAGAGAGAGAGAGAGAGAGAGTAAGAGACGCAGAGACGCAGAGCAAAATCGTATTGTTTACTTTTCAAAAATGTTTGATAGGAGGAGAAATTGATAGCGAAAAATGCGTCAGCAAATCTAGAAACTACAAAAAACTCAAAATCCCGTGCTTTTGGTGTGATGTGATTGGAATTTTTTGAATTTATGGTATTTAAATGTAACAAGAAAATACAAAAAATGCAAAAAATACAAAGAATGCAAAAAAATGCAAAAAATGCAAAAAAATGAGTGACATGAATTTACAAGATATGCAAAAAAATGCATTTTTTGTAATTAAATGTTACATTTTATTACCAGAAATGCAAAAAATTGAATTTTTGAAATTAAATGTCACATTTTATTACGAGAAATGCAAAAAATTGAATTTTTTAAATTAAATGTCACATTTTATTACGAGAAAAGCAAAAAATGCATTTTTTGTAATTAAATGTTACATTTTATTACGAGAAATGCAAAAAAATACATTTTTGTAATTGAATGTTACATTTTATTACGAGAAATGCAAAAAATTCCAAATTTTCGCTGCCTGCACGTCTTTTTATCAAAAAATCTTTATTAAATCAATGTACAGATGGCTTATTCTGATCCTTCAAGAATTCTCCCATCGCATCTCCCAATTCAATAAATTGATGTGTCACATTCATAACCAATACCAAAACTGTGAAAAACAAAAATGTTCTTTCGATATTCTTCCGAGTTATCCGGTAAACATGAGCAATGTTGTTAAAGTGGCGATTCTCACGGCTTCTTTGAATCATTATCTGTGAGACTTCTGAATTTTCTTGAAGTGATTTTGAAGACATCAGGATTCTAGATGTTTTTTGCATTGCTTCATTGATCATTGCTTGTGGATATAAAAGCATTGAAGTTATAACAATTGTAGAAATCGATAGGAATAAATTGCAGAAAAAATATAACAAAGGTCTATCGGAACTGTTCACTGAAGTGATATAAGATCCATTCAGAACTGCTACAAGGATCAGGAAACTGGCATTATTCAAAAGTTGATTGAATCTGGAGATGGTGAAATTCGTGAAGTTTTGGAGGATCAATTGACGATCGGCGAATTTTTGGAGAAGTTCTGGGCTCTTCTGAAGATCAGGGTGGTCGAGAGATTCTTCGAGTTCAATGTTGAATACATCGATTTCTCTTCTGATCGCTGAATGGAGAAGGATGTGAATTGGAAGATAGAGGAAGTGAACGTAGAAGCAGAAGATTGAGATGATGAAGTCGTAGGTGGGGTACCACGTGGAATATTGGGTGCTGCAAAAAAGGCTGGGTTTGTTGGGCTAAGGCAGGGCCGTAGGCTTGGGCATAGGCGTAGCCGCTACGCGGAAGCTTGCGGTCTACACTCGCGCTAAAAGCGCTCGAGCCTTACATCTAGGCTTAGGCAGGGCCTTAGGCTTAGGGCCTTAGGCTTAGGGCCTTAGGCTTAGGGCCTTAGGCTTAGGGCCTTAGGCTTAGGGCCTTAGGCTTAGGCAGGGCCTTACGTAATTTTTGTAACCAAATGTGACATGAATTTACAAAAAATGCAAAAAATTGAATTTTTTGTAATTAAATGTTACATTTTATTACGAGAAATGCAAAAAATTCCAAATTTTCGTTGCCTGCGAGAATTTTCATGGGGGGGGGCTAAGGCTTAGGCAAGGTCTTAGGCTTAGGCAGGGCCTTAGGCTTGGGCCTAGGCGTAGCCGCTATGCGGAAAATAGTGCCGCTTCGCGGAAGCTTGCGGAGACATTTTACAAAAAAAAATCCACGTGGAATTTTCTCGGTATTTTTGGAGCCTGCAGAGCTCTGGATTAAAATTTTTCAGAATTTTTGGATCTGAAAACATGGTCCAGAATTTTGAGCTAAAAATCTGTTGCCACGTGGATTTCTGAAGGAAAATTTCAAAATTTTCCAAATTTTTTTTCAATTTTGAAAAATTGGGGAATTTTTTCCACGTGGATTTCAAGGAAAAAATCTTTTAGCTTCTAGATTTGCTGACGCATTTCTTGTAGCTTCTAAATTTGCTGACGCATTTATACAAGCTTATACATTCACTGACGCATTTCTGGTAGCCTCAAAAAAACTCACGTTCCAAAAATCACCAGCTTATTAGCCAACAAATAAACCGCCGATCCCAAAATCGAAACTCCGATCAAAATAAGCCATAAAAACAGTCTGAAGTGTACACCTTTGTAATTGTCCAATTTTTCGTGGTGGGGTTTAATCTGGAAGAAAAATTTTTTTGGAATTTTTTTTGATAAGAAAAAATCGTTGATTTATTGGTCTTTTGATAAGAAAGTTCGGAAAATCGGAAAAATTTGGGCCTTCAGGCCTTCTAGGCCCAGGCCCAGGCCCAGGCCTTCCACTTACCCTCATCATCTTCATAATTCCAATATTTTTCTCCAATTTATTTACACTATCCACTGAAGTCATTCGAGAGATCGCAATCAGCAGGGAAAATGATTCGAAGGTCAGAAATGCGTAGAGATTCGCTTCAGACCAGCCAAGAGTTAGAAACTGGAAAAAATTGGAATTTTTTGAATTTCTTGTTACATTTAATTACAAAAAATTCGATTTTCTGAATTTTTTGTAATAAAATGTAACACTTAATTACCAAAAATTTGAAAAATTGAAATTTCTGAATTTCTTGTAATTACTTGTAGTAAAATGTAACACTTAATTACAAAAAATTTGAAAAATTGAATTTTCTGAATTTCCTGTAAAAAAATGTAACATTTAATTACTAAAAATTTTAAAAATTGAATTTTTTGCATTTCTCGTAATTTCTTGTAATAAAATGTAACAAAAAAATACAAAAAATTCCACTCACATCACAATTTGTTCGAAAAAGCAGCCAATAAATGCGGAAAAGCATTGCAAAAAATACGGCGAGCGAAAAAAGTGAGCACGGGATTTTGGTGAAGCCTGGCGAGCAGTTGAATGGCGAGAATCTGGAAAATTTTGGGGTTAGTGTTTTGCTGACGCATTTTTTGTAGCTTCTAGATTTGCTGGCGCATTTCTGGTAGCTTAACCAACCTCCAAAAAATCTTCCATCCTCCAAAAATATTCACAATTTCAGCTGAACCCGAATTCTCCACGTCTTGCCACATTTTTTTCTAGTTTAACTAGATTTTTTCTGATAGAAAATAGTAAATGAAAATGAAAAAAGTGAAATATGAGCATGTTTATAAGCTCTCAAAATACCGTGTTCATAAAGTCACAAAATTGGACACAGAACAAAATGATTCACATTTTTCTCTATTTGTATTGTATTATCTCTGATTCTCTTATCTCTACGCCAATTTTTGTTTGATTTTTTGAAAAAAACATTTTTTTATTCGTCACTTGAAAACTTTTTGAGCTTTGAGAATTTCTAAATATTTATTTACTCACTTTTTTTGGTTTTGATCTATGGTGAGGCACGCGAAAAACAAAAAAAAAGAGAAAAAGTTCCAACTGGGGTTTGAACCCCTCGACCCTTCTCTCACAGATCCCCTACTTTACCAATACACCATTTGAAGTAGCGCTCAGCAGGACTCGATCCAGGACCTTGTGCTTGCGAAAATTTTTAGATCTTTGATTTTTTGTTTCGCTGGTTTTGTTTGATTTGAGTAATTTTCGGAAAATTTCAAAATATTTACTTAATTTTCAAATTGATCTATGAGCCAGACAAAAATTAGCGAAAAAAGTTTTTTGGGAAAACTTTTTGATCATAAGCTCAACTCTCTCTAGGCCTAAAACATATATTTCCAGATCAATTTTTTATGCTGAAAATGCTGGAATCGCTTAAAATGAGCAATTCCAATATTTTCAGCACAAAAAATTGATCTAGAAATGGTTAACTCAAAAATATGTGACCCCCCTTAAAATAGTGGAAATTCCTTCTGACCACAAAAAAATCTCCCAAAAAATTTCTGGACCAATTTTTCGAGCTGAAAACGCTGGAATTGCCCATTTTCAGCAATTCCACCATTTTCAGAACGAAAAATTGATCTAGAACTTTTTTCCATGAAAATATGTGACCCCCCTGAAAATAGTAGAAATTCCTTCTGACCACAAAAAATATCCAAAAAAAATTTCTAGTTCAAGTTTTCATGCTGAAAATGCTGGAATCACTTAAAATGAGCATTTCCAGCGTTTTCAGCACGAAAAAATATCTAAAAGTTCAAAAAACCTACAGTATTTAGTTTTGAAAATATCACCAAAAATGTCAAAAAATAATTATAGCTTCTGGTTTTTTTTCCAAAGCAAAGCAAAAAATAAATCAATTTTTTCTCATTTTTCTAAAAAATGTTCAAACTATACGCATTGCTCATATTAATCTTCCAAATTTCTGTTGTATTCTCAAAAATCAAAATAATAATTCCGGAAGAAGAAGCGCAACGTAATGTGTTCACCTTGTACGAAAATGTGTATATAAATCAATCTACAGTAGCTCTGCCAAATTTGGACCGAATTATCAGAAATTTTCAAAGTGTCTATATTTCTGGTGATATTAAAATATCTCAAAGGGAATTATCGATTTTTTTCGAAAATATCGAAACTTTTGAAGGAGAAATTGTGGTGGATTCGACGAATTTGAAAAGTTTATCGTTTTTTAAGCCATATTTTGTGAATGGAGATTTAGATACGCATAGTAAGTTGAATTTTTCGCGCTGAAAACGCTGGAATTGCTCATTTTAAGCATTTCCAGCGTTTTCAGCTCGAAAAATTGATCTAGAAACTTTTTTTTTTGTGGTCAAAAGGAATTTCCACTATTTTCAGGGGGGTCACATATTTTTCGAAAAAATATATTTAGATCAAATTTTGCGCTGATAACGCTGGAAATGCTTAAAATGAGCAATTCCAGCGTTTTCAGCATGAAAAATTGATCTAGGAATTTTTTTTGGAGATTTTTTGTGGTCAAAAGGAATTTCCACTATTTTCAGGGGGGTCTCATATTTTTTTTGCAAAAAATTTTTCTAGATCAATTTTTCATGCTGAAAACGTTGGAATCACTCAGAATGAGCAATTCCAGCATTTTCAGCTCGAAAAATTGATCAGGAAACTTTTTATTTGAGGTCAGAAAGAATTTCCATTATTTTCAAGGGGGGTCACATATTTTTATAGAAAACATTTCTAGATCAATTTTTCATGCTGAAAACGTTGGAATCACTTAGAATGAGCAATTCCAGCATTTTCAGCACAAAAAAATCGATATTTCCAGTTGGAATAACAATCACAAACAATGCAAATCTCACCGAAATAGGCATCGATTTCGAGTCGTGCCGATTTTGTTACCAGAAAATCCGCATCGAAAACAATGCGCAGCTGGATTTACGCGACGAATGCGACAATATCATTGCGCACTACGGTACATTGCGACAAATTTCGGACAATGTTTATGATTGTGGTTGTGAGCTGAAGAATAATCAGAAGTTGTCCGTTTTTATTGAGAAGAAGCTGAAATTGAATCCGGCGTGTGATTGGATTTTTGGAAATATTTCGATTGATTCGAGCTATGATTATGAGTATTTGAGTGGGTGGAGAGGGGACGCGGAAGGTGGCGGAAGCATGCGGAAGCTTGCGGTTCACACTCGCAAAAATCCACGTGGCAAATTTCTTGAGCCTTAGCCTAATTAGGCCATATAAGGACCTACCTAAGCCTAAGGTCCTGCCTAAGACTAAGGCCCTACCTAAGCCTGAGATCCTGTCTAAGCCTAAGGCCCTGTCTAAGCCCCTTTAAGGCCTATCTAACAAGCCTAAAAGCCCCCAATTTTCAGCAGAAAATCTGAAAAACATCACCAGACTAACCGGCGGCTTATCGATTATTTCCACGTCATTTCCGGACTTCAAATTCCTCCAAAACCTAAAAATCATCGAAAATCCGCAAACGTCGGATTTTGTGCCAACAATAGTCATCAAAAACAACACGGCACTCAAAACATTGGGATTTAACGTAACTCGAAAAGGTGTGAACCTGGTGATTTCCGCAAATCCGCTTCTTCAATTGGCGGACGCGGAATTGGTCGGCATGTTTGCGGAAGAGTGTCCGGATTCGGATTTGGATGGATTTGAGATAACTTTTGGGTCGGGAATCGAGAGAGCTGAAAATGGGATTTGTAGAGTTCCGGATGATGGAAGTTTTGAGGTAAGTGAGTTGCGCTATGCTGCCACGTGGCAAATATTTTCGCGCTGAGAAATGCTTTGACTGCGTACCTTATGTTGTTGTTTACATTGGATACTCAGTCAAGAGTTGTTTTCACTCAACATTTAACTGTGTACCTACCATTCACGTGGCAAATTTGAATTTCGAAAATTCTCTAGCCTCTCTGCGTCTCTAACCCTTTAGCCTCTCTGAGTCTCTACAAATCCAATGTGCTCTAGTTGTCTGGCTTCTCTGCACTCTCTCCATTCTCTATACTCTCTAGCTGTCTCGCGCGAAGCGCCCCGGAATCTACCGCGAAGCGGCTCGAGCGGAGCGAGTGTACCTCCATCTGCGTCTCTAACTCTCTAGCCTCTCTGTGTCTCTTCAAGTTCTATGCACCCTAGTTGTCTAGCTCCTCTGCGTCTCTAACTTTTCAATGTTCTTTAGCTATCTGACCGTTTTTTACCTAGAGCCAGTTTAGTTCCCTCTACGTCTCTAACTCTCTCAAATCCTATACTCTCTAGCAATCTTCCCCGTAAGCGGCTCGAGCGGAGCGAGTGTATGTTCCTCTGCGTTCCTAGCTTTTCTGTGTCTCTAGTCATCTAGTACCTCTCTGCGTCTCTAACCTCAAATTCTTGCAGACCCTCCCCGATGGCTGTGTTTACCTCATCGGCAACCTCATAATCCAAAACGCCTTCAACTTCGAAAAATCCTACAAACTCCACAAAATCGAATCAATCTTCGGAAGTCTCACCATCAAAAACACCAACATCCGTCGTCTCACTTTCGCTCCAAATCTCCGCAACATCTTCTCCACCCGCCAAAATCAAACACCAATCGAAGTCTCAAATAACACCGAGTACTGTCATGCCATCTATTTCCAGCAATTCGGTCAGATTCAGAGTTCTCAGAAGGTCGTGTGGAGAGATAATCCGAAGCTGATCATTGATGAATTCTCGTGCTCCGCCTGGTTTTCGTCACGTGGCGGAGCACCGATTATTGAGGGAAATCGAGTGAATTGTGAGCAACACGATCTGACACATATTCTCAATCTCAATGTCGATTTCTTCGAAGGCGCTCCGAAGTTCCAGGATTCACCGTACTCTAATCAAATGCCAGTATTAGATGGAGATTATTTTCCTGGAAGAAATCAAAATTCTGAAGATGAAGATGAGGCTACAGAAATTACGGTAACTCAGGAAAACCTGGGGACCATTGGAAATTGCATGTTAATGTTTGTGCAGTTTTTAATCATTTTTATTTTTGATTTTTGATTTCTAAAATAAAATTTTGTCTAACAAAAAGTTTTCCGTTAAAAAATTCAAAAAAATTTTTTTTGTTCAATTCTCAAAATTGTTGAGGTACAGTACACTTTGCAGTTCGGAATTAACAGTCAAAGTAGCTCTTACAGTTCGCCTACAGTACTTCTTGCAGTCTGGAACCTATTGTACCTTCAAGTTAAGCTACCCCCTTTTTGACTATCTAATTTTGACCCCAGAAAATTTCTAGATCAACTTTTCGCGCTGAAAATGCTGGAATTGCTCATTTTAAGCAATTCCAGCGTTTTCAGCAAGAAAAATTGATCTAGAAACTTTCAGCCTAAAGATTTTGTGGTCAGAAGGCCCAAATACCATTTTCAGGGGGGTGGTCACATATTTTTTTGAAAAATATTTCTAGATCAATTTTTCGTGCTGAAAATGCTGGAACTGCTCATTTCAAGCAATTCTAGCGTTTTCAGCATGAAAAATTGATCTAGAAATTCTCATCCTGAAGATTTTGTGGTCAAAGGTTCAACCACTATTTTCAGGGGGGTCACATATTCTTGCAAAAAATATTTCTAGATCAATTTTTCGCGCTGAAAATGCTGGAATTGCTCATATTAAGCAATTCCAGCATTTTCAGCACGAAAAATTGATCTATAGGTTTTTCTGTCTAGAACATTTCATATTGTTCAAAAATCAAAACATTATCATAATCTTCTCAAAACTTATAAATACAACGTGGTCAAACATTCAAAAAATTGTGATTTTTTTGAAATTTACGCTAGCTTCCGCGAAGCGCCCCGGAATCTTCCGCGTAAGCGGCACGAGCGGAGCGAGTGTAGTTCCCTCTGCGTCTCTAGCCGTCTAGCTTCTCTGCACTCTCTCAAAACCCTAGGCTCTCTAGCAATCTCGCGCGAAGCGCCCCGGAATTTTCCGCGTAAGCGGTCCGAGCGGAGCGAGTGTATCTCCCTCAGCGTCTGCGGTAGCTAAGCGGAAGCCCGCGCTAAAATCACCCCACCTCACCAAAACCACAGAACAAAAAAATAACAAAAAATAAAACTTCTTCTTCTCTCCACGTTGGTCTCACATGGTCTTACGATCATTAGGTTCAAAACGAAAATATTTTCGGTTTTTTTTCTTCGCGCAGAAGATTTTGTTGTGTTCTATGGATGATTGATGCGTTTGATCGAAAACGTGATCGCCACATTTTTCTTCGTTTTGTTCGTTGGTTTCTTGCAAAGTGCCTAGAAACTATGTTTGGTCTAGTTGGTTTTAGGCGAGAGTGCAGAGAAGCTAGAGGGTTAGGGACGAAGATGGACATACACTCGCTTCGCTCGAGCCGCTACGCGGAATATTCCGGGGCGCTTTGCGCAAGCTTGCTAGAGAGCAGAGAAGCTAGACAACTAGAAAGCAGAGGACTTGTAGAGACGCAGAGAGGCTAGAGAGTTAGCGACGTAGAGGAATCTAGGCTGGACTTTCGTATATACCTTACATTAGGGACATTATGATCTAGCTTAACCTCTAGATCTAGCCCAGAATCTACTGATTTTCGTCAAGCTTCTACTGAACTTAAAGATCTTTCAACTAGACCTTAAGAATCTTATAATCTAGCTTGAGCTGAACTTCTAGAAGCTCTAGAAATTCCAAAATCTCATCTAGCTCCCAAGTTATCCCAAATCTAGCCTACAAAAACACGCCAAATGACCGCAGTGAACAATTTCTTGCATAAACCCCGCCTCTCTTTCACTTTGATTTTTTGCTGGTTCACTGGACTTCGAAGATCATGATTCTTGCAAAAGATCAGCTAGACCATCAAAACAGACAGTAGTTCGAAGGGAATTTTCCGGCCCCCAGAAAACAGATCAGAAGATCTCATCAATTTATCAATCCATTGTACCTTTCAGTAGATTTCAAACAAGTTAGCCTAACTCCTTTGAAGCCTAAGCCTAAGTCTAAGCATGGACTAAAGCCCAAAGTGATAAATCAAAAAGTTTCCAAAGTTTGGTACCTATGATCTTTATCTCTCTTTCTCTGCGTCTCTTTCTCTCTGTTTAGAGAAAACAACAAACAATGTGTTGGTTCTGTGTTGATAAGACGGAAAAAAGAAGATCTGTGTTTTTGTGGTCGATGATGGGTTACTGTAGGGAAATGGAGTTAGAAGAACTTGAATTGGACAAGTTTTTCACGCTGAAAACAGTGGAAATTCTTAAAATGAGCAATTCCAGCATTTTCAGCGCGAAAAATTGATATAGAAATATTTTTGCAAAAATATGTGCCCCCCCCCCCCTGAAAATAATGGTCAAACCTTCAGTACACTAAATCTTTAGGCTGAAAGTTCCTAGATCAATTTTTTATGCTGAAAACGCTGGAAATGCCTAAAATGAGCAATTCCAGCATTTGCAGCTCGAAAAATTGATCTAGAAACTTTTTTTTGTAGCCAGAAGGAATTTCCACTTTTTCAGGGGGGTCACATATTTTTCGCAAAAATATTTCTAGATCAATTTTTCTTGCTGAAAATGCTCATTTCTAGCAATTCCAGCATTTTCAGCGCGAAGAATTGATCTAGAAATATTTTTGCAAAAATATGTGACCCCCCTGAAAATAGTGGTCAAACCTTCTGTATCGTTGGACAGAAAGTTTCTAGATCAATTTTTCTCGCAGAAAACGCTGTAATCACTAAAATTGAGCAATTCCAGCGTTTTCAGCTCGAAAGATTGATCTAGAACGTTTTCTGGCTAGAAGTTCGAGCCCTCTTCCTTCTGAGTCGAGCCCCCTTGCTCAGGGGGCAATATTTTCCACACAAAAAGTTCTTGACCAATTTTCCACGCAGAAAACGCTGGAATTGCTTAAAATTAGCAATTCCAGCGTTTCTAGCTGGGGAAATTGATCCAGAAACTTTGTGGTTCGAGGTACTCATTCTTCATGCAGAACAAAAATTTCTAGATCAAGAACCTCCTCCGAATCCCATGCTTCTCTAGTTCAATCACAACTCCAGCACAATCAGCACAGAACATCCATTGAACGCCTAAACTTTAGTCCAAATACGTAGCTGTATATGATCTGAACCCTTTGGTTTTATTTTTGCGCGCGCGAAGAAGTTCGGTTCAGCGTTGATCACATGTGCGTTCCCAAATCCCGCCCACCTCTTCTCACATTTCACTTATCATTCATTCCTTATATATATAATAGGGTATTTTCCCATACAGAAACTTCAACAATCAAAAATGGGCTGTTGGGGAAACTACTATCGCCTTCTGGTGCTTGTCGTCGGCTTCGTTTGCCTCTCCTCAGTATGCTCGAATTACATTGTCATCAATTTCACACTAATCTGTATGAAGAACGATTTCACCAATGCAATTCAAGACGCTAATGGTACACTTCATAGTATCTATGATTACACGGCAAGTGAGAAGAAATGGATCATGTGGTCAGTTGCATTGGGAACAATTCTTGGTACCATCCCAATCAACCTTCTCTACATCAAATTCGGTGCTCGCTACCCATTCTTTGTCGCCGGTATGACTTCAGTTATCTCAACCGCATTGATTCCATGGGCCGCCTCATTCAATTTCTACGTCCTTCTCCTTCTTCGCTTCATGCAAGGTCTCGCATACTCCGCCGATTTCGCCGCAATCGGTTTAATCACTGTGCGATGGGCGCCGCTTTCGGAAACCGCGACATTTATCGCAGTGATGACGTCATTCACCGGAATCTCATCGGCTATCACGAATCCGGTAACTGGTTTGATTTGCGAGAGTTCTTTGGGATGGAAATACTCGTTCTATGGGCATGCGCTAGTTGGTTTCATATTATTTGTGATTTGGACGATTATTTATGTCGATCATCCACAGGATACGCAAAGAGTTTCGTCTCGCGAATTGACTAAGATTGAGAAGAATAAGTCGGCTGCTCATTTGGACAAGAAAGCTAAGGTTCCATATGCGGTGAGTTTTTTGGGTGATTTCTTCTTTAAATTCTGGTCCTGGGGGGAATTTCTACGGAAAATTCGATTATTCCGAGTCTTAGAGCGATATTCATCCTCCCAGTTTGAAAAAAAAATCGAATTTTTCATGAAAAATTGGCTTCTGGGATAGTTTTTGAAGTCCTAGAGGTGGGAAACCGGATTTTTTCATGATTATTACCTCTTGACGATATTTCAACGGTCCTAGACGGAAAAAATCGATTTTTTCATGCAAAACTAGGCCTGGAAAAGCTTTTTGGGGGCCTAAAGCTGAAAAAAGCAAGAATGAAATGCGTCAGTCAATTCGCTCTTGACGCATTCTGTGTGCATCTAAAAAATCAATTTTCCCATCTTCCAGAAACTCCTCACAAGTCCAGTCATCTGGTGTGTCTGGTTCAATGCCTTTTTCGAAATGTCGGCCGTCATCATCTTCTCCACATATACACCAATCTACTTCCACGAAGTTTTGAAATTCAACGTGACCGAGACTGGCTTCTACGTAGCATTGGTGTTGTTCTTGTGGATTCCGGTTCGATATGTCACAGCTATTATGAGTGATAAGATCAAGTAAGTTGTTTTTCTCTTCACTTTTTTCAACACCTTCGGTTATCAATCAGTCTTGTGAGAGAGAGAGAAATGTTGATCTTGGGTTCAAATTTTTGGTTATTTATGAGTGTAATAATGATCATATGGGTTACTTTTTTCGTATTTGAGAAACTAAACAGTGATTTTTTGGAAGAAATTCGGGTGTAGAACCTTAAAATATCGATTTTTGATGATTTTCCGCGGTTTCTATTGTCTAGAAACCCGAATTTTCGTTAAACATAGCCTAGAAACCCAAAATCACTCTTGTCATAGTAAAAAAACGTTTCCTGGGACTGGGTCCGCAAACACCGTGTCGTAAAAATGCACAGAAAACTTGCTGGCGACTTGCCAAGCGTTTCATAGGCCTGCAAATGTCAGTAGAGCCTTCCACGTAGCAATAGAACCTTGCCACGTGTCATTAAAAGCTTCCACGTGTCAGTAGAACTTTCCACGTGACAATAGGAGCTTCCACGTGGCAATATAACCTTGTCACGTGTCAGTAGAGCCTTCACGTGGCTATAGAACCTTGCCACGTGTCATTAAAAGCTTCCACGTGTCACGAGAACTTACCACGTCTCGCTAGAAGCTTACACGTGTCATTAACACTTTCCATGTGTCAGTAGAACTTTCCACGTGTCACAAAAACCATTGCGTGACGCGTTGCGTGTGTGCGAAGCGTGTGATTCAACCAAATCAACTCTGTTTCTTCTTACAGAGGCATCAACGAATTGCTCAAAATCATGATCTTCAACACAATTGCCGTCGGTTGCTCCGGCGCCCTTTTCGCCGCCATCGGCTTCATCCCAATGGAACATCGCTACGTCTCGCTGACGGTCTTCATCCTCGTAATGTGTTGCGTCGGCGTCAACTCGGGCGGTTTCTACAAATGCGGTGTTCTTCACGCTCGTCAATTCTCACACGTCGTCATCGCCGCAATTCAATGGATGAAATGTTTGGCCTTGTTCTCCGCTCCAACTCTTGTCGCAATTTTCGTCGCTGACGAATCTGATCGTGGACAATGGTTCTGGGTATTTATGGTTTTGGGAGCTGCGATGGTTGTGATCAATTTCATCTCGTATTTCATGTTCACAATTGAGGCTGCACCATGGACTGAACCAGATTGGAAGGAAAAACAACAACAAAATCGGGTGGCTGATTTGAATTTGAGCAAATGTTGAAGATTTTGTAATAACTCAGGAAACGTGTATATTCTTATGATCTTTTGCCAGCTTGTATATATTTTGACAATAAAACAAATTTCACTAAATTTTTGGCATAGTTTTCCGCGTATGAAATTTTCAGATATTCGAATTTCAGAAAAATTCAAATTTTGACCATAGCTTCCGCTGAAATTCCAATAAAAATTTGAAAAATTCTAGAATCTTCAGATTTTTATTCGAATTTCAGAAAAAATTCAAATTTTGAGCATAGCTTCCGCATCTTCGCTGAAATTCCAATAAAAATCTGAAAACTGCTAGAATTTTCAGATTTTTACTCGAATTTCAGAAAAATTTGGGCATAGCTTCCGCATCTCCGCTAAAATTCCAATAAAAATCTGAAAAATGCTAAATTTTCAGATTTTTATTCGAATTTCAGAAAAATTTAAATTTTCGGCATAGCTTCCGCTGAAATTCCAATAAAAATCTGAAAACTGCTAGAATTTCCAGATTTTTACTCGAATTTCAGAAAAATTCAAATTTTGGGCATAGCTTCCGCTGAAATTCCAATAAAAATCTGGAAACTGCTAGAATTTTCAGATTTTTATTCGAATTTCAGAAAAATTCAAATTTTGGGCATAGCTTCCGCTGAAATTCCAATAAAAATCTGAAAACTGCTGGAATTTTCAGATTTTTATTCGAATTTCAGAAAAAATTGGGCATAGCTTCCGCATTTCCGCTGAAATTCCAATAAAAATCTGAAAACTGCTAGAATTTTCAGATTTTTACTCGAATTTCAGAAAAATTTGGGCATAGCTTCCGCATCTCCGCTGAAATTCCAATAAAAATCTGGAAAATGCTAGAATTTCCAGATTTTTTCTTCGAATTTCAGAAAAAATCAAATTTTGGGCATAGCTTCCGCTGAAATTTCAATAAAAATCTGGAAAATGCTAGATTTTTCAGATTTTTTTCAGATCTTCAAATTAACAAAACACAATTAGATCTCTAAAATTTTATTGACCTACAAAAAATTCAAAAACTACCGGGTGAAAAGGTGCAAAAAAGTTCGGGAAGAAAATTAAATTATGACCTATTTAGAAAATAGTCTATTACACACAAGAAAAATAGAGAGTAGAAAATTATTTGAAATAGACAAAAGGGTCACGGTATTTTGCGCCAAACTTTAGAACATTTAAGAAATAAATAGGTTTAGAGCAACATGGTGTGCGGCTTCTCGAGGAACTCTTTGAAGTGACGAAGCCAGACGGCTCCGACTGCTCCGTCGACTGTTCGATGATCGCAGGATAGTGTGACTTTCAGTGTTTTCACCTTTTTGTATCTGAAAATTTGGATTCGGAATAAAATAATAAGAATTAATTGAAAATTAATAAAAAATTATAAATTAAATAAATAAAAAATAAAAAGTTAGTTTTCCTTCAGCGTTTTTTTTTTGAAAACTCAAAAATGTGCAAATATTTGCACACGTGGAGGAGCCCACTCACCCCTCATTCTCATCAGGTACCAATTTATCCTGCGCTCCACCAATCGCCAAAATACACGATTGTGGTGGATTGATAATGGCGGTGAAATCGCTGACACTTCCAAACATGCCCAAATTCGACACGGTGAATGTGCCACCTTGGAATTCGTGTGGTTGCAATTTTCCTTCGCGTGCTCGCTGAGCCAATTCGACAATTTCGGAGGCGATTGTGGCGAGACCTTTAGCGTGGGCATTGAAGATGATTGGGGTGATCAAACCGGCTGGTGTGCTGACAGCGACTGAAACATCGACATGATGATTCTCGCGGATGAATGAATCCATCCAATAGCTGTTGGCTTCTGGAACTCGTTGACAGGCTAAAGCTGACGCTTTGATGATGAAATCGTTGATGGAGATTTTTGTGGCGTTTCCGGATGTGCCTTTGGCCAACAATCCATTCAATTTTTCGCGAACTCTGGAAGTTTTGATGTTAAATTGGATCTTTGATGTTTTTTTTCGAGTCCTGGACCGAAAAAAATCGGTTTCTGATGAAAATTTGGGCCCTGGGGGATTATTGATGATCCCAGTGGGATTTTTTATGAAAAATTGACTCTCGCATAGATTTTTTGGTCTCCTGAACCGAAAAATAGACTTTGGAAGCGATTTCTGAAGTTTCGGACAAAGAAATTGAGTTTTGAAGCAATTTTTAGAGTCAAGGGCCGGAAAATAAGGTCTTGACGCGATTTTTTCGCCCCTAGCATAGAAAAATTTGGTTTTTGAGCAATTTTCCAGCTCTTAGACCAAAAAAATCGATTTTTCCTATGAAAAATGAGTCTTGAAACGAATTTCCGCCTTCTAGACCAAAAAAATCAGATTTTCAACGAAAAATTTGGTTTTTCAGCAATTTTCATGCTCCCAGAACTTAAAAATAAATTTTCACATGAAAAACCAGGTCTTGGAGCGATTTTCTAGCTCCAAAACCGAAAAAAATATATTTTTTATGAAACATTCGGTCTTGGAGCTAATTTTCCTGCTCCATGACCAAAAAAATCGACTTTTTCACAAAAAAATAGGTCCCGGAATGATTTTCCACCTTCAAAACCGAAAAAATCGATTTTTCATCAAAAATTAGGTCCTGAAGTGAATTTCCAGCTCCTAGACCAGTAAAGAAAAGATTTTTTCACAAAAAATAGGTCCCGGAATGATTTTCCACCTTCAAAACCGAAAAGAATTAGATTTTTTATGGAAAATTAGGTTTGGGAACGGTTTTACATGCTTTAGACCAGAAAAATCAGATGTTTCATGAAAATTTGGTCTTGGAGTGAATTTCCGCCGTCTAGACCGAGAAAATCGATTTTTTTTTCAAGTAAAACTTGGTCCTGAAGCGATTTTCCCCCTTCTAGACCAAAAAATCAGATTTTTCACGAAAATGTTTGTTTTTGAGCACTTTTCCAGCTCCTAGACCTCGAAAACCACCCCCCAAAAAATCTCACTGAAGAAGTGTGTCCAATTGAATTTCGCTAGTCAAATAATAATGTGGAATTGTGGATTTGCTTTCAGTGAGACGTTTCGCAATCGTTTTTCGCATATTCGTCAATGGAATATCCTACAAAAAATCAAAATATACTATAAGAAAATGCATGAGTTAGCCGAACTCACAGTATAATCCTGTCCAGAAACCGCTGCGCCTGCAGATGCTTGTGGTGCAGCTCCTTTAGCTGGCGCCTGCGCCAAATCCGAAGCCAAAACCCGTCCACCTGGTCCACTTCCAGCAACTCCACTGAGATCCAAACCCTGCTCGGCTGCCAATTTTTTGGCGAATGGTGAAGCTGCGACTCTTCCTGATGTTGGTACAGGTGGAGGGATCGATGGGGCTAGGGTTGGAGGAGCTTGGAATTGAACTGGAGCTGGGGTGGGAGCAGCTGCTGCTGGTGCTGGAGCTGCAGCCGCCGGAGCGGAAGCCGCAGGGGCTGCTCCATCGTCCTTGAAATCTTTGAAAGCGGCAACATCGCCTTCCGATTCAACGATAATACAAAGAAGTTTACCAATCGGAACATCCTTAGATCCCTCTTGAATCAAAATCTTCGCAAGATAACCCTCCTCCGGTGTTTCAAAACCCATCGTAGCTTTATCTGTCTCAATTTCACATAGCAAATCTCCTTCACTCAATTGATCTCCCTCCTTTTTCTGCCAGCTAACAACAGTTCCCAATTCCATTGTTGGTGAGAGAGCTGGCAATGCGACGCGTTTGTGAGTGGGCAAATTGCCCGAACTATATTGCCGAACATTGCGGAGATTTGAGAAGGGTTTAGATGTTGGAGCGACTAGGATTGTTGGTTTAGTTGCAGAAGCAGCTGAGACACAAAGAGTTCTGGCTGATTGTTGAGATGTCAAGGAGATATTGGCGGCGCTGATGGCAGCGGAGGGACGGAGACCGCCGAATGATCTCAGGGGGAATTTTGACATACCCTGTCTGAAAAACGAATTGTTTCATGAAAAATTGGGTCTTGTAGCGAAAAAAATCCACAAGGATGTTTTCCTAGTAGTTTTCGACGCGCTGATCACGATTACATTGTCAAAACTTGCAAATATGGGCTATAACGTGGCAAATTTTAGGACTTTAGAAGCTAGTTTTCAAGATTATTTTCATGTAAATCTTATAGCATAGGGTTGTTTAGGAGCCTAAACAACCCTATGCTATCAGATGAAAATAATCTGAAAAAGCTAGTTCTAGTCTATATTTGGACATTGACTGAATGACATTTTCATGTTTTTTAGCAAGTGAGTGGAAATATTGGATTTTAATCGTATTTATAGAATAGAAAGGCCTAAGAAAAACCGAATGATTTAAATTTTTATGATTTTACCTTATCCATAAGTGATTTAGCGACTAAATATCGACTAAACGTCGCTAAATAACTTATGGATAAAGTAAATTCATAAAAATGTATATTATTCGATTTGTCTTGGACCTTTCTATCCTATAAATACGATCAAAATCCAATATTTCAACTCACTTGCTAACAAAACATGAAAATGTCATTTAGTCGATGTGCCACGTCATAACTCACATCAGAAGTTGAGTTTTCCAATTTCTGACAACGGAATCGTGATCAGCGAGTCGAAATTTACTAGGAAAATAGATTTCATGGGAAAATCCCCAGCTTACAGGTTCCCTTGCAAAATTTATCCGAAATCTATCATTTTTCTCGTTAAATTAGATTGAGGTCTATCAAACCCACCAGAATTCCAAATCTCAAATAGTTCTACAGGTTCCCACAGCTAAAAAAAAAAAGATTTTTTTGTTACCGTCATACGGTATGCATCGGTGTTTGCAGACAGCGCGTGGAGGCGTGGCCTATGGAGGCGTGGCCTATTCGGTAAGCGTTGCACACGGTTTTGGCAATGTGCGGCGCGCGTGTGTGTTTGTTGCATAATTTTTTTTTTGGCCGGTACAACAGATTTTGTGTGTTTTCTCATATTTTTCATTGTTTAAACGGTGACTTCGGTTATTTTGAGTGAATATACCACCTTGATCGCAAGTCATACCACTTTTTAACACCACTTTTTAACTTCTTATTTATCATTTTCAGTGAAATATTTTCAGATAGGAGAATTTTATAAACTTTTTTTTAAAAACTTCACAGTTTTGGGATTTTTAACTACTTTTAACTTTATAGATTATGTCATTTCATCTCCAAATCGAGATTCACTGGCGAACTACTTCAATGATTTTTTAACACGCTATTTTGGACGATTCTCTACATTTTGTATCAAAGGTAATTTTTTATCAAAAATTGTTCCGTAAACGAAATTATCCGTAGGTAATTTACATCATTCAGGTTCTATCAAGTTAATTGGTTGAAGAAAGGGCTATTACAAGCGCACAAACCGCATCAATTTTGGAAAGTACACCTGATTCGACTGTGATAGGTAATTTTTAATCGAATATTGTTCCGTATAATCATAATCCCGTAGGTCAATGAAGGTTTTTTCAGATTGAATGACAAATGATTCGTTCGTTCTGGACTTCTCAAATGCTCTTCGTTGCGAATGGACTTCCCACACTCAAAATAACTCGTTAAAATCTATTCTATTTGTTCTGTAAATTCGTGTGTTTTTTGTTTATATTTTTCACATTTTTGCAAACATTAATAAATGTTTCCATGTTTTATTTTTGCGACTTCTAATTTTTAAATTGTTTATTTTTGATCTGAAAACTTCGATAACACCAAAAATTAGATTTTGATATCAAAAATATTTTTTGAAATAATGAAACCTTCAAGAATTCAATCAAAAGTTAATATTAATATAGATTCTCAGAAATTCAATAAATTCTCTACTCATGATAAATTAGGATATTAAATTAAATTTTCAAAAATCTTCACACAAAACTTTTTGTTTAACGTCAAACGTGTTTTATTCTTTCTAAATGTTGTTTTTGAGATCAACATGTCAATTTAGAAAGTCGAAAATAAAACAAATATCTTTTTTCAACCATATTTGCTACTTTTGACTGCGAATTTCGTTATTTTCTCGATTTCTTTTTTCATTTACAATTGAGAATTGCTTTAGTTCTTCATTTTATATTGCATTTCCTCTTTTCCATTGGGTACAAGCGCTTTTTTTTTTTGAAAAATGAAGCTTTGCAAACAATAAAAAAAATAAAAAGAAAACCGTGCGCATGCAACACACACACGCCGCACTTTGGCGAAAATCATTTTGGACACCGCCCACTTTTTTTTCTTTTTTTGGAAAAAAGGGGGGGAGTACGTAACTAAAGTGTTTAATGTATTTTCTTCTTTTTTTTTAGCTGTGGTTCCAAAGTGCTGAAAGGTGAGAAATGAAAAGCCAAATTTTGAATTTTCCAAAAATTATTAATTTACGTACGTGATGACAGTTGTGATGACAGTTAGATAACATTTTTTTTGGAAAATTTAAAATTTGGCTTTTCATTTCTGATCTTTGGGCACTTCGGAATCTGTAGAACTGTTTGAAATTTGGAATTCTGGTGGGTTTGATAGGCCTCAATCTAATTTAACCAGAAAAATGATAGATTTCGGATAAATTTTGCAAGAAAACTAGTATGCACGACATTTTAGCAAAAAGAAAAATTATCAAAGAAAAGTCAGCGAAAATTACAATCACTCCACCCACAAAAACCCATTTTTTAGATAACACGTGCTTTTCACATGTTATCTTTTGGAACATTTTCGATACATTAGAGATCAACAAAAGATAAGTGAAATTCGAGAAAAAATGGGTTTTCATGGTATTTCTATAGATTTCTATAGATCCTAGGTTAGTTCTGAAATTATCAGAGAATCTTAAAATTTGAAATTTTCCCCGAAAAATGATAAAAACCTGGGTTTCAGCACAAAAAAAGAAAGTGACGGCGAAAAATGCACAACAATACTCCGCAAGTGCCTGTTGTTTAGCGGCGTCCTCGGCGGAGTCTCGTTGTTTTCTTTTTATTTTTTTTTTCGAAAACTTTTTTTGTTCGCCTAAAACACCAGATTTCAGATGGAATCTCAAATCCCATTTCGATCATACGATGAAAAACAAAGGAATAATGATGATGGTCGATTCACATTCACAAGCACCGAGCAAAAACGAGTTGAAGAGATGCTTTTCGAAAATTACGAAAACTTGGTTTTACAACCCGATGATTTTGCAAATGTCTCGATTTTCCGACAAAAACATGCAAGTTTCTTATTGCGATATCTGGCAAATGTTCCAAAAAGTTATTCGAGCCTCGACGCCAGCAGACCTTGGATGTGCTATTGGGCTGTTCACGCTCTAACAATCCTAGAAGTCAAGATCCCCGAGGAAACTATCAACGCAGTTATAACCCTTATCAAAGCTTGTGAACATCCAGATGGTGGTTATGGAGGGGGCCCCGGTCAATATGCACATTTAGCACCAACATATGCCGCAGTTATGTGCCTAGTTTCGCTGAAAAATGAAAAAGCTTTGGAAAGTATTAATAAAGAGAGCCTTTTTCAATATTTAAAAGCGTCAAAGCATCCAATTCATGGCGGATTTTACATGCATTTTGGGGGAGAAATCGATATGCGAAGTGCATATTGCGCTTTGGCAATTTGCCAGATTATTGGTTTGCCGATGGATGAATTGAGCGATGGAACAGCTGAATGGGTAATCAGTTGTCAAACCTATGAAGGAGGCTTCGGTGGCGAGCCATACACCGAAGCGCACGGTGGCTACACGTTTTGTGCCGTAGCCGCTCTCGTTCTTATGGACAGATTTCGACTTGTTGACTTTGAATCGCTGTTGAGATGGGTTACACGAAGACAAATGCGATATGAAGGGGGGATTTCAGGGAAGAACGAATAAGTTGGTCGATGGTTGCTATAGTTTTTGGCAGGGTGCGATTTATCCACTGATTGATGGGGAAATGGAAAGAGAGGGAAAGGATTTCGAAAAGGGATTGTTTGATTCGAGAATGTTGGAGGAGTATACTTTTGTTGGATGCCAATCGAAAGATGGAGGATTTAGGGATAAACCTGATAAAGGTTAGGGTCGAAAAATTGGGTTTTAAAGCGATTGTCTAGGTCCTAAACCGAAATTTTCATGAAAATTTGGGTCTTGGAGCGATTTTCGAAGTCTTAGAGCGAAAAATCAGATTTTTCGTGAAGAATTGGGTCTTGCCAGCTTACAGGTTCCCTTGCAAAATTTATCCGAAATCTATCATTTTTCTCGTTAAATTAGATTGAGGTCTATCAAACCCACCAGAATTCCAAATCTCAAATAGTTCTACAGGTTCCCACAGCTAAAAAAAAAGATTTTTTTTGTTACCGTCATACGGTATGCATCGGTGTTTGCAGACAGCGCGTGGAGGCGTGGCCTATGGAGGCGTGGCCTATTCGGTAAGCGTTGCACACGGTTTTGGCAATGTGCGGCGCGCGTGTGTGTTTGTTGCATAATTTTTTTTTTTGGCCGGTACAACAGATTTTGTGTGTTTTCTCATATTTTTCATTGTTTAAACGGTGACTTCGGTTATTTTGAGTGAATATACCACCTTGATCGCAAGTCATACCACTTTTTAACACCACTTTTTAACTTCTTATTTATCATTTTCAGTGAAATATTTTCAGATAGGAGAATTTTATAAACTTTTTTTTAAAAACTTCACAGTTTTGGGATTTTTAACTACTTTTAACTTTATAGATTATGTCATTTCATCTCCAAATCGAGATTCACTGGCGAACTACTTCAATGATTTTTTAACACGCTATTTTGGACGATTCTCTACATTTTGTATCAAAGGTAATTTTTTATCAAAAATTGTTCCGTAAACGAAATTATCCGTAGGTAATTTACATCATTCAGGTTCTATCAAGTTAATTGGTTGAAGAAAGGGCTATTACAAGCGCACAAACCGCATCAATTTTGGAAAGTACACCTGATTCGACTGTGATAGGTAATTTTTAATCGAATATTGTTCCGTATAATCATAATCCCGTAGGTCAATGAAGGTTTTTTCAGATTGAATGACAAATGATTCGTTCGTTCTGGACTTCTCAAATGCTCTTCGTTGCGAATGGACTTCCCACACTCAAAATAACTCGTTAAAATCTATTCTATTTGTTCTGTAAATTCGTGTGTTTTTTGTTTATATTTTTCACATTTTTGCAAACATTAATAAATGTTTCCATGTTTTATTTTTGCGACTTCTAATTTTTAAATTGTTTATTTTTGATCTGAAAACTTCGATAACACCAAAAATTAGATTTTGATATCAAAAATATTTTTTGAAATAATGAAACCTTCAAGAATTCAATCAAAAGTTAATATTAATATAGATTCTCAGAAATTCAATAAATTCTCTACTCATGATAAATTAGGATATTAAATTAAATTTTCAAAAATCTTCACACAAAACTTTTTGTTTAACGTCAAACGTGTTTTATTCTTTCTAAATGTTGTTTTTGAGATCAACATGTCAATTTAGAAAGTCGAAAATAAAACAAATATCTTTTTTCAACCATATTTGCTACTTTTGACTGCGAATTTCGTTATTTTCTCGATTTCTTTTTTCATTTACAATTGAGAATTGCTTTAGTTCTTCATTTTATATTGCATTTCCTCTTTTCCATTGGGTACAAGCGCTTTTTTTTTTTTGAAAAATGAAGCTTTGCAAACAATAAAAAAAATAAAAAGAAAACCGTGCGCATGCAACACACACACGCCGCACTTTGGCGAAAATCATTTTGGACACCGCCCACTTTTTTTTCTTTTTTTGGAAAAAAGGGGGAGTACGTAACTAAAGTGTTTAATGTATTTTCTTCTTTTTTTAGCTGTGGTTCCAAAGTGCTGAAAGGTGAGAAATGAAAAGCCAAATTTTGAATTTTCCAAAAATTATTAATTTACGTACGTGATGACAGTTGTGATGACAGTTAGATAACATTTTTTTTGGAAAATTTAAAATTTGGCTTTTCATTTCTGATCTTTGGGCACTTCGGAATCTGTAGAACTGTTTGAAATTTGGAATTCTGGTGGGTTTGATAGGCCTCAATCTAATTTAACCAGAAAAATGATAGATTTCGGATAAATTTTGCAAGAAAACTAGTATGCACGACATTTTAGCAAAAAGAAAAATTATCAAAGAAAAGTCAGCGAAAATTACAATCACTCCACCCACAAAAACCCATTTTTTAGATAACACGTGCTTTTCACATGTTATCTTTTGGAACATTTTCGATACATTAGAGATCAACAAAAGATAAGTGAAATTCGAGAAAAAATGGGTTTTCATGGTATTTCTATAGATTTCTATAGATCCTAGGTTAGTTCTGAAATTATCAGAGAATCTTAAAATTTGAAATTTTCCCCGAAAAATGATAAAAACCTGGGTTTCAGCACAAAAAAAGAAAGTGACGGCGAAAAATGCACAACAATACTCCGCAAGTGCCTGTTGTTTAGCGGCGTCCTCGGCGGAGTCTCGTTGTTTTCTTTTTATTTTTTTTTTCGAAAACTTTTTTTTGTTCGCCTAAAACACCAGATTTCAGATGGAATCTCAAATCCCATTTCGATCATACGATGAAAAACAAAGGAATAATGATGATGGTCGATTCACATTCACAAGCACCGAGCAAAAACGAGTTGAAGAGATGCTTTTCGAAAATTACGAAAACTTGGTTTTACAACCCGATGATTTTGCAAATGTCTCGATTTTCCGACAAAAACATGCAAGTTTCTTATTGCGATATCTGGCAAATGTTCCAAAAAGTTATTCGAGCCTCGACGCCAGCAGACCTTGGATGTGCTATTGGGCTGTTCACGCTCTAACAATCCTAGAAGTCAAGATCCCCGAGGAAACTATCAACGCAGTTATAACCCTTATCAAAGCTTGTGAACATCCAGATGGTGGTTATGGAGGGGGCCCCGGTCAATATGCACATTTAGCACCAACATATGCCGCAGTTATGTGCCTAGTTTCGCTGAAAAATGAAAAAGCTTTGGAAAGTATTAATAAAGAGAGCCTTTTTCAATATTTAAAAGCGTCAAAGCATCCAATTCATGGCGGATTTTACATGCATTTTGGGGGAGAAATCGATATGCGAAGTGCATATTGCGCTTTGGCAATTTGCCAGATTATTGGTTTGCCGATGGATGAATTGAGCGATGGAACAGCTGAATGGGTAATCAGTTGTCAAACCTATGAAGGAGGCTTCGGTGGCGAGCCATACACCGAAGCGCACGGTGGCTACACGTTTTGTGCCGTAGCCGCTCTCGTTCTTATGGACAGATTTCGACTTGTTGACTTTGAATCGCTGTTGAGATGGGTTACACGAAGACAAATGCGATATGAAGGGGGATTTCAGGGAAGAACGAATAAGTTGGTCGATGGTTGCTATAGTTTTTGGCAGGGTGCGATTTATCCACTGATTGATGGGGAAATGGAAAGAGAGGGAAAGGATTTCGAAAAGGGATTGTTTGATTCGAGAATGTTGGAGGAGTATACTTTTGTTGGATGCCAATCGAAAGATGGAGGATTTAGGGATAAACCTGATAAAGGTTAGGGTCGAAAAATTGGGTTTTAAAGCGATTGTCTAGGTCCTAAACCGAAATTTTCATGAAAATTTGGGTCTTGGAGCGATTTTCGAAGTCTTAGAGCGAAAAATCAGATTTTTCGTGAAGAATTGGGTCTTGCAGCGATTTACCAGGTCGAAAAAATCGACTTTTTCATTAAAAATTGGGTCTTGTAGCGAAAAATCCAATTTTCTTGGGTCTTGTAGCGAAAAAATCCACAAAGAAACTAGGTACACTGTAGATTTTTCTCATGAAATATATTTTTCTAGTAGATTTTGATCCACTGCTCACGATTCCATTGTCAAAAACTGCAAATCTTGATTCTGAATCTGAGTTATGGTGAATTTTTGAAAAATAGTCTTGAAACTGGATTTTGAAGAATATAGCCAACTTCAAAATCCAGTTCCAAAGCAATTCGTATTCTTGTTTCTAAAATCCACCATAACTCATATTCAGAATCGAGATTTGCAGTTTTTGACAATGGAATCGTGAGCAGCGAGTCGAAATCTACTATAGGAAAATATATTTCATGAGAAAAATCTACAGTTGACCTAGTTTTCTTGTGGATTTTTTCGCTTCAAGACCCAAGAAAATCGGATTTTTTCGTTTTAGGACCTGAGAAATCGCTGCAAGACCCAATTTTTCATGAAAAAATCGATTTTTTTGGTTTGGAACTTGGAAAATCGCTACAAGGCTCCAGAACACAAAAAATCCAAATTTTCAACTCCCAGACCTGAAAAATCGCCCCAAGACCTAATTTTTCATGAACAAATCGATTTTTTCGCTCTAGGACTTCAAAAATCGCTACGAGACCCAATTTTTCATGAAAAACTAGATTTTTTCGCTCTAAAACTTCGTAAATCGCTCCAAGACCTAATTTTTAATGAAAATTTCGATTTTTTCGCTCCAAGACCCAATTTTCCACCAATATTTTCCAGGCGTCGATCTCTACCACACATGCTACGTGCTCAGCGGTCTCTCGGTTGCTCAAAAATATTCGCGCGACAAACTCGGCTCAATTTTGGGCGGCGACGCGAATCTCGTCGCCGAAATCAACCCGGTTTTCAATGTCACAGTGGACGCCGAAAAATTCGCCAAAGAGTTTTTCACAAAATCTTGATCTCCATTTTTTTTTTGCCTGTTTGTGTAAATAATATATTTATTGACTTCGTGTAACTTTGGTTTTTTGAAGAGAAAAAGAAAAGTTATGCTAACTTTTGAATATCTTTTTGTTTTTGGTTAGAGATAGAGACAATGTAAAATTGAGAGAGTCTAGACAGAAAATTGGCCAATTTCGAGCTGAACCTACTGCATCCGGAAAATTATGGTTACCGCAAGCTTCCGCGCAGCTGCAAAGTTATCCTAACTTTCGAGCGGAGCGAGTGTAGACCGAAAGCTTCCGCGCAGCGGCACTATCTTCCGCGTCAGCGGCCACGCGGATTACTACGACGTGGAATACCAGTCAGGCTTCGACGTCATAGTAATCCGCGTGGCCGCTGACGCGGAAGATAGTGCCGCTGCGCGGAAGCTTGCGGTCTACAATCGCTCCGCTCGAAAGTTAGCGTAACTTTGCAGCTGCGCGGAAGCTTGCGGTAACTATAATTTTCCGGATGCAGTAGGTTCAGCTCGAAATTGGCCAATTTTCTGTCTAGACTCTCTCAATTTCACATTATCTCTAATTACAGGGAAACTATGAAAGTGAAAAAGGCCCAAAAGCCTGGAAAATCTGGAAAACCAGCAGCAAAGCCTGGAAAACCACCAACTCCCAAGCCAAAAACATCCAAAGCCCAAAAAGCCCAAGAAAATGAGGCGAAACTTGCGCGCGCTGAAAACATTCTCTCAAAATTCGAAAAACCGCAAGAAGTGTCGAAAAATGCGAATAAAAGACATCTGAAAAAGGTTTTGGGACAAGATGGATTGCTGGTAAAACATCAGGAAGGACAGAAATGGTATAGTTATCAAATTGATAAAGTGGAAGAGGAGGAGGAGAAGAAATTGGAGACTGCAAAGATTAATGAGCTGCTTGTGGAGGGAAGAGATATTTTGGCACAGGATTCGGCACTTTTACAGACCAGTGAGCTTTTTTTCGTGGGATTTTTTGCTAAATTATGAAATCTGGCGTGCTTTTTACCCTAATTTTCATGAAAAATCCGATTTTTCTGGTCCGGAACCTTTAAAATCCAGTTTTTTAGCTCCGGAACCTGGAAAATCCCAATTTTCAGCTCTGGGACCATGAAAATCATCCAGACACTCAAATTTTGATGAAAAATTGGCTTTTTTGGCTTGAGGACCTCGAAAATCACCCCAGAACTTGAATTTTGATGCAAAATTGGCGTTTTTTCGCTCAGAGATCCGAATTTTCATGAAAATCCGATTTTTCAGCTTCGGGAACTTGAAAATCTTCCGGAGACTCGAATTTTGATGGAGAATTAGCGTTTTTCTGCTCAGAGACTCAAATTTCTATGAAAAATCCGATTTTTTGGCTCTGGGACCTTGAAAATCACTCCAGAACTTGATTTTTCATGAAAAATTCGATTTTTTGGCTCCGGAACGTGGAAAATCCGATTTTTCAGCTTCGGGACCTTGAAAATCATCCCAGAACTTGAATTTCGATGAAAAATCCAGTTTTTTAGCTCCGGAACATGGAAAATCCGATTTTTCAAGTTCGGGACCTTGAAAATCTTCCGGAGACTCGAATTTTGATGAAAAATCCGATTTTTCTGGTCCCGGACGCTAAAACTTCGGTTTTTTAGCTCCAGGGCGCGGAAAAATCGATTTTCCATGTCTGGAACCCTTCAAATCTGAATATTTCGCTCCGAATTCTGGAAAATCCCATTTTTCAGCTTCGGGACCTTGAAAATCACCTCAGAACTCGAATTTTGATGAAAAATTCGATTTTTTCGGCTCTGAAACCTGGAAAATACGATTTTACAGTCTTAGACCTTGAAAATCGCTTCAAGACCCGAAAAAATCCGAAATTTTCGCTTCAAGAGCTTGAAAATTGCTCCAAGGCCTAAAAATGCGATTTTCAGCTCTGTGACTTTGAAAATCGCTTCAAGACCCAAAAAAATCCGAAATGTTCGGTTCAGAACTCTGAAAATCGCTCCAAAATCCAATTTTTCCAGAAGAAAAACAAGAAAATGGTTCGGAAGCTTCCTGGTTGTATTCAGTGATCTCCAAAGGTACAGCATCCGACAAAAGAACAGCTATGCAACTCCAGGTAAGTCTGGAAATTTGTCTGGAAATCTTTAAGGAGCAATTTTTGTAGATGCACAAATCACCGGTTCATTCATTGGAATATGTTGAAAGAATGATTGGAAGTTGTACGAAACAAGGAACACGGGATATTATTGATGTTATTCGTGAGTTTACTGAATTTCTATAGCTCTGGGAGCTAGGAGCATGTCTGAAATTCCCTTTTTTTTCAGCCATCCTTGAGGACGTTTTTGTGAATCACTGCCTTCCGGAAAATCGAAAACTCATCGCATTTTCCAAAAGACCATTCGCAGAGCTCACAGCTCTTTCATCTGGAAATGACAGAAGTCGCCGAAAGATTTTGTTGTTATGGACATTTGAACATGAGCTCAAGATTTTATATCAGCAATTTATTCAGGCTCTTGTGGTGAGTGTTTTTTTCGCTAGAAAATTTGGAGCATTTTGAGACCAAACTAGACTATATTTGGGCTCAAAATGCTCCAAATTTGCTCAGGATTCTGAATTCTCCATGAAATTTGGAGCATTTTGAGCACAAATATAGTCTAGTTTGAGAATATCAAAAGGCAAATCAAACATCAATCATTTTTTACATTTCGAATTTAAAAAAATGTTGAAACGTACATTTTCGAGGTGCCAAAATTGACTGGGGAATTTCAAATTTCGATCAATAATTATTGATTTTTGCGGTGCAGAAGGTCTGGGGTTCGATCCCCGCCCGAAGCAAACAATTTTTGAGATTAATTTTTTCTAGCTCAATATGCAATTCTGGGCTTTTTAGGCTCAAATATCCCAAATGTTTAGCTATATATCTAGGCCTAAAAATCCCGAATTTCAAGCCTACAATCTTGCGCTTTTTAGTCTGAAAACTAGGCCGAATCTAGACTTTTAGGATCCGGAAAATCTAGGCTTATTTGGACTCTAGAAATATCGAATTTCAAGCCTAAAATTCTGGGCTTATGAAGGCTCAAAACAGCTAGAAATTTCAGCCTGAAATTCCAGATTTTCAGGCTAAAAACTAGAATCAAAAATCCAGTTTTTCTAGCCTAAAACCTAGGCCTATTCAGCTTTTAATGGTCCGAAATTTAAGGCCTTAAATTCCTGGGCTTATCTAGATCCAGAAAATTCAGGCTTATTTGGGCTCTAGAAATGTCGAATTTCAAGCCTAAAATTCTGGGCTCAAAACAGCTCTAAATTTCAGCCTGAAATTCCAGATTTTCAGGCCAGAAAATCTAGTCTTTTCGGGCTGAAAACTAGGCTTCATAGGCCCATTCCGACTTCGAAAAAACCCCAAATTTTTTCCAGGAAATCATCAAACGCCCCCTGGAAGATGTAGTCAAAAAAGCCCTCCGAACCCTCGCCAATTGCCTGATTTCTCGACCAGAATCCGAATCCCTGATCCTATCAGCCCTGGTAAATTCATTCGGACATCCGAACTACAAAATCGGATCTCACACAGTTCATCTTCTCGAAGATGTCTCCAGAAAACATCCAGCAATGCGAATTGTAATGGTCGATGAAATTGAGCGATTGATTTTCCGAAAAAATGTGAATGAGCGGGCACATTTGTATTCAGTGACTTTTCTCTCGCAAATGCGATTTTCTGCAAAAAGATTCGGCTGATTTGACGGGAAGATTAATGTCGATTTATTTGTCATTGTTCAAAACAATTGTCGGAAAAAAGATCACCGATAGCCGACTTTTGCCAATTATTTTGGCTGGAGCAAATCGTGCATTTCCCTATGCAAAAAATATCGAAAAATTGTTGGAGGATGTGAAGGATGTGTATTTTTTGGCACATAATTCGAATTATCGAACCGCGATTCCCGCCTTGAAATTGTTGTTTCAGTTTCATAAGATGAAGTGAGTTTTTGAGCTTTCTGAGCATTAAAATTGAAATTTTGAGCATTTTTGAGCCCTGGAGCTGATTTTTGAGCCTTATGAGCTTTGAAATCGAAATTTTGAGCATTTTTGACCCCCGGAGCTGATTTTTGAGCTCGTTAAGCATTTAAATTGAAATTTTGACCATTTTTAAACCCTGGAGCTGATTTTTGAGCTCATTGAGCTTTAAAATTGAAATTTTGAGCATTTTTGAACCCTGGAGCTGATTTTTGAGCTCTCTGAGCTTTAAAATTGAATTTTTGAGCATTTTTGACCCCTGGAGCTGATTTTTGAGCTCGCTGAGCTTGAAAATTGAAATTTTGAGCATTTTTGACTTCCCGGAGCTCAAAATTAGGCTTGAGAGCTGATTTTTGTGTATTTTGAGCTTGAAAATTGAAATTTTGAGCATTTTTGAACCCTGGAGCTCAAAATTGAGCCTTAGAGCTGAATTTTGTGCTCTCTGAGCACTAAAATTGAAATTTTGTGCATTTTTGAACCCCAGAGCTCAAAATTAGGTCTTAGAGCTTGAAAATTGAAATTTTGAACATATTGACCACCAGAGCTCAAAATTAAGTTTTATAGCTGATTTTTGAGCTCAATATTGAGATTTTGAGCATGTTTGACCCCCAGAGCTCAAAATTAAGCCTTAGAGCTGATATTTGAGCTCAAAAGTGAAATTTTGTGCATTTTTGGGTCTTGTAGCTCAAAATTAAGCCTTTGAGCTGATTTTTGAGCTCAAAATTGAAATTTTGTGCATTTTTGACCCCGCAGAGCTCAAAATTAGCTGATTTTTGAGCTCTTTTGATACGCCTCAAAAATGTACGTTTCAAAATTCTCTGATTATTTTTAGAACATATTTTTCAAAATTGTTTTAAATGTTGTATTGGGTGAATCGTGCTCTCAAAATGCTCCAAATTTCATGGAGAATCTGGAAAATTCAGAATTCTCTTGAAATTCTGAGCATTTCGAGTCCAAACATGAGCAAATTCGGGCTCAAAATGTTCCGAATTTCATTTGGAGCATTTTGAGCCCAAATATAGTCTAGTTTGCTCTCAAAATGCTCCAAATTTTCCAGTGACTACGTCTCTGACCGCTACTACAATGCACTCTACCGAAAATTGTTGGATCCATGCCCACCCGCCGCCTATTCTCAACTCCTCAAACTCCTTTTCGATACAATGAAAGATGATCCAAGTGCTCAGCGAGTTCGCGCATATGTTAAGAGGCTTTTGCAAGTTGCCGTGAATGTGAACAGCGAATTTGCGGCGAGTATTTTGATATTGATTTCGAAGTTGAAGATGGAGCGGAAACAGGAGAATTTGGTGGTTTTGAGCAGTGATGCTGATGTGAGTTTTTTTGAGGTCTGGGAATGGAAAAATTGAATTTTTCATGAAAAATTTGGTCTTAAGGTGGTTTTCTAGGTCCTGGATCGAAAAAATCTGATTTTTTGGATTCCGGACTGAAAAAATTGGATTTTTCATGAAAAATTGAATATTGAGAGAATTTTTAAAGTCATTGACCCAGAAAACCGATTTTTTTTTGTTCCGGAGGGATTTTTGAGGCCTGAGAGTGGAAAATTTGGATTTTACATGAAAAATTATGTTTTGGGGTGGTTTTCTAGGTTCCGGACCGAAAAAATCGGATTTTTGAGGTCCGGGAGTGGAAAAATTTGATTTTTCATGTCCTGGACCGAAAAAATTGGATTTTCCAGATCTTAGACTCGAAAAATCGGATTTTTTGAGTTCCGGAGCACAAAAATCGGATTTTTCAAGAAAAATTTGGTCTTGAAGCGATTTTTCATGTCCTGGACCAAAAAAAATCGGATTTTTCATCAAATTTACCACTACTCATATTAAAAAATAACCTGAAATTGGATTTTTCAAGCTGAAAATCAATTTTTCAATTATTTCCAGCCAACCCTGAAAGTTGTCACAAATCTGGATGATGATGAAGAAGAGCGATATGTGGATTTGGACACTGATGGAAATGTGATTGTCAAAGGAGAAGTTGTGAGTTTGATTTTGGGAAAAAATGAGCTCCAGAGCTCAAAATTGAGCTCGCGGAGCTGAAAATTTCAAATTTTGAGCATTTTTTTACTCCGGGAGCTCAAAAATAGGTCTCAGAGCTGATTTTTGAGCTCTTGGACGTTAAAAATTGAAATTTTCAGCATTTTTGAGCCCATAGTATTCAAAAAATCAATTTATCATAACTCAAAATCAAATATACATACGACCAAATTTAGTCCTCTCCAATTGATCCAAAAAATGCAAAACGTAGCGTTTCCGGAAAGCCACATCGATCCGCGCGGTTTTTTCCGCGTGAATTTGCGCGCGGAGCTCCGCGAGCCGCTGGTAATCATCCCAAAAATAGTCGCGGATCAGGAAGATTGTCTCGTTTTGCGGAAGATGTTCGGCTTCGATTCTGAAAGAAAAGTTGAAATTTTAAAAATGCTCGCAGGCAGTGGGAATCGAACCCGCGACCTTTTGATTGGCGGAAAAATTTGGATTTTTCAATTTTTAGCCCCAAATTTCCTAGATTTTCAAGAAAACGAGCTTGAAAATCGAAATTTGGAGCATTTTTGACCTTTAGAACTCAAAATTTCAGATCTGGAGCTCAAAAATCGAGTTTTGGAGCAATTTTCAGCTATAGACTTCAAAATTGAGCTCCAGAGCTGATTTTGCAAGCTGTTCTGCTAAAAATTAGTGTCTAGAGCAGTTTTCGAGCTGTTGGAGCCTCAAAATTGAATTTTCGAGCATTTTAGAGCTCCAGTGCCTCAAATTTCTAGTCTGGAGCTCAAAAATCGAGTTTTGGAGCAATTCAGACTTCAAAATCAAGCTCTCCGGCTAAAAAATTAGTGTTTGGAGCATTTTCTGAGCTCTTGGAGCCCCCAAAACTCACTTGATCATTTTAATATGTGAACCAAAAGGAATACTCAAGTCATACAGTACCAATTCAGCCACCGTTTGCCATTTATCATAAACCATGAAAGTATTCGAAAAAGATCGTGCAAATTCGTCCGCAGCTTCACAATTCTTCCGCTCGCTTTCCGCAACATCCGGCCATTTCCAATCGCAATTCGTCTTCCGCTCGTAATATCCGCAAAGCGGTGTTTTGCAGCAAAAATTGTCGAAAGATATCATATAATCATAGATTTTCTCACGATTTTCGAGGCGATCGACTAAAAATTCATCGTGCATTTGACATTTGAGCTCGCCGCCGTTTTTACGACAAAAATTCGAGAGATTTTTGCGAATGAAGTTGTCGTAGTTGTAGTTTGAGCAACCATTTCTACAAAAATTCGGGATTTAGAGTATTTTTTGGTCCTAGGGCTTATTTTTCGTGGAAATCCGGCTCAGATTGGTGTTTTGAGCATTTTCCGGGCTTCTGGAGCTCAAAATTCAGCTTCTAGAGCAATTTTTACTTCGAGAGCTCGAAAATTAGGCCCTAGAGCTGATTTTTCTAGTTCTAGGGTTCGAAATTGGTATTTTGATCATTTTCTAGGCTCTTTGAGCACGAAAATTGAAATTTTTGAGATTTCTGACATCTTGACCTCAAATTTCCAGGTCTGGAGCATTTTTTTACTTCAAGAGCTCGTAAATTTGGCTCTAGAATTGATTTTTCGACTATCAGGGCTTAAAATTGATATTTTGAGCATTTTCTAGGCTCTTAGTGCTCAAAAATCGGATTTTGAAGCGTCTTTTAGCTGTTGTGCTCAAATTTCCAGATCTGGAGCATTTTTTGGGCTCCTAGAGCTCGCAAATTTGGCTCTACATGTGATTTTTTGAGTTTCTAGGCTAAAAATTGGTATTTTGATCATTTTCTAGGCTCACAGAGCCCAAAAATCAAAATTTTGATAATTTCTGACCTGTCGAGCTCAAAATCAAGCCTCAGAGGTAATTTTCAAGATCCAGAGCTGAAAATTGGTATTTTGAGCATTTTCTAGGCTCCTGAAGCTTCAAAAATCGAAATTTTCAGCATTTTTGACTTCTGGAGCTCAAATTTTGTGCTCTTTTTCACCCGGGGCACAGTTTTCCACCAAAAAATTCAATTTTGTATAACTAACCTGACTAAATCATCAAATTCTCCACAACCTCGAGACACGCTCCACGCAAACAATAAACTGTACAAAAAAATACAAGTAAGCACATAGGCTCTTAAGAGCTTTCCAAAATACAGTGGCTCTGTGTCCATTTAGGCTAACTTTGATTGAATGAATGACAGAAAAACTGTAGAGAATAATTATGGATGACGCTAGATAGGTGGATGAACATCTGCTGGATTATTATTATGGTCCGCCCACTTTTTTGTGTAAAAAGAGAAAAAGACGCTGGATTTTGGGAAGACAGCGGATTTTTTTATGGAAAAGTGTGATTTTTGAGCTCTAGATGTCAAAAATGCTCAAAAATTCTATCAGAAAGCTCATTTTTGACCAAAATTATGGTTTTTAGTGAAAATTTGAGCACTAGAGGTGAAAATGTTCAAAAATTCGATTATTTTGAGCTTCAGAGCTCAAAAACTCTTCAAAATTGGATTTATGAGCTCGCAGAGCCTGGAACTTGCTCCAAATATCAATTTTGATGAAAAATTAGGCTCTAGACTGGAAAATGCTCAAAATTCTGAAATTTTGGACGAAAAAATCGGATATAGGGCTCTTTTTCAGTTCCAGAGCTCAAAAAATGCTCAAAATACCAATTTTCAGCTCTGGAACTCGAAAAATCAGCTCAAGAGGTCATTTTTTAGGTTTAGAGCTCAAAAATTGCTCCAGAATTCGATTTTTAAGCTCTGGGAGCTTCAGAAGCTCAAAAATGCTCAAAAATTAGATTTTCGAGCCCCGAGAGCTCTAAAAATGCTCCGAAACTCCCCCAAAAAACCAAATTTTCTTCAGAAATCCGAAGATGACGTCATCGAAACAACTGCAAATTCAGAAGATTCGAAAAAAGTGGCAAAAGGAACTCTTGGAGCATCATCAACCGGTGGCTGGATTCATCATAAAAATGCTCGCCACGGAGCCAAAACCCCCTACGATCCGCTGGCTCGAAATCCGCTTTTCATCGATGCTCAACACGTGGCCGACAACGAATTGCTCCTTTTATCCAATCATTTTCATCCGTCGGTCGCCGTTTTTGCCAAATGTCTTTTAGAAGGCGGTGAAGTGAAATATGGTGGAGATGCTCTTAATGATTTCACTCTGATGGCATTTTTGGATCGATTTGCGTTCCGAAATCCCAAAGAGATTTCGGCGAAATCGACGGGAAGAGTTGTGCGAAAGAAGAAGCATGATCCGTGGGGAGTTAGAAAGTTGGCTGTGGATTCGAAGGTGAGGTCTTTTTAGGGCCGTTTCAGGCTCTCAGGCCGAAAATTCGGGTTTCTAGACCTTTATTTCATGAATTTTGGGGTTTTTTGAGCTTGTAGGTCATTTTTAGCCCTTGGAAATTGAAAATTCCGGTCTCTAGGCTCTTTTTCGGGCTATCGGGCTCAAAAATCTGGTCTGTAGGCCAAAAATTCGGGTTTCCAGACCTTTATTTCATGAAATTTGGGTTTTTTGAGGTTTTTAGAGCAGAAATTTGGGTTTCTAGGTCATTTTAGGCTTCTAGAGCATAGATTTGGGTTTCTGGACCATTTTCAGACTCCCAGGCTGAACAATTCAGTTTTTAGACCATTTTCTAGTCCCTACAGCTGAAATTTGGGGTTCTAGGCCATTTTTCAGACTCGTAGGCTCAAAATTACGGATTCTAGGCCATTTTTAGGCCCCTAGAGCAAAAATTTGGGTTTTTAGGCCATTTTTATGGTTTCTAAGCTATTTTTTGGGCTCCCAGGCCACTTTTAGGGTTTCTAGACCACGTTTAAGCTGAAAATTCGAATTTTTCACATTTTTTATTTCAAAAATCTGAAAATTTGAGTTATGACGTGGAATTTTTTGCAGGAATACACGCAGAAAAAACGCGACGAAATCCCAGCCGACGAGAAATTCCTTCATCGCTACGCTTCTACAGTAATCCGAGACAAAAATGTGAAAAAAGAGGAAGATGGAAAAGATGGAGAAAATGATGATTGGGAATATGCGGAATCGGTGAATTCGGAAGAATTTGATACGATTATGGGTAAGCCTAGGTTTTTGGGCTTTTCGGGCCGTTTCCGGGCTTCAAAATGAGTCCGAATAGGCCACGCCCCCATTTTGCAAGCCTGGCACAGTTTTCATCTTCATTTTGATACCAAATAAGCCACGCCCATTTTTCTGTGCCGCAAAAATTTCGCAATTTTTTTGCAGAACGCTTCGAACCTGGAGAATTGAACGAGGAATTCGATATTGATTATAGTAAAGAGTTTTCGTCGGAGAAAAATAAGAGAAATGTGAGTTTTTCGGGCTCCGGGAGCAGAAAATTTGAGTTTTTCATAAAATTTGGGGTTTTTAGACACCCCATGGGCCTAAAATTCGGAAAATTTTAATTTTGGAGCATTTTTTGGGCTCCGAGAGCCCTCACAAGCCGAAAATTGAATTTTTCATGAAATTTAAGCCACATAAGCCCAAAATCTAGATTTTCTAGCATTTTCGGGCTCCCCCGAGTTGTCCTAACTCTAAAACTGAAATTTGGCTCAAAAGTTCACTTCTGAGCTCAGAAACTCGAAATTTTGGAGCTCTGAAGCTCTAAATCATGATTTTCGGCTCAAAAAATGATTCCGGGGCTCACTTAGGTCGAAAAATTGGATTTTTCCTGAAATTTGGGGTTTCTAGGCATCCCAGAAGGCTAGAATTGGAGAATATTTATTTTGGAGCATTTCTGGGCTCCGGGAGCAGAAAATTCGTGTTTTTCATGAAATTTGGGGTTTTTAGACACCCCAGAACCCCAAAATCCAGATTTTCTATAATTTTTGGGCTCCCCGGAGTTAGCCTAACTCTGAAAAATTCCAGAAACCAACAATTGCCGATGAAGATGACGTGGATATGGATGAAGATGATGAGTTGGATTTGGAAGATGATGAAGAAGAAGGTGAAGGTGGAGAAGATCTTGAAGATGATGAACCCGAAGATGGATCTGATGATGATGAACCTGAAGATGATGACGAAGATGATGAAGGAGATTTTGGAGGTTCTTCGAATGTCTTTGGAGATGGTTGGTCCTTTTTTTTGGGGGAAAAATGACGAATTTTCAGCCCGGGACACCTGAAAATTTGAAATTTTCGCGAAATTTTGAGCTAGAAATCTTGTTTTTAGACAAAATTGGCTTCGAAATTTGAAAATTCACAAATTCCACGTGGATTTTCAGCCAGGGAAACCTGAAAATTTGAATTTTTCGCGAAATTTTGAGCTAGAAATCTTGTTTCAGACAAAATTTGAAAATTCACAAATTCCACGTGGATTTTCAGCCCGGGAAACCTGAAAATTTGAAATTCTGAGCTAGAAACTTGAAAATCTTGAAGCAAACAATTTTAAGCTGAAAATTCGAATTTTGGAGCATTGCTCAGGTTATGGAAATCCAGACTTTAAAAAATTCGAAGTTTTCCAACCTGAGCAATGCTCCAAAATCTAAAAAATTCCGAATTTTGCTCAAAACCGTTTAATCTGAGCAATGCTTCAAAAAATTTGAAGATTCAAAAATATTCAGCTGAGAATTCACTTAACATGAGCAATTCAAAAGTTCTGAAATTTTCAGCCAAATTTTTCCAATTTTCAGACGACTCAAGTGATGAAGAAATTGGAGCGAATGACTACGAATTGGCTGGAGATAGAGTAAGTTCCCCCCTAATTTTTTTGTCTGAAAATCTGAAATTCCCCAATTTTTCAGTTCGCCGAAATGCTCGAAGATTTGGAAGAGGAAGAACATGAGGGAAAAGGAAAGAAGGGCAAAAAAATCGGCTGGAAATAAGAGAAAAGCGCCAAAGAAGTCTGGAGGTGGATTTAAAGGCGCAAAACGCCGTCGTTAAGTTATTTTGGGGCCAAAATCGTTGTTTTTTGTGAAAATCTGAGAAATTCTGTACAAAAATCATGAAAAATGATGGAATTTAAAGGAACATGCTGTGAAAATTGAGTACTGTAGAAAAACCTGCGTATCTAACTTGATTTCTGGGCGGAAAACTGGTTTTCTGGCCAAAAATCGAGTTAGATGTGCAGGTGCTTCTACAGTACTCAAAATGCACATTTTTCGGGGCAAATTTGAAACGAAACTACGGTATGTACCTTTAACATTAGACCTTTTTGGCCTTTGATAGTAAAATTTGGGGCAAATTTTGAGTACTGTAGAAGAACCTACGTATCTAACTTGATTTCTGGGCAAGAAACTGGTTTTCTGGTCGAAAATTGAGTTAGATGTGCAGGCGTTTCTACAGTACTCAAAATGCGGCCTAATTTCACTGTCCAAAACACGAAAAGGTCCATTTTTAAAGGAGCACACAGTAATCACGTCAAATTCTACAAAATTTCACCGTTTCTACTGTATGTTCCTTTAAATTCTATCATTTTTTGTAATTTTTGTCTGAAAATTTCGGATTTTATTTGTTTTTGTTGAAATTTTTTGGTTTTCTTTTTTTTTAAATGTTAATGTTTTGTTTTTGTTTGTTTGTTTTGAAATGAATTGTTTTTAGACCAAAAATTGGGTTCTAGAACATTCACTGACGCATTTTTCAGAGCTTCTAAATTTGCTGACACATTTCTAGCAGCTAAAAAAGATTTATAAAAACTTGGAAACTTTCTCAATACTGTAATTATAGAGGTCCTCACTGGCTTGATCATTTGAAGCGAATTCAGATTCGGCGGCCAATTTGCAGTCGCTGCAAAAAAAAACTTCAGCCAATTTCCAGAATTCTCAACCTACACAAAATATTTGCCCGAAACTCCCTCGAGTTTTTTGCTCAGCGCCACGTGGAGCACAGTTTGTGCTCCATCCAGCGGAGTTTTCAGAAAAATGTTGGCCAGAAATCTGGCGATTGAGATGATGACGGGTTTGGCGAAGATTGTGTTGCGCAACAGATCGGTGTTCACAATTCCAGGGTGGAGGGAGTTGATGGTGACGGGGGAGCCGGATTTGTGGAGACGTCGTGTGAGTTGGCGAGCGTGCAGGATCTGCGAAGATTTAAAAAAAATTTTAAAAAAGTTGCACGGGCAGTGGGGATCGAACCCCGGACGTTCTGAGCAAAAGGCCATCAGCATACCGCCTGCGCTATGGTGTGCGTTGGGAGATGTTTGTGAAATTTCAAAGACTATAAAATTGACGCGCGCGCGCTGTTTTTCAGCTACAGAGTCTGAAAGTCTGTGTTACAGACTTTCAGCCAAACTCACATTAGCCACTTTACTTTCCCCATAACATTTCCAATCGCCAAAGTGTTTTTTCTCATTAATCTTCTCATAATCCAATTTCTTGACCTTCTTATGAATCAATGCTGAAACATTAACAATTCTCCCGCCATTTTCAGACTTTTTCAAAGCTGGCAGCAAAAGTTCAGTCAACAAAAATGGTCCCAAATGATTTGTCTGCCACGTTTTCTCAAATCCATCTTCAGTCACCTCGAATTTCGTCATCAAAACCGCCGCATTATTCACCAAAATATCGATATGGGTCTCGACGCGAAGCAATTCGCGCGCCGCATTTCTAACGCTATCCAGACTTGTAAAATCGCATTGAATGAAGTTGAGTCGCGACGAATCGCAGCCACGTTTTGCGAGTTGAATTTTGGCGGCAAGCGCGTTTTTCTCACTTCGACACAGCATGTAAACCTTGGCTTTTCGTAAATTGAGCTCTTTTACAGTCTCAAAACCAATTCCACAATTTGCTCCAGTCACAACTGCGATCAAATTCTTTGCGGAAACTCTTTCCGTAAATTGTCCGCCTTTCAAATATCTTCGGATGAAATATAGGAATACAGCCAGAATCGAGGAATATAACACGAATTTCAGAAAAGTGTCGGAATCCTGAATTTCGTCTGACATTGCTGAAAAAAAATAAAAGTTTGCGGGGAGGAGGAAGGTCAATAGTAGTATGCATGTAAAACATGGCATGGAAGTACTATGCATGTGAAATAATTTTTTACATGTAAGGTGATATGCATGGAACATTTTTTACATGTGAAAAAGTTTTATACATGGAACATGTTTTTACATGTGAAACAAATGTTCACATTCATTGAACAACCTGTTGTCCAACACTCGACATTTTCCAACTCAATTTCATGGTTTTTTTACTTTTCACAACTTTTTTTGATTAAACCCCGAAACTTTTCAACTCGTGCTTTTTTGGAAATAAAACTAACAATTTATTCCAATCTCGAATCTTTCAGATTCCGCCCAGGGGAACCTTTTTTTCAAGGGGAGCCTATCGCCAATTTTTTTATAATCAAAAAATTGATTTTCTCGTTCACGATTTTTTCATTTTTTGTCACGTTATAACTAATATTCAGAGTTTAATATCAACGTCAAACTGTGTGGCACCGAAATCAGATAAAAAATAAAAATGTTGTGTGTCGCTACAGTAATCTCAACACACATTACTATGAGAATTACTGTAGCGACACACAAAATTTTTATTTCATTTCGGTGCCACACAATTTGACGTTGATAATATCACATAAATAATCTTTATTTAAATTCAATTATATGCATGTGTTGTTATCAAATGTTCTACATTCCACTGTTCTTAATATTTGAAGTTTCTTGTCGTCCTCCCCAATTGACCAATTCAAAGTGTCCGAATTTTTGAGGGTTTTCGAGCTGAAAATAAGTGCTTGATATTTTCATAGAGATTCATGATAACTTACTCTCTTCAAGGTTCATCCTCCTTGAAAAACAATGGCGAGATTCTTAGGTAATGGCGAGGTTCTTGCTTGATTTGTCAAGACCAGTGGCACAAAAAATGGCTTCGATTTCTCCGTAGTTTTTGGATCGAGAAAATCGCCGTCGACCGCCAAAAGTTCATTACATTCCTCTATAATACCATACTCGATCAACTTTGTCGTCCAAAAAACCATAGAAATCCTCCAGAACTGCAGTTCTTGTCGAAGCATCGATATTTTTCTGGTTTGGCACTCGACTACTTCCATAATCTACCGTATTTGCTCCACTAACTGGCTCTTGTTCGCGAACCAATGAAGATGAAGCCTTTCGTTTTGATGCCAAAGTGTGTCACTTGCTTTTCCATCAGTTTTTCGAAACTCAAGTTTGATTTTCGCTTCACACACCCCATTTTTACAGTTTTCTTGAGGTGAGAGATGGATTGATGGCACAAAATACTTTGTTGTGTTATCCGAAGTATGATGTTTGATCCATAAGTTCCTGCAAAAATTTTATTGTTGAAACATTTTTCTGGAAATTTGGACTCACCAAGTTATCATTTTCCAGATTTTCCGAGCACATTTTCCGGAAAATTGATTTTTCCTTGAAAAACCGGAAATTCGGAAAATGTCCGGCACAGGCCTGTCACACAAGACCATTATGTTAATAATTATCATAAAATACAGACGAAATACAGACGATACTAGGAAAACCAAAAAAAAAAGAAATGAAAAATGAAAAACGTTGAATACTCAGCTAAGAGTAAGTGTGTTTCGCAACGAAAACATCGCAACAATCATGTGTCCCTTTAATTTGTTTCTTTTTTTCCTCAAAATAATTTTCATTTTTTTTTTTCGAAAAAAAATCGCATGTCGCGACAATAAAGCGTTTAGTTAAAAATAAATTTACAGGGTTTCCTTCGAAATCCTCTGATTTGGGAATGACAAGCAGCGACGAAGAGTGCTACCCGAAAGATTTTTATGTCGAATACCAGAACAAAAAACTGCAATACGATGAGGATGAGGATTCTGACAATGAATCCGGAACAACGCAACCATCCGATCATTCACAATCAAAAAATTGTTCAATGGAAACAATTGACGATGGGAGTCAAACTTCGAATTCGAAAGTTTTTGATGATTCGAGAGATCAATCCAAGCGTGGACATGAGGATGGCGAATCGAGTGCAGATGAAGATGGAAGTTTAGAAAATGGGGAAGTGGAAAAAATTGATGAAACGAATAAGGATGGAGATGAAAGCGATGAAATGAATAATATAGAACAAGGAAATCAGAATGTTTTTGATCCAGAAAACGTCGATAAAGAATTATATTCTGATGATTTTGTAGCTGGATATACTCTGACAGCAAGAGAAATCTGGAATCGGGAGTGAGTGATATTTGCTAATAAATTATGATTCAAAATTCAAAATTTGTACCGTTTTCAGAATGAAAATGCTCGATCACACTCCAAACCGCTATGATATTTTTCCATTGACCACAAAAAAAATTCTATTTTTCGAGTTTAAAAACGCTTTCGGTCACAGTTATCCTTCCGATGGTTATCAATGGAATGATACCACCAAAGGAATACGTCCAAGTTCGGACAAATTCATGGAAAATGGAACTCGGATCAATGTTGTCCGATGCAAGAATGTGTCGAACCCGCTGTTCCAGAAATGGGTTGAGTAAATTTTATAATAATTTTATGTAACCAACAAATAATTTCAGGTTATCAAAAATGGAACCAGTTACAAGGTTCGTTATGTTTTGCTCGGTGGAACGATTGATGTTTTGAACGACCATAAAAACCGATTGACCAGTAAACAAACAAACCTAATCAGGGACAAATGCATTGGCGCAAAAGGCTGGAGATTTGTCCAAAAACAACTCGCCGAAGAAGGTCATCATTTTGATCGAGATCAGGTGAGTTGATGGAAAATTTAAAAATTGATATTGTAAATTTTTACCAATCAAATAAATTGGCCCGAATTTATTTTCAAAAATTGTTTTTTCTGCTTAGGTTCTACCCAAAAAGTAGATTTTTCAGTTTCAGACATAATTTCTTGTGTAAATCTAACTTCATTTCAGATTCTAAATCAATCGAAAACCATTCCGGCTTACTTGATGCAAAAAAGAAAAACAGGGCCGAGGCCGACAACAAATCCTGGCTCATTGGCCAATTTTCAAACAAAAAGGCATGCATCATCGGAAATTTGGCAAGGGGAAATAAATGGGAAAAGATGTTGGATGCTAATGGATTGCTTCGAAGATTTTATAAAGTTGTTTGCAAAGTTATGCCCAACTAGACAAGAATATGCAAAACATAAAGAATTTTTGAAAAAAATTAGAAGGAGCACCGGAGAGAAACGTCAGAAACTTATCGGTAAATCTTTTATCATTTTATTAAAATAAAAATTAATGGGCACTATGCAAATATCTACTTATCTACTTTCTACTTATATATTATTTCCCGAGGTGTCTTTCCGAATTTAAAGGTCACGAGATTTCTTGTTTTCTAATAAAATAAACAACTTCTAAATCTAATTGTAAATAATATAAACAAATATGAATCTGAAATAATGAATACAATCACATGACCTTGAGATGCGGAAAGACATCTCGGGAAAAAATATATAAGTACATAGATAAGTAGAAAGTAGATATTTACAAATAAATATAAAATGAATTCAATGAAATTTTATTTTTCTTTACAGCTGATTTCTTGCTTGAATATCCCGACAACTACAAGTTTCGCAATCGTCTTATTCTCGATTCAACTTTTATGCTTAGTGATTGCTATTTGACAGTTCTTATCGCTGAAATTGGTTCAAAATTCAGGTAATACATCAAATTATTATGCATAACGAATTGTTTATTTTTAACAGGACGAAAAACAAGAAGAACAATAATTCAAAATCGCGATTTGTTCCTGTAGCTTGGTGTTTGCATTCTAATCGAGATTTACCGTCGCATTCAAAGTTTGCCGATTTTCTTCACAAAAAAGTTCAAAAGCCAAACAAAAAACACGGTCATTCCATGCATCATAACTGATGGAGAAGCGAGTTTCTCCGCGTATACTGCAGTGAGTTTGAAATAATATTTCTTCTCAAAATAATAACACAAAAAAAAACAAAATTAAATAAAAAATTAAAACTACAACAATCCGCACGCCTGTTGTTTAGACAAACAAATCTTTTCCCCCTCCTATACACACACACTCTCTAATTCCTACTAAATTTATTTATTTTTATTTCTGGCGTCCTCTCAGTTGCTTCATACTTTTATTTTTAGTCTCTTCACTTTTTAATTCGCCCTTACTATTTCCTCATTTCCTATGCGCCTAGATTAAATAAAGCGTCCTCCTAAGGTCCAGCAAAAGAGGCATCACTGATGAGACCTCCTCTTTACCGTCTGATGAAAAGGTCGAAACGGTTTCTTGCGTACTCCCCACTCTATTCTTCTTATTAACTTCTAATTCATTTTTAAATCTTTCCTATTGCAACGAGAGAAAATAAACCCTCCTCCCTCCAGCTCCAGAGAGAATAGAGAAGACTAGAGAAAAAGCGCTCTAATGATAATCTATGCGAGAGAAAATATTTCGGATTTTCACTCTGTATATATTTCACAGTTGTCTTATTTTATTGTCCGTTTGGAAATGAGATTCACCCCGCGAAAAAATAAATTTGAATTTGCTGCAGGAGACGCAGACAGCGAGAGAGTGAACTGGCAAACAGCCAACGGGGGTTTTGTATGGGAAAGCGACCGCGACGCACACGCGTCGCGGGGGTAGGGGGAAATTAGAGATTTTCTCAAATTCAAATTTATTTTTTCGCGGGGTGAATCTCATTTCCAAACGGACAATAATTCATTCTACTTATTCAGAAGCTTGGATGGCCACACCTACGATGCGAACTTCATTTGCGGCAAAATCTTATCAGCAAATTGGAAAAAGATGGGGTGGAATTGTACAAATTGTTGTTTGGTGAAAGAGTACGTGAAAAGTAACATTTTTTTTAATTTGGTGCAATTTTTAGGATGATGGAAACTGGAGCGTAGGAGCACTTGGAGCCGGATCGTTTGAAGAATTTGTCGAAAGAATAGCTGTTTTGGAACAATCTGGAAAACTCAATGAAAACATGTTGAAATGGTACGTTTCTTCAAACGAAATTCAAAAATACCCTATACACACCTCAAAATCGTTGTTGTCATAATGAAAAATTGTACGCTAACTTTTTACTATATGAAAACTGTGTCGTTCTCAGTTTTTGGCCTCTAAAAGCTGAAAATCAGATTTTTCAAAATTGTCCCTATATTAAAGAAAAATGGGATTTCAATCAATACATATTTCAGGCTGGATACTAGGAAAGAGTGGTTATTTGACCAATGTTCATTGTACTCGAAATTCGAAGGAGGATTCCTCATTTCGTTTTCAACATCAAACCAGATCGAAAGTTGGAATTGTGAATTGAAACAACGATTGGGGAAAAGAACGACTGCCGACATCGTTGCTCAACTTCTAGTAAATTTACAAATAGGTAACTTAATTTTTCAAAACTGATCGAGAAGTCGAATTCGGAAAAAAAGTTCAAAGTTCCCGGCATGAAATTCCGCGTGGCATGACTTTTCTAAATTTATTGCTTATTTAAAATAACAAAAAATTTCTGAATTTTCTAAACCAATGCATAAAATATATGAATCAACATAGCTAAATCAACTTGATAAGCAACATTTTCTTGCTTTTCAAATTAGTGTTTAAATTTATTCAAATTTCAGAAGAAAGCAGTAATATACTTCAATCCATGCAGTCAAACAGCCCAAATATTATTTGTATCGATGCTGATGAAATAAAGAAAATGACAACATCGGAAAAGAAGGATTATTTTGCCGAAATTGGATGGATCGAAAATGAAGTTATGACCTGGAAATTTCCACCGTCGTGGTCATACTGTGAGTTTTTTACATAAAGGTTTTAAAGTATAAAATCATCGAAAGAATAAAATCGGCCATAATAAACCGATGTTATTTCAATTTTGTGTCAAGGTATTATAAGTAATATTTTTTATTAAATTAGCTTAACCACTAGAATTTAATAGAAGTTATACAAAAAAAGCAAAAATTAAAAGAATCTCCGGGAAAAAGTCCGGAAAAGTTTTATGTTTACCATCTGTTGAGAGAAAATAATTTATTGATTTTATATTTTTCAGCATTGGATTTTGGAAAAATGCGATCAATTGAGCTGAAAAGCCAGAATCTAATAGTCGAAGAAACATCGAAGGTCTACATAGTTGAATCAGAATCAAGCGAGCGAACAAGCAATGAGTAAGTTACAAAAAAACAAGCCGCCCTTAAAAATGTATAATTTTCTAGATTTGTCCAAATCAAAAAATCGATGGAAGGAAAGGTCTCATGTTTGGTTTGTTCAAAATGCAAACCAAATCTACCATTCAGCTTCTGTGAACATATGTAGGTCTTCCATTTACTCTACAAAATTAATTCATTCACATTTTTCAGCTTTGCTATACTCAAAAATCTGCCGGAAATCGATCGCGAAATGGAATTATTAAAGATTGGGACATCAATCGATAATAAAAAATCTGAAATATTCCATCTGAAATCGATCTCAAATGATTCTGCTGGTGAAAAATCCAAAAGGAAAGGGCATCAAAAATCACACAAGAATTATACTCGAACTACAACACGTGTTATTGATGAATTTGATTTGTGAGTTTTTTATTTCTTTAAATTTTTCCAAATCGATTCAGTTTTTACTAAATTATTCGCATTTTCTGGATGAATAATTAAATTAGTTCCAAAACATCAATCACAAATTTTAACGCTTCATCAAAGTATTTTAGGCCTACAACTGGGAATTGTATCGATGCATCAGCGGATTCTTCAATTTTGGAACAAAACGAAAATGCAGTGCATTCGACTGATGAGTTTGATATCACCATCAACTCAATTTCCGATTCACCAGATAAATCGCTTCGCAGAAGTAAGCGTAATTCGGATGTTTTGAAATATACAAACGATGGATTCATCAAGAAATCAAAGAATTGAACTTTCTTGTTTGATTTCGTTTTTTCGTCTTGTGTCTTATTTGTTTGTTATTTGTTTGTTTCTTATAAGAGAGAGTCGGAATTGAACTGATATGTTGGAAAATCTTTTCCTACCCTCTCTTTGTTATCTTTTGTTTAATCCTTGTTGATTTATTTTTGTTTTGTTTCACATTATAAAAATTCCAAGAGATTCAATGGAAATACTTCAACATGAAGTGATAGAACGAACATAAAAACTAGTTTTTCATAATGCAGGTCAAAATAATTTCTGTGAACTCAATCTTCAGGCAAGAATCAAATTTTAATATCTGCGTCCAATCACAAAAATCGACGCGTAACTCTCTGGTGGCCTAGAAAACCAAAACCATGACTGGTTTTTTTGCATTGGACCAATGAATATGTAAAATTTAAAAATTTAAAAAGACAATATGTAAAAACATGTTCCATGTATAAAACTTTTTCACATGTAAAAAATGTTCCATGCATATCACCTTACATGTAAAAAATTATTTCACATGCATAGTACTTCCATGCCATGTTTTACATGCATACTACTATTGACCGAGGAGGAATCGAACTTTGGTCTTGCGATTTCCAGCAAAACAATCTGCCACTGAGCTAAACGCGAGCTAGAATTTTTGCTTGAAATGTCGGTGAAAAGGTGATTGTTTCAAAAAATTTGTATATTTTTTTTATTGAACGAAAAATGCATTTTTTGAAGATGACTAAACTTTTTGGGCAGAGACCACGTTTTGAAAAAAAAACCAATTGTAAATAAAAAGTTTCGAAATATCAAAAAATGCTAGAGCTTTTAAAAAAGTTATAGATATTTTTGAAGAGAAAGAAAAATGTTTTTTTGCTAAAGACAACATGTGCCATTGGAAAAATAGCAAAAAATCGATGATCAGAGATATTTTACCTGAAAAATGTTCGTTTTCAGAAAATATATGGAAATTTTGGGGATACTGTAGTTTTTTAGCTTTTTTATATTCACAAATTTGCCCTCTCTCAAGATTTTCCACGTTTTCCAAGCTGTTTTTGAATGTATTCCAAAAAATGAAACGAAAATAGCAAACACGTGCCGGATGCTTGCAAAAGAGTGCGCCGCACACGGCGAAACCTGACTCCGCCCCTTTTTTTTATTTTTCGAATTTTTTGCTGGTCCTGTTTCTAGGTTTTTTGTAGGGTTTTGCGGGGATTTTTAGCTAGAAATGAAATAAAAAAATTTCTGAAATTTATCTTATGTGGGGTTTTCGAAAAATTTTCAATATTTCATGTTTCACGTGAAAATTTGGGTTTCACTGAAAAATGAGCGAAATAAATGCATTTTGCAGATAAAAAGGAATGGCAGACAAATCTACAACAGTGGAAAAAGTGATTGATCCGATAATCGACTTGGGTAATCTACTTTTCGTCGACAGAGATCCAATCGAAGGCGATGCTTTGGAAAACTTGGCAACTCGCGCCAGAAACAACACACAACTTTTATTCAACAATATTTGGCAATTGGAACAGAAACGAATCGATGAGGCGATAACTGTTGCACTTCCTCTTGGAACCTATCGAATTCCGAGGGAAAAGAAACTTCCAGAGAAAAAAGAACCAACAAAATGGGAGAAATATGCTGCTGAAAAGGGAATTGTGAAGAGAAAGAAGGATAAGAAGGTGTTTGATGAGGTGACGAAAGAATGGAAGCCAACTTATGGTTATAGACGAGCAAATGATCCGACTAAGGATTGGGTTATTGAAGTTCCGGATAATGCAGAAGATCCGAATAAGGATTATTTTGCTGAGAGAAAAGAGAAGAAGAAGGAAAGAATGGCGAAGAATGAGATGCAAAGACTCAAGAATTTGGCGAGACAAATGAAGACTACTGTTAAAACCGGACCATCAACTGAGAAAATGATTGGTGTTGGTGTGGATGCGAAAGAAAAATCGAAACAGCAAGTTAGATTTGCGGTGGATCGTGCAAAGATATCAACGGCTTCAGCTGGCAAATTCCAAGAAGGTTTGAAGGGTGAGAAGAAGAATATTAAGACGGGAAAGAAGAGGAAGTTTGAGGCTAATGAGGCGCCGGTTTCATCGGAGAAAGAGAGATCTATGAAGATTTTGCAGACGATGAAAGCTAAGAAGGTATGAAGAGCTGCTGATTAATATTTCGCTGTGAAAATCTACTTATCTCAACTCTAAATACGAATTTTGACTATTTTTAGTTGGACTTCGTCGACTAAATGATATTTTCCTATCTTTTACGGAATCGTATGCTTTTGTCGTATTCATAGGATAGAAAAATCTAGGAGAATTCGAATGATATAATTTTTGATGACTTTACGTTACTTCTAAGTGGAAATTCTCGCTAAATTCCTTATGGGTAACGTAAATTCATCAAAATTTATATCAGTCGAATTCTCCTAGATTTTTCTATCCTATGAATACGAAAAAAGCATACGATTCCGTAAAAGATAGGAAAATATCATTTAGCCGAAGTCCAGCTTTAAATATTCAGATTAGAGTTGAGATAAGTAGATTTTGACAACGAAATCGTGATCAGATGGTTAAATAGAATCAATTTATCAAAAATCTGAAATTCCAGGCCAAAATCATCGAAGAAAAAGCGTCAGCGGTCGCCGGACCAATTGCCGACAAACCCAAATTTGATCCGAAGAAGAGAAAATCGACAAAATCCGAGCCAACTCGTCAAAAATCGCAAATCCATCGACAAACCTGGTTCAAAAACAAGGTGGATGCGAAGAAGAAGGGAACTGCGGGAGCCGGAAAATCCAAGGGAAAAGGAAAGAAATAATTTTTTATATGCTTTTTTTGTTGATTTTGTTTTTGTTGTTAAAGTTTTCTTGATTTTTTCGCGGTTTTTTGGAGTTTTTCTGATTCGTTGGACACCCAATGTCAAATATTTTATTGTGAAAATGTGAAAATCCGTTTTTTCCACGTCAAAACCCAAAAAACCTCATTTCTAGCGGGAAAATGTGTGTTTTTTGTTCAAAGTGAGAAAGTGCGCTCCAGCGAACAACGGCGAATTTTGAAATTGTCATCTTTTTTGAGCGAGTTTTGTCAGCATTTTTTGGGGTTTCCAGTGGAAAATGACTGTGATTTTCAGCGTTTTCTTGAAATTTTCAGATATTTTAATTTGAAATGAGAAATTCTGAATTTCCAGTAACTCCAAGATGTCTCTCGGTTTCGTTTCACAAGACGGCGAGTTTTGCGGATTTTGCGGAACAATTTTGTCGCTTCCGCTGAACGCTCCAGCACAAGTTGAATGTAAAGTTTGCTCGACGAAATGGCTCATCAAAGGTTAGGGAATATTTCCAGTATTGCGCTAAATTATATTTGGACTAAATGACATTTTCAGGTTTTTTAAGCAATTGAGTTGAAATATTGGGTTCTAATGTTATTCATATGATAGAATGGTCTAAGACGAACAGAATGATATAAATTTTGATGACTTTACCTTATCCATAAGTGATTTAGCGAGCTTAACGACTAAACGTCGCTAAATCACTTATGGATGAGGTAAAATCATCAAAATTTATATCATTCTGTTCGTCTTAGACCATTCTATCATATGAATAACATTAGAACCCAATATTTCAACTCATTTGCTTAAAAAACCTGAAAATGTCATTTAGTCGATGTCCAACACGCAACTTAGCTGAAATTCTACGCTCTGGTCGTATTTATAGGATAGACAGGCCCAGGGCGATTCGGATGATATAATTTTTGATGAATTTACGTTAACCCTAAGATGATATTCACTAAATCACTTAGGGTTAACGCAAAATCATCAAAAATTATATCATCCGAATTGCCCTGAACCTGTATATCCTATAAATACGACCAGAGCGTAGGATTTCAGCTAACTTGCGCAAGAAAAGTTGCTAAGGCTCTTTACAAGGGAGGTGCATAAGGTTGGGTGTTGAACTTTTGGTGAGACATATCGAAATATACCAAATCGACTATGCTGCTCACGATCTCGAAGTCAAAAATTGTCACGAATGCCTGCGAGCAATTTTCTGGAGCTCCAAAGTTGAAATGGAGTTTTGGTTTTCGCTCAGTTTCACCATTTTTCCGGGTGGAAAATCAACTTGGAAAATGGTGAAAATGAGCAAAAACCGAAACTAAATTCTAACTTTGGAGCCCCAGAAAAGTGCTCACAGGCATTTGTGGCAATTTTTGACTTCGGGATCGTGATCAGCATAGTCGATTTGGTATATTTCGATATGTTTCACCAAAAGTTCAACACCTGGCGTACGAAGCGAGTTAGGATGTTGCTACTCAACGAAACTCAACCCCATTGCAGAAAAGAACGAGGAACTCGTGTGCCGCGTCGAAAAAATCTACGAGCGCACAGTGGCGGACACAGATGGAATGGATACAGAAGACGCTGGAGACTCGCTTGTCGATCACATTTGCTCGAAGTGTGGACACGGAAAAGCATCGTATTCTACAATGCAAACAAGATCAGCTGATGAAGGACAAACTGTGTTTTACACGTGTTTGAAGTGTAAAAAGAAGGATATTGAATATTCGTAGTTTTCTTGTTAATTAGTTGTTATTTGATTTGATATTGATTAAATCACATTTTCAGCGCAAGTTAGCTGAAATCATGCGCAGAAAATGTGATTTTATCAGTAATTTTTTTTTGATTGTTGTTGTTAATTTTTCGTTTTTTTTTTTGTTATATTGTACACATTTTTCAAAATTTCTCGTTTTTCGATGATTTCCGATGGTTTTTTCAACCAAATTGATATATTTACATGGTTTTTTTGAAGTTTCTAGGTAATTCAGTGATTTTTTAGATGTCCCGAGGAAGCAGCGCTGGATTCGATCGTCATATCACAATCTTCTCGCCAGAAGGGCGTGTTTATCAAGTGAGATTTTATTGAACAGATCAGAATGATCTGAAATTAGCTTCTGAGCTTCTGGTGGAGCCCGAAAATTCGCCAGAGCAGATGGTGTAGTCGGTTAAGCTCGCGGGTTCGATTCCTGCTCGCTGCAAGAATTTTTGAGATTTTGTGGTGTGAGTACAAAATCTCAAAATGTCTTGCAGCGAGCAGGAATCGAACCCGCGAGCTTCCAATCAACGACCTAGACACTAACCGACTACACCATCTGGTCTGGGGAATTTTTGGGCTCCACCAGAAGCTCAGAAGCTAGCTTTTACAATTAGAGCATTTTGAGCAGCTCACCGAGCTCCAGAAGACTGTATTGTCAAAAAATAACCAATTTCCAGGTCGAATATGCATTCCGAGCAATCAATTCAACCAACTTGACGGCAGTTTCAGTCAAAGGAAACGACACAGCTGTAATCGCTGTCCAAAAACGTGTTCCAGACAGTCTGATTGTTGCCGAAAGTGTGACTTCAGTTTATCAAATCTCGCCAACCGTCGGATGTTGTGCAATCGGTCTGATTCCGGACGCCAAATTCCAAGTGAAACGTGCGCAAAGCGAGGCGTCGAATTGGAAATACAAACATGGCTATGATATGCCGTGCGAACTTTTGGCCAAGAAAATGGCCGATTTGAATCAATATTATACGCAGAATGCCGAGATGCGCAGTTTGGGATGTGGTACGGTGGTTTTTGGAGATTCTGAGCCGCTGAAGAGGATTCTGATGTCTAAAATTAGTTGGCTTAACTCTTTGTGAACCAGCTTTGAAGATGGTTCTCATGAAAATCTAATATTGTTCAGAAGATTTAATTACCTAAGTTCACCTAACTTCAATCAATAATGTTCCGCTCAGAAATATTCTCAAAATCAGATTTTTTGAAATTCTCCATCTAGAAAAACATAATTTTCAGCTTTTTTTCGCCGAGAATCTGAAAATTCTGTTTTTCTAGAAGGAGATGAAGAATTTCAAAGTTCAAAAGCTGATTTTGAGAATATTTCTAAGCGGAACATTATTGATTGAAGTTAGGTGAACTTAGGTAATTAAATCTTCTGAACACTATTAGATTTTCATGAAAACCAACTTCAAAGCTGGTTCACAAAGAGTTGAGCTAACTAATTTCTGACATCAGAATCCTCTTCAGCGCCTCAGAATCGACTAGAAGCCATATTCTGAAGCCCCAAAATAATTTTCCAGCTCTCATCTTCATTTCATACGACGACGAAGAAGGGCCAACTGTATACCGTGTCGATCCAGCCGGTTATTTCCGCGGAATGAAAGGTGTTTCGGTGGGTGTCAAACAAGTCGCCGCCAACTCGTTTTTGGAGAAGAAAATCAAGAAAAAGTCGGATTTGTCATCATCGGAAGCCATTGAGTTGGCCATCGAAGCCCTTCAGAATTCGCTCGGAATTGATGTTCGCGCAAAAGATTTGGAAGTTGTTGTTGTCAGCAAGGAGAATCACAAGTTTACGTATGTCTTTTGAAATATTCAATTTTTCCGGTCTTGGAACTAGAAAATTCGATTTTTTCGGTCTAGAAGCTGAAAAATAGGATTTTTTTCGGTGCTGGACCTTGAAAATCGAAATTTTCCTCTTCGAGACCTAGAAAATTGGATTTTTAGAAATAGGTGCAAGGAATTTGCATCAAGACATAATTTTTCAGGAAAATCGGATTTTTTTCGGTCTAGAAGCTGAAAAACTTGATTTTTTTGGTCTGGAACCCGGGAAATCGGATTTTTTGGTCTGGAACTTTGGAAAATCGAGTTTTTCGGTCTAGAAGCTGAAAAACTTGATTTTTTTGGTCTGGAAAATCGATGTTTCAAGGCCTAGAACCTGGAAATTCTGGTTTTTCAGGTTTAGAACCTTCGAAATTGAAATTTTCCGGTCTACAAGCTTCAAAATTGCTCCAGGAGCTCAAAATCCAATTTTTCAGCTCTAGAACCTGAAAAATCCAATTTTTTCGGTCTAGGATCTTGAGAAATCGAGTTGTTTTGGTCCTGGAGCTTGAAAATCGTTCCAGGACCTGAAAAATCCGATTTTTCTCAGTCCAGACCACGGAAAAATGGAATTTTCAGTTCTAGGATCTTCGAAATTTGATTTTTTCGCTTCGGGACCTAGAAAATCAGATTTTTATCCCTAGAAAGCCGAAAAGTTGCTCCGAGACCCAAATTTTCACAAAAATTATCGATTTTTCCATATGAATCATAAAAATTGATAAATTTCTTTAAAACTGATAAAAATCATCTCATTTTTCCAGAAAATTGAACAACGATCAAGTCGAGCATCATTTGAATCAAATTGCGAACCGCGACTAAGAATTTCGCAATTTTTCCGTTTCGCAAAACAAAATTTGTCCATTTTTACTATTTATTTATTGATTTTTGAACCCGTTTCCTTCTTTTTTTCCCCAATATTTATTGTAATTTTCGAAAAATAATTTAATTCGGTGAATGAATTTTCTTACCTTTTTGTTTTTTTTTTTGTTTTTTTGCTCAATTTTCCCCAAATTTTTGGTTTTTTCCAATGATTTTCCTTTTTATTTCAATTTCAGGTTCAAAAATCTGGAATTTCAGAAATGTCGGAGACTTCTGAAATTGAGGATGCTGATTGGTTTTTGAGCGCCGTTTTGTATTTGGCTGCAAGTTTTGTCGTCTTGTTTTTTGTCAGGTAGGAAATTTGAATTTTTGAAATTAGCGCCTTGGAAAATTAGGCGGGAATTTTGAATTTTTCAAAAAAATTCATCTGGAGCTCAAAAAATGCTCCTAGAAGCCTATAAAAGCATCTAAATGGCCCCCGGAAGCCCTAAAAGCCTTCCAGAAGCCCTAAGAGCCTCTAGAAACCTCTAGAAAGCCCTAATGGTCTCCATAAGCCCCTAGAGGCCTTTAAAAGCCCCTAGTGGCCCTAAAAAAGCCTCCAGGAAGCCCTAATGGCCTCTAGAACCCCTGGAAAGCCTTAAAAAGCCCCCAAAAAGCCTCCAGAAGCCCTGGAAGCCTCTAGAAGCCCTGAAAGCCTCCTGAAGCCCTAGAAGCCTATAAAAGCCTCTAGAAGCCCTAAGAGCCTCTAGAAGCCTCTAGAAAGCCCTAATGGTCTCCAGAAGCCCCTAGTGGCCCTAAAAAAGCCTCCAGGAAGCCATAAAAGCCCCTAGAAGCGTCTAGGAGCCCCGGAAGCCCAAAAAAGCCTCCAGAAGCCCTGGAAGCCCAAAAAATGCTCCTAGAAGCCTCCAGAAGCCCTGGAAAGCCCTAGAAGCCCTGGAAAGCCTTAAAAAGCCTGTAAAGCCTCTAGAAAGCCTACAGAAGCCCTAGAAGCCTATAGAAAGCCCTAATGGCCTCTAGATCCCCTGGAAAGCCTTAAAAAGCCTGTAAAGCCTCTAGAAAGCCCCTGGAAGCCTCTCGAAGCCTCTAGAAGCCCGAAAAGGCCTCTAGAAGCTCTAGAAGCCACTAGAACCCATGGAAAGCCTTAAAAAGCCTGTAAAGCCTCTAGAGGCCTAAAAAAGCCTCTAAATGGCCTCCAGAAGCCCTAAGAGCCTCTAGAAAGCCTCCAGAAGCCCTAGAAAGCCTTCCAGAAGCCCTAAAAGTCTCTAGAAGCCCTAGAAGCCTCTAGAACCCCTGGAAAGCCCAGAAAAGCCCCCCAAACCCCTCATTCATTCCAGAAAATTCTTCAAAGGCGGTCAATTCACCGAACGAGTTTCCGCCAAGAATTTGATCGCAGTTGTGACCGGAGCAAATTGTGGAATTGGTTTCGAAACTGTGAAAGAGCTCAATTTACGAAAAGCCAAGGTTTACATGCTGTGCCGGACCGAAGAGCGGGCTTTTGAGGCTCGTGTCGAGCTCTCGAAAAAAGGATGCGATTCTTCGCGGCTCATTTTCATTCAATGTGATTTGGACAATTTTGAGAGTGTTCGAAAAGCGGCCGAGCAACTATTGAGCCTTGAAAAGCATATTGATATTCTGGTGAATAATGCTGGAATTATGTATCAATCGAAATATGGGAGTACTGTAGATGGACATGAGCGAACTTGGCAATCCAATTATTTGGGACCATTTTTGTTGACTGAACTTTTGCTGCCAGTTTTGAAGAAATCGGAAAATGGTGGGAGAATTGTGAATGTGTCAAGTATGCTCCATCGACAATCTGCAAAAATTAATTTGGCTACGGTGGATGAGAAGAAGAGCTATGGAATGATGAAGGCTTATAATCAGAGTAAACTTGCTAATGTGAGCTTTGATATTTTTGAATATTTGAATTTGGCGGGGAGTTTTGAGAGGCGCGAAATTTGAAAATTTGAATTTTGCGCCTTGACAAATTGAGCGCGAAATTTGAACTTTTGAATTTCCCGCCTAATTTTTCAAGGCGCGAAATTCAAAAATTCAAATTTCCCGCCTGATTTTTCATGGCGCGAAATTTGAAAATTCAAATTTCCCGCTTGAAATTTGGTAAGGCTTCTAGACCCAGTTTTTCAGTTTCTAGACCATTCCAAGATGTCGGCTTCAAGATGTCGGTTTTTTTAGGCTTGCGGACTAGTTTTCCAGATTTCTGGCCGAATTTTTGGACATTTGGTTTTCTAGGTCATGTGTATAGTCTAGTTTTCTCGCCTAATTTTATGAAGTCGCCAAATTTGAAAATTCAACTTTCCCGCCGCGCGAAATTTGAATTTTTGAATTTCCCGCCTAAATAATGGCTTTTTGAACCTTTAATAGGATTTTTCTATAATATGAGCAATGCTGGAATTTTTTAGAAGCTCGGGATTTTGAATAATCCACGTGGCATTTTTTTGGTGCGAAATTTGAATATTTGAATTCCGCTCTCAATTTTTGCACCCGCGAATTTCAAAAATTCAAATTTCCCGCCCAATTTTCGATGCCGCGAAATTCAAAAATTCAAAAAATATTTGCAGGTAATGCACGCCCGTCAATTAACCAAAATTCTACGCAAAGAGGGAACTCACAACGTGCTTGTCAATTCTCTTCATCCCGGAGCCGTAAATACTCCACTCATCAGAAGCACATTTTTGTATTTGAAAGGAATCAAAGAGCTCACGGCACCTTTCAGATGGTTCTTCCTGAAAACTTCGAGAGATGGAGCACAAACTTCGCTTTATGTTTCGCTGAGCAAAAAAGTTGATGGAATTAGTGGAAAATATTTTGCGTGAGTTGTTGATTTTTGGGCTGAAAATTCATCTAAATCGCTTCGAGACCCGAAAAAACGCAAATTTTGCTATAAATTTGGGTCCTACAGCGAATTTGACTACTGTAGATCGAATTTTCGCGGTAAAAAGCAATGGAATTCAAAAAATCCGGAATTTAGCTATAAATTTGGGTCCTAAAGCGAATTTGACTACTGTAGATCGAATTTTCCTTGTTGACAACCAAAAAAATCGAAATTTTGCTATAAATTTGGGCCCTAGAGCGAATTTGACTACTGTAGATCTCTCCAGGACCAAAATTCGAGCGAAATTTGGGATTTTTTGAATCCTGTCGATTTTTGGCGCCAAAATTTGATCTACAGTAATAATATTCGCTTTGGGACCAAATTTAGAGCAACAATTTTAAACTTTGGGTTTTGAAGCGAAATTTTGAAATTTTGGCGCCAAAAACAAGTTTGCCACGTCATCACAACTCTATTTTTCTCTGCACAATCGTCTCTAAACTAGTCTCTAGTCCTCACAATGATTTTTGCCACGTCATAACTCAAATCAATATTTTTCTTCAGCGACTGTAAATTGGCTACCGAATCCGAATTGGCTTTGGATGATCAAGCCTGTGAAGATCTCTATAATTATAGTCTGGAGCAGGTTGGACTTGAGAAGAAGTGAGAGCTGAAAATCTGGAATTCTGAAAATCTGGAATTTTAATAATTGTCGTGTGATATATTCTATGAACTTGTTTATTGAGAGAGAGAGAGAGAGAAATGATTCCCGTATGAGCAGAAAAAGTTGAGCAGCAGCAGCATATCGTCTTCTAGCAGAAGCGGCAAGTCCGCGCGCAAAACGCGGAAAGATAGCGTTGATGTGATGGAGAGCGGCAGAAGGCGGACCATTGTTGACAGCGGCCTTGCGGATCGCGGTCGGAACATTCTGGAAGAAGGTGGGGATTTTTTGGGGAGCGGGATTTGAAATCTAGAAAAAATTCCACGTTTTTTGAGCCCAAACAAGCCCGGGGCCCTAATATGAGCAATCTGAATATTTTGGGAAAAACTCACGTCCACCACCGGCTCCAATTGCTCCACCTCCAAATTGTTGTTGAGGCTGGCGAGTTGTGGAAAACTGAAAAATCGAATTTTGGCGCCAAAATTGTTGCTGACGCATTTCTAGTAGCTTCTAGATTCCCTGACGCATTTTTGGTAGCTTTTAGATTTGCTGACGCATTTCTGGTAGCTTCTAAATTTGCTGGCGCATTTCTGGTAGCTTCTAGATTTGCTGACGCATTTCTAGTAGCTTCTAGATTTGCTGACGCATTCCTAGTAGCTTCTAGATTTGCTGGCGCATTTCTGGTAGCCTAAAAAAAAACTCTAACCTGCCCTCGTCGTCTGAACACTGGCTGTGGTTGTTGAGAAATGATTCGCTGTCTGGGTCTTGGCGGGATTTGTTGGAAGGTTCTGGAAATGAGTACTGTATCTACAGTACTCGCTGGTTTACTGTACCTTTGTGTTGGTGAAGATGCTGAGGCAGATGATGAGCGATCTGAAGATTTTTCCTAGGGGTACTGTAGATTTTGGTTTGAATTTTTCTCTGCACTCTCTCATGGTTCTCTAGTCTTTATGTAATTGTGAGCTAGAGTCTAGTTTAGGATACTAGACTCTAGCTAGACTTTAGACCCTAGAATTGCAAACTAGAATCTAGTCTTCAAACTACATTTCATTATCCTAAACTACACTCTAGTCTAGTCTCTCTTACATACGTCTGTGCATAATTTCCATACCTTCAACCGGAATAATTCTCGACATTTGCGGCGACGTCGAAATTGGCTGCGGCTGAAGATTTTTGGAGGGTTAAAGGGACATGGGACAAAAATTTTACATTTTTAAAGGGACATGCTGTTTTGACATGCCGCGAAAAATGGGATTTTTGAATGGGACCATCGAAAAATCGATTTTTTCGGCCTGGAATCGATTTTTACGATTTGGAACCTATTTTTTTCCGTTTGGGACACGAAAAATCGGTTCGAAGCTCAATTTTTCACAAAAATCCGATTTTTTCGGTCTCGAATCGATTTTTTCGGTTTGGGACTCGAAAAATCGGTTCAAAGCTCAATGTTTCAGAAAAAATCCGATTTTTTCGGTCTGCAACCGGTTTTTTCGGCCTGGGGCTCGAAAAATCGGTTCAAAGCTCAATTTTTCACAAAAAATTCGATTTTTTCGGTCCGACTTTCGGTTTTCGATGGTCCCATTCAAAATTTGCCCAAAAATTAATTTAAAAATTGAAAAAAAATTAAAAAAAAAAATCTTGACCTGAGTATTCTGTTGAGATTGTCGTTGTTGTTGTTGTTGTTGCTCCAGAATCTGAGCTCCCTAGAAAAAATTCAAAAATGTTTTTTTTGTCATGCAAAAAACACCGTGCAAAAGCGGAAAAACTGATTTACACGTGGCAAGAACGAAAAAAAATGGACAAAAACAAGCAAAGCTAATATGAGCAACAAAAAGTGTACATAAAGCCCGAAAAAGCCCGAAAGCTCGAAAGCCCCAGGCCTAAAGCCCAAGGCCCTAAGGCCCTAAGGCAAGTTCTCGTGGCGTCTACGCTGTATATATTGTGGTTTACGCACAATGCTGTCGAACACTTTGAACGTCTCCATTTTGAATTGTTTGACTGGCGGTGGAATTGTCGGAAGCGGAGCCTGGTAGGCGGGAAATCCGTCGCGGTTCAGCCGGCAAGGCGGAAGCGGACGAGAGCGGACGGATTTCACCCAGAATTGGGTTTGGTGCCGGACGACTGTTGCGCTGGAAATTTAAAGATTTTCAAGTTGAAAATCCTTGTCCAAAAAGGTTGGGGGCTCGATTCCCGGTGCCCGCGGGCATTTTCAACATTTCCCGAAAATTCCGCTCAAAATGATGCCAAATTCTATAAGAAAAAAAAATGTTCGCCACCGGCAAAACTCGAACCCCTGACCTTGTGCTCGCCGCGAGCGCCTTGGACCACTCGCACGTGTGTGCATTTTGTTACGCTGGGTAAATTGTCATATTTAAATGATGCGCCCGCGGTTTTTTTTTGATTGAAGGTGGAATTTAGAAATTTTCAAGGATTTAAATTTTTGGCGCCAAAAAATTCTACAGTAACAAAGGCTTATTGAGTCTCAGAAAAAATCCCAAATTTTCCAGCTCCACAGCTCATTTTTCATCGAAAATCACGAATTTTAGTAGGTATTTTTGGCCGAAAAATGCTCCAGATTTCACATTTTTCATCAAAAATCATGATTTCTGATGGATTTTAAGCCGAAAATGTCGAATTTTTCGAGCTCCAGAGCTCAGAACTCACACAAATTGCACAGTCTCCGATTCCTCGTCGTGTTTCCACCACATTTTCATATGCTTCTTCTTCTCATCGTGAGAATGTGTGGCCGAATCTTTGTATCTGCAAAAATAAGCGTCTCTTTCAGCGAAGCTTCCGCGACGCGGAAAATTCCGCACCGTACCTGAAACACTGTTGTTGCCACGAGCCATTGTCGTCCAATCGAACGAGTTGACCGATTCTTAAAGAATTCATTTTAGGCCGCGGCCCAAGAAGCCTAGGCTTAGGCCTAGGTCTAGGCCTTTAAAGGCACATACCGTTTTCCTAGTTGATCGTTACTCCAGGAGTACGGTTGAATCACGAATCCTTTAAACCACACACTTTCGTTGAGGCCTTGCAGGGTTACTGTAAGTAGGCTTTTTCAGGCTTAGAAATAGGCTTTTTCAGGCCTAGAATTAGGCTTTTTAGGCTTAACATCAGCCTTAGGCTTAAACTAAAAATCAGGCTTTTTCAGGCCTAAAATTAGGCCCAAACTCACATCCAATCGGTTGATTCCTCCAATAGCACTTCTGATCCACTGCAATCTCATAAGGCGGTGCAGTTAGCTGAAGTCCACCCTGATGCTCCACAGCTTCTAGTGGATTCATTGATTCGAAAGCGGCGTGTACACACGGTGCACCGTCAGGCCACGAATAGATCGAGTGAAATACTGTGCAGAGGGTGGAGAGGAGAAGGGCGGGTCTAATCATGTCTGCAAAAATTAGGGTTAAGGTAGAGCCTTAAGATACGGTAAGGCTTAGGGATAAACTTAAGCCTTAATTTAGTCGTTAAGATTTAGCTAAGCCTAAATTGAATCCCTAAGATTCAGCCAAGCCTAAATTTAGTCTTTAAGCCTAAATTGAATCCTTAAGATTAGGCTAAGCCTAAATTTAGTCCTCAAGATTTACCTAAGCCTAAATTTTGTCCCGAAGCTTCAGATAAGCCTGAATTAAGTCCTTAAGGTTTGGCTAAGCCTAAATCTAGTCCTTTAGTTTAGGCTAAGCCTGAATTTAGTTCTTAAGATTCAGATAAGCCTAAATTTAGTCCTCAAGATTTACCTAAGCCTAAATTTAGTCCTCAAGATTTACCTAAGCCTAAATTTAGTCCTCAAGATTTACCTAAGCCTAAATTTTGTCCTTAAGATTCAGCTAAGCCTAAATTTAGTCCTTAAGATTCAGATAAGCCTAAATTTAGTTCTTAAGATTCAGATAAGCCTAAATTTAGTCCTCAAGATTTACCTAAGCCTAAATTTAGTCCTCAAGATTTACCTAAGCCTAAATTTAGTCCTCAAGATTTACCTAAGCCTAAATTTAGTCCTCAAGATTTACCTAAGCCTAAATTTAGTCCTCAAGATTTACCTAAGCCTAAATTTAGTCCTCAAGATTTACCTAAGCCTAAATTTAGTCCTTAAGATTTACCTAAGCCCAAAGTTAGTTCTTTAAGATTCAGATAAGCCTAAATTTAGTCCTTAATGTTCAAATTCACCACTACCGTACTCATCATGCGCCTTTAAATTGGCCAGAAAAAATGTACAGTATGAAAACCCGGAAATTTTGGAAAACTTGATTAAATTTTGAGATATGAACCTAAAAAAAGAAAATGTACGATTTTTTTTGCTAAACAAGTTTATTTTTGTACGAAAAAAGAAAAAACATAATTATAGGGTATTAAGACTACTTTTTCCGCGCGGAAGGCTTAGGCTTCCGGCTAACTCTAAAAATAACTAAATTTTTCCGCAAGCTTCCGCGCACGCGGAAAATTCCAAAAAGCTAAGCGGAAGGGACAAAAAAACCTTTTAAAAATTAGCATTCCAAATGCGAAAAAAACAGATCAATTTCAAATTGAACTAGAAAAAAAGGACAAAGTGTGTTGTAACCTTGGGGCTACTTTTTCTTTTTTTTTTGATGATTCGAAAAATAATGTGTAATAAATACTTACAAGTTACTTAGTTACCCAAACAGAAAAAAAGTAGTTTTTTTCTTTTTTTTCGAAAAAAAAGGGAAAATGAACACCACTGCAGTTTCAAGGTTGTTTAGAAAAAAGGGAGAGCGAGAAATCCACGTGGCAAAAATTGTTGGATGTTTTTGACTCGAAATTTCACGTCAAAACCAAAAATTTCACTTAAAATGAGCAATCCCATGATTTTCAGCGCGAAAAATGATCTAAAATGATCTCAAGAAGAAAAAAATAGGTTAGGAGGTACGAGGGATTGATCCACGACCTTTTGACTCGAAATTTCATGCTGAAAACGATGCAGATGCTTAAAATGAGCAATCCGACGATTTTCAGCGCGAAAAACTGATCTAGAATATTTTTGAAGAGAGAAAAAGGGTTAGGAGGTATCTGGGCTCGATCCAGGACCCTTTGACTCGTAAAAAATAGCATTGGATGTTTTTTACTCGCAATTTCACGTCAAAACCAACAATTTCACTTAAAATGAGCAATTTCATGATTTTCTGCGCGAAAAATTGATCTAGAATATTTTTTGAAGAGAGAAAAAGGGTTAGGAGGTATCTGGGCTCGATCCAGGACCTTTTGATTCAAAAAAAATCCCAAAATTTTGCCACGTGGCAACCAGGAATCCCCCTGTATATTTTTTTGGTCGCAAGCTGTCACATAAAAAAATTAGTGTAATCCGAATAATAATCTGGTAATTAATGAGGCTCATATTAGAAACATGTGACATGCATCTGGTAACAGGTGTACCTTTAAAAAATCATCATAATTTTTTAATTGGCAATTTTTTAAGGTAGTTAGGCTAAGTCTAGATTTTAAGGCCTTAAAGATGAGAAAAAATTTGAAAATTTTCCTCAAAAATCGAAAATTTTGAAGTTGAAGAAAGTGAAAATCAAAATTTTTCCTTCCTCAAAAATAAAATGATTTTTTCGAGGAAAAACTGGAAAAGGTGGGTTTTCTAGACAGGCGAAATGAAATTCGCCCACCCCCCAAAAAAAAGTTAGGCGAAGTCGAAATGAGATTGAATTTTTAGATAAAAATTTTGTTGAGTGTAACAAACTTTCTAGAAAACTATTTTTTGAGAAAAAAAGGCGGAAGTTGAAGAATAACAAAGGGCTATTAATATTATGGCGATTTTTTCACGCTGAAAATGATGGGATTGCTCATTTTAAGCATCTCCAGCGTTTTCAGCGTGAAATTTTGATCTAGAAATCGAAAATTTTCGAATCACAAGGTCACTGGATCGATTCCTCATGGGAACTACAATTTTTTCTGGATTTTTTTTTTCCTAGATCAGTTTTTGACGCTGAAAATGATAGGATTGCTCATTTTAAGCATTTCCAGCGGTTTCAGCATGAAATTTTGAGTCAAAAGGTCCTGGATCGATTCCTATTTGAGGTGAATACAGGGGGGTCACATTTTTTCATACAGGCACCTCTGACACCCAGAAAAATGTTTCTGGATCAATTTTTGACGCTGAAAATGATGGGATTGCTCATTTTAAGCATTTCCAGCGTTTTCAGCATGAAATTTTGAGTCAAAAGGTCCGGGATCGATCCCCGGTGCCTCCTAACCCTGAAAATGATGGTATTGCTCATATTAGCTCCAAATTTTCCAGTTGACATGAGCAAAAACACTAATTTCTTATTATTATTCATTATATTTGCTCATCTTTCTCATTTTTTTTTGCCGCCAAAAGACAGTGTGTAATTCGAGAAATGTTTGCACTGATGGGATTAGCAGCCCAGCTTCCCTTCTTTTTTTTTTTGTATCATTTTTCATTGGGCGGGAAATTTGGGCTTTTCTTTGAGAAGAGGGCTTAAAATGAGCAATCCCATGATTTTCAGCGCGAAAAATTGATCTAGAATGTTCTGGAGAAGAAAAAAGGGGTTAGGAGGTATGGGGGATTGATCCACGACCTTTTGACTCGAAATTTTGCGCTGGGAACGATAAAAATGGTTAAAATGAGCAATCCCAGGATTTTCAGCGCGAAAAATTGATCTAGAAAGAGTTCAAGAAGAAAAAATAGGTTAGGAGGTATGGGGAATTGATCCAGGACCTTTTGACTCGAAATTAATCGTTTCCAACGTGAATTTCGAGTCAAAAGGTCCCGGATCGAATCCCCATACTCCCTAACCACTTTTTCACGCACAAAATCATAGCATTTCTCATATTACGTAAATTGATCTTCTCGTTGAACTTTGGCTGACCCCAAAAATACGGTAAATGCTGGTAATTTGATCGAGATTACGCAATTAATTGAGCCCAATTTAATTTATTAATTATAGGGGTGGTGGGAACAAAAATACTTTTTTTGGATCAACAGAAAAAACATTGTTAAGCTAAGCCCCATAAACTTTTAACATCTCCAAAAAAAGTTGACCTTTCTTCCCATTAGCGCATATTACACAACAACTTCTAAGGGGCGGCGGTGAGATCAAAACAACAAGATTGTGTAGTTCTTTTGGAGGAGTGTGTGTGTCAATAACACTAGACAATGACCCTTCAATGAATTGTTACAATTATTATTATGTTAGTAGACACCTTATTTGCTCATCTTATTTGATGAGAGAGATTTACCGCCAATGCGTGAAATTTGAGACGGGGACCATCTGACTCGGAAATTTTGCGCTGGAAATGATGCAGATGCTTAAAATGAGCAATCCCATCGTGTTCAGCGCGAAAAATTGAACTAGAAAGATTTTTATTTGTACCAGAAGTGCTCCTATGAAAAAAAAGTGACCCCCCTGTATTCGCCTCAAGTAGGAATCGATTCAGGACTTTTTGACTCAAAATTTCCTGCTGAAAACGATGAGAATGGTTAAAATGAGCAATCTCATGGTTTTCAGCGCGAAAAATTGATCTAGAAACTTTGCGATCCAATTTTAGTGGTCAGAAGGTCGTGGATCGATTCCTCATAAGCCCTACATTTTTCAACTTTTCTAGACTAAAATTTTTTTTAGAAATCCTCTTGAAACTTCATTGACTTCTCTAAAACTTTAGGAACTTCTTAATCGCCTTTGGGGACGTAGGAACCTTTTAAAAATCCAGGAAATCGGCGTCACCTCCCTTTAAACTCCCGTAAATTCTCCTAAGGCTTCCCCACCTCCCTTTAATTATCCTCACAATATTTTCCCAGGGCTTCTTTTGCGCATCTCAATAACAATTGTATCCGGTCATTAATTAAATAAGTGTTTTAGTGTTAATCCCCTGATTTATTTGATCTACCCGGCCACCGCGCATTAAATTATGCATGCACCTTTAAATACCGACACACGCAACACGCAACACTTCACAAAGGGGATTAAAAATTGCGTAATACTGTAGAGAATTGTTAATTGATACGGTCAATAATGGGGAGTACTGTAGGGTTTTTAACTCAGCGGGTCCCTTGAATACTTTTAGATCAATTTTTCGCGCTGAAAATGATGGCATTGCTCATTTTAAGTGGAATTTTCAACTTCAGCGGGAAAATTTGAGTCAGAAGGTCCCGGGGTCGATCCCTGCTCGAGACTAATCCAAAAGGGGGGGGGGTACCACTTTTTCATCATATGCGTTCCCGGGAGCTCATTAATATTTTTAGATCAATTTTTCGCGCTGAAAACGATGGGATTGCTCATTTTAAGTGGAATTTTCAATTTCAGCGTGAAATTTTGATCTAGAAATCTTGAAAAAAAGCTTTTAAGAAAAAATAATTAAAACACAGTATTTCAATTTCAATTTTTATTAGGACACAACTATAAGACAAAAAACGAGTGAGATCACAGATTATTTATCACCAGAGAGTACTGTAGTATACTGTAGGGGCCAAAAATGTTTCCGTTTTTAGGGTGCAAAAATAAGTTGCAAAAATGAGTCGATCCAGGAGAGTTTGTGGCGAATTGGTGTGGGATTCTGCAAAAAAAAAAATTATAATCTGAGCAATCTTCTAGAAACGATCTTATTGCTCATGTTAGGAGCTTCATTTTGAGCCAAAAATAGTGAATTTTTGAGCATTGCTCATGTTAAACTTAAACTCACCATAAATTCCGCATCAAAATCATCGCACATTTTGGTGAGCCGCGTGCCGATCGATTTTGCGACATGCAAACTTTCCGCACGCAAAACTTCCGCGTAGTATTGATCGATTTCCGCGTCGTCGAAAAATCCGGAATCGTCCAAGGGTTTTGCGGAAGCGGAAGCGGAAGCGGAAGAGAAAAATGGATGTTGCGTGAAGAATTGGGGGTCCGAGGTGAAAGAACAACTTGGAGACATGGCGAACATCTGCAAAAAAATTAGGTTCTTAAGGGCTTTAGGTACCTTAATTAATTAATTAGAAAGGTTCTTAGGAAACCCGAGTTACCCTAACTGCTTTAAGAATTTTTTAAATACGTTAAGTTACCCTAAGTACCTTAATAAATAAATTTAAAAACTTACAATCATGACGAAAAATCGGAGATTTAGGAGAAAAATAGAAACGGTGTGGTTGTTAGGGTGTTTGTTTGGTGTGAATGATGGAAGCCAGCTTTTCGCGCGTAATTCTTGAGGCCACGCCCCTTTTTTTCGTCCAAGCCCCGCCCATTTTCCCATGCTTGTTAGGTTGTGTTGGCAGCTGGCCAAGAAATGGGGAAGAGAAGGGGGAAGAGGATTACTGTAGTGGGGGGGAGGTGAAGTTAGGCTAAGTTAAATTAGCGCTAAAATTTAACGTTAAGAAATTGACGTTAAAAAAGGGATCCTAAATTAACGTTAAACAGTTTAACGTTGAAAAAATTGACGTAAAAATAAGCTTTAAAAGTTAAGCGCTAAAAATTTAACGTGCAATTTACACGTGGTTTTTTACACGCCTAAAACTGGGGTCACGTGAAAATGATCGTTAAAAATTTTTAATTAAAAATCGGCGCTAAAATTAACGTTAAGCAGTTTAACGTAAAAATAAGCGTTAAACGGTTTAACGTTGAAAAAAATTGACGTAAGAACTGGGTCATGTGAAAATGATCGTTAAAAATTTTTAATTAAAAATCGGCGTTAAAATTAACGTTAAAAATTTTACGTAAAAAACTGATTCACGTGAAAATTTAAAAAAAAACTAGGTCACGTGAAAAACGTGGAAAACTAGACCACGTGAAAACTACACGTGGATTTTTTCACGTGAAATTCCACGTGAAAAAAACCCCATAAGCCTCTCTCTCCATGTTTTTCTATCCTATCCAAATATTTACGCCAATTAGGCGTCAGAAATTCGAGTCATTTGTGTACCCACCTGTTTTTATATGTCACTTCCACCCCAAAATACTCTACTAATAATAATATGTGTTTATGTACTCCAGCTAATTATTATATTATCCTTGACTAATATTTGGATTAGGCTTATGCCAATATAGGATGGATTTTGATACTTGAGATGAGCAATCAGGAGGAAATTGACGAGAAGTGGGTGTGCGAAATGACATTGCTCAGATTAAAAAAGAGCCCAGGATTGCTCAGGTTAAGGGCTTCATTTTAAGCCCAAACTAGACTATATTTTGGAAATTGCTCGGGTTGAAAATGAGCCTAGGATTGCTCAGGTTAAGAGCTTCAATTTGACCTCAAACAAGACTATATTTTGGGAATTGCTCAGGTTAAAAATGAGCCTAGGATTGCTCAGGTTAAGAGCTTCAATTTGACCTCAAACAAGACTATATTTTGGGAATTGCTCAGGTTAAAAATGAGCCTAGGATTGCTCAGATTAAGGGCTTCATTTTGAGCTCAAACTAGACTATATTTTGGGAATTGCTCATATTAAACTCACACAAAATTCCTCATTAAAATCATCGCAAATTTTCACAAATTTTTTGGCAATTTTTTGAGCTGGATTTGAGGGTCCAAAAATCATTGGATTCTGAAAATTTGAAATTTTTAGATGGAAAATTGGATTGCTCAGATTAAGAGCTTCATTTTGAGCTTGAATAAGAGTATTTTTGGGCATTGCTCAGGTTAAAAAAAAAACATATTTTAGACATACAAAAAAATTTTTTTGACCTAAAAAACATGTTTCCTGGGAGTACTGTAGAAAAACATGTTTTTCTGTCCAAAAACTTTTTTTCCAAAAAATTAATGAAAAATTTTTTTTTGACCTCCCAGATCATTTTTGTTCTGCGAAACCGAAAAAAAACATGTTTTTTTGCGGATTACTGTAGACCCAGAAAAACATGTTTTTCTTGGTCATTTTTGGTTTTTTTTTCGAAAAAAAAATTTTTTATTTTATTTTTTCTTCAAAATTTTCCAATTTTCTGCAGATGTTCCCAACAACTTCAGCTAACTTCAATGAAACTTCCGAATTCGAAGAAGATTCCGGATATTTTTCCGATTCCGAAGAGAATTCCGAGTTCGAGGAATTTTGTGTGAGTTTAACATGAGCAATCCTGGCTTATTTGAGCTCAAATTGAAGCTCTTAACATGAGCAATCCAATTTTCCATCTAGAAATTTCACATTTTCAGAATCCCGTGATTTCCGGACCATCAAATCCTGCTCAAAAAATTGCCGAAAAATTTGTGAAAATTTGCGATGATTTTGATGAAGATTTTTGTGTGAGTTTAATATGAGCAATGCCTAGAATTTAGTCATGTTTAGGCTCAAAATGAAGCTCTTAACATGAGCAATCCAATTTTCCATCTAGAAATTTCGAATTTTCAGAATCCCGCGATTTCCGGACCTTCAAATCCCGCTCAAAAAATTGCCAAAAAATTTGTGAAAATTTGCGATGATTTTAATGAGGAATTTTGTGTGAGTTTAATATGAGCAATGCTCAAAAATAGCCGGGTTTGAGCTCAAATTGAAGGTCTTAACATGAGCAATGTTACGCTCATTTTTAATCTGAGCAATTCCCAAAATATAGTCTAATTTGGGCTCAAAATGAAGCTCTTAACATGAGCAATCCAATATTCCATCTGAAAATTTCGAATTTTCAGAATCCCGCGATTTCTGGACCTTCAAATCCTGCTCAAAAAATTGCCGAAAAATTTGTGAAAATTTGCGATGAATTTGATGAGGAATTTTGTGTGAGTTTAACATGAGCAATGCTCAAAAATCCCCTTGTTTGAGCTCAAATTGTAGCTCTTAACATGAGAAATCTGAATTTTCCATCTAAAAATTTCAAATTTTCAGAATCCCGCCATTTCTGGACCTTCAAATCCTGCTCAAAAAATTGCCGAAAAATTTGTGAAAATTTGCGATGATTTTGATGAAGAATTTTGTGTGAGTTTAATATGAGCAATCCTGGCTTATTTGAGCTCAAAATGAAGCTCTTAACATGAGCAATTCAATTTTTCCTTCAGAATCCCATCAAATCCCCATCGTGGCTCTCAAAATGCCGTGAATTCTTCAATTTCAATTTCTTCTGGGAAAAATCCATAAAAATGTAAATATGATGTGTATATACATAAGTTTTTTTTATTGCACTAATAAATTGTGAAAACTTTTCTTTTTGGATTGTAAACATTTTTGGTTTTTCATAGCCAGATGGTGGTATTTTATGACATATACTTTTGGATACACTTTTTTTCGCGGAATTTTTTTGAGGGGTTGAAAAGGAGGCTTCAGGAGGCTTTAGGGGGCTTTGGAGGGCTTTGGAGGGCTTCAGAAGGCTTGAGAAGGCTTGAGAAGGCTTCAGGAGGCTTTAGTGGGCTTTAGGAAGCTTCAAATGACTTTGAGGGGCTTCAGAAGGCTTCAAAACAACAAGTTTCATTCAAATTCATGAAAAACAACAAAAAATAAAAGTAAAAATGGAAGTGCGCCCCATTGATAAAAAGGTTGCGCGTAGGATTTGGTGTTTGCGGGCAGGCGGTGTTGGCACATTTTTTTGTTGTTTTTTTATTTTTTGTTGTTTTTTCTTGAATTTTAGTCGATTTTCGATAGTTTTATACTAAAACTGCTGCTCAAAAAGTGATTTTATGAAAAAAATTTACTTTTTTAAAAGTTTTATTAATTTCTATTTTACAGGAAACACGTCAGTGAAGTGATGGAACAATTATTGAAGTGAATTTCGAGGAAAACTGAAGGAAAAGTGAGTTTTTTGAACATTTTTCTTGAAAATTTGAGGTTTTGGGGGCTTTGGGGGCCTTCAGAAGGCTTTAGGAGGCTTTAGAGGGCTTTAGAGGGCTTCAAAAGGCTTTAGGGGGCTCTGGGAGGCTCTAGGGGCTTCACGGGCCTTTAGGAGACCTTAGGGGGCTTCAGGGGCCATTCGAAGGCTTCAGGGGCGATTTGAAGGCTTCAGAAGGCTTCAGAAGGCTTCAGGAGGCTTTAGAAGGCCCTAAAAGGCTTCAGGAGGCTTTGGGGGGCTTTAGAAGGCTTCAGGAGCCGTTAGAAGGCTTGAGGGGCCTTTAGAAGGCTTCACGGGCCTTTAGAAGGCTTCACGGGCTTTAGAGGCCTTCAGAAGGCTTCTCCAACCTCCTTTCATCCTACCGCTCCCCCGCATTTCGTCCCCCGGGAACAAATTTACTTCTCCTACGATTAGCTAACCTTAAAAGACGGTGCCGCCTTTTTCGCTCATTTTTTTTGGTTGTAGCTCAATTATTTCCGGACACCAAATTAAATATTTATTCTTGTTGTTTTGGCCAGCCAGAAAATCTCAAAGAGACACACAAAGAATTTATTATGTAATTGACCTGAGCAATTACGTAACAGGGAAAGGATTTTTGGAGAAAAAAAAGGGAAGGGAAAAAAGTTTTCGAAAAATTTGAATTTCACACAATTTTCGCGCCAAAAATTCTAGTTACAGTACTCCTACCGTATGCAAATTAATACATATTTTCCCTTTTTTTATGTGTCGGGATGATGAAGTGGGTGTCACTCAAATGTGACACAGTCTTTTGAATAAATTAGCGGAAATTTATGATTATGGGGTGAGAATTGCCACGTGGAAGCCTTTTGGGGCCCTTCTAAGGGCCCCTGAAGCCCCTTAAAGCCCCCTAAAGCCTTCTAAGGCCCCCTGAAGCCTTTCAGAGCCTCCTAAAGCTCTTTGAAGCCTTTTTGGGCCCTCGAAAGCCTCCTGAAGCCTTCTAAAGCCCCCTGAAGCCTCCTGAAGCCTCCTGAAGCCCCCTGAAGCCTTTTAGAGCCTCCTAAGGGCCCTTAAAGCCTCTAAGTCCTCATAGTGTCTCCTAAAGCCCTCCAAAGGCCCTTAAAGTTATCTAAAGCCCCCTAAAACCCCCTAAAGCCCCCCGAAGTCTTCCCAAATCCGTGTACTTCTCTCGGACAACACGTCCATCCACAGATGTTGTGGCCAGCTGAATCTGTCTAAATAGCCGGAAGGAAACCACCCAAATCTCAATTTCGCGCGCATTTCATTGTTATTATTATTCCTATTAATAGAATTTGTATAGTAGGAGTTAGGCTAAGTAATAATGGATGGACAATTAGAAGTGTTCATCCATCCATCGCGAAAAAATGCACCTGCTTTTGGGGAGAAATAGTGTGTGGAGATGGGAGAGTACAGGATGTGTGGTGTGTTACTCAACAATTTAATTGGATTCCGCGAGAAGTACACGGGGATTTTGTGAAATCCGGGGGCTTTGGGGGGCTTTAGGGGGCTTCTAGAGGGCTTCAGGGGCTTCTAGAGGGCTTCAGGGGGCTTTTGGAGGCTTCAGAAGGCTTCAGAAGGCTTCTGGAGGCTTCAGAAGGCTTCTGGAGGCTCTAAGGCCATTTCCTATGGTAGCCACGTGGCAAAAAATATTTTCACGTTTTTGAAAAATTAATTCAATTTTCACGTGACCCAATTTTTTTTCTAAAAATTAAAAAAAATTCACGTTGAAAAAATTAATTTAATTTTCACGTGACCCAATTTTTTTCCGAATTAGAAAAGTTCACGTTTTTTCACGTGACCCAATTTTTAACCTCAAAATTTCGCCTTCTCCTCGAGAACTACACACACACACACACAAATCATTCATTGTTGATTATGTAAATTTATATACATAGTGATCTACATACGGTTTTTTTAATTTCACCGCTTGCGATCCATCAAATTGACGAAATGACGAATGAATTGGGCTGACGAGGATTCCGATATTATTTATGGATCTTAGGAATTTCGGGGGGCTTTTGGAGGCTTCAGGGGGCTTTGGGAGGCTCCAGAAGGCTTCAGAAGGCTTCAGAAGGCTTTAGAAGGCTTCAGAAGGCTTCAGAAGGCTTTAGCGTAATTTATTGACACCCCCTTATTTTTTATCGTCTGCAAATATTTACCCTAGCTAATTTTTCTTAATTCCACCTGGGTACACACCAATTAATATAATTTTACCCCAATAATCTCTCTCTCTTACATATTTACTCATGAGTTAGAGGAAGTCACACCTGTTGGGTGTGTGTGGAAATTTGATACTTTTTGGAGCCAGAAGGGTGTGTGCTACAACAAGTTGTAACTTTTTTGGTGTTGGGTTACGTGGCAGCAGAGCGATTTGATTGATTTATGACGTGGCGAAATTGTGGGGTCAAGACGTGAAAATTACACGTGAAAATTTTTTTTTGAGAAAATAAACTGGGTCACGTGAAAAATGAATTAATTTTTTTTTTAAACGTGAAAATTTTTTTTGCCACGTGGATCACCGTATTTCTCTAGTTAATTAATTAATTAGATTTTTTGTGTTATTACATATTACACACAGAAAACAATAAGAAGCTCCAGTAGTTAATTAGGGGGGATTAATATTAATAATTATTTTTGTAGGATAGGAGGCTGTGTAGATGAGAGTAGGAAAGGAAAATTTTTTCTCCTGGAGTTACAGGAAGCTAAAAATCTTGTTTTAGACTGAAATTTTGTGCTGAAAACGCTAAAATTGCTGAAAATAAGGTTTTTTACGATTTTCAGCGCAAAATTTCAGTCTAGAACAAGATTTCTTAGCTTCTAGAACGGTTGATCCATTTTTTTTTGGAATTTCCGGCATAATTTTCTACAGAAGAGTTTCTAGACTGAAATTTTGTGCTGAAAATCGTGGGAAACTTCATTTCCAGCAATTTTAAGGTTTTCCACGATTTTCAGCACGAAATTTCAGTCTAAAACAAGATTTTTAGCTCACAGAACTGTTGATCCATTTTTTTTTTTTGGAATTTTTGGCACAATTTACTACAGAAGAGTTTCTAGGCTGAAATTTTGACGCTGGAAAACTTGAAATTCTCTGAAAATGAGGGTTTCCACGATTTTCAGCACAAAATTTCAGCCTAGAAACCCTTCTGTAGAAAATTGTGCCAAAAATTCCAAAAAAATGGATCAACCAGATTTCTGTCGAAAATTGTACGAATAGCGCAGCAGGTAAATCAATAACCCCACAATCTAAAGGTCCCGGGTTCGATTCCTGCTGCCTGCGAACATTTTTATTTTTTTTTTCCCGGATTCTGTAGTTACAATAACTATTCCTCAATTAATTAACATATGTATACGTAAAAATACTCCAGATTTTCTCACCTAATCTGAAAAGTAAACAAATATTTTCACGACCTTGGTAACAAGTGTTTCTTGCGCCAAAAACAAAAGAACATCCCCAGCTGCTGTCACCAAATTTAATTCGATGATTTATGCTAACTCGCTTTTTTTGGGTGTGCGCGGGGAAACTAAAAAGGGAAGTTGTTAATTTGACAAGTAATGGGTCCCGCTGGGAAGAGCGCAACTTTTTTTAAAAGAAAAAAATTTTTGAGAAAATCTGGTTTGTTGGGGGATTTTTGAACAAAAACAAGATTTTTGGCCAGTTTTTTTTAGATTTCTAAAGAAAAAACAAGGTTTCTGGCCAATTTCAGCCTTTCTGTACAGAAAATCAGGATTTTCGGCCAGTTTTTTGAGATTTCTGGACAAAAACAAGGTTTCTGGACAGTTTTTTGAGATTTTTGGACATTTTCATGTGGCTACCGTAACCCTCCTTCCCTTTCCTAAATCAAAAATTCTGGGGACCACCCAAGACGATTTGGGGCCATTAAAACACAAAGGACCATAAAAATCGGGCAATAAAATGTGTATTGGTGGTCTTTTGATAGAAAATTCAGGGGAAATCGGGGATTTTGAGGGTTAGGGAAGCTACTGGAAATGCGTCAGAAAAATTTCTAGGCTACTAGAAAGGCGTCAGAAAACCTAGAAGCTACCTGAAATGCGTCAGAAATTTTCTAGGCTACTAGAAAGGCGTCAGCAAATTTAGAAGCTACTAGAAATGCGTCAACAAATCTAGAAGCTACCAGAAATGCGTCAGCAAATTCAGAAGCTACTAGAGATGCGTCAGCAAATTTTTGAGCTCAAAAAATTGTCCAAATCATTAATGTTTTCATTGAAAAACACATTTTTTCCACCACTGATAAGAAAAAATCGTAAAATGATTTTTGAAAATCAAACCCCCTCAAAAAATGATTTTTAAAAACCACAAAAAAATTTTTGCATTTTGAATTTTAATATAATCGCACAAAAAAACGAGGGATAATCGGGTTTAAAATACATTTTGCGGTGTTTTTTGAAAAACACTGCAAAACAGTTATTTTTGAAAATTGAACACGTGAATTGCGAATTTTTAAGGCGATTAGTGGAAAAATTGTACATTTTTTAAAGTAATATTGATGTTTGATGTTGAAGTTGAGAGCAGGCCTGAAATGGGCCTAAACGGGCCTAAATTTGGGTTGTTTTGAGCCTAAATAAGGCCTGAAAAGTCCAGAATTTGAGCCTCAAATAGGCCTAGATGAGCCTGAATCTTCAAGCCTAAGTAAGGCTGAGAAATTTGAGATTTTCCGAGTTGATCCATTTTTTTTTTGGAATTTGTGGCACAATTTTCTACAGAAGGGTTTCTAGGCTCAAATTTTGTGCTGAAAATCGTGGAAAACCTTATTTTCAGCAATTTTAAGGGTTTCCACGAGTTTCAGCACAAAATTTCAGTCTAAAACAAGATTTTGAGCTTCCAGAACTGTTGATCCATTTTTTTTGGAATTTGTGGCACAATTTTCACAGAAGAGTTTCTAGGCTGAAATTTTGCGCTGAAAATCGTGGAAAACCTCATTTTCAGTGAATTTGAAGTTTTCCATGAGTTTCAGCGCAAAATTCTGATCTAGAACTGTTAAAAATTACTGATCAGAAGGTCGGGGGATCGGTTCCCGGCCGAGGCAAAATTTTTTTTTTTTTTAAACAAGTTTCTAGACTCAAATTTGGCGCTGAAAATCGTGAAAACCCTTATTTTCAGCAATTTTAAGGTTTTCCATGAGTTTCAGCGCAAAATTTCAGTCTAGAAAAGTCGCACGATCAAAAAACACCTCGCCCAACCAATAAAACGAAATATTTCTTCGCTGATAAGAGACAACTTATAAAAATCACATGTCTGCGTCTCTCACAACTCTCTAATCTCTCGCCGAAAAATGTGCTCTATAAAAGTCAGCTTATCAGAGCAAAAACGTATTTTAAAGATGGTTGCAATTGTGAGTTTTCCGGGCCTAAAATCCGGGCTTTTCAGGCCCAAAACCTTTGATTTTCAGGCCCAAATATCAAGTGGCCAGGAAAAGCCGGCCGCAAATCCGAAACTCGGCCTATTTGTGTATATTCTGGCGGCGGCCGCCGTCATCGGCGGATTCTTGTTCGGATATGACACTTCTGTGGTCTCCGCAGCTATGTTATACATGCCGGATAGTCCTGGCCTGAAACCTATGGATACTGTATGGCAGGAGGTTATTGTGAGCATTTCACCAGGTAAAAATCGGGTTTTTTTGAGTCCAAATAAGGCTATTTGGGCTGAAATTCATGAATTTTCAGTGTTTCCACGAGTTTCAGCGCAGAATTTCAGCCTAGAATCATTTTTTCAAGAAAAATCTGGTTGATCCATTTTTTTTTTGGAATTTTTGGCACAATTTTCTACAGTACCTTTTGAAGAGTTGTTTGGCTCAAATTTTGTGCTGAAACTCGTGGAAAACTTGAAATCCACAGAAAATTATGGTTTCCAGCGTTTTCAGCACAAAATTTGAGCCTAGAAAGCCTTTAAAGGGTACTGTAGAAAATTGTGCCAGAGATTCCGAAAAAATGGATCAACAGTTGTAGAAGCTAAAAATCTCGTTTTATACTGAAATTTTGTGCTGAAACTCGTGGAAAACTTGAAATCCACAGAAAATGAGGTTTTCCTCGATTTTCAGCACGAAATTCCAGCCTAGAAACTCTTTAAAGGGTACTGTAGAAAATTGTGCCAGAGATTCCGAAAAAATGGATCAACAGTTCTAGAAGCTAAGAAATCTTGTTTTCGACTGAAATTTTGTGCTGAAACTCGTGGAAAACTTGAAATTCACAGAAAATGAGGTTTTCCACGATTTTCAGCACAAATTTCTAGACCTAGGTCCCCCTGGAAATATTTTTTGATCCGATTAGTCTTCTTCCAAAACACGGTTTCAAAAAATTGTGTACTTTGATATTCACGTGACAAGAAAAATTTGATCTTCAAAAATCATTTATGAATTCGAATTCGGGAAACACAACAAAAGTTACTGATAAGATAAAGAAAATTAATATTTTTTCCCGGAAAAAAAAAGTTGATCAGTAATTTTTCAAGTTTCTAGATCAAAAGTTCATCCTGAACATTGTGGAAATGCTGAAAATCGCTGAAAATAAGGTTTTCCATAAGTTTCAGCACAAAATTTGAGTCTAGAACAAGATTTCTTAGCTTCTAGAACTGTTGATCCATTTTTTTGGAATCTTTTGGCACAATTTTCTACAATACCCCGTGAAGTGTTTCTAGGCTCAAAGTTTGTGCTGAAAACGATAAAAATGCTGGAAAAAATCGTTTTTTTCCAGGAATGGCAGCTGTTGGTTCACTACTTTCCGGAGTGGCTTCAGATTATCTGGGAAGGCGCAAGGTCATCCTCGGAGCCTCGTTTATTTTCACAATTGGCGCGTTGATTTGTGCCGCGTCGGTGAATAAGATAATGTTGGTTATTGGAAGAATTCTGCTGGGAATTGCTATAGGTAAGAAAATCAATGGGGTACTGTAGAAAATTGTGCCAAAAGATTCCGAAAAAATGGATCAGCTCTTGTTTTAGGCTAAAATTTTGTGCTGAAAACGCTGGAAACCATAATTTTCTGTGAATTTCAAGTTTTCCACGATTTTCAGCACGAAATTTCAGTCTAAAACAAGATCTTAAGCTTCTAGAACTGTTGATCCATTTTTTTTGGAATTAGTGGCACAATTTTGAAATTGCCTACAGTACCCTTTGAAGCGTGTCTAGGCTAAAATGTTGTGCTGGAACTTGTGGAAATGCTGAAAATCACTGAAAATAAGGTTTCCCACGATTTTCAGCATAAAATTTCAGCCTAGAACTCCTCAATGGGTACTGTAGAAAATTGTGCCACAAATTCCGAAAAAATGGATCAACAGTTCTAGAGGCTGAAAATATTGTTTTAGACTCAAATTTCGTGCTGAAAATTATGGAGAGCTGCAAATTCGCTGAAAATGAGATTTTTCGCGATTTTCAGCACGAAATTTCAGGCTAGAAACTCCAAATTTTTCAGGCTTCGCATCAATGATAGTGCCAGTATATTTGGGTGAAACCGCTCCAACTCACGTGCGCGGAATGCTTGTTTCCGCGTTCGCGCTAATGATCAGTTTCGGACAAGTTGTTGCAAATATCATGGGCGGTGGATTCTCCTACATTTCACCGTATACCATCGGATGGCGATTGATGTTTGCATTTGCAGCTGTACCTTCAGCCATCCAATTTGTCTGCTTCATTTTCCTACCCGAAACTCCAAGATGGTTACATGAACATGGTTTTGAAGCGGATACGAGAAGAGTTTTGGAAAAGGTTTATAATGGAGATGAGGAATGGATTGAGTATGAGATGGCTGAGATTGAAGCGTTTAATGATGATCAGAAGAAAAATCAGGGAAGTGTTGAAGGTGAGCGACTCTTTTCTAGACTGAAATTTTGTGCTGAAACTCTTGGAGAACCTCATTTTCAGCAAATTTGAGGGTTTCCACGGTTTTTAGCGAAAAATTTCAGCCTAGAAACTTTTTTGTGGAAAATTGTGCCACAAATTCCAAAAAAATGGATCAACCGAGATACTTTAGAAAAATGATTTTCTAGACTGAAATTTTGTGCTGAAAATCATGGAAAACCTCATTTTCAGTCAATTTGAAGGTTTCCATGAGTTTCAGCGCAAAATTTGAGCCTAGAAACTCTTCAAAGGGTACTGTAGAAAATTGTGCCACAAATTCCGAAAAAATGGATCAGCTAAAAATCTTGTTCTAGACTGAAATTTTGTTCTGAAAATCATGGAAAACTTTATTTTCAGTGAATTTCAAGGTTTCCATGATTTTCAGCGCAAAATTTCAGTCTAGAACAAGATTTTTAGCTTCTAGAGCTATTGATCCATTTTTTCGGAACTTTTGGCACTATTTTCTACAGTACCCTTTGAAGAGTTTCTAAGCTCAAATTTTGTGCTGAAACTCGTGAAAGGCTCACATTCACTGAAAACTAGCTTCTCCACAATTTTCAGCGTGAAAAATTGATCTAAAAACATTTTGAGGAGGGAAAAAGTAGGAGGTATGGGGAGTCGATCCAGGACCTTCTGATCACTAATTTTCTTCTTTCTAGATCAGAATTTCAAGCTGAAACACGTGGAAACGGTTAAAATCACTGAAAATGACGTTTTCCACGATTTCCAGCTCAAAATTTTGCTCTTGAAAGGGTACTGTAGAAAATTGTGCCACAAATTCCAAAAAAAATGGATCAACAGTTCTAGAAGCCAAAAAATCTTGTTTTAGACTGAAATTTTGTGCTGAAAATCATGGAAAACCTCATTTTCAGCCATTTTAAGCCTTTCCACGTGTTTCAGCTCGAAATTTCGTTCTTGAAAGGGTACTGTAGAAAATTGTGCCACAAATTCCAAAAAAATGGATCAGCTGAAATTTTGTGCTGAAAATCATGGGAATCCTCATTTCCAGCAATTTTAAGCATTTCCACGTGTTTCAGCTCAAAATTTCAGCCAAGAAAGGTACTGTAGAAAATTGTGCCAATAGATTCCAAAAAAATGGATCAACTAGATTTCTGTGGAAAAATGATTTTCTAGGCTGAAAATCATGAAATCCCTAATTTCCCCAAATTTTCAGCTCAAAATCCCTTGAAAAATTACCAATCAGAAGGTCAGGGGATCGATTCCCCATACCTCCTACCAAGAAAATTTTTTTTTTTTTTTTTTGAAAAAAGCTGAAGACCAAAATCAAAATTTTCCAGCCAAAACCCCAGTGTTCCTTCGAGTTCTCAAAACTCCCCACGTCCTAAAGGCGGTCTTCATCGGAAGTATGCTTCAAGCCTATCAACAACTCGCCGGCATCAATACAATCCTCTACTACACCGCTGACATCATCAGAAGTGCCGGAATCCGCGATAATCACACAACAATCTGGATATCTGTCGGTTTATCCATCTGCAATTTCATCGGACCATTCATCCCGATGAGTTTAATCGAAAAATTCGGGCGGCGCATCATTTTCCTTTTTTCCTGCGCCGGCGTCATCATCGCACTGTGTTTAGTCGGAGTGTCGTTTATGCTTGTAAATCAGGATAGTGCTCGGACCCTTGATCTAGGTGGATCAGGCGCGAATTCGAGTTTCCCTGATGTTCAGAGGTGTCAGGCCTATTCGAATTGTGATTACTGTGTGACCACTGATGCATGTGGATTCTGTCAAATCCAGGGTTCCAAGCAGGGATATTGTCTGCCAGTCTCATTTGACGATCCAGAAGGCTCCTCGAGCACTGGGGCCTGCTCGGGCCCCGGCCCGGGCCCGGGCTCGGGCCCACAAGTCTCCTGGCAGAAATACTATTGCACCACGAAGTACACATCGCTTCCGATCTTCGCGTGCGGTCTCTATCTTCTCCTGTTCTCCTCCGGCTTCACAAGTCTGCCTTGGGTTCTGAACTCGGAATTCTATCCGATGTGGGCGAGATCCACGTGTGTTTCGATCTCGACAACTTCGAATTGGATTTTTAATCTGCTGGTTTCGTTGACGTATCTGTCTTTGACGCAGGCTATCACGAAAGCGGGTAAGAATTATGGTTTCTAGGCCCAAATGTTGTGCTGGAAATCATGGAAATCTTAAAATTCACTGAAAATGAGGTTTTCCATGAGTTTCAGCACAAAATTTGGGCCTAAAACAATGTTTTTAGCCTCTAAGAGGAGGTTGATCCATTTTTTTTGGAATTTGTGGCACAATTTTCTACAGTAGCTTTTGAAGGGTTTCTAGGCTGAAATTTTGAGCTGAAAATCATGGAAATCTTAAAATTCACTGAAAATGAGGTTTTCCATGAGTTTCAGCACAAAATTTCAGCCTAGAAAAAGATTTTTTAGCTTCTAGAACTGTTGATCCATTTTTTTGGAATTTGTGGCACAATGTTCTACAGTACACTTTTAAGCGTGTCTAGGGTCGAATTTTGTGCTGAAAATCGTGGAAAACCTCATTTTCAGCATTTTTAAACATTTCCAGCGTTTTCAGCACAAAATTTGACCCCAGAAACTCTTTAAAGGGTACTGTAGAAAATTGTGCCACAGATTCCGAAAAAATGGATCAACAGTTCTAGAAGCTTAAAATCTTGTTTTAGACTGAAAGTTTGTGCTGAAAATCGTGGAAAACCTCATTTTCAGCTATTCTAAGCATTTTCACGAGTTTCAGCGCAAAATTTCAGTCTAAAGCAAGATTTCTTAGCTTCTAGAACTGTTGATCCATTTTTTCGGAATCTCTTGGCACAATTTTCTACAGTACCTTTTGAAGAGTTTCTAGACCCAAATTTTGTGCTGAAAATCATGAAAATCTTTATTTTCAGGTGCCTTCTACCTCTACGCCGCTCTCACAGTCACCGCCTTCATTTTCATCCTATTTTTGGTGCCGGAAACCAAAGGTTATTCGATAGATGAGGTTGAGACTCTATTCATGAATAAGAAGCAGAAAGCGGAAGAGATGCGGAAGCGGAAAGAAACTTTGACGGAAGTCCGCAGCCGGCAGAATACCAAGATTTGAATTTTAGAATTTTTTGAGATTTGGCTCCTGTGGAGCCCGTGTTTTTTGTATGTAAATATTTAAATTTGAATGAAGATTGTGCTGGAAATGTTGAAATTTGCTGAAAATGACGTTTTCCATGATTTTCAGCACAAAATTTGAGCCTAGAAACTCTTCAAAGGGTACTGTAGAAAATTGTGCCACAGATTCCAAAAAAAAATGGATCAACATTTCTAGAGGCTAAAAATCTTGTTTTAGACTGAAATTTCGTGCTGAAAATCGTGGAAATGCTTAAAATTCACTGAAAATTAGGGTTTCCACGATTTTCAGCACACAATTTCAGTCTAAAACAAGATTTTTAGCTTCTAGAACTGTTTTGATCCATTTTTTCGGAATTTGTGGCACAATTTTCTACAGTACCCTTTCAAGAGTTTCTAGGCTGAAATTCCGTGCTGAAAATCATGGAAAACGTCATTTTCGCGGTGAAAAACATGTTTTTTTGAAATACAGTGCACACAAACACACAAAATTATGCATTTATTCAAAAAAAAAAAATTTTTTTTTGGGGAGGGAGGGGAAAAACTATCGGATTAACCTTTATTGTTCAAAAAAAGGGGCGGAGCCTAAAACCTCTACAGTATAAAAAGGGAAGTTAGACGAACTCTGATAAGCATTTGAATGGTTGCAATTGTAAGTTTGCCACGTGGATTTTCGGGCCAAAAAACCCGCGAAAATTCGAAAAAATTCCAGGAATTCCAAGTCTCATCTTCCGGACGTCCGCGTCCGGAAAAGAATCCGCGCATCGGCGGATTTGTCTACCTGTTGGGGTCCGCAGCCATCATTGGCGGGTTTTTGTTTGGCTATGACACGTCGGTGGTGTCGGCGGCCACCCTGTATATTCCGGAGGCGCCAGGGTTGAAGCCGATGGGCACGATTTGGTTGGAGGTTATTGTGAGTATTACGCCCGGTGAGTACTGTAGGGTTTTGGCGCGAAATTTGGAGCATTTTGATAGCGAATAAGGCTGGTGTAGGTTTCCCTCTGCGTCTCTGACCATCTAGCTTCTCTGCACTCTTGCGCGAAGCGCCCCGGAATCTTCCGCGTAAGCGGCCCGAGCGGAGCGAGTGTACCTCCCTCTGCGTCTCTACACATTCAGTGGTCTCTAGCTGTCTAGCTTCTCTATGTTCTCTAACACTCTTTAACATACTCTGCGTCTCTAGTCCTCCCTTCACACTTTCTAGCTGTCTACCTGCCTGACACTCTCTAACTCTCTAGCTTCTCTGCACTCTCCCAAACCCCTATACTCCCTAGCTGTCTGGCCTTCCTTACATGTCTGCCTCAAGCTTCCCTCTGCGTCTCTAACCCTCTAGCAATCTTGCGCAAAGCGCCCCGGAATCTTCCGCGTAAGCGGCTCGAGCGGAGCGAGTGTAGTTCCCTCTGCGTCTCTAGCTGTCTAGTTTCTCTATGCTCTCTACCCACCCAGTGATCTCTAGCCGTCTAGCTTCTCTGCACTCTCTCTCTCAACCCCCATACTCTCTATCTTCCAGGCATGGCAGCCGTCGGTTCCTTGTTCTCCGGCACCGGTTCCGATCACTACGGTCGTCGCACCATCATCATCGGCTCCACAATCATCTTCATGATCGGCGCCGTGATTTGCGCGGCGGCCTGGACAAAAGTGGTGATGTTGATTGGGAGGATCTTCCTGGGTATTGGCATAGGTAAGCCTAAGGTCCGAGCGGCCTTGCCGCGAGTCTAAACCGCAAGATTCCGCGTCAGCGGCACTGTCTTCCGCGTAGCGGCCACGCTTAAGCCTGAGCCTAAGGCCCGAGCGGCTCTGCCGCGAGTGTAGACCGCAAGCTTCCGCGTAGCGGCCATGCCTAGGCTTAGACCTAAGGCCCGAGCGGCCTTGTAGACCGCAAGCTTCCGCGTAGCGGCCATGCCTAGGCTTAGACCTAAGGCCCGAGCGGCCTTGTAGACCGCAAGCTTCCGCGTAGCGGCCACGCTTAAGCCTAAGCCTAAGGCCCGAGCGGCCTTGTAGACCGCAAGCTTCCGCGCAAGCGGCACTGTCTTCCGCGTAGCGGCCATGCCTAAGCCTAAGGCCCTGTTTAAGCCTAAGGGCCTGGTTAAGCCTAAAGCCCTGTCTAAGCCTAAGGTCCTGCCTAGACCTAAGCCTCGAGCGGCCTTGCCGCGAGTGTAGACCGGAAGATTCCGCGCAAGCGGCACTGTCTTCCGCGTAGCGGCCACGCTTAAGCCTAAGCCTAAGGCCCGAGCGGCCTTGCCGCGAGTGTAAACCGCAAGCTTCCGCGCAAGCGGCACTGTCTTCCGCGTAGCGGCCACGCCTAGGCTTAGACATAAGGCCCGAGCGGCTTTGCCGCGAGTGTAGACCGCAAGCTTCCGCGCAAGCGGCACTGTCTTCCGCGTAGCGGCCATGCCTAGGCTTAGACCTAAGGCCCGAGCGGCCTTGCCGCGAGTCTAAACCGCAAGCTTCCGCGCAAGCGGCTCGAGCGAAGCGAGTGTATATCCCTCTGCGTCTCTAACCATCTAGCTTCTCTGAACTTCAGGCTTTGCCTCGATGGTCGTGCCGGTTTACCTGGGTGAAACCTCGCCAACCCACGTGCGCGGTGTTCTCGTGTCAGCCTTCGCTATGATGATCAGTTTCGGACAAGTTGTGGCCAATATCATGGGCGGAATCTTCTCCTACATTTCACCGTATACCATCGGATGGCGATTGATGTTTGCATTTGCCGCGATTCCGTCGCTGATCCAATTTGTCTGCTTCATTTTCCTACCCGAAACTCCAAGATGGTTGTATGAACATGGACAAATCTACAAAGCCAGGGAGGTTTTGGAGAAGATTTATAGTGGAAATGAGGAGTGGATTGAGTTTGAGATGGCTGAGATTGAAGCGTATGCCGAAGAGCGGAAGAAACAACATGAGGAAGAGCAGAGTAAGGAAAACCTCATTTTCAGCGATTTTCAGCACAAAATTTGAGCCTAGAAACTCTTCAAAGGGTACTGTAGAAAATTGTGCCACAAATTCCGAAAAAATGGATCAACAGTTCTAGAGGCTAAGAAATCTTGTTTAAGACTCAAATTTTGTGCTGAAACTCATGGAAAACCTCATTTTCAGTAATTTTAAGCGTTTCCACGATTTTCAGCGCAAAATTTCAGTCTAAAACAAGATTTTTAGCTTCTAGAACTGTTGATCCATTTTTTTGGAATCTTTCGGCACAATTTTCTACAGTACCCTTTGAAGAGTTTCTAGGCTCAAATTTTGAGCTGAAACTCATGGGAACCTTCAAATTCACTGAAAATGAGGTTTTCCATGATTTTCAGCGCAAAATTTAGGCCAAAAAAATTTTTTTTTTTGCAGAATCCGGCCCAGTAATCTGGCGTATCCTAAAAACCCCGCACGTTCTAAAAGCCTGCTTCATCGGAAGTATGTTACAAGCTTTTCAACAACTCGCCGGTATCAATACAATCCTCTACTACACCGCTGACATCATCAGAAGTGCCGGAATCGAAAACTATCACACGGTGATTTGGATCTCTGTGATTTTATCGATCTGCAATCTGATCGGACCATTCATTCCAATGACAATGATCGAAAAATTCGGGCGGCGCAAACTTTTCCTTTTTTCCTGTGCTGGCGTTGTGATTTCTTTGGTGTTGATTGGTGTCACTTTTTTGTTGGTCGGAAATGATTCGGCACCGAATTTCGAGATTCAAAAATATAGGGAGAGTGGCGATTTTGATGAGATGCAGCTGAGAGCCATGGAATGCGCGGCTTTGGCGTGAGTTTCAAAAAATTCGCTTCAAAATGACACCAAACATGCCCGGGGTACTGTAGAAAAAAAATTTGAAAAAATATCCTGCAGGCAGCGGGGATCGATCCCCTGACCTTCTGAGCCGGGAATTTTCCAGAAATCATGATTTCTGGATGATTTTGAGCTGAAAATTGAAATTTTTAGAAAATCCTGGGTATTGCTCAGGATATAGGTATTGCTCAGGTTATGAGAGCTATCTTGCGCGAAGCGCCCCGGAATCTTCCGCGTCAGCGGCTCGAGCGGAGCGAGTGTACATCCTTCTGCGTCTCTACCCATCCAGTGATCTCTAGCCGTCTACCTCCTCTGCGTCTCTAAACACCTAGCTTCTCTACACTCTCTCAACCCCATGCTCTCTAGCCACCTTATCTCTCTGCGTCTCTAACTTTTTAATTTTCTCTAGTTGTCTAGCCTTCTTTACCTGCCTTCTGCAAGCTTCTCTCTGCGTCTCTACACATCCAGTGTGCTCTAGCTGTCTAGCTCCTCTACGTCTCTAACCCTTTGACTTCTCTGCACTCTCTGCCAACCCCATGATCTCTAGCTATCCTGCGCGAAGCGCCCCGGAATCATCCGCGTCAGCGGCTCGAGCGGAGCGAGTGTACATCCCTCTAGCCGTCTAGCTGTCTAGCTTCCCTGCGTCTCTAACCAGCGGGTGTACATCCCTCTGCGTCTCTACACATCCAGTGATATCTTGCTGTCTACCTCCTCTGCGTCTCTAACACCCTGTGCTCTCTAACAAACTCTACGTCTCTACCCTCTCTCTCATCGTCTATTTGAATCAGATCGAAAAAAAATGAGGTCCTGTCTTAGCCTAAGGCCTTGTCTAAGCCTACGGCCCTGCCTAAGCCTAAGGCCCGAGCGGCCTCGCCGCGAGTGTAGACCGCAAATTTGCGCGAAGCGCCCCGAGCGTAGCGAGTGTAAATCCCTCTGCGTCTCTATCTAGCTATGTCTAGCCGTCTAACTGTCTCTAGCTGTCTTTTGCTTCTCTGCGTCTCTACCCATCCAGTGATCTCTACCCGTCTAGCCCCTCTACGTCTCCAACCCCCTATCTATCTTCCAGAAACTGCGACTCATGCGTCACCTCCGAAGCGTGCGGCTTCTGCGAAGACTCCCTGGCTAAAACCGGCTTCTGTCTCCCCGTCGACCCAACCGATCCAACCCTCTACAGCTCCACAGGCATCTGTCAGAGGAATCTCCTCTCGATGAACAATAGCAGCCAGGATGACGTGTCAGGCAGTGGTGCTATGACGTGGCAAAAACACCACTGCACCACCAGCTACACCCTTCTGCCAATTATTATGATGGGTGTGTATTTGCTGACCTTCTCCTCGGGCTTCACAAGTCTGCCGTGGGTTTTGAATTCGGAATTCTATCCGATGTGGGCCCGTTCCACGTGTGTTTCGATCTCGACACTTTCCAATTGGGTTTTCAATTTGCTAGTTTCGCTAACTTATTTATCACTGACACATGCCATCACAAAATACGGTGCATTTTGGTTGTATGCCGTGTTCACCATCTGCGCATTTTTGTTCATTTATTTTTTGGTGCCTGAGACTACGGGCTATAGTATTGATGAGGTGAGTTGGCCGGGGGCTTTTTTTGGGCTTTTTAGGCTTCTCAGGGCCTTCAAGAGGGCCTGGAAGCCTTCTCAGGCCTTTTCCAGGCTTCTTAGGCTCCTCGAGAGTCTAGAAAGCCTTGTTGGACCTTCTAGAGGGCCCCAAGGCTTTTGGAAAGCTTCCGGGCTTTTTCTAGACCTTCTAGAGCCCTTTCCGGGTTTTTTAGGCTTCTGAGAAGTCTAGAAAGCCTTTCTGAGCTTCTCCGGGCCTTTTTGGGCTTCTCTGAACTTCTCCGGGCTTTTCTGGGCTTCTCCGGGCCTTCAAACAGGCTTCTAGGGCTCTTTCCAGGCTTTTTAGGCTTCTAAGAAGTCTAGAAAGCCTGGAAAAGGTTGCTGGACCTTCAAAGGGGCTACCAGACCATCTAGAGCCCTTTCCGGGCTTTTTCGGCTTCCTGAGAGTCTAGAAAGCCATATTGGACCTTCTAGAGGGCCCCAAGGCTTTTGGAAAGCTTCCGCGGCTTTTTCTAGACGTTCTAGGGCTTTTTCCAGGCCTTCCAGGCTTCTAAGAAGTCTAGAAAGCCTTTCTGGGCTTCTCTGGGCCTTCAAAAGGGCTAATAGACCTTTTCCCGGGCTCTTTCTGGGCTTAAGAAGTCCAGTAAGCCTTGGATAGGTTACTGTACCTTCCAGAGGACACCCAGGCTTTCAGAAAGCTTCCGGGCTTCTCCAGACCTTCAAAAAGGCTTCTCTAGGCCATCTAGGGCTTTTCCGGGCCTTGTTGGGCTCTCTGGGCGTCCCAAGGCCTTCTAGGACTTTGGAGACTATCTACAAGGCTTTCCGGGCCTTCTGAAGCCCCGGAAAGGCCTGAGAGCCGCGAAAATCGAAATTTTTGGGAAAAAATTCAAATTTCCCGCCAAAATCCCATGCCACGTGGCGAATTTCCCGCAATTTTTCCCAAATTTGAATTTTTGCAGATCGAAATGCTATTCATGTCGCAAAAAGAGCGAAACATGGTGCTGACCACTCGAAAATCCCTCTCAACTCTCAAAAAAGATTCAACGTCTACAGTAACCGCTACAGTATCCAGTTAGCCTAACTTATTTGCAAATTTTCTAGGACCTAGGTTACTGTATTTTACTACTGTACTGTACTATTCCAGTTTTATGGAAAAATAAATGTAATTAATTAATTCTTATTGCTTTGCCTATTAAATCGATCCTGACTTTGAACAAGTCCCAAATATTTCCCAATCAAATGTTGAGCTTTGTACGGTAGAAATCTGGAAAAAATCACATTTTCAGCGATTTTCAGCACAAAATTTGAGCCTAGAACATCTTGAAAGGGTACTGTAGAAAATTGTGCCAAAAAATTCCGAAAAAATGGATCAACAGTTCTAGAAGCTAAGAAATCTTGTTTTAGACTGAAATTTTGTGCTGAAAATCATGGAAAACCTCATTTTCAGTGAATTTGAAGATTTCCATGATTTTCAGCACAAAATTTGAGGCTAGAACAAGATTGATCCATTTTTTTGGAATCTTTTGGCACAATTTTCTACAAAAGAGTTTCTAGACTGAAATTTTGTGCTGAAACTCAGGGAAATGCTTAAAATGAGCAATCCCATCATTTTCAGCGTGAAAAAATATCCATAAAAAATTTTGGGTAGGTAAAAGGTAGGAGGTATGCGGAGTCGATCCAGGACCTTCTGATCACTAATTTCAAACTTTTCTAGATCAAAATTTCATGCTGAAACACGTGGAAATGCTCAAAATCACTGAAAATTAGGTTTCCTATGATTTTCAGCTCAAAATTTCAGTCTAAAACAAGATTTTTAGCTTCTAGAACTGTTGATCCATTTTTTTTGGAATTTGTGGCACAATTTTCTACAGTACCCTTTGAAGCGTTCTAGGCTCAAATTTTGTGCTGAAACTCATGAAAAATCTAATTTTCAGTGAATTTGAAGATTTCCACGTGTTTCAGCGCAAAATTTGGGCCCTCGAGCCCCTCAGGCGCGAGTGTAAACCGCAAGCTTCCGCGTAGCGGCCCTGTCTTCCGCGAAGCGGCCATGTCTAGGCTTAAACTAAGGCCCGAGCGGCCTTGCCGCGAGTCTAGACCGGAAGCTTCCGCGAAGCGGCCCTGTCTTCCGCGAAGCGGCCATGTCTAGGCTTAAACTAAGGCCCGAGCGGCCTTGCCGCGAGTCTAGACCGGAAGCTTCCGCGAAGCGGCCCTGTCTTCCGCGAAGCGGCCATGTCTAGGCTTAAACTAAGGCCCGAGCGGCCTTGCCGCGAGTCTAGACCGGAAGCTTCCGCGAAGCGGCCCTGTCTTCCGCGAAGCGGCCATGTCTAGGCTTAAACTAAGGCCCGAGCGGCCTTGCCGCGAGTCTAGACCGGAAGCTTCCGCGAAGCGGCCCTGTCTTCCGCGCAGCGGCCATGCCTAGGTTTAGACCTAAGGCCCAAGCCTAGGCCTAGGCCTGAACTCAAGCCTTTCGCAGCCAGGCCCCCAACTTACGGTAAATTCAGCACAAAAGCATAGAAAACATTGGGAAGCACGAGAAAATCCACGTCCAATTGCACAGCCTCCACAATTCTCTCACAAACATAATCGGCCGTCAAAGTTGGCATCAAAAATGGAAATCTCGTTTGGGCTCCTCTGGTGTCAAACATTGGTGTATGAATGTAATAGGGACAGACGAGAGTTGTACGAACTCCCGATTTTCCGCTCTCCAAAATATCCATGGTTGTGGCGTCGTGGAGGCCGACTGCCGCGTGTTTTGAGGCGTAGTAATCGGGCTGGAAATGATAGTTTGGATTAGCTGGGGGTCAGACAGCTAGAGACAGTTAGACGGCTAGACATAGCTAGATAGCTAGAGACGCAGAGAGAACTCTACACTCGCTCCGCTCGTGCCGCTTACGCGGAAGATTCCGGGGCGCTTCGCGCAAGCTTGCGGCAGACAGCTAGAGAACATTGAAAAGTTAGAGACGCAGAGAAGCTAGACAGCTAGGCAGCTAGAAAGCATAGGGTTTTGAGAGAGTGCAGAGAAGCTAGATAGCTAGAGACGCAGAGGAAAATACACTCGCTACGCTCGGAAGTCAAATAGCTAGAGAACATTAAACAGTTAGAGACGCAGAGAGAAGCTAGACGGCTAGAGATTACAGGGTGTTAGAGACGCAGAGGGAACTCTACACTCGCTACGCTCGGGGCGCTTCGCGCAAGTTTGCGGTCTACAGGCCGCTCGAGGCTTAGGTCTAGACAGGACCTTAGGCTTAGGCAGGGCTTTAGGCTTAGTCTTAAGCAAGAGGTTAAAGATGCAGAGAAGCTAGACGGCTAGACACAGCTAGACAGTTAGAGACGCAGAGGGAACTACACTCGCTCCGCTCGTACCGCTTACGCGGAAGATTCCGGGGCGCTTCGCGCAGGCTTCCGGATAGTGCCGCTACGCGGAAGCTCGCGGAAAACCACAACTCACATGTCCGTGCGTCGCCAATTTTCCAGCAATCGAAGCTATCGTCACAATATGTCCGTCGTCGGCTTCCAGCATTTGGGGAAGGAAATTTTGAAGAGTCTGCAAAAAAGATTTTCCGGGCTTGGGCTGGATTTTTTGGGCCTGAAAATCGGCCTGAAAATTCGGGATTTTTTGAGACTAGATAAGCCTAGTTTCAGGCCCAGAAACCAGGCTTATTTAGGCTCAAAAAATCGGAAATTTCAGGCTTTTAGGCCTGGGCTTAGGCCCAGAATTTAGGCCCGAAAGTTTGGGATTTTTTGAGACTAGATAAGCCTAGAATCTAGGCCTATTGGATTAATTTAGGCTTAGGTTTACTAGGCCTATTTAGACTCAAAAAATCGGAAATTTCAGGCCCTAAGGCCCAGATTTCAGGCTTCCAGGCTCCAGGCTTACTGGGCCTATTTAGGCTCGAAAATTTCCAGATTTTCTGGCCTAAAACCAGCCTTATTTAGACTCAAAAAATCGCAAATTCCAGGCCCCAAACTTCAGGCCAAAGCCCAGGCTTTCTAGGCTTATTTGGACTCAAAAAATCCCGAATTTTCAGGCCCAAAACTCACCCTAAAAATGCGATTTAACATTAACACCCAGGCTCAAATTCAACGCGGTTTCCTCCAATTCAAAAATGCCTTTTGCCGACGCCACACCAGCATTATTCACCAAAATATCGATTTTTCCCGCTTCCCGCTTCGTTTCCTCAGAAATTCGATCAATTTCCTCAAAACTCATCAAATCCACGCGGAAAACGTGAATTTTCACGTCAAATCCCAAATTTTCCACTAAATTTCGCGTTTTTTCATTGTCCTCCTGGTTTTTGTCCCATAAAATGAGGTGGGTGTGGTGTTTGGCGAATTCCAGAGCCATTTGTCGACCGATTCCACTTCCCGAGCCGGTTATCAGCACTTTTTTGCCTGCAAAAATTAATTTGGAGCATTTTGAGCCAAAATTCGATGAATTTGGAGCATTTTGAGCCAAAAAACATGATTTTTGGACAATTTTGAGGCGGAAAATTCAAATTTTCAAAAAAAAAATCCTGCGGGCACCAGGAATCGATCCCCTGACCTTCTGCTTCGAAATTTTCCAAAAATCATGATTTTTGGACAATTTTGACCCCAAAAATCCAAATTTTCAAAAAAAAAATCCCGCGGGCACCAGGAATCGATCCCCTGACCTTCTGAGTCAAAAAAATCCACTCACCTTTCAACGATTTCTTGTTTCTCAAACATGCGGGCACCACGTATTTGTACAGTACCTCGGCGTAAAAATACAGTATCTGGAGTACTGTAGAAATGGTCTCGACGAGAAAAAATGGCATTTTTTCGGGGTTAGCTCGAAAATTTTGGGCGAAAATGTTGAAAAATCAATTTATTATCTTATCAGCAGCAAAAAATGGGGAAAAGTGATCTGATCAGACTAGAGTGTAGTCTGGTTCAAATCAAACTAGAGTCTAGTTTCAGATTGAGAATTTCAATTAGACTACATTGTAGTTTGTTAGTGAGAATAAATACAAGAATTTCAGAAATTTTACAAGACTAGAGTGTAGTCTACAAGAATTGATATTATGCCATTTTAAAGCAAAACTAGAGTCTAGTCTGCTCCTACAGTACTTTCTTTTGCCTCCCTTTAAATTCGTTCATTGTTTCGTTGGAGCCGAAAAAGTCGGCGAGCAAAATTTGGACTTCGATTGGAAGAAGGCTGAAAATTTTTGAATTTTTGAATTTCGCGGGTCCAAAAATCAGGTGGAAAATTTGAATTTTTTAATTTCGCGCCTTGGAAAATTGAGCGGGAAATTTGAATTTTTGAATTTCGCGGGTCAAAAAATCAGGCGGGAAATTTGAATTTTTGAATTTCGCGGGTCAAAAAATCAGGCGGGAAATTTGAATTTTTGAATTTCGCGCCTTCGAAAATTAGGCGGGAAATTTGAATTTTTGAATTTCGCGCCTTGGAAAATTAGGCGGGAAATTTGAAGTTTTGAATTTCGCGGGTCCAAAAATTAGGCGGGAAATTTGAATTTTTTGAATTTCGCGCCTTGGAAAATTGAGCGGGAAATTTGAATTTTTGAATTTCGCGGGGCCAAAAATCAGGTGGGAAATTTGAATTTTTGAATTTCGCGCCTTCGAAAATTGAGCGGGATATTTGAATTTTTGAATTTCGCGGGTCCAAAAATTGCGAGGGAAATTTGAATTTTTTGAATTTCGCGCCTGTGAAAATTGAGCGGGAAATTTGAAATTTTGAATTTCGCGGGTCTAAAAATTGAGCGGGAAATTTGAATTTTTGAATTTCGCGGGTCTAAAAATCAAGCGGAAAATTTGAAATTTTGAACTTCGCGCCTTGGAAAATTAGGCGGGAAATTTGAATTTTTGAATTTCGCGGGGCCAAAAATTGAGCGGGAATTTTGAATTTTTGAATTTCGCGCCTTGAAAAATTGAGCGGGAAATTTGAATTTTTGAATTTCGCGCCTTGAAAAATTGAGCGGGAAATTTGAATTTTTGAATTTCGCGCCTTGGAAAATCAGGCGGGAAATTCAAATTTTCAAAAAAACTCACCCAATCAGCGCCAAAATCGTATAACATGCTCTAGGCATACACAACATTGGTCGATTCGTCAAAATCGCCTCCAGAATACATTCCACAACATAGTCGGGCTCCAGAATCGGGAAAAGAAGAGGGCTTCTGGAAAAAAATTGGGTCAGAAGGTCAGGGGATCGAGTCCAGGTGCCCGCGGAAATTTTTTTTTCAATTTTTTGGGGTCAAAAATGCCCAAAAATCCTGATTTTTGGCTCAAAATTGTCCAAAAATCCTGATTTTTGGCTCAAAATGCTCCAAAAATCCTGATTTTTAGCTCAAAATGCTCCAAATCTCTACCCGAGTTCCACTAACTTCGTCTGAACTCCATCAAACATCCCTGTATTGATGAAAAACGGGCAAACCACAGTGGTCTTCACATTGAACTTTTTCTGCGATAAAATTTCCATGGTCAACGAGTCGTGGAATCCGATTGCACCGTGTTTTGAGGCACAATAATCGACCTGAAATTTGATTTTTTTTTGGATTTTGGCGCGAAAACGTGGCAATTTTTGGCGCCAAAATGTGCCACGTGGCTCAAAAATTTTCGGGCCAAAATCCACGTTTCGGGCCAAAAAATGGGCCTACCAATCCAACACAACCAGTTTTTCCAGCCATCGAAGCGATCGTCACCACGTGTCCGTGATTTTTGTCCAACATTGCTGGCAGAAAATTTTTGGCCGTCTGAAAATGCGTTTTTTCTAGGCTTCAGGGGCCGTGGACAAGTTTCTGGGCTTTTTTTTTCCAACTTTTTTTTCCAAAAATTGAATTTTTGGGGTCAAAATCATCCAAAAATCATGATTTTCGGAAAATTTCGGCTCAAAGGGTCAGGGGATCGATTTCTGGTGCCTGCGGGAATTTTTTTTTCCATTTTTTTGTTGAAAATTTTGAATTTTCAGCTCAAAATCATTCAAAGATCATGATTTTTTGAAAATTTTGGCTCGGAAGGTCAGGGGATCGATTCCTGGTGCCCGCGGACAATTTTTTTCGGGTTTTTTTGAAAATTTGAATTTTTCGTGCCAAAATTGTACGAAAATCATGATTTTTGGAAAATTTCGGCTCAGAAGGTCGGGGGATCGATTCCTGGTGCCTGCGGGAATTTTTTTCGGTTTTTTTTTGAAATTTCGAATTTTTGGGGTCAAAATTGTCCAAAAATCATGATTTTCCTAAAATTCCGGCTCAGAAGGTCAGGGGATCGATTCCTGGTGCCTGCGGGAATTTTTTTTTTGAAATTTTGGCTCAAAATCATCGAAAAATCATGATTTTCGGAAAATTTCGGCTCACAAGGTCAGGGGATCGATTCCTGGTGCATGCAGTGATTTTTTTTTTGAAAATTTGGATTTTTGGGGTTAAAATTGACCAAAAATCATGATTTTTGGCTCAAAAATGTCCGAAAATCATGATTTTTGGCTCAAAATTATCCAAAAATCTGAATTTTCAGGTCCAAAAGTCTATTAGGCTTTCCAGGCCCCCACTCACATAAAAATTCGCATTACAATTCACAGCCATCGTTTTTTCCATCAACTCATCGGGACAATCGAAGATTTTTTTGCCTGCAAACAAATCTGAAAATAATTTCAGCTCAAAAATGTTACCTGTAACAATTCCAGCATTATTGATCAAAATATCAATGTCTCCAACTTCTTCGCGAACTTTTTTCGAAGTTTCGTTGATTTTTTGGAAGCTTGAGAGATCTACGGTGTAGGCGTAGGCCTGAAAAAATTCGGGATTTTCAGGCCTAGAGCTAGGCTTATTTAGGCTCAAAAAAGGCCTAGTTTTCAGGCCTAAAAACCAGGGTCTTTTGAGCTAACTTGGGGCCTTTTTCCAGAGAGTTTTAGGCCTGGAAAAATTCTGATTTTAGGCCTGAAACCTAGGCATATTTAGGCTCTAAAAAGCCTTATACGTAGGCCTAAAACCTAGGCTTATTTAGGCCTAAAAACTAGGCCTTTTCAGGCCTCAAAAACACCTTATATTCAGACCTAAAGTTTAGGCTTGTTTGGGCTCAAAAAACCCTCTTTTCAGGCCTAGTTTTCAGGTCTAAAACCAGGGCTGGTCGGAATCGGAATATCGGAATTCCGAAATTCCGAAAATCGACGTTTTTTCGGAAGTGTAGTTTGGTCGGAAGCACTTCCGAAAGAAAAACTCGGAATCGCTCAAATTCCGACTCTCGTTCCGACTTTTTTTCATTCCGACTTTTTTGTCGAAATCACTTTCGAAAAATCTCGGAATTTCGGAATCTATGTTTTTATAAAGAAAACTTTATTTTAAGACTGAAATGACGGTGAAAAATTTCTTAATAATCGATAATAGTCAAAATTTTGTTGTCTTTGATGACCTAAGAACAAGATTTACTTTTTCGCAACTATTTTTACTATTATTGTTCTGATAACTCATCGAAAAATGTCGTTTTTCACTTTTTTCTTGCGTATTAGAACTTCCGAATTTCTTCCGAAATTCCGAAAAAAAAGTCGGAAGAAAAAATCGGAATTCCGAACTATCGAAAAATTATTCGGAATAAAAAGTCGGAATGCCGAAATTCCGAGAATAAAATCGGAAGTGAAAATGGGTCTTCCGAAATTCCGAAAGCTCAATTCCGACCAGCCCTGTCTAAAACCTAGGCTTATCTGAGCTCAAAAAGAGGTCCTTCTCAGGCTTTCTAAGCCCAAAAAGGGCCTTATTCTCAGGCCTAAACCTAGGCTTATTTAGGCTCAAAAAGAAGCCCCTTTTTCAGGCTTTTTTAGGCCCACCCACCTTTCCTCCCACATCTTCCACCGTTTTCAGCGTCTCCAAATTTCCAGCCTCATTCACATCCCACAAAACCACCTCAGCTCCAAGTTTCGCAAACTCCACCGCCATTTTTCGTCCGATTCCACTTCCGGCGCCAGTTATCAAAACTCGCTGGCCGTGCACCGATTTTCGTGGCAAAATCCCGTTGGGCAGCAGATTTTTGATCGAATTCCATAGGGAAAAATACAGGGTGCCAATTGTGACGCGCAAAATTCCGCACAAAGTTTCCATGTGTCTGAAAATATGAGCACAGTCTTTTAGAGCTCGCGGAGCCGGTCAAAATGAGCTATAGATGAGGTAGAGAGCTCAAGGGAGAGCTGAGAAAATGAGCTGGCTCTGGCCGTGTGGCGCAGGCGGTAAGTGCTTACGTTTCCCAAGTTGGGGGTGGCGGGTTCGAACCCCGCTCGGGGCGAGGGTTTTTATTTTTTTTTGTCGAACGCGGGGGCTTTAGGCCCGGCCGAGCCTAGCCTAATTGTAAGCCTAGAAAAGCCTTTTTTAAGGCCTGAAGCCTAAAAAAAGCCTAGAAAAGCCCAAAGCCTGAAAAACCAAAAAAGTCAAAAAAAAAGAAAAACGCAACATTTTCCTATCAAATTGCAAAGGAAATAAATTTTACAACAAAATTTTTTTTTCAAATTTCACTTTCACTGAAAAACTGACCAACCCAATTATATTTACTAGTATATGTGAGAGAGAGTATGGAAAAGAGAGAGACGCAGAGAAAACCGGCTAAATTTTGTGGGAAATTTGAGCCTAGAAGGCCTGAAAAGGCCTGAAAAAGCCCGGAAAAATCTAGAAAGGCTTCCCAAACCATATAGGCTTGGTACAGTTCAGTGGTAAGCTCTTGGATTTTGAATCTAAAGGTCGCGGGTTCGATTCCCCATGAGAACTATTCTTTTTTTTTTTAATTTTTTTGAAAATTTTTTTTTTCCGAAAGGTTAGGCTTATTCATACCGGAAATTTGATAAAAAATCCGAATTTTTCGAAATTTTCTAGCTCAAAAAAGTGTAAAAATGACAACTTTTGCTCTTGTTTTTCTTGTTTAAATACTAACGGGAAAACACAAGAGACGGAGAGAAACAGACTACATTCTAGTCGAGGTGTGTGTGTGCAGAGAGTTCAAACAACTTTTCTAGTTGGCTAGAGAAAATGTGAACCCCTCACAAGAAAATCAAAATAAAAAGTTCGCAGGCAGCGGGAATCGAACCAGCGACCTTTAGATTCAAAAACCAGCAGCTTACCACTGAGCTATCGAAGTCTTTCTAGATTCTTCAGGCCTTCTGGGCTTTTCCGGGCCTCAAAAAGGCCCGAAAAATGTTTTCTGGGCTTCTGAAGGCCTTCCGGACCTCAAGAAGCCCCCAAAACTATTTCCCGGGCTTCTAAAAGCCTTCCGGGCCTCAAAAAGCCCTCAAAAAATCCAATTTTCTCTCAAGTTCCATTTTTTCCACTCAAAAAAAGCCAAAAGCAATTTCTTCATGCATAAGATAACCCCTATTCTATATTTTTGTTTTTTTTTTTGGAAAAAAAATATTTTTCGGGTCTCAGAATTCTGAATTCAGAATTTTTGGACCAAAAAAACCAAAAATTCAATTTTATTTTGACATTTCTGAGAGATCTTGATTAAATTTTGAATATTAAAATATTTTTTGAGAATTTTTTGACAGAAATTTGAGAATTTTTGAATTTCCCGCTCAATTTTTGGACCCGCAAAATTCAAAAATTCAAATTTCCCGCTCAATTTTTCAAGGCGCGAAATTCAAAAATTCAAATTTCCCGCGAAATTCAAAAATTCAAATTTCCCGCTCAATTTTCGAAGGCGGGAAATTCAAAAATTCGATTTTTTTTCAAAAATTTTCAAATTTTCTCACTAATTAGCTCTAAAATTAGACATTTTCTTGAAAAATTTCGATCAGAAAACATTTTTTTTCGTTTTTTTCTAGTTTCTGAATACAAATTCCCCACAACTTTTTTGGTATACATTCATTTTTTGTGCAAAAAAAAATGAGCTGACCACTTTCTTTTTTCTTTAGGCTCCGCCCCTTTTTCCGAGGCTCCGCCCATTTTTTTTCGTAATTTTCTGACCACTTTAACCCATTTTTCTTGCAGATTTCATAAAATTCGAGCTAAAATGAAGAATTTTCTTCTGATTTTCGTCATTTTCCAAATTTTCTCAATAATTATGGTTTCGACTGAAAGTCCAGGTAATTTTTGAATTTTTTGAATTTCGCGCCTTGAAAATTCAGGGGGAAATTTGAATTTTTGAATTTTCTAGGGCTTTTAAAATTTTTCTGGGCTTCTGAAGGCTTCTCCAGACCTCAAAAAAGCCCAAAATTTAAATTTTTTTCAATTTTCCAAGGCGCGAAATTCAAAAATTCGAAAAAAAAATTCGTCACTCATCAAAAAAGTTGCCATTTTGTGAGGGAGTCAATTTCCTTTGTGGTCAGCTAGAAAAAAATTATTTTTCATTTTTTTTTCGTATGAAAAAAATTCCCAAGTGACCGGGAAAAAGAATTTTTTTGAGTTAAAAACATGACGTATTTTGATGAGGAAAAACTTCAAAAATCATAGATTACAGACCTATTTTTAGGCCTGAAAGTGGGCCTAAAAGGCTTTAGTTTAAGGCTTAGAGTTAGGCTATTTTAAAGCTAAATTTTCTAGGCTTCTCAGGCTTTTAGGGCTTGATAAGGCCCAATTTTTCTCCAAAAACAAAATTTTTGCAAAAAAAATCGTCACTCGCAATTTTTAGCGAAAAAAATTGAAAAAATAATTATTTTCCAGAAGATCAGATAAAAATTCAATTTTTTTCGCTTTGAAAAAATCTGGATTGAAAATTTGAATTTTTTTTTGAAAAAAAAAATCCACGTGGCATTTTTGGCGCCAAAAAATTCAAAAATGTTCCAGAATCGCTCTATCTTCGCCCTCGTCGCTCTGGAATTTTATTCGGAAAATTGGCGCGAAATTGGGTCACCGATGATAAGCGAATCGTTTTGAGACCTTTGACGGACACTTTTCAAAATTCCGATTTTTATTATCGATAACAATATTTTTTGTGGAAAAAATGAAGTTTGATGTTGTTGTTTTTGAAAATTCAAATTTCCCGCCTGAATTTTCAAAGGCGCGAAATTCAAAAATTCAAATTTCCCGCTCAATTTTTGGACCCGCGAAATTCAAAAATTCAAATTTCCCGCTCAATTTTCGAAGGCGCGAAATTCAAAAATTCAAATTTCCCGCCTAATTTTCCAAGGCGCGAAATTCAAAAATTCAAATTTCCCGCCTAATTTTCCGAGGCGCGAAATTCAAAAATTCAAAAAAAAAATATTCAAGATAAGTCAATTTCACACTGCATTTCTACAGAGATAAATTTCAAAAAAAAAAAGAAAAAAAAAATTGTAAATGTCAAACTATTCATCAAAAAGAAAAAAAAGGACTCGAGTCATGAAAAAAAGGCAAAAAAATATGGTATCACAAAAAATCTCTAGAAAAATTTAGAAAAAAAAATAATAAAATCTATTTACGTATTCTGAATATCAGACAAAAATTGAATTGGAACGGGAATTTGAGGAATTTTGGGCCTTTGGGCCTGAAATTTAGGCCTGAAAAGCCCTAAGTTTCCGGCCAAATTAAAGCTGGAAAAGGCCGGATTTTTTGGCTAAATTTAGGCCTATTTTTAGGCTTCAGAAATTTTGCATTTTTGGTCTAAATTTGATGTCGAAATTTGGGTTTTTTTTGGGCTTTTCTAGTTTTTTGAAAAGCCCTAATTTTCAGGCCAAATTTAGACCTAAAATTATAGATTTTCAGGCTTCAAAACCAGGCCTAAAGGCCATGTTTTTAGATTCAAAAAATCCGGAATTTCAGGCTTCAAAATAAGGCCGAAAGCCCATGTTTTTAGACTCAAAAAATCCGGAATTTCAAGCCTATTTTCAGGCTCAAAAAATCCGGAATTTCAGGCCTCAAAACCCCAATTTCAGGCCTCAAATCCCCCCTCCCTCTCTCAAAAATCAAACACTTTTTTCCGACTGAAATTGAAATGGTCCAGCGGCAGGCGTAAATCTTTTTGCCGTTTTTTCCGTCGACTTTTTCAGCTTCTCCTTCTCCTTCTCAATCTCCGCCGCCTCCTTTTCCGCTTTTTCCGCATCCATCCGTTGCTTTTCCGCAAGTTTCCGCGTCTCCTTTTGATGTTTCGCTTTTCCCGTCGCCGATCTCACCACCTTTCCAGATTCCTCAATTTCCCGAGCCGCTTTATGAACTTGTCGCAGAAAATACGGGCCGCCTTTGTTGACCATCCAATTGTAGATATATCTGGGGATGTTGGCTTCGGGATTGTCGGAATACGTCAGAATATAATCTACACCATGAGTTTCCCAATCTTCGTGAGCTCGGATTGACATTCTTGATGAATAGCTGGTTACGCGAACATTTGAGGTGGATGTGGAGGGGAAAATCTGGAAAAAAACAAGGTATGGGGTGGGGCTGGGCCTGGGCCTGGGCTTAGGCCTTGAGTTTTGGATAAGCCTAAGGTTTTGACTAAGCCTAAGCCCAAGGCTTTCGTTAGGCCTTGAGTTTTGGTTAGGCCTAAGATATTGGATAAGCCTAAGGTTTTGGCTAAGCCTAAGCTCAAGGTTTTGACTAAGCCTAAGCTTAAGGTTTTCGTTACGCCTTGAGTTTTAATTAAACCTGATGTAAGGCCTGAGAGTTCGGTTAAGCCTAAGCCTAGGATTTCTGATAAGCCTAAGGATTCGGCTAATTTCGTTAGGCCTTGAGTTTTGGTCAAGCCTAAGGTCTAGGCTAAGCCTAAGTTTTTGGCTAAGCCTAAGGTTTTGAATAGGCCTAAGCCTAAGAATTCTGATAAGCCTAAGGTTTTGACTAAGCCTAAGATTTTGACTAAGCCTAAACGAATTTGGGCTCAAAAATCCGGAATTGCAGGCTTCAAAATCAGGCCTAAAGACCATTGTTTCAGACTCAAAAAGCCCTATTTTCAGGCCTAAAAAACCCCCGAAAATTCAAAATTCCCCCATCTCTCCTCTTCAGGTTAAGCCTAAGATATTTGCTAAGCCTAAGGTTATACGTAAGCCTAAGGTTTCGGCTAAGCCTAAGCCCAAGGCTTTCGTTAGGACTTGGGTTTTGCCTAAGCCTAAGATATTGGATAAGCCTAAGGTTATACGTAAGCCTAAGGTTTCGGCTAAGCCTAAGCCCAAGGCTTTCGTTAGGCATAAGATTTCTGATAAGCCTAAGGTTTTGGCTAAGCCTAAGCCTAAGGAATGAATTTAATTTATCGATTTTTTTTCGTGACGTGAAAACCTCAACCTAAATCCAATTCAACCAATTATTTCGCCCATTTCTAAAATTATCAAAAATGTCAATGAATCTCGAATATTCGGATGCTTTCGTAGAGGAAATAACCAAAAAATGCACTCATTTTATTGGTCCACTTCGAATTCCAAAAAGAATACCGCCAAAGAATTACAAAAGAATATTGAATGTGTTACAAACTTATTCGAGTGTTGTTGACTTGAACAATAATTGGATTCGATTAATTACTGATCAATTTAATCAAGAAGATATTGAATTTCAAAATGATCGATTAATGACAACATATGTGGCAAATGTAGGTTTTCTATTTATGAGACGAAAAAAGTCTACCAAATTTTCGCAGCACAAAACTCGTTGGATGTTTTTCTCAATGTTTTTCACAATTCTGACAATGATGTTCATTTATTTCTTCTTTTCAATATCCAAAGAATTCAGCGAACGAGTTGCAAAATTTATTCGATTTCGTAAATATTATTTGGGTTATACAATTATCCCAGTTTTTTGTTGTATTATGATCATTTCAATGACTGTTTCATTTGGAAAAGAGGCAACTAAAGCTGAAATGGCTATTAGAAATGCGAGGAGTTGGTGGAAAACTGCATTGACACGTGAGTTTTCATGTTTTTTAATGCAAATGAGTTGAAATATTGTGTTCTAATGTTATTCATATGATAGAATGGTCTTAGACGAACAGAATCATATAAATTTTGATGAGTTTACCTTATCTATAAGTGATTTAGCGACGTTTAGTCAATAAGCTCGCTAAATCACTTATGGATAAGGTAAACTCATCAAAATTTATACGATTCTGTTCGTCTTGGACCGTTCTATCATATGAATTGCTTAAAAACATGAAAATGTCGATGTCCAACTATAGTTTACGCGTTCAGGTAATGAATACGTGAGAAAAGAGAGTTGGGAGGAGGTCGATTGTTCAACAGTTTTGCCGCCTATGGATGATAGTCAGAAAATCGAATATGAAACACAGATTTTTGGTTTTTCTTCAGAAGAAATCAATAGAGCGATTGTTAAATATACAAGTTAGTTGAAATTAATAAAGATTATGCGTTTACGAAACGTTTTTTAACGTTAAAAACCCAAAAAATTCATTTTTCAACCATTTTCTTAACACAACTGAATAAAGTGAAGCTAAAACGCATTTAAGGGCTTACAAATTATTTTTTTTTGGGAGATTTTTCTTCCAGGCCGACTTTATTCAGTTGTGTTAAGAAAATGGTGAAAAAATGAATTTTTTTTGGGTTTTTAGCGTTAAAAAACGTTTCGTAAATGCATAAAAATAGCATTTGTGAATCAATTTTTGTTTAAAAATATTTCAGATCGACCAGCAAATTATGATCTAACACAATTGCCAATAAAAGCAGTGCTCAAACTCTACAAAATTCACAACATCCACATTTTCACGGAAACCGAGATAATCATCGATCGAACTTATGATTTGCTGCGAATACCCGGTGAAAATCTCATAAACACGGCAAAATATAGCATTTTTGTCGTTTCGACGATTTCAATTTGCTTCACATCGTTCATTTGTTTGATGGTGTTTTTGGATTTGCAAAATAAATGTGAGTTGGCCGAGTGGTTTGCGTGGCTGCCTACCGTTTGCAAAACCAGGGTTCGACCCACACCCTGACCTACTCTCTTTTTTTGATACGAAGTTGGACAAATATATTTCAAAACGATTTTTTTACACAGATCCTATAATCCTAACACTTATTCAATTATTCTCTCCAATTCTCCTATTTTTCATAATCATTGGATTCGTTTTCATCTGGTATATTTTCACCTCAATTGTTGCAAGTTATACAGTTTATTCGCATTTAATACATCCAGAAATTCATCAAAATATCAAATTCAAACGTGCTCACACACTATTGTTTTTCCAAAGTTTGGCAACACATGAGAATTTTGATATGGTTAATGAGACATATGCGCAGTTTAATGAAACAAATTTGTCGATTTTTGATGTTTATCCACGAGATGTTATTCACGAATTGTTGAAAAAAACGAATGAAACATCAGCGGAGAATTATAGAAGCTTTTTCATTGATTGTGTATGTTTTCTAGTAGTTTTCGACCCGCTGATTACGATTCCGCTGACTGAAATTGCAAAGCTCAACTCCTAACATGAGTTATGACGTAGCGGGAATTTCGAAAATTTGATTTGGGAGGTCAAAACTCGCTTCTAAAATTGTTTTCATCAAAATCTGATGGTATAGCATTGTTCGGAAGGCTCGATTACATAAGTTTTCATTTTGTGATCAATATTGAACAATTGTGATCAATTTTGAACAAGTGCCAAATCAAATTTTCGAAATTCCCGACACGCCATAACTCATGTTAGGAGTTGAGCTTTGCAATTTTAGTCAACGGAATCGTAATAAGCGTGTTGAAAACTATTAGAAAACATAAATTTCATTAAAAATCGCAAGTTGAATGATGAAAACTAATTTTCAGTATAAAAATGAAAGTAAATGCACTTATAAAAGCAAGGATCTTATCCTAAAATCCGATGAACTTTTTCTCATCGAAGCTCTACATGCACACGAGTTTGGAGTTTCAGCAATTAGCTATTTGAGATATTTATCATTTTTCAAACAAAACACATTTGTACCAATTGCTAGTTTGGTTTGGGAAATTCGTGAGTTCATTATTATTCAAAAAAAAAAAGAATTCTGAGAAATTGGCATGTTTTACAGTTCCCCTACCAGCTTTGATATTTTTCAATCTGATCTTCATTCATTTCGCCACTCCATTGATTCGTAAGAAATCGGATGAAACAAGTTCGGATGGGTTTATGTGAGGAGTTTTTTGAATGAATGAATGAAATCTTTTGCCTCCCCAGAAGCCTGACACTTAGACTAAGTCCTATATTTTCCCAAAAACCGGTTTCCCCATTTTCTCGTCACACATAAAATGTGCATAATAAAAAAATCCCATCAGAATGGGGGCGCAACGAATCAAGCAAGCTATTTTGGGGGGTTTTTTTAATGAGCTGAGAAAATCGGGGGACCTTTTCCGCATGCTTCCGCGAAGCGGAAAGTAATACCAAGTTGCTGGACTTTGAAACGTAGTCGTTCAACAACGTTCCGCAAGCTTCCGCAGGCTTCCGCATCGCTCTTACCTCCGGTAGCACCGCTTCGCTATCCACAACCGCATATTTATCATCGTCCGACACCCACGTCCTTCTAACATACACATATTCGCGTGGATAAAGTGGATAGGGGAATTTGGAGACCCATCGAATCAGCTGCAACAAAACGCATGGTTTCCGCAGGTTTCCGCGCGGCTTTCCGCTTACCTCATTCTCATTCTCCTCTTGTACAACATCAATCGACACGATATTCTCATCCCATTCACGTCGATAATTGATGTCGTTTTGGGCGTCGAGAAATGTACGCGGCGAAATGTCGTAGTAGGTGCCAACACATTTGTATTCGTACATTTCGTAGGGTCCCGTGATTTTGCGGCGGAACGCTAGCATATCTTTTTCCTCGTAGAGCAATTCCCAACCGTGTCCGGGATTTTTGCGATGTTCTGGAAAAATTCTAGGTTTTTAGTCGATTTTTTGGCTCCGGGAGCATGAAAAATTGATTTTGAGCTCAAAAATTGGATTTTTCAGGTGCTCTCGACGAAACCTTCATAAAATTCTACGTTTCTAGTCGATTTCCTGGCTCCGCGAGCATTTTTGAGCAACCCAGACCAAAATATTAGGTCTGGAAGTGATTTTTCGGTTCCGGGAGCATGAAATTTTGATTTTTAGCTCAAAATCTGGATTTTTCAGGTGCTCTCGGCGAAATCTTGATGAAATTCTAGGTTTTTAGTCGATTTTCTGGCTCCAGGAGCACAAACATGAGATTTTGGAGCAACCCAGACCAAAATATTCGGCCTGGAAGTGATTTTTGAGCTCCAGGAACATGAAAATTTGATTTTTAGCTCAAAAATTGAATTTTTCCAGTGATCTCGACGAAATTTTGATGAAATTCGAGGTTTTCAATCGATTTTCTGGCTCCGCGAGCATTTTTTGAGCTCCCAGACCAAAATATTCGGCCTGGAAGTGATTTTTGAGCTCGGGAGCAGTGAAAATCAGATTTTGAGCTCGAAAATGAGAAATTTTGCAGGAAAATCGTCATTTTCTCAGAAATTTCATGAAAAATTCACAATTTTTGACGAAATTCATGATTTCTAGTCAATTCCGAGCCGCTGAACACAATTCCGATGTCAAAAATCACTTAGCTCAACTCTGCATCGAGTTATGACGTGGCAAATTTTTATGGCTAAGGTTTTTCTTTGGAAAATTTGACTTACAACATATTTTCCAAAGAAAACCCTTAGCTATAAAAGTTTGCCACGTCATAACTCGATGCAGAGTTGAGCTAAGTGGTTTTTGACATCGGAATTGTGCTCAGTGGGTCGAAATTGACTAGAAAACGTGAATTTCGTCAAAAATTGTGAGTTTTTCATGAAATTTTCTGAGAAAATGACGATTTTGGGTCATTTTTGAGCTCAAAAAATCGAACTCACCAAATTCACTCTCACAATTCTGGCATTCCTTTATCCTCTCCTCACAAATCCCATGTTTTTGGAACGAAAAAATGGCAGAAGCCGAGGAAATTGTGAGAAAAAGCGGTTTTTTGTCGAAAAACCGGGTGTGCTTGGTGAAGTTGAGGAAAGTCTTCATTTTGAAGCGCGTCCAGTGATGTCGGTGAAAATAGAAGAATTGGCGGAAGAAATTGACCATTTTCTGGGAGAATTTTGAGATATTAGTAGCTTCCGCAAGCTTCCGCGTAGCCCAGAAACTTGTGGTTTACAAGGTTCCGCTTTAGCAGCCACGCGGATTACTATGACGTTTGCCATATCATATTAATCCGCGTGGCCGCTACGCGGAAGCTTGCGGTTTACACTCGCTACGCTCGAAAAAAATTGGCGATAGATTTCCCTGCGCGGGATCTCAAAATATCAGTGAAAATCTTGATTTTCACTGAAATTTTCAGATCCGGCATGATTTTCCGAGCGTAAACCGCAAGCTTCCGCTTTCGCAGCCACGTGGATTACTATGACGTTTGCCATATCATACTAATCCACGTGGCCGCTGAAGCGGAAGCTTGCGGAGTTTTCTTTACAGGTAAGTATTTTGAAACTGGGCTTGAAACCCTCGAAAAAAAATCAATATCAAATATTATTAATCTAGATTCATTCTGGAATGTGTCTCAAAATTCAAAAAAAAATACAAAAATTACATGTAGCTCATCACATCGTCGTCGGGAATTCCTGCAAAAAAAATCGATATTAGATATTGAAAAAAATCGACTTAGAAGAACTCACTTTCAACAGGCGGGCAGATTTTCGTCAAATAATTGCTGATTGGAAGGAGTTGATCGCGAATGTTGAGAATTGCTCCGGTCGGTGTCTGAAATGAGTGGATTTCTGAGCAAATCGTGAGATTTTGCAGCATTTTCAGTGTAAAATGAGCAATTTTGCAGGAAAATCGTCATTTTCATCAGAAAATTCATGAAAAACTCACAATTTTTGATGAAATCCATGTTTTCTAGTCAATTCCGACCCGCTGATCACAATCCCGATGTCAAAAATCACTTAGCTCAACTCTGCATCGAGTTATGACGTAGAAAAGTACTATAGCTAACAAGGGAAGTGCATAGGGTCAGGTGTTGAACTTTTGATGAAACGTTCGAAATATACCAAATCGACCATACTGATCACGATTCCGAAGTCAAAAATTGCCACAAATGCATGTGAGCACTTTTCTGGAGCTCCAAAGTTGGAATTGAGTTTTGGTTTTTGCCCATTTTCACCATATTCCTGGGTGGAAAATCAATTTTTATAACTTGAATAAGGTTGTTCACCACATTCGAAAACCTATCAGCTTTCTAGTTTTTCAAAAAATATGAAAAACCAGCTGAAAACTGTAATTTTTAAGAAAGTCCTGAAAATACACACAAACACACGTAAATACACACGTTTTTCAAAGTTTTTTGTGCATTTTTGAAAATTACAGTTTTCAGCTGGTTTTTCATATTTTTTGAAAAACTAAAAAGCTGATAGGTTTTCGAATGTGGTGAACAACCTTATTCAAGTTATAAAAATTGATTTTCCACCCAGGAATATGGTGAAAATGGGCAAAAACCAAAACTCAATTCCAACTTTGGAGCTCCAGAAAAGTGCTCACATGCATTTGTGGCAATTTTTGACTTCGGAATCGTGATCAGCATGGTCGATTTGGTATATTTCGAACGTTTCATCAAAAGTTCAACACCTGACCCTATGCACTTCCCTTGTAAGGTTTTTCGTTGGAAAATAAGTTTAGAGATAGTATAAACCAAATTTTTCGAAGAAAAACCTTAGCTGTAAAACTTTGCCACGTCATAACTCGATGCAGAGTTGAGGTAAGTGATTTTTGACAACGGGATAGTGATCAGCGGGTCGGAATCTACTAGAAAACATAGATTTTATCAAAAATTTTGAATTTTGTTGAGGTTTACACGTAAAACCTTCAAAACTCACCACATTGCCAGCCAAAACATAGAAAAAATACTCATCAATCGAATGCACGGCCGCCTGAACCGAATCAAACTGGAAAAACGAGCTTTGATGATCGCCCATCAACAATTTCGGAATTTGTCCGATCACATTCAAATGGGCGGTGATCAACCAATTTGTGTTGGTTTTGCTGCGCGGCACATCACCCACTTGCACCACAATTACACCATCGTAATCTGTGGCGAAGATGGCGCAGATTCCTTCGATGGATAGCATTAGTTCCTCTAACTTCTGTGTCACGTTCATCGCGTTTTTCTGGTCTGAAAATGAGAAAAACAATGAGAAAAATCACGTTTTTTAGGCCATCACGTTTTTATCGATTGATTTTTGAGCTCTTAAAATGATAAATCTCTCATTTCTGATTCTTCAGCTCAGAGAAAACGAAAAAACGAAAAAAAAGAAAAAGAAAAAAAGAAGAGATGGAAGTGCGCTCCATTGATAATAAACAACTCAGCATCTCCTGGCGTATACTTTTTGCACGACAACGTACGCTTTTCCTACACTCTTTCTACGCTTTTTGTACACTTGCCACTTTTCGCGAGTGTAGCTACATTGTAGGACCGCGTTGCAAGCTTGTTGCGTTGCGGTTATTATTTTATTTTTGTTTTCTATTTTCTTTTGGGCCTAAAATTCTTTTTAAAACGTTTAAATCAGGTATCAAGATAGTCGAGTTAGGTCTACGTCGATTCTAGAAGTTGAGTATGATTATTGAAGCTATCAGAGAACTTTTTCGACAAAAGAAGAATTCTTTTTTCAAGAAAAATCTTGAAATAATTTTGAAAAATTCGAAATTTTCTCCAATGAGACTTTGCGAATCAGAGTTTACCGATAATTATCATTCTTCTTATTCTCGTTATTAATGTTCTCACACCTGAATTTGATTTCAATTTGATGAATTTCAGATCAGCATTCCATCAACTCCTAGAACTTGCATCAGCTGCAGCAAAAAGGAAAGAGAAGCTTCACGGGAGGCCTCTTCGAGGAAATGATTTGAAAGGTGAGTATAACTTAAGTACTAGAAAGACTAGGAATTCGGAACCCTCTGGCTAATCGCCTATCAAAAAGTAGGTGATCTGAAGTTATCAGAACATTTCGTGGAGATACATCTTATAATTATGAAAGTTATGGGACTTGGGATATTTATTAATATCTAGACAATTAAACACCATCTTATTTTTCAGCGTGACTCTTGATGCGCCACCTACTCTACGTCGAATTCGACTGCTAACATCGGGACCATTTCTACCGAAGAACTCACAGAATAGCAGTCAAGCCCTATCAAAATCGAGGTAAAGATGCTCTATCACCCGACTTCTCGCCCTCAACCTCGGCTTCTACCACTCAACACACCCTCAACAACCAACACATTCTCAACAAACCTTCGAAAAAATTAATTTTCTAAATTTTTATTATGTTTTGAAGATTTTTGATATATTATTGATTTCATGTTATGAAAGTATATTGATCCATAAATGATTTGTTATATTTTCTAGTTTTAATCTCTCCTAAATCGCAGCGCAAAAAGAAAAAAATCGATTCGAAATTTGGAGTACGGTTTTCGTTCAAAAAAAGGAAAAGTGTAGGATCTTTGTAGACGTTTTTGCAGCTTGTGTGTACGATGTGTGTAGCATGCGTCATACAACAATGTAGCTACACTTTTCGTTCGCAATAGTGTACGCCAGGGGATGCTGAGAATTTCCTAGGACTACGGTAAACAGCGGTGTTTGCAGATATTTTTTGAAGTTTGGCTTTTTTCGAGCGGGAATCCGAAAAATTCAAGAGGACGGAATTGCTGTCCTAGTAGGACAATTAGACTGAAGAAAACTGAAATGCCTGTTTTTCTATTTTGATTATTTTTAAGTTTTTTTTTTCAGTTTTTCTACTTTTTCACTGTTGTCAGGCATCACATTATTGATTTTTGGGTTCTATCTCAATATAAGGGTCCCAAAAAAAATAAGGGTCTGTGATTTTTTTCATAGGTCTGATTTTTTTGATTTTTGGAGAAAAAATTAATTGTTTTGTTGTATTTTTGTTGATTTTTTGACGATTCTTTGTATTTTCGAGAGGTAATTTTTTTTTGATAGACCCCCCCCAAAAAAAATAACGGACCCTTATATTTTTTGGGACCCGTGAACAAAATCACGGACCCCTTTATTTTTTACGGACCCTTATATTGCGATAGAGCCATATTTTTGGTAATTTTTTTGAGCGACCCCGCGAAATTTCGATTTTTCAGCTTTCAAATGTCTACGCCGGTTTCCGCGCCGCCAGAAGCCCATTTCAACCCACCAATGCCTAAACCAACTAACCAGGCTACCGAAGAGCCTATTGTTTCCAGTGGAAGAAAGGTTGGTGCCTTGAGAAAAATATTTTTTCAGTGTCCCTCAATTGTTGTTGCTTTCGTTCTTCTTTTGATTTTGGCAAGAATTCCAACAGTTCTAAACTTCACCTCTTCACCATCGAAAGCTTGCAATGAACTTCCACAAATCATTGAACGTCCAAAATTCCGGCCAAAAGTTGGCGATATAGGTTTCCAGGGTTTTTTCCCACCGAAAGTTTCAACTTGTTCAGGATTTGGTTTTGCATGCAACGATGATGTTTCAAAAGTTATTTCAACATCAAAACGTTGTGATGGAAAATATGATTGTTCAAATAAATCGGATGAGGAAAACTGCGAGACTTGCCAAACAATCTTCCAATGCCCCTCCGAACTAATTGAAGAAGATGAGAATAAATCTATGATTTGCTTGACAGCTTCTCAACTTTGCGATGGAGTTCAACATTGTCCAGATGGTTCAGATGAAACATCCTGGTGTAGTGAGTTATTATTTTTTTTTAGAAAGTGAAGTATTTTTTTGTTTTTAGAGTCGAATTGTTCTGCTGAACAATTCAAGTGTCCTGGGCAAAATGTTTGTCTTCCAAAAAGTGCAAAATGCGATGGAATTGCTGATTGTGAAGATAAAAGTGATGAGAAAGATTGCATCGATTGTGAAGCTAAAGCACATGTGAGTTTTTTTCGAATTTCGAAAGTATCGATTAATTCTTCAGAAGTGCGGAGAAATGTGTGTAAAAATGAGTGAAGTTTGCGACGGAATTGCGCAATGCGACGATGGAAGTGATGAGAAAGGATGTGATTGTGAATCATGTTGCGGATCAGACAAAGCGCTTTGCGACGACGGAACTTGCATTCTTCGCTATCAAGTTTGCGACGGAAAACACGATTGTTCCAACGGAATGGATGAAAAGGATTGCCCAGGAAGATGTTTGGTCAAGGAATCTGCAATGAAGAAGCGAGTAACTTGTTCCGATGGTCGAGAATACACCGAAGAAGAAGCATGTTCGGGAGAATTTCACAAATGTTATTCGAATTGTCCGGAAAACTGCAAGGCATTCCATTGCCCCATTGATAAGAAATGTATTTCACGCAGTGCAGTATGCGATGGTTACGTTGATTGTGTAGACGGTGCCGATGAGCGAAATTGTAGCTGCAACGAGATCGAGCGATTCAAATGCGATCGAAAATGTATTGATTTTGAGCGAAAATGCGATGGTATTTTGGATTGTGTCGATATGAGCGATGAATATAATTGCGCAACATGCGCCAGCGGAGCATTTACATGTGCTATTGATCAAACATGCCTTCCATCTAGTACAAGATGCGATGGAGTTGATAATTGTTCAGATGGAAGTGATGAAAAGGATTGCTCATGTGATGGTAATTTTTTTTTCTTTATTTTTTTTCTGATGAAAATAATGGCTCTATCGCAATAGGGCCCGTTTTTTTTGAGGATCCATTTTTCTAATTTCAATTATTTATTTTTTTGTAATTTTTTCAAATTTTTTTTTAGCCAGTTAGTATGTTTCCGGGGGGGGGGGGTTTACTAAGCCTAAGCCTAAAATAATAGACTCTGGTAACTCTATTTTCGGCTTTTAAGCTTCAGAATTAGGCTTAGGCTTAGTAAACCACCCGAAAATACAAAATATCGTCAAAAAATCAAGAAAAATACAACAAAACAATTGAAAATTAAAAAAAAACACACATTTTTTCCTTCAAAAATCAAAAAAAACACGAACCCTTATTTTTTTTGGGAGCCTTATATTGAGATAGAGCCAAAAATAATATTTACAGAGTGTATCGGTGCACATTCGACCACCTATATGTGTGATGGTTCAACGAAATGCTTGCTCATCGATGAAGTTTGCTCGCCAACTTCAATCTGCCCAAATGCCACTAGTTCTGATGAAGCTTATTGTGCAATTCAGATGTTTCGAATTAAGAAAGGATTTCCTTGGTGGAGCCAATCGTGGGAATTTTGAAAATTGCATATAAATTTATTGCATACTTATATACTCGTATATTGTTTTTGAGCTCAAAAATAGGTGCTCTTGAGCAATTTTGTTTGGAGAAAACTGTAAAAAATTAAAAATTTCATTTCCATAAAGCTTGACTTCAAAAAAAGGGGTGCAATTTTTTAAAAATGTGAATTTAATTAAATACAGATATTGAATACCAGTGAATTTTTGATTGGGGGGTTTTTAAAGGTGCACAAGGGGGGGATTTAGACTATTTACAAAAATTGGTTAGTTAGGGTAAGTTCCTGAAAAAATTAGTTAGTTGTATAAATTGTGTCTTCGTCGAAACAATTATCTTGGAAAATCAGGCGAATAAACGGTTTTTCGGTGGCCAAAAGTTGATAGCAAAATGGGCAGACGGGATCGTAGCGGCAGGTGCCTTGCGGAAGCGGAATCCGCGACCAGTATCTGTAAAATTGGGAAATTTCGAATTTCGCGGCTTGGAAAATTAGGCGGGAAATTCAAAAATTCAAAAAACACTCACAAAACCGTCTGCTTGCTAGCAATATGCCCGCACGGGTTGAAAGCATAGTCCAGGGTTCCGGAATCGAGGTGAAACGATGGTTCCATGCCCATTGTGAGCTGAATGATGCGCTCGGATTCGATGAGACAAATCGGACATTTTCCGCCGCGTTGTCCGCCTGGCGTCGGGTGAACTCCCCATTCGTGTTTGCCTTGCACGTGACCGCATTGGAGGTAGACCTAGAAGAAAATTTGGAATTGCATTTTTCAAGCGCGAGCGAGTGTAAACCGCAAGCTTCCGCGCAGCGGCACTATCGTTCGCTTTAGCGGTTTTTTCCGGAAAGCCTATGAACCTTTCTGAAGCTTCCGGAAAGCCTTGGAGCATTCTAGGAGCTTCCGGTAGGGTTAGAAACATTTAAGGAGCTTAAGGAAGGTCTAAGAACCTCCCAGAAGCTTTGAGAAAGGCTAGAAACCCTTCCATGAGCTCCCTGAAGGACTGGGAGCATTCTAGGAGCTTCCAAGAGCTTCCGGAAGGTCTGGAAACTTTTCTGAAGCTTCCGGAAAGCCTCGGAGCATTCTAGGAGCTTCCGGAAAGCCTTGGAGCTTTCCAAAAGCTTCCGGGAGAGCCTTGGAGCTTCCCAAAAGCTTCAGGAAAGCATAAGAATCTCCCAGAAGCTTCCGGAAGGTCTGTAAACCTTTTATGAAGCTTCCGGAAAGCCCTGGAGCTTCCGTAAGGTATAATAACGTTCCAAGAGCTGCCGGAAAGCCTAGGAACCTTCCAGAAGCTTCCGGAAGGCCTTGGAGCTTCCCAAAAGCTTCCGGAAGAGCCTAGGAGCTTCCGGAAAGCCTTGGAGCTTTCCAGGAGCTTCCGGAAAGTCTAGGAACCTTCCAAGGGCTTCCGGAAAGGCCAGAGAACATTCTATAAGCTACCGGAAAAGCCTAGGAACCTTCCAGAAGCTTCCGGAAGGCCTGGAAACTTTTTTGAAGCTTCCGGAAAGCCTCGGAGCATTCTAGGAGCTTCCGGAAAGGCTTGAAACCTTCCGGAAGGTATAATTACGTTCCAGAAGCTTCCGGAAAGCCTAAGGACCTTCCAGAAGCTTCCGGCAGAGACTAGGAGCATTCTAGGATCTTCCAGAAGCCTTCGGAAACCTTCCTGAAGCTTCCGGAAGGTCTAGGAACCTTTCTGAAGCTTCCGGAAGGCCTGAAAACCTTCCGGAAAGCCTGCAAACCTCCCAGAAGCCTAGACCCCCCCCCTCCCCAGAAAAAAACTCACATATGGTTGTCTCCTACTCGCCCCTCGACTACTCTTCTTCTTCGGTATCACCAGCGTATTCAAATTCACCGGACACTGCGGTTTTCCGGCATTCAATCGATCCAACGCCATCTCAAGTTCGCGTAACTTTGGCGATCTTTCGAGCCCATCGGCCGTCCTCCACAAAATCGTCGCTCCACACAGGTCGATCAACGTGCCGTCCTGCAACATGTTCGTCCATTCCGGAACGAGCGCGCCGCGTGTCGATGAGCTTCGCGTGATTCGCGGCTCGTACACATTGCCGTTTATCGACACTTCTCGCCATTTATACATTGGTTTTTCGATCGTCTGATCGATGAGGTCATCTTTGTTGGGGTGAAGGATGAGGACGCCATTTGTGGTAAGTCCGTCGACTTCTCCAGCTGGGCTGGCCCATTTCAAGGCTTTTTGCTGGAAAATTTGGGGTTTTTTTGGGGGGGCTTCTAGGCTTCTGGGCCGCCACAAGCTTCCGCGAAGCAGCCACGTGGATTAATATGACGTGGAATACCAGTCAGGCTTCGACGTCATAGTAATCCACGTGGCCGCTGAAGCGGAAGCTTGCGGTTTACACTCGCTACGCTCGAAAAAAAAATTGGCGATAGATTTCCCTGCGCGGGATCTCAAAATTTCAGTGAAAATCTTGAAAAACTCTTGATTTTCACTGAAATTTTCAGATCCGGCATGGTTTTTCTGAGCGTGGCGAGTGTAAACCGCAAGCTTCCGCGTAGCGGCACTGTCTTCCGCTTCAGCGGCCACGTGGATTGCCATGTCGTCGAAGCGTGACTGGTATTCCACGTCATAGTAATCCGCGTGGCCGCTACGCGGAAGCTTCCGCTTACACTCGCTACCGCTCGCAAGACTCACATTAATCGAAATATTATGATGTGAATCGAATCCGGCCGCATACAAATAGGCCTTGTTCGAATTTTCACGATCTATCAGAATCCGGCAGGCAAATCGGGATATTGTTGAAGTTCGATCGCCTTTTTCGAGAATTTCGACTTGCGGTCGAGAGGGCATCGCGATGTTGGTGGCTGGAAAAAGTTAGCGTAACTTGCCGCCACGTGGAAGCTTACACTCACCACTTTCCGGTAAAAACATCCAGGTGTCGATGATTGTGAAATCGATTTGCTCGTCTGAAGCTCGACCGATCTGAAAATTCAAAAATTCAAATTTCCCGCCTAATTTTCCAGGGCGCAAAATTCAAAAATTCAAATTTCCCGCTTAATTTTTCAAGGTGCGAAATTCGAAAATTCAAATTCCCGCTAAATTTTTCAAAAGCGCGAAATTCAAAAATTCAAATTTCCCGCTCAAGTTTTCAAGGTGCGAAATTCAAAAATTTCCTCAAGATTAAGCTGAGTTCCCAATTTCCTAGGCCGAATTTAGGCCTAAAAATTTGGAATTTCAAGACCTTTTTAGACCCTGAAAATCTAGGCCAAATCTAGGCTCCAAAAATCCCGAATTTTCAGGCCTAAAAATCCGGGATTTCGGGCCGAATTTAGGCTTTAAAAATCGCACAAAATAAGGCTGAAAACCCCAAGTTCCTAGGTCGAATTAAGGCTCAAAAAATCCCAAATTTTCAGGCCAAATCTAGGCTGAAAAGTTCCTCAAGATTAAGCTGAAAACCCTAAGTTCCTAGGCCGAATCTAGGCTCAAAAAATCCCGAATTTTCAGGCCTAAAAGCCCAGTTCCCAAGCCCGTCCCCCAAAACCCCCCACCTGAAACATATCCTTCGTCGGATCATTGCCATACTCAATAATCACCGATTTGTGCGTTTCACACTGAAACGCCACCGTATGTCGATCCTTGTCCTTCACCAATTTATGATCACCAGCCGGTCCGTTATAATTGTGTACCGTGCATTTTTTGATGCCATTCGCCAAATCTCTCCGTCTCAACGTCATCTTCGTCAAATACCGCTTCGACGTCGATTTATTCTCGGTCTGACCATTGAAACCCAAAACAATCAGCTCACCATAAACATCGTCGTCCATCAGAATATCGTTGGAATAGGCGGGTGGACTGGCATTGTTACATGTTGCTCCGATACAATCTTCATCCAACATTTCACCTTCGCCCATTTTTTGAGCCGAGCTGAAGTTATGATAAATAGGAATGAAAATAAATAAGAAAGCCTAGAAGATAGAGATAAGATTCCATGGTAACAATGACGTATTTTTGAAAAAGAGAGAAAGAGGAGCAACAAAATAAGATAGAGATTTTTTTGAGGGGATTCTTTTGGTTTGTTGGTTGGGGAAGGATTTTTTGGCTGAAAATCTGAAATTTTTTGGATAAAATTAGGCTTGAAGGTTTTGGAAACCCGGGCTTGAAGCCCTAGAGATTCTGGGCTCAGAAGGTCTGGAATCCCAGGCTGGAAATCTAGGGGTTTTAGCCTTAAAAAGTCCAGAATTCTAGGATTTGAAATCTAGAGATCCTGGGCCGAATTTGGGCTTAAAAAGCCCGGAATGCTAAGCTTGAAAATCTAAAGATTCTGGGCTAAATGTGGGCTCAAAAAGTCCGGATTTCCAGAATTTAAAACCTAGAGATCCTGGGCTGAATTTGGCCTTAAAAAGTCCGAATTTCTAGGCTTGAAATCTAGGGGTTTCTGGGCTTGAAAAGTCCGGAATTCCAGGCTGAAAATTGGCTGGAAATCTAGGATTTCTGGGCTAAATGTGAGCTCAAATGATACAGAATTTTCAGACCAAGTTTTGCTCCAAAAATCTGTATTTTTCGGACCAAAATTAGGCCCAAAATCAGATTTTTGCAAGCTAAGCTAAAATCAGGAATTCTGAATTTTCAGGCTTAAATTCAGGCTGAAAAATTCAACGTTTCAGAGCAAACTTCAGGCCGAAATAAGGCTTAAATTTAAATTCTTGAAATCTGAACATTCCGGGCTCATTTTAGGCTCAAAACACCCAGATTTTCAGGCTCAAAAGTAGGCCAAGCTTAAGCCCAGACTAGAACAACTAATAAATTTTTAAAAGCCTAGTTTGGAGTAGAACAAAACCCAGAATTTTCAGGCTCACCTGAATTCAGGCTCGTCCAAATTCCAGGCTTTCAGAAGCCTAAAGCCCCTTGAATCTCAAAGCCCTTTGAAGCCTAGCAAAAAAAAAATCAATAAACACAGTGTGCGAACACATCTCCCCGGCCAGCCAGCCAAAAAAAAAAAATAGATACATAATTGTAACCACTCTACTTACACACCGTGTAGATACTTTCTACTATGTAGTAAATAGCCAACAAGTTTATATGAGACACAAAAAAGTGAAATATCTAGAATACTGTGTGAGTGAGATAAATCGTTCTGTTATTCTAATTCTGAAAGCAAACGAGTTTTTTCAGCCGAAAAGGAAATTGATCAAATTTCCGGGGAGCGACAAGAAAAAGTGCAAGATGAGCTAACTACTTTGCTCAAAAAAAATCACACATAATTTATTGTGTAAAACGTACGAAAGGTGTGAATACGAAAGGGCGACGAAGGAACGAAAAAAAATGGAAGAAGAAGAAGAAGAAGGACACAAAACAAAACAAAACAAGGCGGTGAGAGAGTGTGCGGAGAGGAGAGAGTGGGCGAGAGAAGGAGAGCGAAGAGAACGCATTGGTTGGTGGTACTACTTAACAACAATATTAGTGAGAATAATAATAATAATAATAATAATGTGAGTGGCGGACCCTTTTTTGAAGAAGAGGGGGATTCGGAGGCTTGAGAAGGCTTGAAGAATCCGGAAATTAAATTCAGTATTGGGAAAACTATAGACGAATAGGCTGTTGGGTCGAAACTTAGCCTAACAAAGCTAAAATTAAGGCTAACAGACGAAATTCGGGTTTAAGGCTGAATTTAGGCTAACAAAAACAAAACTTAAGCTAACAGACGAAATTCGGACGAAAAAAGGACGAAATTTAGGCTTAGGCTAAAGAACGAAATTCAGGCTTCAGGCTAACAGACGAAATTCGGGCTTCAGGCTTAGGGACGAAATTCGAGCTACAAGCCGACTTTAGGCTAACAAAGACAAAATTAGGACTAACGGACGAAACTAGGGCTTTAGGCTGAAGGACGAAATAAAAGCTTTAGGGTTAGGATCGAAATAAAGGCTATAGGCTACAGGAAGAAATTCGGGCTTTAGACTTATGGACGAAATAAAGGCTTTAGGGTAGAGGACGAAATTTAGGCTTAAGGACATAAAGGCTTTAAGCTTATGGACGAAATTTGGGCTTCAGACTGTGGGAGGAAATTCAGGCTTTAGGATACTGGACGAAATAAAGGCTTCACAATCAGGCTAGAGGACGAAACATAGGGTTTAGGCTAAAGGACAAAATATAGGCTTTAGGCTAAAGGACGAGCCTTAGGCTTTAGGTTTCCAAGGACGAAATCTATATTTTTGTTTATAGTTTGATCGTTCCACTACAAAATTTGGGACGAAATTAGGCGGTAGATCAAACAAAACTCGGATTTAACCATAAAGGTTGTGGATTCAAAAGACAATATACGAACATTTCCAGTCAAAAACAAAAACACGTCCTAAGACTAATGAAGGAAGGGGAAATACTACTACTGAAATTGGATATCCTATTTTTGTTTTGGCTCGGCGAGCAGAAGCAAGAAAAACAAAGTGCAAAAATAGAGCGGAAATTAACTAGTATGAATATTATTATTATGTGTATAGCTATGGGGTATGACTACTTAGGGGAACTTTAATATAATTGAAAAAGGGCTCAAATCTTGTCCGAGAGAACTACACGAGCCCCGTTAGAAGCTTGCGGCTTGGAGCACAAAATGGAGCATCTCAAAAACAAGAAGTGCACAAAAAATTATTTCTAAAAATGTGCATAAAAACATCATGAGATAAGAAGACGAAATGTGTTTTTTTTTTATTTTTGCTGTTTAGTGGTCACGTTTTTTTGCTGATTTATGATTTTTTAAACAGAAAATCTTCTAGAAGCTACAGAAAATGCGTCAGTGAATCTGGAAGCTAGAAATAGTGATTTTTCTTGCTGAAAATTATGCGATTGCTCATATTAAGCGATATTTCGATGTACAAAAGAGCTCCACAGACACTAGATATTCAAATGTCGTCAAAACCAGGCAAAAAAGGACACCGAGATGAAAAAAGAGTGCAAAATTAGGTCACAACTCGAGGTGCAAACAATTGACTATGTATACATAGGCTAAAATGAATGGGAACAGCGGAAAAAAAGTGCAAATGACTCAATGCATTTTTCGTTGAATCGCTAAGGATTTTTGGGGATTTTCCCGATTTTCCCACGCACACATCATCTTTGAAGTACACTTTCTCACATTTTGAATCAAAATATCGTGACGAAGTCGAAAATATGGGTTAACATGAGCAATCTCATTATTTTCAGGGTGAAAAACAGGTTAGGAGGTATGGGGGATCGATCCAGGACCTTTAGACTCGAAATTTTACGTTGAAAACGGGGAGAACGCTTAAAATGAGCAATCTCATCATTTTCAGCTAGAAACTCTAGCAGTCTAGACAGATAATTACATAGTATCAAGAGCAAAATTATAGAGATTGTAATTTCAGAATTATAGGCTACCAGAAATGCGTCAGCAAATCTAGAAGCTACCAGAAATGCGTCAGACCTCCCATACAAGTATTTAGGCTCAAAAAAAGCGCAGAAAAATTCGGAATTTCGAAAATAACACCGCGCGCTGCCGCGCGGCATCAACAAAACCAAACAAGGAGACAAAGAGCTGGCGGAACACGGAAAAAACGCGCTCAGCGCGTTTTTTCCCCATATATACATGTATATACATTGACTTTTCCCTTTTTCGTCTTCAACACAACACACTTTTTCTTCTTTGTGTCAGCCAGCCCAGCTGGCTAACCAAAAAAAAAAACTATGTGAATGTGGGAGGAGGAGAGAGGAAAAATCGAGATTTTTTGGCATGCGCAAGCCATTTTTCAAGGTTCATGGGGCATTTTTTAGGCTTTCTAGACCATTTTTAGGCTTTCTGGGCCATTTTTGAGCCCCTCAGCTTAAAAATGTGGCTTCTAGGCCACTTTAAGGCTTTCTAGAGCAGTTTCAGGCTTTCTGGGCCATTTTTCAGCCCCAAAGCTTAAAAATTCGGTTTCTAAGCCATTTCCTAGGTTTCTAGGCCATTTTCAGGCGTTCTAGGCCATTTTCAGGCTTTCTGGGCCATTTTGCAGCCCCTAAGCCTAGAAAATTCGGTTTCTGGACAATTTTCAGCTCCTAAGCTTGAAATTTCGGTTTCTAGGCCATTTTCAGTCTTTCTAGGCTAAAAATGATCCAAATTTGAAAAAAATTCTGGAATTTTGGCTTTTAAAAAATGAAAAAGAAAAATTTTCGAATAAAACATTTGAAGAAAAATCAGATTTCATTGTTCACTTTTCTCCTTTAAACAGGAAAATTGAATCTATCCAAAGAAAAAAGTGAAAAAAACGACCTTTCTCAAACATCTGTCAGTTGTTTAGGCGGGAAATTTGAATTTTTGAATTTCGCGCCTCGGAAAATTAAGCGGGAAATTTGAATTTTTGAATTTCGCGCCTTTGAAAAATTGAGCGGGAAATTTGAATTTTTCCCCAGCTTTTAAACAGGAACACTGTCTATACAAATGAAAAATGCAGAAAAAAAACACTAAAAATGTTTGTTTGATAAATATTTGTATGTGTGTCATGTCACTTTTTGTTTATTTGTTTATTTACGATTTTTTCGGCTGTATCAAAAAAAAGTTTGAGAAAAAACACCAGTTTTCATGATATTTTTGAAGCGAAATTCGAATTTTCGAGTTTCCCGCTCATTTTTCAAGGCGCAAAATTCGAAAATTCAAATTTCCCACCTAATTTTTCAAGGCGAGAAATACAAAAATTCAAATTTCCCTCTTAATTTTCCAAAGCTCGAAATTCAAAAATTCAAATTTCCCGCTCATTTTTTGGACCCGCGAAATTCAAAAATTCAAATTTCCCGCTCAATTTTCCAAGGCGCGAAATTCAAAAATTCAAATTTCCCGCTCAATTTTCCAAGGCGCGAAATTCAAAAATTCAAATTTCCCGCTGAATTTTCAGAGGCGCGAAATTCAAAAATTTAAATTTCCCGCTCAATTTTCCAAGGCGCAAAATTCAAAAATTCAAAAAAAATTTCAAATTCAAATTTTCCAAAAAAATTGTTTCAAGGGAATTCAACCCTTTGAGAACAAAAAATGAAAATTTTCAAAAAATTTCAAAAAAAAATTTATTTCACGAAAAAAATATACAAAATTGATTAAAGCCTATAAAAATTTGAAATTCCCGCTCGAATTTTTCGAAGGCGCGAAATTCAAAAATTCAAATTTCCCGCCTAATTTTCAGATTTTCGATCCTGTTCCGCCAGGAACTTTGTCAATTTCGTTCGATTTTCCTCGGCCATTTCCACATTTTCAAATCTCGCCTCTTCTGGAACACTGTCTTTCAGCATTGGTGAAGTTCGTGGTGCAATGAATTGTGAATTTATCATCGCATAGGCAATTCCACAATTTATACCATCTACAGCTCCTTGGAACCTTTTCCAGTACCAACCAATGAAGCCGCACACAAGAACTGCTCGATCCTGAAAAAATTTTGAGATTATCAGATTCAGCTGGGAATTTGGAGCATTTTAATAGGTCATACTTAGTCTTAGGCCTTTTTTGGGCTTTCTAGGCTTATTGGGCCCGAATTTCAAGCTAAATTCGAAAACTCATGAATTTTCAGATTCAGCTCGGAATTTGGAGCATTTTGATAGGTTATAAGCCTATATTTAGGCTTAGGCCTCTTTCAGGCTCTCTAGGCTTGTTGGACCTCATTTTGGCCCAAATTTCAAGCTGAATCCGAAAATTCCCGATTTTTGCAGTGAAATCACTTAGGTGTTGATTTTTGGCGTCAAAATTTTAAAATTTTGAAATTTTCAGATTTTTTTAATCTAAAAAAATCTGAAACTTCGTTTTAAGCTGAAATTTCGCGCCGAGCCTCATGGAAACACTGAAATTCGCTGAAAATCATGAATTTCAGCATTTTTAGCACAAAATTTCAGCCTAGAGAAGCTTCTGAAACGAAAATTTGAAAAGTTCTGGGTGGGGGTCGAACCTGGGTATCTCGAGTGGTATTTGGAATAGTTAACCACTTCTAGATCGAAATTTTGCGCTGAAACCGCTGAAATTATTTATTCTCAGCGAATTTCAGTATTTCCAGCGTTTTCAGCACAAAATTTCAGTCTAGAAGTGATTTTTGGCCCAATAAGCCTAGAAAAGCCTGAAAAAAGGCCCAAGCCTAAACCCAGGCTTATGACCTATCAAAATGCTCCAAATTTCAAGCTGAATACAAAAATTCATGAATTTTCAGTTCAGGCCTGGGATTTGGGCCAAAAAAAGCCCAGTAAGCCTGAAAAAAGGCCGAAGCCTAAACCCAGGCTTATGACCTATCAAAATGCTCCAAATTTCGTGCTGAATTCACAAATCCCAAAATTTCTGCCAAAAAATCACTTACCAAGCTCAAAGTCTCCTTATTACACCTAATAGCATAGCATTTATTCTTCAATTCCATCTCACTTCTTCCACTAAAATGGGTCTCGACACGACTGATTAAAGGCGCAGCGCAAAGTCCAAAAATCAACATTCTTCCTTGCAATTTTCGACACGCATTTCGAATAACTTTGTCCGAATTTGGAGTTGTGGTTTCGGGTGTTAGTTTTCGGGATAAATACCAGCGATAAATTGGATGAGCTATTAGACCTCCTGGAAATTGAAATTTGGCTGAAAATCTTGATTTTCAGCGTTTTCAGCGCAAAATTTGAGCCTATAAACTCTAATGTAGAAAATTGTGCCAAAAAATCACTTCAAGGCTGAAATTTTGTGCTGAAAAGGCTGAAATTGATGATGTTCAGCGAATTTCAGTGATTTCAGCGTTTTCAGCGCAAAATTTGAAGCTAGAAGAAGATTTGTTAGGTTTCTGAGGCTTTCTGGACAAAATTTTGAAAAAAATCTACTCCAGGCTGAAATTTTGAGCTAAAAACACTGGAAATCCTGAAATTCGCTGAAAATCAATAATTTCAGCGTTTTCAGCGCAAAATTTGGAGCTAGAAGAAGGTTTTTAGGCTTCTGAGGCTTTCTGGACAAAATTTCAAGAAAAATTCAGAAGCAATCATTTCCAGGCTGAAATTTTGTGCTGAAAACGCTGAAATTAACGATTTTCAGCAAATTTCAGGATTTTGTGCTGAAAACGCTGAAATTCTTGATTTTCAGCAAATTTTGATAATTTCAGCGTTTTCAGCACAAAATTTGGGCTAAAACAAGATTTTTAGGCTTCTAGGGCTTTCTAGACGAAATTTCAGAATTTTGAATGAAAAATCCAGAATCAATCACTTCTAGGCTGAAATTTTGTGCTGAAAATGCTGAAATTATTGATTTTCAGCGAATTTCAATACTTTCAGCGTTTTCAGCGAAAAATTTGAGTCCAGAAAGACTTCTGAGAAAAATTTGAAAAGTTCCGGATGGGGGTCGAACCCGGGTGTCTTGAACGGTATTTGGAATAGTTAGCCACTTCTAGACCCAAATTTTGCGCTGAAAATGCTGAAATTCATGATTTCCACCCAAAAATCACCCACCTAGAACACTCATAAGCTCGGCCCCTTTCAACGTGGCAAAAATGGCATATTCCAAATGTGGTCGCGGAATATCGGCTAAACTTTCCGGTGAATTCCAGCGCCGCGAGATTTGTGTGAAATTCGCAAACCATCCTTCAAGTCCGATCATTTCTGCTAGAAAATTCCTAAAAATTTCAAAAAATTTCCTTAAAAATATATAATTTGGTCAGAAAAAACCAGATTTTCACCAAAAAAACCCGGAATTTAGGCTAACTTTATGTAAAAAATTCAAAAAAATAACAAAAAACTTAACAAAAACAACAAAAAACCAATAATTTTTAGGAAGAAGTTGAAACTTTTGAGCCTCCGAGTGCTTTTCGAAGTTTTGCCTGTTCCTTTTTGGACAAAGATCGACTGATTTCTTTTTTTCGAGATTTGATATTTTTCTCGCGTTTTTTGTCGAATTCCGCTTGTTCTTCCGCTTTCCGCTTGCGGAATTCATCTTTTTTCTCCGATTTTTTGTTTGACGTCGACTCTGGAAAAATTGGATTTTTTAAAAAGGGGATTCAGTGCAAAATTTGGAGCATTTTGATAGGACATAAGCCTAGGTTTAAGTCTAAGCCTGAAAAAGTAGGCCGAAGCCTGAAGATAGGCTTATGAGCCCTCAAAATGCTCCAAATTTTCAGCTGAATCTGAAATTTTCAGAATTTTCAGCTCACCAAAATTTCTAAATGTATTTTATCTATAGAACTATGGACCGATCAACACTAGAATTTTTGAAAAATATTTCCAATATTTTTGAAACGTGCGGATTTTTTTGGAGCTTCTGCAACTAATTTTAGTTCTGATTTCTGAAATTTTGTGCTGAAAACGCTGGAAATACTGAAATTCGCTGAAAATCATGAATTTCAGTATTTTCAGCACAAAATTTCAGCCTGGAAGTGATTGCTTCTGGATTTTTTGGTCAAAATTTTGGAATTTTGTCTAGAAAGCCCCAGAAGAAAAAACCTTCTTCCAGCTTCAAATTTCGCGCCGAAAACGCTGAAATTATTGATTTTCAGCGAATTTTTCTGAAAAATCCAGAAATTTCCGGATTTTTGGAAAAAATTCTCATTTTTTGTAATTTTTCAGAAGCCTGTAAAGGCGCAAAATTCAAAAATTCAAAAATTTTTTCTAGAATTTCTAGAAGCCCAGAAAAACCTCTAGAATCCAAAAAAAGCCTCAGAAGCCCAAAAAAAGCCTCTAGACGCCTCTAGAAGTCCAGAAAACCCTCTAGAATCCCAAAAAAATCCTCAAAAGCTTCAAAAAAGCCTATAGAAGCCCCTAAAAGCCCAGAAAAGCCTCTAAAAGCCCCTAAAAGCCCAGAAAAGCCTCTAGACACCTCTAGAGCCCAAACAAGCCTCCAGAATCCCAGAAAAGCTTCCAGAATTCCAGAAAAGCCTCTAGAAGCCCAGAAAATCCTCCAGAAGCCTCCAGAATCCCAGAAAAGCCTCCAGAATCCCAAAAAACCTCCAGTATCCCAAAAAATCCTCAGAAGTCCAGAAAAGCCTCTAGAATCCCAGAAAAGCCTCTAGAAGCCCAGAAAAGCCTCTAGAAGCCCAGAAAAGCCTCTAGAAGCCTCTATAGGCCTAAAAAAGCCTCCAGAAGCCCAAAAAAGCCTCTAGAAGCCCCTAAAAGGCCAGAAAAGTCCAGAAAAGCCCCGAAAAGCCCCCCAAAACCCGGCTCACTTATTCAACGTCCTCAACATTTCCATAAATCTCTCCCTCTTCGCCTCTTCCGGCTCCAAAACCACTGCAGTATGCTTGGCAACCAGCGAATCGCTCTCCTTCTCCTCTCTCTCATTATAGACCGGCTTCATTTTGAAGGGCAACGATTTTTGCAATTTCGGTGGAACGTGAAGAGGTGCAGGCTCGAAATCGGGGCGGGAAATCGGTTTATAATCTGAATCCTTCTTCGAAATCACTCCCAGGCCTAATTCATGTCTGATTTTTCCAACAGTTCTCATTCCGATCCAAGGTTCTCCCGAAGGTTGTAAATGATCAGAAATCGGTGTATAAAATCGAGGAATCGCTACAGTAACCCAACTTCGCAAGAATACAATGTCACGCATCAGAATCTTATCCTCAAATGTGGCACGGAATGCGCCGGGCGGTGCCTTGATTGCCTTTTTGATTTGTCCCCGAATTCCGGCCACTGTTCGGATTGTGGCACCTTCGAATTTCGCGACTTCGAGCGGCGAGTTGAACATTCCTTTGATGAAGGCGGTTTTTTTGAAGATTTTTTCGGGAGTTCCGATGAGTTTGAGTTTTTTGACGACTTGCGTGGATTTGTCGAGATCTAGGATTCCGCCGGTTGCGACAATTCGATAGCCGGGCTGAAAAAATCATGATTTTCTTAGAAAATTACTGATCAGAAGGTCAGGGGATCGATCCCCATCCGAGGTGAATTTTTGCTCAGAAAATTTCAATTTTTCACGCTGTAACGCTTGAGATTGCTCATTTTAAGCATTCTCATCATTTTCAGCTCGAAAATTACAGATCACAAGGTCAGGGGATCGATTGCTCATTTTAAGGATTCCCACCATTTTCAGCTCAAAATTTTGATCCAAAAATGTTCAAAAATTACTGATCAAAAGGTCCTGGATCGATCCCCGGTACCTCCTAACCTTTTTTCTCCCTAAAAATATTCTAGATCAATTTTTCACGCTGAACCACGTGGGATTGCTCATTTTAAGCATTCCCACCATTTTCAGCTCAAAAATTACTGATCAGAAGGTCCTGGATCGATCTCTGATACCTCCTAACCTTTTTTTTTCCCTAAAAATGTTCTGATCAATTTTTAGCGCTGAAAATGAAGTGATTGCTCATTTTAAGCATTCCCAACATTTTCAGCTTGAAATTTTGATCAAGACAGCTTCAAAAATTACTGATCGGAAGGTCAGGGGATCGATCCCCATCAGAGGCAACTTTTTTTTTCCATGAAAATAGAGGGATTGCTCATTTTAACTTAAAATTTGTGATTTTCAGGTCAGAATTGACGTTATCAAGAAGAATTTCAGTAAAAATGAGCAATTCCATGATTTTCAGCGTGAAAAATTGACCAGAAAAAAATTTTCTGAAAAAAAAAGTTGCCTCAGTTGGGGTTCGATCCCCCGATCTTCAGATCAATAATGTTTAGCGTTTTCTAGATCAAAATGATCCTTGAAACGCGAATTTTTCGATTTTAAGCCTTACAGTCTTATCCGAAACCGATTGAATAGCCAAAAGTCCAGTGTTCTGCGCACAAATCGGTCCAAAAAACGTGGCATGACAATGCATGTGTTCGGGCGTGTATTTCAGGAATCGTAATCGCATATTGTGATCTTGAATCGAGTAGACCGAGATGGTTTGATATCGACGCCAACCGCATGAAATGATCAGGGGATCACGGGATTTTAGAGTTCGCTCGAACCATCGATGACGTTTGATACGAGCCTGGAAGAAAATTTGAATTTTTTTGAGGATTTTTGGTGGTTCTCAATGGAGCACATTTGCTATTTTTTGTCAAATTTGAACTTTTTGGGCTTCTCAATAGAGCGCACTTGCTATTTTTGGACAAAATTTTGAATTTTTGGTAGGTCACGTGCGTTTTTTTTGCAATTCACCGTGAAATTTTCCAGTCATTTCTCGATTTCACTTTATTTCTAACCAGTTCCGTCAGAAAATGAGCTTGAAAATGGAAAGTGAGTTGAAATACTGTGAAATTTTTCGCATTGGAGCGCACATGAGAAAATTTGAATTTTTTTGAGGATTTCTGAAGATTCTCATTAGAGAGCACTTTCAATTTTTGAGGAAAATTTAAATTTCTGAAGATTTCTGGGGGTTCTCAATAGAGCACATTTGCTATTTTTGAAAAAATTCAATTTTTGAAAATTTCTGGGGGTTCTCAATGGAGCGCATTTGCAATTTCTCAAATTTTTGAAGATTTCTGGGGGGTTCTCAATAGAGCACATTTGCAATTTTTTTGATTTTCAAGGATTTCTGAAGGTTCTCAATGGAGGGAAAGTGCAATTTCTCAAATTTTTGAGAATTTTTGGGTTCTCATTAGAGCGCATTTTCATTTTCTGAGAAAATTTGAACAAAAAACCACCAACCTGAACAATTCCCATATTCTGCTCTCCAGGCAAAAGTCCTCCAACAATATACGGTGCACTAGCATCAAAATTCTGCACAAATTCACAGGGAACCCCCTCAATCTCAATTCGAACATATCTTCCGGCTCGAAATCCCTCAATCTTCTCCCGTTCTTCTTCATCCATTCCCTCGAAAACCTGTCGATTGAGTTCGGCTTGTTCATTCATCTCATTTTTGGCTTTGTTGTAGAATTTGCACGTTTCGTCATAATCATCATTGAATTGTTGCTTTAATTTGATCTTTTCCTCTTTTCTCTTCTCTTTTTTGCTTTTTTCAGCTTCTGATTCTTCAGTTTCTTCATCTGAATCTTCGGATTCTCCTTCGTCTTCCAGATCTTCATCATCTTCATCTTCAGATCCGAGTTCTTCTAGAAAAATCTGGGTTTTAGATGAGTTTCTGGTTTTCTAGGGTATTTCAAGGGGTTTCTAGAGCATTTTCATAGTTTTTGGGTAATTTTTCGGGTTTCTGGGCCATTTTCAAGGGTTCTATAGGATTTTCAGGGTTTCTGGAGAATTTTCAAGGTTTCTAGAGCATTTCTTGGGTTTCTGGAGCATTTTTCAGAGTTTCTGGAGCATTTTCAAGGTTTTTAGGCCATTTATGGGCTTCTTGAGCATTTTTCAGGCTTCTGAGCTATTTTTCCAGGATTTTATGATATTTTTAAGGTCTCTAGGCTATTTCCTAGATTTCTAAAGCATTTTTCCGGGTTTCTGGGCCATTTTTAAGGTTTCTGGAGCATTTTAGAGTATTTTCAAGATTTTCAGAGCATTTCTTGGGTTTCTAGAGCATTTTCAAGATTTCTGGGCTATTTTTCCAGGATTTTATGGTATTTTCTAGGTTTCTAAGCCATTTTCAAGGTTTCTACAGCATTTTTAAGGTTTCTGGGCCATTTTCGAGTCAGAAAACAGGAAAATATGAGTTTTTTTTTTGAGATAATTTTGAAGTTAGGTTAATTTTAAGAATATTTTCAAGAAGCCTAAATTTCAAGGTTCATGAAAATTCCTTAAATTCAGCAAAACCCTAATTTAAGGTCCTTAAAATTAGGGTAATGAAGTTAAAGCCTTAAATTTAAAGCCCTTTATTTTTACGTTTAAATAATTAAGGCTTTGATTTTAAGTTCCCTAATTTTCACCTAAACAATTTAAAGTCCTAATTTCAAGATCTCCAATTTCAGCTTGAAAATTAGGGTTTTTTTTTAAATTAGGGTTTTAATTTCAAGACTTTAAATTTTCCCCTTCCAAGTTTTGGGCTAAACAAATTAGAGCTTTAAGGACTCTAATTTCAAGATCTCCAATTTCAGTTTGAAAATTAGGGCTCTTTTTTGAATTAGGGCTTTAATTTTAAATTCCCTAATTTTGACCTAAGCAATTCGAACACTTAATTCTAAGGTATCCATTTTCAGCTCGAGAATTAGGGCTCTAAAAATCAATAAAAATAATTTTACGGTCTCCAATTTTCCCTCTAAAAATTTGTAGAGCTATAATTTCCACCCCCCTAAAAACACCCACGCTTCAATTTCTCCTCCTCCGCATCATCCTCCGTCCAATTTCCCGTCACAAAACAATCCGCAATCCCGTTTCTCGTCTCAACATCTTCCCAATTCAACAAAGAAGTCGATGGCAAATCAAATTTCAAATAAGCTCCAAAACCATCTTCCTGATCAATAATATTCTTCTTCTTCTCTTTTCTCACCGTAAAAAGTCCATCAATACTCTCATCTTCTTCAATAGATTTCCCGTCATTTTCACCGTAAACAACTCTCATCCAACTGAGCTTCACGTTTTTTGAGCCAGTGTATTGCGAGAGAGCTTTGCTCGCCAGATTTGACCATTCATTTTCCTCCTCCTCTTCTTCCTCTTCATCTTCAAAATCCTCCTCTTCATCTTCAAAATTCTCCTCCTCTTCATCTTCTTCTTCATCATCCTCAAAACTCTCCAGAGCCACAGAATCGCCAAGAAGTTGAACTTTGGATTTTTTCAATTTGTCATCAATTCCAGCTTTCACACCTTCGAGCGCTTCCACAAGATGATCACGTTTACGCTGAAAAAAATTAGAATTTTCTCACGGGAGGATTTTTTCATGAAATTCTGATAGCACAGCCTTCTTCAGAAGGTTCGATTACATAAGTTCACCTAACTTCAATCAATAATTTTTCGCCCAGATTTTTGAATTTTTAAATTCTCCCGGACTTCTAGGAAAACGCTAAGAAGTCCGGGAGAATTTCAAAATTCAAAAATCTGGGCGAAAAATTATTAATTGAAGTTAGGCGAACTTATGTAATCGAATCTCCCGAAGAAGACTGTGCTATCAGAATTTCATGAAATCCATTTTTGAAGCCTGTTTCTGGAGATTTTCAATGAGACATCTACCATTTTGTACAGTTTTTCACGCTGTTAAAGATCCCGTATTCAGTTTTTGCTAAGAAACTTTCGGAAGCTCTGGAAAATGAGGGTTTTGCAAGCTACTATAGTTTACCATAAAAAAGCTTGCAAAAACCTTATTTTCCAGAGCTTCCGAGTTTTATAGCAAAAACTGAATACAGGATCTTTAACAGCGTGAAAAACTGTACAAAATGGTAGATGTCTCATTGAAAATCTCCAGAAACTCATAAAAAAATAGCTTCAAAGATAGATTTTATGAAATTCTGATAGCACAGGCTTCTTCATAAGATTTGATTACATAAGTATAGAAATTCATACTATATTTGGACTTGTGCCAAATCGAAGTTAGCTGAAATCCCACGATCTTTTTGTATTCATAAGAATTTTTGATAGACTTACACTAAATCACCTAAGGTTAAGGTAAATTTATCAAAAATTCTTATGAATACAAAAATAGCGTGGGATTTGAGCTAACTTCGGTTTGGCACAAGTCCAAATATAGTATGAATTTCTATACTTATGTAATCGAATCTTCAGAAGAAGACCGTGCTATTTCATGAAAACCATCTTTGAACCTGGTTGAAAGCTTGTGACGTCATAGGTCTTAAAAATCTGATAACACGGCCTTCTTCAGGAGGTTCGATTACATAAGTTCAGCTAACTTCAATAAATTTTGAATTTTGAAATTCTCCCGTTCTCTGAGAACTTCTAGAAAAACGCTAGAAGAGAGCGGGAGAATTTAAAAATTCAAAATTTATTGAAGTTAGGTGAACTTATGTAATCGAACCTCCCGAAGAAGGCTGTGCTATCAGAATCTCACGAAAATCCCATTTTCCAACAAAAAATACCAACATTAAAATTATGCGCATTCTTCGATTCCACATAAATCGCATCCTTATCATAAATCACACCACCCAACCCCGAAAACGGCGCATAAACTTTCTTCTCCTTCTCATTCAACGCTCTCCGCTTAATCTCTTCCGGAAGCGGACAAGGATCCGCAAGCGAAGTGACGTCACTAATCCGCATGTCACCCACTCCAGGCACATGAATTGAAGAGTGATTTTTCAAATGTGCACCATGCACCCAACCATACATCGCAATTTGTCGATCTGCTAACGGATCTAGACGTAGGGTTTCTGAATTTGTAACATCTTCAAAACGATCACAAAGAAGATAGGGATGGGCATCTTTCCAAACCATTGGTCTAAACTTCATCACACTTATGAAACGCGTTAAATTATGAATCTCATTATATTTATATTGCCCATGAACCATGCCAGTCATATAAAATAACTTGGCACCTTGATAAAGTTCAGTCCAAAATCGATGTTTGAGAATTTTCTTGGTTTTATTGACCCGCGAAATTCCATCAAGAAGATCTAGATGATTCAAAATACCCATAATCCTTGGCATTCCATGAACTTGGCAGATGTTGAGAAACTCGAAAGTCTCCATTTCAAAACCGTATGAAGCGTCGACCATTAGCAGGACTAAATCGGCAACTTTTGCGATATCTATCATATGATTGATGTCATTTTTAACCTCGATGAATTGAACACGTCGTTTTTTGCCTGTGACAATTGTGACCGGACCATTGATCTCGCCAAAACCATCACGAAGATAGTATTTGACCAGACCGCGGAGCAGTGTGGTTTTTCCGACTTTTGAGGGGCCCACAATTGCGACAATGATTGGGGGAGCTTCGATGGGTTTGCGATCCATCATGAGAACATGTTTCTTCTTCTCATTTAAATCCGCAGCTCGTCGAATGGCTTTTCCGGCGGCGATTGCGGAATGAAAGGTGAACGCTTTCACATTATTCCCCTTCTTCGTTTTATCATTCTGCTCCTTCTTTTTGGCTTTTCCTCCGGATTTGTGCACATTGTGCGCTTTGTTCTTCTGACCCTCGAATGGAGCCGCCGGTGGTGGCATCTGAAAATTCTCCTATTTTCAAACGAAACTTGGGAATACAACAAGTTCCTGATTGTAAATTGATGTTAAATCTATGCCAGCCTATTCCTTTAGTTTTCAAAACCACCAAAAAACCCTAAAACCCCCAAGAAACCTATAAAAACTCGCGAAAAACCCCGAAAAAAACAAAAATAAAAAATGAAGTCCATCGGGTGCCATAGCGCACAAGACTGACGCGTAAAATGTAGCGACGGGGGAAAATGCGTCAACCATCATATGACGCTGTTTTTGTCATTTCTTGTTTTTTTCGCGTGTTTTTTTCGAAAATCGATTTTTGCTGAAAAAGTGGATTTCAGAGGGTTTTTTGTGGTGAATTTAAACATTTCATCACAGAAAACATTTTTGCACCAAATTCTTTTGAAAAAAAAAATTCTTGAATTTCGCAATATTTCGAAAAATATCGATTTTTTCCAGCAGAAATGATGCACAGAAGAGGATTCAATGCGGGACGAGTTGATGCCAAACAAACCTCCCGAAATCGTAATCGTTTTCAAAGACTTGACCCCGATATTGCCGGAAGATATGAAGATCTAGACGATGATGTTTCAGTGCCGGCCAGATCTGTTCAAAGTCGTCTCCAGCGACCCGGAACAGCTGGCGCTTCCAGCAGTCAACCAACTCGAAATCCATTCGATAAACGTGTCGCCAACACCGGTGTCAAGAACGCCGAACTCGTTTATAAGGTGCGAATTCCGGGCGGCGCCAAAAAATTCGATGCCACCTGGATTGTCAAGCAACTCAATCAGAAGATCGAGCATTTCAAGGCGTGGCTCTTTAAGGAAAATGCGAGAGGGGATTGGGAGTTTTTTGTGCGCGATGAGGATACGTCACAAGCGATTCGCGCAAATTCCAGAAGAATTTATCATCGGGAAACGTCGAGCAAAGTGGAATTTCAAATTACGCGAGTTCCCGCGCCATGGATGCAAATGAAAAGACAGGATATTGAAATTGTTCAGGTCTGGAAATTGCTGAAAATCAAGAAGCTTCCGCGCAGCGGCCACGTGGATTAATATGATATGGGAAACGTCATAGTAATCCGCGTGGCCGCTGCGCGGAAGCTTGCGGTCTACACAGGATAACCGGAGGCTTCCGCGCAGCGGCCACGTGGATTAATATGATATGGTAAACGTCATAGTAATCCGCGTGGCCGCTGCGCGGAAGCTTGCGGTCTACACAGGATAACCGCAAGCTTCCGCGCAGCGGTCACGTGGATTACTATGATATGGGAAACGTCATAGTAGTCCGCGTGGCCGCTGCGCGGAAGCTTGCGGTCTACACTCGCTCCGCTCGAAAGTTAGAGTAACCGCAAGCTTCCGCGTAGCGGCCACGTGGATTAATATGATATGGTAAACGTCATAGTAATCCGCGTGGCCGCTGCGCGGAAGCTTGCGGTCTACACTCGCTCCGCTCGAAGAATAGGGTTTTTCAAGTAAACCGCAAGCTTCCGCGTAGCGGCCACGTGGATTAATATGATATGGGAAACGTCATAGTAATCCGCGTGGCCGCTGCGCGGAAGCTTCCGGTCTACACTCGCTCCGCTCGAAAGTGAGGGTATAAATTTCAGAAGATATATGTATATGTGGCCGAACTATTCCTGTGGCCGAGAAATGTCGGGAATTCGGCCAACGCAACAAACTCGCTCTAATGTTGCGAAAATTATCGCGTTGGCCGAATTCCCGACATTTGTCGGCCACCGGAATAGTTCGGCCACATATATTTCCTAAAAAATTTATGTTCAACTTCTATTTTTGTAATAAATTTTTTTGAAAAAAATCATTTTTTGTCACATTTTATTACAAAATATATCCTGAGCCCCTGAAAATCCCATAAAATTTTTTTTTGCAGAAAGTTGTTGATTCGCGATACAACGCAGAAAGTCGAATGTTGGATCTGTCGGATTTCGGAAATGACAAAGAGTTCACCAGCCGCGATATGCTCATGACACTCACCAAATCCAATGTTATGATTGTGGTTTTGGACAGAATCGATGAACGATATGGAAATATTACTGCTCTCAGTTTGGCGGTGAGTTTTTGGGATCTGGGAGCTGAAAATCTGAAATTTTCAGCTAATATTGACCCAGGGACCTGGGAATTTGAAATTTTCAGCTAATTTTGACCCTGGTACCTGGAAATCTGCAATTTTCAGCTAATTTTGACCCTGGGACCTGAAAATCTGAAAATTCCAGCAAATTTCGACCCAGGAACCTAGAAATTTGAATTTTTCGACCCAGGAACCTAAAAATCTGAAATTTTCAGCAAATTTTGATCCTGGGATCTTGAAATTTGAATTTTTCGACCCAGGGACCTGGAAATCTGAAATTTTCAGATAATTTTGACCCAGGGATCTTGAAATCTCTAATTTTCAGCCAAGAGATCTGAAAATCTGAAATTTTCAGCTAATTTTGACCCTGGGACCTGGAAATCTAAAATTTTCAGCCAATTTTGACCCAGAAACCTGGATATCTGGAATTTTCACCCAATTTTAACCCTTGGACCTAGAAATCTAAAATTTTTAGCTAATTTTGGCTCTGGGACCTGGAAATTTAAAATTTTCACCCAAAAATCTGAAATTTTCAGCTAATTTTGACCCAGGTACCTGGAAATCTGAATTTTTCAGCCAAGGGACCTAGAAATCTCTAATTTTCAGCCAATTTTGACCCTGGGACCTAGAAATTTGAATTTTTCGACCCAGGGACCTAGAAATCTGAATTTTTCAGCCAAGGGATCTGAAAATCTGAAATTTTCAACAAATTTTCACCCTGGGACTTAGAAATCTGAATTTTTCAGCTAATTTTAACCCAGGAATCTTAAAATCTGAATTTTTGACCCTAGGACTTGGAAATCTGAAATTTTCACCCAATTTTAACCCAGGGACCTAGAAATCTAGATTTTTCAGCAAATTTTGACCCAGGGACCTAGAAATCTGGATTTTTCAGCCAATTTTGACCCGGGGATTTTGAAATTTGAATTTTTCGACCCTGGGATCTTGAAAATCTAAATTTTCAGCCAAGGGATCGGAAAATCTGAATTTTTCGACTTTGGGACCTAGAAATCTGAAATTTTCAGCTAATTTTGACTCGGGGACCCAGAAATCTGAAATTTTTAGCCAAGAGATCTGAAAATCTCAAATTTTTTCCAGAACAATCGCCTTCATCATTTGGATTATGTGTCAGCTTTGGTCACCGTTGCAAAATTCGTAAAAGTTCTCGAAATGAGTCATAATATGGTAAGAAATGTTGCGGAACTAGAGGTCACAGGTTCGATTCCTGCTGCCTGCGAGGATTTTTGAAAAAAAATCCGCGCAGCGAGCCGGAATCGAACCCGTGACCTTTTGACTAGAAACATAGGCTGATTTTTACATCATTTTGATCAGCTCCGCGTGCTCTACTAGACTATAGTTATCACCTGAAATTATTTCCAGGTCCAATCAACAGAGGAGCTCAAATTGCTCGCCGGTCTCCCTGTCGAGAATTTCTACTTCGAAGGAAATCCGGTAATTGAAGTATTGTCAAGCGCGTCTGCATATCTCAGGTCTTTTTTCTTGTCTTTTTTTTCTTTTTTATTCAGATTTTTCCCACGAACACGGCATTTTACTAACCCTTTTCTCATTTGATTCAACGATTTTAGCATGGTACAAGACGTCTTTCCCAAGTGCTCAGTTTTGGTAGGTCAAATGGAGATTTTTTTTTCAAAAATATCGATTTTTTAGGATGGAACTCCTGTAACGCCACGTGTTGTTGGACCAACGTCAAGCGAGGATATTGCACCGTATAGGGTAATTTTAGTGTGTTTCGATTCAGAATTGAATTTTACACATTCTCCAGAATTTTCAGCCCTCAAAACCAATTTTAAGCACGATTTTTTGGGGCTCAAAAAGCTCCTGAAGAGGGCATTTTTGAGCCCAAGAAAATCGTGCTTAAAATGGGTTTTGAGGGCTGAAAATTCTGGAGAATGTGTAAAATTTAATTCTGAATCGAAATAGGACACCCTCCCTTTCAAAATTTTTTTTTTTTTTGAATAAAGATTCGATTCAGAATCAAATTTTACACATTCTCCCGAATTTTCAGCCCTCAAAACCCATTTTAAGCACGATTTTTTGGGGCTCAAAAAGGTCCTGATGAGATAATTTTTGAGCCCCAGAAAATCGTGCTTAAAATGGGTTTTGAGGGCTGAAAATTTTGGAGAATGTATAAAATTTGATTCTGAATTGAAGTAGCACACCCTCCCTTTCAAAATTTTTTTTTGAATAAAGATTCGATTCAGAATCAAATTTTACACATTCTTCAGAATTTTCAGCCCTCAAAACCCATTTTAAGCACGATTTTTTGGGGCTCAAAAAGGCCCTAAACAGGTCATTTTTGAGCCCCAGAAAATTGTGCTTAAAATGGGTTTTGAGGGCTGAAAATTTTGGAGAATGTGTAAAATTTGATTCTGAATCGAAATAGCACACCCTCCCTTTCAAAATTTTTTTTTGAATTTCTGAAACTTATCCGAATTCGATTCCAGGCCGGATTCTACTCGAATCAACAAATTCGTGAGCTCGTCGAGCAATTCGTCGTCGCCTTCTATCAAATCTACGATGGTCAAGATGGACAAACTACTCGAAAACAACTCGTCGAAGCGTATGATGAGAATAACTCGAAATTCACGTTGGCCATCACAAATATGAATACGAATGGAGAGAAACAGTATTATCCGGTTAGGTAAGTGAAATTTTTGAAAATTCAAATTTCCCGCCTGTTTTTCCAAGGCGCGAAATTTAAAAATTCAAAAAATCAATTTCTATTCACCATTTATTTCACAAAAAAAATATACAAAAATGCCTATAGAAGTTTGAATTTTCAATTTTCCCGCTGAATTTTTCCAAGGCGCGAATTTTCAAATTTTTCTCGCCTAAAATTTCCAGAATTTTTTTTTTCAAATCTAAATTTTCCGAAAAATATTAAAAAAAAAAAAAGTGGCCTCGCGAGATGTCGGTCGCTGCAAACACACATATAGCCCGACTTTTTTCTTTTTATTTGTGTGTCTTTTGAGCCAAAGGGTTTTCAATTTTCTTTTTGAAAATCTGAAAATCTAAGCTCCGCCCACATATCTGTGCGGTAAAAGATGGGCGGAGCCAAATTGCTCGATTACAATTTTACATTGATTCGGTAGTGAAAAAACCCCTGTGAAAATGCCTATAGAAGTTCATATTTTCAACTTTCCCGCCCAAATTTTTTCGCGGGAAATTTGAAAATTCAATTTTCCGGCATTATTTTTCAAGGCGCGAAATTTGAAAATTCAATTTTCCTGCCTAAAATTTCAAGAATTTTTTGTTTCAAATTTAAATTTTCCGATAAAAATTTTCAATGAAAAAGTTAAAAATGAAACAAATTTATTTCACAAAAAATATACAAAAATGCCTATAGAAATTTGAATTTTCTAATTTCCCGCCTAATTTTTGGAGGCGGGAAATTTGAAAATTCAAAAATCCAAATTTCCCGCCTAATTTTTCAAGCCGCGAAATTTGAAAATTCAAATTTCCCGCCTAATTTTTGGAGGCGGGAAATTTTTAAAATTTGAAAAAAACGTTATTTTGGACAAGTCTAAATCGGGCTATAATTTCAGATTTTTAAATATACCTGAAAATTCAACAGCTCTCAAACATGAGCAACCAGTTTTCAAAGCGCGAAATTCAAAAATTCAAATTTCCCGCCTAATTTTTGGAGGCGGGAAACTCTAAAATTTGAAAATTCAAATTTGCCCCCTAATTTTTGAAGGCGGGAAGTTTGAAAATTCAAAAATTCAAATTTCTAGCTCAATTTATCAAGACGCGAAATTTGAAAATTCAAAAACTCAAATTTCCTGCCTAATTTTTCAAGCCGCGAAATTTGAAAATTCAAATTTCCCGCCTAATTTTTCCAAGGCGGGAAATTTGAAAATTCAAAAATTCAAATTTCCCGCTCACATTTTTTTGCGGGAACCTTGAAAATTCAAATTTCGTTTTCCAGAGAATGCTACGATACCTACATACGTCAATCACACAACATTCTCCAAGAAGAATATTTCGCTCGAAATCGCGCAACTCGAACAGCTCGCGGAGCAATGGATATCGCAGTTTCCCTTTCGAAACTTCCAATCACAAATCATTTGACACAAACTTTCGTCGTCGACGTTTTCCTCGTCTCAAATGAGCTTCTGGGTTTCACAGTTCAAGGATTATTCGAAGACGGCAAATTGGCAAAAGAGGGCGATGTACCGCAACCGAATTTCTTCTCGCGAAGTTTCACAGTTGCGCCAAGAGATGGCGGCAAAGTTGCCGTCATTTCCGATCAACTTTTCATCACTGCCGCATCGACTGAAAGATTGCAAAAGTATCGAGCACTTTTGGATCAGGCGGAAAAGAATGGGGCGGCTCAAGAGATTGTGAATCCGGTTGCGCAGGCGTCGATTGTGAGTTTTTTTTTGGTTTAAAATGAGCAATCTCATCATTTTTGGGGTAAAAAATGAGTTAGGAGGTACTGGGGTTTGATCCAGGACCTTGGGATTCAAAATTTGGCTTAAAATGAGCAATTTTGTGATTTTCAGGCGCAAAATTTTGATTTTTAAGATGTTTTTGAGGTTAGGAGGTATGAGGAATCGATCCACGGCCTTCTGACTCATAAAAATCACGAAAATTCGGCCTAAAATGAGCAATCCCACGATTTTCCTCATTAAAAATTGATCTAGAGCATTTTTTTAGATGAAAAATAGGTTAGGAGGTACTGGGGTTCGATTCAGGACCTTCTGGCTCATAAAATATCACTTTTTCATATTCTACATTGAAAATTAACCTTTAGATTCGCAAAAATTGAAAATTTGGCTTAAAATGAGCAATCCCACGATTTTCTTCTTTAAAAATTGATTTTGAAGATATTTTTGAAATTAGGAGGTATGGGGAATTGATCCAGGACCTTCTGACTCATAAAAATTACGAAAATTAACCTTTAGATTCGAAAAAATTAAAAATTTCAATTAAAATGAGCAATCCCACGATTTTCCGCATTAAAAATTGATTTTTAAGACATTTTTGAGGTTAGGAGGTATGGGGAATTGATCCAGGACCTTTAGATTCGAAATTTGACTTAAAATGAGCAATCTCATCATTTTTAGCTATAAAAATAGGTAAGGAGGTACTGGGGTTCGATCCAGGACCTTCTGACTAATAAAAAATCCATTTTTTCTCATTTTAGATCAAAATTTCATTCTAAAATTCGAAAATTCGCCTAAAATGAGCAATATTGCTCATGTTAACCCCAAAAAATCTCCAATTTTTGCAGGCAATCAATGGATTAGGATTCAGTGGTGAACCGCCGAAAGAAATGAAAGAACAAATGATCACGGCATTCTGTCAATACAGTGGAATGATAATTCCGTGGTCCGAAAAATGTTTGGCCGATTTTGGATGGAATTACGATGTGAGTGGGGAAATTTGGCTTAAAATGAGCAATCTAGTGATTTTTTGCGAAAAAATTGGGTTAGGAGGTACTAGGGATCGATCCAGGACCTTCTGACTCGAAATTTTGGGCTTAAAATGAGCAATCTAGTGAAAAAATAATGTATTCCAGCTTGCCTGTCAAAAATTCCAAGAAATTCGAGCTACAGTACCCGCCGAGGCTTTTGCCCAGTGATTTTTCGTCATTTTTTTTCAAAAATTAATTTTTTCCCCGTTTTTTTCCCATTTTTTTCCCTAATAATCTCTTTTTCCCCCAATTTTCTGTGTTTTTTGGCGGCTGAAAATGTTTCCAGATTTTCTCCTTCAAATTTTTCCCAGCCGAAATTCGCATTTTTCCAGATTTCCATTGAAAATTCCCGAATTTCGATCGAAAAATTGAAAAAATTTCGAAAATTTCGATGAATTCAGACGTTTTCCCAACTTTTTCACGGGATTTTCTGGAATTTTTTGTTTTCCAGCTGAAACCAGAATTTTCCCCGATTCTGGAAGGCGTCTGAAGGATTCTGAACAAAAAAATTCAAAAATTTTAAAATTTTGGTCGATTTTTCGGGGTTTCAAATGGCCGGATTTGCGATTTTTGGGGGAAATTTTCAATTTTTTTTTGAAATTTTAAAATTTATTTAAAAAAAAAAGAAACATTTTCTGCTCCACAACCCGTCTCTCCTCAATTATTTTGCAAAAGTTTACACGTTTTTTTGGTCGTCGTCAGCTTCTTCTTCTTCCGGAATTTTTCACGGCATTTGAACAGTAGACGAACCCCTTGACACCTGAAAATATTATTTTCGATTTTATTCTCGTTTTATTTGTTAGTTTTTTTTGTCAAATATACGTATTTTGATTTAAAAAATGGTTTTTTTCAGGAAAATTTGCAGATTTCCAAAAAAAATAAAAAATTTTCGATAGCCCGATGCGGGGCTCGAACCCGCGACAGCCAGATTAAGAGTCTGGTGCTCTACCGACTGAGCTAACCGGGCGCCCAGATCTCCCAGGGTAAAAGTTGGTGAAAAGAACGCGCCCCGCCCACATTTTTTGCCACGTCATAACTCACCGGCCGTAAATAAAGGGATTGATTACACTGTTCAGCACAACCAGCGAGTTCAGAATATAATTCGAATCCAAATTCACCACATACGAGTCGAAATTGAAGACCATCCACCAGGTTAGTAGGTTATACGGTAGCCACGTCACCACATAGGTTAAGATAAGCAATAGGGTGATTTTGAGGCTGCGCACTTTGGCGCGACGGAATTTTTCCTGGCCGCGAATTGGGCGGGTGGATATTGTTACTGGAAAAATTATTGCACGATGTTTTAGACTGAAATTTTGCGCTGAAAACGCTGGAAATACTGAAAATCGCTGAAAATTAATAATTTAAGCGTTTTCAGCGCAAAATTCTGGTCTAGAAAAGTTTGGAAATTTCAATTTTAGTGATCTTTTTCAGAAAAGGTCAAAAAGCCTAAAAACATTGTTCTAGACCCAAATTTTGCGCTGAAAACGCTGAAAATACTGAAAATCGCTGAAAATCAATGATTTCAGCGTTTTCAGCGCAAAATTCTGGTCTAGAGGTGAGTTTTAAGCTGAGCTTCTGGATTTTTCATTCAAAATTTTGAAATTGTGTCTAGAAAGCCTCAGAAGCCTAAGAACTTTGTTCTAGACCCAATTTTCGTGCTGAAAACGCTGGAAATACTGAAAATCGCTGAAAATCCTTAATTTCAGCATTTTCAGCGGAAAATTTTGGTCTAGAACGTTGTTTTAGGCTTCTGGACCTATCTGGAGAAAATATCCAGAATTTCAGAAAAAAAAGTTCCAAAAGCCTAAAAACATTGTTCTAGACCCAAATTTCGCGCTGAAAACGCTGGAAATCCTGAAAATCGCTGAAAATCGATAATTTCAGCGTTCTCAGCGCGAAATTCTGGACTAGAATCAGGTTTCTGGAGAAAATATCCAAAATTTCAGAAAAAAAAAGTTCAAAAAGCCTAAAAACTGTGTTCTGGACCCAAATTTCGAGCTGAAAACGCTGAAAATGCTGAAAATCGCTGAAAATCAATAATTCCTGCGTTTTCAGCGCAAAATTTCAGTTCAAACTCACCAACACTATTCGCGGGTTGCTCTTTTTTAGCCGCCGCCGTTTTGCTCGAACTAACTTCCGAAAAATACATGGCACTCGAGCATTCTTGCTCAGTATTCAGAGTTTTATAGATGTCTTTCAGGATCATCACATAACAAGCAACCAAAACAATCAGTGGAATATAGAAGATCAGCACGGTATTTTGAATTGAGTACAGAGCCATATTTCGTCTCTCGGTTTCGCTCAAAACTTCGCCAGAATTCAGTTTTTCCGTCCAAATTGTTATACATTGAGTGATTTCGGGGAAATGCACCTGAAATTAGAAATTTCGGCTTAATATGAGCAATCCCAATGATTTCGGGGTGAAAAATTGGTCTAGGAGGTATGGGGGATCGAACCAGGACCTTTTTGACTCATAAAAAATCAATTTTTCCACACTCTAGACTGAAATTTCGCGCTGAAAACGCTGAAATTATTGATTTTCAGCGATTTTCAGGATTTCCAGCATTTTCAGCGCAAAATTTGGGTCTAGAGCAAAGTTTTCAGGCTTTTTGAACTTTTTTCTGAAATTTTGGATTTTTTACTACCAGAAGCTTTAAACATTGCTCTAGACCAGAATTTTGCGCTGAAAACGCTGAAATTATTGATTTTCAGCGATTTTCAGGATTTCCAGCATTTTCAGCTCAAAATTTGAGTCTAGAACAATGTTTTTCGGCTCTTTAAATTTTTCTGAAAAAAAGTTCCAAAATTTTGTAGATCATTAAAATCGCAAATTTCTTGTTCTAAATCAAAATTTCACGCTGAAAACGCTGGAATTGCTTAAAATGAGCAATCCCACCATTTTCCTCTTCGAAAATTGATCTAGAACATTTTTGGGAAGAAAAATAGGTTAGGAGGTACCGGGGTTCGATCCAGGACCTTCAGACTCGCAAAAAATCGCTGTTTTCCTGTTCTAGATCGAAATTTCGCGCTGAAAATGATTAATCTGAGCAATCCCGCGATTTCCAGCGTCAAAGATCCCTTTTTTCCCAAAAAGAAAAACATCCCGGAATTTCCGGCGGAAAAAATACGTTTCACAATTTTCCTATAATTTGTTTTTTTTTGAATTTTCAATTCTGACTTAATCCCATTTGATGTTTTTTCACATGTGACTAGAAAATTCTGAGCAAAAAATCGAGAGAGAGCCGAAGAATGAATTGTTGATGAGCACAGAATTTTTAATCATAATTTTTTCTTTTTTTTTGGAGAAAAAAAATTTGGAGCGGAAATAATGATCAGAAAAATATGGAAAAATTCTAGAGAAGAACTTTTATTGAACTTTGGTCTAGATGTTTTATCTGAAATCTAGACTTGGGCTTTTTTAGAAGCCTGGAAAAGTCTGGGAAACTTTCGGGTTCTTAGAAGTTCTTGAAGGCTCTGGAACATTTTATGAAAACTAAGGAGTTCAAAAATTTTTTTGGAAATTCTAGAAAAAATCTGGAAAACCAAGAAATTTTGAAAAATCTTATCATTTCAGGCTCATACTTTTTCTGAATATTTTTGCAGCTTGGAGAAAAATTCTGAAGATTACATAGGTTCTCCAAGAAGCACAAGAAATTTTTTCTGAATTTTCAAGAATTTCAGAAGTCTCTGGATTGTTTTCTGAAGCCTAGACCTAAGCCTTAAGGCCCTGTCTAAGCCTAAGGCCCTGTCTAAGCCTAAGGCCCTGTCTAAGCCTAAGGCCCTGTCTAAGCCTAAGACCGTGCCTCGAGCGGCTTCGCCGCGAGTGTGAACCGCAAGCTTCCGCGCAGCGGCCACGCCTAGACCTAACAGCTCACCTCACTCCAAACATAAACCTGCGGCAACATGGTGACAATAGCCGTCATCCACGCCACAACCAACATCCTCGGCACTCTCGAATGTCCAACCGCATTCACCCACAACGGATATCTCAACGCCGACAATCGATACAACGCAATACAAACCATGATGTTCGAGCTGCACGCAAACACAAACGCATCAACAAATCGCATGAATTTGCACATCGCATTGCCGCCTCGCCACTCAAACGTCACCAGCCATCCGATGAGGCCCGGAACATATAGGCCCAACACCAAAATATCCGAAATGTTCAGATTGATGTGGAGAAGCAGGAGGAATGATTTGGCGTGGCGATATCTTTTCAGCATGTAGATCAGTGTTGAGATGTTCACTGGTAGGCCGATGATCGCGAAGAGACTGTAGAGGCAGATCTGGACGTAATCTGCAGCGACATAGCCTAACTCGGCATGGATTTCGGTGAGGTTGGTGTGATTTGACATGGATTCTGGAAAAAATCAGGGGGTTTGGAGGGCTTTAGAGGGCTTCAGAAGGCTTTGGAGGGCTTTAAAGGGCTTTAGAGGGCCTAAGAAGCTAGTAGAGGGCTTTAGAGGGCTTTAGAGGGCTTTAGAGGGCTTTGGAAGGCTTCAAAGGGCCTCAGGAGCTCTTAGAAGGCTTTGGAGGGCTTTAAAGGGCTTTAAAGGGCTTTAGAGGGCCTCAGGAGCTCTTAGAGGGCTTTGGAGAGTTTTTTCGGACCTCAGAAGCTGTTAGAGGGCTTTTTCGGACCTCGGGAGCTTCTGGAGGGCTTAAGAGGGCTTCAGAGGGCTTCCGAGGGCTTCAAAAGGCCTTATTAGGCTTCAAAGAGGATTTTAGAAATTATTTTTTGGAATTTTTCTGAATGTTCACTTAAAAATTCAGAAAATTTATGAAATTCTATAAAAACAGCCTGAAAAAGGGCCTAGAAGTCCAGGATTTTTGGACCAATTCGGGCTTGAAATCAGACCTGAAAGCCTGCTACTTATAGGCCTGATTCAGGCCTAAAAAATCCTGAAAATTATGGACCAAAAGCAGGCTTGAAGTCCAGAATGCTAAGCCTAATGTAAGCCTAAAAGCCCTCTGAATTTCAGGCCAAATTTAGGCTCAAAAAAGGCCTAATTTTTAGGTCAAATTTGGGCTTGAAATCCAGAATTTTAGGCCTAAAGTAAGCCTGAAGGCCCTCTGAGTTTCAGGCCTAACTTAGGCTGAAAAAGCCTAGAAATTTCGGGACAAACTCAGACTTGAAATTCTGAATTTTAGGCCTAAAGTAAGCCTGAAAGTCTGTTAGTTTCAGGTCAAATTCAGGCTCAAAAAAGCCTGGATTTTAGGCCAAATTTAGGCTCAAAAGGGCCCCCAAAATTCTAGGCTTTTTCAGGCTTTTCCAGGCCAAAAGGGCCCTTCAAAAATCCCAAATTTCCACGGAGCAAAATGAGCACAATTGATAAATAATTTAGTGCACAAAAAATTTGGACCCGGAAACAGAAAAAAAATTTTTTGGCCAAAAAAAAAAGATCACAACAAAATTGAGGCAATTAGTAAGAAGAAGCCGATGAACGAAAAAAAATGTGAGAAATTTTGTGCATTTTTGTGTGCTCCAAAAAATGCAAAAAAAATAGTAAAAAAGGAGCTCTGAGAGCACAAATATAATAAGTGACTTACATTTTTTCAACAAAAAAAAAGGGGGCGTGGCCTATTTCTGCGGAGCTCTGGAGCTCTGGAGCAAATCAGGTCCGCGAAAAAATGCAAATTTTCTTGGAGCAACTTGTTTTTTTTTCCCCGAGCTTTGAAAATTGAAAATTGAAAAAATTGCATTTTTTTCGCCGCCAAACCAAAAAAAACAAGAATTTTTCACACACACGCAATATAATGAAAAAAAATTTTTGTTTTGGGTTCCCCGCTTTTTTTTTTTGGTGAATAGAAATTGATTTTCGAATTTTTGAATTTCGCGGGTCCAAAAATTTAGCGGGAAATTTGAATTTTTGAATTTCGCGCCTTGAAAAATTAGAAGAAAAATTTGAATTTTTAAATTTTGCGCTTTGAAAAATTGAAAAGAAAATTTGAATTTTTGAATTTCCCGCTCAATTTTTCAAAGCGCGAAATTCAAAAATTCAAATTTCTCTTATTTTTTATAAGCCTAGCCTAAAAACTTTGTTCTAGACCCAAATTTTGAGCTGAAAACGCTGGAAATATCGGAGATCGCTGAAAATCAATAATTTCAGCATTTTCAGCGCAAAATTTCAGTCTAAAGGTAATTTTTAAGCCAGGCTTCTGAATTTTTCATTCAAAATTTTTGAATTTTGTCTAGAAAGCCCCAGAAGCCGAAAAAACTTCTATTAGCTCCAAATTTTGCGCTGAAAACGCTGGAAATACTGAAAATCGCTGAAAATCATTAATTTCAGCGTTTTCAGCGCAAAATTCTGGCCTAGGACAAGGTTTCACACTTCTGGAACTATCTGGTGAAAATGTCCAAAATTTCAGAAAAAAAAGTTCAAAAAGCCTAAAAACTTTGTTCTAGACACAAATTCCGTGCTGAAAATGCTGGAAATACTGAAAATCGCTGAAAATCAAGAAATTCAGCATTTTCAGCGCAACATTTCGGTCTAGAACGTTGTGTTAGGCTTCTGGATTTTAAAAATCAGAGTTTTCGGGCCTTAAAAAGGCCTAAAGCTTCCAGCCTAATTTTAGCCTGAAAAATTCGAAATTAACATGAGCAATCAGGCTACATTGTATCAAAAAATCAGACGGGGAAAAATGAGTTGTATATATAATTTTCTCAAGAAAAAAAATAATTCGAGAAGATTTTCTTGGAAAAAATCTTCATTATAATTGTGTATGTAAAATTATTCATTATGTAGAGAGAGAAAAAATGCGCGCGAAAAAAATGGGAGGATTTTTGGAGCTCAAAAATTCGAAAAAATTAATTTCAGGGCTCCAAGAGCCCCCAAAAATGCTCATTTTTGAACTCCCAACTCGAATTATCAGCAGAAAAGAAAATTAGGGAAAAAAAAGTTTTTTTTTCGAAATCAAATTAGCTTGGAACTTTTTTCTGTGAACTTTGATGTTTCGAGTGTCAAAAGCAGAACAATTTTTTGAATTTTTGAATTTCGCGGCTTCGAAAATTGAGCGGGAAATTTCGAATTTTTGAATTAGGCGTCTCTCAAGTCGTGCCTGCTTGTCAGAGTGGTTTCCTAGGCGTGAATGCTTGTCAAAATGCTTCTCAAGGCTCCACTGCTTGCTATAGAGGTTTTCTAGGCGCCACTGCTCGTCAGAGTGGCTTCCTAGGCTCCACTGATTGTCATAGAGGTTTCCTAGGCGTGAATGCTTGTCATAGAGGTTCTCAAAGCGCCACCCTTTGTCAGAGTAGCTCTCAAGGCTCGGATGCTTGCCTAATAAGTGGTTCTCAAGGCTCCGCTGCTTGCCAGAATGATCCTAAAAGCTCCACTACTTGACACACTGCTTCTCAAGGCTCCATCCCTTGTCAAAGTTGATCTCAAGGCGCGGCTCCTAGCCACACTGCTTCTCAAGGCTCCGCTGCTTGTCAAAGCTGCTCTCAAGGCTCCGCTGCTTGTCGCAATCAACCTCAAGGCTCCGCTGCTTGCCAGAATAGTTCTCAAGGCTGTACTGCTTGCGGTACCCAACCTCAAGGCGCGACACCTTCTCAAAGCCGCTTTCAAGGCACAACTCCTTGTCAAACCATTATTTTTTCTAAAAAAAAATCTTCCTCCAAACAAAAAAAAACTAAATTGAAAGAACCCAATGTTTTTTCTTTTTTTCTCCAATTTAAATTGTTTTTCTTCATTTTTTTTTTGCGAAAAAATGGGGAAATTCCTAAGCTTTTCACTCACTAATTAATTGGAATTGGAAAAATTGAAATATCAAAGAAGAAAAAGAAGAAGAAGACAAATTGGACGTCATTTTTTTAGTAGATCAAAAACCGCGCGCGCGCGCCTCAAACTACAGTAGTCCCGCTTAAACTTGTTTCATTACTTGGAGAGAAATAAAAGGGATAAATTTGCATTTGGACTCAATAAATTCATAATATACATATAAATTAGGAGAGAAATGACAAATATGCAAATGTCACGGAATGTTGGAGTTATGACAAGTTGTGTTTTGGAGGGTTATACAATTTTTCGCCCTGAAAATCTGTGGGATTGCTCATTTTAAGCAAAATCTTCGTTTTCAGCGCGAAATTTGGATCTAGAACATGGAAACCGGCGATGTTTTTGGGTCAGAAGGTCCTGGATCGATCCCCGGTACCTCCTAACCTATTTTTCTTGCAAAAAATGTTTTAGATCAAAATTCCGTGCTGAAAACGGTGAAAATGCTTAAAATGAGCAATCCTACCGATTTCAGGGTGAAAAATTGATCTAGAACATTTTTAAAGAGAAAAACTGGTTAGGAGGTACCGGGGATCGATCCAGGACCTTCTGACCCGAAAAAATCGCGGTTTTCCTGTTCTAGATCAAAATTTCGTGCTGAAAACGCTGAAATTGCTTAAAATGAGCAATCCCATCAATTTCAGGGCGAAAAACTGATCTAGGACGTTTTTAGCGAGAAAAATAGGTTAGGAGGTACCGGGGATCGATCCAGGACCTTTTGGCCCGAAAAAAATCGCTGTTTTCCTGTTCTAGATCAAAATTTCGTGCTGAAAATGAAGATTTTGCTTAAAATGAGCTCAAAAAAACTTTTTTTCTGACAAATCAAATGCACTTTTCCTATAGGATTACCAGAAAATTCAGGAAAATTCGTATTTTATGTGATTAATATGAGATTAACCAAAAAAAGAAGCTTCTACGAAATAAGAAAAAAAAACAAGAAAAATTTGAGAGCACAATTTTTTTGAGCAAAAAAAAAAACCCAACTAGAAAATAAGCCTCCCAAAAATAATTGTTGTACTTTTCTCATATCCAATTATTTTTTCCGCGTATTTTTTGTGTGCACTTTCATGTCATCATATTCAATTTTGCTCATTTTAGGCAATTCCAGCGTTTTCAGCACGAAATTTTGATCTAGAACATGGAAACTGCGATTTTTTGGGTCAGAAGGTCCTGGATCGATCCCCGGTACCTCCTAACCTATTTTTTCTCCCTAACATTAATTTTTCGCCCTGAAAATCGTGGGATTGCTCATTTTAGGCAAAATCTTCATTTTCAGCACAAAATTTTGATCTTGAACAGGAAAACTGCGATTGTTTAGGGGCAGAAGGTCCTGGATCGATCCCCGGTACCTCCTAACCATTTTTTCTCCCAAAAAATGTTGTAGATCAATTTTTTGCTCTGAAATCGATAGGATTGCTCATTTCAAGCGAAAACTTCATTTTCAGCACGAAATTTTACACTAGAACAAGAAAACCGCGATGTTTTTCGAGTCAGAAGGTCGTGGATCGATCCCCGATTCCTCCTAACCTATTTTTTTCGTTGAAAATATTCTAGATCAATTTTTGACCCTGAAATCGAAGGGGTTGCTCATTTTAAGCAAATCCAGCGTTTTCAGCGCGAAAATTTGATCTAGAACAGGAAAACCGCGATTTTTTCGGGTCAGAAGGTCGTGGATCGATCCCCGCTACCTCCTAACCTATTTTTTCTCGCTAAAAAATTTTCTAGATAAATTTTTCACCCTGAAAATCGTGGGATTGCTTATTTTCAGCAAAATCTTCATTTTCAGCACGAAATTTCGATCTAGAACAAGAAAACAGGGATGTTTTTAGGGCCAGAAGGTCGTGGATCGACCCCCGGTACCTCCTAACCTATTTTTTCTTCCTAACATTAATTTTTCTCCCAGAAATCAATAGGATTGCTCATTTTAAGCAATTCCAGCGTTTTCAGCACGAAATTTTGATCTAGAACATGGAAACTGCGATTTGTTTCGGGCCAAAAGGTCCTGGATCGATCCCCGGTACCTCCTAACCTATTTTTTCTCGCTAAAAATATTCTAGATCAATTTTTTGCCCTGAAATCAATGGGATTGCTCATTTTAAGCGAAATTTTGATCTAGAAAAAAAAGTTCAAGAATATCAAACTTGAAAATCTCTTCTGAAACAATGCAAAATTTTTTTTTCGCGATAAAATCTTTCGGATAAAAATTTTCGGCGAATCTAAAACTTTCATCTAATAAATTTCCTCATAATTTCCTTTCTTCCTATTTTTCGAAAACAAAACAATGTTTTTGGGATTTAGTCCTAATCGTCATTATTTTATTCTAATTTTCAGGTAAATTCTTGTTCTGAAATTCAAAAAATCTGAAAATTTCAGAATCTCCAGGAAATTTGGAGCATTTTGAGCCCAAGATTGCTCATGTTTAGACTCAAAAATTCCAGAATTTCAAGGCGATTCTGAAACTTCCAGAATTTTCATAAAATTTGGAGCATTTTGAGCCCAAACATGCCCATGTTTGGTCTCAAAAAATCCAGAATTTCAAGGGGATTCTGAAATTTCCAGAATCTCTTGGAAAATTGGAGCATTTTGAGCCCAAACTTGGTAATGTTTAGACTCAAAAATTCCAGAATTTCAAGAGGATTCTGAAATTTCCAGAATCTTCTGGAAATTCGGAGCATTTTGAGCCCAAACATGAGCGAGTTTGGTCTCAAAATTTCTAGAATTTCAAGAGGATTCTGAAATTTCCAGAATCTTCTTAAAATTCGGAGCATTTTGAGCCTGAGATTGCTCATGTTTGGTATCAAAAATTCTAGATTTTCAAGGGGATTCTGAAATTTCCAGAATCTCCTGGAAATTTGGAGCATTTTGAGCCCAAGATTGCTCATGTTTGGGTTAAAAAATTGCAGAATTTCAAGAGGATTCTGAAATTTCCAGAATCTCCTGGAGCATTTTGAGCCCAGAAAAAACTCCTTCCAGATTTTTCCAATTTCCAGCCTCATTCTAATCTCAACCTACGTCTATTTCACTTCAAAATTCGACAAAAATCTCACAAAATTCGAAAAATCCCAAATGGAATCTCGAAAAATGATTGAATTTTTCGGCGAAAATGAGCTAATCTACGAGAATCGTATGAAGTTCTTCAACCAGAATCGCACAATTTTGGAGCATTTCAAATTCGAAGATCTGAGCAGCAAATGTGACAACAACAACATCACAGCTCCCAGAATCGGAGCCAAAAAAGTTCAGGAGAGGTTCAAGAGTTGCGCGCTGATTTTGCAGACTAGATTCTATTTGGATCCGGATTCGAAACTTCTGAATTGGCCTACTACAACTTATGTTTGTGATGAGGAATTGGATATGAAAGATGTGCCGGTTTTTCCGATTCGAGCTGGCAAAAAAGAGGGCGTGGCTTATTTTGCGATGGTCCCGAATTGTGTGGGTTTTTTTTGTGGGAAGCCTGGGAAGCCTGAGGAAGCCTAGACGATTTTCAGAAGCCTGAAAAAAACCTGGGAGATTTCTAGAAAGCCTGGAAATTATCTAGAATTTTTTCTGGCAGCCCTCAAGGCTCGGCTGCTTGTCATGAAAGCTTCCAAGGCGTGGCTGCTTCTCGAACAAGCTCTCTAGGCGCCACTGCTTGTCGCGGCTCCTTGTCTGGCTGCCTCTCAAGGCGCAGTTGCTTGCTAGACCGGTTCTCAAGGCTCGGCTGCTTCTCGAACAAGCTCTCACGGCGCCACTGCTTGTCATAGCAGTCCTCTAGGCGTGACTGCTTGCAAGCCTGTCTCTCAAGCCGCATCTGCTTGTCAGGGAGGCTCTCTAGGCGTGCCTGCTTGCTAGACAGGTTCTCAAGGCTCGGTTCCTTGTCAGGCTGCCTCTCAAGACATGACTGCTTGTCAACGAGGTTCTATAGGCGTGACTGCTTGCCGACGAGGATATCTGGGCTTGCTTGCTTGCTAGACAGGTTCTCAAGGCGCTGCTGCTTGTCAGCGAGGTTCTCAAGGCGCGGCCCTTTTTCAAGACAGGCCCTCAAGCCGCATCTGCTTGTCATAGCATGCCCTCTAGGCGCGACTGCTTCTCGAATAATCTCTTAAAGCTCGCTTGCTTGCTAGACAGGTTCTCTAGGCTTGGTTGCTTGCTAGAACTGCTCTCTAGACATGACTGCTTGTCATAGCAACCCTCAAGGCATCAATGCTTGCTAGACAGGTTCTCAAGTCGCATCTGCTTGTTATAGCAACCCTCTAGGCGTGACTGCTTCTCGAACAAGCTCTCAAGGCGTGAATGCTTCTCGAATATGCTCCCTAGGCGCCACTGCTTGTCAGAATCGTCCTCAAGGCGCGGCCCCTTGCCACAGTGATCTACAGAAGCCCTAAAGCCTCAATTTTTTCAGAAATCCGACTCCAACCTGTTCCTGACCTCAATTCCCGATTCAAAAAAAGCGATCGAAGAATTGTCCAAAAAAATTCCAAAATCCAAAATTTCCGAAATCAAATTGAAAGAAAATGAAACAGATTTTGGAGGGAATTTTGAAAATAATACGGTAGGAAATTTGGCGCCAATTTTTTTTTTCAAAAATTCAAATTTTTTTTTCAGATTATCGATTTTCTATTGCTCAACGGTGATTTGGACTACAAATCGATATTCAAAAAAGATGGGATTTTCGATAAGTCCAATATTACAGTATGCCAAATGAACCTGCAGATCAAAATGTCGAATTCGAAAAATTTCTACGAATTTATCGCAATGATTTTTGAGGAGAATATCAAATTTTTGCCAATGAGACCGTTTTTTTGGGACAGGGAAGAGATTACGGTCGCCTATTTTTTCAATGTTTCTAATGAGTTTTGTGTGCGGAAATATTTGTAATAAAGATTTTTTTGCTCATTTTAAGCTAAAAATTCGAATTTAGCGCGAAATTTTGATCTAAAACACACAAAAAATCACTGATCACAAGGTCAGGGGATCGAACCACACCCGAGGCAACTTTTTTTTTGGAAAAATCAATTTTTCGCGCTGAAAATGATGGGATTGCTCATTTTAAGCCATTCCATATTTTCTAGCTTGAAATTTCACGATTTTCATCTCATTTTCAGTCAAAAATGATGATTTTCATTCAAAATTTCTTGAAAAATTCAAATTTCCCGCCCAAAAATTCACTCACATTATCGATTGAACTTGACACGTCCTCCTAGAAGAATTGTAGCAGTTTCGGAACACTTTCCATCCAAATCTGACCTGAAAATCGAGAGAAATTTGGCTTAAAATGAGCAATGCCATGATTTTCAGCGCGAAAAACCGCAATTTTTCCCAAATCTCCCCAAAACACTTACCAAAAATCAATAAATCCTCATTTTTCCGGCGAATTTCACATTTAACATCGAATTTTCACTCAAAAACCTGCGAAAAGAAAAAAAACGCGAAAAAAAGAAAATAGCGCTAAACAACAGGCAAAGCGAAAGAGCGGAGTGTCGTTGTAAACTTTTTTTTTTGTTTTTTTTTTTTGGGAAAATGCAATTGATAATTTGGGTTTTTGTGTGGGAAGTGTAAGCGCGGAGTGTCGTTTATTGTTTCAAAAATCAAATTTAATTCAGGCTTCCTTGGATTTTTCGAAATGTTTGCTGATTCCAGCCGATTCTCGAAGGAGTCGCGAAACTGAAGTTGGAAGAATGCTGGAAAAAATAATTCATCAGAATCTTCTGGAACTTCAGAAGCCTTCTGAAGCTTCAGAAAAAAGTTCCTGGAACTTCTAGACCTTCTGAAGCTTCCTGAACTCCCCAAATTCCACAAACCTCATCAAAAACACAATAAAATATCCGGCTTTTGGAGTTATCAAAAGTTCGGCGTCGGTTTGAACGGCTTCCACAATTCGATCGGCAACATAGTCGACTTCGAGAATCGGGCAAAGTGGGGAACTGTAAGAATTTCAGGTTACTGTAGGATTTTTGGCGCGAAAATTTGCAGTTTTTTGACACCAAATATATGCCTGGGGTTACTGTAGGGCGGAAATTTCACACGTTTTTTGACAAGCTTGATTTTTGCAGTTCGGCCTACAGTATACCTTGCAGTTCGGGCTAAAGTAATTCTTGCAGTCTGGGCTACAGTACCTCTAGGATTACAAACGATACTAATCCTTGCAGTCCGAGAAATTTCGTAGGCTACAGTACCCTTTGCAGTTCGGGAATTGAAAAATCCCAGTAATTCTTGTAATTTGGGGTTCCAGAGGTACAGTAGTTCTTGTAGTTTGAGATACAGTACCCCTTGCAGTCCACGATATTTGAGTTACAGTAATTCTTGCAGTCCGGGCTTTTTTGGTGTCAAAAAACGTGGAATCTGTTCTACAGTACTCAAACTGCAAGAATTACTGTACCTCAAACTGCAAGGGTTACTGTAGCTTCCAGAATTCTAGAGAATTTCCGACTGTAAGGGTTACTGTAGCTCAAACTGCAAGGGATACTGTAGCTTCCAGAATTCTAGGAAATTTCGGACTGCAAGAATTACTGTAGCTCAAACTGCAAAGCATACTGTAGTTATAAGAATTTTAGAAAATTTCGGACTTCAAGGATTACTCTACCTGAAACTGCAAGATTTCGAACTGCAAAGCCTACAGTACCTCAAAATAATCCAAAATTTTCGAAAAATATACCAAAAAATCTGAAATTTTCAGCCGAAACCCCCGAAAAACCGTACCCCGCAACATCTGGCGCATTAAACATCGGAGTTCTCACATAATACGGGCAGACTAGAGTTGTCCGAACTCCAGTCTTGCCCAAAGCGATCAATTCATCGGTGAGACTTCCGTGAAATCCGACTGCGGCGTGTTTTGAAGCCGTGTAGGCACTCAAACCGGCTGAAGCAACTTTTCCGGCCATTGAAGCGAGGGTGACGATGTGACCGTGGTTTTTGGCGAGCATTTGAGGTAGGAAGTTTTGGGTGGCCTGGAAATTTGGAAATTTTTGGAATCGCCTTGGAATTTGGAGCATTTTGAGCCCAAGATTGCTCATGTTTGGGCTCAAAAATCTCAGAATTTTCAGCAGAATCTGAAAATTCCAGAATCCCCTCAAAATTTCAGATTGTTTGAGCCCAAACTTGCTCATTTTTCGAAAAATTTGAAGACTTTGCAGTTTGAGGTACAGTATACCTTGTAGTTCGGCATATCTACCAAGCTACAGTATACCTTGCAGTTTGAACACTTTAGAACGCAGAATCAACTTTAAAAGACACCAGAGAAGGCCGGACTGCAAGGATTACTGTAGCTCAAATATACCGGGCTGCAAAGCCTGAACATTAGCAATCTTGGGCTCAAAAAATCTGGAATTCTGAAATTTTCAGATTCTGCTGAAAATTCTGAGATTTTTTGAGCCCAAGATTGCTCATGTTTGGGCTCAAAAATCTCAGAATTTTGAGCAGAATCTGAAAATTTCAGAATCCCCTCAAAATTTCAGATTTTTTGAGCCCAAGATTGCTCATGTTTGGACTCAAAAATCTCAGAATTTTGTGCTGAATCTGAAAATTTCAGACCCCCTCAAAATTCCAGATTTTTGAGCCCAAACTTGCTCATGTTTAGGCTCAAAATGCTCCAAATTTTTAGCCAAATCTAAAACTCACATAAAAAATCGCTTTTGTATTAACAGTCAGTGTTCTCTCCACAATTTCCTCCGTATTCAAACAAATCAACTTTGCCACCGCAATTCCAGCATTATTCACCAGAATATCAACATCTCCAACTTCTTCGCGAACTTTTCTCGAAGTCTCGCTGATCTCCGAAGCACTACAAAGATCCACGTGGTAGGAAACAGCTTCCGCTTCCGCTTGATTCCGGATAATTTCGATGGTTTCAGCGGCTCCTTTGTCATTCACATCCCAAATTATGACTTTGGCTCCGAGTTGCGCGAAGCGGATGGCTAACGCGCGGCCGATTCCGCTTCCGCCACCCGTTATCAACACTTTTTCACCTGGAAAATCGGATTTTTTGAGCCTAAACATGCCTAGTGGCTAGGGGATTCTAAATTTCAGATTCTGCTTAAAATTCTGAGATTTTTGAGCCCAAACATGAGCAATCTTGGGCTCAAAAAATCCGGAATTTTGAGGGGATTCTGAAATTTTCAGATTCTGCTCAAAATTCTGAGCTTTTTGAGCCTAAACATGAGCAATCTTGGGCTCAAAAAATCCGGAATTTCATCAGGATATCGAAATTCAGAATCTCCCTGAAATTTGGAGCATTTTGAGCCCAAACATGAGCAATCTTGGGCTCAAAATGCTCCAAATTTCAATTTCAGATTCAAAATTCCACCCACCTCTAACACTTTTCTTCGGCAAAACGCCAGTTGGCAAAAATGCGGTGACAATCGCCAAAATCGTCAAATAAATCGATTTGACCAGAAAAATTGCAAATTTTTTGAACGCCTCCATTTTCTCGGGCTAACAATGAAGCTGAAAATGAAATATTTTATCACTGAAAATTTCTGAATCGTAAAAATCGTCTGGAATTTTATGATTTCTAATTAGTTGTAAAAACTAATTGTAAAATACGTGGAGAAACTAATTAGCAAGACAAAGAAAATATAAAAAAAATAAAAGAAAATCGTGAGAAAATGAACTAAAAGATGATATTGGATACAATGTAGTGTGTTCAAAGAAACAGGTGGATAAATTTGAACAACTGTTCTGGACTACATTGTAGCCTAGACGAAATTCTGCATTTTTTGAGTCCGAATATGGTTTTGAAAAAAAAAACTCACTGAAAATTGACGTAGAATAACAAAAAAAAATAGCTCCAGGCTGCATTTTGATACTGAATTTTGAATCACATTTTTTTTCGTTCCTCGGTGACATCAAAACCAACAAATTCAGCAATTATCGATTGAATTTTCGAAAAAAAAACAAAAAAAAGTTTGCAACAACACTCCGCTCTTACGATTTGCCTGTTGTTTAGCGTTATTTTCTTTTTTTTTTCTTTTTTTTTTCGTTTTCGCAGGTTTTTGAGTGAAAATTCGATGTTTTCGAAGTGTCAAATGTAAAATTGGCCGGAAAAATGAGGATTTATTGATTTTTGGTGGAAAATTCTTGAGATTTCATGAATTGGTGAGTGTTTTGGGGAGATTTGGGAAAAACATACGATTTTTCGAAAATTGAGGCGATTTCTAGCCAAATCCATCGAAAATTCGAATAAAATCATTTCGAAAAGCTTCGAAAAACAATTGAAAATCAAGAAATGAACAAAAATTCGAATTTTAACGCAAATGTCACTTGCACTTTGTTTCTCTTGAAAAATCAATCGATAATTGGGGTTTTTGGTGGGATTCTGTTGAAAATAAGCTATAACGTGGCATTTTTCACATATTCTAATTGAAATTTCCTCAAAAATCCTGATTTTTCCTAGGAAAAACGGTGGAAAACAGAAAAAAAATGAAAATAGCGCGAAACAACGGGCGAAGCGTAAGAGCGGAGTGTTGTTGCAAACTTTTTTTTTTGTTTTTTTTTTTTGAAACCAAATAAATAACCAATAATTGGGGGTTTTGTGAGTAGAACATTAGCTATGACGTGGCAAATTTCATTAGCACAAATCAGACTAATTAGCGGTAGTGAAAAAGTGAACATGTAATTAAATTATGAGTACAAAAAATCAGATTTCTAAACAACCGGGTTCACAACACTAACAGATCTAGCCGGAAGCAAATTGCCACATCGCAACCACTTCGAGAATTCGGCATTGAACACGAAAATCGTCCCGATGGTAAAAATGTGAAGTGAGTTGGCGAAAAACGACGAAGTCCAGAAGATCTTCCAATTTTCTCCGATACTTCCCGGTAGCCATTGATAGCCGAGACTGTAGACGAGAAGGAAGAGTAGGGAGATGAAGCCTTGGATGAGGACTTGTTGGGCGAAATTGAGTTCGCGCTTGCGGATTTCGGGACTTTTGGTTTTGAGCACGCGTTTCTGGAAAGTTAGGGGGTTTTGAAAGGCTCCGGAAGACTTGAGAAGGCTGTATAAAGCTCCGAAAGCCTTGACAGAGCTTTAGAGGGCTTTAAAAGGTTTTAATGGGCTTTGGAGGGCTTCATGAGACTTGAGAAGGCTTTATAAAGCTCCTAAAGGCTTTATAAGGGCGTTTGAGGGCTTCAAAAGGATTTAATAGCCTTTGGAGGGCTTTAGGTTGCTTTAGAAGACTTCAAAGGGCTTTAGAGGGCTTTACAAGACTTTGGGAGGCTTTATGAAGCTCCAAAAGGCTTTAGAATGCTTCTAAGGGCTTCAGAAAGCTTCAAAAGGCTTGACAGGGCTTTAGGAGGGTTTAAATGGCTTTAGGATCCCGTTAGCAGCTTTCTAAAGCCTTAAAAAGCCCTAAAGGCCCCCTGAAGCCCCTTTCTCACTCACCCGAAAGCAAACCAGCAAAATTAGTGTGGAAAAATCGAGAAAACAAGTTGTATTTAAAAATAGCACACTTTGTACAGTTCGCAGTAAAACTTCGAATTTATTTCCGCAAGTTTCGGAGATAATGAAAGAGAATACCCAACCATAATGGTAGAACTTATAACCGCAGTTGTCTGGAATTTAAGGTTAAAGTAAGGTAAGGAGGGGTCAAGTTATGTTAAGTAAAGTTAGAATGAGTAAAATTGAATTGAAAGTTAGTTAAGCTAAACTTAAAGTGAGTAAAATTCAATTTAAATTAATGTTAATGTAAGTATAGTTAAATTTAACGTTAATAACGTCATCGTTAAAGTAATTAAACTTCTATTTAACCTAACTCCAACTGCAAAACTCACAATACCACGTAAAAACCGGTGTATAAACAATCGGAACAAAAAAGCACAGTGAAACGTAGATTCTGCGATATTTCAAGCTGAAAATTGTATTGTAGTAAAATGGCGTGACAATAGCCAGAAATCGATTGATAGACATCACAAAGTGCACTGAGATTACGATTGGAACAAGGGTTGTAGATATCAAACCGAAGATTTCGGAATTATTGAGAAGGAGCTTGATGTCACTGAAAAATAGGCTTTTTTGGGCTTAAGAAAGGCCGGGCTCACAACAAAACACCAAAGAGATAAAAAGAGCCGCTATTCGAACACGCCGTAATCCTCAGGTACATTTCATATCGCGTCAAATAGCCGAAAGACGAGCGCATTGCTGGAATTTTATAACATCCACGTAGCGCTATTAGGGCCATGATTAGGCCAGCGAAACATGGGATAAATACCAGAAGCCCGACTTGCATGTCTTCGAAATTTTGGGTGTATGAATGGCCACTTTGGTATACTATATCGACAAACATTTTTGAGGAAGTGAAGGAAAAAAATTTTTTTTTTCAACAGCCCATAGTTAAGTTCACGATAATTATCGGGTGTGCAAAAAGAATCAAAAAATCATGAGAGCGTTGCGTGTGCGTTGCGGTTTTGATAGGTTGAGGGGTTAGAGACGCAGAGGATTTATTCAATCAATAACTATTAATCTCCGGAAAAGTGTAATTGAAAATCTGATAATCCCAATAGTAAATATTCTCGAAAAGTTCCAGTAACTCTCGATTTGACGTCACCAAATCCACCAAATAATTCTTGATTCGCATACTGTTTGGATAGGTGGAAAATTGGAGGCCGGTTGAGAAGTCTTCGGGGTGATAGATGTAGTTCTGTGGGAAAAATCGCTAGTTTTTATGATGGGGGGAGTGCTGACGCATATTTTGTAGGTGTTGGATTTGCTGACGCATTTTCGGTAGCTTAAGGATTCTTGTAAGCTACAAAACATGCGCCAGCAAATTGCCAAGCTTCTCGAAAAGCGTCAGCAACTATCTAAGCTACAGAAAACACGTCAGCAACCATCTAAACTACATAAAACACGTCAGCAACCATCTAAACTACATAAAACACGTCAGCAATCATCTAAACTACACAAAACACGTCAGCAATCATCTAAACTACACAAAACACGTCAGCAACCACCTAAGCTACAAAAAATGTGCCAGCAAAGCTCTAGGCTTTCCGAAAAGCGTCAGCAACTATCTAAGCTACAGAAAACACGTCAGCAATCATCTAAGCTGCATAAAACACGTCAGCAACCATCTAAGCTACATAAAACACGTCAGCAACCATCTAAACTACATGAAACACGTCAGCAATCATCTAAGCTACAAAAAATGTGCCAGCAAATTCCCAAGCTCCCACAAAAGCGTCAATCTCGCATCACTCACATATTCCATATCGTATTCCGGATACTTCAATTCCTTATAATCAAAAATGAAAAATCGATTGCTCATATTAGCCATATGACAAAACCAATTCTGCGGAATATACCTCACATAATCCCAGTGCATTGTCGAATTTTTGGCGGATACTGTAGCCAGATGAAAATGCACTTTTTCGAGATGACAAATGAAATCGAAGCCGCAACCGAAGCACGGGTGTTTTTCTCTGAAATTTTGAGATTTTCCAGGAATTTTGAGCGAAAATTTGTGAAATTTGGACAATTTTGAGCATTTTGAGCTGAAAATCTGAAATTTTCACTCACTCAATACAAATTTTCATAAATTCCTCCACAGCCCGCTCCAGCGGATCGCGCTTGACAAAAATGAAAATTTCTTCGTCGAAATTTTTGGCGCCAAATTTTTCGCGCATCTCTTGCATACTGTAGAATTTGATCATTTCCGAGTCGGCGACTTTTCTGGAAATTTTGAATTTTGGCTCAAAATTGCTCAAATTTCACGATTTTTACACCAAAAATTTCAGAATTTCTAGATTTTCAGACAAATTTGAGCCCCATACCTATCCATATTTCCAGCCTGTCTCAAATTGTTCAAAACTCGCCACACCACATTCCAATCCGTGTAACAAACCGAACTTTTCACCTCGGCCAGCCTCTGCAAAAATTCAAATTGCCACGTGGCACGGTTTTTTCTTGTGACCTACCACAAATGTGTGCGAGGCGTCGGCGAATTTTCGAATTTGTTCGAAATTTTTTTTCGGCGCATAGTTTTTGATGTTCTGCAAAACAAACGTGGATTTTGGATTGCCACGTGGCATAATTTTTGGAGCGAAAAGCTTCTAGAAACGCGTCAGTGAAATTCAAAGCTACAGAAAACGCGTCAGCAAAGCTCTAGGCTTCTAGAAAGACGTCAGCAAATCTATAATCTACCAAAAATGCGTCAGCATCAATTTTTGCAAAAAAAAACTCACATTGATCTCTCGAATCTCCCTAAAAACCCAATGTTGATCCAGATCCAAATTTTGATTTTTCCAAATTTTCAGCAAAAAAATGGCTGAAATTGTGGCCAGTACCAGAATCAAGAAACGAAAAATTAATTTCATATTTAATTAAAAAGTTTGGAAAAAAAGTTTGCAAAATTTTTCGGATGAACTAGTTTTTTTTTTGGTTTGAAGATTTTTATCTTTTTTTATCGCAAAAGAAAATTGCTGACGCATTTTTGGTAGCTTGGGAGATTGTTGACGCTTTTCTAGAAGCCTAGAGCTTTGCTGACGCATTTTTGGTAGCTTGAGAGTTCACTGACGCTATTCTAGAAGCCTAGAGCTTTGCTGACGCATTTTTGGTAGCCAAAAAAAATTGCTCCTGATTTCTGTGGCCATAAAATTTAATAGTACCCCCGCTCGGAAAATCCATTAAAAATTTTTTCATATAAAATTTCTCCTGAAATTAAATTTCGCAAAAAAAATCGATGAAATTTCTGATTTTCCTACTAGTTCCGCTAATTCTAGCCGGCCATCCGAAGGTCAAATTTAGAAGTTCTGAATCTTCTTCTGATTCTGAATCTGAATCTTCAGAATCGAATTCTGGATCATCGGAATCAGAAGAATCTCGGGAACATCATCAGCACCCAAAACCTCCCGCTCCCGCTCCCAAAACCCCGAGTTGCCCACCGAATTGGAGACAATTCCAAAGATCAGCCGGGCTTTGGTGTATTCAAGTCTTCTGGAGTGGTATCAATCGATATGACGCTGAAAGCCAGTGTCAGGCTCTCGGAGCAACTCTCACCGGTTTCGATAGTCTGGAGGAGCGAGCCTATGTTCAGAGTAGGCCTTTTTCCGCGCGAAATTTGGAGCATTTTGAGCCACAACACAATTTCAGACTCGGCAATCCCATTCCTCCAGTCCACCGGCATTCGGGCCGGCTCATTTTGGATCGGCCTGGTTCGCAGGCCTTCTTGCTACGGATATCTACAATCTCTCCAAGCGGCGTGTCGCGGAAGCCAGGGTTTCATGTGGACGGATGGGGTCTCGACACGACAGGATTTGATGAATTGGCGCGATGGTATGCCGGATAATGCGGGGTAGGCGGAAGCGGAAACCTTCCGGAAAAAAAATTCAAAATGTATTTCAGCGGCAATCAAAACTGCGTGTTTATGCTATGCCGAAATGGCCCGGTTCCAATAAACGGCGTCCGTCCGGAACGTTTCGATGATATTGAGTGCGTCAATCCGCCCAACCCGTGGAACGCGGATTCGCAGAAGATACGCGGATATGCGTGCGGAAAGTTTGCGCAGTGAATAAAGTTGTGAATAAAGTTTTTGGGTTGGCAACCGCATCGATTGATTTTTCGAAAACAAAAAAAACAAGAAAAAAGTTTGCAACAACACTCCGCTCTTACGCTTTGCCTGTTGTTTAGCGCTATTTTCTTTTTTTTTCATTTTCGCAGGTTTTTGAGTGAAAATTCAGTTGTCAAATGTGAAATGCGCCGGAAAAACGAGGATTTATCTATTTTTTGTTAAAAATTCTTGGGATTTGATAAATTGGTGAGTGTTTTGGGGAGATTTGGGGAAAAATTGCGATTTTTTGAAAATTGAGGGGATTTCAAGCCAAATCCATCAGAAATTCGAATAAAATCATTTCGAAAAGCATTGAAAATCAAGAAATGAACAAAAATTCGAATTTTCACTTTTCATTTTTTGTTTCTCTTGAAAAATCAATCGATAATTGGAGTTTTTGGTGGGATTTTGTTGAAAATGAGCTATGACGTGGCATTTTTCACATATTCTAATTAAAGTTTTCTCAAAAATGTTGCCTTTCACAGGAAAAAATGCGGAAAACAAAAAAAAATGAAAGTAGCGCTAAACAACGGGCGAAGCGTCATTGCGAAGTGTCGTTATAAGCTCAAGCTCAGAATCACATGAAAATCTTTTTTTTTGAAACATTATGACGTTTTTTTTCAAGTTTTCATGGTTCATTTGAAGTTTATGACGTGGCTATTTCCCCAAAATGCTTATCTAAAACCTTTATTTTGCCCCACGACAAAAAAATCAATCAATAACAAATCGGCCCATTATAATAATACTCTTGATCATCCAAATTCAACACTTCATTTTCGACCAATCTATTCGTCTCATAAGTTTTATAATAAAAAACACTTCTCTGATAACATCCAGGTTTTTGTGTGCAATTATGTCTAATTTCTATATAGGGGTCAAATTTGCCGACAGCTTCGTCTTCTTTTTCCGAAACTTCGAATTCACCTTGCGAATTTGAAGTTTTCCAATTGGCATCACAATCGATGACTGGAGAAATTTTTCAATTTTTTACAAGGCCTAGGCTCGTGAGCTTACCAAAATCATGTTCATAGAATTTGAAATCAGTTTCGACTGGAACACTTTTGCATACAATTTTTCCCTTGATGGTTATCCCGCGAAGTTCAGCTGAGGCTAGAGGGATCAGAACAAAAATCAAGCTAGAAATTTGAATTCTCATTTCAAATTTGATCTCACAGTCATTTGAAGAGATGATTACATGTTACATGTTGGACTTGTTTATGATGACTAGACTATAGGCCTGGGAATTCGACTGTGAAGTTTAAACACGTTAAAAATGCCACGTCATAGCAATCCCACCAAAAACCCCAATTATTGATTGAGTTTTCAAGCGAAAACAAAAAAAATGAAAATAGCGCTAAACAACATGCAAGTGGCATTGCGGAGTGTCGTTTAAACCGCTTTTTTCTCATTTTTTTTGATTTTCGGAGTGAGCTATGACGTGGAATTTTGCAAATAGAAAATTTTTATTAATTAAAAATTAAGCGGCCCACATTCCACACGCAAATCCGCGAATTTTTTGAATATCCAAAGTTTTGCTAGCCGGAATCGTACAATCAATATCATCAATGTCTCCAGGATTGATGTAATGACTGAATTGATAGGATCGAGAACCCACGTGTAATCGGGCACAATTTTGATTCCATCTGGAATTTTGAATAGGGCTTTACCGGGCTGAAAAGGGCCGGGCCGGCCTACCCCGCATTATCCGGCATCGTTGCTCGCCAGGTCATAGTATTCTTGCGGGTCACCACACCATCTGTCCACATGAATCCATCACTTCGAATACAGGGAGCGAAGAGGGATTTGAGGTAGCCGCGACATTCGGGCCGACGGACCAGGCCGATCCAGATTGAGCCGACGGTTTTGCCGAGCGATTGGAGGATTGGAAGGGATTGGGCTGGAAAGGTGAAGGTATGGTGGAGCCTTGAAGCCTAGAAGCCCGAGCGCTCTGCGTGAGTGTAGACCGCAAGCTTCCGCGTAGCGGCTAAGCCTAAGTCCTGGGTTGGGCTCAGTCCAGAAGCCTAAGCCCCGAGCGGCCTATCCGCGAGTGTAGACCGCAATCTCCCGCGTAGCGGCTAGGCTTAAGCCCTGGGTTATCCCCAGCCCAGAAGCCTAAGCCTCGAGCGGCCTATCCGCGAGTGTAGACCGCAAGCTTCCAAACAGCGGCTAGGCTTAAGCCTCGGGTCAGGCTCAGCCCAGAAACCTAAGCCCCGAGCGGCCTTGCAGCGAGTATGGACCGCAATCTCCCGCGTAGCGGCTAGGCTTAGGCCTTGAGTTAAGCTCAGCCCAGAAGCCTAAGCCCCGAGCGGCCTTGCCGCGAGTGTAGACCGCAAGCTTCCAAGTAGCGGCCAGGCCTAGGCCCAGGCTTAATTAAACTTAGGTATAGAAGCCCGAGCGCTCTGCGCGAGTGTAGACCGCAAGCTTCCGCGTAGCGGCCGGGCTCAAGCTTTGCGTTAGGCTCAGCCCGGAAGCCTGAGCCCCGAGCGGCCTAGCCGCGAGTGTATACCGCAAGCTTCCGCGTAGCGGCCAGGCCTAAGCCCCGCTTAACCAACTCACCCTGTAAAAACAGGCTCTCCTGCGCATTCGCAATCCCCGTCAACGTCGCACCCAACCCATTACACTGCGCTTCAGCGCCATCTCGATTCGGTTCACCCGCAATCACACGGATACACCAAATTCTACCAGATCTCGGGAAACCTTTCCAGCCCTTCAGACAGCGTGGCACTCTTTTGGTTGTAGTTTTGGTGGTGGTCCGTTTTTTCTTGTGATGATGATGTTTTTTGTGATGTTCTCGTGGAAGTTCCTCGCTGGATTCTGAAGCTGAACAATCATCATCTCGATCTTTTCTCCGAGCTTCGATCTCCAACAAGAAGATCGAGACCAGAATCAGTAGGGAAATCAGAAATAATTTCATTTTAATTGAAAATCATTAGAAAGCGTGGGGCTTTTATAGCAATGATTTTTACGGTTCCCGAAAAAATAGCAATTTTTCCGTGTTTTGGTCAAACTACAAATATTTTACGATTTTTTTTCTCAAACCGTTGAAATTGTTCGAAATTGCTATAAAAGCCCCAAACGTGTTTAATGCTTTTCAATTAAAAAATGAAAATATTCCCACTGATTCTGGTGCTGATCTTCTTGTTCTTGAAGATCGAAGCTCGGAAAGAAGATCGAGATGATGATTGTTCAGCTTCAGAAGAACGCCCACGAGAACATCACAAAAAACATCACAAGAAAAAGCGGACCACCACCACCACAACTACAACCAAAAGAGTCCCAAGTTGTCTGAAAGGCTGGACAGGTTTCACAAGATCTGGCAGAACTTGGTGTATCCGTGTGATTGCTGGTGTTGAAAATCAAGCTGGCGCTGAAACGCAGTGTAATTTGTTGGGTGCGAAGTTGACGGGGATTGCGAATGCACAGGAGAGCCAGTTTCTACTGGGTGAGTTGGCTAGGCTTGAGGCTAACCCAAGGCTCAAGCCAGGCCGCTTCGCGGAAGCTCGCGCTTTACACTCGCGCAGAGCGCTCGGGCTTCCAGGCTCCACCATACCTTCACCTTTCCAGCCCAATCTCTCCCCATCCTTCAATCACTCGGCAAAACCGTCGGCTCAATCTGGATCGGCCTGGTCCGTCGGCCCGAATGTCGCGGCTACCTCAAATCCCTATTCGCTCCCTGTATTCGTGGTGCTGGATTCATGTGGACAGATGGTGTGGTAACCGACACATCTACCATCACCTGGCGAGCAACAACACCGGATAATATCGGGTAGGCCTAGGCCCACTGAAGCCCACTAAAGCCTAATTCTATCCCTTCCAGATGGACTCAAAATTGTGCGCGATTACACGTGGGTTCGAGAGCCTATCAATTGCATTTCGTGAATCCTGGAGATATGGATGATATGGATTGTACGATTCCGGCTAGCAAAACATTGGATATTGAGAGGACTCAGGGATTTGCGTGTGGAATGTGGGCCGATTAATTTTGGGGGTAATTATTAATTAATTAATTAATTAAGATTTTCTATTTGCAAAATGCCAGCTCAGAAACCTGGTTTTTCGAAAAAAAAAGAAACAAAAAAGTGTTTGCAACGACACTCCGCAATGACGCTTGCATGTTGTTCAATCCGCGGTTTTTCCTGTGAAAAATCAGGGTTTTTGAGGAAAATGCCATGTCATAGCTAATTTTCTGAAAAAACAACGTTTGCAACGACACTCCGCAATGACGCTTGCATGTTGTTTAACGATATTTCATTTTGTTTTGTTTTCCGCCGTTTTTCCTGTGAAAAATCAGGATTTTCGAAGAAAATGCCACGTCATAGCTAATTTTCTGTAAATAAAAAACGTTTGCAACGACACTCCGCAATGACGCTTGCATGTTGTTTAACGATATTTCATTTTGTTTTGTTTTCCGCCGTTTTTCCTGGGAAAAAAAGGATTTCCTGTAAATTTGAGTTAAAAATGCCACGTCATAGCCCACTGACTCATTTCCGATCCTCTTATTTTTCCTTTATTCTTCTGATTTTTCATTTCTATCATCATTTTTGAACTAAAAACTGATAAAACCCCCCAATTTTCCACCTGTGTTATCAGCAAAACCGAAAAAAATGACCAGCAAAATTGAAATTTTCCTACTATTTTTTTCGTACACCTCGATTTCTGCCACTTCTTCTACTTGTCCCACAGGCTTCACCCTATTAACAAACGGAAAATGTGTCAAATATTCATCGGGAGTTACGACAACTCACATAAATGCGATGGCAAATTGCCAGGCTTTTGGTGGTGACACCAAATTGGTGTCCGTCTCCAACGCCATCGACAACACGGCGATTCTACAATTGACGACGGGCGCGATTTGGTTGGGTTTGAAGTGTTCGGGCACGAATTATTGTGTTTGGGAGGATGGAACGGGTGAGTGCGGGATGCGGAAGCGGAAGCGGAAAGAGCGCGGAAAATTTGCGATTTTTTGACATCAAACATGATAGGGTTTGGGAGAATCCACGTGGCACATTTTAAGCCTGGAATTTGAGGTCTAGAAATCCACGTGGCATCCGAATTTCAGCCTTGAAGTCTGGAATTTCACGCGTCACACTTTCATCTTTGAAAAGTGAGCTCTGAAAATCCACGTGGCAAATCTCCAGCCTGGAATTTATGGTCTGAAAATCCACGTGGCACAATTTCTTGAGCTCGAATTCGAAGCCTGAAAATCCACGTATCAACAGAATCTTGCAAGCTTCAAGAATCCACGTGGCACATTTCCAGCCTGGAATTTCAAGTCTGAAAATTCGCGTGGCACATTTTCAGCCTGGAATTTTCAGTCTGGAAATCCACGTGGCACATTTTAAGCTTGAAATTTCAGGTCTGAAAATCCACGTGGCAAATTTTCGGCCTGAAATTTATGGTCTGAAATTCCACGTGGCATTTTCCAAACCCTATCAAATTTGGTCTCAAAAAACGCCAAATTTCCAGCCCTCCTCAATTCCAGTGCTGAAAATCCACGTGTCTACCCCCGAATTTCCAGCCTTCACCTACTCGAACTTCATCACCGGTCAACCCTCAACAAACATCGGAAATTGCGTGATGATGTTGTCAAATGGCCGTTGGTCGTCGGCAGATTGCGAAGCCTACAGCCTGAATTACGTGTGTCAGCAGAATTCGCAAACCTCCTCGGGGTGCTCACTGAAATCCTATGTGTCTGGAGATCAGGGAACTCTGACTTCCCCGAACTTCCCCGGATCATATATCGGGACACAAGATCAACAATGTAATTTTATCATAACTTCGAGTTCCACGTGGAATCAAGTTCAAATGGCCGTGCAATTCCCGATTCTCCAACTCGACACCGGTTCAGATATCAGCATCTACAATTCAGAATCGGATTCCCTGCCCTCCGTAGTTCTCACCTCAAAATCGACCGCCGATGGAACATGGTACTACTCAACAGGTTCTACAATCCGAGTGCAATTCAATAAGTGCACGGGAACCTGTGATTCCAGTCAAGTCCACTTATGGGAACTCAACTATCGCGCATCAAATCTAGTTCCCACCACCCAGAACCCGATTTCGAATGGTGGGTGCAATGCGGGCACCCTGAATGCTCCCGGGGTGATCTATTCGCCCAATTACCCGTCGCTGTACCCGAATAATTTGGATTGCTCATATTATTTGGTGGCTCCGCAGGGTTATGGGTGAGTTTGGGAAGATAAATTCAGAGTTCCCAAAAATCCTCAAAAGGTAACCTGAACTTAATTTCAGGATCGAAATCCTGTTCCTGACCATCGACACCGAACATTGCTGTGATATAATCGTAATCCACGACGGTCAGACCACCGAACTCGGAAGACTTAGCGGGTATTACCAGCCGAATACTCAGAGCTTCAAATCGACGACAAATTCGATGCTCGTCACTTTCAGCACCGATTCCAGCGGTCAAAAAAGTGGATTTCAGGCCAGATTTTCGGTTTATCAATTGTAAATTTGTGTGCATTTTTCATTTTCTTATCATTTTGTGTGCTCCGCAAAAATCAATGAAACTTTATTTCCTGATTTTAATTTTTCTCAACTTCCAAATCATTTTTTGCCTTGAAAATTGCACCCAAGTTGGTGGAACTTGTGTGATTTTATCCAGCAAGAAATCAAATCGACCGAATGCCAGAAAACATTGCGAAGAGTTGGGTGGAAGTTTGGTGACTATACGGAATTCTATAGTGAGTTATGACGTGGTGAATTTGAGAGTGAGCTCAAGCCTAAGCACAAGTCGCGGAGAGCGCTCGGGGCTTAAGCTTCAGCTCAAGCCTAAGCCCGGCCGCTTCGCGGGAGCTTGCGATCTACACTCGCACAGAGCGCTCGAGGCTTGGGCTTCTGCCTGTACGAGAGCCTGAGTCCTGGCCTCGGCCGAAACCCAGGCTTCAAGTCTAGGCCGACCGCATCGCCGAAGTCTACACTCGCGCAGAGCGCTCGGGGGTTAGGCTTCCGCCTGTACCAGAGCCTGAGCCCTGGCCTCGGCCGAAACCCAGGCTTCAAGTCTAGGCCCGGCCGTTTCGCGGAAGCTTGCGGTCTACACTCGCGCAGAGCGCTCGAGGCTTAGGCTTCCGCCTGTACCAGAGCCTGAGTCTGGCAAAAGCTTGGGCCAAAACTCAGGCTCCAAGTCTAGGCTTCTGCCTGTAAAGGACCTGAGTCCGGAAAACGATTGGCCTAAACTCAGGCTACAAGTTCAGGCTGGCCGCTACGCGGAAGCTTGCGGTCTACACTCCCGGCAAAGCCGCTCGACCTTGCCACGTCACAACAAACATATTTCCAGGACAACTCAGCAATCCTACAATTCCTCTCGAATTCCTCCTCCGGAATCTGGCTCGGTCTCACATGTCACACCAACAAATCGCCCGAAAAATGCACATGGGATTCAGATGGCTCTGCAGCGAGTTACAATAACTTCCTGCCCGGTTATCCAGTCACCAACATCGGCTCTTGTGTATATTTCGACCCGCCGAATCAACCACTCAAAGGGAAGTGGATAAGTGCCACGTGTGATGTGGAAGAGTTATTGTATCTTTGTGAATGAATAAAAAACCGCAACGCACACGCAACGCATGCAACAACCTTCATTCATTATGCATTAACCCTGATTAGCCCACATTCCGCAAGCGAATCCACGTGGCGATTCCACATCCAACGCTCGCGGATTCCACGTGGCAGTACACGCGGCATCGGCCAATTGTCCCGGCTGAAAACCATACTGTGCGATCAGACCGACATGCATGTATGAGCAATTTTGGAGCCCTATAAAATTGTCGGGCTCCCCTTTTCGCCACGTCATAGTTTCTTGTCGTTTTGTGTAGCCGTCGGTCCAGTGGAAACCGTTGCTCAGTTTACATTCGGGCAGATTGGTGGAGGCGGAGAGCGGAATGCAGGCGGGTTTGCGGGCGAGACCCACCCAGAGGGTGCCGACTTGAAGGCCGAGTGTTTTGATGATCGAGACGCCTTGTTCTGGAAAATTTTGTGTGGGTTAGAGACGCAGAGTATTGTAGAGATACTAGACAGCTAGAGAGTGTAGAGACACAGAGTGTGAGAGGTGATAGAGAGCATAGAGAAGCTAGAGATGTTAGAGAGTGTGCTAGACAGCTAGAGAGTGTAGAGGGAAGGGCTAGAGACGCATTGGATGCTAGACAGCTAGGCGGATAGAGCTAGAGAGGAAGGGTTAGAGACGCAGAGAGCATAGGGATGCTAGAGAGGTTAGAGATGCTAGACAGCTAGAGACGCAGAGTATGTTAGAGAGTGCAGAGACGCAGAGTATGTTAGAAAACATTGAAGTAGTAGAAAGCCAGACAACTAGAGAGCACATCGGAGGTAAAGGGTGTCAGACAGTTAGAGCAAAACTAGAGAATAGCTTGAAAGTTAGAGACGCAGAGAGCTAGGCAACTAGAGAATACAAAAACGTAAGAGAGAGTGTCAGACAGCTAGAGAACACATATAGGTTAGAGAAAGCTAGACAGCTAGAGATAAGTAGATAGCGGTGTAGGTTAGAGACGCAGAGACCTTGAAAACCTAGGCACCTAAAGACTGTTAGAGATGCAGACGGCTAGAGCACCAGACAACCAAACAACTAGAGATCACAGAGTAGTCAGATCACCAGACCACCAGACATCCTCGAATCTGTCAGAGACGCAGACACACTCACTCTGCAAATATTGATTTTCCGCCACACTATTGATTCCGGTCAACGTGGCTCCGAGATTTGCGCATTCCGCTTGCGCCTGATTTCTGTCCGCCTGACTTGTCATAACTTTGATGCACCAAAGACGGCGGCCCCGTTGGAAGCCTTGCCACGTGTCTGGACAACTTGCAGTGGATTCATCTGAGGATTCTGAAGATGAAGCTGAAGCTAAAGCTGCTTGAGATTCTGAATCTGAATCCGAATCCGAGTCGCAAAGTTCTCTTGGAGCAACTTTGGAGCCCAGCAATACTAGAATCAAAATTGGGAGGCTTTTCATTTTAATTTTTGATTTTTAAAATGAAAAGGCGTGGGAGCTTTTATAGCAATAGTTTTTGGTAATTAAAATTTTTAATTACGCCTTAAAAATTTTAACGCTAATACTAAAACACGAAAACATCTTGATCAAAAATCGATTTTTTTCAATGAACACAGTCATGTTTGGGCTCAAAATGCTCCAAATTTGAAGGGGATTCTGAATTTCCGGTGGGATTTTTAGAATCTCCTGGAAATTTGGAGCATTTTGAGCCCTAACTTGACTATGTTTGGGCTCGAAATGCTCCAAATTTAAAGGGGAATCTGGAATTCAGGTGGGATTTTCTCAGAATCGTCTAGAAATTTGGAGCATTTTGAGCCCTGACTTGACTATGTTTGGGCTCGAAATGCTCCAAATTTAAAGGGGATTCTGAATTTCATTTGGGATTTTTAGAATCTCCTTGAAATTTGGAGCATTTTGAGCCCTGACTTGACTATGTTTGAGCTCGAAAAATCGGGAAATTTCAGAAGATTTTAAAATGTTAAAATTCAATTTCAGGATTTTCAGATTCTTCTCAAAATTTGGAGCATTTTGAGCACAAATTTCAGCATTTTCGGGCTCAAAATGCTCCAAATTCAAAGGGGATTCTGAATTTCCAGTGGGATTTTTAGAATCTCCTTGAAATTTGGAGCAATTTAAGCCCAAACTTAGTCATTTTTGGGTTCAAATCAGTTTTATTGTTCAAAAACACGCTCAATTAGCCGTCGATTTTCGATTAGTTTCGGAAGCCGGCTCAATTTGTGCTCGAAATTTGGCGGGATTTCGAAATCGCAGCAAATTCCACAGCGCTGCACGGTATTCTGGGAGAAGGAGGAGAATTGCGAGAGGATCGATGAACGGAAAAGCTGCCACAGCTATAATTGCAGTCGAGTTGTTGATGCTGAAAAAAATTTGCGATTTTTGACACCAAATAGGTCAGGGGATCGATTCCCGGTGCCCGCAGAACAGTTTTTTTTTAATTTTCGCGCCAAAATCTACCGTACCCTTTGGAATCGATGTGTAACATTGGAAGTGTCCAACAAACTACACACGGCAAATAACTGATGACAAATGGGATGAAAGTTTGGATCGATAATGAGGTGAGCAGGTTACGGTGCATTTTTTTGGTCGTTTTGCTCATCTCGATGGTCCGCAGCTTTGAATGGATCTGGAAATTTGGATTTGGCGTGGGATTTGGAGCATTCTGAGCATGAATATAGTCTAGTTTGGGCTCAAAATGCTCAGAATTTCTAGGAGATTCTGGAAAATTCAGATTCCCCTTGAAAGTTGGAGCATTTTGAGCCGAAACATGAGCAATTTCGGGCTCAAAATGCTCCAAATTTCTCGATGATCAACATTTTTCAGCATTCTACTTCCCCTAACTCGCAAACTAGACACATTTACTAGAAAAAATCGAATTATAAGCTAGCAGAGCTAACTGCCAATTATAAATTTGATTACAAATAAAACACGTGTGTGTGTGAGTGATGTTAGAATGATCAAAAAAATGTTTGAAGTTTGATGCGAGTTAGGCTAAGTTTAGGCTCAAAATGTTCAGAATTTCCAGGAAATTCAGAATCCTCAAGATTTCGAGAATTTTGAGCCCAAATATAAGCAATCTTGGGCTCAAATTTTACAGAAATTTCGCAGGATTCTGAAATTCTCTGAAATTTTCAGAATCCCCAAAAAATTCCAGATTTTTTGAGCCAAAACCTGCTCCTGTTTAGGTTTTGCAGCTGGGTATATTTGAGTTACAGTAATCCTTGCAGTCTGGCCTTTTCTTGTGTCTATTAAAGTTGATTTTGCTTTCTAAAGTATTCAAACTGCAAGGTATACTGTAGCTTGGTAGATATGCCGGACTGCAAGGTGTACTGTACCTCAAACTGCAAAGTCTTCAAATTTTCCGAAAAATGAGCAAGTTTGGGCTCAAAATGCTCAGAATTTATAGGGGATTCTGGGAAATTCAGATTTCTCAGGGGATTCTGAGCATTTTGGGCCCAAACTAGGTCATGTTTGGGCTCAAAATGCTCCGAATTTCTAGGAGAATCTGAATTTTCGAAGGTCAAAATGCTCACCGTCCACCCAACCCAACAACAAAATCCAATCGTAAAGCACGAAATAACTGTACAAACAAAAATGCCCAATAAACTGCGCAAAATGAGCCAATTCGATGCTCCCCAATAAGTGCTTCCCAACATCGGAAGCTTATAAATATCCACTGAATAATCGTTTCGAAATGGGATTTCGAGAAAACTTCTCATTTCATCGTCGGCTTCGAGAAACTCAAAAACGGCGATAAACCACAGGAAACCCTGGAGAAAAACCAGAAAAACCAGCAGCGAAATCCATTTTTTGTCGGAAAAAATTGGGATAAATCGGGGTTTGATTAGGGCGATATATCTGTAGATGAAGTGGATTTCGAGGACACCGTAGCTGAGGCTGAAAAACATGCAGCGAACACATAAGGCGTAGAAACCGGTTTTGAGATTGTCGGAGAAGAGGCCGTGAGAGACGAACACGCAGAATGTGTTCTTTTCCGAGTGTGAACCCATGCCGACTGGAAATTTGGGGATTTTTTAAGGTTCGTGAGCTAATTTGGAGCATTTTGAGCTCAAACTAGACTATATTTGGGCTCAAAATGCTCCAAATAAAATTCTGAACTTTTTGAGCCCAAGATTGCTCATGTTTAGGCTCAAAATGCTCAGAATTCCGTACGGAATTTTCCGGAATCTTCATAGAATTTGGAGCATTTTGAGCCCAAACAAGCCTGGTTTCGGCTTAAAATTGCGAGGCCTATTTTTCAGGCTTTTGTAGGCTTGTTTAGGCTCAAAATGCTCAGAATTCCATAAGGAATCTGAATTTCCCAGAATCTTCATGAAATTCGGAGCATTTTGAGCCCAAACAAGCCTGGTTTCGGCTCAAAATTGCGAGGCCTATTTTTCAGGCTTTTATAGGCTTTTTCAGGCTCAAAATGCTCAGAATTCCATAAGGAATTCAAAAATGACTGCCACGTGGCATAATTGGGCTCAAAATGCTCCAGATTTCAAGATGAATTCAAATTTTCCAAAATTTTCATAGAACTTGGAGCATTTTGAGTCCAAACTAGACTATATTTGGGCTCAAAATGCTCCGAATCCAATAAGGAACTCAAAAATAACGGCCACGTGGCATTGTTGGGCTCAAAATGCTCCAAATTTCGCTCAAAAACTCACCCAAAATATCGACAGTCGAATAACATATATCAAAAACTCCAAAACAAGCCAACATATATTTATAGGCTCCCAAAGTTTTTCTTGAGAATTTCAGAACAACGTAGATGAAGATGCAGTTGAAAATATAGGAAAGAGTGGCAAACATTGGTGGAAGATAATGGTGGAAGAAATTGATGTACATCTGGAAATATTTGAGCTCAAAAATCTGAAAATTTCAGAATCGCCTTGAAATTTGGAGCATTTTGAGCCCAAGATTGCTCATGTTTGGGCTCAAAATGCTCAGAATCCCTTTAGGTTTCTGAATTTCCTAAAATCTGCTAGAAATTTGGAGCATTTTGAGCCTACATTGAGCTATATCAAAAAATTAGTTCCAATTCAAAATCCACGTGTTTTCATGATTTTCTAAAACCTGAAATTAATTTTTTCAGACAGAAAAATGCTCCAAAAATTATAAGTTAGTCGAGCTCAAAATGAGCAAACTATAATTTGATCAGGAAATAATTTTGGATTATTTTTCCCCGAGCAAAAATGAGTTAGCCTAATTGGCACATTTTCAGCGTGTGAGTAAGGGAAAATGATGATTTTTTGCTCACAGAATCATCACTATGAAAATTTGGATTTTGCTCGAGTTAGGGCTCAAAAAATGCAGAATTTCAGGGGAATTTGGAATAAATTTTGAAAATTTCAGAGTCCCTCTAAAATTCTGAGCATTTTGAGCCCAAATATGAGCAAGTTTAGGTTCAAAATGCTCCAAATTTCAAGGCGATTCTGAAAATCCCAAAATTAAATTCTGAAAATTTCGAGATCTCCCGAAAATTCCAGGTAAATTTCAGCCAACTCAAAATATCTCAGAAATCACATTTTTTTTTTGAAAAAATAAAAATAAATAGCTGGGAAAATTCCAGACATCAAAAATCCTGAAAAAAAATTTTTTTTTCAACAAAAAATCCAATTTTTTTCTTTTGAATTTTTTCTGAAAAGATTTCAAATTGGAAAATTTTATGAGCAAACTATAAAAATCGAAAAAATAAATTTTGCGCGAGCAGCAAAAAAATATTAGGCTAACTGCCAATTATTGAGCTTCTGACCAAACAAATTACGAGAAAATGGAAATTTTCGAACCTGATCTATGCGATTGTCTTGCCACGTCATAGGAGATTCTAAATTTTTTAAACCCAAAAACTCAAAAAACCTTCATTTCTCATCAAAAAAGTCAAAAACTTACGAATTCAGAGGTTTCAGAAATCAAAAACCGGAAAATCCACAGTTTTCATACTGTAAAAAAAACTTTTTGGACCTAAAATTACCCGTATTAAAATGAATTTCATCAGAAATCATTCCAAAAGCTTCAAAAATCTCTTTATCGATTGAAAATGTCGTGGCTTTCTTACATTATTCGAAGGATTTCGAGAATCTTCTTTCCAGATGAGAAACTGCAAAAAAAATATGTATTTTTTATTTGAAAAATCCCAAGACTTACCGTGTCAATCGATCTTTCTCTTTTCTGGCTCGCGCTTTCAATTTCCTCAACCAAATTTCAAATCGATCACGACAATCGACACCATCAAGAATTGTTTCTCTGCAAAGTTTGAATTATTTTTGAGTCTTTCCTATAAATCTCACCGTTTTCCATTGATCGAATCGCAACAAATCTGCAATAATCGTTGAACAACATAATTGCCAAATTGGTGGATTATCAGAATATCCAATGCATCTCTGCCAGTTTCTCTGAAGTGGAAAATTCTTTCGAAACTTTTGAAAACACACTAAAAACTTACGGATGAGGTAGATAGCCATCGAAAATCTCTTCCATCATATCTAAAAGATAGTGTAGTGGAGCATGAGCCAATGCTTGTTCAACAACATGTGACGCGTATTTTTCTTGGGACATTGACATAAGGTTTTGTCTGGAAATATTAATTTTACTTCGTCAGTCGCGTGCGGTTGTGCGTTGCGGTTGGCACACGTCAGCACGCGACTAATGTTTTCAACTCACAACAAATACTGATCAATAATCTCATCTCGATAAACTTTCAAAACATCGTGATTCGAAATAATATATTGAATCACATAATTCGCAAACTCGTCTGATATCAATTTATGGCAATTCAACAGAATTTGATTCATAAGTTTATGCAAAAGACAATCCTTTTCAGCGTGATTTCCGAATGTTTTTATGGCTAGAATTTCGACGATAGTTTGAACTACACGACATCCATATTTATCTTGACAAATCATCAATAGATTGTTGTTTTCTTCTGATTTGCATAGAAAATCAATGAGGAATGACCATTTGTTGAATGGTTTCGTTTTTACGATCTGAAATAAAAATGAGAAGGGTTGTGTTAGAGAAAACGGAAGAAAAATACTTTTTGAATGAAATGATTCGCATTTTGGTCGGTACAAATTGATATCAATTGTTGATCGCGTGGAATTGAATCAACCAAAGCATCAGCATACTCAGGTTTCAGACGCTGAAATAAATTTTTTGAAAATTTTCTTCACTTTCAGGGCCTCAGGATGCCTTTCCGGAGCTCAAGAAGCCTTTCCGGAGCTCAGAAAACTTTTCCGGAGCTCAGGAAGCCTTCCCGCAACTCATAAAGCCTTTCCGGAGCTCCGGAAGGCTCTCCGAGCCACAGAAAACCTTTCCGGAGATCAGGAAGCTTTTCCGGAGCTCAGGAAGTCTTTCCGGACTCCTGGAAGCCTTTTCGGACTCCTGGAAGCCTTTCCGGATCTCAGGAAGTTTTTCCGGAGCTCCGCAAACCTTCCTGAATCCCTGGAAATCTTCCCGGATCTCAGGAAGCCTCGCCGAGCCACAGAAAACCATTCCGAAGCTCAGGAAGCCTTTACGGACTCCTGGAAGCCTTTCCGGAGCTCCAGGAAGCCATTCCGGAGATCAGGAAGCCAATCCGGAGCTCCGGAAGCCTCTCCGAGCCACAGAAAACCTTTCCGGACTCCTGGAAGCCTTTCCGGAGCTCCGGAAGCCTCTCCGGAGATCAGGAAACCTTTTCCGGACTCCTAGAAGCCTTTCCGCAGCTCAGGAAGCCTCTCCGGAGCTCCAGAAAGCGTTTACGGTGCTCGGGAAGCCTTTCCGGAGCTCAGGAAGCTTTTCCGGAGCACTAGAAGCCTTTTCCGGAGCTCCGGAAGCTGTTCCGGAGATCTAAAAGCCTTTCCAGAGCTCAGGAAGCTTTTCCGGAGCTCACAAAAATATATATTTCATTGAAAATCTCCGGGATAGTTGATAAGTTTATAAAATACCTCTAATGCTGTTTGAATAACACGGCACGCACTTTTATCCAAACATAAATCCGCCATATCTGAACATAGATATTTGTAGATGAATTCCTGTTCGTTCTGATTCGAAACATCAATAACACGTTGCAAGAAAAAGTTGGCAAAGGTATTTCTGCACAAACTCTGGAAAAACAATTTTATAAATGCCAATTTTTGATTTCCTAACCAAAAAAGTGTCGCGATCCTCCAAAATCTCCTTGCAAATTCGATCTCTCAACTCATTTCCCATTCCATTTGTTGACAACTCATAGAAGCGGCTTTGCAGAAAACTGGAAGAAAATTTGAATTTTATGATTTTATCATAAATTATGAAACTGTCGAATTATCTTACTGGCATCCCAATTTATCCGTGGCAAAATTTTGGAGTAAATTCGATTCAACAACTTTTTCAAGTGTAAAATCCGATCGAATTTCACCGCGATCATCAAAAATCCAATCAGGAAGTGTTGAAATTCTCTTGTTGGGTTCTTCTTCGAGACCAAGAATAGCGAATCGATTTATGACATCTTCTTCCAACGATGAATTCTGAAGTGATTTGATATTGTTATTCAAGAATTCATTACTCACCTCTAGATATTGATTCATATAAGCAACGCGTGGATCCATCGCCTTTAAAAACCTGATAATGGCAGATTTCATTTCCTCTTTCTTGCCACGAGTAGATACACGTTTCACGAGATTTCTTTATTTTTTGATTTTCGAAAAGATTCAAATTTCCTCTGACATCGATAAATACACCATTTTGTAGCCCTTAAAATTCTCTACAAGATCCATATTCACTATCTGTCCAAAGCACCCTGAAAACTTCTGAAATTGGCGCAAAAATGGTGTGAAAACAAAAAAAAACTTTGAATGTTCGGTGGAGCGCGTTTGCTCGTTTCTTCCATTTGCAATTTTTTTCGGGCGGTTTTTTGTTTTTTTCAAGGTTTCTTGATGGAAAATCGATATTTTCAGGTTGGAATGGCTGAAAATCGAAAAAGAATCGGAAATTGAATGCTGGAAATTGTGAGGAATTCGGAAATTTCACGGGATTTTCAATGGAAATGTGAGTTTTTAAACATTTTCTTTTCTTCTTCATTTTTCCACTAAAATCCGGGGAAAAAGTGATTTTAAAAAAAAAATTTTATATCAATTAATTGAACGTCAGTTAGAATTATCAAATCATCCCCATAGAACTGCCTTTTTGTTGTTGAGACGATGCTTCTGGACCAACACGGTCTTTGATTCTCCAGAAGCAGATGAGATTGAATAACGCGTTTCGGTATTCGGGGAGAAGGAGAATGATTGCAATCGGGTCGATGAAGGGGAATATTGAGACGGCCATTGCGGCGTAGTTGTTTAGGCTGGAAAACATTTTCTGGATTTTTTGGGATGCCAAGGAATTAATTTGAATCTAGATATGACTAGAGTCAGAGAACTAGAGAGCGTTAGGGACGCAGAGGAGCTTGTCGCTTTGTTTTGAAGTGAATGCGGAAAGCGGAAACTTGCGGTTTACAGGCTATGGCTGACAATGAGATTCTAGGTTTATCCCCAGCCGCTACGCGGAAGCTTGCGGTTTACACTCGCGGCAGAGCCGCTCGGCTATTCATCACAAGGCGTGGCCGCTACGCGGAAGCTTGCGGTTTACACTCGCGGCAGAGCCGCTCGGCTATTCATCACAAGGCGTGGCCACTACGCGGAAGCTTGCGGTCTACACTCGCGGCAGAGCCGCTCGAAACTCACGTCTTCGAATCAATATGTAAAAGTGGAACAGTCCAGGTTAAAGTACACGGCAAGTAACTTATAACAAATGGAATGAAAGTTTGAACAGCTAAGGAGCGAAGCAGGTTTCGATGCATTTTCTTGGTATTCACTGACATTTGAACAACTCCCAGCTTCTTGTGAATCTGAAATTCGATTTCAGCTTGAATCTCTGATCATTTTGAATCTAGACTCGATGTTCTTACCGTCCATCCAACCCAAATACAAAATATAATCGTAAAACACGAGATCACAGTGATAATCAAGATTCCAATCGAAGTTCTAACAATAAGTTCAGTCGAAGCTCCCCAATAAGTGCTTCCTAGAATCGCGATCTTATAAACATCTACTCCATAAGTTCGACGAATTGGTTCAGCCAAATAAGATCGCATTTCATCGTCGCCCTTCAGGAAAATGAAAACTGAACAGAACCAGATGCCACCTTGGGTGAAAACACCCAGTATTATCACTATGATCCATTTTGGATTGGTGAAGATTTGAAGATAATAGGGTTTGATTAGAGCGATATATCTGTAGATGAAGTGAACTTCGAGAACACCGTAGCTTAGGCTGAAGAACATGCAGCGAATGCAGAGAGCCGTGAAACCGGCTTCGACTTGCTGCAAAAAATTGTGGAGTGTCTGCGTCTCTAACCTTCTGAAAATCTCTAGGTTTCTGACCTCTGCGTCTCTAGACTCCAGTTGTCTAGTCATTCTGCATGTCTAACTTCCTCTTCCTCTCTAATCCTAGAACTCCAAAGGCGCCTTTCTGCGTTTTTCTAGCCTTCTGACCTTTCTCTGCGTCTCTAGCTATCTCAGAACTCTAGCTGTCGAATTTCTCTGCGTCTATAACTTTCTGAGAATCTCTAGGTTTCTTACTTCTCTCTAACTTTTTCTAGCCTTCTGACCTTTCTCTGCGTCCTTAGATCTTTTATAGACTCTAGTTGTCTGCGTCTCTAACTATCTTAGAACTCTAGTTGTCTAGTCACTCTGCATGTCTAACTTCCTCCTCCTCCGAAAATTGAATTATCGCCGAGCAGGTAATTTTTTGGCTATACGAAATTTGATTATAATTTTTTTTCGCTTCGAGTTAGGCTAAATGACATTTCGCTTATTATGATGACAGAAGACCACCAAGAAACCAAAAATCTTGGGGGTTTTTCGAGGTCTAGACACGGAAAACTATGACCTAGAAACCCTAGAAGTTAGGCTAACTCACATTAAAAAACGGGCCATCACTAATAAAAAGGCAAAAAGTGTTGCCTTCGGAATGTGAACCCATCGAAACGACCATATCCACCGTCGAATAACACATATCAAAAATGCCGAACATGACGAGCATATATTTATAGGCTCCCATTGATCTCCGGGTGCATTTTAGGCAAATGAAGATGAAGAGAGAATTGGCGATGAAGCTGAGATAGCCGAAAATGTGGGGGAAATAGTGGTGGATGAAGCCGGTGTCCATCATCGTGATTCTGTGAGAAATTTGGGATTTTTTGAGTCCAAATAAGCCTAGGCTTATTAAATGAGCCTAGGCTTAAGGTCCAGAATCAGGTTCAAACTGAAATTCTGTATTTCTAGACACTAAATAAGGTCCTAGAGGCTCAGATTCCGATTCTGGGCGAAATTCAGAAAGTTTTGAGATCTCAGAAGCCTAGAGAAGCATAGATTCAGATTCTGGAAGAAATTCAGATGTTTTTGAGATCTCAGAAGCCTAGAGAAGCTCAGATTTAGATTTTTGCTGAAATTCTGGATTTTTTAAGATCTCATAAGCCTAGAGAAGCTTAGATTCAGATTCTGGGTGAAATTCAGAAAGTTTTGAGATCTCAGAAGTTCAGAGAAGCTCAGATTCAGATTCTGGGTGAAATTTTGGATTTCTAGATTCTAAATAAGGTCCTAGAGGCTCAGATTCAGGTTTAGACTGAAATTCTGGATTTTTTGAGATCCTAAAAGTCTAGAGAAGCTCAAGTTAGTTAGCCTAACTCTCATAATCAGAACTGAAAAATTTGATTATAATTTATTAGTTTTTCTTCGACGTAGACAGGATGACAATACGATTTGTGTTTTGATGATTCGTGAGAATTCTGATCAAGGTCTGGGGTTTGAAGAGCTTGGAATTCTGGATTTTTTGAGATCTCACAAGCCTAGGTGTGAATCTGAGGCTTCAGAATGATATTTGGAGCATTTTGAGCCCAAACATGGTTATGTTTGGGCTCAGAATTCGTAGAGAATTCTGAAAATCTACTGAAAATTCCAGATTTTTTAAAGCCTAAATCTCAAAGATCAAGATTTCCACGTCATTTTTTCTTGCTGAAAAAACGATAAAAAAGAAAGAAAAAAATAGATCTGAAAATGTTTCTGACTGAAAAATTGTTGTCTGAAACATTCAAGACCTCCTTGAAAATGGGCGGAGCCTATTTTCAGCAGCAGCAATTTTTTCTAAAAGTCTAGGAGTTTTTCAATTAGGAGGTCTCTTGTATTTTTGAACAAAAAATAGAAAAAAATAGGTTTGTCATCTTTTTATAAAAGAGGAAAAAAAGTAAAAAATAGGAAAAAAATGATGAGGAAAAAAATCTGAAAACGAATTTTCAGAGCTTTGAAATTCTGAAAATTTTTCGATGAAATTCCAAACTTTTGAACTTTGTATTGAAAATCACCTGGAATCGGTTTTTTTCCAAAATTTTTCAGTTTTTCAGGGTGTTCTGAAAATTAAAATAAAATTATCTGAAAATTTCCTCCAAAAAATCTGGAATTTCAGAAATCTCTGAAATTTTTCATTCATTTTTTTCGCCGCAAAAAAACTCGAGCAAAAAAGGTTCTGACTAATTTTCTGATAATTTATTTTGCTCAGAAAAAAGTTCACAGGTGTTCTCCATAATCTTCTTCTTCTTCATCTTGGCATATTTCCCGGTTTGGGGTCTGCTCTTTTGATCAACTGTCTCCATTTTATACGGTCCATTGCATCGGTTTCTGATATTTTGTTGGTTCTCATATCATTGTTTATAGTATCCTTATATCGCAGTTTGGGTTTTCCGCGGCCTCGTTTTCCTTCGCATTCATAGGCTTCTGCCAATCTGATCACTGAATCTGCTTCCGCTCTTCTCACGTGTCCAAACCATCTCAATCTGCTTTCTTCCATCTTATCTCGAATTTTTCGGACTGCCACCATTTCCAGAACATCCTCGTTTTTCTTCTTGTCCAGCAGCGTAAATCCGTTGCTCCACCTGAGGATTCTCATTTCAGTCGTTGCGATTTTCTGTTCAGTATTCTTTGAGGTTGGCCACGTTTCGCATCCGTAGAGGGCCACTGGTCGAATTGCAGCCTTGTAGAATCTCCCCTTTATGTGCGGTTTGATCTTCTTGTCACACATGAATCCCGAACACGATTTCCATTTGAGCCATGTGGATGATACTCGGGCTTTAACTTCGTCTTCCATGGATCCTTCATTGTTCATTGTGGATCCGAGGTATTTGAAGGTTCTGGTTTTTGGGAGTTCAGCGCCATCTATACTGACTGATCCATCCGTTTGCTCGCCCATTTCCATGTACTCCGTTTTCTTCATGTTTAGCTTCAGCCCGCAACTTTCCAAGCTGTCTTTCCAAATCTTCACTTCAGCTTCAAGATCTTTTCTAGTTTTTGCGGCGAGCATGACATCGTCAGCGTATAGTGTGCACCAGGGGGATGGTTTTTGGATGTTTTGCGTGGCTGAATTAATTACCAGAATGAATAGGAGTGGTGATAGTGCGCTTCCTTGGTGGACTCCAACTTTTATCTTGAATTTTTCGGTGTCTCCAGCAGGAGTTCTGACAAAACTCGTTGATTCTGTATACATTAGCTTGACGATATCCACGATGTATTCAGGAACTGCGTGCTCTCTTAGGCTCCACCAGATTGTGCCATGTGGGGTGCGATCAAAGGCCTTTTTCGAGATCGAGGAAGGCCAAGTGTAGTGGAGATTTCTTTTCGCGATGTTTTTCAATGATTTGCCTTGCAGCGAATATCGCATCTGTTGTGGATTTTCCTTTGACAAATCCGCATTGTTGGTTGCTGATCTTCACAATTTTTCGGATTCTAGTGTCGACAATTCTCTCCAATATTTTCATTGTGTGACATAACAATCTTATAGGCCGGTAGTTGGCGCAGTCGGCTGGGGTTCCTTTCATCTTAAACACCGGGATCGTGGAGCTCGTTTTCCAATCCTCAGGGAAACTTTTGGTCTCGCATACTTTGTTTAGGAATGCTGTCAGCCATTTCAGTCCTTCCACGCCCAACAGTTTCCACATTTCGGCTGAAATATCGTCTGGGCCAGTTGATTTGCCGTTTTTCATTTTGCTTATGGCAGCATGGGTTTCCGGTTCGGTTATTGGTATAAACGAATCTGGCATTGTTCTTTTGGCTGAATTGGCTGGTTGGTGTGGGAATTCGACGTTTGATATTTCCTCGAAATGTTCTTTCCATCGAATAAGAATTTCATCAGTTTTTGTCAATTTAGATCCATTTTTGTTTTCGATGCATCTATATTTTTCAATATCAAGGCTTTTCCGGTGTCTCATTTGCGCCAATTGGAAGATGGCTTTGTCAGCTGTTTTGGCCGATCTGCTGGCTTCAAGTTGTTCATAAATATCATCTTGATATTCATCTCTTCTTTTGGCTATTTCAATTTTGGCGAGCCGTTTGGCATTTTGGTATTCCAGAAGATTTGCATCATTTGGGGCATTTTTGTATGCTTTAAAACAATACTTCTTCTTTTGAACTGCCGTTTTCACCTCATCTGTCCACATCCAGCATTTCTTATCATGGAATTTTCTCCCTGGTTTTGTTGTGCCAATAGTTCTTTCGGCGAGCTCCGTCACATTCTTCTTCAGGTTTATCCAGATGGTTTCAACATTCGTGTTGAGACTCGGGAGTATCATTTCATTTTTGAAAACTTGTGAGTTTTCTTTCAGCTTCCACCATTTTATACGTTTTACTGATACCATTTTTGGTTTGGATTTTCTGGGGAGTTTTAGCAGAGTGTCAGCAATCAATATTCGGTGTTGTGTGGTGACATTTGCGGAAGGTATAACTTTACAATCGTGGATTTTGACCTTTGAAGGATTAGCAAGAATGTAGTCTATCTGTGTGTTGTGGCCTCCACTGTTGTAGGTGATTAGGTGGGCTGGTCTTTTGGTGAAGAATGTGTTGGCGATTTTCAAGTTTCGACATTCTGCGAAATCGAGAATTCGATTTCCGTCGTCGTTTACATTTCCATAGCCTTTGCCACCATGGCAATCATAACCGTTACTAGTTTGGCCGACGTGTCCATTCAAGTCTCCACATATTAACAAATTCTGGCTCGTATCTTGGGTGCAATCAGCCAGCTGGTTCCAGAATATGTCTTTTTCTGTTTCAGGACAGCCTGTTTGCGGTGCATACACGCTATATATTTTCAGGTTCTGATCATCTATGTCTAGTTCGACACTGATTATTCGGTCCGATATCCGATCAACTTCAGCTACACAGTCTCTCAATTTATCGCTGATAATAATACCAACTCCATTATGCGCTGTTGCTCCATGATATATTAGTTTGTATCCGTGCCCAATGTCTCTGGATTTTGAGCCTTTCCATCTGGTTTCTTGGACAGCCGCGATGTCGATCGATCTTTTCTCTAGTTCTTGGGCAATTTCAAGGCTTCGGCCTGTCATTGTTCCAACATTTAAGCTTGCGATTCGGATACAATTTTGTCCTCGCATATTTTTCACGCCAGTCGGACATTGCTGGCGCGCGTCGCTTGGAGGGGACGCCCTAGCATTAACCATATTCTTTAGAGACATTTTTGATCATATTGTTGCTGTATTGGTTGTTCAACGGCCGGCTTCCAGCTTGAGCCTGACGCCGGATTCGGATTTTGCGTGTTTGGTTTGTCGTCGGTGTTGATGAATGGTGCTTGACGACGTATCCACTGGCACCACGTGGAGGCTCCGCAAATCGCCAGCATGTTCTCCATAATCGAATCTGAAAATTTCCCTGAAAATTTTACCGATTTTTTTTGGCCCAAAAAATCACGTGGCATTAATTTGTTCATGTTTGAGCTCAAAATGCTCCAAATTTCGAAAAAGAATCTGAAGTCCGCGTGACATCAAAAATTTCAAAAAAAACCACGTTCTCTGAAAAATTTTGAGCATTTTTGAAAAATGGAAAAGAAAGAAGCGGGAACTAGAAAATATCTGATTTTTGGAGCTGCTCTCACAATTTTTGCTATTATTCTGATTCTAGTGTCCCAAAATTCGGAGAGCTCAAATTCTAAGAGCCCGAAGGTTTTAACTCAAAAATCTTCAGTTTCCATTTTCATTGATTCTCCGACCAAGAAAATCGAGCAAATTTGTCGAACTCCGGAATGTATTCAACTTGGAAATCGCATAAAAACCCTGATGAATCCAAAAATCAAACCATGCGATGATTTTTATGAATTTGCATGTGGAAATTTCGCGAATTCTAGTAATTTTTCAAGCGAAGCAAGCATCATTCGACATGGAAATCGTAGGAAATTACGAGAACTTGTCAAGATTTTCGAGCCGATCACAAAATCTGAACGGATTTTGAAGATATTTTTGGAGAAATGTGGGCAGCAGCAAATTGTGGAGCCAATTTTTGCGCGAAATTCAACTAGACAAATATTTTGGAAAAATGCCAGTTTCACCCAATTATTGATTGAAGTTTCACAATTTTTTTCTGAAGATCCTGAACAGATTTTGATCAATAGCATATTTCATAAGAAAAATATATTTTATTTGAAATTGAGGACTGGCAACAAATATAGACCTAAAAATAACAAATATAGCAGGAAATTGGTGGATTTTCGAGAAATTCCATCACCAAAATTCATGAATCTCACACAATATATTCAATTTTTATTGCCGGAAACGGAGAGAAAATTAGCGGAAAATTGGAAGGTTTTAGTGGTACAAAAAGAATTTGAGGCGCTTGAAAAATATTTGAGAAATAAGATGAATTTGAAGTCGGCGCGCAAAATGTTGAAGAAATTGTGGAAAGAAAAATTGGAATTATATTTGGTCAAAAAGCGAAAAACGAGCGGGTGTTTTAAGGTAACCTTATTTTGAATTTAAAATAAAATAGTAGCCTTTTGATTTTGCAGAAGGCTGAAAAACTATTTCGAGGAACTCTTTCAATGATGTTTCTAAACAAGTTTGTCGGTCTGAAAACCGTCGAAAAAGCCAACAATTTTTTCGAGGAAATTCGAAACGAATTTATAGAACAAATCGAAAAATCCACGTGGATTGATAAAAAATCGAAGAAATTATTGAAAGATGAAGCGAAAGTATTGAATACCTCTATTGGAATTCCGGATGAATATAAAAATCTGGAAAATATTGACAAAATGTATTCGAGAATTGAAAAACCGGAAAATCAAAGTTATTTGGAACTTGTTGAGAATTTGCTGAAAATGAATATGGAAGAGACATTTTTAAGAGTTGCTCAGGCTCAAAAAATGACGTATTATGCAAAAAGTTTGGTACATTCTCCTAATTTTCATCCCATATCTTTTCGCGTTTGTGAGTGTGATCGAACCCAATTGCGTCAGATTCAAAATCAAAGATTATACCACTCTATAATTTTTCAGCATACTCTGCATTTGATCTAACTTATCCAAAAATCCATGAAAATCTGCCAGATTGGAATATGAAAATGATTTTGGGTCGAACTTTGGGACACGCTTTTGACGCGAAAAAATTCGTGAAAAATCATGAACACATTGAATATCCGAAAAAGAAAATGAATCGAAAAACGAGAAAAGAATTTGATAGAAGAATTGGATGTTTGATCTCACAATATGATAAATTTGAATTTCCGGATGGATCGAAATCAAGTGGAAAACGAACTAAAAATGAAGATTCGGCTGATAAAATTGGATTCGATTTGGCTTTTCGAATTTTACAAAGAGATTTGAGGAATTCAAATGAGATTATGGAGAAATTGCAAGGTTTGGAAGAGTTTTCGATTGAGCAAAATTGGTTTTTAAGATTTGGATATGTGAGTAAAGATTTAAAAAAAATTCTTTTTGAATCTCCTGAAAATGCCGCACATTTTGAGACCAAATATGAGCAAGTTTGGGCTCAAAATGCTCCAAATAACAAGCGGATTCTAAAAATCCTAGAAAATTTGCAGCACTACTGCCAAAAACCATACGATGAAAAAGCAATTGAAATTTATAAAGACGAAGTTCATAGTGCCGAAAAATTTCGAGTCAATGGAATTGTAATGAATTCACCGGAATTTTCGAAAGCTTTTCAATGTAAGCCAGGAAGTTTGATGAATCCCAAAGAGAAATGTCAACTTTTTGATGAGAAATGAAGATTTTTTCTGAGTTTTTTGGCGCCAAAAAAGCCACGTGGAATTAACACTAGAATTGAGCCAGAAAGAGCCCTTTTTCTCTGACTCTCCCAATTTTTAACCTGAGCAATGCTCTCTCTAATTTGTATTGATAGAAAATAGTAAGACAAAAAAACGGCTTTCCAATTTTCTGATTTTTCAGAAAATTTTAACCATTTTGAGCCCAAAAATGCGAAATTTTCAATTTTTCATTCAAAACTCAAAACAAATCTTCATTTCTCATCAAAAAGTTCACATTTCTCTTTGGGATTCATCAAACTTCCTGGCTCACATTGAAAAGCTTTCGAAAATTCCGGCGAATTCATTACAATTCCATTGACTCGAAATTTTCTCGCACTATGAGACTCTTTTCTATAAAGTTCAATCAAGTTTTTATCGTACGGGATTTGGCAGTGATACTGAAATAATTAATTTTAGGATTTTCAAAATCTCCTCGAAATTTGGAGCATTTTGAGCCCAATATTGCTCATGTTTGGTCTCAAAATGTTCGGAATTTTTAGAATTTTAGAATCCTCTAAACTCACACTGGCAAAGGTTAAAAACCAATTTTGCTCAATCGAAAACTCTTCCAAACCTTGCAATTTCTCCATAATCTTACTCGAATTCCTCAAATCTCTTTGTAAAATGCGAAAAATCAAATCAAATCCAATTTTATCAGACGAATCTTCATTTTTAGTTCGTTTTCCACTTGATTTCGATCCATCCGGAAATTCAAATTTATCATATTGTGAGATCAAACATCCAATTCTTCTATCAAATTCTTTTCTCGTTTTTCGATTCATTTTCTTTTTTGGATATTCAATGTGTTCGAAGTTTTTCCCAAATTTTTTCGCGTCAAAAGCGTGTCCCAATTCGTGTGCCACAATTCGGCCAAAATTCACTTTCATACTCCAATCTGGCAGATTTTTATGGATTTTTGGATAAGTTAAATAAAATGCAGATAATGCTGAAAATATAATTTACATTTTAGCGTCTGCGAATAGCTCAGTGGTAAAATCTTTGATTTTGAATCTGAAGCAGTTGGGTTTGATCCCACATGCGGTCTTCCCAAAAAAAACTCACAAATTCTAAAAGACTTTGGTAGAAATCCAGCGTAATGTAAACTTTTTGCATAATAAGTGATTTTTTGAGCCTGAGCAACTCTTAAAAAAGTCTCTTCCATATTCATTTTCAGCAAATTCTCAACAAGTTCCAAATAACTTTGATTTTCCGGTTTTTCAATTCTCGAATACATTTTCTCAATATTTTCCGGGTTTTTAAATTCGTCCGGAATTCCAATTGAAATACCCAACAACTTTGCTTCTTCTTTCAATAATTTCTTCGATTTTTTATCAATCCACGTGGATTTTTCGATTTGTTCTATAAATTCATTTCGAATTTCCTCGGATAAAATGTTGGCTTTTTCGACGGTTTTTAGACCAATGTATTTGTTGATAAACATCATTGAAAGAGTTCCGCCAAATAGTTTTTGCGCTTTCTGTAAAAAAAGAGAGAGCGTGGCTCAGTGGTAGTGCGCACGGCCAGCAATCTGAAGGCCACGGGTTCGATGCCCCATGCGAACTATTTCTTTTTTTTTTCAAACTTACCTTCAAACATCCGATATTCTTTCGCTTTTTCACCAAATACGATCCCAATTTTTCCCTCCATTTATTCATTAGCATATTCCTAACTGATTTCAAATTCGTCGCATTTCCCAAATAATTTTCCAGCGCCTCAAATTCCTTTTTCACCACCAAAACCTTCCAATTTTCCGCTAATTTTCTCTCATTTTCGGGCAATAAAAATTGAATATATTGTGTGAGATTCATGAATTTTGGAACTGGAATTTCTCGAAAATCCACCAATTTATCTCGATTTGTTCGATTTTTGGGTTTATATTGTTGGCCAATTTCCAATTTCATTTCCATTATATTATTTCGCCCACTGAATATTTTATTGATTAAAATCTGTTCTTTATCCGCCAAAAAGAATGGTGCAATTTCAATCAATAATTGTGTGAGGCTCGCATTTTTCCACGAATCTTTGAAAATTGGCTCCAAATTATTCTTCTGCCGACATTTCCCCCAAAAAATCTTCAAAATTCGCTCAGATTTTGTGGTCGGCTCAAAATTCTCAACAAGTTCCCATAATTTTTGCTCATTTTCCACCTGATAACGATAAGTTTCAGACCAAGTTTTGCTGGAATTTGCGAAATTTCCACATGCAAATTCATAAAAATCATCGCATGGTTTGATTTTTGGATTCATTAGGATTCTTGTGCGATTTCCAAGTCGAAGACATTCGGGAGTTCGACAAATTTGAGCGATTTTGGGGATTTCTTCAGTGGCATTTGGAGATTTTTGAGTTAAAACCTTCGGATTTGAGCTCTCCGAATTTTGGGACACTAGAATCAGAATAATAGCAAAAATTGTGAGAGCAGCTCCAAAAATCAAATATTTTCTAGTTCCCGCTTCTTTCTTTTTCCATTTTTCAAAAATGCGCAAATTTTACGTGGTTTTTTCCGAAAATTTTTGATGTCACGCGGAAATTTGAAAATTTTAGAATTAGAGGATTCTGAATTCTACAATTTGATATTCAGAATCTCCTATGACGTGGCAAGACAATCGCATAGATCAGGTTCGAAAATTCCAGGCATGTTCCTGGGGCCGACCGGACCGAGCCCGAGGCCGAGGCCCCTGCTCAAAGTCAGGGCCTAGGCCCGCCTTTGGGTTTCAGTTTTGGGATAAAATTGAAAATATATAGAAATCTATTCTCTCTCGCCCAAAAATTTCCAAAAAATTGAAAATATTTTTGCAGATTAGTCGTGGATGAAAATATTCGAGATGATTTTTGTTGGAAAAAATGAAGTGAGATGATCGAGGAATGGTCGAAATTTCAAAGGTTTGTACTTTTTTGGGGTTCGATTGAGTAGTAAAGTTTTAGTCGGAGGGAGAACTTTTTTGAAATGATTTTCATCTGAAATATCTTTTTTGAAAACTTTGAGGTCGGGAGAAATAATATTTTTTTGAAATATGAAAGAAGAGGGGTATATTGGGTTTTTTGTGAACATGGGTAAGTATCTTGGTGGGAATATGATTTAAAAATAAAAAAAAGTTATTTCATCAAAAAGTCGCTTGATGATAGTAACAATAAAGGCGAAATTATGTTTTATTTTCTATTTTTTTGAAGTTTGTTTTTGTGACTTGATTTTTTTTCAAACAAAAAATGTGACGAGAAATGATCTTCTGCAAAAGACAAATTCAGAGTTTTCGAAGAATAAACACAAAAAATATAAAAAAGTTCCTGATTATTCTCCCTTGGAATTGACCTTCTTTCTGAATTTTTCAAAAATTTGCTTGTTTTTCAGTGGAAAATTCTTCACTCACATTTCCAAATCATTTGTCATTTGTTCAATTTTCCGATTCAATTCCTCAATATTCTTCTCATATTCCATTTTCACTTGCTCAATTCTTCTAAACATTCGAAATTAGTTCACTTTTTTCAAAACAACAACTTACTCTTCATAAAAAGCTTTCAATTCCATCTTCACATCAATCTCAATTTGATTATACCTCTCCATTAAATTCTCAATCATTTCCTGTGTTTTTTCTCCAAAATATCGCCATAATTTTCGCAATCTTTTCAGCCAATAATCAGAAAATTCTTTGTTTTTTTCCGATTTTTGCAGCGAATCAAGGAACACTATTCCGCATTGAATTGAATATTCATTTTCGAATTGATTTGGGCTAAATTGATTGTCACATGCTATTGATTGAAATAAACCTCTGATAAAACATGCTGCTCTTTCTGGTGCTAGAAATTCTTCCGTATTCAAATATGCTATAAACTTTCTGAATATGAAACATATATATATATATATATATATATATGTGTGAAACATTATATGAACTCACAATACCCACCAAGTTTCATCGTTGATTTCCATAACATCACTATTCACAATATCCAATCTAATCTCATCAACACGATTTTCAATTGCTAATCGGAAGTTCTGATCTTGAAATCGACAGATTTTTTCCAATTCCGAAAATGTGTTGGGATATTTGCTGGCACAATTGAATATCAAATTAACGATTTCTTTAGTATTAGTTTCCTTCGATATAATGTATTCTTCAAATTTTTTTTGAAGTTCAGCTGCATATTCTTTAGGTAAATTTTGAATATAAGATTCCATTGGAAATATTAAAATCAATAATTTTTTATCAGTCAAAAGGGAATTATTTATTGATTCACCGGGCAAATAGAAAAATGTTATTCAACAACAAAAAATGTGATCAAAAAATATAAAATGCTCAAAAATATTTCGAAATTTGGGCCTATGTGGATTGATTTTTTACAATATTGGAGTATTTTATTCAAAAACAAAATAAAAAATCAAGGTTCCAAATTATTTTCCTCGATCAATTTTTGATATTTTTCCATGAATTCATCACTTGGAATTGTTTCAATTTCCTCTCCCAATTCCTTCATCGAAATTCCCGGATTTCTCATAATTTTCCAATAATCTTCATTAATTCTCCTCAAATATTCCTCAATTTTTTCGCCGTCGTCGAATTCCAAAATTTCCATTTGCATTTTTAAAATTTCTTTAGATCTCGGATGAATTTGAACCAATTTATCCATATTTGATAGAATTTTGGGGTATAGAAGATTCATGTCAGAAATTAGAATTTTCTCATATTTTTCATAAATTCGACGAATATTTGGGCATTTTATACGCATTTTGAAAGCATTTTTCGAATCAGATGCTTGGTTTTCGATGGTTTTTTCAAGTTCTTCAATTCTGAATTTGAAATCCATAATTTGAATTCCTTCTTGTTTCAACTGTGATTTCAATTCAACACATTCAATTGTTAATCTATCATTGTCAGCCATCAAATTTTCAACAATCTCGTGGTTTTCTCTGAAAATATTTCTATTGAGCTTTGAATGTATGTCTGTTTTACTCACCCTTTCTTCGATGTCGCATTCTTCTGATATTCCAATTCTGTAATTCTGACAGCATTTTCAGCTTTTAATCTGAAAAAAAACAACAAATTTGTTTCAATTTCTAAATGATTTCTAACTTTTCAATATAATTTTTCAATTGTACATTTTCTCGATTCATCTTCGCATAATTCTCCTGATGTTTGAATTTTTCTTCGTTGAATTCTGTGTTTATTCTGAAATTTTCAGCTTTGATTTGATTTTCGCTCCTTTTCAACCTGCAAAATATAACAAATAATTATTCGATAACTCACTTTTCCGCATTGTTTTTCAATTCCACATTCTTTCGATTCAAATTTTGAATTATTTTTTGAAGCTTCAATTTTTCATCACTGAATTCCTTAGTTCTGGTAACATTTATGGCTCTGATTTGATCTTCGCTTTTTTCCAATCTGAAAACATTTAAAATCTACATGTAGTTTGGTCGTATCACTCACTTTTTCTTCAATATTTCATTCTCTCGATTCAGTTCCTCAATATTTTTTTGATCGTCCTGTTTTTTGTTTTTGAGTTCAACAATTTTCTCGACCTTCTGATTCAATTCTTGAATCACTTTTTGAAGTTCTGCCGTTTTAGTTGAGTGCTTTGATTTCATCTGTTCTTCATTCTTTTTCCATCTGAAATTTTTGTTTGATTTTCAGTTGAAATTGTTTTACTCACTGTTCTATTTCATTTTTCAATGTCGCATTTTCTCGATTCAATTCCTCAATATTCTTTTCATATTCCAATTTTTCGTTCTCAATTTCTCTGAACATTCGAAATTAGTTTTTGTTCTCAGAGATTGGCTGGCCAGCTCGCCACCAGGTGGGGAGGCTGGCTAACCTGGGAACCACATGAAAACCATGTCGCTCGGTTTTTTTTTGCTGGCAAGGTGGCCAGGCTCTGGCTAGGTCAAGCCCACATGGCTGCCATGTGGTGGCCACTTCGCCACGTCAAAATGAATTTTCATGAAAATGTCTGAAAAAAATTGTGAATTGAGGCATTTTTGAAGAAATTGGCTCATTTTCTGTTTTTTCGCAGCACTTGAAACCTTAGGAAGTGAAAAAAATTAAAGAAAATGCAGTGTTTTGAGTGCAAACCACCGTCTTGCCAGCTTTCCTGGATTTCAAACACACAGGCCACGTCGCCTGAAAACTCAAGGCGACCTGGCGGCCATGCGGTTTCCAGGTGGCCGCAGCGATCTGGTGGCGAGCTGGCCAGCGAATCTCCGAGTTCTTTCACAAACAAAACTTACTCCTTATGGTTTTTCTTTAACAGTTCTATTTCTTCATATAAATTCAAGTTATATTGTTTCAATACATTTTCAATCATTTCCTGTGTTTGTTCGCCAAAACAACGCCACAATTTTCGCAATCTTTTCAGCCAGTAAGTAGAGATACTGAGAAATAGTATGTTTTTTGTCAATTTTCGCACCTCTTCCAGATACAAAATTCCGCATTGAATTGGATATTCACTTTTTAATTGAAATTCATCGAATTGTTTTTGGCTAACATGATTGTCTACACAAGCTGTGTTATCACAAATATTCCCATCATATTTATTTTTGCAATTACATGATATTGATTGAAATAAATCACTGATTATCTTATATACATACTGTTTTTCCCAGAAACCGGAATCATTAGATATGTTTACAATAAACTTCCTGAAGACTTATATAATAAGACGTGTAAGAAACAAACTTAATTCATGAACTCACATTTTATTCCAATTTTCATCGTCATCTTTCAAACATCTGACAGAATCACTGTACCGAATATCAAATACTATTTTATCAATATTGTTTTGCATTGGTAGCTTTAATTTTCTACATCCGTCATTTAATGCATACCGAAAAATCTTGCTCAAATCCCAAAATGTGTCAGGATGTTTCTTGAGACAATCGAATATTAAATAAACGATTTTATCTCCAAGAGCACTATTCCTTCCGTTCGATCTCTTAAAATCTTGGATTTTCTCTTGAAGTTCAGTTGCATATTCTTTAGGTAAATTTTGAATATAAGATTCCATTGAGAAGAAAATGAATTGATTAAAATCAATAATTTTTTATCAGTAAGAAGGGGTTTATATATGGTCAGATAGAACAAAGAACAAAAATGTGTGCCCGAAAATATATAATGTTCAAAAATATTTCGAAATTTGGGGAAATCTGGCGCCAAAAAAATGATTTAAAAAATTCACTGTTTCAAAAAAAAATGAAAAAGAAACTTTAGCAACAACTTTCTAAAATTGAGGAAAATCGCAAAGAAAATTAAGACAAAATAATTAAATTCAGGAAAAAACTTTAAAAAAAACGGGACTTCACAAAAAATATTTTTCTTTTTTTTTTGTTCAAAAATTCAATTAGGATGGGTCAGGAATTTGGAAAAATGCCAAAATTTGGTCGTATTTATCAAAATCTTCCTGTTCCATTTGATATTTTTCGTGAATACTGATATTTTTGGCATTTATGTATTGCTGGAATTCCAATCGGCACTGAAAAATCAAACAAAATTTTTTTTTTAAATTTGAACACTTACTGCTCCACCAATATCCCTGAGACTTCTATCGAAATCCGTGAGAATACCAATTTCCGATTTGACTTCTCCCAATCTCAATTGCATTTTTGATTTTTCCATTTCCGATTTGGCTCGAGATTTTGTTGAACCATACGTATTCGTATTTCTAGCTTTCAACTCCCAGTTTCTTGCAGCAAAATCATATTTCATATTGAGATTTTGGAAATCTTCCAAAAGTTCTCGAATATGTTGATAACTTCCAATTCGACTGATGTGTTCGGTTTTTTGAGTTTCAGCAAATTGAATTTGATTTTCGATAACAAGAATATTATCTAGATAGTAATAGTTTTGAACAGGATTTTTTGGCCAATAATTTTTGATAAAATCGATGCAGTTAGTGATGTTTGAAGTCTGCAAAAAATCGAATTGTATAAGCTTCCTAATAAATCTCACAATATATTCAATTGATTTTCTCATATTCTCCAATTCCACTTGATTTTTCTCCAATTCATTTTTCAAAACATTTCTAGCTTCTTTATTTCTTTTGGTATAATTTGCCGAATTATTTCGCACCATTTTCATTTTTCTATTATTTCGTGCAATTTCGCTCAAACTTTCCAAAGCATTTTTTGTAATTCGCTCTCGTTTTTGTTTTGGAGAAATCAAACTTAGATTTCCGAATTCTGTCTTTAATTTATTTGTAGTTTGATCAATATCTGAACCTTGACGATAAGAATGATCGTTGTAATTATTTGAGTGCGCAGTTTGAAGAACATTTTCTGAAAAATGCAAATGCTCTAATGAAAACCCTTTCGCCAACCAAAAACTAACCAGTTTGAATAGGTTTACTGTGAATACCGTAGTTTTCTGGTGCGATAATAACCTGATGGTTATATTGTTCAAATTCTGGAAAACAAAAATTGTAGGTTTTTTGAAATAATAACATTTTCGGGGTGAAAATCACCTTGGTTGTTGAAATTGTGTAGATGGGCTGAAAATATAAGAATTTTTTTTTAATTCTAATCATAAATCAGATTTTATTGAATATAACTAATCATATAAAAACTCACCTGAATTCGCTGAACTAAAATCGTTGACATTAGTTTGACCAGGTTGCTCATTGGCTGAAATTAAAGCATTTTCATATCAGGTTCTATCAATTGATTAATTAATTAATTATCTCCAAAAACGTCACCATAATTCCCTGCATCAAATTCGTTGCCATTATTCGGATCAGCTTGTTGATCTACTGAACATTCTGGAAATTCATCCGGAATCGGAGTCGGAGTTCTATTAATTGGATCTTCGTCGATAATGTCCACTATATCATCAAGTAATTGATCAAGTCTTCTAAATGAAATATATAATATGAGCAATCCTATTCAAAATTGTCAAACATACTCTGTTTCGTTCACAACGTTTTGATTATTTGAAATTCGAGTTGGAATTACGGTAGATGAAGAAGAATTCTCCATTGTTTTTCAAATTGATTTCGGAAATGAGCAAAAATAGGAGAATGTAGGAGAAAGTAAATAATTACGGTAACTCTCAAAACAATCAAAAGCGAGCGCCTAAGTGAGAGCACTGCTGAACGAGCTTTTTGCGGTCGCCAGGCTCCTCCTATTCTTTGTAAACTAGATTTGTGCTTTGATGAGTCACGGTATTTTAAATTGAGGAGAGAGAGACAGAGTGTTTTTGCGCGTTAACATCTGAAACCATTTTTCGATCACCTCGAACATTTTCCAATTAATCTCATGGGTAAACATGTTCTTCTTTCTCATTTTTATTTTGAAGGTTTTGAGAACTACACAAAAAATAAGTTCTTCTTTGAGCACAATCTGCACCCCCCCCCATGTTTGTTTGTTTGTAAAACAAAAAAACATTTTGCTCCCTTTTTTCTGTGATAACTAATGATGCATCTGTTCAAACCCTATACTTTTACGCGAGGAAAAAATCAATAGTTGAGATTCATACAGTGGGTTTTCTGACCGTAACTTTTTAAAAAGTAATCCGATCACTTGGAAACTTTTTGACCTACTACAGTACTCTGTGGCGCACAATTGTAAAAAATAAATTGTCATCATTTTTTCAATTTTTTTCGTTTTTCACTATTGATCGATTTTTCGAATGTGCTACTAGTGACACTGATAAATATGCGAATTTTGTCGAATTTGTTGAAATCGATGTGGATGTTATCACAGAACAGAAAAAAACAACTGAAAACAGTTTATTTCTTAACAAAAACGCATCAAACTTGTAAATTATGTTCCTTCATTAACTTCCGATATTTCTCCATAAATGCATTGCTTGGAATTGTCTCAATTTTCTTTCCCAATTCATCCATGAAAATATCCGGATTTCTCGCAATTTTCCAATATTCCTCATTAACTCTTCTCAAATATTCCTCAATTTTCTCCTCGTATTCCAAACATTCAATTTTGATTTTAATGATTTCAGTAGAATTTGCTTGAATGTCAAGCATTTTATCGATGTTTGATTGAAGTTTGAAGAATAATTGATGAATATCTGTTTTCAATATTTTCTCATATTTCCGCTGAATTCGTCGAACATTTGGACGTTTAATAATACTCCTAGACTCATTTTTCACTTGTTTTTCTTCTATGATTCTTCCAAGTTCATCAATTTTCGATCGGAAATCCATATTTCTAAATTCGTTCTTTATATTATCTCTCACATCAGCAGATTGCATTTTTAATTTATCAAGAACAACTATTAGATTTTCTTCATACTCCGTAAACCTGAAAATAACAGAATAAATCGGAAAATAAAAAACTTTTTCATACTCACTTTTCTAGATCATTTTTCATTTGTTCATTCTCTTTCGTCAGTTCCAGATTATTTTTTCGAAGCTTCGAATTATGATATTCAAGTTCTCTGATTTTACCATACTTTACCTAAAAATTGAAAATTGAAAATAAATAATTGAACATTCGCTAACTTCAATCCGCAATTTCCCAACTTTCGGCCCAAAATATCCTGCCCAATTCGAACTATCTTTTCCAGATACCAAAATTCTCAGAAACCTCATCCCAGCTGAATAATCATCAAGCACAATAACCAAATCTTCCCAAACAGCAGGACCTGAAAATTGTTGAGCCAAATATCATTATTAAAATTAAATTGCTCACGTTCCCAGTGACCCCATGATTTTTGAACTTTTTCATGAATTTCTGGTTGATCGGGTGTTTTGGATAATTGTGCAATTAATTCGATTTCACTTGCACAATCGACTCGATGATTGACTTTCTGGATTATTCTGATTTCCGGGCGAACAATTTGATTATCCCAATCCTGGAAAATGAATAATATTGTGTATTGGCCAAGAAAAAAGAGTTATATTGCTCACACATTCCTTCAATTGTTCTCTCAAATCAATAATTGTTTGAATTGAACATTTGTTATTAGAAAATGCGAAACATGCCGGAATATTTGGATCCGCTTCACAAGCAAATCCATCCTTCTCAATAGAAATCCTTAAATTTATGCCATACGTAGGAAAATCTGAACTCAAACTCACCCACTGCCACAGACAATGAATTTAATATTATATTTGTTTGCGTGATAATCGACGGGTTTTCCCAATTCAATATCATATGGTTCAAGAATCGATGTCATTTGAAATTATTATTTATTTCATTTATGTATCTAGCAGAAAAAATATATTGATGTTCTTAGAAAGAGCAAAAAAAAACACTGCGCAAAATGTGTAGTTTTATCTTGTTTCTTTGAGCAAATAAAGAGAAAGACTAAATATATTTTGAAATATTTCATGGAATATAACATTTTCATTCGCAAAATACAAAAATACATCAAAAATCAAAATGATCCATCATTCGTTCTCAATTCTTCGAATACGTCGTTTATTTCTCCGACGTAGGAATATTTCTTATTGTATCTTCGAATACGACGTCCCTTCCTCCGACGTAGAAGCATGATAATTCGACCAATTATGAATCGCATGATTAAATAACTTGGCAACTAAAGAAAAAAATGACGCCTTTAAAGATGGAGTCCGAGCAAAAAATAAGTTGTTCTCATTTGAAAAAGCATGTTCCAATTAGTACAATCCTCGAAAGATTTTTTCTGGAAGCTTCTCAAACATTAGAGAAACACAGCTCCAAACTACTGGACATATGGACTTTCGAGCCATTTTACACGGTGTTTCACTGTTTTTTCGAACTTTACAGTTTTTCAATTAATGTTAGAGAAGCTTCCAGAAAAAAATCCTTTGAGGATTGTACTAAATAGAACATGCTCTTTCAAATTACCACAACTTATTTTTTGCTCGGACTCCACCTTTAGTAGAGTACTATGGTCAAACACAAAAATAACTGTTTTGAGCACTTCTCGAACAATCCCGTATCAAAAAAAAAAGTCCTTAAACCATGTGTCTTATGTTAAAACATCTTAAAGTGAGCTGAAGCTCTACTGAAAACTGACTGGAGTCTTGGCTTTTTAAATAGTGAACCCTCTAATTGTAAGGGTGGAGCTTTGGTTGATTATTGTAGAGGCGTGACTCCACAGGGCTCATAATTTAATTCTGGGTAATTTCCGACACTTTGGCGCATCAGAACTTGGTCCAGGGTGTTGCATTTTTTATATGTTTATTGAGATGGATAAAACTGTTCATGAAAAAATTTTGAGCTCAAAACTCGACCGCGAGCGGAAGAGGTTTGAGTACTACTGCGCGTCACAATCTGCACCCCCATGTTTGTTTGTTTGTAAAACAAAAAAAACATGTTGCTCCCTTTTTTCTGTGATAACTAATGATGCATTTGTTCAAACTCTATACTTTTACGCTAAGAAAAAAAAGTATTTACCTATGAATCTCAAGAGTTGTTGTCCTGTGCAATACATATTTCATCACCTTAACAAAAATAGATTAAAATTAGTTGGCTGAAGTATCAAGTTATGTAGAAATATTTCGAAATCAACTCAAGGCTTAAAATTCTACGGTGTGGCCAAAGACTTTGTTTGTTTTTTGAAATTGAGAATGTAATCAATAAATTTATTTTTAATGAAAAAATGTGCAAAATCAATATTCGAGGTTGCTAAAAAGGCAAATTATTCTCCCCCATCAATTTTCTCAATTTCTCCATAAATTCATCACTTGGCAATTTCTCAATTTCCTTTCCCAAATCCTCCATCAAAATATTCGGATTCCTCTCAATTATCAGAATTCTCTCTTCAATTTTCTCTCTATAATCCTCAATCGTCTTCGCGTTTTCCAAAATTTCCAGTTTCATTGCCCATATTTCTTGAGATTTCGGATGAATTTTGAGTAGCTTATCTATATTTGATTTGATTGAGTCGAATAATTCGGTTTGGTTAGTTTTCAATATTTCACTGTAGGTTTTTTGAATTTGAAGAACTTTTGGACATCGGATGCGAGTTTCTGATATGGATTTATTGATTTCTTGAATTCTCAAATTGAATTCGTTGATTTCTGGATTCTCTTCCAGTTGAACCCTGAAACACTATTAAAAATAAAAGTGTAACTTGTTAGAGAACCTACTTCATGATTTTCTGCAACTTCAATAATTCCTCGCTAGATCTCTTAGCATTTTTTTCTTTCTCAATCATCAATCTATTTATTTCAATATCAATATCTTCATCGGTTTTTTCCAAACTGCAAAGATCAAAAATTACAGTCTCTTTAGATGTTTCAAAGTCTCACCTTCCAATTTCATTCAATACACTCTGCGCACCTTTACCAATACATTCAAAACAAGTTTCCAATTGTCCAATCATATCTTGTGTCACATTTCCAAAACAATGTTTATATTTCCGAAGTCTTGAACACCAATAAATATAATATTCAATATTCCGCAATAACAACGGGGTAATTGATATCAAATATAGAATCCCACATTGAATTGAGTGCTCTTTCAATCGCAACTCTTCTAAACCAAAAATTCTTGAAATTTATCATAGGATAAATTAAAAGTTACCTGCTCTCAATGCCGTTCCATTTGCACAGTCTTTCACATAACAATGCTCAGGACAATTACATCCAACTGGACTCATTAACTTTTTAATTCGATCAAATGTGATATCATATAACCAGAATTTTTGAACACTTAGAAACGCCAAAAAATAGCTGAAACATTTTTTTGAGAGCCATTAATCACCTTTCAAAAAACTTACATTTTCATTGAAGCCGCTGCGCAGTTTTCAGAATTTTCAGAATTCTCGAAGAAACTATGAAGCAATGTTTCAACATGAGAATCAAACTTTTTCAGGAATTTGCCCTCATTATTGCCATTTGATTCTTTCTCTACTTGAAGTTTGCAAATTTGGTAAATAGGTTCAAAATAATCCAAATTACTAGTTGCACATTCGAAAAGTAGATCAATAAATTGATTCAAAGTTGAGTCATTGAATTGTTGATCGTAGGATTCAATAGCATCAGAAATTCGGAATCGAAATTCTTCTGGTAGATTTAGCAAATGTTCGTCCATTTTGAAATCAATTATTGAAAAGAGTAAGGTAAAAAAAGATGAATTATTATCTGAATGTGAACAAATCGTAACTAAAATTTTTAACAGTATACGCAGTGTTGACATAAACACTTAAAAAAGATGAGAAAAAAGACAGAAATATTTGTTTATTTATTTTTGAGTACAACAATGTAATGAGATCAAGAAAATGCGATCAACTCCATCAATTTCCAATATTTTTTCATGAATTCATCACTCGGGATCTTCTCAATTTCATCCATAGAAATATCAGGATTTCTCTTATAATCCTCAATAATATCTTCGTAGTTCAAAAATGCAATATTCAATGATAGAATTTCCGTAGAATCCGGGAAAATTTGAAGCAATCTATCGATATTTGCTCGAATTTGCAAGATAAGTTTGAATTTTTCATGAATATTTAGACTTGATGTCCCATCTCTGAAAATTGTGATCATCATTTTAGGCCTATCTTCAGGCAAACCTAGTAATTTTCGCATGTCTACTTCGATATACAATCACACAACATCCACCACGACGGCAGGAAATGATTGTTTGAGAAGGGTCCGAATGAAAAGTGTGCCTGTTAGAATCGCTACATTGATTGTACACTTGAATGTAGAATATGTCACTGAAATAAGATAATTTTAAGAGTAGTTAAGGTTTTTAGGGGTTTAGAAGTGCTTTTGAAGGCTTCTGAAAAAGATGTCCCCTTCTTACGTAGTTAGAATATCGTCAAAGGCATTTTGCAACTTCTCCCGGTTCCCAACATCTTGTATTTTCTCAATCAACGCTCTCGCCTTTTCCGGCCAAACCACTTTATTCTCATAATCAATTCGCCAATTTTCTACATCGTTTTGCAATGTTTCAATTCTAGATTTCAATTGATTCGGTCCATACATATTTGTATCCCAGAATAGACCATTGATGTATAGTTCGAGAATATACTAAATTTAAAATAAGTATGATTATGTATGAGCTAAGCGAAACTTACAAATTCCCCAATAACACGCATGATATTATCATGCCATTTGTTAAATGTGCTTCTTGATGGCAAAGATTCTGCAGCCATGGCTTTTCTCAACGGGTTTGTTGATTTTTGCTCGATGAGACTGATCAGTTTCTGAAAAAATGTGTTTTGACGGTTTTTCATCGTGAAAACCCGCTGAAATTTCTGTGAGTTTTGGCAAAGTCGACTTGAAATTTCAATTAAAACAAATTTTCCGGTTTTTTAAAAAGTAAAACTGTGTGTTCCCTACTCACATATGCATCATGCAATGGTGGTTGTCTTCTACAAGCATCCTCAAACATATTCGAAGTCGGTTGACTCAATGTATCACGCATTAGTTTCATAAGCATTGGTGCATTCATCGCAACTTCCGCATAGAAACTATTCTCGCCCATAAGCTCTTTAACTTGATCAAAATGCTTGTCCATTTTTCTAGAATATATAGCAATCTGTTTTTCTAATTCTCTTAATTTATCGATTACTTCGTTTTCTAGTTGAATTCCCGATCTTATTCTAGCTACAATTGCTCCAACATGTGCAATTTGTGCGAAATTTGATATATCCAATTTGTTGAAATTATTTTCGTATAATTGGATAACATTGGTGATTTGTTTTACGACGTCTGCAAAACAATCATGAGTAGTTGTTTTGTAATATAAAAACTCACCCGACATTTTTGCTGAAGATAGGGTAACTATTTGAAAATATGAACAGTCGAGAAAAATATGAAAGGAAGAAGAAAACAAACAAATGCTAACATGATGAAACTATAACTTTTTTTAATTTTTTTGTTGTTGTCAGGTAAACAAAGCTAGTTTTTCATGTAAATTTATTCATGTCGAATTCTAACCCAAAACTTTCATCAAATTTCGATAACTCTTAATAAAGTTAGAATTTGACAGTTTTAAGTAAATTTACATGAAAAACTATAGTTTTGGATATCTTTGTATCTGTAGGCAAAAAATATTCTTACAATGTGAAAGTACATTGTTTACCTGACAACAACAAAAAAAAGTTATAGTTTCATCATATTAGCATTTGTTTGTTCTCTTCTTCCTTTCATATTTTTCTCGACTGTTCATATTTTCAAATAGTTACCCTATCCTCAGCAAAAATGTCGGGTGAGTTTTTATACCATGAAATAACAATTCATGATTGTTTTGCAGACGCCGTAAAACAAATCACCAATGTTATCCAATTATACGAAAATAATTTCAACAAATTGGATATATCAAATTTCGCACAAATTGCACATGTTGGAGCAATTGTAGCTAGAATAAGATCGGGAATTCAATTAGAAAACGAAGTAATCGATAAGTTAAGAGAATTGGAAAAACAGATTGCTATATATTCTAGAAAAATGGACAAGCATTTTGATCAAGTTAAAGAGCTTATGGGCAAGAATAGTTTCTATGCGGAAGTTGCGATGAATGCACCAATGCTTATGAAACTAATGCGTGATACATTGAGTCAACCAATTCAAGATAGTGTCAATATTTTTGAGGATGCTTCTAAAAGACAACCACCATTGCGTGATGCATATGTGAGTAGGGAACACCGGTGGGAAAAGATACCGTAAAAGTGTTTTACAGTAAAGAAATCCTAAAAATCGTGAAATTTGTTATACGTCAAAACAGTGAAATGTAAAAAATGTTAACGTATACAAAAGTTCCGTTAAGTGAAAAAGTAAATTTTCACGAGTACATTTAATTTTTTTCAAAATCGATATTTTCAGAAACTGATCAGTCTCATCGAGCAAAAATCAACAAACCCGCTGAGAAAAGCCATGGCTGCAGAATCTTTGCCATCAAGAAGCACATTTAACAAATGGCATGATAATATCATGCGTGTTATTGGGGAATTTGTAAGTTTCGCTTAGCTCATACATAATCATACTTATTTTAAATTTAGTATATTCTCGAACTGTACATAAATGGTCTTTTGTGGGATGCAGATATGTATGGACCGAATCAATTGAAATCTAGAATTGAGACATTGCAAAACGATGTAGAAAATTGGCGAATTGATTATGAGAATAAAGTGGTTTGGCCGGAAAAGACGAGAGCGGTGATTGAGAAAATACAAGATGTTGGGACGAATTTTGGGAAGCAGGACACGTTAGAAAAAACCTTTGACGATATTCTAACTACGTAAGAAGGGGACATCCTAGATTAAGAAAGGGTTCCTGATCTTGGCAGATTCGTTTAAAAGTAGTCTGAAAGCCCTTCTTAAAAGGTTCAGGCAATTGTACGTTAAAAATGGTTTTTTAACGTTTACCTATTTTTACCATAAAATACATTTTACGACTTTACGCTGGGGGGGGGTACCCCAGATTGAAGACCGGGTTTCTAACCTTTTCAGAAGCCTTCAAAGCCTCTCAAATCCCTTAACTACTCTTTCTTAAAACACATCATTACAGTGACATATTCTACATTCAAGTGTACAATCAATGTAGCGATTCTAACAGGCATAATTTTCATTCGGACCCTTCTCAAACAATTATTTCCTGCCGTCGTGGTGGATGTTGTGTGGTTGTATATCGAAGTAGACATGCGAAAATTACTAGGTTTGCCTTGAACCCCTGAAGATAGACCTAAAATGATAATCACAATTTTCAGAGATGGGACATCAAGTTCAAATATTCGTGAAAAATGCAAACATATACTGCAAATTCGAGCAAATATCGATAGATTGCTTCAAATTTTCCCGGATTCTACGGAAATTCTATCATTGAATATTGCATTTTTGGACTATGAAGATATTATTGAGGATTATAAGGGAAATATTTCTATGGGTGGAATTGAGAAGATCCCGAGTGATGAATTCATGAAAAAATATTGGAAATTGATGGAGTTGATCGCATTTTCTTGATCTCATTACATAACAGATTGTTGTACTCACAACAAATAAATAAATATTTCTATCTTTTTTTCTCATTTTTTTTAAGTGTTTGTGTCAACAATACTGTTAAAAATTGTAGTTACAATTAGTTCACATTCAGATAATAATTTATCTTTTTTTTACCTTACTCTTTTCAATAATTGATTTCAACAGTCTTTAAAATGGACGAACATTTGCTAAAGCTACCAGAAGAATTTCGATTCCGAATTTCCGATGCTATTCAATCCTATGATCAACAATTCAATGACTCAACTTTGAATCAATTTATTGATTTGATTTTCGAATGTGCAACTAGTAATTTGGATTATTTTGAACCTATTTACCAAATTTGCAAACTTCAAGTAGAGAAAGAATCAAATGGCAATAATGAGGGCAAATTCCTGAAAAAGTTTGATTCTCATGTTGAAACATTGCTTCATGACTTTTTTGAAAATTCAAATAGTGCTGAAAACTGCGCAGCGGCTTCAATGAAAGTGTAAGTTAATTTTAAGGGTTATTCAGAAAGCTTTAAAATAATTTCAGCTATTTTTTGGCGTTTCTAAGTGTTCAAAAATTCTGGTTATATGATATCACATTTGATCGAATTAAAAAGCTAATGAGCCCAGTTGGATGTAATTGTCCTGAGCATTGTTATGTGAAAGACTGTGCAAATGGAACGGCATTGAGAGCAGGTAACGCCCAATTTATCCTATGATAAATTTCAAGAATGTTGTTTAGAAGAGTTGCGATTGAAAGAGCACTCAATTCAATGTGGAATTCTATATTTGATATCAATTACCCCGTTGTTATTGCGGAATATTGAATATTATATTTATTGGTGTTCAAGACTTCGGAAATATAAACATTGTTTTGGAAATGGGACACAAGATATGATTGGACAATTGGAAACTTGTTTTGGAGGTATTGATGAAAGGGCGCATTGCGTGTTGAATGAAATTGGAAGGTGAGAATTTGAAACATCTAAAGAGACTGTAATTTTAGATTGTTGCAGTTTGGAAAAAACCGATGAGCAGATTGAAAATGATATCAATAGATTAATAATTGAAAGAGAAAAAAATGCTGATAAAAAAAACGTAAGTAGGTTCTTTGTAAGTTCCACCAAGTAAAACTTTCATAGTGTTTTAGGGTTCAATTGGAAGAGAATCCAGAAATCAACGAATTCAAATTGACAATTCAAAAAATCAATAAATCCATATCAGAAACTCGCATCCGACGTCCAAAAGGTTGTCAAATTCAAAAAACGTGCAGTGAAATATTGAAAACTAACCATACGAAATCAAAATTCATCCGAAAAACTAGGGGAAATTGATAAAATGAATTTATTCGAAAAATAAAGGTTCGGAATTCGCAATTCCGACGTTTTGTCCTTGAAATTTCGGAAAAAAATTGAAAAACATGTCTTTCATTCGGGGAAAAAGGATGAAAAAATATATAAAAAATATATTGCTCAGTTTAAGAAAAAAGCAACTTTTAAGCTGGGCAATAATGTGTTGACTCTAGCTCTCTCGTAACAAGAGTGCCCTTAATTCACACCTGGCGAGAGAGTGTCCTAAAATTTTTGTGCAGCGTGGAAATTTTGAATTTTCGAAAATTTTCATCAAAATCGGCTGAAAATCTATGAAAACTACACGTTTTTCGGAAAAAAATGTACAGTGTGACCTTTGAAAATTTTAGTACAGTGTCCATTTTGGACAAGTCTCGTCAGGTGTGCCCTAATTTCATTCATCATCTGTTCTTAAGCTGAGAAATATTTAGGGGCGGTACTGTGTATTTAAGAAGCGCGGATAGATGCTCATTCAATCAGTTATTTCATTTCTGCAGAAACCAATACGTATGTAAGAATAGGAGATGTCTGTTGACGACGAATTATCAATTCAGAACATGGAACTTATATGAGGTATGTATTTTTGAGAAAATTCAATGAGAATCAGATAGTTTTTGCAGAGCTTACGATCAGGAATGGAAAGTTGATTTGAAGCATGGTCAACCAGGAGAATGGGAGCGTTGGTATATTGAGGATTGGGGAGGCAAGGTTGGAAAAACTCCGCGGAAAAAAACCCTACGGTCTACTTTGCAGGTCGTCTTCAAAGCAATCCATTCACCTGCTCGTTATTTGCGTGCTTGTTCTGATGGAAATGTTGATCTTGTCGGATCGCATCCGAATGATTGTCGAGAAACTCTTTGGAAACCATTCAAGAATTCAGATGAGACTTGGTCATTCCTAAGTGTTCATGGAACTTGGTTGAGGTATCTGATTGTATCACTTTTTTTAAATTTAAATTTTTAAGTGGGCTTGGTAACAATGTGGTCTGTTGCATGTGGGAATGCAAATCGTCGGAGAAGTTCACACTTCCATGGTGGTAATTTCATCGGATTTTCATTAATCTTAAGAAATGTTGAATCAAATTTATGCTTTATATATATGATATTATCTATGATTACGAACAAATAAATCATAACAACAAATATAGTGCTTCTCAATTTCATTTATGGTCGTTTTCAACGACCAAAATCTCATTTTTGATTTTGTATAAATAATGTGTTTCTACAGTGACCCAGTTTCAGCATTTTCAGCTCAGAAAAAAGGATAAGCTGAAAATCAAAATTTTTGAAATAATGCTCAAACTTTCAGAATGCATTGAGGGACTTCTGAAAATTGAGTGACGAGATGATTTTTTGGATTTTTAGCCACGAAAATCCCAAAAACTCTTGACATACACGCTCCCAAGAAGTCTCTCCTTGAGGCACAGACACGTAGATGTAAAGGAGCCACTATCAAATAAAGGTTAAAAGTATTTCTCAACTTTGTGCATTATTCCACAATATTTCTGAGAAAAATCATCACAGAACAAAACAATGCAAACAAGATTGGTTCAAAAAAAATAGAAAAATTAGGAAATGAGCAAACAATAAAAAATAGATTGTTTACAAATGATCGAAGTTTTGTTAGATTCCTACCTAGATTATTTCATCATGACTTTAAAGCTGAGAAATTTATTGACTCTAGTGTGATCTCTTCAGTAACAAGTCTTGTATTTAAGAAGTTCGGGTGAATGCTCATTCAATCGCTTTTTTTCATTTTTCAGAATGGGAAATCTCAGTGGCAAGCAATCGTTCAACGGCAATACGGTAACTATCAATATGAAACAAGCGCAAGCTATGAATACGGCTCTTGGTCCAATCGCCAATGGAAAAACACCATGTCAAGTTGCGCAATTGGCTCTAGCTGCTCCGGATGAGAAATCGCATTCGATAATTCTCTTTCTCATCAAAGCGAGTACCGAGGCACAGATAAGTGATGTCTGTGCTAAAGCCAAAATCCCGGTGCAAGCCAAAAATGAAGCGATTGCTGCTTTCAAAAATGGGAATTATGATCGTGCGGCAACAATACTCGTAGAAGCTGCTCGTCAAAAGCTACGCGAAAGTTCGAGTGAATTGTCTGGAGCATCCGGTGGTAGACGAATGATCAAATCAGAACATGGCACTTATATGAGGTATACTTTCACAAAATTCAAAAAGAATCACATAGTTTTTGCAGAGCTTACGATCAGGAATGGAAAGTTGATTTGATGCATGGTGAGCCAAGAGATTGGGAGCATTGGTATATTGAGGATTGGGTAGGCAAGGTTGGAAAAACCCCGCGGAAAAAAACCCTATCGGTCTACTTTTGCAGGTCGTCTTCAAAGCAATTCATTGTCCTGGACGTTTCTTGCGTGCTTGTTCTAATGGAAATGTTGATCTTGTCGGATCGCATCCGAATGATTGTCGAGAAACTTTTTGGAAGCCATTCAAGAATTCAGATGAGACTTGGTCATTCCTAAGTGTTCATGGAACTTGGTTGAGGTATCTGATTGTATCACTTTTTTTTTAATTTAAATTTTTAAGTGGCCTTGGTAACAATGTGGTTTGTTGCATGTGGGAATGCAAATCGTCGGAGAAGTTCACACTTCCATGGTGGTAATACCATCGGATTTTCACGAATCTTAAAGAATGTTGAATCAAATTTATGTTTTTTATATATGATATCTATGATTACGAACGAATAAATCATAACAACAAATATAGCAACCCAAAAAAATTCAAAAACATGTATCATTCAAAAAAACTATGGAAAATTTTTCAAATTCTCCTCATATCGACTAGGGGCACAGCCCCAAGTCGAATATTACGAAATATTCCAAAGCACAACGAGAAAAATTGAAAATATTGTGAAACAATCTCTCATTTGTCTTCCATGAAGTACCTTTTTGTTTATGTTTCTCTGTTTTTTTTAATCACAAATAGAAAGTGGGCGGGCCTGTTCGCATTTAGTTGAAGTTTTGAATTTTACAATTCACTCTAATTTTTGTCTTCATTTTTTCCCTGCTATTCAGATGTCGCATCAATATTTGAGTCATGACCACGGGAGTCATCTTGATCACTCCCAACAACAAAACCAACGAGAACAACAACAAAGATTGCAACAAGTTGACTATCCAAAACCTCGTAAGTTTATCAATCATTTTCATAGTTTATATCAGAGCTGCACACAAATTGCGATACTTGTAAAGTCAAAAATAAAAAAAATAGCATTTTTTCAGTTCAGAAACTGGGATTTTCATTGAATTTTTTTCATTGAATTCTACCTTTTTAAAAAAAGGTAGAATTTTGAAAAAAAAAAGTTTTGATATATTTTTTTTCGAAATCTTCATCAAAATTCAAAAATTTTAATATGCAGCGCCTTGAGTTGATTTCGAAATATTTCTACATAACTTGACACTTCAACCTATTTTTGTCAAGGTGATGAAATATGTATTGCACAGGACAACAACTCTTGAGATTCATAGGTAAATACTTTTTTTTTCTTAGCGTAAAAGTATAGAGTTTGAACAGATGCATCATTAGTTATCACAGAAAAAAAAGAGAGAAAAATGTTTTTTTTTGTTTTACAAACAAACATGGGGGTGCAGATTGTGAAAACCTCTTCCGCTCGCGGTCGAGTTTTGAGCTCAAAATTGTTATATTGCTCATGTTATGTCTTCCTTTCAGAAGAATTGATCAATTACTTGATGAAATAATGGACACAATTGAATATTTACAATTTGAGCCGAAAGTTGAGGAATATTTGAGGAAAATTGAAGAGGGTTATTGGAAATATGACAAAGATCGAGGAATGTTTAAAAATGAATATGGATTGGAATTGGAGCCGGTTTTGAGTGATGCTTTTATGGACAAATATCTAAAATTTGATGGAGGATAATTCATTTCGATTTTGATTTTGTATAAATAATGTGTTTCTACAGTGATCCAACTTACATAAGAATTGTGCCAAAAGTTCCAAAAAATCTGATGATTATTTGAAAAGCTACAGTAACCCAACTCAAAAACATTTATCATTCAAAAAACTGTGGAAAATCCTTCAAATTCTCCTCATGCGCCTTTAAAACATCGTCCAAAAGTCCGCAAATCTTCTCAAATGCCAATTTTCTGACATACATTTTCTGCTCCTCCTGAATTCCACTGGCCATTTCTAAAAACGGAATTATTCCAGGCAAGACCAGAATCGAAATTGTTGGAAACAAAAGTTGATAGGATTTTTTGAGTTGCTCCAAAGTGAATGGAGCAAGATTTCCAGAATTTTCAGCATTTTCAGCGATTGTCTGAAAATAGATTCCCAATAAATGCTCCAAGTGTGCTCGGCGATTTTCGGTGCTCAAAACATTCATGAAAAGTCGTGCCAAATCTTGACCGGGTGCTCCGAAGGCCACAGTTTGCCAATCGATAATTGCCAGCATTTCGGGGTGCGGATTTTTGCGGCACAGAAAATTGGAACTCCATAAATCGCCGTGGATTAGCGAGGTACGGTGGCCTGGAAAATGTTTGGGGGTACTGTAGATTTCGAGAGGGTACTGTAGATTTAGTAAATCAAAGTTTTGGAGAACATATTTTCGCTGAGGTTTTTTAAATTTCAAAATTTCAGCCTTCTAGTTTTTACCAGGATTTTCAGCCAAATTTTCAATTTTTCTTAAAAATCTGAAAATGCCAACTTGTAGCCCTTGAAATTCTCTACAAAATCCATGTTTTCTCAGAAAGTCAGGATTTTTCTGAAATGCTGAAAATTCGGTCTGAAAATCCTCAAATTTAAATTTTCAGAATCTTAATTTGACCCAGATTTTCAGCCAAGTCAGGAATTTTCAGAAAAATCTGCAAAACTCATTTTGTAGCCCTCGAAATTCTCTACAAAATCCATATTTTTTCAAAAAAAAAAAAAAGTTTGCCTCGGCGGGGGATCGAACCCATGACCTTGAGATTAGTAGGCAAAAGCGCTAGCCACTCGGCCACCCAGCCATTTTGTTTCTCACTCGCAAATGTTGGAGATATTATTTCTAATGGCAAAATTTTTTCGCTGTAAGACCCACCAACAATTTCCGCCGCTCTTCCAATATTCGCCAAAATCTTCGGGCTCAAAAGCAATCGATAAATCTCAATTAATTTCTCAACTTTCTCCCCATATTTTTGAGCATTTCCATCGTCGGAGCCGCCCAAAAATGCTCCACGAATTTGAGCAAAACAATTCTCCTGCATCTTGGGCTCACTGAATTCGGCCATAATATGAGCAAGCAAATCGGAATCACCAGCAAAATCCAGCTGATCTTTGGGCAAAATTTCACCGAGCGATGAGAATTCGGCAATGGTTTTCACAATTTTTTCGACTTCTGCTAACTCGAAATTCTCAAAACTATTGATATTTTCGATTTTTTGAGCATTTGGCTCAAAAATTATATACGCTTTCAGCGGATTTTCAGCAGAGAATTTCCGGCTTCCCAAGATCCATGGGATCGGAATCTGGAAGAACTTCTGACGCTGAAGCATCTCATAGACATCACATTCGCGATTATGTAAAATTCGAATCACAAATTCCATCTTTGCCAATTTTTCCGAATCCATTTCGATTTTTTCCGAAGAATTTCCGAAATTCATGAGTTTGGCTAATTCGATGAATGAAAGTTGAGAGGCGATTTTGACGATTAGTTTTTTGGGAAGATTTTGGGATTCTGAGGTCCAATCTGGCTCGATTAATGCGATTCGAGACATGAAACCCTGGAAATTTAGAATTTTGAGTTAGCCTATCTTAAAGCTCTTGAAATCCTGTACAAAATCCATGTTTTATGGAAAAATTCTGAGCCGGATTTTCAGCCAAATCTGAAAATTTCAGAAAAATCTAGCTAAATCATCTTGTAGCCATTGAAATTCTCAACAAAATCCATGTTTTCTCAAAAAATTAGAATTTTTTCTGAAATGCTGAAAATCCGGTCTGAAAATGTTCTATTTTTTCAAATTTCAAAATTTCGGCTTCCTAGTTTTGACCAGGATTTTCAGCCAAAATTCAAAATTTTTAGAAAAATCTGAAAATATCATCTTGTAGCCCTTGAAATTCCTTACAAAATCCATGTTTTCTCAAAAAATTAGGATTTTTCTGAAATGCTGAAATTCCGGTCTGAAAATGCTCTATTTTTTCAAATTTCAAAATTTCAGCTTCCTAGTTTTGACCAGGATTTTCAGCCAAAATTCAAAATTTTCAGAAAAATCTAGCTAGACCATCTTGTAGCCCTTGAAATTCCCTACTAAATTCCACAAAAAAATTACAACACTCCGCAATTACACCCCCAAAAAACCAACCTTCATATTTCCAATATTCTCCACGTTCTTATTTTCACCAAATCTAGCTTCAGTTGCCAAACTTAGCCTAACTTCATTCTCAATATCTTCCCAATTTACATGAGTTCTCAAAAGACCGGAAGATTCTTCATGAAGTGACATTTTTGGCTGGAAATTAGCTGGAAATCTGGAATTTTTGGGTGAAAATGGCTAAAAATCATTGATTTTGCGATAGAAAACAAAAAGTAAAATGATGCAAAAATAAATATAGTCTAGTTTTTTTTCGCCGGGTGATGTTTGATTATTTTTGGGGTTGGGTAAATACACAAAATTGATGAAAAGATCAAAAAATGTGTGTTTTTAACTGGAAAATTACACAAGATTGGGTAATTTTTCCAAGAAAAAGGTCGCGGGTTCGATTCCTGATGCCTGCGGATGATTTTTTCTTGTTTCTTATCGCGAAAAATGTATACATTTTCCTCATTTTCTTATCATTTTTCATTTTTCTGTCAAATATTTCCTGCTATGAACAACTATTCAATATTAGTCAATGAAGAAGTTGCGGAATTTTCGAAATCTTCAAAAAATTCAACGATTTTGCTAATTTTTTTGGTGGTTTTTGTGATATTTTTGTACAAAATTACTTCGTTTTGATTGTGATTTGAATAAAAATCTGGTCACTATTTATGAATTCGCAAGAAAATAAAAAATTTCAATTATTTCGGAATATCAAAACAAATACTAACTGTTGTTTTAGTATAAATAACCCTAGTTTCCATATTCGAATTAATCGAACTCTCAAAATACATATCCAAAAAACCATTATCCCAAATTCTAAACTTTGTCACTTTCAATCCTTTTTTAATTCCTTCATGATCCAAAACTTCATCTTCGCCTTCCAAAATTCCAAATGTCCAAAATTTCAAATTTTTTGGCAATTTCCCATTTTTCCATAATTTCAAAAATTGATTAATTTCTTGAATTGACATTTTGGTTTCGGGTAAATGTACAAAATTCGATTTGAGTTGACGAATTTCGTTGAAACCAATATTGATCGAACTTTTGATTTTGAACAATTGTTTTTTTGGGATGAAATCGTAGTCGAATTCTTTGCTGAATAACATTTCGAGATTCTTGATGTTGTTGAGATGTTTGATATTGATTAGATCGTATCGGAAATCTGGCTGAAATGAATCAATTTTGATTTTCAGAGTGAAAAATTTCACAAACTCACTATTCCACAAAAAATTTCGATTGGCGAATTCGTCGCGCAACTTTTCAATATCAAATTGATCAATCTAACAGCCATAACCTTCAAACCATCGTCATTTTCACCTATTTCCAACCATGTTTTATTGTCAGCATAATTTTTGTAACTATAAACAGAAAAAGAGGCCAACGAATCTAATTTCGAGTTTTTTTCATAAACACGACGATGTAGATCGCCTTTTACAAATCGAATCATCATTTTTACACCATTTTTGAAACAAAATTCGATAAAAAAATCATGTTTTGTTCTGCCATCATAAATTCTCATCGATTTTATAACATTTCCAAACATTTTTGCTTCATCTCGACATTTTTGAGAAGATTTCGAGAAGTTGAGAAATGTCCAAAAATCCATTTCCTCAATTATTATTCTTCGAATTTCTTGGGGAAGAACATCGAATATCGATTTTTCGGCTTCTTCTTGAGATTGCAGCTTTTCTGGTGGGAGTTCCATGATTTCTGATTGACACGAATGGACGAAAGAAATGCTGGAAATTCGTGATTTCGCAAAAAAAAAACGAAAAAAAAACACTCAATTCAAAATTAGAAATGAGGGCGCATTTGGTGTGCACGTCAAACGCGTCAGTTCTTTTCAGCTGGCGTTTTTCGAAGATGAAACAAGCAAACGCGCTCCACCGAACATTCAAATATTTTCTGTCGGAAAACTGTTTCACACCATTTTCCCACCAATTTCTTGTTTTCGCTGGATTTTTGACTTGTTTAGCTTGTAGAGAATTTCAAGGGCTTCAAAATGATATGCTTCAGAAGCCCAGAAATTTTGGAATTCTCTCGAAATTCTGGTTTTTCGAAAATTCTTATAAACCTTCATTTTTCTCATTTTTTTGTCGTTTTTGGTGGTTTTAATCCACAAATTTTCTCTCTTGTAAACTGTCAGCATAAAAAAATCGAATTTTTTCAGAAAAATGGATGAGAATCACTCACGAGAAGCAGAGGAAGAGTTGAATGCGGTTAGTTGATCAATTTTGAAAAAAAACTTGAATTTTAAACCTATTGCAGTTTCAAAAACTTCCATTTGAAATGAATGAGATGATTTTGAAAAATTTGGATCCAATTTCAATGCTCAATTTTGGAAAAACTTCGAAATTTTGCGATGGTTTGGCTGGAAATTTCGATGATCGAATTGTTTCAATCGGATGGAATGGTTTAACAGAGGATGGTCTCCGTATTTTGCATTTGAAAGTAAACAGCTATCCGGAATATTGGTATACTTTGGACATCCAAGAAGCGTCAATCTCAAAATCTGTTTTGATTTTGCGAAGGTTAGTTAGATATTTTTCGAAATTTTCACTCAATAGCTCTTTTTTCCAGATATAATCCATCTGAAAAAAAAGAAATCGAATGGTGGAAACAAGAAATCAACGGAAATTGTCTCGATATCATCATTCAATATTTTTTCGATTTATTAAAGAGAAATCGAAATTCAATCAATAGTTTGTATATCAAAGCAGATAAATGTTGTAAAGGAAAATTAGGAGAAAAGATGTTATCGATTTTTCCGAAAAATTTGGAGAATATTGGAGTGAGTAATGAATTTCCATTGATTGACAAATTATATTCAATCGATTCTGTCAAGATTTATGCAACGAATTTGAATATCGAACAATTAAAACAATTCAAATCATCAGAAATATCGATTTCAGCTGAAAATATTTGTTACGAAGATTTGAAGGAATATTTGATTTTATGGAGAGATGGAAAATTGCATGAAAATCTGAAAAAAGTTGAATTGATTGGCGAATCAAACGATATTTTTAGGAAAATACATGAAGAAATGTTTGCAGTAAATATTGGACAAATTGAAAATATACAAAATGGGTGAGATTTTGAGGTTTCGAATCGAATCAAAATCGATAAATAAAAAAAATTTTGCAGATTCTCGAATTGTTTTGTGATTCCGAAAACAAATGAAGAAAATCTTCAATTGGCTGGAAGATACTCAGAATTTCTTGAAAATGATTATCAAAACGAACAAATTATTTCAAAATACTTGTGTTTCCATAGAATTTTCATGGATTGAACATGTTTTCCTCTAATTTTTATCTGTAAAATGTTGTTGTTTTTAATTGTTAATAAATCTTTTTGTTATTTAAATTCAATTTTTTTAAAATTTGATTCTCATTTTCATTGAGCTCAAAGTATCTTCTTTTTTTCCAGATTTTTTCTGTTGATTAATTACAAAAATATGTTTATTCATTCAAAAAACCCCGGAAAATCCAATAAATTATCCGCATGCGCCTTTAAAACATCCTCCATCATTCCAATCGATTTCTCCCTTGCAAATCCGAAAATTTCAGAATTTTCTGGAATTTCAGACATGCTCAAAAATCCCGGCAAAACCATAAAAGCCTGAATTGGAAAGAGCAGTTGATAGGATTTTTTGAGCTGCTCAAAAGTGAACGGTGGCTCCAGATTTTCAGCAAATTCTTGATAATAAATTCCGAGTAGAAAATCCAGATTTTCGCGGCGATTTTTGGCGGACAAAATCGATATGAATAATCGGTCCAAATCCTGAGCCGGGGAGCCAAAATTAACAGCTTGCCAATCGATAATTGCACGGAGTTTCAGGGGGTTTCCCTGGGTGAAGAGGAGATTTCCCGGCCATAAATCACCGTGTACTGGAACCGGGGGATGACCTGAGAAAAAATCGGGGGGTTTTTCATTTTTTTCGCGCCAAAATCTACAGTACTCACCCAAAATTTCACAAATCCTCGTCAATTTTGCCACATTTTCAGGTAACATCGAACTCCGGAAAATCTCGATCAAATTTTCCAATTTCACCAAATCTCCCCCAAAAAATCCACGCATGCCCCGAAGTTTTCCGTAGATTTTCTCCCGAAATCCCACGTCACCAAATTCGGCCAAAACGTGCGTGATGAAATCGGGTCCCGCAGCGAATTTCAGACGATTTTCAGCATAGCCTATTGCTGAAAATTTGGAAATTGCTTTGACTACTGGCAAAATTTCAGCAATTTCTATTGACTCGAACATTGAAATATGAGCAATGTTTTCAGCAAATTCCAGCACCAAAAATCCCTTTTCCACATTTTCAGCACTGAATTTTTTGGCACAATAGATTTTCAGATTGGGAAAATTTTCAGGCAAATTTTCAGACAAAAATCGATATGCCTCAACTTCCCGATTATGCAAAACTCGTACAATTCGATCAATTTTTCGATTTTCCGCCCCAAGTTCAATCGATTTCGACATCTCAATGAAATTCAGAGGAGATGCGATTTTCACTGCAAATTCCTCGGGAAGATTTGAGCATTTTGGGTGCCAATCCGGGTGGATCAAGACGATTCGAGACATGATTCCCTGAAAAATTCCGGAATTTTCTGCAAATTTTCTGACCACACAGCATATCATTTTGTAGCCTTTGAAATTCTATGCAAAATCCATATTTCAAAATTCCTCAAAACTCTCAAATTCCCGGTGAAAATCATGAAAAACCAAGTTCCCCGTCGAAAAAAAAAATAAATTTTCAAACTGTTCGCTAGAGCGCACTTGCCCGCCTCATCATTTCGAAAAATAATTTTTTCTTTTTTTTTTGTTTTTCCACGTTCTTAAGAACTTTTAGCTAAAATCGATATTTTCAGGTGAAAAATGAGGCGAAAATCAAGGAAAATGTGAGTTTTTCAAAAAATAACCCACCTTCATCTCTCCAACAACCTGCATTCTCTTATTTTCACCAAATCTAGCTTCAGTTGCCAAACTTAGCCTAACTTCATCCTCAATATCTTCCCAATTTACATGAGTTCCCAAAAGACCTGACGATTCTTCAAGAAATGACATTTTTGCCTGGAAATGGTTAAAATTGGAAATTTGTGAAGGAAAATGAGGAAAAATCGAAAAATTTTGATAATTTCGCAATATTGCGCAATAGTTTTGTGTGCTTTGCATGCTTTTGGAAAAAAGTTTGATTTTTCAACTTTTTGCTCTCATAAAAATGATCAAGTACAAACTTATTATCACAAAATTCGTCAGAAAAAAAATGATATTGCACAATAGTGTGAAACGGTCAAAGATTGTATAAAAATGAAGATAGAAATCATTTTTTTTTGTCGAAAATTCTATTTTTATCATTTCCTTTGTCTAATTTTCATTTTCCTTCAAAAATTCCAAATTTCCAGCTAATTTTCAGCCCGAAAAATGTCGCTTCATGAAGAATCTTCAGGTCTTTTGGGAACTCATGTAAATTGGGAAGATATTGAGGATGAAGTTAGGCTAAGTTTGGCAACTGAAGCTAGATTTGGTGAAAATAAGAAGGTGGAGAATATTGGAAATATGAAGGTGGGTTTTGGCGGGAAAATCGAGGCTTTTGAAAATTGAAAATGAAAAAAAAGAAGAATTTTTCCACGTGAAAAATTCAAATTTCACGTTTAATTTTTATTTTTTAAAAATGTCTCATTTCATAAAAAAAGTTAAAATATGAATTTTGTAGAGAATTTCAAGGGCTACAAGTTAGGCTAAATAGATTTTTCTATAATTCTCAGATTTGGCTGAAAATCGAGGGCAAAACTAGGAAGCTGAAATTTTCAAAAATAGAGCATTTTCAGACCTGATTTTCAGCATTTCATAAAAATCCTAACTTTTTGAAAAAACATGGATTTTGTAGGGAATTTCAAGGCAGCTAGATTTTTCTGAAAATTTCATCAAAAAGCTTAAAATCATCAGAAATTTCTGAAAAACATAGAGAATTTCAAGAAATTTCCAATTTTCCAGGGCTTCATGTCAAAAATCGCCCTAATCTCCCCAGATTGGACCCAAGATGCCGAAATCCTTCCCAAAAAGCTCATAGTCAAAATTGTCTCTCAATTAGCCTTCGTCGAAATGTCGAAATGGTCAAAAATCGAGTTATCCGAAGAAAAATTGAGGAATTTCGATGAAATCGTCTCAAATTTCCATAATCAAGAAGTCGGAACCTACGAACTTCTGAAGCAGGAGAATCGAGAGATTCCCTTGATAAAGATCTATGCTTCAAGAAAAATCACGGCTGAAAATCCACTGAAAGGCTTCATTATTTCGGAATTTGTGGAGGATTTGAAGGCGGTCACGATTTTCGATTCAATTGAGATTGCAAACATTTTACCAGTAGTTCGAGGAATTGCCAGATTTTCAGCATTGGCTGTCGAATTTCCAGAAAAGATGGGATTTGCTGGAAGTTCGGATTTTCTTTCAAAAGGCTTGGAGAATTTTAGCGATGAGAAAACGCGCGAAAATTCATATAAGACAATGAGAGAAAGTTTTCCGGAGGAATTTAAGGAGAAAGCTGAGGATTTGATTGAGATTTATCGCAAGGTTTCAACGCCGGAAATGATTCGCAGGATTACAAAGATTCCTGAGATTTGTGGTGGGTTTTCGGGGTGAAAAATTAGATTTTTGGCGCAAAAATCCCTATTTTCTTCCAGGTTTTGCTCCTCAACTCGTTCACGGCGATTTATGGCCCGGAAACCTGATGTTCTCCCAAAATCTCGAACTTCGTGCAATTATCGATTGGCAAGCTGTTAGTTTTGGCTCGCCGTCTCAAGATTTGGGCCGATTATTCATCACAATTCTATCCACCAAAACATACCGTGAAAATCTAGATTTTCTTTTGGAAACCTACTATCATGAGCTTGTGAAAAGTCTCGAGAAATCTCCCGCCAAACCCAAAATACCGTATACTTTGGAGCAACTCAAGAAAAATTATCAATTAATGTTCCCGATTGTCACAATTTTGGTGCTGCCTGGAATGATTAGCTATGCGGAAGTGATTGGGCTTCGAGACGGCGAAAATCGAGAGGATTTGAAGAAATCGGCGATTGAGAAAGCGGTTGGAATGATGGAGGATGTTTTAAAGGCGCATAGAGCTAATTTAATTGATTTTCCTGAATATTTTGAATAGGCTATTGATGAATTTTTCTAATTTAAATATGGTTTTCTTCATTTTCTTTAAAAAACTGGTTTTTCTCATCTTCCAAAAGTTTTCAATAATTGAAAAATACCTCATTTTGTAGCCCTTTAAATTCTCTACAAGATCTAGATTTCAAATTTCTGGTGAAAATCAAAAATTGTCGTGAAAATGGTGTGAAAAGAAAAAATATTTTGAATGTTCGATGGAGCGCGTTTGCTTGATTCACAAACACGCCAGCTGAAATCACTGGCGCGTTTGCCGTTTGCGCCATCATTTTTAAAATTTCGAAATCATTTTTTTCGCGAGCCGCTTTATCCTTGATGTTTTGAGCTAAAATTAATATTTTCAGAGCAAAAATGGAAGAAGAAAGTCAGCAGATAGAAGATACAGATCCAAAAAATCCGGTAAGTTTATTAAATTTTCAAGAAAATCAATATTTTCGGGTTTTTTCAGTTCAAAACGCTTCCAATTGAAATGAACAAGATGGTTTTGGAGTATTTGGATCCGATTTCAAAGATCAATTTTGGAAGATCCTCGAAATTCTGCGATTTCGTGAGCACGATTTATGATGATCAAGTTGTGGAAATCGCTTGGAATGGGAGCCCCAGAGATTTCAGTTTTCGACTTCGGAATTCTCCCAATGTTATGTATAGTGTATGGCTTGTCACGAGAGAAGAACCAAATAGAACTATTAACGTTGCTCAAATATCCGATGTTTTTGAAGATTTTACGAGGATTGACAATCAGGAAGAACTCTGGGTAACCAAATTCTATGCGAACATGCTGGATGAGACTAGAAATGTGAATTCTAGACTTTGGGAAAAGGAATTTCGAGGAAACAATTTCGATTTGTCAGTTCGATATTTTCTGGAGTTATTGAGAAGAAATCAAAATTCAATCAGAAATCTGTCAATATTTTGTGATGATCGAATGAGCCAATTTATGAGCAATTTATCAATCAATAATTATAATTTATTTTTTCCGAGAAATCTGGAAACAATCAAAGTTACTGGAAATCTACCAAATTATGAGAAGCTATTCATGATTCCTGATGTAACAATTGATGGAACAGAATTGAATCTGGAAGCATTGAAGAATTTCAAATCTTCATTTCTTATTTTATCAGAAAAAACGATAAGTTTGGAAGATTATAAAGAATATCTGGAATTATGGAGTCAAGGAGAACTTCATGAAAATTTGGAGAAAATTGAGTGGAATACGGGGAATTCGAGAATGTCTCGACCACCGATTGAGGCAAATATTTTTGAATCTAGTTTTGCTGACAAAATTGGACCGCGTGAAAATACACGGGAAGGGTTAGTTTAGTTTGATTTGAGTTCTGAATTTGCCAATAACATTTTCAGATATGTGCAAAGATTTGAAATAATCACCAATATTCTGGAAACAAATTATCGATTGATTGGAGTATTTGTTGAAAATGTTATACTGTCTGGACTTCCTCCGCTTAACTCGAAAGTTACTGTTGAGAAGAAGCCAATTGATTAATTTGTATGGATTTTTGACATTTTTGCACTTATGTAATTAATTTATTGTTCTTCAATTTTTCGCCATAAATAAAACATTTTCCGGAGGAATTTAAGGAGAAAGCTGTGAAGTTAGAGGCGCATAGCGCTAACTTAATCGATTTTCCTTAATATTTTGAATAGATTATGAATTTTTCCAATTTAAATATGGTTTTCTTCATTTTCTCCAAAAAGTTTTCAATTATTGAAAGTACCTCATTTTGTAGCCCTTGAGATACTTTACAAGATCTAGATTTCAAATTTCTGGTGAAAATCAAAATTGGCGTGAAAATGGGGCGAAAAGAAACATATTTTGAATGTTTGATGGAGCGCGTTTGCTTGTTTCACAAACACGCCAGCAGAAATCACTGACGCGTTTGATATTTGCGCCTTCATTCCTGAAATTTCGAATCTTTTTCGCGAGCCGCGTTCTTCTTGATGTTTTGAGCAAAAATCAATAATTTCAGACGAAACATGGAGGAAAAAAGTCAGAAGCAAGAAGATGAAGATATAAATAACCCGGTAAGTTTATTAAATTTTCAAGAAAATCAATATTTTTGGGTTTTTTCAGTTCGAAAAGATTCCAGTTGAAATGAACCGAACTATTTTGGAGTATTTGGATCCGATCTCAATAATCAATTTCGGAACATCTGCGACGATTTGCAATATTTTGAGCACAATTTATGATGATCGTGTTGTGGAAATGACATGGAATGGATTGGAAAATATCGAAAGCCGTCGAGTTTTTACTTTCCGCCTTCGGAATTTTCCCCATATTTTGTATAGTGTAAGAGTTATCACAAAAGAAGAGCCAAATCCAACTATTGACATTGCTCAAATATCCGATGTTTTTGCCGATTTTCCAAGGGTCCAGGAGGAGACATTTTTGGTGACAAAATTCTATCTGATAAGGTGAGGATTTTTCATTGAAAATAGATATCATAGATAATTTCAGGAGCGATGAGGCTAGAAATGTGAATTCTAGACTTTGGGATAAAGAATTTCGAGGAAACAAGTTCAATGTGGCAGTTCGATATTTTCTGGAATTATTGAGAAGAAATCAGAATTCAATCAGAAATCTGTCAATATTTTGTGATAATCAAATGAGCCAATTTATGCAAAAATTATCAATCAATAGTTATAATTTATTTTTTCCGAGAAATCTGGAGACAATCAAAGTTACTGGAAATCTACCACATTATGAGAAGCTATTCATGATTTCTGACGTCACAATTGATGGAACAAAGTTGAATCTGGAAGCATTGAGGAATTTCAATTCTTCATTTCTTTGTTTATCAGAAGCTACGATAAGTTTGAAAGATTTCAAAGAATATTTGGAATTATGGAGCCAAGGAGAACTTCACGAAAATTTGGAGAAAATTGAGTGGATTGCTCTTGTTACGATAATGTCTCGACCACCGATTGAGGAACATATTTTTGAATCTAGTTTTGCTGACAGAATTGGACCGCGTGTAAGAAGACCAGAAGGAAATTCTCAAAGATTTGAAATTATCGCGAATATTCTGGAAAGAAATTATCGATTGATTGGAGTGTTTGTTGAGAATCTTCGAATTGTTGGAAGTCAATTGTTTAACTCGAAAGTTATTGTTGAGAAGAAGCCAATTGAGTAATTTGTATATGTAAATAATTTATTTTTATCAATGTTCTTCAATTTGTTCCAATTTTATCCCATAAATCAACTCATGGAATTGAGAATTCTGAGCGAGAAACTCATTCAAGAACTTATCACGTAAGAATGAGACGCAAACCATCGATTTCTGATATCTGAAAAACAATTAGGATTTTGGTGTCAAAAAGTAAAATCAACAACAACAAACCTTGTCAAAGTAACAAGAGTTTCATTTCCAATTTCGTTCTCCGATTTTGTGATTTTCAATATATACGGAAAATCAGGAAATTTTTGAACAATGAAATTCAGAAAACGCGGACCATATAAATCATCCGACCCACTCCAACTGATTTTTGTAATTGGATCATCGCAATTTTCAGCCAAAACATCGCAAAATTTCGAATTTTTTCCAAAATTGATTATTGAAATCGGATCCAAATTTTGCAAAATCATTTCGTTCTTTTCGAATGGAAGTTTTTGGAACTGCAAAGAAATTAAAAATTTCAAAGGTTTTTGTAAAATTAAAAATAACTAACCACATTCAACTCTTCTTCTTTTTCTGGTTGATCCATTTTTATCTGGAAATTATTGATTTTTTTTTCTGAAAAAAAAAGAAAAGGAAGATATTTTGAGCTCAATGAAAATGAGAATCAAATTTTTGAAAGAAAAAAAAGGACTTTAACAAAAAGATTTATTAACAATCAAAAAACACCAGAAAAAAATTTTACAGATAAAAAATTCGAGGAAAAAAAATGAAAATCAATCCATGAACATTCTATAAAAACACAAGTATTTTGAAACACCGTGTTCAACATTTTGAGTAAATTCTGTAAATCTTCCAGCCAATTGAAGATTTTCTTCCTTTGTTTTCGGAATTGCAAAACAATGAGTGAATCTGCGAAATTTTCAAACAATTTTGATTCGAAAACTCAAAATCTCACCCATTTTGTATATTTTCAATTTGTCCAATATTTACTGCGAACATTTCTTCATGTATTTTCCTCAAAATATCGTTAGACTCTCCAATCAACTCAACTTTTTTCAAATTTTCATGCAATTTTCCATCTCTCCATAAAATCAGATATTTTTTTAAATCATCAAAAGAAACATGATCAGCTGAAATCGAGATTTCTGATGATTTGAATTGTTTTAATTGTTCGATATTCAAATTTGTTGCATAAATCTTGACAGAATCGATTGAATATAATTTGTCAATGAATGGAAATTCAGCACAAACTCCAATATTCTCCAAATTTTTCGGAAAAATCGATAATATTTTTTCTCCCAATTTTCCCTTACAACATTTATCAGCTTTGATATACAAACTATTGATTGAGTTTTGATTTCTCTTTAATAAATCGAAAAAATATTGAATTATAAAATCGAGACAATTTCCGCTGATTTCTTGTTTCCACCATTCGATTTCTTTGTGTTCAGATGAATTATATCTGGAAAAAGAGCTATTCAGAAATGAGTGGAACTTTCGGAAGTATCTAACCTTCGCAAAATCAAAACAGATTTTGAGATTGACGTTTCTTGGATGTCCAAAGTATACCAATATTCCGGAAAGCTGTTCACTTTGAATTTCAAAATATCTTGACCATTTTCTGTTAAACCATTCCATGCGAATTCAATAATTCGATCATCGAAATTTCCAGCCAAACCATCGCAAAACTTTGAAGTTTTTCCAAAATTGATCATTGAAATCGGATCCAAATTGTTCAAAATCATCTCGTTCATTTCGAATGGAAGATTTTGGAACTGAAAGAAATTCAGATTTTCGAAGGTTTTTGTAAAATAAAATAAACTAACCGCATTCAACTCTTCTTCTGCTTCTTGTTGATCCATTTTTTTTCTGGAAATTATTGATTTTTTTGATAAAAGAGCAAATAAATATATTTTTAGCTCAATGAAAATGAGAATCAAATTTGAAAACAAAATATGGATTTTAACAAAAGGATCTTTATCAAACAACAAATGAAAACAACAACATAAACATTTTACAGAGGGAACAATTAAATTAGTCAGTAAAATTTTCGATCGATTTCAATACGTCTTCTCCTTTCAAAGGGTAAATCCCGACATGTGATAAATTTGAATCAACTGGCGACACTTTTCCATACAAGCGAAGATTATTTTTATTTGTTTTGACAATTGCAAAACATTTGATAGTTCTGAAATACAAATTTCAGCAACTTTCGAATATTCAAAAAAAATCAACTCACCCATCTTCAGTATTTCCACGCGATCTAGTTTCAACCGCAAAATTTTCGCGAAAAAGTATTTGAATAATATCGGAAGTTTTGTCAATTATTTCAAGAAATTTCAAATTTTCATGAAGTTTTCCATCCCTCCATAAAATTAAATATTGTTTATAAATTTCCATATTCATTGAAAATGTTGTGAAACCAAGGATGGATGATTTGAATTGGCACAATTTTTCGATATTTAATGGTGTTCCAAAAATTGACACATTATCAATTGAGTAGAGTTTGTGAATATCCGGAAAAATACCATATACTTTGATGTTTTCCAAACTTTTTGGGACGAGCAAATCATTCAAACGATAATTCTGATCGATAAATTCGGACATGAATCTATAATATTTGATTGAAAGATTCTTCATCGAATTTTGATGTCTCTTCAATAAATCAAAAAAATAGTGAGCTGCAACATCAAAACAAGATCCTTTCTTTGTTTGTTCCCAGCAGACAACACTTGTTTTGCTCGATGTTTCATATCTGAATAGAACGATAATTTAGAACGTAAATATAAAAAAAGATTTCGAAGAAACCCACTTTTTCAAAATTGCTACAGTTTCATGGCGACTTGACTTGCTCCATTTCTCATCTGGAAATAATAAAAACTAACTTTTCGAATTTCCAAAATCAAAACAAACCATCATAATTATATTCAGGCTCAGCTGATTGAAGCAATAAATTATTATCGAAAATGGATGAAAACTCTTCATCTGAATCAGATTCTGAATCAAAAAACGGTCTTCTTCTCCCTCTTCTTTCTCCAGAATTTGACGAACTTCTCGCTTTTTTGACTTCAAGAGTATAAAGCGAATCTGGCGAGTTTTGAACTCGAAATTTGATAACATCAGGACCATGTGCACCCTTCTTCAATCCATTCCAAGTTATATCAAAGACTCGATCATCGAAATTGTCAGCCAAACCATCGCAAAATTTCGAAGTTTTTCCAAAATTGAGCATTGAAATTGGATCCAGATTGTTCAAAATCATCTCGTTCATTTCGAATGGAAGATTTTGGAACTGTAATAGGATTAAAATTCAAGTTTTTTTTTCAAAATTGATCAACTAACCGCATTCAACTCTTCCTCTGCTTCTCGTGAGTGATTCTCATCCATTTTTCTGAAAAAAATCGATTTTTTCATGCTGACAGTTTATTAACAAGAACAAGAAATGAGGGTTTCTGGAGAATTTTTGAAAAACCAGAATTCCGAGAGAATTCCCCATTTTTTGAGATTCTGAAGCATATCATTTTGAAGCCCTTGAAATTCTCTACAAACTAGTTATTTTCCCTTTATCGGAAAAAAATCTGGAAATGAAGTAGTTTCAGCTCAATGAAAATGATATTCGAAGTTCAAAAACTGGAAATTCGAAAAAAAAAATGCTTTATAGTGTACAAAATAAGTTAATTCGGAGAAAACTTCAAAAATAAAATTCACAGAGTGCAATAAACAATTTAAATACAAATTAATCAAAGCGTTTTTCAACTATAACTTTTAAATCACCAGTACAACCACGATCATTTCGAATGAATCTTCCAATCAATCGATAATTCGTATTCTCATTTTTGGCAATTTCAAAAGTTTGGAAGAATCTGATTGTGAATTCAAATTATTTTTTATTAAAATTCATTTCACATTCAAGCTTACCCGCTTCGTGTTTTTTTCTTTCTTCCAAAGCGGAATGAAGAATTCAAATTATAAGTACATGAATACATTTCATAACCATGGTCCTTCATTTCAAATCTATTCAAATTCTCATGCAGTTTTCCTTCGCTCCACAAAATTAAGAACGAATTAAAATCTTCGTTAGATATTGAATCAATTGAAATCGAGATTTTTGATGATTTGAATTTTTTCAATTCTTCGATATTCAATAAAGTTCCTTTAATTCTCACATCATCGATTGAATATAATCTTCTAATATATGGAGAATACCGCCCATCTACTCTGATTTTCTTCAAATTTCTCGGAAAAATCGATAGCATCTTTGTTCGTATTACATTTTCACAATATATATCAATTTTGATATAGAAACTATTGATTGAATTTCGATTTCTCTTCAATAAATCGAAAAAATGTTGATAAATGGAATCAAGACAATTTCCATTGATTTTCTGTTGCCAACATTGAATTGTTGTGTTTGTCGATTTATTAAATCTGAAGAAAATTATTATTTCAATGATATTTTCAGATAGAACTAACCTCTCCAAAACTAGAAGAGTATTTGATGAGGCCAAGATGCTTTCTTCTTCTTCATCTGCATTTTCGATGTTCAAAACATAACAACTATCCGGAGAATCATCAACTTTGAATTTCAAAATATCTTGACCATTTTCTGTCAAACCATTCCACATGATTGAAAAAATTCGATCCTCAAAGTTTTCAGCCAAACCATCGCAAAACGTTGAAGTTTTTCCAAAATTGAGCATTGAAATTGGATCCAAATTTTTCAAAATCATCTCATTCATTTCGAATGGAAGATTTTGGAACTGCAAAGAAATTCAAAATTCAAGATTTTTTTCAAAATGTATCAACTAACCGCATTCAACTCTTCCTCTGCTTCTCGTGAGTGATTCTTGTCCATTTTTCTAAAAAAAAAATTTTTTAATGCTGACAGTTTATTAACCACGCAATCAATTAAGCACAAAGAGAAATTTAAGGATTGGAACCAACAACAACAAAAAATAAAAGTTTCTGGAGAATTTTTGAAAAACCTAAATTTCGAGAGAATTTCATAATTTCTCCCGTTACAAAACATATCATTTTGAAGCTCTTGAAATTCTCTTCAAGCTCAACAAGTCAAAAATTCAGCGAAAACTAGAAATTGGTGGGAAAATGGTGTGAAACAGTTTTCCGACAGAAAATATTTGAATGTTCGGTGGAGCGCGTTTGCTTGTTTCATCTTCGAAATACGCCAGCTGAAAAGAACTGACGCGTTTGACGTGCACCTCCAAATGCGCCCTCATTTCTAATTTTGAATTCAGTTTTTTTCTTTTCGTTTTTTTTGCGAGTTGCGCGAACTTTCGTCATATTTTCGCATTCTCAATGTTTTGAGCATTTTATTAACTAGCTCGTAAAACATGTCACCAATGAAAAATCGTTTTGCAGAGAAAACATGAAGGGCGAGCCAAAACAAGAACCAGAAAAATCTTCGAATCCCGTAAGTCGATTTTATTTTGAAAAAAAATACACGTGTTTTTTTGCAGTTTCAAAAGCTTCCCTACGAAATGAATGAGATGATTTTGAAAAATGTGGATCCAATTTCAATGCTCAATTTTGGAAAAACTTCAAAGTTTTGCGATGGTTTGGCTGCGAATTTTGATGATCGATTAGCTCAATTATCTTGGGATTGTCATAAGAATGATGATTTAACTGGTCAAAATGCTTTCATGTTTGATTTTGAAAGTTTTCCAGGGCGTACATATTGTTTAGAAACTCGACAAGCGCCAAACAAGAAAGGAACAAGTTTTTTACAATATATTAAGAAAGCGTTACAATATTTAACAATTTTGTCGTTTGAACAAGAAGCTGAAGGTTACTTTGAATATTTGAAATTATCTAAATGAATTTCCAAATTTTTCAGCGAACTCCGAAACGCTGGTGATTTTCAGAAGATATAATTCATCTACAAAAACTATCGAATTATGTTGGGAACAAAAAAATCTGTGGAAATCGTTTTGATGTTTTAGCTGGATATTTTTTCGATTTAATGGAGAAACATCACAATTCTATCACCAATCTTTCATTGGACTCTTATGGATATAATAGCAAAAAAATCATTGATAATGTGCAATTCTACGAATCGAGATTCCCAAGAAGCTTGAAAAATTTCTGTTTTTCTGGCGATATTTTGCACATTCGAAAATTCTACTCATTTCATTGTATCCAAGTTGTTGCTGAAACTCGATTAACTATGAACGAATTTGAAATATCAGACTTCAAACTTTCTTCAATTTTGGATATTTGCAAAGAATTCTTGAATTTTTGGAAAGATGGAGATTTTCCGGAAAATGTGGGACAAGTTGGGATTCTGCGAAAACTTGATGATTTTATTTCTATGACACTTCTTCAAAATGATTGGATTGTTAGAAAATATGGGTAAATTTTTTTGTTATTGAAACAAAAAACATGTTTTTGATTGAGCATATTATTTATCCTGAAATTAATTTTTTTCAGAGCTCCGCGAATGTTCGAAATCATCGAAACAAATTTGATTGAAGTTGTTGGAAGAGCATTGATTACTTATGAAAATGTTAAATATATGTTGATAGTTACAATTTCGAATTGAATAATTTTTCTAATTTTTTTTTGGGTGAGAAAATTGTTATCTTTTCCCATTTTTCTGTGATTTTTCTCAGAAATATTGTGAAATAAATGCAAAAGATAAGAAATATTTCTAACCTTCATTTGATATAAAAACCCCTCAAAATTTCATTGAATATTCTGATATTTCAAATTATTCTCTACTAAAAATGCTTGGTATTTTTTTCTGCAAACACAATAAGTTATTCTGTCTAGAATGCAGTTGAATAATTTTGCGTCCATTTTGATTTGAATATGAATAAACTTGTTGAATTTTATATTTTTTCGATTTTCAGATTTTGTAGAGAATTTCAAGAGCTAAAAAGGTGTATTTTTCAATTTCAGACAAAAATTTGAAATTTCTGAAATTCTAGAAAATTGCTCATTTTTGACTCCAATTTTTGATGAATAAAAAAATCTGATTTATCAATTTTTTTTCCTTTAAAAAATTTTTGAAACAGTGAATTTTTTTAGAAAAAAAATTTGTTGGAAAATTTTTTTTTCAAAATAAAAGATTATGAGAATTGACATCAATATTGCGAAATCTAGAAAATGTTGATAAAAATTTTCGAAACGTAAAAAATCAAGGTTTTGCAAATTGCACCAAAAATGCACAATTTGGAACTTTCTGGTCCCAAAAATCCGAATTTTTCGAATTTCAGATTCTGTAGATAATTTCAAGGGCTTCAAAATGGTGTATTTTTCAATTTCAGACAAAATTTTGAAATTTCTGAAATTCTAGAAAATTGCTCATTTTTGACAACATTTTTTGATGTATAAAAAAATCTGATTTATCAATTTTTTCTATAAAAGTTTTGAAACAGTGAAATTTTTTTCAAAATAAAAAATTATCAGAATTGACATCAAAATTGCAAAATCTAGAAAATGTTGATAAAAATTTTCGAAACGTAAAAAATCAAGGTTTTGCGAAGCACCAAAAATGCACAATTTGGAGTTTTCTGGTCCCAAAAATCTCCCCAAATTCAAATTTCCCCCAAAAAAACTCATCCACAAGAGAAAAATTTATGAAATGCGTCCTATATTTTGCTTTTTGGTTGATTTACTTGGTGTTCAAATGTTGTGGTGCCTTGTGAGCCAACGCGTGAACTCCGCCATTGAACAATTTGGCACAAATTCCCGAACGAGCAGCCGCAACCCAAACAGCCGATGCTCCCAAACCAATTCCGCAAGAAACGTACACAGTGTCACCAGTCTTGATTCCTTTGGCGGCGAAGGCTGCAAAAATATGGGATTGGTGGTACTTTTTTTAGTGAAACTATAGATGAGTTTGCGAATGACACAAAAATTATTTTTTCCAAAATTATAAAAATTTTGAAACAGTAAATTTTCGGGATTTTTGAAAAATGATTTTTGGCGCTAAAAGTCTACAGTAATCAAACAATTTTCACACTACGAGAAGACTGCAATAAAAATCCAATTTTTAAAAATCTTATCCAAAAATTTTGAAACAGTAAATTTTCGGGATTTTTGAAAAATGTGGTTTTGGCGCCAAAAATCTACAGTAACCTAACAAAAGTGAGCTAAAAATCCTAGATTTGCTGAAAATCTTGAAATTTGTGGTTTCTTTGGAAACATTAACTCAAAATTCCAGATTTTCAGCTAAAAAATCATCAAAAAAGCTAAATGTAGCTATAAATTCGAGATTTTCCACAAAAAACCTTCTTAAGGCCCAAGCTAAGCTTAAAATTCGAAATTTTCAGCTAAAAAATCATCTAAAAAGTTAAATTTAGGTATAAAGTATCAAATTTCCCACTAAAAACCTTCACAAGGCCCAATCTAAGCTCAAAATTCGAGATATTCAGCTAAAAAACCTCCCCCTAGGCTCAAAAATATGGGTTTTTCTCAAAATTTTCTCCTAAAAACATCAAAAAAGCTGAATTTAGCTATGAAGTATCATTTTTAGGGTCTAAACAACCCAAAAATCAAATTTCCACTAAAAACCTTCACAAGGCTCAATCTAAGCTCAAAATTCCAGATTTTCAGCTAAAAAATCATCAGAAAAGCTGAATTTAGCTGCAAATTATCAAATTTTCCACTAAAAACCTTCAAAAGGCCCAATTTAAGCTCAAAATTTTAGATTTTCAGCTAAAAATCATCACAAAATCCCCAAAAATCCCTCACCAGCATCACATTCAGTCTTCTTCTTAATTCCCTTTGGTCCAACAACTTCACCCAACGGAAAATGAATAGCATCTTTGCATCGAACACCAGTCGCTGAACTTTCCGGATATCCAATTGGCACTTTTCCAGTCCATTCTTCCTTGGTACGTGTATCCAAATATTTGACACTTGCCAAATTATCAAATGGAATATCAGCCAAATTGGCCAAAATATTCTTATCAGTTGTAGTTGTCTCATAATTTCCACTCGAAATCATACTTTCTCCCGATTGCACAACTCCTTGTGCCAATTTGAACGCCTCCAAACCGCCATTCAACACACTAATATTGGTATAACCATAGTAGCGGAACGTCCAATAGGCGCGGCATGCGGCAGGCATTCCGCCGTCCTTTCCGCGTCCGTAGACAATGATGTGATCGCCGTTGAAGACGCCGAGTCGTTTGACGTAGGCGGTGAAGTTTTCGGCGTCGTACAATGTGAAACGCTCCTCTTCTGATGGATAATAGGCGATGTCGAAGTTGAAATGGGCGGCACCGTTGATGTGTTCGGCAATGTATTCTTGGTTCTTTAATTCGTTCATTGCGACGCCGAATTTGCCGAAATATTTGGATTTGTATTCGTTGATGTCGGGTTTTGGTTTGAAAGTCCATGAGGCGTCCAAAATTCGAACATTCTGCAAAGAAAATGTTATTTTTTGAGTCCAAACATGCTCAGGGGGGCTTTTCAGGCCCCCTGTTAAGGCCCCTAACTAGTTAGGAGCCTTAACAGGTCCCCTATCCTTCCCCAAACTCACTCCGAAGTTCTGGACAACCCATTTGGGTTCGACGATCATTTCAACTGCCATTTTTGTTGTTTTTGAGTTGGTTCAATTCACTTTTCACAAAGAATTTGAATGAGGAAACTCCACCTTCATCTCCTCCTTTTATTGATTTTTTCGATGACGTGGCATTTGCGATCTGGGCCGGAGATAAGGAAGGACACGTGAAAAATAAAATTTAGAAAAAAAACAAATTTTTTTTTATCGTAGTTTGGTTAAAGGCGCGTGTGAAATTGTGTGTGGGTCTTGTGACGATTGTGTGACGCGCTGGGAGTTTTTTGAATTTGATTTGGCGATTTTTTTTTGTTTTCTCCGGGTTTTTATGGGATTTTTAGGGTTTGAGGTGATTTTAGGGTGCTGAAGATGATGCTGATGGTCTGAAGATGTGATTGAGACTCCGGGGCGCCTGGAATCCTTGAGAAAATTCCGTATTTTCCAGGTTTTAGTGGATTTTTTGCTTGAAGTGATGTTAATTTATAGTTGAAAATGTTGAATTTTGGTTCTCTAGCTAAATTTCAATAATAAAATTCCAGATTTCAATAAAAACCCTGAAATTCCCCTCAAAATTCGATTTTTTCATCAAAAATCTAATTTCAGAGCCAGAAAAATTCTAACCCGTTCAGAATTCCCACCGAGACTTCTGAATTTTGCTCATAATTCAGAATTCCAGTCGAATTTTCAGATTTCCGAGCAAAAAATAGCGAATTCTCTCGAAATTTCGCCCAAGAACTTGAAAAATCACAGGAAACCTCAATTTTCAAAGTTTGCAAGCTCCAAATCGCAATTTCCCTCGAAATTCCCCAGTTTCCCACGAAATTCCCCATTTTTCCTCGAAAATTCCGCAATTTTTCCCGCACGGCCGAACATTTTCAAAAACTAGTCCGCGCGCCAAAAAACCTCGGCCACCAACAAACATCTGCTGCTCCTTTTCCCCTTTTTGTGTGGTAAAAAACAAAGAAAATCAATTTTTGCCTCTCAAGACATGATAAATAAATAATTTATCAATGTCTTTTTGTTTTTTTCTGGGATTTTCAGCCAAAAAACATGTGTTTTCTCGATATTTTTGTTGAAAATCAAATCAAAACTCATGTTATTTTTTGTGCTGTGTTGGGGGTGGAGTTAGGCTATCTTCTCTTGCTTTTTCTTTTGAGCAAAAATTCTGTCATTCGATTAAAAATGCTGCGAAAATCTTCAGATTCTTCCTCATCGGATTGCATATTTTTGGCGCATCAAAAAGGCCGCCGCCGAAAAATCCACAGGCAAAGTGGGAAAAAAGGTAAAAATTTTTCGAAATTTAATTTTAATTCGTGACGTGACCTTTTCGTTGTTGGCTGAACAAAAAACGTGGATCCGCCCGAAATTCCTCATTTCAAATTTTCATTTTCAAATTTTCTCACAGCGCGCCGAAAAATGATGGAAAATCCCTACTGTTGCTCGTTGGAGTTGGACGAACTTGGAGCCGATGATGCGATTATTGATTATTCGGTTTTTAGCGACGACTCTTTTCTACTCATTTTGCTACTTACCTCGAAGGGTGAGGCTTTTTTTCGTGGTGGGACCTTGGAAATATGCATTTTTGGGTCTTGAAGCGATTTTTGAAGCTGTGAGCCTTTAAAGTTGATGGCTATGGGTCTTGGAGCGCTTGTAAGCTTAATTTTTGCTTCAAGATCCACTCTGCGCCTTTAAACTTGGGAAAATTGATGATTTTTGGGTCTTGAAGCGATCTAGATGCTTTATAGCTGGATTTTTCGCTTCAAGACCCAATATGCGCCTTCAAACTTGAGAAAATTGATGATTTTGAGTCTTGAAGCGATCTAGATGCTTTATAGCTGGATTTTTCGCTCCAGGACCCAACATGCGCCTTTAAACACAGATATTTGATGATTTTTGGGTCTTGAAACGATCTGGATGTTCCTTTAAAGCTTGTAAGCTTTCTTATTCGCTTCAAGACCCAGGATGCACCTTTAAACTTGACAAAATTGAAGATTTTGGGTCTTGGAACGATTCTTGAAGCTTTGCACCTTTAAAATATAAATTTTCCGGACTTGAAGCCATAATGGAGATGAAAACTTCTATGCACCTTTAAAAATTGCTCCAAAACATGATTTTTGGGTTTTGAAACGATCTGGATGTTCCTTCAAACCTCTAAATATCAGGATTTCGCTTCAACACTCAATATGTGCCTTTAAACACGGATATTTGATGATTTTTGGGTCTTGAAGCGATCTGGATGTACCTTTAAAGCTTGTAATTGTTCTTTTTCGCTCCAAGACCCAGAATGCGCCTTTAAGCGTCAGAAATTCGATGATTTTTGAGTCTTGAAGCGATTTTTCCATCCATGACCCTTTAAATTGTGAAATTTGGGTCTTGAAGCGATCTAGATGCTTCATAGCTGGATTTTTCGCTTCAAGACCCAAAATCATCCCCTTTTCCGATTTTTAAAGGAACATAAGGTTGTTTAGCTCTTGAAGAACCTCAAAAAACCAGATTTTCAGAGTTTAAAGGGACATTCCGGGTCCTGTAGCGAAAAATTGAGCTTGGGAGCTTTAAAGGAACATCTGGATCGTTTCAGGACCCAAAAAACTTGATTTTTTGAGAAAAAGGAGGGTTTTTGGTTGGATGTTTCGCTGCAAGACCCAAAAATCATCGATTTTCCGAGTTTTTTGGGTCCCCGAACGAAAAAACCATCTATGTACCTTTAAATTCCCTGAAAATCCACTATTTTGGTCTCAAAGCGAAAGATCTCATGTTCCTTTAAAAAATTTCTCTATTTTTTTCCAGGCGAGACGCAAGCCTACCTCGAAACCGGCAAAGACACCAAACCCCGGAAAAATGTTGTTGACATCCGAAGTTCTTGCGGAATTTCGGCTGCGCCTTTAACAATTTGCATCGGAAGTCAAGCGGCTTATGTTGTTTTTGGTCTGGCTGATGGAAATTTGCTGGTGACACCGATTAAGACGATTATTGTGAGATTTTGACCTAGAAATCATGAAAAATGAGCTCAAAATAGCAAATGCGCTCTATTGTACAACCCCCAATTTGTCGAAATATTCAAAAAATCATTTTTTCACCTAGAAGTGATGAAAAATGATGGTTTTTGACCCAGAAAACGTGATTTTTGGATAAAAATAGCAAATGCGCTCTATTGCACAACCCCCGAATCCATGAAAAATTCGAAAATATATTTTTTCACCTATAAATAGTGAAAAATGAGGGTTTTTGACCCAAAAAACGTGATTTTTGAATAAAAATAGCAAACGCGCTCCACTGAACAACCCCCAAATCGATGAAAAATTCAAAAAATCAATTTTTTCACGTTGAAATGGTGAAAAATGAGGGTTTTTGGATCAAAATAGCAAACCCGCTCTATTGCACAACCCCCAAATCCATGAAAAATTCAAAAAATCTTTTTTTCCAACCAGAAATGGTGAAAAATGAGGGTTTTTGACCCAGAAAACTCGAAATTTCGTCATATTTCAATTAAAATAGCAAACGCGCTCCACTGCACACCCCCCAAATCAATGAAAAATTCAAAATATCAATTTTTTTCACAGGATGTCACCTGGGGCGGTTCTTCTTGGTCAACAACAAATGTGATTGATTTGAGCTTGGAATCAGTGGATATTTGTCTCGCCACACCAACTTGCACCAAATGTTTTACCTCGAATTTTCCGCCAAGAAGTATGGCTGTGGTGGCGAATAAGGTTGGGGTTTTTGGGGTGGAAAATTGGGAAAATTTGGCTTTTTTGGTCCTAGAAATGAATTTTGGTGGAAAATTTGAATTTTTGAGTTTTTGAAAAATTCACTGTTTCAAAATTTTTTGAAAAATGTTGTCTTGATTTTTTTCTCAATGGTTCCTCAATATCACATTTTGATGCCAAAAATTTGAATTTTGAACTCACAAAAAATTTCACTGTTTCAAAATATTTTGATTAAAATTTTGTCTTGATGTTTTTTCAATGGATTCAGTTCCTCAATATCAATTAAAAAAAATTTCAAAACAATTTTTAAATTTGAAAGTTTAAAAATTTTAGCCCTAAAAATTTGAATTTTGGATTTTCTGAAAAATTCACTGTTTCAAAAATTTCACAAATTCAATACTTTATTCCAAATTTTAATGGATCTTTCCCATCGTTAGGATAATAAAAAAAAAATTACCCAGATTTTGAAAATTCGAGTTTTTCGCACTAAAAAAATATCCCTACAAGCATACTGTAGGATTTTTGGCCCTAAAAATTTGAATTTTGGATTTTCTAAAAAAAAATTCACTGTTTCAAAATTTTGTGAAAAATGTTTTCTTGGTTTTTTTTCAAGTATAATAGGAAAAAATCCCAAAATTTTAATTTTTAAATTTGAAAATTCAAAAATTTTAGCGCTAAAAATTTGAATTTTGGATTTTCTGAAAAATTCACTGTTTCAGAAATTTCAAAAATTGAAAAATTTTATTCCAAATTTTAATGGATCTTACCCATCGTCAGGATAATAAAAAAAATTACGCAGATTTTGAAAATTCGAGTTTTTGGCACTAAAAAATATCCCTACAGGAATACTGTAGGACCTTTGAGAGAAATATTTTAATTTTAGATTTTCTGAAAAATTTCACTGTTTCAAAATTTGGTGAAAAATGTTGTCTGGATTTTTTTTCAATGGTTTTTCAATATCAATATGAAAAGTTTCAAAACAATTTTTAAATTTGAAAATTCAAAAATTTTAGCGCTACAGTATCCTTACAAGAATACTGTAGGATTTTTAGCGCTAAAAATTTGAATTTTGGATTTTCTGAAAATTTCACTGTTTCAAAATTTTTAATTAATTTCTGACTGGATTTTTTTCAATGGTTATTCAAAATCAATTCAAAAAATTTCTAAACAATTTTTAAATTTGAAAATTCAAAAATTTTAGCGCTACAATATCCCTACAGGAGTACTGTAGGATTTTTGAGCAAAATATTTAAATTTTTTCTAAAAAAAAATTCACTGTTTCAAAATTTTTAATTAATTTCTGTCTGGTTTTTTAAAATCAATTTTGAACTGATATTTTTTCAAATCACGTTTTCCTGTCCCCAAAAATGTGCACTTTTTTCTGCCGAAAATCCTCTTTTCTGATTTGACCTCAACAATTGCTCATATCAAAAGAGAATAACAAAACACAAACACAAACATTATGATGAGTTTTAACAGCTTTTTCCTCAATGAGAAAAAATCAGGGATATTTGGAAGAAAAAAGGGTGATTTATCAATCTCTTGCTAAATTTTTTCTTATTTTTTATTGCCTCACATTTTTTTGTGTGTTTCGTAATGTGATAAGAATGAGAGAAAATGGGGGGTTTCTGGGGGGAAAATGTGCCCTGAAATTGCAGATTTTTAGTCTACGCCCACTTTTTTCAATGGAATTTAGAAAAATGCAAGCCTGGCACAGTTTTTTTTTTGAAAATTGGAATTTTTACAAGAAATATCGAATCAATCGATATTTAGAATAGTGTTTATTTATTATGACATTTTTGAAACAGTGAATTTTTTTCTTTTTTTTTCTTAACAAAAAATTTGAAACAGTGAAAATTTAGCCAAAAATGATTGAAAAATCTTCGAGAACAATGAAAAATTTGAATTTTCATTAAAAATTAATGATAACATTTCAAAAATCACTGATTTCAGCCACAAATCTCACAAAATTGCAGATTTTGGCTGACTAGAAATTTATGAAACAGTGAATTTTTTGTAATGAAAAATTTGAATTTCAGCACAAATTTTCAATGAATGACTTATTTTCAATAAGAATGTTCACTTTCTTAATTTATTAAGAAATTTTTGAAACAGTGAATTTTTGAAAAATTCCAAAAATTCTGAAAATAAATCAGAATTTATTGATTTTTAATCAAAAATCACCAAGAAGTCTCTATTTTTCTCTGAAATTTTCCGATTTTCAGCCAAAAATTTTCCCAATTTTCAGCTGAAAGTTATTTGAATATATTCTTAAAGTTCATTAATCTAGAACCGAATTTTCTTCAATTATTACTGAAATTTTTAATAGTCATTTATTATGAAATTTTTGAAACAGTGAATTTTTTTGTAATGAAAAATTTGAAAATTCTGAATTTAAGCACAAATTTTCAATGAATGACTTATTTTCAATAAAAATGTTCACTTTCTTAAGTTATTATGAAATTTATGAAACAGTGAATTTTTGAAAAATACAAAAATTCCTAAAATTCTGAAAATCAATCAGAGTTTCCAGATTTTCAGCCAAAAAATCCTTCCAATTTTTGCAGGCTGGAAATATTCTCCTTGTCGATCTTCAACTTCGAAAATGTGTCTCCGAGCTCAAAGCTCCACAAAGCCTCCATGAAATTGAAATTCTTCTCGATGAAAATTCCATCGAACTATTGGTCACCGGATTTACGGGTGCACAATGGATTATTCCGATTGAGAGAAATGGAAGAGGATTTCGAGAGGTTCTGACGACTTGTGTACCGGCGGATTTGCAAGTTGTGAGTGATTTTTTGAGCTAAAAATTGTGAAAATTGGTTGAAAATGAGCTGAAATTCATGAAAATTGGATAATTTTGACCTGAAAATTTGAAATTTTCATCCCAAAATTCTATTTTTCTTCAGATTCTGAATCTACCAGAATTATTTTATTTTCAAAAGGTAATCGCTTAGCTTTGCTTATTGTGTAAATCTAGTCTATTTTTTGCGCCAAAATTTGCCACGTGGCATTTTCCCTCCCCCAAAACCCCCATTTTTTCAGCTCGAACCGGCCACAATGCAATTTTTCGCATCTGAAGCTTGTGGAGTTGTTGCGTTGGATACGCAAGAATCTTGCGTTGGAATTTATTCCACGTTTAATGCGTTGGCGAATTCGTCGAAGAGGATTTATAAGGTGGGCTGAAAATCCAGGGTTTCTAGATGAATTTGAGCATTTTTACCATCATTTTTGACTAGGAAAAATTCACTGTTTCAGGAATTTTATAAGAAAAATTGAGGAGATTAGAAAATCGATTTTTTTTGGGTTTAGTGTTTCAAAAAATTTTGATTTACAGTGAAAATTAAAGCTTTGAAGCTATAGAAATTTCCAGAAAAATGGCTGAAAATCCTGATTTTCTAGCTTATTTTGTGCATTTTTTTTCCAATTTTTTGAACTAGAAAAATTCCCTGTTTCAGGAATTTTAGCAGAGAAATTAGTGAAATTAAAAAATCGGTTTTTGTATTTCAAAAAAAATCAAGTTACAGTGAAAATGTAAGCTTTGGAGCTCTATAAATTTCCAGAAAAATGGCTGAAAATCTAGGGTTTCTAGATGAATTTGAGCATTTTTACCATGATTTTTGACTAGGAAAATTTCACTGTTTCAGCTATTTTATGAGAAAAGTTGAGAAGTTTTAGAAATGTTTCATTTTGAGCTATAGGTGTTTCCAGAAGAATGGCTGAAAATCCTAATTTTCTAGCTAAATTGGAGTATTTTCACCATAATTTTTTGAACTAGAAAAATTTGACTGTTTCAGAAATTTTATTAGAAAAATTGAGGAAATTTGATAATTGATATTTTTTTTGGTTTTATGTACTATTTCAAAAAAAAATTTTTGAGTTACAGTGAAAATTTAAGTTTTGGAGCTCTATAAATTTCCAGAAAAATGGCTGAAATTTCAAGTTTTCTAGCTGAATTTGAGCATTTTCATCCATTTTTTTTTGTCTGGGAAAATTTCACTGTTTCAGAAATTTCATAATAGAAATTGAGAAATTTGTAAAATGTTGAATCAACTCTTCTTGATTTCAATAAAAATTAGTTTTTAATTTGGCTGGAGGTGTTTCAGTTTAGGTGTTTCAGTTTATTTTTTACTGAAAGTTCCAGAAAAATGGCTGAAAATTCAAGTTTTCTAGCTTAATTTGAGCATTTTTACCCAATTTTTTGAACTAGAAAAATTCACTGTTTCAAGAATTTTAGGAGAGAAATTGAGGAAATTTGAAATTGATTGTAGATGTGGATACGCTTTAAAAAACTACTGAACTTTTGACTGGAAATTGGCTGAAAATCCGTTTTTCTAACTGGATTTGAGCATTTTTATCCAATTTTTTGAACTAGAAAAATTCACTGTTTCAGGAGTTTTAGGAGAAAAATTGAGGAGTTTTGAAAATCGATTGTTTTTGGTTTTAATGTTTCAAAAAAATTTGAATTACAGTGAAAATGTAAGCTTTGGAGCTGTAGAAATTTCCAGAAAAAAGGCCGAAATTTCAAGTTTCCTAACTAGAATTAAGAATTTTTATCCAATTTTTTAGTCTGAGAAAAATTCACTGTTTCAAAAATTTTATAAGAAAAATTGAGGAAATTGAGAAATCGGTTTTTGTATTTCAAAAAAAATTCCGAGTTACAGTGAAAATGTATGCTTTGGAGCTCTATAAATTTTCAAAAAATGGCTGAAAATCCAGGTTTTCTAGAGGAATTTGAGCATTTTTACCATGATTTTTGACTAGGAAAAATTCACTGTTTCAGAAATTTTATAATAGAAGTTGAGGAAATTTGAATTTGATTGTAGATGTGGATCCGCTATAAAAAACTACTGAACTTTTGACTGGAAATTGGCTGAAAATCAGTTTTTCTAATTGGATTTGAGCATTTTTATCCAATTTTTTGAACTAGAAAAATTTCACTGTTTCAGAAATTTTATAACCAATTTGAAAATTTTGGAAAATGTTTACAACAACATTCTTTAATTTCAATGAACATAAGTTTTGAACTGGGCAAATTTGGCTGGATTCCAGATTGTTTCAGTTTATTTTTTACTGAAAATTCTAGAAAAATGGCTGAAAATCCAGGTTTTCTAGATGAATTTGAGCATTTTTACATAATTTTTTGAACTAGAAAAATTCACTGTTTCAGAAATTTTATTAGAGGAATCGAGGAAATTTGAAAACCGATTTTTTTGGTGTTTTTTCATTTCAAAAAGTTTATACAGTGAAAATGTTGGAGTTCTATGAATTTCCAGAAAAATGACTGAAAATTCAGGTTTTCTAGATGAATTTGAGCATTTTCATCCATTTTTTTGTCTGGGAAAATTCACTGTTTCAGAAATTGTTTGAGAAAAATTGAGAAGTTTTGAAAATCGATTTTTTTGGGTTTTTTATTTTTCAAAAAATTTCAAGTTGCAGTGAAAATTTAAGCTTTGAAGCTCTATAAATTTTCAGAAAATGGCTGAAAATCCGTTTTTCTAACTTGATTTGTGCATTTTCATCCAATTTTTTGCCTATTAAAAATTCACTGTTTCAAAAATTTTATATTGGAAAATTTGAGAAACTTTGACGATTTAGTAATACTATTCGAAAAATTTAAAAAATCTAGATTTTCCCTGCGAAAAAAATCCCTGTTTTAAAAATTCTAGCATAATTTTTCCTCATATATATTTTTTGTTAGGTCCCACCAGAAACTTGGATGGTCCACTCATCAGACAATGTTTTGTTCACAGTTTCGGCAAATAATGAAATTCGAAGTGCCGTGCATTTTGGAGTGAGTTTTTGGAGCTGAAATTGACTGAAAATCATGAATTTTGACCCAAAATTCACCATTTTTCACCGAAAACCTGATTTTTTCCAGCTAAACTCAGTGCGCCTTGAATATTCTTTGATCCGAACTTCTACTGAATGGCGACCTTTGGGTCTTGTAGCGATGGCACCGAAAACTGGAATTTTGGCGGGAATTTTTGTGATTAATGAACGAGGATTGGTTCGTGTTGAACAATCGAGAAATTTGTGAGTTTTTTGGGCGCGAAATTTGAAAAAATCATAAATTTTTGAATTCTCCTGGGAATTTTCGAAATTTTCATGTTTTTTTTGTTGGGGAAAAAATGCGCCGAAAAATGTACGTTTCAAAAATTTTTGATTTTTTAAAAATAAATTTTAAATTTAAATTTTGGTGCCAAAAACATGCAAAAATGCTCACTTTTTTGCTCCGAATGAAAAATGATATTTTTCTGTTTATTTTCCCATCCCTAAAACATATTTTAGTCCACTTTTTCACCATATGCTCATTTTTGAGCAGATTAGAGCATTTTTATTTTGGTTTTGAAAAAACAATTTTTTTTCTCTTTTTTACGAGCAGAATCAATTATTCATTCATTTTTAGTTTTTTCGGAATTTTTATTTTAAAAAAATCTAGTGGAAAAAATTCACTGTTTCAAAATTTTGTTATGAAAATTTTTGGATTTGAGAATTTTTGATGGATATTTAATGAAACGAGGAAAATTCTGAAATTTGATTTTTTTGGCTGAAAATTCTAGCCAAATTCATTTTTGATAGTCAAAAAAAATTCACTGTTTCAAGAATTTTTTATTGAAAAAATAGGATTTTGTTTTATTGTTAGGCAACATGCGGAAATTTCACTGTTTCAAAATTTGGTTATGAAATTTTTTGGATTTGAGAATTTTTGATGGGTTAATAACTGCGAAAAAAATTCATAATGAAATTTTTGAAATTTGATTTTCTGGCTGAAAATTATAGTCAAATAAGTCCAAATTTATGTTTGAATAGTCAAAAAAAATTCACTGTTTCAAAATTTTGTTATAAAAATTTGGATTTGGGAATTTTTGATGGGTCTTCATTCGACTATCAATAAAACTGCGAAAAAAATTATGATGAAATTTCTGAAACTTGGATTTTTGGCTGAAAATTGTGCACAAACTATTCCTGAAAATTCACTGTTTCAATAATTTTTTATTAAAAAAGTTGGAGTTCATTTTATTGTTATGGGCCTATGCAGAATAATATTTTGTAATAAAAAAACATTAAAAAACATTTTTTTCCTATGCAGAAAAACGTCGAAAAAATAAAATAAAGACAACGTGAAATTGAGAGAGCGCAGACATGAAATGGGTTTTTTGTCTGCACTCTCTCAATTTCACGTTGTCTCTACTCAAAATAATAAACTGTATATTTTGTTTTTTCGACGTTTTTCTGCATAGGAAAAAAATGTTTTTTTATTACAAAATATTATTCTGCATAGGCCCATTAGGAACCTGCATTAGGAAGTTTCACTGTTTCAAAATTTTGTTATGAAAATTTTTGATTGGAGAATTTTTGATCGGGACATGGTTACTTGAAGATTTCTGAAATTTGGCTGGAAATTATAGCCAAATTTATTTTTGAATAGTCAAAAAAAATTCACTGTTCCAAATTTTTTATTTACAATTAAAAAATTGGATTTCATTTTATCGATAGTCAACTACATGAGAAAAATTCACTGTTTCAAAATTTATTTATGAAAATTTTTGGATTTGAGAATTTTTGATGGGTTAATAACTGTGAAAAAAAATTTATGATGAAATTTCTGAAACTTGAATTTTTGGCTGAAAATTGTGCATTAATTGTTCCTAAAAAATTAACTGTTTCAAACATTTTTCATTGAAAAAGTTGGAGTTCATTTTATTGTTAGGAACCTGCATTAGGAAATTTCACTGTTTCAAAATTTTGTTATGAAAATTTTTGGATTTGATAATTTTTGATGTAGTTTTTGCAATTATGAGGTTAATAAAACTGCGAAAAATATTTATGATGAAATTTCTGAAATTTGATTTTTCTTGGCTGAAAATTCTAGCCAAATTTATTTTTGATTAGTCTAAAAAATTTACTGTTTCAAAAATTTTTTATTGAAAAAGTTGGATTTGAGAATTTTTGATGGGTCTTCGTCTGTCTGCGAAAAAATATTTATGATGAAATTTCTGAAATTTGATTTTTTTGGCTGAAAATTGTACATAATTTATACCGAAAAATTCACTGTTTCAAAAATTTCATAATTCATTTTTTCAATTTGGTTATAATTTTCCTACCATATCATTGAGAATTTTTACTTTTTTTAGATGAAAACATTTTGAAACAGGGAATTTTCTAGGATCAAAAATTTTGCAATTTTATGAAAATTCTGAAACTTGATCTTTTGGCTGAAAATTGTACATAATTTATACCGAAAAATTCACTGTTTCAAAAATTTCATAATTTATTTTTTGAAAATTGTTTGTTATTCCATTTAACTTCAAATTGAAATCACTGTTTCAAAATTTTTTTGAATATAATTTTTGAGAATTTCAAGTTGGTGAATTAAACAGAAATACTGAAAAGGAGATTTTTTTTTTGGTTGTAATTGGGTTAAAATTGGTTATAATTTTCTAAGAATCACATTTTTAAATAAAATTGGTTGAAACAGTGAATTTTTGGCTGAAAAATGAAAATTTCCTAGTTATTCGTCAATTTTGTAATTAAAAAAAATTCACTGTTTCAAAAATTTTTTTCCCAAATTTTCTGAAAAATCCAAGTTTTTTGATCATTTACTCATCAAAGTTATTTTCTTCTGAGCAAAAAATGTTCAGATTTGTGATATTTGAGACTTTCATTCTTGTCTACTTTCTTTTTCTTCTTATATTATTTCTTTCTCTTTTTTCTACCACAAACAGCTGTTGTTATAAAAATTGGAAAGAAAGAAATGAGAAGAAAATGAGGAAGATTTTTATTTTATTTTATTTTTTTTTGGTTCATTTTTTTTAGTTTGTTCAAAGTTAATCAGATTTAACATGAAATTTAAAAATTTCGAAAAATTTTGAAACTGTGGATTTTTTTGTTTGAAAATTAGCTGAAATTTCGATATTTTTGAGAATTTTCATGGGAAAGTTCGAATTTTTCACAGCATTTTGAATTTTCAAAAGAAATATTTGGGATTTTTTTGAAACAGTAAATTTTTTAGAAATTATTTTCAAGTTGAAGTTTAGCTGCTTTTTAAAATGTATTGGTTATCAGTCCAATTTTTAACCAGAAAAAATCATAGAAATTTTGAAACAGTGGATTTGTTTGGAAATTAATTTTGTTAAATTTTGAGCTGGAATTTTTTTGAACTGAAAATTAGCCGAAATTTCGATATTTTTGAATTTTAGAGCAAAATTTGGGAATTTTTTGAGATTAACTAAACGTTTCTATCAAAATTAAAATTATTAACAATTTATTTGTGAAAATTTTGAAACAGTGGATTTTTCTGGTGAAAATTAATTTTGCTCAATTTTGAGCTGGACTTTTTTTGAACTGAAAATTAGCTGAAATTTTGATATTTTTGAATTGTTCACAGTATTTTGAATTTCAGAGCAAAATTTGGGAATTTTCCAGTTTGTATTGACCCGTTTCTATCAAATTCAAGTTTTCACTAGAAATAATTGGGAATTTTTTGAAACAGTGAATTTTTTTGAAATTATTTTCAAGTTGAAGTTTAGCGTTGAAAAAGTTATCAGTCCAATTTTCAACCAGAAAAACTCATAGAAATTTTGAAACAGTGATTTTTTCTGGTGAAATTTTTGATTTTCCCATGATTTTTCTTCTTCCTCCACTGTAAAGTCATAAAAATTGCACATCTATCAAAAAAATCTCGTGATTTTTTGATTTTTTCCCCTGTTTCTCATCTAATTTTCGCTAAATTGATTAGAATGTTCCTTTTCCTTCTCAAAAAAATTGCAGAAAAAACAACAAGTTTTGTTGTTATTTTCTGATATGTTTTTTGAGCACAAAAGAGCCTGAAGCAGCTGCTTGAACAATGTTTTTTATTATTTTTTTATATAGATTGAGAGATGGGTGTTTTTTGGCTGAAAATTTGGGATTTTTGAGCGTTTTTTGGCTGAAAATCTGAAAATTTGGGTCTCAAATTCACCCCAAGAATTTCATCCCAAATTTCGTATTATTTTACCTGAAAAATTGATTTTTTGGAATTTTCAGAACGAATTTTATTAAAATTGTCAAATAAAAAATTTCACTGTTTCAAAATTTATTGAATTTTCTGGAATAAAATGGAAGTTTCAGTATAATAGCGAGTTTCCTTTTGAAAATTCATACAAAATTAATTTTTGATTTTGAAAAATTCAAAAAATTTTCAAATTTTTTGTATTTGTTGAAACTCTGATTTCTAGACGGCTAAATTTAAAAATTTCTGAAATTTTTAAGATTTTGAGGCAGAAACGCGAATTTTTGGAATGATTTTTGTGGATTTGCTGAATTTTTGAATCCAGAAAAATTCAATGTTTCAAAAAATTTTCAATTTTTTTGTACTTGTCAAAATTCTGATAGGCAGCTATAAGGTGAACAATTTTAAGAACTTCAATCAGTTTTCGAAAAATTTCTGAAATTTTCAAGATTTTGAGCCAGAATCGCGAATTTTTGGAATGATTTTTGAGGATTTGCTGAATTTTTGAATCCAGAAAAATTCACTGTTTCAAAAAAATTTCAAATGTTTTTTGTCGAACATTTTTTTGTTGATTATTCCGTGTGCGAATTTCGAAAAACCAAAAATTCTGAAATTTCGTCTCGAATTATCAGAATTTTTGCCAAATTCTGAAAATTTTGAGCTAGGAAAGTTGAAGTTAATACAAAACGAATTTTTTACATTGTAAAAAATTCACTGTTTCAAATTTTTGTTTTGAAAAAAATTAGGGGTCAATTCGAATTGTCAGTAAAATTTGAAAATTTTGAATTTTGGGTCCATTTTCACACAAAAATTCCGAATTTTTCAGAACCCTTGCTCGAATTGCATCCGAATTCATTTTCCGCCTTCAAACCATCCAAATTTCGCCAAAAACGTTTGGCGAAATTGCAAATGCCATCAGCATCGATTTGGCACAACTCCAATCGCAAATAATTCCCGAAATTTTGGCGGCTCGCCAAAAAACACGTGGAAAATTGAGTCAGAAAGAGTTGGCACAGGTGTTGTTGATTGCAAAAGTGACTAATGTGAGTTGGGGGGGGGATTTTGGGGAGCATTTTTTGAGCCCGGAAAATTCTGAAAATCAAACAAAATCTGAAATTGAAGCCGGAAATTTTGTTTTTGAATTTGTTAAACTTGAAAACTAAAAAAATTTGAAGTTGAAACACTTTTTTTGTTGTAAAAAAATTATTATTATATGGTACATAAATAAAATTGAACTCAAATTATCAAGGAAAATTTTTGTGAAAATTTTGAAACAGTAAAAAATTGAAAAATAATTTTCAGTGGTACAGATCGACTGACTATTGAACCCAATTTTTTTTTAACATTTTTTTTTGAATTTCAGAGCTGAATATTTATAGTTTTGAAAACTCAAAAATTTGAAATTTTTTGGAACACAAAATTATGAAAAACATTTTTTGTGCTTTATGGTGATTTTATTTTCCGACACTGATTCATTCCCCATTGAACCCAATTTTTCAAGGAAAAATTATCTCAAAATTTTGAAACAGTAATATTTTTTGAAGTGTTTTTTTAATAAGTTAATCTAGAGTTTTTGATTTCTGAATTTTAGTGCTGAAAATTTGAAGTTTAATTTTGAAAATGTATTTTTTAGCTCAGAATTATTGAAATTCTAACTGATTTATTAAACTCAATTTTCCAAGTAAAAATTATCTCAAAATTTTGAAACAGTGAAAATTTTTCAAACATTTTTTTTTGAATTTTGAGAGCTAAATATTTATAGTTTTCGTCATATGAAAATTTACTGTTTCAAAATTTTCTCTAAAAAATTATATAAGAAGAAGAAAAATTAAGATTTTTTTTCCAAGTAAAAATTATCTCGAAAATTTGAAACAGTGAAAATTTTTCAAACATTTTTTTTTGAAAATTGTTTTTTTTTTTTCTGAAAATTTCGAGTTTTATTTTGAAATTCACAATTTTTGGAAAACAATTATTTTTTCCAGCACAATTTATCGGATCTTCTCAAAATGTTTGCCAATGAATCGATGGCTGAGCATTTGTTACCAGAGGTTGGTTTTTTTCTGAAAATTTTTGCTCAAAAATTGCTCATTTTAAGCCAATTCACTCGAATTTTTCAGGTGATGAATGCAATTCAGACAAATCCATCAAAACACGAAAATTTGATGCAAAAAGTTGTGGAAATGTTTGTGAAAAGAGCCCAAGGATTTGGTGGAGATTTGGAGAAGATTCGAGAATGTGATTCGGAATTGGCGTGAGTTTTTTGGACTGGAAACTTGAATTTTTGCCTGGAAAATTTAGGTTTCAAAGAAATTTCTATTGAATTTTATTAGTGGAAAATTTGATTTGATAAAAGACCACAAATATTAACTGTTTAAAAATTTTGACATTTCCAGGAAAAATTAGGTTTCAAAAAATTGTCTTGAAAAATTCACTGTTTCAAAATTTGATTATTAAATAGTTTTACCTAAAAAAAAATTAGTCATGGAAAATATTTCGGAAAAAATCTCAGAATTTTCACTGTTTCAAAGTTTTTTCATCAAAAAAATTGTTTTTGAAAATTCCAATGTTGTAGTCAAGTTTAGACTCGAAAAATCTACTAATTTTCTGATCAACAAATCAGCATTGCAAATATTTCTGTGAAAAATTGATGAAAATTTTCACTGTTTCAAAGTTTTCCCATTAAAAAAATTGTTTTTGAAAATTTCAATAGTTGAACTTTTTCGTGTTTCAAAAATTTACTGTTTCAAATTTCTGTTATAAATTTTTTGGCTGAAAGTTTTTTGGTGTTGAACAAAACAGCGATTCATTTACAAAAAAATCCTAAAAATTCACTGTTTCAAAAAATTTTTATCAAAAATTTTCTAGGCTCACAAAATTACTCTAATTCGATCAGGGATGGGGAAAATGTCATGGCCTCATGTTGTCCTGTCCTTGAATATGGCCTAAACTTGTCCTGGCTCGAACATGGCTTGAACATGTCCTAAAGCCATATGCCCAACCTGTCCTCGCGTGAACAAAAATTAATAGAGAAATTTTTTTTTCTGCATAAAAAAAAATAAAAATGCGATCTCCTCTTTTTTCGACGTGTTTTTTCTCAACTAAAAAAAGAACCTGTCCAGGACAGGACAGGTAGCCAGGTTTACACGTGGACCTGTCATGGTTTATGTTCTTACCACCAAAGCCAACATGAGGACAACGTGAGGCCAGTTTCCCCACCCCTGAATTCGATCAATTTTTGCGGCAAAATCTACTAATTTTTCCACCAAAAGATCCAGGGATAATTATATTTCAGTAAAAAAATCGATGAAAAAATTTACTGTTTCAAAGTTTTCTTATCGAAAAAATAATTTTTGAAAAAATCAGTTTGTCTTGACATTGTGTTTTTTGTACATAAAAATTCACTGTTTCAAAAAAATTTTATTAAAAATGTTGTAGGCTCACAAAATTAGTGCCAAAAACTTTTTTGACCAAAAGATCCAGGATTAAATAATATTATTTCAGTAGAAAAATCGATGAAAAAATTTACTGTTTCAAAAATGTTTCATCAAAAAATAATTTTTGAAAGAATTCAGTAAAGCCTTTTTTGTTTTAAAAAAATTCACTGTTTCAAAAAATATTTATCAAAAAATAATTTTTGAAGTAACTACTTCGAAAACAATTTTATTCCGAAAAATTTCACATTTTCAGAAAATTCATATTAAAAATTTACTGGCTTACAAAGTCATTGGTATGATAAAAATATAAAAATATTTGGAAAATGTTCAGCTCAAAATTGCAAATCAATGTTTTCCACCAAAATCCTGGGCTAATTTTTTTTTTAAATATTCACTGTTTCAAAATTCTCAAATTTCCCTGCCTCACAAAAATTAATATTATAGTTTTTTACTGTTTTAATAATTTTTCATCAAAGAATAATTTTTGAAAAATTCAGTACTCCTTGACGTTTGTTTTGTACATAAAAAATTCACTGTTTCAAAAAATATGTATCAAAAATGTTCTAGGTACACAAAATTAGTATTAACTTCATATTTTTCTCACCAAAACATCCAGGGATAATTATATTTCAGTAGAAAAATCGATGAAAAAATTCACTGTTTCAAAATTGTATTATCAAAAATTTCCTGGCTCACAAAATCACTTTTTTTTCCAGAAGTTTCCTATCCCGCCACGAGTCGCTCACCCAAGGCGCCATGGATTGCACAAAATCCTCACTCTGGAAATCCACCCAAGTCCTCCTCCAACGCCTCCAAAATGCCCAAAATCCCAAATCAACTCAAGAAACATCGGCAAATGTTCTCTCGTTTTTCGCCAAAAATGGTTTGCAAATTTGGAAAAGCGCCAACGCCACAGATAAATTGCAAATAATGTCATTAATTTGTAATTTGGATTGGTGCCAAGACAAATTGTCGGAACAAGATGGCACCAAATTATGTGCACTTTTGGCCGGATTCCAAAGAGATGTGAAATTGGCTTCGTATCATGAAATGTGCCTCAGAGTTGCGATGAGAAATTCGGGATTTCTCCCGAAACCTTGTCAGATTTTGGCGCTGGTTTCATCGATTTATATCTTGGCTGAAAAACGTGCGATGAATCCGGCGAATTTGCCGGATTTTTGGCCGATTTCTGCGGGCAATAATTGTGCGGTTGCGATTGCTGAAGATGATCGATTGTTGGTTTGGGGCAATTTTACGAATCAACAACAGAAGGCGATGGATTTGACGGGTCGTGAGTTTTGATTTTGGGCTGAAATTCGATGGAAATGAGGGTTTTTGAGCTAAAAATCGTGGATTTTGGAGCATTTTGACCTCAAATTCAAGAAGTTTGAATATTTTTGAAGAATTTTAGCCAAAATTTAACCCTCAAAAATTAACTGTTTCAAAAATGTAATAATATTTTTTCTCGTATTTTTTGAAATTATTAGGGAGATTTTTTGTATCACCAATTTTCAAAAATGTAATTTCGGCACCAAATTTAGGGATATCGTAATCCTAGGAACCTGAGAATGTTAAAAAAAACTTAATTTTTCAACAACAGAAAAATGCACTGTTTCAAAAATTTGACAGATTAAAAAATTCTGTATTTGGAAGATTTTGCTATTGAATTTTCACAAATTTTTTCTGGATTTCTTTTAATGCCAAAAATTTGAATTACGGTCGTCCATATAAGCCAGATATAGAAAACTGAGATTTTTTTAGTGAAAAAAACTTCACTGTTTCAAAAATGTATCACAATTTTTGGGATTTTGTCGTTCTTTGTACTTTTCGCAATCATTAGTACTTATTAGTCTATTTGCATTTAATTTTATTAAAATTTCAAAACAATTTTTTAAGAATCAATATTTGGCGCTAAAAAAATTAAAACTAGCACATATTTTCAACAACAAAAATTTTACGGTTTCAAAAAATTTTGGTGAAATGTTCCGAAAAAATTCACTGTTTCAAAAAATTTGTAAGTTTTTCTAGAGTTGTTTTTTCTTTGATGAGTAGGATGGACTCTATTCGCACCAAAATTCAATCTTCGGTAATCTTAGGAGCCAGAAAAATTACTGAAAAAATTACTGTTTCAAAATTTTGTCAAGTTCGGGTGTTTGACATTTAGTTTGATCAACACTCAAAATCAGAACTTTCAGGCTGAAAATCATAGCTACAGTAACCCTAGCCACCTGGAGATGTTCACAAAAATCTAGAACTTTCCGAAAAAATTCACTGTTTCAAAAATTTATTTAATTTTCTTGGTTTTCTGAAGGTTTTGCTATATGGTACTCGATTTCGTAATTTCAAATCAAAGTTAAAAAACAATTTCGACGCCAAAATCATAGCTACAGTAACCCTAGCCACCTGAAAATTTTTGCAAAAACATACATAAAATGGGTCCCCAAATTCGGTGCGGGGGGCTTAACTTTTTCGAAATTTTTTAAGGGAAGGGGGTCTAACTTTGATGAATTACATAATTTCTGTTTTTTCAGAGTCAAAGTCCAACTGGAATTTTTTTTTGTAATATTTTTTATTTGTAAAAATATAACATTTTATTATTGCTTTCTAAATAATCTGCAACTCGATCGGCGTTGGCAGAGTCTGGCCCAGAAGAACAAATGTATATAAGTATACAAGTAGCTTGTTCAATTTTTTTTAGCAACGGATTTGGAAACTCCAAAAATCGCCTTCATCATTAAAAACCTTGAAAACACAGTTGGAACTGGACTGAATTTGTCGATCGATTTTGAGTTTTTCTTTTTCTACCAACCTCCATTTGCCACTCTTTCTACAAAATTCAGCTCAATGAAATTCTATTGTTTTGCTTCAAAAACTTCAATGGATTTTTTTTTGTTTTCTGATTCTACAAAAGCCGATTTTCTCAATCTGTCACTGGAACTCGAAATCTCGACGAATTATTCAAAAACTAAACAAAAAACATCAATTTTGTAAACAAAACTCAGGTATGTTATGACGGGAAAAATAAGGGAAAAATTTAAAAATTTGAAAAAAAATCAAAAAAAAATTTTTTTTTCTTCAAAATTTTTTCACCAAGAATTTTTTGGAACTACTTGACCAAACATGGTGATATTTGGTACAAAGATACTTCAACTATCCTAGATCTAAGTTTAATAGACAATGTTCTCTGATTTTGCACCTCCCGTCTTTTCACCACCCCTCTTTGTCAAAAATCACGATTTTTGGTCAATTTCATGCATTTTCAGATCCTAATTCAATTTTTACTTCACCAATTCTAGTAAGACTTGGCACAAAGTAACTTCAACTATTGTTCTTCAAAATCGAAATGATACATGGGTAGTAAATTGCGTTTTCGGACACTTAGACACCCCGAACCTAATCCGGTGCGTATGGCCCCAAAAGAGGGGCGGGGTGTCTAAGTGTCCGAAAACGCAATTTACTACCCATGTATCATTTCGATTTTGAAGAACAATAGTTGAAGTTACTTTGTGCCAAGTCTTACTAGAATTGGTGAAGTAAAAATTGAATTAGGATCTGAAAATGCATGAAATTGACCAAAAATCGTGATTTTTGACAAAGAGGGGGTGGTGAAAAGACGGGAGGTGCAAAATCAGAGAACATTGTCTATTAAACTTAGATCTAGGATAGTTGAAGTATCTTTGTACCAAATATCACCATGTTTGGTCAAGTAGTTCCAAAAAAATTCTTGGTGAAAAAAAATTTTGAAGAAAAAAAAATTTTTTTTTGATTTTTTTTCAAATTTTTAAATTTTTCCCTTATTTTTCCCGCCATAACATACCTGAGTTTTGTTTACAAAATTGATGTTTTTTTGTTTAGTTTTTGAATAATTCGTCGAGATTTCGAGTTCCAGTGACAGATTGAGAAAATCGGCTTTTGTAGAATCAGAAAACAAAAAAATCATCGAAGTTTTGGAAAAAAGTCACAGATTTTTAAAGTTGAAGCCTGCAGTTTGTAAAACGTGGAAAGTCACGGAATTTTCGGCAGATTAAGAAGAAAAACTCAAAGTGGTTTATCTACAAAATTGTTCCATTTTATAGTTCCAACATAAGTTGATATCCATTTCCAGAGTGATAATTGATAAAGCCTCTCTCATTTTTTTAAAGAATAAATGAACAAGCCACTTGCATACATTTGTCCTTTTTTGAGCCAAACTCCGACAATGCCAATCAAAATTCGAATTATTAAAAAAGCATTAACAAAATGATACATTTTTACAAATGAAATATACATTACATAAAAAATTCTTTTAAAAAATGAAAGGAAAAAATCCGATTCGATTTCGTCTCTGAAAAAATTAGATTATATGGGAAGGAATATAATATTTGAGAATGGGCAGTGCTGAAACAGTAGATTCTTGAGTTTTGAATTTGTCTGATTTTTGTTAAAAAATTTTTAAATCTTTCGAATATAGTTCAAAAGTTAGAGGAAAGGGGGGGGGTTAACTTTTGAAAAAAATTTGGGAGGGGTGCTTAACTTAAAAAATTTACGTGGGGGACCTATTTTATGTATGTGCAAAAATCTAAAAGTTTTCCAATAAAAAATTTCACTGTTTCAAAAATTTATGACTTTTTCTTGGTTCACAATTTTTCTAATCCACAGTTCATAATTTTTTTCTAAAAAATGAAATTTGGCGTCAAAATTATAGCCTGCGATTCTGAAATTGAAAAAAAATCACCAATTTTCCAACAAAAAAAATTCACTGTTTCAAAAATTTGAGAAATTTCTGAGATTTTTGCAGAGCAAAACAAAGATGAGCTGCCCAAACCGGAGCTGAATCTGCCACGTGTCTTGGAATATCCGGGCGGTCGTCCGCGCGCTGTCTCCTGCGGTGCCGAACACATTCTGGTCCTTTCCGCAAGCGGCCAGCTCTCCGCGTGGGGCGGCAACAAATTCGGTCAATGCGGTGCCGGCCGCACCTTCCGCCTCCATCATCTCCAACAAATCGATGGCCCGTGGCCCGCGATCAAAAAAATCTCGGCCGGACAATTTCATTCGGGCTTTGTCTGTCACGATGGATCGGTTTGGATGATGGGATGGGGAATTTATGGACAATTGGGAAGAGGAACGCGCGAAAATCGAAATGTGTTGGAGCCGGTCAAAATTGGGCTTGGCCTGAAGATTCAGGATATCCAGTGTGGCAGGGCTCACACTGTTTTGCTCACGGAAAATGGTCAGGTTCTTGTGGCTGGAAGTGGAAGTTATGGACAACACGGGACTAATGAGGATGTCAAGAAGGCTTTTAGCTTTAGGCCGCTTTTGGGGCCCGGGCCGGGCCTGAAAGGTCCAGAGGAGAAGGTCACCATGATTGCTTCTAGCTATTTTCATAGTATTTGTGTCACGGAATCTGGGAGGATTTTTGAATGGGGAAGAAATCCGCAGGAAATTAAAATGAGGATTTTTGTGATGAAAAAACTGAAAAGTGCGGCGCTGAAAAATTCTGCGGAAAATTCGACGAAAATCAATTTGAATTTGCCGGCAACAATCCCGCGAGATGATTTAGGATTGAGAGAGGTTCAGCATTTTTTGGATGCGAAAATTTCGGCGATTTCTTGTGGATTACAACATTGTGGGCTGATTACGGAAAATGGCACGTTGTATATGTGGGGAAAGTCGTTGGATTATCAATTGGGAGGGGGGAATAAGACGGAGAGATTGGAACCGCATCAGGTGGGTGCATTTTGAGCCAAAATTTGGGAGATTTGGAGCATTTTGAGCCAAAATTTGGGAGATTTGGAGCATTTTGAGCCAGAATTTGGGAAATTTGATGGATTTTGAGCTAAAAATCAAATTTTCAAAAAAGTTATAAAATTTGGAGCATTTTCAGCCAAAACTTATGAAATTTGATGAATTTTGAGCTGGAAATTAATTTTTCTTCAAAAATTTTCAACCAAAAAAATTCACTGTTTCAAGATATTTTTGAATTAGAATTTTGATTGAGCTCAAACAATTCTTCTATATTTCCTCCACTTTTTTGCCAAACTTCAACTTTTTGATGAATTTTCAGCCTAGATTCTTGAAAAATGATAAATTTGGAGCATTTTAAGCCAAAACTCGTGAAATTTGATGAATTTTGAGCTGGAAATTAATTTTTTCTCAAAAATTTTGAACCAAAAAAAATTCACTGTTTCAAGAAATTTTTGAATTAGAATTTTCGTGGAGCTCAAATAATTCTTGCTTGGACGATTTCGAAAATCAAGAAATTTCAGATTTTTTGAGCTGAAATTGGTGGAATTTGATTTTTTCCCCCAAAATTTATATGAAAAATTCCACTGTTTCAAAAAATTGATATTTCTAGTTTTTTAAAAACAAATTTGATCGAAGTGGGATTTACATTAGTTCTATGTAACTTTTAAATTATTATTGTTTTTCGAAGTGAGATATGACGTGGCAAAATACTATTTTCCCCCAAGATTTGACTGAAAATCTGGAAAAATTTGTTCAGAAATTCAGAATTTTTTACTCTTGAAAATACGTTTCAAAAATTTCATAGATATAATTTCCAAAAATTGATATTTGATTACATTGTTGGCTGAAAATGGTGAAATTGGAGCATTTCGACCCAAAATATTGGATTTTTGGGTTTTAGACAGCATTTTGAGCTGAGCTTTAATTTTTTGAGAAATTTTCAGCCTAGATTCTTGAAAAATGATAAATTTGGAGCATTTTAAGCCAAAACTCGTGAAATTTGATGAATTTTGAGCTAGAAATCGATTTTTCGTCAGAAATTTTGAACCAAAAAAATTCACTGTTTTAAGATATTTTTGAATGAAAATTTGACGATTTTGAAATTCTAGAAATTTCAGATTCTTTGAGCTCAAATTGATGGAATTTGAAATTTTCCCCCAAAATTTATATGAAAAATCTCACTGTTTCAAAAAAAATGATATTTCTAGTTTTTGAAAATCAATTTTGATTGAACCAAGGTATTTGTTTTTAAAATTATTATTATTGTTCAAAGTGAGTTATGACGTGGCAAAATACCTTTTTCCCCCAAGATTTGACTGAAAATCTGGAAAAATTTGTTCAGAAATTCAGAATTTTTTACTCTTGAAAAATACGTTTCAAAAATTTCATGAACATAATTTTCAAAAATTGATATTTGATTACATTGTTGGCTGAAAATGGTGAAATTGGAGCATTTCGACCCAAAATTTTGGATTTTTGGGTTTTAGACAGCATTTAGAGCTGAACTTTAATTTTTTGATGCATTTTCAGCCTAGATTCTTGAAAAACGATAAATTTGGAGCATTTTAAGCCAAAACTCGTGAAATTTGATGAATTTTGAGCTAGAAATTAATTTTTTCTCAAAATTTTTTTTCTCAAAAAATTTCACTGTTTCAAGATATTTTTGAATGAAAATTTTGAGCGAGCTCAAGTAATTCTTTTTTTTGGACGGAAATTATGAAAATTTGGTACATTTTGAGCTGAACTTTAATTTTTTGATGAATTTTCAACCTAGATTCTTGAAAAATGATAAATTTGGAGCATTTTAAGCCGAAAATCTTAAAATTTGATGAATTTTGAGCTGGAAATAAATTTTTTCTCAAAATTTTGAACCAAAAAAATTCACTGTTTCAAGAAATTTTTGAATTAGAATTTTTAGAGAGATCAAACAATTGTTCTTCGGTTTTTCTGGATGATTTTGAAATTCTAGAAATTTCAGATTTTTTGAGCTGAAAGTGGTGGATTTTGAAATGTTTCCCCAAAATTTATATGAAAAATTTCACTGTTTCAAAAAATTGATATTTCTATTTTTTGAAAAATAATTTTGATCGAACTGAGTTTTTATGAATTTTTAAATTATTATTGTGTTTCAAAGTTAGCTATGACGTGGCAAATCACCATTTTCCCACAAGATTTGACTGAAAATCTGGAAAAATTTGTTCAGAAGTTCAGAATTTTTTACCTTTGAAAATTACGTTTCAAAAATTTCATGAATATAATTTCCAAAAATTGAAATTTGATTCCATAAACTTCTTTACGCTGAAAAAAAATGTGATTTTTCAAAAGAGCTATGACGTGGCAAAATTTGAAATTTTCCTCTTTAAAAAAATCACTGTTTCAAAAATTTTGTTCCCCTCAAAATCCTACACAGAAAAATGAGCTATGACGTGGCAAAATCGAAAATTTTTCTGCAGGTTTTCAAACCGGAAAACACAAAATGGACACAAATCACGTGCGGCAACAATCATTCAATTGGAACCACCACAGAAGGAACAATTTTCGGATGGGGAAAAAATGATTTTGCCCAGTGTGGAACGGTTACCAAAAAAGACCCAGACGGCCGCTTCCGAATTGACCAAAAAGTTTTATTTTCAAGCAAAGGTGGGAAAATTTCTGGAATTTTTTACCTAGGAAAATTCACTGTTTCAAAAATTTCATGAATTTTTATTGAAATGATAGTAATATAATTTCACCAGCATTTTTATGACTGAAAATTAGCATTTTTGAGATTTTTCAGTCAGAAATTCGGATTTTTCATGATTTTTTTACCTGAAAAAATTCACTGTTTCAAAAATTTCATGAATTTTTAATGGAAAATAATATAACTAATCGAGCTGTTTTTAGTTCATTTAACAAAAAAATTGCTGTTTCAAAAAATACACGAGTTTCCCAAGGAAAATTTTGAAACTAATAGTATTAAATCAAAATTTGGAATTTTTACCTGAAGACTAATGTTTTTGGGGGTTTTTTGAGCTGAAAATCAAGAATTTTCATCATTTTTCATTATAAAAAATTCACTGTTTCAGAAAATCTTGAATTTTCATTAGAAATCTGATAAACGTTCTTACAATCAACTTTAATTTTACTAGATTTTTGTGGCTGAAATTCAGCATTTTTGAGCCTTTTCAGTCAGAAATTCGGAATTTTCATGATTTTTCATCCTAAAAAATTAACTGTTTCGAAAATTGCATGAATTTTCAATGGAAAATAATTAAACTGATAAGTCTGACTTGGTTATTCAAAAAAAAATGCTGTTTTCAATTTTTAAAATTTTTAACCTGAAAAAATTCACTGTTTCAAAAATTTCATGAATTTTTTATTTGAATCGGTGAATTTGATTCAATTAATCTATCCATTGAAAAATATTCCTAAAAATTTTGTTCCTAAAAAAAGTTTTACAGAATAAAAATTCACTGTTTCAGAAAATTTTGAATTTTCATTAGAAATCTGATAAACATTCCTTTTCAGTCAGAGATTTGGAATTTTCATCATTTTTTTACCTGAAAAAAATTCACTGTTTCAAAAAAGTCATAAATTTTTCGTTTGAATCTGTGAACTTGATTATGTGTCGTTTACACTCATTAAAAAAAAGTTCCGTTTCAAGTTTTTTTTTGATATTTTTGATATTTAGTGGTTGTTGAATTTTTTCAAAAAAATTTACGTTTCAAAATTTTTGGATATTTGAAAAATAAATTTGAAAAATTGATTCTTAATTTTTTCCCGCAATCCGAAAATTCCCTTGTGAGATTTTCCTGAAAAATATTTTTTTCATTGTTTCAAATATTCAATAAATCTAAATTTAGGTTTTTGGGAATAATAACTTTAAGAAACTTTCTTTAAAAAATTCGAAAAATTTTGAAATTTGATTTCAGGAAGATTTTTCATAAAACTAGGTTATTTTTGACCGAAAAAACGAATTTTAGCTTGAAAAATAGCGTTTTTTCGATAGAAATCCAGAAAATTAACCTGAATTTAATTACAGGATGGTCGTCGTTTCATGCCAACTGTAGATGACAGTCACTTCACCCATTTTCCCACAATAATTCCCGACCTCAAAATTCGAACACAAAAATCGGCGCAAAATTTGGACGAATCAATCGACGAGGATAAAATTATGGAAAAAATCAGATGCGCAGATATTACTGTAATTCAAGCGGTTTCCAGACATTTATCGATTTTTGAGCCGGTTGCTGAAAATTTGGCAGAGGAAAAGGAGAATTTCGAAGCGGCCCCGAAATATTCGGGAGAAATTGGACCACTTTGTGCCGCCACCGCTTTTATTCATTTGATTTCGGGAGATTTGGAAAAATCGATTAGGATGGTTGAATATTTGAAAAGGGACAGGAATACGGTAGGGGAATTTTGGGGTTAAAGTTGGATTTTACATGAAATTTACGATTTTTTGAGTCTAAACATGCTGTAGGTTAAAAAATATGGAAATTTTGGGGTTTTTGAGCACAGAAACCATTTTTGAAGCCTGAAATTGGATTTCTCGTGAAATTTGGGATTTTCTAATCGATTTTTGGACCTAAAATTCAATTTTTCAATTTTTCTCTCTGAAAATTGAACAAATTCGGCTGAAAATCTGGAATTTCACCCAAAAATAACAAAATAATCATATTTTTATTCATATAAAAATTCACTGTTTCAAAATCTTGTCAAATTTGGATTCAAAAATTTGTGAAATTAATTGTATCCAGATTATCATATGAAAATTTAATTTCAGTTTTAAAAATTCTAGAATTGGCACAATTTCTAATTCTGATTATGTTTAGACTCAAAAATCTAGGAATTTTCAAGAAATTTCATCCAAAATGGTCATTTTTGACAGAAAATTGATAAATTTCGGATATGTTCAAAGTTAGCTTTGAAAAATTCTTGATTTCTACCATATTTTTGACATATATCATGTTTAGACTCAAAAATCTAGAAAATTTCACCTAATTTCTATGAATTTTCCTCCAAAAAATCTATTTCCAGACCCCTCAATCACTTTCCTCATTATCATCGCTGATTTGGGAAGTTATGGCAAATCACGAAGATGTTCAAACTCGAAAAGCACTTTGTGCCGCCTTCAAAAATGTGCCAATGTCGGATTCGTTGAGAAAAGGAAAACAAATTGCACAATTATGGCCGACTGTGAGTTTTTTGCGGGAGGGAAAAAATCACTGTTTCAAAATTTTTATATGAAAATTCATATTGAATTTCATAAATTTTTGGGAAATTTTGAGCCATGTACCTTTAAAAATTGGTCCTGAAGTGATTGAAAATTTTTACGAAAATTTACTGTTTCAAAATTTTTATATGAAATTTCTGGAGATTTCGGAACTATTAGAGTGTTTTCATTAAATATAAATTACATTAATTATTATGGGCCTATGCAGAATAATATTTTGTAATAAAAAAACATTAAAAAACATTTTTTTCCTATGCAGAAAAACGTCGAAAAAATGAAATAAAGACAACGTGAAATTGAGAGAGCGCAGACATAAAATGGGTTTTTTGTCTGCACTCTCTCAATTTCACGTTGTCTCTACTCAAAATAATAAACTGTATATTTTGTTTTTTCGACGTTTTTCTGCATAGGAAAAATATGTTTTTTTATTACAAAATATTATTCTGCATAGGCCCATTAGAAATCCACTGTTTTCACTTAAAATATTGATTTATGGTTGAATTTTGTGAATTTTTGGGAAATTTTGAGCAATGTACCTTTAAAAATTGGTCCTGAGACGGTGAAAAAAATTTATGAAAATTCACTGTTTCAAGATTTTTATATAAAATTTTCTGCAAATTTTGAATCAATGGAAAATCACATTTTATGTCGAAATCTATCCAATTTTCGAATTTTTTGGGAAATTTTGAGCCATGTACCTTTAAAAATTGGTCTTGAAGCTATGAAAAAAATTTACAAAAATTTACTGTTTCAAAATTTTTATGTGAAAATTTTGGGATTTTTGAAGTCTAATGCAAAAATTTCTAACAGATAGCAGTTTCCAATGAAAAATTCACTGTTTCAATAAAATTTAATTTAAAAATTTAATTTTTATATTTTGATAACCAAAACGAAGTTTCAGACAGTTCTATCTATCAAATCTGAAATTTTTCACAACCTTTTTCTAACAAAAAATCTACTGTTTCAAAAGTTTTATTTGTTGAGAATTGGTTTTTTAAATTTGATACTGACTACATTATCGATTCAAAATTTCAGGATGAAATTTTAAAGCTTCTAGAAATTCAGAAAAATTATGAAAATCTGGATTTTGAGCTGAAAAAAATCACTGTTTCAAAATTTTTTAATTAGAATTTTGTTAATTTTCTTTTTGCTACATAAAAAAAATTGAAAATCCAAAATTTTTCAAAAAATCACTGTTTCAAAATTTTGTTAAACCAGAAAGTCTGGAATTTGTTTTTAATCCGCTAGCCAAAAACAACCCTGTTTCAAAATTTTCTCCCCAGAAATCCCTATTTTTTTCTTTTTTTTCAGGTCTGGAACGACGATGATTGTCAAAATATGTTGAGTATTGATGAGAAAATTGCAATGTTGGACGGATTTACGACGGTCACAAAACCCACCAATTGTGCTACTGTAGGTTGATTTTTGGGCGGGAATTTTTGGAAAATTTTGAGCTAGAAATCAAGATTTTTGAGAAAAAATGAGCTACAGTACCCCCAAAATTATCGATTTTTCTCTCCAGATTCCTTCATCATCTCTCGAAGTCTCTTCTCGAATTCGTGTATTTTCTGAATGTTCTCACGCCGAGCCAGCAATTGTTGGAAGTCCGCCAGAATGTAGTAGTTGTATTGATGAATGGACCGAAAAAGTTCGAGCCACACTTGGAGCACAAATCTAGCTCCGAAATCTGAAATTTTCAGCGTTTTTTGACTGAAAATTTGAGAATTTTGTACCTTTTTTTACGGGTTTTCTACTTGTCAAATAGATTTTTCTGATTTTTTTCATTGCCTGAAAATTTTACTGGTTCTATTTCTTTAAGAGATTTTCTTTTGCTACAATTCAAATGATTCACGGTGTTTTCTTTTTTGTCATGTATTTAGAGAATGAAACGTTTTTTGTGAGAAAATTTGAATTTTTCAAAAAAAAACTTTATTCATGCCAAATGTTTTCTAAAAGCTTTCTTGCAAAGCATATCATAAAAATAATTTTGAGCATTTTTCGATTTCTTTTTCCAAAAATCCCGTCTAATTTTAATAACTTTATTCAAATAATCCGCCAATTCCCAACTTTCAAATATCGATTTATAATCTGAATTACAGTCATGTTTCAGACAAAGAATCGGATTCATCCCAAAAAATTCAGCTTCTTGTCCGAAAATCTTAAAATGCCCATTTTCATCAGTGAATGTTGAATTCAGAATGTCATTCGGATCCATTTCATCATGTTCCACAAATAATATTTCGTAAAATGGCAAAGGAAAAGAATTACATGTGAAATGACCAAATATTGTGATATTTGTCACGAAATGGATGGATTTTGATATGAAAAATCGAGATTTTGCGATTTGGAATTGGAAAATTAGAATTAAAATGAATTTGAAAGAACATTTTGGCATTTTTGGATGAAAATGATTGTCTGAATGGTTTGAAATGGGACATTTTAGGGTGGGAAAACATTGACTAACAATTTTTGCAATCACTTCGCATACCATCCACAACTGTAATAACCGATGACGTCAGAACTGAAAAATATAATTTTTTTTGGAGCGATGCTAAATGATGGCGTAAAAACTCACCCGATTCCATTATATGTTTTGTTCCCATTGACAATCTCCAAAATCAAATTTTCACCACTTTCATCGAAATCGTTACTGTTTATGTTATTGGCGAGAGTTTGATTGGTAGACACAATGCTATTCGTCCATATCATCTGAAAATATCGATTTTTGTTGACTTCGGATGTTGCACTTCTAAAAGGAGCTCACTTACCTCATTATCACTTCCCCTCTTCGCTCCAAGGTGTACGAACCACGGTCTTGAAGATTTGATTTTGAAAACATTTTTGAAATATTCTTGTTCGTCAAAAGTTTGAAATCCGTTTAAATATGCATTTCGAGTTGTGCAGTAACTTTCAGAATCAGCATGATTCAAAAAATTTCCATATTCAGAGATATTGAAACACCAATTAAGCCCATTTGGTCGGGTGAAGGAGAATTGTGATGAAGAACATTTTGGAATTTTCAAATTATCATCCGATAAACCGAAAATAATTGTGTAATTTTGATATTGTGACTGGTTGAATCCAATACATGATGGAAAAGTGGAGCAATTATAATTTGGAGCATCAATGAGCAAAGGGTACACCAAAATATCATTTAGCATGAAAATTGGGAAAAAGCATCGGGCATTTGGGATTTCGCAATATTTATTATAGTTGAATTGAATACTTGGTCCGAAAAAGTCGGTGAATTCATAGAATGTTTTGATTGATCGAGTTCTGGTGGCCAAAAAATCGAAAGAAATTTCACGTTTATAGATTAATGTTGAAAAAACTGAGGAAATCAGAAGAAAAATCAGCATTTTGTATTTTTTTATTTTTTTTTAAAGAAAAAACAAAAAGAATTCAAATTTTTTTCAGTGAAAAATGGCATGGTAACAGCACAATTATTCAAAAAAAAATCATTAAAGAAATGAAAAATTTGAAAATTTGAATAAAAACTCGAAAATAAAAAATAAACAGTAAACATAAACTACAGTACTTTTCCAAAAATACAGTAATAAGAAAAAACAAAAAAATCAGAATGAAAATAATTAAATTTGAAGTATCGATAAAATTGAACAAACAAAAAATCTCGAAATTATTGTTTTTTTTTTAATTATTTTGCCACGTGGATTTTTTTTTAAACGTGGATTTTTGCTGACGAAATTTAGACAATCTAGAAAAAAAATGGAACTACAGTACCCCCATAAATTATTGATTTTTCAGCTGAGTTCAATGAATCAAAACAAATCTAGAACTACAGTAACCTACAGTACTCCTCCACGTATCAGCCAAAATTTCACTTTCCTTTTGTTTTCCGGGAAAAATTATGTCAAGATTCATAAAAAGTTGTAAAACAAAAGTTTTTCGAAAATCACAAAAATTGTTTTTGAAAAAAAGGGAAAGTTTTGTAATTTTATAGGATTTTGGCGCCAAAAAATTCACTGTTTCAAAAATTCTATAGATTTTTTTGGAATTTTTTTATCAAACAAAAAAAATTGATGTTTTTGAATTTTTTTTTCATAAATTTTTTGTTGACTAATTATTTTTCGAAAAAAAAAATATTTGCTTTTTGAGGAATTTTTGAGAATTCGAAATTTTTTTGGCGCGAAAAAAATTTGTTGACGTATTTTCTGTAGGTCATACTTTTGCTGACGCATTTTCTGTAGCTCTGAATAGTGTTGAGCCGTTTTTTGTAGCTCAAACTCAATGCTGACGCATTTTCTGTAGCTTCTGAGATTCCAGGAAGGTCAGAGCTACAAAAAATACGTCAGCAAAATCCTGAGCTACCAGAAATGCGTCAGCAAAGCTTTCATATCTTCAAACTGAAGGTCCTAGCTTCACTGGCGCATTTCTGGTAGCTTAGGGTTTAGCTGACGCATTTCTGGTAGCTTAGGGTTTAGCTGACGCATTTCCGGTAGCTTAGGGTTTTGCTGACGCATTTCTGCTAGCTCAAATGTTTGCTGACGCATTTCTGCTAGCTCAAATGTTTGCTGACGCATTTCTGGTAGCTTTTAAATTTGCTGACGCGTTTCTAGCAGCTTCTGAGAGTCCAAGCTTCACTGACGCATTTCTGGCAGCTCAAAAAACCCCAAATTTTGCTGACGCACTTCCTGTACCCCTTAAAATATTTGCTGACGCACAAAATGTAGCTCATGAATCTTGAGAGTGAGCTGACGCATTTCTGGTAGCTCAAAATGTTTGCTGACGCATTTCTAGTAGCTTCTGAGAGTCCAAGCTTCACTGACGCATTTCTGGTAGCTCAAAAAACCCCCCAAATTTTGCTGACGCACTTCCCGTACCCTTATAATATTTTCTGACGCACAAAATGTAGTTTTTGATTCCTCTTTTCTCATTTTTGATTAGTTATGTACACAAAAATAATGTATTTTCTTATCGCTGGGCCCTTTTTTGTTTGTGAATGTTACAAAAATTTCCGAAACACGGCATTTTATCAGGAAATATTTTTGGACAATATTTGTTTGAGCGAGCAATAAAATCATAAATAGAATTTTGCCGAACAAAAAGTTTTGTTTGTAGTTTGGTGTACGATTTTAGCGCGAAAATTTGATCTACAGTAATCCTTGACTCAATTTTTGTAACCTGAGCAATGCTAAAATTCAGCTGACGCAATTCTAGTAGCTAACTATATTCTTGTGGCCAAATTTTTGACCTACAGTAATCCTTGGCCCAATTTTTGTAACCTGAGCAATGCCTATTTCCGTTAATTAGATTTCATAAAGAACAAATTAAGCTACTATTAAATTTTGAAATTTGAAAAAAATATATTTAAAAATTTTGAAACGTAAAAAAATTTGGATATTTTTTTGATCTACAGTAATTTTTGATCTACACAATTTTTGTAGCTACAGTACTCCCCTCGAAAATCTGATGATTGATCTTTTTTGGACAATTTTTTGATAAGAAAAAATTTTTCTTATCAAAAATTTTCCATTTTTAAAAATAGAAAGTAGTTGTGCCAGGGTTACTGTAGATTTTTTTTGGGGAAATTTTTGTTTGAAATTTGAGCCAATTTTCTTTGTGAACATAAAAATTGTTATTTTTTTTCTTTTTTTTTGAAAAAAAAAATTTTTTCAGCATGAAAAAAGTGCGAAAATTGGCCATAACTTTGGTAAGAAATTAATTTTTGAAAAATTTCAGAAAAAATCGATAATTTTTTTCAGAGTTTATCCATATTTTTCACAATTTTTCTGCTATTTATGAATTTGAAATATGTGCAAAATCCGAGAATTTTCAAACGATCTTCGGAAAATTCTGAAAATTTTCAGAATTCTCTGAAAATTTCCGAATTTCTGCATCATCCTTTTGATAATTTTTGTAAATTTCCTCTACATTCAATTTATGCAAAAGATATTATGGTGAGTTTTTCAGGGGAGGTTTACTGACGCGTTTTCGGTAGCTACAAGAAATGCGTCAGCAAATTATTTTGCTGACGTTCTTATCAGAGCTTTAAATGTAGGTTACGAGAATTACGTCAGCAAAATTGTTTGCTGACACATTTTTTGTAGCTTGAAAGTTTATAGAGAAGATCTACAAAATACACGCAAGCAAAATAATTCTCTGACACAATTTTTGTAGCTTAAATTTGAGCTACAAAAATTGCGCCAGCAAAAATGTTCATTGACGTGTTTATCAGAGCTTTGAATACATATAAGCTACAAGAAATACGCAAGCAAAATAATTCACTGACGCATTTTTTGTAGCCTGAAAACAACTAATTTTCACCTACAAAATATGGGCCAGCAAAATGTGTTACTGACGCATTTTCTGTAGCTTAAATTCTAGGTACAAAACTTGCGTCAGCAAATTATTTTGCTGACGTGTTTTTCACAGCTTTAAATATGAGCTACAAGAGATGCGCAAGCGAAATTACTTACTGACACATTTTCCGTAGCTCAAATTGAAGCTACAAAAAATGCGTCAGCTTGATATTTGATTGACGTAAATATTGTAGCTTTAAATACTCCTACTTCATCTACAAAATCCGTGTCAGCCAATGGTTTCATTGACGCAATTTTTCTAAAAGCTACTGAAAATGCGTCAAGGATGAGTTTACTGGCGCAATTTTTGTAGCCCTTGTAAACCAGCTCAAAATCCCCCGATTTCAACCCCGCAAAACCCCTCACTGACGCATTTTTCGTGCTGATCCCGAATTTTTAGCCCACAAACCTTGATTTTGCAGTCCGGAGACCATTCCGCAACCCGTCTACGAACTCTCAAATGCAATTTGACCCAAGGAAATGAGATGGCAACAATGGATTCCCAAGGATATCTATACATCCACGCTCGATTCTCCAAATTCCCAAAACACGACAAAAATCTGCAATGTGATATTGTTTTTGTGGAAGGCGGATTGCGGAATGACGCGCGGAAAGAGTCGAAAAACGACCTGCGGGAGGTGAAAAAAGTGGCGAATGTTGGGCAAAATGTGCGCCTTTGGGTGAATGCTGACGCGTTTTTGGTGCGGTGTTTTGAGCGCGAGAAAAAGAAGGAGGAGAAATTGGTGGAGAAATTGGTGTGGGAAAAACCGTTTGCCGGGTTGGAGGATCGGAAATTGACCAAGTATCAGGTGAGGTCTTGAGGCAAAAAATGCCACGTGGAAAAAAAAATTTTTTCATTAGAAAAAATTCACTGTTTCAAAATTTTTGTATAATTTTTCTCAAATTCAGGAATTTTCAATTAGTTCATTTATGTCGTTTTGAAAAGTTCGAATTTTTTTCATCAGAAAAAATTCACTGTTTCAAAATTTTTGTAAACTTTTTTTCAAATTTTGAAATTGATTTAGCCACAATTCGTTGTACTTCTTCGTGAATTATCCTACATTTTTAACACCAAAAAATCCACGTGGCAAAATGAAAACAATGAAAATCCACGTGGCAATACAAAAAAAACTTTTTTTTTTAATTTTTCATCAGAAAAAATTCACTGTTTCAAAATTTTTTTATAATTTTTCTCTCAAACTTAGAATTTTCAATAACTCTACGCTCATTAAGAAAAATTCGAACTTTTTTTCATTAGAAAAAATTCACTGTTTCAAAATTTTTTTATAATTTTTTTCTTTAATTTCAAAATTGATTTAAAAAACATAAAAAAATAATTTTTTCTCAAATTCAGGAATTTTCAATTAATTGAGTTTTTGATTAATTAAGTTTTTTCGAATTTTATTTACTACAAAAAATCCACTGTTTCAAAATTTTTGTAAATTTTTTTTCGAATTTTTGGAAATTGCTTCGTTACGATCTAATTCTTCGTAAATTATCCTACATTTTTAGCACCAAAAAATCCACGTTGCAAAAAAATTTTTAATTAGAAAAATTTCACTGTTTCAAAATTTTTGTTTACTTAACTTTTTCATTAATTTCAAAATTTATTAAAATTAAAAAACAAGAAGAAAATCTGAAACAGTAAATTTTTCTAGCAAAAATAAAGCCAAAAAATCCACAAAACAAAAAACCAAAAAAAATAAAAATTTTGAATAAATGTCATCTTCTCTCTTTCTCTCTCTCACTGTCTAACACCCTCCCCATTTTTCACACTCTCTCTCTTCTTCTCTGCGTCTCTAACCAGATATTGTGTGTTCTCATTGTTTTTTCCTGTTTTTTTTTCTTGCGCGTAGTAGGTTTACATTTTTTTTGACTCTAATAAAATCCACGTGGCAAAAATACAATTTTTTTTGCAGATCTCTCAACACGCCGATCTTGAATCAATCAATAATTATGGGAATCCACGTCATAACCCAAGAAAGACGGAAAAATCGATAAATCGATATTCGATCGATATTTTGGGATTCGATTCGACGTCGCGCACTCAATTTATGCGACATTTACCAAGAACAACTGAAATTATGCTGAAATTGGGATATCATTTTTTGTATGGCTATAATAAGGTGAGCCGCGGGTTTTTATTGGCAATTTTCGCTGGGAGAAATGTGTGCGCGCGTAGTGTAGTGGTAGCGCGCTGAAATAGTAAACGCTGCTGTTTTGCTGGCGCAGGTTCGAGTCTCGGTGCGCGCGAAGTTTTTTTTTTCTTTTTTTCCTCGTCTTGAAATTTGTGGTAAGAATATAATTTTCAAAACTATTTTTGTAAATTCAGACCTTGTGGATTTTGTTTTATTTTTATCGAGCGGTTTTCTGTTCGTTCATCAATCAAAATTATTGTTTTGAAATTCATGATTTTTTTGAAACAGTGAATTTTTCATGAAGAAAAAAGGTTTTTGCGGAAATTTTCAGGGATTTTTCCTAGATGTTAAATAAACTAAAATTCAAGTTTCCACGTGGATTTTCAGCTCAAAAATCGATTTTAAAGTTTTTCCATAAAAAATCAAAATAATGAGATATTTCAAAATTTCTAGATTTTTTTGAAACAGTGAATTTTTTCGAATTGAAAAAAAGTTGGAAATTTTTTTGCCACGTGGATTTTCAGAGAAAAATTTACAATTTTTTTCCCACAAAAAAATTCCGAAAAAAAACGTGACCCAGAAAAATCCACGTATTCCAAATATTTTATTTTTTGGAAAAAAATAAATTATTTCGAATTTTTTTGAACTCGCAAAAATGGGAGGTAAGCTTTCCTGTAGCACCAAAAATTTTGAAAAAATTAATTTCAGGTGGCCGACAATTCGATGGTAAATTTGGGACCAATATTAATTGGCGATATGCCAGAAGCCATTTCAAAACCGAAATTCGATGAATCTGGAGATATTAATTTGGATTGGATTCTACCACAAAATGACTCATTGGATCCGACGAATTTGCGATTTTTATGGAATGTTATGAAAGAAAGTGGGTTTTGGAGGATTTTTCGGGTTTTTAGGAAATATAATGTGGCTTTTATCAAATTCAAAAAATTCAGAAATAAATTATGAGTTTTTTGAAACAGTGAAAATTTTCGATTTGAAAATTGGGAAAGTTTTGTGATTTTTTTTGGGCTTGAGATGATTTTAGATAAAATTTGGCAATTTTTGAATTGTTGTTTTAAGAAAAAATCAATTAAATATGAATTATAATATCCAAGTTACTTATCAAATTTCAAAAAATTCAAAAATAAATTATGAATTTTTCGAAACAGTAAAAAATTGAATAGAAAAAAATTCTGCTAAAAATTTACCAAATGTAACATTATTCCACCATTGAAATTCACGAAGCTATAGAAAAATTATAAAGTTTTTGAAACAGTGAATTTTTTTCGACCAAAAAAAAATTTTCATTATTTTCCGGAATCAATCCATTCGCAAAAACGTTAAAAATTCATCTTCTGAGAAATATGAAATTTTTGAAACAGTGAAATTTTTCGATTTGAAAATTGGGAAAGTTTTGTGATTTTTTTGGGCTTGAGAGGATTTTTGGTTTAATTTTGTGGTTTTTCGATTTTCTGAATTGAAAATTAAAGTTCTTAATTTTAAAAAAATTGATTAAATATGAATTTAAATACCCAAGTTATTGATTAAATTTCAAAAAAATTCAGAAATAAATTATGACATTTTTGAAACAGTGAAAAATTTATTAGAAAAAAAATATGTTAAAAATGTAACATTATTCCACCATTGAAATTCACATAGCTATAGAAAAATCATACAATTTTTGAAACAGTGAATTTTTTTTTGAGAAAAAATTTATTTTTCATGATTTTCTGGATTCTTTGAATTTGTCAAAACGTTAAAAATTAATCTTCTGAAAAATATGAAATTTTTGAAACAGTAAATTTTTCGCTGATTTCTGTACATGGGATTGAAAATTCAAATAGTCTTGGAAAAAATATAGATTTTTTGAAACAGCGAATTTTTTTCTGAGAAAAAATTTTTTTCATGGTTTTTCGGATACTAAAACGTTAAAAATTCATCTTCTGAAAAATATGAATTTTTTGAAACAGTGAGATTTTTTGTGATTTTTTCGGGTCTTGAGAGGATTTTTAGATAAAATTTGACATTTTTTGGATTGTTTTTTTGAGAAAAAATTGATTATATATGAATCCAATATCCAAGTTGTTGATTAAATTTCAAAAATTCCAGAAAAAAAATTATGAATCTTTTGAAACAGTGAATTAATTTAAAAAAAATTCCAAATAAAAATAGGCAAAATTTTGGATTCGAAATACCTCCGAAAAACATCGTTGGACCATTGAAATTCACATAGCTATAGAAAAATTATAAAATTTTTGAAACAGTGAATTTTTTCGACCAAAACATTCATTTGTAGAAACGTTAAAAATTCATCTTCTGAAAAATATGAAATTTTTGAAACAGTAAAAATTTTTGAATTGAAAACTGGCATAGTATTGGGAAAATATAGATTTTTTGAAACAGTGAATTTTTTTGAGAAAACAAAAATTAAATTATTTTGTTCCTGAAGGAGCCTGGGCCTAAAAATAGGGTCCTTAAGGCCCTAAGAACCTTAAAAACCCCCTAATTTCTTGCAGAATATGGCTGTGAAACTCTCTTCAACGAGGATATTTCTCGAGCATTTTTGGGGCTCTTCAACTATCCTCAAAATGAGTTCAAAGGTGGTTTCACCAAAAATCCGGCCGATCATTATTTCCGCAAATATTATTTGGCAATTTATAAGAAATGGAATTATGCCGCGTGTAAAGATGGTGATCAAATTCAATGGGAATTTGTGCAAATTTGGAGAAGATTTGCACATTATTATAAGGATATTTGTCATTTTGGTTTTAGTTTTATCACGACGTACGTGGGTTTTTTGGGCTGGAATTTTTGAAAAAATCTGAAAATTTTGGATTTTTTGAGTGTAAATAAGGCTAGGTAGAGAGGTTTAAGTATCAATTTTTCGAAAAATGTACAAAATTTTGTAGAAATTTTGAAACAGTGAATTTTTGAGGAGAAAAATTCAGGAATTTTTTTCTATCTTGCTTATTCTCAATCTAACAAAATCAAAATTACTACGGAAAATTTCATAAATTTTTGAAACAGTGAATTTTTTCACGTGGATTTTCAGAAAAAAAATTTTGGATGAAATTTTTGATTTTATTTTTTTCTGATACTATTTTGATCAAACTATAACGCTTACGAAGCAAATATCAAACTTATCGAAAAATGAACAAAATTTTGTAGAAATTTTGAAACAGTGAATTTTTGAGGAGAAAAATTCAGGAATATTTGACTCGTCTGCACAAAAACGTCATATTAGCAATTCTAAATTTTCTCAGAGTTTCTGGAAAATTTGAAACAGTGAATTTTTGCCACGTAGATTTTCAGAAAAAAATTTTGGCTGAAAATTTTGTTTTTTTTTTCGAGCAGAATTTTCATCAAAGCAAGGAATATGAATCAAAAATTAAACTAAAATAGAAATATTATAAAAATTTTGAAACAGTGAATTTTTTTCAAGCAAAAATTCAGAATTTTTATTGAAATTTTGAACAGAGAATGAATTAAAACCAACATTACTACGGAAAATTTCATAAATTTTTGAAACAGTGAATTTTTTCCACGTAGATTTTCAGGAAAAAAAGATTTGGCTGAAAATTTTGTCTTATTTTTTCTGGCAGAATTTTGATCTACAGAGCTATAAAAAGCAAGTATCAAATTTTTGAAAAATATACAAAATTTTAGAGAAATTTTGAAACAGTGAATTTTTTTCGAACAAAAATTCAGATTTTTTTCTGAATAAAAAATGTTTTAATTAGAACGAACCTGAAATTCAAGAGGAACATTTCATAAATTTTTGAAACAGTGAATTTTTTCTACGTGGATTTTTTAGGAAAAAAAATTGGCTGAAAATTTTGTTTTTTTATTTTTTCTGGTAGAATTTTAATAAGAAGCGATAATCAATTTTTCGAAAAAATTTACAAAATTCTGTAGAAATTCTGAAACAGTGAATTTTTTTCGAACAAAAATTCAGATTTTTTTGAATAAAAAATGTTTTAATTAGAACGAACCTGAAATTCAAGAGGAACATTTCATAAATTTTTGAAACAGTGAATTTTTTCATAAACTTCTTTCCACGTAGATTTTCAGGAAAAATTTTGGATGAAAATTTTGGTTTTTTTGAACAAATCTGGAAGTATGCGTGAATCAAAAATAAAATTAAAATAGAAACATTATAGGAATTTTGAAACAGTGAATTTTTTAGAAGCCAGAATTCAAGAATTTTTGAACATTATAGTGAACTTGACCAAAATTTGACCAAAAATTCACCAATTTTAAAGAATTAAATTATTTTTGAAACAGTGAAAATTTTCATCGCGAAAAAAATGAATTTTTTTAATCAATTAATAACCAGAAGAGCAATTTCAGAAAAATACCCCCCAGATTTTCTGTAATTTTTGAAACAGTGAATTTTTGAGCCCAAAAAAATCTCTGTAATTGTTCCAGATTAACCCACGAATCTCCATTTGTTTTGGAAACTTTGGATGAAAGATTGGCTGGAAGTTTGAGTGAAATGAATTTGGAAGGATTATTGGATAATAGTTTATCGATTATTATGGGAGATCATGGAAATCGAATTGGAACTATACAATAGTTAGTTTTCTAAGGGTTTTTGGGCTAGAAAAATTTCACTGTTTCAAAAAATGCTCATCAAAACTTTTCAAAATTCAGAAGTTAACGAGTGGATGATAAAAATAGGTTTCAAAATATTTTCATTTGAAATTTGATTCAGGAAAAATTTACGTTTCAAAAATTTCATAGAAAACTTTCTTGATTTTCGAAAAATGTTGTGAACTCTGAAAAATTTGAGCAATGAAAATGTTGAAAATTTTCTCTATAAAATTCACTGTTTCAAATAAAATTGAATTATTTGTTGTATTTTTTGTAAATAATGACTCAATTATTTTTTGAATGAAAAAAATCCACTGTTTCAAAAATTTCATATGAAATTTTCTGGATTTCACAAAATATTCTTGCCATATTTCTCTAGTCTTTAGAAGATTTTTGATTTAAATAATTTTTCACTGTTTCAAAAATTTCATATAAAATTTTCTGGATTCTCAAAAAATATTTTCTAATCGCGTGACGTCACAAATTCAACTGAAAAATTTGAGCAATTAAAATTTTGAAAATTTTCTTTATAAAATTCACTCTTTCAAAGAAAATTGAATTATTTTATTGCATTTTAGGAAATAATGACTCAATTATTTTTTGAATGAAAAAAATTCACTGTTTCAAAAATTTCATATGAAATTTTCTGGATTGAAAAAAATAATATTGCAGTAATTAGCTGGATTTTGAAAGATTTTTGATTAAAATATTTTTTCACTGTTTCAAAAAAATTGTGAATAGAAATTTCGAAAAATGCAGTAATTACTGAGCGATTTTTTTAAAACGTTTATAAAAAATATTTTCATCAATAATTTTGAAATTTTAGTTTCGGAAGACGCCACAATTTTAACTGAAAAATTTGAGAAATGAAAAAGTTGAAAATTTTCTTCAAAAAAAAGTTTAGGAAATAATGACTCAGTTATTTTTGAATGAAAAAATTCACTGTTTCAAAAAATTCATATGAATTTTTCTGGATTGAAAAAAATATTGTTGGTGTAATTTTCTCGATTTAAGAAAATTTTTGATTAAAATATTTTTCACTGTTTCAAAAAAATTGTGAATAAAAAATTTTTCAAAATTCTGAAATTATTGACAATTGTGAGATCTTCAATCTGCTCTTTTCCTGAATAATTTACTGTTTCAAAAATTTCATAGAAAATTTTCTGGATTCTCGAAAAATGTTGTGAACTCTGAAAAAATTGAGCAATTAAAGTTTTGAAAATTTTCTTCATAAACTTCACTGTTTCAAAAAAAATTGAATTATTTTGTTGCAATTTTAGAAATAATGACTAAATTATTTTTTTTGAAAAAAAAATCCACTGTTTCAAAAATTTCATATGAATTTTTCTGGATTCTCGAAAAATGTTGCTGGATTTTAGAAGATTTTCGATTAAAATATTTTTCACTGTTTCAAAAAAATTGTGAATAAAAATTTTGAAAAATTTAGGAATTATCGAGCGGTTTTATAGTGCTAAATTATTTTCATTTGAAGTTTTCGAGTCAGGAAAAATTTACTGTTTCAAAAAATTCATATAAAATTTTCTGGATTCTCGAAAAATGTTACTTGACGTTACACAAGAGCACTGAAAATGTTGAAAATTTTCTTTATAAAATTCACTGTTTCAAAGAAAATTGAACTATTTTGTTGCAATTTTGGAAATAATGCCTGCATTGTTCATGTTTGAGAATAATTCACTGTTTCAAAAATTTCATATGAAATTTTATGGATTGAAAAAAATAATATTGCAGTAATTAGCTGGATTTTGGAAGATTTTTGATTTAAATAATTTTTCACTGTTTCAAAAAAATTGTGAATAAAAATTTTGAAAAATTTTGAAATTACTGGGAGAATACGATGAAAAAATCAAAAACTATGAAATTTGATTCAGGAAAAAATCACTGTTTAAAAAAATTCATAGAAAATTTTCTTGATTTTCGAAAAATGTTACAAATTCGGATGACGCCACAATTTTAACTGAAAAATTTGAGCACTGAAAATTTTGAAAATTTTCTTTATAAAATTCACTGTTTCAAAGAAAATTGAATTATTTTGTTGCAATTTTAGAAATAATGACAAAATTGCTCTTGAAAAAAAAAATCACTGTTTCAAAAATTTCATATTAAATTTTCTGGATTGAAAAAAAATTGGTTATTTGGAATTCACATCATGAGATTTTTGACAGGAATATTTTTCGCTGTTTCAAAAAAATTGTGTTTCAAAATATTTTCATTTGAAAATTGAAACAGGAAAAATTTACTGTTTCAGAAAATTCATAAAAAATTTTCAGGATTCTCGAAAAATGTTCTGAATTCGGATGAAGTCATAAATTCAACTGAAAAATTTGAGCAATGAAAATGTTGAAAATTTTCTCTATAAATTTCACTGTTTCAAAGAAAATTGAATTTTTTTGTTGCATTTTTTGGAAATAATCACTCGACTGTTCTTGATGGAAAAAAAATCCACTGTTTCAAAAAATTCATATAAAATTTTCTGGATTCTGAAAAATGTTACTATAAGAATTTTCCATCTGACAACATTTTTGATTAAAATATTTTTCACTGTTTCAAAAATATATTATTGGAAAGTACATCATTAGAACTTTTAATATGAGCAATTAATTCGGAAAAATTCAATGTCTCAAGGAAAATTGAACAATTTAATGTATTTTTGAAAGTTATTATCGAAACCATTGTGTCATCAAAAAATCCACTGTTTCAAAAAATTCATATGAAATTTTTTGGATTGAAAAATATTGGTTATTTGGAATTTACATCACAAAATTTTTGACAAAAATATTTTTTCACTGTTTCAAAAATCCCTCAAAATTCTCCAATTTTTTACAGCTCGTATACAGGTCGAATCGAAGAACGTATGCCATTAATGGCAATTCGATTACCAACAAATTTCGCTTCAAAATATCCCAAACAATATTCGAATTTTTTGACAAATAAATTCAAATTGACTGCAAATTTTGATATTCATCAAACACTTCAAGATATTATTCATATGAATTTTGGAAATCGAAAAAAATATGTGGAAAATAATAATCAGAGAGGAATCAGTTTATTTGATGAAATTCCGAATTCAAGAAATTGTAAAGATGTTTTTGTTCCTGAGAATTTTTGTACTTGTTTGGAAGGTGTTGAAGTCAAGGATTTGGATGAAGAAGTTAGGGTAAGTCTGGGGATTTTTTGGGTAAAAATTTATGGGGACAATTTTTTTTGAATTTACGATGCATAAAACCAATCGATCAAATTTTCAGACTCACAAATTTCAATATAAAATTTCTGAAACAGTGATTTTTTTTCAAAAAAAATAGAAACTTTGAAATATTTTCTGGGATTCTGAAAAAAACTAATTCTAGTAAAATTTTTGGAATTTTTTGCCACGTGGATTTTCAAACGTGTAATTTTGATTTTTGCGATCCACAAATAACTTGTACTGTTTCAAGCGCAATATTGAAAAAATTATGAAAATTTTGAAACAGTGAATTTTTTTTTGGAAATATTTTTGTTGTTAGAAAAATGTTATTTTTAGCACCAAAAATTCAGGGTTGCCACGTGGATTCTGAAAATAATTTCAGGGTTTTGTCGGTAATAAAAAATCGAATTTTTTTTTATTTGTTAAAAAAATTCTTTCCATGATCAAAACTTCTCACACCAAATTTTTTAATGTGAAATTTTTGAAACAGTGAATTTTTTTTGTTGAAAAATGGGAGTTTTTCGATTGTTTAGTTGCGGAAGTACAAAAAACAATGAAATTTTCAGAGCTAATTTTTAATGTAAAAATTTTGAAACAGTGAATTTTTTTTATTTTTTCGAATTCAGAAAATTGGGATTTTTCGAGTTTTGAAAATTGTATTCTGACGGCAAAATTAATTTTTTTTTTGATTTTTCATATAAAAATTTTGAAACAGTGAATTTTTTCTCACAGAAAAACCTGGAAATCGTCAAAAAATGGTTCTTGGATCAAAAATTGGATAAATGTATCGAAATCGATTCGCTGAAAATTCTGGAACCCGAAAAAATTCGGAAAATGAGTTTGAATAAATTGAGTCGAGAAGGTTTGAGAAGTAAGAAAAATGTGACAATGTTGGAAATTACCAGGAAAAAACCCGAGAAAAATGATGTGAGTTTGAAGGTTACGGTATTTTTGCCACGTGTCAGATTTGGAGCTAAAAAAGTTATCATTTTTGAAAAATTGTCAGTTTTTATCATAGAAATTTCGAAACAGTGGATTTTTTTAACCCAGAAAATAGATTTTTCAAATTTTCACCCCAAAACTCCATTTTTTTACAGTTCATAAATTTCGAATTCGACATTTCTGCTCAATTTTTGCTCCAATCCAAGGCTCTCACAAAACTTCGAATTCGAACCGAAAAATTTGTGAAGGACAAAGACTACAGTCTAGTTTATGAGCCGCAAATCATCGAGAATCCACTAGAAAATGCACAATGCCAAAAACAATTATCGATTTTTGAAATTTGCTCATGTTTATCACTTTATTGATTGGATTGATTTGCAGGTTTTTAGGTTTGACGGGTTTGAAAACATTTTTGTATTTAGGAAATCAATAAATTATTTGATTTTTGAATTTTTTTCGTTCCCGTGGAAAGCGAGAGAAAGCGAGAGATTGAGAATTAGCGTGTGCATGCAGAAGAGACGCCAGACGAAAAAGGGATAGAAACAGGCTCCGCCTACTTTTTTATTTTTTTTTGGAAAAAATGTTTTTGAAAGTCTGATTTTTCATACTTATGTGAAATTAATGATTTATATAAAAACTTCAACCCAATCCAATTAACTTAATTAATCCGCCAACATTCCACAAATCGCACCATTTGCCACAGCATTTATACTACTACCGCTTAATGCGTCGTCGGAAATTAATAATATTGCATAAACTGCTGAAGTTGTGTCTATATCTTCACTCCACACAAATCCATCAGTTCCAGATGTATGACCATCGGTCCATTCGAAAAAATCTTGAGGTGTGCATGTTTGAGTTGAAGAACATTTTGCTGCTTTTCCAGCGCCAACAAAATATGAATTGTATGCATTTTCAGTGCTTGCATCCGAAATAATTTCATTCATTTTGTGTAGTTCTTCTGTTGTTTGAAATCCTGATGCTTTTGATTTTGAATTCAGTGATTGACAGCATTCACTGATGTCATCGTTATCGTATATGTTTTTAGTTTGATCTGCAAAACTGCAATAAGACAGGCACCACGAATATGTTGTTCTGTTAAACAATGTGAAACCAGTTGGACAACTAGATTGTGTACTCGAAGTCGTGGTTTCAACTGAATTTTTAGTTCCACACATTTCCACTTTTGAAATACAAGAAATAAAAAATAAGAAAAAACAAATATAAAAATAAGGCATTATGATATAAAATAATGAAAATTGGGAAGGTTTTTAAGGATTTTTTTTACATTTACGATGCCGCAATTTTACATAAAATCTGAATGAAAATAATTAAATTCGAAGTATCAATAAAATTGAACAAACAAAAAATCATCTGCCACGTGGAACATTTTTTTCAGCAAAATAACTTCTGAAATTTTGAAAAACATTGAAAGAAATTCTACTGTTTCTGAATTTTCATAATAAAAATGAAAGAATTCAAAATGGGTTGGAAGTTCCTATGATCCAGATGGAACCAAAAGATTCAGATGGTTTTCTTCGACAAAATTGCTTCAGCAAGCCTTCCGATTCATTTTTGATCGGTTTAAAATATAGTTTTTTTTTAAAAATAATTCTTCAAATTTCTTTATTCACAAATCTCACAAAATCGAGTTATCTTAAATCATACTTGGGCTGTCCATAGTTCCACTAACTCCAGATGTGGATTTGAATTCAGAGTTAATTTTTTTGTTGCTCTTTTTTCCATTTTTACCCTTCTCTTCTTTTTTCTTTCCATCTTTCTCATTTTTTCCAGTTTTTCTTTGTTTTTTCGTTTTCAATTTAAGTTTCCACAATAAAAAACCGCCAATTCCACCAACCACCAATAAAACAACTAAGATGATGATCAAAATAATAAAAATCATTTTTTCATCTTTTGATTCCTTTCTGGGAAATGGTTTCAATGGATTATAGAAACAGGTAAACCTGATTGCAGTCGGTTCTTCTCTCAAACATAACTTTGAATTATCGCTGGAACATTCTGAATCAAAACTACAATTTCTGGGATTATCTTCCGGCCATTTTTTGAGCAATGTTCCATCTGGTAATTTCTCCCCAATTATAACCACTTTTTTGGAATCCGGATCACAATACCCAGCGGTGAACTGATGAACGGGAAAGCCGGAATCACACGATAGCTCAGTGATATAGGAAAATTCAGGTTTGATAAATATCCCAGTCATTGTTGCGTTTGGACAACAATGTCCCCTTTTGCAAATACCACCTGATTTCACCACACATTCACCACTACTCACATTATTCTTGATAGAACCCACACATTTTGGTTCGTTGAATAATGGAGTTTGTTTATCTGGACATAATGAATAATCATCATCCAAGCAGCATTGATTAATTTCCGTTTCACACCATATGTTATATTTGACAATTATTTTATCATCATCATAACATTGCTCGAATGCTTCAGTCGAATTCGATTCCTCCTTTCCACATCTCAAATTCGGATTCACAACTTTTCCTTCCGGACAGTTATCGGTTTTACGATAGCAACAAAACCCGATTTCGCCAAGTGATGTTACATTCTTGCAACGATATCTGTAATATCACATAAGTTTAAGCTAAGTCCTAAAGAACATTTTTGAATTCATCACTAAAACCGTGCGCACATGCAATAATATTGCAGAAAGACGCTGCCAGGAGTCGCATTTCCGCAACGAATTTTTTTTTAAGTCGTAGTTAAAACTCACTCATAAATATTATTGATATTGGCACCTTCTTTTGTTTTTCCACCATTCAAACAATCATCATCCTTTTCACAATGTCCACTATTAGCCACGCTACCTTCTTCCCATTCATAAATAATCGATGGATCAACGCATGTTTTTGCACTCATACAAACACCGTCAAATTGTTTCACTGCTCCATTTTCATATCTCTTATATTTCAATGGTTCAGCAGTATAACAAAATGAGTTTGCATCACCACCAGCAGTTCGACAGTCTTCATAAGATTTACAAGAGATCAATCCAATTTTATTATCAATAATTGTGTAACTCAGCGCTGTGTTGGATGGATCAGGAAGTTTGAAGCAGAATTTATAGTTTTCATCAAAGTTGTGTAAATCGCGGCGCAAACTGTAAATGTTATCACAGAATTCTTCACCTTTTCTACAGTCACCATTTTTGTTACACTGCGGCGTTTGATCTCGATTTTTCCATATAATTGACAAATATTTTCTGCCGATCTCTCCGTTTTTTTGACTAACATCGAGGTCGATAAAAATTTGTGAGAGAGTAAATGAAATGGGTTTCGATTCCAAACATATTCCAGTATATGATGTTCTTTTTCCATATTTTGAACCATCAATCACATGTCCTGTCCATTTGATAAAAGCGCCCTTCTCTTTTTGTTTTGCACATATTCCACTTTTCTCTAATCCAATATCACAATCCGAATCTTTGTCGCAGAGAAAAATATTAAGTTTTGAATCTCGTTTTTGGAACTGTTGAATGGCAGTGTCTCCGGGAATATCAGGATCTAATGAGTTTTGTAAAAAGGTGCTTTTAGTTAAAGGTGTCACAACCAAACTCACTTTTATAACAAAACTTCTTTTCTCTCTCCATCATTGTCCATTGTTTTAAATAAAGGGCGTTAGTACAAAAATGACCACTTTTCTTAACATGTCTTACAGATTCACAATCTGCATAATTCCAGCATTTTATTCTTCGATCACCTGTAAATTCAAAAAAGTAAAACTTCTAATTTTCCCTTCATATTTCATTTTTACTCACCCAAACAAGTTCCACCTTCAATTCTTGGATTCACAACATTCCCACAAAATGAATCAAAGTTGGGACAATCTGAATGTTTTTCGCACGTTTTTGGTTGTTCTTTTTTGTAATTTTCTCCAGTATCTCCATATGGTAAATATTTCAGATTTGATGATTCTTGTTTAACAAATAACTGATCGTACCATATATAGCCAATAGGTATAGCTGAAAAAAAACTCCTGAACAATATCTAGAGATTCACAAACTTTCATGAAGTTCAAATACACGCTCATTATAATGTCACAAGATAAATTGAGAAAATTTACAAAATTAATGTGTTTCATTTTTCTAGAGCCCCAAAATTGTAAGCGGATTCATCACAAAAACTCACCACAAATATAGCGCTTTGGTTTTAAATCCTTTGCATCGTAGACAAAACCTCGCAATTCGCCATAAGCACTTATGTGGGGTAATGCAGTCATGTATAGTATCCTCTTCTCTCTGTAACTACTCATAAACTCAGAAAGCATTCCACTGGGACAATATAACGCAACTTTTTCTGTAAACCAGTTATAATATTTTCTGGAACAAAAAAATTTACGACGTCGTAAAGTTTTATCAAACTTACCACAACATAATGCGTCGTTACGCCAATCAATTATTAACATTCTATCAGGATAGTTCTGACAAGTTGCTCGATCGTACGTCGTATCAGTAGTTGGGCATTTGTACTGGAAAGAAACAAGTGTATGTCGAAATCAAACCGTTTAAATACTTACAAAACCATCCAACATTGACAAACCAAAGTTTACTGAAAAAAGAATATATACAAAAAATTCACATATTTTCAAGTTCAACTTACCGTAAATCACACTAAGCAACAACTCAAACAATCTGAAATATTTCATTTCCAACTAGATTTTGCGTATGTTAGACACCGAACTGAATCCTTTGCCATTATTTTAAAAGTGACGTGAAAAGTAACAAGAACACGTTCAAACGAATTTATATACTTTTTCTTGTATCTTTATTCCTAATAAAAACTAGGTAATTTAAAAATTTGAAAAACAAAATAAAATCCTCGCTGATAGAATAATTACAGAGTGGTAAGTAAATTGTGACGTGGCATTTTGAACATTTAATTTTTTTCCCAGAATTGAATAATTTTTTAAACAGTCAAAATTGTTCAGTTGACTTTAAAATAATTCAAGTTGAAGAACATTGCTCAACGTACGTTTTACATAATAAATTTCAATTCAAAATTTGCAGTCTCGACATTATTTGAAACATTTCCTCTTATGGGGTGATTCAGTTCGAAAAAAACTAACAATGTAAAAAAAAAACGTTCAATCAATAAATGTCTTTTCAAATAAAAAACTCAGAAAGTGTCCTGACAGCCGTCCGCGAGGTTGCGAGCTGTCGAAAGCTAGCAGAGGCTGTCCGCCAGCTCGCATTCTCATAAAAAGGGGAGGATCGAGCGCATCTCCTCGCCGCCAGCTAGCGGACAGAAAAAATTGCGACTGGAGCAGATTTGCCCGTCTTTTTCCTTTTTCATTTTTTTTCGAATTTTTTGGCCTAAAACTTTTTTATGCCTTTTTCATCGAAAAATTTCACAGAAAACATGCAAGCAACGTCGCAATGTGTTGGAATGGAGACGGTGCACATCGCCAGGCACCTTCGTGACATGAAAATGTGTTTTTGGTGAGTGCAGATGATTTTTAATTCAGTAAATTAGTGTAAACCTATTTTACAGGGCTCTCGATGTTTGAAGCGATGTTTTCGACTAAAATGGCGGGATGGACGAGCAGCACAACAATATTTTTGATAAAATTTGTAAGGTAAGGTGGTTTGAATGAAAGCTTTGGTTCCTTAGTCCCAGTAGTTTTAAAATCATGCTCTAGTGTAGGAACAAATCGATTTCATGAGAAAAGAACTCATTCTATATGAACTTCGAATGGAAAATTCTATATTCATGTTTGTTACTCATATTCATCTAGAAATGTATTTGATTGTATCTATTTTACCATCAGTGCTTGATAAATTAGAAAATCATTACTTTTAGAAAATTGATAGTGATAGGAATAAGTAGTTGCCAAGTAATTACCATTTCATTGTCAAGTCAAGCTCCTAAATCGCTTGTTAGCACTGACTCACTTTCTACGAAAACCTTGTAATTTTGGCTCGTTGAGTTTTCTAGACATTGAACGCTCCCTCTGCAGTGTTTTTTCATTTTGCAGATAATGGGATATACCTGAATAACTTGAAAAACTTCAAAAATGACTAGATTATTTCTCATTTCCCAATTACCTATATTTTTCAAACGAAGTTTTAAACATGATTGAACATTTCAGATTCTACAATCATCAACCAACTCTTCGCAGCCTGGAAAACAACACACCACCCTCCACACTTCGACTTCCACAGGAATCCGATAAATGAAGTGTTTTTTGTTTAATAAATTCTTTCAAAACAAGCTCTATGAACTGCAAAAACAACAGACAAGCGCTAGCTAGCAGCGAGAACTGGCGAGGTTTCGCCAGAAAAATGCGAGAAATGGACGGCCGTCTGCCGGCTCGCGTGCTAGCTGGCGAGATTTTCTCGCCGACGGCTGTCAGGACACTTTCTGAGTAACATCTCTCTCTTTCTCTCTCTAATCCTCTCTCCATTTCCCACACTCTCTCATCAACCCTGCAAAAAAAGAAAACACGCTAAACAACGCGCACGCCGGGAGTATCGTTGTTTCGCTTTTATTTTTTTGTTTTGCGCGACATTTTTGTTTGTTGCCTTTTTTTCTGGTTTTTTGAGTGGTTTTTTTCCAGCGCAGAAAAATTTTAAGAAAAATAATTTAGAAGTTTCAGGTTTCCGAACAAGAAGATGGTTCGTTTAGACAGGAGGACATTCAACAACTTCTCACGGAACGGGCGGCCAGTCAAGTTAGTTTATTTTGCAGTTTGGGGGGGGACTATGTTGGGGTGCCCAAAAATCCCAATGCCACGTGGCAACTTCAATGCTTAAGTAATAATTTGAATTGTGAACTTTGATGCCGGGTGATCAAGCTACATATTTTTTTCCCCGCTAAAAATCTTGTTTGCACAGCTTTTTTTTTCTGAAAGCGAATTGGATACATTACAAATGTAGATGAGCCAAAAATGAGAACACCTGGCTCATTTTTGGAGCTTGGAAAATTTGTTGGCGCTTATTTTGTGGGTGAGAGGGTTGTTGACGTAAATTTTGTAGATTGGGAGATTGCTGGCGTCTTTCTAGTAGCTCAGATGCTTGCTGACGCATTTCTTGTAGCTCTAGAGTTTGACTGACGCGTTTCTAGTAGCCTAGGATCTTGCTGACGCTTTTCTGGAAGCTCAGATGCTTGCTGACGCTTTTTTAGTAGCCTAGGATGTTGTTGACGTGAATTTTGTAGGTTGGGATGTTGCTGACGCTTTTCTGGAAGCTCAGATGGTTGCTGACGCTTTTCTAGTAGGCTAGGATGTTGCTGACGCAAATTTTGTAGATTGTGAGGTTGCTGACGTGTTTTCTGCATACTGAGCTAGTCTTGTAGCTCTAAAATTTGTTGACGTAAATTTTGTAGCTCAGAACTTTGCTGACGCATTTCTGGTAGTCTAGGATGTTGCTGACGTGTTTCTAGTAGCCTAGGATGTTGCTGACGTGAATTTTGAAAGTTAGGGTGTTGCTGACGTGTTTTCTGCATACTGGAGCATTTTTTGTAGCTCTAGAGTTTGACTGACGCATTTCTAGTAACTTGAATTGTTGCTGACGCGTTTCTAGTAGCCTAGGATCTCGCTGACGTGAATTTTGTAGATTGGGAGGTAGTTGGCGCTTTTCTAATAGCTCAGAAGCTTCCTGACGCGTTTCTAGTAGCCTAGGATCTCGCTGACGCAAATTTTGCAGCTCAGAACTTTGCTGACGCTTTTCTAGTAGCCTAGGATCTTGCTGACGTGAATTTTGTAGGTTAGGAGATTGCTGACGTGTTTTCTGCATACTGGAGCTAGTCTTGTAGCTCTAGAGTTTGACTGACGCATTTCTAGTAGCCTGAATTGTTGCTGACGCATTTCTAGTAGCCTAGGATCTTGCTGACGTGAATTTTGTAGGTTGGGAGATTGCTGACGTGTTTTCTGCATACTGGAGAATTTTTGTAGATCTAGAGTTTGACTGACGCATTTCTGGTAGCCTGGAATTTTGCTGACGTGTTTCTAGTAGCTCGAAAATTTTTTTTTCCAAAATAAAAACATCGCGACCAATTTTTTAATAGCTCCAAAATTTTTACGATTTTTCATATTTTTTTTTTTCTCCAAGTTGCTCTGGAAACATTTTTTTTTGTATTTTCGCGCCAAAAATTTGAAAAACAAAAAATTTTCCAACATATTTACTCAGCTTTTCTGTTTCGAATGAGAAAATTGCATGTTTTTGTACTAAAATTTGTAATTTTTTTCCAAATTTTCAAAAAAATCAATTTTTTTTGCAGGCCAAAAAAAAATGCATCGGGGCCGAAATTGGACCATTATTTTGGTAGGGAAAATTTTTTTTCAAAAAAAATTTAAAAAAAAATTTTTTTTTGCAGATTTTATCCACATTTTTCTCAATGTTTTTGATATTTTCAAATTTGAAAAATTCGCCTCAAAATCTGAGGAATTTTCACGAAAATTCTGAAAATCAGGAAATTTTTGAAAATTCTCAGAATTTTTCCGAATTTCTGCATCATCCTTTTGATAATTTTTGCAAATTTCCTCTACATTCAACTTATGCAAAAGATATTATGGTGAGTTTTTCAAGGGAGGTTCACTGACGCATTTTTTGTAGCTACAAGAAATGCGTCAGCAATAATTGCATAAAACTACAAACTCCCAGGTCAAACTAGAATATAGTTCCCCCCCCCCTTATTATTCATGCAAAAAAGAGTATATCTCTCTCTTTCTCTAACACTCTCTCATTTTCCCACACTCTCTCTCTCTCTCTCTCTATTTTTTTCTGCAAAAATCGCGCCAGTGGGGATTTTGCTGACGCATTTTTTGTAGATCTCGACCAATCTGAACAAATAATGTACTTTTGGAAAAAAGCTGTGCAAATTGTTCGGCCAAAAGATCGAGAAATGCGTCAATGGGGGTTTTGCTGGCGCGTATTTTGTAGCAAAAAAACCGTTCCTGACTGAAATTTCACGCTGAATTCGATTTTCAGACTCCCGATCATTCTGGAACCCGTCTACGAACTCTAAAATGCAATTTAACCAATGGAAATGATATGGCAACAATGGATTCACAAGGATATTTATACATTTATGCAAAATATTCACAATATCCAATTTTAAACAAAACTTTCGAATGTGATATTATTTCCATTGAAGGCGGATTGCGAAATGAAACTGCAAAACAGGGAAAAAAAGATATACAAGAGGTGGAAGTTGTGAAAAATGTGATGCAAAATATGCGCCTTTGGGTGAATGCTGACGCGTTTTTCGTGCGATGTTTTGATCGTGATGAGGAAAAAGGCAATTTATCGGATGTTTTGCTTTGGGAGAAACCTTTTGCTGGTTTGGAGGATCGGAGTTTACCCAAATATCAGATTTATACCCGGCCCGATCTTGAATCAATCAATAATTATGGGAATCCACGTCATAAGCCAAGAAAGTCGGAAAAATCGATAAATCGATATTCGATCGATATTTTGGGATTCGATTCGACGTCGCGCACTCAATTTATGCGACATTTACCAAGAACAACTGAAATTATGCAGAAATTGGGATATCATTTTTTGTATGGCTATAATAAGGTGAGCGGGTTTTTATTGGCAATTTTCGCTGGGAGAAATCTGTGCACGCTTAGTGTGGAGGTAGCGCGCTGAAATAGTAAACGCAGCTGTTTTGCTGACACGGGTTCGGTCCACGGTGCGCGCGAACTTTTTTTTTGTTTTTTCTCTGGAGAATCAGAGCTGTTTTCTATTGAAGAAATGTGATTTTCTTTTTCCACGTGGAATTACATTTTGAACTTAACAATTTCTGAATTTCTAAAAAAAAACGAAATGAATCAACAACGAAATTTGGGAATTTCGAGAAAATTTTGTGGAATTTTTGAAACAGTGAATTTTTTGAGAAAAAATTTTAACATTTTTGTTTCAAATTTCACTCTGATTACAAAATTACTCTGAAATTTCAGAAAAATTACAGATTTCAATAAAATTTAGCTTTCTGAAAAATTACAGTGTAGAATTTGCACTGAAAATTCAAAACCACCAAAAAATATGTGCATTTTTTGAAACAGTGAATTTTTTTTTCTTAAAAAAAATATTTTTTTTTTCCAATTTTTGCCACGTGGATTCTCCCAAAAATGTCCAAGCTACAAAATTCGCGCCAGCTAAACCCCTGCTGACGCATTTTTTGTAGATCAACTCCACGTTCAATTTATTTTTTCTTTATTTGTTCTTCCCACTCGATCTTTTGAAATTGCCAAAATTTGCACAGCTTTGTTAATCAAATTTTTGCAAAAATTAACACATTTTTCGGGGGTTGATCTGTGATGCTACAAAAATTGCGTCAAGGGGAGATTGACGTGAATTTTGAAGGAAAAAAATAAAATAAAACGTGACCCAGAAAAAAAGCCACAAACAAAAAATTTCGAAAAAAAATCATTTAAAAATTTTTGAGCTTGAAGAAATGACAGGTTAGTCTGAATTCTGAAAATTCTGAAATTAATTTTTCAAAATTTTTTTTCCCCAAAAATTTTCAAAATTAATTCCAGGTCGCTGACAATTCGATGGTAAATTTGGGACCAATATTAATTGGCGATATGCCAGAAGCCATTTCAAAACCGAAATTCGATGAATCTGGAGATATTAATTTGGATTGGATTTTGCCACAAAATGAATCGATGGATCCGACAATGTTGAAATTCTTGTGGAAAACTATGAAAGAAAGTGAGTGAGGAGGATTTTTTAGGGAAAATAATTGATCTATCAGAATTCCGAAACACCACAAAAACTATGAGAAAATTTTGAAACAGTGAATTTTTCTACGGAAAAATTTTTGATTTTTGAAAAAAAAAAATGTTTGAATTTTATAACATGGTACTCAGAGGAACGATCAAAATTTTAGTTAATTCTCAAAAATTCTGATATTTTTGAAACAGTGAAAAATTGTCAATTGCAAATCTGAAATTCTGTGATTTTTTGATAATCCTAAAGTATACATACGATTTCGATTAAATTCAAAACCAACCTGGATTTTTGAGATAATTTTGAAACAGTGAATTTTTTTTTTGAATAATTTTTTGAGCCTGAATTTTTTGTCATTGAATTTTTAAAAATGTTCTCAAAAGTTGTAGAAACTTTGAAACAGTGAGAAATCTAGAAAAATTTAAATTTTCTGTGAAACTTGAATAAACAGCACAAAACTGAATCTCGGTAATCCACGAAAATAATGAGAAAATTTTGAAACAGTGAATTTTTCTGAATAAAAATTCTGGGATTTTCTCAAAAAATAGCATTTTTATAGCAAAAGGCTCATTCGAAGTTATATTAGATTTAGAAATTTGCCCAGAAATTCAAGTAACTTTGAAACAGTGAAAAATTTCATTATTTTTGAAATGAAAAAAAAAATGATAATTTTCTGCGAACAAACCTCTTGAAACGGAATTCCTGAAGTCCCCTAAAATTATCAAATATTTTTGAAACAGTGAAAAATTATCTGACAATAATTTGAAATTAAAATCTTGAAATTTCTTGGTTTTCTGATAATTCTAAGATAAATGTTGAATAAAATCAAAAAACAACCTAGATTTTTGAGGTAATTTTGAAACAGTGAATTTTTTGTGAATGATTTGCGAGTCTCAAAATTGTTGATAATTTTTTTTCAGTGAATTAAATATTAAATTTAAAAAAATTCTCAAAAATTTCACAAAATTCTGAAACAGTGAATTTTTTTTCCGGAAACTTTTGTTTTCAATTTTTTTCGATGACGAAGTAAGGCGATGATGCAGATGAGTTTCTCCTCCGAGGAGAAATGAGGAGAAATGGGGCGAAATTCGAAAAATACATTGTTTCCCCTTCACGTGCAACACGTTTCTCCTCTTTCTCCTCAATTAGCCCCGAGGAGAAACTAATCTGCATCATCGCCTAAGAGAGCACAGCTCAAAAAATCCACAAAAATTCTACAAATCTTGAAACAGTGAAATTATGTAATGCAGATTTTTTCGAATATTTTGGATACCCATTTTTGATTTTAGTCTCATTGTCTGTTACAGTATGCTAATTTTTTGTAAGATAAAAATATTTCAGTTAAATGTTTTCTTTATGTACCTTAAAAACGGATTCTAAAACTCGTAGTAAAGTAAGATATCATTACAAAGTTCCAAAAACGAATATTCGCAAAAACTTCTTTACTCACCGCACTTGCTCATTACAAATTTCAGATTCACCAAATATTAGACCTACATTAGCATAAATACTCGCGCATAACCATCCCCCGGTTTCTAACTCGTAATCCTGCATCAACTTATTCTTTGTCTTTTCATGTATTTTATGATTTTATACTTGTTTGTCACGTTGTCCCACAACGTATTCAATAAATAAATAAATAAATGAATATTGGAACAGTGAGAAATCGACTTGTAATATAATTTTGAAACAATCAATTTTTTCGATTTTTAGTTGGAGAAGAACAGAAAAACCTAGCAGAATTCAGAAAATCAACAAAAACTATCAAAAATTGTTGAAACAGTGAAAAATTATCAGAAAATAATTTGAAATTAAAATCTTGAAATTTTGTGATTTTTTTGATAGTTCTACAGAGAAACAAATAATTGAATAAAACTCAAAAACAGCCCGGAATTATAAAAAATTTGAAACAGTGAATTTTTTCTTCTGAAAAATTAGCAGTCTAATAGGCAAATGTCTAAATTACAAATATCAAATTTTAAGAAAACCACAAAAACTTCAAGAACTTTTGAAACAGTGAAAAAAATAGAAAAATAATTTTCAAAATATTTTTTGGAAGTTAACATCAAATTCAAAATCCATTAAAAAACTATCAATTTTTGAAACAGTGAAAATTTTTCAAGAATTTTCTTCCATTTTATGTTAAAAATAGAAATCGACAATAGAAATTCAAAAAAATCCAGAATTTTTCTGAAAATTTTGAAACAGTAACTTTTGCTTAATGGAATAAAAATTCAAAAATTCACAAAAAATTATTTAAAATTCTTGAAATAGTGAAAATAAAATTCCAACAAACCTAAAAACGTTCTAAAACCTTTAAGGGTATTAGAGAATTTACGTTAAGAATATATAAAAACTTTGCCAAGCTCCTAAATCACCTGAAAAAGCCTCAAAGACTGTAAAGCTCCCTAATTCACCCTAAAGCCTTAAGAAGATGTAAAATCATTTAAAGAACCTTCTAAAGCTCCTAAGTTACCCTAAATTCACCCTAATTCTTTGCAGAATACGGTTGTGAAACACTGTTCAACGATGATATTTCTCGCTCTCATTTGGGTCTCTTCAACTATCCAAACATTGAATTCAAACCGGGTTTCACCGAAAAACCAGCCGATCATTATTATCGCCAATATTATTTGGCATTCTACAATAAATGGAAATATTTACCGTGTAAAGATGGTGATCAAATTCAATGGGAATTTGTGCAAATTTGGAGAAGATTTGCACATTATTATAAGGATATTTGTCATTTTGGATTCACTTTTATTTCGTCGTAGGTTTTTTTGGGGGAAAATTGGGAAATTTGTGAATTTTTTGAGGGTAAATAAGGATAGGCTTCGGAAATCATCAAGCTTGCATCAAATCCTCGAATTTTCGTGTAATATTTCTAGAAATTTTGAAACAGTGGAATAATTTTGTGAGGTAAATTGAGCATTGACATTAGTTTTTTTTTTCAATCATCCAGAAATTAATAGAAATTTTGAAACAGTAAATTTTTCCTGAGAAAAATTGAAAGCAAGAAAATATTTCTAAAACTTCAAGATTTTCCTGAAACAGTGAAAAAATTAGAAATGTGAATTTGAATTAAATTCATCGAATTTATCAAATGAAGATTTTTTCAGCAAAATTATCATAGAATTTTTGAAACAGTAGAAAAATTACATAGAATTTTTATGAACAAAATTCAAGAAACATTGATTTTTGGCATTTTTTCCAATGGAATGCATTTGAAAATTGCTTGAAAATTTATTGAATTTTTGAAACAGTGAATTTTTTTCGATTCAAAAATAGTTCATATTCAAAAAACATAGAAAGGGCTTATCAAAAATCTCATTTTCTTTGAAATTCTCGAAGAATTTTTGAAACAGTAAATAATTTACTTGAAATTATTTTATCAACATTTTTTGATTTAAAAATAAATAATTAATGTTCAATTTTTCAAATCCTTTCAAAATTCATAGAATTTTTGAAACAGTGAATTTTTTCTTCAAAAAAATCTATCGAAAAGTTCACACTTCGAAAATCCTTCATAATTTGAATTTTTTTGAAAGAAAAAATTTGCTGTTTCAAAATTTGTGTATATTTTTTCTGACATTTTCTGAACCGATATTGTACCAATTGATCAAATTTTATTTTTTGCCACGTGGATTTGAAAAATTTTCTTCTAGAGAAACTTTACATCCCGTCGAACGAAATTTGAAAAATCCCAGCCAAAATTCATAGAACTTTTGAAACAGTGAATTTTTAAAAATTCAAAAACTTGTTAGAAGTCCCAAAATTTAGTAATTTATAATTCAGAGAAACAAAAAAAATTGATAAATCTCAAGACATTATTCCCAATTATCGGGTTAATTAGTACTAATTAATTAATTAATTAACAGCCAAAAATTGTATCTCGAAAATCCTTTTTTTAACATTGATATTGCTCAAAATAGGAGGATCTGAAAAATTTGGAATTTTTTTCCAGATAAAATTTGCTGTTTCAAAAAGTTTTTATATATTTTTTCGGAAATTTTGAAATATTCCACACCACCTATGTTTTGTTTCGAAAAATATCGCTGTTTCAAAGGGTCTAGAAATCCACGTGGTAAATAAAAACATAATCAACATGCACCAAATTTATGGAATTTTTTTTGAAACAGAGAAATTTTTGAATTGATAAATTTTCATATTCCAAAGAACATACATCAGTAACCTGATTTTCTCTGAAATTATTATAGAATTTTTGAAACAGCGGAAAAATTACATAGAATTTTTATGAACAAAATTCAAGAAACATTGATTTTTGGTATATTAATTGTAGCTCAAGTAACAGATAAAAAATATTTTTTTCAAAATACATGAAATTTTTGAAACAGTAAATAATTTACTTGAAATTATTTTATTAACATTTTTTCGATTTAGAAATAAAAAATAATCATAGATCAATTTTCCAAATTTTCTTTCAAATTCATACAATTTTTGAAACAGTGAATTTTTCTTCTCAAAAAAATCCATAGAAAAGTTCACACTTCGAAAATCCTTCATAATTCGATTTTTATTTGAAAGAAAAAAATTGCTGTTTCAAAATTTGTGTATATTTTTTCTAAGAGCTTCTGAAGCAATGGAACATTATGCATTTATTTTTTTGCCACGTGGACTTGAAAAATGTTCTTCTAGAGAAACTTCACGGTCAGTTTCGCCGAACGAAATTTGAAAAATCCCCGGCTAAATTATATTTGAAACAGTGAATTTTTTTTGATTAAAAATTTCAAAAACCATTAGAAGTTCCAAAATTTATTCATTTAAAATTCAGAGGAACAAAAAAATTGATAAATTTTAAGACATTATTTCTAATTATGTAGTTAATTAGTACTAATTAATTAATTAATTATCTAAAATCCTTATTAATCGTAAAAATAGCTAAACCAAAACTTTTTTTTGTTCGAAAAAAATTCACTGTTTCAAAATTTTTGTATATTTTTTTTTTTAATATCAGAAACTGATTCAGTTATTTCACCTAAAAAAATGTACTGTTTCATAATTTTTGTATAATTCATTTTTGAATTTAAAAATTTATTCCGGCTTATGAAATTCCACCTAAAATTCCCATATTTTTTGCAGATTAACCCATGATTCTCCATTTTTGGTTGAAACTTTGGATGAAAGATTGGCTGGAAGTTTGAGTGAAATGAATTTGGAAGGATTATTGGATAATAGTTTATCGATTATTATGGGAGATCATGGAAATCGAATTGGAACTATACAATAGTTAGTTTTGCGGGGGGTTTTTTGGGATTTTTTTGATGCGGATAATTTTCCCGGATTGAAAAATTTCTCTGAATGTTTTTTTAGTTGAATGTTTTTTGAAACAGTGCATTTTTTCTTCTCTGAATCTGGAATTTTCTCTCAAATTTTTTTTTCTGTCCCGAAAAATTCATCATTTTGAACAAGAATAATTCACTGTTTCAAAATTTTCAAAAATAAAATGCAATTTTCTGGAAAATTTGATAGACCATGTCGTTATTTATCCAATGAAATAAAAATTTGCTGTTTCAAAAAACCTAGATTTTTGCAAATTTTCAAAACCTCTAATACCAATCTAATACTTTTTTTACTAGAAAAATTCACTGTTTCAAGAAAAGTTTCAATTTTTGAGTTTGTTCGAATTTTTGATTGGAAAGTTTTCTAAATTATTATCAAAAAATGTCACAAACATTTTATGAACATAATTTTTGAGTTTACAGTCATCCTCTCGTAAAATTCGTTTTTTTAACCATAATTCGCTGTTTCAAAATTTTTACATTACTTCTGGAAACTTAAGTGAACTTGATTTGTGACCATTAATTCCGAATTTTTATCACAATTTCTGTTCTGAAAAAATTCATTTCTTTGTTTGTTCCTTCTCCTCATAAAATTGAGAATGAAATTCTAGAAAATTCACTGTTTCAAAACTTATTTAAATTTAGCTCATAAAATGGTTTTTTGATTGGTTTATGAAAATACCTAGAAAAAATCACTGTTTCAAGAAATTTTTAATTTTTTGTTGAAAATTTGATAAAATTGTTTTATTTAAGTTCCAGTGTGTCAAAAAAAATTCACTGTTTCAAGATTTTCAGAAATAAAATTTAATTTTCTGAAAAATTTAATAGTTTTTTGTTTTACTCGCTTATCAAATGAAATAAAAATTTGCTGTTTCAAAAAATCTAGATTCTTCCAAAAAGTCAGAATTTGTTTGATAATTTCCTCCAAAGTGGTGAATGATTGAATTTTCTTTTGAGAAAAATCACTGTTTCAAGAAACAATTGATTTTTTTAATTTTTGATTTCAAAATTGTGTTCCCTTGAAAAAAGTTCTGAATTATACTTTTAAAAATGTCAAAAATATTTTAAAGTAAAGATTTTGATTCTTCTTATCATCATTAAATTGAGAAAAAAATTCTAGAAAAGTTCACTGTTTCCAGAAATTTCCAATCTTTGTTAAAAAATTTGAGTAACATTATTTCATTCAAGTTATGTATTTCCGAAAACGCACAGTTTCAAAATAATTCACTGTTTCAAAAGTGATTCATTTTCTACTCGTAAAGTCGTTTGATAACACTCCCATGAAACTGATGTGAGAATGAATTTCTAGAAAAATTCACTGTTTCAAAACTTTTTTAAATGTTGCTCATAAAATGGTTTTTTGATTTATTTTTCAAAATATCATCAACTGATCTAGAAATTTCAAGAGAGTTTTTCAAAAATTAAAATCAAAATTTTTTGTTGAAAATTTGAGAAAAATTGTTTCATTCAAGTAATGTATTCCCGGTGATGCACAGTTTCAAAATAATTCACTGTTTCAAGATTTTTAGAAATAAAATTTAATTTTCTGAAAAATTTAATAGTTTTTTTTGTTTTAGTCGCTTATCAAATGAAATAAAAATTTTCTGTTTCAAAAAATATGGATTTTTCCAAAATGTCAGAATTTTCATCTAATTTCTCCAACTTTTTTTATTCAAAAAAAATTCACTGTTTCAAAAATTATCCAAATCTTCTGAAATTTAGAGGAATTTTGATGAATAGCTTCTCTAACACTTTCACTGTTTCAAAAATACCTAATTTCTCAATTTTCTGCAGTAATTTGATTATCCGTTGTCTGGAAAATGTCACTGTTTCATTTCACAAAAAATTAGTTAATTAAGTCTTCATTAATCAAAAGTTGGACAAAACAAAAAGCAAAAAATCATCAAACATTTTCATTCGAATTATTAATCACATTTGATATGATTAAGTGCATATTCTATATCAAACCATATATCATTCCATTTCTCAATCATTTTATTAATTGTCACTCGATTCAGCGAACCTTTTTCCCCTCTCAAAACTTCAGCAAATTCACATTTATAAATCTTTCGAATTTCTGGAATTCGCTCATCAAAAAACTTCACAGCTGCCCATACATTTTTCTCAAATAAAAACCCGCTATCCAAACTTCTATCCTTGTTTTTTGGCTCCTTCAACTCATAATATTCCTCGATTTTCTTCGCATTTTTGAGCTGCTCTTCGCTCGGCTTTTTCCTTGAATATTTCGTCCATGGTCCCAATTTTTTGAATCCCAAAGCTTTTCGCATTTCGGAAAGTCCGATTGTTTCTTGTGCCATTGGTATCAAGCGATGGAGAAACATCGTGGCGATGATATCTTTCGAAACATCTCCGTTCATTAATTCTTTTTCTCTTGTTGTTAGACAAATTGATTTGATTGTGGAAAGCTCATTTTCAATGGAAAAGTTTGAGCAAAACTCAGTGTTTGCTAGAAGAAAAATATTGAGTTGACTTTGAGCAGAAAGCTCGGGACCTAGGCCTGGCCGCTGAAGCGGAAAACAGTGCCGCGTACGCGGAAGCTTGCGGTACACACTCGCGCAAAGCGCTTGGGACTTTGGCTTGAGCTTAACCTGGCTGCTGAGGCGGAAGCCACGCGGAAATCCACGTGGCGTGCTTCGCAAGCCCTGTTCAAATAGCTTATTTTTTTATTACTTAGGCTCGGGACATAGGCCTGGCCGCTGAAGCGGAAGATAGTACCGCTCAGCGGAAGCTTTTGGTTCACACTCGCGCAGAGCGCTCGGGACTCAGGCTCGGGACTTAGGCATGGCCGCTAAAGCGGAAGACAGTGCCGCTTCGCGGAAGCTTGCGGTTAACACTCGCGCAGAGCGCTCGGAACCTGCGCGGAAGTCACGCGGAAATCCACGTGGCGTGCTCCGCAAACCCTGTTCAAATAGTTTATTTTTGATACTAACCTGCATTCAAATACGCTGCAAACAGAAAAAATATAACTAGAATTTCCTTCATTTTTTTTTAGAAATGATACGATTTGAGAAAAAGGAATATCGTATAGTAGTTATGATAAGTTGCAATAAAGTGATATGAATAAATGAAGATAATAATTTGGGAGGTCAATTTGATTGACCAAGGATAAACTTTTGTTTTTCTCCCGAAAAAAATTTCACTGTTTCAAAATTTTTTTGTAATTTTTTGAAATTTTGAGGAATTTGATAATTGACCTCCTCTTTTTCATTTGAAAAAATTCACTGTTTCAAAATTTTTTTGTAATTTTTTGAAATTTTGAGGAATTTGATAATTGACCTCCTCTGTTTCATTTGAAAAAATTCACTGTTTCAAAATTTTTTTGTAATTTTTTGAAATTTTGAGGAATTTGATAATTGACCTCCTCTGTTTCATTTGAAAAAATTCACTGTTTCAAAATTTTTTTGTAATTTTTTGAAATTTTGAGGAATTTGATAATTGACCTCCTCTTTTTCATTTGAAAAAATTCACTGTTTCAAAATTTTTTTGTAATTTTTTGAAATTTTGAGGAATTTGATAATTGACCTCCTTTTTTTCATTTGAAAAAATTCACTGTTTCAACTAAAATTTGAAAATTTTCAAGATTTTGAATAACTTGATCAGCTGACCATTGCAGTTAGAAATATTTTTGTTTCAGATTTTGACTAGGTATAGATCAACATTTTAACTCAATTTTACATCAGAAATCTTCACTGTTTCAAAAATTTTCTGTAATTTTTTGAAATTTTTAGGAATTTGATAAAACTTGCTTTCATACTTGTCAGAAAAATTATATTTTTTTTTTTGAAAAAATTCACTGTTTCAAAAATTATAATAATTTTCATGAAATTTGTGGAATTTTGATGAATTACTGTTTTCAATTTTAAAAAATTCACTGTTTCAAAATTGTTTTGTAATTTTTTAAATATTGAAGAATTTGAACTCAAATTTGCATAAAAAATCTTCACTGTTTCAAAAATTTTCTGTAATTTTTTGAAATTTTGTGGAATTTGATAAAAATTGCTTTCACATCTGTTAGAAAAATTTGATTTTTTATTTGAAAAAATTCACTGTTTCAAAAGTTATACGAATTTTTTCGAATTTTGAGGAATTTTGTTTAAGGGTCGCCTCTCTTCACTCATAAAATTTTCACTGTTTCAAAGAACAATAAAAGTTTTGATTTTCTGAACTTCAATCGGTTAATTTTGATTATTAGAATTAATTTTACTGTTTCAAAAATATTCCAATTTTTTTGAATTTTTAATTATCCTCGATATTTGTGCATAAATTAATTCTTTATTATCAATACCAAAACAAAAACGATTTAAACATTGTTATTCAAATTTTCCACAAATTCACTGTTTCAAATATTTTTCTAATTTTTCTCAATTTTGAGGAAGTTCGATGATTTTGGTCTTTTTCGTTTGAAGAAAAATCTACTTTTTCAAAAATACTGGAAATAATTTGGAATTGAAAAAAACGTTGATTTCTCAGAATTTCATCAATAATTGAGCCTCCAAAAATTCACAAATGAAAAATTTCTGAAAATTTTAAAATTAAAAAAAGTTTAACTAAAAAATTCACTGTTTCAAAAAATACCAAAATTTTAAAAATTGTGAGGAATTTGATAGATCACAGCCTTTTTTGTTGGGAAAAAATCACTGTTTCAAAAATTATTCAGATTTTCTGGAATTTTTGAGGAATTTTGATATGTTGGTTCTAAAAATTTCCCGAAAAAATCTCACTGTTTCAAGGAAAATGTAACATTTTGAATTTTCTGAGCAATTTTGATCGGAAGATCTATCTGATAAAAAATATCATTAAACGTTTTCAGAATCAAAGTTTCATGAATAAAATCAAATTTTCCCCCCAAAAATTCTCAAATTTCTTACAGCTCCTATACAGGTCGAATCGAAGAACGTATGCCATTAATCAGGGCTGTGAAAAGGGCCTCGATTTTTTGCGGCCGGCCGGCCGGCCTTGAAAAATAGGAGGCCTCAGGCCTTCGAGGCTTTTAAGCCTTTCAAATATAAAGGCTCGAAGCCGTTCAGGCTTGAAGCCTCAAGGATGACAATTCTCAGAAATTAGTTTTATTGAATTTGTAACTTTCTCTGAATGAAACTTCGATCTTGGTGTGATGGTGGGATAGTCTGGGTGTAGTATTGGCGCCATTTATGCAATTTGCCGTTGGTGAAATTTGTGCAATTGGCGTGATTGGTGCAATCGGCGCCATTGGTGAAAATGCACCATTGGTGCAAACTTCACCATTGGCGCCAATTGCACCAATGGTGCAATTTTCACCAATGGGGAACTGGCGGAATTGATGTGATTGATTTTATTGGTGAAACTGGCGCCAATTGTGGTGTAATTTGTTTGGAGCCATCCACCAATATCACACCAATACCACACCAATGTCTTTTCACCAATCCAATCATCACACAAACACTGTCCCACCAACAGAATTGCATAAATTCATCCCACCATTCAAGTCACACCAGAATCGAGGAAAATGAGGAATTTACTATGCAGGCCGGCGGCCGGCCTTTTTTCAATTTATTTTTTTTCTCCGGCCGGCCGGCCGGCCTCTCCAAATTTCTCGATGCGGCCTTGCGGCCGAACAAGGCCTTTTTCACAGCCCTGCCATTAATGGCAATTCGATTACCAACAAAATTTTTTTTTTTCAGAAAAACCTGGAAATCGTCAAAAAATGGTTTTCGGATCAAAAATTGGATAAATGCATTGAAATCGATTCGCTGAAAATTCTGGAACCCGAAAAAATTCGGAAAATGAGTTTGAATAAATTGAGTCGAGAAGGTTTGAGAAGTAAGAAAAATGTGACACTTTTGGAGATTACGCGGAAAAAACCCGAGAAAAATGATGTGAGTTTGAAGGTTACGGTATTTTTGCCACGTGGCATTTTTTTTAGCAAGACAACTTTAAAGGAGAGATATCATTTTTGAAAATTGTTAGATTTTATCATAGAAATTTTGAAACAGTGGATTTTTTTCAGTTCATAAATTTCGAATTCGACATTTCTGCTCAATTTTTGCTCTCCGAATCCCATCAAATTTCCCTTCGAATTCGAACCGAAAAATTTGTGAAGAGCAAAGACTACAGTCTAGTTTATGAGCCGCAAATCATCGAGAATCCACTAGAAAATGCACAGTGCCAAAAACAATTATCGATTTTTGAAATTTGCTCATGTTTATCACTTTATTGATTGAATTGATTGATTTGCAGGTTGTTAGGTTTGACGGGTTGAAAACATTTTTGTATTTTGGAAATCAATAAATTATTCGATTTTTGAATTTTTTTCGTTTTCGTGGAAAGCGAGAGAAAGCGAGAGATTGAGAATTAGCGTGTGCATGCAGAAGAGACGCCAGACGAAAAAGGGATAGAAACAGGCTCCGCCTACTTTTTTTCTATTTTTTTGAGTTAAAAATCCAGAATTCAATAATTTTTGAAACAGTCAAAATTGTTTAGTTTTAAGACTTTAAAAAAATTCAAGAAACTCTTTAATTTGCAGACCACGGTCAAACTAGACTATAGTTTCCCCGCTCCCCTTATTATGCATGTAAAAAAGAGGAGAACTGTTTATCTCTCTCTCTCTAACCCTCTCTCATTTTCCCACACTCTCTCATCTACCCTGCAAAAAAAAAAAGAAAACACGCTAAAGAACGCGCACGCGGAGTATCGTTGTTTCGCTTTTATTTTTTTTTTGCACGACATTTTTATTTTTTGCTTTTTTTTCTGGTTTTTGAGTGGTTTTTTTCCAGCGCAGAAAAATTTTAAGAAAAATTATGTAGAAGTTTCAGGCTTTCGAACAAGAACATGGTTCGTTTAGACAGGAGGACATTCAAAGAGATCAACAACTTCTCACGGAACAGGCGGCCAGTCAAGTTAGTTTATTCTGAGTTTGGAGAGGGGGGGGGAGCAAAACTATGTTGGGGTGCCCAAAAATCCCAATGCCACGTGGCAACTTCAATATTTAATAATTTGAATTGTGAACTTTGATTCCAAGGTGATCAAGCTACATATTTTTTCCCCGCTAAAAATCTTGTTTGCACAGCTTTTTTTCTGAAAGCGAATTGGATACATTACAAATGTAGATGAGCCAAAAATGAGAACACCTGGCTCATTTTTGAAGCTTGGAAAATTTGTTGGCGCGTATTTTGTGGGTGAGAGGGTTGTTGACGTAAATTTTGTAGATTGGGAGATTGCTGGCGCTTTTCTAGAAGCTTAGATGCTTGCTGACGCTTTTCTAGTAGCCTAGGATCTTGCTGACGCTTTTCTGGTAGCCTGGAATCTTGCTGACGTAAATTTTGTAGCTCAGAACTTTGCTGACGTGTTTCTAGTAGCTCAAATCCTTGCTGACACTTTTCTAGTAACCGGAATTATTGCTGACGCGAATTTTGTAGGTTGGGAGATTGCTGACGTGTTTTCTGCAAACTGGAGCATTTCTTGTAGCTCTAGAGTTTGACTGACGCTTTTCTGGTAGCCTAGGATGTTGCTGACGTGTTTCTAGAAGCTCAGATGGTTGCTGACGCATTTCTAGTAGCCTAGGATTTTGCTGACGTGTTTCTAGTAGCTCAAAAATTTTTTTCTTCCAAAATAAAAACATCGCGACCAATTTTTTAATAGCTCCAAAAATTTTACGATTTTTCATCTTTTTTTCTCCAAGTTGCTCTGGAAACATTTTTTTCTGTATTTTCGCGCCAAAATTTCGAAAAACAAAAAATTTTCCAACATATTTACTCAGCTTTTCTGTTTCGAATGAGAAAATTCATGTTTTGTACTAAAATTTGTAATTTTTTTCCAAATTTTAAATTTTTTTCAAAAAAAAAATCAATTTGCAGGCCACAAAAAAATGCATCGGGGCCGAAATTGGACCATTATTTTGGTGAGAAAATTTTTTTTCAAAAAAAAAATTAAAAAAAAATTTTTTTTTGCAGATTTTATCCACATTTTTCTCAATGTTTTTGATCATATCAAATTTGAAAAATTCGCGTCAAAATTTGAGGAATTTTCAAGAAAATTCTGAAAATCAGGAAATTTTTGAAAATTCTCAGAATTTTTCCGAATTTCTGCATCATCCTTTTGATAATTTGTGCAAATTTCCTCTACATTCAATTTATGCAAAAGATATTATGGTGAGTTTTTCAGGGGAGGTTTACTGACGCGTTTTCGGTAGCTACAAGAAATGCGTCAGCAAATTATTTTGCTGACGTGTTCATCAGAGCTTTGAAGTTAAGCTACAAGAATTACGCCAGCAAAACTGTTTGCTGACGCATTTTTCGTAGCTTGAAAGTTAATATAGAAGATCTACAAAATACACGCCAGCAAAATAACTTACTGACGCTTTTTTTGTAGCTACAAAATTCGCGCCAGCAATTCAAACTACAAACTCACAGGTCAAACTAGACTATAGTCCCCCCCCCCCTTTTATTATGCATGCAAAAAAGAGTATATTTCTCTCTTTCTCTAACACTCTCTCATTTTTCCTCACTCTCTCTTTTTTCTACAAAAAACGCGCCAGTGGGCATTTTGCTGACGCATTTTTTGTAGATCTCGACCAATCTGAACAAATAATGTATTTTTGGAAAAAAGCTGTGCAAATTGTTCGCCCAAAAGATCGAGAAATGCGTCAATGGGGTTTTGCTGGCGCGTATTTTGTAGCCCATGAATTTTGAGCCCGAAAAAACCGTTCCTGACTGAAATTTCACGCTGAATTCCATTTTCAGACTCCCGATCATTCTGGAACCCGTCTACGAACTCTAAAATGCAATTTAACCAACGGAAATGATATGGCAACAATGGATTCACAAGGATATTTATACATTTATGCGAGATATTCACAATATCCAATTTTAAACAAAACTTTCGAATGTGATATTATTTTCATTGAAGGCGGATTGCGAAATGAAACTGCAAAACTGGGAAAAAAAGATATACAAGAGGTAGAAGTTGTGAAAAATGTGATGCAAAATATGCGCCTTTGGGTGAATGCTGACGCGTTTTTCGTGCGATGTTTTGATCGTGATGAGGAAAAAGGCAATTTATCGGATGTTTTGCTTTGGGAAAAACCTTTTGCTGGTTTGGAAGATCGGAGTTTGCCTAAATATCAGATTTATACCCGGCCTGATCTTGAATCAATCAATAATTATGGGAATCCACGTCATAAGCCAAGAAAGTCGGAAAAATCAATAAATCGATATTCAATCGATATTTTGGGATTCGATTCGACGTCGCGCACTCAATTTATGCGACATTTACCAAGAACAACTGAAATTATGCTGAAATTGGGATATCATTTTTTGTATGGATATAATAAGGTGAGTCGCGGGCGGTTTTTATTGGCAATTTTCGCTGGGAGAAATGTGGGCGCGCGTAGTGTAGGGGTAGCGCGCTGAAATAGTAAACGCAGCTGTTTTGCTCGCTCAGGTTCGGTCCACGGTGCGCGCGAACTTTTTTTTGTTTTTTATCGGGAGAATCCGAGCTGTTTTCTATTGAAGAAATGTGATTTTGGAATTAACCACGTGGAACTAAATTTCGAACCGAAAAATCTCCGAAATTCTGGAATAAGAAAGCCCCTTTGGATCGAAAATTTGGGAATTTTCAGAAAATGTTCAGGAATTTTTGAAACAGTGATTTTTTTTTCTGAAAAAACTTTGACATTTTTTTTCAAATTTCACTCTGATTACCAAATTACTCTGAAATTTCAGAAAAATTACAGATTTCAATAAAATTTAGCTTGACAGAGTAGGCTTTAAACTGAAAATTCAAAACCACCAAAAAATATGTGCATTTTTTGAAACAGTGAATTTTTTTTCCAATTTTTGCCACGTGGATTCTCCTAAGCTACAAAATTCGCGTCAGCTAAACCCCTGCTGACGCGTTTTTTGTAGATCAACTCCAAATTTAATTCATTTTTTCTTTATTTGTTCTTCCCACTCGATCTTTTGAAATTGCCAAAATTTACACAGCTTTGTTAATCAAATTTTTGCAAAAATTAACACATTTTTTCGGGGGTTGATCTGTGATGCTACAAAAAATGCGCCAAAGGGGAGATTGACGCGAATTTTGAAGGAAAAAACGTGACCCAGAAAAAAAATCCACAAACTGAAAAATTTCGAAAAAAAATCATTTCAAAATTTTTGAGTTTGAAGAAATGACAGGTTAGTCGGAATTCTGAAAATTCTGAAATTAATTTTAGGAAAACTTTTTTTCTCCAAAAATTCCCAAAATTAATTTCAGGTGGCCGACAATTCAATGGTAAATTTGGGACCAATATTAATTGGCGATATGCCAGAAGCCATTTCAAAACCGAAATTCGATGAATCTGGAGATATTAATTTGGATTGGATTCTACCACAAAATGAATCGATGGATCCGACAATGTTGAAATTCTTGTGGAAAACTATGAAAGAAAGTGAGTGAGGAGGATTTTTAAAAGAAAATCTCGACAGATTAGAATTTAGAGTAGTCCCACAACTATAAAATATTTTTGAAACAGTGAATTTTTTTTTGAAGAAAAATTTTGGGTTTTTGGAAAAAAAAATTCGGAAGAATTATCAAAATTTTAGTTAATTCTCAAAAATTCTAATATTCTTGAAACAGTGAAAAATTGTCAATTGCAAAACTGAAATTTTGTGATTTTTTTTTTTGATAATCTTAAAAATAACACTACGAATAAAGTTCAAAATCAACCTAGACTTTTGAGATAATTTTGAAACAGTGAATTTTTTGTGAATGATTTTTTGAGCCTGAATTTTTGAAAATGTTCTCAAAAGTTGTAGAAACTTTCTCAGAGATTCGCTGGCCAGCTCGCCACTAGATCGCTGCGGCCACCTGGAAACCGCATGGCCGCCAGGTCGCCTTGAGTTTTCCGGCCACGTGGCCTGTGTGTTTGAAATCCTGGAAAGCTGGCAAGACGGTGGTTTGTACTCAAAACACTGCATTTTCTACTGTTTTTTCACTTCCTAAGGTTTCAAGTGCTGCGAAAAAACAGAAAATGAGCCAAATTTATCGAAAATGCCTCAATTCACAAGTTTTTCAGACATTTTTATGAAAATTCATTTTGACGCGGCGAAGTGGCCACCACATGGTAGCCATGTGGGCTTGACCTAGCCAGAGCCTGGCCACCTTGCCAGCGAAAAAAAACCGGGCGACATGGTTTCCATGTGGTTCCCAGGTCAGCCAGCCTCCCCACCTGGTGGCGAGCTGGCCAGTGAATCTCTGAGTTGAAACAGTGAAAAATATAGAAAAATTAGAATTTTCACATAATTTTGGACCACAAGAAGGATTCATATTAGAATTCCAAAACACCACAAAAACTATGAGAAAATTTTGAAACAGTGAATTTTTTTCTGTAGAAAAATTCTGGGTTTTTCTAAAAAAAAATAGAATTTTTATAGCAAAGGGGTCAATTGAAGCTGTATTAGATTTTGAAATATTTTCAGAAATTCAAGTAACTTTGAAACAGTGAAAAATTTCATTATTTTTGAAATGAAAAAAAAAAAGATAATTTTCTGCGACTACGTACTCTGAAACGGAATTTCTGAAGTCCCCCAAAATTATCAAAAATTTTTGAAACAATGAAAAATTATCAGAAAATAATTTTAATTGCAAATCTGAAATTCCGTGATTTTTTTTTTGAAAATCCTAAAGTATACATACGATTTCAATTAAATTCAAAACCAACCTAGATTTTTGAGATAATTTTGAAACAGTGAAAAATCTAGAAAATTTAGAATTTTCACATAATTTTGGACCACAAGAAGGATTCATATTAGAATTCCAAAACACCACAAAAACTATGAGAAAATCTTGAAACAGTGATTTTTTTCTGAATAAAAATTCTGGGTTTTTCTAAAAAAAAAATAGAATTTTTATAGCCGAAGAATTATTGGAAGGTTAATTAGGTTTTGAATTATGTTCAGAAATTCAAGTTACTTTGAAACAGTGAAAAATGTTTTGATTTTTAAAATGAGAAAAAAAATGATAATTTTCTGCGACTTCGAACGCTCTAAAAACTGATTTCTGAAGTCCCCTAAAATTATCAAATATTTTTGAAACAGTGAAAAATTATCAGAAAATAATCTTAATTTAAAATCTGAATTTCCGAGAGAGCACAACTAAAAAATCCACAAAAAGTCCTACAAATCTTGAAACAGTGAAATTATGTAATTCAGATTTTTTCGAATATTTTGGATACCCATTTTTGATTTTAGTCTCATTGTCTGTTACAGTATGCTAATTTTTTGTAAGATAAAAATATTTCAGTTAAATTTTTTCTTTATGTACCGGAAATGTTGATGAATATTGGAACAGTGAGAAATTGACTTTCAATATAATTTTGAAACAGTCAATTTTTGTGATTTTTAGTTGGAGAGGTCAGGAGGAAGGTTGCAGCAGAGTTCAGAAAATCAACAAAAACTATCAAAAATTTTTGAAACAGTGAAAAATTATCAGACAATAATTTTAATTTTAAATCTGAAATTCCGTGATTTTTTTGATAGTTCTACAAAGAAAGAATTGAATAAAACTCTAAAACAGCCCGGAATTTTAAAATAATTTTGAAACAGTGAAGTTTTTCTGAATGATTTTTTGAGTCTCAAAATTGTTAGTAAATTATGTTTTTGTGAATTTCACTCCGAAAGTTACTGACTAAGTTATCGAATTTGAAAAATCCACAAACATTTCAAGAACTTTTGAAACAGTGAAAAAAAATAGAAAAATTCAAAATATTTTTTGGAAGTTCTCGGTCAGAAAACGGCGAGGTCGCTACCGATAGGGGCGGAGTCGCTACACGTTTTTTGTTCCCCGAAATGTGTAGCGACCTCGCCGTTTTCTGACCGAGTTAACATCAAATTCAAAATTCATGAAAAAAACTATGAAATAATTTTGAAACAGTGAATTTTTTTCTTCTGAAAAATTGGGATTTCGGTTGAAATTTATAGAAAAAATTATCCAATAATAGCAAAATTTCTTGAAACAGTGGAAATTTTTCAAGAATTTTTTCCATTTTTATTTTGAAATCGAAATTCAAAAAAATCCATAATTTTTCTGAAAATTTTGAAACAGTAACTTTTGCATAATGGAATAAATATTAAAAAATTCACAAAAATTATCAAAAATTCTTGAAACAGTGAAAAATTACCATAACTTCTTTAGGAATCTAAAATCGTTCTAAAATCTTTAAGGGACTTAGAGAATTCACCTTAAGAATATATGAAACCTTAGCCAAGCTCCTAAATCACCTGAAAATTGTCTCAAATACTGTAAAACCCCCTAAATAGCTTTAAAAAAGCCCCTAAAGCCTTAAGAAGATATAAAATAGTTTTAAGAACCTTGTAAACCTCCTAAGTTACCTCAAATTCACCTAAATTTTTTGCAGAATACGGTTGTGAAACACTATTCAACGATGATATTTCTCGTAGTCATTTGGGTCTCTTCAACTATCCAAATATCGAATTCAAACCGGGTTTCACTGAAAAACCAGCCGATCATTATTATCGCCAATATTATTTGGCATTCTACAATAAATGGAAATATTTACCGTGTAAAGATGGTGATCAAATTCAATGGGAATTTGTGCAAATTTGGAGAAGATTTGCACATTATTATAAGGATATTTGTCATTTTGGCTTCACTTTTATTTCGTCGTAGGTTTTTTGTAGGGAAATTTGGGTTATTTTGAGTCTAAATAAGCTTAGGCTTTGAAATTTTCCAAAATTGCATCAAACCCTCGAATTTTCATTCTATGAAATTTTCTATGAAATTTTGAAACGTAAAAAATTTGGCGTTTTTTTTTGAGAAAATAAAAAACTTTGAAATTTCTCATAGAATTATTGAAACAGTGAAAAAAAATATTTATTTAATTTGAGAAAAAAACCTTCAAACAAAACTCGAAATAATTTCCAAAATTTCTAGAAATTTTGAAACAGTGAAAAAAATTGAATTTTTTCAAATCATATTTTCATAGCTTTCCTGAAACAGCTGATTTTTTTAAATATAGAAGAACGATTCATTGAAACCTTGAATTTTTGTTAGAAAATTAGGAAATTTTTGAAACAGTGGAATAATTTTGTGGGATAAATTGAGCGTTGACATTAGTTTTTTCAATCATCCAGAAATTCATAGAAATTTTGAAACAGTGAAATTTTTTTCAATGAGGAGAAACTAAACGAAATTCGAATTTTATTCAGAAATTCTCATAGAAGTTTTGAAACAGTGATTTATTTCAACTTAAAATGTTCTTATTTTTCAACATAAACAGAAACCACATCAAAAACCTGATTTTCTCTAAAATTATCATAGAATTTTTGAAACAGTAGAAAAATTTCATAGAATAATTTTTGAACCAAAATTGAAGAAAAATTGATTTTTGTCATTATTTTTTGAGATAGAAGTTTCCACTGGAATGCATTTGAAAATTGCTTTGAAATATATGGAATTTTTGAAACAGTGAAATATTTCCAAGGTTGCATCAAATTATTATTTTTTTCTGTGAAATTTTCTTACAATTACCAATTTTGAAACAGTGAATTTTTTCAATTCAAAAATTGTTCATATTCCAAAACAAAGAGAATACTAATCAAAAATCTAATTTTCTCTGAAATTCTCGAAGAATTTTTGAAACAGTAAATAATTTCTATGAAATTATAATCTTATCTGTTGTGAAATAACAACCCAAAAGGAGTAACATCAATCTTTCAAATCCTCTAAAATTCATACAATTTTTGAAACAGTGAATTTTTTGTTCTCAAAAAAATCCATCGAAAAGTTTACACTTCGAAAATCCACAATTATTCGATTTTTATTTGAAAGAAAAAAATTGCTGTTTCAAAATTTTGGTATATTTTTTCTGACATTTTTGTGAATCGATGTGCTAATACCAAAATTATCAAAAGTTATATTTTTTGCCACGTGGATTTGAAAATTCTTTTTCAGAAAATCAGAATTCATGCAGTATTCTTTCTGTCCAACGAAATTTGAAAAATCCCAGCTAAAATTCATAGAATATTTGAAACAGTGAATTTTTAAAAATCGAAAACTTATTAGAAGTCCCAAAATTTATTCATTTGAAGTTCAGAGGAACAAAAAATTGATAAATTTTAAGACATTATTTCTAATTATCAGGTTAATTAGTACTAATTAATTAATTAATTAATACCCAAAAATAGTATCTCGAAAATCCCCTGCAAAAATCGGTTCAAACATTGGATAAATTGCAGTTGTAGCTGATGCTATACTTTCATAACTAATGAAAATTAATTGAGAAAATTAACATGATATATTTATATTTACCACAGCAGCTGGGAGGTTTAAGAACGGTTGATTAACGGTTTATAAACCAACTTTAATGAAATTTAATCAACGAAGTACCAATATTTGATCCACGGTTGATCCCCGTTGATTAACCGTGGCTTAAATCATGAAAATTTTCAAAATTTTTGAAAACACTTAACACCCAAAAAAGTTGCCGGGAACCTATTTTCATCGATTTGGGTAATTTTCAAAATTTAAAAATTGGTTAATCCGCGGTTCATTAACGGTGGGTTAAGCGTTGGTACTCCGTTGATTAAAAGCAGTTTTTATCAACCGTTAATCAACCGTTTTTATACTTCCCAGCTGCAGTGACCCAAATAGCTATTAGTGCTATAAAGGATAAGACAAATTAGGGTGAAATTTGTGAGTTGTGCGCCGATTAGACCTAAATATTGGAAATATTGGTAGTAGATCATGTGAAAGTGAGATTTGGAAAAAAAATAATGAAAATGGAACTTGAAAAATATTATATCCCAGAAGAATTTGATTGCACTTATTAGATGTTATAAACAACTACGATTTTCTGAAAATTATTATTATTATTTTATAATCAATATGCTCACAAAATTCATGGAATTTTTGAAACAGTAGAAAAATTTCATAGAATTTTTATGAACAAAATTCAGGAAATATTGATTTTTGTCAAATAATTTCCTTGAAATTTTTCATCAACATTTTTTCGATGTAAATAAAGTAGGCAAATAAACAGTGATCAATTTTTTTAATTTCTTTGAAAATTCATGAAATTTTTGAAACAGTGAATTTTTCTTCTCAAAAAAATATTCATTGAAAAATTCAAACTTCGAAAAGCCTTTATAATTCGAATTTTATTTGGAAGAAAAAATTTGTTGTTTCAAAGTTTGTGTATATTTTTTCTGACATTTTTGTGAACCGATATTGTACCAATTGATCAAATTTTTTTTTTGCCACGTGGATTTGAAAAATGTTCTTCTTAAGAAACTTTACTCAATCATCAAGCTGTATAACGAAATTTGAAAATTTCCAGCTAAAATTCATGGAATTTTTGAAACAGTGAATTTTTTTAGTTCAAAAACTTATTAGAAGTCCCAAAATTTATTCATTTAAAGTTCAGAGAAACAAAAAAATTGATAAATTTTAAGACATTATTTCTAATTATGTAGTTAATTAGTACTAATTAATTAATTAATTATCTAAAATCCTTATTAATCGTAAAAATAGCTAAACCAAAACTTTTTTTTGTTCGAAAAAAGTTCACTGTTTCAAAATTTTTGTATATTTTTTTCATAATAGGATTCGATGATCTAACGGTGATATGAGGATCTGACCGAAATCATGTGAAAAAAATTCACTGTTTCAAAATTTTTATTAATAAAATTTCAAAATTTTGGAAACTGATTCATTAATTTGACGTTTTGTTCTAAAAATAATTTCACTGTTTCAAAATTTTTGTATAAATAATTCATTTTTGAATTTAAAAATTCATTCCGGCTGATGAAATTCCACCAAAAATTCCCATATTTTTTGCAGATTAACCCACGAATCTCCATTTGTTTTGGAAACTTTGGATGAAAGATTGGCTGGAAGTTTGAGTGAAATGAATTTGGAAGGATTATTGGATAATAGTTTATCGATTATTATGGGAGATCATGGAAATCGAATTGGAACTATACAATAGTTAGTTTTGCGGGGGGTTTTTGGACCGAAATCAGGGATTTTTGGAATTTTTGTGCAGTGCTTCAATAATCGAAAAATTATCTGATTTTTTAGTTAAACGTTTTTTGAAACAGTACATTTTTGTCTTTTTTTCTAGAAAATTTGAATTTTTCTGTTCAAAAAAAAATTCACTGTTTCAAAAAATATTAATATTTTTCTGATTTTCTCGTCATATAATTATAATTCATTTTCTAAATTACATAATTTTGAACAAGAAAAGTCCACTGTTTCAAGATTTTCAGAAATAAAATTTAATTTTCTGGAAAATTTGATAGGTTTTCGTTCTACTCGTTATTCCAATGAAATAAAAATTCACTGTTTCAAAAAATCTAGATTTTTGCAAATTTTCAAAACCTCCAATACCAAAATGGGATTTTTATTAGAAAAATTCACTGTTTCAAGAAAAAATTCAATTTTTCAGTTTGTTTGAATTTTTGATATTCTCTTGTGAAAATGTCATAAACATTTTATGAACATAATTTTTGAGTTTATAGTCATCCCCTCTTAAAATCCTTTTTTTTAAAACAATTATTCGCCGTTTCAAAATTTTTACATAATTTCTGGAAACTTGAGTGAACTTGATATGTGACCATTAGCTCCAAATTTTTATCAAGTTTTTTGAAACTATACATTTTTTTTCTTTAATGAATCAATAACTTCCTTATATATTTTCAGATTTCTAGAAAAATCAAATTTCTGTCCTGAAAAATTCACTGTTTCAAAAAATTTCCAACTGAAAAGATCACAGAGGAATTTTTCAATGACTTCTCGTTACGTTTGTAATAAAAATCACTGTTTCAAAATATTGATTAATTTTTATGTGAATTCTAGAGCTGTTCATTTACTTTGAAAAATTCACTGTTTCAAAAATTATTCATATTTTTCTGATTTTCTCTTCATATAGTTATAATTCATTTTCTAAATTTCATAATTTTGAACAAGAAAAATTCACTGTTTCAAAATTTTCAAAAATAAAATGCAATTTTCTGAAAAATTTGATAGTCCATGTCGTTATTTTTCCAATGAAATAAAAATTTGCTGTTTCATAAAATATGTGAATTGTTCAGTTTATTTTCGAATTTTTGATTAAAGTTGTTTTTTTTTCGAAATAACTGTCAAAAATATTTGATGAGCATTTTTCTCAAATTCAAAAATTCATTTTTTCCTCGTAAAGTGAGGATTTTGATCACACGTGAATGCGTTTCAAAACTTATTTAAATTTTGCTCATAAAATGGTTTTTTGATTTGCTTTTCAAAATAAATAGCATCAAATTGATCTAAAAAAAAAAATTCATCGTTACAAAATTTTCAAAAATAAAATTCAATTTTCTGAAAAATTTGATGGTCTGTTGTTCTTATTCCAATAAAATAAAAATTAACTGTTTCAAAAAAATCTATATTTTTCGAATTTTTCGTGAATTTTTCAATAGCTTTCTTCTTCGCGAATGAGAAAAATTCACTGTTTCAAGAAATAATTGAATTTTTCAATTTTTCGGAATTTTTGATCGTAGTTTGACCTATGCTGTAAAAAAAAATACTTCTAAACTATTTTCTAAAAATGTCACTTTACAGTCATCTTCCCATAAAATCCTTTTTTCCAAAAAAAAATCACTGTTTCCAAATTTATATAAAATTTTTGAATAAATGAGATAACTTTATTCTGCAAATGATGATTTAGACCGAAATTTCACATTTTTTTCATTTCAAAAATTCACGGTTTCAAACAATTCTCAAAGATTTCTCATAATTTCATAATTTTGCTGAATTATCTTCTGTTCTACCAAATCTGATTCTGATTTTTCGTAAATTTTTTTACTGTTACAGAATTTTACAAAAATGATTGAAACTTCTGAAATTCCAATTTTTTAGGTTTTAAAAAATTCACTGTTTCAAAAATTATTCATTTTTTCCTCGTAAAGTGGAGATTTTGATTATATGTACTCACGTATTAGTTTCATAAAATTGAGAAAGAAATTTTAGAAAAATTCACTGTTTCAAGAAAGTTTTAATTTTTTGTTGAAAATTTGAGGAACATTGTTTCATTCAAGTTATGTAGTCCCGAAAATGCACAGTTTCAAAATAATTCACTGTTTCAATATTTTCAGAAATAAAATTTAATTTTCTGAAAAATTTGATGGTATGTCGTTCTATTCCTATGAAATAAAAATTTGTTGTTTCAAAAAATCTAGATTTTTCCAAAATGTCAGAATTTTTTTTGATCATCTAATTTCTCCAACTTTTTTATTCAAAAAAAATTCACTGTTTCAAAAATTACCCATAACTTCTGAAATTTAGAGGAATTTTGATGAATAGCTTCTCTAACACTTTCACTGTTTCAAAAAATACCTAATTTCTCGATTTTCTGCAGTAATTTGATGAACGATCACTCAGTTAATTAATTCTTCATTACCAAGTAGATCAAAACATTTTAATTCGAATTATTAATCACATTCGATATGATTAAGTGCATATTCTATATCAAATCATATATCATTCCATTTCTCAATCATTTTATCAATTGTCAATCGATTCAGCGAACCTATTTCCTCTTTCAAAATTCCAGAAAATTCACATTTATAAATCTTTCGAATTTCTGGAATTCGCTCATCAAAAAACTTCACAGCTGCCCACACATTTTTCTCAAATAAAAACCCGCTATCCAAACTTCTATCCTTGTTTTTTGGCTCCTTCAACTCATAATATTCCTCAATTTCCTTCGCATTTTTGAGCTGCTCTTCGCTCGACTTTTTCCTTGAATATTTCGTTCATGGCCCCAATTTTTTGAATCCCAAAGCTTTTCGCATTTCGGAAAGTCCGATGGTTTCTTGTGCCATTGGAATCAAGCGATGAAGAAACATTGTGGCGATGATATCTTTTGCAACATCTCCGTTCATTAATTCTTTTTCTCTGTGGAAAGCTCATTTTCCATGGAAAAGTTTGAGCAATGATCAGTATTTGCTGGAAGAAAAATATTGAGTGAACTTTGCGCAGAAATCTTGTTGGGACTTAGGCCTGGCCGCTAAAGCGGAAGACAGTGCCGCGTACGCGGAAGCTTGCGGTTTATACTCGCGCAGAGCGCAAAAAATTTATCTAAAAAATTCACTGTTTCAAAAAAAAATTTTGAGAAATTTTGCATGAATTTGATAAAGCAACTATATGTTTGTTTTAAAAAAATTAACTGTTCCAAAAATACTGGAAATAATTTGGAATTGAAAAAAACCTTAATTTCTGAAAATTTCAATACACAATTGAGCCTTCAAAAATTCGCAAATGAAAAATTTCTGAAAATTTAAAATTGAAAAAAGTTTCCCAAAAAAATCTCACTGCTTCAAAATTTTTAGAAAAATTTCTAGTAATAGTTTAACCTTATTACATCATTTATTCTTGGAAAAAAATAATTTACTGTTTCAAAAATTATCCAAATTTTCAAAATTGTGAGAAATTTTGATATGTTTGTTCTAATAAATTCCCGAAAAAATCTCACTGTTTCAAGGAAAATGTAAAATCTTGACTTTTCTGAGTTTTTCTTTGATAAAACGATAACCAATAGACGATGAAAATTCTAATAAAAAATATCATCCAAAGTTTTCAGAATCAAAATTTCATGAATAAAATTCCAAATTTTCCCCCAAAAATCCTCCATTTTCTTACAGCTCGTATACAGGTCGAATCGAAGAACGTATGCCATTAATGGCAATTCGATTACCAACAAATTTCGCCTCAAAATATCCCAAACAATATTCGAATTTTTTGGAAAATAAATTCAAATTGACTGCAAATTTTGATATTCATCAAACACTTCAAGATATTATTCATATGAATTTTGGAAATCGAAAAAAATATGTGGAAAATAATCAAAGAGGAATCAGTTTATTTGATGAAATTCCGAATTCAAGAAATTGTAAAGATGTTTTTGTTCCCGAAAATTTTTGTACTTGTTTGGAAGGTGTTGAAGTCAAGGATAATATGGATGAAGAAGTTAGGGTAAGTCTGGGGCTGAAAATTCGGGGTCAGCACGAAAAATGCGTTCCAATTTTTCCAGAAAAACCTGGAAATCGTCAAAAAATGGTTTTCGGATCAAAAATTGGATAAATGCATCGAAATCGATTCCATGGAAATTCTGGAACCCGAAAAAATGCGGAAAATGAGTTTGAATAAATTGAGTCGAGAAGGTTTGAGAAGTAAGAAAAATGTGACACTTTTGGAAATTACGCGGAAAAAACCCGAGAAAAATGATGTGAGTTTGGGAAGAGAGTGCCACGTGGCAGATGGATTTTAGGACCGAAAAATACAATTTTTTTTGAAATATTTGAAAATTAATGTTTATGGGAAGATTTTTGTATTCAAAAATAAATTTTGCAGATTTTTTTTGAAAAAAAAATTCACTGTTTCAAAATTTTCATTTCTAAAAACAGTGGATTTTTGGAAGTTGATAAGGTTCACAAGAATAAAAGTTTGCAACGTGGCCAAAAATAGTTCCAGTTGAAATTTTACAAATTTTTCATTTTCACGTTAGGTTTTGGTTATCAATATTGATTTTCTAAATTTTTTTGTGAAAAAAAGTTCACTGTTTCAAAATTTTCATTTGAAAAAGTTATGGTTTTTCGAATAATCAGTAAAGTTTTGGTTGAAGAAAAATTCACTGTTTCAAAATTTTGTTTAAAAAATTGCCGATTGTCAAAAATTGTTTGGTTGTATAGTAATTAATTAAAAAATCAAAATAAAAAATTATTTAGAAAATTCAATTTTTCTTCTGAAAAATTTCACTGTTTCAAAATTTTCATTTGAAAATTCAGGAATTTTTTAAATTTGGTTTTTTTTTTCATTCAAATTCAATGAAGAGGAATATAATTTGCCACGTGGCAAAAATTCAGGTTCAAAAATTTGATTTTTTCCTCAATTTTTTTGTGAAAAAAGTTCACTGTTTCAAAATTTTCATTTGTAAAAGTTATGGTTTTTCGAATTTATTAATAATCAGTAAAGTTTTGGTTGAAGAAAAATTCACTGTTTCAAAATTTTGATTAAAAAATTGCCGATTGTCCAAAAATTGTTATGTTGTATGAAATTAATCCTATGAATCTAAAAAAAAAATCAAAATTAAAAATTATTTAGAAACTTCAATTTTTCATCTGAAAAAAATTCACTGTTTCAAAATTTTGATGAAAAAATTTTCGAATTTTTGAAAGTCGCTTTCATTTTTTTTCAAGTCCTTTGAAAAATAATATAATTTTCACGTGGCAAAAATTCATATTCAAAAAATTGATTTTTTCCTCAATTTTTTTGTGAAAAAAATTCACTGTTTCAAAATTTTCATATGAAAAAATCACGAAAATTCAAAAACCGGTGGATTTTGTTTGATTGAATGAAAATCTCATGTCACGTGGCAAATCCATTTTTTTTGCAGTTCATAAATTTCGAATTCGACATTTCTGCTCATTTTTTGCTCCAATCCCAGCCTCTCACAAAACTTCGAATTCGAACCGAAAAATTTGTGAAGGACAAAGACTACAGTCTAGTTTATGAGCCGCAAATCATCGAGAATCAACTAGAAAATCCGAAGTGCCAAAAACAATTATCGATTTTTGAAATTTGCTCATGTTTATCACTTTATTGATTGCATTTTTCTTGTATTTTCTCGAATTTCGTGTAATTTTTTGTATTTTCTTGTATTTTCTCGAATTTCGTGTAATTTTTTGTATTTTTTCTGTGAAAATTTATTGATTTATTGATTATTGATTTTTCAAAAATAAAAAAATTACAAAAAAAATCGTTGTTGAGCTTTTTTGGGTGCCTAAAAATACTGAAAATTGAAAATTGAAAGTTCAAACTACAAACTACTTGGCGCCAAAAAGTACAGTAATCTCTATCTACAGTAGGAAAATCGAAAAGGGCAATAGCATTGAGATCATTGAGATTACTGTAGATGCCGAGTTACAGTAGTCGCCTTGGTTGCAGAAGAAGGATTCGCCTGGAAGAAAATATGGGAGTACGGTATTTTGTAGCTACAGTACCCCCCGGGTTACTGTACCCACCTTTAACCTTCTCATTTTGTGTCCAATACAATTTGGTCTCCAAAGTTCTGACTTTCATCGAAGCGTCCTCTTCACGTGTCGGAACACAGCCTTTTATGATCAAATTGTGGGCTGCAATTTTTTTTTTGAAAAGTTTTTGCAGGAGAAAAATATTCCACGTGGCAAAAATTTTTTTTATAAAAATCAAGTTGATTGGTTTGAAAACACGTGAGAAATAAAAAAAAGAAATTTTGAAACAGTGATTTTTTTTGTGCGAAAAACTTCACTGTTTCAAATTTTTTTCAATAAAAATTGGAGATTTTCAAAAAATGTCTCGCAAAAAATTTACTGTTTCAAAATTTTTATAACAAAAATTTTGGATTTTCAAAAATGCTGTTTGTATTCATTCCGTAAAAATTAGAAACAAAAAATATACCACGTGGCAAAAATAACAATTTTTGGCCTCAAAAAATTAACTCTGAAAAATTTTTTGTTGGTAAAAAAAATTCACTGTTTCAAAATTTTTTGAATGAAAATTGGAGATTTCTCAAAGATGTTCAATGACAAATACACGATTAAAAATTTGAATTAAATTCAAAAAATGCCAGGTGGCAAAAATTGATTCGAAAAAAATTCACTGTTTCAAAATTTTTATTTAAAAAATTGAGGATTTTCGAAGATGTTACCGTGGCAAATAAAATAATAAAAATATTAGGAATATGCTAAATTTTGGAATTGAAGAAAAGAGAAAAAAAAAGGGAAAAGGGAAGATGAGTTGGAAAGAGAAGATTACTAGCGCGCTACCGTTTCGACCTTTTTAATAGACGGTATCAGAGGCAGGTCTCGTCAGTATTAACCTCTGTGCTTTGTAATGAAATTGACGCGATTTTTGCTAACTTAAGCTAACTTAAACTATTGCGCATAAAGATAAAAGAAAAAGAACAAAGAGAAGGAGATGAGAGAGAATATTTATAGGAAAATCATAAAGTGACGCCTGTAAATATAAAAATAATTTTTTTGTTAGAAAAAATTTCACTGTTTCAAAATTTTCATTTGAAAAATTGTGAATTTTCAAAAAATGCTCTAAAATATTTCATCGTATACATTCCGTAAAAATTACAAACAAAAAATATGCCACGTGGCAAATATATCAATTTTTGAGGCCGAAAATCCTCAGCTACGTGGCGATTTTTATTTTTTGGCCTCAAAAAATTATCTCTGACAAATTTTTTTATTAGAAAAAAATTCACCGTTTCAAAATTTTTATAGTAAAAATTGGAGATTTCTCAAAGATGTTCGATAAATTTCCAAAACAAATGAGAAATAAAAAAAATTGTGGATTTTCGAAATGTTCAGGCAAAGTTTTTTGATGGAAATTTTCGAGGTTCAGAAATGCCACGTGGCGAAAATTGATCAAAAAAAACTTCACCGTTTCAAATTTTTTAGAATAAAAATCGGAGATTTCTCTAATATGTTAGGTTAGTGGCAAATACATTTAAAAAAATTAAAAATTTGAATTAAATTCAAAAATGCCACGTGGAAATAATTGATTAAAAAAAATTCACTGTTTCAGAATTTCTTGAATAAAAATTGATGATTTTCAAAAATGCTCGGAAGTACTTCATCGTATACATTCCATAAAAAATACAAACAAGAAATATGCCACGTGGCAAAAAATAACAATTTTTGGCCTCAAAAAAATAACTCTGAAAATTTTTTTGTTAGAAAAAAGTTCACTGTTTCAAAAATTTCATAATAAAAATTGTGGGGTTTTTTTTTAATCAATTGAGAATGGTACGAGTATTTTTTAGCTTTAAAATATTAATGGAAAAAATAAGTGAGCCACGTGGCAAAATTCAAAATATTTATTTTTGGTTCCAAAATTTTTTTTTTGGAAAAAAATCACTGGTTCAAAATTTTCATTTGAAAAATCGTGAATTTTCAAAAATGTTTGAAAGTTATCGTTTATATTCCGTAAAAATTAGAAACAAAAAATTCACTGTTTCAAAATTTTGATTTCATAAAATTGTGGATTTTCGAAGATGCTTTCAATGGATATTATTTGTACCGTAAAAATTACAAACGAAAAATATACCACGTGGCAAAATTCAAAGATTTTCGGGGCCAAAAATATTACGTCTGAAAAATTTTTTTATTAGAAAAAAATTCACTGCTTCAAAATTTGATCATCAAACATTTTTTGGATTTTTACATGCCACGTGGCAAAAAATAACAATTTTTGAGGCCGAAAATCCTTTTATTTTTAGATCCAAAAAATTCGGCTCCAAAAATTTTTTTGTTAGAAAAAATTTCACTGTTTCAAAATTTTCTTATCAAATTTGAAGATTTCTCAAAGATGTTCGAATATCTCCTATTTATAGATGATGATGAAATTTTGAAACAGTGAATTTTTTTTGTTGGAAAAAATTCACTGTTTCAAAATTTTCATTTGAAAAATTGTGGGTTTTTTTTTCAAATGAATTGATAATGGTACGAGTATATTAGCTTTAAAATTATTATGGGAAAAATAATTAAGCCACGTGGCATAATTCAAAATTTTATTTTTGGTTCCAAAGTTTTTTTATTAGAAAAAAAATCACTGTTTCAAAATTTTCATTTGAAAAATAGCGGATTTTCAAAGGAGTTTCTAAGCTCAACCACTCCAAAAAATTAGCTAGAAAAATTCACTGTTTCAAAATTTTTTGAATAAAAATTTAGGATTTTTGAACATGTTGAAATGGAAAAAATGATTTTAAAAAAATCCAAACAATTTTCTTTGAAGCCAAAAGTCCCCAGCTACGTGGCGAATTTTGTTTTTGAGGCGAAAAAAATTAACTCTGAAAAATGTTTTCGTTGGAAAATAATTCACTGTTTCAAATTTTCATAATAAAAATTTAGGATTTTCGAAATTGTTCTATATTCAAAATTTTCATAATAAAAATTGTGGGGGTTTTTTTAATTAATTGAGAATGGTACGAGTATTTTAGCTTTATTGAATTCAGAAATGCCACGTGGCAAAAATTGATTTGAAAAAATTCACTGTTTCAAATTTTTTATAGCAAAAATTGAAGATTTTCAAAAATGCTCTAAAATATTTCATCGTATACATTCCATAAAAAATACAAACAAGAAATATGCCACGTGGCAAAAAATAACAATTTTCGAGGCCGAAAATCCTCAGCTACGTGGCGATTTTTAATTTTAGCTCCAAAAAATTCAGTTCCAAAAATTTTTTTGTTGGAAAAAAATTCACTGTTTCAAAATTTTTAAAATGGAAATTGTGGGTTTTTTAAATCAATGAATGGTACGAGTACATATATTAGCTTGAAAATATTTATGGGAAAAATAAGTAAGCCACGTTTCAAAATTCAAAAATTTTATTTTTGGTTCCAAAGTTTTTTTGTTAGAAAAAATTCACTGTTTCAAAATTTTTATAATAAAAATTGATGATTTTTGAAGATGTTACGATGGCAAAAATAACCATTTTTGTTAGAAAAAAATTCACTGTTTCAAAATTTTTATAACAAAAATTGGAGATTTCTCAAAGATGTTCGACTATCTCCTCAGGGAATCACGGGCGAGATCTACGCGATTCGCGGGCGTCCAGCGTTTGCAGAAACTTCGCGGTGGACATTTGCGAATTGCGCAAATTTAGCGAAGTGACTCGGTCGAAATATTTTGTCGCGAGATTTCCGCAAAACGCAGAAAAGTTTGCGTTTCGCGTGAATTTCACGGGCTGTCACGACAAGAGTGCAGAGATATGAAACACGTTTCAGCGATATGAGTCGTGCGCGTGGATGGTCAAGTGGGTAATAGGAATGTGTGCGAGGCGGAGAGTGACGGATCGAGGCCGGCCGAGTGAGTATGATTAAAAGCGATTAGTTGTGTCTCGCGGCGCCTCTACTTTTTGATTTTTGAGAGAGCACCGCGAGATTTCCGCGAATCGCGGAGATCTCGCCCGTGATTCCCTGAGTCCTATTTATGAAATTTTGATGAAATTTTGAAACAGTGAATTTTTTGTTGGAAAAAAATTCACTGTTTCAAAATTTTTAGAATAAAAATCGGAGATTTCTCGAATATGTTATGTTAGTGGCTAATAAATTTTAAAAAATCAAAAATTTTAAATAAAATTCAGAAATGCCACGTGACAAAAATTGTTTTTAAATAAAAAATTCACTGTTTCAAAATTTTCATAACAAAAATTAATGATTTTCAAATATGCTAAAATAAAATTATAAAATAGAATTTCTAGCACCAAAATTAATTTCAAAAAATTCAAAAAATCATAGATCAATAATTGTGGCACAATTTTACCCAAATTTTCACCAAAAAGTTCCAAATTTTCACCGAAAATCCCCAAATTTTCCCGCCAAAAATTCCTTACCAACATCCTCCAATTTATAGCAAGCTCCTTTACAGCACGTGGTTCCCCAATTACAGTTTTGCATATCTCTCCCCATACACGTGTAACATGAGAAGGCTCCTTTTGTTGCCGAGCAATTTTGAGCCGGGGATACGGTATTTAAAGGCGCACTGGCCGCTTCGAGACCTGGAAAATGGGAAATTTTGGGGGGAGATTAGGGGAGTACTGTAGGTTGAAGGGACATATATTTTTAGTGGGGGAAAATTAGAATTTTTTGGGATACTGTAAGTTTAAAGGAACATAACAATTTTCCATAAAAAAACAGATTTTCTGGAGTACTGTAGATTTAAAGGAACATGACATTTTTATCATTAGAAACCATATGATTTTCCGGGGTACTGTAGATCGGTAAAAATACTAGTAATATTTTTCTTTACTAATTTTTTCAGGTTACTGTAGATTTTAAAGGATCATAGAAATTTATAATTGAATTCAGAACATGTTTTTGGATTACTGTAGGAATTTCAGAATATTTAAAGGAACATACAGTAATCCCTAGAGATTGGAGTACTGTACATTTTGAGCTACAGTAATCCTCAGTTTTTTCGCGCTAAAATCTACCGTATTTCTCAAGATTCAAGCCTACAGTACTCTTGAAATTTTGGCGCCAAAATCTACAGTACCCGATGATTTTTGGCGCCAAAAATCTTCCGGAAATTCACATTTCCTACTAAAAAATGTATAGAAATATACATTTTTTGGTCCCCAAAAATTTTTTTTTTGAAAAAAATCCACAAACCTGCTAAGAAAAATCCTAAAATCACAAAAATGCCCAAATTCCTGCACGCTGAAAATTCCATTTTCAGATTTTTTGAGCCGAAAAATCTGCAAAAATCGATAATTTATGTGGGAAAAGCTGAAAAAGAAGGCACTTTTTTTTGAAACAGCGAAAAAAATATGAGAAAAATGAACAACTGTTCGGGAAAAAAAAATGAAATTTGATCTTTTACACGGTGTTTTTTTTTGGCGCGAAAAATTTGATTTTTCGAAATTTTTGACAGATGAAAAAGAAGAAAGTGAGAAAAATTTGAAAAAAAAAATTTTGGCGCCAAAAATCTACAGTACTCTCGAACTGCAAGGTATACTGTAGCTTTTGAACTAAGTTTATTGAACCACAAGAAATACTGTGAGTCAACATTTTCCGGACTGCAAGGATTACTGTAGCCTTGTAAGGGGTCAATTTAAATCATAAGTTTGCGGACTGCGAAGGTTACTGTATCTTGAAGATATTCAAAATTACAAAAATCATTCAGGATTACTGTAGCTTAAAAGTTACTGTATGTATCTAGTAGAACTACAAATTTTACTGTAGAATGAAGATTTTCCGGACTGCAAGGATTACTGTAGCTGAAATAAAATCATACAGTATTCTTTCCTAGAAATTGCTGGTGTCAAAAAAAAGATTCAAAAATATTTTTTTAAAAATTTTGAAGCACCCTGGAAAAAAATTAGTGCCAAAAAAGTATTCCGAAAATTTCTGTAGATCAAAATTTAGAGCTCCAAAACCTACAGTAATCCTAGAATCAACAAAATTTTAAAGGCTCTTGGTGAAAATTTTTGGCTCGAAAAAAAATTGGGAAAAATTTTCGAAAACCAATTTTCCGCTTCAAAAATCACCCAAAAGCTCCAAAATTTTTCACAAGTCAGAAAAAAATTCCTAGAAAAATTCGGGACCAAAAATGGCTAGTGTAATCTGAAAATAATGTCCACTAGAGTGTAGTTTGAGACTTACTCTAACTTCTAAGAAAATCAAAACCTCAAATTCTCACTGAAAATTGGAAAATGATCCAAAAAATCTCAAATTTCCAGTGAAAAAACTGAAAAAAAATCCGGAAAACCAGAGAAAAATGTTATTTTTGGAGCTCGGCGAGCTCCAAAACTTGCGAAAAATGTAAGAAGAAGAAAAAATCGATGAAATGAAGTGAGCACAACAACAACGTCTTGTGCTCTTTTTTGGCAGCTCAATTGAGCTGCCAGAAAAAGAGAGAAGAGAGAGTGAGAGACGCAGAGAAACTGAAGAGAGAGAGAGCTGAGAAAAATGAGCAAATCGGATTTACGAACTTGAAAATATGTATGAGGGGGAGCAGAGAAAAATTGGATTTTTGGGCGGCAAAATTGCCACGTGGCTATCAAAATTTATCTGAAAATGTGGAAATGAGCTAGAAATTGTTACGTGGCATCTCAGAGCTCCAAAAAATTTTGAAAAATTTAATTTCAGGTCAAAAATTGTTTGAAACAGTAAATTTTTGAAAAAAAAATTTTCAAGTTTGATTTGAAAATTTAAATTTAAAAAAAATTATAATAAAAATTCACTGTTTCAAAAAAAATCTGAAAATAAAAATTCAAACTTTTAAAATTTAGTAGTTTGTCGAAAATCGCAACAAAAACCAAGCTATTTTCTGGAAAAACCATTTTTCCACAAAAAAAAATAAAAAATAAAAAAAATCTTTTTTTTACAACGACACTCCGCTTTCCCGCTTGCCCCCTTTTTTAGCAGGAAGAAATTTTTTTTCTTTTTTTCGGGCGGTTTTCATTAAAAATGAGGTAAATTCATGGTTTTTGATGTTTTCAGAGATAAAATTTGTGATTTCAGACTTGGCGTAACTTGGAGCAACACTAGATTTTGCTGAAATATCGGAATTTTTCGAGAAAATGTGAGATTTTCAGGATTTTTGAGTTTTTCAAGCAAAAATTTGTGATTTCAGACCTGGAAAAAGATGGAAAGAAGAATTTCAGCGATTTTTGAGTTCGGGTAAGTCAAAATCTCTCAATTTCCTCAAAAAATCATGAAAACATCTTTGCAGATCGGAAAAAATCAAGTGAAACCGGGGAAAAATCGATTTTTCGAGGAATTTTGACAAATTCAGGTGAGTTTTTTATTGATTTTTGCAACGACACTCCGCTTGCCCGATTTTTAGCCGAAATTTAGTTTCAGGCCAATTTTAGCGCTGAAAATTCGAGGTTTTCGAAACCAAGATTTTTTTAGGTTTCAAAAATTTCATTAAAATTTTCTGGATTTCAAAAAAATGTTGTTGTATTTACAAACAAAAAATAATTAAATTCAAAAATTTTCGCGCCAAAATCAATTACCGTAACCCTAGGCTAATTAGGCTAATTAGATACGATACTCCGGATTTCTTCGGATTCCTGAATTCTCTTTCTCAACTGCTCCTTCAAACCAATCGAATCATCTTTCACGATATTTTGCGAGGGTACTGTAGGGATGATTTTTTGAGCTTCGACGGATTCTGGAGTCGCGTAGGCTAGGATGAATCTGAAATTTTTCGAAAAAAATAAAAAAATTTTGAATTTGCGATTTTTTGACACCAAATATGAATATTTTGGCGCGAAAAAAAGTATATCCAAAAAAATCCTCTCAAAAATTCCAGTCACGAAATTTTCTCATGAAAAATTCAAATTTCCCGCCAAAAAAAATTCTCAAAATTTTTTTTAATAATGCCACGTGGCATTTGAAAATTCGAAAAAAATTTGAAAATTTGGATTTTGGCGCAAAAAATCGATAATTTTTAAATTTTCAAATTTGGCGCCAAAAAATATTATTTAAAAATTCAAAAAAAATTTGAAATTCAACTTTTTGGCGCGAAAAATTGATTTTTTTTTTGTAAATTTTCGAATTTGGCGCCAAAAATAGTATTTAAAAATTCAAAACAAAATTTGATATTCAATTTTTGGCGCGAAAAATCGATAATTTTTAAATTTTCGACCTTGGCGCTAAAAAAATATTATTTAAAAATTCGAAAAAAATTTGAAATTCAACTTTTGGCGCGAAAAAGCAATAATTTTTAAATTTTCGAATTTGGCGCCAAAAATATATTTGAAAATTTTGGCGCCAAACATTTTTTGACCTACCTTCCCTCAACTTCAATTTTACACACCAAATCCCTTTTGAAATGAATTTTCTGGCTAAAATCCTCATAGGAAACCACTGTTTCAAATTGGGTGTCGAAAATCTTCTCCGAATGTTTCTGCAAAAATTTTTTTTTGAATTCGAAAATTTCCCGCCAAAAAAAGTGTACCTGGAGCGCGTTTGCTATTTTTTGCACGTTACATTTACTTTGCTTGCCTTTTCGGGTTTCTTCGAATGACGCAGTCATTAGTTCATTGAGCATTAAACTACAGCAGACGTAGCCTGAAAGAATACGGTAGTTTTGGGGTACTGTAGAGATTGGGGTTACTGTAGGTAGCTACTGTACTTCTGGAATAATTTCTGTAGGTAGTAGTCACGCCTTGAAACACCTACTGACAAGAAGGTGCGCCTAGAGATCTACTCTGACAAGCAGGCACCCCTTGAGAGCTCTTATGACAAGCAGCCGCGCCTTGAAAGCATGTATGTCAAGCAGTTGCGCCTTGAAAGCTTCCATGTCAAGCAGAAGAGCCTTGAGCATCTCTATAACAAGCAGCCACGCCTTGAGAGCTTCTATTTCAAGCAGCCACGCCTTGAGAGATCTTATGACAAGCAGCCGCGCCTTGAGAGCATGTATGGCAAGTGTCCGCGCCTATAAAACCACTTTGACAAGCAGCCGCGCCTTGAAAGCTTCTATTTCAAGCAGCCACCCCTTGAGAGCTCTTATGACAAGCAGCCGCGCCTTGAAAACTTCCATGTCAAGCAGAAGCGCCTTGAGAGCACATATGCCAAGTAGCCGAGCCTTCACAACTTTAATGACAAGGCCCTGCGCCTTGAGAGCATGTATGTCAAGCAGTTGCGCTTTGAAGACTTACATGTCAAGCAGCCGAGCCTTGAGCATCCCTATAACAAGCAGCCACGCCTTGAGAGCATGTATGACAAGCAGCCGCGCCTTGAGAGCATCTATGACAAGTAGCCGCGCCTTGAGAGCATGTATGGCAAGTGTCCGCGCCTATAAAACCACTTTGACAAGCAGCCGCGCCTTGAAAGCTTCTATTTCAAGCAGCCACCCCTTGAGAGCTCTTATGACAAGCAGCCGCGCCTTGAAAACTTCCATGTCAAGCAGAAGCGCCTTGAGAGCACATATGCCAAGTAGCCGAGCCTTCACAACTTTAATGACAAGGCCCTGCGCCTTGAGAGCATGTATGTCAAGCAGTTGCGCTTTGAAGACTTACATGTCAAGCAGCCGAGCCTTGAGCATCCCTATAACAAGCAGCCACGCCTTGAGAGCATGTATGACAAGCAGCCGCGCCTTGAGAGCATCTATGACAAGTAGCAGCGCCTATAAAACCACTCTAACAAGCGTTCAACCCTTGAGAGCATGTATGACAAGCAGCCGCGCCTTGAGAGCATCTATGACAAGTAGCAGCGCCTATAAAACCACTCTAACAAGCGTTCAACCCTTGAGAGCATGTATCACAAGTAGCAGCGCCTTGAGAGCTCTTATGACAAGTAGCCGCGCCTAGAGATCTACTCTGACAAGCGTTCAATCCTTGAGAGCTCTTATGACAAGTAGCTGCGCCTTGAGATCATGTAAGGCAAGTAGCCACGCCTTAACACCATGTATGACAAGCAGCACCGCCTAGAAAACCACTCTGACAAGCAGCTGCGCCTCGAGAGCTTTCATGACAAGCAGCCACGCCTTGTGAACCACTCTGACAAGCGTTCAACCCTTGAGAATCTCTCTAACAAGTAGTCGTGCCTACTGCTTCACTGAAGCCACCTACAGTACCTCCTAGAATACTGTAGCTACCTACAGTACCCCCTGAACTACCGTACTCACCACTTGGATTATAAAAACACGAAGGAAGCGGGAAGGTCGTGTTGCCTTCACCTCGTTTTCCATAATAATATTGACCGACAAAACTTTCGTCGAATTTCTGAAACACAAATTGGGTTACTGTAGGCTGAGGTACTGTAGTTTTGATCTACAGTATATCCCCCTTGAATGAGGTTAGTCCATCACACTACACATAAGCGTATATAGGCACGGCCTAAGCCCAGTCTGGGCTCAGCTTTTGTCCAGCCTAAACCAAGCCTAAGCCTAAGCTCAGCCTGACCAAGCCTAGGCCCGGCTTAAGCCCAGCCTAACCAAGCCTAAGTTAGAGCCGCTTACCGGTGTGTGCACAGCCTCGGCTGGGAAATACGGATCGGCTGGCGATGGATCTTCCGGAATCCTGCAAGACTAGACTATAGTTTCGAGAGACTAGACTATAGTCACGAGGGACTAGACTCTAGTCACGAGGGACTAGAGTATAGTCACTAGACTATAGTTTTATGAGGAGCTTACCATGTCTGCTGGGTTGTGGTGGTCTGCACGATGTTTTGGGTGGTGACAGGTGGCGCAGCTGATGGGAAGCTTCTTGATGTTGTTGGTGGCGGTGTAGATGTCTGAGATTGTTGGTAAGATGTTCCGGGTGGCGGTGTTAGTGTTGGCGGCGGGTTAGCATAGCTCTGGGAAGCGGGAGGGGCCGGGTGATTTTGCGGGAGTTCCAGGGAGGGCTGCTCGTTGTAGGTGTCGATTGGGGGCAGATCTGGGATCACTGTAGATGTTGAAGCAGGCGGTGCTGGACCAGGGTAGCTTCTCGGGACCTCTGGAGATACAGGCTCTGCAGGGGGTACATAAGGGTCGACCGGAACTGCAGGAGGTAATGTAGATGTTGGAGCTGGAAAACTTCGAGGGAGCTCTGGAGCTATAGGTTCAGCAGGTGGGAGATATGGATCCGATGAGATCACAGGTCGGACTGTAGATGTTGGAGCTGGAAAACTTCTCGGGAGCTCTGGAGCTACAGGCTCTGCAGGGGGTACATAAGGGTCGACCGGAACTGCAGGAGGTAATGTAGATGTTGATACCGTAGGCACTGATGAATAAGTGTATCCTGAAGTTGGCGGTTGTGTGTAGATCTGTGTTATCGGCTGGGGTGTAGCTGGGTAGGATCTTGGGGCCTCAGGTTCTGCAGGAGGTAGATAAGGCTCTGCGGGGATTAGAGGTTGGGTATAACCAGGTGTTGAAGGTTGGGTAGATCCTTGAGTCACAGGTTGAAGTGTTGTAGATGAAGCTGGAGGCTCTGCAGGAGGTACATAAGGATCTGCTGGGCTCACAGGCCCCACTGTAGATGTTAGATCGGGGCCTGGATAACTTCTGGGCTCTGCAGGTGGGACATATGGGTCTACAGGTCTCACTGTAGATGTTGAGAAGGTATATCCTTGGGTTACAGGTCGAACTGTAGTTGTCACAACTTCTGGGTTATATGGATCTTCAGATCCCACGGTACCCTGGTTAATTACAGGCGGGTTAGTATAACCTGTATTAGTTCTCGACACTTCGGAAGCTGGGTTAGACACACTCTCTGACACGTATGAATCAACTGGGCTTACTGTAGTGGTTGTGGTTGTGGTTGGCGCGATGTATGGTGTAGTTGTGATAACTTCCTCAACATATTCTGTAGTGGTTGTCTCGATTCTTGGTGGATTGGTAACACGTGGCGCGATGTATGGTGGGTTTGTGACGGTGACACGTGGAGCTATGTATTCTGGAGTTGTGGTAACTATTGGAGCAATGTATGGTGGATTTGTGACGGTGACACGTGGCGCAATGTATTCCGGAGTTGTGGTAACTATTGGAGCAATGTATGGTGGATTGGTGACGGTGACACGTGGCGCGATGTATTCTGGAGTGGTCGAGGAGATCTCAGCCACCCATGGCTCCTCAGTCACCACAACTGGCTCAATGTATTTTGGAGGATGGGTGTTGGTGACGTAGCCGATGTGACGTGGCGGAGCGTTGGTCTGGAAGTTTGGATACTTACAGTACACCTAGGATTACTGTAGAGCTACTGTAAGCAATTTTAAAATACTGTGAAATACCGTAAACTACTCTTTAAGTTCTGTAACAATCTTAAAAACTCTTAGAAAGTGTTAGGGAGGTTTTAAGGTTGTTAGAGAACTTAAAGGGTTTTGAAGAGTAGTTTACGGTATTTTAAAGTAGTTATTTTTGGACTGCAAACTCTACAGTAGTCCTAGATTACTGTACTTACCGTGCCCTAAAGTCTCTAAGTCATCTTAAGCTATCCTAAAAGTTCTTAAACTACCCTTAAGCTTCTGAAAACCTCTTCCAACCGTCTTAAAGTACCCTAAGGTACTCTAGAGCCTCTAAGTTACCCTAAGTCACCCTGTAAACTCACCACAAGATGTCGAATTGGCGGTGTGGTCAAATATGCTGGCGGGATTCTGGCGTGTGGTGGAGTTACGATAACTTGTGGCGGTGGGATAAACGGCCTTGGCTGGATTCTGGGGACCACCGGAGCCGGTGCTGGAGCTCGAACATATTGTTGAGAGACAATGTTGGGACGTTGCTGGTATTGCTGACGTGGAATCTGACGTGGCGGTGGTGGACGGTAGGGCGCAGGTTGTGCCACAAAATATTGCGGTTGTTGCGCCACATTTTGATAGGTGTACGGTGGCTGTTGGTAGGTGGGATACTGTGAGAATTGGGAGAATTGACGTTTTGGGCGGGAGCCGTCGTAGGGATCGGAAAGGAGAACTGAGGGGAGGTCGATTTGGAAGCGACGAGGTTTGATGCGACGCAGAGGTTCGGTGGAGACTGTGCTGGTGGAGGTGTTGGCTGGAAGGATTGGGATGGGATTTTTGTCTTGATAGAATTTATAAGGTTTTTTTTTATTGTGGAGAAACATGAAGATCAAGCAATTTTCTCAATTTTCAAAATTTTATATGAAAATTTTGAAACAGTGAATTTTTTTTTGGAAAAAAAATTTCACGTGGATTATCAGATTTCTAGATAATCCTGAATTTGAGTTCAGAGAACTCTTTTAGAGTGAAAAATGTTTATTTTGTGATAATTTAAGGTTATAAAATCCGAGATTCGCACTGTTTCAAATTTTTAAATGAAAAGTTTATAGGAAAATTTTGAAACAGTGAATTTTTTGAAAGAGAAATAAATATCGAGCGATTTTCTGAATTTTTCAAAATTTTTATATGAAAATTTTGAAACAGTGAATTTTTTTGAACACAAAAAAATCCACGTGGATTTTCAGGAAAAGCCATTGGATCTTAAATTTCTGCCAGAAGTTTCTGATAGAATCCTGAATCTCACATCAGTTCTGAATGCGAGAACTTTACAGTAAATTTCATTTCGATTTTGTTTTTGAATAAATCATATTACCCCGATTCAAGCATTTTTTCACTGTTTCAAATTTTAATATGAAAATTTTGAAACAGTGAATTTTTTTTAAAGTCAAAAAATTTGACTTTTTCTAATTAATTTTGCCACGTGGATTTTCTCAGTAATTCTATAGTTAGTTTTGTTTTATCCTATTGAAAACCAAAAATAGCTCAGAAAATATGTGATTATTTTGAAACAGTGAATTTTTTTAATCAAAAAAACTCTGAATTTGAAAATTTGAATTTCAGAATTTTTTTGTCTGAAAATATTCTGATAAACTATATTTCTAGCCTCCAATATTCTTCTATTGTCCTCGAGAATTACACACTAAGTTCCACTTCTCACTTTTTACCTCAAAAAATGAAAAAGAAATCCATCATAAATAAATTCTCTTTCATTATACATACACTAAAATATTTGACCTTGATCTATGTTCGCAAAAAAAGTGAGTTAGGCTAATTTGATAGCTGAATTCCTGTGGTTTTTGGGCTGAAAATTGCAATTTTCAGGGTTAAAATTGCTGAAAATCACGAATTTCAGCCTGAAAATCCAGTTTTTTGAGCTCTAAAACCCTTAAATTCATAAAGTTTCAGCTTAAAATCTCTGAAATTCCCCCAGTTTTCCACCAAACATCAATAATTAATCAGCTAATTAATTAAACAATCAATTTTGCGGTGTAAAAATCAGTTTTCATGGGTTTTTTGTAAGCTTCGCGTTCTTGAACTTGTGATTGATAAGAAATTTGATTTGGCTAGACGTTTTTTTGTGTAAAAAATTTGATTAACAAACAGATTTTCTTTAGAAGTGAACTATGACGTGGCAAATTTTATGAAGAGTTCAAATTCTTTGTGTAGTTCTCGAGGACAATTTTTTCAGAACAATTTGTGTTTTTATCAGAAGCCCACTGAAAATTCAAATTCAACCAAAAATATATGGAAATTTTGAAACAGTGAATTTTTTATTTGAAAAAATCCAGATTTTTTGATTTTTTTTTTGAAAAATGTTTGCCACGTGGATTTTCAGAGACTATTTTTATCGGATTTTCAAAAATTCCAGATTTTTAGTCATTTTTTGCCACGAGGATTTTTCCCGAATTTCGAAAAAAAAAGAACTGAAAATCCAGAATCACCGAAAAAATATATCAAAATTTTGAAACAGTGAATTTTTTTTTGTTGAGAAAAAACCTGAAATTAATTTTTTTTTGTTAAAAATGTTTGCCACGTGGATTTTCAGAGACTATTTTTATCGGATTTTCAAAAATTTCAGATTTTCAGATATTTCATTTACGTGGATTTTTCCCGGAAAAATTAGAAAAAAAATACTGAAAATCCAAATTCACCCGAAAAAATATGTGAAATTTTTGAAACAGTAAATTTTTTTTGTTGAGAAAAATCCTGAAATTTTGTTTTTTTTTTCCGGAAAATGATTGCCATGTGGTTTTTCAGTTACAATGTTTTCAGAATTTTTGAAAAGTTTCAGATTTTCAGTCATTGTTTGCCACGTGGATTTTTCCCGGAAAATTGTGAAAAAGAAACTGGAAATCCAGAATCACCGAAAAAATATGTGAAATTTTTGAAAAAGTGAATTTTTCTTGAACAAAAAAAGTTTTTTATTCGAATTTTTTTGGGCTAGAAGTACTGTAGATAATTGAGGGCTGAAAAAAATTCAGAAAATTTCAAAATAATTTTTTGGTGCTAAATTTGGACCTGAAATTTTGTTTAGCTTCAGGGAGAAATTAATCACTGTAGATTTTTTTTTTTTTTAAATTGTTGGTGCAAAAAGTCCCGGATTACTGTAGATCCCTCAAAAAACCCACCATTTTCACCAAAAACCACTGCAAAAATCACAGCCGACACCACCAAAAATCCTCTCATAATAATAATTATAATAGAAAATAATTTGAAGATCTTTTTTTTAGGTAAAGCTTTTTCTTACGCCCGCGCGCGCCTCTTAACCTTCACAAATAATAATTTGCTGTTACCTTTCAAGCTTGTGACGCGCCCAGCAAAAGAAAAAACCCGAACTTGATTCAAAAAAAATGTGATGACTTATTGTAATTCTTGTGTTGCATTGCTTTTCATTGTTTATGATCTAATATATTAATGAGAAGAGAAATTAGCGGGAAAAATGTGGGAAAGTTCTCCGAGAGAACTACACAAGATAGATTTTTGGCGCAAAATTTTAAATTTTATCAAAAAAAAATTCACTGTTTCAAAAACATCATGAATTATCAATTGGCAAAAATCTCTAATCTGAGATTTGATAAAAATTTTGTGAAAAAATGTACTGTTTCAAAAATTTCACATAATTTTTGAGTGATTTGTGATTTTTAATGAATTGACCAGGTCTTACGACGTTTACACAAGAATCGAATTTTTTCAAAAAAAATTCACTGTTTCAATAATTTTGTATAATTTTTGGGTGGTTTTTGATTTTCGATGACATTGTGATCAACTTGGGAAAATTCTGAAAATCTGTAATTTTTGAAAATTTCTTAAGTAGCTTATCTGAAAATACACGTGGCAAAAAAAATTATATTCAAAATTTTTGAAAATTCAATAAAATAGGAAACATTTTGGAGACTTTGCTCCGAAAAAAAAACACGCGATTTCAGATGCGAAGATTCTTGAATTCTGGGATCTGAAGAACCACGCGGCAAAATTTCACCCAAAAAAAATTCTGAAATATTTTTTTGTCAAAAAAAAAAATTCACTGTTTCAGAATTTTCACATAATTTTTGAGTGATTTTTGAATTTCAGTACCACTGATATAACAATGAGTATCCGAGAGAAGTACACACATTTTGGCGCGAAATTTCTCAAATTCTCGGTCTAGAAAACCACGTGGCAAGACTTGTCCAAAAAAATTTCAATTAAAAAAATTCACTGTTTCAAAAATTGCACATAATTTTGACGAATTTTGAAATTTCAGTTTGTCATTGAGACATGTTTCCAATAAAAAATATTGAAAATTTTGATAAAATAGGCAAAAGATAAAGTTTGGTCCGAGAGAACTACACGAACATGATATTTTGCGCGAAATTTGAATTTTAGGATCCTGAAATATGTTTTTTTTGTCAAAAAAATTCACTGTTTCAGAATTCTCACATAATTTTTGAGTGATTTCAACGCACATTTAGACATTTGCCTATTGAAAATTAATCAGGATTTCAAAAAAAAAATTGAAATTTTTGTCCGAGAGAAGTACACACGATTTTTTATCGCGAAATTTCTGGGATCTTGAAACTCAAGTGGCAAGATTTCTGCAAAAAATAAACATTTTTTCAAAAATAAAAATTCACTGTTTCAAAAATGTTACATACATAGTTTTTTTTGAGTTTTCATAGATTCAAGCTTCAAATAAACTCGAAAAATATTACCAAAAATTTTTACTGTTTCAAAAATTTTATTCATTTTTGACTTTGGATTTTCTGTTGATGTTGAAGATCAAAATTTGAAGAAAAAATTCACTGTTTCAAATATTTCACTTATTTTTGGTGATTTTGAATTTTCAATCTTTTCAATTTTGAGGAGTTTAAAAAATTAATTTTTTCATTTTTTCTTGTTGAAAAAATTCGCTGTTTCAAAAATTTCACATATTTTTGGTGATTCTTGATTTTCAGTTCGGCACAAGAATGACTGCTCATGAAACCAGATTTTATTTCTAACAATAAAATTACCGTATAAATAATAAAATAATCAGCCATTAACTCTAATAAAAGATCTCAAGGCATTTCTAGTGAATGAAGATGTAAAAGCAGAAATGGCAATTTGTTCCGATAGTTCTTCTTTGCCACCAAAAGCTTCAGCGATTTCCGGTAAATCAACACCAGCTCGACTCATAATAATTCGAATCAATTTTTTTTCATTGGATTCTGAAAAATTTTTTTTCAAACAACATTCAGAGGTCCATCCGTACCTGTCAAACTCTTTTTCAGCGAACTCGCAAAAAATTCGGGCAAACTTTTGACCGCTTGCACATATTTCAAAAGCGCTGCTTTCGAGCAAAACGAATATTCCTCATCAATCATTGTCTCAATCGTCCTCTTCTCCAAAGATGTTGAATATTCATAATCTGAAAACTTCTCAAACATTCTTCTCAATTGTTTATAGTTTCTTTTGAACAATATTCCATTAATCCCTTCTTCATTGGTTCCAGCAATTGTAGCTGGTCCATATTCATATAATTTGAAACAATCTGAATCTGCCAATTTTTCATCAACAACATCCGATTCATCTCTGTCAGCAGCACAAAGTGCGAGAAGTATTCTTTCAAAATCCCCAATATTGTTGCGATCAATCGCTTTACATAAATTGTTATTCCATTTTTGTTCATAAGTTTTTTTGATCTCCCGAATTTCTTGAGATGTTCTAGATACCATAACTTCCATCAACCAATCATTATCACGATTTTGCAATGCAAGATTTAATAATCTAGCATCATAATAAACTGTAGGCACTACAATTCTAAGTGTCTCTGGCACACCCTTTAATTTATCTTTTAATTTGTTGAACCCGTCATCACCATATTTTTTTCTGAAATTCTTGATCATTTCAAGTCGCTCTTCATATGTTCTCCCATAAAAATACGCGATAAACACTGGTTCATCATAAGGGAATGCAATTATTGATTTGTAGAGCAGATTTTCATGAGATAGAGGATTGTCTTTGGCTGGTTCTAGTTCTAATTCACCTGATTCTGATTCTGATTCATCCGAATTTGAACCAAGAATAATATTTGGAATATCAAAGGCGCATAGCAATAAAAACAGAATTTTCAACATTTTTTTTGAAATGCAATTCTTCGCGGGTGGTATTTATGCAAAGTTTTGATTTCACACGGTTTTTCAGACATGCATTTTTGGTTTTATTACATAATAAACTTCAGAAAAGCGAAAATTCCAGAAAATTTGATTTGCAAAAATTCACTGTTTCAAAAATTTCACTAATTTGTTGAGTGATTTTTGATTTTCAGTTCATCAAAAAATAACAATCAAGAAAAAAATTTTCGAATAAAAATCAGACTTTCCCTGAAAAAATTCACTGTTTCAAAAATTCTATTATTTTTTTTGTTATTCTGAATTTTCAATAGATGTTGTAAAATTTGACCAAATTAAAAATATTTTTGATTGCAAAAAAATCACTGTTTCAAAATTTTTACTAAATTTTTGAGTGATTTTTCGTTTTCAGTAAAATCACTTTTTTCTTCCTGTGAAAAAAAATGGTGTTATTCTAAATTTTCCAAGTTGTTTAAGAATTTCGCTGTTTCAAACATTTCACATAATTTTTCGGGAATTTTTAGTCGTAATAGTACCTTGTTATTGATGTATCCAAAAATTTCATGTAGTTCTCGAGGAAAATAAATTTTTATCAAACATCGTGCTGACATTTGTCCTCGAGAACTACAAAATTTTTCGAAATTTCAGTTTTTGGCGGCAAATTTGACCTTAAAAATCATATACTGTGTTAACCTTATCTTTATTGAATAATTTATATGCGAAAAAAAATGTTTTTCAGTTTTTATCAAGATTTTGGAACAGCAAACAAAACAATTTTTTGCATGAAAATCTCTTGTCCGAGAGAGGAACACAGGGAAAAAATGGAAATTTTGCAAACAATTTAATTATTCACGTGAAAAAATGACGAAATCCACGTGGCCCTTGTGCGAAAAAATCAAGAAAAATTCAGAACCAAAAAAATTCACTGTTTCAAAGATTTCACATAATTTTTTTGAGAGTTTTGAATTTTTGATGGTTTCATCTTTAACAAAAAAAAAAATGGAAATTTACACTGAAAATCCAATGTTTTCAAAAAATCGGAAAAAAAATTTCAAAATTAATTTTTTGCATAGACAACTTTACTGTTTCAAAAATTTTACAAATTTTTAAGGGTTTTTTGATTTTCAGTGGAAAAGAGTTCAATTCGCGAAAATCCGAGAAAAAATTTTTCGAAAAAAAATCTGACGTTTTTCCTCGAAAAAAATTTACTGTTTCATAAATTCTACGAATTTTTTTTTGTTATTCTGAATTTTCAATCAATAAATCAATCAACTTCAAAAAATTCACTGTTTCAAACTTTCCACAATTATTTTTCGAGTTTTCAGTGATTCGGTCACATTTTGTAAAATTTTTAAAAAATCAAAAATATTTTTGATTGCAAAAAAATACTGTTTCATTAAGTTTACTAATTTATGAGTGACTTTTCGTTTTCAGTAATTAAAAAAATTTTGTTATTCTAAATTTTCCAAGTTGTTTGAAAAATTCACTGTTTCAAAAATTCTATTAATTTTTTCGGGAATTTTTAGTTTTAATATCATGCGTTCAGTTCTCGAAGAAAAAATATGTTTTTTTTTTCAAATTTCGCGCTGACAAAAACTTGTCCTCGAGAAATACAAAAATTTTTCATAATTTTTAGCGCCAAATTTGACCTCAAAATCTCATACCTTATCTTGATTGAAAAAATCTTACACAATTTTTTTCTGCAAGAAAAATCGTGTTTCATCTTGTCCGAGAGAAGTACACAGAAAATTTTGCAAAAATTTAATTTTCACGTGAAAAAATGACGTGTCTTTGAAAATGCGTTGGAAATTCAAATTTCTCATTTTTCAAATTTTCACCCACGGGAAATGATGGAAATTCAGTGAGTTCTTCAAAAATTGCAGATTTTCAGCGAAATTTGGCTGAAAATCTGGAGATTTTCAAGATTTCAAGAAACATTTGGCTGAAAATCATATTTCTAGTGCAAAATTCGGTTTTCCAGCTAGAAAATTCAGATTTTCAGCCAAAAATCGCTGATAATCGGTTTTCCCCTCAAATATTCACCGAAAACCTAGGATTCTCCATGCAATTCCAGCTTTTCTTTTATTTTCACCTTCTCTCATCTTCCCCATCTCTCAAAACCCTTAAAAACCCCCCAATTTCCAGCCAAAAACCGCTGAAAATGATGAAAAACAGCAAACGCGCTCCACCGCACTCTCCCCCTTTTCCCCATTTATTCTCTCTCCCCCTGCGTCTCTTCACCCGCCAGCACTCTCTCGCCTGTGTTGTGTTTTATATTCATCGAGTTAGTGCAATTTTCGCCCATTCTTTCTCATTTTCGTTTTTTTTTTCGTCGTTTTGATTATTGTCCGAGAGAAGTACACAACTTTTTCATTTCCATAAGAAAAATTTTGTGTAGTTCTCGAGGAAAAGCGGGTGATCTTTGAGATAATTAGAATTTTTCCTCATTTTTTTGTTGAAAAAAAGTGTACATATATCTTGTTGAAAATTCAATTATGTTAATTGAAAAAAAGAGGAATTTTCCTCTTTTTTTCACATTTTTGAATGTAAATAACCAAGTTTTTCTATTAACGGGTGGAATTTTGCTGAAAATTTGAGTTTTGACTGGAATTTTGAGGTTTTTCAGCGTATTTTACATTTGGAAACAAAAACTTAGATGGAAAACATGAATTTTCATTAATTTCAGATGGTTTTCAGCCAAATGTACAGTCCTCCACATAATCTTAGCCTCACCCCCAAAACTTTCGAAAAATCGAAAATTTGATTTTTTCAGAAAAAGTTGGCATAGCCAAAATATGTCAAAAGGTGATACATAAATGTACCCTACTTCAAATTTCAGATAAAAATGAGGCTGAAAAAAAGTTGATTTTTTTGAAAAATGGGTGTTTTTAGTTTCCACATAATCTTAGCCTCACCCTAGAAAATTGCTGGAATTTCAGGTTTTGTGCTTGAACTAAGTTTGTAATGGGTCTGAAAATGATAGTTAAATCAATTTCAGACAGAATTGAGCTGTAATCAACCATTATTGATTGATTAATAGTGACTGAGAACGCTGATAGCGTGGAGACTTCCATCAAAACAAGTTTTGAGTCAAAGTTGGTTCAAAATTCCATTATTTCGAGCTTAATTTTTAGAAAATTGGTAGAAAACACTTTTTTCAACATAATCTGTCAAATTCTGACCCGAATTGCAAGAAATTGTTAATTTCAGCTGATTTTTCAAAAATTTTGAAATTTTTCTGAACCAAAATTTTTGAGTTTCAGCCAAATTTCCGACATTTTTCTAAGTTTTCCAGTTGGATATTCTTGATTAAGCAATATACTGATCTCTTACATCCGAAATAAACTTATCCTTCAATTCGGCGTTCTGAAATTGTGAGATATCGGTAATCTCTGATCCAAAACTTCAGATCAATTTTGAGAAAAACAGTTTACTCTTGTAATTTCTGAAAATTTCAGTATAAATCAGTAATAATGGTTCAAAAACTGACAAAAACTAATAACTGACTTCAATTAAAGATTTTATGTCCAAATGTTCAACCAGAAAAGCTCTTCAATGTTGAGTTCAAAAATTTTCAAAATTCATTAAAGTCAGGTTTCAGTCTTTCACCTGATTCTTACTCCAGTTTTGAATTTCTGAGTGTCAGAATTCGAAAAATTATCAGAATTAACGTGTTTTCGAAAAATCAATAATATCCAACTGGAAAACTTAGAAAAATGTCGGAAATTTGGCTGAAACTCAAAAATTTTGGTTCAGAAAAAATTTCAAAATTTTTGAAAAATCAGCTGAAATTAACAATTTCTTGCAATTCGGGTCAGAATTTGACAGATTATGTTGAAAAAAGTGTTTTCTACCAATTTTCTAAAAATTAAGCTCGAAATAATGGAATTTTGAACCAACTTTGACTCAAAACTTGTTTTGATGGAAGTCTCCACGCTATCAGCGTTCTCAGTCACTGTTAATCAATCAATAATGGTTGATTACAGCTCAATTCTGTCTGAAATTGATTTAACTATCATTTTCAGACCCATTACAAACTTAGTTCAAGCACAAAACCTGAAATTCCAGCAATTTTCTAGGGTGAGGCTAAGATTATGTGGAAACTAAAAACACCCATTTTTCAAAAAAATCAACTTTTTTTTTTCAGCCTCATTTTTATCTGAAATTTGAAGTAGGGTACATTTATGTATCACCTTTTGACATATTTTGACTATGCCAACTTTTTTCTGAAAAAATCAAATTTTCGATTTTTCGAAAGTTTTGGGGGTGAGGCTAAGATTATGTGGAGGACTGTATCTGAAAATGATGCAAATTTTGAATTTAGAGTTGAAAAATGTGATTTTTGATGAAATTTCGAAAATTTAGAGTGAAAATAAGGTTTTTAGCCACGTTTCATTCAAAAGTTCAAAATTTTGCTGAAAAATCAGATTTTTCATGAATTTTTCAAGTTTTCTAGTCAAAACACCTCTATTTGACCCAAATTTGGCTGAAAAACCTTCATTTTCATCCAAATTTTTTTTGAAAAATTCAATAAACCGCATTTTCGCTGCGAGACCCATAACACTAAAAATTGCATGTTCCTTTAATAAATTCTTCGAAAATAGGGGTTTTCTTGTCAAAAAACTAGAAAATATGGTTTTCCTTTGATTTTTTGATAAGAAACCAATATTTTCGAAGAATTTCTTAAAGGAACATGCTATTTTTCGTGTTGTGGGTCTCGCAGCGAAAATGCGGTTTTTCGAATTTTTTGAATATTTTTTTCCCACAAACTAATTTTTCACACGTCAATTGTTTTGTAGCCCGAGACAGAAAAAATCCAAAAATAATTCATTTCCTCATGTGATTTATAAATTTTATATATGAATTTTAAATTTCCCCATTTTCGCGCCAAAAAAATTATTCTTTGGTCTAAAAAATTTGGTTTTTAATAGAAAATATGGAAATTTTCTTGAATTTTTGGCTAAAAAGTGCAATTTTTCATAGGAAAAATTGCATTTTCTCAGAAAAAATCTAGATTTCTATGATTTCCCCAGAGATCTCAGTGTTCCAAAATGTTCCCTTTTTATCTCAAAAAAATTCTTTTTTTCGATTTTTTTCGCCTACAAAAAATTGGGTGATTAATCATTTTGATAAGACTTTTTTTTTCAAAAAAATCAAGTTTTCAGATTATTTTTTGGAAATCTGATACTTTTTTGGCCAAAATAGAATCAATTACCAAATTTGTTCATGTAATTTGATAGTTTTTGAAAATGTCACGTTTTTTCGAAGATTTTTGATAGGAAAATTGGGGAAAATCGCAATTTTCTCGAGAATTTCTTAAAGGAACATGTAATTTTCGTCCCATGGGTCTCGCAGCGAAAATGCGGCTTTTCTCAATTTTCGGGGGTTTTTCTAGTTTTTAGGGTTTAAAAACGTGATTTTCCACCATTTTCAGCCAAGAATTGCTGAAAATCTGTGGTTACTACTCGAAAAACTGAAAATCCTATGAAAAATCTGGAATTTCCAGACAAAATAGGGGTTTCGACGATTTTCAGCCAAATTTCGCTGAAAATCAAAGTCCCCCTGCAAAATTTCATAGAAAACCTCAATTTTGCTCTAAATAACCGAGTTTTCAATGAAAAATCTGAAAATTTCAGTCAAAGCTCATTTTTCCTTTTGAAAACTTGAATTTTCCAGGATTTTCAGCAAAATTTTGCTGAAAATCAATGTTCCCTTGCTGAATTCCTTGGAAATCTTCAATTTACACCTAGAAAAATCCAGTTTTCAATGAAAAATCTGAAAATTTCAGTCAAAACTCATTTTTCCTTTTGAAAATATGAATTTTCCAGGATTTTCAGCCAAATTTTGCTGAAAATCAATTTCCCTCTGCAAAATTTCATAGAAAACCTCAATTTCCCCACCAAAACCCCGCAAAACCACCCAGAAACACCCAAAAACCGCCGGCTCCCATTTTTCCCCCGCAAAAAAAATAATTGTGTGCATTTGTGCGTCGCCTTCGGTGCATGCACACAATTCGCCATGGAGCGCACTTCCATTTCTACTTTTATTTCTCCGCCGGTTTCATCTCTTTTCCCCCCGTTTTCTCTCCCCCAATTAAAACAAAATGTGAAAAATGTTTTTTGACAGGCAACCGGAAATATGTTGATTTGATATTGAAAAAAGAGAAGAGAGAAACTATAGATACACAAAAATATGTTGGCGGCAGAAAAAACGATGGAAAACAAGCAACAGCAAAATGAACACAACAACGAGAGTTATTCGAACTTTTTCCCATCGAATTCCAACAATAATCCGATGGCGATGCGAATGATTGCATCGTGGGATATCGATCGAGCTACACCGTCTACTGTGTTGAGGTTGGTGTGTTTTGGGAGCGGGAAATTGATGGGAAATGATGGATTTTTGGTTCTGGAGATAATTTTTCACTGGAAAATTCGGGTTTTTCATCGAAATTTGATGAAATACATGAGTTTGGGCTTGTTTTTGACCAGTTTTGATGGAAAATGCGATTGTGAAGCTGATTTTGATGAAAAATTCAGTTTTTTGAGCAGAAAATAGATGAAAATCATGATTTTCAAGCTAAGGAAATCAATTTTCATTGAAAAAACTGGATTTCTGACAAGAAATGATAGTATTTTATCATTAATCAAGTTATTTCATTGAAAATCACAGTATTCCGTCAGAAATTGGATTTCCCAAGCTAAATTACATGGAAATTGATCTAGAGACCTGGTTTTCAGTCGAAAATTTGGATTTTTCATGAAAATTGCTCTTGAAACCTGGATTTAGGCTTAGTTGACCTAATTCTAGCTGAAAATATCGATTTTTCTTGGAAATTGGCATATTTTCAGTGATTTTCAGCTGAAAAATCGAAATTTCTATGACAATTTAACTCCAGATCTCAATTTTCCACCCTAAAAACGAAATTCTTGTGATTTTTCACCTCTCGAACAATTTTTAGTCTGAAATTTTGATAATTTTTGGAATTAGGCCAATTTTGGACAGGTTTTCCACTTGAAAATCACATTTTTATCAAAATTGTCAAGAAAATTTGATTTTTGACCGAATTTTGGGTCAAAAATTGAGATTTTCTCGAAATTTTGGCTGAAAATCACAGATTTCCAACCAAAAACCACTAAAAATTCCAGTTTTTAATACCAAATCTGAAAATCCCTCTGTTTTTTTTCCAGATTAATCAATGTTTCAATTAATCGGATTGTTTTGGATGGTGTTTCCCCACAATTATCATCGATTATTGTAACCGCAAAATTGCCGGTGAGTTTTTGGGTGAAAATTATTTATTTTTGGCTCAAAATGCTCCAAATTTGGCTCAAAATTCTCCCATTTTTCAGCTTTCCAAAAGGACCCGAAATCTTCGTTCCAACGAGATCAAAGTTAGCCAAAATCAAGGAAAAATCGACCTGAATTGTGATATTTCTTATGCAATTCAATATCCGCATTTTCTGAAAAGGAAATCGAATATTTTACAATTGGTTATTCAAAGAAGAAGAAAGTATAAGAATCGATTGCCGGGAGGTTTCAAGGATTTGGCCATTGGAAATATTAATTTGAATTATGTGAGGATTTTGGGGGTTTTCGGAGGGAATTTGGGATTTTTGAGCTAAAAATTGTGGAAAATGATGAAAAATGACCCAAAATTCATAATTTTCAACCTAAATTTCAAAATTTTCCACTATTTCAAGCTAAAAATCATCAGAAATGACCTAAAATCAATTATTTTCGTTTCTGATTCAACAAAATTTCAAAATTCAAATTTTCTGATATTGTTAGGGTCTCTGAGCGAAAACGTACAGTACTCCTTGATTTTCTGATGAAAAATTTGAATTTTTGGGGATTTTTTGGGTCCCAGAGCGAAAACCTACAGTAATCTCAGATTTTCTGATGAAAAATTTGAATTTTTGGGGATTTTTTGAGTCCCACAGCGAAAAGGTACAGTACTACCTGATTTTCCCGCCGAAAATTCAATTTTTTAGGTCCCGAAGCGAGTTTTGAAAAATTTTACCGAAAAAAACTTGATTTTGTAATGATTTGGGTCTCACAGCGGAAAAGTACAGTACTACCTGTTTTCCCGCCAAAAATGCAATTTTTTGGGTCCCACAGCGAAAAAGTACAGTATACCGCTAAGTTTCCTGCCAAAAATTCAAAATTTCTGATGTTTGTAGGGTCTCAGAGCGAAATCCTACAGTAATCTCTGATTTTTAGAGAGAAAATTTGAATTTTTGGGTCTTGAAAGGACAACTACAGTAAACTCTGATTTGTGTAGTGAAAATTGAATTTTTGGGAAAAATACAGTATCTCGCTATTTTCCCGCCAAAAATTCCAATTTTTGAGAATAATTTTGGACCACTCAGAAATTTTTCAAATTTTTTTTGGTCTCATCACGAAAACCTACAGTACCCCCTCATTTTCCCGCCATTTTTCAGATTATGCAACAAGGTGGACTTCGTGAAATTGCCCTAAACGCAGCCGACAGTGAAATGGAGCTTAAAGGCGCAGGCTTGTGTGTTGGACGAATTGAGCTAACTTCTTGTTATTCGCAAGCACCCGAACATGTGGATGATAGATATAATAAGTCGAAAAAAGTGCCCGAGGATTCGGATGTGAGTGAAATTTGGGGAAAATGATGAATTTTTGACCTGAAATTGAGATTTTTGAGCTTGAAATGAGCTTCTACCCCAAAAAAAAATTATGAGATTTTTTGGACCAGAAATTGACCAGAAAAAAAAATGCAATTTGCAATTTATATTAGTTTTTCGGAATAAATTATTTCCCCCCCAGGAAACTGGATTTTTTGGGGACTGAAAAAAATCACTGTTTCAAAAATTTGATGAAGATTTGATTTCCAGTAGATTTTGAATTTTTTGTTGTGAAAAAAATCCCGAAAAATTTACGTTTCAACATTTTCATAAATTCACCTGAAAATGTTGTCCAATTTGATTTGTTGAATTTGTTGTCGAATTTGATTTTTTGAATTTAAAAATTGAAAAATTCACTGTTTCAAAAATTTGATATTTTTTATGGGAAATTTTGGGTTTTACAAAATTCGTATTTTAAAAATAAAATTTTGAAAATTCACTGTTTCAATAAAAATCAAGGAAAAACCCAATCTGAAAATGTGAACCTGGAATTTTCTGAAAACCTACATTTTTTCACTGTTTCATAATTTTCTTATTGAATAATTTTTCCATTTTTGGTCAGTGTGTAAAGCTGACCGAAAATATTCAGAAAAATTCCATTGTTTCAAAATTTTGTTATGTAAAACATTTTCATTTTTTCTCTAATTTACGGAATATTTTCACCTTCAAAATGTAGTTCAACAAATTTTTACTGTTTCAAAATTATTTTGAATGTTTTGTAATTAAAATAAAATCGATTCCAAGCCTTTAATACCGAAAATCAACATTTTCCATAGGTAAATAATTGTAAGTGGAAAAATTCACTGTTTCAAAGTTTTATTATCAAAAATTGTTCAATTTTCATAACTACTGTTTTGCAAAATGTAATTGGAAAATAATGCTGAAAAATTAGTAGAAAATTTTAAGAATTCACTGTTTCAAAATTGAATCATCAAAAAATCTCCAATTTTGCTCCAGTTAGCCGAAAACTTTTATCGAAAACTTCCCAAATTTTCCAGGAAGACACTGAAACCGACTATGATGACGTGGATGACTTGAACGAAGTTGGAACATCAGCCAGAAGTGGTCACACCGTAAAACCGGGCGACGACAATCCGCGTCGACGCCGCCACAAAAATTTCCGCCAAAAATTGACGAACATGATCAGACGATTCAATAAACAAGGTGGATCTGATGAATTTGTGGCGGAAAATGAGAAAATTCTGGCGAATTCCAAGAGAACTGCGACGGCGCAAGAATTGGAAGCGCTTTTTGAGGAGCTGTCGGATTTCAGTGATTCTGGACCTGAAATGATGCAAGATGATATTTCGATTTGTAGTAATCCGCGGCCGATGCTTCAACCGTTTTTTACGCGAAGTCGAGAGGTTTTGCCAGCGATTTATGATGGGGTAAGAGAGTTTTGGGAGGGAAAATGCTGAATTTCGAACTGGATTTGAAATTTGGCGATTTTTGAATGTGAAATGGTCTTGCCACGAGAATTTGCTACAAAATTGTATTTTCCATGAAAATTTAGGTCTCGGAACGATTTTCATAGCTCTACACCTAAAAAATCGCTTCAGGACTCATTTTTTAATGAAAAATCCGATTCTTTCGGTCCAGAGCTTGGAAAATCGCTTCGAGACCCAATTTATTATGAAAAATTCGATTTTTTTGCTTGTGGACCTCTGAAATCCAGATTTCCACGGAAAATCCGATTTTTCCGACCCAGAGCTCGGAAAATCGCTGCGAGACCCATTTTTTGATGAAAAATCCGATTTTTACGGTCCAAAGCTTGGAAAATCGCTCCAGGACTCATTTTTTCATCAAATTTTTAGAAAAATCCACGTTGCAAAATTGTTTCATACTGTGATTTTAGGTTAGAATTTTGGGGCTCAAAAATTACAGTACCCTAAATGTCATCTCCCGCCAAAAATTACAGTAATCTGATAAGTTTTGGCCTGAAATTAAATTTTGAAAATCCACGTGGCAAAATTTTCCGGTGTCAAAAATTCTGAATTTTTATCCCAAAATCCAATTTTCTACCAAAAATTTCTGATTTTTCTCCAAAATTATAATTTGAGGTCTAAAAATCCTCAAAAAATGATGAAAGGTTCTAAATTTTGATCCAAAAATTCAGAAAATTTGGAAATTTCACTATAACTACAGTAATCCAGGCCTAAAAATTCCCAAAAATTCACGATTTTCCCACCCAAACCCCCGAATTTTTCCAGCAAGAAGCATCAGAATCAGAAGGTGAAAAAGAGGAGAATTGTTGGTCATCTGAGGCCGAAAACAACACGAAAGAAAATCAGAAAAAACAATCAAACCTAACTCAAAAATTCTCGCTGAACAGTCATCAAGAAGAGCCAGAAAATAGCAAGAAAATACGACTTATCTCAAATTCTTTTGATAATTCTACGAATTTGACACATTCCACAACTTTTGGATCGATTTTGGATAGAAAAACGACGAATTTCAGCAGTCTCACTGAACAGTTGGCTCAATTAAATTTGGGCTCTTCTTCGTGTGATGGCGAAATTGCGGTGTGGTTGTGTAATTTGCAAGATTTTCCGCATTTCGCGCAACTCTCGCCGCATTTAAATTTGATTAATTGCCCCAATAGTTTGTGTGTCAAACAGACGATTAATCATGTGGTTATGAGGATTCAGAATTAGTGAGTTTTTGCGGGGAGTTTTGGGGGCTAAAAATCCAGGTTTAGGCTAATTTTTGAGCTCAAATTTGAGCTTAAAATGCTCAAAATCACCTAGAAAAAAATTGTTATTTTTTGAGCTCAAAATTGAGCTGAAAATGCTCAAATTAACCCTGAAAATTTGGCTGAAAATCCTGTGATTTTTAAAATTTTCCTCATTTTTTCACTGTTTCAAAAATTATTTATTTTAATTTTTTCAATATAATAATTGCTTGAGTTTGAAAATAAAAAAAATTTACTGTTTCAAAATTTTTCGAAAATTTAATCCAATCAAAATTATCTCAGAAAGTGTCCTGACAGCCGTCGGCGAGAAAATCTCGCCAGCTAGCACGCGAGCCGGCAGACGGCCGTCCATTTCTCGCATTTTTCTGGCGAGACCTCGCCAGTTCTCGCTGCTAGCTAGCGCTTGTCTGTTGTTTTTGCAGTTCATAGAGCTTGTTTTGAAAGAATTTATTAAACAAAAAACACTTCATTTATCGGAATCCTGTGTATGTCGAAGTGTGGAGGGTGATGTGTTGTTTTCCAGGCTGCGAAGAGTTGGTTGATGATTGTAGAATCTGAAATGTTCAATCATGTTTAAAACTTCGTTTGAAAAATATAGGGCATTGGGAAATGAGAAATAATGTAGTCATTTTTGAAGTTTTTCAAGTTTCATATTCAGGTATCCCATTATCTGCAAAATGAAAAAACACTGCAGAGGGAGCTTTCATTGTCTAGAAAACACAACGAGCCAAAATTACAAGGTTTTCGTAGAAAGTGAGTCAGTGCTGACAAGCGATTTAGGAGCTTGACTTGACAATGACATGGCAATTACTTGGCAACTACTTATTCCTATCACTATCAATTTTCTAAAAGTAATGATGTTCTAATTTATCAAGCACTGATGGAAAAATACAATCAAATACATTTCTAGATGAGTAACAAACATGAATATAGAATTTTCCATTCGAAGTTCATATAGAATGAGTTCTTTTCTCATGAAATCGATTTGTTCCTACACTAGAGCATGATTTTAAAACTACTGGGACTTAGGAACCAAAGCTTTCATTCAAACCACCTTACCTTACACATTTTATCAAAAATATTGTTGTGTTGCTCGTCCATCCCGCCATTTCAGTCGAAAACATCGCTTCAAACATCGAGAGCCCTGTAAAATAGGTTTACACTAATTTACTGAATTAAAAATCATCTGCACTCACCAAAAACACATTTTCATGTCACGAAGGTGCCTGGCAATGTGCTCCGTCTCCATTCCAACACTTTGCGACGTTGCTTGCATGTTTTCTGTGAAAATTTTCGATGAAAAAGGCATAAAAAGATTTTAGGCCAAAAAATTCGAAAAAAAATGAAAAAGGAAATAGACGAGCAAATCTGCTCCAGTCGCAATTTTTTCTGTCCGCTAGCTGGCGGCGAGAAGATGCGCTCGATCCTCCCCTTTTTATGAGAATGCGAGCTGGCGGACAGCCTCTGCTAGCTTTCGACAGCTCGCAACCTCGCGGACGGCTGTCAGGACACTTTCTGAGATTGGTGTTCCAACAAAATTTTCTTCTGAAAAATCACTGTTTCAAAAATTTTATACATTTTCAAGGTTGAAAAAATTATTTTGATAATACACCAGGATAAATAATTTTTAAAAATTCACTGTTCCAATATTTTTCGAAATTTTTTTGGATGAAAAATCAGTTCGATGGGTCAATGGAAACGAAAAATCCATAGCAAAATTATAATTTTTCACTGTTTCAATATTTTTTTTAAATGTTAACCAAATAGTCTGGATTCAAGAAAAAATGCACTGTTTCAAAATTTTGCTGAAAACTGGAGATTTTCTTCGAAATTTTGGTAATATCATTTCATTTAATGTCAAAAAATGTACATTTTTCATTTAAAAATATTGCTGTTTCAAAAATTTTCCAAATTTATTTGATTCTTGAATTTCTGATATCGTACCTGCTACAACAAATAAACATATTTGAAATAGTGAATTTTTTTATCGAAAGAATCCTGTATATAACCAAAATTTCCAAGAAAAATCCATTTTTTCGTGAATTTTTGAAACAGTAAATTTTTTCAAGACATTTGTCTGCCTTTAAACCATGAGAAGCAAAAAATATTCTATAAAACCCCCAAAAATCAATTTTGGAATCATTCAACAAAAAAACATGAATATCTATATTTTCTTGATTTTTGCTGTTATGTCTCCTGAAGATACACCTGGCCTTATACGATTTGGCAAAAAATAATTGAATTCTTGGCATTTTTTTTGAATAAAAGTTGAATTTTAGCTTATTTTTTGAGCTAGAAATGCATGATTTTCGGCTGTAAAAATTGTTCGCTATATGCTTGAAACAGTAAATTTTTTTCGGTAATTTTTTCTGAATTTTTTCAGGAATTGTCTCAGTTTTACCAAAACTTGCAAGAAAATCCAATTTTTCGTGAATTTTTGAAACAGTGAAATTTTTTCTGAATTCAGATATTATTACCAATATTTCAACATAAAACCTTTGAAACAGTGAAATTCATAGAAAAAATAGATTTTTTATGCAAATTTGCAATCACCAAATTTCCAAAAGAAATCTAATTTTAGGCAAATTTCTGAAACAGTGAATTTTTTCAAGGGGAATATTGAAAAAAAAGTGAAATTAATTGCCCTATGAGGATCTTTTCATTTTTTTTTTCAATTAATTTGACTGAATCATCCTAAATATAACGATAAATTAGCAAATTTTCCAAAAAAAAATCTAATTTTTGGCAAACTTTTGAAACAGTGAATTTTTCCCATGATTTTTTCTGAATTCTGATTCATTGAAATAGAAAATCAATTTTCATAAATATTTTAACACAAAACCATTTTTGAAACAGTAAAATTTTTATTGAAAATATTGATTTTTGGAATAAAAAACAAAACACTACCAGATTTCAATAACAAGGTCCAATTTTCGTGAATTTTTGAAACAGTGAATTTTTTTTTGAATTCAGATTTTTTGCACATATTCATTTTTGAAATGGCTAACAACTTGAAATCAAATTTTCCAAGAAAAATCCATTTTTTCGTGAATTTTTAACCAATATTCATTTTTTTTGCAGCTGTAATTCAAATTCCTCCAACCCACCAACAACTTGTATTGGAATAATCGGAACTGATCGAATATTCTCACAATGTGTTCGTGCCTATGTCGAATCTCTTGCCCATAAATCCTCCTCAAATTGGATTCAATATCTCCGATTTGTCCCGCTTCCATCGCCAAATTCGCTATTCTCAAAAATCACTGAAAATATCGACGCAAATTTGGATTCGCTTTGCAAAGAACTCTGGGATAGATTTGCGGAAATGACGAGTTCCGAGAAATCCGGCTATTCTGCGCGACTTTTGGGTTATTCGATGGGAAAGACTGTGGCGATGGTGAATTTGCCGATTGGAGAAGCCATGTTGCAAATGACGACGGATTCGGAGAGCGGTGGAAGGATTTTTTTGCCGTTTTTGTGTGAAGGTTGGTGTTTGAGGGGGAAATTGGGTAGAAAATGAGCTGGAAATTGAAAAAAAATGAGCTAAAATCATGTTTTGAAGCTGAAAATCAACTGAAATTCATGATTTTTGCTCGAAAATGAGCCAGAAATCGAGAAAAATGATATAAAAATAGTTTTGGAGCCAAAATTCCGAAAATAGAGCATTTTACTGAAAAATAAGCAAAAATTCATAATTTTTGCTTGAAAATTAGCCAAATTCAGCATTTTGCTAAAAAATCTGCTGAAATTTAAGATTCTCTATCCAAAATTCATGATTTTTGGTCAAAAATGAGCCGGAAATCTGAAATTTTCATCAAAAAATCTGAAAAGCTGATCAAAAGTCCAATTTGGTAGCTATAAAATTTCACTGTTTCAAAAATAAAGTTTGATAAAATTTTTAAATTTTGGATTTGATTGAATCCTGTAAATTTCTAGATCAAATAATTTTTTTGAAAAATATTGTTCTTAACTAGAAATATTGATTTTCAAGCCAGAAATAAAATTTTCAGTCAAAAATTCACAGAAAAAGCAGTTTTCTTCCTGGTTTTTTATTCAAGCATTCATATTTGAAATCCAGAAATTTTTCACTGTTTCAAACTTATTGTTAAAATTTGTGTGAAAAGATTGTTTGATAGCCTCTTTTTTTTTTAATTGATAAAAAATTCCAAAAAATACTGTTTCAAAAATGTTATAGCTTTTTATTCAAATTCTGTTCTGTCAATTGAATGTTTTTAAAAAAATACGGAAAAAATTCACTGTTTCAATAAAATAACTAATTTTTTGTCGGAAAGTTTAGATTTGATGTATCTGGGGCTGTTCCAACTAATTTTCTAGCTCAAATATGTTTTGAAAAAAAACATAAATTCAACTTTTAAATATTGATTTCCAAGCTGAAAATCAAGTTTTGAAGTCAAAAATTTTCCGGAAAATCAGTTTTCTTACTGGTTTATTGTTCAAAAAATCATTTTTTGAAATCCAACTATTTTTCAACTTTTCAGTCAGGAATTGACTTGATTTTCATCTGAAAAAGCATTTTTCCTCCCTGGTTCTTCATTCAAAAATTCATACTCAAAATTCATAGTTTTTCACTGTTTCAAACTTTAAATTTGTCTGAAAAGTGCTGGAAAGCTTTGATTTTATTTTATGAGGTTCGATATTTTATTTTTGCAACGAAAAATCCCAGAAAAATACCCGGAATTTGTATGTTTCAAAAAATCTATGAAGGTTTTCTTGACGAAAAATTCCAATCTTCGAAGTTCCAAGATCAAACCTCACCCAAGAACCTGGAGGAGTGGGTAAAAATTGCCCACCTGGGTTTATTTTAAAAAATTGCCCACCTACTAAAAAAATTTGCCCGCCTAAGGCTCGCCCTAAAGACCCTAAAAAAAATTTGCCCGCCTAAGGCTCGCCTTAAAGACCCTAAAAAAATTTGCCCGCCTAAGGCTCGCCTTAAAGACCCTAAAAAAATTTGCCCATCTAAGGCTCGCCTTGAAGACCCTAAAAAAAAATTTGCCCACTTAAGGCTCGCCTTGAAGACCCTAAAAAAAATTTGCCCACTTAAGGCTCGCCTTGAAGACCCTAAAAAAATTTGCCCACCTAAGGCTCGCCTTGAAGACCCTAAAAAAATTTGCCCACTTAAGGCTCGCCTTGAAGACCCTAAAAAAATTTGCCCACTTAAGGCTCGCCTTGAAGACCCTAAAAAAATTTGCCCACCTAAGGCTCGCCTTAAAGACCCTAAAAAAAATTTGCCCGCCTAAGGCTCGCCTTAAAGACCCTAAAAAAATTTGCCCGCCTAAGGCTTGCCTTAAAGACCCTAAAAAAAAATTTGCCCATCTAAGGCTCGCCTTGAAGACCCTAAAGAAAATTTGCCCACTTAAGGCTCGCCTTGAAGACCCTAAAAAAAATTTGCCCACCTAAGGCTCGCCTTGAAGACCCTAAAAAAAATTTGCCCACCTAAGGCTCGCCTTGAAGACCCTAAAAAAAATTTGCCCACCTAAGGCTCGCCTTGAAGACCCTAAAAAAATTTGCCCACCTAGATTTTTCGAAAAAAAATTGCCCACCTGGAATTCCAGGTATTGGGTGAGGTTTGTTCCAAGATTTCTAGCAAAAAAGGTCCCAAAAAACTTCAATTTTTCACTGTTTCAAAAATTGTTCAATACATTTCTGAAGAAAAATGTTTGTTCTTCTACAGTTTTTTTTAAAGAATAAAAATGTCATTAAAATTTTTCGCGCTAAAAAATCCACGAAAATTCAAATTTCTGACAGAAATTATGTTTATCAGCTCAAAATCCACAAAATTTACTGTTTCAAAAAATATTGAAATTTTTTCAATGGAAAATTTGAATTTGATGATCCCTTTCTTACAAGTTCAACTTAATTTAAATTTTCAAATAAAAATACATACAAGCTTCTTCTCATTAATAAATTAATTTTTTCCCCTGCTTAAATTAAAAATGTTCACTGTTTCAAAAGTTAACGAAAATTGTGTTCTTGACCAGAACCTCATTAATTCTCATATGGCTTGTTCAAAAATCTACTGTTTCAAACATGGTTCATATTTTTGGTTGAAAAATTGAGTTTGATAATAACGTAGCTCACACATCAGATAGTTCACGATCAAAAATAAATGAAAAATTTGAACTTTCAACCTGGATTTTGATTTTCTAGCTCAAAATCTATTTTTTTTTCAAACGAAAAATTAGGATAAAAATTTTACTGTTTCAATATATATTGAACTTTTTTTGTGAAAAATTGAAATTATTTCATGACAGTTTGGTCTACCAAAAATTAAAAAGAAGGCTGAAAATCCAGTTTTCTAGCTAAAAATCTCATATTATTCAATCAAAAAACCAATTTTCTAACCCAAAAAATTCACTGTTTCAAAAATAATTCAATATTTTTTGTGAAAAAGGTAGTTCGATACGTATTCCAGAAATGTCCGAATTTTCTAGCTCAAAAATCAATAAAAAATAGTTTATTTTTTCAAACCAAAAATTTGAATTTTTTCTACTGTTTCAGAAAATCTATGAAAAAGAATTCCTGACGAAAAATTCAAATTATTCATTTTGGTGAGAAAAAAAAACTGAAAATAAAATTTCTATTCCAAAATTTCATGAAAAATCCCATTTTCCAGCTCAGAAAATCTGCAAATCAATTTTTAAACCCGAAATTCTACCAAAAATCAAGTTTCTAGCTCAAAAAACCTCGAAAATCCCGAATTTTCCACATAAAACCCTCCATTTTTGCAGTCCGAGTCGGAAATCAACAACAACACGCGGAAATTGGAACCGATGAAGATTCGGGTGGAAATGGAAATGGAAATGGACCATCCGCCTCTTCAGCTACTCAAAAAAATCAAGAAAATATTGTTGTAACCTCACCAAGAGCCGAAGATTCGCCACCAAATTCACCACATTTGAGAAATAATGTCGATGGACAAGAATTGAATATTGATTATTGGATAAATTCGAATTTGGGAAGTTTTCCGACTTCGGAAAATGTTGGAAATTTGGCTGGAAATAATGGAGGGCCACCAACACCGAATTCGAAAAAAGACGCGGCAAAAGTGACGGCCAAAGGACATTTTAAAACGCTTTTTGTGTCGAGGTAAGCGGGGTTTTGGGAAAAATAACTGAAAATCATGATTTCTCACGGAAAAATGATCTAAAACATACGAAATACAGTATTTTTGGCGCCAAAATTAATGACAAATCACAAGTTTTTTTTTGATAATTTCTTGAAACAGTGAAATTTTCAAATGAAAATATAGTTTTTTTTAATTTCAAAAATAAAGAATCTGAAATTTTTGAAATGAAAAACTCATCAAATTTCCAAAAAAAAAAATTACAAGTTTTATAATAATTTTTTGAAACAGTGAGAAATTTTGATTTTTTTGGACAAAGCTATGTTCAGTTCAATTTACTAAATCTGTCATAAACCACAATTTTTTGAAACAGTAGATTTTTTTCTGGAATTTTTTATTTTTAAAATTTTCAGAAATCTGAATTTTCGATATGAAATAAGAAATCTCATCAAATTTCCAGAAAAATCACAAGTTTTATAATAATTTTTTGAAACAGTGAGAAATTTGGATTTTTTTGGACATATTGTCCATTTGGAAATGAGATTCACCCCGCGAAAAAATAAATTTGAATTTGAGAAAATCTCTAATTTCCCCCTACCCCCGCGACGCGTGTGCGTTGCGGTCGCTCTCCCATACAAAACCCCCGTTGGCTGTTTGCCAGTTCACTCTCTCGCTGTCTGCGTCTCCTGCAGCAAATTCAAATTTATTTTTTCGCGGGGTGAATCTCATTTCCAAACGGACAATATCTAATGTGCGAACACTAAATCCGTCATAAATCACAATGATTTATCAATTTTTTGAAACAGTAGATTTTTTTCTGAAATTTTTTCATCAGATTTTGAATTTTTGATAAGATTTTGAATTTTTGAGAAGCCTTGGATTCTTTTCCTTGGAAATCAACATTTTATTTTTTTTGGAAAAAAAAATCAAAAAATAAAGAATCTGAATTTCATCAAATTTCCAGAAAAATCACAAATTTTTTGATAATTTCTTGAAACAGTGAGAAATTTTGATTTTTTTTGGACACAGTTATGTTCAATTCACTAAATCCGTCATAAATCACAAGTTTTTTGATTATTTTTTGAAACAGTAGATTTTTTTCTGGAATTTTTTATCAGATTTTTAATTTTTGAGAAGCCTTGGATTCTTTTCCTTGGAAATCAACATTTTATTTTTTTTTCGGAAAATTTTTTTGAAAAAATAATATTTTTATTACTCAAATATTGATCAATTTGAATCTAGAAAACTGAATTTTCTCTTCGAAAAAATGGGGATTTTTGAATTAAGAACCAACTCAGTTAATACTTCCAAAGCAGTTAAAAAAAATATGATAAATTGTTGAAACAGTGAATTTTTTTCCAGAATTTTTTCATCCAAAAACCTCATTTTTTTTCACAGATCTTCAAGCACCGGAACTCTCGCTCTCACATATTTGAAAGAAAAACGAAAAGATAAAATGCTCCAAAAATTGGGAATGAAAAAAGGACAAAAGCAGCGACAAGAGGGAGAAGAACCGATTATTATACAATCAATTGGAAGAATGTTGTGTTGTGCAAGTGGAAAACATAATGAATTGATGAGTGAGTTTTTGGGGAAATTTTGGGAATTTTTGAGCTAAAATTTGAGATTTTCGAAGGTTTTTGAGCCTAGAAACGAAGAAAATTGATTTTCCAGTATTCTGGCTGAAAATTCATGATTTTTGAGCTTGAATTCGAAATTTTTGGTGAAATTTGAGCCTAGAAACACGAAAAATTATTCCTAAAAAATCACTGTTTCAAAATTATTTTGAATAAAAAATTGAGCATTTTTGTGGATTTACATTCTTTCTCATGGCCAAAATTTTAATTTTTAGTTCAAAATTTTGAAAATGACTTTTTCAGCTAGGTTCTAGTTTTCTGGGTGAAAATTCATGTTTTTTGAGCTTGAATTTAGAAATTTTTGATGAATTTTCAGCCCAGAAACAATACAAATTATTCCTTAAAAATTCACTGTTTCAAAATTATTTTTAATGAAAAAATTGAGAATTTTTGTGGATTGGCCTAGTCCGCTCTCATCCAAAATTTTAATTTCTAAAATAAAAAACCTGAAAATGAATTTTTCAGCTAGATTCTTGTTTTCTGGCTGAAAATTCATGATTTTTGAGCTTGAATTCAAAATTTTTAGTGAATTTTGAGCCTAGATACACGAAAAATTATTCATGAAACATTCACTGTTTCAAAATTGTTTTGAATAAAAAAATGGAATTTTTGTGGATTGGCATAGACTCCCATTTTTCCAAAATTTTAATTTTTAGAAAAAATTCTGAAAATGGATTTTTCAGCTAGATTCTAGTATTCTGGCTGAAAATTCATGATTTTGAGCTAAAATTTGAGATTTTCGAAGATTTTTTGAGCCCAGGAACAATACAAATTATTCCTTGAAAATTCACTGTTTCAAATTTATTTGAATAAAAAAATTGAGAATTTTTGTGGATCAATATACTCTATTGTTTTCCAAAATTTTAATTTTTAGGTAAAAATTCTGAAAATGGATTTTTCAGCTAGATTCTAGTATTTTGGCTGAAAATTCATGATTTTTGAGCTTGAATTCAAATTTTTGGTAAATTTTGAGCTTAGAAACACGAAAAATTATTCTTGAAAAAATCACTGTTTCAAAATTATTCTAGATAAAAAATTGAAAATTTTCGTGGATTAACATTCTCTCCTGCATTTTAATTTTTAGATAAAAATTCTGAAAATGAATTTTTCAGCTAGGTTCTAGTATTCTGGCTGAAAATTCATGATTTTTTAGCTTGAATTCCAAAATTTTTGGTGAATTTTGAGCCTAGAAGCACGAAAAATTATTCATGAAAAATTCACTGTTTCAAAATTGTTTTGAATAAAAAGTTCAGAATTTTCGTGGATGAAGTCATATTCGAAAGTACAGAAAAAATCAAAATTCTGAAATTTATCACTCTTTTCTGAGAATTTTTCACCCAGAATCAATTTTAGATGATTTTTGACTGAAATTCCTGATTTTTTACACTAAAACGTCTTGAAATAAAATTCACTGTTTCAAAATTTTTTTATTAAAAATTTGAAAATTGAAATTTTGATAACTATATTTCGCCTGCTCGTATATAAATACTGGAACTTGACTAATGAAAAAATTCACTGTTTCAAAATTATTCCAAAATTTGAATTTTTATGGAATTTCTGATATTCTATCTGATTTACGTTTCAAATTCAAAAATGTTTTTGAAAATTAGAATTTTTGAAAAATTTGATAACAGTTTTCTTGAAAATCATTTTTCACCAAAAAATTTCTGAAATTAATTTTTTTTTCTTATGGGGCTATTCAAGTATTTTCTCAACACGCTGAGAAAACAGGAGAAAAGCGGAGAAAATGCATTTTCTTCACTTTTTTCGTATTTTCTCAGCTTACCTGAATAGGTTTTCTTCGCTTTTCTCAGCGTTGAGAAAATAACTTGAATAGCCCCATTAAAAAAATCCTAGAAAACTACAGAAAACCTAATAGAAAATTCGAACAATTTTCACTGTTTCAAAAAATGTTGGAAATTTAGTTTTTTTCTGAATTTTTGATATTGTGTCCGAATTTATTCAAAAAAAATCACTGTTTCAAAATATTTATATTTTTTCTGAAAATTCAAGAAAAATCTTCAAAATTTTACTGAAAATCCCAATTTTTGCAGTAATAATCGACGGAATACCGTACTCTGGAATTCGTTATTTCCAAACTGTTCCACAATGGCAAACTCACGTCAAATCCTTCCCAATCGCCATTTTTGCCTGAATTTTTTTTAATTTTTTGCATAATTTTTGTATTTTTCTCTGTATAATAGTTGTATTTTTCATCATATTTTGCATAATTTTGCCCCATTTTTTCCCCGAAATTTTTTGCCCCAAAACACGGTTATTTATGAGCTTTTTCTGGACCATTCCTCCTGAATAAATTTTACCAAATTTTAATTTTTGAACAGAAATTTTGCTTGATTTTGTTGTGCCTAACCCAGTTTTGCTATTTTTGAACTTACCCGAATGTTTTTCCAGATTTTTCAAAATTTCAGAATGTTCAATGAGAATCAATTTTCAACCAGGCCACCGATGGTGAATAAGGTGAGTGTTTTTGGGCGGGAAATTTTGAAAATTGAAAAAAATTGGAGATTTTTGAATGTAAATTTTAACGCAAAAAATTGATTTTGAAAATTATACCAAATTTTATTTTCGATTTCAAACATTGTTCATTTTTCCCAAATTATTATGTAGAAAAATTGAAACAGTGAAAAAATTTGAAAATTTGAATTCCGAGAAATTCGAGGAAATTTTGTAACAAAATTTTCTGGGATTTTTTCCGAAAAATTCACTGTTTCAAAATTATCATAGATTTCAATTTTTTGAAAACAAAACAGTCCTGTTAAGCAGTATATGTGGAAAAATAAACACATCAAAAATCCACGTGGCATTTTTTTGCGGTCAAAAATTTGGAGAATTTTGAGTGTAAATTTGACCGAAAAAAATTAATTTCAAAAATTTTTTATTCTTGGTGCCGAAAATTATACCAAATTTTATTTTCTTTTTTTTTTCGAAATAAAACAAAATAAATTGGAGAATTTTGTGTGTAAATTTGACCTAGATTCATTGGTCCCCGAAAATTGTGAAATTAAAAAGTTCACTGTTTCAAAAAATCCTATTATTTTTGGTGAAAATTCAATACGTTAATTCAGTTTTTTTGAAACAGCAAATGTTTTTTCTCAAAAATTATACGTTTCAAAATTTCAATGAATATTTCGAATTGGTTTTTTGAACAATATGTACAATCATTGAAGTTGATTCAAAAAATATTGTAATTTTTTTCTAAAACAAAATAAATTGGAGAATTTTGTGTGTAGATTTGACCCGGATTCATTGGTCCCTAAAAATTGTAAAATCAAAAAAGATGCCAAAAAAATTCACTCTTTCGAAAAATTCTTATTATTTTCGGTGAGGAAAATTGCATTCAGTATTTTAACATTTTTGAAACAGTAAATGTTTTTCCTCCAAAAATTATACGTTTCAAAATTTCAATGAATTTTTCAAATTTGTTTTTTTAACAATACATTTCTTTAAAAAATAAGACATTTTTGAAACAGTGATTTCTTCTAGATAACAAAAAAATACATAGACTAACTTATTCAATTCTGAATCGCTTCCATTCCACAAATCGCCCCATCATCCGCCCAATACTCCGGCAAATCATCCATTTTCCTTGATAAACCCGGAAAAATGATTGCCCAATTCGAAACTTCACATCCAGCCTTAAAACAACCATTTGGTTGCCTTACTAGCCAATTAAAACCCGCTGAGCCCGTCGTTTTTCCATCAGTCCATACAAACATATTTGAAGGGGTGCAGGAGGCAGTGCTCAGGCTCTCCGTGGTTTTACAATTGTCAGATCGAACAGCTCCGATTGCCATGTAGACTATAGAATCGTCGTGATCAGCCACTTCTTGAGACATCTTGGAAAGTTAAGTGAGATCTTGGAAACCTGTTAGAACTGCGGAGATTCCCCAGGGTGACCATTCCATAAGCCGGGCGGATGCACCAGGAATAAGAACCTCTGTTGAAGAGTGTCCACGTGGCGTCCAAGCAACGCCACGTTTTTTGAACTTGCGAACATGAATTGGTGGAAGAAATGAACAATGAGATGAGAAAAATTGGAAGCATTTTATTGGAACATAAAAAAATATGCTTACACTTAAATAGAATTTTTTTTACGGTACCGTCATAAAATTAATAGGGCCCTATCAAAGTTTTCTACAAAAAATTCAATATTTCCGAAAACAAAATCAATTGAAAATTTTAATAAGAATGATTTATAAAAATTTTGAAACGTAGAAAATTTTGGAAAATTTACTGTTTAAAAAAATGCATACATTTTTTGTTGTTGTTGGAAATCCAGTTGTGCTAGAATTGTGGGGTAATTCAGGTAAAAAAAAACGTTTTTTAACATAAAACAATTCTAAAAAAATTCACTGTTTCGGAAAATGTTTGTTAAATAAAATCAATTGCAAATTTTGATGAAAAAAAAGCATAGAATTTTGAAACGTAGAAATTCTTGGAAAATTCACTGTTTCAAAAAATGCATACATTTTTTGTTGTTGTTGAAAATCCAGTACATATCCCAATGTTTAGGGTTTTTCTGAAAAAAATAAATACATTGAAAATCCACGTGGCATCGATTTTTGACGCTAAAAAATGTTCACTGTTTCAAAAAAATCTAGAATTTAATGAGTGAACATTTTTTAATGCAATTTTCGCGCTAAAATAAATTCCACGTGGATTTTCAATGTATTAATTTTCCCGAGATATCGATCTACTGAACTATTGGATTTTCAACAACAACAAAAAATTTTATTCGTTTTTTGAAACAGTGAATTTTCCAAAAATTTTCTACGTTTCAAAATTCCATGCATTTTTCGCATCAAAATTTTCAATTGATTTTATTAAACAAACATTTTCCGAAAAAATTGTTTTCCAAATTCTCAAATTTGAAAAAAATTTGATAGGGCTCTATTAATTTAATGACTGAATCGTAAAAAAAATTATATTTAAGTGTAAGCATATTTTTCTGTGTTCAAATAAAAATGCTTCCAATTTTTCTCATCTCATTGTTCATTTCTTCCACCAATTCATGTTCGCAAGTTCAAAAAACGTGGCGTTGCTTGGATGCCACGTGGACACTCTTCAACAGGGGTTCTTATTCCTGGTGCATCCGTCCGGCTTATGGAATGGTCCCCTTAGGAAATGCCAGCTCCCTCTGTCAAGATCTGGATAGCTCCGCAGTTCTAACAGGTTTCCAAGATCTCACTGAACTTTCCAAGATGTCTCAAGAAGTGGCTAATCACAACGATTCTATAGTCTACATGGCAATCGGAGCTGTTCGATCTGACAATTGTAAAACCACGGAGAGCCTGAGCACTGCCTCCTGCACCCCTTCAAATATGTTTGTATGGACTGATGGAAAAACAACGGGCTCGGCGGGTTTTAATTGGCTAGTAAGGCAACCAAATGGTTGTTTTGAGCCTGGATGTTCAGCTTCGAATTGGGTAGTCATTTATCCCGGATATTCGGGGAAAATGGATGATTTTTGGGAGGATTGGCTGGTTAATGGGGCGATTTGTGGAATGGAAGCGATTCAGAATTGAATAAGTTGGGGTCTATGTATTTGTTCTCTGCATGAATGATTTATTTCATTTTGTTCTAGAAAAAATCGCAATATTTTTTGATGAAATAGTTGAAAACCAAATTGAAGAATTTCAAGTTATTACGTGGCAGTTTTTACGATTTCGAAAAAAAGTAATGATATTTACTACTTTGATAAAAACTGCCACGTAATAACTTGAAATTCTTGTGCCAAAAAATTGATTTGAAAAAATTTACTGTTTTAAAAAATCTTGAATTTATCGCTTTCAAAATTCAATTCATTCATTTTTTTGAAAACTATGACTTTGCCATAATAACTCAATTTTTTCCTCCCAAAAAAATACTCAAAATCTTCATTTCAAAAAATCCAACAAAATCCTATAAATCATCCCGGTTTCACACGAAAAAACCGCGCGAAAATGAAAATAACTCGACCAAATTGTTGAGAAATACGCACGTTTCCACGGTTTTCTACCACCAATTCGAACCCAAGTTTCGCTAACTTTGATCACCTGAAAATCCACGTGGAATTTAGTTTTGAAGCGAAAAATGGGGAATTTTGAGTGTAAATTTGGAAGGGGTTTTTTTTTGAGCCAAAAAATTCACTGTTTCAAAAATTCTCAAATTTTTGCTCGGAAAAAATTACTTTAATTTCATGAGATAATTGTAACTGTGAAAAATCAATAAATTGTGTTTGCCACGTCATAACTCGAAATTTTGACGCTGAAAATTCTGAAAAATCCACGTGGCAACATTTTTTACAGCAAAAATATGGAATTTCAAATTAAAAAATTTTCACTGTTTCAAAAAATTTTGAATTTTTCGGTGGAAAAAATTAATTCAATTTCAATAAATTTATAATTTAGTGTTTCAAAATATCTCAAATTTTGTCAGAAAATTAAAATTATTCAAGTATATCGATCAAATTTCAAAAAAAAAAAATCAATAATTTCCTCATGCCACGTCATAACTCACATTAGCCGATTGCAAATTCTGTCCCAACAAAAATTTGTCAACAAACTGAGACTTGTTAAAAACGCGCCCATTTTCATCCATAAATCTCATTCCACTATGAATTTTGGCGATTAATTTCCGACGATTCTTCGATTTCAGAAGTTCGCCGAAGTCCGTCCAGAATTTCTGAGCCACTTCGAATAATTTCGCCTCTTTTGGAGAGTTGTAGAAGATTTTTGAGTGAACTTGGGATGAAGTTAGGATAAATAGGAGAAGGAGGAGGATTATAGGGATTTTCATTATTTTGAAATGAAAAATGAGCCGAAAATCTGGGAATTTCTGACATTTTTGAAAAGAAAAAATACCAGATGTTGGATTTTTTAAATCTGGAATCGAAAATCATCAAAATCAAAGAGAAATCCGGAAATTCTCATAGAAATTTTGAAACCTAAAATTTACGGGGTAAAAATCCGATAATAATAATAAAATATTCAAAAAAATTTTGAATTTTGATGTAATTTTGAAACAGTGGTTTTTTTTTCAAAGAGGAAAAAATTACTGTTTCAAAAAAAAATGATAGTGAGCGATTTCAAGACAAATTTTGAGATGAGAAAATTCACTGTTTCAAAATTTGTTCATCTATTCAAAAGTTTTCAACAATCATTCCAATTTCTGCTGGTGGGTCAAAATTTAATTTAAAAATTATTTAATTCTTTTTCCCGCCAATAATTTCACATAAAAATCTCATTTGCCAGAAAAAATTGGCTGATTCATAATTTTTAAAATTTTTTTTTTTCGAACCCAAAAATTTCATAATAATATTTTTTATTTCGAAAAATTTTGGTTTTTGTAATGTTTCCAAAATCTCAATAAACAATTCATCAAATTTCTGAAACAGTAAATTTTTTAAATAAAAAATTGAAAGACTCAATTTTTTCAAAAAATTTCCGAAAAATACATGAAAACTTTGAAACAGTAGATTTTTGAAAATAGGTTTATTGCCGCCCAAATTTATTTCAGTTTTTTCCGTATCCACTATTTTATCCCTATATCAAAATTCAAAAATTATCGAGAAAAATTCATGTAATTTTTGAAACAGTGAAATTTTTTAAATCGAAATATCTCCTAGAAATTTCGAAATCCAAAAAATGACTCATCATGTTTTTTATTGATGTTTTTCAGAGTCAAAAATTTCATTCTTCGAAAGTTAATTGATTTTGAGATTTTTAAGGGATTTTCTAGAGGAAAAGTTTTTCAAACTCGAAAAAATTTACTGTTTCGTGGTCAAAACAAAGAAAAAGGGAATAGAAATAAAAAATCTCGAATTTATTAATGAACGTTTTGAAACAGTAAATTTTTCTGGGAAGTTTTTTCAAAAACAGGATCGAAATTCGAAAAATCTCTGAAAAATTCATGTGATTTTTGAAACAGTGAATTTTTTTATTCAAATTTTTTTTGCTGGACAGAAAAAAACTAAACTAGTTTTTTCGTGTTGCAAAAAATAAATTTGAATATTTTTAATTTTCCCTTTTTTAACTTTTCCATAATTTTCTGAAAAAAACGTGACCCATGACGTGGAAAAATTTCGAAAAAAAATTTAAAATTTAATTTTTCTCATTTCAAATTTTCATAAAATCTGGAAATGCCCAATTTTTGTGAGTTTTTTTGGCCTAAAAATTTGATGGTCCCTATATTTTTTCCAGAAATTTCCTGATGTTCTTTTTCAAAAATAGATTTTTTTCCGCCGGAAAATTAGCCTCGTTTTTGGCTAATTTTTCCAAGGGGAAAATTCTTACTGTACCTTTTTTCCAGCTTAAAATTCATCAAAAATTTGAATTTTCAGACAAAAATAGCCTAAAACCATTTTTCTAGCTTAAAATTCATCAATTCCGGGTCAAAAAATCATGAAAATTTTGAATTTTCACCTCTGAATGCACAATTTTCAGCAAAATTTTGAAAATTTCAGATAGACGGTCGTGCTCGAATTCTCCGCCCACAGCCTCAAATCTCCTCTTCCACCCCAACTATGGTCGCCACCACCACCAAAAATCCCACCACAAACAACAACAACAACAATATAGTTAGACAAGTCGTCAAAATTGTGGTTCCACCATCGAATTTGGCGCCAAAACAACAGGTTCAAATACAGAGAGCGATTCCGACTGTTAGTGAAACGATGTTTGCGGAAAGATGTGAGGTTTTTTGGGCTGAAAATTTGAAATTTTCAGGGAATTTTGAGCTGGAAAAGTTTGAAAAAATATTTTTTTTGAAGGAAAAAAATTCACTGTTTCAAAAAATGTTGATAATTTTTTGAAATTTTTTGATTTTGATCTGTGCATGTTCGTTTTCGGTCTAAAATCCCCGAATTTTCAAGCCTCAAAAGCCTATAGCTCCTAATTTCAGGCTTCTGAAGTCTAGGGCTCACAGAAGTCAGATTCAATTTTTTTCCAATTTTTGGCTTCCTGAAATTGAGGATTCTTAAATAAATCTAGAAAAAATCATTTTTTTGAACAAAAAAAATTCACTGTTTCAAAAATTTTTGATAAATTTTTGAAAATTTGCGATTTTGATTTGAAATAAACTTTTGTTTTGGCCTAAAATTCCTGAATTTTCAGGCCTCAAAAGCCTATAAGTCCTAACTTCAGCCTTCTAAAATTAGCTAGAGCTCACAGAATTCAGATTCAATTTTTTTCCATTTTAGGATTCCTGAAATTGAGGATTTAAAAAAAAATCTAGAAAGAATCAATTTTCACCAAGAAAAAATTCACTGTTTCATAACAAAATGATATTTTTCAGAATTTCATAATTTTTGATTATATACATATATAATAACATTGAAGATTTTTGAATGAAAAAATAGTCAGAAGGTCCGAATTTCAGACTTCTTAAAATTAGGCTTGAAATCAATCTTTTTTCCGCTTTTTTAAATTTTGAGCTGAAATTTGGGATTCTGAAATTTAGGTTTGTGAAGAACCCCAAAAAAAAATCTAATTTTTTCGGAAAAAAATTCACTGTTTCAGAAATTATTGATCGTTTTTTCTTCTGAAGTCTAGGGCTCACAGAAGTCAGATTCAATTTTTTTCAATTTTAGACTTCCTGAAATTGAGGATTCTAAAAAAAATCTAGAAAGAATCAATTTTTACCAGAAAAAATCACTGTTTCAGAAATTGTTGAAAATTTTTGAAAATTTATGAGTTTTGATACACTACACTCAAATTCTGGATGAAAAATTTCGTTTTTGGCCTAAAATTTTTTGGGTATTGTCAAAAAACCCAAGAAAAATCTGTTTTGTTTTAATTAAAAAATTCACTGTTTCAGAAAAAATTGATCATTTTTTGAAATTTTTTGATTTTGATCTGTGCATGTTCGTTTTCGGCCAAAAATCCCCGAATTTTCAGGCCTAAAAATCCTATAGGTCCTAATTTCAGGCTTCTGAAATCTAGGGCTTACAGAATTCAGGCCTGAATTTTAGGCTCATCACAAACAGGCCTAAAATTGAGGATCTTCGAAAATCCGGCAAAAAATCAGATTATTTCAAAAAAAAAAAAATTCACTGTTTCAAAAAATATTTGTAATTTTCGAAGATTTATATTTAATTGGTGTTCCAGTTTAAAACAAAGGGAAAAAATAAAAGGTTCACATATAAACCTGAAATTAAAGCTCATTAAAAATCCAAGAAAAATCTGTTTTTTCCCAGAAAAAAAAATTCACTGTTTCAGAAAAAATTGATCATTTTTTGAAATTTTTTGATTTTGATCTGTGCATGTTCGTTCTGGCCACAAAATCCCGGAATTTTCAGGCCTCAAAAGCCTATAAGTCCTAATTTCAGGCTTCTGAAATTAGCTAGGGCTCACAGAATTCAGATTCATTTTTTTGAATCAATTTTAGGCTTCCTGAAATTGAGGATTCTAAAAAATCTAGAAATGATCAATTTTTACCAAAAAAAATTCACTGTTTCAAAAAAAATTGATATTTTTTTGAAATTTATGATTTTCGATGTACCACACTCAAACTTGGGATGAAAAATGTTGTTTTTGGTCCAAAATCCCTGAATTTTCAGGACTCAAACGCATAAAAGTAGGTCCCAATTTAAGGCTTCTGGAGTCTAGGGCTTACAGAATTCAGATTCAATTTTATTTCAATTTTAGGCTTTCTGATTCCTTAAAAATCTAGAAAATTCAATTTTCACCAAAAAAAAATTCACTGTTTCAAAAAATATTTGTAGTTTTCAGAATTTTATGATTTTCGATCATTTCTGTTCACCCTTTGATAAAAATGAAGATTTTTAATGAAAAATTAGTCAGAAGGTCCGAATTTCAGTCTTCTCAAAATTAGGCTTGAAATGAAGTTTTTTTCCGCTTTTTAAATGTTGAGCTGAAATTTGGGATTCTGAAGTTTTGGTATTGTCAAAAATCCAAGAAAAATCTGTTTTTTTTTTCAAAATAAATTGATAAATTTTTGAAATTTTTTGATTTTGATCATCATGTTATTGTGAAAAAAATCTAGAAAGAATCAATTTTCACCAAGAAAAAATTCACTGTTTCAGAAATTATGGATAATTTTTGAAGTTTTATAATTAATTGATTTTCCCATTACAATCGACAGGAAAATAAAAGGTTCACAAATAAACCTGAAATTAAAGTTAATTGAAAACCCAAGAAAAAATCTAATTTTCTCGGAAAAAAAATTCACTGTTTCAAAATAAATTGATGAATTTTGGAAAATTTGCGATTTTGATTTGAAATAAACTTTTGTTTTGGCCTAAAATTCCTGAATTTTCAGGCCTCAAAAGCCTATAGGTCCTAATTTCAGGCTTCTGGAATTAGCTAGGGCTCACAGAATTCAGGCCTAAATTTTAGGCTCATCCCAAACATGCCTAAAATTGAGGATTTTAAAAAAAATCTAGAAAGAATCAATTTTCACCAAGAAAAAATTCACTATTTCATAGCAAATTGATATTTTTCAGAATTGCATAATTTTTGATTATATACATATATAATAACATTGAAGATTTTGAATGAAAAAATAGTCAGAAGGTCCGAATTTCAGACTTCTTAAAATTAGGCTTGAAATCAAGTTTTTTCCGCTTTTTAAATTTTGACCTGAAATTTTGGTTTGTAAAAAAACCCAAGAAAAATCTAATTGTTTCGGGTAAAAATTCACTGTTTCAAAATAAATCGATGAATTTTTGAAATTTTGTGATTTTGATTTATTGGAAATTTTGTTTTCGGCCTAATATCCTCCGAGTTTTCATGCTTCAAAAGCTTTAAAAAAACCAGAATTCAGATTCAATTTTTTTTCAATTTTAGGCTTCCTGAAATTGAGGATTCTAAAAAAAAGTCTAGAAAAAATCAATTTTCACTAAGAAAAAATTCACTGTTTCAGAAATTATTGGAAATTTTTGAAGATTTATAATTAATTGGTGTTCCGGTTACAAATATTGGTTCTCAAATAAAGCTGAAATTAAAGCTCATCGAAAACCCAGGAAAAATCTGTTTTTTTTTTCAAAAAAAAAAATTCACTGTTTCAAAATAAATTGATAATTTTTTGAAATTTTGGGATTGTTGATCATTTCTGTTCACCCTTTATTAAAATCGAAGATTCTGACATAAGAAAAATTTCACTGTTTCAAAAAATATTTGATAATTTTTGAAATTTTGTGATTTTCGATTGGAGAATTGTTGCAAGTACTGCTAAAAAGCCCAATAAAATCAATTTTTTTCAGGCCAAACGTTGCTCCGCCGTTTACGCGACAAAATGAAAGATTTGACATCGAACGTGGATCGAGCTGTGAGCACCAAAAAACGCGAGCAAAAAGAGAGGGTTTTGGCGAGTTGTGATGAGATGAAAAAAGCGTATTCGTGAGTGGATAAGGCTTTAGGCTTTCGGGCTTATGAGGCCCACTTCCAAGCCCAAATCTAGGCTCAAATTCCCATTTCTAGACCATTTTTTTGCAGAGAAATCGAAAAATGGGGAAAAATGAAGATTAGAAGACCAGTTCAATATCCACAAATGGTTGAATCTTTCGAGAAATTGGAAAAATTTGGAGAGGTAAGGGTTTTGAGGGATTTGGGATGAAAATTGAGAAAATCTGGAATTTTTGTGCTTAAAATCTCAAAATTATCAGAATTTCATGAATTTTTCAACATTTTCATGAAAAAATATGGAAATTTCTCTGTAATCCTAGTTTTAGGCCGAAAAAAAGCTGAAAATATAATTTTTGAGCTCAAAATGTAGCTACCGTACCCCATAAACATTGGGCCAAAAAGTTCCGAAAAATTTTGTAGATCAAAAAATTTTCTGAAAATATTCGAATTTGGACTCAAAATTATCAGATTTTCCTGAAATTTTCGAAATTTTCAGTCAAAAATCTGGATTTCAGGCTGAAAAATTCAAATTCGCATTCAAAATTATCAGATTATGATGGAAAAATCGGCAAATATTCAAATTTGGGCTCAAAATTATCAGATTTTCATGAATTTCTCGAAATTTTCAGTTAAAATCCTCCAAATTTTCCAGAATTCCCCGGATTCCACCAACCAATTTCTTCAATTTTCCGACTCTGTAAATTCCGAATTCCAAATCGAAAAGCAAATTTCGCAAATCTTCGAAAATTTTCGTCAAATCTACAATGCAAAACCGCGAAAATATTCAAAATTGTCGCCGCCAAAACCCTTTGAAAAACCGCAAAAATGCTCAAATTCTCAAAAAATGCTCAAATTATCGATTGAAATGATGGAAAAGAAGCTAGGCAATTCTACAGTACCCTGGAAATATGAGAAAATCGATGAAATCAATGGATTTTCGCCCAAAAATTGCACGGTTTATCAGATTTTGTACACCGAGAAAAAACAATTCAAGGAATTTGTTGGATTTATGAAAGCGGTTATGGTTATTCAATTTGGAGAGATGATTGATTTGGTGATTGGAGGAGTTGAGGAGGAATTGTATGATGAGGTTAGCGGGGTTTTGGGGAGCAAAATGAGCCCAAATTTGAGATTTTTGGTGGAAAATGAGCCTGGGAAAGTGTTTTTGAGCAAAAATTGGTCTAGAAATGGTCCAGACGGCCTTTTTTAGCCTAGAAAATGGCCCAGAGGCTCTTTTTTCGCCTAGGAATAGTCCAGAGGCCCTTTTTTAGCCTAGAAATGTTATTTTTGTGTTTTTTTTCTGTTAAATCGGTTAATAGAATTATTTTTCAAAGTTATCAAAAATTATATGAAAAATTGGAAACAGTGAGATTTTTGGGATCTAAAATTTTTGAATTTTGACCCGAAAACGCATGAAAAGCCTAAAATTGACCTGAATTTAAAATTTAAAATTTCAATATAAAATCTGAAAATCAAATCATTTTTCAAAAAAATAAAAATAAAATCCGAAATTTTATACGTTTCAAAAAATTTTCAAGAATTTGTTGGAAAGTTGAACATTTATTTCGTTTTTCACATTCATTGAAAAAATTTCTAGCCCAAATTGAGGTTCCAAAATTAGCTTAAACCTTATTAAAAAGGTTAGCGGGGTTCTGGGGAGCAAAATGAGCCCGAATTTGAGATTTTTGGTGAAAAATAAGCCTGGGAGGGTGTTTTTGAGCAAAAATTGGTCTAGAAATATAATTTTTGTGTTTTTTTTCGAAATAGGCTCCCATTTAATAATTTTGCAAAGCTATCAAAAAATATATGAAAAATTTAAAACAGTGAGATTTTTTGGGATTCAAAATTTTTGAGTTTCGACCCGAAAACACATGAAAATCCTGAAATTGACCGGAATTTAAAATTTCAATATAAAATCTCAAAATCAAATCATTTTTCAAAAAAATAAAATAAAAATCAGAAATTTGTATTATCCACCAAATCATTCAACGTTTGTTCCACTCGATTTTTCAACTGAGAAGCGAACTTCGAGAAATCGCGTTGTCTTCTGCAAATAATTAATACATCTCAAGAAAAATTCTTCAAGAATTTCCAACTTTTCATAGTTCTCTTGAAGAAAAATTTTCAGTTTTCAGTCAGTTTTCTTTTAAAAAATTACTCTTTAAATTGTTCTGCCTCCTCCTTCAGTTTGTTGAAATTCGTCTGATGTCTGAAATTTTTTGTTTCAAAATTTCAGATGTTTGTTTAAAAACTCACTGTTCCACTTGCTCATTCAGCTTCCCAATTTCTTCCATGTGATTTTTTTCGCGGCTGAAATGAAACAATTCATTTTTTGAAAAACATCGATATGTAGCTTACATTGCTAATTGCTCCTTCAGCTTTTTTATCTCATCGATATAATTTGTTTCGCGTCTGAAAACTTTTTTTCACCATCTTCTCTATTTCGTTAAAAAAAACTGACTTTTTCAATTCAATATTCTCACATCGTAAATTTCCAAATCTCTCCTTCACAACCTCCGAGATGTTGCCATTTTTGAAATCATCAAATTCCTGCACAGCTTCATGAATCAAATCCGAATCTCCTCCTCGATTTCCCCTATATTTTCCTTGATTCGCGTGCAATCTCGCAATTTTCGGACACAATTTCAGAACATTTCTCAAAATTATCCGGAAATATAGATCATATATTTGTTTGTAGGTGAGATTTTTTGGCAGTATTTGGAATACTTTATCGATAATCCCTTTCATTTCATTTCCATCGATATTGTGATTTTCCACGAATTTATTGAGGATTTCAGTCACTTCATTTTTTGTATATTCTTTTAAGTATAGTAATTCGGAGATATTATAGTTCCAATTATCACGTACAACAAGCTCTGGATGTATAACACAATCCACTAAATACATCGTCGAATGCTCAACAAAAACATCGAATTCTTTCGATTCAATAACATCGTACATCTTTGTCACATTTTTAGCATGTAGAAAATATTTGCGAACAACTATTGTCATTCCGAAAATAAAAGAACCTCCGTTTGAATTGGCGCTCACGTACAGTAGACTAAACATGACGTGACACATGCACATCAAACTGGTTGGCAAATAGCCAGCGTGTAAATTTCGCATTTTATTTTTCAAATAGACTCCAAAATTTTGCGAAGTCTACTGTAGTCTTGGTGTCCTAGGCCATTTCGGTTCTCTTCCAAGTTCTTATTTTTTCGGAATGACAATATCATCTCGTACAAACAATCTTCGAAAGCCTCCCAAGCTGGGCGACAATGGAAACCGTATGAAGAATATATCGGATAAGTGTTGTTTCGAGAATTGGTTTCGATTGGAATTTCGACGATGATAACACTGTCGGCCCCATGTTTTTGAAGAATTTGATCGAAAGTTGTGCAATCAACGGTGAATATTCGTTTTTGTTTGATATCTTCGTCAGTTTCGAGAGCGATGTTTTCTTTTGGGAATGTGTCGCTAACTTCTCTCGCTAGATAGAATTCATAATTCGCTCCTTTGAATCTTCGAATCACTGGTTTGTAGTTGAGTGTAGCCTGAAAACGAGCGTTTTCAAGATATGAACTAAGAAATTATCAGTTGGATATCGACTAAATGACATTTTTATGTTTTTTAAGCAAATGAGTTGAAATATTGAGTTCTAATGTTATTCATATGATAGAATGGTCTAAGACGAACAGAATGATATAAATTTTGATTACTTTACCTTATCCATAAGTGATTTAGCGAGCTTATCGCCTAAATATCGACTGAACGTCGCTAAATCACTTATGGATAACGTAAACTCATCAAAATTTATATCATTATGTTCGTCTTAGACCATTCTATCATATGAATAACATTAGAACCAAATATTTTAACTCATTTGCTTAAAAAACCTAAAAATGTCATGTCATCAAACCCCTTTCTGTGGGTTTCCAAGTGCCCTTAGTTCATCGCGAAGTGGCTCAAGTAGATTATTAAGGTGTGCAATTGCATTCCATGTTTCTGTGATATTCGGAAGTTTGAGCATCTCCAAATATTCGAACAAATCATTGATATACCGTTGAGAACTTCCACATTTTTTGAATTTGATTGGTTGTTTCGCTCTCATTTCCCACTCTTTTCCCGCAAACCCACGATTTGCAAAATTACACAAATCGCTCAATTTTGCATGTAAGACTCTCCACGAGTCATCGTTGATCATTTTGTGATATTTGTTTTTGGTTTCATTTTTCAACCCAGCTATTTGCCATAAATGTTCCGACACATTCTTCGCAACTTCAGTTATTTGGTAGATTTGATTGTTAGGAGAATCTAAAAACGCGGCAAGTTTCGTTTCCAATGTGAGCTTCATATATTCAATAACATCAGAATTTGATACACAAATTATTTGACCAGAAACATCAGTATAACTCGGAAATGAAACATGCGAACTGAAAAAATTCGAGATTTTCCAAGTTTGCCACGTTGTTAGAGAAAATATATTTCTTTACAAACCTGATTCCATTTTGTTCAATCCGTTGAATCCTTTTGAAATACTGCAACATTTCTTCAACACTACCATAAACTTCCAATTTCCCATCTGATTTCTCGTAAATTTTTCTCAATTCTTCAATTGCTTTTTGATCGTTGGAAATTGACAAATCACTTGAATAAGTTCTGATTTTCTGAAATTCAAAAAAAAAATCTTGAATCTCTTTTTTCTTACATCACGAGTTTCGAATTCATAAAATCCAACGAATATATCTGGCGTCCAGGATATCATTTTGATGTGAAAACAAAAAATGACAAAAAGTTTTATAACAGCTTAAGGGAAAAGAATGTGAACAGAACAGCAAAGATAAGACAAAAAATGGGAAGATTAAAAATGTTTTTTTTTTTTTGAAAAATGAGTAAATAAGAGAGTGATAATATTGAAATATTGATTAGTGGAATTCTCGAAAGGAACCATAAATTTTGTCACAAAACTTGCTCAAAATCACTCTAGAAAACCCTTTCGAAATAAAATCCCAAATTATTTGTTCTCCTACATACACACACTGCAAATTCCAGAAATTCTATCAAAAAAATGTATATGAAAATTTTGAAACAGTGAATTTTTCAGAAACTTGAAATTAAAATTTTGAGCTCAAAACTTCTCCAAAAATTCCTGAATTATTTTTGAACAAAAATAAAATGCGAAATTTTATACGTTTCAAAAAATTTTCAAGATTTTTTTGGAAATTTGGGAATTGATTATTAGAAGAAAATTTTCCGATTATTTAAAAATGTTCTAGGTTTCTAGAAAGGGCCCAAAATTAGATTTTCGGCCCAGGAAAAGCCTGAAAATTATCTGACAAGCCTAGAATTGGCCTGAAATTGGATTTTCTGGGCCTAAATTTGGTCCAGAAAACCTGAATTTCAATTTTTCACTCAATTTTGATCCTGAAAAGCCTGAAAATTATCTAAAAGACCTAAATCAAGCCCAGCTTTGAAAATAAGCCTTAAATCGATTTTTGGGCCTGATTTTGACATCGGAAAGCCTGAAATTGCGATTTTTCTGAAATTTTCCGAATTTTTAGTTCAAAATTCCCTCAAAACCCCCCTGATTTTTCAAAACCCTGAAAATTTTCCTCAAATTTTCCCCCAGCTTTTTTTTCCGGCTGCCCTTTTCAATCAAACCTCTATTCACCTGCATTTTTTCTATTCAATTAGCACTCTTTTATTTGAACACAGCTGAAAAAAATGCAGGTGTGTGTTCGCCGAAAAAAAATTGGATTTGCGCGGGAAAATTGGACTACGGTAGCTGTAGGGAAGAACATTTGGACCACCTGGTTTTTTTCAAAAATTTTTTTTTTGGGATTTTTGGGCTTGGTTTAGGCTTTCGGGCCGAAAATCTGGATTTTAGGCTGGTTTTAGGCCTGGTTTTCATGGGAATATGCTTTAGGCTCAAAAATCTAGATAAAAGCTTGTTTAAGGCCTATTTTTCATGAAAATAGGCCTGGTTTAGGGTCAGGCTTAGAAATCTGTATTCAGGCCGGTTGTAGGCTTGTCTGAGGCCTGTTTTTGATGAAAATAGGCCTGGTTTAGACTTAGGCTTAGAAATCTGGATTCAGGCCTGATCTAGGCTGGTTTCAGGCCTATTTTTCATGAAAATAGGCCTGATTTAGGCTTGGGCTTAGAAATCTGGATTTAGGCAGGTTTTAGGCTCATGATAATTCTAGGCCTGACAATTACATTGAGGCCCTTTTTAGGTTCAGTCAAAAATATCTGGACCTAATTCTTACTGTAGTTTTGGCGCCAAAACCACGTGGCAAGATTTTTTGCGCTGAAATTCCATTTTTGAATAAATTTTTTTGGCGCGAAAATTTTTAAATTCAAAATTTCGACATTTCCCGCTAAAACCACGTCGTGGCACTAATTTTGGCGCGAAAATTTTATTTTCAAAAATAATTGTTTTTTTGCTCGAAATCCACGTGGCAGTATTTTTGGCGCCAAAAATCTGAAATTCAAATTTCCTGGCTCAAAATTCACATTGGAAACTACCCAAATCCACCCCAAAATTCAATTCCAGGAATCCCTTCTCGCCTCCAAACACAAATGGTATCAAAAAATGACGCGCAACCTCAAATCGCAACTTTTGCTAAGTCCAGTCGCCGTCTTTTCGACCGCCTCGAATTTTGTGGTCTGCAATTCGCACATTCAAAAATATGTGAATTGCGCAATGATGCCCTGCTATTTTTGCAAGTTAGTTTTGGGATTTGGAGGGATTTTCAGCCAAATTTAAGGGATTTGGCTGAAAATTTCAGAAAAATCTGAAAATTTTGAGCCCAAACATGAGCATTTTTCGGCTTTGCAGTTCTAAATACAGTATACCTTGCAGTTTGAATACCGTAGACAAAAATCAAACACAAAATAAGGCCGGACTGCAAGGATTACTGTAGGATATCCCGAACTGCAAGTAGTACGGTAGCCTTAAGGAAATAGTTTGGACTGCAAGGATTACTGTAGGATATACCGAACTGCAAGTAGTACGGTAGCCTTAAGGAAATAGTTTGGACTGCAAAGATTACTGTAGGATATCCCGAACTGCAAGTAGTACGGTAGCCTTAAGGAAATAGTTTGGACTGCAAGGATTACTGTAGGATATCCCGAACTGCAAGTAGTACGGTAGCCTTAAGGAAATAGTTTGGACTGCAAAGATTACTGTAGGATATCCCGAACTGCAAGTAGTACGGTAGCCTTAAGGAAATAGTTTGGACTGCAAAGATTACTGTAGGATATCTCGAACTGCAAGTAGTACGGTAGCCTTAAGGAAATAGTTTGGACTGCAAGGATTACTGTAGCATATACCGAACTGCGAACTGAAATTTTTGTCTGAAAATTCCAGAAAAGCTTGATTTTTCAGCTGAAATTTAAGAAAAATCTGAAGTGTCTAAGCATCGAAATTTTCAGATATTTTTGGCTGAAAATTTTTGAGAAATCTAAGATTTTCCAGCTGAAACAGTGAAAATTTCAGATCCAAATTTTTTTACCTGAAATACCGATTTTTTGTCTGAAAATTCCGGAAAAGAGTCGGGAAACTGTAAAATTTGTTTTTTTTTAATGAAAAATTTGATAAAAATCTGAAAATTTATCTGAAAATCAGTCTCTTTAAAATGTTCATAAGAATTTTTAAAACAAAAAAAAATCCCGCCAAAATCCAATCAATAAGTATCAAAAGCAACAATTGGAGCGCGTTGTCCACACGCAATTTGAGCATATCTAACCAGCTCCCATAACTCTTTATTTCCATCACAACTCACATCATCCAATGTCGAAATACGACCGTATCCAGTCACTTGATCGCTAGTTGTCGGGAATATTGAAACTGACATTTGAACACATTCTTGACCGCTGAAACAGCGAAAAATTGAGTGTAGCGGGTAGCGGGGTTCGAACTCGTGACCTTGAGATTGGTAGTAGCTAGCCATCCTCGCCGCTTCGCGGAAGCTTGCGGTCTACACTCGCGCAGAGCGCTCGGGATTTAGGGTTTAGCTTAACATGACCGCTTCGCGGAAGATTCCGCCGCTACGCGGAAGCTTGCGGTCTACACTCGCTCCGCTCGAATAGCGCGCACCGGGATTCGAACCTGTGACTTTGAGATTGGTAGTAGCCAGCACTACCACTGCGCCATCCTCACCGCTTCGCGGAAGCTTGCGGTCTACACTCGCTTCGCTCGAATAGCGCGCACCGGGATGCGAACCCTTGACCTTGAGATTGCTAGCAGCTAACACTGCCACTAGGCTATCCTCGCCGCTTCGCGGAAGATTGTGCCGCTTCGCGGAAGATTCCGCCGCTACGCGGAAGCTTGCGGTAACCTACTTTTGATTCGCCGGTTGATTAGCACCCCAGATGAACTCGTGATCACCAACCACATTGCCGTCAGACCAGGTGAATGCGTATCTCGGCTGCAAATTATAGTTTTGTCAAGGATAGGCGCCTTGAGAGCCTAGGTCTCTAGGGGCGATCTCTAGAGGTTCCCTCTGGCAAGGGTCAGCGCCTTGAGAGCTTCTATTCCAAGGAGGCGGGTCTAGGAATGCTAGTTGTGAAGTAGCGGAGCCTAGAGAGCCTAGTTCTCAAGTAGCCACACCTAGAGCACCTAATTGTCTAGGAGCGACCTCTAGAGAACCCCTCTGGCAAGGAAGCGCGGCTTGAGATCACATATGCTAAGTAGCCGTGACTAGAAGTGACAGTTGTCAAGGGACGGCGCCTTGAGAGCCTATGTGTCTAGGGGCGACCGCTAGAGATCCCCTCTGTCAAGGGTCGGCGCCTTGGGAGATTTCCTCTGACAAGGGTCGGCGCCTTGAGAGCCCAGGTTTCTAGTAGCCGCACTTAGAGCACCTCATTGTCATAGAGCCACGCCTTGAGTGCTCAAGTATCTCAAGTAGCGGAGACTAGACGTGACAGTCGTCAAGGATCAGTGCCTTGAGAGCCTAGTTCTCAAGTAGCCGATCCTAGAGCAGCTAATTGTCTTGAGGTGACAGCTAGAGATTCCCTCTGGCATGGAGTCGTGCCTTGGCAGCCTAGTTCTTAAGCAGCCGATTCTAGAGATCCTAATTGTCAAGGGGCGACCTCTAGAGAACCCCTCTGGCAAGGAGCCGAGACTAGAAATGGTAGTTGTCAAAGAGCCGTGTCTAGAAAATTCAATTGTCAAGGATTAGCGCCTAGAGATCCTAGGTCTTAAGTAACCTTTCCTAGAGCACCTCATTGTCTAGGGGCCACCTCTAGAGACCCCCACTGGCAAGGAGCCACCCCTTGAAACTCACATCCGAGCATTTCTGCGCAGTATTCGGTAGCAAACAATTCACTGTCCTCACTCCACCAATCCAAATCCTCGTCTCCGTCAAACTCATATTTGTCATATAAGTCACAGCCGTCCTCTCGATATAATTTCTCTCAGCCGGTGTCTCAATTCCAGCCAACCTTGCTCCGATCTCATTACACATTGCTTGTGCTTGTGGTTGAGTATACCAATATGGTGGAGGGTAGAACACTTTGATGCAATAGAGACCTAAGGATTTTATGTTTCACGGGATTTTACGGAGAAAAAAACAGATTTTGTAGAGAAATCCAATTTGTTTCATTACAAAAAATTCAATGTTTCAAAAAGTGCAGAAAATTCTGGTCAAAACTGAAAAATTCAATGTTTCTGAAATTATCCAAAATTTTTAGAAATTGAAAAATCTCAATTTTTCATTGGAAAATTTACTGTTTCAAGAATTCCATAAAATTCTAAAAACTACAGAAAATCGAATTTTTTCTCTAATGAAGTTCACTGTTTCAAAAAATGCAGAAAATTCTAGTCAACACTGAAAAATTTCAATTTTTTTCTAATTTTTCGATACAAAAAATTCACTGTTTCACAAAAAATTTAAATTTTAGGAATGTTTGAAAAATTTGCTAACGAAAAGTTTGCTATTCCAAAAAATCTTTAAATTCCAGAAAAATCGAATTTTTTAATTACAAAAAAAATTCACTGTTTCAAAAAATGCAGAAAATTCTAGTCAAAACTGAAAAATCCAAAATTTTCTGAAATTATCCAAAATTTTGAGAAATTGAAAAATCTCAATTTTTTCATTGGAAAATTTACTGTTTCAAGAATTTCACAAAAATCTGAAAACTACAGAAAATCGAATTTTTTTCTCAAAGAAAGTTCAATGTTTCAAAAAATGCCCAAAATTCTAGTCAAAGCTCAAAAAATCCAATGTTTCTGGTTTTTTTTAATTGCGAAAAATTCACTGTTTCAAAAAATACAGAAAATTCTAGTCAAAACTGAAAAATCTCAATTTATTCTAATTTTTCTATGCAAAAAATTCACTGTTTCACAAAAAATTTGAATTTTAAGAATATTTTTGAAAAATTTGTTTACAAAAAATTAGCTATTTAAAAAATCTCAAATTTCCGGAAAATCGTATTTAGAAATTCACTGTTTCAAAAAATGCAGAAAATTCTAGTCAATTCTGAAAAATCTCGATTTTTTCTAATTTTTCGATACAAAAAATTTACTGTTTCACAAAAAAATTGAAAATTTTGCTCACAACCTGAAAATTTTACGTTTCACGAGATTTTTCCCATACAAACCTTTTTGTCTTTGAAACGACGCCCAACCGCTGGGACATTTCCGTTCGATATTCGAATTAAGAGTTCCGTTGAGAACTATCGGGGTATCGAAATTATAGGCGGCCTCAAGAAAATTTAGAAAAGCTAGGGTTAGAAAAACTATGTTTTTGTACATTTTTTTGTGTTTTCGAGCCTTGTTTGTCACGTTTTATACCTTTTTTTGTAGGGTGATTTGCATTTTTGGAATTGTGAGAAAATTATACAAAATTGCATAATTTTGGACAAAAATTGATAATTTTTGAGCTTGATCTTGTTATTTTTCAATTTTTGGCTGAAAATTCGAGAAAATCTGGAAATTTTGGGCCTGGAATTCAAGTTTCCAGCTGAAAATTTGGTGATTTTCAGCTCTAAAAATTTCGACCTGAAATTCCGAATTTTTTCTGTTGAAATTCTGAATTTTCCGGACTTCCAGCTCAATTTCAGGCATTTTCGGCTCAAAATTTGAAAAATTCCGGAAATTTTAAGCTTGGAAGTGAATTTCCAGCTAAATTTAAGATTTATCAGCTCTAAAAATTCTCGAGCTGAAATTCTGAATTTTTTCAGCTGAAAATTGATGTTTTCTGGACTTCCAGCTCAATTTCAGCCATTTTTGACGAGAAATTCAGAAAATTCTGGAAATTTTAAGCTTGGAAGTGAATTTCCAGCTAAATTTAAGATTTTCGAGCTGAAAATCGATTTTTTTTTGAAATTTCTCAAGCTAACTAAGAGTTCTATCTGAAAATTTGCTGAAAATCTGAAAAAATCTGAAATTTTCAGTCAAAAATCCCTTTTTCCAGCTGAAAGTTCAGAAAATTCTGGAAATTTTGAGCTTGCAGCTGAATTTTGCAGCTAATTTTTCAGATTTTGTGGCTGAAAATCGAAAAAAATTGAATTCTATTTGAAAAATTCGCTGAAAATCTGAAATTTTCAGCCAAAAATCCCCCATTTTCCAGCTGAAAATCTGCAATTTTTCCAGAAAATTCCTGCTCAACTTCGAACCGCCGTGCTTAGTAACCCGAGAATCACCATCACAAGTTTGTCATGAGATTTGTTATAAGTACAATTAGCTGTGCACTTTTTGGCGCCAAAAAAATCCACGTGGCATTATTTTTGGCGCCAAAATTCCCCTTGTTATTTGTTGTTTTTGAATAATAAAAAAATTGTTGTCTTCTCCTCGAGAACTACACAAAAATCTCCGTTTCTATTTGTATAATAATAATAATAATAATAATCATTTTACACACACACAAATACTCTGCGTCTCTAACCTTTTCCTCACAGCATACAAATCTGGTCTTTTCATCTCTGCACTCTCTTCACTCTCTTGCCATTTCTTCGTTTTTGCCCCTTTTTCTCATTTTTTTCAAGGGTGTCCCTTTTTTTTTGCTGTTTTTTTTTGTTGCTGGAAATTTAGGGCTTTAGGCCGGGCCTTTAGGCTTTATGGGCTTTTGTAGGCTTGGGGTTAGAGAGTGTGGGAGAGTGAGAGAGCGCAGAGAAGAAAAGAGTGATTTTGCTGATAGATTTAATCGATAATTTTGCAGGGAGTTTGGGATTTTGTGATTTTTGTTAGAAAAATTTCGAAAATTCAAATATTTTTTGAAACAGTGAAGTTTTTTCTACCAAAAAATTGAAATTTAGCTGAAAATTTCAGATTTCTTCCAAAATTATTTTTTTTATTACAAGGTTTAGTCTTTTTATTAATTCGGAAAAATATTCTCAAAATTTTGAATATTTTTTGAAACAGTGAATTTTTTTCTACCGAAAAATTAAGAAAAATCGAGATTTTTCAGTTTTGACTAGAACTTTCTGGATTTTTTGAAACAGTGAATTCTTTGTGATGAAAATTAGGATTTTTTAATTGATAAACTCATTAATCGATAATCTTCTCTTGAAATTTTCAAAATTTCAAATATTTTTTGAAACAGTGAAATTTTTGACCAGAATTCTCAGATTTTTCTAGAAAATTGTTTTTTTTTTGAAACCGATTGAAAATTAGAAATTTTTGTAGATTTTTCCATCAAATCAGTATTTTCGAAAAACTCTCAAATTTTCCATGTTTTTTGTGAAACAGTGAATTTTTCAAAACAAACAATTAGAAAAAATAATATTTTTCAGTTTTGACTAAAATTTTCTGCATTTTTTGAAACAGTGAATTTTTTCCCATTTCTCATTTTCTTTTTTCTTCATTCCTCCAAAAACCCTTTTTTTTGAAACATCACTTTTTGCTCTCAAAAAAATTTTGTTTTCGAAAAATTCAATCAAGCAGAAATCAGAGATTTTTGGCTTCGAAAAAAATTGTTTTTCAATTTTTTCGCCGCTCAAAAAATCACTGTTTCTATAATTTTTGTCATCAGAAAATATTACGTTTCAAAATTTCTTCAATTTTTGGTTTTTCTGGGAGTCAAGATTCTTCTTTGGATTTTTTAAAGAAAATTTTGAAACAGTGAATATTTTCTGGAAAATTTTTGTAACCTACAGAAATAAATTTTTAATCATAATTTAGAGAAGAATCTGAAATTTTCAGCTAAATATCTTAAAATTCAAAATTTCCTGATTTTTTTGTTGAAAAAAATTCACTGTTTCAAAATTTTTTATAATTTTTAAATTTTCTGGGAGCCAAACTGCTTCATCTAATTTTTTAAAGAAAATTTTAAAACAGTGAAAAAATAACTGGAAAAATTAATTTTTCAAAAAATATTTTTACTGTATCATTTTTTTGCGAAAAAAAAATGTTTTTTGAAAATTTTTTGAAACAGTGAATTTTTCCCAGCTTTTCTGATAAAAACCCCACCCTTTTTGTTTTTTTTTTTCAATTTTTTTTTTGAAAAAAATCGATTTTTCACTGATAAGAAGCTCCAAAAACTTTCCTTTTCTTTTTTTTTCAAATTCAAATTTTTTTCCAGAAAATTTCCAACACTACGAGTACAAACAAAACGGGACAACGCACAAAAATAATTTCGAGAAAAATTTTGAAAATTTTTTGTTGCCGCGGGAGTTAGAATTGTACCAAAATGGAGCCCGAATTTCGACCCTATGTCAATTTGCCGCCAATGACAAAAAGTGAGTTGGGTTACTGTAGATTTTGGCGCGAAAATTGGGGTTTTTTGCATGTTTTTTGGCCCAGGATTACTGTAGATCAATTTTGCCGCCAAAAATTTCAAATTTCAAATTTTTTGCAGCTCGGAGCACAAGTCATCTGGCTCCAATCACACCCGAACATCATCGAAGTACAAGCTGTGAAGATTCGGCATCTTCAAGCTCAGAATCTGGTCAGTTTTCGCTTGTAAACAATTTTAAATCCCAATAGACGTCAAAAACTAATTTTTTTTCTTTTCGAAAATGTTAATCCCATCTAAAAGCACTTGTAAACAACAAGATTTATCCATTTTTTGTGATTTTTAATTTTAATCCGCAAAAAAATTCTTCTTGGGGGGTCTAAAATGACTTGAGTTAGCCAAAGTCGCCTCAAATTTGTCTCATCTTATTCAGCGCGAAATTCCACGTCAAATGGTGTAGCTAACCTTGAAAACCATGGAAAAATAAAAAAAACCAATTAAAGGCACACGTATTTATCCAAAATGGTCCTGCGGCGATGTTTGCTTGTGTGTACTTCTCGCGGAGGAGTTGCGCAATTTTTCTTTTTTTCGGTTTTCGGGGGAAAGAGTGAATTTCAGGTGTGAAATGGAGTTTTAAAAGCGAAATTTTTGAAGAAGACCTAAGCCTAGACATTTAGCCTAAGTCTAAGTTAGCCTAAAAATCATAAATTTCCTCAAAAACCCGAATCCAGCCATGTTTAGACTCTAAAAATTGGGAATTTCAGCTTGAAACTTCTCCCAAGCCTATAAATCCCTATTTTCCAGCCGTCCGAATCCGCCAAGACCCAAATCTCCATCGCGATTCCAACATTCCAAGTCGATTTGTGGTGGCTTATGAATACGAGGCTCAAAAAGAGGATGAATTGAACTTGCCGCTGGGATCGATTGTTCGATTGATTACAACTGATACGTGAGTAATTTTGGGCGGTTTTTGGAGGAAAAATCGTGAAAAATGGTGAAAAATGAGTATTTTAGGTGGAAAAGTATCAAAAAACATGAAAATTAAAGCTAAATTCAATTTTAGAACTGAAAAAGCAACCAGTTTCATGATTTTTAGAATTTTAAGGCTGAAAATAGCTATAAAAATCAAATTTTCTAACCTAAATTTAGTTTCAGAACTGAAAAACCTGTAATTTTCACTGAAAAATCAGATTTTTATCAAATTTTGGCTGAAAATCTGAAGTTCAGCTTGAAAATGAATGAAAAATCGATTCTTCTAACCCAAATTCAATTTCAGAACCGAAAAATCTGTAATTTTTCACTGAAACATCAGATTTTCATCAAATTTTCGAAATTTTCCACTGAAAACCATGAATTTCAAGCCAAAAGCTTTTGTTTCAGCCTAAAATCATGAAAATCTCAAAATTTTCAACCTAAAATTGATTTCAGGACTGAAAAATCTCTAATTTTCACTGAAAAACACGATTTTCATCAAATTTTCGCAATTTTTCACTGAAAACCATGATTTTCTAGTCAAAAGCTTCTGTTTCAGTCAAATTTCATGAAAATTTCAAAATTTTCAAGCTAAATTCAATTTCAGGACTGAAAATCCTGTATTTTTCACTAAAAAATCAGATTTTCATCAAATTTTCGCAGTTTTCCACTGAAAACCATGAATTTCTAGTCAAAAGCTTCTATTTCAGCCTAAAATCATGAAAATCTCAAAATTTTCAACCTAAAATTGATTTCAGGACTGAAAAATCTCTAATTTTCACTGAAAAACACGATTTTTATCAAATTTTCGCTAAAAATCTTGAAATTCAGGTTGAAAATGATAAAAAATCGATTTTTCTAACCTAAATTTAAATTCAGGACTGAAAAACTCAAATTTTTGACTGAAAAATCAGATTCGCATCAAATTTTCGCTGAAAATCTGAAATTTAATTTGAAAATCATGAAAAATCGATTTTTCTAACCTAGAATTATTTTCAAGATTGAAAAACTCAAATTTTTGACTGAAAATCTGAAATTTAATTTGAAAATCATGAAAAATCGAAATTTTTACTCTAAATTTAATTTCAAGACTGAAAAACTCAAATTTTTGACTGGAAATGTCTGAAAATCTTCAATTTTAAGCTCCTAGGTTGAAAAATCATGAAAAATTTGAATTTCCCACCAAAATTTAACGAAAATACATGTTTCTAAGCCATACATAAAATGGGTCCCCAAATTCGGTGCGGGGGGTTAACTTTTTCGAAATTTTTTAAGGGAAGGGGGTCTAACTTTGATGAATTACATAATTTCTGTTTTTTCAGAGTCAAAGTCCAACTGGAATTTTTTTTGTAATATTTTTTATTTGTAAAAATATAACATTTTATTATTGCTTTCTAAATAATCTGCAACTCGATCGGCGTTGGCAGAGTCTGGCCCAGAAGAACAAATGTATATATACAAATAGCTTGTTCAATTTTTTTAGCAACGGATTTGGAAACTCCAAAAATCGCCTTCATCATTAAAAACCTTGAAAACACAGTTGGAACTGGACTGAATTTGTCGATCGATTTTGAGTTTTTCTTTTTCTACCAACCTCCATTTGCCACTCTTTCTACAAAATTCAGCTCATTGAAATTCTATTGTTTTGCTTCAAAAACTTCAATGGATTTTTTGTTTTCTGATTCTACAAAAGCCGATTTTCTCAATCTGTCACTGGAACTCGAAATCTCGACGAATTATTCAAAAACTAAACAAAAAACATCAATTTTGTAAACAAAACTCAGGTATGTTATGATGGGAAAAATAAGGGAAAAATTAAAAAATTTGAAAAAAAATCAAAAAAAAAATTTTTTTTTTCTTCAAAATTTTTTTTCACCAAGAATTTTTTGGAACTACTTGACCAAACATGGTGATATTTGGTACAAAGATACTTCAACTATCCTAGATCTAAGTTTAATAGACAATGTTCTCTGATTTTGCACCTCCCGTCTTTTCACCACTCCTCTTTGTCAAAAATCACGATTTTTGGTCAATTTCATGCATTTTCAGATCCTAATTCAATTTTTACTTCACCAATTCTAGTAAGACTTGGCACAAAGTAACTTCAACTATTGTTCTTCAAAATCGAAATGATACATTGGTAGTAAATTGCGTTTTCAGACATTTAGACACCCCGCCCCTCTTTTGGGGCCATACGCACCGGATTAGGTTCGGGGTGTCTAAGTGTCCGAAAACGCAATTTACTACCCATGTATCATTTCGATTTTGAAGAACAATAGTTGAAGTTACTTTGTGCCAAGTCTTACTAGAATTGGTGAAGTAAAAATTGAATTAGGATCTGAAAATGCATGAAATTGACCAAAAATCGTGATTTTTGACAAAGAGGGGGTGGTGAAAAGACGGGAGGTGCAAAATCAGAGAACATTGTCTATTAAACTTAGATCTAGGATAGTTGAAGTATCTTTGTACCAAATATCACCATGTTTGGTCAAGTAGTTCCAAAAAATTCTTGGTGAAAAAATTTTGAAGAAAAAAAAATTTTTTTTTTGATTTTTTTTTCAAATTTTTAAATTTTTCCCTTATTTTTCCCATCATAACATACCTGAGTTTTGTTTACAAAATTGATGTTTTTTGTTTAGTTTTTGAATGATCCGTCGAGATTTCGAGTTCCAGTGACAGATTGAGAAAATCGGCTTTTGTAGAATCAGAAAACAAAAAAATCATCGAAGTTTTGGAAGAAAGTCACAGATTTTTAAAGTTGAAGCCTGCAGTTTGTAAAACGTGGAAAGTCACGGAATTTTCGGCAGATTAAGAAGAAAAACTCAAAGTGGTTTATCTACAAAATTGTTCCATTTTATAGTTCCAACATAAGTTGATATCCATTTCCAGAGTGATAATTGATAAAGCCTCTATCATTTTTTTAAAGAATAAATGAACAAGCCACTTGCATACATTTGTCCTTTTTTGAGCCAAACTCCGACAATGCCAATCAAAATTCGAATTATTAAAAAAGCATTAACAAAATGATACATTTTTACAAATGAAATATACATTACATAAAAAATTCTTTTAAAAAATGAAAGGAAAAAATTCGATTCGATTTCGTCTCTGAAAAAATTAGATTATATGGGAAGGAATATAATATTTGAGAATGGGCAGTGCTGAAACAGTAGATTATTGAGTTTTGAATTTGTCTGATTTTTGTCAAAAAATTTTTAAATCTTTCGAATATAGTTCAAAAGTTAGAGGAAAGGGGGGTTAACTTTTGAAAAAATTTTGGGAGGGGTGCTTAACTTAAAAAATTTACGTGGGGGACCTATTTTATGTATGTTCTAAGCTAAAAAACCTCCCCAAATTCAAATTTCCCACCAAAAACCCCCCAAAACCCTCTCCCAACCTGAAATTAATTCCAGTAACGAAGATGGTTGGTACAAAGGTGACCTGGATGGTCGAATTGGCCTATTTCCCTCGAATTATGTTCGTCCAATCGGCGAAGAATCGAATTTGCTCGAATTTCCCGCCAAAAACATCCAAATCCCCCCACAATTTCAATATTTGGAGCAAGCGGAAATTGGACGCGGAGCCACTGCTACCGTATTCAAAATCGATTTACGGGTTCATGCGCAAGATGCTGAAGGAATGGAGATTTTTGACGAGTTTACCACTGAGAAAGCGGCCCTCAAAAGGTTCAATTATCATATTTTGGATAGAACACGGACTTCTGTGCCACCTTGTGAGTTGGATTTTTGGTTTTTGGGTGAAATTTGCAATTTTTTGACACCAAACAAGCCTAGAGCGCCTTTAAATCTACAGTAACCCATTTTTGGAATTTTTATACCAAAAAAATTCACTGTTTCAAACAAAAATTAAAATATTTCTTTTTTTTTTTTTAAATTTGATTCGATATTCATGAATAGTACTGTAAATATTTTTTGGATTACTGTAGATCAAATTTTAGCTCCAAAAAAGCTACAGTAACCCTGGAAAAATCTAGCTAAAAGCAATTTTTATACCAAAAAAAAATCACTGTTTCAAAAAAAATTAAAAATTTTTTTCCGAAAAAAAATGATGATAAAGATCTATGCGGACACGCCATCTAGGAAGTATTGTAAATGATTCTTGGATTACTGTAGATCAATTTTTCCCGCCAAAAGCTACAGTAACCCTGGAAAATTCGAGCTTAAAACAATTTTTATACCAAAAAAATTCACTGTTTCAAAAAAAAAATGAAAAAAACATTTTTTTCCGAAAAAATGATGTTTGTAAGAAATTCGAAGCAAAAATTCTAGGAAGTATTATAAATAATTTTTGGATTACTGTAGATCAAATTTTCTCGCCAAAGCCTACAGTAACCATGGGAAAATTTAGCTAGAAACAATTATTATACCGAAAAAAATTCACTGTTTCAAAAAAAAATGAAAAATAAAATTTTTTTCCGAAATGTTGATATAAAAAACACTTCTGGGGCACTGTAAATGATTTTTGCATTACTGTAGATCAAATTTTCTCGCCAAAGCCTACAGTAACCATGGGAAAATTTAGCTAGAAAAAATTATTATACCGAAAAAAATTCACTGTTTCAAAAAAAAATGAAAAAAAAAATTTTTTCCAAAATGTTGATGGGCTCACATGGATCTCTTCATTAAAAATAACAGTAATCCCTAAGAAAAATTCCGGGGTACTGTAGATTTTTTCGGATTACTGTAGATCAAACTTTCGCTCTAGAAAGCTACAGTAACCCTGCAAAAAATCTAGCTAAAAGCAATTTTTATACCAAAAAAAATCACTGTTTCAACAAAAAATTAGAAAAAGAAAATTTTTTTCGAAATGTTGATATAAAAAACAATTCTGGGGCACTGCAAATTATTTTTGGATTACTGTAGATCAAATTTTCCCGCCAAAAGCTACAGTAACCCTGCCAGAATTTTTTTGTTGCAAAAATAGGGAAATTTGATGTCAAAATGCTCCAAATCCTTTGGTAGATCACATTTTGGCGCCAAAAACTACAGTAACCCCAATTCTCACGCTGAAAATTCAAATTTTCCAGACGAAATGCTAAAACGCGAAGCGAATCTTGTCAACGGTCTCCAACATCCAAATATCGTCCGATTATTGGGTGTTTGCACAGAAAAGCCCTATTTCGGCCTGCTTTTGGAACTTTGTGAAGGAGGAAGCTTGCGACGGGTTTATCATGATGTAAGTCTGAAAATTTGGCTGAAAATCTGAAAATCCACGTTTTTTGAGCTAAAAATCATCATTTTTGAGCAAAAATCATGGTTTTTAGCTCAAAATTCGCCTAATTTTCACCTTAACGACCTTAAAAACCTTAAAAACCCTAACCTTAAGGCATTTTTTCCAGAATAAGCAAAAAACAATACCGTTTCGAGTTTTGGTCGATTGGGCTCTGCAAATCGCTTCCGGAATGGAATATTTGATTTCGCAAGGTTATGTTCATCGAGATTTGAAGGCGGATAATGGTAGGTCGTTTTTGGCGCCAAAATCTACAGTAACCTGGGATACTGTAGATCAAAACTACAAAAAATTTGCGATATTTTAATACTACAAAATTTCACTGTTTCAAAAAATTTTGAAATTTTTTGGATTTTTGAAAAAATTTCAATCAAATAATGAATTGTAAAAAAAATCCACGTGGCATTTTTTTCGCGAAAAATTCAGTTTTTCATCAAACCAACCTTCCAGAGATACTGTAGCTCAAAAATCTACAGTAATCCTGAATTTTTGGCGGGAAAATTGATCTACAATAAATTTGGAATTTTTTTTCTTACGACAAAATTTCACTGTTTCAAAAAATTGTGAAATTTTTTGGATTTTTGAAAAATTTCAATCAAGTCATAAATTGGTAAAAAAAAATTCACGTTGCGCTAAAAATTACAGTATTCCTACAGTAACCTAAGAATTTTAAGATACGAAAATTCAGAATTTTCAATTTTTTCTGGAATTATTTTGAGAGATACTGTAGGTAGGTTTTGGAGCATCAAATTGATCTTCAGGTCCTTGGAGTACTGTAGCTCGAAAATCTACAGTAACCTGGGATAAGCTACAAAAAATTGAATTTTTTGCACTACAAAAATTCACTGTTTCAAAAAATTGTGAAATTTTTCGGATTTTTGAAAAATTTCAATTAAATCATAAAATTTGTATAAAAATCCACGTGGCATTATTTTTGACACTACAGTAATCTGGGTCATTTTTAGCTCCAAAATCTATAGAAAAAGAAAATTAAGTTGAAATTTTGAACTGAAACAAGTTCCATAATGAAGTAGAGATTTGTTCAAAAAAATGTTATGCATTTTTTGAAACAGTGAAATTTTCATTTCCCGAAATTCTGCATTTTTTTTAGTCTAAATAAGGATAGATAATGCAAATTACCCAAATTTCACTGAAAATCATGAAAAGCTCTGAAATTTTTTGAAACAGTGAAAATTTTCCAGCCATTTTGTATAAGTCAACATAAATAGCTCTGAAAAAAATAATTTCGGAATTTTTTGAAACAGTGAATTTTTTTTCATGAAAAAAAATTCACTGTTTCAAAAATTTTATTTAAAAAAATCTTGGTTTTTAAAATATTCCCTCATCCATACGAGATTTTAATTAAAATTTATTAAAAGTTTAGAAAAACCTACAGTAACCCTGAACAAAAATTGTGCCAAAAATTCCAAATTTTCTGTAGATCACTTGGAAGTACTACTGTAACTCCCTAATATCTACAGTAATCCAAGAATTCTGAATTAAAGAAAAATGTTTTTGAAAGTTCAATATTTTCTTTAGATGTCAATTTTCTAGCTAAAAATCTACAGTAACCCTAAGCAAAAATTGTGCCAAAAAATCCAAATTTTCTGTAGATCACCCAAAAACTACAGTACCTTCAAATTTTCAGTGAAAAAATCTGTAGATCACGATGTTCTAGCTAATAATCTACAGTAACCCTGAGCAAAATTGTGCCAAAAAGTTTCGAATTTCTTGTAGATCATCCAGGAAGCTACAGTACCTTTGAATGTCGATGAAAAATTCTCTAGATCACGATTTTCCAGCTAAAAATCTACAGTAACCCTATCGAAAATTGTATCAAAAAATTCCAAATTTTCTGTGGATCACGAATTTCCCGGCTACAGTAACCCCAATTTTCTTGCAGTTCTGGTCAAAGAAGAGGTTTGCACCTGTATCACCGAGCAAAACTTCGAATGGTGTCCAGATTGCGGTGGCCGCCCATTCGATCGCCTCAAACTCAAAATCACCGATTTCGGCGTAACCCGCGAACTCACCGCCGAAGCTATTAACAGGCAAAGTCAAGTGGGCACTTGTGCCTGGTTATCGCCCGAAGCTTTTCATGGAACCTACTCAGAAGCATCGGATATTTGGAGCTTTGGAGTTGTCCTTTGGGAGCTCTTGTCAAAAGAGGAACCCTATCAGGGACAAGTTCCCGCATCGATTATGTTTCAGACTGGAATTTGTGGGAAAAGTCTGGAAATTGATAAGAATTGCCCGCAAAAATGGCGAGATATTATGCAGAAATGCTGGAATTTTAGGCCGGAATCGCGGCCGAAGTTTCAGGAACTTGTAAAGTTCTTCCAAGGATATAAGAGAGAGTTGGAGGAAATTGGGTTGGTTCAGAATTCGGAGATGGATACGCAACTCAAAGAGGCGCAGGTGAAGATTGCGCAGGAATTCAAGGATATTTATTGGAAGTGTTCGGCGGATCAGCGGAATTTGTTGGATCAAATGATTCAGCAGCTATACGCGCCGATTTCGGGGATTGAGCGGAGCAAAAGAGCATCGGTGGCACCGGCGACGAAAGCGCGAAAGAAGAAGAAGAAACCGGAGATTTCGGGACCGGTTGGAAGTATGAAACATATTTATTCGATTAAGGTGGAGGAGGGAAGTGGAAAGGATCAGAAGAATCAATTCAAGTTTTGTGAGTTGGGGGAAATTTGCGATTTTTTGACACCAAACATGACTAGGGTTACTGTAGATTTTGGCGCTAAAAATTTTGATCTACCTGAAAATTTGCGATTTTTTGACACCAAACAAGCCTAGGGTTACTGTAGGTTTTTCAGCCGAAAATTGGGGAGCTACAGTAACCCAGATATTCTAGATTCCAAATTTTTGATCCACCTGAAAATTTGCGATTTTTTGACACCAAACATGACTATTTTTGATCTACCAGATTACTGTAGTTTTTTTGATCCACCAGAATTTTCTCGATTTTTTGACACCAAACAAGCCTAGGGTTACTGTAGGTTTTTCAGCCGAAAATTGGGGAGCTACAGTAACCCAGATATTCTAGATTCCAAATTTTTGATCCACCTGAAAATTTGCGATTTTTTGACACCAAACATGACTATTTTTGATCTACCAGATTACTGTAGTTTTTTTGATCCACCAGAATTTTCTCGATTTTTTGACACCAAACAAGCCTAGGGTTACTGTAGGTTTTTCAGCCGAAAATTGGGGAGCTACAGTAACCCAGATATTCTAGATTCCAAATTTTTGATCTACCTAAAAATTTGCGATTTTTTGAGACCAAACATGACTATTTTTTGATCCACCAGGTTACTGTAGTTTTTAGCACACATTTTCAGGATCTACAGTAACCTAGGAAGTTTGAAAGCTACAGTAGTCTACAAATATTTGATCTACCAGAAAATTTGTGATTTTTTGACACCAAACATGACTATTTTTAGGCTACTGTAGGTTTTGGCGCTAAAAATTTTGATCCACAAATAGGTTTGGAATTTTTGGCACCAAATTTTCACCTACAGTAACCTTGAGGTTCAAAATTGGGAGCTACAGTAACCCTAGGGTTTCAAGGCCAAAATCTTGATCTACCAGGAAATTTGGAATTTTTCATGTACCGTACTCCTGGGTTACTGTAGCTCTGAATTTCTTGGTTCCAACTTTTCGATCTATCAGAAATTCTAAAGGTTACTGTAGATTTCGTAGCCGAAAATTGAGAGCTACAGTAACCCTCGGTTTTTTCAAGGCCAAAATTTTGATCTACCAGAAATTCTGGAATTTTTTGATCTACAGTAATCCTTGGTTACAGTACCTCCCAAACATTTTTGACACCTAAAATTAGGCCTACAGTAACCCTAGGTTTTCAAAGCCAAAATCTTGATCTATCAGAAATTCTGATATTTTTTGGTCTACAGTAATCCTGGGCTACAGTACCTCTCAAACAATTATTTTTCAAAATTTTTTTGCATCCTGTAAATCTATCGTTACTATTTTTTTGCACAATCAAATCGTGTTGTCTCTACAGTACCTACAGTAATCTATCTACAGTACCCTTTCTCTATCTCAAAAAATTATTTTTTCCTGTGACTTGTCATTTTCAGACGACTATTCAACACTTCCGCGAAGTTTCGGCAAAAATGCGGCGAATTTTTCGGCCTCAAGCCCAGATTTGAATTTGATCACAGATTTGACGCCGAATTCGGAAGTGGCGCCGAAAATTTCGCGGCAAAAAGCGATTCGCAAAAAACATGGAAGAAATTCGACGGATTTTCTGTTGGCCAGCGCCGCGACTTCGCCGATTTCGGACGATTTGTGCGCCGAATCGATGTTTGCGCAAAGTAGGTGTTGTTTTTTGTGGTTTGTGAAGAAATTTGCCACGTTTTGAGACCAAAAATGCATGTTTTATTTATTTTTAGCACAAAAAAATTGAATTAAAAATTTTACTGTTTCAAAAATTTGTGAAATTTTTGGATTTTTCTCTAGTTTTTGATGGTATTCTTTAGAAAATAGTACAAAATATAAAAGCCACGTGGCCTTGATTTTTAACGCCCAAAAATTTTTAGTTACAGTAGTTTTGTAGATTTTTTGCGTCAATAATTGGAAAAAAAAATCAAAATTGTATTTTGGAAAAATTTCACTGTTTCAAAAAATTATCAAAATTTTCAATTTTTTGGAAATTTTTGATACTATTGTTTTTGACGCTATTATAAAATTGATGAAATCCACGTGGCATAGATTTTTAGCGTCAAAATTCAGATTATTTTTCGGCTCCAAAAATCCACATTTTTTTTGAAACTTTCAATGAAAAAAATTTTACTGTTTCAAAAAATTGTGAAATTTTGGATTTTTTCTAGTTTTTGATGGGTAGTTAGTACAAAAGCTGGTACAAAATATAAAATCCACGTGGCATATTTTTTGAAGCTAAAAATTCAAATTTTTTCTCTCAAAAAAATTTCACTGTTTCAAAAATTTCTTAATTTTTTTGATTTTTTTTGGAAATATTGATAGATCATCATTGAATAACTACAGTAATCTAGTTTAATTTTTCGCTGTCAAAAAATTTCACTGTTTCAAAAAATTATCAGAATTTTCAATTTTTTTTGGAAGTTTTTGATTCTATAATGGCATTCGATGAAATCCACGTGGCATATTTTTTGGAGCTAAAAATTCAATGTTTTTCTCTCAAAAATTTCACTGTTTCAAAAATCTCTTAATTTTTTTGATTTTCTTTAGAAATATTGATAGACACCCGTGCATAGGATCATTGATTAATAAAATTTGGAATCAAACATTCACGTGGATTTTTCAACTACAGTAATCTAGCTTTCGCTTTAGAATCAAAAATTTCCAAAAAAATTGAAAATTTCACAAATTTTTGAAACAGTAAAATCTTTTCATTGAAAATTCCGAGAAATTTGGATTTTTTACGGCAGAAAGCTTAGCTTAAAATATTTCCATCAATAAAATTCACTGTTTCAAAAAAATATTGTTTTTTTTACAGTAGACAACGCGGATGATGTGGTTCTAATCGAATCAACTTCCAAAGACAATCATCATCATCACAACCATCACAGTCATCATCCGAAAAATGGAACTTTTTCGAGGGTTTTGTCGAAATTACCATGGGTGAGTTGGTTTTTGGGGGGAAAATTTGTTTTTTTGAGCCAAAAACATCTGAAAAATTCGATTTCCAGCAGTAAAAAAGACGAAAAATGGGATTTTCTTTGAAATTTCAATCATTAAATTGACGTCATAAAATTCATGCCACGTGGATTTATTTGAAATTTGATTATTCAATTTTTTTCAACTAACAAAACCCCAAGAACTAGAAGTTTCCTAAAACAGCAAAAGATATTAATTTTTTGAAACAGTAAATTTTTGGGGAATTTTTTCAACCAAAACTATACTGTAGATCAAAATTTGACGATTTTGAATTTTCAAAAAAATTCACTGTTTCAAAAAATATTGAAAATTTCGGACGTTTTTTGAAAACGTTCCCACATATTTTTTACGAAAAATCTGCAAATTTTTAGCCAAAAAATTTCATTGTTTCAAAAAACATGAATAATTTGAGAGTAATTCGAAAAAACTGATCCATCTATATTTGTTTGTGAGACAAATTGCCAAAAATTTTCGAATTTTCTTGAAAATGTGAGAATTCCAGTCAAAACTTTAACAAAATTCACTGTTTCAAAAAAATTCGAAATTTTGAGATTTTTTTGAGGAAAACTGTTGAAGGGTTGAACAAATCATGAAAACTATGGAAGTTTCAGAAGAATCCTAATTTTTTGTGCAAAGAAAAATTCACTGTTTCAAAAAATTGATAAGTTTTTGAATTTTTGGTGAATTTCTGATATGTTGACTTTTTTGCTATTTCCTGGACCAAAAAAATCTGGATTTTTAGCTTTAAAAAATTCCTTCCACGTGGCATGATTGTGTGGCACCAAAAGTTTCAATTTTTGCATTTCAAAATTTCACTGTTTCAAAAAAACATGAAAAATTTGAGAATTATTCGAGGAATTTAATATGTTCTTATTTTTGAGAAAAATTCCCCGAAATTTCTAATTTTCAATCGATTCCAAAAAATTTCTAATTTTCTTGGAAAATCCGAGGATTCCAGTCAAAACTTCAACATAATTCACTGTTTCAAAAAATATTGAAAATTTTGACTGATATTTCATTTGTTTGTTGAGGAAAATTTTCTTATCTTCAATTGGTGTCAAAAAATCACATTTTCTTGGAAAATCTGAGAATTTCAGTCAAAACTTGAACAAAATTCACTTCAAAAAAAAGATTTTTTGAGGAAAAATGTTGAATTTCACGGAAAAAAATCAAGAAAAACTATGGAAATTTCAGAAAAATCCTGATTTTTTGTGCAAAGAAAAATTCACTGTTTCAAAAAATTAAAAAGTTTCTGAATTTTTGGTGATTTTCTGATACATTGGAGTTAGACCAAAAAATCTTGATTTTTTAGCTCTAAAAATTCCACGTCGCATAATTGTGTGGCACCAAAAAGTTCAATTTTAAATTTGAAAAATTTTTTTGATTGATAAATTGAATGTTTATTATCTACAGTAATAACATGTTTTTCTCCAATTTATTCATTTTAAAAGTTCACTATTTCAAAAAAAATTGAAATTTTTGGATTTTTTTCGAAAACTCAATGATAGATTGCAATAAACAACATCATATTTTTACGAAAAATCTGCAAATTTTCAATTTTTTGCATTTCAAAATTTCACTGTTTCAAAAAACATGGAAAATCTGAAAGTAATTCGAAAAAACTGATGCATCTATTTGTTTATTGTGAGAAAAATTCCCAAAAATTTCTAACTTTCTTGGAAAATCCAATAATTTCAGTCAAAACTTGGACAAAATTCACTTCAAAAAAGAGATTTTTTGAGGAAAAATGTTGAATTTCACGGAAAAAAATCAAGAAAACTATGGAAATTTCAGAAAAATCCTGATTTTTTGTGCAAAGAAAAATTCACTGTTTCAAAAAATTGATAAGTTTTTGAATTTTGCTGATTTTCTGATATATTGGTTTTCATCAAGTCAAAAAAATCTGGATTTTTAGCTCGAAGAATTCCACGTGGCATAATTGTGTGGCTAAATTAATTTTTGCAAAAAAAATGCACTGTTTTAAAAAATATTGAAATTTTTTGCTTTTTTTTACGAAAAATCTGCAAACTTTAAATTTTTGCATTTCAAAATTTCACTGTTTCAAAAAATATCAAGAAAATTCTAGTCGACTAGAGTTTTGATCGAAACTGAAAAATCTTAATTTCTCAATTTTTTCATATCAAAAAATTCACTGTTTCAAAAACATTTGAAAAAAAGTTTATTTTTCGGGATTTTCTGATCCTGTTTTGGTACATGTAGAAAAGAAAATTCAAAAAATTCAACAAATTTCAATTTTAAGTTTGAAAATTGCCTGTTTTCGTTCAAACTGTGTGATTTATACATAAAAATCATAAAAATTTCAATTTTTCACCCCAAGACCCCCATTTTTCCTTCCAGAAATCCTCCAAACGCGATTCCCGTGATGACGATTCCACCAATGCCTCACCAATCACCACTCGATCCTCCTCATCCACAAATTCATCGAGCCGCCATCAAAATTTGGCCCCAATTTTCACCGGACCCCATTCGCGTGCTCCAATCGCAGCCTCACAATTTTTGGCTAATCGAGCACAATCCGAAATTATGGGAGGAGGAGGAGAGGATTTGACGGGAAGAAAGAATAAGGTTTCACCAACTGGCGAAAAGGGTTCATCGAGGAATAATGGATTTGTGAAACACACCAACTTGACTGAGTGAGTTGGATTTTTGGGCGGGAAAATTTTTACGCCGTGAAATTTGGAGCAGAATGATACCAAATATGAATATGCCATGCCACGTGGAAATATTTTTTTACAAAAAAAATTCACTGTTTCAAAAAATTATCAAATTATTTTGGATTTGAAAGAATTTTGATATCTTTCAATTTATTTTTCGAATTTCAAAGTTAAAAATTTCAGAAAGCCAAAGTACTGTAGAATTTCAGCGCGAAAAAAATACGCCTTGTACAGTACTTTGGCTTTCTGAAATTTTTAACTTTGAAATTCGAAAAATAAATTGAAAGATATCAAAATTCTTTCAAATCCAAAATAATTTCAAAAATTGAAAATAAAAAAATATTCATATTTGGTCTCAAAAAAGTACTGTACAAGATATCTTTCAATTTATTTTTCGAATTTCAAAGTTAAAAATTTCAGAAAGCCAAAGTACTGTAGAATTTCAGCGCGAAAAAAAATACGCCTTGAAATTTGGAGCAGAATGACACCAAACATGAATATGCCACGTGGCGAAATTTAAAAAAAAAATCACTGTTTCAAAAATTTATAGCCAAAGTACTGTAGATTTTTAGCTCTAAGAAAATACGCCTTGAAATTCTGAACAGTTTGAGACCAAATATGAATATTTTTTTATTTTCAAAAATTCACTGTTTCAAAAATGGTTAAAAAACTTTCGCTCTGAAAAAATTTTGATAAAAATTCGTGGCTATTTCGAATTGGCGCCTAAATTTACAAGAAGAGGAGTACTGTAGAATTTTAGCGCGAAAAAAATACGCCGTGAAATTCTGAACATTTTTATTTCAAACATGAGTATGCCACGTGGCAAAAAATTCACTTTTTCAAAAATTTATAAAATTATTTTGGATTTGGGAAATTTTGGGTGGGGAAAAAAAAAATTTAATCCGTGAAATTTGGAGCAGAATGATACCAGATATGAATATGCCACGTGGCAAAATTTTTACAAAAAAAAATTCACTGTTTCAAAAAATTATCAAATTATTTTTGATTTTAAAATTTTTGTTATGAACGTTGTCCCTATTTTCAAATTGGTGTCTAAATTTACAAGAAGAGGAGTACTGTAGAATTTTAGCTCTAAAAAAATACGCCTTGAAATTCTGAACAGTTTGAGACCAAACATGCCACGTGGCGAATAATTTTATTTTTTTTTAGAATTTTTCCTTAAAAAATTCACTGTTTCAAAAATTTATGAAATTATTTTGGATTTGAAAGAATTTTTGATAACACCGAAATTATTTTTCGAATTCAAAGTGGCGCTAAAAATCCAAGAATAGGAGTATTGTAGAATTTTAGCGCTAAAAAAATACGCCTCGAAATTCGGACCGTTTTGACACCAAACATGAATATGCCACGTGGCGAATTTTTTTAACGTCGAAAAATTTTTATGAAAAATTTCGCTGTTTCAAAAATATATGAAATTATTTTGGATTTGAAAGAATTTTGATATCGCCGTAATTCAAATTGGTGCTAAAAATCCAAGAATAGGAGTACTGTAGAATTTTAGCGCGAAAAAAATACGCCTTGAAATTCTGAACAGTTTGAGACCAAATATGAATATTTTTTTATTTTCAAAAATTCACTGTTTCAAAAATGGTTAAAAAACTTTCGCTCTGAAAAATTTTTGATAAAAATTCGTGGCTATTTCGAATTGGCGCCTAAATTTACAAGATGAGGAGTACTGTATAATTCAGGTACCAAAAATTGTTTCAAAGTTTTTTTGTACAAAAATTAACTGTTTCAAAAAATGCTCAAAATTATTTGAATTGAAAATTTTTATTGGTTTTTTTTCCTTTTTTATTCAATAATATTTTTCAAAAGCAAAAAAAATCTGAAAATTTTTTGAAACAGTGAATTTTTTGGATGAAAAATTTTTTGAAATTACAAAATTCAGCCACTTGACAAAATTCATTAATTTTTTTTGAAAAAAAAATGATTTTCAAAAAAAATTCACTGTTTCAAGAAAATGTTCAATACAACCAATTTTTGTCATTTTTTGGTAGGCAAAGGGTTCATATCGAAAACAAAAAATTAATTTTTAATCATTTTGAAATTTGAAATATCAATTTACACGTGGATTTTTGGCACCAAAAATTTTTTATTCAAAATAATCGGAACGTATCAAAATTTTTTCAAATCAAAAAAATTTTGAAAAATTTTTGAAACAGTGAATTTTTGAATGAAAATTAAAAATTACTAAATTTTTCCACGTGGCAAGGTTCTTCAATTTTTTTGTAAAATCCTGATTTTAAAAAAAATTCACTATATCAAAATTTTTTAACCCATATACATATCAAAATTTTTTCAAATCAAAAAATTTTGAACATTTTTTGAAACAGTGAATTTTTTTTCTAATTAAAATTAGAAATTATCATATTTGGTGTCAAAATGTTCAGAATTTCACGGTGAAAAAATTCCACGTGGCAAAAAAATTTATTTTCACCCAAGCTTGTTCCAGACGCTTCACCAAAGAAGATCCACCATCTCGCCCCGCCCAACTTCACACCAATCACCAGCGAAAATCGGTGTTAGACCAACCGATTCCACAAAGTTCACCCACCTCCAATTCATCACCAATGTCTGTGATGTCATCACGCCGGAACACGTCATCACAGGACTTCCCGCCACCACCAAATTTGGCGCCAACTCTATCCACGTATATTCCAGTTGGAGCCAATGAGCCCACACACTATCTGATGAGCAATGGTTATATATCAGCTGCTCCAAAACCACCACATTTTGCCACGTCACCACAATTTCCCACGTATTTACCGGTGGGCGGCGGTTGTGATGACTATATTCGGGTCTCGGGTGGAAATTCCCCGCACCCGCCACCCACATACGTGGCAATTGGAAGAAATACGGATGTGGTGAACAACACCCAAATCTACACCAATGATTTTTTGGCGCAAAAAATTCAGGGCTTGAATGTCGTCAACCCGCAATATTATCAATGTAAACCGAAAAATGGTGGCGGTGGGAGCTTGGCTGGTAAAAATCATCATTTGGGAGCTGGGAGAGGGTGAGTGTTTTTTTTTTGCGGGAAATTTCGGGATTTTTTCATGGTTTTTGATGTAAAAATCAGGTTTTTTGGACAATTTTGAGCCCAGATTCGAGAGATTTAGACAGAAATTTTCCCAATTTTTTTTCCAAAAATTCACTGTTTCAAAAATTGATCAAATTATTTCGGATTTGAAACATTTTTGATATGGAATTATGGTTTTTGTCAAAATCCGGAATAATTTGATCAATTTTTGAAACAGTGAATTTTTGAATGAAAAATTTTAAAATTTTCCAAAAAAAAAATTCACTGTTTCAAAAAGTTTTCAATTTTTTCGGAAAATTAATTGATTTATTGAATTTGATCAATATTTGAAACAGTGAAATTTTGATTTTGAAAAAAATTTTATGCAATAAAAAAGTTTTGATTTTAAAAAAATTGAGATTTTTTTGAAACAGTGAATTTTTGAATGAAAAATTTTTCCAATTTTCAAATTTTCATCCAAAAAAAATTCACTGTTTCAAAAAAGTTTTCAAATTTTTCGGAAAATAAATTAATTTATTCGAAATTCCCTCAAATTTGGTGTCGTAAACCAGAATTCCATATAAAATTTTTTTGCAATTCCGAAATAATTTGATCAATTTTTGAAACAGTGAATTTTTGAGTTAAAATAAAATTATCTGTGCAATAAAAATTTTTCAAATCCGAAATAATTTGATCAATTTTTGAAACAGTGAATTTTTGAGTTAAAATAAAATTATCTGTGCAATAAAAAAAGTTTCAAATCCACAAAAAATTGACAATTTTTTGAAACAGTGAATGTTTTAATGAAAAATTTTAAAATTTTCCAGTTTTCAAATTTTCATCCAAAAAAAATTCACTGTTTCAAAAAGTTTTCAATTTTTCGGAAAATAAATTGATTAATTTAATTACCTTAAATTTGGTGTCAAAATCCAGAATTCCATATAAATTTTTTTTCAATTCCGAAATAATTTGGCCAATTTTTCAATAAAAAAGTTTCGAATCCAAAAAAATTGACAATTTTTTGAAACAGTGAATTTTTGAAATTTTTTTTTCCAGTTTTCAAATTTTCATCCAAAAAAATTCACTGTTTCAAAAAGTTTTCAAATTATTTTGTAAATTTAATTGATTAATAGGATTTTCAAAAAACCAGAATTCCATATCAACATTGTTCGATTCCGAAATAATAAGATCAATTTTTCAATAAAAAATAAAAAAATTTGACAATTTTTTGAAACAGTGAATTTTTGAATGAAAAATTTTAAAATTTTCCAAAAAAAAAATTCACTGTTTCAAAAAGTTTTCAAATTTATGGAAAAATAAATTGAATTTGGTGTCAAATATCAGAATTCCACATCAAAATTTTTCAAATCCGAAATAATTGTATCAATTTTTGAAACAGTCAATTTTTTTTTGCAAAAATCTTGAATCTGGGCTCTAAATTACCCAAAAATATCGATTTTTGAGTAAAAAACCATTCAGCTTAATTCAAATTTACAATAAAAATTTCATTTTCAAAAAACCCGAAACAATAAAAATCTTCACATTAAAATTTAAATCCCGCTCAAATTCTGATCAAAAAATATTTGAAAGACTCTTCTCTCAAAACTACACGATGTTTTCGATTTGCCGATTTTCTCGATTTTCGTTCAAAACGCCAAACTTCATCATCTCCTTCTGATTCCATAATTCTACCAGAATCTGTGTAATTTCGAATAATTTGATACAAATCTTCTGATTCTGAATCCAAATTCAAATACAATTTAATCGTTCTCAAATCTCCATCGATTGCTTTTTCATCAATTAGAAGTTGCTTCAAAAACGCGTCGAATTCGGTGATGGAAAACTTCGGCGCACTTAAATTTATGTGTGATGATTTGAGTTGAAATAATTCGTCGAGTTGAAGATTTGGAAGATCAATGTCACAAGAAAATCGAGAAATTGTCGCGAAATCAATAAATCCACTTGAAATTGGATCAATTCCATGTATATTTTCAAAAAGGACCAAATCTTCGAGATTTTGATGTTTCAAGTGTTTGATTGAGCATTTGTCATAAGGGAAATCGACCTGGAAAAATTTGAATTTGAAATTTTCACGCGAAAATTCAGGATTCTTTGAAATTGAAGAAAAATCGATATTTTTTCAAATTTCGCATCAAAAATTTCTGCCACGTGGCATAAAATTAAAAAAATTTCAAATTTCAATTTTTCGCGCGCAAAAAAATCAGGATTTTAAAAATTTTTTGCCACATGGCTTTTTAAATTTGAAGAAAATCAATAAATTTTCAAATTTCGCCCCAAAAATTAAAAAATTATCGATTTTTTTCAAATCTAAGCCATTGCCACGTGTATTTCCACCAATTTTCTTCCAGAAACCACCAAAATTCGGACGATGAGCCGCCAGATCATCCAGCTCCACCACCTCCACCAATTTCAATGGCTCCGCCCACAATTATTGCACCCGTTATCCCGCCAAGATAGTTTTTAATTAATTAATTAGTTTTTTGTCACAATTTGTACTTTTTCATGTTTTCTGGTCATACTTTTTTGTGATTTTTTATCAATTTTTTTTTGAAAATAAAAAACTTACAGTGTAAATGTCGAAAATTTTCAAACTTTTCGCGTTTTTCCTCAAAATCTCATTGAAATACACCAAAAGCACATCCATCAGTGTTTCTCGATTCTCAAATAATTTATACGAAATGATTTTCTTATCCATCTCCCAGAGAACTAGACAATCTCCAGTTGCAATTCGCATTATTCGATACATCCATTTTTGACCGTTTGCCCTCAAAACAATATGAATTTCTCGTTTTTTCCTCTCTCCCTTATCGCCAATTTCGATTTCTTCGATAAAATTTCGACTTCGGCTAACTTCTTCATAACAATCGTCGGAACATTTCGAAAATCTTGATTTTGTTCGAAGATCCATTAAATCCACTATCATTTGTCTCATTTCCCATGGCAAATCGAAAAAACCAATTCCCTCAATGTAGTCTTCAGTTTTCCACCATCTCGAAAAATACACGCCCATTTTGTAGGCTGAAACATCGAAAACAGTTGAAACCGCGCAAAAAACGAAAAAAAAAATCAATATTGTCCGAGAGAAATACACGAAAATAGAAGCGGCATTGCGGAGTGTTGTTGTTTTATTTTTATTTCTTTTTTTTTTTTTGCAAAATATTGTTTTCTATCGGATTTTTGAGAATAAACTGGGGAATTAAGAATTTAATTAATTAGCCAATTAGTTAATTAGCTAATTAATTAATTAGTTGAGCTTTTCTTCGTATTTTTTGTGATTTCTAAAGTGCTACAATAATTTTGGGGCAAAAAAAACCACGTGACTGAAAATTTGAATTTTTCTGGGTGAAAAAATTCACTGTTTCAAAATTTTGATAATTTTTTTAATTTTAAAAACTTCGTTTGTTCGTATTTTGCATTCTAGGTACAGTAATCCAGACGATTTTTAGCGCCAAAAAATCGCAATCTACATTAATTTTGTCGTGGCAATGAAATGAAATCGGGTATCCTAGAGACTTTTGAATTCAAAAATTCAAAATTTGAGCTTTTCATTTTCATTCTGCCTGCAAAAAATGTGTGCTTTCCTATTTTTCTTTTGTATTTTGAGTTTGGCTAACTGCTACATGCTAATATTTTATGGAGAACTTGGAACAAGTATGAATTGCACAAAATATTCCACTGTTTCATGGGATACTTGTATCACAAACTGTGATGAGAATGACAATTGTTTTGTGAGTTTTTTATATGCGATATTTTCAATAGGGGAGGAAAAGCGACGCGTGGCCGAGTGGTTAGCGCCCGCGCCTATCGTTGGCGAGGCTCGTGTTCGACCCCCACTCGGCGCAAACTTTTTTTATTTTTTATTTTTTTTAATTTCAATTTTTATCTTCAGCTTTCCTACACTTCCCTGTCGGTTTCTTGCAATACTTGTGGATTTGGAGGCTTCCCAGGCATCTCATATTCTCCCTCAGAAACCAATTACAAACTCGCGTTGAAATCACGCTTAGCAAATTGCACTTACAATCTCGAAATGTTGAGCCAACAAAAAATCGATGCTCTAAAACAGTGTCCCGGTGGATACGGTACTTTGCCACGAAACAATGCACAATCATCAGTTTGTTTTCAAAGATTATATCAACAAGCTTATACGACACAAGATGTGGCTAAAACACTGTGTACTGATAGATCTGGTGGGTATGGCGGACAATTGATGGGTTTGGACAGTGATCAGATGCGGAGTTCATTAAGTGCTACGACTATTACTATTTATTTGTATAATTGTAGTATTTGGATTGGTTTGGAGTTGAAGAATGGTGTGAGTTTTCCGCGAGATTCCGCGTGACCGGAAGCCCCGAGCGCTCTGCGCGAGTGTAGACCGCGAGCTTCCGCGAAGCGGCTGGGCATTAGTGTACCTAACTCAACTTGAGCCTAGGCCCGGCCGCTACGCGGAAGACAGTGCCGCTTCGCGGAAGCTTGCGGTTTACACTCGCGCAGAGCGCTCGGGGCTCAGGATTAGGACTATGCTCTAGGCTAAGCCTAGGCCCCGAGCGCTCTGCGCGAGTGTAGACCGCAAGCTTCCGCGAAGCGGCACTCTTTTCCGCGTAGCGGCCGGGCCTAGGCTTAAGTTTGAGTTGGTTACACATGCCAGTCGCAAAACCTAACTCAAACTTGAACCTAGGCCCGGCCGCTACGCGGAAGACAGTGCCGCTTCGCGGAAGCTTGCGGTCTACACTCGCGCAGAGCGCTCGGGTCTGGGAGGGGGGATTAAGGCTATGCTCTAGGCTAAGCCTAACACCCGAGCGCTCTGCGCGAGTGTAGACCGCAAGCTTCCGCGTAGCGGCCGGGCCTAGGTTCAGGTCTGGACATGGACTGATCCTTGGTCTAAGTTTACCTAAGCCTAAGCCTGAAGCTAGGCCCGGCCGCTACGCGGAAGACAGTGCCGCTTCGCGGAAACTCGCGGTTTACACTCGCGCAGAGCGCTCGGGGCTTGGGATTAAGACTATGCTCTAGGCTAAGCCTAAGCCCCGAGCGCTCTGCGCGAGTGTAAACCGCAAGCTTCCGCGTAGCGGCCGGGCCTAGGCTCAAGTTTGAGTTAGGTACATTAATGCCTAGCCGCTAAACTTAGCTCAAACTTAAGCCTAGGCCCGGCCGCTACGCGGAAGACAGTGCCGCTTCGCGGAAGCTTGCGGTCTACACTCGCGCATAGCGCTCGGGATCAAGCCTATGCTCTAGCCTAAGCCTAAGCCCCGAACGCTCTGCGCGAGTGTAGACCGCAAGCTTCTGCGTAGCGGCCGGACCTAGGCTCAAGTTCGAGCCCGGCCTAACCTAAGCCCGGCCGCTTCGCGGAAGCTCGCGGTCTACACTCGCGCAGAGCGCTCGGGGCTTAGGCTTGTTCGACTTACAACTGCAAATTCCAGATCTGGACATGGACTGATCCTTGGTTTACTGGCTCGGGAAGTATAGCATGGGCTTCTGGACATCCGAAAACTGGAAACACTTGTGCATCTCTACAATATGGAACCGGTTTATTGCAAAGCGAAAAAATGCTCCGCGGCAACTTGCACATCGAAATATTGCCCAGGTTCTTGTCTGTGCACATATTCTATGCGATAAATTTTCGAACTTCTTCAAAATTTCATTGAAATGCATCGAAACCGCGCAAAAAACAAAAAAAACGAAAAAAAATCAATATTGTCCGAGAGAAATACACGAAAATAGAAGCGGCATTGCGGAGTATCGTTAACCACCGCGTTGTTTTATTTTTTTTTGTTTTTTTTCGCAAAAAAATGTTTTTAAAAGTGTTTTCTATCGAATTTTCGAAATTTATCAGGGTAATTAAGAATGTAACTAATTAGCTAATTAGTTAATTACCTAATTAGTTGAATTTTTCTCTTTTTCTTATCTTTTCTGTGAAAATTTACTTGAAAATTCGCTTTTCTTCTGTTTCTTCCATATTTTCAATGATTTTTGATGATTTTTCAGGTTTACCAAGCTGGAATTATTGATTTTTCGAATTGGAGAGGTCAAGAATTGAAGGAAACTTGTGAATTTTCATGGAAAACATCGGATTACTGGATTTTTCGCTCAAAAATCGATTTGGGTAAGATTTTGCTGTGAATCTCTGAAAAATGGCTGGAAAATTGTGTTTTAAGACCCAGAAATTCAAAATTTCTGATTTTCAGCTCAAAACATTGATGGAAACTAGAAGGATTTCGAATTTTCGATGATTTTTGTGTGATGTTTGAAAAATAGAAGCGATTGGTGAGTTTTTTGGGGAAATTCTGTAAAATTTGAAAAAAATCTTTAAAATTCGAAAAAAATTAGGCTAACTCATCAAAATCTAGGAGGCCCCAATTTAAATTGAAAAAAACAACGCTGTCTTAGAAACCCCAAATAGCTCAGCTGGTTAGCGCGTCGTTTTGCAATCGAAAGGTGGCGGGTTCGAACCCCAGCCGAGGCGAACTTATTTTTTTTTTTTTTGGAAATTTTATGGCGCCTGTGCCACGTGGCGTAAAATTTCGCTACAGTAATCTGGCCAAATCAACTTTTCAAATCTTCATTGCTCTCAAATGCCCACAGTAAACGGTGTGACCATGGGTTGTGCCATGATAGGTTGTGGCGGTAGTTGTGGTGGGCCGGGTGAATCGTAGCTCGGCGGAGGTGTGTAGGCTTTGGGGGCCACCGAATTGGCGCCAATAAAGGCGCACGTCAGAAACGCGACGAGACCCAGCGAAATTGCGACGCCCAAGAAAATGGCGCCGGCGATGATTGGCCAGCGCCAATTTTTCCACCATCCTGAGCTGGAATCTGAGCTGCTGGATACTGTAGTCGTCTCATTTGAGGGTACTGTAGATGCTGATCCTGTGGTGGTTACTGTAGTTGTGGCTACTGTAGTTGTGGTTACTGTAGTTGTATTTGAGCCAGATGAACTTGAACTTGTTGTGTTCGTTGATGGGGATACTGTAGTTGTGGCTACTGTAGTTGTATTCGAAGCTACAGTAGTCCCATTCGAAGCTACAGTAGTTCCATTCGAACTTGCTACAGTAGTCGTATTTGAGGCTACCGTAGTTGTGGCTACAGTAGTCGTGGTTACTGTAGATGTGGTCGTTGTTGAATTATCTGGGGACCATAAATAGCACAAAGGTAGGCCGGTCAGGGTTACTGTATAGGAGCCATTTGTGGGGGCCGACAGATCAGCTAGGTAATCTGGAAGAATTTTAGGGGTACTGTAGGTGGAGGGGTACTGTAGGTCCAAAAAATCCAAATCTTGGGTTACTGTAGCTGCCCCGGATTACTGTAGCCCACCAACTCACCCAAATAGACACTGGATTTATACTGATACAGTGCCAACGTGGCTCCACAGTACCCCGATACCGTAGTACAATAGAATGTAGTTTGATCCGAGACTAGAGTGTAGTTTGGATAGAGTGTAGTGTCGGATGGACGAAGCATTAGAATTGAGACTGGAAATTGGGGGATTACTGTAGTTGGGGGGTACTGTAGCTATGGGTTACTGTAGAGGATTTCAAGGGCTTCAAAATGGTATACCTGAAAATTTCTAGAATTTCTGGAATTTGGCTGAAAATCCTGAAATTTCAAAATTTTGAAAAATTTCTCAATTTCAGACCTGATTTTCAGATTTTCAGAAAATTCCAAATTTTTCCGGAAAACATGGATTTTGTAGAGAATTTCAAGGGCTACAAGATAGCCTAACTCAATTTTTCTGAAAATTTCAAAATTTGGCTGAAAATCTTGAAAAACTGAAATTTCGCAATTTGAAAAATAGGTCAATTTCAGACCCGATTTTCAGCTTTTAAAAAATTTCACTATTTTTTGAGATCAACTGGATTTTGTAGAGAATTTCAAGGGCTTCAAGATAGCCTAACTTAATTTTTCTTAAAAATTCTGAAATTTGGCTGAAAATCAAGAAAAACTGAAATTTTCGAAATTTTGAAAATTGTGTCAATTTCAAACCTGATTTTCAGATTTTCAGAAAATTCCAGAATTTTTTGAGATAACATGGATTTTGTAGAGAATTTCAAGGGCTTCAAGATAGCCTAACTCAATTTATCTGAAAATTTCTGAAATTTGGCTGAAAATCAAGAAAAAACTGCAAATTTCAAAATTTTGAAAAATAGGTCAATTTCAGACCTGATTTTCAGATTTTCAGAAAATTCCAGAATTTTTTGAGATAACATGGATTTTGTAGAGAATTTCAAGGGCTTCAAGATAGCCTAACTCAATTTATCTGAAAATTTCTGAAATTTGGCTGAAAATCAAGAAAAAACTGCAAATTTCAAAATTTTGAAAAATAGGTCAATTTCAGACCTGATTTTCAGATTTTCAGAAAATTCCAGAATTTTTTGAGATAACATGGATTTTGTAGAGAATTTCAAGGGCTTCAAGATAGCCTAACTCAATTTATCTGAAAATTTCTGAAATTTGGCTGAAAATCAAGAAAAAACTGCAAATTTCAAAATTTTGAAAAATAGGTCAATTTCAGACCTGATTTTCAGATTTTCAGAAAATTCCAGAATTTTTTGAGATAACATGGATTTTGTAGAGAATTTCAAGGGCTTCAAGATAGCCTAACTCAATTTATCTGAAAATTTCTGAAATTTGGCTGAAAATCAAGAAAAAACTGCAAATTTCAAAATTTTGAAAAATAGGTCAATTTCAGACCTGATTTTCAGATTTTCAGAAAATTCCAGAATTTTTTGAGATAACATGGATTTTGTAGAGAATTTCAAGGGCTTCAAGATAGCCTAACTCAATTTATCTGAAAATTTCTGAAATTTGGCTGAAAATCAAGAAAAAACTGCAAATTTCAAAATTTTGAAAAATAGGTCAATTTCAGACCTGATTTTCAGATTTTCAGAAAATTCCAGAATTTTTTGAGATAACATGGATTTTGTAGAGAATTTCAAGGGCTTCAAGATAGCCTAACTCATTTTTCTGAAATTCGGCTGAAAATCAAGAAAAACGGAAAATTTTGAAAATTTTGAAAAATAGGTCAATTTCAGACCTGATTTTCAGATTTTCAGAAAATTCCAGAATTTTTTGAGATAACATGGATTTTGTAGAGAATTTCAAGGGCTTCAAGATAGCCTAACTCAATTTATCTGAAAATTTCTGAAATTTGGCTGAAAATCAAGAAAAAACTGCAAATTTCAAAATTTTGAAAAATAGGTCAATTTCAGACCTGATTTTCAGATTTTCAGATTTTCAGAAAATTCCAAATTTTTTGAGATAAAATGGATTTTGTAGAGAATTCCAAGGGCTACAAGATAGCCTAACTCATTTTTCTGAAATTCGGCTGAAAATCAAGAAAAACGGAAAATTTTGAAAATTTTGAAAAATAGGTCAATTTCAGATCTGATTTTCAGATTTTCAAAATTTTCAGAATTTTTGAGATAACATGGATTTTGTAGAGAATTTCAAGGGCTTCAAGATAGCCTAACTCAATTTTTCTGAAAATTCTGAAATTTGGCTGAAAATCAAGAAAAACTGAAAAATTTCGACATTTGAAAAATAGGTCAATTTCAGACCTGATTTTCAGATCTTCAAAAAAAAAATTTTTTTTTGAGATAACATGGATTTTGTAGAGAATTTCAAGGGCTACAAGATAGCCTAACTCAATTTTTCTGAAAATTTCTGAAATTCGGCTGAAAATTGAGGAAAACTGAAAATTTCAAAATTTTGAAAAATAGGTCAATTTCAGACCCGATTTTCAGAATTTCAAAAATTCCAAATTTTTAAAAAAATTATGGATTTTGTAGAGAATTTCAAGCTCTACAAGTTAGCCTAACTCAATTTTTCTGAAAATTTCTGAAATTTGGCTGAAAATAGAGAAAAACTGGAAATTTCAAAATTTTGAAAAATTCATCAATTTCAGACCCGATTTTCAGATTTTCAGAAAATTCCAAATAATTCTAGAAAACATGGATTTTGTGGAGAATTTCAAGCTCTACAAGATAGCCTAATTCATTTTCCCTACCATTATTCCCATTTTGCTGAAAATAGGCTGAAACTGAAGTCAAACAATCCGCGGAGCAATTCGAATTCGCTCCAGATATAATTTGCCCAGAAATTTGTGAGATTTTTTGAGAACTCGAATTTGAAACTGTGAAGTTATAGGAACTCGAGGAGGTTAGAAAATGATTGTAGTTTGAACTTCCGGCGGAGCCCAATTGATTTTGAAAAAGTGGAAGGAGAGAGGATTGACCTGAAAAAAAAAATTCAAAAATTTTTTCTCGCGCCAAAATTTTGAAAATTCAAATTTTATATTTTTCCCGCCAAAATTTAATATTTGAATTTTGGCGCCAAAAATCCATTAAATTTTTTTTTTCGAATTTCAAACTAGACTCTAGTTTTGCGCGTTGGTAACTAGGGATGAAGCAAAAAATGTTGAAACGTAGGAATGTTTAAATTTTGTGTTTTGGCGCCACAAAAAAAATCAATGCCGCGGGAAAAATTGAAATTCAAATTTTTTTGAGAAAAAAATGGCGGGAAAAATTAATTTGAATTTTTTTGAAAATTATTTTCTGGCGCCAAAAAAACTGACCTACAGTACTCGCATCACAGCTCGCTGAATCCACATAAATACATTTCAAACCAGCCTCGTAGATCAAAAAAATCGCCAAAATTTGGCGCATTTTTGCCAGATTTCCAGGAAAAATAGAAGGAAATAAGGAAAATTCCTTCAGTTTTTGTTTGTTTTTTTTTGTTCCAGAGCAAAAAAAAAATGGTGGGTTTCTAGGCGACTCGCCTTGGAAACTCGAATTTTTGATGTTGTTCTCAAGTTTTTTTGGGGAGGGAAAATTTTTCTGGAATTTTTTCAGATGAAAAATCTTGTAGCCCTTGAAATTCCCCACAAAATCCATGTTTTCTTGAAAAAATCTGAAAATTTTATCAATTTATTTCTCGAAAATTTTTCACTGTTTCAAAAATAGAGGAAAAATTAGGGAAAAATTCAAATTTGATTAATGTTGAATTTTCATAATTTTCAGACAAATTTCAGATTTTTTTGAATTTTCAGATGAAAAATCTTGTAGCCCTTGAAATTCTCTACAAAATCCATGTTTTCTCATAAAATTCTGGAATTTTTGAAGATCTGAAAATCCGGTCTGAAATTGACCTATTTTTCAAATAAAACATTTTTCACTGTTTCAAAGAAAATTGAAATACTAGAATAATGTTCCTTTAAATTACAGTATGTAGTTTCAAAAATTTTGGCGCTAGAAATCATTCAAAAACACAAAAACTTCAATTTTTGTTTCAAAAAAAAATTACTGTTTCAAAAATTTCTCAAATTTTTTTTTCGAAAAATTCAATTTTGATGAGTGTCTTCTATAATACCTACTTTTTGGTTCCAAATTTTTTGAACTACAGTATTCAAAAACTTCTAAATTCGAGTGTATTAAATAGCAGAAACATTACTAAATTTTCGATTTTCCCGAAATTTTATCAATTTATTTTGAAACAGTGAGTTTTTTTCTCGAAAATTTTTCACTGTTTCAAAAATATTGGAAATAAATTTGAGAAGAATTCGAATTTGATTCGCCGATCTCATACTTTCCCATGTTCCTAAAATTAATTTACAAGAAAATTCTGGAATTTATGAAAATCTGAAAATTATGCATTTCTCAATCAAAAACAATTCAAAATCTTCATTCAGAAAACCAAAAATCCATCAATTTTTCTCATATTTCTCCGCAAAACTCAATTGAATTTTTCGACCAGGGAGTAGCTGAAAATTGTCCAAATTCATTGATTTGAATTGGTCCATCTCCTTGATCAATAATTTGAGTAACATCTGTGAGACTCATATTTAACTTAAATAAATCAGAAACATCAGAAAAACGAAGTGCGTAATGATCTGAAATTTGAATTTTGGTACGAAAATGTAGATACCAAAACTAGAGTCTAGTTACTCACCTATAACACACGCATCAAGACTGGCAGATTCCTTAATAAAGCAGAAAATCACCAAAATTCCCCAGATTTTGCTCATTTTTAGAAGGCTCGTTTAGAAAATACAGGAAAATATGTTTTTTCCTGAAAACATAATGTTTCTAGGGGTGAATTGCCTAGAAACTCGCTTTATTTGAAAAAAAATGAGGAAAATCCACTGTTTCAAAAACATTTTATGATTCATTTTGAAAAAAAAAGAACAATGCCTACTTGTTAACCAAAATTTTTTAAAACAGTGAATTTTTGTTACCAAAAATACTACCCACGTGGCAAAAAACGGTTTCTATCATGTACAGAAAATCATTGTTCTTCTAATCACCCGATTCGATCTCAAAAACACCAACCTAGACCGGTTTTTTGATCGGCATTGTGAGCAAATGTATCAGATTTCATCTGAAAACATCGAGTTCTCTGAAAATTTCCAGTTTTTTCACACATCTCAAAACGTTCGCCCCGTTTTTTGTCTGAAAATGTGTTGAGTATATAAGCATCTGCAAGTTCCGAATTCGAATTATTTCGAAATGTTGTCAACTAGAAATTTTTTTTTATTATGGAAAGTATTCAAGCTGACAAGCTCTAATAAATTCCAGAAAAATCAGAATTCCTGTCGGAAATTTTGTCTGAAACTCGAAAATGTTTCACAATCTTTATTCAGAAAACCTCAATTTTTCTCATATTTTTCCGCGAATTCCAATTGAATTCTCCGACAAAGTTCATCTGCATAAATTGTTCCATCTTCATGTTCAACAATTCGAGCAATATCTGAGAGTGTTGAGTTCATTATATTTCGAAAAAAATTAGGAAGATGATGCGAGGATTGTCCTGAAATTTCAATTTTTGGAGAGAATTTAGGCCTTAACAAAACTAGAGTCTAGTTACTCACCTATGTCGAAACTGACAGCTTTCACGAAATTCACGCCAATGAAGCAGAAAATCACCAAAATTCCCCAAATTCTGCTCATTTTTAGGGGGCTCTTTGAAAAATTATATCTATGAAAATATGTTTTTTCGTAAAAACATAATGTTTCTACGGTGAATTGCCTAGAAACTCGCATTATTAGCTTTTATTATTGAAAAAATGAGAAAAATTTACTGTTTCAAAATTTGTATGAAAAAATCACAAATTCGACATGCTTGGAGATTGTTGATTACTTCCACTTTCAGCTAGATCTTCCCGATTATCCACATGATTTGAAACAATTCCACAGCAAATAGTTTTCCAAGTTCTTGGCTGGAAAATTGAATAAAGATTTTGAATTGTTTTTGATTGAGAAATGCATAATTTCCAGACCGGATTTTCAGATTTTCAAGGAAACGTGGAGAAGTACAAATCAAATTCGAATTCTTCTCAAATTTACTTCCAATATTTTTGAAACAGTGAAAAATTTACGATATTTCAACCAGGGCTGCCGCTGATACCTGGGTATACCCGGGCACCACCCGGGTAATTTAATCATACGTCGCATACCCTCGTTTCAAATCCACCAATGCACACCCCTGTTTTTGAAAATTTCTGGCAAAAGGGATAACCCCCCCCCCTTTCCTTTTTCATTTTCAGCTAAATAAACTTGACAATCTAAATTTTTATGAACTTTTATCTGATGAAAATGTTGAAATTATCGATTTTTGAATCAAAATTCGTGGAAATTTTAATCACTCCAATTAAGTGATAGAGTACAAAGCTTAGAAAATTTCTTCATAATGTTTTCTCAAGTGACATCCCCTTCCAAAAACTGGGGTGAGTGATAAGGTTGGGTGTGGGCACCCTTAGGGCACCCTTGGGTATGATGCAAATTTTTGATTGTTATTGGACGAATTAAGCTAAAACATGAGTGACTTTTGATTGAAAAACTAATATGCAAAACAAAAAAGATCGATAAAATTCAATTTTATCGATTTTATTGACTTCTAAAATGACTTAAAATGCATTATATTGTAGAAAAAGCTAAAATATGTTTCACTTCGACACCAAACTACATAAAAATAAAAGTGTTCGTGATAAAATCCACCTTTGAGAGAATAGGTGCTCCTACTCAACTCATAGAAAGTCTTTTGTATGTATGTTTATAACACGAAAAGTAGTAAAATTTTGAAAAAAAAAACTGATTTTATAAAATTTCTCTACAGATTCGACCAATTTTTCATGTTACTGACCACTTCGCATAAAAAAAAACAATTTCCAAAACAATTTCGAAAATAAATTAGTACGAAAAATCAAATACGAAGGGCCACCCGTTCTGTCATTTTTTAATGAAAATACCCACCCGGGTGTACCCGCCGAACTGTGGTGCCCTGTGGGTGCCCAAACGGCACCCCTGGGCAGAAGGATCAATATTTTTGGCCAGTTCGGATAGTCGCCTATTGTAACTTCAGTGGCAAGTACAAGAACACACCAACCATAAGTTCTACGATCGAATAATGTCCAAGATGAATCAGGACATACTCGTTGTAACGTTAAACTAGCTTTTGTAGTGGTGGAAGAGGACGTACTGCTACTTTGAGTTGTTGAAACAGGAGTTGTACTGGATTCAAATCCCGAATTGGTTACTAATTCTTCTTCATCTGCTTCATCTAGAAATTGTTCACAAAAATTGTGTACGAAAACCACTCTGGTATTTTTTTTCGGGAAAAAAATAATGAAACAACTAACCAACATCGGGATCTTCGACATATTCTAAAAACATAATCAAAACCATAAAATTATGGGCCACCCTGTACAGTTCAGATGGAACTGTTTGTGGTGTCTAAAATGTTCGGCCACATTTCATTAACAAAGAAATTTAATGTGGCAAAACCTCCTGGAATGGAATACTGTAAACTTCAGGAAATCTGGTGCCTTTTTCCAGAAAAAAAATCATTCATTTTTCTAATCACCCGATAGATCTCATATTCGAACTCAAAAATTGTTTTTTTTTGTTCAAAAGACCAATCGAGACCGGTTTTTTGATCAGTTGTGAAAAAAAACAACGTGAGCAAGGACAGATTTCATCTGAAAAACATCCACATTTTCAGTTTTCTTCACACATTTAAAAGCGTTCTATTTCGTTCTCATGAAATAAGTAAATGAATTCATATTTTTGTTTGTTATTTATGGTTTTGATTCTGTTTTTCAAATTCACAAAATGTTGTATGCCTACAGAATATGTAGAAGATCCCGATGTTCCCGATGATGGTCAGTTGTTTCATTTTTTTTTTCGAAAAAAAAAAACAATACACAATTTCTAGATGAAAAAGATGATGGAGAAGAAGAATTAGTAACCAATTCGGGATTCGAATCCACTACAACTCCTGTTTCAACAACTCAAAGTAGCAGTACATCCTCTTCCACCACTACGGAAGCTAGTTTAACGTTACAACGAGTATGTCCTGATTCATCTTGGACATTATTTGATCGTGGAACTTATGGCTGGTGTGTTCTTGTACTTGCCACTAAACTCACAATGGACGACTATCCAGCAGAATGTCAAAAATACAGTCCAAATGCAGTTGTAAGTGGATTGCAAAATCAAAATGAACTCACAACAATTTCCGAACTGGCCAAAAATATTGATCCGTCAATTGTTGAAATATCGATTGGATTAATAGTCGATGTTTTTTGCACTGATAATGGTGCAGGAGGGCAAACATCCGGTTGCAAAGTTGATAGATTATCTTGGACGGATGGTTATACAACCGGAACTGATGGTATGATATGGGGTGCTGGGCAACCGTACGTAGAGGTTCCAGTTTTTGGAGCAGTTCTTCTTGTGCAGGAAAATGATCTGAAAACATTCAGTTCAAATGGAACTCCTGATGGAACTGTTTGTGGTGTTGAAGCAAAGGAAGAATATGTTTGAAGTTTATCTTTGAATCTAGTTAATTATCACTAAAAATTATATTATTTTGCTATTTTTGAAGGATTTTTATGAAGAAAACAAAAAAATGTACGAAATTTTTTAGGCGAACTGCCTGAAAACTCGCATTATGAGCTTTTATTTGAAAATGAGAAAAAAACCTGAAAACTCGTATTCAAAAACTGTAATTTTTCCCTAATTTATTTTTAAAAAAAATTTCACTATTTCAAAAAAATTATATGAACAGCATCATGATCATAAAAAGCAATAATTCCTTGATAATTTTTTTAAACAACATTTTTTCATGATTTCATTGTCACAACATTAATTACTATCAAGAATTGCAATTAACATAGGATTTGAAAAAATATCAATCATTTCAAGATTGCCGGATTGACGAATTCGTTCACGCATTATTTTCCACTTGTTTTCCGGTGGCAGCTGCTGAAAATTGATTTTTTTTTGAGCTCAGAATCAGCTCATCAAAAAAAACGCTCACATCTTTATTTCTATGTTGTGCATCATCAATTTCCAATTTTTGCTCGATTTTCTTTCGACACACATTCACCACAAGCTTCTGATCATTATACAGTTTATGTCCATCTAACTTAACAACGATTTTCTCACTTGTCAGAATTTTTCCCGTTTTCTCAGCGGCATCTTCTATTTCATTATAATTCATTTTTAAATCTTTCCTATAATTATATCAAAAAATAATAACACTTTCTGCGCTGAAAAAACCAGAAAAATGATTCAGTTCGAAAAAAAAACGTTCAATCAATAATTTGTTTTCAAATCCCTTTCTCTCTCTAACCCTCTCTTCATTTCCCACACTCTCTCGTCTACCCTGCACAAAAAACACGCTAAACAACGCGCACGCGGGGAGTATCGTTGTTTCGTTTTTATTTTTTTGTTTGCACGACATTTTTATTTTTTGCTTTTTTTTCTGGTTTTTGAATGGTTTTTTCAGCGCAGAAAGTGTGGGGTGATTTAGAACATTTTTTAATTTTCTTATTTTTTTTAGAGACAAACGTCACAAAATGCAGGTGTCCAATCAAATCCACAATTGTCATTTTCTGATGTAAGTTTAAGAACAAGCAAAAATGTTGAGAAAAAGAATGTAAAAGTTTCAGGCTTCCCCGAACAAGATGATGTTTCGTTTGGACATGATATTTGAAAAGAGATCAACAACTTCTCACGGAACGGGCCAGTCAAGTTAGTTTATTTTGAGTTTGGGGAGAGAGGGGGGGGGGCAGAACTCTTGAAAATTATTGCTAATTTTTTGTCCATTTTCTTCTCGAGTTAGATGTGCAGGTTCTACCGTACTTCAGCGTGTGCCTTTAAACTGAAAGGTTTAGAGGAATTTTTCTTTTTTTTTTTTTTTGTTTTTTTTTTTTGAGATACCGCATTTATTTTGTAACAATATGTACAAATTCAATTTTCTACTGCTTCAACACCACACACAGTTCCATCAACAGTGTCAAATGATCCGAATGATTCCAATGTATTTTCCTGCACCAAAAGAACTCCTCTATCCAACCAAGAAGATTGACCATCCGGTTGTCCAACTTGCCAATTCATACCATCAGTTCCAGTCGTAACACCATCTGTCCACGAGATTTTGGGCGTGGTGCATGTTAACGGTACATTTGGCGTATCAAAACACTCGAACTCAATTTTCATTCCAATCGATATTTGAACAATTGAAGCATCAAGCGTTTTAGCCAATGCGGAAATTGTGGCGAGTTCGGTAAGATCTTGAATTCCACTCACAACTGCATCAGAATCAATGTTTTGACACACACCCTTTCAGGCCAATAGAAAATTGCAAAAAGCAAAATATTGAGAGAGTGCGAGACAACGTGCGAAATGTGCGAAATTTGCAATGGAGCGCACTTCCATTCTTACTTTTATTTCAATGTTTTTTTTCGGAAAAACGGTTTTTTTCTGTTTTTTCGAGTTTTTCCTGGTTATTTTTGAGCTAAAATTCTGGAAATTTTGCAAAACAGACAATAGTTTATCAGGAAAACATGAAAAATAAAAGCAAATTTAAAGAAAATAATTGTATCTCGAACTAATGATAATTCTTATAACAAATAATAAAAAGAGGAATTTGTGATTTTTATGAACATATGATGCCAAACAAAATGACGATTTGAGCAACAGCAACTTCTTCTCGGCATTTTGTGGATTTTTATTGATTTGGGGCGAAGATTTGAAGAACAACTGAAATTTTTCATAGATTTTGATTGAGAAAATAATTTTTAAATAGTTTACCAGTGATTTGGGAAGAATTTGTGATTTTTATGAACATATGATGACAAACAAAATGACGATTTGAGCAACAGCAACTTCATCCCGGCAATTTGTGGATTTTTATTGATTTGGGGCGAAGATTTGAAGAGCAACTGAAATTTTTCATAGATTTTGATTGAGAAAATAATTTTTAAATAGTTTACCAGTGATTTGGGAAGAATTTGTGATTTTTATGAACATATGATGACAAACAAAATGACGATTTGAGCAACAGCAACTTCATCCCGGCAATTTGTGGATTTTTATTGATTTGGGGCGAAGATTTGAAGAGCAACTGAAATTTTTCATAGATTTTGATTGAGAAAATAATTTTTAAATAGTTTACCAGTGATTTGGGAAGAATTTGTGATTTTTATGAACATATGATGACAAACAAAATGACGATTTGAGCAACAGCAACTTCATCCCGGCAATTTGTGGATTTTTATTGATTTGGGGCGAAGATTTGAAGAGCAACTGAAATTTTTCATAGATTTTGATTGAGAAAATAATTTTTAAATAGTTTACCAGTGATTTGGGAAGAATTTGTGATTTTTATGAACATATGATGACAAACAAAATGACGATTTGAGCAACAGCAACTTCATCCCGGCAATTTGTGGATTTTTATTGATTTGGGGCGAAGATTTGAAGAGCAACTGAAATTTTTCATAGATTTTGATTGAGAAAATAATTTTTAAATAGTTTACCAGTGATTTGGGAAGAATTTGTGATTTTTATGAACATATGATGACAAACAAAATGACGATTTGAGCAACAGCAACTTCTTCTCGGCAAATTGTGGATTTTTATTGATTTGAGGCGAAGATTTGAAGAGCAACTGAAATTTTTCATAGATTTTGATTGAGACTGAATAAAAATGTTCGAAAAAACTCACGAATAATTAAGTGAAATGTCTGCATATCAAATAACAAATAACTCGTTGCATCAAATCAGCGCCTTTAAATGATGTGAACAACTTTTCTCCTGCGTTCCACCTGGCATGCACCATTTCTATTGGTTGTTCTGTCATGATACCGAGAGTTCCTTTCCGATCAATGTAATCAGGAACATGTCCACTCAAAGTGTGCATTTTTGGGCTGATTATCTGCATGGGAAATGCTTTTTTGTAGTGAGACACATAGTTCGCAATTTCATGCTTCACCTCGTTGATTTCCAATGGATCTAAAAATCTTGCGGCCGACAATGTTTGGATTTTTGACAATGAAAGCATTAATTCTCTTAGTGAATATAATTTGAATTCCAATGGATTGTCGAATAGTTCAAAAAATGAATCAATTGTAGAAGGGCGGAGTATTTTTCGCAAATGATTTCCATTATATTTTTTTGAGCGGGGATCTTTTCTGGCGCTGATCCTTGATAGTTCTTTGGTAAATCTATCAATGTTGAATCCACGCCTTTCAACGATAATTTCGTGAATTTTTCGTTGTTTCGAGTCACTTTCAGCTATCAATTCTTCGATTTTTTTCGCTTCTTCTTCATTTTCTTTCTTTCTTTTCTCGATAATTTTTAATTTACCACCATTAGGTGGAGCACAAGATGTACAAACAAAACCATCATTTTCGACCGCTTCAATATGCAAACTTGACACATATATTTCACATGTTGCATGATATTTCAAAGAGCATGATTCACATTCAAGCATTGTGGATTTATTCATATTTAATTTTGACTTTGATTCGTGAATGTAACAATTCGACGAGGCACATTTTTTGGGCGTAGAAGTTACATTTTTACGACATGTTGAGCGTTTGGAAGATCTGATAGGCGTTTTATGGGTTTTTTCGATTTTCAAAATCTCTTCCAAAATTTCACCCTCTGTTTTGCACAATTTTCGTAAAGCCAAAGTTCCTTGATGTTCGGATTCGATAATTTTTGGATACGATATTAAATCTGATGGTTTTTTGAGTTTCGACACATCACAATCAGCCAAAAGAAGATCCATGAGAATTATATAAAATTCGAGAAAATCAATTAAAAAGTTAGCCAATCCGAGTAATATGTGTAAAATCGGAGGTACATAATTATCGAAAGGAATGTCGAATATTGGAGTGGATACCACTGAAAGACATTCTTGTGCCCATTTCAACCGCTGATTGTTGTTCTTGAAAGTTCTTGAATTATATTTCGCAGCTAACTCTTTGTAACTCTCCATAGTCCTTTGCTTACAACAATTGCCTATAACCCAATTCGTAACCTTTTCCGTGGCGAATTCACACAAAATGCATGCATATTTTGATCCTGTGCTTTGTAATCCTGTCATGAAACATTGATTTTTGAAATCGCCAACTATATGTTGCACAACTTCGATGTCCACACCGTTCAACCTTATCGTTTTGAGATTTCGCATCTGATCCGCAACTTTACCAAAACAAAGACGAAGCAGGTATTGTGTTTCCTCTCCCAAGAATGAAGCCAGGAATATGCAAGCTTTCAAAGAATTTGGAAATGGTGTGTTTGTTATGGATAGAATATTCTTCGTTATATCACCACCTTTGTCAGAAGCTCCACAAACCCATAACTTCCCACCGAATTTTCCACCCAGATCCAATTGTCCCGAAGCGATCAAAACCTCACATTTTTTAATCAACAAATCTCGTATGTTTGAGCAGTAAACAACAGGAATGGTTGTCTTCGAATCAATACGAACATATTCTTTGGTATAATAAGATTCAAACTGCTCACCAAATTGTTTTTCCCATAAAAACACAGCATTTGTAGCACATAAGATATCCAAACCATGCTCAATCAACATTGATTTAATCTTAGCTCGAATATCCCAAGATACACCATTTTTTCGAAAAATTTCGAAATCTTCAAATGGTGTTAGTTTCCGCAGAGTTAACGACACGCCAAGCATTTCAGACAGTTCTTCGATTATCAATTTATTCGCCTCGTCCAAATCTTCTTGAGTGTCACAATCGCCTCTTATAACATCGATTTGCTCGGAAACTCTTTTACATCTTTCAATTTTTTGATATCTTTTGAGAAGATGAAAAGGTACACGGCACCGCGTAGCATCATTTCTCGATTCAATATTCCTTTCTTTTATTTGTTTCAAAAGATTATCACGATCTTCTCGCAAAGAACCTGCAATTTCCAGACAACTGTTGAGACGATTTTTCATTTTTTCATTGTCCACTGCCCATTTCTCTCTCTCTTTTTCGAAGTTCGCTGAATTTTGTCGAAACAATTCATTTAAGTTCAGCAATTCTTCAACTTTTTCCGTCAGCTCATTTAATTGTTGTTCCTTTTGATTCAATTGGCGAGCAAAATTTTCAGCCTGTTTCTGGATAATATACGAATCTTTCAAGTTTTCAGCCAATTTCATAGGAATGTCATCGCTATTGTTCTTCATTAATACACCATTTGATTGAATACTCGATGGTCCAGGATTACAAGCAATATCAAAACCAGTCGCACAATTAACTCTTTTAACCGATGCTTGAATCGCCGGATTTTTGTCAATATATTGACGTAGATCGCGAGACACCATTTGTTTTGGTCTTGTGGGCATTTTTATCTTATATGTTCGCATGTTCTGTTTCCATCGATCATCTTCATATGGCCCGGAGCGAATTGATGGAGTTTTAAATGTTGATAAAACCTACAAATTACAATTCGTTCTCAATTCTCGAAAATATATGAATACCTTTACGGAAGAACTTGCAGTTCCAACTTCTGAATCTAGCGCACTCGGAAAAACTTTCGGGGATATTGAGGAGCATAACTGAAAACAAACAATTCACATAATGAAAGAACACTCTTTAAAAACTTACAATTTGTGTGTTATCAACATTCACATCTAATTTTATGTTTTTTCTTTCAATATTTACATCATGATCAACTTCACTTTTTCGTTTTGAACCAATACATAATTTGTCCATCTCTTCTGAAATATTTAACTAAATTTGCGCCTCAAAAATCATCGATTTCAGTGAAAAACCAAAGAAAACATAATTTTCGATCATAAGTTGAAATAATTAAGAAATTACAGAGCATCATGGTATGAAACACAAAGCAAATAGTTTTCCATTTGAAATCAACATGAATTTTCTCAAATAACCAGGAAAAACTCGAAAAAACAGAAAAAAACTGTTTTTTCGAAAAAAAAACATTGAAATAAAAGTAAGAATGGAAGTGCGCTCCATTGCAAATTTCGCACATTTCGCACGTTGTCTCGCACTCTCTCAATATTTTGCTTTTTGCAAAAAAAAAGGGTGTGTAATTTCGATGCCGATTCAGTTACCAATGTTTCTTCAACATCTTCTTCGTCTGAAAATTATACAAATGAACTTTTCAAGATCCCTTGTAAAACAACTCACCGACTTCGGGATCATCAACGTATTCTGTAGGCAAACAACATTTAGTGAAGTTTGAAGATAGAATTAGAAGAATCATAATTATGAAATATAAATTCATTCTCAATTTTTGTCTCGAATTTCGAACACTTTTAAATGTGTGAAAAACTGAAAAATAGGTAAAAACTGGATGTTTTCAGATGACATCTTTGAAATGTGATGATCAATGAAACACTGTCAGCGTTTACATATTGACAAACGAGAAATTCGTGAATTTTTATCACCAATACTACTATCATTTCTCAATCAAAAACAATTCCAGGTGTTCTTTTTTCGAAAGAAATTTTTTCAAATTTTCTCTGAACTCAAGCCACGAAGACCCCTAGAACATGTTTTTATTTTTTTGCGCTATCTAACCTTCTTTGACAAAATTACACACTAGAAAATATTCGCTTTAAAATATAGTTTGCACTATTGATGTGACCCATTACTTTTGTGTTTTGTGTTCCAATAACTTGCTGTCAGATACAAACCTGACAAATACTGCGAAATGTGTTTGATCAGAAAATAACACCTCCAAAACTGGTGTTGTTCTTTATGTAACCTGAAGATCGCAATCTTGAAAGAAGACACAAACAATTACGAAACAAATTTTGTTTGACTAGAAAAACAATTGTGGGATCGTAAACTTCAGAATTCTCAATTTTACGATTTCATTTGATCTACTGCATTCTATTTAATCAATAATGGAAATCAAAAAATTACACAGTTTTTTGAGTTATTTTTCAGATTAAACTATGAATTTGTTCAAAATTACCCTGAATGAATTCTCGAGGCTTCGCGAGGAAAAGCTAAATAATTCCTAGCTGTAACCAATTTTGTAAGAAACTTCGTGTAAATAAAATTATTTGATAGGGCAAACTAGATTTTTGCAGTGCAAGTATTTCACGGCCACTCGGGCAGTTTTTTATCTGATTATAAAGTTCTTTTTCCATCTACCAAAAATGTTGTGTGTGTGTGTGTGTGTGTGTGTGTGTGTGTTTTTTTTTTGATATTTAAGAATGTGTAACTCTGGCCATTTTAATCACCCAGCTGTCCGATTGGTACTGCTGGAACAGTTCACATATCTAAATTGTTGATATGAAAGTCTCAGAAGACACTACTTGTGATCTATGCTTCTGATACCCACTTTGTTCATCCAGATATGTCTCGTTCGGAAGTAACAAAGATTGTGTAGATAAAATTGGCCGCAGGTATACAGAGTTGTAGATCAAATGTTTGATATGTTTCATACGGTAACCGAGGGTCACATTGTTCGTGTTTTCCTACAAAAATATCAGATTGGACGAGCCATTCCGAACGGATATTAAAACATTTGTGATCGAGTGGTACTGTCTTCAAATCTAGATGCTTTTAGAGCTGATGTCTCAGCCTTGGTGACCGTATTTTCGTCCAGAACATCGTCAAAAATATGTTCACGAAGTATCATCATTCCCTGAACACAAAGCTCATCCAATAACTCGCTTTCAGACAGATTATATCGAGAATTCGTGATCACAATCTTATTCATTCAATATAAAGCATCACTTCAAAAGAGACAAATTAAAAATTTTTATATTTTTATATTTTCTTTTTTTCGCGGAAGAAAAAGAACATGCAACCAAACATGAAAATGACGATTTTCGTTTGCTTGATTTTAACCGTATCAATGCTATATTACTGCTTCGATGTGTCGAGATCAACAACTGAAAAGCCTTCAAATCCGGAGTCAATACAGATTGAGCAATCAATACCAATAGAAGTGTCAATACCGATTGAACAATCGAAACCAATCAGACAATCAATAGCGATTAAACATTCAAAACCGATAGAACTATCAACACCGACCGAACAAATTCCTGAAAGCGTTCCCAAAAAAATTCCAGCCAAAGATCTGATTTATCGAGGAGAACTAACTTCAATGGATGGAGTTGGATATAATTTTAGTGATATTGATACTGCACCATTTCTCAAATTCCATGAATTGAATGACTCACCGAACTGTAATTTGACTATTGATAAATTGGAACCTCGAAGTTCTCCAGAGAAATTGTTAGCAGGGTTTCATGGATGTATCGATCCGATATTTGAAAATCATTTGAATCAATTAGACGCACAAAATTTTTCATTAACAATTTGTGATGCGATTAAACAATGCGATAACATTGGAGAATACAAAAATATTGCGATTGATGCACTCGAGAATTTGCATGAAATCAAGTGGGCAGTTTTGCCGAAATGTGTGAGTTTTTTCTAGGGTTGGAAAAAACAGTGTATTTGCGTACACGAATACACGGTACACTAAATACTCCACAGGAAAATAAAAAGCGTTTCTTTTTACTTTTGAAAAAGTAGTAATTTCTTTTATCCAGAAAGATGACAATGTGATGATAACTTTGGGAATCGGACACGACGTGAACGCTGAAGTTTTGCTCTACAGAACTCTTCCAAACACGAAATTCTATGGAGCAGATCCAATAATTGAGCCGAATCTTCAACTTTACTCAAGAATCGGTAAATTCTTTCCATTCGCAATTGGCGATAAAGCGGGGATGAATAGATTCAAGGTTTTACCAAATCAGAACCAAAAAACAGTTTTTTGTGTATGGTTTTAAAAATACTTAATTAGGTCCCTAACGAGTAAATTAAAATCAAACTCTCTTAATTTGGTCAATTCTACGAGTCGGGAGAACATGTAGAACTTCAGGGAAAATTTCATCACGGCACGCAGGCATTTGTCGGACATATTGTCCCAATACTTGAAAACTAGCTTCTGTATAGCTTCTATATAAATATCTTCCTTGTTGGTTTACCTAGACCCTATCCGATAACTAATTTAGAAGGAATTATGCAATGGGTTCGTTTCTGACAAAAATAATATCAATTTTAAAACGCTGCTCAAATCGAAAAAATTGTTTCTCAGCAGCGATTGAGGCTGATTTTATCTTTGATTGTTTACTATAATTGGATCGAGCACTTGATGTTTGTTATTGCAGTTGAGTTTTGTCTTTAGGTACAAATGCCAGCCCAGGATTACATTTATATCAACTTTACTTCCGGTTTCGACCCACATTTTGAGGGAAATCAAAGATTTCTTCCGATCAAGCAGACAGTTCCAAAAACCTCCACCCGAACTTGGTCTGAGACATGGTGGACAATTATATATTTTTTGAATTATAGCTGTCCGGGTATTTATGGCGCACCCTGTAGTATCTTGATTTGAATTGTGTGCGTGTGTGTATTTTTTGGAGGTCTTCTCATCAAATGTTTTTTTTTCCGAACCGGGTGTCCCAATTTAATCTGCACAATCTGTGTTGCTTGACATATCTGCAGAACAAATAGGATATCAGAAGCATAGGTTTTTGGAACATTCATACTAACAAGAAAAAATCGACCGCAATAGTGAGATTGAATAAATCAAAAATATAAAGACAAAATAATTTTTCAAAAGTTCTGAGACAAGACACAATGTATAAACAAGTGTCAAAACTGACTAAAACTGATATTTTTTGTAATCTTTAAATTTCAATGATTCCTGATAGAGTCCATATTCGTTCATGCATATGTGTCTTGTTTCAGAACTCGTGCCAAGTTATTATGATTTGACATATATCCAATTATAATGCATGTTGAGAACTCGCTATTGCGTTCAATTATTCTTGTTAATATCGGTGCGCCAAAATCTATACTCGCGATTTTTTCAATTCGTTCATCCAGATATGTCTTGTTCGGAAGTAACAAAGATTGTGCAGATAAAAGTGTCCGGAGAAGTACAGCGTTGACTTCCGAAAATTGGATCAATCATTTTTGCTGAGAAGACCTTTTCGAATCTATTAGAACACACAAGTTATATGACACAACCCAAATCAAGATACGAAATGAGGAAACACTTTTTGGTAACAAATGAATCGAGAAGAAAAATGAACAATTTGTAGATCAAGTGTTTGATATCATTCATACGGTAAGCACGAATAAAATTTCTCATTTTTTTCGATTATTACCAAAAAAAACTAGGGTTCAGAAAAAAACATGGGTTAGTAATTTAACAGCAAAAAATCGAAACTTTGAATAACAATACTACAAGACACAGGTATATTTAGAATTATAAGGTTATTCAAGTGAAAAACTGATGATGCCGTGATTTACGGAAATATATGACGGTAATTTGTCGCAGAGCTGCTTTTTACATCATCGATCGTCGTTTTGGTTCAGCAGAACTGTTTGTCTCCACCAAAATACATTATTTCCAACTTTATAAATTTGAAGTCACACCTTTCAAATTGTTGTTGTTCTTTTTTACGTAACCTCAAGATCGGAATCTTAAACACAGCAAAAAAAAACTAGAAAATGTGTTCGATCAAAAATGCAAAAAAAAAATATCGTTTCGCCCCTATTCTATATTTCAAATCGAGATATTTCTCGGTCCTTTATAAATTCATTAATTCTCAGATTTTCCATTTTATTTGATTCACTTTATTTCTATTTATCTTTACTTTTTTTCAAAAAAATGGAAGTTAGAAAATCAAAAGAGAAACAATGTTTGGTTTGTTATAAATCATCAAATGGAATGCATTTTGGAGCAATTACTTGTAGAGCATGTGCTGCTTTTTTCAGGTAAAAAAAACAATTGAAATTAATTTAAATAATTATATATTTTCAGACGAACAATTGTATCAAATTTTGAATATGAATGTGGTAAAAGGAACAATAATTGTGATGTTGATGAAAATGGAAAATTTGCATGTAGATATTGTCGATATATAAAATGTCAACAAATTGGAATGAAACCTGATAGTAAGTGTAATTATTCGAACAAAAAATAATAAAAAATAAAATAATATTTATAGCATTAAAATTAGATTATGATCCAACATTTTCAATTAAAGGATCAATTGATGATTATTCTGGTAATGAAATATCAAATACAAATTCATCAATATGTTCACCAAGTTATTCAAAATCTGAAGAAGAAAATGGAGAAAATAATAGATATTTATTCAATTTTTCACCAAAACCATCAAACAAACCAATTGTGGAAATTGATTTTTTGGATTTATCAAAAAATATTGAATATTTATTTGATAACAGCCAAAATGAAGAAAATGAAAAAGATGAGCTGAAATTATTAACAACTTCAATTTTAGATTTTCGAAAAAATCAAAAAAATAAAATGATTGAAATTAATCAAATGGAAATATTTGATATGGTTAAATTATTGAAAAATGAAATAATTTGGAAATGGGCAAAATGGATGAATTCAAGTAATTTATTCAAAACAATTGGAAAACAACAAAAAATGCAATTATTTCAAAATTCATGGAATATTTTACATATTTTTGAAAGATTACAAATAACATCAAAAAATGAAGAACTTTTGAAATCAAATGAAATATTAATTTCTGATAATTTATTATGGATTTGTGGAAAATCATATTATAATATATCAAGTATTTCGGAAATTACTAATCAATATTTTTCAAAGTAAGTTATTTTTAATAATTAATTAATTAACTTATAATTTATTAATTTATAGATTATTTGATCCATATCTTCAAAGATTTATTGATGAAATTGGCAAAAAATTATATGAAATGAAAATAGCTGATGAAGAATTAATATTTTGTTTGGTTCAATTACATATTAGGATATGATACAACTGATTTAACAAATGAAACTATTGAAATTATTGAAAATTTAAAAGATAATGTTGCTGATAAAATGCATCATTTTTATTCAAATAAATTCAATTTAACTATTTATTCAAGTCGTTTAATTAAATTACTAAATATTGTGAAAAATATGAAAGTGAGTTGATATTAATAACAAATTAATTGAATATTATAAAATAATTAATAATAATTTCAGAAAATTGCAAACGAAAAGAATAAAGTCAAAGAATTATTCTACATTTTCGATATTTTTCATGCTGATATTTCAGATCCTTATTTTTTTGATATTTTTTAATTATTTTGTATTTTTGTTATTTTGGGTTTCATGTGTCATTTTTTGTTCAAAAACTGTGTGCTCTATTTATTATGATAAATAATTTATTTTTTAGTTTGCATAAAAATTGAGAATCACATATTAAACAGAATGTGTATAATTTGAAAAGATTCTTTTGGTTTCTAACAATTGTTCAATAACAGTTTGACTTCATTTCAATTATTCTGCAACTATTCGATAAGGCCAAATATTTCTGCAAATATTTGTGTTCATTGTAGTCATTTCAATTCATATTTCAGATTAAATTCCGAGATAACATTCTTAAATGAATGTCCTTCTATTGACAGTAATACGAACCAAATCAAGATATCAAAAAAATTCACAAACGACCACCCAAATTTTCTCACCTTAAGAAAACACACAATGTTTCGGTGTTTTCAAAAAGAACTCCAGATAAAAATCTTTACAAAAAAACTGCAGAAATGGCCGTGAATTATTCGCACTCCAAAGAAACACTGCAAAAATAGAACACACAGGTTAAAGATCTTGACCATTTTTGAGACACCGTGAGGTGTTATTCACTTCAAACATTCATTTTCGACTGGTTTAAGCAAAGTTAGAAGTACCAACAAGAGGCAAGGACGATTTCGTTTCTTTTATAGATAAAAATGAAACCAAAGAATTATTCCACATTTTCGGAAATTTCCACGCTGATATTCCAAATCCTTATTTTTTCGATATTTTTTTTTAGTTTTGAGCCAGTTGTGCAATTTTACTTGCATTTTCATCGGATTTTTAGAAGTCAAAGCTGGATATCTGCGGACACTTTTATCTGCACAATCTTTGTTACTTCTGAACAAGACATATCTGGATGAACATATCTGGATGGTAAGCATAGATTTTATCAGGAATGAGATGTTTCGAGAAGCAAACATTTGAAGTTTTAGGAAATAAAATAATATTTGAAAAAGCTGTTCTTGTTCTGCTTCTTCATTCTCTAAAAGATTTCATGTGCTCCGAAAATATATTGTTACCAATAGTTCTCATAACTTTAATTATAACTGTATATTATCTTGACAAACCTATCGAAATGACGTATTACGGCCTTACTGATAAAGTTGTTTATGTTGACAATGTATCGATTCCTGAGAAAAACAATCATCCTGAATGTGTCGTAGAAACGTGGAATAACAAAACAACTTTTGAACTTCCACGTATTGAGACGCTTAAATTATTAGCAAAACCTGGTGTAACGCAAACTGTGACTACGGTAAGTTTTGAAACGAACTCGGTCAAAAATAGATTGTTTTTTATACTTCAGGAGGGCTTAGCCGACGGAGAGCTGCGCCTTGTATCCGCATTTCTATATGAAGACGAGATTGTTGTAACAACTACAAGACAAAGGCCGTTTCAAACTGGGTGAGTGCGTTTCAACAGAAAATCAGAAAAATGCATATCATTTTTGTTCGATTAGAACTCCAGTGTATTGCCGTTATTTCGATTGCAATCGTGTCGAGATTCCAGCCTCGATTTACAAATCCTTCTTTATTCCATTAACATCGGTGCATTGCTTACGAAAACCTGGCGTTAGTTATATGTCTTTGAGTTTGGCAGAAAATGAAACAGCCCAAGTGCCGATTCCATTCACTCATAGACTTCTCAATGAGCCTCCATATGAATTGGGTGTTTGTGGTGGGCAAATCTATGGGATGGATGAAAAGTGGATGCAAATCACCGAATTTGTTGAACATCACAAGTTGATTGGAGCAACAATGTTCTATTTTTCTGTTTTTGAGATTGATGGAATGACTCGAATGATATTAGATGAATATGAAAGAAGTGGATATGCTGAAGTAACAATGATCAATACAGAATATACAAATGCGGCAATGATGAGACATATGGTTCAGATTCATGAATGTTTTTATCGCGCGAGAAAACATTCAAAATGGCTATTAAATATTGATCACGACGAATATTTGATACCTTTCAAACAACCTATTCTATCTTATATTGAAAGTCTAGGAAATAACACTGCTGAGCTTGTATTTTCTATGCGAAGAATTGCAAAATTTGAAGAATCTCTCAAAAAATACAATAATATTGAAGAGGTCTCAAATGATATACAAGGGGCAAATTATAACTTGACACACGATTCAAGTTTTGCATCACCAAAAGTAATGATTCGACCGGATAAAGTGAATGTGATGCTTGTTCATTGGTCTTATGGTATGGAGCCTAGATACAAAGTCAATGTGGTACCCAAACATATTGCAACTTTGAATCATTATCGGACAACTTCTCCAAAATATTTATGGTCAGATTATATGATGATAATGATAAAGCAGAATGTGAAGTTTTTGCATGTAACTTTGCAAAAGAATTATGTTGAGAAGTTGAGGCACAATGTTGCGCAAGTCGTTGGTTATGTTTTTGAGAAGCACGATGTGACATGCGACAATATTCCATTGGTGCTACAGCGTGCCACTAAACCGTATTTGAAAAAGTTGAAAATTTGTGAATAAAGTATTTTGCTTGAATGAACAACGATTTTTTAATTGCAGTCGATAGCGTCTAGGATCAGAATCAAAAAATGTTTGCTAAGTGTTGAGCAAGATGCAAAATTTTAATTACATAAAACAGTTATCATGGCTGAACTCACGATAACTTTTGTGAAAAATAGAGTACCAGAGAACGATCCCGAGATTCAGCTTGTTGTAAAATATTCAAAAATAAATTTATAAATCCAACAATTTATTTAGATTAGAATTATGATTCAAAACTAAAGTAAAAAACTTGTTTGAACACATAATTTTGAATTCACAAAATTGCACGTCAACTAGACTCACCGGTTTTTACCTATTTTTTTCTAGAGCTAAACTTAATTTGGTTTTTGTGTTCTAATAGATTCGAAAAGGTCTTCTCGTCAAAAGGTATTAATTCGATTTTCGGAAATCACCGGACACTTTTATCTGCACAATCTTTGTTACTTCTGAACAAGACATATCTGGATGAACAAATCTGGATGGTAAGCATAGATTTTATCAGGGATGGGATGAGAAGCACAAATTCCAAGTTAAAGAAATAAAATAATCTCTTGAAACGGCAGTATTTCAGTTTTTCTCTCTGTGTTGCAATACAGTCATGTACTCCTACAGAATATGTTTACCTATAGTTATTATACTTTTAATTATGTCTTCATATTATATCAATAAGCAAACCAGTCCTGAAATAATTTCTGAACTCACTGATAAAGTTGTCTATTTTGATAATGTGTTTATTCAGAAGGAAAACATCTTTGCGAAATGCAAAGTGAAAAAATGGAATAATAAAACAACTACAGAAATTCCACGTATTGAGACGCTCAAACTATTAGCGAAAATCAATGTTACAGCAAGTGTGAGTAAAAACGCTAATCCGTTGGAAACTATTTCCGAGACTGTCACGCATCGGAATTAGTTATTATTAAAAACCTCACTGAATAGCTGCATCTAATGTTGAAAAATTCTTGTTGACACTTTTTAGGAAGGCTTAGCCGACGGGCAACTTCGTCTTATTTCTGCATTTCTATATGAGGATGAGATTGTTGTGACAACTACCAGACAAAGAAGTTATGAGATGAAGTATGTTTCATCTAGAAGTCACAAATCAACCAATTCTTGTTCAGAACTCCAGTGTATTGTCGATATTTTGATTGCAATCGTGTTGAGATTCCAGGAACGGTTTACAAGGCATTCTTCTTCCCATTAACATCAGTGCATTGTTTGAGAAAAGCCGGAGCAAGTTATATGTCATTAAGTTTAGCTGAAAATGAGACAGCACAAATGCCGATTCCGTTTACTCATAGACTTTTTGAAGAACCCGAACACGAATTAGGAGTTTGTGGTGGGCAAATATATGGAACTAATGCAAAATGGATGCAAATCGCTGAATTTGTTGAACATCATAAATTGATTGGAGCAACAATGTTCTATTTTTCTGTTTTTGAAATTGATGGAATGACTCGAATGATATTAGATGAATATGAAAGAAGTGGATTTGCTGAAGTAACAATGATTAATACAGAATATACAAATGCAGCAATGATGCGACATATGGTTCAGATTCATGAATGTTTTTATCGCGCGAGAAAACATTCAAAATGGCTATTAAATATTGATCACGACGAATATTTGATACCTTTCAAACAACCTATTCTATCTTATATTGAAAGTTTAGGAAATAACACTGCTGAGCTTGTATTTTCTGTGCGAAGAATGGCCAAATTCAAGGAATCTCTCGAAAAATATAACAATACTCAAGAGGTTTCAAACGAAATACAATCAGCAAACTATAACTTAACACATAGGCCAGTTTATACATCAGGAAAAGTAATGGTTCAACCAAATAAAGTAAATGCGATACTTTTACATTGGTCTTATGGAATGGAGCCTGGATACAAAGTCAATGTTGTCCCCAGGAATATTGCAACTTTGAATCATTATCGGACAATTTCTCGCAATTATTTATGGTCGGATTATATAACAACAATGATGAGGCAAAAGGTTGACTTTTTGCATGTAACTTTGCAGAAGGATTATGTTGAACAATTACGGCAAAATGTGGCGCAAGTCGTTGGTTATGTTTTTGAGAAGCACGATGTGTCATGTGACACAATTCCACCGTCTCTTAAGTTTATCACCAAACCATATTTGAAAAAGTTGAAAATCTGTGAATAAAACAAATTTTTTTTCGGTTGTCTATAGTTTTTTTTCGATAATCCATGGTAATAGTTAGTTTCGATAAATGAACTAATTCAAAAAAAATTCAAAAACCTAACATGTTTTTTTAAATTTTAAAAAACATGTTTGATTGTTATCTGGAAACAAAAAATATCTGCAAAACAAATCGGTGCAGAAGCATAGATTATAATTTTGAAAACATAGATTTTTTTTCAAATAACTGACATGTGTTACGAACTGTTTTATAATAATGTGATGTATTGAAAACAAAAATATCATATTCAAGTTCGTGTCGAGAACTGTCGAAAAACTCCAGAAAATGGAAGTTTCGAATGAAAAGAATGAATTGGACAATTTTTTTCAATGTTTTTTAACATTGGTTTTTTCTACTTGAATAACCTTACGATAGTGTCATTCAAAATTTGTTTTTGGCAGATAATATTTTGTTTTCTCTCGGCTAAAACGATGAGTTGTAACGTTATTAAGAAATTACCCTGTATGAATTCATATCGAAAAATGAATAAATTTATTTCAAAAATTTCAAAATACATCGATCATCTTTAATATTTTGAAAATATCCACTTCGAAGAGTTGAATTCCTTGGTGAACTCGGTCGAAGTCCAATATAATTTGCTCGCGCATACGAACTGTGCAAAAACTTCTCAAAAATTATTGCATTTTCCTTAGCGACTTCCATATTCATTTGACAAACAACTACATTCATTTTTTCAATTGTCAAATTCATCAAAAGTTTGAGAAATTCAAGATTTGAATCGTAAGAGATCCATAGCATATCAATTATTATTGATGAATTCGATCCTTTGATGTTGGTTAAAGTTTCTTCAAAATTTTCTGGACTCTTCTCGATATAAATGATCTGTAGATCGGGAATGTAGGTTTTGAGAGATTCTTCAGGTGACTTATCTGTATTTTTTCCAATTTTTAGAAGAATGTTAGAACCAATTTTCTGAAAGAAAACTGTTTCTTGAATAGCAAAAAGTATTAATGACATTTACGTCAACTTACACATTTCGGCATCGCAACCCAGTACTTCATATCATTAACTTCATCTCCCGAATTCGACTCAAATGGGAAAATCTGAACATCTCTTGCACCATTTTCTTCATCACATATTTTCATAGCATTTTCATAATTAAACCAAAGAATATCTGGTTGATGCCAAAATCGAACCAACATCACAACTTCACATCTTTCATGATTATATTTGATTGCTGACAATTTTTTCTTATCAACATTATGACTTGAATTGCAGTCAGCGGTAACTGTTGAGTAGTTGTAAGAATTTAAGCGTTCCTGGAAAAGTTAAAGAGATTTTTGGAGAATAAGATTACTATACTTCATTAGCCTAACTCACCAAATAATTAGTATTTATTGTGGGATGGGGAGTAGTGTCTCTTCTCCAATTAGCACCATCTTTCTGAAAATTTTCGTAATATTTCAAAATTATCGTTCGATCATCAATTTCAGGGCCATTTTCAGGAAATATAGATGGATTTTTCAAAAATCCGATGAATATAATTATAAGGAAAGATAAAAGGAATAGTATTTTTGTATAAGTATCCATTCTTCAATGAAGGTGTTCTCTGAAGGTTTTTATAAGATTATTTTTGTTTTTTTGTTCATGCCTTGTTTCCGAGATTTCCTGGAAATGATCAAATTATGAGTCCGCCCAAAAGGCATGAACAAAAAAAAATAATGGTAAGATAAAATCATAAATTAGTCAAAAAACAGAAGTCACAAATAAAAAAGCCATTTTTGTAAATGAAATCATATATAAATATGGACATTTGTGTTTCACAATTTTCAGCCATAACATCTGAATTTCCAAAAAAAATCCGATAAAAAATGTCAAAAAAAGGACATTTGCAGGGAATTCGAGCAATCGCTATAATTTCAGTTTTGGCATTTCATTTTTTTCCCGAATATTTTCCAAATGGTTTTTTGGGTGTTGATCAGTAAGTGCTAGATTTTTTCAAGATATACAGTATTTTTCACAGATTCTTCGTGCTTTCTGGTTATTTAATGTGCCTGATTCTGTCCAAAAATATATCTTCAAATAAAAATCAATCAATAATTTCAAAAATCTTGGAATTTTATCAACGTCGACTTTGTCGAATTCTACCAAATTATTATTTTCTAATCTTAATCAATATTTTTTTATTGATTTTTTCTCCAATTTTTCCCGAAACTTTCATTGAAACAAATCAAAAATCAGCAAAACAATCAATATTTTTCGTCTCAAATGATTTCTCAAATTTAGAAGATGATTATTATATTCTGTTGGAAATTGCTGAAAATCTATTTACTCATACTTGGTCACTTTCTGTTGAAATTCAATTTTATTTCATTATTCCTATCGTATTCTATGGGATTTTATCGATTTTCCCTGGGAAAAATCGAAATTTCCTGATCTACCTGAGCTTCTCAATGATCTCTCTAATTTTCTATTGGAATTCCCCGAAGAGAACTGCATTTTATAGTGTTTCAGCTAGAATTTGGCAATTCCTTGCAGGATTTCTAATCTATTTTTGGTCTGAGGATGATGAAAACAAGCCAAAAAATGAAGAACAACTCGAAAAATTATTAATAATTGCTGATAAATCTGAAGTAAAAAAGGAAGACGACCGCTTGAAAAATACGTGGCTATTGCTGGTGACTATTCTGATGTTGTTTTTTAGTTTTGAATATCCCGAAAAAATGTTCAGGTACGAATTTTTTTTGTATTTTTGTATAGAGATAACATTTTCTAGAGTTTTAATAACGATTAATACCGCATTGCTAATATTAGCCTCCGAAAACAATGTGATTTTATCAAATAGAATAATGATTTATATTGGAAATATATCATATTCATTATATTTAGTTCATTGGCCAATTTATTGTTATTCAAAATTCTACGAGTTACCAAAACTCCCATTTTTATGCTTTTCTATTTTCCTGGCTATTCTAGTTTATGAAACTTATGAAAAATGGTATACTACAAAAATAACCAGAACTTCACAAATGATACTATCAGCATCGTTATTCATTTTTTGCGTTTTGGCAATTTGGAGGCAAGAAATAAATGATTTTTATTTGGATTCAATGGGAAGATCTCAAAACTTCGATGTCAATCCAATATTTTTGGCTGGAAATTCGAAAAATTTAAGTTTGGAGGAAGTAATGCATTTGAACACTGAATGGACGTTGAGAGAAAAAGAATTTCTATCGCGTAAAGAATGCAACTATACAAATCATAGAAGGCCATTTGGTGTGTGTAATGTTCAGGTGAGCACTTGCAAGTATTGATTGTTATAACATTTTTTCGCAACAGAATCTCACATCATCTGCGCCTTTCAAAATTTTGATCATTGGGAATAGTTATGCTACCAATTTTGCGCCATTAGTCTTCAATGCATGCGGTAAAAAATCAAATACAATTCTGTTGGCATCATTCCCAAGTTGCGATTTTTTGCATCCATATTTTCCAACAGGAATATGTTTGGGAGTCTTTGATAATCCATATGAGAAGATTGAAAAAATGAATTTTGATTACATTTTTCTGATTTCCAAATGTGGAACTTTCTGTGAGAATGATGATGAATTGACGGATATCGACACAAAATTGGAGTTTGCTAAATCACAAATCGCAAGAATCAAACCGTTTGTGAAGCACAAAATCTTCATTCAAAAGGCGGTGACCATTCCAACCGATGTTGTTTCACTCAATAAATTTTTGGCGAATCATACAAGTTTTGATAAAATTGATGTGAGTGTCATCGGAAAATGAGCATCGGAAAATAAAATCCACCATTTTTTGCAGGAATACTATTCTCAACGTCTCAAACATCACAAATTCATCGGAGATGCTCGACATCGAAAACTGGCCGAATTTTGCGGAGAAAAATGTGAATATTTTGACGCATTCGAAAATTTCCAACGAAATCCGTATGCTCCAAAAGAAATATTTCGGTTTTTCGATAAACGAGGATTGAGTTATATAGATGGTGCAGATCATTTTCCACCTTTCGCTTGGCCTAAAATTCAACCAGTTTTTGATAGAATTTGTGAGAAATTGTGAAATTGGGATATATACTTTCAATAAATTTTGACATTTATCACCGTCTTCATTTTTGATTCTGAAGACGATACGCGAACTCTCGTTCTAAATTTTCCATCCAGGAATAAAAACGAGATACTACCGAGATGGTTTTGACTACCGTGCATGAGACCAGGGTTCGAATTCTATTGCCCGCGCTGCACATTAATGTTTTTTGAAATATTTTGACACTGCACAAACATTATTGGTCTTAAGTGAATTATGTACCTTTAATCTACATAGAAATCGTACATTTTTGGACAGAAAATTTTCTGTGTTTGTTTTTGGACTTAAAATTTCGGAACTGGTCTTGTTTTCCGATTCAAAAAATTTGAAAATTAACACTTTTCTGAAAAAAACATTTATTTTCCTTTTTAAAAATGTGAATATTAAAAAAAAAACATCTTAAAAATTCAAATATCACCCAATAAATTTCTTGACACATTCCTTATTCTCAATATTCAAAAAATAAATCTTCCAAAATCCACGTGTATGATGAGAAGCTCGCATAAATATATACCGTTCATCCTGAATTGTTTGCCTGAATAATTCATGAATCTTATCCTCATGCGAAGCACCGCGCCCATTATGAAATTCAAAATTAAATTGACATATGGTGAGACCAATCTGATCAAATCTCCCGCCTTTTTTGAAATAATCCAAAAAATAATTTTCTCCTCCTTCAATATCAATAAACATCGTATCAATTCTTTTGAGTATCAAAATTTTTTCAAAGAAGAATGCCACGTCTAAAGTTGGCACACGTCGTGGAGCATAGAACCTTCTTTCTGGAAAAAAAATGAAATGGACTGGTGAGAGGAGATTTCTTCTCACTTTTTCCATCATCAAGCAAAACGAAGAAAGTCTGCGGTTTCGTTTCATTGGCTAATGCAAAAGCAAAAAATGATCCGTTCAGTTGATTGGTGACTAAATCATAGTTTTCCTTGATCATTGGGTCAACTGCATAGAATTTAGTGTCTGGTTGATGTTTTTTCAATTTTCGTTCTGCATGGATGTTCCGACCAACTCCAAGGGTTACGTGAGTATTTTCTTCTCGCTGAAACTTGTGTGTATACCTGAATATTCAACAACAACAACAACAAAACTCACACATTTCGGATAAATCAACCATTTGATCTCTTCGTTATTCGCAATACCGTGAACATTCAATTGCTTGTATTCATCAATATAATCACATTTTCTTGACGAATTCACCCAATTATCAAAAAACTTCAAATAATCGCTTTCGAAAGAATTGAATATTGGAACAACGCAGTTTTTGAATCCACTGAGTACTGATCTTGCGATTCTTTTCCCGGTTTCCGTTTCATTGCTAAAATCACATTTTTCAGTGGCGTTTATCATTGTTTGGATAGCTTTGTTTATTACTTTCATTTTCTGAAACAAAATTATTTTTATACCATTGTAAAATTATACCCAACCTTTGAATCAATGCGTTTTTCCAAATCATCCAATTCATTTTTCGGACCATCATATCCAAAATCCTCTCTCCAGACTCGAATATAACTTTCTCCACTAAAAATCACAATCGAAATCATGAAAATTATACAGCAAAAGAAAAATATTAAAAATCGATTAGTCATCCGGTTTAGATGTTGACTCAGCATAAGCATATTCGAAAACTGAACGATTTTTGAAAATGACTGAATTTTTCAAACACAGAACTGGAGGCTGTCATATCTGCGGCCAATTTTATCTACACAATCTTTGTTACTTCCGAACAAGACATATCTGGATGAACAAATAGAAGCATAGATTACAAGTGGTCTGAAAAACGGAATCTTCTAATTTTTGGGACTTTTTTAAGAATGTGGACAATTTGATCTATCGAACAGCTGTGCATTTAAACAGCAAATCAAAGTAGTACTTCCTATTATCGGTTCATCTAGTAAAAGGGATTTTTCCTAAACGCCAAAAACGCTCTGTAAAAAACACAATCTATGATTTTTTTTTCAACGTATCAACTCATAGTGTCTCAAAAATGGTCAAGATCTTTAACCTGTGTGTTCTATTTTTGCAGTGTTTCTTTGGAGTGCGAATAATTCACGGCCATTTCTGCAGTTTTTTTGTAAAGATTTTTATCTGGAGTTCTTTTTGAAAACACCGAAACATTGTGTGTTTTCTTAAGGTGAGAAAATTTGAGTGGTCGTTTGTGAATTTTTTTGATATCTTGATTTGGTTCGTGTTACTGTCAATAGAAGGACATTCATTTAAGAATGTTATCTCGGAATTTAATCTGAAATATGAATTAAAATGACTACAATGGCTACAAATATTTGCAGAAATATTTGGCCTTATCGAATAGTTGCAGAATAATTGAAATGAAGTCAAACTGTTATTGAACAATTGTTATAAATCTATTCCTGCGATAATTCGCGAAACATTAAAAAAACCCAAATAATCTTTTTCTGTTTAACAAGTGATTCTCAATTTTTATTCGAACTAAAAAATAAATTATTTATCATAATAAATAGAGGACACAGTTTTCGAACAAAAAATGACACATGAAAGCCAAAATAACAAAAATACAAAATAATTAAAAAATATCGAAAAAATAAGGATCTGAAATATCAGCATGAAAAATATCGAAAATGTAGAATAATTCTTTGATTTTATTTTTCTCGGCTGCAATTTTCTGAAATGATCATAGATTATTTTATAATATTCAATTAATTTGTTATTAATATCAACTCACTCTCATATTTTTCACAATATTTAGTAATTTAATTAAACGACTTGAATAAATAGTTAAATTGAATTTATTTGAATAAAAATAATGCATTTTATCAGCAACATTATCTTTTAAATTTTCAATAATTTCAATAGTTTCTTTTGTTAAATCAGTTGTATCATATCCTAATAATTGAACCAAACAAAATATTAATTCTTCATCAGCTATTTTCATTTCATATAATTTTTTGCCAATTTCATCAATAAATCTTTGAAGATATGGATCAAATAATCTATAAATTAATAAATTATAAGTTAATTAATTAATTATTAAAAATAACTTACTTTGAAAAATATTGATTAGTAATTTCCGAAATACTTGATATATTATAATATGATTTTCCACAAATCCATAATAAATTATCAGAAATTAATATTTCATTTGATTTCAAAAGTTCTTCATTGTTTGATGTTATTTGTAATCTTTCAAAAATATGTAAAATATTCCATGAATTTTGAAATAATTGCATTTTTTGTTGTTTTCCAATTGTTTTGAATAAATTACTTGAATTCATCCATTTTGCCCATTTCCAAATTATTTCATTTTTCAATAATTTAACCATATCAAATATTTCCATTTGATTAATTTCAATCATTTTATTTTTTTGATTTTTTCGAAAATCTAAAATTGAAGTTGTTAATAATTTCAGCTCATCTTTTTCATTTTCTTCATTTTGGCTGCTATCAAATAAATATTCAATATTTTTTGATAAATCCAAAAAATCAATTTCCACAATTGGTTTGTTTGATGGTTTTGGTGAAAAATTGAATAAATATCTATTATTTTCTACATTTTCTTCTTCAGATTTCGAATAACTTGGTGAACATATTGATGAATTTGTATTTGATATTTCACTTCCAGAATAATCATCAACTGATCCTTTAATTGAAAATGTTGGATCATAATCTAATTTCAATGCTGTAAATATTATATTATTTTTCAAATTTTATAATTTTTTGTTCGAATAATTACACTTACTATCAGGTTTCATTCCAATTTGTTGACATTTTATATATCGACAATATCTACATGCAAATTTTCCATTTTCATCGACATCACAATTATTGTTCCTTTTACCACATTCATATTCAAAATTTGATACAATTGTTCGTCTGAAAATATATAATTATTTAAATTAATTTCAATTGTTTTTTTTACCGAAAAAAAGCAGCACATGCTCTACAAGTAATTGCTCCAAAATGCATTCCATTTGATGATTTATAACAAACCAAACATTGTTTCTCTTTTGATTTTCTAACTTCCATTTTTTTTTGAAAAAAGTAAAGATAAATAATAATAAAGTGAATCAAATAAAATGGAAAATTTGAGAATTAATGAATTTATAAAGGATCGTGAAATATCTCGATTTAAAATATAGAATAGGGGCGAAACGATCTTTTTTTTTGCATTTTGATCGAACACATTTTCTAGTTTTTTTTTGCTGTGTTTAAGATTTCGATCTTGAGGTTACGTAAAGAACAACAACAATTTGAAAGGTGTGACTTCAAATTTATAAAGTTGGAAATAATGTATTTTGGTGGAGACAAACAGTTCTGCTGAACCAAAACGACGATCGATGATGTAAAAAGCAGCTCTGCGACAAATTACCGTCATATATTTCCGTAAATCACGGCATCATCAGTTTTTCACTTGAATAACCTTATAATTCTAAATATACCTACATGTGTCTTGTAGTATTGTTATTCAAAGTTTCGATTTTTTGCTGTTAAAATACTAACCCATGTTTTTTTCTGAACCCTAGTTTTTTTTGGTAATAATCGAAAAAAATGAGAAATTTTATTCGTGCTTACCGTATGAACGATATCAAACACTTGATCTACAAATTGTTCATTTTTCTTCTCGATTCATTTGTTACCAAAAAGTGTTTCCTCATTTCGTATCTTGATTTTGGTTGTGTCATATAACTTGTGTGTTCTAATAGATTCCAAAAGGTCTTCTCAGCAAAAATGATTGATCCGAAGCTGAGTGTTGTACTTCTCCGGACACTTTAATCTACACAATCTTTGTTACTTCCGAACAAGACATATCTGTGGAACAAATCGAGTATCAGAAGCATAGATCACAAGTGGTCTAAAAAGAGGAACTCTTCTAATTTCTGGAACTTTCAGATTAACAATTTTCAGGAATGTAAACAGTGTAAGTGCAAAAATAGAAAACAGGCATTTTATATCTATCTTAAAGACTCATTTTACGGTACCACATAATAGTCTCCTAGGTATGTTGTACAGAGAACAAGTCAGAACTCTGGAACACACTGTGTTTTTTTTTATATCATCACACCTGTCAGATTTTATCGGAAAACATCGACTTTCGATATCCCTTGAAAAAATCGTTATATTCAGTTTTCACACATTTGAAATACGTTCTTTATTTGAAATGCATTTGAAAATGAAGTTATATTCCATAATTATTCTTATCCTATTTTTAAAATTCACAGAAAGTTGTATGCCAACAGAATACGTTGATGATCCCGAAATTGGTTAGTTTTAGTTGAGATGTTATTGTTAGTGCTTAATTTCAAGATGAAGAAGATGATGGATCTACTACAACCCCCTCTGTCACTGTTTCCACAAATCAAAGTAGCATCACATCCTCTTCCACCACTACGAAAGCTAGTTTAACCTTAAAACGAGTATGCCCTGATTCATCTTGGACATTATTTGATCGTGGAACTTATGGCTGGTGTGTTCTAGTGCTTGCCACTAAACTCACAATGCTTGACTATTCAGCAGAATGTCAGAAATACAGTTCGAATGCAGTTGTAAGTGGATTGCAAAATCAAAATGAACTCACAACAATTTCCGAATTGGCCAAAAAAATAGATCCCTCAATTGTTGAAATATCGGTTGGATTAAGAGTCGATGTGTTTTGTTCTAGTGTGCCATGGCAGCCAGAACTTCCGATTTATTGCGAACTTGACAGATTGTTATGGACAGATGATCATACAACTGGAACTGATGGTCTAATATGGGCTGCTGGCCAACCGCTGATTCCACAAATAGAATCACCTCAGAGAGCAGTTCTTCTTGTGCAGGAAGATGAATTGGAAGTATTTGATATAACTGGAACTCCTGATGGAACTGTTTGTGGTGTCGAAGCGAAAGAAGAATATGTTTGAAGTTTATCTTTGAATCTAATTATAATTGTCACTAATTTTGAAGGATTTTTATCAAAACCTATTGGTATATTGTTGACCTCTTTTTCTAAAATAAAGATTTGTGACCTGAAATTTTGTCTGAAAATCCATGTTCATTGTTTCTAGGGTGAATTGCCTAGAAACTCGCTTTATTTGAAAGAAATGAGAAAAATTCACTGTTTCAAAATTTGTATGAAAAAATCACAAATTCGACATGCTTGGAGATTGTTGACTACTTCCACTTTCACCTAGAACTTCCAGATTCTCCACGCGATTCGAAACAATTCCACAGCAAATCATGCTCCAAGTTTTTGATTTTCTGAAATTCATTTTCAGCAAATTTTCCAGATTTGTTTTGTTGCAAAATAGATAAGTGACTTGAAATACGATGGGTGTTGTTAACACATCAATGTAGAATAGAGGATAGTAAATCTGTTAAAAAAAAAATTTTTTTAATTTTCTTCCAACTCACCGCATTCAAAATAGCTTTGATATCTGCAGAAAACCATGAAATCGACGAAAAAAATATGATTGGAACGCACAATAGTTTAACAAATATTACAACTAGTGTTTGATAGAGAATCGCTTTTTCTGGGCGGGTTTTCATGAAATTCGAGGCACTTGTGATTTTTCGAACACTTATAAGAATGCAAATGTAAAATATTGAGGAGAATATTACTAAAGCGTCCAGAACCACATAAATTGCCTGAAAATCTTTGAAAAAAACAAAAGGCGCCCACTGTGGGTCGAACCCGCGTGACGCGAATGATAGGCGCACGTGTTTACCACTAGGCCACCGCGCGTTTTTCTGAGGCTGCCGAAAATTTCGCATTTAAAATGGGAGCGCTTACCGTTTGAATTGTGAAAAAATCAGATTCACATTTGAAATTTTTTTGGTTTTCAATAAGATATTTGTAATAACATTTTGCCTTGAGCAAAAAATATATGAATGTGCTGAAAATAAGTGAGGAATAGAGCCATCGAATAAAAGTTTTGAATGATTTTTCAGAAGGAACTATATAATTTTCAGAAATTGGGTAAAAATATAATAGGAATCTCTGGAAAGCCAAAAGGAATATTAGAAGATTTTGAATTGGAACAATTATTTGAGAAAATATATAAATTATGATTAATGCAGAAATTCCAAGTATAAAACTGATATAAGTCGAAAAAGTTATCGAAACTACGGAAAAAATCAAAATAATTATCATATATTGTGAGAAAATTGTGATTTTATAGAGATGATTGGTGATTTGATAAATTGCACAAATTTCATCCTTTTTCCGATTGATTTTTGTAAAATGCACGAATAATGGGAAAATTGTGAAGATGCTTAGAAGATTTAGGAATAAAATTGTGAAATGATAGATGAAAAATGGAGTTGTGACATCTTTCAGGCCATTGGAGTCGTAGAATAATGTTATCATTTGAAACAAAAAAAATATATGTTTTTTTTTCTTGAAACAGGTGATTTTTAGAATTTTCGAAAAAAAATGCAGGTGAAAAAATTCACTGTTTCAAAATTTTGTGAAAAAAATTTTGAAAAAAAAATTCTCGATGCACCTAGCTTTTTTTTCGAAAACTGAAATTCAAATTCAAATTCCACGTGACAAAAACCTTCTGGGATACTGTAGAAAATCACATTTTCAGTCTGGAAAATTTTTTCTGAAAATCCTTGTTTCACAAGAAAAAATTCCTGGGTTACTGTAGAATTTTCATAAAATTTTTCTCGAAAAAAAAAATATTTTTTCACTGTTTCAAAATTTTATGAAAAAAAATTTTGAAAAAAAAAATTTCGATACATCCAACTTTGGCGTTAAAAACTTAAATTCCAATTCCACGTGGCAAAACCTTTTGGGATACTGTAGTTAAAATCAAAATTTCAGTCTGGAAAATTTGACTGAAAATCCTTTTTCACAAGAAAAAATTCTTGGGTTACTGTAGAATTTTCATGAAATTTTTCTCGAAAAAAAATATTTTTTCACTGTTTCAAAATTTTTTGAAATAAAAATGTATAATTTCTAAAAATTGTTATCAACTTGATAATATCAAGTTTATTGAAGGTCATAAAATCTACAGTAATCCAGGATCAAAATTGTGATTACTGTAGAAATTCCATGGTTACTGTAGATGAAAATTCATGAAATTTTTCACTGTTTCAAAATTTTGTGAAAAAAATTTTGAGAAAAATTTTTTGATTCCAGTTCTTTTTTTAGTTCCAAAATCCACGTGGCAAAAACCTTCTGGGATACTGTAGAAAATCACAATTTTAGTCTGGAAAATGTTCTCTGAAAATCGCGGTTTCTCAAAAAAAAATTGACTGTTTCAAAATTTTGTGAAAAAAATTTTGAAAAAAATAATTTCGATGCGTTCAGCTTTTTTAGAAAACTGAAATTCAAATTCAAATTCCACACGGCAAAAACCTCTTTGGATACTGTAGAAAATCACAATTTCAGTCTGGAAAATTTTTGTCTGAAACTCACAAATTTTGAAAAAAAATTTCACTGTTTCAAAATTTTGTGAAAAAAATTTTGAAAAAATTTTTTTTTGATTCGTCCAACTTTGTTAATAAAAACCGAAATTCAAATTCCACGTGGCAAAAAACCTATTTTCAGTCTGAAATTTTTTTCTGAAAATCGCGGTTTCTCAAAAAAAATTCACTGTTTCAAAAATTTTTTGAAATATATTTTGAAAAAAAAAATTTCGATTTTTTAATTCTTTGTTAAGAAAACTGAAATTCAAGTTCCACGTGGCAAAACCTTCTGGGATACTGTAGAAAATCACATTTTCAGTCTGGAAATTTTGACTGAAAATCCTTTTTCACAAGAAAAAAATTCACTGTTTCAAAATTTTGTGAAAAAAATTTTGAGAAAAATTTTTTTGATTCATTTAATTTTTTCAACAGGAAACTGAAATTCAAAATCCACGTGGCAAAACCTTCTGGGATACTGTAGAAAATCAGAATTTCAGTCTGGAAAATTTTATCTGAAAATCGCGAGTTCTCAAAAAAAAAATTCACTGTTTTAAAATTTTGTGAAAAAAATTTTTGAAAAAAAAAAATTTCGATGCAATTAGTTTTTTTTTGTCGAAAACTGAAATTCAAATTCCACGTGGCAAAAACCTTCTGGGATACTGTAGAAAATCCCAATTTCAGCCTGGAAAATTTGTCTGAAAATCGCGGTTTCTCAAGAAAAAATTCCTGGGTTACTGTAGAATTTTCATAAAATTTTTTTCGAAAAAAATATTTTTTCACTGTTTCAAAATTTTGTTTAAAAAAATTTTGAAAAAAAAAATTTCGATACATCCAACTTTGGCGTTAAAAACTTAAATTCCAATTCCACGTGGCAAAAACCTTCTGGGATACTGTAGAAAATCACAATTTCAGCCTGGAAAAATTGTCTGAAAATCGCGGTTTCTCAAGAAAAAATTCACTGTTTCAAAATTTTGTGAAAAAAATTTTGAAAATTTTTTTTCATTCAACAAAAAAAAATATTCGAAATTGAAAAAAAAGTTTCTAGACCAGAATTTTGTGCTGAAAATCATGGAAATCTTGAATTTTCAGGATTTTCAGGTCAAAATCCCCTAAATCCTCTCACAAATCCGCTCAAAAACGGGCCCAATTTTGCTCCATGAATTCGGTGTAAAATGTCCGGCTCCATTCACATACAGTAGTCCACGTTCGTCGAAAAATCGAAATATTTCTTCAGGAGCATAGGGATTTCGTGGGAAATTTTGGAATGCGTCGAAATATTCACATTTTTCGCCACAAAATTCGCCGAGTTTTCGGTGGCGAGCATCTCCGATGAATTTGTGATGTTTTAGGCGTTGAGAGTAGATTTTCTGGAGAAAAAATGGCCATTTTTTGGGGTACTGTAGCTGGGTTACTGTAGAAGAATTTTGTAGATCAAAATTTGCAAAATTTGGGCCAAAATTGGGACCAGGTACTGTAGATTACTGTAGGAAAATTTAAAAAAAAACATAATTTTTTCACTGTTTCAAATTTTTTTGAAATAAAAATTGAAAATTCCAAAAAATTGTTATAAATTCCACGTAAGGGGTCTAAAATCTACAGTAACCCAATAAATTTTTAGTGCCGAAAAATTAAAAAAGAGTACTGTAGAAAACCCAGGGTTACTGTAAAATTTGCATGAAATTTTTCTCAAAAAAACAAATATTTTTTCACTGTTTCAAAATTTTTTGAAATAAAAATTGAAAATTTCAAAAAAATGTTGAGTATACTTAAGAGCCTAAAACCTACAGTAACCCAGGATCAAAATTCTGATTACTGTAGAAATTTCAGGGTTACTGTAGATTCTTCAGAAGAGTAATTCAAATTTTTCAAAAAAAATTTTCACTGTTTCAAAATTTTTTGAAATAAAAATTTCTAATTCCGAAAAATTATTACGAACTCCGCTATTGGGGCCTAAAATCTACAGTAATCCAACAAATTTTCAGTGCCAAAATTAGGTAAGAGTACTGTAGAAATCCCAGGGTTACTGTGGAATTTTCATAAAATTTTTCTCAAAAAAAAACATATTTTTTCACTGTTTTAAAATTTTTTGAAATAAAAATTGTAAATTCCAAAAATTTGTTATAAATTCCACGTAAGGGGACTAAAATCTACAGTAACCCAATAAATTTTTAGTGCCAAAATTAGGTAAGAGTACTGTAAAAAATCCAGGGTTACTGTAGAATTTTCATGAAATTTTTCCCAGAAAAAAAAAAATATTTTTTCACTGTTTCAAAATTTTTTGAAATAAAAATTGAAAATTCCAAAAAAATAGTTATGAAATGTTATGAAGGGCATAAAATCTACAGTAATCCAAGACAGGTTACTGTAGAAATTTCAGGGTTACTGTAGATTCTTCAGCTTCTGAAGAATATTTCGAATTTTGCCAAAAAAAATATTTTTTCACTGTTTCAAAATTTTTTGAAATAAAAATTGAAAATTCCAAAAAATAGTTATAAATTCCACGTAAGGGGCCTAAAATCTACAGTAACCCAATAAATTTTTGGCACCAAAAAATTAGGTAAGAGTACTGTAGAAATCCCAGGGTTACTGTAGAATTTTCATGAAATTTTTCCCAAAAAAAAAATTTTTTTCACTGTTTCAAAATTTTTTGAAATAAAAATTGTAAATTTCAAAAAAAATAGTTATAAATTTCACTTTAGGGTCCTAAAATCTACAGTAACCCAATAAATTTTTAATGCCAAAAATTAGGTTAGAGTACTGTAGAAATCCCAGGGTTACTGTAGAATTTTCATGAAATTTTTCCCAGAAAAAAAATATTTTTCACTCAAAATTTTTCGACTACAGTAACCTAGTCATATTGGGTGTCAAAAAAACCAGAAAAAAATCTACAGTACTCCTCGCCTACAGTAACTACAGTAACCCCGCAAAAAAACTCACATCAATCTCCTCAAACTTCATGCCAATCTTCAAATAATCATTGACACCTCTCACACCACTCGGAATCGTCACAGCATTTTGAATGAAGATTTTGTGACGCACGGAATTCCGGATACTGGCGATTTGCGATTTTGCAAATTCGAGTTCCGCGTCTTCCGCTTCCGCTTCCGCACGCTCACAAAATTCGCCACATTTTGAGATCAAAAACACATAGTCAAATTGCTCCTTTTCAGTGGTCCCAAATTCTGCCGGCAAAATTTCTTGGCATTTTTTCGCCCCGCCAAAACCCTGGTGCAAAAAATCGCATCCCGGATTTGAGGCCAACCAGATTCGGCGCGATTTTTTGGAGCAAGATTTGATGATTAGCGGGGCCAAATTGGTGGCATAACTATTTCCAAGAATCAGGATTTTTAAAGGCGCAGAGGAGGTGAGATTCTGGAAAAAATTCTGATTTTTTTGATACTAAACACGACTGGGTTACTGTAGATTTTGAGCGGGAAAATTTGAACTTCATAAAAATTTTTGAAAAAAAATTCACTGTTTCAAAATTTCCCAAAAAAATTTTTTGATCTACAAAAAAATTCCTTTTTAGTCACTGAACATTTGAAGTCTCCAAAAATCTATAGCTACAGTGATGCTGACCTAGGTTACTGTAGTTTTGCCACGTCACAACACAAGATTACTGTAGATTTTTTGAGAGGTTAAAATTTTGATCCACAAAGTTCAGATGTTTCCGAAAAATTTTTTAGATCAAAAATTTGACGCTACAGTAATCCTGAACTACATTGCCGCCAAAATTAGACCCGGATTACTGTAGATTTTGAGCGGGAAAATTTGAACTTCATAAAAAAAAATTAATTTTCAAGAAAAAATTCACTGTTTCAAAAATATTCCAAAAATTTTCAAGAATCCAAAAAAGCTAGTTCTTTCAAATCGGAAAATTCCCTACAGTAACCCAGGCTGCCACGTCATAACAACTCACCTTAACCTCACACAATCCAAACGGCGCCAAATCCCGATTTTTATACTCGCATTGCTCATTTTTCAGAAAATCCTTCTCATGATCAGTATACCTGGTATTCCACGTCATAACCTCTTCTGGACTCAAATTTTTTGAATTTCCCGCGGAAAATATTGGATTTTCAGCAAATTTCTCAGATTTTCCAGTGAAACCATCATAAATTTCGTGAATTTCTTGCCTCCAAATTATTAAAATACAAAAAATCAATAAAATAGTTGATAAAATGCATTGGGAATTTCGTGTAAGTCTAGTTGTATACCATTTTTCATAAGTTTCATAAATAAGAATTCCCAAAAAAATAGAAAAGCATAAAAATGGGAGTTTTGGTAACTCGTAGAATTTTGAATAACAATAAATTGGCCAATGTATTAAATATAATGAATATGATATATTTCCAATATAAATCATTATTTTATTTGATAATATTTGATTATTTTCTGAGATTAATATGAGCAATGCTGTTATTATTGTTACTATTATTCTGGAAATTGAACGGTATTGTAAATTGTGAATTGAGTTGCTATTGTGAATTTGAAAACTGGAAATTTCATATGAGAATTTTGAAACAGTAGATTTTTTTCAACAAAAAAATTAATTTCAGCTCGAAAATATATGCTTCTAGATCAGAATTTTGTGCTGAAAATCATGGAAATCTTGAATTTTCTGCATTTTCATGATTTTCAGCACAAAATTTCAGCTGGGTAAAATTAAACTTCTTTTTTTTAATGTAAAATGTATGAAACAGTGAGATTTTTTCAGATCCCATAAAAATTTTTAAATTTTTTTTTCCGTGAACAAACTGCTGATGTTTCAAATAAATATAGATTTTATCACAAAAATCCGGAAGAACAAAATTTCGATGCGAAAAATGAGATAAAAATAATTTTTGAAATATAAGTGAAATTTGGGGGAACCGGTTCAAAAAAGGGTACTGTAGCTTTTGGCGCGAAAATTTCCTAATGAAAACTCATTTTATATTTTTTGTAGATAAAATTTTTGAAACAGTAAATTTTTTTTCAACAAAAAAAAATTAATTTCAGGTCAAAAATCCGTTTCTAGATCAGAATTTTGTGCTTAAAATCGTGAAATTGTTGAAGTTATTGAAAATTTCAAAACGCAATTTTTTATGTGAAATTTTTGAAACAGTAGATTTTTTTCAACGAAAAAAATTAATTTCAGCTCAAAAATACACTTTTAGATCAGAATTTTGTGCTGAAAATCATGAAAACCTCAAAATTTGTCTCTCACCTCACAATCTTCCCAGGCAATTCGATCCCCAAAAATAATATCAAAAAAGTAGCCAATAACAGCAAATTTTGCACATTTCCATAGCTTAGCTTCTCCTTTTTCTCTTCGAAATCCAATAATTTCTCCTCCTCATTTTCTTGCCAAAAATACACCAAAAATCCGGCTAAAAATTGCCAAATCCTCGCAAAAACACTATAAAATGCCGTGCTTTTCGGGGAGATCAAATAAAAAATCAGAGAGATCGCAGAGAAGCCCAGGTAGATCATAGAATATCGATTTTTCCCGGGGAAAATCGATAGAATAGCATAGAATACGATAGGAATAATGAAATAAAATTGAATTTCAACAGAAAGTGACCAAGTATGAGTAAATAGATTTTCAGCAATTTTCAGCAAAATATAATAATCATCTTCTAAATTTGAGAAATCATTTGAGACGAAAAATATTGATTGTTTTGCTGATTTTCGATTTGTTTCAATGAAAGTTTCGGGAAAAATTGGAGAAAAAATCAATAAAAAAATATTGATTAAAATTAGAAAATAATAATTTGGTAAAATTCGACAAAGTCGACGTTGATAAAATTCCAAGATTTTTGATATTATTGATTGATTTTTATTTGAAGAAGTTTTGGATAGAAGAAGACACATTAAATAACCAGATAATACGAAGAATCTGTGAAAAATTCATTGATTTTGGGGTACTGTAGCTATTTTGGCACCAAAAATTGATCTATATACAGTAATCCCTTGAATTTCAGAAGGTCAAAAACAATAGGTTACTGTAGTTTTTGGCGCCCAAAAATCTACAGTACCTATAAAATATACACGTTTATCTCAAGTTCGCCATCAAAATTCGGTGATTTTTCGTCTCAACAATGAAAAATAGGGATAAAATCTCCGCCGGAATCGGAAAATCATCGAAAATTTTGAATTTTCAAGAGAAATATTCAAGATAATTTGTAAATAGACAAAATTCAAGGGGTTACTGTGGATTTTCCGCGCCAAAACCTACAGTAACCTGGTGTTTTTTAGCACCAAAATGATCTTCAAGAAGTTGGAAACCTTCGGATTACTGTAGATCATTTTTTCGCCTACAGTAACCCTGTAAAATTTTTCGCACGCCCCAAAAACTCACTGATCAACACCCAAAAATCCATTGGGAAAATATTTGGGAAAAAAATGGAAAGCCAAAACTGAAATGATAGCAATCGCTCGAATTCCCTGCAAATGCCCCTTTTTCGACATTTTCAGAGCGAAATTCTGAAATTTTCAGATTTTTGGCAAAAAATCTCGAAAATTGGGATTTTGCTATGATTTTGAAAAAAAAATTTCAAAAATTTTTTTTCGAAATTTTTAATTTATGAAAATTTGTGGGCGGAGCTTGAAAATTATGAATTTTTTCAAAATTTCCGGATTTCTGATAGAATCTCTTTAAAGGAAGCTTTATATCAGATTTAAATTTAAAAAAATAATTTCAGGTCAAAACTATATATGTTTCTAGATCAGAATTTTGTGCTGAAAATCAGGGAAATCTTGAATTTTCAGCATTTTCATGATTTTCATCACAAAATGTTCCTCGAAGTAAAGGATTAAAATTTCAAAATCCTTTTTTTTCATATAAAAATCCTGAAACAGTAAATTTTTTCGATCCGAAATTTTTTTTTATTTAGATCTTTTCAAAATTTATATATAGATCTGAAGATCTGAAGATCCGAAAATCAGATTAAAAAGTATATTTTCGACCAATTGCTCAGGTTAGGCTTCAAAAATTAAAGTTTTCGAAACTTTTTTATAAAAATTTTGTTAATAAAATTTCAAATTTTCTAAAAACTCTTGAAACAGTGAATTTTTTTATAGAAATTTTTGAGAAAATGCGATTTTCATAGATATTTGTAGCACAAATTCAATTTTTCAATAAAAAATAACTTACTATTCAAAATTGGTGTCTCCAGCTTTTTTCCATCCCCAAAATCGATTCTAAAGTATAAATACATTGTTTTTATGAACTTCTCAACAAAAACTAACCTTTTACGCGGCCAAAAGCCTCAATTTCATCATGAAAACATCCCAAATGTCTGAAAATCCAAAAATTATTTATAAAACTAGCGAAAAATCATAATTTTCATCGGTTTCTCCTTCAAATTTTTGAATTTCTTCATTTTCACAATGAAAAATGAAGAATTCCAGCATGATTTCGACTTGAAAACGTGAAAAACGGAAAAAAAAGAAAAATAAATAAATTCAAAAATATTTTTCCCGGGACACACAGTTGCAAACACCACGACGCACAATTGCACACAATTGTGTGACAAACTTCATCTCAGCATCCGCTGGCGTAGTCTAAGCGTACAATAAAGGGTTATTTAGATGAAATTTAGCTACGGCTTAGCTACGCTCGTTGTAATCTCGCGGGTGTAGACTGAGCGTAGCTACACTGAGCCGCGTTGCAATTCCTGTGCGTTGCGTACAAGTTTTTCACTTTTTCTTTTTGTTTTCCTCTTGGCCTAAAATTTTTCTTTTTTTGGGCGTGTTAAAATGTTTAAAGCATGGAGTTATACTTTTCAGTTGTGTTTTCCTGATTATAAAGACTTTTCTACTTCAATCAACTCATTAAACGAGGTTTTCACTAGAAAACACTTGAAGATTTTCAGTGAGAAATTATTTCAACAGATCAAAAGTAGGACATTTGAGACTTTACCTATAAATTTAACTCTATTATGCTTATTATTTTTGATTCAAATCGTTCTCTATTAAATTTTTCTATTTTTCAGTCTAGATTCGTGGTTTTGGGCGATGTCAATCTCCATTTCATGTTCTGCAGATTTCAGTGAGTTCTATAAATACGCATTCTATTAGAATTCAGAAAAGTCAATATGTTTTCAGAGCTGAAACAAATCCACGTTATTGGGAGTTAGAAGAACTACTGACTGAGTACACGCGGGCTTGAAAGTTCAATTGATTTAACGCGAATAATGGTTTTGGAAGTCAGTCGCCTTCCGGCGGATTCGTTTTTGATTCAAAACTCGGAGTTCAGTCGAAATCAATTTCAAATTCGACATTCTTGTTACTACAATATTGATATTGGGAGATGAAGCAAGTTGGATTAGGAAAAAGGTGAGAAAAATCGTTCACTAATCGAAAAATCCCAAAATATGAAAGAGTCGCGTATTAACTTGAATTAGCTGCTAGCTGAGCGATCAATCGCCTGAATTAATTTAGTTTATAAAAATGTGATAGGTGATTAATCCTTCAGCTCACCTTAAAGTGAGCTGAAAATTTACTAAGCGATTAATCGCCCATCTTGTCTGAGAACCCACAATATCCTAGTCATAAAGTATTGATGTTGGCCAATCTTAATCCAAATATCCACTCCAAAAAACTTCTAATAAGTCAGTTATTCTTTCAGGTTCGAACACTGGTATTCTCAATATTCTACAAGGATTGGAAATTCTCACGTGGAACTCAACATCATCATTCAACGTCATTAAAAATCAGCTCATCGTCTCAAAAACCCTGCAAAATTGTCAAGCTGCGCCGACAATCCCATAATTCTTCGATTTTTCAGTGTTATTTTTAATTATTTTACTGTTTTTTTGTTATAATATACAATAAATCATGTTTCTATGCAGTTCCTTCAAAAAATTCAGAAATCGGCACATTCAACATTGATATTAAACCTAGAATTCAGTTCCGATCGAGCAAGCAAATGAGAAAAACATTTTAATTGAAAAAAAAACGAGCGTAGCTAAGATTTACACCTCAGCGTAGTCTAAAGCGTAAAAGCGAGCGTAGCTAAGGCGGTGTATGACGCTACAAACGCTCGTTTGTACGCTTTAGACTACGCCAGCGGCTGCTGAGCAAATTTATTTTTTTTTTCGTGTTTTTCAGAGTTTTTCAGAGTTTTCCTTTGAAACTCAATGTTCAAGTGAAAGAACTTTTGTTATTTTCCATTTTTAGAGGAAATTCTATTATTTTGGTTGAAATTTGAAGGAGAAAACCCTGAAAATAATGATTTTTCGCTTATTTTTTCAATAATTTTTGGATTTTCAGACTTTTTGGATGTTTCCATGATGAAATTAAGGCTTTTGGCCACGTAAAAAGGTTAGTTTTGTTGAAAATGTATCAAAAAACAATGTATTTATAATTTAGAATCGATTTTGGGGATGGAAAAAAGCTGGAGACACCAATTTTGAATAGTAAGTTATTTTTTATTGAAAAATTGAATTTGTGCTACAAATATTCATGAAAATCGCATTTTTTTTAGAATTTTGAATAAAAAAATTCACTGTTTCAAGAAAATTTGAGGGAATTTGATGGAATTTGACATTTTTCGATTGATACGAAAATTTTATAAGAAAAATTTTAACTTTAATTTTTGAAACCTAACCTGAGCAATTGGTCGAAAATATACTTTTTTATCTCATTTTTGGATCAGATCTTCAGATCTATATAAATTTTGGAAAGATTTGAATAAAAAAAATTCGGGTCGAAAAAATTCACTGTTTCAGGATTTTGATATGAAAAAATGGGAATTTTCATTTGAATCTCATGACAAGTGATGGACATTTTGTGCTGAAAATCGTGAAATTTTCGAAAATTCAAGATTTCCATGATTTTCAGCACGAAATTCGGATCTAGAAGCATATAGTTTTGACCTGAAATTATTTTTTTTTCAAAAAATAAATGTTTTTATTACAATTTCTCACAAATTCCATCAAAAACGGGTTGAATTTTTGGCCAAGAATACGGTGGAAAATGTCCTTTTCCATTCACATAAATCAATCCGCGATCATCGAAAAATCGTATAATTTTTTCATCAGAATCAGATGAATATGAATTTTTGGGAAAATTCGAGAATGCGTCGAAAAATTCGCATTTTTCGCCACAAACTTGGCCGATTTTTCGATGTCGTTCAATTCCGATTCTCTTGTCGCCGAGTGGTTTTTTGTTTGAGTAGATTTTCTGGAAATTTTAAGATTTTCATGATTTTCAGCACAAAATTTTGATCTAGAAACATATTTTTTTTGAATTTAAAAAAAAAATTTTCCAAAAAAAAATTACTGTTTCAAAAATTTCACAAAAATATTATGATTTCTAGATTTTCGTTACTTCTGATTCGTTCCTGTTTAGTGCTGAAAATGCTGAAAATTTCGAAAAATCAAGATTTCCACCATTTTCAGCACAAAATTCTGATCTAGAAACAAATTTTAGAGCTGAAATTAATTTATTCCAAAAACTTCCAGATTTCAATTTTCCTAGCTGAAATTTTGTGCTGAAACTCATGAAAATGCTTAAAATTTCGAAAATTCAATATTTCCACCATTTTCAGCACAAAATTCTGATCTAGAATCATTTTTTTTGAAATTTGAAAAAAAAATTACTAATTGTAAAAAAAAATTACTGTTTCAAAAATTTCACAAAAAATATTAGGATTTCTAGATTTTGGTTACATCAGTTTATTTTGAGATCCGATTTTGTGCTGAAATGCTAGAAATTTCGAAAATTCAAGATTACCTTGATTTTTAGCACAAAATTCTAGTCTACAAACTAATTTAAAAAAAAAGAAAAAAATTGGCGGGCACTGGGAATCGAACCCTGGTCTCAAGCGCCGCAGTCAAAAATGCTACCAGCTGAGCTATCTATCTCTTTTTAACCACAGAGAAAATGTTGGTGAAAAGAAAGCGAATCAAAAAAATTTAATAAGTTAGGATAACTCACCAGAATTTCATCAAAACTAGTATGATTTCGCAGATAATTGTTGAAATTTCTGAGATTTATCGGAAGTGTTATCGTATTCAAAATGAAGATTTTTCGCTTCACAAATTGTTTGAGTTTTGTAATTTGTGATCTACCAAATTCAATTTGCTCATCAATCGATTTTTTGCTCGGTAAACAATATCGCGCACATTTTGCAATCAGAAAAACATAATCAAATTGCTGTTTTTCGAGTGTCTCGTCCGGAATTTGGAGCATTTTTGAGCATTTGCTCTGCTCATAATCCGCGTGCAAAAAATTACAGGATGGAAATGAGGCCAGCCAAATTTGTTGCGATTTTTTTGCACAAGAATTTAGGAGAATTGGTGCCAAATTTGTGGCATAACTATTTCCGATAATTAGAATTTTTAAAGGCGCAGATGAGGAGAGATTCTGCGAAAAAATTCTGATTTTTTCTAGGCTGAAATTTTGTGCTGAAAATCATCCTCACTTTAAATTGACATAATCCAAATGGCACAAGCTTCGGATTTTTATAATCGCAACTTTTATATGTTAAAAATTCCTTTTCTTTTGAAGTCCACACACCATTCAAATTCATAACCTCTTCTAGACTCAAATTTTTCGAATTTCCCGCGGAAAACATTGGATTTTCAGCAAATTTCCCAGATTTTCCAGTGAAACCATCATAAATTTCGTGAATTTCTTGCCTCCAAATTATTAAAATACAAAAAATCAATAAAATAGTTGATAAAATGCATTGGGAATTTCGTGTAAGTCTAGTTGTATACCATTTTTCATAAGTTTCATAAATAATAATTCCCAAAAAAATAGAAAAGCATAAAAATGGGAGTTTTGGTAACTCGTAGAATTTTGAATAACAATAAATTGGCCAATGAATTAAATATAATGAATATGATATATTTCCAATATAAATCATTATTCTATTTGATAAAATTTGATTATTTTCAGAGATTAATATGAGCAATGCTGTTATTATTGTTACTATTATTCTGGAAAAATTGTAAATTTTAAAATTTCATATGAATTTTTTTTGAAAAAAAAAATAATTTCAGCTCACAAATATCTTTCTAGATCAGAAATTTGTGCTGAAAATTTTGAAAATTCAAGATTTCCACGATTTTCAGCACAAAATTCTGGTCTAGAAACAAGATTTAGAGCTGAAATTAATTTTTTCAAAAAATTTTCAGATTTCAATTTTCCCAGCTGAAATTTTGTGCTGAAAATCGTGGAAATCTTGATTTTCGAAATTTTCAGCATTTTCCTGTGTTTCAGCAAGAGATTCCGGTTTACTTAAATTGAACAAGAATCTGAAAATCCTCATAAAAATTTTGAAACAGTAAATTTTTTTTTTGAAAAAAAAATTAATTTCGCTGAAAAAATATTTCTAGATCAGAATTTTGTGCTGAAAACCATAGAAATGATGAAAATTTTTAAAATTCAAGATTTCCACGATTTCCAGCACAAAATTCTGATCTAGAAATCTACATAGATTTTCCCACAACCTGAACAAAGTTTTGAAACAGTAGATTTTTTTTTTGAAAAAAAAAAATTAATTTCGCTGAAAAAAAATGCTTCTAGATCAGAATTTTGTGCTGAAAATCGTGGAAATCTTGATTTTCGAAAATTTCAGCATTTTCATGAATATCACAACAGAATTCCAGCTTGGAAAATTGAAATCTGGAAGTTTTTGGAATAAATTAATTTCAGCTCACAAATACCTTTCTAGATCAGAATTTTGTGCTGAAAATCAAGAGGATCTTAAATTTTCAAAATTCTCAAGATTTTCAGCACGAAACTTCAGCCTAATCAGGCGCGAAATCGAATTAAAAAGTTCAACATTGGAGATAAAAAAGATTTTGATCTTATTCAAAAAATATATAGATTCTCTAGAGATAATCTAGAGATCGAAGTTTGAGATAAAAACTGTTTTTATTTAAAAAAATTAAAACCATTGCTCATATTACCTCACAATTCTCTCCGGATATTCAAAACCAACAAAAAGCATCAAAATAGTCAATAATAATAACCAAACTTGTGTATTTTCATAACTTATTTGCTCGGTTTCCAGATTTTCAGAAATCAATAATTGTTTTTGGTCTTCTTCATCTTCAGATTCATCATTTTCTTGCCAAAAATACACCAAAAATCCGGCTTAAAATTGCCAAATCCTCGCAAAAACACTATAAAATGCCGTGCTTTTCGGGGAGATCAAATAAAAAATTAGAGAGATCACTGAGAAGCTCAGGTAGATCAGGAAATTTCGATTTTTCCCGGAGAAAATCGATAAAATAGTATAGAATACGATAGGAATAATGAAATAAAATTGAATTTCAACAGAAAGTGACCAAGTATGAGTGAATAGATTTTCAGCAATTTTCAGCAGAATATAATAATCATCTTCTAAATTTGAGAAATCATTTGAGACAAAAAATATTGATTGTTTTGCTGATTTTTGATTTGTTTCAATGAAAGTTTCGGGAAAAATTGGAGAAAAAATCAATAAAAAAATATTGATTAAAATTAGAAAATAATAATTTGGTAGAATTCGACAAAGTCGACGTTGATAAAATTCGACGATTTTTGAAATTATTGATTGATTTTTATTTGAAGAAGTTTTGGAGAGAAGAAGACACATTAAATAACCAGATAATACGAAGAATCTGTGAAAAAAAAACATTAATTTTGGGGTACTGTAGCTATTTGGACACCAGAAATTGATCTACATACAGTTTCCCCTTGAATTTCAGATTCTTGAAAACAATAGGTTACTGTAGAACAATCTACAGTACCCTTGACTATAAAATATACACGTTTATCTCAAGTTCGTCATCAAAATTCGGTGATTTTTCGTCAAACAATGAAAAATAGGGATAAAATCTCCGCCGGAATCGGAAAATCATCGAAAATTTCAATTTTGCATGGAAAATATTCAAAAAAAAATCATGTGGCGCTAAAATCTACAGTAACCTAATGTTCGGATTACTGTAGATCAATTTTTCGCCTACAGTAACCCTGTCAAATTTTCCACCCGCCATTAAAAAACTCACTGATCAACACCCAAAAATCCATTGGGAAAATATTCGGGGAAAAAATGAAAAGCCAAAACTGAAATTATAGCAATCGCTCGAATTCCTTGCAAATGTCCTTTCTTCGACATTTTCAGAGCGAAATCTGGAAAATTTTCAGATTTTTTTGCTTCTGGAAAAAATTGAAGACAAATTTCGAAAAAAAAGTTTTTTTCGAAATTTTAAATTTATGAAAATTTGTGGGCGGAGCTTGAAAATTATGAAAAAATCCGGAAATTTTGAAAAAAATCATAATTTTCAAGCTCCGCCCACAAATTTTCATAATTTTTTTCATAATCAAAATTTCAGGTCAAAACTATGTATGCTTCTAGATCAGAATTTTGTGCTGAAAATCATGGAAATCTTGAATTTTCGAAATTTTCATGATTTTCAGCACAAAATTTTCATCGAAGTGAAGTATTAAAATTTCAAAACCCATTTTTTTAAATATAAAAATCCTGAAACAGTAAATTTTTTCGACTCGAAATTTTTATAATTCAAATTTTTTCAAAATTTATATATAGATCTGAAGATCTGAATATCCGAAAATCAGATAAAAAAGTATATTTTCGACCAATTGCTCAGGTTAGGTTTCAAAAATTAAAGTTAAAATTTTTCTTATAAAAACTTCGTTGAATTTTTAAAATTATCGAAAATTTCAAATTTCCTCAAATTTTCTAAAAACTCTTGAAACAGTGAATTTTTTTTTAATTCAAATTTCTGAAAAAATGCGATTTTCATGAATATTTGTAGCACAAATTCAATTTTTCAATAAAAAATAACTTACAATTCAAAATTGGTGTCTCCAGCTTTTTTCCATCCCCAAAATCGATTCTAAAGTATAAATACATTGTTTTTATGAACTTCTCAACAAAACTAACCTTTTACGCGGGCAAAATCCTCAGTTTCATCATGGAAACATCCCAATACTCTGAAAATCCAAAGATTATTGATAAAACTGGCGAAAAATCAATATTTTCATGGTTTTCTCCTTCAAATATTTGAATTTCTTCATTTTCACAATGAAAAATGAAGAATTCCAGCATGATTTCGACTTTGAAACGTGAAAAAAAAAAAAAAAAAGAAATTCAAAAATATTTTTCCCGGGACACACAGTTGCAAACACCACGACGCACAATTGCACACAATTGTGTGAAAAACTTCAAATTTCTCTTTTTTCGGTGTTTTTCAGTGTTTTTCAGAGTTTTCCTTTGTTCAAGTGAAATTACTTTTGTTATTTTCTATTTTCAGAGGAAATTCTATTATTTTGGTTGAAATTTGAAGGAGAAAACCCTGAAAATGATGATTTTTCGCTGGTTTTTTCAATAATTTTTGGATTTTCAGAGTATTGGGATGTTTCCATGATGAAATTGAGGCTTTTGACAACCTAAAGAGGTTAGTTTTGTTGAAAATGTATTAAAAAACAATGTATTTATACTTTAGGATCGATTTTGCGGATGGAAAAGAGCTGGCGACACCAATTTTGGATAGTAAGTTATTTTTTATTGAAAAATTGAATTTGTGCTACAAATATTCATGAAAATCGCATTTTTTTTTTAGAATTTTCAATAAAAAAATTCACTGTTTCAAAATTTTTCAGAAAATTTGAGTTTTCGATTAATTTTATGAATTCAACAAATTTTTATAAGAAAGTTTCGAAACATTTTTTTTGAAACCTAACCTGAGCAATTGGTCGAAAATATACTTTTTTATCTCATTTTCGGATCTTCAGATCTATATAAATTTAGAGAAGATTTGAATAAAAAAAAAATTTCGGGTCGAAAAAAAATCACTGTTTCAGGATTTTTATATGAAAAAAATGGGAATTTTGAAGTTTTTGAGCAGAAAATTTCGAAAATTCAAGATTTCCCTGATTTTCAGCACAAAATTCTGCATAGTTTTGACCTGAATTTTTTTTTTTCAAAAAAAAAAAATTTTTTTATTACAATTTCTCACAAATTCCATCAAAAACGGGTTGAATTTTTGGCCAAGAATACGGTGGAAAATGTCCTTTTCCATTAACATAAATTAATCCGCGATCATCGAAAAATCGTATAATTTTTTCATCAGAATCAGATGAATATGGATTTTTGGGAAAATTCGAGAAGGCGTCGAAAAATTCGCATTTTTTGCCACAAACTTGGCCGATTTTTCGATGTCGTTCAATTCCGATTCTCTTGTCGCCAAGTGGTTTTTTGTTTGAGTAGATTTTCTGCAAATATTAAGATTTTCATGATTTTCAGCACAAAATTCTGACCTAGAAACATTTTTTTTGAAATTTGAAAAAAATTTTTTTCTAAAAAAAAATCTAGTGTTTCAAAAATTTCACATAAAATATTTGGATTTCTAGATTTCGTTATTCAGTTTCGTTCGAACTTTGTGCTGAAAATGCTAGAAATTTCGAAAATTCAATATTTCCACCATTTTCAGCACAAAATTTTGATCTAGAAACATATTTTCATTCTGAAATTAATTTATTCCAAAAACTTCCAGATTTCAATTTTCCTAGCTGAAATTTTGTGCTGAAAATCATGAAAATGCTGAAAATTTCGAAAATTCAAGATTTCCACCATTTTCAGCACAAAATTCTAGTCTACAAACAAATTTTAAAAAAAGAAAAAATTGGCGGGCAATGGGTATCGAACCATGGTCTCACGCGCCGCAGTCAAAAATGCTACCAATTGAGCTATCTATCTCTTTTTGACCACTGGGAAAATGTTGGTGGAAAGGAAGGTGGTTTCAATATTGAAAGCTAATCAAAGAATTTTTGAAGTTAGGATAACTCACCTGAATTTCATCAAAACTAGTATGATTTCGCAGATAATTGTTGAAATTTCTGAGATTTATCGGAAGTGTTATCGTATTCAAAATGAAGATTTTTCGCTTCACAAATTGTTTGAGTTTTGTAATTTGTGATCTACCAAATTCAATTTGCTCATCAATCGATTTTTTGCTCGGAAAACAATATCGCGCACATTTAGCAATCAGAAAAACATAATCAAATTGCTGTTTTTCAAGTGTTTCATCGGGAATTTGGAGCATTTTTGAGCATTTGCTCTGCTCATAATCCGTGTGCAAATAATTACAGGATGGAAATGAGGCCAGCCAAATTTGATGCGATTTTTTAGCACAAGAATTTAGGAGAATTGGTGCCAAATTTGTGGCATAACTATTTCCGATAATTAAAATTTTTAAAGGCGCAGATGAGGAGAGATTCTGCGAAAAAAATCTGATTTTTTCTGGGCTGAAATTTTATGCTGAAAATTTTACTCACTTTAAATTGACATAATCCAAATGGCACAAGCTTCGGATTTCTATAATCGCAACTTTTATATGTTAAAAATTTCTTTTCTTTTGAAGTCCACACACCATTCAAATTCATAACCTCTTCAAGGCTCAAATTTTTCGAATTTCCCGCGGAAAATATCGAATTTTCAGCAAATTTCATAGATTTTCCACTAAAACCATCATAAATTTCACGAATTTCTTGCCTCCAAATTATTAAAATACAAAAAATCAATAAAATAGTTGATAAAATGCATTGGGAATTTCGTGTAAGTCTAGTTGTATACCATTTTTCATAAGTTTCATAAATAATAATTCCCAAAAAAATAGAAAAGCATAAAAATGGGAGTTTTGATAACTCGTAGAATTTTGAATAACAATAAATTGGCCAATGAATTAAATATAATGAATATGATATATTTCCAATATAAATCATTATGCCATTTGATAATATTTGATTATTTTCTGAGATTAATATGAGCAATGATGTTATTATTGTGACTATTATTCTGGAAAAATAATTGGGGATTTTTGATTCGCTTTGACTTTGTATTATTGTGAATTTTGAAACAGTAAATTTTTTTTTCAACAAAAAATTCAATTTCAGGTCAGAATTTTGTGCTGAAAATCATGGAAATCTTGAATTTTTAGGATTTTCAGCACAAAATTTCAGCATTCGAAACAGTAGATTTTTTCAGAAACTAAAAAATTACTGTTAAATTTTGTCGTAAACATTGGAGCTCGTAAGATATTGAAAATTTCAAAACGCAATTCTTTATGTGAAATTTTTGAAACAGTAGATTTTTTTTCCAATAAAAAAATTAATTTCAGGTCAAAAATATGCTTCTAGATCAGAATTTCACGCTAAAAATCATGGAAATCTTGAATTTTCTGCATTTTCATGATTTTCAGCACAAAATTTCAGCTGGGGGATTTATTTTATGCAGAAACATTTTTTAGACATGAAATTAATTTTTTGTTGAAAAAAATTTACTGTTTCAAATATTTCACATAAAAAGTTGCGATTTGAAATTTTCAATATTTTATCTCCTATCAATATTTTTACGACAATGTTTAACAGTAATTTTTAGGTTCTGAAAAAATCTACTGTTTCAAATGCTGAAATTTTGTGCTGAAAATTTTCATGATTCCTATGATTTTCAGCACAAAATTCTGATCTAGAAGCTTATTTTATTTTTGACCTGAAATTATTTTTTTTTTTACAAAAAAATCTACTGTTTCAAAATTTCTGTATAAAAAATTATTTTTCAAGTTTTATAATTTCATTGCGTCTAAAACCTCAAAAATCCCACAAGAATCAAATTCTCGCGCCAAAAATTACAGTACCGGTTCCCAAAATTTCACTTATTTTTCAAAATTTATCTTTATCTCATTTTCGCATCGAAAATTTTGTTCTTCCGAATTTTTGTGATAAAAATCTATATTTATTTGAAACATCAGCAGTTTGTTCACGGAAAAAAAAATTTAAAAATTTTTATGGGATCTGAAAAAAATCTCACTGTTTCAAACATTTTAGACAGTGAGATTTTTCAGATCCCATCAAAATTTTTGAATTTTTTTCATGAACAAACTGCTGATGTTTCAAATAAATATAGATTTTATCACAAAAATCCGGAAGAACAAAATTTCGATGCGAAAAATGAGATAAAGATAATTTTTGTGAAAAATATAAGTGAAATTTTGGGGAACCGGTTCAAAAAAGGGGTACTGTAATTTTTAGCGCGAAAATTTCCTAATGAAAACTCATTTTATAGTTTTTCTAGATAAAACTTTTGAAACAGTGGATTTTTTTTTTGAAAGAAAAAAAAAAATTAATTTCAGCTAAAAAATAAAACATTTTTCTAGATCAGAATTTTGTGCTGAACAGAAGCTATTAAAAATTTCAAACCGCAATTTTTTATATAAAATTTTTGAAACAGTAGATTTTTTCAACAAAAAAAAATTAATTTCAGCTCAAAAATAAATGCTTCTAGATCAGAATTTTGTGCTGAAAATCATGAAAACCTTAAAATTTTCCCCTCTCACCTCACAATCTTCCCTGGCAATTCAAAACCCAAAAATAATATCGAAAAAGTTGCCAATAACAGCAAATTCTGCAGATTTCCATAGCTTAGCTTCTCCTTTTTCTCTTCGAAATCCAATAATTTCTCCTCATCATTTTCCTGCCAAAAATACACCAAAAATCCGGCTAAAAATTGCCAAATCCTCGCAAAAACACTATAAAATGTCGTGCTTTTCGGGGAGATCAAATAAAAAATCAGAGAAATCGCGGAGAAGCCCAAGTAGATCATAGAATATCGATTTTTCCCGGAGAAAATCGATAAAATAGCATAGAATACGATAGGAATAATGAAATAAAATTGAATTTCAACAGAAAGTGACCAAGTATGTGTGAATAGATTTTCAGCAATTTTCAGTAAAATATAATAATCATCTTCCAGATTTGAGAAATCATTTGAGACAAAAAATATTGATTGTTTTGCTGATTTTTGATTTGTTTCAATGAAAGTTTCGGGAAAAATTGGAGAAAAAATCAATAAAAAAATATTGATTAAAATTAGAAAATAATAATTTGGTAGAATTCGACAAAGTCGACGTTGATAAAATTCCAAGATTTTTGAAATTATTGATTGATTTTTATTTGAAGAAGTTTTGGAGAGAATAAGACACATTAAATAACCAGATAATACGAAGAATCTGTGAAAAATTCATTGATTTTGGGGTACTGTAGATGTTTTGGCGCCAAAAATTGATCTACAGTAATCCCTATAGTTCTTCGAAGATCATTTTCAAGGTACTGTAGTTTTTCACGCCCGAAAATCTACAGTACCCCTGGATATAAAATATACACGTTTATCTCAAGTTCGCCATCAAAATTCGGTGATTTTTCGTCTCAACAATGAAAAATAGGGATAAAAATCTCCGCCGGAATCGGAAAATCACCGAAAATTTCAAATTTTCAAGAGAAATATTCAAGATAATTTGAAAATAAACAAAATTCAAGGGGTTACTGTGGATTTTCCGCGCCAAAACCTACAGTAACCCGGTGTTTTTTGACACCAAAATGATCTTCAAATAGTTTGGATTACTGTAGATCAATTTTTTCGCCCGCCAAAACAAAACTCACTGATCAACACCCAAAAATCCATTGGGAAAATTTTTGGGAAAAAAATGAAAAGCCAAAACTGAAATTATAGCAATCGCTCGAATTCCCTGCAAATGCCCCTTTTTCGACATTTTCAGAGTGAAATTCTGAAATTTTCAGATTTTTTGACTGAAAATCTGGGAATGATTTTGATTTTGGACAAAAATTTCGAAAAAAAAATTTTTTTTTCGAAATTTTTAATTTATGAAAATTTGTGGGCGGAGCTTGAAAATTATGAAAAAATCCGGAAATTTTGAAAAAAAATCATAATTTTCAAGCTCCGCCCACAAATTTTCATAAATTTTGAAAAAAAAGTTTTTTTTTTGAAATTTTTTTCAAAATCAAAATCTAGATCAGAATTTTGTGCTGAAAATCATGGAAATCTTGAATTTTCGAAATTTTCATGATTTTCAGAACAAAATTTCACGAATTTTGGAGATTGGAAGAGAAATCAAAACAAAATCAAATTTTCTAAATTCTTTTTTTTTCATATAAAAGTTTTGAAACAGTAAATTTTTTTTCTTGAAAAAAAATTAATTTCAGCTAGAAAATATGTTTCTAGATCAGAACTTCGTGCTGAAAATCATGGAAATCTTGAATTTTCGAAATTTTCATGATTTTCAGCACAAAATGTTCATCGAAGCGAAGCATTAAAATTTTAAAATCCATTTTTTTTCATATAAAAATCCTGAAACAGTAATTTTTTTCAACCCGAAATTTTTTAAATTCAAATTTTTTCAAAATTTATATACATAGATCGTTATTTGAAGATCCGAAAATCAGATAAAAAAGTATATTTTCGACCAATTGCTCAGGTTAGGTTTCAAAAATTAAGGTTAAAATTTTTCGAAACTTTTTTATAAAAATTTCGTTGAATTTTTAAAATTAATCGAAAATTTTCAAATTCTTTCAAATTTTCTTGAAACAGTGAATTTTTTTCAATTAAAAATTCTGAAAAAATGTGATTTTCATAAATATTTGTAGCAAAAATTCAATTTTTCAATAAAAAATAACTCACAATTCAAAATTGGTGTCTCCAGCTCTTTTCCATCCACAAAATCGATTCTAAAGTATAAATACATTGTTTTTTAATACATTTTCAACAAAACTAACCTTTTTACGTGGCCAAAATCCTCAATTTCATCACGGAAACATCCCAAAAGTCTGAAAATCCAAAAATTATTGATAAAACTGGCGAAAAATAGAAGAAAAAAGGTTTTCTCCTTCAAATTTTTGAATTTCTTCATTTTTACAATAAAAAATGAAGCAATCCAGCATGATTTCGACTTGAAAACGTGAAAAACGGAAAAAAAAAAAAAAGAAATTCAAAAATATTTTTCCCGGGACACACAGTTGCAAACACCACGACGCACAATTGCACACAATTGTGTGAAAAACTTCAAATTTCTTTTTTTTTTCGTGTTTTCAGAGTTTTCAGAGCTTTTCCTTCGAAACTCAATGTTCAAGTGAAAGAAATTTTGTTATTTTTTATTTTCAAAGGGAATTTGTTGAAATTTGAAGGAGAAAACCTTGAAATCGATGATTTTTCGCTTATTTTATCAATAATTTTTGGATTTTCAGAGTTTTGGGATGTTTCCATGATGAAATCAAGGGTTTTGGCCACGTGAAAAGGTTAGTTTTGTTGAAAATGTATTAAAAAACAATGTATTTATACTTTAGAATCGATTTTGCGGATGGAAAAAAGCTGGAGACACCAATTTTGGATAGTAAGTTATTTTTTCTTGAAAAATTGAATTTGTGCTACAAATATCTATGAGAAAAAAAAATGGAAGAATTTTTAATTTAAAAAATTCACTGTTTCAAAAATTTTTAGAAAATTTGAAATTTTATGAACAAAATTTTTATAAAAAAGTTTCGAAACATTTTTTTTTGAAACCTAACCTGAGCAATCGGTCGAAAATATACTTTTTTATCTCATTTTCGGATCCTCAGATAACAATCTATATAGATTTTGAAAAGATTTGAATCAAAAAAAATTTTGATATGAAAAAATGGGAATTTTGTGCTGAAAACCATGAAAATTTCGAAAAATTCAAGATTTCCATGATTTTCAGCACGAAATTCTGCATACTTTGACCTGAAATTATTTTTTTTTCAAAAAAAAAACATTTTTTATTACAATTTCTCACAAATTCCATCAAAAACGGGTTGAATTTTTGGCCAAGAATACGGTGGAAAATGTCCTTTTCCATTCACATAAATTAATCCGCGATCATCGAAAAATCGTATAATTTCATCAGATGAATAGGGATTTTTGGGAAAATTCGAGAATGCGTCGAAAAATTCGCATTTTTTGCCACAAACTTGGCCGATTTTTCGATGTCGTTCAATTCCGATTCTCTTGTCGCCAAGTGGTTTTTTGTTTGAGTAGATTTTCTGGAAATTTTAAGATTTCCATCATTTTCAGCACAAAATTCTGACCTAGAAACATTTTTTTTTGAAATTTGAAAAAATTTTTTTTCTAAAAAAATCTAGTGTTTCAAAAATTTCACATAAAATATTTGGATTTCTAGATTTCGTTATTCAGTTTCGTTCGAATTTTGTGCTGAAAATCGTGAAAATGCTGAAAATTCAAGATTACCTTGATTTTCAGCACAAAATTCTGATCTAGAAACAAATTTAAAAAAAAAGAAAAAAATTGGCGGGCAATGGGAATCGAACCCTGGTCTCACGCGCCGCAGTCAAAAATGCTACCAACTGAGCTATATGTCTCTTTTTGATCGGAGAGAAAATGTTGGTGGAAAGGAAGGTGTTTTCAATTGAAAGCTAATCAAAGAATTTTTGAAGTTAGGATAACTCACCTGAATTTCATCAAAACTAGTACGATTCCGCAGATAATTGTTGAAATTTCTGAGATTTATCGGAAGTGTTATCGTATTCAAAATGAAGATTTTTCGCTTCACAAATTGTTTGAGTTTTGTAATTTGTGATCTACCAAATTCAATTTGCTCATCAATCGATTTTTTGCTCGGAAAACAATATCGCGCACATTTAGCAATCAAAAAAACATAATCAAATTGCTGTTTTTCGAGTGTTTCATCGGAAATTTGGAGCATTTTTGAGCATTTGCTTTGCTCATAATCCGTGTGCAAATAATTACAGGATGGAAATGAGGCCAGCCAAATTTGATGCGATTTTTTAGCACAAGAATTGAGGAGAATCGGTGCCAAATTTGTCGCATAACTATTTCCGATAATTAGAATTTTTAAAGGCGCAGATGAGGAGAGATTCTGAAAAGTTTCCTGGCTGAAATTTTGTGCTGAAAATTTTACTCACTTTAAATTGACATAATCCAAATGGCACAAGTTTCGGATTTCTATAATCGCAACTTTTATATGTTAAAAATTCCTTTTCTTTTGAAGTCCACACACTATTCAAATTTATAACCTCTTCAAGGCTCAAATTTTTTGAATTTCCCGCGGAAAATATCGAATTTTCATCTCCTGTTTCTGGAATTTTCATTTTTCCAGTAAAACCATCATAAATTTCACGAAATTCCTGTCTCCAAATAGTTAAAATACAAAAAATCAATAAAATAGTTGATAAAATGAATTGGGAATTTCGTGTAAGTCTAGTTGTATACCATTTTTCATAAGTTTCATAAATAAGAATTCCCAAAAAAATAGAAAAGCATAAAAATGGGAGTTTTGGTAACTCGTAGAATTTTGAATAACAATAAATTGGCCAATGTATTAAATATAATGAATATGATATATTTCCAATATAAATCATTATTTTATTTGATAATATTTGATTATTTTCTGAGATTAATATGAGCAATGATGTTATTATTGTTATTAATATTCTGGAAAAATTGTAAATTTTAAAATTTCATATGAATTTTTTTTGAAACAGTAGATTTTTTTTTGAAAAAAAAATAATTTCAGCTCATAGAAATGATGAAAATTCAAGCTTTCCTTTATTTCCAGCACAAAATTCTGGTCTAGAAACAAATTTTTTTTAGAGCTGAAATTAATTTTTTCAAAAAATTTTCAGATTTCAAATTTCCCAGCTGAAATTTTGTGCTGAAAATCGTGGAAATCTTGATTTTCGAAATTTTCAGCATTTTCCTGTGTTTCAGCAATAGATTCCGGTTTACATAAATTGAACAAGAATCTGAAAATCCTCATATTTGTTGTAAAAATTTTGAAACAGTAGATTTTTTTTTGAAAAAAAAATTAATTTCGCTGAAAGATATGCTTCTAGATCAGAATTTTGTGCTGAAAATCAAGAGGATCTTAAATTTTCAAAATTCTTAAGATTTTCAGCACGAAACTTCAGCCTAATCAGGCGCGAAATTGAATTAAAAAGTTCAACATTGGAGATAAAAAAGATTTTGATCTTATTCAAAAAATATATAGATTCTCTAGAGATAATCTAGAGATCGAAGTTTGAGATAAAAACCATTGCTCATGTTACCTCACAATTCTCTCCGGATATTCAAAACCAACAAAAAGCATCAAAATAGTCAATAATAATAACCAAACTTGTGTATTTTCATAACTTATTTGCTCGGTTTCCAGATTTTCAGAAATCAATAATTGTTTTTGGTCTTCTTCTTCTTCATTTTCATCATTTTCTTGCCAAAAATACACCAAAAATCCTGCAAGAAATTGCCAAATCCTCGCAAAAACACTATAAAATGCCGTGCTTTTCGGGGAGATCAAATAAAAAATCAGAGAAATCGCGGAGAAGCTCAGGTAGACCATGAAATTTCGATTTTTCCCGGGAAAAATCGATAAAATAGCATAGAATACGATAGGAATAATGAAATAAAATTGAATTTCAACAGAAAGTGACCAAGTATGAGTGAATAGATTTTCAGCAATTTTCAGCAAAATATAATAATCATCTTCTAAATTTGAGAAATCATTTGAGACAAAAAATATTGATTGTTTTGCTGATTTTTGATTTGTTTCAATGAAAGTTTCGGGAAAAATTGGAGAAAAAATCAATAAAAAAATATTGATTAAAATTAGAAAATAATAATTTGGTATTATTGAATTAAAAACACGTGAGAAATAAAAAACTAGGTCAAGTGACGTGGATTTAAAAACAGTATAGGCAGCCATGTCGTTAGTTGCGATGCGTGTGAGCGACACGTTTTTAGAAATGAAAATTTGGCAAATTCAATGGAAAATATCGAGGTCAACACGCAACGCAGAACCGCATCGCGACTGACGACATGGCTACCTATACTGTTTTTAAATCCACATCACTTGACCTAGTTTTTTATTTCTCACGTGTTTTTAATTCAATAATAGAATTCGACAAAGTCGACGTTGATAAAATTCAAAGATTTTTGAAATTATTGATTGATTTTTATTTGAAGAAGTTTTGGAGAGAATAAGACACATTAAATAACCAGATAATACGAAGAATCTGTGAAAAATTCATTGATTTTGGGGTACTGTAGATGTTTTAGCGAGACCAGGCATGCAAATCTGATCATTTTGAGTATAAATATGCCTGGGAAAACTAAACTGTAGTTTTGACATCATTTTTTTGGAGTCAGAGACGCAGAGCAGCTAGAGTTAGAGAAAAAATTTTTTGAAACAGTAGATTTTTTTTTCTCAAAAAAAAATTAATTTCAGCTCAAAAACAAAATTTGTTTCTAGATCAGAATTTTGTGCTGAAAATCATGGAAATCTTGAATTTTCAACATTCTCATGATTTTCAGCTCAAAATTGTCATCTAGAATATTGATTTTTCGGGTCAGAAGGGGTCTGGATCGAGTCCTCATACCTCCTAACATTTTTTTTTTGAAAAAAGCACTCCTGATCAATTTTTCACGCTGAAAACGATGAAATTGCTCATATTAACTGAAATTCTCGATTTCAGCACAAAATTTCAGCCTAGAACCTTGAATTCTAGAAATTTTTTGTGAAAAAAATTAATTTCAGCTCAAAAACAAAATTTGTTTCTAGATCAGAATTTTGTGCTGAAAATCAGGGAAATCTTGAATTTCATGATTTTCAGCACAATAAAAACTAGTAGATCAAAAAAACTCACTGATCAACACCCAAAAATCCATTGGGAAAATATTCGGGAAAAAAATGAAAAGCCAAAACTGAAATAATTGCAATTGCTCGAATTCCCTGCAAATGTCCTTTTTTCGACATTTTCAGATCGAAATTCTGGAAAATTTTCAGATTTTCTGATATATATATATATAGTTTTAATTTTTTGGACACAATTAAGATAATAATCTAATTTTGCGCGAAAATTTTCGCAGACAAAAAATTGTTGATTTTTTGATCTTTCGAGAATAATCAACAATTTTGTGCTGAAAATGCTGAAAATTTTGAAAATTCAAGATTTTCATGGTTTTCAGCACAAAATTCTGATCTAGAAGGATATTTTTGACCTAAAAGGATTTTCAGATTTTTGTTCGGGGTATTAAGTCTCGATTTTAGATCAGAATTTTGTGCTGAAAATCGAGCAAATGCTGAAAATTTCGAAAATTCAAAATTTCCATGATTTTCAGCACAAAATTCTGATCTAGACGCCCATTGACATAATGAAAATCAAAATTTTTTTTTTCATATAAAAATTTTGAAACAGTAGATTTTTCGAAAAAAAAAATGTCAGTTTTGAAAAAATGCTTCTAGATCAGATTTTTGTGCTGAAAATCATTGAAATCTTGAATTTCCGAAATTTTCAGCATTTTCATGAGTTTCAGCACAAAATTTGCAATAATAAAAGTTTATTTCAAACAACATACAATTATAGTAATTCAATGAACCCAATTCCATTTTGGTTTGGGATTTTTCGAAATTTTTCTCTCTTCTGCCAAAAAAAAAAACTTTTTGATGAAAAAATCAAGAAATTTCGAGCATTTTTATACCAATATACACCAGAAAAATCTACTGTTTCAAAAAATGGATTAAGAAAATTTGATTAATCCCAAGATTCAATATTCCTGAATTGAATTTTGTGCTGAAAATGCTGAAAATCTCAAAAATTCAAGATTTCCTTGATTTCCAGCACAAAATTCTGATCTAGAAACCTATTTTCTAGCTGAAATTAATTTTTTCAAGAAAAAATTCTACTGTTTCAAAAATTTGATATAAAAATTGAAATTTCAAAGTTTGCGATTATAATTCTCCTACTTTCCTAGGTTATCTCTAACTCTTTAAAAAATTCATATCAAAACTACAGTCTAGTCTAGTAAAATGTATTTATTTATAATTTATCACAAAAAATACCAGTACAAATTCAAAATTCAAATTTTTGGCGCCAAAAACTGCCACGTGGCACATTTGTATTCAAAATTCTCAGAATTTCATGAAATTTTCAAAAAACGTTGCCACGTGGCATTTTTTCCCGCCAAAAAACTCACCAAATCCTCCTAAATAACCGCTCCAACTTCATAGGGAATTTTGAGTTTGCGTAAATCCGTCGATTTTTCGGCAAAGCTCTCCAGAATCTTGGAATTTTCGGGATTTTCAGCGTTTTCCGGGCATTTTCTCAAATGTTTTGCCAAATACGCGGATTTTTTGTAGATTTTTGAGCATTTTGGACATTTCAGGCGAAATTCGGCTTCACAGAATCCAGAATGTCGCTCCAGATTCCATTTGCGGGAAAATTGACGGAAACAGCGCTGAAAATTGGCTGAAAATCATGAAAATGCTGAAAATTCAAGATTTCCACAATTTTCAGCACAAAATTCTGATCTAGAAGCATATTTTTAAAGCTGAAATTAAATTTTTTCAAAAATTTCTAGAATTCAAGTTTCTGGGCTGAAATTTTGTGCTGAAATCGAAAATTTCAGTTAAAATGAGCAATTCCATCGTTTTCAGCGTGAAAAATTGATCAGAAATATTTTTTTCGACAAAAAAAACAAAAAAGTTTGCCTCAGGTGTGGCTCGAACCCGAGTGGTCTCATAAATCAATTAGGCTCCGCCCCTTTTCTGCAATTTCGCCGCACACTTTTTCTCGCTAACCTGACAACAATAAGTCTCCTCGTCTCCCAATAAATGCGAAATTCCACAAATCCGTCGTTTTTTCCGCGCGGAATTCTCAAAATTCTCTGCCGGATTCTCAAAAGGCAACGGAATCACGGAATCTCGTTCCGAAGCGATTTCTATGATATACGGTGTACGAAGTGGATGTTTTTTCGAGGATTTGCACGAAGTTTGAATGATGAAGCGAGCGATTTGAGAGGATCTGGAAATTTGGGGAAAATTTGGGGGTTTTTGACCTGAAATTCGGGATTTTTTGGTGGATTTTGAGCCAAAAATCGATATTTTTCACCTTAAATTAACCCCAGAACTCACAAATTCACAGCTACAACCAGAAATCCAAAAATTCCCAAATTTTTCTCGATTATTATTCTCCCGGTTCGCAAAAAATTTCCTCAAAACATCTTCCGGGTTACGGTAGGTGAGGAGAAGGGACATGTGCTGAAAAATTATTGATTTTCGCGGTGAGACCCTAAATACACCGGTAGATCAAGAGCTTCATTTTGATACCAAATGTCCCTTTAAACAGTACTCGATTTTGATTTTTTGGCGCTAAAAATTGGGGAAATTTGAAATTCATAACATAATTGATTTTTTGATAAAAATCAAAATTTTATCTGAAATTTTTGAAACAGTGAAAAATATTTTTGAGAAAAAATTATTAATATCAAGTCAAAAATATGTTTCTAGATCAGAATGTTGTGCTGAAAATCGTGGAAATCTTGAATTTTTGATATTTTCAGCATTCCCATGATTTTCAGCACCAATTTCTGATCTAGAAGCATGTTTTCGAGCTGAAATTGATTTTATCCATACTTTCAACCATTTGCAAAAAAAAATCAATTTTTGAAGAAAAAACATTTTTTTATTAAAAATTTTTGAAACAGTGAAAAATATTTCATTTAAAAAATTACGATTTTCTGGTTGAACATTCAATTTTTCTAGAAATATAGAAAATTTTGAATTAATGGCACCAAAAAAATCTATTAAAACATTTAGAAAATTATCAATTTTTGAAGAAAACATTTTTTTATATAAAAAAATTTTGAAACAGTGAAAAAAATTTGTATTAATTTTTTTTCAAGTCTGGATTTTTTTCAAAAATTAATGTTTCTAGATCAGAATTTTGTGATGAAAATCGTGGAAATCTTGAATTTTCAGCATTTTCATGATTTTCAGCACCAGTTTCTGATCTAGAAGCATGTTTTTGAGCTGAAATTATTCTCCAAATCATCCTACAACAGATCATTTTTTGAAGAAAAAGCATTTTTTTATATAAAATTTTTGAAACAGTGAATTTTAAAAATAAAGCGTGACCCAGAAAAACAAAATTCGCCCAAATCTGACTTCGATCCAATTATTGCTAGCTTCGACTAATGTTACAAATATTTCTAATCTTATTTTTATTATTATTTTCTGGACTTACTTATTTTGGATGCTCAAAAAAAACAAAAACAGTGAAAATCCCGGAGAAAATAGAGTCAAAAAAAAGAAAAAGAAGGACCAATTAACATCTATCGAAATGAGAAAACAAATCCGATTTCATCAAAAACTTATAAGACACTTCTAGATTGGTTGAAAAATAATTTCAGCGATTTTTCGAATTATGCAAAAGGAAAATCTGCGGGTTACATCAAATCCACAATTGAAACCAGTAATTCCGCTACATTTTATGCTTTTGACTCAAATCCGACTTTAAATCGCTATATTTCACCAAAATGTAGGGATTCTTCTCGAGTGATTCTTGAAAATCATAAAACTGATTATATCAATGCAAATTGGGTGGTTTCTGATAGCAAAGAATATCGAGGAAAGAATATTTTGACACAGGCGCCGCTTAAAAATACGATTCCCGATTTTTGGGCGATGATTTATCAGGAGAAAGTTGAATATATTGTGATGTTTTGTGAATTTATGGAGAAAAGTTCACAATATTTGCCAACTAACGAGGGAGATGTTGAGAAATACGAGAATTTTGAGGTGAAATTTGTGAGAAAGGAAAAGGATCCGGTGGAAGGTGTTAACTGGATAATCCTACATTTATTTGATAGAAAATCGATTGATACGAGGCCACGAAGAGTTAATCATATTCATGTGACTTCGTGGGCAGAAAATACAACACCTGATGATCCGAAATTGACTGTGGAATTGTATCGATGGTTGATGAGAAAGAATGAGTCACATATTCCAATGGTATTTCATTGTAATAATGGGATTGGTAGATCTGCCACTTTTGCCGCCATTTATTTTTTGATTCGACTGGATTTTGATGAAGATGATTTATTGATTTCGGGTATGGGAATGCGGCTGTGCGGCGCGGTTTGGGAAACCGCGACGCACAGCCGCACGCGACGCGACAATACTTGGGTGGATTTATCTACAAGCGGACTGTTTCAACCAGGCCTAAGCCCCGGGGTAAATTTACAAGCGGACTGTTCCAACCAGGCCTAAGCCCCGGGGTAGATTTACAGATTTACAAGCGGACTGTTTCAACCGGGCCTAAGCCTCGGGGTAGATTTACAGATTTACAAGCGGACTGTTTCAACCAGACCTAAGCCACGGGGTAGATTTACAAGTGGACTGTTTCAACCGGGCCTAAGCCCCGGGAATTTTCCGGTTTTCGGGATTTCTCTCAGAATCAGAGCTTAACAAAAAAATTCTGATTTTTGGAACTGAAAACGTCTCAAATAGTTACTAAATCACTTCTAAATGGAAGAATTCCAGATAAAAATGAGTTAGTGCTGAAATTTGAAAAGTCACAGGCCTGGCACACTAAATTTTTGATAAAATGTATGTTTTCTAGTGGTTTTTGACCCGCTGATCACGATTCCGTCGTCTAAAATTGCAAAACTCAACTCCTAATATGAGTTATGACGTGGCAAACTTTGAAAATTTCGGGATTTTGGGAATTGAAAACGATATTTTCATGCAAATCTGATAGGCCAGCTACATAAGTATTCATTATTTGATTAATTTTGAAAAATTATTTTTGTTCAGTGAGGGTTCAAACTTTCAGGGCTGATTCACTTAGGTCAAAATTAGTTTCAGCCAAAAATGAAGAGAAATCAAGGTTTTCAAAGCTTCTGGAGTGATTTCTGATGAAAATTTACCTTGGAATAATGGTTTCGAGGCTTATTTTCATCAGAAATCACTCCAGAAGCTTCAAAAATATCGATTTATCATCATTTTTGGCTGAAAATTCGAAAAATTTGATTTATCGATGTTAAAAAAGCGTTTTTTGTTGGTGAAACAGCCCTAAAAGTTTGAAATCTCACTGAACAAAAATAATTTTTCAAAATCAGATTTGCATGAAAATATCGTTTTCAGCTCCAAAAATCCTGAAATTTTCGAAGTTTGCCACGTCATAACTCATATTAGGGGTTGAGTTTTGCAATTTTAGACAACGGAATCGCGATAAGCGGGTCGAAAACTACTAGAAAAATTTTCAGAAAGTTCAACCTTGTTTCTGCAATATCTTAACGAATTTCGAAATGGTGCAATCGAAACAACACTTCAATATTGTTTCATAATTTGTTGTATTTTTGAATTGCTCATTCAAGAAAATCGAATTGAAAGAACCAGAGATATTGACGAATTAATGAGTGATTATAAAAAATATGTGGGGAAAGTTGGAGAATTTATTCGAGTTGGAGGAAAAGAAGCGAAAAGTGATCAGATTTTTCCGCCTTCGCCAGAAGAGAAAAGAAAACCAAGAAAAAAGCAATCCTACAAAGAAATAGAATTTTCTTTGAAATAAATGGTTCTAGCGAAATTTTTGAGCTTTTTCAATCTAATATTTTTGAAACAGTGAAAAATAATTTTTTGAAAAATTATTAAATTTTTTTTTGTTTTGTGCAAAATATTTTCCAAAAGCTGAAATTTATGAATTTCAAAACAGAGCTCAAATTTTCCGGCGGAAAAATTCAAAAATTAAATTTTTCCTGAAAAAGTTCAAAAGTGGATCACTTTATTTTCTTTTGCAAAATACATTAAATTTTTTTGAAACAGTGAAAAATATTGAGAAGAAAAAAAATTAAATTTTTCTACTGTTTCAAAAATTTTATACTAAAAAAAAAGTTTTTTCTTCAAAATTGATAACTCAAATATTCAGGTCAAAAACATTTTTCTAGATCAGAATTTTGTGCTGAAAATCGTGGAAATCTTGATTTTTCAGCATTTTCACGATTTTCAGCACAAAATTCTGATCTAGAAAGTTTGGAGCTGGGATTTATTGATAGACAGTGCATCAATTTTTATTGAAAAAACTATTTTTAATACACATTTTTTGAAACAGTGAAAAATTTCGACTACAAAATTAGATGACGTGGATTTTCTGGGCTCTGCACAAACTACATCAATTTTTAAGTTTAGAAAAAAATATAGTTTAGAAAAAAAAAAATATATATTTTCTGATATTTTTGAAAAAATTTGAAAAATGAAATGCTCCTTTAAAAATACAGTAACCTGTGAAATTCCACAGTATTTCAATTTCAAATTTGGCTCCAGAAAACCACAAAAACTTCATTGAAAAGCTAAGAAAAAACACAAATTAATTTAAAAATGGATAAAAATGTGGAGAAAATAATATATATCACACAAAAACCAAGAGAAAAATGAATAAAAATAGGTCAAAAATGAATGGGGCCAAAAAAAAAATCAATCAATAATTTGTCTAGTACGACTAGAGCTCACTGGGCTTCAAAAATTATCAAAAAAAAATCGGGGGGAAAATTTTGGCGCCAAATTCTACCATTCAGCTTCGCCACTGCATTTTTGAAAAACATAATCTTTTTTGTCGACGTGCATTACACCGTCTTTCAGCTGAAACTTCCATTTGGTCCTGGCACGATGAACCTGCAAAAAAATATTTAAATTTGAGATTACTGTAGTTTTTCGCGCGAAATTCAAGCTTTTTGAATTTTTATTTATGAATATCTAATAAAAAACTAATAATATTTCGAAAATTCAACTTTTTTCTATCAGAAATTTTTGAAACAGTGAATTTTTTTTTATGAAAAAAATTTAAAATAATTTTCCTGGGTCAAAAAATCCAGAAGATTCCAAATTTCTCAGAATTAGCTCATGAAACTCATAAAATTATTGATTTTTGATAAATTTAAACAATAATTTCGAAATATTCACCAAATTTTATTTTTGGAACAAAATGAAAATCATTTCAATTTATTTCAAAAATTTTTGAAACAGTGAACAAAAATTCAAAATTCAAAAAACGATTTCTCGCGCGAAAAAAAGCCACGTGGCAATGAAATAATGAAATTTGGTAAATATTCACTAAGCAATCAAATCATCGAAATTCCAGAAAAATAAATTAGTTGAACATTTTTTGAAACAGTGAAAAATCTAGATTTCAGGAAGAAAACTCAAATTTTTGCATAAAATTTTTTTTGATGAATTCAGGTTAAAATTCTCATTCAAAATTCAGAAGCTTCATAATTTTTGACCAAAAAAATTGTTCATTCAAAATTTTCTTGATGTTTACCAAAAGTCAGAAGCAAAATTCAGGTTCAAAAAATTTAGATACACAATTTTTGAAACAGTGAAAAATTGTAAAATTCAAAAAAAAAACCACGTGGCATTGATTTTTTGAATATAACTTTTCAATGCTAAATTTGGCACCAAGATTCAAAATAAATTTGATTTTGTATTCTTTGTAGGGTATACAGTAAAATAATCAAAACTTTTCGAAAATAAATGATTATTTCAAAATTTCTTGAAAATGTGAACAAATCTAACAAGTTCCAAGAATCGATTTTTAGAAAATAAATAATTATTTCAAAAAATTTTTGAAACAGTGAAAAAATCTAAGATTTAAAAATCGATTTCTCGCGCGAAAAAAAAGCCAAGTGGCATAATTTTTAGACCATAAACTTTTACATGAGATACGTTATTTCAGAAAAACCAATTTTCAGAAAAAAATAATTATTTCAAAATTTTTTTGAAACAGTGAAAACATGTAAATTTCGAACAATCGATTTCTCGCGCAAAAAAGCCACGTGGCTCATTTTTCAACAAATTTCATGTTTTTTGGCTCAAAATTCCCCAAAACCACCAAACCTTTTCAAACTGGCACATAATAATATTATCGGCATCAAAAAGCACCGTCAAATCCTCATCATCCGATTGATCATCTTCCGAATTCAGTGGTTCTTCTTCGTTTTCTTGTTGTTCACCGTCTTCCACATCACCGTCTCCAATTCGATCGGCAATTCGTCGCAATGGATCATCTTCATCTTCGTCTGAACTCGAGTCCGACATTCCACCACCGCCACCATCTAATTGAAGTTGATCAAGGATTCCGCCGAGCACTTTGAGAGCCTCTTTTTCTGCAAAAAATTTGAGAATTTTGATATATTTTTCATGAAAAATGAAGATTTTCAAGCCTAGAACGATTTTTCAAAATTTCAAAAAATTGTGCACCGGGTAGGAATTGATCCCCCGACCTTTTTCCTGGCAAATTTTATTTGATATAGTTTTCAGTGAATGTTAAAATTTTTAAGCCTAAAACGATTTTTCGACCAGATTTTCAAGATTTCAAAAAATTCTGCATCGGGGAGGAATCGATCCCCTGACCTTTTGTTTGATAATTTTCAGGTGATAATAGGAATAACGAGTGAATTGCCCAAAAATTTTCAAAAAATAATTTCCCAATTTTTTGAAACAGTGAATTTTTTCTGAAAAACAAATTTGAAATTTCAGAGTTTTCGGGATAGTTTTAGGCTAAAAAAAAATCCAGTGAAAATCAAAATTTTCATTCATTTTTCTCAAGAAATTCAAATTGTATGAATGAAAAAAAATTTCCAAAAATTTTAGTAGATTTTAGTATATTCTAAGCTCAAAAACAGGTTCAAAAAATATTTTCCCAATTTTTTGAAACAGTGAATTTTTTTTCTGAAAAACCAATTTCGAATTCCAAAGTTTTCAGGATAGTTTTGGGCTCAAAAATCCAGAGGAAATCAAAATTTTCATTCATTTTTTCAAGGAAAATATTTGAATGTCAATTTTCAGAACGAATTTGACAATAATAATTGGCCAAAAATTTTCAAAAAATAATTTCCCAATTTTTTGAAACAGTGAATATTTTCTGAAGAAAAATTCAGAGTTTCAGAGTTTTCCAGGATATTTTTAGGCCCAAAAATCCAGGAAAATGTCATTTTCATCGAAATTCTTGAAGAAAATACATTTTTTCAGATTTTTCCTAATTAATATTTGTTTAAGCCACTTTTAAGCTTAAAAACAGATTAAAAAATAATTTACCAATTTTTTGAAACATTGAATTTTTCCGAAAAATTTTGTATGGAATTTCCAGAGTTTACGGTGCACATTAGTTCAGAACCCTAGAAAAATCTGGAATTTTCAGTTATTTTTGCTCAAAACTCTACGAAAAATACAGAATTTCAGATTTTCTCTGAGAAATCGAAATGTCAATAAAAAATAATCTTTGAAAATAATTTCCCATTTTTTTGAAACAGTGAATTTTTTTTTGAAAATTAAATTTGGGAATTTCAGAGTTTTCAGGATAGTTTTACGCCCAAAAATTCAGGGAAAATGTTCTTTTCATCGAAATTCTTGAAGAAAATACTTTTTTTTCAGATTTTTCATAAATAATATTCGTTATAGCCACTTCAAAGCTCAAAAGCAGGTTCAGAAAATATTTTCCCAATTTTTTGAAACAGTGAATTTTTTTTTGAAAATTAAATTTGAAATTTCAGAGAGTTTTCCAGGAGTTTTGGGCTCAAAAATCCAGAAAAAATCAGAATGTTCATTTTTTTCACAAAGATTTCTAATTGTTTGAATGCTGATTTTCAGAATATGAATTGCCCAAAAATTTTCAAAAAATAATTTCCCAATTTTTTGAAACAGTGAATTTTTTCTGAAGAACAAAATTTGAATATTCAGTGTTTTCAGGATAGTTTTGGGCTCAAAGATCCAGGAAAAATCAAAATTTTCATTCATTTTTTCAAGGAAATTATTTGAATGCCAATTTTCAGAGTATTTCTGAACATAATGATTGCGCAAAAATTTTCAAAAAATAATTTCATAAATTTTTGAAACAGTAATTTTTTCTGAAAAATAAGTTTGGAGATTTCAGAATTTTGGGGCCAAAAATCCAGGAAAATGTCATTTTCATCGAAATTCTTGAAGGAAATACATTTTTTCAGATTTTTCCTAATTAATATTTTTTAAAGCCATTTGAAAGCTTGAATGCAGCTTAAAAAATATTATCCCAATTTTTTGAAAAACAGGAAATTTTTTTTGATGATGATGCAAATTTTCAATTTACGAATTGCCCAACAATTTTCGAAAAATAATTTCATACATTATTGAAACAGTGAATTTTTTTTTGAAGAACAAATTTGAAATTTCAAATATTTTCAGGGTTGTTTTGGGCTCAAACATCGAGGAAAAATTTTCATTCATTTTGTCAAGGATTCCAAATTATTTAAATGTCAATTTTCAGAGTATTTCTGAACATAATGATTGCCCAAAAATCTTCAGAAATAAATAACCAATTTTTTGAAACAGTGAACTTTTTTTGAAAATTAAATTTGAAATTTCAGAGTTTTCAGGATAGTTTTAGACCCAAAAATCCAGGAAAATGCCCTTTTCATCAAAATTCTTATAGCAAATACATTTTTTCAGATTTTTCATAATTTATGTTTGTTGCATGTGAAAAGCTCAAAAGCAGGTTCAAAAAATAATTTACCAATTTTTGAAACAGTGAATTTTTTTTGAAAATTAAATTTCGAATTTCACAGTTTTCAGGATAGTTTTGGGCTCAAAAATCCAGGAAAATGTCCTTTTCATCAAAATTCTTGAAGAAAATACTTTTTTTCAGATTTTTCATAATTAATAACCGGTAAAGCCACTTCAAAGCTCAAAAGCAGATTAAAAAATATTATCCCAATTTTTTGAAACAGTGAATTTCTTTTTTGAAGAACAAATTTGAGAATTTCAGAGTTTTAGGCTCAAAAATCCAGGAAAAATCAAAATTTTCATTTTTTTGAATGCGAATTCCAAATTCAATTATTGCCCAAAAATCTTCAAAAAATATTTTCACAAATATTTGAAACAGTGAATTTTTTTGAAGAACAGATTTGGAATTCCAAAGTTTTCATGATAGTTTTAGGCCCAAAAATTCAGAAAAATGTCCTTTTTATCGAAATTCATGGAGAAAATACATTTTTTCAGATTTTTCATAATTAATATTTGTTTTTACCATTTCAAAGCTTAAATACAGATTAAAGAAATAATTTTCCAATTTTTTGAAACAGTAAATTTTTTTGAGAAAAAATTTGGGAATTTCAGTGTTTTCAGGTTAGTTTTAGGCTAAAAAATTCAAAGAAATTCAAAATTTTCATTAATTTTTTAAAGGAATTTATTTGAATGTCAATTTTCAGAACAATTTTGAACGTAATAATTCCCTAAAAATCTTCAAAACTATTTTCCCAATTTTTTGAAACAGTGAATTTTTTTGGAATTTCAGATATTTTCAGGATAGTTTTAGGCTAAAAAATCCAGGGAAATTCAAAATTTTCATTCATTTTTCTCAAGAAATTCAAATCATATGAATGAAAAAAAAATTTTGAAAAAATAATTTCTGAATTTTTTGAAACAGTGAATTTTTTGGGTCAAAAAATCGTAATTTTCAAGATTTTCAGCTCAAAACTCACATTTTCCAGCGTTCTATGCCAATTTTTCATGATTTATTCAATTTTCCAGCCCATAAATTCAAAATACTCACCACTAGCCCCTTCTCCTCTCACTTTCATCTTCCTTCCATTCTTTGCCAATTTCCCGAATTTCTTCACTTTTTTCACCATTTCTTCAGATCTACTCGGATTTTCAGTCAAACTTTCAGCCGCAAAATTTCCATCCAACTGATTCATATGCGATAATTGTGGATTTCCCGAGGAATTTCCAGAATTTGTCGGATTTTGGGGTAGAATTCGAATTTGTTGGCCGGCTGCCAAATTATTGATCGACATTGGAACTTGGGTTCCTGAAAATGGGAAAATTTGGGATTTTTCGAGGAAAAATGTTATTTTTTCAAGGGATCACCCCAAAATTCAAAATTTTTCTCATAAAAAAAAATTTTGAAACAGTGGAAAAAATTTTCTCAAAACTTTACTGTTTCAAATTTTTCACATTAAATGTTTCACTTCTGGAAATTTTGATACAGGGTATTTTTTTGAAAATTTTAAATTTCTCAAATTTATTTATGGAATTGATTACTTCGGACCATCGAAAAAAATCAACAAAAATTCTCCAATAAAATTTTTGAAACAGTGAAAAAATGCATTTTTTTGAATTGGAAAATTTCCCGCTTTTCAGCAAAATTCCCAGAATTTCAAAAATTTCACAACTTTTTATTAACTACGCAGTATCCTAAATTCATAATTCTTATCATAAAAATTTTTTGAAACAGTGAAAAAAATCCTGAAAATAATACGATTCAAATTTTTCATATCAAAATTATTCTGACTGCAAATTCTGGTGATATCTTGATTGGACTCTTCAAAAAAACATTCTGAAATTTTAGCTAAAAAATTTCCAAATGTTTCAGATTCAGATAAACGTAAAAATATATTTTTTTGTGTTCGAAAACGGTGGAAAAATTTTTCTGAAAAGTTTCTCAATAAAAAATTGTTGGCCAGAAATTTTGATAAAAAATTGAAAAAACACTGAAAATTTCAGATTTTCAGCTCAAAAATTTCAATTTTTCGATTTGAATTAAAAACGGAAATATATCAACCAAAAATAAAAAAAAATTCTCATAAAAAATGTTTGAAACAGTGAAAAAATATTTTCCCAAAATTTCACTGTTTCAAAATTTTCTCATTAAATTTTCAATTGGTGGGAATTTTGATGAATACATGGTGTATAATACTTTGTCTGGATTCTTCAAAAAAAAATTCTGAAATTTTAGCTCAAAAATTTCCAAATGTTTCAGATTCTGAATAACGTGAAAATATATTTTTTGTGTTCGAAAACGGTGGAAAAAACTTTCTCAAAAGTTTACTGTTTCAAATTTTCGAAAAGTTAAATAATTGTTGGCCAGAAATTTTGATAAAATTAGGTACACCCAAAAAATTTGAAATTTGAAAAAACACTGAAAATTTCAGATTTTCAGCTCAAAAAAAATGCTATTTTTCAATTTATTTTCAAAAACGGAAATATATCAACCAAAAATTCGAAAATTTCTCATAAAAAACTTTGAAACAGTGAAAAAATATTTTCCCAAAATTTCACTGTTTCAAAGATTTCTCATTAAATTTTCATTTGGTGGAAATTTTGATGACTTTAATGATAATAAATTCCAAATTTTTTAAATTTCCAAATTTTGGCGCCAAAACTCACCATTCGGTTGTTGTACCATAATAACTTGTCCCGGTTGAAAATTGTGCGAATTTAATAGAAATTGTGGTTGTTGTTGTTGGGTTTGTTGTGGGAATTGAGCACGAATTTGAGTTTGATGATGGAGCTGGAAAAATTCAGATTTTTCACAAGTTTTTGACTAAAAATTCAAAATTTGGGCATAGCTTCCGCATCTTCTTAGCTCTGAAATTTCAGATTTCCTGGAACTTTCAGAATTTCTAGAACTACTGTGAGTTCTAGAGATTCTGAAACCGGAAATCTGAAATTTCTAGAGCTAAATTTCAATTTTCGATTTATTTTTTTGTGAATTCTTGCTTTTTCTCAGACCAAAAAAATTCACTGTTTCAAAATTTTGTTTTCAAAATTTTTCGGCTACAAATTTTGATAACTTATGGGAGCAGTGTCGGAAAAAAAACCAACATTTTAGAACTTGTCAAAAAATGATTGAAAAATTCAAACTTCAAACTTTTGGGGCCAAAAAATCGCCTAAGATTTTAATATCTACATTTTCAGACTGGAAAAATGTCAAATTTCAGATTTTCGGTCATTTCTAGACCATACAAATTTCGAAACAGTGAAAAATTGAACCTAAAAAATTCACTGTTTCAAAATTTTCTCATTAAAAATTAGCTTGGCTGCAAAGTTTGATATGATGTTCGAAATATGTGAGATGAAAAAAATGTATTTTTTTTAAGATTAAAACCATAATTTTCAGATTTTACAAACTTTTTCCAGCCTAAACATCATTGTATCAACAATTGTTGCCATTAGAATTTTTAATACCAAAATTTTGAAACAGTGAATTTTTTGTGGTAGGAATTTTTCACTGTTTCTAGATATTTTCATGTAAAAATCATTGAAAATAGGGTTATTCTCATACTGGAATCGATACAAAACTACTAGAAAACAACCTAATTTTCCATGAAAATTGAGATTAAAAGTAATTCATGCTTTCAGTATTTTTTTGGTCCTAAGTCAATGAAAAATGGCTGAAAATCGTGGAATTGTATTTTAAAACTTTTCAAGACAATTGTGAAGTTCTATAAGAATATTTATGAATTTTTTTCTGTGAAAAAAAAAGAAGATAAATGTTTTTAGCCAAATAAAGTTTTAATCAGAAAATTTTGAAACAGTGAATTATTTTGGTTTTGGTTTTGACTGAAAATTAAGATAAACTTGAATATTTCGAGATTTTCGATCATTTTTCAGCATTTCTAGACCAAAAAAAATTGGGAAATCAAAAATTTCACTGTTTCAAAATATTCTTATCAAGAATCTAACATCGAAAATTGTAGCCATAACAATTTTTAATGAGAAAATTTTGAAACAGTGAATTTTATAATTTTTTTCTGATTATTTTTCATAACTTTTTAATTAAATTTAATTTTTTCATTCAAAAATCTTAATTTTCAGCTCAAAATTTCATAATTTTTCCCAATTTTCAACTCAAAAACCCCGCCTACCTGCATATTTCCCAAATTCTGCTGCTGAACCTGAACTCCAGGTTGTTGTGTGTACAAATTCCTCAACGTATGCTGATCATTGGCCGAAACAGCATTTCCAGCACCAATTGCAGCCAATCGCAATTGTTGTTGCAAAGCGGCGGCGGCCACGACATTTTGTGGCGGATTTTGGGATTGCGGTGGAATTCTGAAACAAGGTTTTGAGGTAAAATTCAAAATTTGGGCATAGCTTCCGCATCTCCTTAGCTCTGAAATTTCAGATTTCCTGGAACTTTTCAGAATTTCTAGAACTAGTGTGAGTTCTAGAGATTCTGAAACCGGAAATCTGAAATTTCTAGAGCTAAACTTCAAGTTTTAGTTGGAAATATGCAATTTTCAGACAATTTTGACTGAAATTTTCAGGAGATCTTGAATTTCAGTAAAAATTCTGAAAAATTTCACTATTTTCCACACGACCTATGACGTGGCAAAAGTTACAATAATTATTTTTCGCAAGAGTGACCAAATTTTATGAAAATAACTTCAGAAATTATGAAAATTTTGAAACAGTGAGATTTTTTCAACAAAAAAATGGGACTTTTACTGAAAATATCGAAATTTCAGCTGGAAATTCAGATTTTTCACAAGATTTTGAGCTAAAATTCAAAATTTGGGCATAGCTTCCGCATCTCCTTAGCTCTGAAATTTCAGATTTCCTGGAACTTTCAGAATTTCTAGAACTTTTCGATTTCTAGAGATTCTGAAACCGGAAATCTGAAATTTCTAGAGCTAAACTTCAATTTAGATGTAACCGGAAGCTTCCGCGCGGCTTCCGCTTCAGCGGCCATGCGGAAGCTACGCGGAATCTTGCGGTATACCTCTGCCACGTCATAACTCAGCTCAAAATTGAGCTAGGAAACTTTTGAAAACTGGAAAATGATCAGCGGCTCAAAATCTACCAGGAAATTCAATGGTCCTGGCTGGAAAAAAGGTCCCCAAAACCGTACCTTTGCTGCTGTTGTTGAATCATTTGTGGACTTGGTCGAATTGGTGGCGGTGCAATGTTTTGTTGTTGTCGTTGTTGTTGAATTTGAACTTGTTGTTGGGGAATCATGTGATTTGGTGGATTTAGATCAACACATCCCGATGACATCACTTTATCTTCCCATTCCTAGAAGAAAATTGGATTTTTGAAAAAATTTGACAATTGTTAATGAATTCAGAAAAATTTTGAAAAATACCAAAAATCCTTGAAACAGTCGATTTTTTCAAGTAATTTTTAAGTGAAAATTTCGAGTTTTCATCAAAAACTGAAATTTTCAGCCAAAAATCCAGATTTCTTGAAAATTTTATAGGACATAACATCAATTCTTCCAAATTTGCAAAAAAATATCAAAAATTCCTGAAACCTATATTTTCCTGGTTCTTTTTTCAGTGAAAATTTCGAATTTTTATGAAGAATCTATAATTTTCAGCCAAGAAATTTCAGATTTCAAAAATTCCACGTGGCATAGTTTTCAGGATTTTTATGAATTCTAATCAACATATTGATAACCTAAGACCAATATTTCTCGAAGACCTTAGAAATTATCAAAAATCCTTGAAACCTATATTTTTCTGGTTCAGTTTTTCAGTGAAAATCTGAAATTTTCAGTCGAAAAACCTTATTTAAACTAGAAAAAAATTCCACATGGCAAATACACAATTTTCAGGATTTTCAGAAAAGTTTCCACATTATGACGATCAATTTTTCAAAAATTCTTGAAACAGTAAATTTTTGGGTAATTTTTTGTGAACATTTCGAATTTTTCAACAGAAATCTGAAATTTTCAGATAAAAATCCAGATTTCTTGAAATCTTCGCACAGAAATTCGAAGAACAAAATTTCCCAAAAATCGAAAAAATTATCAAAAATCTTTGAAATAGTGAATTTTTTGGGTAACTTTTCAGTCAAAATTCCGAATTTTTCGATAAAACATCTATAATTTTCAGCCAAGAATTTTCAAATTTTAAAAAATGCAACGTGGCATATTTTTAGGATTTTTAGGAAACTTTATAGGAATGTAGCAATTCCGAGATCAATCGCAAAAAGTTATCGGAATTTTTTGAAACAGTGAACTTTTTGGGTAAGTTTTTAGTGAAAAATTTCGAATTTTTCACGAATAATCTGGAATTTTCAGCCAAAAACCCAGATTTCTTGATAACTTCACGTGGCGCACGAAAAATACAGAACAAAATTCCCCAAAAATCGAAAAAATTATCAAAAATCTTTGAAACAGTCAATTTTTTCAAGTAATTTTTAAGTGAAAAATTCGAATTTTTGAAGAGAAATCTGAAATTTTCAGCCGAGAAATTTCAGATTTCAAAAATTCCACGTGGCATATTTTTCAGGATTTTTTAATGAATTCTAACCCTATAACAGCACCTTCACCATCAAAATTCCCAAAAATCGAAAAAAATTATTTAAAAATTTTGAAACCTATATTTTTCTGGTTCATTTTTCATTGAAAATCCGAAATTTTCAGCCAAAAAACCTTATTTAAACTAGAAAAATTCCACGTGGCAAATACACAATTTTCAGGATTTTCAAACAAACTTTTGCGATGTGGAGAGCAATTTTTCTAAAATTGCAAAAAATTATCAAAAATCTTTGAAACAGTGAATTTTTTGGGTAATTTTTTAGTCAAAAATTTTGAATTTTTTAATGAAAAATCTGAAATTTTCAGCCAAGAAACCCTGATTTCAATTAGAAAAAATTCCACTTGGCAAATACACAATTATCAGGATTTTCAGAAAAGTGTTTAGCGTACAACGATCAATTGTTCTAAAATTGCAAAAAATTATCAAAAATCCTTGAAACCTATATTTTTCTGGTTCAATTTTTCATTGAAAATCCGAAATTTTCAGTCGAAAAACCTGATTTAAACTAGAAAAATTCCACTTGGCAAATACACAATTTTCAGGATTTTCGGAAAAGCTTTTACCTTATCACGATCAATTTTTCAAAAATTGCAAAAAATTATCAAAAATCCTTGAAACAGTGAATTTTTTTGGTAATTTTTCAGTGAAAATTTTGAACTTCAGGTTGTTTTAGGTCAATTTTCAATCAAAAATCTCGAATTTCTGGCAATTTTTGACTGAAAATTATGAAAATAATCGATTTCTGGGTCATTTTCAAGTTAAAAACCTAATTTTTCAGTCGAAAATCCTCAAAATTAACGGATTCCAGCTCATTTTCCACCCCAAAACCCCAGCTCACCTTCTTGAGTTGTGACAAAATATCCGCATCAATATTCTCATCCAAAAACGACTCTTTCATCTGATTTATGACGTCAGCGATGACTGCGCGATAAACATCGGCCTGAAATTGATTTCAGCTTGATTTTGGGTGAAAATTCATCAATTTTGATGAATTTTGACCCAAAAAACAGGAATTTTCAGGTTTTTTGACCTGAAATTCATATTTTCAGCCAAAAAAAAAACTCACAATCGCATTTACACCCGACATTTTCTATCAATCGATTGAAAAAAAATCACAGATTTTTTCTTTTGCAAACTGTTCCCGTGTTCAAGTAGAATTATACAAATCGAATCAAATCAAATTGAATTTGGTTTTTTCCTGCAAAAAATGGGAATTATTGATTTTCTGAAAGAGAAATTTGAATTTGCAAGATTTGGCGCCAAAAAACTCACATTTTTGAAAATTCAAATTTTCGAAAAATGATGAAATTGTGTTTTTTTTTTTGAAAAATTCAATTTTAGAGAATAAATTCAGAGGTCACGTTTGTAATTTTTTTAATTTTCAAAATTTTCGGGGAAAAAATCAATAATTTTTTGAATTTTCTGATTTTCGCATCATTAAAAATTCAAAAATCCCAAAAAATTGTCAAAATTCATTGAAACAGTAGATTTTTTTATCTAAAAACCTGATTTTCTTCAAATTTCATCATATTTACACTCAAAAAACCGCAATTTTCAAATTCACATTCAAAATGCTCCAAATTTTGAGCCAAAAAACCTTGTGACGTCAGAAATATTGATTTTCAAAGAAAAATAGTACATAATGCACAGCATACAAAATCAATGATTTAAAAACCCAAAAAATGTCAAAATTCATTGAAACAGTTAATTTTTTTTACCTAAAAACCCGATTTTCTTCGAATTTCGCAAAATTCTGCAAATTTACATTGAAAATGCTCCAAATTTCGGGCTCAACAACTTTTGGGGCCGAAAAGTACCGTATGACGTGGCAAAATTCACCTAACACCCGATTTTTTTTAAATTTACACTCAAAATGCTGCAAATTTCGCACCAAAAAACCTTGTGACGTCAGAAATATTGATTTTTGCAGAAAAATAGTACGGAGTGCAATATCGCCAGTATCAAAAATTCAAAAATCCTAAAAATTTGTCAAAATTCATTGAAACAGTTAATTTTTTCACTCAAAAAACCCGGTTTTCTTCAAATTTCACAATATTCTGCAAATTTACACTCAAAATGCTCCAAGTTTTGCCACGTGGCAAAAACTATTGGTTTTTGCGTCAAAAATCAACCTAAAACCCCGATTTTCATCAAATTTCATCATATTTACACTCAAAAACCCGCAATTTTCAAATTTACATTCAAAATGCTCCAAATTTCGAGCCAAAAAACCTTGTGACGTCAGAAATATCGATTTTTACAGAAAAATAGTTTACAATGCACAACACGCAAAACACAAATTCAAAAAATCCAAAAAATGTCAAAATTCATTGAAACAGTTAATTTTTTCACTCAAAAACCCGATTTTCTTCAAATTTCACAAAATTCTGCAAATTTACATTCAAAATGCTCCAAATTTCGCGCGAAAAACCCTTGTGACGTCAGAAATATTGATTTTCAAAGAAAAATAGTACACAATGCACAGCATACAAAATCAATGATTTAAAAACCCAAAAAATGTCAAAATTCATTGAAACAGTTAATTTTTTCACTCAAAAACCTGATTTTTCTCAAATTTCACAAAAGTCTGCAAATTCACATTCAAAATGCTCCAAATTTTGCCACGTGGCAATAACTATTGGTTTTAGCGTCAAAAATCAACCTAAAACCCTGATTTTTTTTCAAATTTCATCATATTTACACTCAAAAAATCGAAATTTTCAAATTTACATTCAAAATGCTCCAAATTTTGCCAAGTGGCAAAAACTGTTGGTTTTTGCGTCAAAAATCAACCTAAAACCTGATTTTTCTCAAATTTCATCATATTTACACTCAAAAACCCGCAATTTTTAAATTTACACTCAAAATGCTGCAAATTTCGAGCCAAATCAATTTTCACGGCACCATTTTCCCCTTTTTTCCTTCTCTCTTCACTTCACTCACCCGCACAAAATGCCGTGTGCAAAACCCAGCTAGCCGAATGTCGAATGCCAGTATATATAGTCGGCGGTCGGTCCGAGGCGTGGCGCAAAACAGAAAGAGACACAGGCCAGAGATAGAGAGAGAGTGTGGCGAGAGAGGAGAGTGCGGTTAGAGAAGCAGACGAATTGATTGAAGAGGGAGAGAGTGTGTCTGCGTCTCTCACTTTCGCACACTCTCTAAAGCTCTCTCGTTTTGTATTGTTGTATAATAATAAAAATGGAAAACTGTTTGCCGTGTAGAGATGAGAGAGTGTGCGAAATTGAGAGAGTGCAGAGAAAATCGGGTTTTCGTATATATAAAAGGAATGGAAGAAGTTGGGTGAAAATCGGGATTTTTCGAGTGTAAATCTGATTTTTTGGCGCCAAAATTCAAAAATTCAAAATTTTTCCTGAAAAATACACTTTTGAGCCAATTTTCTCTGCATTTTTTTTTTCAAAAATTAATGTCAGTTTCCCCAAGTCACGCAATATTTCATGACCATTTTCGGCGCCAAATTTTTCAAATTCAAAAATTTAAAATTCAAAAAATATATGAAAACGTGCTCAAATCGCAACGTCAATGAAAAAAATCAAAAAAAAAATGAGAAAAAAAATTTTATTACAAAAAAACAATCAAGACGATGAAGCTTCCGGATTCAAGATTGGCAAATCTGCAAAAAAAAGGGGTACTGTAGAGATGATTTTAAAGGAACATAATTCAAAAAATTTCACAAGTTTCTGAGCAAAAATTCAAAATTTGGGCATAGCTTCCGCATCTTCTTAGCTCTGAAATTTCAGATTTCCTGGAACTAACAGAATTTCTAGAACTTTTCGAGTTCTAGAAATTCTGAAACCGGAAATCTGAAATTTCTAGAGCTAAATTTCAATTTTACAGACTGAAATTTTCAGAAGATTCTGAATTTCAGCCAAAATCTGGGGCAAGAGTTACAGTAATGATTTTTCCTTAGGAGCTGTTGCTACAAAATTTCGACAAAAATGATCTCAGAATTCATAAAAACATTGAAACAGTGAGATTTTTTTTCCATCAAAAATGGAATTTTTGACTTAAAATTCAGATTTTTCACAAAGTTTTTGACTAAAAATTCAAAATTTGGGCATAGCTTCCGCATCTCCATAGCTCTGAAATTTCAGATTTCCTGGAAATATCAGAAAATCTAGAACTTTTCGAGTTCTAGAGATTCTGAAACCGGAAATCTGAAATTTCTAGAGCTAAATTTCAATTTTCTGATGAAAATGCAAAATTCCGCTATGACGTGGAATTTCAGTAAACCTTTGGTAGAGGTTTACTGAAATTCCAATCGGAAGCTTGCTTTTTTATAAATTTTGGGTCAAATTTTCATGATTTTTCAGGTATTTTTCACTAATTTCATCAATTTTCGCACCAAAAATCCCAATTTTTGGCCATGAAAACCCTCACCCTCAAATCTCCCCGGTCTCTCCTCATAGAACACTTTTCTCGTATCAATTTCCTCGCCAAAAACCATCGAAATCTCGATTTCGCTCAAAATCACACATTTTTTGGTGGCTCTCGATGTTGAATTAATTTCAATGGACATTGCCGATTCTTCTGTTCCGTCGGGCTGAAAATTCTTGAATTTCAGGTCGAAAATCGTGATTTTTCGTTAAATTTTCAGATATCCATTGGAATTTGGCACAAAATTGAAAAAAAATTTTGAAAGTTAAATTTAACAATTTTTTGAAACCTATTTTTTCCCAGAAAAATAAGCTAAAAATGATCTAGGATTTTTCAAAATATTCCCCTATCAAGAATTTCCAAGAAATCCGGAAAATTTCATAATTTTTTGAAACAGTAAATTTTTTCCGAGTAAAAATCGGGATTTTTGGTGCCAAAAATTAGTGCCACGTGGATTTTTGACAGTAAAATGGAATACTAATCAAAAATTTCCAAGAAATCTGAAAAATTTAATAATTTTCTGAAACAGTGAATTTTTTTCCGAGTAAAAATCGGGATTTTTGGTGCCAAAAATTGATGTCACCTGAATTTTTGAAGATAATAGGGAATCCAAATCAGAAATCTCCAAGAAACCCGAAAATTTTCATAATTTTTTGAAACAGTAAATTTTTTTTCGAGTAAAAATCGGGATTTTTGGTGCCAAAAATTAGTGCCACGTGGATTTTTGAAAGTAGAATCGAATACATACTAATCAAAAATTTCCCAGAAATCCGAAATTTTGCTAATTTTTTTGAAACAGTAAATTTTTTTTCGAGTAAAAATCGGGATTTTGGTGCCAAAAATCAGTGCCACGTGGATTTTTGACAGTAAAATGGAAGACCAATCAAAAATTTCCATGAAATCCGAAAAATTTAATAATTTTTTGAAACAGTGAATTTTTTTGGCGTAAAAAATTGCCAATTTGGTTCAAATTTATGCAAAAAACCTGAATTTTAGCTCAAAATTCTTCAAATTTCATGATTTTCAGCTCAAAACCCTCACAAACCATAAATTTCTTCAGCCTAGTTCCATGTTTCATACTAGTATTCACATATTTCCCGGCTCGAAATTCAAATCCAAAATCATCGTAAAACACGGGAACTCCTTCAATAAAATCACGAATTCGATCAGAATGCAGTGTTTTCATGTGTTTTTTGGTGATATCGGCATTTTTGAAGATTATGTCTGGAAAATTGGGGAATTTCAGCTTATTTTCAGCCAAAAATGCACTCACCACAGAAGGGACAAGCTAATGAAGTTACCGCAAAATCTGGAAATTCTTCGGGATTTTTTTGCGGAGCAGAAGCTGAAATTTGCTCGTCTTCTTCGATTTTCTGCAAAAAAATTTGAATTTTGAATAAAATTTTCATGAGTTTTAAGCTCCAGAAGCTCATTTTCAGCAAAATCCAGCTTCTGGAGCAAAAATGAGCCAATTTTCATGCTTCAGACTCAATTTTCATGATTTTTAAGCTCCAGAAGCTCATTTTCAGCAAAATCCTACTTCTGGAGCAAAAGGAGCCAAATTTCATGCTCCAGTCCAGATTTTCATGATTTTCAAGCTCCAGAAGCTCATTTTCAGCAAAATCCAGCTTCTGGAGCACAAATGAGCCAATTTTTATGCTCCAGTCCAGATTTTCATGATTTTTAAGCTCCAGAAGCTCATTTTCATCAAAATCCGGCTTCTTGAGCAAAAATGAGCCAATTTTCATTCTCCAGACCTAATTTTCATGATTTTCGAGCTCCAGAAGCTCATTTTCAGCAAAATCCAGCTTCTGGAGCAAAAATCAGCCAATTTTTATGCTCCAGTCCAGATTTTCATGATTTTCAAGGTTCAGAAGCTCATTTTGGTGATTTTCGATGTCCTGGAGCATATTCACAGCTAAAATTAGCTCTAGGAGCATTTTTGATGAATTTTAAGCGCCTGGAGCATTTTTTCAGTTGAATAAAGCTCTAGAAGCACAATTTTCATGATTTTCAAGTCAAAAATCACATTTTTAGTCAATTTTCTTTAAAAAAATTGGAAATTTGATCAGTTTTTCATGAAAATCCCAAATTTTCCCCAAATTTTTCAATTTTCCCCTCAAAAAACTCACCAAAACCTCTCTAACATACTTCAAATACTCCTCCCTTCTTCTCTCATACATCACCTTCCATCTTCCCTCAAACTCCCGCATTTCCGCCAAAATCTCGCCCGGTCCCATTTTCAGCCGCTCCAGTTTCGCAGGAATCTCAAAAGCCATAGCCGCACACGACATTTTCAAATGTTCCACCAAATTATCGCGTCTCCTAAATGTCACCAGACAAAGTCGACATTTTTCGCGGAATTTCCACGAGTTGTGATAACTCAGAACGTGTCGCTCGAGTCTTCCACGATTTTTGAAACTTCTGGAGCATCGCTGACACGTCATTATATGGTTTGACCATTTTTCAGAATCTGAAATATTATAGTTCTCAGCTGAAAATTTGGGCATAGCTTACGTAAGCTCGCCAGAAAAAATGCTGGAAATCCAGAGAAACTCGGGATTTTCAGCATTTTTTCAGCGGAATTTGGAATTTTCAGCTAAAAATTTGGGCATAGCTTCCGCAAGCTCGCCAGAAAAATGCTGGAAATCCAGAGAAACTCGGGATTTTCAGCATTTTTTCAACGAAATTTGGAGTTTTCAGCTAAAAATTTGAGCATAGCTTCCGCAAGCTCGCCAGAAAAAATGCTGGAAATCCAGAGAAACTCGGGATTTTCAGCATTTTTTCAGCGAAATTTGAGATTTTCATATGATTTTAGCTAGAAACACAGGATTTTCAGCCAAAAACCATTATTTTCAGCTCAAAATTTGGGCATAGCTTCCGCAAGCTCGCCAGAAAAATGCTGGAAATCCAGAGAAGCTCGGGATTTTCAGCATTTTTTCACCGAAATTTGGAATTTTCAGCTCAAAATTTGGGCATAGCTTCCGCAAGCTCGCCAGAAAAAATGCTGAAAATCCAGAGAAACTCGGGATTTTCAGCATTTTTTCAGCGAAATTTGGGCATAGCTTCCGCAAGCTCGCCAGAAAAAATGCTGGAAATCCAGAGAAGCTCGGGATTTTCAGCACTTTTTCAGCGAAAATCAATATTTTCAGCTCAAAATTTGGGCATAGCTTCCGCAAGCTCGCCAGAAAAAATGCTGAAAATCCAGAGAAACTCGGGATTTTCAGCATTTTTTCAGCGAAGTTTTCGAAAGGTAAATAAATCCGCTGAAAACTAGTTTGATAGTCTATCGAACGTTATCCAATATATAGAATTTTCAGCCGAATTTTTGGGCTGAAAATGCTATATATTGGATAACGTTCGATAGACTATAAAACTAATTTTCAGACAATTTTTTTTAGATTTTAGTATGTTCAAAAACTCCCCTTGAACTGTATATAAATCAGGTTTAACCAAATAATGCTTGTGATTTTTTTGAAATTTGAATTCGAAAGGTTCCCCTTCAAAATCCACATTCAAATCCGATTTCTCCACCAAATACTCAACAAAATCAATCATTTCCTGATCGCTGAGCAAAATCCCATTCTTCGGAATATTTCCCATAACTTCGGGGCAACTTTGCCTCCAATGTTCAAACAATAATTCAGAGCTGGTGAAGATTATTCCACACAAATCACAGCAAAATAAATTGTAGCTCTGATCTTGGATTCCATTATTGATTTCGATCGCCATGCCTGGTTTGAAGTATTTGAAATGAACTTGTTTGTGGCGACCGAGAGCTGAAGTTGGGAGGAGAAGGTGGCAGATGTCACAGATGTTGGAGGATTTGGAGGTCGAGGGTCTGGAAAAATTGGGCATAGCTTCCGCATCTTCTTAGCTCTGAAATTTCAGATTTCCTGGAACTTTCATAATTTCTAGAACTTTTCGAGTTCTAGAGATTCTGAAACCGGAAATCTGAAATTTCTAGAGCTAAAATTCAGCTTTTAGTTGAAAATTATTACACTTTAAGAGTTTAATTTGTTGATTTTCAGACTGGAAACAAAACTCTGACAGAAAATTCAGATTTTTCACAAGTTTTTGAGCTAAAAATCAAAATTTGGGCATAGCTTCCGCATCTCCTTAGCTCTGAAATTTCAGATTTCCTGAAATTATCAGAATTTCTAGAACTTTTCGAGTTCTAGAGATTCTGAAACCGGAAATCTGAAATTTCTAGAGCTAAAATTCAGCTTTTAGTTGGAAATTTGGAAACTTTAAATGTTGAAATTGTTGATTTTCAGGTGAAAACAAAACTCTGACAGAAAATTCAGATTTTTCACAAGTTTTTGAGCTAAAAATCAAAATTTGGGCATAGCTTCCGCATCTCATTAGCTCTGAAATTTCAGATTTCCTGGAACTAACAGAATTTCTAGAACTTCTCAAGTTCTAGAGATTCTGAAACCGGAAATCTGGAATTTCTAGAGCTAAAATTCACTTTTTAGACGAAAATTTGGCCACGCGGATTACTATGACTTGCAATTTCAGTACACTCTCTACTCTACGGAAGGTTTGCTGAAATTCCAGGAAATAGCATGCCGCTAAAGCGGAAGCTGCGCGGAATTTTGCTAGAAAACATATTTCAATAAAAATCCTATTTAAAAATTGCCTTGTTCCATCATCCAAATCGTCCTGCTTAATTCCCTCAATTTCCTTCTTATACTCATAGATATTTCGAATCATAAAATGCTTGAATTGCTGATAGGGCATAGTTATTTGATCCGGCAAGTTCAAGAAAATCGAAACACCTTCGCAAGATTTTCTCCAATGTTCTATCAAATTTTCCTCGCGTCGGAAGTTTTTGTCGCACAAATCGCAGAAAAACCCGCCGAAGAACTGAAATTCTCTTCAATTTTCTTTTTTCTAGCATCAAAATCAAAGAAACTTACACTATGCGAATCGAGATGTCGTAAATAAGCCGAATTACATCGCAATTCTTTCATACATATTTCACACGTCTTCATCGCAACACAATGATTTAATTTGTTGTTTGCGTGGCCTAGAAAGTGCTAGGCCATATTTTCTGACCACTTCACTATAACACATGTGTTGTTTTTCGCCGGAAACAAGGAAAATAGGAGGGAAAATGAAAATGCGAAAAAAAACAAAAATATTTTTTCGAAAATTCAAAACCGCGGGAGAGTTGTGCGCTGCAAGACCAATTACATCGCCACGAGACACACAAAATTTCACGTTGCGTCTTTGAACAAACTACGGTTTTTTTGAGTGCGAAAAAAATATTTTTTTCGTTCGCGCCTCAAAAATCCCTCTTTGCAAAGCAAAAACAAAATAGTTGTTGACTACCATGCGTCTCTGAAGTGCAAAAAACATGCCGCTTTTTCTCTACCCAACAAATTACTCATTGTTATCAGCGTTTTATATGTTTTTTGGTGGTGGGAACCTTTTGGGCGCCAATTTTTTTACAACGTTCAATTTTTTCATTATTTTAAACCAAACTTTGTTTGTTTGTTTATCCGCTATCGATTTTTTGTTGTGTTTTAATATAAAACTCTAAAATTCCAGGTGAAAATGAGGAATTTCTTCCTCTACCTCCTAATAATTTCACCCATTTATGCATCAAACGAAACTGAAACCACAGAAATCTTCAATGTAATCAAATTCACCAATAAATCCGATTTCACCAAGACTTTGGCGCCAGGAAAAATCGATATTCACTATAAAAGTTTAAGCATAAACGATGCCCTGGATCTTGCAAGAATCTCAATTTCTCTCCCAAATCCTAAAGATTTTCTAGTCTACGGCAAAGATCCAATAATTGAGATGATGGTTTCGAATGGAAGAGATAGCCTAACTCTAAATCTCCCTGTGATTCAAAATAATGGCGATTTAGCCTGGGATGAGGGAAAACTTCTAAATCCCCTTCTTCCAAATGATTTTGGCAGTCAAAAAAAGAACAAAAACCAACCGCAAACCCTATTTATCACTGTGCAATCTCGTTTAAATGTTGAAATTCTGTACAAAATCAATATTCGTTTCCTGGATAGATCACAATATGTTGTACGGTAAGCGTTGCGTGCGCGTCGCGGTCGATATTTTTTGTTCTTTAGGTGGAAAGATGGTAATTCTACGCACGAATATCTTCATCAACATTTAACATTTGTGAAACCTATTGGATATTATATAAATGTTGTTGAGCAAAAAATGTCGAATTTGAAGATTACACTTTTGTCGGAGGATGATATATGTGCTACCTTGGTTACAGTCCCGAATAATGTAGGGTTCGAAAATCCGGTCATTTTGAGTATAAACATGCCTAACCTGAATTTTAGCTCTAGAAATTTCAGATTTCCGGTTTCAGAATCTCTAGAACTCACAGTAGTTCTAGAAATTCTGATAGTTCCAGGAAATCTGAAATTTCAGAGCTAAGGAGATGCGGAAGCTATGCCCAAATTTTCGTTTTTCAGCTCGAAAACTTTGAAAAATCTAGAATTTTCAGCTAAAATTTATGCCCAATTTTTGTTTGGAAAAAATCTAGAAATGAATAATTTCCTTGTCCAAAATTGTTTTTTGAAACATGAAACGTGACCTAGTTAAAAATAGGTGACGTGGAAAACTACATTTTACTTCATTTTCGAATTTTAAAAATCTAGAAACACGTGTGTTTGAGTTATAGTAAGTTCAAGCTCCAAATTCAAAGTGAAATTTAGCTCTAGAAATTTCAGACTTTCTGGTTTCAGAATCTCTAGATCTCTAGAAATTCTGTTAGTTCCAGGAAATCTGAAATTTCAGAGCTAAGGAGATGCGGAAGCTATGCCCAAATTTTGAATTTTACAAGGGAAGTGCATAAGGGTAGGTGTTGAACTTTTTGTGCAATTTGGTACACATATAGATTCGAACCTGCTGATCTTGAACCTGTTTTCAAAAATTGCCACAAGTGCACCCAAATGGTGTTTTTCGCCATCAAAAAATCACCATTTTTTTCTTCGTTTCATATATCAAACATTTGCAGGCAGAAAAAACAGGAGCGCGTAGCCGAGTGGTAAACACTCACGTCTTTGAAATTTTAGGTTATGGGATCGATCCCGCTCCAAGGCAAACTTTTTTTTCAATTTTTTTTCAAATCCATTTATGATAACTTGTCAAAACACGTTATAATATTTATGATAACTGGTCGCAAATGTTTTGATTTGTGGATCAATTCATCTGAAGAAAAAATGAATTTCGCGACATTTTTTGTCACGAAATTGCAATTCGTGAAACGACACGAAATAAACACAAAAATCTCAGAGAAAGCCGGCGACTAATCGGCGACCAACAAGTTCGTCGCAAGTTCGTCGGCGAAAATAGTGTGTGTTTCCCGGAGACGCAGACGAAAAAGTTTCAGGCGACTAATCGGCGACTAATCGGCGACTAACTTATGATTGGTCGCCGATTAGTCGCCTGAAACTTTTTCGTCTGCGTCTCCGGGAAACACACACTATTTTCGCCGACGAACTTGCGACGAACTTACGATTGGCAGACGATTAGTCGCCTGATTTCGATTCGTCGTAAGTTCGTCGCCGATTAGTCGCCGGCTTTCTCTGAGATAAAGGAGAAATATTAAAGGGACACGTAATCGCTGCGAGACCCAACACACGAAAAAAGAATTTCCTCTTTTATTTTATTAATTTCGTGTGGTTTCGCGAATTGCAATTTCGCGACAAAAAATGTCGCGAAATTCATTTTTTCTTCAGATGAATTGATCCATTGGAAAAAAATTAGTGAATGTTGCGTTCAAAAGGCAGATGACTTTTATTTTGAAACAAAAAAGACCAATAAGAATGGAATGATCAAGAGAGCTAGCCTGGAAACGATGAATAAAAACTTTCAATTCATATCTAGTGCAAATCAGCTGGATAAACTCCGAGAATTTCATCGACTGGGGAAATTTTTTCTAGAATTTTTTTTCTGACGAAAGTATTTTAAAGGTGAAATTTGAACGGAAAGATGAAATGATCTCCATTTGATAACTTCTGAAAAATGTTCTGAATTTTTTTAATGGTTATGTTTCCATGATTTTGTTTTTTGTTTTCATAAATGGATTTGCAAAAAAAATGGAAAAAAAGTTTGCCTCGAAGCGGGATCGATCCCATAACCTAAAATTTCAAACGTGAGTGTTTACCACTCGACTACGCGCTCCTGTTTTTTTCTGCCTGCAAATGTTTGATATATGAAACGAGGAAAAAATGGTGAATTTTCGATGGCGCCAAACTGCTTTTGGGTGCACTTGTGGCAATTTTTGAAAACGAATTCGAGATCAGCGGGTTCGAATCTATATGTGTACTAAATTGCAGAAAAAGTTCAACACCTAACCTTATGCACTTCCCTTGTTAGCTCAAAAACTTGGAATTTTCAGCCAGAAATTTAGCAATTCCAGCTAAAATTTATGTCCAAATTTTGCCGGAGAAAAATCTAGAAGTTAATAAATTTCGAAACGTGAAACGTGACCTATTTTCAAAATTATTGACGTTGAAAACTACATTTTCATTTCATTTTAGAATTTTAGAATTTTAGAAACACGTGAGTTTCAGTAAGTACTAGCTTCAAATTCAAAGTGAAATTTAGCTCTAGAAATTTCAGATTTCCGGTTTCAGAATCTCTAGAACTCGAAAAGTTCTAGAAATTCTGTTAGTTCCAGGAAATCTGAAATTTCAGAGCTAAGGAGATGCGGAAGCTATGCCCAAATTTTCATTTTTAGCTCAAAAACTTGTGAAAAATCTCGATTTTCAGCTCTCAATCTACGAAAATTCGGATCAACTCGAAAAATTCGAGCGTCGTCTAACTCTAACCCGCCGTGCCGATGTATATTTCTCCGAAAATGAGTTATCGCAACTCACAGATTTCCGAATCTTTGTTTTCGTCAATCGGAATGATCAAGAATGCGATTCAGAAGCTGCAAATCATCGAAAAGATCAAAACCGTGCAAAGAAATTGAGCTTCTTCTTCGAAAAAATCGATAAATCCTCGTATTTTTTGCCGATTTCTGTGATGTTTTTGGTGTTTTTAGCGCCGATTTTTGGAGTTGCTGGATATTTTTGGATGACAAAAGTGAATAAAATAATAATAAGAAGTGGTGGAAGTGGAATTTTGATTCAATTAAATAATAGTTCTGATATTGAAAGTGAGTAAAACTTGCTGAAAATTTCGATTTTCAGTAAAAAGTGATTTTTAGCTCTAGAAATTTCAGATTTCCTGGTTTCAGAATCTCTAGAACTTGAGCAGTTCTAGAAATTCTGTTAGTTCCAGGAAATCTGAAATTTCAGAGCTAAGGAGATGCGGAAGCTATGCCCAAATTTTTCAGATTCCACAGCTCCAGAACTCCCAGAACTCCCAGAAGTCGAAGAATTTCCCACCCAACCAAATTTGCTCCAAAGTTCAATGCTCAAATATCCGCTTGCAATAATTTTGCCAATTTTCATGCACGCCATCTCAGAATATCACAAATTCACGCAAACATCGATGGCAAATCGCGACGAGATTTGTTTTCATAACTTGGCGTGCGCAAAACCATTCTGGGAATTTCGAGCATTCAATAATATTCTGAGCAATTTCGGGTATTTTGTGTGCGGAAGTGTTTTTGTTGGATTTACTTTGGTGAAAAAGGGACAGATGGTGGGTTTTGGAGTGAAAAATCTCATAGAAAATTGAAATTTAGCTCTAGAAATTTCAGATTTCCGGTTTCAGAATCTCTAGAACTCACAGTAGTTCTAGAAATTCTGTTAGTTCCAGGAAATCTGAAATTTCAGAGCTAAGGAGATGCGGAAGCTATGCCCAAATTTTGAATTTTAGCTCAAAAACTTCTGGAATTTTCAGCCAAAAAACAGTGGTGTCTACGATTGTTCGGATTTGGATGTTTTGATTGGATTTTTGTTGGTTTTGCAGTCGATTGGAAGCAGTGCTTATCATATTTGTCCCAATGTTTTGGCTTTTCAGTTTGGTGAGATTTTGGCGGGAAATTTGGGTTTTTCAGTGTTTTTTAGCCTAGAATTAAGCTGAAATTAATAATTTTAAGATTTTTTTGGTTTGAAAAAATTCACTGTTTCAAAAATTTCATTTAAAATTTTGGAAAATTGAATTAATTAATTGTTTTATGCAACTCGTTTTCAAATAGAAAAAAAAATATATTTTAAGCCTAAAATTAACCTGAAATTATAGAATTCCAAGATTTTTTATTTTCAAAAATTCACTGTTTCAAAATTTTCATTAAAAATTTTTGAACAATTGAAAATTCTTATTGTTTATGTTAGTTTTAATCATGATTAAATAAATAAATTTTGTGACGTCGTAAGCTGTTTTAGACCTGAAAGTTGGAAATTCTCAGTTTTTCCTCGCGAAATTTGAATTTTTCAGTGATTTTTAGCCCAGAATCACTCTGAAATTAATAATTTTAAGATTTTTTGGTTTGAAAAAAATTCACCGTTTCAAAATTTTCGTAAATATTTTTGAAAAATTGAGAGTTTTGCTATTTCAGATATACACTGTTTTAATTTATTCCATGAATTTTTAAAATACATTTTTGCCACGTCATAAGCTGTTTTCGACCTGAAAGTTAGAAATTCTCAGTTTTCATCGCAAAATTTGAATTTTTCAGTGATTTTTAGCCTAGAATTAACCTGAAATTAATAATTTCAAGATTTTTTGGTTTGAAAAAATTCACTGTTTCAAAATTTTCATTAAACATTTTTGAACAATTAAATTAATCAATGATTTCATATGCCTTTTCCAAATAAAAAAAAATTATTTTCAGCCCAGAATTAACCTGAAATTAATAATTTTAAGATTTTTTATATGAAAAAAATCCGCTGTTTCAAAATTTTCATTTAAAATTTCGGAAAATTGAAATTTTAGTATATCAAATGCTATTCAAAAAATATCTAAATCTCAAAATTTTGAATTTCAGCTTGAAATTTCCCAATTTTTCAGACACTCCCTGCATCCAAATCATCTCCTGCCTAATAATAATCCGTCAATCAATAATTCGCCACAAATCTCCATCTCCACACATTTCCAACGCGATTTTTGTTGGCGTTTTCGCCGCGAATTTCGCGATTTCTGCACTCGCAAGCTGGATTTTTGTGCGATTTGCTATCGCAATTTTTCATTTTTCGACGATTTTTGCGATTATTCGATGGAAATTGAGAGAAACTGAGCATTTTTTGGTTTTTTCGGCGATTTTTGGAATTTTGAATGCGGTTTTGGGTGAGTTTTCGACAAAATATTGATGTTTGATATCACAAAATCACAAATTTCCCATTTTCAGCCCTTACCTACCTGATTTTCACCAAAATTGTGCATCTAAATCATATTTTGACATTTTTAACCATTTTCAACTGCACAGCATATTTGCTCTATTATACACTGATGAAAATTTGGAAAAATGAGGAGATTTTGAAGAAGACGGCGATTTTTGGAGGATTGGCTGTGGTTTTTTGGGGGTTTGCTATGGTTTTTTATCTACAAGGAGATATTGATTGGACGGTGGGTTTTTTGAGCCGAAAACCATGAAATTTGGAGCATTTTGAGCCCGGATTCGATAAATTTGGGATTTTTGGAGCATTTTGTGCTCAATTTTTGAGAAAATCTGATTTTTTCAAGCCTAAGCTTAATTTTGGCTGAAAATTCGGGATTTTTTGAGCCAGATATCATTTTTGGAGCATTTTTGGCTCAATAAATTCAAAAATCATGAAATTTGGAGCATTTCTAGCCCGGATTCGAAAAATTTGGGATTTTTTGAGCCAGATATCATTTTTGGAGCATTTTTGGCTCAATAAATTCAAAAATCATGAAATTTGGAGCATTTTGAGCCCGGATTCGAAAAATTTGGGATTTTTTGAGTAAAAATTTATTTTTGGAGCATTTTGTGCTCAAAATTTGAGAAAAACTGAATTTTTCAAGCCTAAGCTTAATGTTGGCTGAAAATTTGAATTTTTTGAGCCAGATATCATTTTTGGAGCAATTTTGGCTCAATAAATTTAAAAATCATGAAATTTCGAGCGTTTTGAGCTCGGATTTGAAAATTTCGGGATTTTTTGAGCCAAAAGTTATTTTTGGAGCATTTTGTGCTCAAAAATGATAGATTTTCGATAATTTTGAGCTGAAATTTGAAAAAATTCGATTTTTCTAGATAAAAATTATGAAATTAAGAGCATTTTGAGCCCGGATTCGATAAATTTGGGATTTTTTGAGCATGAAATGAAATTTGGAGCATTTTGTGCTCAAAATTTGAGAAAATTCATGAATTTCTAAAAATTCAAATATTTTTGACCCAAAAACCTGTGGCGAAAATCATGAATTCTGAGCTTTTTTTTTCCCCAGAAAAATTTACGTTTCAAAATTTTCACATATTTTTTTCGTGATTTTTCGAAATCAATGTTGCTCCATTGACTAAATCCCTTCTACATGTATTTTTGGCACAAAAATCGTCCCAAATTCAAAATTTTTCCAGATTTCTCCAGCCAAATCACGGGCCCTTAACAAACCTTGCCTAATTTTTGACTTTTTCGGATCTCACGACATGTGGCATGTTTTTAGCGCATTTGCAACACTTTTCACATTTTTCTATGTTTCACTTGTTGATGATAATCTGAGCAATGTTCCCAGAAATTGTTTGAATGTTTTTTAACTCACCGTGCACATTTTTGTATATATTTTTATTGTTTTTGTTGTTTTTTTCCGATGAAATTTACGAGGTTTATGGATTTTTTAAAGAAATTTAGCTCTAGAAATTTCAGATTTCCGGTTTCAGAATCTCTAGAACTCGAAAAGTTCTAGGAATTCTGAAAGTTCCAGGAAATCTGAAATTTCAGAGAAGGTTTGCCCAAATTTTTGAATTTTAGCTCAAAAACTTGTTCTCCTCGAGAACTACACAAATTTCTCAAAAATTGATGTAATTTATCATTTTTCTGCCCCCAAACACATGTTTCTGAGCTCTGAGCAATCAAGTTTTGCTCATTTTTTCTTATCATATGAGAAAAATGTGTGTTATCTTGCGTTTTATTTAGTTTTATTTGGGCCTTAATGACCTTAAGTGCTTTGTTTCTTTTTTTTTACACTACATGGAAAGATTGTTATCTAACTAGTTTTTCTATGCAAAAATGAGAGAAAATTGACTTTTAGTTCTAGAAATTTCAGATTTTCGGTTTCAGAATCTCTAGAACTCGAAAAGTTCTAGGAATTCTGTTAGTTCCAGGAAATCTGAAATTTCAGAGCTAAGGAGATGCGGAAGCTATGCCCAAATTTTCATTTTTTTTTTGTTTTTTCAACTCAAAAATCAATTTTCATTGATATATTTACCTAAAAGATCAATTTCCTATCAAAAAAAAAACATTTTTCAGCGGAAAAATGCGATTTTCGCTCATATTTCTCTCAAATTTCCTAATATTCTCTAGTTTTAGTCAAGATTCCTATTCCTATTACAATGAGAAATCAGAAGTTAGGGTAACTCTGCGAGTTATGACATTTAACATTTGGAATTCGGGAGCAAATGTGGAAAATGGACAGCAGAAGATTGCCAAGCATATTTTGTTGGTGAATCCGGATATTGTGGCGTTGCAGGTGAGTTAGGCTAAGTTGGAGCGGAAAATTTGGGATTTTTGGTGAAATTTGGGTTTGGGAAGCTGAAATTCCAGTTTTAGAGATTATTTTTGACTAAAAATTCGTGATTTTCAATGAAAAATCACCGAAAAACATAAATTTCAAGGCTCCGCCCATTTTTTGCAAGTCTGGCACAGTTTTTTATCGGAAAATCCGGAAAATTTGAGTTTTTCGGACAAAAAAGTGGGCGTGGCTTAATTTTGCAACCCTGGCACAGTTTTTTATCGGAAAATCCAACAATTTTGATAAAAAGGGGCGGAGCCTATTTTCTGCAAGTCTGGCACAGTTTTTTGATCTAAAAATTTGAATTTCTAGTCAAAAATCAATCAAAATCCGGGAATTTTGGACAAAAAGGGGGCGTGGCTTAATTTTGCAACCCTGGCACAGTTTTTTCACCAAAAATTTTGAATAAAAGTGGGCGGAGCCTATTTCTGCAACCCTGGCACAGTTTTTTCATTAAAAAAAAACAGAAATTTGGATCAGAAAGGGGCGGAGCCTATTTTTTGCAAGTCTGGCACAGTTTTTTGATCGGAAAATTCAATTTTTCAATGAAAAATCACCCAAAAACATATATTTTAGGCTCCGCCCATTTTTCTGCAACCCTGGCATAGTTTTTTAACTCCAAAAAATCAGAAAATTCGTTCAAAAACCAATAATTTCAATCAAAAAGGGGCGGAGCCTATTTTCTGCAAGTCTGGCACAGTTTTTTGATCGGAAAAGTTGAATTTCTAGTCAAAAATCAACCGAAATCCGAAAATTTTGATCAGAAAGGGGGCGTGGCTTAATTTTGCAAGTCTGGCACAGTTTTTTGATCTAAAAATTTGAATTTCTAGTCAAAAATCAACCGAAATCCGCGAATTTTGGACAAAAAGTGGGCGTGGTTTAATTTTGCAAGCCTGACACAGTTTTTTGATCGAAAAACTTGAATTTCTAGTTTAAAATTACCCAAAATCCAACAATTTTGATCAAAAAGGGGGGGAGCCTATTTTTTGCAACCCTGGCACAGTTTTTTGATCGAAAAATCCAACAATTTTGATCAAAAAGGGGCGGAGCCTATTTCCTGCAACCCTGGCACACATTTTTCTCCAGGAAACCTACATCAACGTGACTCAAAACCTAACCCGAATGTTGGGTCCCGCGTGGAAATCCATCGAACATCCGAATTCCACGTATCCGGATACAGTAATCCTCACCCGTCAACTAATTATTCCCAATTCAATTTTCTCGACAGACTTCGGTTTGGGATGCAAAATAATGTTGCGCAGTGGACCTGTGGTGAATGTTTGGAATTCGCATTTGCACTATGCCAGTTATGGTCCGTATGCGGCTTATAATAAAATGGTAACTGATATTGGACAAATTATGAGTGGAGAGTTGATTCGTGAGTGTTTTTTGGCGGGAAATTTGGAGCATTTTGAGCCTGAATATGGCGTGGGAAGATTGGTGGCCTAGAAAAATTGATTTCTGGTTTTCTAGGCCATCAGATTCCAGTCATTTTGAACCAGAATAAACCGTGGCCTAGAAATCTTCGAATTGGTTTTCTAGGCCATCAGATTTCAATCATTTTTAACCAGAAGAAGCCATGGCCTAGAAATCTTCGAATTGGTTTTCTAGGCCATCAGATTCCAGCCATTTTGAGCCTGAATAAAGCGTGGCCTAGAAAAATTTATTTTTGGTTTTCTAGGCCATGAAAATCCGGGTTATTTTGAGCCTAGATAACACATGGCCTAGAAATCTTCAGTATTGGTTTTCTAGGCCATGAAAATCTGGTCATTTTGAGCATAAATAATACATGGCCTAGAAAATTAGATTTTGGTTTTCTAGGCCATCAGGTTGCATACATTTTCAACCAAAATAAGCCGTGGCCTAGAAATCTTCAACATTGGTTTTCTAGGCCATGAAAAAAAAACATTGCTCATGTTAGAAAATTCCTCACAATCTGATTTTTGAAATTTTTTGCCTGAAAAATCCCTGAAACCCGAAAACCCGTAATTTTACGTTTCAAAAATTTTTGAAAAAAAATTTTTTTTTTGAATTTTTTGATGGGGACCCAATTTCCACTGGAAAATAAATCGAAATATCTAGTTTGGCAGAAAAATGTGCATTTTTTTGGAGCATTGCTCATGTTAGCATTTTTCAGTGAAAATTCGGTGAAAATTCGAGATTTTCAGCCGGAAATTGAATTTTGAATGAAAATTCGAAAATCCATAATTTAGGCGAAAAATTAGCTGAAAATTTGAATTTTTCATTAAAAATATCCGGAGAATTGATTTCTGAAACCGGAAAATTCAGAATTTCATGAAAAATACAATTTTCAAGCCAGAAACAAGCTTCGGGGCCTAAAAAATACCTCCAAAATTCAAAATTGACCTGAAAATCTGTAGAATTCATATTTCTGAACTTGAAAATTCAAAAATACCTGAAAAATCCAATTTTCTTGAAGTTCGAGCCCCAGAAGTGCTCAAAATCCCCTTTCCAAGAAAATCATGGCATTGCTCATGTTAGAGATTTTTGAAATTTTTGGCGAAAAAATTCCTGAACCCCGAAAACCTGTAAATTTACGTTTCAAAAATTTTTTGAAAAAAACATTTTTTTTTTGAATTTTTTGATATAGTGCCCATTTCCACTGGAAAATAAATCGAAAATTCTAGTTTGGAAGAAAAATGTGCATTTTTTTTAGCATTGCTCATGTTAGCATTTTTCAGTAAAAATTCGAGATTTTCAGCCAGAAATTTAAATTTGAACAGAAGTTTCGAAAATCCATAATTTAGGCTAAAAATTAGCTGAAAATTTGAATTTTTCATCAAAAATATCCGGAGAATTGATTTCTGAAACCGGAAAATTCAAAATTTCATGAAAAATTCAATTTTTTGAGCCAGAAAGAAGCTTCGAGGCCTAAAAATATCTGAAAAAATTCAATTTTTTGGCTGAAAATAAGCCTCCTAGCCTATAAATACCTCGAAAATTCAAAATTGACCTAAAAATCTGTAGAATTCATGTTTCTGAACCGGAAAATTCAAAATTTCATGAAAATCTTAATTTTTGAGCCAGAAACAAGCTCCCGGGCCTAAAAATACCTGAAAAATTCAATTTTTAAACCAGAAACAAGCTTCCAGGCATGAAAATCGCCAAAAAATTCAAATTTTCTTGCAGTTCGAGCCCCAGAAGTGCTCCGAATCCTCTCCCTCCCGAAATTCCAAAACTGGCTCCAAAAATCCCAAGACATTCCCATCATTTTCTGCGGTGATTTCAATGCTCCCTCACATTTGGATTGGACCACCCAAACCGAAAAAATGCACGGAAATTGGAAAGTCGAATGGCCGGCAACGAAATTGTTGGAAGACGCTGGATTTTTGGATAGCTATCGAGAAATTTATCCGAATGTTCTGGAGAATCCGGGAAGAAGTTGGAGCACGGTGAATAAGTGGAATCCCGAATGGAATTGGTCGATTCCAGAGCCGCAAGATCGCATTGATTTTATTTTTTATAAAGGTGAGCGAGTTTTGAGGAAGGGTTTTGAGCCGAAATTTGGGATTTTTGGGAAATTTTGACCTAAAAATTATAAAAATTCGATAAATTTTGACCTAGAAACAAGAAAATTGATCAATTTTGACCTGAAATTTGAATTTTTCATCAAATTTTGACCCTGGAAACTTTGAAACAGTGAATTTTTGAACTACATTTTTTCACTGTTTCAAAAAAATATTAATAAATTCAAAAAAAAATTGAAATTTCGATAACATTTCATAAAAATTTGATGTTAGAACGTTTTCCACTAAAGTTTGACTAAAACTTTAATTTTTGAGCCGAAAAGTATGAAAATTAAATAATTTTCAGCAGAAATTTGAATTTTTCATGAAATTGTGACCCTGGAAACTGTGAAACTTAAAAATTCGTCCTTAAAAATTCACTGTTTCAAAGTTTCCTCAAATATTTATTGCAAAAATATGAATATGATTTTGGATGGGTTTCCTGATCCACTGAAAGTTTGACCAAAATTTCAATTTTTTGAGCCAAAAATTATGAAAATTAAATAATTTTGACCTGAAAATTGAATTTTCCATCAAATTTTTGACCCTGGAAACTTTGCAACAGTGAATTTTCTGATTTTCAAAAAATTCACAAATAATTAATTTTGATCAGCAATTCTTATTCTACATGAATTTTGAAACTCTAAACACTAATTATTTTTTTTTGAAAATTCACTGTTTCAATATTTCTTCAAACATTGGCGGGATTTGAATCTAACATTGTTGTTTGAATATTTTAAGGAAAAACATGAAAAATTGATTTTTGACCTGAAATTGAATACTTTGAATAAAATATTAGATTTCCTAGCTAGATACCGTGAAAATTCATGAATATTTACCTCAAATTTGAATTTTTCCATAAAAAATTGAAAATTTTTAATTTTGATATCAAAAAAATTTCCTTTGAAATATGTTTTTCATAATTTTTTGACCTAGAAACATGAAAATTTTTGAATTTTGACCTGAAATTCGAATTTTTTTAATGAAATTTTGATCCTGGAAACTTTGAAACAGTGAAAAATTCTTCCTTAAAAATTCACTGTTTCAATGTTTCTTCAAATATTTATTACAAAAATAAATATGGTTTTGTAAAGATTTCCATTTACACTGAAACTTTGACCAAAATTTCAATTTTTGAGCCAAAAAGTATGAAAATCAAATAATTTTGAGCTGAAATTTGAATTTTTCATGAAATTTTGACCCTGGAAACTTTGAAACAGTGAAAATTTCTATTTTCAAAATTTCACTGTTTCAAAGTTTCTTCAAATATTTATCGCAACAATGTAAATATGTTTTGGAGAGAGATTTCCTGTTCCACTGAAAGTCTGACAAAAACTTCAATTTTTGAGCCAAAAAGTATGAAAATCAAATAATTTTGAGCTGAAAATTGAAATTCTCATCTAATTTTTGACCCTGGAAACTTTGCAACAGTGAAAATTTCTATTTCAAAAATTCACTGTTTCAAAAATTCCTTTAAAAAAATTTTTAGAACAATAAAAATTGCTCCATGTATGTTAATATAATTATATTCTGAAACTTATCAAAAACTAGGATTTTTCATGGAAATTGTATAGTGTTTTTCTAAAATTTGAATTTTTCATCGAATTTCGGTCCAGAAATGTCGAAAAAAAGTTCACTGTTTCAAAAATTTCTGATTTTTCACCTCAAAAAATGAATTTCAGGTCAAAAATCTCGAATTTTTCACTTTCCCGCGTCAAAAATTCATGAAAACCCCAAATTTTCGCTCAAAATTCAATTTCAGATCTAATTTCAGGTCCCCTGATCCCATTCCAATCCGTGCTCTACTCGGGCTACGAAAAATTGCACGCCATTCCAAATCACCATCAAAACGACTATCCCAGTGATCATTTTGCAGTTTTCACCGATTTCAGCTTCATTTCCTGATACTTAAAGCCTAATTATAAAATTTTAATTAATTAATTAGCTTTTTAGTGAATTCTGCGTGAAATTTCATGAATTTTGAGCCAAAATTCATGAAAATTGATGAATTTTGAGCCTAGGCTTGTTTAGGCTCATTTTGAGGCCCGTTTTCAGGCCTAGAAGCCTAGAGCTAGCTTTAGGCTTGTCGGGCCTAAATCAGGCTTCTGAATAAGCCTAAACATGTCTAGGCTTAGGCCTGACTAAGGAAGTTTTCATTAAAAAATTTTAAAATTTCAAATTTCCCAGAAAGTTCAGAAAAATTCAAATTTTCTCACAAAAAACAGACTCCAAACACACTTCCAGGTTACTGTAGAAATTAAAGGAACATGCGAAATTCTAAGATTCGCGTGTGCTTCGTCGCGAGACCCAAACACCGTATTTTGGGATTGTCGTTGTGTGTGTGTTTCACAGCCGCTCAAATACACTGAGAGAGTAGAAATGCTGCGTAAAAACTGGTGCGCCCATTTACACGGTCCCTAGGGTAACGTATGAAAACGTGAAAATAGCATCAAAATCAGCTCATCGAGATCTAGGCGACTATGTTTTACTCACTTCGTATAACTACCTAGGAAAAAAAGTTAGCTTCCAAGCGAGACCCAATAAAAAAACAAAAGTCATGTTCCTTTAAACACCGTATGAAAATTAACGTGTTTTCCTGGAATAACTAGGGTAATTAGACAAGTAAAAATAAGGTGAATACACCATTAAATTCCTCGTTTCATAACGAATATTAAGATATAAGTAACTTGATTCCTAGTGGCTTCTGAAAAAAGCAGATTTTCAGTTACGGTTTTGATGTATTAAAAAATCGGTGCGCCCATTTTGGAGAACTTCCCGGTATCGATATCAGAGCTTGAATATATCAAAAAATTCGTCTTTTCGTGAACTACGCGACTATGTTTTGCGTGTTAAGTTTTCTTAGCAGTTGAGCGCGTTAAAGACGCACAAAACGAAAAAAATCATTTTTCAGCGAAAAAGTTGTGCATTGTGACAGTGCGGTGTGTGCACAGTTCGCCAACCGTACTTCACCCGAACATTTCTACTCTCAAACGGGTGTGGTTTGAAATTTTTTTTTCTTCGACGTTTTTTTCGCGCCAAAAAAGAAAAGAAAAGATGAATACTGTACCGCAGGTGGGTTACTGTAGGGATACTGTAGGTCTGAAAATTATTGATTTTTTTGCTTTCAGGGACATTTGTTCAGCCAATCGCCGCCCATTTCGCCCGATTTTCAACGGAATTTTGTGAGTTTTTTTTTGGGGATTGCTCAGGTTAGGGGGGATTTTGAGGGATTTTGAGTGGGAAATTTGAATTTTTCGGGAAATTTTGGGGCATTGCTCATGTTAAATTATCGATTTCTAGTGGTTTTGAGCGATTGCTCATGTTAAGCTCTCTATTTTCAGTGAATTTTCCTGTTTTTTGAAAGATTGCTCAGGTTAGAGAATGTTTTTGATGGGAAATTAGAATTTTTCGTGAAATTTTGGGCATTGCTCAGGTTAGATGAAGGTTTGAGGCATTTGTGAGTGAAAAATCGAGTTTTTCATGAATTTTTTAACCATTGCTCATGTTAAAAATCCAAATTTCGTCTATTTTTTCATTGAAAAAATTCACTGTTTCAAAATTTTTGTATAAAAATCAAGGTTTTCTGGGAAATTCGATTTTCATTGACCTTTTTTTTCAATAATTTCTAACATGAGCAATGCCAAAATTTTCTGAAAATCTTGAATTTTCAATTGAATTTCAGGTTTTCCATGATGTTTTGAGCCAAAATCGATTTTTTCAGAACAAAAATTCACTGTTTCAAAAACTTTTGATAGATTTTTGATCAAATTTGAAGTTGATTGAATTCAGGGTTTGTATTGATAGAAAATAATCTGAAAAATGAGGTTTTCCAGAAAATGTTCAGCCAAAATTGGAAAAAAACCACAATTTTTGAACCATTGCTCATGTTAAAAAACCTAATTTCGTTTATTTTTTCATTGAAAAAAATTCACTGTTTCAAAATTTTTGTATAAAAAATTTGGGAAATTTGATGCTGTTTCTGAGACGTTTCAAATAATTCTTAACATGAGCAATGCCGAAAAATTCAGTTTTATGAATAACTTTGGGATTTTTTAGGCATTGCTCATGTTAAACATGAAAAATGCCCAAAATTCCCTGAAAAATCTCGAATTCCCACTAAATTTCCTAGCATTCCTCATATTAACCCCCCGTTTTTTCAGTCCAAATATTTCGAGTTTCCCGAACTCGAAAATCACACAAAAAAACGGACCTGCTGCTCATTTTGCTATAATTTGTATAAGAAGAATTGTGAAAAAGAGGGAGAGAAGAAGATTTTGAGCAAAGACGAAGAAGGACCCTGGTCATTTCATCCCATTGCTATTTTGGGAAAAATTACGTGAGTTTTTGTGGGATTTTGAGCCAAAATTTGGATTTTTCGGGGAATTTTAGCCCGGATAAGTGTTTGAAATTTGAAAATCAAATTTTTATGTGAAGAAAAAAATTCACTGTTTCAAGAAATTTAGAAAAAAATCCTGAACACTTGATTTTGTTGGTATAGGATAAAATTAGGTAAACAATTCTTTTTGAATTTTCGAGAAATTAAGAGCATTGCTCATGTTAGAAAATTCAGATTCTTCATGAAATTTTAGCCCGAAAAAGTCTTTGAAACAGTGAATTTTTGAAGAAAAATTTTTCACTGTTTCAAGAAATTTTTAGAAATAATTCAGAAAATTGCATTTTTCGATAGTTTAAAGTTGATGCTAATTATTTTTTTCGAATTTTCCAAAAAATTGGAGCATTGCTCATGTTAGGAAACTACACGCTTTTCAACTTTTTCGACCGGAAATTTTTTCGGGGAATTTAGCTTAGCAAATTTTTGAAAGGGATTTTTTTTTTGGAAAAAATTTTCACTGTTTCAAGACATTTAGAAAAAAACTGAATGAAAATTTAATTTTGTTGAAATAACCTTTTTTCGGACCGGAAATTCGAATGTTTCATGAAATTTCATCCAAGAGAACTCTGCAAAATTATTGTTTAAAAAACCTATTTTTCTGAACCCAAAAATGTTACGTTTCAAAAAATTTTGAAAAAATTAGACCATTTTATTTCTTTTGATTTGAGACAGTCTCTGTGCACCAGTATTGATTTTCTATATAATTTCGGGAATTGCTCATGTTAGAAATTTCGTATTTTCCAATAAACTTAAGCCCTGAAAATTCTTTGAAATTTAAAAAATCAAATTTTTATGTGAAGAAAAAATTCACTGTTTCAAACAGTTTTGAAAAATCGAAAAAAAAATGTATTTTTTGGTAAATTGCTTTAATTTTCGTCAGAATTCTATCGTTTTTTCCATAAATTAAGAACATTGCTAATGTTAGGAAATTCAAAATTGTTCAAGTTTTCTGACCAAAAATTTGGATTTGTTGTCAAGTTTTGAATTAGAAAATATTTGAAGAATATATCACTGTTTCAAAAAATATTGAAAAACAATCCAGAAAATTGAATTTTGTTAAATCGAATATATTTTCAATTTTTGTTTAGAACGTTATAAATTCACCGACACAGTATAGAAAAATGTTGAGTCAAAATTTGGATTCCTAAAGAAATGTTATGCTTAAATTCGGATTTTTCATAAAATTTTACCCCGAAAAATTATTTGAAACAGTAAATTTCCTGAACACTTTTTGAGTAATATTTAAATCCAAATTTCTAGAAAGTTAAAGGAAATTTAGTGTTGCGACTAATATCAACAACATTCAAATTTTTTTTTTCAATTTTTCAAAACTTTTTTTTTTCCAAAAAAAATCTACTTTTTAAAATTTTTTTTGAGAAGTTTTTTCTAGCCCACAATTTGATAAAAATCCAAATTTTTGATCAAAAAAAAGTTGAAAATTTTGCATTGCCCGACCTTAGAAACGTTCTTAATTTATGGAAAAATCGATAAAATTCGGACGAAAATCAACGTACTTAGCAAAAAATACAATTTTTTTGATTTTTCAAAACCGTTTGAAACAGTGATTTTTTTTCCAAAAAAAATTATTTCAAAATTTCAAAGAATTTCCTGGGCTAAAAATTCATGAAAAATTCAAATTTCCGGTCAGAAAAAAGTTGAAAATTTTGAATTTTCTCACATGAGCAATGCTCCTAATGTCTAGAGTCCTTTTTCTGACCGGAAATTTGAATTTTTCATGGAATTTTAGCCCAGGAAATTCTTTGAAATTTAAAAAGCAAAATTTTTTTTGGAAAAAAATTCACTGTTTCAAACAGTTTTGAAAAATCGAAAAAAATTGTGTTTTTTGCTAAGTTGTTTTATTCTCGTCAGAATTCTATCGTTTTTTCCATAAATTAAGAACATTGCTAATGTTAAGAAATTCAAAATTTTCAACTTTTTTGATCAAAAATTTGAGTTTTTCATGAAATATTAGCCCAAAACAATTTTGAAAAATATATTTTTTTTTCTCTGAAAAAAAATCACTGTTTCAAAAAATTTTGAAAAAAAGTTGAGAAAAATTGAATTTTGCTCATGTTGCGATTTCATTTTTACTTGAATGATTCAAAATTTAGGAGCATTGCTCATATTAATGATCCAAAAATTAATCTTCCAACACAAAATTTGGGAGAAAACTTGAGCTAAGACCCGATTTTTTCCCAGCATTGCTCATATTAGCTCTCAAAAAATCAATAATTTATTTCAGATGTCCCATGCTCTGGTTTCACAAATGTCAAATCTGCGGAGCCACCGGCGATTCTGCTCACACTGAAAAACATTGTAAAAATTCGAAAATTTGAATTTTTTGAATAAAATTTTTTGTTGAAAAACAGTTTATTTATGTACAAGAAAGAAAAAAGCTAGAAAATTTTGAATTTGAATTTTTCAAAAAAAAATTGATTATCGATCGAAAATTGTGTAGAAATCGTGTTTTTTGAAATTTACAGGCGTTTTACAGCAAATTTGGCGGAAATGAGAAGAATGACAGGATTTTGAGCAACAGTGGAATGCGAAACCTGAAAATTTGGGATTTTTGGTGCTACTCAGAGTTTTTACGCCAAAAAAATTGAGAAATTTCAAATTTTTGATTGTTGTAACCAAACGGGTAATCAAAATTAGAATTTTTCAACAAAAATCTTGAGAAATTTTTGAAACAGTGATTTTTTGCTTGGCAGAAATTTTCACTGTTTCAAAAATGATTGAAAATTTTTGATTGAAAAATTAGTTTTGGTATGAAGTTTTGAATTTTTTAAATAATTTTTCAGTGCAAAAAATCCGCAAATTTTGAACTAAATACACTAATCTCAAGAACTACAGTACTCTCAATTTCGCGCAAAAAAATTATGAATTATGACTTTTCATCATAATATAACATCATAATAAAATATTATTTTTTTTTGAATTTTTTGAAACAGTATATTTTTTGAGCAAATAAAATTCCACTGTTTCAAAGTAAATTGATATATTTTTGGGAAAATTGAAAATTTAGTATTGTTAAGACATTAGTTAATACATTTAAAAAAATTTCAAGAAAAATTTTGAGAACTTTTTGAAACAGTAAATATTTCAGGGGTAAAATTCTCAAAAAAAAAAATTAATTTTTTGTTTTACAATTTTTCACTGTTTCAAAAATTTTATGACAAAAATTATTTCAAAGTTAATTTTGATTCAATCTCCATGAATTTTTTTAAATTTTCTGAATTTAATTTTGTTGTTGAAAATGTGGACGTTAGAACAGAATCAGAATCGAAAATCAAATTTTCCTGAATATTTTGAAACAGTGAAATTTTTCACTGCTTCAAAAAAAATAGAAAGTCGTTAGAATCAAAATTCAATTTTTCAAAAAAATTTTTTAGAAATTTTTGAAACAGTGAATTTTTTTGAGTAAAAATTGAGGTATTTTTGGAAAAAAAACAACAAATAATATTTTTTGTTCAACAAAATTCTACTGTTTCAAAAATTTTACAAAAAAAAACTGACCAATAAAATCCACGTCATCTCGCTGCTCCACACAATTTTCCGCATAATTTCCGCAAATTTTCCGGATTTTTCCCAACAAAACAAAAGGACACGTGGATTTGGCGGCGATTTTGGCGGGAAAAATTGTGCAGAAAATTAGGAAGCATATTAGGAATTTCATCTGAAAGTATACAGTAATTTAAAGGAACATGAGGCAAAAATTCAAAAAAAAAAGTTGTGGAATTCAATTTTTTTTTCTTATCAAAAAAAATTTGTGTGTGTGATTTTTTGAGCCGGAAGTTTTTAATTTGAAAAAAAAATCAGATGAGCGAGTGTGTGACGTCAGAAATGTGATTTTTGGCGCCAAAAATCAAGGTACAGTAACATTTTGAGCTACAGTAATCCAGTTTTTGGCGGGAAAAATCAGAGATTTGAATTTTTCTTTGGAAATATTATTTTTTGCCCCAAAAAAGCACCTCAACTGATAGACAAATACACTAAAACACATCGTACTTTTGATGGAATTTTTTTTATTTTTAGTACAATTTTTTTCGGTGAAAAATAGTCATTAGTAAAATTGGTAGTCTCGGGCACAAAAAACTGATAAAATTTATCGCAAAAAATGTCTCAAAATGTGTTGTTTTCCGCAAATTTTTGCGTGTTTGGGTACGAAATGGTACAGAAAAACAGAAACTTTGTGTTTACAAGTGCAAAATGCCCCAATTTCTGCAAAAAAGGTCGAAAAACAAGCGAAAAGCGATAATTTTTTGAAATCCCTCCCCTTTTTGCGTTCAAGGCGCATTGAATTTGTGTGTTGGGTCTTGTCGCGATGTCGACACACGCCAGTGTGTGTTACCGTAGTGTGTGTGTGAGAAATTTTCTGATTTTTTTATTTTTCTTTTTTGTTTGTCGTTTTTCACGTTGCGTGAGGTGTTCCTTTTTGATTTTCAGTAGAATTTATTGATTTTTATGCTGGAAATCATGTTTAGCATCCTTTTCACCTGTTAATTTATCTGTTTCTTTGTGAAATCTCGTCAAAACGTTTTTCTTGTAAAAAAATTAGTTTTTTTAGGGTAATCATCATTACGATGCCAAAGGAAATCAAAGAAATCAAGGAATTCCTTGTCAAGGCCCGCAGAAAGGACGCCAAGTCGGTCAAGATAAAGAGAAACAGCAACAACACCAAATTCAAGGTCCGATGCAGCAAGTACCTTTACACCTTGGTTGTTGGAGTGAGTTGGTTTTTGGGATGGCTTTTGGGAGAGAAGGCTCTCGGCTTTTAGCGTGAATGAAGTCTTGCAAGTTCTCGAGCATGGAATTTTTCTCAAAATAGTAAATTCTGAAGCTTGCAAGGGTTTATTCATCCTAACGTACGAGTCTTCTAAAAATTCGAAATGAAATCTAAATTTTCGAAATGGTTCATTATTTTGGCGTGAACTCTGTAATGAAAACTAGAATTTCTTTTATTTTTAATTTCCAAAATTCTTAGTTTTTATGGAAGTATTAGTAATTTCAAGCGAAGTTTTGTATCAAGCTTCTTTCCATGTTCAAAAGCACAAAAAGATGCTTCAAAGATCAAGTCTTGTTGAAAATACCGCTCGTTTTCTCAAGACCAACTTCATCTCGCTAAATTTGATTCTGAAATTCAAAAAGTTCTGATTACTTTCTTCAATAAATCATTTTTTCCAGGACAAGGATAAGGCCGAGAAACTCAAGCAATCCCTTCCACCAGGCATTCAAGTCAAGGAGCTCAAGTAAATTCTGACCACCTTTTCGTTGTTATGTTTTCAAAAAACCAACATAAATTTTGTTATACATGACATAAATTGTACTTTGATGAATACACATCAAGATTAATTCAAAAATCTTTATTGTGAGCAATCCGAATTGCGTGCAACCCGCGTCAAATTCTATGATAAAATTTCAAAAATAAGATTATAGATAGATAGGTAAAATTGAATTAATTATATGAATTATGTTCACAATCGGCTTCCTCCGAATGATGCATCCATGGACATTTCAAATTCGGCGAACCACAAGGATTATGACCAATTGCACAATACCTGAAGGTAAATTTTTAGAATTGTCTTGAATTCAGATCGAAAACTCACCAATCATGATAAAAAGAAGAGGTACATTGTGGTGAAGAGGATGGTTACATAAACAACTAGCGAAATAATCTCCAATCGTCGAATCACAGTCTGCCAAGTTGCCGAAATATCCTCTTGTGGCATCAATTGCGACATATCACGGCTGGAAAATCGATATTTTGGTGGAATCAACTTATGACGTGGAAATCTCAACCTACCGAATATCATCAATCGATTTATGCATCCTGGTCACACCATTCGCAATATCCTCCAACGCTTGCTCATAATACTGATAGATCAACATATTATCGTACTGCGACATGCTCAAACGACGACGGATGGATTCGCGCGGCGGAGTTGAGGCGCCCTGGAAATTTTTTGGATTTTATATGTGAGCTGGAATGAGCTGGAACTATGAGCCCGACGGAAAACGTTCTCATGCTAACCAAGGTACTCGACTGTGCTGAAAATGCTCCAGCCTTCGAAAATCGCCAAAAACCTGAGCTCCAATGGTTCTTGCTCATTTTCTACATGCTCCCGGGCGAAAATTCAGGTTTTCTAAATTGGATAGGATTCTTCAGCATATTTGAAAACCTTGGGAAGCTTTAGCTTATCAGAAAATATGGGAAAATCACCTGAAACTTGAATAATCTTATATTTTCTGATAAGCTAAAGCTTCCCAATGTTTTCAAGTATGCTGAAGAACATTATTCAAGTTAGAAAACCTGAATTTTCCCCAGGGAGCATGTAGAAAATGAGCAAAACCCATTGGAGTTCCGTCACAAAGGTTTCTGTCAATTTTCAGCCGATTTCCAGCACAATCGCGGTGCATTTCCAAAAATAAGCGTTCGCAAATATCAAAGAAGCCGAACCTGTTGATAAGCATGAATGTGCTGCATATGAAAAGGGCTCGTCGAGTTCGCTTCCACATCTTGACTGGGACGTGGCAATAGGGAGAGGAGACTTGCAGCAACTCCGCGAGCTTTGTCGCGAAGACCCGTTTGAACGTGACCGTTGGAGAGAAGATGGTCCTGGAATGTGAGAGAAAAGCGAATGTGAAACTTGGAAATGAAAAATGTTGAGGAAAACGTGCAAAATCAGATGGTGTGACGTGGATTTTGGAGAAAGTGCGCTCTATGGATAATTATGACGTGGCAATATCGATTTTTTGGTTCAAGAAAGTGCGCTCTATTGAGAAATACGTGGAATTATCGCTTTTCGCTTCGAAACTTGAGAAAATGCGCTCTATTGCTAATTGTGACGTGGCAATATCGATTTTTCGCTGCGAAACTTGAGAAAAAGCGCTCTATTGCTAATAATGACGTGGAATTATCGAGTGTAAAAGCGAAATTGAGAAAATGCGCTCCAATGCTAATTATGACGTGGAATTATCGATTTTTGAACAAAATCTGGTTGAAGAAAGTGCGCTCTATTGATAAACATGTGAAATTATCGATTTTCGCTGTGAAACTTGAGAAAATGCGCTCCAATGCTAGTTATGACGTGGCAATATCGATTTTATGGTTGAAGAAAGTGCGCTCTATTGATAAACATGTGAAATTATCGATTTTCGCTGCGAAACTTGAGAAAGTGCGCTCTATTGCTAATTATGACGTGGCAATATCGATTTTATGGTTAATAGAAAGTGCGCCCTATCGATAAACATGTGAAATTATCGATTTTCGCTGTGAAACTTGAGAAAATGCGCTCCAATGCTAATTATGACGTGGCAATATCGATTTTTGAACAAAATCTGGTTGAAGAAAGTGCGCTCTATTGAGAAATACGTGAAATTATTGATTTTTAGAGCGAAAATGAGAAAATGCGCTCCATTGCTAATTGTGACGTGGCAATATCGATTTTTGGTTGAAGAAAGGACGCTCTATTGCAAATACATCGATTTTCGCTGTGAAACTTGAGAAAATGCGCTCCAATGCTAATTGTGACGTGGCAAACGTGACCTTTTGAATTTTTTTTGCAAAAATCGATTTTATCATTTCTAATTTTTAGCCGTTCGAGGAAAATGTGCTCTATTGAGAATGTATGGCCGAGTTTTTTTAAAATTGGATTTCTAGGCCAAAATGATCAGAAAAATCGATTTTTTCAGATTCCTACGCCATATTTACACTTGAAATGATCAGAAACCCGTTAAAATTTCAAATTTCGCCTCCAAAATCACTCACCGACGATGTTTGATTCATCGACTGCTGATTATTGAGTTGATGGCGCTGATGATGATATCTGGATAATTTTCTAGCAATTCTAGTCGGTGATATGTCGAATGATAACCAACGCAAATAAAACGGGATAATGTGAGAGGAGCGGACGCCGCGTTCCACAAAAACAAACATTGATGTTGTGACGGTGGACATTCCGATGATGGCGAGTAATATGAAATAGTAGAGACCTGGAAATGGGAGCAAGTTAGGGTAAGTTCGGAGATTTGGGGAGGAAATTTGAAGAAAAATGATGAAACATAAGCTGAAATTCATGAAAAATGATCAATTTTCAGCCAAAAAACTTGAAATTTGAAGAATTTTGACCCGAAAACCGCCCATGGCCTAGAAAACTGTGCATTTGGTTTTCTAGGCCATCAAATTCTGGTCATTTTGTGTCTAAACATTACCTAGCGTCTAGGTGGCCTAGAAACCCAGAAATAGGATTTCTAGGCCACCATAAACATGGGGCATGTTTGGATTCAAAATGATCAGAATTTGATGGCCTAGAAAACCAAATGTGGAGTTTTCTAGGCCACGGCTGAATAATCATGGAATTTCGGGTCAAAATTGATTAAAAACATGGAAAATAAATAAATTTTGACCCAAAAACCTCAAAAATCCCTGAAATTCAACCCATGGCCTAGAAAACACCGCATTTGGTTTTCTAGGCCATCAAATTCTGGTCATTTTGTGTCTAAACATTGCCTAGCTTCCAGGTGGCCTAGAAATCCAGAGATAGGATTTCTAGGTCACCGAAAACAAGGGGCATGTTTGGATTCAAAATGATCGGAATTTGATGGCCTAGAAAACCAAATGTGGAGTTTTCTAGGCCACGAGCTGAAAATTATCGAAAATTGATGAATTTTGGGTTAAAATTGATTAAAAACATGGATAATAATCAATTTTCAGCCAAAAAACTTGAAATTTGAAGAATTTTGACCCGAAAACCTCAAAAATCCCTGAAATTCAATTCATGGCCTAGAAAACTGTGCATTTGGTTTTCTAGGCCATCAAAAACATCGCCTAGCTTCTAGGTGGCCTAGAAATCCAGAAATAAAATTTCTAGACCACCATAAACATGGGGCATGTTTGGATTCAAAATGATCAGAATTTGATGACCTAGAAAACCAAATGTGAAGTTTTCTAGGCCACGGCTGGAAAATTATCGAAAATTATCGAATTTTGGCTCAAAATCCATCATTTTTGCTCTAAAATAGCTCAAAATTGAGCATTTTAAATGAAAATAGCTCACCAATGAGCGGAATTCCGGAAAAGCTTCCGCGTCCCTTTCGATTCGTTCCCATACTGAATTTCGGCATATCCTCAACAATAGCCAATAGAATCACAGACATACTCATTAATGTCATAATTCCGAGCCGGAATTTTGCGTCACGAACTCGGCCAGAAGTTGAGGGAGTATGGAAACCGATGACTGACACCAGGGTGATCATTGTACTTGGGATAACTAGGTTGAAAACTGGAAAATGGTGATTTTTGAGCTGAAATTCAGCTTTTTCGATGAAAATTGATCCAAAATCCGAAATTTTCACCAAATTTTGAACCAGAAAGACTATTTTCCAAAAAAAAAATCATCGCATTGGGGAGGAGTCGAACCCTTGACCTTTTGCTTGGAAATTTTCTCGAAATTTTGGTTGAAAAATTTGAACCAGAGCATTTTTGGCTCCAAAAATCCGTGATTTAAAATTTGAAAATCAATTTTTCCCGCCAAAAATCCACGTGGCAAACAATTTTGAAAATTGGCGGCAAATTTTGAATTTTGAATTTTTTTTTAAATTTTCAAAATTCTGGTTTTTCGCGCCAAAAATCAATCCAAGTGGATTTTGATTTGAAATTTAAATTTTAAATTTTCCCGCCGAAAATCCACGCGAAACTAAAAAATTCAAATTTCGCGCTTAAAAAAATTGCCACGTGGATTTCTGGAGCTCCAGATTACCAAGTAAAGGGTCAAGGGTTCGAGCCCCAGTGGGGGCGAACTTTTTTTTCAACTTTTTTTTCTGAGAAAGGTTTCCGGTCCAAAATTTCATGAAATTCCAGATTTTCAGCTAGAAAATCAATAATTCATAAAAATTGTCCAAAATTTCGGATTTTTTTCGCGCCAAAATCTACAGTACACCTACCGTAGTAAAAACTCTGTCTCGCCACAACCAACTCAATAATAATCATCTCCCAAAACAGCGGCGGATCCAAATAATCGTACAAAAATCCGTCGGATTTCACCGACGACTCTTTTTTATCCAATTCCCATTCTTGATTATCATAAAAATCGATAAGTGACAAATTTTGAGAATAAAGCGAATATTTGATTGAATCATTTGAATGAGCCCATGAGCCGAATAAAAGTTGACATTTTTGAATATCGAACGGGAAAAATTTGACGTCCAATTTACACAGGGATTCTGATGAGAAGGGAATGTAGTATCTGATGTCGCCTGTGTAATTTACGCGAATGTCGTTGTTGGATTGAAGTTTGACCGCGTCGTTGAAGTTTAGACTGGAATTTCGGTGATTTTTTAGGTGAAAATTCGAGTTTTTCATGAAATTTTGCACCGGAAACACGTCAGTGACGTGTTTTTGGTCGATTTTAGCGTCAAGAACGTTGCTGACGTGTTTCTGGTGCATTTTCAGTGGTTTTTTGCACTAGAAATGCGTCAGTGGGGTTGTTGACGTGTTTTTTGTTTGAAAAAGTACATTTTGAGTTTTCTAGTGGACATTTGGTGATTTTTGGGAAATTTTGAGCGAAAATTCGAGTTTTTCATGAAATTTTGCACCGGAAATGCGTCAGTGACGTGTTCTTGGTCAATTTTTGCGTCAAGAACGTTGCTGGCGCATTTCCGGTGCAAAAATGATCTGAAATGCACAAGAAATGCGTCAGTAGGCTTTTTGACGTGTTTTTCGTACATTTTTGAATGATTCTGCACCAGAAATGCGCCAGTGAGGTTCTTGACGTGTTTCTGGTGCAACAATGCGTCAGTAAGCTTCTTGACGCATTTCTAGTGCATTTTTCAGTGTTTTTTGCACCAGAAATGCGCCAGCAAGCTTTTTGACGTGTTTTTGGTTGAAAAATTACAAAAGTCGCGCCAACAAAATCTTGCTAACGCTTTCCTGGTGCATTTTTGACCTCAAAAAGCCCCAGCAGCTTTACTGACGCATTCCCGGTGCAGATAATCTTCTGAAATGCACCGAAAACACGTCAGTAGGCTTCTTGACGCATTTCCGGTGCAAAACCTTAATTTTCTACAAAATTCGCGTCAACAAACTCTTGCTGACGTGTTTCCAGTGCAAACCTACCAAAAATGCGTCAGCAACGTTTGCTGACGTGTTTTACGTCGCGAAAAATGACATGTGGCCAAGTGGTAAAGCTGCAGATTCCCAAGAACAAGGTCAAGAGTTCGTATCCCGGTGGGAGCGAATTTTTTTTTTTTTTTTTTGAAAAAAATAGTTTCCGGACTGAATTTTTATGGAGAACCCGAATTTTTCAGTGAAAATCTCCGAATTTTCCTTATCTACACAGTGTTTTAATAAGGAAGGAACAACACTAAAAAAATTATTACACAAAGCTGTTCTGTTCTTCTTCTTCTCTTTTCGCCCCTAAAAAGTTCATAAACCTTCCATTTTCTTACTATTTTCTTATAGAAAATGTATATATATTACACTTAGACTTAGGCTAAGTCTAAGCAACACGAAAACACAAAAAATTGCGATTTTCTGCCAGAAATACCTGATTTTTCTGCATATTATTATTATTTGTGTGTTTGCTTAAGCAAATTGCGATTATATCTTGGTTTTCACATCTTCTTTGCATTTTCATTATGTAATTTATTGATTTTCTACTGAAAATTCGGGTTTTTCATGAAATTTTGGACCTGAAACATGTTTTGGACAATTTTTATGTGAATTATTGATTTTCTAGCTGAAAATCTGGAATTTCAGCTAAAAATTTGAGGTTGTCATGAAATTTTGGACCCGAAACCATTTTTACACAAAAAAATTTGAAAAAAAATTCGCCCCCACTGGGGCTCGAACCCTTGATCTCTAACTTGGAAATCTGGAGCTTTACCACTTGGCCACACATTACATGTGGCAATTTTTTGGCGGGAAATTTGAATTTCACCGCCAAAAGTTTAAAATTTTGAAAATTTTCTAAAAATTTAAAAATCTACAGTATCCTGAATTTTTGCGCGAAATTCGAAAATTACAATATTTTGAATTTCTGGCGCCAAAAAATTCAAAAATCATTCCACGTGGAAATTTTTGGCGCGAAAATATGATTTTTTTTTGAATTTTAAAATTTGCCACCTAAAAATTTCTGATCTACAGTATTCTGAATTTTGGCGCGAAATTTCAAGATTTCAAATATTCAAAAATTTTATTTTCGCGCCAAAATTCAATTTTTCAAAAATTTTTCACCCGGAATCGAATTTTTTGACTAAAATGACCTTGTAATTTTCATTTTTATAGTAAACTTTCGATTTTTCTCCCATTTTTGGTCATTTTTACACAGTCTCATCATTTTTTCCCCAAAAAGTTAAAAGTTAGGCTAACTCACCTATAATACAGCGAAAATTCGGGAATCCAGATGTCCGAGCTCGACAGGAAGATCTCATTCGATCCTTCGTAGCTGGCAGGATCCCATCGCAAAAATTCGTCCTTCCAGTACTGAAAAAATTGAAAATTTTTGGCTTAAAATAGCAAGCGCGCTCCATCGCACTCCCCTTTTTGCACCAAAAATAAATATGCAATTTCCCCCCGTCACTCTCGTCGGGTCCACTAGTGTAGTGGTTATCACGTCTGCTTCACACGCAGAAGGTCGCCGGTTCGAACCCGGCGTGGACCTACTCTTTTTTTTTCTTTTTTCTAGGCATGATTCTACTGCTATTTCTGGGTGTTTGCACCATTTTGGCGCCAAAAATCGAAGGTCAAACAATGACGAAAGCAATTATCGATTTTTGCGATCCACAAGATGTGCAAAGTTGCGGAATTGGTGGGCGATGTGTTAGGCTAAGTCTGGGAAATCGTTGTGAATGTCCCAGCGGTTTCATGGGCAGGAAATGTAAAAGTAGGTTAAAGGGAGGTACCGTACTCCTGCTACAGTACCCTCGCTTCAGGACCCTGTCAAGACGTCTACAAATCGTGCAAACGTTGGAAATCTGAGGACCGTTGTAGTTGGACCCGCCCGATTTCGCCATTTTTCGCGGATAATTGCGCCAAGTCTTGTGGGCAGTGTAGATCAAATGGGAAAGGTGGGATTCTAGGCCATTTTTGGTTTTCTAGGCCATGCGATTCTGACCATTTTGAGTCCAAACAAGGCCTAGTGGCCTAGAAATTCAATTATTGGATTTCTAGGCCATGTTTAGGCTCAAAATGATCAGAATTTCAAGGAAATTTTGGATTTCTAGGCCACCAGAAACCTAGGCCATGTTTAGACTCAAAATGATCAGAACTTCATGGCCTAGAAAACCAAATATGAATTTTCTAGGCCACCAGGCCGCCAGGCCATGTTTAGACTCAAAAAAAGCCCATTTTTTCCTCAGAACTCGCGTTGGCTCTCCCACCAATTCTAGACAACATCGAATGGTTTGTGGGCCGCTGGGAGTCGCGCACAATGGCTCCAAATCGCTTCCCCGAGCCCATGTCCGGGCCGTACAAGGAGATTTTGGATGTTCAAATTTCCGATGTCCCCGCTTTCGATAGACCGCCAGTGAATATTTCGTGAGTTTTTTGGGCTCAGGGCTTCAAAATGAGCCCGAATGAGCCCGAATAAGCCTAGAGGGCTTTAAGGGCTTTAAAAAGAGCCCGAATAAGCCTAGGCCTTATTTGGGCTCAAAAAATCCGGATTTTTTCAATGGTCCCTGAATTTTTTTCCCGCCAAAAAAAAGAGTTCCTTTGAAAAAACAACACACAAAAATCGTATTGTTCACGGACAACTTAAGCTAACTCCTGAAAAAATATGTGAAGGGATTATTTTTGCGTTGTTTTTTTTTTTCTCGCTTTTTTTGGCGCCAAAAATCGTAGGAATTTCGAAGTACTGTAGGTGAAAAAAAATCTGGTAGGTCAAAATTTGAATTAAAAAAAAAGGTACTGTAGTTTTGGAGTACTGTAGACAATTTTATTTTATTCGAAAATCTACAGTAATCCATTTTGGAATTGATTTTTGAGCTACAGTACTCTTTTGATCTACAAGAACATTTTTTGAAAATCACAAAAAAAGTACAGTAATCTATCAGAGCTACAGTATCCATAGACTACAGTAATCCAGAATGAGCTAGGCTTGGTACAGTACCCCAAAGCATAACTACAGTACTCCAAAAATTCAAAAATGTTTGATCTACAGTAATCTTTTAGAGGTACAGTACCCCTGACTACAGTAATCCGAACTGCAAGAAATGTCAGATTCCTAATTTTTGATCTACAGAATCTACAGTACCTCTTTGAAAATTCTAAGAGAGCAGGATGAAGAAGAGTACAGTAATCAGGATCTACAGTAATCTAGAATCCAAATCTAGAAAAAAACCTACAGTACCTCTAAACTACAGTAACCGAACTGCAAAAATTTTGAGAAAAATTCAGGAATTTGATAATTCTGATCTACAGAAATGTTCCAAAACTACAGTACCCCCTAGATTATGAGCTACAGTAATCCTGAGACAAGCTACAGTACTCCGAACTGCAAGAACATTTTTTTTTTAAATTACAAAAAAAAAAAGTACAGTAATCTAGCAGAGCTACAGTAACCCAGATTGAGCTAGGCTAGGCATCTACAGTACCCCAAAGCCTACAGTACCCCAAAGCCTACAGTAATCCAAACTGCAAAAATAGTTTTTGATCCCTCCTCCCTCTCATCACATTTTTTTTGGGCGCGAAGAAAATTTTTGGCGCCAAAATTTTCAGAATCCCCAGACACCGCTTATTCATTTCACCCTGTTGCTGCTTTTTTTTTTGTTTTTGAGATGTTTTGTCTGACAGATATGAGAGAGACGAGAGAGAGTGAGAGACGCAGAGAAAGAGAGATGTTTTGTGAGTGGTGACGTCATAAGTTTGAAAAAGTTTGAGGAAAAAGTTATGATGATGTCATTTTTTTTTTGGAAAATATGAGAAAAACAAGCCTTAACGGGCCTAAGATGGGCTTAGGCCTGAAAAAACTGGGCCTGAGGATCTAGAGAAGCCTTAGAAGGGCCTAAGATAAGCCTGACAATCTAGAGAAGCCTTAGAATAAGCCTAGGCTTAAAAAATTGGACCTAGACACTTTGAGCAGCCTAGAAAATGCCTAAGATGAGCCTAGCCTGAATAAAAATGGGCCTGAAAGTCTAGAGAAACCTAAAATAGGCCTAGGCTTGGAAAAAGGCCTAAAAACCTCTGGAGAGCCTCTGAAAAGCCTTAGATAAGGCTAGGCTTTAAAAAGTGCGAAAAAACTCTGGAGAGCCTAAGATAAGCCTACAATCAGCCTAGCCTGAAAAACTGGGCCTGAAAATCTAGAGGAGCCTTAGAAGGGCCTAAGATAAGCCTAGGATTCAAAAACTGGGCCTAGACACTTTGAGAAGCCTGGAAAAAGCCTAAATTAAGCCTACCCTGAAAAACTGAGCCTGAAAGTCTAGAGAAGCCTTCGAAAGGCCTAAAATAAGCCTAGTCTCAAAAAAATGAGCCTAGACACTTTGAGAAGCCTGGAAAAAGCCTAAAGGCTCCTTGAAATAATTTCAGGCCCATCATAGGCTCGTCAAATTCTAAGGCCCGTTCTAGAAAATGTTTTTTATTTTTAGGCTCGTCAAAAACCTGATAGGCCTTTTCTAGGCTTTCCAACAACCTATAAGGCTTAAGGCCCTTTTAAAGTCCCCAAAAACTTAATTTTAGGCTTTCCAAAATTATCTAAGACTTAAGGTTGTTTTAAGGCTCATTTTAGGTCTTGAAAATGTATCTAAGGCCCTTCTAGGCCTTAGATAACATTCTAAGGCCCTTCCTAGGCTCATACAAAACATAATAGGCCTTTCCTAGGCTCGTAAATCGCCCCAACTCTCAAAAATTTGCAGAATTCGTGCCGAGACCCTCGATGGTCAAGACATTCATCTGGGTTACGGTTTTCTGACCTCCAAACCTTTCCACGAGGACACAGGCTTTGTGGAGAAAAATAAACCAAAAACGGGCGATGATCTGATATCGATTGAATTGGTCACTAATACAGGTACAGTACTCCTACAGTACCCGCAAAACTACAGTACTTTTGCAGGTCTAATGTTGATCGAGGAGGGCACAATTAAAGGCACACAGATTCGTCTCGAGACCAAATACAAAAAATCGATGGCCGGAATTTGGCGCCAAGAATTTGCGGCGAGCAAACGACTTTTTATTTTGGTGACGCCGACGAGTTTGGAGGAACGTGTGATTATGGTGGATTCGAGGGGTGTGAAGAGCAAGTGGTTGAAAAGGTGGGCCTGTCGGGCTTTTTTGGGCTTTAGGCCCGAAAATCCGGTGAAAAATGGTGGATTTTGAGGGGTCTTAGGCTTTTTAGGCTTTTCTTATGAATTTAGGGCTTTTCCTAGGATTTTAGGGCTTTTCCTTAGGATTTTAAGGTATTTCTCAAAATTTTAAGGCCTAACTTAAGTACTTTAGGCTTTCCTTAGGTACTTTAGGCTTTCCTTAGGATTTAAGAGCTTTTTTAAGGATTTTGAGGCTTTTCAAAGGATTTTAAGGGTTTTCTTAGGTTCTTTAGGCTTTTCCTAGGATTTTAGGGCTTTTCTTAGGTACTTTCAGGCTTTTCCTTAGGATTTTTAGGCATTTCTAAGGATCTTTAGGCTTTTCCAAGGATTTTAAGGTATTTCTTAAGATTTTTAGGCGTTTCTAAGGTAATTCAGGATTTTCTTAGGATTTTAGGGCTTATCTAAGGATTTTAAGGCCTATCTCAGGTACTTTCAGGCTTTTACTAGGATCTTAAGGCTTTTTCTTAGATTTGTAAGACCTATCTTAGGTAATTAAGGCTTTTCTCAGGTATTTTAAGGCCTATCTAAGGCCCATTTAAGCTGATTTGCCACGTGGAAAGCTGTCTAGCTTCTCTGCACTCTCTTCAAATCCTATACACTCTAAATGTTTCTTCCTCTGCGTCTCTAACCTTCTCATATTCTCTAGCCGTCTAGCTTCTCTCTGCGTCTCTAACTTATATTTTCTCTAACCGTCTAGCTTCTCTGCACTCTCTCTATCTCTAACCCAAATCTTCTTGCAGATATCAAAAAGTGCACGACTACATGCTGGATCTGATTCCAACTCCGCCAGCCAATCCAAGAAGCCTTTTTAATTAATTAATTAGGTCCCTAATTAATTAAGGTCCTTAAGGTCCCTAAGAACTCACCAACTCAAAACTTCCCGAAAGACTTATTGTATTTTTGACGGCATCCTGAAAAATAAAAACACGGGTTTCTTTTTTAATTTTTTGGCGCCAAAAAAAAATGGCGCGAAATTCAAAAATTCAAATTTTGGCGCCAAAAAACAACTCACCAGCTTCACAATTTGATACAAAAATACGCTCATCGACACCGAAATCACGTTATTTGGATGAGTAACAGGACGTGTGCCTTTTCTGGAAGAAAATTTGAATTTTTCTAGGGTCTGGCAAGTGCGCTCCATTGATAATTTGCAATTTTTGAGGGAAAATTTAAATTTTTATAACTTTTAGCAAGTGCGCTCTATTGAAATTTCGATTTTTCTTCGAAAAATTCAAATTTTGCAATTAGCAAGTGTGCTCCATTGTGAATTTTCCTGTGTAGTTCTCTTGGAGAAGTTTTCTACTAATGTGAAAAGCATCAATTGCGCTCTATTGACAATTTGTAATTTTTGAGGAAAATTTGAATTTTTATGGGGTCTAGCAAGTGCGCTCTACTGAACTTTCAATTTTCCTTCGAAAAATTCAAATTTTTCAATTAGCAAGTGCGCTCCATTGATAATTTGCAATTTTTGAGGAAAATTTGAATTTTTTGGGGTTTTGCAAATGCGCTCCATTGATAATTTGCAATTTTTGAGGGAAAATTTGAATTTTTGGTATTTTTTCAAGTGCGCTCTATTGAAATTTCGATTTTTCTTCGAGAAATTCAAATTTTTCAATTAGCAAATGCGCTCCATTGATAATTTTCCTGTGTAGTTCTCTCGGAGAAGTTTTCTACTAATGTAAAAAGCTCCAATTGCGCTCTATTGAGAATTTTCCTGTGTAGTTCTCTTGGAGGAAAATTTGAAATAAATCCTGATTCTTCAAGTGCGCTCCATTGATAATTTTCAATTTTTGAGGGAAAATTTGAATTTTTTGGGCTTTTTGCAAGTGCGCTCTATTGAAGTATTGATTTTTCATTCAAAAATTCAAAATTTTCAATTAGCAAGTGCGCTCCATTGAGAATTTTCCTGTGTAGTTCTCTTGGAGGAAAATTTAAAATAAATCCTGATTCTTCAAGTGCGCTCTATTGATAATTTGCAATTTTTGAGAAAAATTTAAATTTTTAGAGTTTTTTCAAGTGCGCTCCATTGAAATTTTGATTTTCCTTCGAAAAATTCAAAAAACTTAGAAATTTCTCTCAAAAGAACCCCCATAATTTCCTTTTTCTTTTTTTTTGGGCTCAAAAAAAGTTTGGAAAAAAAACAATTGTATTATTTTGCTCCTCTGCTCCAGAAAAAGGCACTTCCACTCAATTTCACTTTTTTTTCGGGAGAGGTTCCTTAAAAGGAACTTCACTCCCAAAAAAAAAAAAACACATGGAAACTAAGAGGAAATTAGGGAGCGCTACAGTAGGATTTGCAGTTTTTTTGGCGGCAAAAAATCTAAAAATTTAAAATTTCCAAGAAAATATAAAGTCTCAATGGAGCGCACTTGCTGAAAATTCCAATTTTTGCAAATTATCATTGGAGCGCACTTGAAGAACGTGGATTTATTTCAAATTTTCCTCCAAGAGAACTACACGAATACAATTCTCAATAGAGCGCAATTGAATCTTTTCACATTCGTAGAAAACTTCTCCGAGAGAACTACACAGGAAAATTATCAATAGAGCGCATTTGTGAATTGTAAAATTTGAATTTTCGAATGAAAAATCGATATTTCGATAGAGCGCACTTGAAAAAAAATCTAAAAATTCAAATTTTCCTCAAAATCTGCAAATTATCATTGGAGCGCACTTGAAGAATCAGGATTTATTTTAAATTTTCCTCCGAGGGAACTACACAAATACAATTCTCAATAGAGCGCAATTAAATGTTTTTACATTAGTAGAAAACTTCTCCGAGAGAACTACACAGGAAAATTCTCAATAGAGCGAACTTGATAATTGTAAAATTTGAATTTTTGAATGAAAAATCGAATTATCAATGGAGCGCACATGCTTTATTCACTAAAAATTCAAATTTTCCCCCAGAAAATCAATAGTTCATTAGAGCGCACATGCTTTATTCAATAAAAATTCAAATTTTCCTCAAATTTTGCAAATTATCATTGGAGCGCACATGCTTTTTTCACTAAAAATTCAAATTTTCCCCCAGAAAATCAATAGTTCAATAGAGCGCACTTGCTATTTTCCCCCGAATTTTAAAGGAACATACCTATAATACCGTAGTAAATCATCGTGTAATCGATAAGTGACCGGAATATCATTTCGTTTCAGCGTTTTGAAATTCTCCGGAAGCAAATAGTCTTTTTTGCCGAATGCTCGTTTTTGGCGCGAAAAATCGTCGTCGTCTTGAGCTGGAAAATTTGAAAATATGATTTTGGCGGGAAAATTTAGGAGGTCTTGACGCGATTCGCTGTTTTTTGACACCAAATAAGCATTAAAAAATTTCCAAGAAAAAGGTCGAGGGTTCGAGCCACGGTGGGAACTAACGAAAAAAAAATTTTTTTTTTGAATTCTGAGTTTTGGGATAAAAAATGATAGGGATTTTAATCAGGAACTTCTCAAAACTACCAAGAAAAAGGTCAAGGGTTCGAGCCACGGTGGGAACTAACAAAAATTTTTTTTTGAATTCTGAATTTTGGGATAACAAATGATAGGGATTTTTATCGGAAAATTCTCAAAATTTCCAAGAAAAAGGTCGAGGGTTCGAGCCCCGGTGGGAACTAACAAAAAAAAATTTTTTTTTTTGAATTCTGAATTTTGACACTAAAAATGATAGGCATTTTTATCGGGAACTTTTCAAAATTATCAAGAAAAAGGTCGAGGGTTCGAGGCCCGGTGGGAACTAACAAAAAAATTTTTTTTTTTGAATTCTGAATTTTGGGATGAAAAATGATAGGCATTTTTATCGTGAAATTCTCAAAATTATCAAGATAAAGGTTGAGGGTTCGAGCCCCGGTGGGAACTAACAAAATTTTTTTTTAATTTTGAATTTTGGGATAAAAAATGATAGGCATTTTTATCGGGAAATTCTTAAAATTACCAAGAAAAAGGTCAATGGTTCGAGCCCCGGTGGGAACTAACAAAAATTTTTTTTTCAATTTTTTTCGCGCCCTACAGTACTCCTCACCTCGATACTTTTGATAATTTCTCAATTTCTCATCAATTTCGCCCTCATTTTGCACGTCATCACCCCATTCATTGACCAAACTCGCACCAAATTTGGCTCCAAAAATTAGCGAGATAAAAATCCACCAATGGTGTCGACGACGCTTCATTTTGACATTAGAAATCTGAAAAAAAAATTTTTTTTTTGGAAAATTTTGAGCTAAAATGAGCAATTTTACGCGCGAAAATGAAAAATTTCAAAATTTTTCCGTAAAATGAGCAAAAATTATGGGAAATTTTGCCAATTTTCACCGGAAATCAGGTGAAAATTCTTTGATTATTCATAATCCGGAAATCGTCTTAAATTACACTTTCGCGACATTTTTCCGCAGGAAAAATTCAAAAATCTTCGAGATTTTTGACACCGCAAAAAAAGGGGCGGAGCTTAATTTAATGAATTCTGCAAGTCTGGCACAGTTTTTTTCTGAGCGCGGGAATTCCAGAATTTTTAAAAAAGATTGCAAATGATCAGCGATTTTTTGGAAAAATCTGGCAAACTTTGAATATTTTTTGAAACAGTGAATTTTTTTGAACAAAAAAAAATTCAAAATTCAAAAAAATTTTTTTTTTCGGTGACAAAAAAGGGGCGGAGCTTAAATTAATGAACTCAGCAAGTCTGGCACAGTTTTTTGGCTGGAATTTGCCACGTGGATTTTCAGAATTATTCGTCCAATTAAAGTACTAAGTTTTGAGGAAATCAAGAAAAGATTTCAAAAAATTTTGAAACAGTGAATTTTTTTCAACCAAAAAAAAATTAAAGTTCAAAAAAAAATTTGCCACGTGGATTTTTAGACAATAAAAATTCGAAAATTTCTGAAATATCTGAAATTCTGCCACGTGGATTTTCAGAGTAATAAAATTATCTCCCGAAAAAATAAAAAAAGCAATTTTCAAAAAAATTCCAAAAACTTTCAAAAAATTTTGAAACAGTGAATTTTTTTCAACCAAAAAATTGAAAAAAAAATCATAACCACGTGGATTTTCAGACAATAAAAATCTGAAATTTTTAAAATTTTCTGAAATTCTGACACGTGTATTTTCAAGAAATTATTGCAATTTTAGCAAATTTCAGAAAAATTCCAAAAATTTTCAATATTTTTTGAAACAGTGAATTTTTTTGAACAAATAAAAATAAAAATTCAAAAAATGTTTGCCACGTGGATTTTCAGACAATAAAAATCTGTAAATCTGAAAATTTCTGAAATTCTGCCACGTGGATTTTCAGGGAAATAAAACACGAGAATAGCATTTTTCAGAAAAATTCCGAAAAATTTCAAAAAATTTTGAAACAGTGAATTTTTTTCAATTAAAAAAACCAGAATTTTCAAAAATTGCTGAAAACGTGGAATTCTGGAAATCCAGATTTCCAGAGCTCCAAGAAAAAAATGGGAAAAATTATTTTTTTTTTGCTTCTGGTGCCTTTGGGAGCATTTTTGGAGCCATAAAGAAGGATCTTCTGTTTTTGACATCATCTTGTTTTTTTTCAGCCGGAGCTGAAAAAAAAATAAAGAAAATTTTCTGGATTTTTTGGCTCCGCCAAAAAAAAATTCAGGAATATTCTCATTTATCATCAAAAATGTAGTTTTTTTTTTGCTCAGCTCAGGAAAAAACATTTTTTCAGAGCTCCGTGAGCTCTGGAAAAATGTATGTAGCTCAAGAAAAAAAATTGAGGAAAATGTGTTAATTAATTTTGTTATGCTTAGGCTTACAGCCTAAGCCTAAGAGAATAATTTAATAATAATAAAAAAAAATGAAAGGGGATTTGTGAGCATTGAGCTCTTGGCGAACATTTTTTGGCGCGAAAAATTGCAAAAAAAAATCACTGTTTCAAAATTTTCTCAAATTTTTTTTTGAATTTCAAAAATTAATGACAGCTTGTAATCTGAAAATCCACGTGGCAATGAAAAAATGGAGAAAAAGGTGTGCCAGACTTGCAAAACTCAAAATTTAGGCCACGCCCACATTTTCTCATCGAAATCATGCAATTTTGGAATTTTTTCGAGCAAAAAAAGTTCACTGTTTCAAAATTCTCTTAAATTTTTTTTTACATTTTCAAAAATTGCTTATGCTAGATTCTGTTTGAAATATTCTCTTAAAATCCACGTGGCAAAGAAAAATTGTATGAAAGTGTGCCAGACTTGCAAAATTCGAAAATCAAGCCACGCCTACTTTTTACCAAATTCAATTTTTGTGACCAAAAAAAATTCACTGTTTCAAAATTTTCTCAAATTTTGGTTGGAATTTCACAAAATTGCTTATGCTAGATTCTGCTTGAAATATTCATCTGAAAATCCACGTGGCAATGAAAAAAAGGGAATAAAAGTGTGCCAGACTTGCAAAATTCAAAAATTAAGCCACGCCCACTTTTTTCTCATCTAAAACATGTAATTTTGGAATTTTTATGAGCAAAAAAAATTCACTGTTTCAAAATTTTCTCAAAATTTTTTTTGAATTTTTCAAAAATTGCTAAATTGTAAATGTTTATAGTGAAAATCCACGTAGCAATGAAAAATAGTATAAAAGTGTGCCAGACTTGCAAAATTAAAAAAATAAGCCACGCCCACTTTTCTCATCAAAAACATCTAATTTTCGAATTTTTTTGACCAAAAAAAATTCACTGTTTCAAAATTTTCTTAAATTTTCTTTTGAATTTTTCAAAAATTGCTAAATTGTAAATGTTTATAGTGAAAATCCACGTAGCAATGAAAAATAGTATAAAAGTGTGCCAGACTTGCAAAATTAAAAAAATAAGCCACGCCCACTTTTCTCATCAAAAACATCTAATTTTCGAATTTTTTTGACCAAAAAAAATTCACTGTTTCAAAATTTTCTTAAATTTTCTTTTGGAATTTCACAAAATCGCTAGAGTTGCTAATTGTTTCGAGTTTCTTCTGAAAATATTCATCTGAAAATCCACGTGGCAATGAAAAAAGGGAATAAAAGTGTGCCAGACTTGCAAAATTCGAAAAAAATAAGCCACGCCCACATTTTCTCATCGAAAACATGTAATTTTCGAATTTTTTTGACCGAAAAAAAATCCACTGTTTCAAAATTTTTTGAAATTTATTTTGGAATTTTTCAAAAATTGCTAATTTGTTGGAGTAGTCTGTAATTATGTTTTTACTGAAACTCCACGTGGCAAAGAAAAATAGTATAAAAGTGTGCCAGACTTGCAAAATTCAAAAATCAAGCCACGCCCCTTTTTCCCAAATTCAAATTTTTTTGAGCAAAAAAAAATTCACTGTTTCAAAATTTTCTTAAAATTTTTTTTGGAATTTCAAAAAATCGCTAGACTTGCTAAGTGTTTCGAGTTTCTTCTGAAAATCCACGTGGCAAAGAAAAATTGTATAAAAGTGTGCCAGACTTGCAAAATTCAAAATTCAAGCCACGTCCACTTTTTCCCATCGGAAAAATGTAATTTTCGAATTTTTTTGACCAAAAAAAATTCACTGTTTCAAAATTTTCTCAATTTTTTTTTTGGAATTTCACAAAATCGCTAGAGTTGCTAAGTGTTTCGAGTTTCTTCTTAAAATATTCATCTGAAAATCCACGTGGCAATGCAGGAAAAAAGTGTGCCAGACTTGCAAAATTCGAAAATATTAAGCCACGCCTACTTTTTCCAAAATTCAATTTTTTGAGCAAAAAAAAAATTCACTGTTTCAAAATTTTCTCAAATTTTGATTGGAATTTCAAAAAATCGTTGAATTAGATGTGATTTTCTCTGAAAATATTTATCTAAAAATCCACGTGGCAAAGAAAAATTGTATAAAAGTGTGCCAGACTTGCAAGATCCAAAAAAAAAAACAAGCCACGCCCACTTTTTTCCCAAATTAAAATTTTTGTGACCAAAAAAAAATTCACTGTTTCAAAATTTTCTCAATTTTTTTTTGGAATTTCGAAAAATCGCTAAATCAGATTGATGTCTTCTGAAGATCCACGTAGCAATGAAAAAAGGGAATAAAAGTGTGCCAGACTTGCAAAACTCAAAAATCAAGCCACGCCCCTTTTTCCCAAATTCAAATTTTTTTGAGCAAAAAAAAATTCACTGTTTCAAAATTTTCTTAAAATTTTTTTTGGAATTTCGAAAAATCGCTGAATCAAATTGATGTCTTCTGAAAATCCACGCGGCAAGGAAAAAAGGGAATAAAAGTGTGCCAGACTTGCAAAATTCAAAATTTAGGCCACGTCCACTTTTTTTGATAAATTTTCAAATTTTTTCGACCAAAAAAAATTCACTGTTTCAAAATTTTTTGAAATTTTTTCGGGAATTTCAAAAATTGCTACTTCGTTCGTTCTATAGTACTCTGGAAGTATAATTTCACTGCAAATCCACGTGGCTTAAGCCTAAGCCTAAAGCCTAAAGCCTAAAGCCTAAAAGCCTAAAAACCCCCGTCTAAAAATCCCTGCTCAATCTTTTCTTGTCTTTGTCGTGGAAAATAAAAAGTCAAACCCATCAAGTATTGAATTTCACTTGACTCGAAGCTCTTTTATTTATTTATTTCATGCTCTTTTTTTCCGTCATTGGATGCTCCAAAAAGAGCACAAAAAAATGAATAAATTGACCTAAAAAAATTATTTTGAGGCGCCAAAAAACACACACAAAAATCTGGGCAGCTAGAAAAAGTAAAACAAAAAAAAAATAAGAAGAAAAAGCACTTCACACCATTTTTCGGATGGTCCCTCCCCAGGGATGGGACCATCCGAAAAAGTGGGACAAAAAGGGGGCGTGGCTTAAAATTTGAAAAAGGGGGGAGATTTCTTGAGAGCTTTTCAATTTGCAAAAGCTTGTTGTGAGAGGACCACCCAGGAGACTTTTTTTGAGGGGGGCCTGAAAATTTTAGGCCTAGGCTTTAGGCTTTAGGCCTTAATTTTATGCTTGTTAGGTTTTTTCTTACCCCTCTGTTGATACCAAATATTATTAAAAATTCCAACAAAAAAAATTTCAGAAAATTTTGAAACAGTGAATTTTTTTGGTTCGAAAAAACTCTAAAATTAAATTTTATCGATGAGAAAAAGTGGGCATGGCTTGAAATTGAACTCAGCAAGTCTGGCACACTTTTTTTTCAATTGCCACGTGGATTTTCAGGCTTACTTTACCAGTGAAAACACCAATCTTCGAAAAAATCAAGAAAAGTTTTCAAAAAACTTTGAAACAGTGAATTTTTTAAGAACAAAAACAATTCAAAATAATCATTGCCACGTGGATTTTAAGACAATAAAAACCTGAAATTCTGCGAAGTTGATTTCCAGAATTTTTTTCTTCAATTTCCTTGCCACGTGGAATTTTTTGGAGTGATGACAACTACTAAATAGCAATTTTAGAAGATTCCAAAAAATTTTGAAACAGTGAATTTTTTTTGGTTCAAAAAAAATTCTAAAATCAAATTTTTTCGATGAAAAAATGTGGGCGTGGCCTGATTTTTGAATTTTGCAAGTCTGGCACACTTAAAAAATAAACTTCCTTGCCACGTGGATTTTCAGAAACATATCAAAGTATTGAAGGAGGAGTCAACACTTGAAAATTCCAACAAAAATATTTCAAAAAATTTTGAAACAGTGAATTTTTTTGGTTCAAAAAAATTCAAAAATTCAAAAATTAATTTTTTTTGGTGAAAAAAAGGGGCGTGGCTTGAAATTGAACTCAGCAAGTCTGGCACACTTTAAAAAATTTTTTCCTTGCCACGTGGATTTTCAGAAACAATTTCAAACAGTTAGAAAAAGATTAACACTTTAAAAATTTCAAAAAAAAAAATTTCGAAAAATTTTGAAACAGTGAAATTTTTTGCTGAAAAATAAATAAATTTTTTTTCAAAAAATTCACTGTTTCAAAATTTTTTTTAAATGTATAAACAAAATCCTGGATTAATCAATAATCTTAGTTGAACAATGGTTTCGAAGATCTAGAAAAAAAAATGAAAACCCAGAATTTTTGCTGGAATTTCAGGTAGAATTTTCCAAATGATAGTAAAAATCAAAATTTGTAAATTTACAAAACATCACTGTTTCAAAAATTTTTCATAAAAAATTGAAACAAAATTTTTTTAATTACTATCTGGTTCTAACTCCACAAAATAAAAAAAATCAATAAAAAGTTTGAAACCTCCTAAGCCTAACCTTAGGAGCTTAAATGTTTCCTCTCCAAAAATATTTTTCTACTTTTTCGCGCGAAGAGCAATTTAGATATTTATAATTCACGAGATGAGCACACAACCGATTTTTTTTCGAGCAAAACTTTTTTTTTGTGGAGAAAAAAAAGTTCAAAAAACATTTGAGAGCCTGAAAAAGCCCTAAAGCTTGTAGATTCAGGCTTGGCCTAGATTTTAGGCCTTGCTCAAAATTTCAGGCTTTTCAGGCAGTAATTATATGTGCCAGGATCAAAATGCTATTATGCTTTTTTAAAATAAAATTTTTTTGAAACAGTGATTTTTTTTTGGGAAAAAATGGGGTATTTTTTGAATGCAGGTGATTTTTAGGCTTTTTTCTAGGCCTGGTTTGGAATTTTGGCTTATCCAGGCCTATTTGGATTTCTTGAAACTAGGCCTGAACTTTAGGCTCATGAAAAAAAAACCTGGAAAATTTAGGCTGGCCTGTCAAAATCCAAGGCCACACAAATTTAAGGCTCATCTCAGGCTTGATGAAAATAGGCCCAGAGCTTTAGGTTTATCGAAATTTCAGGCTTATCAAGTTTCACTAGGCTTAATTCAGGCTGGTCCAAAATTTAAGGCTTATCCGATTTTCAGGCTTGTAATTCAGGCTTGTCAAATTCCATTAGGCTTATTTCAGGCTCATCCAAAATTTGAGGCCTATCAGAATTTCAGGCTTGAATTTTAGGCCCTCCCAAACTCTAGGCTTATTTTAGGCTGGTCCAAAATTTTAGGCTTATTCAAATTTGAGGCTTGAACTTTCGGCTTATCAAATTTGTAGGCTCATCCTAGGCTTAACCAAAATTTCAGGCTTATCCGAATCTTAGGCTTGCACTTCAGGCTTATCTAATTTCACTAGGCTTATTTCAGGCTCATCCAAAATTTGAGGCATATCCGATTTTCAGACCTAAATTCTAGGCTTATCCAATTTCACTAGGCTAATCTTAGGCTTACCCAAAAGTCTAGGCCTATCTAAATTTCAGGTTTCTCCAAATTCTGAGGCCCCCAAATTCTAGGCTTATCTTAGGCCCTCTCAAAATATAGGCCCTCCCAAAACCCAGCCTAAATTTTCCAAAAAAAAAAATTTTTCTAGAAAAAACCGCATCTGTCCATACATACAATTCTATAAATTATTCCATTATTTTATTATTTTTCTTATTTTTTTTCGAAGAAAAAAAAAGGAGAAGCTAAGTGAAAAACACAAGAAAAAAAATGGAAAAGAATCCTCCTCCTCCTCTCATTTTTTCATTTGTACCCAAAAATGGGCGTGGCCTCCTATTTTTTGAGTTAGAGTTAGAGTTAGGCTAAGTTAAAAGGAGAAGAAGAAGAAGAAGCTCGTAGAGCTCGATTGTCTTCGTTTTCCTTCTTTTTTTTTGAAAACGAAAAGAAAAACGGAAAAATAAGAAAGTTTTGGTGGCGGGTGAAACAAGGGCCAATTCTTTGGGGGAAACAAAAATTTTTGGGGAGCGGAAAAATTGTTGTGTATGGATTTTTGGGTCGGAGATGAAGGATAGCTTTTTTTTGTGGGAGGAGGAGAAGGGCCTGAAAATGGCCTGAATTTTGAGCTTTGAAATTTAGAAGAGCCTAATGTTGGGCCTTGGGTATAATGGCGAAATTTCAAAACGAAAAAAAAAAAATTGTGAAATTTTTTATATGAAATTTTTGAAACAGTGAATTTTTTTGAGATAAGATTCTGATTTTTGTCAATTATCGTAGCTATAAAATTAACATTTTTTCATGAAAATTTTTTGAAACAGTGAATTTTTCAAGCAGGAAAATTGGGGATTTTTCTCAAATTTTCTGAATTCGATGTTCATCAACTGAATCATTTAAATTTTTTTGTGATTTTTTGAATATAACATTTTTGAAACAGTGAATTATTTTTGAATAAAATTCTGCAAATTGTCGTTTTTTTCTGGGAAAATTGAATTGAAATCAAATTTTCATCGAATTTTATTATTCTAATTTTTTAATAAAATATTTTTGAAACACTAAATTATTTTTGCAATTAAAAAAAATTCTGATTTCAATTTTTCACTGGAAGACAATTTTCATAGTTTTTTCACGCAGAAAATTTGGTTTTCAGATTTTTTCTAAGATCGAAAGCACCAGTGAGACTTTTTATTCGAGATTTTCTGATACTAATTTTTTGAAACAGTAAATTATATTTGAAAATAAATGAAATTCTGAAATTTTTGTGAAATGATAATCTATCTCTGATCGTAGCTTCAAAATTCAAATTTTTTAATGAAAACAGTTTGAAACAGTGAATTTTTGAAATAGAACAATTGAGGTTTTTCTCGGAAAATTGGATTTTTCATGCAACAAGTATTAAAAAAAATTCCCATGATTTTTTTAAAAGCTATTTTTGAAACAGTGGATTTTATTTCGAAGAACAAAAAGAATCATTGAATATTTTTTATAATTTTTTGAATATAACATTTTTGAAACAATTCTGCTCCTTATGAATGAAGAAAAAATTTTATTTTAATTTTTAATGATATTTTTGGAACAGTGAAATTTTTTGAGCGTTTAAATTGCAATGTTTGTCAGCCATACATCAATTAATTTTTTGGGATTTTTTTTTGATGAAATATTTTTGAAACAGTGAATTATTTTTGTAATAAAAAAAAAAAGTTCTGGTTTCAAAATTGTTGTACTCGTCTTTTATGACTGAGAGTCTCACTGTCAATGAGAAAATTTTTTAGTGGTTTCTAATATAAAATTTTTGAAACAGCAAATTATATTTGGGATTTTCAGAAAAAAGACAACAACTGAACCATTAAATATGTTTTGTGATTTTTTTAATGAAATATTTTTGAAACAGTGAATTATTTTTGCAACCCAAAAAAGTTCTAATTTGAATTTTTCAATGGAAAACAATTTTTTAAAAATTTTCACGCCAAAAATTTGGTTTTCAGATTTTTTTCCTAAGATAGAAAGAACCATTGAGAAGTTTTTTCGAAATTTTTTTATAATACTTTTTTGAAACAGTAAATTTTTAAGGTAGAAAATTGACTAAAATTTAAATTATAAGGCCTGAGATCTAGGCCCTCTTTCAGGCCCCCAAAAATGTTCCGCCTCAAAAATTTTGCACAACAAAAAAAAATCCAAGATAGCATATATGTAAATCCACATAAAAAAGCCCATCAAACAAAAATTATATTCAAGAGGAAAAAAGTCAGCAAAAAATGTTTTCCCGCGCGAAATTGGTCTCATTAGGAGGAGGAGGAGTAGCAAAGTTTTAATGTGTTTTTGTTTTTTTTTTCGAAGCTGAGTTAGGCTAAGTCGAGAGGAAAAATATGGGAAAAAATAAGGAGAAAAATATCTAATTTGTAGGTATAATTTGTTGTTTTTTTTTCTCGCTCGTTCATTTTTGTCTGATAGAAAAATAATCAGAAAAATAATTTGGTTTTTTTTTGGCGGCCAAAATTCCACGTGCCAAGCTCAAAAAGCAAATAAAATTTCTCAAAATTTAAAATGGAGCAGCAAAATTTCGAAAACCGATCAAAAATTTATAAAAAATTTTGAAACAGTGAAATTTTTTATGAGAAAAAATCTGGATTTTTATGGTGGATTTTCAAATTTTATCCTGAAAATCTCAATTTTTCATGTTTTTTTTTTGATAGTAGCTCCATCAATACAAACGAAAAATCGCAAAAATATTAAAAAAATTCATGAAAATTTTGAAACAGTAAATTTTTGTATCTCAAAAAATTGAATTTTCTCAATGTTTCATGGTTTCTAGCTCAAAATTCATCAAATTTCCAGAATTTTCAGCTAAAAATAGTGATTTTTCACAATTTTCCCGCCCAAAAACGGACTTACCAAACAAAAATCGCATAATTTCCTTTCGAATCGGTGTTTTTTATTGTTGAAATGGTGCCATGGTCGATTTTTCGTCTCTCGAATGTTCCAGGCCTGAAAAAAATGGATTTTTGAGGCATTGCTCATGTTAGGAAAATTTCCAAAAATCATGAATTTTGCCTTTAAAAAATTCACTGTTTCAAAAATTATTCGAAAGTTTTTTTGGTGACAAAATTTTGCTTAGTCTCATACAAACGTGTCAAAAAAAAACATTCGAAAAATTAGGCTGAAAAATCCACGTCAAATATCTGAAACAGTGAATTTTTCTATGCATTGCTCATGTTAAAAAGGTCCCGAAAATCCCCAACTTTTTCTCAAAAAATCTTGAATTTTCAGGGAAAAAATTTCACTGTTTCAAAAATTATTTGAAAATTATTTTGGTGACAAAATTTTGTTTTTTCGATTTTGGGCGTTATAAAAAAATACATTCGAAAAATCAAGTTGCAAAATCCACATGATTTATTTTTTTCAAATGTCTGAAACAGTGAATTCATTGCTCATGTTAAAAAAGTCCCGAAAATCCCAAACTTTTTCTCAAAAATCATGAATTTTGACTTAAAATTCCAATTTCCAGGAAAAAAAAGGAACTAAAAGCATCGGCGATACAAATTAATGAAATGATAGTTACACTACAACAAATGACCAAGGCTTGGATAAAAAAAATCCCGTAGTTTTTTTGCGCCGAAAATCTACATTAACTCAACATTTTGTTTTTCAAATTCTGAAAATTTTCAAGGTTTTACTTTTCACTTCTCTGAAATTGTATCTTTCTTATAGCAAAATTTACACAATCAGTCTGAAGCTCATCGAATTTTTGAAACAGTGATATTTTATGAAAAGAGCAAGTTATTGAAACAACTCAAAAATAGAAGTCTTGTTTTCAAAATTTTTTGAAACAGTACATTTTATTTTTAACGTCTTAACAAATGTTTGAAAATTCTCAAAAATCTACACAATTTTTGAAACAGTGAAAATTTCCAAGTTCCATTTTCCGGTCAGAATTTCTAGAAATTCAAGAATCATATGAAATTTTAGCTAAAAACTTACACTTTCAATTTAACTTTATCAATTTTGATTTTCAAAGCGCCAATCAATTTTTTTAAAACTAAAAATTATATTCATGAAAATTTTGAAACAGTGAATTATTGAAATTTTTGTACTGTAAAAAATTAAAAAAAAATTTCTGGGAAAGTTTAAACAAAGTTCATCAGAATTTTGAAACGTATTTTTTTTTGTAAAAAAACTGAAAAATTTTTAACTATAAAAAAATACCCCGTGAAATTTTAACAAAATTTGAAACAGTGAAAAATATTCTGGAACGAAAATAGTGAATTTCGAAATTATCAGAAAATAGATTCATCAAAAATTGAAACCGTAAAATTATGGATGCTTGAAAATCTGGATTTAAAATAATTTTTTCTCCCTTTCACAACAAAAATCATCAAATTGCTCTCTTTCCGAATTGGTGAGCAAAATTTCGAAAACCGATTAAAAACTTATGAAAATTTTGGAACAGTGAAGTTTTTATGTATGAAAATCTGCATTTTTATGAAATTGTAAGCTTTTTAAAATCAAAGTTTTTATAATTTTTACAAATTTTTCAAATCAAAGTTCACTTTCATAATTACTTGTGACCGAAATTGCAAAAATATTAAAAAAAAATTCATGAAAATTTTGAAACAGTAAATTTTTTGTATCTCAAAAAAATTGAATTTTTCAATGTTTCAAGGTTTCTAGCTCAAAATTCATCAAATTTCCTGAATTTTCAGCTAAAAATAGTGATTTTTCACAATTTTCCCGCCCAAAAACGGACTTACCAAACAAAAATCGTATAATTTCCATTCAAATCGCTGGTTTTTCGAAAACATGATGGCATAATCGATTTTTCGTCTCTCGGATGTTCCAGGCCTGAAAAAATGTATTTCTGAGGCATTGCTCATGTTAGGAACATATCCAGAAATCATGATTTTTGCTTTTAAAAAATGCACTGTTTCAAAAATTATTTGAAATTTTTTGCGGTGGCAAAATTTTGCTTATTCGAAATTCAGGCTGCAAATTCCACGAGACTTTTTTTTTCAAATATTTGAAACAGTGAATTTTTTAGGGCATTGCTCATGTTAAAAAAGTACCGAAAATCCCCAATTTTTCTCAAAAATCTTGAATTTTCAGAAGAAAAAAATTTCACTGTTTCAAAAAATTCTCATAAATAAGAAAAGAAAGAGAAATTCTAATTCAATGCTTATAATTTTCAATTTTCATTATTTTTCACGGTTAGTCTATCAGCTGCCCGATCAAAAAATCGGAAGTATTTGAAAACTATACAATAATTTTGAAACAGTCAATTTTTGTATCTCAAAAAATCTGAATTTCGTCAATTTTTCAAGCTACTGTGTTGATCTTCTGATCAACAGAAAGAAAACATATTCACCAAAAATAATGTTTGTATGACAAATCGTAATGTTCGACTGAATGATGTATCATCACAACAAACTATGCTATAAAAGGAGAACGCTAAATATTATTATTGTTGTTTTTAGTTTCTTTCTAACTAACATAAATATTACTATTATGAGCCGGGTTGGGAATTGACATCTACAATTTGCTGGAATTGCTCATTTTAAGCAGAAAGTTTATTAGAAACACTAAAAATAAATCAATTAAAAAAAAAATTCACTGTTTCAAAATGTTGATTAAATTTTTTTGCTGATTTTTTTTCCAATTGTTTTTTTTCAGAGTGTATCTCAGATTTTTACGCTGTAAACGCTGGAATTGCTCATTTTAAGCCAAAAATTGCAATTTTTTGTAAAATGGTCCAGAACTTTAATCTAATATAAACTTTATTTATATTATAAAGCATATAATAATAATAATCTAGAAATTCTGAAAATGTCAAACCAAAACCACTCATTAAAAAATAATTGTCGTCTAAAATATCACAAATATCACCTGATTTGTTCAATGGATTATCTATTATATCCAAGAACTTCAATTGATCTTTTTCTAATAACTCGAATTCCATACTTATATCTTTTTTTGAAAACACCCGAAGACGAGAAAAAATCTTTCATCTATCCGATTTATAAATTTATTTTCATTCTTATTTTAATCCAAACCGTCTGGAAAATTATTATAATATTTGTGATGTTATTGTGTTATTTCATCGAAGACATCGAATATAAAATGATTTTTCTTATTTTTATGCTATCTTTTGGGCAATATGATATATCTGATTTTGGATTTTTATTATTAATTGCAATTCAAAGATTTATAGTAATTTCGGATATTCAAAAATTAGTCGAATTTGTTAAAGGCAAATGGTTAATTTCCATTCTTCTATTGATTTGTCTCACAGATTTAGTTAGCTCTTTTTTGAAATTTCGAATCTTAACTTCAATAGATTTCCAAGAAGATGAGTCTCGACGCAATTGTATTCTTTATATTTTGTTAAATGGAACAATCAATATGCCAGAAATCACCAACTACACAATATATTCAAATTCTCAACCAATAACTGTAATATTATCACTGATCTTTTTCATGTTAACCTTCTACAAAATCCACAAAAATCAACATATTTTATCAGAGACTCGAAGAAAAGCAGAATTATCGATTATTTATCAGAATATTCCGATTATTCTTGTTTTTTTTCGTCACATATATTATAGCTATTGTTGTTTATTTAATCTGTGAGAAAAATGATGGGCAAGAAGAACTGTTTCGGGATTATTTGTGTAATAATTATGCGAGTGTTGATAGGCTATTTCCGCTAACTTATACAATTGCCAATTTTGGAAGACTTGGAACATTATTTTGCGGATTTAAATTGTGTTGTTTTTGGAAAAGAAATAATCGAATCAATGATAGAGATGCACAATATATGAGTACTACAAGAAATGCTCAGAATTCGGAACCAGTTAATTAATTTATTGTGTTTCTAATAAATTTTTTGCTTAAAATGAGCAATTACAGCGTGAAAATTTGGTGTAGATAATTATTTGCAATTGGAAAAAAAATGATGCAAAAAATGTTTCTTAGAATATTGAAACAGTGAATTTTTTAAACCTAAATTTTGAATTTTTGATGGGGTTCGTAGTGGAAAATTTGATGAAAATTGGATAATTTTGAATGAAAAACAGCTAGATTAGTATATTCAAAAAAAATTACTGTTTCAAAATGTTCAGATCATTATTTATAGAATTTTTTGAGTTGATAATTTACCCAACTTTTGGAAATTAGGCAAAAATTCACTATTTTAAAAGTTTTGATATTAAAAATCAAATCAATTGGTATTTTGAAACAGTGAAAATTTTAGTGAACAAAAAAAATTAATTTTTCGAAGCGAATAATTGAATTTCTCAAAGAAATGAAGCCTGAAAGAAATTTGGAATGATAGATTTTCTAAAATTGTTAATTTTTTTTCTAAAATTGTGTAATTGCTCATTTTAAGCATAAAGTTTATTAGAAACACTAAAAAATAATTCAATTAACTGGTTCCGAATTCTGAGCATTTCTTGTAGTACTCATATATTGTGCATCTCTATCATTGATTCGATTATTTCTTTTCCAAAAACAACACAATTTAAAGCCACAAAATAATATTTCAAGTCTTCCAAAATTAGCAATTGTATAAGTTAGCGGAAATAGCCTATCAACACTCGCATAATTATTACACAAATAATCCCGAAACAGTTCTTCTTGCCCATCATTTTTCTCACAGATTAAATAAACAACAATAGCTATAATATATGTGACGAAAAAAAACAAGAATAATCGGAATATTCTGATAAATAATCGATAATTCTGCTTTTCTTCGAGTCTCTGATGAAATATGTTGATTTTTGTGGATTTTGTAGAAGGTTAATATGAAAAAGATTAGCGATAATAATACAGTTATTGGTTGAGAATTTGAATATAACATATAATTGGTTATTGTTGATAAATTCAATGTTCCACTTACAAGATCATAAAGAAGACAAGAGTACAACAGAGTCCTATCTTCGCTGAGACTTAATAGACTAAAGATTCGAATTTGTGAAAATGAAATAATTAAATCTGCCAGACAAATCAATAAAAGAATGGCAATTAACCATTTACCTTGAACAAATTTAACTAATTTTTGAAAATCCGAAATTACTATAAATCTTTGAATTGCAATTATTAATAAAAATCCAGTGTCAGATAAATGATATTGTAGAACAAAATACATGAGAAAAATAACATTTACCTTATATTCGATATCATCAATTAAATAAATCGATAATATTCCGCATATTTCAAAAATAATCCATAAGGTTTGGATAAAAATGAAAATAAAAATACATTTATAAATCGGATAGATGAATGATTTTTTCTCTTCTTCGGGTGTTTTCAAAAATAGATAAAGATATGGTATGCGAGTTAATAGAAAAAGATCAATTGAAGATATTGGATTTAATAGATAATCCATTGAAGAAATCAGGTGATATTTATGTATGATATTTGAGACGCCAATTATTTTTTAATGAGTGGTTTTGGAGCGACATTTTCAGAGTTTCTATTATTATATGCTTTGATATCAATTGAAAGTTCTAGACCATTTTTTTAAAAATTTCTATGCTCTTCACCGTTAAAATTCGTCTTTCCAATGAAAAAACAAAAAATTTTCTGAATTTCAAACATCTTTAAAACAGTTAATTTTTTCAACACAAAATTATTGCATTTTGGCTCTTACAGTAACCTGCAGTAAGTAAAAAAATCCTACAGTAATCTTGACCAAAAAATAGCGGATATATTACTGTAAATTTTTGCGCTGAAAATCTACAGTAACTCTTTTTTTTTAATTTTTGCAAAGTGGTTGTATTGTTTTTTTTTTGAATTTCTGAAAATCTTGAAACAGTGAATTTTTTCAAAACGAAAAATTTGAAATTTCCCAAAATTGTGCCTTCAGAATCCCGAAAAATCGGAAAATGGAAAGTTTTGTATGGGAAAATTTTTGAAATTCAAATTTTAGATTTGAAAAAAACCCTCTCAAACAGGATTTTCAAAAATACATTTTCAATTAAAAATATTTTGAAACAGTGAAAAAATTTTGAAAAAAAATATTTTTTTTTAATTCTAAACAGAGATTTTTGGCGCGAAAATCCTACATGTTTGGTGTCAAAAAATCGCAAATTTTCTCCCAAATCCAAGTTTCATTCCAAAAAAAAAATGAAAAGAAAAGTTACCAAGTATTCTCCAAAATTCATCCCGCTTTAGTCGCCATAACCTTATGATATTCCTCACAAAACGCCGTCATTTCAGGTGTGGATATCTTCTTATTTTCAGCCAATGCCAACAAAACGCGGTGCATAAATAGATATTGTGCATCGGTTTGAACCGAACCGTGTCGTTGATTTCGAATATCGCGGACTATTGAGTTTAGCGAGATTTTTTCGCCGGCACAAAGTTTTGCGTAGGCAATATCTAGGCCGACAATTGTTCCGGTTCGACCAATTCCGGCCGAGCAATGAACCACCACAGGACACGCGTTTTTCAGCTGAAAATTTGCAATTTTTTGAGACCAAATACGGTAGGGTTACTGTAATTTCTAAGCTGGAATTTTGAGCAATTTCTGGGGAAATTCTTGGATTTTCGCTAACTCCTAATGAAAATTTAAATTTAGAAGTATTTTTTATGTGAAAAAATTTACTGTTTCAAAATTTTTATAAAATTGCGTTTTTCAGCTGAAAATTTGCAATTTTTTGAGACCAAATACGGTAGGGTTACTGTAATTTCTGAGCTGTATTTTTACTCAAAATCCCGTGAAAAATAGTCAATTTTGAAAATTATTGTATTTATTGTGTGAAAAAATTCACTGTTTCAAAATTTTCAGAAAATTGCGTTTTTTGTTGAAAAAATTGCTGATAATATGTTTTTCCAATTTTTAGAAACAAATTTTCACAGAAATTTTTCAAATTCAAAAAATTTGCCGCCAAAAATCACGAGTACTGTAGATCGCTCCAAGACCCAAAAACCACCAAATTTGGTCTCAAAATGATCAGAAAATTCTCAAGATTACTGTAGATCGCTCCAAGACCCAAAAATCACCAAATTTGGTTTCAAAATAATCAGAAAACTCTCAGGATTACTGTAGATCGCTCCGAGACCCAAAAAATACTGTATTTGGTCTCAAAATGATCAGAAAACTCTCAAGATTACTCTAGATCGCTCCAAGGCCCAAAAACCATCAAATTTGATCTCAAAATGATCAGGTAACCGTCGAGATTACTGTAGATCGCTCCAAGACCCAAAAACCACCAAATTCAATCTCAAAACGATCAGGAAATTCTCAAGACTACTGTAGATCGCTCCAAGACCCAAAAATCACCAAATTTGATCTCAAAATTATCAGAAAACTCTCAAGATTACTGTAGATCGCTCCAAAACCCAAAAACTCACTCTAAACAACAATCGAAAAGTGGCCATCGGAACTTCGGGAACACCTCTATCCGGCCACGCTTTCCATTGCCAATGTTCAACATTTAGTGTCGTTCCCTTGTCATCTGTCATGACGAGTTTCGATAAAATTATGTTTTGCTCAACTTCTTTCGAATTTTCCACCATTTTTATTGTCAATTTTCCGTCGAGGCATGTGATCTGAAGAAAAATGAGATTGAAAATTGAAATTTTTTTGACTTTCGAAAAATTCTACTGTTTCAAAATTTTTATATATACATTTTCTAGCAATTTCAAGTATTATAATGAAAAAAAAATCTAAATATTCAAAAAAAATTCACTGTTTCAAAAAAATTTAATAAAAATCAGATCTGATTGTCCAAAATTGTTGATTACACTTTAAATTTAAATGATGAATTCCATAATCTTTAGTAGTTTTGACACCAAAACCACGTAGATTTTTCGGAAAATAAAAATTAGTTTTTGAATTATTTTCTCTCACTGAAAATTTCACTGTTTCAAAATTTCCATATAAATTTTTTGGGAATTAAAAAAAATGTTTCTATCATTGCCAACAAATTACTGTTTCAAAATTTTTACAAGGAAACCTTTTTTACTCAACACTTCAAATCATGATGAAATTTGGTCCAGAGACAGCTTTTGGGGTTATAAGAACACCTTAAAAATTTTAGTCTTCCAATGGACCTCTGAGCCAAGTTCTGGGCTCTCAAAAGTTCAAAAATTGCAAAAATTGGCTTATAAAACACGTCATAACTCAATTCTCGATCAATTTGATGAAAAACTGAGTAGCAGATGATGATCAACGTGGTCGATTTACCCAAAAAGCATAAATAAATCAAATTTTCAGAAAAATTTCTGATTTTGAAAAAAAGAATGATTTTCAGCCCAAAAATAAAAAACTTCAAAATTTGTTGAAAAAATATTTTTTATTGATTTACTTTTAGGTAATCGACTATGCTGATCAATATCTGAAACTTTATTTCTCCCAAAAAAAATTTTGAAATGGAGCTATGATGACTTTTATGACCATTTTTAGGCCTTTTTGAGTTTTTGAGAGCCCAGAACTTGGCTCAGAGGTCGATTGGGAGACTAAAATTTTTAGGGTGTTCTTATGACCCCAAAAGCTGTCTCTGGACAAAATTTCATCATGATTTGAAGTGTTGAGTAAAAAAGGTTCCCTTGTTAGATAAAAATTAGCTTTGATTATGATTTATGATTTATGGTTTGAAAAATATTTCACTGTTTCAAGATTTTTGAATACATTTTTAAATAAATTGAGAACTAATGCATAGATAGTTTTCAAAGTTCAAGAAAATTAGATTTTGCCCAAAAAAATCATGAATAAAATTCATAATTTCAAATAAAACTTTCAAATCCAAAAATTATGCTTTCTCCATGAATTTTAGGTCAATTTTCATCATTTTCGGCTCATTTTTCCCAAATTTCCACCCCAAAACTAAATAATTACCGGTGTTTCCGAATTCTGTGGCCAATACTGTTCACACTTCTTTTTTCCACATTCCATAATATTACACAACATCACAATAGACGGTGCCTTCTCTTGCCAAACTAATCTCCAAAAATCTTCGACAGTTTTCTCGGTTGGTCCTTGTGTGCAAATATATTTGGGAATTTCGCCAATTTTCACCCAATTTGCATGGATATAATCCTGTTCTGTTCCTTCTGGCCATTTTAGAATTAGACGAGTTTCATCGATACAATACACATCTTTGTAGCTGCAAAATTGAGATTTTTTAGGGGTTTTGGGAAAAAATTTGATGAAAATTGGATAATTTCAAACATTTTCAAATAGAAAACTGATGAAAATCAAATTGAAAAAATTCACTGTTTCAGAATTTTGTTATCAAAAAATATTTTGTACACAAAATTGATGAAGATGCGCAAAATTCTTCTGTTTCAAAATTTTGATATGGATTTTTCTGGGAGGTTCAAAAACGCTACTGGAAAATTAATCAAAAATTTAAAAATATTTTTTAACGCTAAAAATGCCACGCGGAAGCAAAAAACAACAATTTTTCAAATTTCTGAAAAATCTCACTGTTTCAAAATTTTAATTGATTTTTTTTTCGGAACTTCAACAATTGTTAAGTGATAATTTCGAGAGTGCAAATTCAAACACTTTTTTAACGCCAAAAAATGCCACGTGGCAGAAAAAAAAACAATTTTTCAAAATTCTGAAAAAATCTCACTGTTTCAAAATTTTGATATAATTTTTCTCACAAATTTGAAAGTGATCATTATTTTACTGATGAAGTTATATGGATCAAACAATTTTTAAAGCCAAAAAATGCCACGTGGCAGAAAAATCTTTTAAAATTCAGTTTAGCACAAAAATTATTGAATTTTTGGCCATGTGACAAGAAAAAAAAACAATTTTTCAAATTTCTGAAAAAATCTCACTGTTTTAAAATTTAGATATAATTTTTTCAACAGTGATCTACTAATTTTGTAAATTTGACTTGCTCTAAAAAATGAATTTCAAAAAATTTTTGACTCGAATTTTTGACCACGTGGCAGAAAAAAAAACAGTTTTTCAAATTTTTGAAAAATTGATGAAAATGAATAATTTCAACCATTTTCAGCGCTCAAAAACTGATAAAAATCACATTTTTTATGTTGAAAAAAAATTCACTGTTTCAGAATTTTGTTATCAAAAAATATTTTGTACACAAAATTGATGAATTTGGGCAAAATTCTGCTGTTTCAAAATTTTGATATGAATTTTTTCCGAAATTTGAATTTTTGCACTGAATTTGGATTTTAAAACATTTTTTAACGCTAAAAAAACACGTGGCAGAAAAAAAAAACAATTTTTCAAATTTCTGAATAATTCTACTGTTTCAAAACGTCTTTTATGTAAAATGCACAATTTTAAACCATTTCAACTCAAAAACTGCAAAAAATCAAATTGAAAAAATTCACTGTTTCAGAATTTTGTTATCAAAAAATATTTTGTACACAAAATTGATGAATGGTGGAATGGTTCTATTTTCGAAAAATCTCACTGTTTCAAAATTAAGATATAAATTATTTTCTCACAAATTCAAAAGTGATCAGAATATAAATCGAAAAAAATTTTTTAACGCCAAAAAATTCCACGTGGCAGAGAAATCACAAAATTTATAAATATTTGACTAAAAAATGCCACGTGGCAGCTAAAAAAAAACAATTTTTCAAATTTCTGAAAAATTCTACTGTTTCAAAATTTAGATATGATTTTTTTCCGAAATTCAAAAATGCTATTGAAAATTTTTAACATCAAAATAGATTCTTAAACAATTTTTAACGCCAAAAAAACCACGTGACAAGAAGAAAAAAATTGTTTTCAAATTTCTGAAAAATTCTACTGTTTCAAAATTTAGATATAAATTTTGTTACGAAATTCAAAAATGATCTTGAGAATGTAATTTGTTGATTCAAACAATTTTTAGCGTAAAAAAATGCCACGTGGCAGAAAAATCTTGTAAAATTCAGTTTAGCTCAAATCTTATCAAATTTAGTATCAAAAATCCCGAAATTTTGATAAAAATTCACAAATTTCTCAATTTTCATCAAAAATATTCATATTTGGTGTCAAAAAGCTGCAAATTTTCTGAATTTTCAAATTCCCCCCTCAAAATCTCACCGATTCCGATCAGTATGTCCTTCATGTGCAGTTTTGGGTTTGGTACAAGTCTGAGTTTCGGCACGCAACTGCAAAAACTCCTCCATAATTCCTTTAACTCCCAAATCTGTGGTGGCTTTTACGAAATCGCGCAAACTTTGTTCGTTGCATTCGGCGAACGCGTGTGCGGCGACGCGTTTCGTCATTCCGCCCTTCTTTTTTCCGCCTGCCGCTCCCGATTTCTTTTTGGGGCGATCCGCTTGCGTTCCATCTTCCGTTTCGATTGTTGATGTCATTTGAGCTGCAAGAAAAAAATTAGGGTCATTTTGACACCAAACAAGCCTTGGGTTGATTTTTAGCGCCAAAATTCGAATTTGAAAATGAATTTTTGCCGCGCCAGAATCAAATTTTGTGGTTATTTTGAGACCAAACACGATGCGGTACTGTAATCAGGGGTACTGTAAATTTTGGCGCCAAAACATGCCACGTGGCGTGCTTCGCAAGCCCTGTTTGTACAGTTTTTTTGGTGCCAAAATTATTTGAGACCACAAATAATATGAGTACTGTAGTCGACGAATGTTTTCAGAAAAATAATTTTCAAACTACAGTACTCTACAGTAATCCGAAATTTACCAATGCAGCAGTTTAGTTTTTCAACCGAAAATATTCATAGAAATTTTGAAACAGTGATTTTTTTTCTTCAAAAAAATTGGAAAATTTCAGAAAATCGGATCTGGGGGTACTGTAGAGTACTGTAGCTCAGTATTTCATAATTAAAAAATAATTTTGAAACTACAGTACGCTACAGTAACCCAGATATATACTCCCAATTCATCAACTAATTTCTGACTCCAAAAATAATCAAAAAAATTTCGAAACAGTGAATTTTTCAAGGTTTCTGGAGGAGCATGGTTACTGTAGAGTACTGTAGAAATCTGGTCTACAGTACTAATAGGCTTCAAATTCACCTACAGTAATCTACAGTAACCCTGATCTACAGTAAAATAATCATACTAATTTTGAAACAGTAAATTTTTTCTTTTCTGAAAAATTTCAGAAAATTCCAAAACATACATGTTTAACCCCTGGATTTATCCAGGGTTGCGGTCTTACTAACTCCGAAAAAATTTGAGGTCCTACTAACTTTTTTTTTTGAAAATCGATTTTTTTGAAATTTTTTTTAATTAGTTATCATCATAAAGTTTTGAACATGAAATAATTTTTCGATTTCAAAATTGCTCTAGATTATGTCACGAGGTCCACTCTTACTCATTATCCAAAATAAATGCTTTTTCTGAAAGATCTAGTGAGACCGCCGAATCAAAAACTATCGAAAATCTACTTTTTTCATCAATACACCACTTTTATCATCATAAAGTGTTGAACCAAAATTGATTTTAGCATCTGAAAATCGTTCTAGGTTATGCCACAAGGTCTATTCTTAATTATTATCCAGAATAAATGCCCTTTCTGAAAGGTCTACTGAGACCGCCGGGCACTTATATAAAATTCTGGATAAAATCCAGGGTAACCCTGGATAAAATCCAGTGGTCTCAACTATTTTCCCCATGCAGCATTGTTTATCAATTTCATAGTTCAATATACCTCAATAGGACCTCTAGACACACTGTGCAAATTTTCAAGTGAAAATATTAATTTTGACATACTTTTCTAGGTTTTGAGTTTTCTGATAATAACCAATTTTCAACATTTTCGAATGGAAAAAAGTATTTTATCGTATTTATTCATTGAAGATAAGCTTTTATATTGTTGTATAAGGTCTAAAGAATTCGTCATTCAATTTACAATTCAATCCATGATTTTCTTCTATATTTTTTTGAATAATTGAATGTAAAATACAAAAATGTAATTTACTGTTTGTGTTTTTTCTATCTCTCAAACGCATCCTATTCAAATGAGAAAAACAGCATGCGGGTTATGTGGGCACACATAGCACAGTGTTTTTGCCTTGTGGGTACTATAGTACCCCTACTGTGATTTAGGGGTGCAATAGGGGTGATTTTTACCCCTATTGCACCCCTATTGCACCACTAATTGGCAGGGATTCAAAAGGGGTTATTTAGTGGTGTTCATTTGAGAAAAACTAAAAAGTACAAACTAATCTAAAGGTTCTGAAATTGTTGCCTGAAAAATTTCATTCAGAAAAACGTCAATTTGAAAAAGTTATGAACTTTTATTTTTCAAGTGTAGGGGTCGTGTAGGGGTTGAGTAGTGGTCCCGATTCTGGGAAAATGTTTGCATCTCTAAAACAGTGAAAATGCACATTTATTGCGATATAAACACACACAATGCTTCTGAGAGCATTTATTGGCTCCTAACAATCAATGCTGGTCAAAAATTATCATGTTTTCACTCCAAGAGAAGTCCACTGAAAGTGAGACAATATATATTAAATTTATAACCATTTTGTTCGTCTTGACATTTTGAATTCAATGGTGTATGTCATTTCCTCCAAAAATGATATTTTAATGCGCGAAAATGAAAAGTAAAGGCGCATGGAATTTATCACATTGGTCTCGCAGCGTGTTTGCTTGTGTGTACTTCTCACGGACGAGTGGCGTCAAAAATTTTTTTTCGTTTTTTTTTCGTTTGTTTTGTTTGTTTCATGTTTCATGGAGAAATTGAGTGTTCAAAGCCGCGAAAAGTTTATAAAACATGTTCCCCGCCTAGGAACAAGCAAGAAATTCCAGCAGAACTCCGAAATTCACACATTAAGCATGATTTTAGGCCGAAAACTAAAAAATGTGGAGTTTTTCAATTTTTAATAATAAAACAAGGCTATTCTCAGTTTCATTATGTAATTCAACATTTTAATGAGTTTCAATATAAGAATCCTTCTCAGAGTTAAAAATTGAAATGCCTTATACCTAATTTCTTCATTCTCGTGTTTCTCATACGTTATAATTCACTCGTAATACGATTTTTAAAGGCTTCCTCCAAGAAGAAGGCTTCCAGCAAATGTGCCAACAAATGACAAGAAAAAGATGGGAAGAAACTCATCTAACGCGACTTCAAAATGCTCAAGAACTACTGCTCATCGATCTGTGTCATCACACACACTCAGGTTTGTTAATTTGAATAGGACAGTCGGATTAGAATGGTTGCTTATTTTCAGATGTCAAAAGAAGGCGCATTCGGTCGGAATCCAAATCAGCGGAGGAACAATCGCCCAAAAGGTCGATTGAGCTGGGGAACACCAAGAGCAGCGAATTCAAGTCATCTCGGAGCTGGTAAACACATGGTGAGTGATTTTTCCGATAAAAATACGTAGCTGCACTGTAGTTGGAAACCGACTTGAATTTGCGCCAAGTCGTTAAGAATGCAACTTTCGACTCGACTCCTACCGATGGATTTTCTTGACTTCGATGATCGAACCTCTCCTGGTGGATGGAGTATTCAACTATGGTTATTGCGCTGGTTTAGATGTTGAATTTTGGATGACGTGATTGGTAAACATGGTGAATTGGTGAAATTGGTTGAAACTGACAAATTCCACCAAAAACAAATCCCCAGCACCAAGTCACAAGTTTACACCAATGTTCGCCATCCAGTATTCATCATCTCAACTAAAACCATAGAAATCTCTGAAAATTCACATCCACCACGAGATGATCGGCCATCGAAGTCGACCCGATAAAAATCCATCGACTCGACTTTACTAGACAAGAATAATTCAATATTCTGTCTAATTCACTTTATTTCCAGCACCCATACCAGAGTACCGCAACGAAACATTTTTGTGAAACAGTTTCACTTGGTTTTAGCAGAACATTTTAAAAAATTTCAATGTTTTCACTTTCTATCTGAGTCACTTTTTGTTTTTTCAACGAGTGTCACGATTAAAAATGATCAGACAATGAAAAAGATCAAATTAGAAAAATATTAAAAACGTGACACGGTGCAGGTGTGACGTGTTTTCGATGCAAAACATTTTCAAAAAATGAAATGCTTCACGTGTTTTTTCATAACACATTTAATTTCTCGAAATGTGTCACACCAAGAAAGAGTGACACAAAAAAATGTTTCACGTTTTGAAAAAATTTATTGTGTCACACATTAAAATGTGTCACACAATTTTTGTATGACACATTCAATTTTTAAAAATGTTTCATTGGTTTTCAACGAAACAAAAATGATCAGCTGTTTTGTTTCGCCACATTTTACCATTTTCTCTATTAGAGAATTTGATAGAAAAAGCGACCTGGAAGTGAATTTGAACACATTTTGAATAGATTAGTTTGTGAAGATACTATTTCACTTTTGAGAACTTATGAAATGGACCCGAAAAGTCGAGCCAAGTCAGATTTTTTGAAAAAAACTGACAAGGAAACCTTTCGGAACCGCCAAAAAATGATAATTTTTCCCAGCAAAAGTCCTCCACAAAATTAGCTGCACCGCCAAAATTTTCAAAAATTCGGAAATTTGATTTTTTCTGAAAAAGTTGGTATAGCTGAAAATGAAGCTGAAATGAAAACTTGATTTTTTTTTGAAAAATAGGTGTTTTTATTTTCCACATAAAATCAAATTTCCGAACTTTTGAAAATTTTGGCGGTGAGGCTAACAAGGAAAGGTTTTCAATGTTCCCCCAAGGAAAAAATCGAGAGTATGTGGAATGTTGAGGGTTCCCATGGGTAAGAAAAACCCTAACGGGAATAAGGAGAAAAATGCCTTGTTTTAGAAAATTTTGGTGTTATTGATTTTTGCGATGAAATTTTTTAGAAAAATCGAAACTTTTTTCAAAATTAATGAAAAATGTCAGTCTAAAAATCCATTTGTAGCGCAAACGGCGTACTTTAGTATTACTCCGACTAAAATTAGGAATAAAATAATTTTGGTCCCAAAAGTCCACTAAATCAAAAATCCAGTTTGAAAAATTCATAGAAAATCAACGTTTTCGTTGTGAAGGAGAAGTTTGTGTGAATCGAGATTATGATTTTTGGATTCTACGGACCAAATTACGTCTGTTGACCGTCATAAATTTTTCAAGTTCCGTTCATTTGAAAATGGAAAAAATTATTTTTTGTGTTTTTTGGTGACCATTTGATCAGAAAAACCCCGACTAAAAAAACCAAGTTTTAAAAAATGTCTAATTTTTTGATAAAAAGTTTCACAAACACGTAATCGACCATTCTGAACAACTTCCACGACTCAAAAGTTCATGAAATAGATTCAAAATCGAGTTACAGATGCTCTAAAAATCAAAAAATGGTGTAAAAATCGACCTAAAATACATTTTTTCTCGAGAATAAGGCATTTTTCTCCTTATTCCCGTTAGGGTTTTTCTTACCCACGGGAACCCTCAACATTCCACATACTCTCGATTTTTTCCTTGGGGGAACATTGAAAACCATTCCTTGTAAGATTTTGTGGAGGACTTTAGGTTTCTGGAAAAACAAACCTCACCCAAGAACCTGGAGCAGTAGCTGAAAAATTGCCCACCTGGGTTCATTTTTCAAAATTATCCACCTAGTGAAAATGTTTTTCTCGACTGAGTCTGGCCTTGAAAGCCCTTAGATTTTTTGTCCACTTACAAGGTTAGGTTTTCCAAAAAAAAATTGCCCACCTGGAATTCCAAAAAAATTATCAATTTTTTGGCGGTTCCGAAAGGTTTCCTTGTCAGTTTTTTTTTCAAAAAATCTGACTTGGCTCGACTTTTCGGGTCCATTTCATAAGTTCTCAAAAGTGAAATAGTATCTTCACAAACTAATCTATTCAAAATGTGTTCAAATTCACTTCCAGGTCGCTTTTTCTATCAAATTCTCTAATAGAGAAAATGGTAAAATGTGGCGAAACAAAACAGCTGATCATTTTTGTTTCGTTGAAAACCAATGAAACATTTTTAAAAATTGAATGTGTCATACAAAAATTGTGTGACACATTTTAATGTGTGACACAATAAATTTTTTCAAAACGTGAAACATTTTTTTGTGTCACTCTTTTTTGGTGTGACACATTTCGAGAAATTAAATGTGTTATGAAAAAACACGTGAAGCATTTCATTTTTTGAAAATGTTTTGCATCGAAAACACGTCACACCTGCACCGTGTCACGTTTTTAATATTTTTCTAATTTGATCTTTTTCATTGTCTGATCATTTTTTATTTGTGAAGTGTTGTGAATTTTTTTTGAGTGGTGCTATTTTTGTTTCGAAATTCATGAAAATCAGTGACACTTACAAGAAAACTCAGTTTCATGTTTCGCCTTGTTTCGAAACAAAACAAAATCTTGCGGTACTCTGACCCATACCAACATGCTCCACCAACACTCGTCTTTTCGACATCAAATCAACTCAAGATAATTGGATGCAACTACCTTGTCGGACGGATCAATTGCCTCCCAAAATCTATGTTCGAACTCGAAGGTCAAGTAAATCAACAATTCGACACTTAATCTAAATTCTTTTGTTCTGTTCGTTTTTTTGAAAATAAATTGTCAAACTTGAGTCTTATTCTGATTTACCCCTACTACACCACTACAAAACCACTATGACACCCCTATAGGGGTACTAAAAAAAGTTTGCATAGGGCCCCTATAGGTGTACCTATTACACACACAAGTCAAAAACTTCGTAGTACCCCTATAGGGGTGCTATAGTACACACAAGGCAAAAACACTGTGTTTAGCGCAGTGGTAGAGCGCTGAGTTAGGGACCCAATGGTAGCTACCATAGGGTTCGAGTTCACATACTGGAAACGTGTTGCAAAATTTTTCAATTTTTTTCGAAAAAAAAATAAAAAAATTTTTTAGTGTGGGAGGCTTTTGCCCCCCACACTAACGGTCTTACTAACTTTGAAAATTTTTATTTGAGGTCTCGCTAACTGTAGGGGTCGATCCAGGGAGAAAAACATGTATGTTCCAAAATTTGCACTAAAAATTCTAGCGTTACTGTAGAGTACTGTAGCTGATAATTTTTCGAGATTATTAATTTTATAAATACAGTACTCTACAGTAACCTCAATCTACAGTACGGTACAGAAATAGACCAACTATCAAAAAATTTCTGGTTCCAAAAACATTCATGAAAATTTTGAAACAGTAGATTTTTGAAGATTTCAGAAATTAAGGTAGGTTACTGTAGAGTACCTACAGTACCCCTACCATGTTTGGTGTCTAAAAATCGCAAATCTTCTGATCTACCGTATTATTTTCGCGCCAAAATCTACCGTACTCCCGTACTCACACTGAATTTGACTATTCTTTCTCGGTTTTCTTTTCGTCGCCATCTTCGTTTTTCTTCTTTATTTTGCAATATTCAATTTTTTGTTCGAAAATTCGATTTTTTGAGACACTTAAAAACAGAAATACCCGGGATTCGGGGAAAAATTTTGTGATTTTTTTCGGATTTTTTTGCCACGTGGAAAAATGAACTGGGTTACTGGGTCACGTTTTTATTTATTTGAAAATTCAAATTTTTTGTGGAAAATTTGGAATTTTGCAGTCCGAATTACTGTATTTTTGCAGTATGGGCTACTGTAGCTTCTCAATTGAAAAATGTAGAATTTTTGCAGTCCGGAGTACTGTAGCTAGCCCTAATTTTGCAGTTTGGATTACTGTAACATTTTTTTGCATTTTCAGCTAAACTACCGTACTCTTTGCATTCCGGATTACTGTATCTTCAACTAATTTTGCAGTCCGGAGTACTGTAGCTAGCTCTAATTTTTTGTAGGTAAGCCTAATTTTGCAGTCCGGAGTACTGTATTTTTGCAGTTCTAAATTTTGCAGGACTACAGTGAAATTTCATTCAAAAAATACCGTAGTCCTTGCAGTCCGGAGTACTGTAGCTAGCCCTAATTTTGCAGTTTGAGTTAATTTACCTTCTGTTTAGCTTGCAGTTCTAATTTTGCAGTCTGATTACTGTAGCTTAATCTAATTTTGCAGCCCGGAGTACTGTAGCTAGCCTTAATTTTGCAGTTTGAGTTAATTTACCTTCTGTTTAGCTTGCATTACTAATTTTTGTAGTCTGATTACTGTAGCTAGCCTTAATTTTGCAGTCCGGAGTACTGTAGCTAGCCCTAATTTTGCAGTTTGGATTACTGTATTTTTGCAGTTCTAGATTTTGCAGGACTACAGTGAGTTTTCATTCAAAAATACCGTAGTCCTTGCAGTCTGGACTACTGTAGCTTAGCCTAATTTTGTAGTCCGGAATACTGTACCTCAGCCTAATTTTGCAGTCCGGATTACTGTATTTTTGCAGTTCTAGATTTTGCAGGACTACAGTGAATTATCATTCAAAAAATACAGTAGTTTTTGCAGTCCGGACTACTGTAACTAATTTTAGACACAAAACACTTCAAATTTCAAGCTAAAATACCGTACTTCTTTGCAGTCCGGAGTACTGTAACCAATTCTTTTTCAAAAAACCTCAGATTTACAGCTAAAAAACCGTAGTTTTTGCAGTCGGGTTACTGTAGCCTATCCCAATTTTGCAGTTTGGGTTAATTTACCTTGCAGTTCTAATTTTTGCAGTCCGGAGTACTGATTTCCGATACTAAAAATTCCAAAATTTCAGTTATAATACAGTACTTTTTGCAGTCCGGAACCAATTTTTGGCGCTAAAATCTCAAATTTTCACCATTTTTCCCCAAATTTTGCTGAAATTTCAAGTAAAAACCTTCATTTTGAGCAGCTCTCAATTGAAATCCTGTGGTCTTCGATAAGTATTACATACTTCCTTCAAAATCCACGCGGCTTTCGACATTGTCAGAAAATCAGGCGAATTTTGCAATTGCTGTTTGATTGAGAGCATTTCGGGTTCGGTGATTTGTTGATCAGCCAATAGAATATTCAGCGTTTGGAAGAAGAGATCTCTGGAAATGGGAAATTGTATAGGGGTTACTGTAGGGTACTGTAGGAAAAATTTGCAATTTTTTGAGACCAAATTTGCTATGGGTACTGTAAGAAAATTTTGATTTTTTTTTCATTTTCTCAAATTTTTCAGATTAGCCTATTGTAGTTTATCTAAAATTGTTTACCTAAAGAAAAATTTGGTTACTGTAGGGTACTGTAGAAAAATGATACTGTCTCAAATTGAAAAAAACAAAGGAGCAATTTTTGATTTTCAAAAATTTTTCTCATAAAATTTTTTGAAACGTAAAAAATCCGGATTTTTGAGAGGGAAGTGAAAAATGCGCAGAAATTTGAATGCGGCACAGAAAAATGGGCGGAGCCAAATTTTTCGATGAGAAATGATGGTTTCTGGGTAAAAATGGGGCTTTTGATCCAAATTTTAAGCTTTTCGGTGCAAATTTTGGGTTCTAAAGCTAAAATTCGAGTGAACTTCAGGTTTGTTTTCTGGAATTCAGCTTTTTGGAAAGAAATTTGGGCTTCCGGGCTTTTTAGACACTAGAATTAGGCTTTCTAGTCTAAAATTTGGGCTTCACTGCTGAATTTCAGGCTTTCTATCTAAAATCAGGCTTTCTAGGCTTTCTTAGGCTAAAAATAGAGCTTTCAGGCCTGAATTCAGGCCTTTTTATCTAAAATCAGGCTTTCTAGGCCAAAATTCATTGTTTTCAAGCAAAATTTTGGGCTTTTCGCTCTAATTCGGCTTTCTAGAGCTATATTTAGGCTTCAGTGCTGAATTCAGGCCTTTTTATCTAAAATCAGACTTTCTAGACCTAAATTTAGGCCTTTTCATCTAAAATCAGGCTATCAGGTCGAAATCAGCGAGTTTTCCTGAAGCTAGTTAAAAATTTCCATGAATTTAAGGATTTTTTAGTCATTTTTGTCTAAAAATATTATTTTAGAAGCAAAAATTTTCATTTTCCTCCCAAATTTCAGGACTTACTTATGGGAAAAGAGTTATTTTTAGCTAAAAAATCAGAGAAAATCATGCATTATAAGCTAGGAATCTTGAAAAATTGAAAAAATCATATTTTTCGATATGCAAAAATAAACTGTTTCAAAACTTTCATTAATTTTTATACATTTTTTCAAACTTTTTGATGGGATTTCACAATAGAAACTAGAAAAAAACATATGAAAATCAGTTTTTAAAATTATTGTTAATTTTTTTTAACATTTTTCGACGCATTAAAAATTCAAAGTATTTTTCCCTGTTTCAAATTTCAGGATTTTTGGCCAAAATTGGAGATTTTTTAGAAAGTTTTGTCTAAAAATACTATTTTAGAGGTAAATTTTCTGATTTTCTCCCCAATTTTCAAGTTCCTCCCCAAAAAACCCCCGGCTCACTTGCTAATCCCAACATCACTCAACGCCACCTCCAAATTCTTCACAGTCTCCGCCGCTTTCTGCGCATATTGATGTCGATTCAAACCCAACCAATCAAAAGCCCTCTTTTTCGCCGTCGACATTCCAGATCTTTCCAAATACATTCCAGTTCTCCCCAATAAATCTCCATCAATTCTCGCCAGACTCAAGGGATGCGCTGAAACTCCGCCCCGCGCATTTTTCACAATTCCAATCGTGTTTGGAAGTTGAAGATCCGATCTGATAGGTTGCGGTGGGATTTGGTCAGATTTCCTGGATGCCGGGGCACCTGTCATATCAGATTGTGTAACTTGCAGGCTCTTTGATACCGGATTCTTCTGTGCAGAGCCATTTGGGGACAGTCCCCCGGGTCCTGGAGCTGCTGTCGGTGGCAACATCACCGGCTTGATCTCACTGATCTTATCAGCCTCATCCATCACATTATAAAGATCTCTTCTGATCATACTTGATGTATAATATGGATCTTTATCCTTATCTCCTCCTTCAGTATTATCCGGGCTCAGGCCGGTTTTTGAGATGATTCTTGGGGGGCCTGAAAGTATAGATTTTTTAAGCAAATGAGTTGGAATTTTGGGTTCTAATCAGACCTGGGAATTTTTACGTTTCACGCGCGGCGCGGTCTGCGTTGCGTGTTTATTTCGGTGGAGCGCTTGGACATCAGACCTGGGAATTTTTACGTTTTACGGTTTTTACGGGATTTCACCGTAAAATCCATTTTCCGGCTCAAAAAATCGTAAAATACTTCGTAAAAAAAATCACTAAATATGGTGAATTTTGACAGAATCAAATTGAAACTTCAAAAAAAAACACAACATTTTTTAAAGAAAATTTTCATTCAATCCTAATTAGTTAATTTTTATTAATTAGGATTACGTAATTAGTATTGAATCAAGATTTTCTTTAAAAAATGTTGTGTTTTTTTTTAAAGTTTTAATTTGATTCTGTCAAAATTCACCATATTTAGTGATTTTTTACGATTTTTTGAGCCGTAAAATGGATTTTACGGTGAAATCCCGTGAAAACGGTAAAACGTAAAAATTCCCACCGAAATAAACACGCAACGCAGACCGCGCCGCGCCACAACACACACAAATAAGGGAACGATTCAAATTCCCTCCCGTTTTGTGTGTATTGTGGCGCGACGCGGTCTGCGTTGCGTGTTTATTTCGATGGAGCGCGTGAGATTTTCGATAATACCTGGAGACATCATCTGAGTGGGCTGTTCAGCGATTTGAACTCGTTTGGATGATGGTTTCTTGGGGATTTCATCCATTTTCGATTTTGACGCCTTCTTTTTTGGTCTTTTCGGGGTTTCCGAGTGCATTTCGGCCTCATTTTGCATGGGAGATGGTGTGGCCAAGGGTGGTGTCAATTCTGGTTTGGGTGGCGATAATCCTCCTTGTTTGACTTTGGATAGCGATTGGGAACTTCGCTTTTTCTTCAGCTTCTGCAAAAATATTGATTTTTCTGGCTCAATATGAGCTATTTATGACGTGGCAAAATTCACTCACCATGATCTTCGAATCGCGTTTCTTCTTCTCCCTCTTCTTCTGCTGCTTTTCCATTTTTGATCAATCTTCGAGACGAGTTTTCGATTATACAAATAGGCAAAATGAGCAAAAATTCCAGCATTTTTGCGTTTTCTGGGGCAAAAACGGGCCACGTTTAAACAACGTTTTTTACGAAAAAATTGATTTTTTTTTGAAAATGATGAAAAAAAGCGGGTGGGTCTTGCAGCGATGTGTGTGAAATTATTGTGCGCCTTGAATGCAATTTACGGTTTTGGAAAATTTTGGAGTTTGTTTTATAAATATTAAAAAAAAATTTTTTTTTGAGGGTTTGAGCGCGCTTGGCAAAAAAAAGAAAAATGATTGAATTTATTGTTTACTTTTACAACGACACTCCGCGATCCGCTTGCCCGCTGTTTAGTGCAACACGAGAAAATTTTCATTTTTCGTTTTTTTTCACGAGTTTTTGGCTTTCCGGGGAAAATCAGTGGATTTCAGGGTCAAAAATTGAATTTTTAGATGTTACTGGAATTATCGCTTCCAACGGAAAATGCTAGGATTATCAAAGAAAGGTGCGATTTTTTCTAAATTTTCTAAAAAAAATTCAAATTTTCTGATTTTCAGCTCGAAATATTGATGAAAACTTGGAGGATTTCGAATTTCGCAAGAATTTTGATTGAAATTTGAGAAATAGAAGCGATTGGTGAGTTTTTGGGGAGGGATTTTGGGGAAAAATCGATAAAAATTGAAAAAAAGTTAGGCAAACTCATCAAAATCTAGGCCCAAAAAACCTAGTTGCGAAAAAAAATTAATTGATTTTTTGTTTGAAAATAAAAAAGGGCGCTGGGTCTTGCAGCGATGTGTGTAAAACTATTATGCGCCTTTGATGAAAAGTACGGTTTGGAAACTTTTTGTTTTTTTTTTTGTTTTTCATTGAAAAAAGTGTCAAAATGCACCGAATTTTCTTCAGAAATTCAAAAAAAAAATCATTTGCACGTGTCCTAATTTTTCCTCAAAAAAAAAATATTTTTAAAAATTCCCCCGCTCATTTCTAGCTCCCAAATATAAATGATAAATAAAAAATGCTCCAAATAGATATCATTTTCTATTCGATTTCATGGATTTTCAGTGAGTTAGGCTAAGTCTAAGGTCTAAAAATTGATTTCCAGTAATTCTAACCTGTTCAAAAAAAGCAAAAACGATCGGAAAATGGTCGGAAGATGCTGGCGAGAAGTTCCTCCGAAGTTTTATCAACATCAGTCTCACCGCGACCTTCAGATTCCAATCAAAAATCTGAAGAAAATGTGGCGAAACCGGAAAACGAGGAGAAAATCGAGAACGATCCATCGAAAGGCAAAGCGGAAAAGATTTGCAAGAGTCCGCAGACGCGGAAGAAACCGGAAGCTCCGCGAGCCAAGAATGGATACAATGAGGAATTGATTGCGTTTCAGGAGAATGCACTTTCAGATATGTTTAAGACTAGAGATGAAGCGGCTGGATTTAATTCGAAAGAAACTGCGACGCCAAATGGGAAAAGGTCGAAACCTGATAAGAAATTTGAATTGAAAGATACACAGTCTTTTGATTGATTTTTTTTTAATGAAGTAAGCTTGTCTTTTGGGAAAAATGTCTTTTGGGAAAACTTATTCGAAAAATAAAAGTACATAAAAACAAAAAAAATAAAAATATTTAGCGCTTTTATTTATTAATTTTTTAAATATGATAACTATCTACTGGATTGACTTCACCAATTATTTCACACTTTTCGCATTTCTCGTAACCTTCTCAATCAACCTTTTCCTGATCCACGTGGTTTTGAACTATTCAATCAACATTCATAAAACCTATGTCTGTTTGATCATCTCATTTTCGTGTATGGGAATATTTTTTGCCACGTCAAATGCGTTTGTGAAACCGGTATTTGATTTGTTTTTGAAAAAAAATCATTAAAATCCTAAATTTATAGCTTTTGCACAATTACAAATCATCTTTGACCTACTTTAGTTTATCCAGACCATTTGGAAGCCCAAGAATTGTCACAAAAATCCTCATGCGTATGTTTTCCCTAACATGAATCAATAAAATTTTCCCGCCCCCAGAAATCTTCACCAGTTCCTATTTCATCACAATCCATCTTATCGCAATTCAATTCATTTTTCGCTATTGGCTCATTTTCAAACGGACCAAAATCGCATATTTCAAGGGGTTGACTGGAATTTTAACATGGGGTGCGACGAGTTGCACAATTTTTTTGACTTGGATTATTGTCGTCAATTATTGTGGAATGCCTGATGAGTTTATTGATGATTTTATAGAGTACGTTGAATGCGACGCGGTCCGCGTTGCGCTGCTTGCAAGTGGGCGGAGCTTATTTCAAGGGAAGAAAAAATAAGCAGCGCCTATGCATTATTTAGAGAGACGCAGAGAAAAATAAGCAGCGCCCACTTTTGTTGAAGAAATTTGGGCACTGCTTGTTTTTCTCTGCGTCTCTCAAAATTAACTATAGGCGCTGCTTGTCTATTTTCCTTGGGAAAAGTGGGCGGAGCCTGTCTCTTTCTCTGCGTCTCTCATAGGCGCTGCTTGTTTTTTCAAGTGGGCGGAGCTTACTTCAAAGGAAGAATAAATAAGCAGCGCCTATGCATTATTTCGAGAGACGCAGAGAAAAATAGGCAGCGCCCACTTTTTTTGTGGGCGCTGCTTGTTTTTCCTCGCAACGCGGTCCGCGTTGCGTGTTCATTTCAGTGGAGCGCGCTTGATACTGATTTAGTGACGAAATGACGAAGGTTTATGGCATCGATATTCGACAAGTTGAACACTTTGCAATAATAATCCATAGTTCAAATATCTATGTAACTCTTAAAGGAATAACATCACTTATTGCTATAATATTGCTAATACTTCCAAATTACATAGTCATTTTCTATTATGGTTATCAATTATGGAATTCGATGGATGAAAATGTGAAATTCATTTCACAGCACACGAAAAATATTCAAAAACAATTCATTCGCGCACTATATTTTCAAATAATCATACCTTCCGTTATATTATTCATACCAGTTTTAGTGATTCATACTTTACCATTTTTGAATTTGGATATAAGTATTTCCACGATTATTTTTATAAATGCTCTTGGTTTTTATCCAGCTATTGATGCATTTGTAGTTCTGGTTCTTATTAAAGAATTTCGAATTGGCGCGAAACGTGAGTTAGATTTCCTGGATTTAAGTATGTACTATTTATTTGATATTTTCAGATGTTTTCACATCATTTTTATTGCATTGTGGACAAGAGTCTTGAAAAAACTCCATTTATTCCCTTCATTCCATGTCAAATATCAACATCTAATATAGTTTTTCTCTTTTTCGCCGCAATTTTCTTAGTTTTCGACGGTTTCTTTCGAATTTTCCCCACATTTTCCTCGCTTTTTTTCTCCGATATTTTCTTCTGATTTTCTCCTTGTTCCATCAATCGATTTTCGATCAATTTTCCCAATTTTTTGATATAAAATGAGGCGAAAATTGTGAAAATCACCAGGAGAAATGTGCCGATTCCAATTGAGATACAAAATGCGGATTTCCAGGAGTTATTTGAGGGATTTACACGATCTTCTGGGTAGATGTAGGTGGATTTTTGGTGGTAGTGATGGTGGATAACCGTAGGCATAGGTTTCAAGATGTATGGAACCGCGCTGAAAATTTCATTTTTTTCAAATTTTTAAATATAGGGAACCCACAATTTTTCACCAATCTCATCAATCTTTTTCCGGGGCAATAGGTCATCTGAAAATCAAAAAAAAAATTTCTATGGAAACAATTTAAGAGACGTTTTTTGCAAAAAGACAAATAGGGTCGGACAACAAAAAAGGGTGTAATTTTAGAATCGGCTCAAATTTTTTTTATTGATACATGGATGGATGGTGAACATTTTCCACCATATTTTTTTCCATAAAATCGATGCACCAATTTGGTGGGGGGTGATGAATGCGAAAAAGGGCATTTTTTCAAAAAATCAGAACTCAGCTCAAACTTCATTATTTTTGATGATCAAAAAAGGATTTTGTAGCTCTTGAGACGCTCTTTACTCCTGAATTTACTAGAATTGCCGAAATCCAAAAAGAAATTTTCAATATTGATGGAAAAATTTTGACGCTATTTTTCCCCCCTTAAACGCCATTTCCGCAATTTCTAACTCGATCCATTAGATCCGCCTTGCAATTTTACGTCGGATTAGTCGAAAAAAACGGAAAAAAAGGGGGCCCTCAAAAAAGTTCTATTCCAGCTTCTAATTTTCATTCTGACGCGCGCAACACACATGTGTGTATTTTGTGTACGCATGCTCCCACATATGTGTGTTGTGTGTTTGGTGCTTGAAATATACAAGGGTACTGTAGTGTGTGTAGTTTTTTTTGTATTTTAATTGTAGATTTAGCATCTGGGGAGGTAAGAAAAACCCCGGAGGATTTTTACATGCAAAAATGTTTTTCCTGGGTGTGGACCTTTTTTGAGAATTTTTTTGGTTCTGAACTTTGAAAAATTGTAACTTTACTTATAGTGGACGAAAAAAATCGAACATAAAAGCTAAACAAAGCTTACATTTCGCTCTATGAATTAAGCTAATGGACAGTTCTATGAACTGGAAAAATTGTTGTAACAAACTAATTTTTTTGACGTACAAAATTCGAAATTTTCAAAAAAAAAAGAGGAAAATTCGAAATATTTTCATTTTATGCTTTTCTCTTGCAAAAATAAACAGAAATGTGTTTTCTGCAGGCTGCAATTTTAAGTAAAGTTAAAAACGTGAAAAAAGTTCACTGGATAGATTCCTCACAACATGACAAATATTATCTAAAAAATAATTTTTGGGAGAAGTTTCAGGGAATCAAAAATGAAGTGTACGCGATTTCTATCAGCACCAGAAGAGCTGATATGTCTAGCAAAGTTGCCTGAAGAACTTTCACTTGGTACTGCGTCTTGATAGATTTTATGTCAAGTCTTGAAGACATATTTGTTGTACGAAAAGAGCACACCTCGGCCAAAATCGTGGTTTCCACAATAAAAATTGTACGCTAACTTTTTACAGTACAAAAATTGTGAATTTTTCAGTTTTTGTCCTCTAAAAACTGAAATTCTGATTTTTCCAAAAATTGTACTCTGGCCAGCCACGGCTTGGCCGAGGTGTGTATTGGAGTCCTGCGTGATCACTGTGTTTTTTTCTGATAGAAAAATGCAATTCCGAGGAGACGCAGACAGAGAGAGAAAGAGGCTGGTCTCGACACGATGTGTGTCTGCCACACACTATTTCTCTCCCTTTTTCGGCGAGAGATTTGTCTGCCCACGTTAAAGTCTGCGTCTCTCAGAACTGGCAAGAAAAAATACAGTGTGATCTACAGTAAAAATTGCTGGTCTAGAACTTGTGAAAAAGCATTCAGCTTGATTTTTGAAAATACATTCTTGAACTTTCAGGCAATGTGCAGCAACATGGGTTTCAAAAATTATGGATTTTTTCTTTTTTTTAAACTGATTCTGCGTCTACCTCACTCTCACCAATTTTCAATTTATAAAACCATGTTTCGAATTTTCCTCTTTTTTTTTTTGAAAATTTCGAATTTTGTACGTCAAAAAAATTAGTTTGTTACAACAATTTTTCCAGTTCATAGAACTGTCCATTAGCTTAATTCATAGAGCGAAATGTAAGCTTTGTTTAGCTTTTATGTTCGATTTTTTTCGTCCACTATAAGTAAAGTTACAATTTTTCAAAGTTCAGAACCAAAAAATTCTCAAAAAGGTCCACACCCAGGAAAAACATTTTTGCATGTAAAAATCCTCCGGGGTTTTTCTTACCTCCCCAGATGCTAAATCTACAATTAAAATACAAAAAAAACTACACACACTACAGTACCCTTGTATATTTCAAGCACCAAACACACAACACACATATGTGGGAGCATGCGTACACAAAATACACACATGTGTGTTGCGCGCGTCAGAATGAAAATTAGAAGCTGGAATAGAACTTTTTTGAGGGCCCCCTTTTTTTCCGTTTTTTTCGACTAATCCGACGTAAAATTGCAAGGCGGATCTAATGGATCGAGTTAGAAATTGCGGAAATGGCGTTTAAGGGGGGAAAATTAGCGTCAAAATTTTTCCATCAATATTGAAAATTTCTTTTTGGATTTCGGCAATTCTAGTAAATTCAGGAGTAAAGAGCGTCTCAAGAGCTACAAAATCCTTTTTTGATCATCAAAAATAATGAAGTTTGAGCTGAGTTCTGATTTTTTGAAAAAATGCCCTTTTTCGCATTCATCACCCCCCACCAAATTGGTGCATCGATTTTATGGAAAAAAATATGGTGGAAAATGTTCACCATCCATCCATGTATCAATAAAAAAAATTTGAGCCGATTCTAAAATTACACCCTTTTTTGTTGTCCGAGCTCCTTCATTAAAATTCACCATTTTGCAAAAAACGTCTCTTAACAGACATTATTTGTAAGAAAGGAAATTTCCACACATAGCTCTGTACAAAATGACACATGGTGGCCAATAAATTGGGAATCGATTTTTTAAAAGTACCACCCTTAAAAAGTATATTCCACATAATAACTCGACCTGAAACTGATTCTCTAATTTAGGGTAACTCGGTTTATGTAAGAGGGTCGAAAACTTCAAATGGTCGTAACTAGGCTTAAACTCAATATTTTTTGATGAGTAAAAAAGCATTTTGCTCGTCTCGGTGAGCTCTTGCTTATTGAGTGAAGACCCAAAAACGAAAATCACTCTCAACTTCTATCCACAAACACCCCATTTTGAAAATCTTTTCAGAGGCTTTAGTGCACTCTCTAACCGCAAAAATAAGATTCGCCGTGATTTTTTAGGTAGGTATCGATCAAAATAAAAATTTTAAACCTTGGCCCAAGTCGAGTTTTATGGCCCTGAAAAGATTTGATCTATTGCGCGCGCACACACGCGCGCGCACATGTGTGTGTGCATGTGTGTGGGTTACTGTAGTTTTTTTATTTTTTTATTTTTCATCTTTTTTGTTCAAAAATTGTCAGATACTGTTTTTTGAGAAATATGAGGTTCTAAGCTAACGATTTGCAGCTAGAATTTTGACTGAAAATCGAAAATTTCAAAATTTTCAGCATGAAAAAGCTGAAATTAGGCTAAAAATGGGCTAAAAATTGAAAATTTTGATTTCGGTCTCAAATTTTCAGAAATGCTTAGGGCAGTTGAGAAAAACATCTGAAATTCAAAATTTCGAAATTTTTAGTCAGGGAAACTTGAAAACAGGCTGAAAATTGAACATTTTTAGATGAGCCTTTCACGTTCTGAAAGCGTTGCTCCATGACAGAATGATAGGCAAGACGGGGCTCCTAGTTGGATGAGCCTTCAAGCCGCTGCGTCTTGGCAATCTGTGTCTCTTTGCGAATTGGGATCATAAGACAAGCTCACGAAGTGTGGCTTTTTGTTAGAGAACTTATTTTGTCTGTAAAGTAGCCACGCCTCGAGCGAGTGAATATCCAGGTGCAAAGCCTTGAGAGCGTGAATGTCAAGGAGCAACTCACGCACTCCAGGTCTTTTTCTGATTGAAATGTTCTCAAGAAGCTCCTTCATATCGAAAATTGTGTGATTGAGCTCAAACTTTCAGAATCGGTTGGCGGCCTTCTGAAAAGTTATAACTTTTCAGAAAAGCTGGGAATAGGTTGAATTTTTTGACTTTCAGATGCTTCTCACAACTTCCCTAACCATTTCAAAAAATTTGTGATGAAAATCAAAATGTTTGATTTTCAGCCCTTTTCCAGCCTAATTTCAGCTTTTTCATGCTGAAAATTTTGAAATTTTGAATTTCAGATGTTTTTCTCAACTGCCCTAAGCATTTCTGAAAATTTGAGACCGAAATCAAAATTTTCAATTTTTAGCCCATTTTTAGCCTAATTTCAGCTTTTTCATGCTGAAAATTTTGAAATTTTCGATTTTCAGTCAAAATTCTAGCTGCAAATCGTTAGCTTAGAACCTCATATTTCTCAAAAAACAGTATCTGACAATTTTTGAACAAAAAAGATGAAAAATAAAAAAATAAAAAAACTACAGTAACCCACACACATGCACACACACATGTGCGCGCGCGTGTGTGCGCGCGCAATAGATCAAATCTTTTCAGGGCCATAAAACTCGACTTGGGCCAAGGTTTAAAATTTTTATTTTGATCGATACCTACCTAAAAAATCACGGCGAATCTTATTTTTGCGGTTAGAGAGTGCACTAAAGCCTCTGAAAAGATTTTCAAAATGGGGTGTTTGTGGATAGAAGTTGAGAGTGATTTTCGTTTTTGGGTCTTCACTCAATAAGCAAGAGCTCACCGAGACGAGCAAAATGCTTTTTTACTCATCAAAAAATATTGAGTTTAAGCCTAGTTACGACCATTTGAAGTTTTCGACCCTCTTACATAAACCGAGTTACCCTAAATTAGAGAATCAGTTTCAGGTCGAGTTATTATGTGGAATATACTTTTTAAGGGTGGTACTTTTAAAAAATCGATTCCCAATTTATTGGCCACCATGTGTCATTTTGTACAGAGCCATTTCCAATATTAAGAATAACGTCTGTTAAATTTTTTTTTAAAAACTCACAAAATCCCATTGGAAGCTCCACGAATGGAATAATCGTTTCATTGTATTTCTCAAATTTTAAAATTCGATAAAATGTCGTGTTTTTGGGATTTTTAAGGGATTCCAATCGATTTTCCAGAATATTTATCGATGAATAATTGTAAATGTAATGTGTTGAATTTGAATTTGAAGTTGAATTTGGAACCAAAAGCGGTGCAATAAATGGGATATAAATTATAACATTAAACTTCTTCCTAACCTCCTTTCGTTTTTCATTAAAATACTTAAGCGCTTCAATAATCCTATCGATTTTTGAAACACTTTCCGGTTCCGTATAAGGGTCAAAGTAGTAAAGTTGATGTAGTGATTGTGTTCTTCTTCTGCGTTTCATTTTTGGAAATGGTTGTTGCCAATCTGATTGTGAAGAATAATCGATAATGTCGTAGAAAAAATTATCTTCCGGGAAAATACATGTGAACAATTTGAACATGTAGCTGAGTTCGGAATTCTGGAGAAAAATTGGATTGGTCCTGCGACTAGAACTATTAGGTTTCAAGTAGCTAAGCCTTGTGAGCTTCTATGTTAAGCAGGCAAGCCTTGAAAATTTGATTGTCAAGTAGCCGAGCCTAGAGAACCATTTTCTCAAGTATACACGCCTAGAGATCGATACTAGCAAGGAGCAGCGCCTAGAACTCTTAGGTTTCAAGCAGCCAAGCTTTGAGGGCTTGTGTGTCAAGTAGCCGAGCCTAGAAAATTTGATTGTCAAGGAGCCGAGCCTTGAGAGCATGTGTCTCAAGTAGCCAAGCCTTGAGGGCTTCTATGTCAAGCAGGCGAGCCTTGCAAATTTGATTGTCAAGGAGCCGAGCCTTGGGAGCATGTTTCTCAAGCAGCCGAGCCTAGAGTACCTAATTGTCTAGGAGCAGCGCCTAGAAAGCATGTTTCTCAAGCAACCGAACCTTGAGAATCAAATTATCCTGTCCCCCGAAAACTCACAAAAATCGCACTGTCCCGCCTATCCAGCATAAATATAACCAAAGTCTTTTCAAATGTCTCGAAATATTCTTTGTTTTGACAAATTGGCGGAAAATCTAGTCGATTACGATATTGGATTGAGCAAATCTTTCTGAGAAAATAGAAAATTGTTAGGAATTGCAATATTTTCAAATTCATTTATTTATTAGTTTTTGAATAAGATAAGTTTTAGGAATGAGCGCAATTTTGAAATTTGAGGCGAAGAAAAAAAAGAAAAAATTGGGACACGTGGATTTTTTTTTGCAAAAACGTGACGTCAAATTTCAAAATGTTTCCCATTTCTAAAAATTCATCAAATTCAAAATGCATTCAAAATTGAAAATATTCCAATTCCTAACATTATTAGTATATTTATCTCATCAAAATCAATCAGGATTTCAAGATCAGATCGGAGAAATCGAACCAATTTGTAAACAACCAAAAGATCCGCGAGAATATCCAAAAACTTTGGTTTTGTTCATGATTGATAGGAGTGATAGCAAGGTTTTTGTGAGTTTAGGGAAGGTCTTAAGGTCTTTAGAAAGGTTTAAGAGCTTTAGGGTTTTTTAAAGCTCTCATAAATCCTTTCAGAATCAAAACATCGGCTACATCTTCAAATTATTCCTCTGCATCTTCATACCAAATTATACCTACTTCGATATCATCGATTATTCTTCTGAAGCTGATTATCAAAAACAATTTCCACCTATGAAAAAACGAGGAAGAACTGAAGCTCTAAATCGATTCCGACACTATGAGCAATACCCAGAATCTTCTCAAAACATCTCAAAAATTGATCGAATTTATGAAGCTCTCGAATACTTTCGAGAAGAATCTAATGACACCTGTGAAAATTCTGTGAACGTTCTCATTTATATTCCAATCATTACTCCAGTTATGATAAATCGATCACCGGATTGGACGAATTTTAATTATTTGGTAGAGAAAATGAATATTTTGAGGAACACAACTACTAGTAATACAAAATATGTGGCGTTGAATTTTTTCGAATTTGATGATGGATTTATTCGATTTGGCGGGCTTCAATTGGGATATCGTGAGTTTTTTTGAGGGAAAAAAAGTGGGCGCTGCTTATTTTTCTCTGCGTCTCTCGAAATAATGCATAGGCGCTGCTTATTCACATAAAATAAGCAGCGCCTATAGTTAATTTTGAGAGACGCAGAGAAAAAGATAGGCTCCGCCCACTTTTACACAAGAAAAAAGATAAGCAGCGCCTATGCTTTATTTCGAGAGACGCAGAGAAAAATAAGCAGTGCCCACTTTTCTGAGAAAAATGTGGGCGCTGCTTATTTTTCTCTGCGTCTCTCGAAATAATGCATAGGCGCTGCTTATTTGTTCTTCCCTTGAAATAAGCTCCGCCCACTTGGAGAAATAAGCAGCGCCCATGAGAGACGCAGAGAAAAATAAGAAGCGTCTGAATTTGCTGACGCATTTTTTGTAGCTCTAATTTTCAGCCAAAGTGTTGCCAGACGATGTGATAGATCAAATCGCGGGAAATTTGTGAGTTTTTTTTTCAGAAAATACAATTTCAGCCCCAAAAACCCCGCATTTTTCAGTGTTCACAAATTCGTCAAACCCATCAACGAAAACTACGAATTCCCTCTGAGATTCCCCTTCATCTACCCAGAAGATCGTGTAAATCCCACGAATAACTCGTGGAAATGCGCATTTTGTATCTCAATTGGAATCGGCACATTTCTCTTGGTGATTTTCACAATTTTCGCCTCATTTTATATCAAAAATTTGGGAAAATTGATCGAAAATCGATTGATGGAACAAGGAGAAAATCAGAAGAAAATATCGGAGAAAAAAAGCGAGGAAAATGTGGGGAAAATTCGAAAGAAACCGTCGAAAACTAGGAAAATTGCGGCGAAAAAGAGAAAAACTATATTAGATGTTGATATTTGACGATAAATGAAGGGTTTTTGTGGATTTTTTGTTTTTGGCCTGATTTCAGGCCTAGTTTCAAGCCGAAACATTCATTATTCACAAGTCTGTGTATCTTTCAATTCAGATTTCCTCGAAGGTTTCGATCTTTTCCCCTTCTCCAGCGCCTCCTTCGATTTTACAGGTTCATCTCTAGTCTTAAACATATCCGAAAGAGCATTTTCCTGAAACGCAATCAATTCCTCATTATATCCATTCGTGGCTCGCGGAGCTTCCGGTTTCTTTTGCGGAGTTTTGCAAATCCGCGTCGCTCTTCCTTTTGATGGCTCCACTTTTTCGACGGCGCTTATCTCTTCTTGAATAACATTTTCTTCGGCGATGGGTTTTTTGGATGAAACTGAACTCGAGAAATCCGATGCCGATGCTAACATTCTCCTCTGATTTGTGGTTCTATTTTTCTTCTTTGAACAAAAAAATCCGCAAATTGCTGAAAAACGAAAAAAAGTTGGGCGGCTGCTGGGGGTCGAACCCTGGCTTTGCAAAAGCTAGGCAAAAGTGGATACCACTCGGCCACACAGCTACTTTGTTGAGCCGTCGAAATTGTCATATTTAAAAGAGCTACAAGCGGAACTTACTCGAAAAAATCAATAATGAATAGAAAATTATATTGATTTGGAGCATTTTTTATTTATCATTTATTCAGGAACTAAAAATGACGAGATTTTTGGCGGGAAAATATCGGTCGCGCTCTATATTTTTTACGTGAAAAAATTTTTTCGAGTTTTTTTTTAGCGCGGCTAATATGAGCAATGAATTTTTCATTTTATAAGCTTTGAGTAGAAAAAAATTTTGTTCTAGAACTTTGGAACCATAGTAGCCCGATTGGTAGCTAGCTATGCTTTTGACGAATTCAGAAAATTTATATTAAGCTTCATCAAAAATATTCAACAATAATTAATTAATCAAGAAAAATCCCAATTTCCCAACGGAACTCCACACACAAATCCATGAATCGTGACAGTTTCCGGAGAATCATTACAAATATTAACTCTCGATGAAGTTGTCTCTCTCATAATAATCGTCAAATAATTCTCCTGTGTTCCAGAATACCATCGAGATGGTTCATTAGTCATCCAATTAATAAATGTCGGATAATTTGTATAATTATTCGACCATTCAAAATCATCACACCAAATATTTGTCGAGTTATAGCAACTTGATTTTCTCTGACCATCCAATCCGAAAAATCGATAAGTTAGGGAATTTGCGAGAATTTCTGATGTTATGTATGCAACTTCTGCCGCGTTATCGAATCCTGTTGGAAGTGCTGAATATTGAGAGCAATATGAGATATTTCTTTTGAAACCAGTTGTTTCATAGATCAATTTCATACACCAAATTCCACGAGTTCGTGTAAATTGTTTATATCCATCAGGACAAGTTTCATAGCTAAATGTTGAATCTGAACTTGAAAATTGATATGCGATTCCATTTACATCACCGGATAAATTGACATCGGAAAATGAAGAAGAACATTTTGAACTGGAGGAGTTTGTCTAGAAGAAAATGATGGGGGACTAGGTTTTGCATGGGATTTCTAGTCCCCAGCGCTTTCATGGAAGTTTGTAAAGTTAGAAGAAATCTAGAATCCAGAATTATACATTTTTACCTAAAATCTGTTGTTTTTCCTGGCGGACAACAAAATCCGCATTTTGCCACGGGATACGTTTTACTTTCAACCAGAAGATCAGCCGGTATTGAATCCTTCATTTTTGTTTTGCGAAATTATAAGAATTTTGAAACGTATATTTTCAAGATTGAGTTTCTGAGAATTTTTGATTCACATTTGCCAACTATCTAGAGCCGAACCTATTTTCGAGAGATATCCAAATTTTTTTGCCACGTCATAAATCCTCTCGACTTACCTTAATTCCAACAATAGTTTGTAAACTATCATTTTTGTGATAGGAATTGACTTGATAAATAGAATAAATAGAACAAGATTGAGAAGATGGAATATAAAATAGAGAAACACAATTTATATTTGATAAACATACATTTGAACATGATTCATATGAATCTGAAGTTGTTTTGCTTAAAACATCCGACACATTCAATGTTCCATAGATTAAGATAATCTGGTAGCAAGAAATCTGAAAAGGTTCGAGGTTAGGGGAAAAAAATCTCGGGAAAAATCTCACTGTTTCAAGGAAAATATAGCTGAAGAAAAACGGAGCAACACTCATTCAAAAATGAAATATAAAAAAATGATGATGATTTTTTTTTGTGGAAAAAAATAGTTTCGGCTCATTTATTTTATCGGGCTACCATGGTTATTTTTTCTGTAATTTTCATCCGAAAATTGGAAATTTTAGACGGATCTATGTAAACTATAAAAGGCAAATTTTCATTAGGAAAAAATCAAATTTAATTTTAAATTAAAGTGTCGATTCTTGAAATAAACTTTGGAGCATAATTGGCCATTTTGTCTGAAAAATTTGAATTTCAGATTTGATTTTAAAATTCTGCAAATTTTCTTACCTTGTTTATGCCTATTCGAACATTTTCGATAATTTTTCTGAAAAAAAAAATTCAAAAAAAAAAATTCAAAACCCAAAAATGTTCTTACCTCAAAAAATCGCCTTATAAAAATAGTTGAAGCTAGAATTACTGTAGTTTAGATACAGTAAATAAAGTACCACATTTTCAGCACAAAATGAATGAGAAATAGTAAAAAATCCCAAAAAAAATTGGCAATGTGTTCTCTTTTTTCTCTGCGTCTCTCGCTTGGCATCGCGCCAAAGACGCCGAGAAGCTTTTTCTCCTCCCATTTTCTTCTCGAAAGTTTTTTGGGGCCTAAAAAGTTTACGGACTGCAAGGGGGGTACTGTAGCCTACGAGTTACTGTAATTTTGTGAATTGCAAAGAATTACTGTAGCTTTAGGAATTGCTGTAGTTCTCAGACTGCAAGGTACAGGGTGGCTGATAAGTATACAACGCTGTGTTTTAAGTAGTAACTAATGATTTGGCGTGAAATTTTTCTCAGGATATTTTTTCTCGTGTTACTAGAGACCTAACGAACACTGTTTGATAATAGTTTAATTGATGTTTCAATTGGTCCCCAGTTCTGATTCCGATTTAGCGAACAAAAATTGAGGGGGTGCGCCGCCCTAGTTAGTAAGGTTCGGGGTGTTCTAAACGGACTCAAAATGGGCCAATATAGATGGAAATTTTTTTTTGAAATGTCAGAGGTTTAATTTTAATGTTCCAGTACACATCTGATGAAAATTCATCATTTTGAGTTCCTGGAGAACCTTCGAAGTCAAAACTCAAAAAATCACTTTTTCCCAATTTTTCCGAAAAAATTTTTTTTTTCAAAATACTTGAAATTCTGCGGATTTTCAAAATATTTTCCTGTTGGATAGGATAGAAGTAGATGTTTCAGAAAAATGAACTAACGATTTCAATTGTTAATTCGAAATTTTCGGGTAAAATGTGAAATTTTTCGAAAAATGAAGATGTCTAGCAAATTTCGATAGTTATGACGGTCAGAATTTTCAAAACGTGATGTGATGATTGTAATGGGTTGAGAACATCATAATTGTTCATATTCAGAAAGTTGAGATCTCATTTTAAGCTCTAGCTCATATCACAGTACGCTAAACTGTCAACACTCAAAAAACAACAGTTTCGCGGCGCACACAAATTCCGATTTTCTGAAACGGTGCTCTTGAACTGAATTTTTTTTGAATAAGGTTTATGAATGCTGCAAATAGAACATAATGATGTCTAAAAAGTGTGTCTGGTTGTATATAACTGATTTCTTCGTTTTGCACAAAGTTCTGATAGAGGAAAGTTGACCTAAAATCAATGTAAAATGGTCCTTTTTCAGCTGAAATCACCAATACACACCCAAAAATGAACTTTTCTTAAAACACTCTCAAATTAGCTTTCTAGACTCATTGGACTATCCGATCAACACTTAACATAAGAAAAATGACAATCGGGGACTTTCTGGGAAGGGCTTGAAAAACGTTGTATACTTATCAGCCACCCTGTATACTGTAGCCTACGAGATACTGTAACTCCTGAGCTTCGAGAGATTGAGAACTGCAAGAATTACTGTGGCTTCCAGAATGCAAGGGGTACTGTACCTGTACTATGCCTACAAATAATTGTAACTCCCGAACTGCAAGGTATACTGTAGCCTACCAGTTCGCGTAATTTTTGAACAGTAAGGAAAATTGTAGCTTACGGGTTACTGTATCTAATTATTGAACTGCAAAGACTACTGTGACTAATGAACTGCAAGGAATTCCGAGCTGCAAGAAATACTGTAGTCTAAAGAAAGCTGTAGTCTTCAGACTGCAAGGATTACTGTAAGCCTGGGCGGAAAATTTGAATTTTTACTGATAAAATCTTTATTTTTCAACACCAAAAATCAATAAATCAATCAAAATCCCAATTTCCCAACGGAACTCCACACACAAATCCCTGAATCCACGCGGCATACGAAGCATCATTGAAAATATTGACTTCCGAACCGCCACTAATCACAATAATCGTCATATAATCCTCCTGATATACAGAAGTATATCTGGAAGGTTCACCAGCCAGCCAATTGATTAAAGTGGGATAACTTGTGTAATTATTCGACCAGATATAATCATCACACCAAACAGCGCTGGAATTATAGCATGAAGGACTTCGCAAACCATCCATGCCGAAATAACTTCCAGTTAGGGAAAGTGACACAATTTCTGAAGTGATGTATGCAACTTCAGCTGAATTATCGAAGCCTGTTGGAAGTGCATCATTTTTTTCACAGTAATCAAAATCAAATGGGAATGTTGCTGTTTCATAGATCAATTTCATACACCAAATTCCACGAGTTCGTGTAAATTGTTTATATCCATCAGGACAAGTTTCATGACTGAAAGTGGAATCTGAACTTGAAAATTGATATGCGATTCCATTTACATCACCGGATAAATTGACATCGGAAAATGAAGAAGAGCAGGTTGAACTAGAAGTGTTTGTCTGGAAGAAAATGATGGGGGACTAGGTTTTGCAAATTCTAGTCCCTCTGATTTTATTGGTTTCGATAAGCTAGAGGTTCTAGAGATCTTCTTAATTTGTCAATTTTAAACGTCACTCCGCAATGACAACCCCATGTTTTTCGGCGGGAAATTTTTCAAGTTAAATCGCCGCGAGACCAACGGCAGAACCGTACTCTTCCCCGTCGGTCAGGTGAATCGCTGCGAGACCACACAAAATCTCTGCGTCTCTCATGAACTGCATTTTTCCATTGGAAAAAAACACAGTGAGTTGAACTAGATGAGTTTGTCTGGGGAAACCTAAAATTGGAATTGGGGACTAGGTTTTGCATGGAAATTTTAGTCCCCCTAATTTCTTTTGCTCATTTTATAGAATCAAAATACATATCAATTTTTCAAGCATTCTTTGAAATATGAAAATTTTGAAACGTATAAATCAGGGAAAAGATTTCTGAGATACTACACTATCTCAGAAGCCCCTTGACTTACCTTAATTCCAACAATAGTTTCCAAACTATCATTTTTGTGATAGGAATTGACTTGATAAATAGAATAAATAGAACAAGATTGAGAAGATGGAATATAAAATAGAGAAACACAATTTATATTTGATAAACATACATTTGAACATGATTCATATGAATCTGAATTTGTTGTGCTTAAAACATCCGACACATTCAATGTTCCATAGATCAGGATAATCTGGTAGCAGCAGATCTGGAATTTTTTAAAATTGGCTCTAAAAATCTTGGGAAAAATCTCACTGTTTCAAGCAAAATAAAGCTGAAAATAAGGGCAGAAATCATCAAGAATAAAAATAATGAAAGCTATTTTGTGTTTCCTTTTTTCGCCAAAACCATGGTAGCCCGAATCGAAGTGTTTTATTGGCCGAATCTTTCGAGCTATCGTATTTTTCGAGTTGGAATTTTTGAGCATCAAAACACGCTGGGGGGACTAGAATTTGCATTCTGCGAAACCTAGTCCCCCCCCCCTTTTTTTTAGATCATCGGAACAAAACATCATTTTGTTCGGGAAACTATGGAGAATAGTTTTGTTCCCCATTATTCTTCACAGACTAAAAAATGATCTTCTCCTTGTTTCTGGTTTTCATTTTGTTCCAAACAGTAAGCTTTCCCTTTCAGTAGAAGGAGAAACTTCAAATGTGAATTTTTCCAGATTTCTTGCTACCAGATAATTCTAATCTATGGAACATTGAATGTGTCAGATGTTTTAAGCACAACAAATTCAGATTCATATGAATCATGTTCAAATGTATGTTTATCAAATATAAATTGTGTTTCTCTATTTTATATTCCATCTTCTCAATCTTGTTCTATTTATTCTATTTATCAAGTCAATTCTTACAACAAAAATGATAGTTTACAAACTATTGTTGGAATTAAGGTAAGTCAAGGGATTTATGTGATATTGTAGTATCCATTCAGGAATCTTTTCTCTGATTTATACGTTTCAAAATTTCCATATTTCAAAGAATGATTGAAAAAAACCGATATTGTTGCGAAATCCTCTCCAAAGATCTGTAAAGTGAACAAAAGAAATTGGGGGGGGGGGGACTAGAATTTCTAAACTGCAAAACCTAGTCCCCAATTCCAATTTCAGCTTTTCCCAAGACAAACCATCTAGTTCCACTTCTGTTCAAACTTGATCACGAGCTTCTAAACCTGCAGGAATTCCGATGGTGGAAATGCGGAGTGTCGTATTTTGTAATTTACCACCGAAATATATGGGGATGTCATTGCGGAGTGTCGTTTAAAATTGACAACTTAAGAAGATCTCTAGAGCCTATAGCTTCTACAATTTGCAAAACCTAGTCCCCCATCATTTTTCTTCCAGACAAACTCCACCAGCTCAACCTGTCCCTCTTCATTTTCCGATATCGATTTATCTGGTGATGTAAATGGAATCGCATATCAATTTTCAAGTTCAAATTCAAGTTTTAGCTACCAAACTTGTCCTGATGGATATAAACAATTTACACGAACTCGTGGAATTTGGTGCATGAAATTATATGATTTTCAAACTGCACCAATCAATTTTGATAGCACATTTTGCTCTCAATATTCAGCACTTCCAACAGGATTTGATAATTCAGATGAAGTTAGCTATATAACATCAGAAATGGTAACCAATTCCATGTTTCAAATGGATGTTGGCGTTGATGGCCTACGAAGTTCTTCCTGCTACAATTCCACAGATATTTGGTGTGATGACTTCGAATGGACAAATAACTACACATCTTATCCGATGTTTATTAATTGGTCACCCAATAATCCATCTCGATGGATTTCGGGACTTCAAAAAAATCAATTATTATTGAATTAAAAACACGTGAGAAATAAAAAACTAGGTCAAGTGATGTGGATTTAAAAACAGTATAGGTAGCCATGTCGTCAATTGCGATGCGGTTCTGCGTTGCGTGTTGACCTCGATATTTTCCATTGGATTTGTCAGATTTTCATTTCTAAAAACGTGTCGCCCACACGCATCGCAACTGACGACATGGCTGCCTATACTGTTTTTAAATCCACGTCACTTGACCTAGTTTTTTATTTCTCACGTGTTTTTAATTCAATAATATCGATTTATGTCTGGAGTTCGGATGATACTGTGGATATTTTTGATAATATGGCTTGTGATGGAATGTTGATTTATGGTTTTGTTTGTGGTGTTCCATTGGGAAATTGGGATTTTGACTAGGTTTAGGTGCATACTGCACCTAAAGCTAATGTTGGAAATAAAGTTTTTCATTTGAATTTTTGTGTCTGAAACCATAGCAGCCGGGGATCATTAAAACATAATAAAAACTTGTTTTCATGAGCCGAATTATTCGGGAAACTATGGTGTTGTTGAAAAACAAGCTTTTTCATTATTTTTTTCCTTGTGAGAGATGATTTGCAGCGTGTTTCTTAGTTTTGTTTTGATTGAAACAGTGAGATTTTCCCTAGATTTTTCTAGCCAATTTCAGACAGTTTCCAGATCTCTTGCTACCAGATAATTCTAATTTACGGAACATTGAATGTGTCGGATGTTTTAAGCACAACAAATTCAGATTCATATGAATCATGTTCAAATGTATGTTTATCAAATATAAATTGTGTTTCTCTATTTTATATTCCATCTTCTCAATCTTGTTCTATTTATTCTATTTATCAAGTCAATTCCTATCAAAAAAATGATAGTTTACAAACTATTGTTGGAATTAAGGTAAGTAGTTATGACGTGGCATATTTCGAATGATCTTACGTTAGTTATGCAAACCCTAACAATAAGTCAGGAGAAATATACGTTTCAAAATTTATAGAATTTACAAAGGGCGATAGAGGTTTTGATATCTCTATTGATCACGAATTAAAAATATATGATTTCCGAATTTTTCTTGATTGTGCGGATGTTTGACACAAAAAATCTAGTTTTTCTGAGAACCCAAGAGGGGTACTAGAAATCCCATGCAAAACCTAGTCCACCATCATTCTCTTCCAGACAAACTCCACCAGTTCAAAAACCTGTCCCTCTTCATTTTCCTCTATCGATTTATCTGGTGATGTAAATGGAATCGCATATCAATTTTCAAGTTCAAATTCAAGTCTTAGCTATGAAACCTGTCCTGATGGTTACACTCAATTTACCCGAACTCGTGGAATTTGGTGCATGAAGTTATATGATTTCTCAACAGCTCCAATTTACTTCGACACCTCCTATTGCTCTCAATATTCAGCGCTTCCAACAGGATTCGACAACGCAGATGAAGTTGCCTTCATAACATCAGAAATGGTAACCAATTCCATGTTTCAAATGGATGTTGGAATTGATGGACATCGAATTCCCTCATGTTATAATACCACAACAATTTGGTGTGATGATTATGAATGGTCGAATAATTATACAAGTTATCCGACTTATGTGAATTGGTCAGCTTGGAATCCGAGTCGCTGGACTTCGGATTTCCAGGAGAATCAGATGTCAATTTATCTATGGAGTTCGAGCACCCTTGTTGATATTTACAATGATATTTCTTGCGAGGGTTTGATCTATGGATTTGTCTGCGGTGTTCCATTAGGCAATTGGGATTTTGATTAATTTTGTTTGTGGATAAAAAAATAAATCTTTTATTGTTCCCAGTTTCCCAACGGGGCCCCACATACAAAACCATAAACATTAGCAATTGCTGCGATATCATTACAAATATCAACTAAATTAGTTTCAGCATCAATCCGAATTGCTAGCTTATTTTCCTGAGTTGTTGTAATCCATCTAGACGGGCTTGAAGCTGTCCAGTTAATATAAGTCGGATAATTTGTATAGTCATTAGACCATTCATAATCATCACACCAAACTATTGTTGAGTTATAACAGCTTGATTTTCTACTTCCATCAATTGCAACATCCATTTTTAACATGGAATTTGATACAATTTCTGATGTTATATACACAACTTCATCCGAATTATCGAATCCTGTTGGATATGCTGAATATTGGTTACAATAAGATAGATCATATTTAGTTTTGTTGTCAAATTTGTATAGTTTCATACACCAAATTCCACGAGTTCGTGTAAATTGTTTATATCCATCAGGACAAGTTTGGTAGCTAAAACTTGAGTTTGAACTTGAAAATTGATATGCGATTCCATTTACATCACCGGATAAATCGATTTCGGAAAAGGAAGAGGGACAGGTTTTTGAACTGGAGGAGTTTCCCTGGAAGAAAATTATGGGGGACTAAAGATTTTTAGAAGAGTTTGCCAACAGCCCATCAATTTTTATTCAAGCTTTCTTCAAAATTTGAAAATTTTGAAACGTATAAATCAGGGAATCTAGTATTCCAGATTCCTTATATAGGCCACCTCATCAATCTCTCGACTTACCTTAATTCCAACAATAGTTTCCAAACTATCATTTTTGTGATAGGAATTGACTTGATAAATAGAATAAATAGAACAAGATTGAGAAGATGGAATATAAAATAGAGAAACACAATTTATATTTGATAAACATACATTTGAACATGATTCATATGAATCTGAATTTGTTGTGCTTAAAACATCCGACACATTCAATGTTCCATAGATTAGAACTATTTGGTAGCAAGAGATCTGGAAATTTTCTGGAATTGTTCTGATTCAGAAAGGATAATCTTACGGTTTCAATCAGAATAAACGTGAGGAATGGGAAAATAATTTTGAATAATGATGAGGCTATGAATTTTTCTCGAAAAAAAGCAATAGCTTATTTATTGCATCGGGCTGCCATAGTTTCCGAGAAAGATCAAGAACAATTTTCAAAGTTTTACAGTATTCTTCCCGATGTGAAAACCATGGCAGCTCAGATCATCGAGCATACGTTATACTAAGAACATTGATGATATATACGGGTAACTATGGTTTCTATTAGTGAACCAAAGGCTCATTCTTCATTATTCTTTAAAGACCTTCGATGATTTCACCACTACTCCTTCTCAAATTGATTTTGATCGAAACCGTAAGATTTTCCCAAGGTTTTTCGGGCCAATTTCAAAAAAATTCCAGATCTGCTGCTATCAAATAATTCTAATCTATGGAACATTGAATGTGTCGGATGTTTTAAGCACAACAAATTCAGATTCATATGAATCATGTTCAAATGTATGTTTATCAAATATAAATTGTGTTTCTCTATTTTATATTCCATCTTCTCAATCTTGTTCTATTTATTTTATTTATCAAGTCAATTCCTATCTCAAAAATAATAGTTTACAAACTATTGTTGGAATTAAGGTAAGTCACGGGATTTATGACGTGGTAAATTAGAAATTATTTTTCTTTTTTCTAGACAAACTCCTCCAGTTCAAAAACCTGTCCCTCTTCATTTTCTGATGTCAATTTATCCGGTGATGTAAATGGAATCGCATATCAATTTTCAAGTTCAAACTCAAGTTTTAGCTACGAAACTTGTCCTGATGGATATAAACAATTTACACGAACTCGTGGAATTTGGTGCATGAAATTATATGACTTTCAAACTGCTCCAATCACTTTTGATAGCTCATTTTGCTCTCAATATTCAGCATATCCAACAGGATTCGATAATTCAGATGAACTCAGTTACATAACATCTGAAATTGTGTCAACTTCGATGTTGAAAATGAATATTGGAATTGATGGACATCGAATTCCCTCATGTTATAATTCAACAACAACTTGGTGTGATGATTTTGAATCATCGAATAATTATACATCTACTCCACCATTAATTAATTGGGGAGCTTGGAATCCTTCTAGACGGAATGGTTCTGTTTTGGAGAATGAACTATCAGTTTGGCTTCAAAATGCAAGTACTCTTGTTGATATTTTTGGTGATATTGCTAGTGATAAACTTGTTTATGGATTTGTTTGTGGAGTTCCGCTGGGAAATTGGAATTTTTCTTGATTGATTTTCGGATTTGATGTGAAAATAAAGATTTTCTTGAAAAATTGTGTTTCTCTATTTTGAAAAATGATGAGGCTATGAATTTTCTTTGCTCAATCGGGCAGCCATAGTACCCAAGAAAGATCAGGACCAATTTTCTGAATTTCACAGTATTCTGAAAACCATGGTAGCTAGAGTACACACTATAATAGAAAGAATGCGTTTTATGATGATTTGGGGAATTCGGGGAGCCATGGTTTCTAAAATAAAAGCAAAATATATATTTTCATCGTTATTCATTAAAGACCTTCTATATGATCTTCCCACTTTATTTCTTCATTGAAACAGTGAGATTTTCCCCAGATTTTTCGAGCCAATTTCAAAAATTTTCAGATATCTTGCTACCAGATTATCCTGATCTATGGAACATTGAATGTGTCGGATGTTTTAAGCACAACAAATTCAGATTCATATGAATCATGTTCAAATGTATGTTTATCAAATATAAATTGTGTTTCTCTATTTTATATTCCATCTTCTCAATCTTGTTCGATTTATTCTATTTATCAAGTCAATTCCTATCATAAAAATGATAGTTTGGAAACTATTGTTGGAATTAAGGTAAGTCAAGGGATTTATGACGTGGCAAAATGAAAAAAAAATACCATAACAGTCATGGTGAGGACTTTGATTTACTAGAAGTTTGAGATGAATAAACTTCTAGAATCGTCGAAGTTTTATAAACTAGACTCAAGTCATTATTCTAACACCTAGTGTTCCAAACTGTACGATTAAAAAAAGATATCCAAGCTCAAAAGGACTAGGGGGGCGAGTTTACCCAAGATTGAAAAACCTAGAATGCTAGATCAAAATCTGCTGGGGACTAGAATTACCTAACTGCAAAACCTAGTCCCTCATCATTTTCTTCCAGACAAACTCCTCTAGTTCAACCTGCGCTTCTTCATTTTCCGAAATCAATTTATCCGGTGATGTAAATGGAATCGCATATCAATTTTCAAGTTCAGATTCCACTTTCAGTCATGAAACTTGTCCTGATGGATATAAACAATTTACACGAACTCGTGGAATTTGGTGTATGAAGTTATATGATTTTTTAACGTCTCCGATCACTATTGATTGCTCATATTGTTCTCAATATTCAGCCTATCCAACAGGATTCGATAACTCGGATGAACTTAGTTACATAACATCAGAAATTGTGTCAATTTCACTTTTCAAAAAGAATATCGGAATTGATGGACATCGAAGTTCATCCTGTTATAATTCCACAACAACTTGGTGTGATGATTTTGAATCTTCAAACAATTACACATCTTCTCCACCTTTAATTAATTGGAGTAGTAATAATCCTTCTAGACGAGATGGTTCTGTTTTGGAGAATGAGCTTTCAGTTTGGGTTCGAGATGCAGATGCTGTTGTGGACATTTTTGGTGATATTGCTAGTGATAGACTTGTTTATGGATTTGTTTGTGGAGTTCCGCTGGGAAATTGGAATTTTTCTTGATTGATTTTCGGATTTCATGTGAAAATAAAGATCTTTTGAACTTTTTCAGAAATACAGTAATCTTTTTTCATAGTTTCATGTTGAAACCATGGTAGCCCGATTGAACAAATGCGCGTAGTTGCGTAAAAATTCATAGCTTCATCTTTTCCAATGATTTTCCCACGACTTCTCTTCAGCTATATTTTGCTTGAAACAGTGAGATTTTCCCAAGATTTTTTGGGCCAATTCCAGACAATTTCCAGATCTCATGCTACCAGATTATCTTAATCTATGGAACATTGAATGTGTCGGATGTTTTAAGCACAACAAATTTAGATTCATATGAATCATGTTCAAATGTATGTTTATCAAATATAAATTGTGTTTCTCTATTTTATATTCCATCTTCTCAATCTTGTTCTATTTATTCTATTTATCAAGTCAATTCCTATCACAAAAATGATAGTTTGCAAACTATTGTTGGAATTAAGGTAAGTCAAGGGATTTATGACGTGGCAAATTAGAAATTATTTTTCTTTTTTCTAGACAAACACTTCTAGCTCAACATGCCCTTCTAAATTTTCCGACATCAATTTATCCGGTGATGTAAATGGAATCGCATATCAATTTTCAAGTTCAAATTCAAGTTTAAGCTACGAAACTTGTCCTGATGGATATAAACAATTTACACGAACTCGTGGAATTTGGTGTATGAAACTGATCTATGAATCAGAAGAATTCCCCATAGATTATGAATATTGTGCCAAGAATTCCGCGCTGTTAAGCGGTTTCGATAACGCGGAAGAGGTTGAATATATAACCGGAGAAATTATTGCGATTTCCCTGACTGGTTATTATTTCGGAATGGATGGAAGGAGAATATCAAGTTGCTATAACTCAACAACAACTTGGTGTGATGATTTTGAATGGACGAATAATTATACAAGTTATCCGATGTTTATCAATTGGATTCCAGGTCAACCTTCTAGATATACGTATGTATATCAGGAGAATAATATGACGATTAATGTGAAAAGTGCGGATTCTAGAATCTATGTTTTCAACGATGCTTCGTATGCTGCATGGGTTTATGGATTTGTGTGCGGAGTTCCGTTGGGAAATTGGGATTTTTCCTAATTTATTAGTTTTTGGGAGGTTTTGTTGTGTAAAAATAAAACGTTTGTTGAAGCGAATTTTCCAAACGTGACCGAATTTTTCCCCGAAAAAAAATCTAGCAGCTATATAAGACAGAAATCCCGTAAATTCTCTCAGTTTTGATAAATAATTTCTAAATATTTTCGATCGATATACTAACTAATGACTGGTCGATATGCTAATAGTCTTGTTCCTGGAAGACGAATTTTAGATGAGGAGCACGCTTGTGCAATGGCCGGATATTTTGTGCACAATTCCTATATGGATGATGAATCTGAGATTGAGGAGAATGTGGAGGCGGAGCCGGAGCTTGGTCAAAATGAGAATGAGCAAGAAAATGTGGCTGGTGTTGAAGAAGGTTTGAATTTTCTGTAACTTCAAACCTTATCGCGAAATTTACAGAGCCAGCCAACATATTTGCACAATTGTCAGCACAACCTGCACCCAAAGTGAGAAAAAATATGCGTAAAATATCTTCCGCCCCAAAACCAGTGCCTCGTCGAGGAACTCGCAAACGAAAGGCTCCGACTCGATTGGTTATGTCACGGGGTGCGAAAAAATACAAGTTGGAGGAACTCAAGTATAGAGGAAAGTGATGAGTCAGCTTATAAATCATTTTTTGCAAGATATCTGACACTAAATAAAATTCGGAATAGAGAGCTTTAGGAGGCTTTAGAAGGCTTTAGAGAGCTTCGGAGGCCTTTGGAGAGGTTAAGGGGCGGCTCAAGATAGCTTCGAGGAGCTCTAGAGACCTAGGGAGAGCTTTAGTGGGTTCAGAAGCAGAAGGATTAGCATTACAACCCCGGAAAATCAATATAACCAAAAAAACAACAAAAAACGAAAAATAAAAAAAAATTCTGGAAAATCCGCTGGTTGCAAAATAAGCTTTAAGTAGATACCTTTAAGGGCTTTAGTGGGTTCAGAAGAATTCTGAAGTAGGTTCTGCTGATTTCAAAACCAAAAAATCAATAAAATTCAAGCCCCTCCCCCCAAAAAACAGCAAAAAAAAACGAAAAATGAAAAATTCTGGAAAATCCGCCCGTTGCAAAAAACGCGTCAGTCTTTTGCCACTGACGCGCATTTGAAAAATTATCGATTTTTCAGAATGCGTCAACGCGAAAAGAACTGACGTGTTTTGTGTAGTTTTGAATTTTTCTTTTTTTTTTTCGTTTTGTCGGCGAAAACATGTAAATCCAAAAAAAATTTCCAATTTCAGAATGCTTAGACCTCGCGGAACAACAAAAACAACATTACCCGGTCAAAAACTCGAAGTTTCCACCGATCCCTTTGCAAAATGTATGAAATGTGATGCTGCATTGAGTGGAATCACAAAATTCCCGAAAACCATGGAGGATTTGTCGATTTTCCTCAATTGTGCTCATGTTTTTTGCGCAAAATGTGTGAAACTACACGGTATATTTTCATCTTTCTTCTCAAAATGTACGAGAAAAATTTTCAGATTCGAATTCCTCCGCTGTGAACAGATCTCGACCAGCTCACTGTTTCTACGATTTTCAGTGTGGAATTTGTGGTTTGATGAGTGCTCCATTGACAATTCCCAATAATATTCGAATTTGTGAACGAAAATATTGTGATGAATGCTTGGAAAGTGAAGATTGGTAGGAAAACAACCAGATTTCTGGGTTGACCGCGACGCACACGCAACGCATACGCGCCGCAATCGATTGTTTTTGCAGCAAATGTGAAGTGTGCCTTTCAATCTCAACTCCAACATCAAAAATCAATAATATGGCCTATTGTAAAATGCATGAAAACCGGAAAATCGAATATTATTGCAAGAAATGTGGAAAACATCTTTGTCAAATTTGTAAACAGCAATTCAAGGCGGATTTTAAGGATGGGGAACATATTTTGACTGAAATTGTTGAAAAAGACTTGGAAATTGAGGATGATTTGATGAAAGTCGCTGATTTTTATGAGAAAATTGAGAAAATCGAGAAAAATGCGCGAAATTCAATGGAAAATATGGAGAATTTCTCGAAAACAATGAAAAAATCGATAAATGCGAGCTTTCTTTCAATAATCAACACGGCAATTCATCGATTTTCACGAATTTTGACGGGAATTCGTGAAAAAGAGACGTATGTGCAAAAAATTGCGGGAGATTTGATGGAAAATTGTTGGGAGGCAAAAAGAAGAATTGAAATTGCGAAAGAAATTGATGATTTGGCAAGAGATCAATTATTGATTGATGAGGTACATGTGGCGGATTGTTATCAAATGATTGCTCAGAATATGTTTAGGAAATCGGAGGAGATTTTTGAAGAGGCGAATGTGAGGTTTTGGAGGATTTTTATGGGGAAATTGGGTGGAAAATTGAATTTTTCAGTGAAATTCATGCTAGACATCTGAAAAATCGATTTTTCTTGTCCTAGAAGTGAAATTATCGATTTTTCAGATCCTGAGGCTGAAATTAACTGAAAAATATGATTTTTACATCTAAATTGATGCTAAAATCAGAAAAATCGATAATTTTCCAATTCTTGACTTGAAAACCTGGGTTTTTCTCGTCCTAGGATTAAATTTATCGATTTTTCTAAGTTTCCGCTTGAAATTTGTTGAAACAATGCATTTTTCAGTGAATTTCATGCTAGAAATGCAAAAAATCGATTATTTTTCAATTCTTGGCTTGAAAACCCGGGTTTTCTCGTCCCAGAATTGAAATTATCGATTTTTCAGGTTCTGAGGCTGAAATTCTGTAAAAAATCTAATTTTTACATCTAAATTGATGCTAGAAATCTGAAAAAATCGATAATTTTTCTGATTCTTGTCTTGAAAACCCGGGTTTTTTTTTGACGTAGAACTGAAATTATCGATTTTTCAGGTTCTGGGCTTGAAATTGGTTGAAAAAATGCATTTTTCAGTGAAATTCATGCTAGAAATTCAAAAAATCGATAATTTTTCAGTTCTTGTCTTGAAAAATCGATTTTTCTCGTCCCAGAATTGAAATTATCGATTTTTCTAAGTAACCGCTTGAATTTGGTTGAAAAACTGAGGATTTCAGTGAATTTCATGCTAGAAATTAAAAAAAATCGATAATTTTTCAATTATTGGCTTGAAATTATCGATTTTTCAGGTTCTGAGGCTGAAATTAATATTCAAAATCCCATTTTTTCCAGAAAAACGAGACAAAGCTGAAATTCGAAGTTTTTAAATGTGGCGAATCACAAACTCCCGTGGAATTAACCCTCCAAATCTTCAATGCTCAAAATTCGCCAATTTATAAAAAATCGCCGAAATTTGCGACGGAAAACGATTTATTTGATGCAAAATTGTTGGGTGAACGAATTGCACGATTTTTTGAGGATTTTGAGAATTTCGATTATAAAGAAATGAGATTTGAGGATGAAAAAGAGGCGGAGACAAATGTGAGCCAAGAATTTTTTCAGTTTTCTTCAAAAATTTCTTTTTTTTCCAGATTCCACAACCAGGTCCAAGTTCATCTTCAAATCCCGTGAAAATCGTACCATTTCCAAGCAAAAAATCCATGGAATATCGGATAAATCGAAAAGTTTTGTCGAAAAATCCAGCATCTATCACAGAGCAGCAGGAGCCAAAGGCTTATCAAGTGAGTTTCAGAAAAATTTTTGTTTTTAGCCGAAAAATTACAGTGCGGCTTCTTGTTACAGTAGATCTCTAGGCGCGGATCCTTGGCATTTAGGTCCTCTAGGCGCCGCACCTTGAGAATTATGATCTCTAGGGGCGGCTTCTAGAGAATGAGTTCCCCTAGGCGCGTCACCTTGACAACTAGAATTTCTGAAGAATTTTGAGTACCTTAAAATATATTTTGTGAATTTTTCAATTTTTATATAAATTTGGTTTCAAAAATTTTCAAAATTTAGTTTTTCGCGCGCCAAAAATTCCACAGAATCTTCTCGAATTTTATTTTTTTTTCCAGATTCCACAGCCAGGTCCAAGTTCATCTTCAAATCCCGTGAAAATCATACCATTTCCAAGTAAAAAATCCATGGAATATCGGGTAAATCAAAAAGTTTTGTCGAAACATCTCGAAACTATTGCAAAACTGCAGGAGCCAATTGTTTATCAGGTTAATTTTTGAACTTACAGTTTACTGGTGCCAAAACTGATTTTTTTTTGAAAAAAAAGAGCTAGAGTAAACTTCTAGATGCTGCTCCTTGAAAACAAGGATTTCTAGGCTCGGCTACGAGATTTAGAAGCTCTCAAGGCGCTGCTACTTGAGAATTAGGTCCTCTAGGCGCGGCTACTTGTCAGAGTAATTCTAGATGCGGATCCTAGGCATTTAGGTACTATAGGCACGGCTGCTTGAGAAACATGCTCCCTAGAAGCTGATCCTAGACAAATAGGTCCTCTAGACACGACTCCTTGTCTGAGTGGTTCTATAGGCGCTACTGCTTGAGAATAAGGCTCTATAGGTGCGGCTGCTTGAAAACTAGGATCTCTAGGCTCGGCTACGAGGTTTAGAAGCTCTCAAGGCGCTGCTACTTGAGAATAAGGCAATAAAGGCGCTGATACTTGAGAATCTCTAGGCGTGGCTCCTTGACAGAGTGGATTTCTAGGTACTGAATCTTGAGAATAAGGCTCTCAAGGCACTGCTCCTTGAAAACTTGGATTTCTAGGCTCGACTACGAGGTTTAGTAGCTCTCAAGGCGTGGCTGCTTGAGAATGAGGTCCTCTAGGCGTGTCTGCTTCAGGATTAGGCTTTCTAGACCTTTCACCTTGAGAATTAGGTTCTCTAGAAGCTGATCTTAGACAATTAGGTCCTCTAGGCGCGACTCCTTGTCACTTTTGTTCTATAGGCCCGGCTACTTGAGAAATAGTTTCTCTAGGCACCGCGCCTTGAAAATTAGGCTCTCAAGGCACTGCACCTTGAGAATAGCGCTCTCAAGACGCGGCTCCTTAACAACTAGGAAAAATTCCCCGATAATTCGAATTTTTGCAGATTCCACAACCAAACCCCGAGAATGTGCTTGCCAAAAATTCGGCGGATCCTAAAACTGTATTTATAAACTCGCTTCATAAATCCAAAATCTACAATTCGCTGTCACCGGAACATCAATTCTATGTGCTGAAACAGGCTGAAATTCTACGCGACGCTGAAAATTTGCGACAAAAACAGGGGAAATTCAGCGATTCGGATGAATTGGTCGCGAACACGATGTATCAAGTTAGAATCAATGAGTTGATTCAGAAATTGTATGAATCGGAGAAAAATAGTGTCAAAAGGGATTTTGGAGCGAAAAATCGAGGTTTTATTGAGAATATGGTGGGTTTTTTGTTATTTCCCGCCAAAAATTGAGTTACAGTAACCCACAGTAATTATCGATTTTTTTCCAGCAAAATCCAAGTACATCTCAACAATTTTTGAAGAAAAATGTGAGTTCTACAGTACCCCAGGACTCTACAGTAACCCAAAAGGAGAAGTCTGCAACTAGAGCTCTCACAGTACGAAAATCGACCCAAGAAAATTCGAATTTGATGGAAAAAGTGCCGAAATCTGAGATCAAAGAGGAAGTGAGTTTTTTTTTTGGATTACTGTAGATTTTTAGCGCGAAAAAATGATCTAGAATTTCATATTTTCCAGATTTCCCCACCACCTCCGAAAGTCGCCAAATTCTCAAAAAAACAATAATGGTGAGCTATTTTTGGCGGGAAAATTTGGGTACTGTATTTTTGGCGCCAAAAACTTATTCAATTTATGATTTTCTAATGTTTAATTAATTTTTTCTAATGAATCCTGAAGTTTTGAAAAATTTTGATTTCAAAAAAAATCAAAAAGAAATATTACTGTAGTTCAGATACAGTACACTCAGTAGAATTTTTCTATACAGAAAAATTTTCAATAAAATTGTCTGCGAACACGATTTTCGGCATAGTGCCAAGATTTTTTTGTTTTCAAAAAAGTTTTTTTTTTTCGTTTTTTGCTGTTGAAAGTTTGAATTTTTTATTAAAAAATTCAATTCTCAAACTCCAGTAGAGCCATTGCTCAGATTATACAATTCCCTCTGATCGTGATCCACACTATTCGAAGATGCTCCACAGAAAACTGTCAACCAAGTTTTGGCTCTTCTGAAATTCAATTTCAGCAAAACTTCCAGATTCGTTTTGTTGCAGAAAATATATGTGATTTGGAATACGACGGGAGTTGTGAAAACATCGGTGAGGAATAGGGGGTAGTAGATCTGAAAATTGAAAACTAGAAATTTTCAGATTTTGTCAATAATCACCGCATTCAAAGTTGTATTCAAACTACTGCTCTCATCAATTTCAGCAAATTTAACACAATAATTTAATAATGGAAAACATAACAACTTCACAATTATCAAAACCAATGTTTGATAAATTATCACTTTTTCAGGACGAGTTTTCATTGCACTTGAAGCAAGTCTTGTGATTTTTCGAACACTTATCAGAATACAAATATAAAATATTGATGAGAATACAACTAGAAAATCGAGGAATATATAAATTGCTGAATTCAAAATTGACCATTCAGTTCTGTGCATAGCGACCCAATCCTGAAAATTGTATGATACAATGTTGTATGTGCTTAGGCGATGTTGCAGATGAGTTTCTCCTCCGAGGAGAAATGAGGAGAAATGGGGCGAAATTCGAAAAATACATTGTTTCTCCTCCACCTGCAACACGTTTCTCCTCTTTCTCCTCAATTAGCTCGGGGGAGAAACTAATCTGCATCATCGCCTTATATGAATCTTACGTTTTTATAATTAATTATCATATCCTTCAAGAGAAAACAAACATAGAAACTATTTCCGAAAATAACTATAGAATATAACCATCGAATAATGCATTTGAACCTTTTCTCACCGGGAACTATATATTTTTCAGAATTCGGATAAAAATAAAGGAGAAATCTTTGAAAAGCCAACAGGAATATTAGAAGATTTTGAATTGGAACAACGATTTGATTAAAAATATAGATCACAAAAATGAGAATGATTTCGATGAGATTCAACAATTTCAAAACCGCCAATGAAACTTCGAAGGGTAGAAAAATCGGGAAAATGATGAGAAGTATGAGAAAAAATGCGGATATAATCATGGTTTGTGAGACAACTGTGATTTTGTAGAGATGATTTGTGATTTGATAGATCGACGATTCTTGGTCCTTCATGCGATTGATTTTTGTGAAATATTTGAATAATGGGAAAATTATGATAATGCTCAGAATATAGAAAAGTAACACAAATACAAAGTATGTGGTCAATATATAAGAAAAATTCTCAAGTTCAAGCCATTCAGGATCACCTATTTCCATTTTCACAAATGAAAACTGAATTTGAATGTGAGCGAGAAAAGCAGATGTTTAGTTTCGAGATGAAATTCGATGACATTTTTGAAATTCACGAGGTTGTTGTGATGTTACAAAGTTAGTTAATTTTTTTTTAATTTTTTCAGTTTGGGAAGTCTGGAATACTATGACGTGGCAGCATTTCAATCACTATAATTCACTGAATTTTGAACATTTGATCTACATACTTACTCTCAACTTGAGACAGAGCAGCTGAATTTGGCTACTAAAAATCCAACTTACATTAGTTTACATTTGACTAATGAGGAAATTCACTAGGTGATGTTACAGCTAACTGTAAGTTTTCAATTTTTTTTCATTTTTTCAGTTTCTTCCTGCCATGGAAATCTGGAATCACTATAACTCGGATTTTTTTTGAAATTTGGATAATTTAAAAAAACCAAAGAAAGTTCACACAAAAATTCGTTTGAATGTTTCATTTTAATTCAATTATACAACTTCAAAAATCACAACAAAATTGAAAAAAATTCAGCTGGCGCGTGAAAGATCAGAACAGATGAATTCAGAAGGTAACCAAACATCCTTTAAGTTCTACTTGAGCTTCCGCTCAGAATATACAATTCACTCTGACTTTGATCAACAATATTCAAAGATGCTCCACAACAGATCGTTTTCCAAGTATTCGCTTTCCTGAATTTTATTTTCTTCAAAACTTCAAGATTTGTTTTGTTACAGAAAATATATGTGATTTGAAATACGATAGGAGTTGTTAAAACATCAATTACGAAAAGAGGAAAGTAGATCTGAAATATTTGAAGTTAGAAAATTGCGGCTTTTCATTGCTCACCGCATTCATAGTCGCATTCAAACCCAAGCTGTCTTCATTCAAAACATATTCAAGAAAATGATATACGATTGGAAAACACAGGAGTTTTACAATAATCAAAACCAAAGTTTGATAAATTATCACTTTTTCTGGACGATTTTTCATTGCATTTGAAGCAAGTCTTGTGATTTTTCGAACACTTACAAGGATGAAAATATAAAATGAAGATGAGAATATGACTAGAAAATCCAGGAATATATAAATTGCCGATTTTAAAATTGAATATTCATTGTTCCACTCCGTAGGGCCAGTCTGCAAAATACAAGTCTATTTGGTTTTCTCTTCCACGGCCTTACCACGTTACGAGAAGAGTATTTGTCAGGGGTATGGAAAATACGAGACTTCCAATCAATTACACTGTACGTCAGAAAATAAATATAGGCAATATTTCCAAAAACAACAGTACAATATAACAATAGAATCAGAAGTTTGAATGATTTGTCAGAAGGAATTATATATTTCTCAGAATTTGGGAAGAAATAAAGGAGGAATCTTTGAAAAGCCAGAAGAAATATTAGAAGATTTTGAACTGGAACTATTACTTGATTGAAAATATAAACCACAAAAAAGAGGATAACTGAAGTTGTGCTAAGTATTCCTCTAACTTCTAATGAGATTGAAAACTTGTCATCAAACATAACAAGCAGGGAAAAAAATACAATAATTAATATTGTTATAATCATAGTTTGTGAGATAACTGTGAGTTTGTAGAGATGATTTGTGATGTGATAAATTGAAGATTCTTGGTCCTTTTTACAATTGATTTTTGTGAAATATTTGAATAATGGGAAAATTATGATGATGCTTAGAATGAAGAGAAGTAATAAAATCATAAAGTATACGAATATTACATTATAAGAGTTTTTGAGTGCGAGCCATTCAGGATCACCTTTCTTCATTGTTTGCAAATGAAAACTGAATTTGATTTTGACTGTAAAAATTCAGCTGTCCTGTTCGAAATGAGAACAGATGGAATTTTTAAAATTCAGGAAGTCGAAGGGATTTTGAATGATTTCAAAAGCAAAAAATCAAACATCTTTAATTGCAAAATCTTTCAAGATCTAGTAGAACCTTCGCTCAGAATATACAAATTACTATGACTTTGATCAACACTACTTGAAGAATTGTATCCACAACAAACAATGCTCCAAGTTTTCAATTTTCTGAAATTCATTTTCTTCAAAACTTCAAGATTTGTTTTGTTGCAGAAAATATATGTGATTTGAAATACGATGGGAGTTGTTAAAAAATCAATGAAGAATAGGGGGAAGTAGATCTGAATTGTAAAAAAATCAGAATATTGATTGTTTAGCACATCATACCGTTTTTATAATCGCATCAAAACTATCGTCGTACCCATTCTTATAAAGAAATGACAGAATTGATATCGGAATGAACAAAAGTTTTACAATTATCAAAATAAATGTTTGATAAATTATCACTTTATCGGGCCTGGATCTCATTACCGTTGAAGACATCTTTGTGATTTTTCGAACACTAATCAAAATACAAAAATAAAATATAGAAGAAAATATAACTAGAGCATCGAGTGCTATATAAACTTCTGAACTTAGACTGGACCATTCAGTTCTGTGCATAGCAACCCAATCCTGAAAATTGTATGATACAATTTTGTATGTGCTTATATGAATCTTACGTCTAAAGACTCCCGATTAATTATCGTATATAAGAGAAAACCAATATAGAAACTATTTCCGAAAATAACTATAGAATATAACCATCGAATAATGCAGTTGAACCTTTTCTCACTTGGAACTATATATTTTTCGGAATTCGGGTAGAAATAAAGAAGGAATCTTTGAAAAGCCAGAAGAAATATTAGAAGATTTTGAATTGGCACAACGATTTGATTGAAAAGATAGATCACACCAAGAAGACAAATTATTATGAAAGATAATACATATTTCACTGATGTTGGGAAATCAAGATTAATCAATATATAACAAAATATGAAAAGTAATGAAGATGTAATCATACATTGCGAGATAGCTGTGATTTTATAAAGATGATTTGTGATTTGATAAATTGACGATTTTTGATCCTTCTTGCGATTGATTTTTATGAAATAATTGAATAATGGGAAACTGGTGACAATGCTCAAAAAATAGAAAAGCATCAAAATTATCACATATGTATCCTCGATTACGTTCAATATTCGTGTGATCCATATAGAACCACCTATCTTCAGCTGTTCATTTTCCTCCATGTTTTTTTGCAAATGAAAACTGAATTTGATTTTTACTGTAAAAATTCAGCTGCCCCGTTCAATATGAAAACAGATGAAATTTTCAAAATTCAGGAAGTTGGTGGGATTTTGAATGATTTCAAAAGCACCAACAAAACATCTCATGCAAAATAAACATGTTTCAATTTCTAGTAGAACCTTCACTCAGAATATACAAATTACTATGACTTTGATCAACACTATTTGAAGAAGTGTATCCACAACAAACAATGCTCCAAGTTTTCAATTTTCTGAAATTCATTTTCTTCAAAACTTCAAGATTTGTTTTGTTGCAGAAAATATATGTGATTTGAAATACGATGGGAGTTGTTAATATATCAATAAAGAAGGAGGAGTAGTAGATCTGAAATTTGAAATCAGAAAATTGACTGTTTAGCACATCATACCGTATTTATAATCTCATAAAAACTATCGTCGTACCCAACCTCATCATAAAAAAACAACCAAATTAATAATGGAATGAACAAAAGTTTTACAATTATCAAAATCAATGTTTGATAAATTATCACTTTTTCTGGACGAGTTTTCATGAAATTTGAAGATCTTGTGATACTTCGAACACTTATCAGAATACAAATATAAAATATAGAAGAGAATATAACTAGAGCATCGAGTGCTATATAAACTGCTGAATTCACAATTGACCATTCATTTCTATGCGTAGTGACCGAATTCTGAAAAATTGTATCCATATCTCGACCAATCCGTGGTTGGCCCGAGTACAATTTTGAAAAATTAAAGTGAATTTCAGCTTTTAGAGGTCAAAAATTGAAGAATTCACAGTTTTCATACTTTAAAAAGTTAGTGTACATTTTTATTTTGGAAACCACGATTTTGGCCGAAATGTGATTGTAAATTCTTATGGTCAAATTTTATGTTTGTACTCATATGAATCTTACATCTCTAGGGGTAGTACTCTTGTCTATAGACTTCCGATTAATTAGCATATCATTTAAGAGAAAATAGAACAATCCGAAAATAACTATAGAATATAACCATCGAATAATGCATTTGAACCTTTTCTCACTGGGAACTATATATTTTTCAGAATTCGGATAAAAATAAAGAAGGAATCTTTGAAGAGCCAAAAGAAATATTAGAAGATTTTGAATTGGAACAACTATTTGATTGAAAAGATAGATCACAAAAAACAGAAAATATAGAATGAAAAGTATTGTATTAAACACTGGGCTTGAGACCTCAAAAATAAGCAATATATAAAAAAGTATAAAAAATAATGAGGTTATAATCATATATTGTGAGATAACTGTGATTTTATAAAGATGATTTGTGATTTGATAAATCGGCGATTCCTGGTCTTTTGCCCGATTGATTTTTGTAAAATATTTGAATAATGGGAAAATAGTAATAATGCTTAGAAAATAGAAAAGTATTATAACTATGAAATATGTAGACTGTATTACATTCGATATTTGTACCTGCCATTTAGGATCGTCATCTTCCATTTTTTTTCAAACGAAAACTGAACTTGATTGTGTGTGAGAAAGGCAGATGTTTTAGTTGGTTTCAAGCTGAAAAAATTCATGGAGTTATTGTTGTTTTACTCTGATTTCGAAAGCAAAAATCAAACATCTTTCTTTGCAAAACCTTTCAAGATCTAGTAGAACCATCACTCAGAATATACAAATTACTATGACTTTGATCTACACTATTTGAAGAAGTGTATCCACAACAAACAATGCTCCAAGTTTTCGCTTTTCGAAAATTCATTTTCTTCAAAACTTCCAAATTTGTTTTGTTGCAGAAAATATATGTGATTTGGAATACGATGGGAGTTGTTAACAAATCAATGAAGAATAAGGGGAAGTAGATCTGAATTGTAAAAAATCAGAAAATTGATTGTTAAGCACATCTTACCGTGTTTATAATCGCATTAAAACTATCGTCGTACCCAATCTCATAATAAAAAAATGACAAAATTGATAATGGAATGAACAAAAGTTTTACAATTATCAGAATAAATGTTTGATAAATTATCACTTTATCGGGCCTGGATCTCATTACCGTTGAAGACATCTTTGTGATTTTTCGAACACTGATCAAAATACAAAAATAAAATATAGAAGAGAATATAACTAGAACATCGAGTGCTATATAAACTTCAGAACTTAGACTGGACCATTCAGTTCTGTGCATTGCGACCCAATTCTGAGAATTGTATGATGTATTGTCGAAGTTGAAAAATTTGACATCCGTTATAATAAAAACTAGTGCAGAGCTGAACGACCGCGACGCCCAGCCGCACGCGACTGACGAAGTAACGAGTTTGTCATTTCAGCTCTACACTGGTTTCTATTTTTTACGGCTGCCACATTTTTCAACTTCGATAATAAATTCTTTCGGTCAAAATTTATGTATGTGCTTATATGAATCTTACGTCTAAAGACTCCCGATTAATTATCATATCATATAAGAGAAAACCAATATATAAACTATTTCCGAGAATAACTATAGAATATAACCATCGAATAATGCATTTGAATCGTTTCTCACCGGGAACTATGTATTTTTCAGAATTCGGGTAAAAATAAAGGAGGAATCTTTGAAAAGCCAAAAGGAATATTAGAAGATTTTGAATTGGAACAACTATTTGATTAAAAATATAGATCACACCAAAAAGAGAACCTATAATGCAAGATAATAAAAGGTTCAGTGATGTTGAGAAATTGAGATAAAGCAATATATAACAAAATATGAAAAGTAATGAAGATGTAATCATATATTGCGAGATAGCTGTGATTTTGTAGAGATGATTTGTGATTTGATAAATCGACGATTCCTGGTCTTTTGCCCGATTGATTTTTATGAAATAATTGAATAATGGGAAACTGGTGATAATGCTCAGAAAATAGAGAAAAATCAAAATTATCATATATGTAGACTCGATTAAAAACAATATTCGTGTGATCCATATAGAACCACCTATCTTCAGCCTTTCATCTTCCTCCATTTTCACAAATGAAAAATGAATTTGAATGTGAGAGAGAAAAGCAGATGTTTAGTTAGTTTCAAGCTGAAAATAGATGACATTTTTGAAATTCATGGAGTTATTGTGATGTTACAGATTTTCAACTAGGAATTGATGTTCTCAGAACACTTCCCTTTGTTTCACTCTGCTTTCGAAATCAAACATCTTTCATTGCAAAATTTTTCAAGATCTAGTAGAACCGTCACTCAGAATATACAAATTACTATGACTTTGATCTACACTATTTGAAGATGCTCCACAACAAATCATGCTCCAAGTCTTCGCTTTTCGAAAGTTCATTTTCAGCAACATTTCCAGATTTGTTTTGTTGCAGAAAATATATGTGATTTGAAATACGATGGGTGTTGCTAACAAATCAATGAAGAATAGGGGGTAGTAGATCTGAATTGTAAAAAAATCAGAAAATTAATTGCTTAGCTCATCATACCAAATTTATAATTTCATTAAAACTATCGTCGTACCCTATCTTAAAATAAAGAAATGACCAAATTGATAATGGAAAAAACAAAAGTTTCACAATTATCAAAATCAATGTTTGATAAATTATCACTTTTTCTGGACGAGTTTTCATGAAATCTGAAGCCATGCTTGTGATACTTCGAACACTTATCAGAATACAAATATAAAATATTGATGAGAATACAACTAGAAAATCGAGGAATATATAAATTGCTGAATTCAAAATTGACCATTCAGTTCTGTGCATAGTGACCCAATCCTGAAAATTGTATGATACAATTGCTGTATGTGCTTATATGAATCTTACGGCTGGATAACTAATCATATCCTTTAAGAGAAAACCAACATAGAAACTATTTCCGAAAATAACTATAGCATATAACCATCGAATAATGCAGTTGAACGTTTTTTCAGAGGGAACAATATATTTTTCAGAATCTGGGAAGAAATAAAGGAGGAATCTTTGAAGAGCCAAAAGGAATATTAGAAGATTTTGAATTGGAACAACGATTTGATTAAAAATATAGATCACACCAAAAAGAAAAATTAAAATGATACTTGACGCATAAAACACTGGTTTTGAGATGTCAAGGAAAAGCAATATAATACAAATTATAAAAAATAATGTGGATACAATCATATATTGTGAGATAACTGTGATTTTATAAAGATGATTTGTGATTTGATAAATCGACGATTCTTGGTCCTTCTTGCGATTGATTTTTGTAAAATATTCAAATAATGGAAAAATAGTAATAATGCTTAGAAAATAGAAAAGTATTATAAATGTGAAATATGTACCCTTTATTACATTCGATATTCGTGCCTGCCATGTAGGATCGTCATCTTCCATTTTTTTTTCAAACGAAAACTGAACTTGATTGTGTGTGAGAAAGGCAGATGTTTTAGTTCAAGCTGAAAATAGGTGACATTTCTGTACTGATGTACTGAATTTGAGTTTGGGAAATGCGCGGTAGATCATTTCCTAACATGTGACAAAGTCAGAAGAAAATGTTTCATCTGCCCTTTTGCAAAGTATTCCAGACTTTTCCTAAATGCCCCCGTCAACTCTGGAATATTCCATCGTTGGCTCATTTTTGATTTACCATATAATTTTATTGATTATCTATATTTCAAGTATTTTCATAAGTTTTCCATTATTCATCTATTTAACCAGGAAAAATCGAAAAAAAGATCAGGAATTATCGATTTTTCAAATCACAAATCATCTTTATAAAATCACAATCATCTCACAATTTCTCATAATATTAGTTGTAATTTCTATAATTTTCTTGGCACTTTTCACATTTCATCAAGAAGCTCCAACATTTTCAGCAGCAATTGCAGTAACTTTATTACCCCTGATTTATTTTTTCAACAAAATCATTGTTCCAATTCAGAATCTTCTGATATTTCTGTTGGCTTTTCAAAGATTCCTCCTTTATTTTTTCCCAAATTCTGAAAAATATTTTATTCCTTCCGAAAAATCATTCAAAAATTTCATGCGATTTCTATATTTTTCATCGATTTTTGGGAATCTTGCCCATATTTATAATTCATTTTCAATTTCATGGGATTCTGAAGAGTTATCAATCATAGATTCAATAATTTATATAACCTTGGATTTTCTAGTCATGTTTTCATCGATTTTTTATATATCAATTCTTATAAGTGTTCGGAAGTTGACAAATCTCACTTCTAGAGTTACAATAACTCAAGCTGAGAAATCAATAATTTATCAAACTTTGATTTTATTGATTGTGAAATCGATATCTATTCCAACGCTTTTAATCTCATCTGAACTATTTGTTGAAATCGATTTCGATTTGAATTTGGTTTTGAATAAGGTAATCTACATACCGTGGCGAAATTTCAGAACCAAAAAAAAATTGTGATTTCAGATTTACTACCCCTTATTTTTCATTGATGTGTTAACAACTCCAATTATTTTTCAAATCACATATATTTTCTGCAACAAAACAAATCTGGAAAACTTGCTGAAATTGAACTTTAGAAAATTGAAAACTTGGTTGATTATTTGTTGTGGAGCATCTTCGAATAGTATTGATTACCAAATTGAGTTGCCTAATTTGAGCAGTGATTTGAGTTTGAGTACAACATAACCTCAATTCATTGACCAATAATTGAATAAGGTTTTGCTGGAATTTGGGAACTCAAATTTTTTTCTGACTTCAAACAAAATCACCTGCTGCCCTCCATTCTCTCCCCAAAAAACTCCATCCAAATTCACATTTTTTTTTCAAAAAAAAATGAATCAAGAACTAGGATTGATTGAAAAAAGATTTCTTGTCGGCTCATTGCTATTATACCATGGTATTCTAATTCTAATCTATATTCTGAGCACTATCATAATATTCCCATTATTTATTCATTTCACAAGAATCAACAGAGAAAAAGATCGAGAAGTTCCAATTTATCGAATCACAAATCATCTTTATCAAATCACAGTTTTCTCACAATCCTTGATTTTACTATCTGCAGTTTCAATTATTTGGATTATTTTATCACACTCAAAAGATGAATACAATAATGAGGATAAGTTTGATGGAATGATTTTGCTAATTGCATTAATTTTATTAGCAATTGTATATCAATTTAATCAAATAATAGTTCCAATTCAAAATCTTCTAATATTTCTTTTGGCGTTTCAAAGATTCCTATTATATTTTTATCCAACTTCTGAAAAATACATAGTTCCGTCCGAAAAATCATTCAAAATCCTCATTCGGTGGCTATATTCCATATCAATTTGTGGAAATATTATCTATACTATTTTTTTGATCGGATGTCTTGCTACCAACAAGGCGATGTTTTTGAAAGCTTGTAATCCAGTTTGGCCCAATCTGAATTCTGCAATTTATATAACTTTGGATTTTCTAGTCATGTTCTCTTCTATATTTTATATTTGTATTCTGATAAGTGTTCGGAAAATCACAAGTCTTGCTTCAAGTGTTATGAAAAATCGTCCAGAAAAAGTGATAATTTATCAAACGTTGGTTTTAATTGTTGTAAAATTATTAAGCATCCCATTAACTTTGGTATTTTGCAAGCTTCTTGAAGACTTAACATTGTCCGATGTTTTGACAGCAGTAGGTCAAACTACATACATATATGGTTAGAAAAATTATGAAATTTTATAGATTTATTACGCTCTATTCATTATTGATTTTCTAACAACACCCATCGTATTTCAAATCACATATTTATTTTGCAACAAAACAAATCTGGAAAATTTGCTAAAAATGAATTTTCGAAAAGCAAAGACTTGGAGCATGATTTGTTTTTGTAACAATTCGATTCAAGTTGCCAATCGGCGAGAACAATATAATATGAGCAATGTCACGAATTAATACAATTTTTATCATTAAACTTTTTCATTCAAAGTGGTTTGTTGTATTGATCATATTATAAACTTCATTCAAATTTTCCACTTGATTCGATCTGTATCCACAACAAATTGTCAACCAAGTTTTCAATTTTCTGAAATTCATTTTCAGCAAATTTTCCAGATTTGTTTTATTGCAAAACAAATATGTGACTTGAAATACGATGGGTGTTGTTAGAATATCAATAAAGAATAGGGCGTAGTAAAACTGAAAAAATTGTATTTTTGTATGTATGTGTAGCTTGTATTTAAAGTTACCGAATGTAGTATTACATCCAAATCGAAATAAAAATCGGTTCCAACTGTTATGATAAAAAAAAATATGAGAGGAAAACATAACAATTTTACAATCAATAATACCAAAGTCTGATAAATTATCACTTTTTCTGGACGATTTTTCATAACACTTGAAGCCATACTTGTAATTTTTCGAACACTGATTAAAATACAAATATAAAATATTGAAGAAAACATGACTAGAAAATCCAAAATTACATAAATTCCTGAATTCAGAGAAGACCAATAAGAAGAGTGAACGTCAGTACCAGAATGCAGTCCTTGAAGAAGACATCTCACTAAATTAATACTGTAGATTAGGAAACCGGACACTGATATGAAATATAACCATCGAATAATGCATTTGAATCGTTTCTCATCGGGAACTATGTATTTTTCAGAATTCGGATAAAAATAAAGGAGAAATCTTTGAAGAGCCAAAAGAAATATTAGAAGATTTTGAATTGGAACAACTATTTGATTAAAAATATATACTCCTGCTATTAAAAAGAACGAAAGTAGTCCAAATTTTCTGTCTGAAAATGTGTCACTTGGAACACCTTCTATGTAAAACATCAATAACACAGTTGTAGAAAACGCAGTGATCAGAATTATATATTGTGAGATCACTGTGATTTTATAAAGATGATTTGTGATTTGATAAATTGCACATTCCTCATCCTTTTTCCGATTAATCCTTGTGAAATATAGAAATAATGGGAAGATTATGATAATGCTTAGAAAATAGATAGCTATTAGAGCACAGTAAAATGTTACGAATGGACCATACAATAGAATGTTTTTGAATAGTGAATCGTCTATTTCATTATTCGAAATTCGGATCATTTTTTTCGAATAAAAAGTGAGACTATGAAATTTCCGAATGGCAGGTGAACTTTTTTTTTGAAATCAGAAACTTGCTGGAAAAGGGTGTGCGAAAAAACTCTATTTCATAGATCATTTTCAAAACTCAAAATTTATGTTGTGGCCAAAGTCAAATCGCTGCTCAGATTAGGTAATTCGAGTCGATAATCAATACTATTCGAAGATGATTAACTGCTTATTCAAATTTTGTCTGTGATTTTGTTTAAAGCCCAAAAAATCATTCAACTACTGTTCAAACCGCTGCTCAAATCAGATACATTAATTTGATAATCCACACTATTCGATGGTGAACAAAAAATCGCCCAAGTTTTCAATTTTCTGAAATTCATTTTCAGCAAATTTTCCAGATTTGTTTTGTTGCAAAACAAATATGTGACTTGGAATACGATGGGAGTTGTTAGAATATCAATGAAGAATACAGGGTAGTAAATCTGCAAATTTGTTCACAGAGAAAATTTATTTCGCTCCCCTCACCATAGTCATTATATTGAATAGAGAAGCTTCGAAATGGAGAAGAAATGATAAAGAGAACAAAATTAGTGGAAGGCATAGAAGTTTTACAAAAAGTAAAACCAAAGTTTGATAATATATCACTTTTTCTGGACGATTTTTCATAACATTTGACATAAGATTTGTCAATTTTCGAACACTTATCAGAATGCAAAAATAGAAAATTGAAGAAAACATGACTAAAACATCCAAAGCTATATAGAAGATCTGAAACTTTGTTGAAAACTCTCATAATTTGAAAAACATCCTCACTGAATGAATTGTTGACCAAAAAGAAATACAACCTTGTAAATCATCTGAGTTTTGATCTGCACACTTCAAAAAATAGAAAATATACATTGAAAGTGCGATTAACGCTACGAAATATATGAGACTAATAAGAATTTTGAACAATTTTTCACTGGGAACTATGTATTTTTCAGAATTCGGAAAAAAATAAAGAAGGAATCTTTGCAAAGCCAAAAGGAATATTAGAAAATTTTGAATTGGAACAACTAATGCATTGAAAATATAAGGAATAATTAAAAAATACAGTGGCAGATTCATATCAGCATATGTTAAACTTCCCTTACTAATCATATGTTCCCCAATCATCGCTATAATTATTAAAATTGCAGCAACAAGGCTAGCATATTGTGAGATAACTGTGATTTTATAAAGATGATTTGCGATCAAAAATATTGACGATTCTTTGTCTTTTTCACGATTGATTTTTGTGAAATGAATGAATAATGGGAAAATTATCAAAATACTTAGAATATAGATTAGAATTAGGATTATGTGGTAGATGATTAATGAGGAAAATATTCCTGTTGTTAAAATTTCAATGATTGTTTCCTGTTTCATTTTTCAGTGGAAATGAAAATAATGGAAGCGTGGGGTGTGTTGGAAAAAAACATCTGCTTCAAAAAATTTTGAAACATAGAGGAATATTGATGGAGTCCGAGCAAAACATAAGTTGTGCTCATTTGAAAGAGCGTGTTCTAATTAGTACAAGACTTCAGGAATTCTTTGAAATTGCCACGTCAACCTGAAAAATCGAAATTTTCAACAAAAATCCATGTTCTTCTAGAAAAAACCCACTTTTTCTTCAATATCCCATGTGAAACATTTGCGAAACATCTGAAAATTCAATTTCTGTCTGAAAATCCACTCGCTTTCTCCAAACCCCGAAAAAATGAATAAATTTTCCTTTGTACTAAACAACGGGCAAAGCGGAGTGTCGTTGCAAATAATGCGGTGTTTTGGCATTTTTCTTTTTTTTTTTATGCGAACTTTTTTTTCTTGATTTTTTTTCTAATTTGTGATAATTTTCAGAGTTCAATTTCGCAATAAAATGTTTTGGAACAACACAAAATCGGAAATATTTGGCTGAATCGAGAAGAGGACAACGAATATTATTTAGTTAGTTTGCAGGGTTTTTGGGTTTGGGATTTTGGTGGAAATGGTGGTATTGCTCAGATTATACAGTTTTTTTTGAGCTACCAAAGAAGAACATTTTTGTACGTTTTTTTATTACAAAAATCGCTTTTGAAAACTTTAAGTGATTGTAGTAACACGAAATCTGGAAATTTCATATTGTTGAACATAATTCGAAGAATTGTGCCCGCAACAAATAGTTTTCCAAGTTTTCAATTTTCTGAAATTCATTTTCAGCAAAATTTCCAGATTTGTTTTGTTGCAAAATAAATAAGTGATTTGAAATACGATGGGTGTTGTGAGAAAATCTATGATGAATAAGGGGTAGTAGATCTGAAAATATGAGACGACAGCTGAAAAAAGCTGAAATTCTGACTTACCACATCCAGAATTCCATTCAAATTCAGATCTTGAAGAAATCCAGTAGCAAACAATATTAATGGAAAACATAAGAGTTTTACGAAAAGTAAAACCAAAGTCTGATAAATTATCACTTTTTCCGGGCGGGTTTTCATGAAATTCGAGGCATTTCTTGTGATATTCCGAACACTAACAAGGATAAAAATATAGAAAATCGATGAGAACATGACTAGAAAATCCAGGATTATATAAATCGCTGAACGTATAATTGGTAAATCTTCGCATGTTGTGATGTCTGTAGAATCCGGATAGAAAGTGCATCTGAACTTATATTGATAATAAAATAAGTTCAAAGAAGTCGCTATTGAATATAACCATCGAATAATGCATTTGAACCTTTTTTCAGAAGGAACTATGAGTTTTTCCAAATTTGGGAAAAAATAAAGGAGGAATCTTTGAAAAGCCAAAAGGAATATTAGGAAGTTTTGAATTGGAATCACAATGATACTAAATGTCAAGACAAATATTAGAAGAAACATGTAAATTACTAAAATAACTGGTTGTTCTTTTAATTTTTCAGTCTCAAAATGCGATGCAACACAATAAATAATGAAAACTATGAAGATAATTGTAGATAATATTACAAGTTGCGAGAATACTGTGATTTTATAAAGATGATTTGTGATTTGGAAAATTGCACATTCTTCATCCCTTTTCCTATTAATTCTTGTGAAATGAATGAATAATGGGAAAATTATGAGAATACTTGTGAAATATAGAATTATTAGAATTATCTGATACAGAATGAATGAACCGAAGATGTAATATTCGAATTTGTTTTGAGAATAAGAATATTCAACAACCATAGAAAAATAAGTTTAAAGTTTTCTAGTCGAAAGCTTATTTTCACCTGTTGAAAAAAACGTGGTGCATTAAGTAATGTACATAATGAACCGCGTTGCAACCGCACGCGCTCAAAGGTTTTCATGACAAAAAAATGTTTATTCACATTTTTTTAAAAATGACTTTTTGAAGCTTGTGAACTTCTAACAAAAACCGTAGATGGTCCCGCTTCTTTTCTCTCATGAAAACACGAAAAAATAAAAGTCCGATAATATTTGTGAAACATCAACATCGAAATCGTCGCCAAAAATCCATGAATCGAAATCAGGATAAAACAAACATTGGTAATAGCCTGATTATAATAACCACTTTGAATTGAAACAATAAAATATGATGCTGGAATTAGTGCAACTGCAGTAGTTGTGACAAGTTGCAGCGAAATCGCCGTGAACACTGATTTTTGCAATTTTTGCGTGTTTTTTGAGGTGAAGTTGGTGATTTTTTTGAGATGATGGATTGAGTGAATTGAGAAGAAGAGGGATTCGGATAAGGCGAAGATTACGATTGTTCCGATTCCGATGCTACTTATTGTGTTGTCTAAGCCTAGCGCGAAGATTTCGTATTGGAAGTATTCGATGGTTGGGCAAGGAACGGTTGTCTGCAAAATATGAGTGAATGATGCAAACGTGCTCTACTGCAAACAAGTTGTTTTCAATGAAAATTCAAAAATGTCAATTTTTGAAAGTCATGAAAATGAGATGTTCGCAAACTAGAGTCTAGTTTCAATCAAACTAAATTCTAGTAAAGCTCTATTGTCAATTTTCTGAAGGCTTCTGTGTATTTTAATTTTTTTTCGCTTCTACAATTTTCGCAAACTAGAATATTTTGATCAGACTAGAGTCTAGTTTCAGCCTGAAAGCTTGACTAGAAGCCTGGATTTCCAGGTTCTTCCAGAACCCTCAAAAAATGGAAAAAAATTCCCCCAAAAAAACTTGTGGCCGAGTCGGTTTCTAGGCCACGAAAAAAAAAAAATGATTTTTTGTTTTTTTTTTTGCTTGAAAACATGAAAAAACCTCGGGAACCCTGGAGTTAAGGTACAAAAAAGTCTAAGGCTAAGACTAGAGCGTGGCCGAGTCGGTTTCTAGGTCCCCCAAGGATTCAGGCTACATTCTAGCCTAGTTTTCGATTTGAGCCTAAGCCCAGGCCTAGGTCTAGGCCTAACCTCTAGGATCGTCAACGCAGCTTTCGTCTGATCAGGCAAATTCAAAGCCACTGGAATATGCGACAAAATTGGCACCACAACATTCGAAACATAGAAGACATATCGTGTAAACTTCCGAGTTATACGAAATCGCCCGCGGACTAGAATATTATGACGATTTTCCAAGATTATTGGAACTGCCAAATTCATAATTGCGATGCAACAAATCGCGAAAAATGATTGGAAATCCATGGGAACATTGAGATTGTGGAAAATTCCGATGGTGAAACCTGCGCAAGCCGGGAAAAATACGTAAGGAGTCATGCATAGGGAGAGGAGGAAGTCGAGGAAGATTATCCTGAATTTAAATGAGTTCTTCTAACTCCAGAAAAAAATCTTATCTTACCAAGCTTGCATATATAACAGACAATATTTCATGGTTTTAAACTTTCTGGGCGTCTTCCGTAAAATACAATAAATCCCGAAAATATCCGTGGGAATCACAAAAATACTAAAACTATGTCCGAAATAGAAAAGTGCGTCATATGAGCCCAAAAATGAGTTTGTTCTTGAGATATTGCAAGTTTTCGAATAGTTATTTATGAAATAATCATTCATGTTTTAGACGAAATGAATAGAGTTAGGCTAACTTGATTGAAAATAATATTGAAAATTAGATTAATCTACTTTGATATTTGAAGATGGAATTTGGAAAAAACACCTGTCAGAACTTTGGTTTTTGAAAAGAAAAACATAAGAAGAACTGGAGGATTTGTAGGTAAACTTGGTTTTTGCAAATGAGAATTGAGCTATGACGTGGCAATTTCAAAGAATTCCTGAAGTCTTGTACTAACAACTTATGTTTTGCTCAGACTCCATCAATATTCCTGTCTGATCTATGTTTCAAAATTTGTTGAAGCAGATGTTTTTGTCAAACCCACCCCACGCTTTCCTTATTTTCATTTGCACTGAAAAATGAAACAGGAAGAAATTCCAGACATAATAACTGCTGGTATATTTTCTTCAATACTTATCTTCCACATAATCCTGATCCTAATCTATATTCTAAGTATTTTAATAATTTTCCCATTATTCATTCATTTCACACAACTCAATCGTGAAAAAGACAAAGAATCGTCAATATTTTTGATCGCAAATCATCTTTATAAAATCACAAGAATCTCACAATATGCTAGCCTTGTTGCTGCATTTTTTCTAATTATAGATTTTATCGGCTTATTAATGATTAATCAGGGAAATTTGACATATTATTATATGTCTCTACCAATGTTGTTATTAGGCATTCCTTATATTTTCAATGCAATAGTTGTTCCAATTCAAAACTTTCTAATATTCCTTTTGGCTTTGCAAAGATTTCTTCTTTATTTTTTTCCGAATTCCGAAAAATATATAGTTCCCAGTGAAAGATCCTTCAAAATTCTTATCATTTTTATATATTTTGTAGCGATAATCGCACTTTCAATGTATATTTTCTATTTTATGAAGTGTGTAGATCAAAACTCAGATGATTTACTAAATTGTATTTCTTATTGGTCAACAATTCATTCAGTGAGCATGTTTTTTCTCTAATTATGAGTACATCTGTATGTATTCAACAAATTTTCAGATCTTCTATATAACTTTGGATGTTTTAGTCATGTTTTCTTCAATTTTCTATTTTTGCATTCTGATAAGTGTTCGAAAATTGACAAATCTTATGTCAAATGTTATGAAAAATCGTCCAGAAAAAGTGATATATTATCAAACTTTGGTTTTACTTTGCGTAAAACTCCTGTGCCTTCCACTTATTTTTTTCGCTTCATTATTACTTCTCCCATTCGAAGCTTCTCTATACAATATCATGAATATGGTAAAGATAAACTATGACGTGGCAAAATTCTTCTTTTGATTCCAGATTTATTATCCCCTGTTCTTCATTGATATTCTAACAACTCCCATCGTATTTCAAGTCACTTATTTATTTTGCAACAAAACTAATCTGGAAAATTTGCTGAAAATGAATTTCAGAAAATTGAAAACTTGGGCGATTTTTTGTTCACCATCGAATAGTGTAGATTATCAAATTAATGTATCTGATTTGAGCAGTGGTTTGAACAGTAGTTGAATGATTTTTTGGGCTTCAAACAAAATCGCAGATAACATTTGAATAAGCAGCTGATTTTATTTCCCAAGCTTCTCTTTTCATTTGCAAACAGCAAAAAATGGAATTACCTATTCCATATAAATTGAATTTATGGTTTTACTACCATTTTCTACTAATTATTTTATATTTCCTAAGTATCTTTATAATTTTTCCATTATTTATTCATCTAACAAAAATGAATAGAAAAAAGGATCAAGAATCTTTAATATTTCTGATCACAAATCATCTTTATAAAATCACAGTTATCTCACAAACCATGATTTTAATCATGGCTATTGCCTTAATATTTGGAAGTATACTATACTCTACAATACCACCTGAAGATATCCCATTTTCTGGATATACAGCAGTTCTTTGGATGCTATTTTTAATTGTATATCAATTTAATCAAATAATAGTTCCAATTCAAAATCTTCTAATATTTCTTTTGGCTTTTCAAAGATTCCTTCTTTATTTCTTCCCAAATTCTGAAAAATATATAATTCCTTCTGAAAAACGATTCAAATGTTTTATTCGATGGCTGTATTTTATAGCGAGTTTCGGGAATGTTCTATATATTTTTTATTTGTTGGTTTGCTGGGCAGCAAGATTCAATCATATTGATCTCTGTCAAAATCAGGAGAAATGGTCGACTATAAATTCAGCGATTTTTATAATCCTCGATGTTTTAGTCATGCTTTCATCAATTTTTTATATATTCATTTTGATCAGTGTTCTGAAATTCAAAAGACTTGCTCCAATTTTGATGAAACATAATATTGAAAAAGCAATTGCATATCAATCTTCAGTTTTGATAATTGTAAAACTATTCAGTATTCCAATGATGTTTGTCTCATTTTCTCTGATAGATATAGATCCGAAGTATTTATCATGGAATTCTATTATGAATATGGTAAAGATTACCTATGACGTGGCAATCAATTTTATATTTTTCAAATTTCAGATTTACTACCCCCTATTCTTTATTGATATTCTAACAACACCCATCGTATTTCAAATCACATATTTATTTTGCAACAAAACAAATCTGGAAATTTTGCTGAAAATGAATTTCAGAAAATTGAAAACTTGGTTGATTATTTGTTGTGGAGCATCTTCGAATAGTATTGATTATCGACTCGAATTACCTAATCTGAGCAGCGATTTGACTTTGGCCACAACGTAGATTTTGAGTTTTGAAAATAAAACATTTTTCGAATGAAATAGGGTTTTTTTTTGCACACGCGAGTTTCTGACTTCAAAAAAAGAAGTTCACCTGTCATTCGGAAATTTCATTCTCAGAAAATCTATAATATGAGCAATACAACAAACCACTGAATGAAACAGTTTATTGATAAAATTTGTATTAATTCGTGACATTGCTCATATTATATTGTTCTCGCCGATTGGCAACTTGATTTGAATTGTTACCAAAACAAATCATGCTCCAAGTCTTCGCTTTTCGAAAATTCATTTTCAGCAAAATTTCCAGATTTGTTTTGTTGCAAAATAAATATGTGACTTGAAATACGATGGGTGTTGTGAAAACATCCGAGAAAAATAGAGGGTAATAAATCTGAAAATGTTTTTTTTAAAAAACATTGAATCGATTGAAAAATTACCAAATTCAAAATTAGATTCATAGTCAATTCTTCATCTTGAGAAACCATGATCCAAAAAATGATCAATGGAATACATAGCAGTTTGATACAAAATGAGACCAAAGTTTGGTATAGAATCGCTTTTTCTGGACGGGTTTTAAAAAAACTTGTGATTTTTCGAACACTTATCAGAATACTTATGTAGAAAATCGATGAGAACATGACTAGAAAATCCAGAGTTATGTAAACTGCTGAATTCCAAGTTGACCATTTTGAAGTGCAAGTTATCAAATCTTCTGGAGTGTTGCTAAAAGCACATTTCAGCAGATAAGCCATGTATAATAAATTGCCAGAAATTGATATAAAATATAAAAATATAATGAAAGTTTTGAAAGATTTCTCACTTGGAACGATATATTTTTCAGAATTTGGGAAAAAATAAATTAGGAATCTTTGAAAAGCCAAAAGAAATATTAGAAGATTTTGAATTGGAACAATTATTTGATTAAAATAATATATCATAACTAGGAGTATTGATGGAATTGCACTATTTAAAGGGAATTTGTCGTACTTTGTCATAAAATAAGTCAGTGCAATTAGAGAAAAAGCACAAATTAAAATCATAATTTGTGAGATGATTGTGATGTTATAAAGATGATTTGTGATTTGGAAAATTGAAGATTCCTGGTCCTTTTTTCTATTAATTCTTGTGAAATATAGAAATAATGGAAAAATTATGAAAATACTGAAAATATAGATTAGAATTAAAAATTTTACTATATTATTTTCATCCATTTTTTGTTTTCTGAAAATCATTACTTCTCAGAAAATCACCTGTTTTTTTTGCAAAAAAAAATAACGTTCCATTCAAACACTCAAATCGCTGCTCAGATTAGGTAATTCGAGTCGATAATCAATACTATTCGAAGATGCTCCACAACAAATAATCAACCAAGTTTTCAATTTTCTGAAATTCATTTTCAGCAAGGCTTCAAGATTTGTTTTGTTGCAAAACAAATATGTGATTTGAAAAACGATGGGTGTTGTTAACACATCAATGAAAAATAAGGGGTAGTAAATCTGAAAACCAATTCTTCTTGGTTCTGAAATTTTATGTAGATTACCTTATTCAAAATCAAATTCAAATCGAAATCAATCTCAACAAATAGTTCAGATGAGATTAAAAGCGTTGGAATAGATATCGATTTCACAATCAATAAAATCAAAGTTTGATAAATTATCGATTTTTCAGCTTGAGTTATTGTAACTCTAGAAGTGAGATTTGTCAATTTCCGAACATTTATAAGAATACTTATATAAAAAATCGATGAAAGCATGACTAGAAAATCCAAGGTTATATAAATTATTGAATCTATGATTGATAAAATTTTTGAATCCCATGAAAATGAAAATGAATTATAAATAAGGGCAAGATTCCAAAAAATAACAATAAAATATAACAAAATGAAATTTTTGAATGATTTTTTAGAAAGAATTAAATATTTTTCAGAATTTGGGAAAAAATAAATAATGAATCTTTGAAAAGCCAAAAGAAATATTAGAAGATTCTGAATTGGAACAATGATTTTGTTGAAAAAATAAATCAGAGGTAATAAAGTTACTGCAATTGCTGCTGAAAATGTTGGAGCTTCTTGATGAAATGTGAAAAGCGCCAAGAAAATTATAGAAATTACAACTAATATTATGAGAATTTGCGAGATAATTGTGATTTTATAAAGATGATTTGTGATTTGAAAAATCGATAATTCCTGATCTTTTTTTCGATTTTTCCTGGTTAAATAGATGAATAATGGAAAACTTATGAAAATACTTGAAATATAGATAATCAATAAAATAATATGATAGATCAAAAGTGAGCCAACGATGGAATATTCCAGGGTGGATGGGGGCATTCAGGAGAAATACTTGGCAAAAAGAAAATTGAGGGCAGGTGGAAAAAAATGGAAATGTTCTTCTGACACGTGACTGAAAAATCGAAATTTTCAATAAAAATCCATTTTTTTCTAGAAAAAACCCACTTTTTCTTTAATATCCCATGTGAAACCGCTTTGCAAAACATCTGAAAATTCAATTTTTGTCTGAAAATCCACTCACTTTCTCCTAACCCCGAAAAAAACGCGAAAAAATGAAAAAATTTCCTTTGTACTAAACAACGGGCAAAGCGGAGTGTCGTTGCAAAAAATGCGGGGTTTTGGCGATTTTTTTTCTATAATTTTGTGATAATTTTCAGAGTTCAATTTCACAACAACAAATTTGGAACAAGAAAATCGGAAATATTTGGCTGAATCGAGAAGAGGACAACGAATATTTTCTAGTTAGTTTGCAGGGTTTTTGGGTTTTTGGTGGGAAGGTAAGGCATTTTTCCGGGGATTTTTTGAATTTTGGAATTGACATACATAAAATTGGTCCCCAGAAGGGCATTTTTTCGGGGATTTTTAAAATAGGCAATTAAGAATCAGCTTCGCATAAAATAAGTTTTTGAAAAAAAAAAAGTTTTTGACAGGTGAAACTTTCGCCAATAAAACTTCAAACTTTACTCAAAAACAATAACAAATATTTTCTAAATGAATGAGACACACTCTTCAATCTCTATCGATAATGTGATCTTCAATTCGATTCTTCTATATTTTCTCATACTCCTCTCAATCTATATTTTAAGTATTTTCATAATCTTCCCATTATTCGTTCATTTCACAAAAATCAATAAGAAAAAGGATGAAAATTGTCCAATTTTTCCAATAACAAATCATTTGTATAGAATCACTGTTGTCTCACAATTCATTATTTTAATCACACTTTTCTCAATTATTTTATTGATTTATTTTATTGGAGTTGTCAACCAAGAAGATATGAATACCAGAACATTAGAAGTTTTTGTGGGCGGAGTCATATCCCTTTTTCGTCTCGCGTCTCTTCAGCACCCAAACGCTAATTTTTACTCTCTCACAGAGAGAAAACGAGAGAGTGTGAGTGCAGAAGAGACGCGAGACGAAAAAGGGATATGAACAGACTCCGCCTACTTTTTGAATTGTAGAAGTCGAGTCTCAAGTCAGCGAACCAGTTTTCGCAGCAGGTGAAATTTGTAGCAAGCAAATTTCATAACAACAAATATCATTCTTCTAGTTTGCTTGAAAATGGAAGTAGAAATAATTGACGTTCAAAACATTTTTCTAGGTTCATTTTACCTATATCACATCATTCTAATTCTAATCTATATTTTAAGTATCTTCATAATTTTCCCATTATTCATTCATTTTACAAGAATCAATAGGAAAAAAGACGAGGAAAGTGGAGTATTTCAAATCACAAATCATCTCTATAAAATCACATTTATCTCACAATTTATTATCATTCTCACAGTTGTCTTAATAATTTTATTGATTTATTTCATAAAATATATGAAATCTGAAGATTCCTATAAAACTCGTGAAATTCAAGGGATTACATATTATCTAACAATATTTGTCTATATTTTCAATCAAATAATTATTCCAGTTCAGAATTTTCTCATTTTCCTTTTGGCTTTTCAAAGATTCCTTCTTTATTTCTTCCCAAATTCCGAAAAATACATAATTCCTTCTAGAAAAAGGTTCAGCTGTATTATTCGATGGCTATATTTTATATCATTTTCCGAGAACTTTATATATTTTTTTTATATTTCGATATGTTTCCTATTTCCGAATTCAATAAGCACTAAAACTTGCAAAAATGCGTCAATCATAAGTTCAGCAATTTATATAATTCTCGATGTTTTAGTCATGTTCTCCTCAATTTTCTATATTTCTATATTTTTATCCTTGTTAGTGTTCGGAATATCACAAGATCTTCAAATTTCATGAAAACCCGTCCAGAAAAAGTGATAATTTATCAGACTATGGTGTTACTTTTTGTAAAACTCTTATGCATTCCAACAATCATTTTACTATATTCCAACAATCATTTTACTATCAGATCTTGAAGGAATCCAGTAGCAAACCATATCAATGGAAAACATAACAGTTTTACAAATAACAAAACCAAAGTCTGATAAATTATCACTTTTTCTGGACGGGTTTTCATGAAATTTGAGGATCTTGTGATATTCCGAACACTAACAAGGATAAAAATATAGAAAATCGATGAAAACATGACTAGAAAATCCAGAATTATATAAATTGCTGAACTTATAATTGACGCATTTCTGCAAGTTTCAGTGCTTATTGAATCCTGAAACAGGAAACATCTAGAAACATAATAGAAATATATACAGTTCTCGGAAAATGATATAAAATATAGCCATCGAATAATACAGCTGAACCTTTTTTTAGAAGGAATTATATATTTTTCGGAAGATGGGTAGAAATAAAGAAGGAATCTTTGAAAAGCCAATAGGAATATTAGAAGATTTTGAATTGGAATAACTATTTGATTGGAAATATAGACAAATGTTGTTAGACTCAAGGTAATAAATTGAATTCCCCAAGTTTTATCGGCATCTTCAGATTTCATATATTTTATGAAGTAGATCAATAAAATGACTAAGACAACTGTGGGAATGATAATAAATTGTGAGAAAACTGTGATTTTATAGAGATGATTTGTGATTTGAAACACTCCACTTTCCTCGTCTTTTTTTCTATTGATTCTTGTAAAATGAATAAATAATGGGAAAATTATGAAAATACTCAAAATATAGATTAGAATTAAGATAATATGGTATAGGTAAAATGAACCTAGAAAAATGTTTTGAATGTCAATGTTTTCTACTTCCATTTGCGAGCAAACTAGAAGAATGATATTTGTTGTTTCCTAAAAATTTCACCTGCTAATAAAACTGTTTCTTTGATTTGAGACGCAACTTCTACAATTCGACAAGTAGGCGGAGTCTGTTCATATCCCTTTTTCGTCTCACGTCTCTTCTGCACTCACACTCTCTCGTTTTCTCTCTGTGAGAGAGTAAAAACTAGCGTCTGGGTGCAGAAGAGACGCGAGACGAAAAAGGGATAGGACTCCGCCCACATTTTTTTTGAATCTCCCTTAATCGCTTTAGCGCATTGATTTTGCAACAGGTGAAATGTTAAGCTCACATTTTTCACAAATACACTTTATTATTTTCAAAAATGTTCAATACAACTGTTCTTGAAAATATAGTTGGAGGTTCATTTGTATTCTATCATTCAGCTTTAATAATAATCTATATTTCAAGTATCTTTATAATCTTTCCATTATTCCATTATTTCACAAGAATAAATAGAAAAAAGGATGAAGAATGTGCAATTTATCGAATCACAAATCATCTTTATAACATCACAGTTGTTTCACAATTGATAACATTAATAACAGTTATCTCAATTGCTTATTGGATTTTTAATCCTCTATCTGACTATCAAATGGGTAGTAAAGAATTCAGAAATTTTCAAATATTTGTTTTACTTACTATAACTGTCATCATTTTTAATCAAATAGTGATTCCTATTCAAAATCTTTTAATATTTCTTTTGGCTCTTCAAAGATTTCTCCTTTATTTCTATCCAAATTCTGAAAAATATATAGTTCCCGGTGAAAAATCTTTTAAATTTATTATGCGCTGTCTGTATTTCATATCAATTTCTCGATTATTCATCTCCGCTTACTATGCGGTCAGATGTTCTTCCCCTGAGAATGAGAATTCAATAAGTATTGAAACTTGCGAAACTTCATCAACTATAAGTTCAATAATCTATATAACCCTGGATCTTCTTGTAATATTCTCATCGATTTTCTACATCTCAATTCTTATAAGTGTTCGAAAAATCACAAAATTATCTAGCACAGTTATGAGAAATCGTCCAGAAAAAGTGCTGATTTATCAGACTTTGGTTTTGATTATTGTAAAATTATTATGTGTTCCTCTCATAATTTTAGTAGTTTCACTTGTGAAATTTTATTTTATTTTAAATATTACACTCGATATGGTAAGAAGCATGAAACTTGATTTTCAACTTTCGGAAAATTTTCAGATTTACTATCCCCTTTTCTTCTATGATTTTCTAACAACACCCATCGTATTTCAAATCACATATATATTTTGCAACAAAACAAATCTGGAAAATTTGCTGAAAATGAATTTCAGAAATGCGAAAACTTGGAAAACAGTTTTCTGTGGGCACAATTCTTCGATACAAGCTAATCCGAATTTGAAAATCACATAAATTTTTTGTAGAGAGAGTCTCTTCATATCCCTTTTTCGTCTCACGTCTCTTCTGCACGCACACTCTCTCGTTTTCTCTCTGTGAGAGAATGTGCGTGCAGAAGAGACGCGAGACGAAAAAGGGATATTAACAGACTGGCAAATGTTTTATTACAAAAATCATGATCCAATGAATTTCCTAACACATTCCTTGCTTTCCAAATTCAAAAAATACATTTTAAAATATCCCGGAATATGATGAGCGGGTCTCAAGAAGATGTAGACCGCAAGCTTCCGCGAAGCGGCACTGTCTTCCGCGCAGCGGCCACGCTTAGGGATTCCCAATCTCATCCCTGAGCTTTGGCGTGGCCACTGCGCGGAAGCTTGCGGTCTACACTCGCGCCAGAGGCGCTCGGAGTCAGCCCAAAGCATAGGCTTAACTTCGAGCGCCTTTAGCGCGAGTGTAGACCGCAAGCTTCCGCGGAGCGGCACTGTCTTCCGCGAAGCGGCCATGCCTAAGATCTGGGATCGGTTTGGGTATCGCTGGTTTGAAAGTAGCCGCTTCGCGGAAGACAGTGCCGCTACGCGGAAGCTTGCGGTCTACACTAGAGGCACTCGGAGTATGAACAGGCTCCATGACGTGGCAAAATTTTTTATTACACAAAAATCATGATCCAATGAATTTCCTAACACATTCCTTGCTCTCCAAATTCAAAAAATACATTTTAAAATATCCCGGATTATGATGAGCCGGTCTCAAGAAGATGTACCGTTTGTCTTTGATGGTTTGCTCCAAGAATTTATAATAGGCTTTGTAGTTGTTGGTGTAACCCGGATGAAATTCGACGTTGAATTGGCAGATTGTCATGCCGATTTCGTCGAATTTTCCGCCTTTTGCGAAATAATCGAAGAAATATTCTTCGCCGCTTTCAATGTCCAGGAAAAGTGTGTCGATTTTTTTGAGGATCAGGAGTTTTTCGAAAAAATATCCGACGTCGAGGGTTACGACGGATTGTGGAGCATAGCGGCCTGGAGAAAAAAATGAGATTGGGAGATGGGTTTAGGCTTTGGGCTTCAGGCTCCAGGCTTTAGGCTTAGGTTTATTAGAGGCTTAGGCTTAGGCTTCAGGCTTTAAGCTTAGGTTTATAGGAGGCTTAGGCTTAGGCTTCAGGGTTCAGGCGCAGGCTGAGCGAAGCTCTAGACTGCGCCATTTGGGGTTGGGTTAGGCTTGGGCTTCAGGCTTTAGGCTTAGGCTTAGGCTTCAGGCTTTAGGCTTAGGTTTATAAGAGGCTTAGGCTTCAGGCTTAGGCTTTTTGCTTTAGGCTTAGGTATATAATACATTTAGTTTAGGCTTAGGCTTAGGCTTTAGGCTTAGGTATATAATACATTTAGTTTAGGCTTAGGCTTAGGCTTTAGGCTTAGGTATATAATACATTTAGTTTAGGCTCAGCTTCAGCCTTGAGTCTAAGCCTAGGTTCAGGCTTAGGCCTAGAAATCCCCGAGCGCCTCTGGCGCGAGTCTAGACCGCAAGCTTCCGCGAAGCGGCACTGTCTTCCGCGCAGCGGCCACGCCCAGGGATTCCCAATCTCATCCCTGAGCATAGGCGTGGCCGCTGCGCGGAAGCTTGCGGTCTACACTCGCGCCTGAGGCGCTCGGAGTTAGCTCTAAACATAGGTTTAACCCCGAGCGCCTTTAGCGCGAGTGTAGACCGCAAGCTTCCGCGCAGCGGCCACGCCTAAGATCTGGGATGGGATGCCGCTGCGCGCGCGGAAGCTTGCGGAAAGCCCCCCTCTCCCTCTCTCACTTCTCGCCGGCAACACTGGAAAATACTGCAATTTGGTCTCATTCGACAAAGCAAACGCAAAAAACGACCCGTTCAGATCGTTGATAATCAACTCGTAATTGATCTCAATCATCGGATCGACTCCATAGAATTTTGTGTTCGGCTGATGTTTTTTGAGTTTGGTTTCGGCTTTGACATCGTGTCCAACTCCAAGGGTTACGTGGTGGTTTTGTTCTTGCTGGAAATAATTGAGAACTACGACGCTCCGGGTTTACGCAACGCTTTTTTCATCAGTGTAAAGGTGGAGTATCGTTAGTTCGTTATAATAAGAAATTTATTGAGAAGTGTAAAAGTGGAGTGTCGTTGCTAAACACAAAAATTGTTTAACTACGACACTCCGGGCTTACGCCAAATAACTCACACATTTCGGATAAATCAGCCATTTCAGCTCATCTCGATTCGAAATCCCACGAATATCCAAACTCTTATATTCATCAATAAAATCACATTTTCTAGCAGAATTCACCCAATTATCAAAAAGATTTTTGAATTCTCCATTAAACGAATCGAAAATCGGCTTGACACATTCTTGAAATCCACGCATTGCTGATTTTGCGATCTGTGATCCCGATTCTGAAGGTTCGGAATCCGAATCTTCACATCTTGGAGCCGCGTAGATTTGTTCTTGAACAATTTTGCTGATCTCGTTGACTCGCTGAAAATCGACAGGGCACCCATTTTATATGCGACATTTTCATCCTCTTACAAAAACATCTGCGTAGCCGAGTGGTTAGCACACGCGCCTCTCATTCGCACGACCCGGGTTCGATCCCCACTCGCCGCACAACTTTTTAATTTTTTTTATATTTGCATAACGTAAACTCACCGGTGAATCGGTTTCCCATTCAACATCATCTAACTCGTGTTTCGGACCAGAATACCCGCGATAAGGATTCAGTTTATGTTGGGGGATTCTTGTAGTTTTAACAATTTTCGGAGCAATTTCAGCACCTTCAGTTGTTGTAACTACAGGTTCCTGATAGATTTTTGGAATTTCCTTCGGCTCAAAATTCACAGGAATTTCATTTGCACTTCGAGTTTCGATAAATATGAAAACCGTGAAAATCAGAGCGATAAAAATGAATAATTTGGAATTGAAAAATTTTGGAGTTAGCGGAAGTTTTTTACGATCTCCAGGAGGAGAAAGTGGAGAATACATTGAAATTTTAAATTTAAAAGAATATGACAGATTTTATCCAATTTTTATAATAATAATAGACAACCGGAAGATCTCGGGTATCTCGAAAATAATCTGAATCTGATAACACTTTTTGAAACGCGCAGAATTCAATAATATTCTGACTAGAGATTTGCGATAAATACAAAAATGGACGAATATTTATGGATTTGAGAATGAAACAATAGATTTTCCGGTTTTTTAAAATTTCTGGGTGGCAGGAAAATATTTAAAAATCTATACATATAGATCTAGCCTCCAGAAGACAAAATTAATCTTAAGAATAACTTTAAAGCGTTTAGGAAGGTCCTAAAGCTTTAAAAAGGCCTTAGAAGCTTTGAGAAGTCATTAAAAGCCTTATGATCTACAGTACCATTTTTTGCATGATTTTTTCAATGAAGCGTGAGGTTTTCTAGTTATTTCCCCCGGATTTTCACCTGCAAATCAATAAACAAATATTTATTCATCATACATTGCTCAGATTAGCTTAAATTCCAGATGTGGTGCTCATAATAATATGTGGCGCATGAAAATCCTCAACACCATGTCTACCAAAAATATTTTTCCAAGTTTTCAAATTCATTTTCAGCAAATTTTCCAGATTTGTTTTGTTGCAGAATAAATATGTGATTTGAAATACGATTGGCGTTGTTAGAAAATCTATGATGAATAAGGAATAGTAGATCTGAAAATATTTTTTTTAAAGGAACATGGAGATTTGAAAATTACCGTATTCAAAAGTCCATACAAATTTGAATCAAAAACTCCCGAAAAAAACCAAGCTAGAGGAAAACATGAGAATTTTACCAGAAATAAAACCAAAGTTTGGTAAATTATCACTTTTTCCGGGCGATTTTTCATTGAAATTGAGGCATTTCTTGTGATATTCCGAACATTGATTAGGATAGAAATATAGAAAATCGAGGAGAGCATGACTAGAAAATCCAGGATTATATAAATTGAGAAACGTATTGCTGGCTGGATTCCATCGCAATATTCATTGTTTTGAATATCAAGAGACATGAAACATTTGTAATACCATAAAGAATACATCAAGTTACCGAAAATTGATAGAAAATATAGAAATCGATTGAAAATTGTGAAGGATTTTTCACTGGGAACCAGATATTTTTCATAATTTGGGAAGAAATAAATTAGGAATCTTTGAAGCGCCAAAAGGAATATAAGGAAGTTTTGAATCGGAATAATAATTGAATTAAAAGTGTAGATTGTTATTATTGACAAGATCACTAGGAAGTTATCAATGTCCATAAAATTCGTTTCCTCGTTTTGTTTTGGTTCAAAAAATGAGATCGACAAAATGACAATAAGAATTGCGATAATTGCAATCAATATTGTGAGTTGTGAGTGAACTGTGATTTTGTAGAGATGATTTGTGATTTGAAAAATCGACGCTTCTTTGTCTTTTTCTCGATTCAATCTTGTGAAATGGATAAATAATGGGAAAATTATGAGAATACTTGTGAAATATAGAAGAATCAGAATGATGTGGTAGAATATGAATGAATAGAATTGGAACTTGTTAACTTCTTCGGCCATTTTTTTTGTTAAAATGAAAAAGAAACTTTTTTTGGGGTTAAATTTTCACCTGGTTGTTCAAAAAATCAATGAAACGTGAGATTTTCTAGTTTATTCATCATAGTTCAATCATTGCTCAGATTAATTTTTTTTTGCTGTGAAAGCTCTAAAAGCCTTAAAAGACCCTTAGAAGCTCTAGAAGCTTCTAGAAGCCTCCAGAAGACAAAATTAATCTTAAAAATAACTTTAAAGCCTTTAGGAAGGTCCTAAAGCTTTAAAAAGGCCTTAGAAGCTTTGAGAAGTCATTAGAAGCCTTATGATCTACAATACCATTTTTTGCATGATTTTTTCATTGAAACGTGAGATTTTCTAGTTGTTCTCCCCGGATTTTCACCTGCAAATCAACAAACAAATATTTATTCATCATAGTTCAAACATTGCTCAGATTAGCTTAAACTCCAGATGTGGTGCTCATAATATTATGTGGCACATGAAAATCCTCAACACCATGTCTACCAAAAATATTTTTCCATGTTTTTAATTTTCTGAAATTCATTTTCAGCAAATTTTCCAGATTTGTTTTGTTGCAAAATAAATATGTGATTTGAAATACGATGGGTGTTGTGATGATATCAATGAAAAATAGAGAATAGTAGAGCTGAAAATAAATTTTCTCCTGTTTTTTTAAAGGTACATGGAGAGAATTACCACATTCAAAACACCATTGAGATCTGGCTCATAGAAATCGGAGAAAAATAAAATTAGAGGAAGACATAGGAATTTGACAAAAAGTAAAACCGAAGTCTGATAAATTATCACTTTTTCCGGGCGAGTTCTAATGAATTTTGATTGACTTGTGATTTTTCTGACACTTATCAGAATACAGATATAAAACATCGAGGAGAACATGACTAGAACATCTAGAGTTATATAAATTGAGTATCTTATGGTGGAAGAGATTCCATCGCAAGTGTGAAGTTCTTTGAAATCAAAAGAGAAAAAACATTTAGCAAATATTATAGAATAAATCAAATTTCCAGAAATGGCAAAACCATAGATCTTCCATATGAAATTTGTGAATTGTTTTTCAGATAAAACCAAATATTTTTCAGATTTTGGAAAAAAATAAATAAGAAATCTTTGAAAAGCCAAAAGAAATATAAGGAAGTTTTGAATTGGAACAACTATTGTATTGAAGGTATATATAACAACTATAATAATAAGATATAAGATTTGAAGTAGAAACCTTTTCCAATTATTATTCGCTCCGAAAACATTGTAGTTATCCAAAATAAAACAAATTAAGGCAAAAAGTGCGATTAATATTATAATTTGTGAATTGACTGTGATTTTATAGAGATGATTTGTGATTCGATAAATCGAAGCTTCTCGATCTTTTTTGCGATTCAATTTTGTAAAATGAATATAAAATGGGAAAATTATGAGGATACTTGTGAAATATAGAAGAATTAGAATAATATGATAGAATAAAAATGTGTACCAACCGATTTGCAGTTGTTTTTCTGTCATTTCTTTTATTGTTTACATGAGAAAAGTATTTTTGCTGGAATTTTCAGCTGCTTAAGAAAGATTTTATGAAATTGTTTGATCAGTGAAACAATTTTTCACATTTTCAAATTTTTGAGATTAAAACATTGTATCTAAACGAAGAGAACGGAGCGAAAACGATAGAGTGTGCGTGGAGAAGAGACGCGAGACGAAAAAGGGATATGAACAGACTCCGCCCACTTTCAAAGAAAAAATAGTTTTTTGCATGATTTTTTCAGAGAAACGTGAGATTTTCTAGTTGTTTTCCCCCGGATTTTCACCTGCAAATCAATAAACAAATATTTATTCATCATACATTGCTCAGATTAGCTTAAATTCCAGATGTGGTGCTCATAATAACATGTGGCACATGAAAATCCTCAACACGATGTCTACTTAAAATTGTTTTCCAGGTTTTCGCTTTTCTGAAATTCATTTTCAGCAAATTTTCCAGATTTGTTTTGTTGCAGAATAAATATGTTATTTGAAAAACGATGGGTGTTGTTAAAACATCTATGAAGAATAGGGGGTAGTAGAGCTGAAATTTGAAAAAATATATAAAATAGTGAATTTATTTTGTGTTACCATTTTTATCAAACTTGGTTCTCCGAAGAACATTTGAGTAGCATAAAGTGAATATGAAAAATATAAAAAAAATGGTAAACACAACAGTTTTACAAAAAGTAGAACTAATGTCTGATAAATTATCACTTTTTCTGGGCGAGTTCTGATGAATTTTGATTGACTTGTGATTTTTTGGACACTTATCAGAATACAAATATAAAAAATTGAGGAGAACATGACTAGAAAATCCAAAGTTATATAAATTATTGGACTTATGATTGCCGCTTCATAATTGCACAATGTTCGTGTTGAAAAGGTGCATGTGAGAAATGCGATATTGTAGATCACGTATCCCGAAATGACGAAACCGTATACCCGCCATATAAAATATGTGAATTGTTGTTCAGTTAGAACCAAATATTTTTCAGATTTTGGGAAAAAATAAATGAGGAATCTCTGGAAAGCTAAAAGAAATATTAGAAGATTTTGAATTGGCACAATTATTTGATTAAAACTGTAAACAATTATTGTGAGTAACATTGGAATCCATTTATATTCCTTGCTTTCTTTATCGTCAACAAAAAAATAAATGAAAATAAAATGAATAATTGCGATCAGTTCAATTAATATCATAATCTGCGAATTAACTGTGATTTTGTAGAGATGATTTGTGATTCGATAAACTGAAGCTTCTCGATCTTTTTTTCTATTAATTCTTGTGAAATGGATGAAGAATGGGAAGATTATGAAGATGCTTAGGATATAGATAATGATTAGAATTATATGATAAGAATAATACAAATATCCTACAATTTTTTCCACCATAGTTTCTTCTCCATCCATTTTTTTATAGTTATGAATTTTTTTCATTTTTGAAAGCGAAAGTTTCAGCTGCTCAAAAAAAAATGTTGCGAAATAAACAAGATTATTTCAAAATTAAAAAAAATGACAATTTATATAACACAGGAAGAGAAAACGAGAGAGTGTGAGGGCAGAGGAGACGCGAGACGAAAAAGGGATATGAAAAGACTCCGCCCACTTCTCGCTGTAAAAGCTTCCTTCCTAAAGCGTCAAAAGGCCCCTAGAAGTTTCTAGAGTCCTTAAGAATAACTTTATAGCTTTTAGGGAGATCCTTAAGCCTCTTAAAAGCCATTGAGTGATCTACAGTGCAATTGTTTTTGAATTTGAATTTCCGCCGCGCTGTGATATTTGATAAATGATGTTCAAATTACAAAAAAAAGCGAAATTTCTTTTTGATAAAAAAAAAGAGAGATTGGTTCAGAAAACAAAAATTTTTTGAGCAGGCAGCTGAAACTTTCAGCCAATGTGAAAAAATGTTTTCTAATCAACCGAATAGAAAAATGGTCGAAAATGAAACTATGGAAAATCAAATTATAAGATATTCTTTCTATTCTTATCATATAATTTTATTCATTATCTATATTTTAAGTATTTTCATAATATTCCCATTATTTATCCATTTTACAAGACTAAATCGAAAAAAAGATCAAGAAGCTTCAGTTTATCAAATCACAAATCATCTCTACAAAATCACAGTTGCCTCACAATTTATAATTTTAATTGCAGTTTTCTCAATGGCTATTTGGATTTGTCTAATTTTATATTTCAATCCTTCTGAAGAACACAAAGAAGTTTCGCTATTCTTATTAATTCCAGTTCTCTCCTCGATTTTTGTTTATTTTTTTAATCTAGTAGTTATCCCAATTCAAAACTTCCTTATATTCCTTCTGGCTTTTCAAAGATTTTTTCTCTATTTTTTCCAAAATTCTGAAAAATATCTAGTTCCCAATGAAAAATCATTCAAATATTTCATCCTATTTCTATATTTTATATCAATTTCCGCGAATTCTATCAATATTTATTACCTATTTTTTTGCTCTTTAGGAACATCATCATCCTATTATATTGACCAAAAATCATGCGACACTGCATTTTTCCCAAATTCAATAATTTATATACTTCTCGATGTTTTGGTGATGTTCTCATCGATTTTTTATATTTTTATTTTGATCAATGTTCGAAGTATCACAAGACTTTCGTCGATTTCAATGAAAAATCGTCCGGAAAAAGTGATAATTTATCAAACTCTAGTTTTGCTTTTCGTAAAATTACTATGTTTTCCAACGTATATTGTTATTTTACATTTTGTGGAAGTTGATGAATGGAAGCTAATTGATATTCTGAAATTAGTAAGTTGAATAAGAAATATTTGAAAATCTTTTTTGATCTTCAGATCTACTATCCTCTTTTTGTTATCGATTTTCTAACAACACCCATCGTATTTCAAATCACATATATTTTCTGCAACAAAACAAATCTGGAAAATTTGCTGAAAATGAATTTGAAAACTTGGAAAAGTATTTTTGGTAGACACAATTCGAATGGTGTTGAGGATTTTCGTTTGTCGAGCACTACATCTGGAATTCAACAAAATTCATTCTAACCTTAAGGGCTTTTCATAAGCTTTTTGAGCAGCTGAAACTTTTTTTCGTTGTGGAATATGGTTGATTAGAAAACATTTTTAGAAATTTCAGCTGTTCGAAAAGTTGTTGCTTTCTGAACCATCATTTATCAAATATCACAGCTAAAAAAATAATTTTTGTTCAAAAAAAATTGCACTGTAGATCACAATGCTTCTAAGGACTTTTTAAGACCCTTAAGGATCTTCCTGAAGGCTTCTAGAGACTTTTAGAACCTTCTAAGGGCCCTTTGGGAAGCGTTCACAGCGAGAAGTGGGCGGAGTCTTTTCATATCCCTTTTTCGTCTCGCGTCTCCTCTCCACGCACACTCTCTCGTTTTCTCTTAGTCATTTTTTATAAATTTTGAAATAATCTTGTTTATTTCGCAACTTTATTGTTATTATCAAAAACAAAATGTTGAAGTTCGCTTTTTTTTAATAAAAACATTTCACTTTCATTTATCAAATGATCAATTTTCCTACTTTTTTTATTTTGTTCTTCATTCCATGTTTTGTTGCAAAAGATTGCGATTCAATCTGTAGAAAATCTCTGCTAGATTTCGATCTTCAAAATAGTAAAAGTGAAACACCTATCAGACAAAACCAAACATTTGAACTTGATCAATCATTTTTCAATTTCAAACTTGAAGAAATCAACGAAAAAACCGGAAATTTTCGAATTTACGGATTAGTTCATCAAATTTGGTACGATTATCGATTGATCAATAATGATGTTGCTGATGGATGGTTCCATTTCACACCAATTGGTGTTTTGTGGACACCAAAGTTCTCGTCGTTTTCAGAGTGAGCACCGGGTGGGGGTCGAACCCTGGTTTTGCAAATAGTAGGCAGCCATGCTAACCACTACTACAATTTTCAGTAAACCCCAACGCTATGGATCAATTGGTATTGGATTCAACGGAAAAGTTGTTCTCTACGTGAATTTGAATATGAATGGAACTTGCACTTCAAACATCGCTGAATTTCCCTTTGATGTTCAAAATTGTGAAATCAAAAGTGAACCTTCGATTTTCCCAAAAAATCTATATTCTATGAGCGTCGCTTATGATTCACGTATCAAAATGTGTGAAATTGGAAATGATTATTGGGATTTTCTGAAGATATCAACTGAAGTTGTAAAACATCCGATTCATCGGGGTTCAGAATACTTCAATCATCAAGGATTTGTCAGATTTTCCTGGAAACGAAGATCAAATTCCTATTATTTGCTGATAATTTTGGCAGTTTTCATAGTAAATGTGCTGGCTTTTCGTTACCTCTTCAAAATCCAAATAACTTATTCGAAAAAAGTCACAGTTGCTTTAACTCATATATTAATTATGTTATCAATTATCACATTTTTGCGCAGAAAATTGGCGATTCTTCAAATCCCATTTATCCTATATCTATTGCTCAGCTTATGTGGAATGCTTGTATTTTTATATTTATCAACAAGGAGAATGGAGTATAATGGGCTGAAAGAAGAGTGAGATTTTTTCTGGTTGAAAAATTGTCAGCAGACAAAAAAAAGAATCTTTTTTTTATTATTCCAGCAATAATGCACATTTGAACTACATTCGATCTTCTTGGAATATTGCGAGTTATGTTATCTTCCAAATTTCAAATGTTTTTGGTTTGGTTTATTTTATCATTCAATATTTGAAATTTAGAAATTTGTATGGGGAAGTTTTGTGTGCAGAATAAATATGAAAAATAATTTGCAAGCTTGCAAATAATCGAATCAAAAATTTCTTTAAAACCCAGGATTCTTGCTGATTTTCCATTTTTTCTTCTCGATTTGAAATGAAGCTCGTAAGTTTCTGTGGATTTTTTTACTCAAACTTTTAAAAGCTTCTGCAGATTCTCTTGGTTGTCTTGTGCCACTTCATCGTATTATCCGTGCAACAATGTAAGCATGGAGGTGCCGGCGGTTCGTTCCCAGAATACTGTGGATTTGAGATGAGTTGTGTGAATGGAGTTTGTCTACCCTATCGTCCTCCTGGATATCCAGGAGGTCGTTAAAATTGTTTTGTTGGAATAAAATCGGCTCATGATTTTTATGAAGATTTTCTTTGATCAGTTTAATATGAGCAATTATAAGATTTGAATGCAAATGATTTATCGATTTGTTAATTTTAACTACACCCCAAAATCTTCCCAAAAAAATCAATATTTTTTTAACAATATCCACAAGTTTTTGGACATTGATCCTTCATCAAACTAAGATATGCCGAATTTTGGCACAAATTCGCGTTTTTTGGACAATCGCTGACACCAGTTGATGGGTTCAATTTATCGACGCAAGTTGAAGCGGAAGATGCGGTAGTGGTTGCGGAAGATCCGGAAGATCCGGAACAGCGATTGCATGTTTTCGGGCATTGTTCGGTCATTAGTTGATAATAGGGAGCATAGTTGCACAGATTGGCGTTTTTTGGGCAATCGGAGACACCGGTTTGGGGGTTGATTTTATCGACGCAGGCTGCAAAGTTAATATGAGCAATGTATAAAGTTTTGGGATTAGCAATCCCTAAAAGTATTACCAAAAAAAATTTTCCGAATAATTCACTGTTTCAAAAATTTCATAAATCTTTGAGATTTGGGACTCTGTTATTAATTCATCTTTTGCGCAAGATAAAATAGTTCGAGAATTTTCTTTTCAAAACCAAAAAAAATCATTAAAAAATTCACTGTTTCAAAAATTCAATGAATTTTTATTGGACAATTTGGATTCAATCAGGTGTTTTCAAAGTTCGGAAAATTTTTTAGCAAAAAAAATCGACTTTTTCAAAAATTTCATGAATTTTTGAGGTTTGGAACTCTGCTATTCGCACTCTCTTCACTTTTGAATGTGGTAAAATAGTTCGATAATTTTTTTTCAAAACTAAAAAATTCACTGTTTCAAAATTTTCATGAATTTTTATGGGATAAATTGGATTTAATCTGGTGTTTGACGAATTAGAAAAAAAAATTGTAGACAAAAAATCACTGTTTCAAAAATTTCATAAATTTTTGAGATCTGGAACTCTGCTATTCGCTTTCTCAAATAGTTCGTGAAATTTTTTTTCAAAAAAAAATTCAATAAAAAATGTACTGTTTCAAAATTTTCATGAATTTTTATAGGATAATTTGGATTTAATGTGAATTTTTAATAATTAGGTTAGAAAATTTTGTAGAGAGAAAAATCCACTGTTTCAAAAATTTCATGAATTTTCATTGGACAATTTGGATTCAAACAGGTTTTTTCGAAGTTCTTAAAATTTTGTGGAGAAAAAATCTACTGTTTCAAAAAAATTGCATAAATTTTTGAGATATGGAACTCTGCAATTCTCTCCCTCTCTTCGATTTTGAATCTGGTAGAATAGTTTTGAATTTTTTTTTTATTCATTAAAAAATTCATTAAAAAATTCACTGTTTCAAAAAATTGCATAAATTTTTGAGATATGGAACTCTGCTATTGGGTCTTCTTTCGAGCAAGATAAAATAGTTCGAGAATTTTTTTTCAAAAAAAAATTCATTAAAAAACTTACTGTTTCAAAAATTTCAGAAATTTTCATTGGAAAATTTTGATTGAGTGTGTGTTTGGCGAATTATGTTAGAAAATTTTGTAGACAAAAAATCCACTGTTTCAAAAATTTTATAAATTTTTGAGATCCTGAACTCTGCTATTCTCCATATTTTCAGTATCGAGCAAGATAAAATAGTTCGAGAATTTTTTTTCAAAAAAAAATCATTAAAAAATTTACTATTTCAAAAATTGCATGAACTTTCATTGGAAAATTTTGTTTTGATGTTCAGTTAGGGTTTGTTCCTTAAAAATTATACTAGAAAAATTTGTAGCGAAAAAATTCACTGTTTCAAAAATCGTATTTATTTTTGAAAAAGTGGTTTTGAACAATGTTAATTTTGTGATTGGTTCGTGAATTTTTTTTCAAAATTAATTGTAAAAAAATTTACTGTTTCAAAAATTTCATGAATTTTCATTGGAAAATTTGGATTCAAACAGGTTTTTTCAAAATTCGGAAAATTTTGTAGAGAAAAAATCGACTGTTTCAAAAAATTTTATGAAATTTTGAGGTTTGGAACTCTGCGATTGTGTCGTCTTTTGAGCATTATAAAATAGTACTGATTTTTTTCTCAAAACTAAAAAAAATCCACTGTTTCAAATATTTCATGAATTTTTATGGGATAAATTGGAATATTTTCGCTACAAATTTTTCTAGTATAATTTTTAAGGAACAAACCGAAAATGAACATCAAAACAAAGTTTTCCAATGAAAATTCATGAAATTTTTGAAACAGTAAATTTTTTTTATGAATTGTTTTTCAGAAAAAAATTCAGAACTATTTTATCGTGCTCAACAGATAAAGCAATAACAGAGTTCCAGATCTCAAAAATTTATGCAATTTTTGAAACAGTCGATTTTTTGGGGAATATTTTTTTGCTAATACTTTTAGACATTGCAAATATTGTGAAAAATTGTGAAAAATATGGATAAAAAAAATTTAATAGGCTCCGTGGTCCCAATAATCCAAAAAAATTTGTAGACAAAAAATCCACTGTTTCAAAAATTTCATGAAATTTTGAGATCTGGAACTATTCTCTCTCTCTTAACTTATGAATCTGACAAAATAGTTCTGAATTTTTTTTCAAAAAAAAAATTCATTAAAAAATTTACTGTTTCAAAAATTTGATGAATTTTCATTAGATAATTTGGATTTGATGAGACTTCGAAAGATAAATTATCCAGAAAGTTTTGTCGACAAAAAATCCACTGTAATTATTGCATTCAAAAATCAATATTTTTCAACATTTTTTGAACGTTAATCTGAGCAATGCTCAAAACTCTGAAGTTTAATATGAGCAATTTTGAAAATTTTGGGATTCTCTGTTTTTTTAATCCATATTTTTCACAATATTTGAAATGTCTAAAAGTATTAGCAAAAAAATATTTCCCAAAAAATCCACTGTTTCAAAAATGTCATGAATTTTTATAGGATAATTTGGATTTAATGAGAAGGCTGTTAAAGCATCCAAAAAATTTTATCCAGAAAAAAAGAATTTTTGAAAAAAACATCATTAAAAAATGTACTGTTTCAAAAAATTTCATGAATTTTCATTGGAAATTTTGGTTTGTTCCTTGAAGATTACGTTCGAAAATTTTGTAGAGAAAAAATCCACTGTTTCAAAAATTGTTGAGATCTATTCTCGAGAAAATATATCAAATTTTTTTTGAAAACTAAAAAATTCACTGTTTCAAAAATTTCATGAATTTTCATTGGAAAAATTTGTTTTGATGTTCAGTTAGGGTTTGTTCCTTAAAAATTACGTTAGAAAAAAATGATGAAATAGTTCAGAATATTTTTCAAAAAAAAAAATTCATTAAAAAATTCACTGTTTCAAAAATTTCATGAATTTTTATGGGATAAATTGGATTTAATCTGGTGTTTGACGAATTAGAAAAAAAATTGTAGACAAAAAATTCACTGTTTCAAAAATTTCATACATTTTTGAGATCTGGAACTCTGCTATTAGCTGTCTCTCTCTCTTCGCTTTTGAACCTGAGAAAATAGTTCGAAAAAATGTTCAAAACTAAAAAATGTACTGTTTCAAAAATTTCATGAATTTTCATTGGAAGATTTGGATTTGATGTCATAATTCGCGGTTCGTTCCCTAAAAATTACATACATTTTTGAGAGCTGAAACTCTGCTATTCTCTCTCTCTTCAGCTTTGAATCTGATAAAATAGTTCGAAAAATTTTTCAAAACTAAAAGTTCATTGTTTCAAAAATTTCATGAATTTTCTTGGGACAATTTTGTTTTGATGTTCAGTTCAGTTTTGGGTTTGTTCTTTAAAAATTATACTAGAAAAATTTTGTAGCGAAAAAATCCACTGTTTCAAAAAATTTATAAATTTTTGAGATCTTGAACTCTACTATTGTCTATTCTTTTGAGCATGATAAAATAGTTCTGAATTTTTTCTCAAAAAAAAATTCATTAAAAAATGTACTGTTTCAAAAATTTCATGAATTTTCATTGGAAATTTTGTTTTGATATTGACTTTTTGGTTTGTACCTTAAAAATTAGGTTCGAAAATTTTGTAGAGAAAAAATCCACTGTTTCAAAAATTTCATGAATTTTCATTGGATAATTTGAATTTAATGTTTTCTGGCAAATTACTCAAAAATTTTTGTAGACAAAAAATCCACTGTTTCAGAAATTTCATGAATTTTTGAGATTTGGAACTCTGTTATCTTTTGAGCAAGGTAAAATAGTTCTGATTTTTTTTTCAAAACTAAAAAAAATCCACTGTTTCAAAAAATTTCATGAATTTTTTAAGAATAATATGGATTTGATGTTGTTGTTTCAAAACATTCTTGCCCATTTGCATCTGAATTTTTTTCAAAAAAAAAATTCATTAAAAAATTCACTGTTTCAAAAATTTCCTAAACTTTTGAGAGCTGGAACTATGATCTTCGCTCTATCTTCTTTTGTGAAAAAAAAATTAATTTTGAAAAAATTCATTAAAAAATCCACTGTTTCAAAAATTTCATGAATTTTCGTTGGATAAATTGGATTTAGTGTGTGTTTGGCGAATTATGTTAGAATACTTTGTAGAGAAAAAATCCACTATTTCAAAAATTGTATTAAATCTTGAAACAGTGGTTCGAAACATTCTTGCCCATTTGCATCTGACAAAATAGTTCTGAATTTTTTCTCAAAAAAAAAATTCATTTAAAATTCCACTGTTTCAAAAATTTCATGAATTTTTGAGAAATTGAACTCTGCTATTATATCGTTTGTTGAGCACGATAAAATAGTTCTGAATTTTTTTCAAAAAAAAATCATTTAAAAAATTCACTGTTTCAAAAATTTCATGAATTTTCATTGGAAAATTTGGTTTTTTAGTGTGTTTGGCGAATTATGTTAGAAAATTTTGTAGATAAAAAAATCCACTGTTTCAAAAATTTCATGAATTTTCTTAGGACAATTTGGATTTAATGGGCTCGGTGTTGCCAAAATAACCAAAAATTTTTGTAGATAAAAAAATCCACTGTTTCAAAAATTGTATTTATTTTTGAAAAAGTGGTTTTGAACAGTATTGCCTTTGTGAATCTGCGAAAATAGTTCGAGAATTTTTTTTTTCAAAATTAATTTTTAAAAAAATCCACTGTTTCAAAAATTGCATATAAAAATCGATATTTTTTCAAAACAATTTTGGAAGCTTAATATTGGCAATTCTTCAAACTATCAAGCTTAACATGAGCAATAGTGATTTTTTTGGGTTAACATGAGCAATATTCTACGCGGAAGCTCGCGGAAGCTCGCGGAAACTCACTAGAAGTTGCTGCAGTTGTAGTGGTAGTTGTAGTGGTTACAGTTCCAGTAACAATATTCGCATATTCGCAACAAGTTGTATTCTGAAGACACGCCATACCAGAAGGACAATAGTAGATGGTCAAATCGGAGCTGACCGCCGCGGAAATGCAGGCTGCAAAAAAACATTTTTCGATTCCGGAGATGCGGAAGGCGACGCGGAAAGCGACGCGGAAAAGGAAAGAACTCACGAAGATTATCCGATGAGGAGCAAGTTTGAGCGGCGCTGAGAGCAACTAGAGCTGAGGCAAAGGCTACCAAGAACATTTTTGATCTGATTTGGTTTTGCTCGGGGGCTCCTGGGGTTTTTATAGGCTCTGATCTTTCCAGGTGCACAAATACGAACTTTTTGAATTTGAATTTGAATATTTTATTTTTAGTGGCGGAATTTTTAATTTGTTGGTAAATATTAACTTTTTTTCGAATTCAAACTAAATTCAAAAAAAAACTACGGGTTAGAGACGCAGAGGAATGTTTTTGATCTACAAAACTCTGCTTCTCTGCGTCTCTCAGGCTATTATGACGTGGCAAAACTATTTTTACTTATTTTTGAAAAAACAGCTGAATTTTTCACTATTTTTAGGCTTCTTTCCATTTTCTTTTCAAAAAAATGTCCCAAAATCCCATTTCTGAACTAAAAGATCAACTTATCCTAAGTTCATTTGCTTTTTATCACCTAATTTTAATTTTGATCTATATTTCAAGTATTTTTATTATTTTTCCATTATTTATTCATTTTACAAGGATTAATAGGAGAATTGATCAGGAGGTGAGAGGGCCTTAAGGGCTTTAAGGTTAAAAGCCTAAAATTAGGCCTTAGCCTTAAGGGCCTGGAATTAGGCCTTAGGTCTTAAGAGCCTTAAAGGCAAAAACCTTGAAGTTAAAGGCCTGGAATTAGAGCCTTAAGGTTTCCAGCCTAAGCTCTGGTTTAAGATTAATACGACTTCCAAATTTAGGGCCTTAAGATTTTCAGCTTAAGGTTAGTAGAATCTTAAGGTTAAGAGTCTTAAGGTTTAGAGCCTGGAGCTTCTAGATTCAGAGGCTGAAATTAAGAGCCTTAAGATTTCCAGACTAAGCTCTAGCTTAAGATTAGTAAGACTTCAAAATTTAGGGCCTTAAAGTTAAGAGCCTGGAATTTGAGCTTTAAGGTTTAGAGACTAAAATTAAGAGCTTTAAGGTTAAGATTGGGGCTTAAGAGAGGGTTTAGTAGGGGCTTAAAATTCGAACCTTGAGGTTTAGGACCTTAAAGTTTCCAACCTCAGCTCTTGCTTAAGGTTAGTAGGACCTTAAGGTTTAAGACCTGGAATCAGAGTCTTGAGATTAAGGGCCTTAAGGTTTCCAGTCTAAGCTTTGGCTTAAGGTTGTAAGGGCCTTAAGGTTAAGGACCTGGATTTAGAACCTTGAAGTTTAGAGCCTTAAGGTTTAGAGCCTTAAGGTTCTTTAAAGTTCTTAAGGCTTAAGGTTTGGAGCCTAAAGCTTTTTAACATAGTTTTTCACTTAAGTCTTAAGGTTAGAAGTTAGCCTAACAATTTTGGCGGGAATATTTAAAATTTCAAAAAAAAAATAATTTTTTGAACAAAATTTTCACTGTTTCAAAACCTCTTAAGTCAAATTTCAGTGCATGAAAAAAAATTCCGAAAAAATCAAAAATGTTCACGAAATCTGAAAATTAAAAAAAAATTTGAAACAGTAAAATTTTTCGGCATTTAATTTTAATCGAAAATTCAAAAAGGTTCAAGTTTTTTTTTTGAAAATTCTGAATTGAGCTCAAAATTTTTGAGAATCAAAAAAATTCAGATTTTAAAACCTTAAGGTTTAGGGCTTTAAATTTTAAATGGAGAAATTTCAGAATTCCATAAAAAATCGAAAATATTTGAAAAAAATTGAAACTGTAAAATTTTTCGTACAGCTGAAAACTGCCACGTCATAAAAAAATGTATTTTCAAAGAATCTCGGAAAATTAAAGCTTCAGGGTTTCTTTTTTTTTTGAAAATTCTGAATCAGGCTCAAAATTTTTGAGGTTCAAAAAATTCAGACTAAGGTTTAGGGCCTTAAGTTTTAAATAGAGAAATTTCAGATTTAAATTTTAAATAGAGAAATTTCAGATTTAAATTTGAAATTTTGAGAATTCCAAAAAATATATTTTTTTTTCCTAATTTTTTTTTTGCAGTCGCCAATCTTCCCAATCACAAATCATCTCTACAAAATCACAGTAATCTCTCAATTCATAATTATCAGCCTAATTATCTCAATCATCTCCTCAATATATTTTTATTCATCTCTAAAACCCACTGATCCATTCGCAATAATTCCCCTAACTTTTCTAGTAATCGTCTATATTTTCAATCAAATAATTGTTCCGATTCAGAATTTTCTCATATTTTTTTTGGCTTTCAAAAGATTTTTGGTTTATTTTATACCGAGCCTTGAAAATTCTATTGTTCCGCGCAGAAAAACTTTTGAAAATATTCTACGGTCGCTTTATTTTCTATCGATTTTCTCAATTATTTTTGGGATTATCGATTGGTTACGGTGTGTGTACTTTGGTCTTGATACAAATACAATTTTGTCGAGGATAATTTCGGTAAGGCTAATATGAGCAATGCTAGAAAAAAGTGATGTTTTCCCTATAAAAATCGGTATTTTTACAGTAGTTTAATATGAGCAATGAGGAAAAATTCTGAAAATTAATATGAGCAATGCTAAGAATTTTGAAGCTTAATATGAGCAATGCCTCTGAGATATATATTGAGAAATTTGGAGCTTGATATGAGCAATGCTCAGAATTCTGCAGCTTAATATGAGCAATGTTAGGCTTTCTAAACATTCAAGTTCAAATCCAAAATCTAAAAAAAAAATTCCAGACAATTTATATAATCCTGGATGTTCTCGTAATTCTCTCCTCAATTTTCTATATGATAATCTCGATCAGAATCCGAAACCTGACCCAAAACTCCAGAATTTTCCTAAATTCCCACCCAGAAACCACAATCTTCTATCAAACTCTCGTTTTATTTTTCGTCAAAATCTCGTGCTTTCCCATGTTATGTTTCGCGATTTGGCTGTTTCTGGATGAAGTTACCGAAAGTTTGGTGAGTTCTAGAAGATCTATTGCCACGTCATAACTAATTATTTTCAGATCTATCACGCACTATTTTTCATTGATGTTTTGACGACTCCTTTAGTCTTTCAAGTCACATATTTATTTTGCAACAAAACAAATCTGGAAATTTTGCTGAAAATGAATTTTGTAGAGCTGAAAACTTGGAGAATTATTTGCTGTGGACACAATTTTTTGAATAAAATTGGAAACCAACGGAATTCTTGAGGGAAATTTTTTGTGGATCAAAGTTCTAGCAGATGTTACAAAGTTTCCTGTGAGTACGTGACAAAAAGTTAGGAGCTCAACAACATTTTAAAAAATTTACACCTGCTTGTTTTCTTCTCAAAAAACCAAAAAAATGTTAGATTCTCTAGATCAACAAAAGTTTTTCCTTAATTCTCTACTCTTCTACCATCTCATCCTAATTCTAATCTATATTCTAAGTATCTTCATAATCTTCCCATTTTTCCTATATTTCACAAGAATCAATAGAAAAAAGGATGAAGAATCTTCAATTTTCCAAATCACAAATCATCTCTACAAAATCACAGTTATCTCACAAACCATGATTTTAATCCTGATTATATCAATTTTCAGTTTCTATTTTTGGATCAAGAGTCAAGAAGCAGAAAGTATAATTCCACTTGCTTTGGGAATTTTTCTAATTATATTTATCTATGCTTTCAATTCAATAATTATTCCAATTCAAAATCTTCTAATATTCCTTTTGGCTTTTCAAAGATTTCTCCTTTATTTCTTCCCAAATTCTGAAAAATATCTAGTTCCAACTAATCTGGTCTTCAGATTTATTATCATTTTTCTATATACTATTTCAATTTTTGGAAATTTTTTATTTGTGGTAAAATCCACGCATTGTATGTGGTTCGTAAAAGAAAATGAAAATGAAGATGAATGCATCGCAAATTTCCGAATGATCAATGCAATAATCTATATAACTCTGGATTTTCTAGTCATGTTCTCCTCGATTTTTTATATTTTTATCCTTGTTAGTGTCAGAAATATCACAAGAAATTCCACGTTTTCAATGAAAACGCGCCCGGAAAAAGTGATAATTTATCAGACTTTGGTTTTGATTATTGTAAAAATGCTATGTTTTCCATTGATGTTTTGGATTGTTGAGGATCTTGTTTCCAATGGTGATTTTTCTGATCTTCTACTTTTGCTATCGGTGGGTTACCTATGACGTGGCAAAATTTCCTCAATAATTTTTCTTGGTAGATTTACTACTCCGTGTTCCTCCTGGATGTTTTCACAACACCCATCGTATTTCAAGTCACATATATTTTTTGCAATAAAACAAATCTGGAAATTTTGCTAAAAATGAATTTTGGAAAATGGAAAACTTGGAAAGCGATTTTTTGCGATTCTAACAATATTGTGCATCTTCATCAAATTGAATCGATTGATATGAGCAATCCGAATTCTTGATTATTGTTTTTGCAACAAAAAAGTTTGCTGAAAATTTATTTTTCATCGAAACAAACAGCTGATTTTCAGAATCATTCGAAAACAAACAATGATTTTTGCTGATAAATTTATCACCCACTCATTGATTTTCTATTATATTCTTCTAATTTCAACAAAAATCGATGATTTATATAATTCTCGATTTTCTAGTCATGTTCTCATCGATTTTCTATATTTTTATTCTTGTTAGTGTTCGGAATATCACAAGAAATGCCTCAAGTTTCTTGAAAACCCGCCCGGAAAAAGTGATTGTTTCTCAAACCCTGGTTCTACTCTTGGTCAAATTATTATGCCTTCCGACAATATATTTGATAACTCAACTTGTGCATGACTACAATCTGAATAGTATTATAAACATGGTAAAAAAAGAAAAAAAAACGTTGCGGGGAGGGGGGATCGAACTTGCGCCAAAACCCTGACAACCTATCCACTTATCCACTCGGACACGCTCGCATTATTTTCGACGTGTCAAATTTCGATGAGAAGATAATTGCATTTTTCGTATTTTCCAGCTCTACTATTCTCTTCTCCTCATTGATATCATCACAACTCCCATCGTATTCCAAATCACATATATTTTCTGCAACAAAACAAATCTGGAAATTTTGCTGAAAATGAAATTCAGAAAATTGCAAACTTGGAAAACAATTTGTTGTGGGAATCAATTGAATATCGTTGAAGTTTATAATCTGAGCAATAATAGTTCATCAAATATCTAGATAGATAATGTCTTTGTTTTATTGAACTCTCTAGAGAATTTTCAATATTTTAATGGAAAATAAAATAAACACATTAACGATCACGGTGTGTGAAACTTTGTTGAGAGAGTTTAGAGAAACATTTTATGATTCCCCCTATAAAAGTTCTACCAAAAAAAACACACAATTTTCGCAATCTTGCTGCTCATCGCATCAATTGATTGCCAAAGTTCGGAGGAATGTTTCGAGCCAACAGCAACTTGTGATCCTGGATTTGTGACAATTCAACGCACTCCAAATGCCGCCAATAAATTCACCAGCAAATTTTGCTTGAAAATCGTTGGCTCTTCGAATGCTCTCAGTAATTCTGATGCTGAAGATCTTTGTTCGAGGGACGGCGCAAAATTGGCAATGTTTGAGAGTCTTGAGGAGCAGAACTTGTTTAGCGAATGTGAGTTGGGCGATGCGTGTGCGTCGCGGTTCAGCTTCTCTGCGTCTCTACCTCCAGAGTGCACGGCAATTTGCCCCCTCGGGTCAGACGAGAGACGACGGGAGTCTAATGACGTCATCAAAGACGAGATATTTTTGAAAAAATACCGTATTTTGTTTCAAGGAACACACATTTTATTGAAAATATCTCGCCACGAAATTCACTTTTGGGATATTTTCACAAAATACTCTCGTCGTCTCGCGTCTGCCTCAACAGGCACCATGTATGGTCGTAAGTGTTATCTATGTCTAGCTACACTGCGTCTCTAACCCTAGAGTGCTATATAATTCTCTAGCCTCTCTGCGTCTCTAATCATATTATGATATCTGATTGTCTAGCGTCTTCAACTACAGAGTGCTATCTAACTGTCTAGCTTCTCTGCGTCTCTAACCTCCTATGCTATGTATTCAGATCTCCAAAAAAATGTTCACATCCGAATCGACGGCTCTCGCCGAATCGAATGCATCCTGCCCGACGATCTCAAAAACAAGGAAAAGTGTTCGCCTCAGCGGGTAGACTTAGGCTAACTATATTTTCACGACTCAAAAACCATTTGCAGGCATTCATCGCGCTTCACGAAGGCACCGATCCAACATTCACATTCAACAATTGGTACATCTACAATCCGAATCACAATTATGTGTAAGTTTTCTGGGTGTTGTCGGTTGCGATGCGGCACGCGTCGCTGAGCCGCGTCGCAACCGACGACATTTAGAAATATCGATGAACGATGCTTGATTCTTGTGAATGGTCGGGAAACTGGCGATATATCGTGCAATGCTTTGCCGAACAATGAATATGGAGCTTATAAGGCGTTGTGTGGCAAACTTCCAAATTGATTTATTGATTTATTGATTTTTTTGGGGGGGGGGTGGGTAAATGAATGATTTATGATTTTAACTTGAAAAAAAACAGGTGAATTCTCAAAAACAAAAATCCCTCCTTCAATTTTTTTCCACTTCAAAATGAATGTCAAAGAGATCGTAAATATCTTTATTTTCCATAAAAAAAACATCTCGGAAGTATTGATTTTTGATTTCTGAGAGAGTTCAATTATCTATGATGAAATATCGCTCAGAACTGTATTGTGATCCTCCACGACATTCAAATTGTTCCAACACCAAATTGTTTTCCAAGTTTTCAATTTTCTGAAATTCATTTTCAGCAAAATTTCCAGATTTGTTTTGTTGCAGAAAATATATGTGATTTGAAAAACGATGGGTGTTGTTAAAAGATCAATGAGGAATAGGGAGTAGTAAATCTGAAATTGAAATTTGAATCGGCTTCATTTTACCTCACCTCATCCAAAATGCCATTCAAATTCACTTCATAATCGATCACAAATTGACGAACAAAGAAAATTGTTGGAATACTCAATAATTTTACAAAAAGTAAAACCAAAGTCTGATAAATTATCACTTTTTCTGGGCGGGTTTTTAAGAAACTCGAGGCATTTCTTGTGATATTCCGAACACTAACAAGGATAAAAATATAGAAAATCGAGGAGAACATGACGGAAAAATCGAGAATTATATAAATAATTGAACTTGTTATTGAAACTTGTTGTTGATCGCAATTTTCATCAGTATAGAAAAGCTGATGCATACATTTAACCCAATAAACAAAATAGATTAAATTCCCCAAAATCGATATTGAATATAACCATTTTATAAAATAATTGAACCTTTTTTTCACTAGGAACTAGATATTTTTCATGATTCGGGTAAAAATAAAGGAGAAATCTTTGAAAAGCCAAAAGGAATATTAGGAAATTCTGAATCGGAACTGTAAATTGCATGAAAATATAGGTACAAGAGGATAGAATGTAATTGCTGTAATTATTGCTAAAATTCCAATTTCCGCTTCCGGTTCCGCTTCCTTTTCCAATGTTTCGATACTGAACAACATTGGTATAGACAAGAAAATCAATACTGAAATTGCACTTGAAACAATCATAATTTGTGAATAAATTGTGATTTTATAGATATGATTTGTGATCAAAAATACTGAAGATTCTCGATCTTTTTGTCTGTTAATTCTAGTTAGATGGATGAAAATTGGAAAAATTGTGAAAACACTTAAAATGTAGATTGTTAGAAGAATAACATGATAAAGCACATAAAATGAGCGGAGCAGTAAAAATTCTTTGAAATCCATTTTGAAATGGAAAAAAATTGAAGGAGGGATTTTTGTTTTTTTCAAGTTAAAATCATTCATCAGAAATCAAACCACCACACATGTTTTCATTTTCAGCAATTTTTCCAGATCTGGAAATTTTGCTGAAAATGAATTTCAGAAAATTGAAAACTTGGAAAACAATTAAAATCTGAGCAATATTTCATCATAGATCTCTATCAGAAATCAAAAATCAAAATTTCCGAGATGTTTTTTTATTGAAAATAAAGATATTTACGATCACGACACGTTGTATAAGGGACAAGAGAGTGTTAGAAATTGAGAGAGTCTAGAGAAATATTCAGCATAAAAGTGCCTCTGGAAAACACACACACACACAAAAATGAATCGAAAAGGTTTCGCATTCTTGCTGATCATCTGCCACAGTTCGGAGGCATGTGTCACGTCGTGTGATCCTGGATTTGTTCCAATTCAACGCACCCCGAATGCCGCCAATAAGTGCACCAGCAAATTTTGCTTGAAAATCGTTGGCTCTTCGGATGCTCTTAGTAATTCTGATGCTGAAGATCTTTGTTCGAGGGACGGCGCAAAATTGGCAATGTTTGAGAGTCTTGATGAACAGAATTTGTTTAGCGAATGTGAGTTGTGCGATGCGTGTGCGTCGCGGTTAGCTTCTCTGCGTCTCTAACTCTAGAGTGCTATCTAATTGTCTAGCTTCTCTGCGTCTCTAATTCTAGAGTGCAGTCTAGCTTCTCTGCGTCTCTAGCCACAGAGGGATGTCTAATTGTCTAACGTCTCTAACTCTGAAGGGTTGTCCAATTAACTAGCTACTCTGCGTCTCTAACTCTAGGGTGATGTCTAACTTCTCTAACTACAGAGTGATTGTCTAGCCTCTCTGCGTCTACCATATCTTTTAATCTATAGCTCTCTGGTTTCTCTGCGTCTCTAACTCTAGAGTGCTATCTAATTGTCTACCGTCTCTAACTCTAAGGTGATGTCTGACCGTCTAGCTTCTCAGCGTCTCTAACTACAGAGTTCTATCTAATTTTCTATGTTCTCTGCGTCTCTAACTCTAGAGTGCAGTCTAGCTTCCCTGCGTCTCTAACCTCCACAATGCTATTCAGATCTCCAACCAAAAGTTCACATCCTAATCGACGGCGTTCGCCGAGCCGAATGCATTTTTCCCGAAGATCTCAAGGATACGGAAAAGTGTTCGCCTCAGCGGGTAAACTTAGGCTAACTAAATTTTCACGACTCAGAAAAATTCAGGCATTCATGGCGCTTCACGAAGGCACCGATCCAACATTCACATTCAACAATTGGTACATCTACAATCCGAATCATAATTATGTGTAAGTTTTCGGGGTGTCGTCAGTTGCGATGCGGCTGTCGACACGCGTCGCCGAGCCGCGTCGCAACCGACGACATTCAGAACTATTGATGAGCGATGCTTGATGCTTGTGGATGGTCGAGAAACTGGCGATGTATCGTGTAATGCTTTGCCGAACAATCAATATGGGGCTTATAAGGCGTTGTGTGGCAAATTTCCGAATTGATTTATTGATTTATTGATTGATTTTTTGGGGGGGGAGGGTAATACATAAATAATTTTTGGTTTCTGAATTCAAGACATTGCTCATGTTAGACTCCAAATTTTGAGCATTGCTCAGATTAACCTTTCAAATAGATAGCTTTGGAATTTTGAGGATTGCCCATGTCAGCCTTGAAAATCAGAAAACCTAATAAATGCCACGTGTTTTTTTCTAGCATTGCTCAGATTAACCTTTCGAAAAGATAGCTTCGGAATTTTGAGCATTGCTCATGTTAGGCTCCACAGACATTGCTCATAGTATATCTACCCTAAAAAATGACGTGGCATTTTGAATGAAAAATTCCGAATTTTTATTTCCAATAAAAATTACGATGTGAAGACTAGAGAGTGTTAGAAGTTGAGAGAGTGTTAGAGAAACAGCTACAGTATAAAAGATCTCGGGAAATTCCTATGAGCCACCATCAAAAATGAAGCTCATCCTTGCCATCTCCATATTGCTCATATTATCCCCAGCCTACTATTGTCAAAAAAAGTGCGCAACAGGATTTGTGGAAGTTCAACGTGCGCCAACCGCCGCCAATCAATTCACCGCCAAATTTTGTCTGAAAATCGCGAGCTCCGCGAATGCTCTGAGTTTGGAGGATGCTGAAGGACTGTGCTCGAAACACGGCGCGAAATTGGCAATGTTTGAAAGTCTGGCCGAGCAGAATTTGTTTAAAGAGCGTGAGTAATGCGATGCGCTGCGTGTTGCGTTGCGGTCGGTTACTGTTGGGTTAGTGTAACTCTTGAACTGCAAGGATTACTGTACCTAGAACTGCAAGAAATCCCGAACTGTAAGGGATACTGTATCTCAAGAGTATATAGAACTACAAGGGATACTGTATCTTGAGGTTTAGTGTACCCAGGACTGCAAGGATTACTGTAATCCCAGGAACTGTATCTCAAGGGTACCTAGAACTGGAAGGATTACTGTATCTTGAGGGTTGTGGTGTACCTAGAACTGCAAGGATTACTGTAGCATACTGGGTACTGTAAATCCCGAACTACAAGAATTACTGTATCTCAAGGTTATATAGAACTGCAAGAATTACTGTATCTTGAGGGTTGTGATCTACCTAGAACTACAAGGATTACTTTAGCCTGCGAGGTACTGTAGATCCCGAATTGCACAAATTCCCGAACTGCAAGAATTACTGTATCTCAAGGGTATATAGAACTGCAAGGGATACTGTACTCTAGGACTATTTCCGAATGGAAGGGGTCAATTTCTCTGCGTCTCTAATTTTCCATCTACCTGATTTCTCTGCGTCTCTAACCCCAGAGTGATATCTAGCTTCTCTGCGTCTCAAACCCTCTAACTGTCTAGCTTCTCTGCATCTTTAACCTCACAGTGTATATCCAGCTTCTCTGCGTCTCTAACTCTCTAGCTTCTTTGCGTCTCTAACCTCACAGTGCTAACCGACTTCTCTGCGTCTCTAACCTCATAGTGCTATCTAGCTTCTCTGCTTCTCAAACCCTCTAACTGTCTAGCTTCTCTAACCTAAGATTGTTATCTAGCTTCTCTGCGTCTCTAACCTCACAGTGCTAATTGGTTTATCTGCGTCTCTAACCCCAGAGTGCTATCTAGCTTCTCTGCGTCTCTAATCCCAGAGTGTTATCTGGTTTCTCTGTGTTTCTAACCTCAGAGTGCTATCTAGATTCTCTGCGTCTCTAATTTTTCATCTACCAGGATTTATCTGCGTCTCTAACCTCAGAGAATTTAAAGTCTCGCAGCGAAAATCGGCCTACTGTAGCCTCTCATTTTCAGACCTCAAACCAAAAGTTCACATCCGAATCGACGGTGTCCGACGAGTCGAATGTATTATGCCCGCAGATCTCAAGGATAAGCAAAAATGCTCGCCTCAAAAGGTGGACTTAGGCTAACTAGATTTTCACGACTCAAAACAAAATTTGCAGGCATTCATCCCGCTTCACGAAGGCACCGATCCGAAATTCACATTCAACAATTGGCAACTTCACAACCCGAATCACGATTATGTGTAAGTTCGCGGTTGCGGCCGCGACGCGCGACCGCGTCGCAACCAAAAGCCTATGTATATAATATTCAGAAATTTGAACGAACAATGCTTGATTCTTGTGCATGGCCGGGAAACTGGCGATATCTCGTGCAACGCAATGCCGAAGAATTATTTTAGAGCCGATAAGGCGTTGTGTGGAAAATTGCCTAATTGATTTATTGATTTTTTTTGGGAAGGGGTAATAAATAATTCATTTCAAAAAAAAAAAAGTTGTGCACCGGGTGGGGGTCGAACCCGGGTGGTGCGAATGACAGGCGCGAGTGCATACCACTCGGCCAAACGTCTTGTTTTTTCACCAGCGAAAATGTCGAATATAAAATGCGTGGTCGATGGTCTAACTGCTATTTGTATTGCTCGTCAGATTATAAACTTCATAATGATGATCTTCCACAATATTCAATTTCCCACAACAAATAGTTTTCCAAGTCTTCAATTTTCTGAAATTCATTTTCAGCAAAGCTTCCAGATTTGTTTTGTTGCAGAAAATATATGTGATTTGAAATACTAATGGGGTTGTTAACACATCTATGACAAACAAAGAATAATAGAACTGAAAAATTTAATTTTCTCATTAGAGCGCACTTTCAACTTTACATAGTAACTAACCAAGTTTAAAAATCCATTCAATTGTAAATCTTGATTATTCAAAAAATGAAGAAAAAAGGAAATTGTTGGAATACTCAATAATTTCACAAAAAATAAAACCAAAGTCTGATAAATTATCACTTTTTCTGGGCGGGTTTTTAAGAAATTTGACAAGGGAACCTTTTTTACTCAACACTTCAAATCATGATGAAATTTGGTCCATGGACAGCTTTTGGGACCATAAGAACACCCTAAAAATTTTAGTCTCCCAATGGACCTCTGAGCCAAGTTCTGGGCTCTCAAAAACTCAAAAAAGGCCTAAAAATGGTCATAAAAGTCATCATAGCTCCATTTCAAAATTTTTTTGGGAGAAATGAAGTTTCAGATATTGATCAGCATGGTCGATTACCTAAAAGTACATCAATAAAAAACCTTATTTCGAAAAATTTTGAAGTTTTTTTATTTTTGGGCTGAAAATTCATGAAAATTCATATGTGCCCCTGCTCATTCATTTTTTCAAAATTAGAAATTTTTCTGAAAATTTGATTTATTGATGGTTTTTGGGTAAATCGACCACGCTGATCATCATCTGCTACTCAGTTTTTCATAAAAATGATCGAAAATTGAGTTATGACGTGTTTTATGAGCCAATTTTGGCAATTTTTGAACTTTTGAGAGCCCAGAACTTGGCTCAGATGTCCATTGGGAGACTAAAATTTTTAGGGGGTTCTTATGGTCCCAAAAGCTGTCCATGGACCAAATTTCATCATGATTTGAAGTGTTGAGTAAAAAAGGTTCCCTTGTGAGGCATTTCTTGTGATATTCCGAACACTAACAAGGATAAAAATATAGAAAATCGATGAGAACATGACTAGAAAATCCAGGATTATATAAATAATTGAACTTGTTATCGAAACTTGTTGTTGATCGCAAGTTTCATCCGAATAGAAAAGCTGATGCATACATTTAACCCAATAAACAAAATAGATTAAATTCCCCAAAATCGATATTGAATATATCCATTTTATGATGCAATCAAATCTTTTTTCACTGGGGACTAGATATTTTTCATAATCTGCGAAGAAATAAATGAGGCATCTTTGAAGAGCTAAAAGGAATATTAGAAGATTTTGAATTGGAATGATGAATTGCATGAACATGTAGGTAATTACAAGAAAGTAGAATGTAATTGCTACAATTATTGATATTATAATTCCAGTTTCTTCTTCGCTTATTGTAATATACATTGATAAAATCAAGAAAATTAATAAAGAAATTGCGCTTGCAACGATCACAATTTGTGAATAAATTGTGATTTTATAGAAATGATTTGTGATCCAAAACACTGAAGATTCTCGATCTTTTTGTCTGTTAATTCTAGTTAAATGAATAAATATTGGAAAAATTGTGAAAACAATTAAAATATAGCTTGTTAGTAGAATAAAATGGTAGAGAACAAAAAATGAGCCGATGAGATATTTTTCTGCGACATTCATTTTGAAGTGATTAATGAATGAAGGCTTGTTTGTTTTCGAGAATTCACCTGTTTTTAAAATCAAATGTTCAGGGGAGAAACGAGGAGAGAGAAGCAGAGAAAATGAGAGAGTAAGGATATCGTGCTGGTGCCAACAGTTCGATAGAGCGCACTTTCTTTCTATGTTTTTTCTTGTTTTCAATATTTATAAAAAATCGAATAAAAACAGTCGAAAAACGATGATTTAGATGTAATTTGTATTGCTCAGATTATAAACTTCATAATTATCTTCAACGATATTCAATTGATTCCCACAACAAATAGTTTTCCAAGTTTCAAATTTTCTGAAATTCATTTTCAGCAAAATTTCCAGATTCGTTTTGTTGCAGAATAAATATGTGATTTGGAATACTAATGGGGTTGTTAGCACATCTATGACAAACAAAGAATAATAGAACTGAAAAATTTTGTTTTCTCATTAGAGCGCACTTTCAGCTTTACTAACCACGTTTAAAAATCCATTCAATTGTAAATCTTGATTCATCAAAAAATGAAGAAAAAAGAAAATTGTTGGAATACTCAACAATTTTACAAAAAGTAAAACCAAAGTCTGATAAATTATCACTTTTTCTGGGCGGGTTTTCATGAAATTCGAGGCATTTCTTGTGATATTTCGAACACTAACAAGGATAAAAATATAGAAAATCGATGAGAACATGACTAGAAAATCCAGGATTATATAAATTATTGAACTTGTGATTGAAACTTGTTGTTGATCGCAAGTTTCATCCGAATAGAAAAGTTGATGCATACATTTAACCCAATAAATAAAATAGATTAAATTCCCCAAAATCGATATTGAATATAACCATTTTATGATGCAATCAAATCTTTTTTCACTGGGGACTAGATATTTTTCATAATCCGCGAAGAAATAAATGAGACATCTTTGAAGAGCTAAGAGGAATATTAGAAGATTTTGAATTGGAATGATGAATTGCATGAAATTATAGGTTATGAGTACAAAGTAGAATGTAATTGTGCGAATTATTGATGTTATAATTGCATATTCCGACTCGTTAAGACACATTGCTAGAAAGAATAAAACTAAAAATGAAATCGCGCATAAAACAATCAAAAATTGTGAATAAATTGTGATTTTGTAGATATGATTTGTGATCAAAAATACTGAAGATTCTCGATCTTTTTGTCTGTTAATTCTTGTTAGATGGATGAAAATTGGAAAAATTGTGAAAACACTTAAAATGTAGATTGTTAGGAGAATAAGGTGATAAAGAACAAATGAGCGGAGCAGATATTTTTCTTCGTCAATCATTTTGAAATGAAAATTTGTTGTGTTCGAAAAAAATTCACCTGGTTTTTTTTAAATCAAATGTTCAAACTGAAATTCTGGGAAAAATACGTTTCAAAAAAAAAGGTAGGATTTTTGAAGAATGAAACGGTTGCCAAGGTATGGTCTCATCTTATTTTCCCAAAAATTTGGCGATAGCTTCGCCACCGCCCGAAAAATTTACAGCGATAAAGAACCTCCACGCAACCCGCCACCTATTTACATATTTTTTGCGCGCGACGGTTCGCGGGTCTCGCGGGGTGACATGTTGTGTGTGCAAAGGGGGCGGAGCCTGTTTGTTTTTCGAAGGTTTTGCATGAAATTTGGGTTGATTTTTGATGAGAAAATTGAGAAATGAAGATTTCAAGGCAAAAAAACGATTCTTGGGCATAGTTTTGATGAGTTAGCCTAACTTTTTTCGGTTTTCATACATTTTTCAAATTTTACACAATTTTTTATCGATTTTCTTGAATTTTCCCCCAAAAAACTCACAAATCGCTTCTATTTTTCAAATCCCATCAAAATTCGTGCGAAATTCGAAATCCTCCAAGTTTTCCATCAATATTTCATGCTGAAAATCAGAAAATTTGAATTTTTCATGTAAAATTCAGAAAAAAAACCCACTTTTCTTCGATAATCCTCGCATTTTCCGATAATTTCAGCTTGATAATTCCAGTAGAACATCTGAAAATTCAATTTTTCACAAAAAATCCACTGATTTTCCCAGGAAAGCCAAAAAACCCGCGAAAAAAAAACGAAAAATGAAAATTTTCTCGTGTTGCGCTAAACAGCGGGCAAAGCGGAGTGTCGTTGTGAAAGTAAACAATAATTTTTTTTTTCTATTTTTTTCTTTTTTTTTGGATTTTTTGCCCACCAGGTGAAATAAAAATTTGTATATTTTGAAAATTTCAAATTTTCAGCCAAAAATCTGAAAATTCAAGTCAATTTTGAGCCAAAAATATTATTTTCAGCTCAATTTTTTCCAGAAAAAACCATAATTTTCAGCTCGAAAAATCTGAAAATTAAAGATTTTCAGCTTCCCAAAAATTCAAAAAATCAAAAAAAAAATTTTTTTCAAATCATTTTCGACTCATTTTCATTTTTTTTCCATTCACTCACTCAAAAAATTTTTCTTATCAGAAAATTTTTTCTCAAAAATAAAAAAAAAATTTTTTTCGTTCACTTTTTATTTCGGTAGATAAATTTATCATTTTTGCATGTTACATACTTTTTCGAAAAAAATTTTTTTTTTTTTTTTTTTAATTTTTAAAAATTTTTTTGATCTCCAATTTTTGCAGGGCGCGCTCTCCTTGTACATTTGTCAAAATTTGGGCCGCACTTATTGATTCGATGGATTTTCAACATTTCTATTATTCTAGTGTGAGTTTTTCTTGATTTTCAGCATGAAATTCATGCTGAAAATATTGATTTTTTGCCTGAAAATCTCAAATTTTCATGCAAAAATGATGATTTTTGACCCCAAAATCCAATTTTCTCACTGAAAATTCATCATTTTTGCCCCAGGTCATACTTATAAAATTTTTTCCCGCTATTTTTTCTAGCTCCAAAAAAATTCCACTGTTTCAGAATCCATCGAGTAGTTCTGCACCGTATTTCGAAACTATGGTCAAGCCGCAAAGGTGGAGGAATAATGTTGTTGAAGGTGAGTACTGTATGGGGTACTGTAGATGGGGGTACTGTAGAATGTTTGGAGTACTGTGGAATTTTTTTCAAGCTGAGGGAAAAGTTGTGTTTTTTTTGTTTTTAAATTTTGAAAATTTGAAAATTTCAATGATCCTTTAAAAATTCAGCAGTACTGTAGATTCAAGAAATTGATTACTGTAGACTTATTTTTCAAAAAAATACTGTAGAAAATTTGAGTGGGGTACTGTAGATGGATTTGAGGAGTACTGTAGATTACTGTAAAAAGTTTGGAGCACTGTGGAATTTTTCAAGCTGAGGGAAAATTGTGTTTTTTTTAATTTTCAAAATTAAAAATTCTACTGATCCTTTAAAAATTTAGCAGGGGTACTGTAGATGTATTTTCAAAAGTATACTGTAGAAAATTTGGGAGGGGTACTGTAGTTTTGGTATTTTCAAATTTCGAAAATCAATCAAAATTTTATAATGATCCTTAAAATTTAACTGGGGTACTGTAACCTACAGTACCCTCAATTTCAAGATTACTGTAGATTTAGCGCAAATTTTGCAGTCCGAGTTACTGTAGGTTATCAGAAATTCATCTACAGTACCCTTGGCGCGAAAACTTTATTTTTAAAAAGTTTATGCACTTTTTGAAAATAAGTTAGGCTAACGAACCTATAATTATTTCAAAATTGCTAGTTTTTCTTCCAAATTTTCTTTGATAAGCTGAAAAAGTGGATTTTCAGCTTCCTGTTTTCGAAAAAAAAAATTCAAATTTTTCAGCCAAAATTCTGAAATTCAAATTTCCCGCTCATTTTTTCCCGCCAAAATTCTAAAATTCAAATTTCCCGCTCATTTTTTCCCGCCAAAATTCTAAAATTCAAATTTCCCGCTCAATTTTTCCCGCCAAAATTTAAAAAATTCAAATTTTTTTCAGACACCTCAAATCATCAAATGTTTTCATGTGTGAAATCGCGAGAGCTATCAACCAGGTTAGTTTTTTTTTTTGGGCTCAAAATTTTTTCTCTGAAAAACGCATTTTTTGTAGCTATACTAATCTACAGTATCCCCACAATTTTTTGGACTTAAAAACACAATTTTTTGTATTTGTTCTTGGGGTACTGTACATAGGCTTGACGTAGGTTTTCTGATTTCTTGGACACTTTTTTTTTGAGCTGGGCTGATAAAAAATCCACGTGGCAATTTTTTTTTGCTGAAATTTTGGCTGAAAATTATCTAGATATTTTGAAACAGTAATTTTTTTCGTAAGAAAATAATTGAAAATTTGGAAAAATTTGAGCAATCATCAATTTTTCAAAAATTCCGAAAAATTATCTAGAAATTTTGAAACAGTGAAAAATTTTTGAAGAAAAAACAAAAAGGTTAAAATTTTAATTTTTGATCCGAAATCTCTAATTTTCAATTTGTTCAAATTGTCATTGAATAATCATCAAATTTTTATCTGAAAAATTTATCAAATAATTTTGAAACAGTAGATTTTTTCTTGAGAAAATAATTGTAAATTTTGATTTTAATAATTGCTAGTTTTTCTATTTTTCTAAAAATCCGAAAAATTATCTAGAAATTTTGAAACAGTGAAAAATTTTTGAAAACAACACCAATTTTTGCGAAAATTTTGGGAGCAAAAATTCAAATTTTGTCAGATTTTTCTCTGAAAATTTTTCACTGTTTCAAAATTTCTAGATAATTTTCCAGAATTTTTTGAAAATTATTATTTTCGCGAGATAAGTTTTTTTGAAATAATTGAAAATTTTAGTTTCAAGAATGTAGGAGAAGCATAAATTTTTCGAAAATTCTGAGATCTAGAAATTTTGAAACAGTATATTTTTTCTTGAAAAAATAATTTTAACTATAGGGGAATTTTCTGTAGAAGAACCATTAATGAATTCATCATTTCGAAAAATTCTGAAAATTATATGTAGCAATTTTGAAACAGTATATTTTTTTGAGAAAATGATTGAAAATTTTAATTTTAACTATGTAGGGGAAATTAATGTAGGAGATACATCAATTTTTCAAAAATTCCGAAAAATTATCTAGAAATTTTGAAACAGTGAAAAATTTTTGAAGAAATTTAGTTTTTTGTTCCGAAATCTCTAATTTTAAGTTTTGATTAATTTTGTTTGAATAATAATCTAATTTTTATCTGAAAAATTTATCAAATAATTTTGAAACAGTGAAAATTTTTAAAGAAAAAAAAAACAAAAATGTCCCGAGAAATTTTCGAGCAAAAATTCAAATTTTGTCAGATTTTTCTTTGAAAATTTTTCACTGTTTCAAAATAATTCGATCATTTTCCAGAATTTTTTGAAAATTATTATTTTCGCGAGATAAGTTTTTTTGAAATAATTGAAAATTTTAGTTTCAAGAATGTAGGAGAAGCATCAATTTTTCGAAAATTCTGAGATCTAGAAATTTTGAAACAGTTAAAAATTTCTAATAAAATTTAAATTTTTTGTTCTGAAATCTCTAATTTTAAGTTTTGATTAATTTTGTTTGAATAATAATCTAATTTTTATCTGAAAAATTTTTCAAATAATTTTGAAACAGTAATTTTTTTTCTTGAGAAAAATATTGAAAATTTGGAAAAATTTAATTAGAGCAATCATCAATTTTTCAAAAATTCCGAAAAATTTATCAAATAATTTTGAAACAGTGAAAAATTTCTGGCAAAATTCGATTTTTTGGTCCGAAATCTCTAATTTTAAGTTTTTATAATTTCTTTTTTATCATTAAATTAAAAATTTATAATCTGAAAAATTTATCAAATAATTTTGAAACAGTAAATTTTTACTCACAAGAGAGAAAAAAATGAAAACATCATTTCAAAAATCTTTGAAAATTATATGTAGAAATTTTGAAACAGTAATTTTTTTCTGAAATTTAGAATTTTATATAATCTTTAATTTTCTGGCTGAAATTTTAATCTCTTAGCTTCTGCTCAAGAAACGGGACAGAAAGGCCTTAAAAATTGAGTTAGGCTAAATTAGACTATAGGGGAAACATCAATTTTTCAAAAATTCCGAAAAATTATCTAGAAGTTTTAAAACAGTGAGAAATTTCTGACACAATTTAAATTTTTTGTCCGAAATCTCTAATTTTCAATTTGTTCAAATTGTCATTGAATAATCATCAAATTTTTATCTGAAAAATTTATGAAATACTTTTGAAACAGTAAATTTTTATATAAGCGGAAAAATGAATTCAACATTTTAAAAAATTCTGAAAATTATAACTAGAAACTTTGAAACAGTAAATTTTTCTGAAATTTAGAATTTTATATAATCTGTATTTTTTTGCTGAAAATTATTTTTTCTTCAAAATTTCCTGAAATTTTGAACACTTACTTAGCCTAACTTGGCCTTGAAATTGAGTGAGGCTAAATTAGCCTAACTTAGGTTTCCTGGAAGAAAATTCCAGTTTTTTCTATAATTTTTGAGCTAAGAATTCCAAAATTTGCCAAATTTTTCTGCCCAAAATTTTTTCCCACGTAAAATTTCGTATACTCCTTCACCCACAATTTTTTTATATCAACTTTTTTTTTCTCGCGTGCTCACGAAAAAAAAAGTAAGTTGTGCTCGCCCAAGCCATATGTTCCTAAATTCAATAAGAAGTATTTTTTTCGCGCCAAAAAAATGAGAGAAGAGAGTGGAGAGAAGCAGAGAAAAAAGGAGAAATCCATTTTTAGCCTGGCTAGCCTAGAAAAAGCTCACAACTTTTTGTGTGCTCTTTTTTTCTCTCGTGCACATTTTTTGGCTCACTCACTACTATGTGAGCTCTTTTTTTTCCAGCTACGCCAAATTTTTTTGTGTGTATTTTTTTTGGAGCCGGACTCGAGGCTTCCGGTTTTTGTGGGTGTCTGTGTGTTTAATTGTTTTGAACTTTTATTTTGACGCTGGATTTATGAGTTTTGACGTTAAAAATGGCCTGAAGTTGGGCTTTTTTGGGCTCAAAATGGGCTTAAAATTGATTTTTTGCGCTAAAAATGACAGTACTTTTAGAGATTTCTCCAAAAATCAAAATTTTGTTCCGGAAAAAATTCACTGTTTCAAAATTTCTAGAAGATTTTTGGAAGTTTGTGGTAAATTTGATATGGTTTGTATTCCTAAAACTTGAATTTGAGTTTTGAAATCAGGCCTGATAAATTTAGGCCTGGTATTTTTAGGCCTGGTATTTTTAGGCTTAGGCTTTAGGCTCACTTTTTTTCACGGCTTTTGAAATTGTTTTGACTGATTTTTTTCTGAGCTCCAAAAATAATTTTTTTTTTCGATTTTTGTTTGTTTTTTCACCTGGAGGAAAATTGATTTTTGGAAAATTTTTGGCGTGAAAAAATCCACGCGAAAAATTACAGTACTTCTAGATTTTTCCCAGAAAATCAGAATTTTTTCCCCAGAAAACCTCACTGTTTCAAAATTTGTTGAATATTTTTGGGGGGTTTTTGGAATTTCGATGGGTCTAGATTTGCCCGAAAATTAGAATTTTTTTCTCCAAAAAAAATTCACTGTTTCAAAGTTTCTAGAAAATTTTTGAGGATTTTTGCAATTTTGATGACATTGCGATTAACAGAATCTGAAATTTTTGAATCAGTATATTTATTTCAATTTTTATAATTGTGTATGAGATTTGTGAAACCCAAAAAAATATTTAGAAATTTTGAAACAGTAATTTTTTCTGAGAGGATTTGGTGAGCATTTTTTTGGCTCCAAAATTTACAAAAATAATTTTTCACAGAAAAAAGTCTGTTCAAAAATTCACTGTTTCAAAGTTTTTAGAAGATTTTTGGTGAATTTGTGGGATTTTGATACCAGCTCCTTTAAATGTCGTGAAAAATCTCTGAAAAATCAATGTTTTCACTTGATTTCGGCTCCAAAATTAACCTGGGCTCAAAATTGATTTCTGAAAATTTTCAGAAAAATTCACTGTTTCAAAATTTGTAAAAAAGATTTTTTGCGATTTTTGAAGCAAAAATTATATGTTTCACCGTTTTGATGCCAAAAATATCGAATTTCTAGATTTCCCCGAAAATTAGAATTTTTTTCTTCAAAAAAAATCTCTGTTTCAAAGTTTCTAGAAAATTTTTGGGAATTTTTAGAAGTTTGATCCCATATCGTTTATCTTTAGAACATTGCTGAACATTTTTTGGCTCCAAAATTCACAAAAACAATTTTTCACAGAAAAAAGTCTGTTCAAAAATTTACTGTTTCAAAATTTCTTTGTTTCGAGTTTTCTAGACCTTTTTTTCTCTCAAAATGTTTTTTTTTCCAAATACCAAAACAAAAAAAAACCGGCCGCCTCCAGGTTTCAAATTTCACCTTTCTTTTTCTCTGAAACATTTTTTTTGGAAAAAAAATTTTTCTCGAAAAAATCTGACATCATAAGTTTTTGCTCTTGGGATTTCCATGCTCCACAAAAATTTTGAACTTTTTTTTTCTTGGAGCACACAAAATATTTTTTTAGACATCAGAAATTTATTTTTTTTTTCTCGTGTTTTTGCACTTGAAAATGGAGAGGATTAGTTGAAAGAGGGATGATCTTCTCATATTTTTTTTGATGCTCAAAAAATGTTTTTCTGAGTGCCCGCCTGGCTAGAAAATTCAGGTTTTTTTTGAGCTCGAAAAATTTTGAAATTGGGAATTCATCTTATCAAAAATTTATTTTCTTCAAAATTTGTATACAATTTTTGAAACGTATTTTTTTCGGGAATTTTTGAAATTGTTTTTTTTTTAGTAAAATTGTTGGTTTTATTTACTTAGAAAAGTGGAATTGGAAATTCACAACGCTACAAAAATATCTGAAATTTTTGAAACAGTAAAATTTTTTGAATTTTTATAAATGGAAGTATTGAGATTTTTGAAACCCAAAAAAATATTTAGAAATTTTGAAACAGTGAATTTTTCAAAAATTGAAAATTGGAATTTTTTCGACTAGAAAATTTCACTAATCAAATACCAAAGTTATCAATTTTTCAAAAATCAAGAAAAATTTCTAGAAATTTTGAAACAGTGAATTTTTCTGAAAAAAATGAATTTTGTTCAAATATAAAACTGAGTAATGGATCAATTCATCTGAAGAAAAAATGAATTTCGCGACATTTTTTGTCGCGAAATTGCAATTCGCGAAACGACACGAAATTAATAAAATAAAGAAGGAAATTCTTTTTTCGTGTGTTGGGTCTCGCAGCGATTACGTGTCCCTTTAATGTTTCTCCTTTATTTTTGTGTTTATTTCGTGTCGTTTCACGAATTGCAATTTCGCGACAAAAAATGTCGCGAAATTCATTTTTTCGTCAAATGAATTGATCCATAATCAATTTTTCAAAAATCAAAAAAAAAAATATTTAGAAATTCTGAAACAGTAACTTTTTCTGAAAAAATTGAATTTTTTTCTACATCGAAAATGAGTACATTAATTTATCCAAAACCAAGAAAATGTTCTACAGTGCTCCACAAAATGATACGGTCAACATGAAAAATTCCAAAAAATCGAAAATCCGGAAAGCATTAAATTTTCATGTTCATGGGGCTTAAATGGGCTCAAAAAGTTCAATTATTGGTCCAAAAACAAATTTGAAATTCCTGGTGAAAAAATGAGAAAATCGAAAAATCTCATTTTTGAGTTTTATCCAATCCACAAAATGATACGGTCAACCATCATTTTTCTTTAATTTTCCAGTTTTTTGATTGAATTTCAATGTGATTAAGGCTGAAATGGTGAATTTTGGTGATTTTAGAAGTTCTGTGTAAAAATTAGCATGCCTAGCTAGGTCACGAGGTCCAAAAAGGACCAAATCAGGAAAACGTCTTTCAGAGTGCCAAAATCTAGCAAAGTTTGAAACATTTCCAGGTTCTGTCGACTACTTCGCCAGAAAAAGGTTAAATGTAGCTTTTCTGAACTTCATTGACAATTTTCCTTCCAGAAATCAGTGAAAATTGTGAAAAAATCGAAAATTTTATTACCTCGACTTAATGAAAAATGCTAATTTTCTAATTTTCCCAAGGAAATGAAGATCCCATGGCACGAGATTTTGAAGTTTATTCATCGGACACTTCGGAACATTCATCAGGTATGTCCACTGACACATGATTAGCCAAAAAATTGAACAAAATCCACTTTGGAACCTACCATAATGAACTTTTTGAACACGCTGATTAATTAACTTATCTTCGATGACGAGATCAGGCGAGTAATGAAGTCAAAAATCGATTTATGTTATTGAAAAAAAAGTTTTAAGGCTTGTGGTTTTTTGAAATCGTGTTTTAATCAACAAAACTGACTGCTACCACTTGTTCCGCTGACCAACCACTTTTTTAAAAAAATTTAAAATTTAGAAATTCAAGTACGACGTTTTCCTGATGCTATTTGTTCAATTTTTGGCTAATCATGTGTCAGTGGACATACCTGATGAATGTTCCGAAGTGTCCGATGAATAAACTTCAAAATCTCGTGCCATGGGATCTTCATTTCCTTGGGAAAATTAGAAAATTAGCATTTTTCATTAAGTCGAGGTAATAAAATTTTCGATTTTTTCACAATTTTCACTGATTTCTGGAAGGAAAATTGTCAATGAAGTTCAGAAAAGCTACATTTAACCTTTTTCTGGCGAAGTAGTCGACAGAACCTGGAAATGTTTCAAACTTTGCTAGATTTTGGCACTCTGAAAGACGTTTTCCTGATTTGGTCCTTTTTGGACCTCGTGACCTAGCTAGGCATGCTAATTTTTACACAGAACTTCTAAAATCACCAAAATTCACCATTTCAGCCTTAATCACATTGAAATTCAATCAAAAAACTGGAAAATTAAAGAAAAATGATGGTTGACCGTATCATTTTGTGGATTGGATAAAACTCAAAAATGAGATTTTTCGATTTTCTCATTTTTTCACCAGGAATTTCAAATTTGTTTTTGAACCAATAATTGAACTTTTTGAACCCATTTAAGCCCCATGAACATGAAAATTTAATGCTTTCCGGATTTTCGATTTTTTGGAATTTTTCATGTTGACCGTATCATTTTGTGGAGCACTGTAGAAATTCTGAAACAGTGAATTTTTTCTGAGAAAATTAATTTTTTTCTTCATTAAAAAAAAGCAAGTTGATCAATTTTTCAAAAATCAAGAAAAAAATTCTAGAAACTTTTGAAACAGTGAATTTTTTCAGGAAAAATACTTTTTGTTTTTAAAGAATTAATTAGTTTTCAGAAAATAAACAAAATTTATTTGAAACTTTTGAAACAGTAACTTTTTCTTCAAAAAAAATGATTTTTTGGTACCCAAATACAGAAGTTATCAATTTTTCAAAAAGCAAGAAAATATATTTGAAAATTTTGAAACAGTGAATTTTTCTGAAAAAAAAAATGATTTTTTGATTCCCAAAAAGTGAAGTTATCAATTTTTCGAAAATCATCAAAAAAATGTTCTAAAAATTTTGAAACAGTAAATTTTTTCCCCAAAAATTCCCCTCCAAATTTTCCTTGACTTTTTCTTCTTCTATTTTCTAGTATCCCTTTTTTGTTCTGAATATTTTTTTCTCCGTAAAATATTATTATTATTATTATTTCATATTATTATTCGGGTTCTTCTTCTTCTTCATTTTTTCCCAATTTTTTTTGTCGTCGTCGTCGTCAACTGCTTTTTTTCTCTCCACATTTTTTTCGTTGTTCTTCGCTATTTTTTTCTATTTTTTCTAGACCCGTATACGATTTCAATTATTTCCATTTTTTCATTCATTCTTCTCTTCTTTTTTCTCCTTTTTTTATTTCATTTCTCTTTGTTTTTGTTGGCTTTTCCGGAAAATTTGAAACTTTTTTTTGGATTTCTGGACTGAAAATCTAAAATTCTCAAAAATATTTATGAAAATTTTGAAACAGTATATTTTTTGGAGAATTTTTTGGAGGTTCAGATTTGCAAAAATTCACTGTTTCAAAGTTTTTTGATGTTTTTTTTAATACAAAATTTTGGGTTCAAATTTGAAACGAATATTGCTGTTAAAAACAATTTTTTCGCTAGAAACAAATATTCATGAATATTTTGAAACAGTGTTTTTGTTGAACTCAAAATTCAAAATTTCACAAAAAAATTTAGAAAATTCAATAATTTTTTGTGTCATTCAATTCTGAAAATTACAAATTTTCAGCAAAATTTATTTAATTTTTTGAGCTCGAAATTTAAAAAAAAATCACTGTTTCAAAAATTTCACATTAGATTTTGAACTAAATTGAAATTTTGGTAGACCGGTAAAAAAAAGAAGAAAATTCACTGTTTCAAAACTTTTCTATATATTTTCTATTTTTTGTCAAAATTTGTTTAGCTTTGTTTCTTTAAATGTTCAAATTCAGAAAAATTTCCAAAGAGGAAAACTTCTCGAAAAATACACTGTTTCAATATTTTTTGATAATTTTCTGGAGTTTATTGAAATTTCGAAAAGTTTAACATATAAAATTGTATTTTTTCCTCTCAAAAAATCACTGTTTCAGTAAAAATTGATAGTTTTCTGGACTTTAATCTGAATTCAATATGACCAACAATAGATGTCCTGAAATTCTGAAAATTATTAATTCAAACAGCTTTTTTTCCACAAAAAATCGGACTGTTTCAAAAATTTTGCATAAAAATTTCTCAAAAACACTTTTCGATAGAGTATTTGTTTCGATGTATTCACAAAAATTAACTGTTTCAATATTTTCTGATAATTTTTGCAATTTTTGTCAGATTTCGATTCCCTCTCAAGCCTCTCCACATACAACTTTTCAAATTTAGACAACTTTTAAGAAAAAAATTATTTCGAAAAAATTCACTGTTTCAAAATTGTTCAAATATTTTTGTAGTTTTCTGGTTTATTGATACATTAGATCATCTATCTGATATAAATTTTCCCACATTTTTCAAATTTTAGGGCTTTTTCCAGCAACAAAAAATTCACTGTTTCAAAATTTTTTAAATATTTATCAGAGTTTTATTGAGATTTCGATCACGGTTTGCTTCATTTTGAAATTTTTCAAAAAATTCACTGTTTCAAAAATTTCAGATGTTTTTGGGGCTTTTTTATTTAATTTTGATTGTGGATAGTTTGCAATCGGAAATTATTTTGAAAAATTGTTCAAAAATAAATCACTATTTCAAAAGCTCTTCATCAAAAATTTTGAATTTTTGTGAAGTTTTGATGATTTTTTTCGGAAACATTTTTTCAAAAAATTTACTGTTTCAAAGATTTTTGTTAATTTTTTCTGATTTTTTGTCAAATTTAGTTTCTTAGATGGTGTAGGTAGTTTCAAATTCATTCAATTTTCAAGAAAAAAATCACTGTTTCAAAATTCTTTCATTAAAAAATTCAAATCACAATTTTTGATAGACATTGGAAATATCTGATAAAAATCCAGAAAATTCGCAAATCTGATAATTTTTGGATAAAAATTGCTCCAAAAATACACGTGGCATTTATTGACGCGAAAAATATGAATTTTCAATGAAAAATCTCACTGTTTCAAAGGTTTTTGATTATTTTTCTGATTTTTGTAGAACTTTGATTATCTCGCGATAAATTCCGAGAAAAAATTCACTGTTTCAAAATTTTTTCATAAAATTCTCGAGTTTTATCAAATTTTGATCAGTCGTTTTTATTTGGGCGAAAAAGTATGAAATTTCAATTCTCAATAAAAATTCACTGTTTCAAAATTTTCTCATAATTTTCTGGAGTTTTATCAAAATTTAATAAACATTTTAATTTTTTGAAAAATTCTCAAAACATCACTGTTTCAAAATTCGTTCATTGAAAAAATTAATTACGAATTTTTGATGGACAAGAGATATAAAAATCTGATAAAAATCCAGAAAATTCGAAAATCTGATAATTTTTGGATAAAAAATTCAGAAATTGCTCCAAAAATACACGTGGCATTTATTGGTGCGGAAAATATTAATTTTGAATAAAAAATTTACTGTTTCAAATTTTTTCATGATTTTCTGGAGTTTTATCAAATTTTGATACATTCAACGATATGTTTTCTGAAAAATTCACTGTTTCAAAATTCACTCATTAAAAAATTCAAATCAGTATTTTTGATAAACAAGGACCTATTAGCCATACACGCAAGAGTTCAAATTCATAATAAGTTCCTAGAAAAAAATTCACTGTTTCAAATTTTTTCATGATTTTCTGGAGTGATATCGAATTTTGATACATTCAACGATGTTTTCTGAAAAATTCACTGTTTCAAAATTCACTCATTAAAAAATTCAAATCAGTATTTTTGATAAACAAGGACCTCACGAATCCAGAAAATTCGCAAATCTGATAATTTTTGGATAAAAATTTCTCCAAAAATACACGTGGCATTTATTGACGCGAAAATTATGAATTTTCAATAAAAAATTTCACTGTTTCAAAGGTTTTTGATTATTTTTCTGATTTTTGTAGAACTTTGATTATCTCGCGATAAATTCCGAGAAAAAATTCACTGTTTCAAAATTTTTTCATAAAATTCTCGAGTTTTATCAAATTTTGATCAGTCGTTTTTATTTGGGCGAAAAAGTATGAAATTTCAATTCTCAATAAAAATTCACTGTTTCAAAATTTTCTCATAATTTTCTGGAGTTTTATCAAATTTTGATACAGTTTGCGCAGTGATGTGTGAAAAATTCTCAAAAAATTCACTGTTTCAAAATTCTCTCATAAAAAATTCAAATCACAATTTTTGATAAACCTCATGAATCCAGAAAATTCTGAAAATCTGATAATTTTTGAATAAAAATATTCAAAAATTGCTTCAAAAAACCACGTGGCATTTATTGCCGCGAAAAATATGAATTTTGAAATTTCAATGAAAAAATTTCACTGTTTCAAAGGATTTTGATTATTTTTCTGATTTTCCGGAAACTCTGATGAATTAAAATTCAAATTCAATCTTTGGGGCCAAAAATCTGCAATTTTCAGCCTCAATTTTCAAGTTTTCTCCTCTCAAATTCTCAAATTTCCTCCTCATTTCACTTTGAAAATTTGCAATTCTCCAACGGCGAAAAAACATTACATTTTTTCTTCCTTCATTAGAATTTCGATGTCGTTTTCTTCTTCTTTTTTTCCGCCTCTTCTCCATTTTTTTCGCCGTTTTTTCTTGTCAATTTTAAACGGCGCCGTTTAATTTTGAAAATATATTGCCATTTTTTTGTGACGCTCGAAAAATTTTTAATTGAAAAAAAAGTTTTTGAGCTTTTCTAAGGGACCCAAAATTACTGTAGCTCTGATTTTGGCGCCGAAAATTTAAATTCAAAAGGTTACTGTAGGTCTGATGATTTTTGGCGCCAAAAATAGAAGACGTGTGTCAAATGTGTCAATCACACATACACCCTCAATTTCAATTTTCAAATTAAATTTCTTCAGTTTGATGTGTGTCTGCGTCTCTAATTTTTTCTCTGCGTCTCTGCGTCTCTAGCCTCTCTAGCCTCTCTAGCTTCTCTGCGTCTCTAACCTCTCTAGCCTCTCTAGCCTCTCTAGCCTCTCTAGCCTCTCTAGCCTCTCTAGCCTCTCTAGCCTCTCTGCGTCTCTAACTTTTCTCACAAATTTTTGTCCGTCACGCAACATTGCACATTATCATCATTGCCCCTATTTTTCACTTTTTTTCCTCTTTCGAGCATGAAAAAAATGAGATATTTATTATTGACTGAAAAATTAATTATTCTTTGAAAAAAAAAATTATTTCTCTTTTTTTTCCCGCGTTTTCCCCCGTTTTTTTTGGCCAAAAATGGAGAATTTTCTGGTTTTTTTGTTTACAAATATGTATATTTTGTTTATTTTTGAAGTTTTCCCAACAAAAAAATTTGAAAAAAAATTCAAATAAAAATTTTTCTGTATAGCTTATCGAAATTTCAATAAACTCCAGAAAACCTTCAAAAAATTTTGAAACAGTGAATTTTTATTTTTTTTTATTTTTTCCCGTCCACCAATATTTCAATCAAGTTCAATAACTTATCTGAAATTTTTGAAACAGTGAATTTTTTTCAAAAATTTTGTGCTCAAATAATCAAATGAAAATAAATTTTGCTGAAAATTTGTAATTTTCAGAATTGTATGACACAAAAAATTATTGAATTTTCTAAATTTTTTTTGCGAAATTTTGAATTTTGAGCAATAAATGTGTCATCGAAATCTCAATAAAACTCTGATAAATATGAAATAATTTTGAAACAGTGAATTTTTTTTTGCTGAAAATGGCTGTAAAATTTGATGTAGTATCAAAAAACCAGAAAACCCAAAAAATATTTAAAAAATTTTAAAACAGTGAATTTTTTTGAAATATTTTTTTTCTCAAAAGTTGGCTGAATTTGAAGAAAGGTACATATATTCTCCATTAAAATCTGACAAAAATTGCAAAAATTATCAGAGAATTTTGAAACAGTGAATTTTTGTGAAAAAAAGGTGTTTGAATTCAGAATTTTCAGAATTTTAGTCCAGAAAACTATCAATTTTTACTGAAACAGTGATTTTTGAGAGGAAAAAATACAATTTTCTGTATCGAAATTTCAATAAACTCCAGAAAATTATCAAAAAATATTGAAACAGTGAATTTTTTTTCTCGAAAACCCTTTTTTCTCGCATTAAAAAAATTAAAATAAAATTCACCTCATTTTTTCAGCCACAACAAAACTGGAATCGCAGATGTTGTCGCCGCGTCGTCGCTGAATTCGTCGCACGAATTCAGATTTGAGCAGTCGGAAGAATCGCAAGACGAAGTATTTTTTGAGCGCCAAAATAGTTGTAGGAGACAGTGGGCAGCAGAAGCAGACGACGAGAGTGGCGAGAGAGCGAGAGGAGCAGCATCGACATATCAGCAGCAGCAGCAGCAAAATTTGGTTGTGCCCACACTTTTGGTCACATCGACACCGTCCACGTGGATTGGAGAGCAAGGTGAGAGACGCAGAGGGCTAGAGAAGCTAGAGGAGGTTAGAGATGCAGAGGAATTAGAGATGTAGAGCGCTAGGAAGCGTTGTTTCATGAGAGACGGCTAGAGAGCCTAGAGAGTGTGAGAGAGAGCGCTAGAGAAAACAGATTACTAGAGGTCAGAGACGCAGAGAAATCTGGGAAATTAGAGAGTATAGAATTTTGAGAGAGGTTTGAGGGTTAGAGACGCAGAGGAATTAGAGATGCAGAGCGCTAGAAAGCGTTTTTTCATGAGAGACGGCTAGAGAGTCTAGAGAGTGTGGTATTTGAGAGAGTCAGAGACGCAGAGAAATCTGGGTAGTTAGAGAGTATAGAGTTTTCGGAGAGGTTAGAGGGTTAGAGACGCAGAGGAATCAGAGATGCAGAGGGATAGAAAGCGTTGTTTTACGAGAGACGGCTAGAGAGCCTAGAGAGTGTGGTATTTGAGAGAGTCAGAGACGCAGAGAAATCTGGGTAGTTAGAGAGTATAGAGTTTTGAGAGAGCTACAGACGTGGCAGATTTGAAATTTTGTTTTTTTTCTCCAAAAATTTGAAAATAATTTGAAACAGTGAACAATTTCATTAAAATTTCAGAATTTTCAAATTTTCATCTCCAAAATTCACCAAAATCCACCAATTTTCTTCCAGAACACAGTGAATATTACGAATATTCGTCGTCCTCCAACATGTCTGGCCTATGTTTCCAACTTCAAAGCGGCATTCACAAAAAGCAGATCAATGTGGACGCGAGCGAAATATCGCTTCGAGACCTGCGCAACGAATCGTTCGACTTCATCAAGGAAATTGTGAGTTTTCCCAGGATTTCTGGGTGAAAAATGGTCTTTTTCACCCCAAAACTAATGAAATTTTGAAGATTTATATATGATTTTGCTCGAAATTTCACGCTTTTTCACAATCTCACATCAAAATCTCATTCAAAATCCAAGTTTCCCCTGAAATCCCGTGAAAACGCGAGAAAAACATATTTGCGCGTCAAATTGTGTGTGTTGTGTGCAGTTGTGTGCAAACACCACTCCAGCCCGCCGGAGTTTTTATTTTTCGTTTTTTGAGGGTTTTCCAGGGTTTTCCAGGGTTTTGAGGCCGAATTTTTGAATTTTAACATCAAAATTAGAAAAATCTGGAAGATTCTGTGATTTTTGATGAAAATTTGAAGATTTTCGATGAAAAATGAAGAATTTTGACGTGTTTTTCGAGAAAATTGAAATTTTGTGGATTTCCTCATTTCTAAATTCATAGATTTGAAGAAATGGTTGGAAATTAGATGAATTGTGAGTTTTAGCAGGTTTTTTTGAGTTTGCCGCGAAAAATTCGGGAATTTTGTGGGCGGAGACTAAAAATCAATAAATAAATCGATTTTTAACGGAAAAACTGGATTTCAAAGTGAAATTGTGATGAAAAACGTTGAAATATCGATTTTCCCCAAAATCAATCAATAAATCGATAATTTTGTGTTACAGTACCCGGACAAAGGATGCGAACATCTGAAAGATCACATTTTGCTCTACAAACACGACATGCGATCGATCAATATTTTGCAACTAATCAATACGTCGGCTGACGTCACAGATGGAGCACTTGTTGAAGTTGTGCTAAGTTGTGAGTTGATTTTGGGCGGAAAATATGTAAAAATTGCGAAAATTCGAGGTTTTTTGAGCTACAGTACGAAAAATTATTGATTTTTGAGCTGAAATTCACTGAATTGTGAAAAAATCAGGTTTTTAACCTGAAATTGAGCTACAGTATGATTTTCTGCACGTAAAATTAAAGGCGCAGGTTTGAAATCAGGTTACAGTACTCCTGGATTATTTTCAAACGAAAAATTTGGTTCTCGAGCTGAAAATTCAGCTACAGTACTCCTGAACCCGCCAAAAATTCAAATTTCCAAATTTTTGGGCTCAAAATTTGAAATAAAGTATTCCTGGACCTGAAAATGCTGATTTTCTGGCTACAGTACCTCCAAATTGGCTCCATCCAACGTTTTTTCCAAGAATTTTCTAGAAACATGTGAATTTTTGTTGCCTAATTGGCTTCTTTATTTATTATATCTAGAAGTTTCTATTTCTCCTCATTTCTCGCTAATTTTTTACCGGAAATTTGAAATTTTTCATGATTTCCGCTATTTTTTTCACTCGCTTTTCAATTTTCATAATTTTTTCTCGTGAAAACACATCACACCCCCACTCTCAATTAATTTTTTTTGAGTTTTGAGTTTTTGATTTTTTTTCTGGCGGAAAAAATATTCAAATTTTAGTTGCTGCATCAAAAAGAAAAGCAATTATTCAATTAAATGTTTCTAAATAAATTTTTTTGTTGAAACAGTAAATTTTTTTGGCTCTAGAATTTTTAGCTATTCAATTGTACTGGTTCTTATTGTCAATTGTAGAATATTGAAAATCTCGAAAATTTGTGAGATTTTTGAAACAGTAGATTTTCGACCCCAAAACATGATCTCTTATTGTAAATTTCAAAAATTTTGAAAATTTGAGAAATTTTTGAAACAGTGAATTTATGGAAGCTGAATTTTTTTGCAATTCAATTTTTTTTTGAGAATTTTTGGGCTCAAAAATTTACTGTTTCAAAAATTTTCATATTATTGTATGTGCAATATTGGGAATTCAGAATATTCTTGAAATTTGGAAATTATTTGAAACAGTGAATTTTTGAGATGCTACATTTGGTTTTTTTTTTCAAATTGAAAAAAAATTTAAGAAGTTGTGAGATCCTAAATTTCATTCAAAATTTAAAAAAAAATTCACTGTTTCAAAAAATTCTTAAATTTTTGAAAAGTTCAAAATTTTCGGTTGAACTTCTATTTTTTTCGTAACATTAAAATTTTGACAAAGTTTCAGCATTCAAAATTTTAAAAATTAATTTTTTTTGCTAAAAATTGTACTCAAATTTTAATTTTCAATAGCTGAATACCGAATGGAACAAACATTCATTTCAATATTTCAAATTGAATTTTTTCTGAAACAGGAAATTTTTCCGGTTTTTTCCTTCTATGGATTATAGAATTTTGAAAATCTCGAAAATTTGTGAGATTTTTGAAACAGTAGATTTTTGACGACAAAAACACAGTTTTATTGTAAATTTCAAAAATTTTGAAAATTTGAGAAATATTTGAAACAGTGGATTTTTGGGAGTTGAATTTTTTGCAGTTCAAATTTTTTTGAGAATTTTTGGGCTCAAAAATTCACTGTTTCAAAATTTTTTATTTAAATGTATTTATAGTTATTGGGAATTTAGAAAATTTAGAAAATTTGAGAAATTTTTGAAACAGTGAATTTTTGAGATGAGAAATTTGGTATATTTTTTCAAATTGACATGAGACAAAATTTACAAAAAATTGTTCCATCTTAATTCAAATATATATTTTTAAAAAATTCACTGTTTCAAAAAATTCTCAAATTTTTGAAAAGTTTAAAATTTTCAGTAATTTTCGTGTTTGAGAATTTTTTGAAACAGTACATTTTTGGGAAATTTTTAGAGCTACAAATTTACATTTCAATTTTTTTTAAATAGTTATTGAGAATTTAGAAAATTCGTGAAATTTGGGGATTATTTGAAACAGTGAATTTTTGGGATGAGAAATTTGTTTTTTTTATTGAAAAAAATTTAAGAAATTGTATTAAAAATTCACTGTTTCAAAAAATTCTCAAATTTTTGAAGAGTTTAAAATTTTCAGTAATTTTCGTGTTTGAGTTTTTTTTGAAACAGTAAAATATTGAACTAAATTCAAAAATTTAGGCTCCGAAAATAGATTTATCAAAAAATCTGATCTTGAACTTTTTAGCTCCAGCCATCAATTTTTTTCGCCGATTTTTTTTCATTCAAAATTTTCTCCTTCTCCTCCTATATCTATATATTTTTCATATATATATAAATAAATCTGAAAAAAAAAAGAGAAATATAGATATGTATATAATTATTAAAGGGAGGAAGAAGAGTAAATAAACACGGCGTGTTTTGTGAAAAAAAATTGAAAAAAAAAAGTTTTTCGCTTCTTTTTTTTTTCTGGTGGCTTTTCCTCTGTGAAATTATTCATGATTTGGTTTTGTTTTGGTTTGTTTTTGAGGCGAGATTTGGAGCAGATAAATGCTCTTTTTGAAAATCTGAAAATTTTTGCTGAAAATGTACCGAAAAAATCCTCAAATCCGATTTTTTCTCAAAAAAAGCACCAAAAATCACAAAAAATTTTTCAAATTTCAAAATTTCCCGCCTAAAAAAACTCTGCGTCTCTAACTCCCCCATTTTTTCCCGCCTAAAAAATGATGAATTTCCCGTCATCATCTTCTCTCACTACATTTTCCCCTTTTTTCCACAAAAAAATGTTTTTTTTGGCTGTCTGAAAGTGTACTTGAAATTGAGAAATTGGCTTGATTTAGGCTCAGAAAGTGGCACAATTTTTTGCCAAAAAAAGTTTTTTTTGGGAACTTTTTTGAGTGGAAAATCTAGAAATTCTTCTGAAAAATTTCAAAAAAATTTAATTTTCACAATTTTTTTGCCCAATAATCTGATATAATCCGAGTTTTTCCCCTTTTTCCCCTTTTTTCTCGATTTCAAATCATAATAAGATGATAATCCGTGTGGCGGAGCACTGAAAAAAAGCTTTATATTTTATTTTCATATTTTATATATCCATATTTTTTTTCTCCCAACGAAATTTGCGCTCTTTTTTCTCTCTCTATATCTCTATGTTTTTGCACTTTTTTGCGCGGGGTTTTGAGCATTTTTAGCCGGAAATTCTGGATTTTCAGCACCATTTTTTACGCTAAAAATTTGACCTGAAATTGAGGATTTTTAGCTAGAAATTTTAGAGTTCCAGCTCAATTTTAGGCTCATTTTCAGGCTGAAAATATGACCTGAAAATTATAATATTTAGCCAATTTTCAGACCTGAAATGAATCTGAAATTGAGCATTTTTAGCTAGAAATTTCAGAATTTCAGCTCTATTTTAGGCTTATTTTCAGGCTGAAAATGTGATCTGAAGTTAAGCTAGATTTTGCTGAAATTTCAGAGTTCCAGCTCTATTTTAGGCTGGAAAATTGACCTTAGACTAATAATTTTTAGCCAATAATTCAATTTTTTTCTGAAAATCTGGAATTTTAGCCACGTTTTTGGGAGTCCTGAAATTTCAGAGTTCCAGCTCAATTTTAGGTTTTTTTTCAGGCTCAAAATTTGACCTGAAATTGAATTTTGAAGCTGAAAATCCAGATATTTTAGCTCTAAAAATTTTATTTTAAAAAAATTGCTGAAAATCCTTCTTGAACTAAAAAATTTCTGGAAGAAATTTATCGCCAAATCAATTTTCGGTTCAATATTTTTTCACTGTTTCAAAATTTTGATGAAATAATTTTTTGAATTTTTGAGAATAGTGAAGGTTGAAACTTTGCCACGTGGATTTCTTGAAAACCAGTTTTATATACTGAAATTCTGACAGCTTGAATTTTGTGCCACGTGGCATTTTTCCCCAAGACTTCCTCTAACTTCATTTGATTTTCAAAGAAGATTCTCGTAGTAATTTCCGCCCCTTTTCAAAAAGTTTTTAAAGAATATGTATGTGTATTCCGGTTTCAAACTAGACTCTAGTCTAGATCAGATTTCTCATATTTATTTTTTTTTTGAGAAAATAAATAGGTCAATTTTTCTGCTGAACTTTTTTATTTCATACATTTTTAATGGAGTTTTTTTTTAAATTGATTTTTCTGGAAATTTGGAATTTCTGGGATTTTTGGTGCCAAAAATTGAAGTTTTAACTGAAATTGTGCCACGTGGATTTCTGGAATTTTCAAAAATTTCATATTTTTCTGACTTTTTTCCCTTGTGATTATCGATTTTTTTCGTCTCTGACTGAAATTCTGCTGAAACCCTCAAAATTTCAAGGCATTTTTCTTCGCTCGAAGAGGAGGAAATGCAAAAATGCCAGATCGAAAGATAAAAAAGCAGGAGAGAGCGAAAAGTTGTGTGACGGGTGGAAGTTCGCCGTTTTCTGGCCGGCGATCGCCGCGACTCGGCGAAAATACGAAAGCGAACACAATCGGAGGAGCCGATCCCGATCATTTCAAACAAATTCAGCAGCAAAAATCGTTTCAAATTGAAGAAGTTGTCACGATTTTCACGGTGAAACAAGAGGGAACGAATGGCAAGAAGTTGAATTATCAACAGCAGCCGGATGTGGGAAAAAGGACGGTTATTGTTGGTGAGACGATTTGGAGCACTTTGGCTCGATTTTTAAGCCAAAATTTGGATTCCGGGCCGTTTTTTGAGCCCAGAAATGGGTTTTTTGGTGAAAAATGGTCCAGAAATACTGTAGACGTGTTTTTTAGCCAAAATTTGAATTCCGGGCCGTTTTTTGAGCCCAGAAATGAGTTTTTGATGAAAAATTCACCAAGAATAGTTCTGTAGCTCAAATTTTCATCAAAAATTGAATTTTTGCGAGTTTTTTCATCCCAGAAACGTGTTTTGAGAAGTTTGTAGCTTGAAAACATGAAAATGGGGCATTTTTGACCCTGGGAATGTTTTTCTCATGAAAAATTCACCCGGAATAGTTTTGTAGCTCAAATTTTCGGATTTTTGCGAATTTTTGACCCCAAACAGTTTTTTTCAGGATTTTCTAGCTTAAAAACCTAAAAATAAGCTTCTAGAGCATTTATACTTTGATTTTGAGCTCAAATTTCACATTTTCGGGATTTTTCGACCCTGGAAGCCTTTGGGGTACTGTAGCTTTATTTTCAACCTGAAAATTGGATTTTTTTTTTTGAAAAATTGACCTGAAATTCAGATTTTTTGAGTACTGTAGCTCAAAATTTCACCAGAAATTTCAGATTTTATAAATCTTCAATTTTCATTTCAAAAAAATTCTGAAAATCCTCTTAAACTTTCCATTTCCTCTCTTCTAATCTTGTGAACATTTGATGACTCAAACAAGAAAAAAATGAGCAAAACATTTTGGAAAATGAGAAAAACACGTGGCGATTAAATATACGCTTCTTCTTCTTTTTTTCGTGTTGAGGAGAAGGATTATCCCTAATAAATTTGTTTACACATTTTTTTTCAGAAAAAAAAATGTATGACATATGAGAGATTTGTTTTATTGGATGAACGCGGGGATTTTTGGGGCTGAAAAATTGATAATTTCAGCCTAGCATTTAGAAAAATGTGGAATTTTTAGTGAAAAAATAGAAAAAAAATTCACTGTTTCAAAATTTTGTGAAATTTAGGTCATGAATTTTTTTTTGTTCAATTTTCCAGAAAAGGTATTTAAAAAAATTCACTGTTTCAAAAATATTTTATATTTTTTGGAGATTTTCTGAAAGTTGATCTATCGCGAACTTCAGGAATAAATTTTAAAAAATTCACTGTTTCAAAATTTTTTGATATTTTTATAGGGTTTTCAAAAAGTGATCCCTTGTCCAAAAAAGCTTGAAAAAATTTCAGATTTAATTTTGGTATTGGAATTTGTGCTGAAAATTCTAGAATTTTTACAGGAATTTCAGAATTGGGTTTCCAGATTCTCTTTTTTTTTCTGGAATTTTTTAAAATTAAATATTAAAAAAATCACTGTTTCAAAATTTTTTGATATTTTCATAGGGTTTTCAAAAATTGATTTTTTCCTTAAAAGTTTTCAAAAAAATTTCAGAATTTTTCTGTGAATTGTCTTCAATTGTCTTCGTTGCAATCAGGTTTCTAGATTTTCAAAATTTTGAAGACAAGAATTTGAAACAGTGAATTTTTTTTTCACAAAAAAATCCCTTTCAAAAATCCCCCATTTTTCCAGCGAGCCCTCAAAATGAGCGAATCGTCGTGCATCCTCACACACTTTTTGTGCACTCCTACAAAGTCCCGACATTTTGTGATTTTTGTGGTGAACTCCTATTTGGTCTCGTAAAACAGGGCCTAAAATGTCGTGGTTGCGGGCAGAATTATCACAAAAGATGCGCCTCGAAAATTCCGAATAATTGTAGTGGATCGAAACAGCGAAGACCGTCGGCTATACCATTGTCGCCTTCTAATTCGAATATGTTGACTGAGAGAAGGGTGAGTGGGTTTTGGAGGGATTTTTATTGAAAATTGAACAATTTTGAACCAGAATTTGATGAAAATTAGATGTTTTCTTGACTAGAAAATCATGAAAATTGATTTTAAAATTTTCAAAAATTTTACTGTTTCAAAATTATTTTTTATAATTTGGTGAACATCTGAAAATGTTTTTTTTTCAAAATTTTTTATTAAAATATCAATTCTGCAAAAATATTGATACTTTTCTGCTTGTTTCAGCAGAAAAATTTCGTTGAAAATTTCACTGTTTCAAAATTATTTGAATATGTTTTCATTTTTCATTATTTTTGATAGATATCAATCATTTTCAGAAAAAAACATCTTGGATCATTCAGAGAAGCATGTTTTCTTGACTAAGAATTTTTCAAAAATTTCACTGTTTCAAAATTATTTCTTACAATTTTGTGAAAAGTTGAAAATATTATCTCAATTCGATGAAAGAAGGAAAAATAGTTTTTTTTTTGTGAAAATTGGAATTTTGACCTAAAATTTGATGAAAAATGGATTATTCCAGTTATTTTTCTACTCATATTCACCAAATAATTTTTTTTTCAAAAATTCACTGTTTCAAATTTTTTCTTATAATTTTGTGAACATTTGAAAACCTAATTTCCCTGTTGTTTGTCGAAAAAAAATATCACTTGAAAAGTTTTTGAAAATCTGATGTTTAAAAAAAAATAATTTACTGTTTCAAAGTTTTTTATTAAAATATCAATTTTGCGAAAAATATTGATTTTTTTTGCTTGTATCTTCAGAAAAATTTTGTTTAAAATTTCACTGTTTCAAAATTATTTGAATATGTTTTCATTTTTAACTATTTTTGATAGATATCAATCATTTTCAGAAAAACATCTTGGATTTTTAGATGTTTTCTTGACTAGGAAATTTTTAAAAAATTTCACTGTTTCAAAATTATTTCTTATAATTTTGTGAATATTTGAAAATAATTTTTCCATTCGATATGATAAAAAATGAAAAATAGTTTTTTTTGTTAAAATTGGAATTTTGACCTAAAATTTGATGAAAATTGGATTTTTCTAGATTTTTCAGTTAGATAACATCAAAAAATTTCACTGTTTCAAAATTATTTGAATATGTTTTCATTTTTCACTATTTTTGATAGATGTTAATCATTGTCAAAAAAAAAACAAAATCTTGAATTCTCAGAGAAGCATGTTTTTTGAATAGGAAACCATGAAAATTGAGTTTAAAAATTTCACTGTTTCAAAATTATTTCTTATAATTTTGTGAAAAGTTGAAAATATTATCTCAATCCGATGAAGGGGAAAAAATAGTTTTTTTTCGTTAAAATTGGAATTTTGGCCTAAAATTTGATGAAAAATGGATTATTCCAAAGCCCAAAAATCACCCTAAAATATTTTCAAAAATTCACTGTTTCAAATTTTTTCTTTTAAAATTTCAAAAATTGAAATTTTTAATTATTATGAAATTCAATGCTACTGGCCGTTGAGCTTGTAAATCTGATATTTCCAATACTTTTTTGAACACATTTGCCATTGTTTAGTTCGAAAATTTGTATTTTTCATGAAAATTGATTTTTTTTATTGAAATTTGAGAAATTTTGACCCAAATATTGATGAAAATTGGATTTTTCTTGACTAACAAACCATGATGAAAATTTGTAAGAAACCATGATGAAATTGAGTTTAAAATTTTTCAAATATTTTACTGTTTTTATTTTTCAGTTAGATAAAATCAAAAAAAAAATTCAAAGAAATTTTACTGTTTCAAAATTATTTCTTATAATTTTGTGAACATTTGAAAACCCAATTTCCTTGTTGTTTGTCGAAAAAAAATATCACTTGAAAAGTTTTTGAAAATCTGATATTTAAAAATAATTTACTGTTTCAAAATTTTTTATTAAAATATCAATTTTGCAAAAAATATTGATACTTTTCTTCCAATTCGAATATGTTGACTGAGAGCAGGCATGTTCATTTTGCCGGCAACGCCGGCCGTTTGCCGTTTCAAAAACAGCGACGGCAGCCGCTGCTGTTTTGAAAAAATAACACAAAACAGCATGCCGTGGCTGCCGTGCCGAAATGCCGGCATTGCTGTCTATTTCGTGAAGAAAATTGTCGAAATCATCGAACAAATCCTCCAAAAACACTCACATTCAGAATTAATGAGAAAAGGAGCTTGACAAGAACCTCTTCAGCTCGCGGTCGAGTTTTGAGCTGAAAATTTTTTTGGGGGTAGTTTGCGATGTTCTAATGGCCGTATAAAAAATTCAGCTGCTGAACTCCACTCTGAGCACAAGAAAGTGAGCTCCGAAGTTTGAGCATTTTCAAGGGCGCCGCGCCAGTTTTATTCTCTTTGAAATTTCAACTGAAGTAAAAATAACTAGCAAAGCGCAGCAGGTTAGCGGATAGCCCCTTGAGGCAATGCTGTGGGGTTCGACTCCTGCTCCCTCCAACATTTTTTAATTTTTTTTTCTTTTTCAAGAAAATGACTTTGGAGTACTGTAACTGATTTAAAAATCGATTTTTTGAAAATCTGATCATACGGGGTTGTTCTAGAGGGTCAATTATATTGAAAAATGAGTTCATATAATTTTTCGAGAAAATTCATTTTTCTTCAAAATTCATGGTCATCTGGTTGGATGAAAATTTTCGAAAAAAATTTTTTTTTGAAATAAGTTCAGTTTTCATGAAATTGATCATCCTGAACAACTCTGTAAAATCCGATTTCCATAAAAACCGTTTCTAGAAAAGTTATCGCTTGCGAAGTTTTTTTCTCCAGAACGAAGATAGGATAATCGGGAGTTTTTCTCGAATTTGACTGGTTTGGAATGTTGTAAATTGAAGATTTTTAAGTTTCTATCAAAAAATGATTTTTTTTATTAGAAATGTTGGTATTGTCATTACGAAAATATAAAAACCTTGGAAGAGAACCGAAATGGCCTAGGAAACCAATACTACAGTAGACTTCGCAAAATTTTGGAGTCCATTTGAAAAATAAAATGCAAAATTAACACGTTGGCTATTTGCCAACCAGTTTGATGTGCATGTGTCACGTCATTTTTAGTCTACTGTACGTGACCGCCAATTCAAATGGGGGTTCTTTTATTTTCGGATTGACAATAAATCATTATCTTTTCTCCCACGATTTCAATTGCAATTGCCCGACAAGCGAAGAGCTTATAATTTGGGAATATGAATTCAAATTTATCATAAGTTTTGAGAGCTGTTGGTATAATTCAACATTTAAAGTTTCTAATAGGGTTTGTTCTCATTAACTTTTAAGAAATTGGGTGAAAAGGACAAAATTCTAGAGAATGGCAACATAATTCTTCTCTTCGACCATTAACTTTTCTAGAAACGGTTTTTATGGAAATCGGACTTTACAGAGTTGTTCAGGATGATCAATTTCATGAAAACTGAACTTATTTCAAAAAAAAAAATTTTTCGAAAATTTTCATCCAACCAGATGACCATGAATTTTGAAGAAAAATGAATTTTCTCGAAAAATTATATGAACTCATTTTTCAATATAATTGACCCTCTAGAACAACCCCGTATGATCAGATTTTCAAAAAATCGATTTTTAAACTAGTTACAGTACTCCAAAGTCATTTTCTTGAAAAAGAAAAAAAAATTAAAAAATGTTGGAGGGAGCAGGAGTCGAACCCCACAGCATTGCCTCAAGGGGCTATCCGCTAACCTGCTGCGCTTTGCTAGTTATTTTTACTTCAGTTGAAATTTCAAAGAGAATAAAACTGGCGCGGCGCCCTTGAAAATGCTCAAACTTCGGAGCTCACTTTCTTGTGCTCAGAGTGGAGTTCAGCAGCTGAATTTTTTATACGGCCATTAGAACATCGCAAACTACCCCCAAAAAAATTTTCAGCTCAAAACTCGACCGCGAGCTGAAGAGGTTCCCTTGTGAGACACGCGCGCGCGAGACTGTTTAAATAAATTGTGTGTGCGACGGTTTACGGGTTGCGCGCTGTTGTGTGTGTTGTGTGCAGGGGGCGGAGCGACGCCCTTCCCCTTCCCTTTTCGAAAAACGGCAGCCAGCCGGCAAGCCGCGGCTGCTGTTTTTTGCTATTTTCTTCTTTGCTGCTCGGCCAGCAAAACAGCGAAGCCACGCCCACACGGCAGCCGTGCCGTCCGGTCAGCAGGCAGAATGAACATGCCTGACTGAGAGAAGGGTGAGTGGGTTTTGGGTGGATTTTTCTTGGAATTTGGAAAAATTTGAACCAAAATTTGACGAAAACCATGAAAATTGAGTTTAAAAATTCCTAAAAATTTCACTGTTTCAAAATTATTTCTTATAATTTTGTGAATATTTGAAAACTTAATTTTTATGTCTTTCGTTTCTTGAAAAATTAACGCCACTTTTAAATGAAAAAAAAAAGTTTTTGAAATTCTGATGTTTAAAAATAAATAATTTACTGTTTCAAAATTTTTTATTAAAATATCAATTTTGCAAAAAATATTGATACTTTTCTGCTTGTTTCATCAGAAAAATTTTTCAAAAATTTCACTGTTTCAAAATTATTTGAATATTTTTTTATTTCTCACTATTTTTTATTGATGTCGATCATTGTCAAAAAAAATCGTGAATTCTCATAGAAGCATGTTTTCTTGACTAGGAAATTTTCAAAAAATTTTACTGTTTCAAAATTATTTTTTATATAATTTTGTGAATATTTGAAAATAATTTTTCCATTCGATATGATAAAAAATGAAAAATAGTTTTTTTTTATGAAAATTGGATTTTTCCAAAGCCCAAAATTCACCCTAAAATATTTTCAAAAATTCACTGTTTCAAATATTTTCTTTGAAAATTTCAAAAATTGGAAAATTCAATACATTGCGATCGAACAAGAACATTTCTCCAATATGTTTTTGAACAGATTCGGGTTTGTTTAGTGCGAAAATTTGTATTTTTCATGAAAATTGAACAATTTTGACACAAAACTTGAGATTTTTCTAGATTTTCCAGTCAGATAAAATTTAAAAAATGTCACTGTTTCAAAATTTTTTCTTATAATTTTGTGAACATTTGAAGGTGTTTCTAGAAATAAAGAAATTGCGGAGAAAAAATGATTTTTGAAATTTTGAAGTAGTCTTGAAATTCGCTAGGCTGGTTAAAATTTACTGTTTCAAAGTTTTTTTATTAAAATTCTAATTTTGCAAAAATGTGGATTTCATTTCTGCTTCTAACAATCAGAAAAATTTCGTTGAAAAATTCACTGTTTCAAAAATATTTGAATATTTTTTCATTTTTCACTATTTTTGATACAGTAGTTGTCGATTATTGCCAAAAAAAAAAACCAACATCTTGAATTCTCAGAGAAGCATGTTTTCTTGACTAGGAAATTTTCAAAAAATTTCACTGTTTCAAAATTATTTCTTATAATTTTGTGAATATTTGAAAAGAATTTTTCCATTCGATATGATAAAAAATGAAAAATAGTTTTTTTTGTTAAAATTGGAATTTTGACCTAAAATTTTATGAAAATTGGATTGTTTCAAAGCCCAAAATTCACCCTAAAATATTTTCAAAAATTCACTGTTTCAAACTTTTTCTTTGAAAATTTCAAAAATTGGAAAATTCAATACACTGCGATCTAACAAGAATATTTTTCCAATATGTTTTTGAACAGATTCGGGATTGTTTAGTGCGAAATTTTGTATTTTTCATGAAAATTGAAAAATTTTGACCCAAAACTTGAGATTTTTCTAGATTTTTCAGTCAGATAAAATTTCAAAAAAATTTACTGTTTCAAAATTTTTTCTTATAATTTTGTGAACATTTGAAGGTGTTTCCAGAAATGAAGAAATTGCGGAGAAAAAATGATTCTTGAAATTTTGAAGTAGTCATAAAATTCTCTCATAAATAATTTTTTACTGTTTCAAAACTGTTTATTGAAATATCAATTTTGCAAAAATATTGATACTTTTCTGCTTGTTTCATCAGAAAAATTTCGTTGAAAATTTCACTGTTAAATTATTTGAATATGTTTTCATTTTTCATTATTTTTGATAGATGTCGATCATTGTCAAAAAAAACATCGTGAATTCTCAGAGAATTTAATTTTTATATATTTATTTTAAGTTTTTTCTTTGAAAAAAAATTTACTGTTTCATTGAATGTTTTTCTAATTTTTACAATTTTTGATAAGTCCTCTTTCAATTTTCTCGAAAAAAAATCGTGAATTTTCACAAATTTTTATTTATTTATTTTTTTTTTTCAAAATTTACTGTTTCAAAATTATTCTAATAATTTTTAAATATTTCACTGTTGTTGATATTTCTATTTGACCAATACATCGTGCAAAGTGAAAAAAATTACAAATAGAAATTTACTGTTTCAAAACTTGTATTTCAATTTTTCTACAGTTTCAAAATTTGCTTTATTCAAAGCACATGATCGAATAAGTTCCAGACTGAAAACAATTCTGATTTTTCATCTAAGTTGAACATTTGCTTAAATTAAAAATATTCACTGTTTCAAAATATTTCTTGTTCCAGCAATCCCGTCGTGAATCAGTGCTAGAAGCTTTGGACACTGCTCGACCCGCTTCGACTCTTGGCGGACCTCCAAATATATTTGTCACCACTGATGATTGTGGTGATCCTATTGGTGGAAATGTGAGTTTTTTCGTTTTTTTTGAATTGAGCGCAATACAGAATAATTATAGAAATTCGAAATTCTTTTGATGAATTTTTGAAACAGCAAAAATTTTTTGTTGAAAATTTTACCAAAAAACAATAAAAATCGATAAATTTTAATTAAAAAATTAGCTGAAAATTGGATTTTTCATATTTAAAGCTTTATTTTTTATTGAGAATTTTTATTGATAAAAAATTCTGAAAAATTCAAAAAATCATTTTCAATGGTAAAATCTGTGCCAGGCTTGCAGAAATGGGCGGAGCCTAATTTTCCTGGGATTTTTGGTATCAAAACTCTTGAAATTTCAAGCTCTCCCCGATTTTCTGCAATCCTGGCACACAAAAATGGGCGGAGCCTAATTTTCCTAGGATATTTGGTATCAAAATGCTTGAAATTTCAAGAAATTTTGTTTTTTTGCAATCCTGGCACAAAAAAATGGGCGGAGCCTAATTTTCTTAGGATGTTTGGTGTCAAAATGCTTGAAATTTCAAGCTCTCTCCGATTTTCTGCAATCCTGGCACAGAAAAATGGGCGGAGCTTAATTTTCCTACGATGTTTGGTGTCAAAATGCTCCAAATTCTGAGATTTTCATCATTTTCAACCCGAAATCCACCAAATTCCTCTTTCAGTTCCTTCAAATGCCACGAAAAGATCGTAGTTGCTCATGGAGTGGTCGACCACTTTGGATGGAAGTTGCCGAAGCGACACGTGTCAAAGTGCCCCATACATTTCAAATTCACAGCTACAAACGGCCCACAGTATGCCAGTTTTGTAAAAAGTTGTTGAAGGGTTTGATTCGACAGGGATTGCAGTGTAAAGGTGAGTGTTTTGGGGTGGAAATTGCTGAAAATTGTGATTTTTGACCTGAAATTTGTCTGCAAATCGTGATTTTGAGCCCAGAAATCGCTGAAAATAGTGGTTTTTGACCTGAAATCGCTGAAAATCGTGATTTTTACCCCAAAAATCGCTGAAAATCGTGATTTTAAGCCCAGAAATTGCTGAAAATCGTGATTTTCAGGCCAGAAATCGCTGAAAATTGCGATTTTTAACCTGAAATTCACCTAAAAATCGATATTTCTTGCAGATTGCAACTATAATTGCCACAAAAAGTGTAGTGAATTGGTGGCGAAAGATTGTCCTGGAAACACTGCTCAATCCAATCCCGCTTCCTATTATTTGGACACGGCTGATGATGGTGAGCTCCGGGGCACAAAATGACCCGAATTTTGGGATTTTTGAGCAAAAATGAGCTCGGGAACTTGAAATTTGGAGATTTTTGGGTTAGGACTACTGAAAATGCGTCAGCTGATTTGTTTTGGTGCAATTTTTGTAGATTTATAGTGATCTACCAGAAAAGCGTCAGCGAATGGCGTATTTTCCATAGCCTTCTAAAAATACGCCAGCAAAAGTACTTACTGGCGTGTTTTTGGTAGGTTACTTAAATCACGTCAATGGAAATATTTGCTGACGCAAATTTTGTAGGTTTCAAAAATTCAAGGGTACAAAAAATGTGCCAGCAAAAATATAGCTCTTTGTTGACGAAATTTTTGTAACCTACTAAAAATACGCCAGCAAAACATTAAGCTGACGTATTTTTGTTAGGCTACACAAAAATACGTCAGCTATACTATTCACTGACGCAATTTTTGCACCTCAAAAAACCCGGGCCTCTACTGACTAAATGTTAACCTACAAAAAATACGTCAGCAAAACTATATGCTGACGTAGTATTTCTCCTACCAAAAATGCGTCAACCCATCCCTCATTGACGCATTTCTGGTCAAAATTTCTCACAGGAATGTGTGTTTCGGCAAGTATGGATAATATGAAACTATTTTCCAACACGGCATCGAAAAATGGTATTTTTCAGCACATTTTTTTTCTCATTTCAAGCACTATATGATTTTTCAAAAACACCACCATTTTTTTAAGTTTTACTAACTTTTTAGCTATAATTTTCAGCCAAAACCCAGTATTTTCAGCCAAAAATCCCATATTTTCAGCGTCTGATGAGCGAGAAGATGAGACTTGTCTACGAGCCCAAACACCGAAGAAAAAAGCGCAAAATGTGCCGAGTGCCCCGATGACTGGCGCTGAAAAACAGGCTGAAATTCGACCGGAATTCAAGGCTGAAATTAAACAAGCTGAAATTGCTGGGGGAATTGTGGTAGCGGCTGAAAATGCGAGTTTGCAAAGTCCGGAAGAGGATGGAGTGTCGGCGGAAAGTCAGAATATCCCATTGATGCGTGTTGTGATGTCGGTCAAACAGATGAAACGAAAAAATGCCAAAATTTTGAAGGAAGGATGGATTGTGCATTTTACCGATCAACAGAATATGGTAGGGGATTTTGAGCTAGAAATTTGGAAATTTCAGATATTTTTAGCCTAAAAATTTCTATATTTTTTCACTGTTTCAAAACTGATTATTCGAGTGTATTATTAAAAAAATGCAGGAATCGAATTTTTTCAAGATTTTCTGAAACAGTGAATTTTTATCTCAAAAATTGAAAATTTATTTTCAGCTTTAAAAACTTGCTCAAAAAAATTCCACCTTGATTTTTAATCCGAAAAAGTTTGAATTTTTAGCGGATTTTCAGTTTCTGGAAAGTTTTCTTTTGAAAAAATTTCCAATTTTTTTCACTGTTTCAAAGTTTTGTTATTGAAACATTGAATTTTTGGAATTTTGATAAATGTCTATTGAACCATAGTTCTGGTAAATTTTCAGCATATTGATTTTTGATAGCTCAAGCTGAAAGTTTTGAGTTCTGCGAGGGAATGAAAGCGAAAATGTGTAGGAATCGGAAATTTTTTAAGATTTTCTGAAACAGTGAATTTTTTTACTCGCAGGAAATTAATACAGTTTGGACCCTATGTATATTGAAATCATTCGAAATTTCGAAAATATTCCATTTTTTTGAAACAGTGAATTGTTCTTTTGAAAAAATTGAAAATTTATTTTCAGCTTGAAAAAGTTGCTGTTCAATTATAACAGTATTTTCAGTTTTCGGAGATTTTTCTATTGAAAAAAATTTCTAATTATTTTCACTGTTTCAAAATGTTGTTATCAAAAAATTGAATTTTTTGGAATTTTGATATAAACTTTCTTGTGTGATCTTAATTCTACTAAATTTTCAGCGTTAAAAAAATTGCTCAAAAAATTCCATATTGATTTTTAATCTGAAAAATGTTGAATTTTGATAGTATTTTTAGTTTTCGGAGATTTTTCTTATGAAAAAATGTCTATTTTTTTCACTGTTTCAAAATTTTGTTATTGAAAAATTGGATTTTTTGGAATTTTGATCTCTTATACTTTTGGTAAATTTCCAGCTTTAAAAAAATTGCTCAAAGGTTATTGGTTACAAAAAAAAATTACACCTTGATTTTTAATAGCTCAAGCTGAAAATTTTGAAGCGAGGATTTTCAGAGAATAAATCTGAATTTCATTGGATTTTTGAGCTTAAAATTTTTGAGCATTTGATCTAGATGACGTATTGAAAATGTGCAGGAATCGAAAATTTTTGAAGATTTTCTGAAACAGTGAATTTTTTTTACTCGCAGAAAATTCAAACAGGGTTCCAACCAGTATTAAAATTATTCAAAATTTCGAAAATATTCAATTTTTTTGAAACAGTGAAATTTTTCTCTCCAAAATTGAACATGCTTCAAAAAATCTCTCAAATTGAAAAATTTTGAATTTTGATAGTATTTTTAGTTCGCGGAGATTTTTCTTTTGAAAAAATTTTTTTAACTTTTTTCACTGTTTCAAAATTTTGTTATTGAAAAATTGGATTTTGAATCAGTATTATAATCATTGGAAATTTCAAAAATATTCAATATTTTTTTCGAAACAGTGAATTTTTATCCAAAATTGAAAATTTATTTCCAGCATGAAAAAATTGCTCAAACTAATTTCCACATCAATTTTCAGCCCAGAAATTTGAAGATTTTGAGGCTAAAAAAGTTTGTGGATAATTTCTTTTGAAAAATGTCTAATTTTTTTCACTGTTTCAAAATTTTGTTATTGAAAAATTGAATTTTTTGGAAATTTGATTTTCGTTCAACATTTGGAATGGTAAATTTTCAGCTTTAAAAAATTGCTCAAAAAAATTCCACCTTGATTTTTAACCTGAAAAAAATGTGTAGGAATCGGAAATGTTTCAAGATTTTCTGAAACAGTGAATTTTTTTTTTCCAGCGCAAAAAGCACTTTTGGCGTCTCGACACAAAAAGCATCATAATGTATCAGGATGAGAGTTCGACAAGATATTACAAGGTACAGTAATCCCACAGTACCCCCTACAGTACCCCCCATTGATTTTTCTTCAGGAAATTCCGCTCAACGAAATTTTGGCCATTCATATTCCGGCTCAACATTTGGAAAATCGGCCGGCTACGCATTTATTCGAAATTCAGACACAGGCTACGATTTATTATATACGTGAGTTTTAAGGGCTTTTAAGGGGCTTAGGGTGAATTTTGGGTAAAAATAAGGTAAAAATTGGGCTTTTAGGCCCTATTTTAGGCCTAGAAGGTTTGTTTTTAGGCCTGTTTAGGCCCCTTCTCTCTCAAATATTTATGATGAACCTTGAAAAGGTTAAAGTACCGGAAAAAATCTGGTTTTTTTGCATGTCAAAATGTGGTTTTTTCGCTGTTTGTTTGCTCAGTTTATTCCCCTTTTTTTGACAGTTTTTTGTGTTGCGCAGCAATTTTTTCTCGAAAATTTTCAGGGTCAGATTTCGTTTTTTTTTTCTTTTTTGACAAAGTTTTGTCTCATTTTGAAACTAGAATGTAGTTTGATCATTTCACATTTGAATAATAATTAGGGCGAATTTCTCTTTTTTCTTTAATTTGCATATTTTTTTTCTGTGTAGGTTTTCTGAATCTTTAAAATTTTGGCCCGAAAATTGTATTTTAAAAAATTCCACGTGGCAAAAAATTTTCGGTTTTGAACCAGAAGAAAATCCAAAATTTTTCACTGTTTCAAAATTTCTCAATAAAAAATTCGGTTTTTGTGAATTTTGATAGATCTGGGGAGTAGGAAATAACATGAGCAATGTTTGGAATTTTAACGAAAAAAAAATAAAAATTTTGAAACCTACAGTAGCGGCAAAAAAGAAATGCACTAACTGTTTTTGATGGATAAAGTCACTAAAACAGCCCGAAAATGTTGGAAACTTTTCTAGGGTTATTTTTTACGCTGATTCACACTATTTCAATCATTCAGATGTATTTGGCATCACTTCTGAAGGTTGAATTGGACCAAAATCAAAAATCCGATTTTTTCAGATTTTCAACTTTTGAAAAATTTCCCTTGTGACTGTCCTAAAATGGTGATATTTGGGTGGTAATTGATTTTTATTCATACAATACCATCCCAACACTTGATTTGACTTCATATGTTGAAGTTCCAATCATGAAAAATAATGTTAGATGTTGTCGATTCAGCGATATCTCAAATCGAGAAATCTGAAGGTTTTGACATGATGAATCATATTTATCGTGTGATTTTTGACGGAAATACTTTTTTTCATTCAATTTATCAATTTTCTACCAAAACTGAACATTTTTATCAAGTTTGGGGCCATTCCGATCTTCATCGTTGGTCCGATGTTGTCGTAGATCTTGATTTCAGTAACACCCTGAACTTCTAAACATCGTTTTTATTGCCTAAATTCACACTCAAAGGACTCAGGTACATTATCTGATTTGTTTCAATCCACAAACTTGCCTTCTTCGAGACTTACCAGGCTGAAAATGAAAATTTTCAGTTTTTCAATGGTTTTTACACTATTTTTTCATTGATTGTGCTAATTTCGTCTGATGTGGTCCGACATTGTTGATCTCGCTTATTTTGGTATTTAAAACCATATTAGATCAATAGAGGGTCCTCTAAACTTTAGAAAATAACACTATTAAACATCATCCGAAATTGTTGGAGGCTGTGAAATCAAGATCTACGACAACATCGGATCAATGATGAAGATCAGAATGACCCCAAACTTGATAAAAATGTTCAGTTTTGATGGGAAATTGGTGAATTTGATGAAAAAAAGTATTTTCATCAAAATTCACACGATAAAAATGGTTTGTCGTTTCAAAATCTACAGATTGCTCGATTTGAGACATCGCTGAATCGACAACATCTAATACTATTTTTCATTATTGGATCTTGGAAATATGAAGCCAAATCAAGTGTGAGGATGGTATTGAATGATAAAAAATCAATTGCCACCCAAATATTACCATTTAAAGACAATATCAAATAAAATTTCACGAAACTTGAAAATCTGAAAAAATCGGATTTTCGATTTTGGTCCAATACAACCTTCAGAAATGATGTCGAACACCTCTGAATGATTGAAATAATGTGAATCAGCGTAAAAAATAACCCTAGAAAAGTTTCCAACATTTTCGGGCTGTTTTAGTGACTTTATTCATCAAAAACAGTTAGTGCATTTCTTTTTTGCCGCTACTGTAATTTGAAAATTCCACGTGGCAGGTCAAAATTTCAAGATCAGAAAAATTTTCCAATTTTTTTTTCACTGTTTCAAAATTTGTTGAGAAAATTTGGATTTTTTTTGAATTTGATGGTTTTTTCTCATAACATGAACAATGCTTGAAATTTCCGAAAAAAATTCAAGAATTCAAACAGAAATCTGAAAATTCCACGTGGCTGGTCGAAATTCTATATCTCAAAAATTTTCACAATTTTTTCACTGTTTCAAAATTTTTTTATTGGAAAATTTGTGTTCTTGGCAATTTAATGGGTATCTTTTTTATGATAATTGTTAACATGAGCAATGTTCTGAATTTCGAGAAAATTTGGATTTTAGAGATCCAATTTGAAAATTCCACGTGGCAGGTCAGAATTAGAAGCCAGAAAAATTTTCAAATTTTTTTTCACTGTTTCAAAATTTATTGATGAAAAATTGGGTTCCTGGAAATTCGATGGGTATCTTTTAACCTTTCTGTGATAATTGTTAACATAAGCAATGCTTGAAAATTCTAAATTTCTACACAAAATTAGAAATTTCAAAATCTAATTTGAAAATTCCACGTGGCAGATCAAATTTTAATATCAGACAAAATTTTCCAATTTTTTTTTCACTGTTTCAAAATTTATTGATGAAAAATTGGGGTTCTTGGGATTTTGATGGGTTTATAACAATACATCTAATATGAGCAATGTTCAGAGTTTCGAGAAAATTTGGATTTCAGAAAACAAGTATGAAAATTCCACGTGGCAGGTCGAAATTTCAAGATCAGAAAAATTTTCCATAATTTTTTTCACTGTTTCAAAGTTTCACATAAAAAAATTTGTTTTTTGTGAATTTCGATTGATGAGCTATTTTTCTATTTCTAGTCTTCTGATAATTTTTAGCATGAGCAATGCTTAAAGTTTTCTGAAAAAAAAATTCAAGAATTCAAACAGAAATCTGAAAATTCCACGTGGCAGGTCAGAATTCGAAATCAGAAAAATTTTCCAATTTTTTCACTGTTTCAAAATTTCTTTATTGGAAAATTGGGTTTCCGGGGATTTTGATGATCCTCTCAAAAAATGGGCAATGTTCTGATTTCCATGAAAAATTAGAAATTTCGAAATCTAAATTGAAAATGCCACGTGGCAGGTCAAAATTTCAAGATCAGAAAAATTTTCCAATTTTTTTCACTGTTTCAAAATTTGTTTATTTGAAAATCGGGTTTCTGGGGATGTTTGAAATGGCGATTTTTAACATGAGCAATGCTGAGAACATTTTGCCACGTGTCAAAGATATTTTTAGCGATCCCCACCAAAAAAAAGAGTTCAAAAAGTGTCTATTTATTTTTAGAAACTGGTTATATTTCCAGCACTTTGTCAATATTTGCAAAAGTGCAACAAATATGTTTGCTCATATTATATTTTTTTTGTTCAAGCTTGGAAACTTAAAATATCAGATTTTTGGCCCATTTTTACACTTTTTTGCAGAAAAAATCTGAAAAAGTTCAAGTTTTTCGGTCTGTTAATTACCATTATTCGCTTCTTTTTGTGTTGTTTTTTTAGTACAAAGAACGAAAAAAAAATTCGAGTGGCTGTATTACGTTTTTTTTTTGCTACCACTTGACGCCCCATGAAAATGTTTTTGGCCACGAGATTTTTTTTGGAGGACATTTTGTCGAGAAATTTTTGAAGTTTTTGGGAATTTTCTGAATTTTTATCCAAAAATTCCATAAATTTCAGCCAATTTTTCTGAAAATTTTGAAATTTTTGAAGATTTCCGAATTTTATTCTGAAAATCTGGCAAATTTTCAGCTCAAAATAGAAAATTTACAAGAATTTTCTGAAAAAATGTAATTTGACACTATTTTTTTCTTGTTTTTGTCGCATTTTTTTAATATTTAAGGTCTGAAATATGAAAATTCTGAAAATCTGAAATTCCAGCCAATTTTTCAGATTTTTCTGAAATTTTTGAACCTAAGCTTGTTTGGATTCAAAATTTCAGATTTTCACGTTGAAATTTGAAAAATTCTGAGTTAAGGTCTGAAATATGAGAAAAATTCTGAAAATCTGGAATTTCAGCCTTTTTTCTCGAAATTTTGAACTTAAGCTTGTTTGGATTCAAAATTTCAGATTTTCACTCTAAAATTCGAAAAATTCAAATTTTTCTGAAATTTTTGAGCCTAAGCTTGTTTGGATTCAAAATTTCAGATTTTCACTCTGAAATTTGAAAATTTCAGATTTTTCTGAAATTTTTGAGCCTAAGCTTGTTTGGATTCAAAATTTCAGATTTTCACTCTAAAATTCGAAAAATTCAAATTTTTCTGAAATTTTTGAACCTAAGCTTGTTTGGATTCAAAATTTTAGATTTTCACGCTGAAATTCGAAATTTTCAGATTTTTCTGAAATTTTTAAAGCGAAGCTTGTCTGGATTCAAAATTTCAGATTTTCACGTTGAAATTTGAAATTTTCAGATTTTTCTGAAATTTTTGAGCCTAAGCTTGTTTGGATTCAAAATTTTAGATTTTCACGCTGAAATTCGAAATTTTCAGATTTTTCTGAAATTTTTAAAGCGAAGCTTGTTTGGATTCAAAATTTCAGATTTTTCCTGAAATTTTTCACAAAAATGTGAAGCATTTTTCTCTGCGTCTCTCACTCTCTCTCTCTCACCCTGTATTATGTTATTATTTTTCCAACCTTGAAAACATGAGAGAAGCCCACTTAATCCGAACGTTTAGGCGCAAAAAATTGTGTATTTCCTGCTTCTTCGACCAGTTTTTCTCGTATTTTTCTCAAATTTTACAAAAAATCAGTTTTTTTACAGTTTTCTCATCGAGAAAGCCATAAAAATGTTTGTTTTTTCGTTTTTTTTTTCAAAAAAAAAAACCTGAAAATTACACCTTTTTTGGTCATTTTTGGCAAATTTCCATGAAAAAAAAGAAAAATTTCGCTTTTTTTCCGATGGCGTAAGAGAATTTTCACTTTTTTCCTGGCGCAAGCTGGTTTTTTTCTGATTTTCCCTATTTTTTCCAAAAAAAATAAAAATTATGCATTTTTTTTGACAAAAAAATTGAGAATTTGTTGTTTTTTTGCTGCTTTTGTTTGTTTTGTTATCACCTTTTTCTTCTTTTTTGTTGTTTTTTTGGAAGAAAGTGGAACCCCACATTTTTCTGCTGAAAAAATAACAAAAATTTTTTTTTGGTAGTTCTGGGGTGGCCTCGAACCTTTGGCCTTTTTCTTGGAAATTCTGAGCTCTAACCGGCTGAGCTATGTTGAAAATGAAATTAGTTCCCATCCGGAACTGATCCCTTGACCTCTAGATCAATAATTCTACCTCTAACCAGTTGAGCCATCCATCCTCGCATCTTTTTGAATTATTTTTGAAAAGTTTCAAGCCGGTCTCGAACCCGGGACCTCTAGATCAGTAATTTGAGCTCTAACCGGCTGAGCTATCTTGAAAATTGAATTAGTTCCCACCCGGAATTGATCCCTCGACCTCTCACCTCATATTCTTCTAACCTCTAACCAGTTGAGCCATCCATCCTCGCATCTTTTTGAATTATTTTTTAAAAGTTCCAAGCCGGCCTCGAACTTGTTACCTTCTGCTTGATAATCCAGGCTCTAACCAGTTGAGCTATCCTGAATCTGCAATTAGTTCCCACCCGGAATCGATCCCTTGACCTCTCACCTCATATTCTTCCAACCTCTAACCAGTTGAGCTATTTTTTTTTTTCACTGAAAAACAAAGTTTTCAAATCAAAAAACCAGTGTAATAATAAAAAATGTGATTTTCTTCTTCAATTTCTCAAAAACGTTCAGAAAAACCTTTTTTTTGCGATATTAGTTTAAAGTTGTGGTCAAAACGAAATTGGTTTTGGGGTTTTTTTTTTTCTATTTTTTTCGAAATTTCTATTGTTTCGAAAAAGAAAAGGCTAATCTTATCATCTTGCATGCTTTTCGCTTTTTTGGGGGCGGAAATTAATTTTTTGACAAAAATTTTCATCATTTTTTGGTTTTGGGTTTTGTTTTTTTTTTGTTCTGATTTGAAACAGTAAAAATTGCAAAAAAATAGCCTAGAAAATGTTAATCGGAATTTTGAAACGTATTTTTTGCGGGAAACATTTTGCTGAATTTTTTTCTAAATTTTCCCAAAAAATTTTGCGTTCACCAGGATTTGATCCCGGAAGCCCTAGATCTAAATCTAACTTCTAACCAGCTGAGCTATACTCAATCTGCTTCTGAAGAAATTTAAAAAAAATAGCTCCCACCCGGAATCGAACCTGGCACCTCTAGATCCCTAAACAAGCCTCTAACCATCTGAGCCCAGCGATTTTTCAATAGAATTTGTCTAGCTCGAAATAGCTCCCACCCGGAATCGAACCTGGGACCTCTAGATCCCTAAACAAGCCTCTAACCATCTGAGCCAAGTCTGCATTTTTTCCCCAGTTTTCCAATTTTCTTGCAAATTTTGCGATTTCTAATTCAAATTAGCCAAATTTGAA